ACCCCAACCCCAACCCCAACCCCAACCCCAACCCCAACCCCAACCCCAACCCCAACCCCAACCCCAACCCCAACCCCAACCCCAACCCCAACCCCAACCCCAACCCCAACCCCAACCCCAACCCCAACCCCAACCCCAACCCCAACCCCAACCCCAACCCCAACCCCAACCCCAACCCCAACCCCAACCCCAACCCCAACCCCAACCCCAACCCCAACCCCAACCCCAACCCCAACCCCAACCCCAACCCCATTTTTTTCCTTAATAAAATTTAAAAAAAATAAATAGTGATATGATACAATTTTATTTAGATTAATTAATAATATTTTTATATTATATTTGAAAAAAATTTGAATTGATTTTTTATTTTATTTAGTAGCAAATATTATTTAAAATAATATTTGTTAAAAATATATTAACAACTAACTTTAATTATAATTATTCATTTATCTTTTAGATACTTTTTTTAATTTATAAATTTTAAATGAACCAAATTAAATTCTTAATCTTGAAAAACTAAATTAATAATAAAAAATAAATAAAATCTTATAAAATTAAATGGCAGTCTCTTTAAATGAATTAAAATTTCTAAAAAAAATAATTTATAAAATATTATTCAATTTTTAAAATATGTTTTATTTTAATTCAAAAAGTAATATTTAAATATTATTCATTTATTAATATTTGAAAATATCTTTTAGTGATATATTATTTTATAGTATTTTTTATGATTAAATATAATATTAGTTTAACAATACAAAATTAAATATCTGCCATTTAATATCACTATTTATTTTTTTAGATAATTTTTTAATTTATAAATTTCAATAAACCTCATTAGAAAATTTATCTTTAAATTACTAAATTAATTATTTATTAAAAAAATAAAAGAATTCTTTAAAAATTAAGCGTTTATTTTAAATGAATATAAAATAAAAAAATAGTTTATAAAATATTAGTTTGTTTAATTTTAATTCAAAAAATAATATTTAATTAATATGTATTGATAATTTTGAAAACAAAATCTTTTAGTTTATTTTATTTCAAATGAATTATTTAACACATAGAATCCAGAAGAATCCCAGGAGACCATCGTTGACTTAGATTTTTTGAATTTATTAATTGTAATTTTTAATATCAAATTTGAATTATTCTTAAATTAATTGAGCTATTTCGTTAAAATTTTTATTTTAAGCATAGGCCAAGCAAGCAATTAAGCATAAATAATAAATGCCTGAAGTAAGTTTTAAGCATTACATGGTATCTTGAAACTTTTAAAAATAAATTTTAAAATAAAATTGAAAATAAAAAAATTTACATCTTCATCATCATCAGATTTAATTAGTTTTTTGTTAAAATTTAAATAAAACAGTTTTTTATCATTAATTTCTTGATCAATTGATTCCTGAAAAGCTTCATCAGCAAATTTAACTAAAATATCTTCAAATTCTTATAGAATTTATATATCTGTATTATTTCTACCTTCAAAAAGCAATTCATAGATTTTAAAATTTGAACTCAAGCCATATTTTTAGTTAAACTGGCTAAAAATTCCAGAATATTTTTCGATATTAGCTAAAGCCTTTTATAAGTATAAAATTGATGAAATTTAATATTAAATTATATTATGTGATTACCTATTTAAATGTTTCTTATTTTGCTTCAATAATTTCATGCTCATCAATTTTAATATCTTCTTCAAAAGCTTTTAAAAATAACTAATTCTGAGAGAATTAATTCATAATGTTTGGTCTTACTAAGTCAAATTCTTTAGATTCTAAATTATTATTAAGTTATTTGAAATAATTAATTTAAAAATAAAAAAAAACCTTTGCTATTTGTCTTTGATTCCAAAAATATCTTAGCTGACTTTTTTACATTTATACCCTCTTATTCTTTTACATTTTTTTTGTCTTTTTAAATTAATTACTAATTCAACTTTAACTAATTTATTGTTTCTCCATAAATCAAAGTTATTTTTTGCTTATCTATTTTTTATAAATTAATTTTTAAACAATTTAATAACATTTGTCTAATTTTTACGATTGAATAAATTAAGATTTTATTAGCTCACCGCCACAATGTTTTTAAATTTTTTATACTTTTTATAAAAAGAAATATTATATTTATTATCATTTTTACAAATTAATTACACTATCCAAACTGAATAAATCAGATTTTGCAGTCACTTTTTTGATAATTATCTGTTAATCAGTCTCATTAACTAGAAGAACTGGACCTTCAATAATTTAAAATTTATTATTTTACTATATTTAAACAAAAATTTCATCTTCTTTTAGCTCTTATTATTAATCAATAAATGAATATAATCTAAAACAGTTCTAGGGATAGATTCTTTAGTTATCAAGAGAAAGCATTTTTTTCTAAATATGATTTAAATAAATATTAATTATATTAATTTTTACTACCTTGAAAAAAATTAATTTACTTTATTCGCTAAGATGTCTTTTAATATCATGAAAAAATATTCTTATGATAAATCATACTTATTTGATAAAAGTTAATTGAAATTTTTCCTAAACACTTTCTAAGAGCATTAAGTTAATATATTGTCTAAAGGTAACAGTTAGTTGATAGTTTCGTATATTTAATCTTAATCATTGAAAAACTATTTATGTTCTACTTCAAATTAATTAGATATCTTTTTTGAAATTTCTAAACTAATCCATCCCTTTTCTAATTAGTTGTAATCAATCAAATATAATTTATTTTTCTTGTTGCTTTGATGGTTGCAATGTACGCTAGGCAATATAAAGGAATTTTTTTTATATTATTAAACTATGTCCTCTTTAACTAAGCCCATAGGAAAGAATAAAGAAGTGCAGCCATTTAATTATATCAGAAGGCAATTTATATTTTCAATTTTAACATTTAATTCTTGTTTAATTTACTTTTTATAATAATAAATAAACCTTTAAATTCAACTAAATAAATTTATTTATCATTTAAATAAAAATAAAAATCAATCATTATTAAAAAAACATAAATAATTCAAAAAGAAAGGTTCTTTAAAAATATGATAGCTTAATTTAATTAAAGTAAATAATTAAATCAAAATAACTAATAAAAAATTCAATTATAATTAAGAATAAAACTTTAATGCAAAAATAATGAATGAATAAATAAATAAATAAATAAATAAATAAATAAATAAATAAATTACCTCTAGAATTTTAATATATATAAGATCATTTATTAAACCAAATTAAAAAGGATTTTCCATGCTATAGATTTTATCTTTATCGTCAAAAATAAAAAGAGATTTCCAAAGAGCTTAATTTATCGTCATTTGTTATTCGTATACATTTTTAATTGAAGAGTAATCACCAACATTTTATAGTTTGAGACATAATTCATTATTATAATGTTGCATTATATCTTTCTTTTTTAAATTAGGCATGTTCTGAGGGATTGTTTTTACCTCAATCAATAAGGCGTCATTATTTTATTTTCCAAAATAACAAAAAGTTTTGGAAAGCATATTAAATGACATTAATATTTCTCTATAATATATACTCTATATAAAATCAGATTCATTACCTTCAAAAATAATTCTAACAATATTTTAGGTTTCATTTACTCCAGTTTCTAATTCTTTTATTAAATAAGAATTATACTCAGAGCTTGGAAGGAGAAAATTAAATTTAGAAGGACTAACAACGACTCTGTACACTATTTGGTATTCTGGACCTGGTAAAACTTAATTTTCGTCCTTTAATAAAGTTAAAAAAGTTTAATATAATTTTTAAATAAGAATTATTACAATATTTAAGAAATCAGTTATTTTCTAGTGCTCTTATCTGTTCATCAAATTATTCAAGAAAAAAAACGCCTTTCCTTAACACATTTATTTAAGACATTACTGCAATTTAGGAAACTCAAACAAGCTTATCTATTCAATATAATTAAATATTTAAACATTCATAATTATTTTTAAATCAAATTTACCTTTTTGTTTGAGAGAAGAACTAACAACATGTATTAAATTTAGAATGATAGATCAATAGTAAACTATAAAATATTTTATGTAAAAGGTTAGTCTTTGTTTGTTTATTTAATTTCTTTTTCTTTTAAACTTAATTTAATAGCAAAATTTTCAGCTGAGTAGATTTTCATATAGGTTGAAATATTAGGTAAAGTTAGCAAAATATTATGTATAGGATACCATTGCTTCTTATCTTCTACCAAATTTATTAAGTGATATGTTTAAGTGCTTGCAAAGAATTTGGGTGTAGAGGTAGCTATGAGATACTTATATTATCCCTCTACTTAGATTATAGGTTTATCTAAAACTATTTTTACTTAGCCAACCGATCTAAAGTTTAAGAAAATTGTAAACATATGATACTAATTATTTAAAACAAAAGTAAATATTGATAATTTTATTAAATTAAATAGAAAATAATTTCTATAATTCTCAACACTTTATTTCAGCTTTAAAAAAATTTTAAATTAACCATTCTTAGTTTTTAATTATGTAAATTTTTTATTTTATGTTTTTTCTATATGAGCTAAACCAAGCAGTTATAAAATAATTTAAGATCAAAATATTGATTTTGCATGAAAATTGTAATTTTATCTTTATTACTTAAGATTTTAATCTAAAATCATTATATTAAACTGAGTGATATTATTAAATTTTATTATTTATTTTTATAATTCTAAATAAAAAAACAGAAATGACATAAATTTTTATCTGTTTGTTGTTAATTAGAAAAAGTTAATGTTCCTAAAATAATAATTATTTTACCTCATAGCATTATTCAAGATGTATAAATGTACACTCCTTCTCTCCCTTTTTTAAATTAATTTAAATTATTCACAATAAAATTTATTTAGAAGTCTTTAAAAATAAATTACAAGATTATAAAGACTTTCAAAATAATAATTATGTTAATCCCTTGCATATGATCCTAAACTAATGGCTTAAGCAGTCTCAAAAGATTGAATAAATGTTTAGCTTATTTTCTATAAAAATAAAATTAAGTTAAAATGAAGCTTAGAAAAATATATTTTTACATCTTCGCCATCTTTTTTTTCTAATTCGAAGCCTTAAACTTCGTTCAATTTAACTTTTTCAAATCCTAATACTTCTCCTTAAATTGTTACATCAAAAGTTTGAGATTTTTCAAAAATATCATTCGATGGATTTATAAAAGGGAATCTAATTTTGTTTTAATAATGAAAGTGAGTAAAAAGAAATAATCTATTAATTACCTAGAATATTATTTGGGATTTAATTTAAAATCGAATTCTTCATCTTAGTTTTCCACTATTTTTATTTATACAAGATACAAGTTAATATTCTAGTAAATATGCAATAAATTTATTCTTTATTACATATTATATTATTTTAGTAAATATCTAATGGAGGAGGGAATTTTAGTTTATCATTTATCTCTCTAAATTTAAAAAACTCATAGCTTATTGATCCTTTGATTATTTAAATGCTTTCATCATTAGATTTTTCAAGTTTGTCAGTTTTATTCACTTCCATCTTCACTTCAATGCAAACTAATTTAGATTATTTACTCTCAAGATAGGCATATATTTATGAATACACTTCATCTGCAGAAAATGGTGTTTAAGTTTTAATCTTATAATTTTTTGTGTTAATGACAGAAATTGTTTAGTCTAATTAAGAATTATCCTCTTGTTTATTTAGTTCCTCAATCTATTGAGGTTCTTGCTATTGCTAAATTTCCTATTCATCATCATCATCAGAAAAATTCAAATCCATGTTTTTAATTACTATCAATCTCTTTAATAATTTTTCCTACTTCGTATTTTGTTAATAATTTTTGATGAAATTAATTAATAAAAAAATTGTATCATTTTAAAGTAAAATCTTGAAATATCTTTAATTAAAAGTAAAATAATCAAACAAATCCAAAAAAAAAACTATTTTATTTAAACCTCTACCTTTAATTTAATACAAAATCAATACTAAAAAGTAGATTCGCATGAAATAAAATAAAAAAATTAAAATACTAAAAAAATAAAATAATTTATTTTAAATAAATAGAATTTACAAAAAGATATCTAATTTATATTTTATAATTTTAAAATATCGAGTAAAGCATGATTTATATATAAAAAAATATCACTTATTAATTCAACATTTCTACTTTTTTCAAAGACTGATTTGTGAGATTTTGATTAGTAAAGTAAATTAGTAAAAATTTTTAGTTTGAAGGCATTAAAAAGTAAATATCCCAGGATAGTTAAAATTAGTAATAATTAATGAAAATAGATCAAAAAGATTTTATTTAATTAGAGTAAGAAGACGATAAAAAAGACTTCTATAGAAGATTAGGTAGATTTATAACCTTTGGAAGATGGAGAGGCAAGCCTCTTTTTTATTTAGGACCTGATTGTAAATATTTAGTTAATTTTAAATCCTTAGACAATTATAGTAGTTAAAAAGCTAAATAAATGGAGTTGATTTACAAAATTAACTATGAATATAATTGCCATTTAACAACCTCTTCAAATTAAAGCAATCTCTTTAATTAATTTATAAAGACAGATTTTTTATGCCGATGTATTTTGCTTTGATAGTTGCTTCAGTAGTTTGTTGCTATTTCTGTAATTAACTTTAAGAATCTCAATGGTCTTTTGTTGGAGCTGTTTCTATTAGTATTCTTGAGTTGTTCATATACGCAATCACAGCATTCAAAGACCCAGGCATTGTATAAGACCCTGAATTAGATATTGAAGAACTGTAGCATAATTCATAAAGGTAATTATCCTTACAAATCATTTAAATAAATAAACAAATTTATAAAAATTTACACAAAAAACGAATTTTTATTATAAATAAATGAATCATTTTAAAATCAAAATATTAAATTTTTATTATTTAACTAAAGTATTTGTTATTAATGCAAAGTGCACAAGAAAAAGGGTAGATATCATTGCGAATTTTGCGATGTTTGTATTGATGGACACGACCATCACTGTCCTTGGACAAGTAAATGTATTGGTAAAGGAAATATTATCCCATTTTATATGTTTTTAATTACAACAAGCGCGTTTTTTATCTATCACTTTTTGGTTTCTTTTAACTAAAAGAAATGATTATCAAAAAGTATTTATTTATATTTAGTATAAAATTATTTTCATATTTTGATAAATATTTTAAAATCACTTTGTGTGTTTATGAAAACGTAATTAAATTTTATTCATCAATTAAAAAAATATAAAGATTTGAATTTTCCAAATACTTTTACAATATAAAAAATTTTAAAGCTGTTTCCATTCAAAATAGATAAGTAGTCTATACTATAATATATGATTTTCAGTTATATTTCAGATATTATGCTGCTTTCAAATAAATTATTAATGAGGTACTTTTAATAAAATAGAGATAAATGAATTGAATTGTATAATAAGAAGATATTGCTTTAATAATATTTTTTTTGAAGAAACTTGATTAAAATACTTCACCATTTTACATTAAAAAAGAAATCAAAATCAATACTAAATGAGTATGATTCAAGTAAGATGAAAGTTATTCTTTAAATGCATGCTTTTTAAATAATGGATAAAAAATTATTTATTATGATAATACATTTTTTGAAAATTATTTACGTTTTGATGGCTTTTAAACTTTAAATCAGTTTTTAATAATAATTATATGATTTAATGATCAAATGTTTAAAAATATAATGAGCATTTTTTGATGAAGAAGAAGAATAATAAGATATTTTTTACATATTTTATGTATAAATTTATTAAATAAATGATTTTTTGAAATTATTTGTAAGCTTTGATATCTTATAAATTTAATATCAACCTTAAAAATAATTATGTAAAATTGTCAAATATTAAAAAAAATAATCAAATTAATTATGAGCATTTTTTGAAGATGGAATTAAGTAATAAGACAATTTATTAATATGAGAATGAAAATACAATCTTTTACAAAAAATATTTTAAAATAATTAATGCTATAAAATATATAAAAAGACTGAAAAGAATTAATTGAAAGGCTTAGCTAAAAAATTTGGTGTAAAGTAAATATACAAACAATAAATAAATTATCTGTAAAAAATAATTATAAATGTTTGAGTATCTACAGAATAAGAAAGTTTGTTTTTTATAATTTATAAGATTTATAATTTTTGTTCGTAGAAGCGTTTATTTATTTATATATTTAATCTCCAAAAAATCCTTTATTAATTCATATGCTAAAAATAAATGTTGCTTTATTTGGATGTTGTTTAAAATCAATGATTAGGAACTAATGATGATGCAAATACTGTAACTATTGCACTAACTTAATTTTTTGAATATTCTTTGCTATCCTTAGGCCATTTAATTATTGCGATACCATCTACAACACCATCCCAAAAGCAACTCTACGCAGCGCACGCTCCCGTACCCGTACTTTGCATTATCATACAATTTACCATATATTTATAGGGTTTTTACTGCTTTATTAAGTATTCTAATGTTTATTCGCATATTTCGTTAATCCATTGAGGAACCATATCTTCTTTATAATCTTTTCCTTACAAAACTTTTTCTATATAGGTAACTACTTGCTTTTCTGTTTCGTCCTGCTAAAATGTTTGTTCATCAATATTATCCTCAGCCATTTTATTTATATCGTAATTTTAAATTTTATTAAATGTGAAACTCTACTTTTTTTTGTATTATCTATCTATTTATTATAAGTGTTTATTTGATATATTTTTTTACAAATTTTTAAAATTAAAATATCCAAAATAAAGAAAAAATATTGATTATTGTTTAAAAATTATATGACTTGTTAAATTGCAGTCTATTTTATATCTTCAAAGTCATGGAAAGTTACAACTTTAACTTATAACACAACCTTAAATGCATTTAAAAATTTTTAATAAAATATTTTAAATCAATATCGTGAATTATTAAATGATAACCAAGTATTAAATTTTCTTCTTCATAACTATCAAAAGTACTTAAATTATTAAAAATTTTGTTTTGCTTGTAAACAGTAAGCAATCTTATAAATCAATTTAATCTTTTAATATTTTGAAAAGGCTCTTCAAAAATTTATTATCAATTTAGAATCTTTTATTCATAAAAAATTATTGTTTGTTTTAATTGTTAATTTATTTATTACATTTTTACCAAAAAATCAAGAAAGAAAAAATGGAATACGAGTATTTTTATGACAGGGAGATAAAGTTTGATTTATAAACTAAGAAACTTTCACCTTGCTCAGGTGAATTCGAAATGAGCAGTTAAAATTATATAGAAGATTTTAAAGGAAATGCTGATTGCGATGGAGTCTTAGTTTTAACAAATTTAAGATTAATATGGTATTAAAATGATGATAAAAGAATCAACCTATCAATAGGTAAACAAGCATATAATATTTATTAGCTTATTTGTTTAGTTGAAATTCATTTTAATACTTAAAAATATGAACATTTTATTACAATATCTAATTTTATTGCAATAACTGAAAATAGGTCTTGATACAATTAATAGTTCTGACATCAAAACTGAAAGAAATTTAAAAATAGGATTAGAGCTGACTCTCTCAATTAAAGCTAAATTGAATAAAAATAAATTTGAGTTTATATTTAAAACGAAGAATGGAGAACCGACGAATATATTTAATCTATTTTAGCAGGTGTGCAGAGGTTATTAAGCAACAAAAATATATAGAGATCTAAAAAGAGGTGCTATAATCTAAGATAAAACTCTTTAAATTCTACCTAACGAAAAGGTTATAAGCAAATATCCTAATGTTAGAAGTGTAGGCAATGAAATTGGAATTATAGGAAATCTATTCTTAACTAACATACGTATAGCTTGGTTTGCAACCAATAACGAAAGCTAAAACATAAGCATTCCTTGGATATAGATTTCATCAATAACCAAATAAAATATAAAGGCAGGAACTTCTCTTTTGATAGAAATAAATAAGTTTACTGGAGGCTACATTTTAGGTTATCAAACAGATTAAATAGATCACTGTCTTAAAGAATGCAATTAATTGAAAGAGTACTATTGCTAAAACCCAGATTTTGGTATTCCTAAAATTGGAGATGAGTATGACTCATCTTACAAGTCTAAATTAGTAAAAAGAGAAGAAGACAACATTGAGATCATAGGTACAATCATTAATGAAAGAAAAAATATTTCAAGAAATTATATGACTAGCTAAATAACTACATCTGCCAATATACCAGATTAATCCCAAGATGTAAATTTAACTTTTTTAAGTTTAAAAGCTTTAAAATTAATTTTTAAAAGTAATCACAATAAGGAGACATTATATTTAGTTCAGAATTAGGTTTAGCCATCGAAAAACCACCCTAAGGTTGCAAAGTTGAAGATTTATGGAGAATAATTAAATCGAATTCTTGATATCTTAAATAAAAATTAGTAATTTATGTTTTTTTTCTTTGCCTTCAGTTATCTATGATGAATATAAAAATAAATAAATAATTTTAGTTTTATCATTCCAAGATTAAAATATCTAAAGAAATCAAAATAAAAATCTATAAAATATTTCAATTTTAAATTTTCATAAAAAAAAAATAATCAAATAACAATTAAGCTATTTTTTATTGTATTGATTGAAAACAAGCAAGTTTTTGATAATACTCTTAATTTATTTTTGAATTACTTAAAAATTTTGGAAATTAAGATATTTTAATTTAAAATAATAAATTTCTCTTTTTAAATTTATTTTAGATTACTTTTATTAAATAGTAAAACAAATTTTTATTATTAGTTAAATCATGTAAAATTTAACAAACTTATATATAAAAAAATACTTAAAGTATTTATTTATTAAATTAAAATAAAAAATGTTTAATTTAAAAGTAAATATTTAATATTTTAAATTATTTTATCTCTTTAAATTTAATTTATTTTAGCTTCTTCTTTTAAATAAAAATAATAAAAAGATTTTTGCTTAGGTAAAATTTAATTTATATTAAAAACATAAGATTTTAATGTTTTTTAATTAAATTAATTTTACAAATTATTTTAAATAATAAAATAAATATTTAATTTAAATAAGTTGGTATATTATTAAAACTTGCCTATCTAACTAGATTTTATGAATACTTAATAACAAACAGATAATTATTTCAACGCTTTTGCTTGAATACACCAAAATATAACTAATGTATATATTGTCTTATTCTTTCTCTATTTAGCTAGTAATCGTCTTCTGTTGGCTCAATATCATCATATTTCTTTGAAACTGCAGATGTGAGTAAATTATTAACAGTTACTTCGTTGAGAATTCTTTGGATTAATTTTACCATGTTAATTTAGGTTTAAATAATAGTTTTATGCTCCTTCTTTAAAATTGTTGTAAATCTTTTTTTGTAGTTTAACTAAGGATTTTATAATTCTTTTTCATCTTCTTCTATTGGTCTATCGAAGACCTTCTTTTTTAGTGCCCAGAGCAGTTTGTAGGCAAGCTCAAACACTTTCTTTTCAAATTCAATTTAAGTAGGAACTGTTATCAAGATAGGCTTTTAAGTATTCTGTTTAAGTGTAGTAAGGAGATAAACTCTCAAATATGTAATAAAATCTAGACACAATTTACTCTTTTTAAGTCTAAACTCTTTAGTCAATTCTTCTATGCTTCTTTTTTATCCACACCACATAATCCCGTTGTCATACTCATCATCATCTACATAATCTGTATAAACTAGTTCATCTAAATTTGCCTAATCTATCTTATCACTTTTTACATAACTCCAAAATCGAAATGGGAAACTATCATAATAATTATTTTCATGACAGAATCCATACCAAACCATCAAAAATCTATTATTTCTACGTCCATAACAGTGATAAATTTATTTTCCCTTTGGCTACCATCTAGGAGTTGAAACAGTAAAATAAGTGTCATCGTCTTTTAAATCATACCTTTTAAGAAATTATTTTTTTAATTCATATTGAGATGTTCATTTTTAATTTTTATTTATTTACCAATCCCAATTTTCTTCACCTAGGTGATGCTTGTATTTTTATTTTCTGTGTTATTTAGATGTAAATTCTTTGTATTCTTCGAATTTTTCATATTGGATATCTTCTTCTTTATTTTCCTACAAATTATACTGAACAGAGATACTTTCTCTAGCCTTTAGAAGATTATATTCTTGATTGTTTTCAAAATTTTCCTCTTAATCACTCTCTTCAGTGTCGTTATCTTCAGTCTCTGAAGTTGTAAAATAGGGTAATTCCCATAAATTTTTATACTTTGCTTTTAACTTTTCAGCATTTATCAATCTAATGTCATTTTCTACTTCTTATCTTTATAAATCTTCTAAGAATTATTTATCTTTTCTACCTTAAGTATTAACAGAGATGTAGGCTTTTTTAATATCTGGTGGATTTTAAATTTGCTTTAAAGCTTCTTGTTCATAGTTAAATTGCTTAAATATGCTATAGTCCACTTCTTTGCTCTTTACTATGTAGTTTTTGTGTAACTTCTTCTTACCCAATTCAAAGGCTTTATTGAAAATTAAATTGCAATTTCCATCTTTTGAATGATTAAATGCATCTGCAAGAGGCACCAAGAGCGTATGTGGGAAATTCCATCCATAACAACGAGTTGTAACAAATTGATAACTCCAGTAAAATAACTTTTTGTTGCAACAATCAGTACTAATAATATTTGGGTAGTTAACTATGACTTTCAAGAATTCCTTCCAAGTTTATTCCATCTTTTTATTAATATCTTAATTTAAATAACATTTTACTTTTATAAATCAAAATTTACAGATTATCTATATTCTTTAAATATTTTAAACATATATGGATCTCCGATATTTTCAACTTCTTTATCAGTCCAGTCCAATAATGTAAATTGAGTAGGAGATATATTCAAATAAGGAGCCCAAAATGATTTGTCTGCTTTAACTTTCTCTGTCATTAAATAAAGAGTAAGCTTGTTAAAATCGGCATCATAATTCTAATCTATGTTAAATAAATGTGGATTCTATTATAACACAGGCTTTAATGGACTAGAATCTACTATTCCAGTACTCAAAAGCAATTTATTTGGAATCGCGACTATCACTTTATTTGGTGGAATTCTCTCTTTCGCTGCTACTCCTACATAGCCACCGTTGCCAAATGCTACTGGGAATTCAATATTCTCAAATAACGCTCCGTTCTTCTTGAGCCATTCTAAATAAACTTAATACTTTTTGTCTTTTTGAATTTCCTTTGTTAACTCTACGTTAACTTCGTCATCTCTATAAAAACTCATTCCTTAAATTGTTTAAATTTCTGATAAATTTAATTATTTTTGAAATTAATTAATTCCGCAAATTTGAAAAAATAAATTTCATAAAAAAATATCTTATTAAATTAAATTTGAGTTTTCTCAAGATAATTTGTACAAATGATTGAATGCTTTGTAGAATTGAAAAAGTTATTTATTTTATTAAATTTAAAAAAAAGACATTCAAAAAAATTAATGATAAAATTATAAACTTATTGCATTTGATAAGAATTATAAAAGACAGATATTATATTTGGCTTTGTTTAGCTATTTAATAAATTTTGATAAAAACTAAGAGAAATGACACCAAATAAAAAAAGTAATCTGCGTCTCTGCTTTTGGTTACTTGTTCCTTTAGTTGAATACTAATTAAGAGAAACAAATAGAGAAAATATTCTAGAACCTCCTTCAATTATAATTCCTTGTTGTGATGACGATTGTAAATTAGTTTTCTATTTCATAAGCATAAGATAAATGCTTTGGTTTTAAATTATTTTTTAGATAAAAATTTAATTAAATAATAAATCAAAAAAAGTTAATTTGTAAGTTTATCAATCAATCATAAATAGTTTGATAGCCTAAATTCATTTATATAATTATAAGATTAAAAGCCGTTTAAGAATATATTTAGTTAGTAAGTGACATGAACTAATCTTCTCCTTAAGAAAACCCTAAGATGGTAGAGAATGATTTTAGTTTAGGAGTAGTTTTTACTGCTGTATTTACTGCTATTTTAGGATTAGTTTTAACTGGTGCAAAAGCAATATTCACAAAGACAAAAAATATTGTAGTAGGCTATGTCAAAGAAAAAATAAATAATTTCTTTCACTGGGATGATACATCTGCTCATTAAATAAATAAGAATCCTAACAAAAACAGATTCGATATTAGAGTTTGCTCTATTTGTTTGAATAATATTAAAAATCCTGTCATGTCTGCTTGCAATCATCCTTTTTGTGGTAATTAATTAATTCATAATTTTTTAACAATTTACTAAAAAAAATGAATAATTATTCAAAAAAGTTTAGTAAATGTAGATAGTTTCATCAAAATTTATATCATATTCATTTATTTAAATTTGCAAATGTTTAAATATTCATTTAAAAATAAAGCTGAGTGTATATTCAATATGTGGGAAACTAAGTAGAAAAAGAAATTAAATTGCCCTTACTGCAGAAGAGATATGAATTTATTATATAGAGATTTTGAAGAAAATGAAATGAGAACTGAAGAAGAAAAAAAAATCTTAAAAGAACTTAAAGATTATAACGCATTATACTCAGGACATAAAAGATCAGTAATTAGCATTTAAAATAATTTTTCAAATTAATTTTGTTTATTAATTTACTAAAATTATTTTATAAACTAGTTCATTGAAATGATTAGAGATGCACCTTTTCTTTTAAAAATGTTAATGCTTAAGATAAGATAATGGAAAAATATGTGGTATGTTGTCACCACTATGATAACAAGCGGTAGATTGATAGCTTCCTTGCTATATATTATTTCACCGATTGATTTACTTCCAGAATCATTCTTAGGACCAATCGGCTTAGTTGATGACTTTGCAGTTATTGGAATTGCATTAGTTATAATTGCTAACATTTCTTACTAGCTCTTAAGAAGAGATGAATGAAATAAAATCTTTTATCCAAAAATTTTGAAAAAATATTTAATTAAATTCTAAAATTTCAAACAAACAAACAATCAAACAAACAAATAAACAAAATTAATTCATTTATTATAATAATATTAAATAAAATTTTAATTATTATTAATGTATTTATCATATCTATATTAATATTTCATAATAACCTTCCATATTAATTTATTTATTTTTAATCGATTTTATTCAAATTAATATAAAATTATTTCAAATTAAACAAATAAAATAATTTTATCAAGAAAAAAAATTGATTTTTTAATGAATTTGGCATTTTTTGTTTATGAAAGTAGAAATAGATAAAATAGAACAAACCCACTTTATTTAAGGTTCGTAATGCAAATTTTGTATATTAAATGACTGCCAATCAGAGCAATTATATTTATAAATAGCTAAATATAATAATATTAACTCTTAATTATAGATTTAGTCAATCAAAAAATATATTGTCAAAAACTAAACAAATATCAAATTTATTAAATCTAATTTTCTAAATAGTTAAACATATAATATATATTTACAATGGGTAGAGCTAAAGAAATTAACACTGAATACAAAGAAATTCCTAAGGAAGACTTAATTAAAGTAGGCAAGCCTAAATCTGGTAAGCCTTGGAAGAAAAATACTCAAAGGTATTTTATTTGAAAACGCATTTCTATCAATATTAGCTTTAGAAAGATATATATTCATATTTTAATGATAAATTACTTTATTATAAAGAGTTTCTAACAAGGTTCTTGCACTCAGACAAAACGTTGGTATGATTCTTACTTTTGATTAAAAAGTTCAAAGAGCTAAGGAAAGAAAGGAATTAAAAGAAAAGATGGATTAACTCAAATAAGAATATGATGAAAAAGTATTTCTATTTTATAAATATTTTGTTTTAAATTTACAAAAATATTTTTCATAATAATTAAGATGGAAAAAGAAAGATAAAGATTAAAAGAAAAAGCCAAAAGAGACGAATTAAATTAATACAAGAGCTCTACCTTCTAAGTCGTAATAATTAAATAAATTATAATTATTTTATCTTCAGAGTTTAATCTTTTTTAAAAATAATTGTAAAGATTAAAGATACCAAAAGAATTAAAAACTGGAATAAAAAAGCTAGATCAACTCTTGCTAAGCTTCCTTCAGAACTTTACGAAAAAATTATTGCCAAAAATTACTGAAAACCCTTCTAATTAGGTTATCTAAATTAATTAAAATGTATATAATAATATAAAAATGTAATATAAGTAATCATTTAATGATTAATTGTTGCTAGCATAATTTATACCGTTTTGCATTAATAAATAAGCTTAATTAATATATTAACTACTCAAATTGTTAAATATTTTCAATCAAAATTTTATCTTTAAGATAATATAAATGAATAAATATTTACTTTTTTATTATACAATTAATGGATTAAATATATTATTTTTAATTCCTTTTTTATATAAATACATCAACATAATTTACAAAATTCCTTTTCTTAATAATAATGCTGCTTTTATTTAGAATATTTAATTGTTTCTGATATATTTTTAAATCAGAGACTGGTCTAATTTAGTTTATTAAGACTGATAATTAAAATTAAAAATGTTAACTAAATATTTCAGTTTATAAATCTGTTTTTTATTTTCTCATAATAAATAAATATAAGTTAAAACAAACCACACTTACTTAAATCAACTTATTTGTTTTTAAATATATAATATAGTTTATAGAATACACTTGGTATAAAAATCCTTAATATATGTAAATATATTGTATATTTTGAAATTTTCACTTTAAAAATGATTAAAAAAACAAAATTTTCAGATTTTTAACAAATTATGATGAATAATTAAAATAAACAATATTATTTATTCTAAATCAATTATCAATTTTTTTAAAGTTTATAAAATATTCTTTAAAGTATGAAAAGTTCTAAATATCATAAAACAAATAGTAACTTTATTAAATACAGATAATGCTTAGAAACTCAGCTATAAACTCTTTTGGAGTGTTTGATAAATAAATAAAGTAATAAGGATCCTCCTGCAATACCTAGTATAGCTCCTCCTACTTTCATATAATTTGATTTCTCAGGGGTGCTAATTGACTACTTTACTTTTTCTTCTATTTGTGTTGTATTTTTGTAAGTGAGATCTTCAAATTCTTTGATTGCAATATCATAAAATTCTTAATATTTATCTGTATAATCTAAATGATCAATTTCTGTATTTTAATTAAAAAAGTTTTCGTTTAAGCCAAAAGGTTTTGTTCCTATAAAAGCTTAATCTCCTATAAGTTTTGCCTTTTCAAGGAATATTTTAATGACATTATCTTTAGTAGAATAGAAATTATAACACATTTAAAAACGTTAGTAGGATTCTTCAATTTCAGTGATTGTAGCAGCTCCTCCCATTAGTATTATATATCTAGCTGGCTTTACCAAATTTTTCAATGCATAAGCAGTAACTACAGTACCTAAGCTATGTCCCATAAAATCTATATTTAACATTCCCATCAAGTCCAAGCTGTTTACATATTCAGCTAATACAGCACCACCATCTTTAGATTATTAGTAAGAGGCTTAAAAGTCGTCAATGATTGAATCAAGTGCTGTTTCAAATAAGTTAATTACTTTTCTAAGAAAATAATTAGTAATTCTTGCTAAATTGATACATAGGACTAATACTTTTATCATCCAGTAAACAATCTTCTTAATTAGTTTACTACAATTCCACTCTTTAAGCCAATTATTAAACAAATTTTCTAAATACTCTTTATAATTTTTAGCTTAGTAATTATCCATAACATTTGTTAAAAACGTTTTTAAGATTCTTAAAATGCTGCTATCTGACCACTTGAAAAAAACAAATAAGTTTGTTTAAGATTCTATGTTCTTAGAATTTGCTAATTTTTCAAAATTCTCAGAAGATTTAGTTTGCTAAGTTGTATAACCTGATATCAAAAAAGTTACTATTTTCAAATCCTATTTATTTTTATATTTGATTCTACCATCATCATCCATTTTTATTTAATCCAATTCAATTACACTATCATCCAATCCATAAAAATGATAATTTTCTTTTAAGTTTATTTTTTCCTTTTTCAATTCTTCGAATTTTTACAAGATTACATTTGTCATATCTCCAACAACTTCTTCTTCTTTTGAGTTTATTGTTTGTTCATAATTACCACCAAGCATAGCTTATGTCTTATTTATTTAATAAATAAGGTTAAATTTTATTTTAAAATCTAGATTTTTTTTTATGTTTTTGAAAATTTTTCTTATTTTATTCACCTCTTATTATTAAAATATATCATTACTTTATTTTAGCATCTAAAAATTTCCATATTCAAAAATATTTTAAAACAGAAACTTATGGGAAGAAAAAAATATATAAAAATTTAAAATAATTATTATTACGGTATCTGCTTAATTTATTTGTATAGCTGAAATACTTTTAAGGTTAGGATTATCAGTTTCATGTTAAACTTATCCATTTTCTAATTTATTTTAAGCTTACTTTAAGCAAAACGATTTAGCCTATGTATTAAATGCTTCTTTTTCCTCCTTTAAAAAAGGAAATTATTCATAAATTTCTTAACTTAGAAAGTCTTCTTCTTCTTCTAGTAATTTAATCAGAGAATCTACCATTTTCTTTTCTATTTTTTTAATTATTTTTACTTTAGTTAAGTTTTTTTTAATAAATGATATATATTTAATTGATTTTAATTCAAATATTTAAAGTTGGTTTTTTTATATATTGAATTATGTTTATCTAACTAATATGAAATTTAGATGGAGAACCTATTTATTAATAATCAAAAACTGAATAAGAATTACTAACTTGGATATTTATTTTTTCAGATATTAAAGAATTCTTCACTAGGTTCGTATTTAATAATAAATAGCTGAATGATTGTGAAAACGTATATCAAAAATAATAATTATAATTAATAGTCTGATTCTTAGATTACGTATCTTTTATTTGACTTTTTTTATTTCTGGCTAATTTTATTAGAATGATTAACTATTTAGTTTTTGTTTTTATTAATAAGTTAATATCAAATAAATTTTATTTCAATTTTGAATTGCGGTTATCAAAAACTAACATTTAATTTTATTTCTTTCCAATTCTAACTTTAAAAGCAGAGTAAAGCTTCTATAAACCGTTTTATTACCCATAAGAATTAGAATTATAATATTTTATTTTTCATTGTTTTTATATTTATACTATTATTTTTCCATTTTATTATGGAATTTTTAAAAACTAAAGTTATTAAGAGCTGTTGGGTCTTTAATCTAAAGTAAAATTTTGGCATACATAAATCAAATAGCCACACATATATTTATTGCTATTAAGAGCTGTTGAGTTTTCAGTTTAAATAAAATTTTGGCATACATAAATAAAATAGCCACAAATACATTCATTGCTGTAGTTTATAAAAGTAAAGGAAATCAAATTCTTAGAAAAGAAAACTATATAAACAAATTTAGCTTTTCATGGTATTGAAATATCATGAACTGGACTGTCATAAATTTCAAAATCAGGATTTAAATCAATCAATTTATAATTGAAAAATAATAAATAAATTAAAAAAATTTAGCATAGCTAGAAGTCTTAAAAAAACACTGATTTAATTAAATTTTACAATATATTGTAAATAAAGTACACAATAACAATTATTTTTTTTTATTTTTTCGAAATTTTAACTGTTCAATAAGGGTAATTTGGAACTCGAATATTTAAAAAATTACACAGTTTGATGTAGTTCTCATTTATTGCATTATATGTCATTTTAAATATTTTTATAAAAATTGTTACTAATAACGTTATTATTATCGGTTTATTCCAACCAAATCCACATTTCATTATCAGAGATACTGCAAATGCTAAAATATAAGTCTTCTACTCATCATAAAATTATTTGATTTTGGAGTAATAGTTATTAGATTATCTCTTTTTATTTTATCCTTCATTTGAAGAGCCATTTTTAAATGTTGTCATAGCCTTATCATAAAGCTCTTTATATTTATTTATATAACCTGAACAACCAATTTCTGTGTCGTAATTAGAAAAAAAGTCTTTGTTTTCTTCACATATAGAATTTACTCCTATTAAAAGTTAATCTCCTAAAAGATTTGTATTTTAAATGAATGTTTCAACGAAAATATCATTAGTAGAATAGAAATTACAACACTTTTTAAAACGTTTCAATTTATATGATTATTCTATATCTGTTATTTTTGCAACTCCTCCCATTAGAATTATATATCTAGCTGGATTTACCAATCTTTTCAATGCCTAAGCTATAACTACAGTACCATAGTCATATCCCAAGAAATCTATTTATAAATTTCCTATCAAGTTCCAGTTGTTTAAATATTCTGCTAATGCAATACCAAAATCAATGGAACGTTAGTAGGTATCTTAAAAATATTTAATGATTGAATCAAGTGCTTTTTCAAATAAGTCAATTATATTTCTAAGAATAGAAATAGCAAGCTTTGGTAATTTGATGCATATTTTTAATTATTATATTAACTAGTAAACAATCCTCTTAAGTTTATTAAGACAGAACTTTCCAAGGTAATAGTTCAAGAAGTTTTCTAAATACTCTTAATAATTTTTTTTATTTTCGTATTCAAGCACAAATGTTTTTAAAAGCTTTGATGCGATTTATAAAATGCTGATATCTTCTTACCATTTGAAAAAAACAAATAAGTTTTTTTAAGATTCTATGTCCATACAATTTTCTAATAATCCAAAATTTTCTGAAGCATTATTTTTCTCAATTCCATTACCAGGTATCAAAAAAGTTATTATTTTAAAATCCTCCAATTATGGTTAATCTAATTCAATTACATTGTCCTTCAATCCATAAAAATGAGAATTATCTTTTAAGTTTATTTTTTACTTTAACGAGTTTTCCCATTATTCACAGATGAATTTTGTAATAGTTTCTAAAGCAAATGAATCTGTATTTTGTTCGGATTTACCACCAATCCTTAGTTATGTCTTATTATTTTAATTAATAAAGTATAAACATTTTTATTTTAAATTTTTTATAATATCAAATTTTTTAAATTGTTAATTTTTGATTAAAAATTGAAATAATATGGTGTAATAATGGGAAGAAAAAATTAAAAATAATTTAAAATGAATGGTTACTGTATCTATTTAATTTGTTTGTTAAGCTAAAGTGTCTTCTAGGTCAGGTTAAAAAGTTTGGTTTTTCAAGCAAATAGATTTAGCAATTTAATTAAAGTGTTATCTTTCCTACTTTAAAAAAGGATAATTTGTGTAAATGTCTTAATTTAAAAAGTCTTCTTCTTCTATTAATTTAATTAGTTAATCTTTCATTTGTTTTTCTTTTTTTTTCAATTTTTTTACTTTTGTTTATTTTTTTTTGAATAAATAATATACATTTAATTGACTTTAATTCAAATATTTAAAGCTAGTTTTTATATATTTTGAATTAAGTTTATCTAAATTGATATTTAGAAGGGGAACCTATTTATCAATACTCAAAAACTAAATAAGAATAACTAACTTAGATATTTATTTTTACAAATATTAAAGGATTCTTAGTTTGGTTTGTATTTTAATAATCAATAGCCAATTGACTGTGAGAATGTATATCAAAAATAACAATTTAATTTATAGCCTAATTCTTATTTTGTATATCTTTTTATTTGACTTTTTTAATTTCTGGTTAATTTTATTAAGAAGATTAACTTTTTTATTTTTGAAAATCAATTAACAACAATAAATTTGATTTCAATTGTGAACTGTAGTTATTAGAACTAATGTTTAAGCTTACTTTCTTCATTCTTAAATTATCTATAGATTATAGCTTCTATAAGCCATTTTTTACCCATATGATTTAGAATTAGGATTTTTTTATTTTTCATTATTTTTAAATTTTTTTATTCTTTTTCTATTTTATTATGTAATTTTTAAAAAATAAAGTTATAAAGAACGTTGGGTATTTGGTCTAAAAAAATTTTGGTATACATAGATTTAATATCATTCTTCGTTCTAACTTATAAAAGTAAAGCAAATTAAATTTTCTTCAAAAAATAAAGCTATACAAAAGATATTACATGAAGATTTAATAAAAAATTAGCAAGGGTATCCTATAATTTAAAATGACTATAATATAATTTTCCCTTTTTGGTGCAGAAAAGCTTATCTTTATGAATACAAACCTATTTAAATTAAAAGAATATAAAGTTTCCTATCAATTTTTTCTAAATTGTTTATCATACACATTTATTAAAATGAATAAATTTTAAATTAAAAATTTATATTATTCAATATTTCAGAGATCACTCAAATTTTTTGTAATATAAAAATAGATTTTAAGCTTCGACTGGTTTAAATTAGATTAAATCAATTATTTAAATCATTCTAATTTTAGTTAATTTATGAATTTAAGATTATATTTTTTATAATTATTAAAAAAAGAAACTATTTATTTGCTTATTCTTCTAAAAATTTAAAAACATTTCCTTAGGGATATTAAATTTATATTTAATCAATTTAACAAGTAATATTAATCAAGGGTTTTCAGACCTTGGAAGGCCAAGTAAAATATATACTTTAGCAATATATTAAAATTGAAAAAAATAAAAAATCTTCTAATATTAAATAATCAATACATTATTTTTTAATATACTATCGGTACATTTAATTTTGTATTTTTTTTTCAAGAAATTTTATTATAAATTCATTTCAATTTATTAAAAATTTGTTAAAAATTGTTTTTAAAAAAGTATGAAAAGTAGCCCTCCAAGGAAAATACTTGGAAGGCGAAAAAATAGTGTGGCAGAGAGGTTTTTTCTGCCTACTGATCTAAAAAAGCCCCGATTGTAAATTCTCTATCAATTAAATATTTTTATATTTTTATTGATTATTCATTGAGCGTTAAATAGCTGGGCTTGTAAAAAATGTGCGATATTTAAGTATATATATTCTTAAAAGTGTTAAAAAATTCTATATACCATTAAAAAAATTATAAATTTATTTAGTTGACAGATATAATACATAGAAACTCTCAAAAAAATAAAAATTGATTGCTATATAAACTAAATATCCTCATACAGAAATATACAAGATTCGTGGTAATACATTATTTTATATCTGAGTATTGTAAATTGAATTGCCTGTTTTTTTTATTTCTATTTTTTTTTGAGAGGGATCTTTAGATGTTCTCAAAGTATCATAATTTACTTATTATTTGGGTTATTAAATGCTTCCATTGCAAAATCATAAAGCTCTTACATTTTATTATCATGATCATCAATATTTTTATTTTTAATCAATTTATTGTTTAAGCTAATTTCTTTTGTTCCTACAAAAGGTTTATCTCCAAGAAGTTTTGCCTTTTCAAAGAATTAATAAATTGAAAAATCTTTGGTAGTATAGAAATTATAACACATTTAAAAGTTTTTTTAGGATTCTTCTATTTCTGTAATTGTTGCAAATCCTTTTATTAGAATTATATATCTAGCTGGGTTTACCAAATTTTTCAATGCATAAGCTGTAACTACAGTACCAAATTCATATCCAATAAAATCTATTTTTAAATTTTTTATCAAGTCCCAGTTGTTTAAATATTCTGCTAATGCAGCGCCAGCATTTTGAGATTATTAGTAAGAGTCTTTGAAGTAATCAATGATTGAATTAACTACTGTTTCAAATAAGCTAATTACATCATTAAGATAATCAAATTCTTTAATTTTGAGGCTGATGAATACTTTTATTGCTTTTATAACCAAGTAAGCAATTATCTTAAATATGTTATCCCAATCCTTCTCATTAAGAAAAGAAGTCAACAAATTTTCTAAATACACTTCATAATTTTAACTTTCTTAATTCTTCTTAATGTTATTGAAAAAATTTTATGTGATTCTTAAAATGCTACTATCTGACCATTTGAAAAAAACAAATAAGTTTGTTTTAGATTCTTTGTACTTATAATTTACAAAATTTTCAAAATACATTGAGGCTTTATCCTCATTAATATTATAACCAGGTATCAAAAAGGTTATTATATTCAAATCCTATTTATTCTTATATTTAATTTTACCATCATCATGTATTTTTAGTTAATCTAATTCAATTACACTGTCATCAAATCCATAAAAATGAGAATTTTCTTTTAAATTTATTTTTTCCTCTTTAAATGCTAATATTTATTCTTTGGCATAATTTGCAATATTTTTAAACATTTCTAATTCTTTTTAACTTGGTTCGTAACTACCAGTAATCATCTAATTTAGTAAAAATATGTTTATTTTTAATCTAGATTAATTTTTATGTAAAAAAATTTAAAATAAATTGTTACATCTGGATTTTTTGTTTGTTAAGCTGTAGTGCCATTTAGGGTATGATTTTCAGTTTCGTATTTTTAGCAAATCGATAAAGCATATGAATCAAATTTTTCTTTTTCCTACTTTAAATAAGGACAGTGTTCGTAAATGTCTTCATTTTTAAAGTCTTCCTGTATTTATTTTATTAGAGAAGCTTCCATTTTCTTTTCTTTTTTTCTTTTATTTTTAGTTTAGTTTAATTTTTTTGATAAATAATATATATTTAATTGATTTTAATTCATCTATTTAAAACTAATTTTTAAATATTTTGAATTAAGTTTATCTAAACTGATATTTAGATAGAGTACATTTTTATCAATCCTCAAAAAACTAAATATTAAAGAGCTCTTAGTTTTGTTCGCATTTTAATAATCAATAGCTAATTGACTGTGAGAATGCATATCAAAAATGTAATTTTAATTTATAGCCTGATTCTGAAAATGTGTATCTTTTTATTTGGTTTTTTAATTCTGATTAATTTTATTAAGAAGATTAACTTTTTTATTTTTGAGAATAAATTAATAACAGTATATTTTATTTAAATTTTGAACTGTGGTTATCAAAAACTAATATTTAAACTTATTTCTTTCGTTCTTACATTATCTGTAGGTTATAGCTTTTATAAACCACTATTCTACCCATAAGAATTAGAATTGTAATTGTTTGTTTTTAATTACTTTTATATTAATACTATTATTTTTCAATTTTATTATGAAATTTTTAAAAAATAAAGTTCTTAAGAAATGTTGGGTCTATAATCTAAATAAAATTTTGGTATCATAAATTTAATATCATTTGCAGCTGTAACTAAAAAAAGTAAAGCAAATTAAATTTTCTTCAAAAGTAAAGCTATACAAATACATATAAGAAAACTTATAATATTAAGATTGAATAAAAAATCAGCAAAGGGTGTGTTATAATTTAGAAGGTCTATAATTTAATTTTCCAATTTTGGTGCATGTAGATAAGCTAAGCTTTAAGAATACAAACCTATTTAAATTAAAAAAAAATAAAGTTTCTTATCAATTTTTTATAAATTTTATATTATGCATTTATTAAAATCAATAAATTCTAAATTAAAAATTTTTTTTTTTTTAAATTTCAGCTATACCCAAAATTTTTTTAAAAAATTACTAAAATATATTAACTAAATATAATAAATATTTATTATATACTCATTACTTTAAAATTATATTATCTTTTATACTTTCAATAAAATAAACATTAAAAAGTATGTTGAAGAGAGAGATCATATTAATAAAAATATGGATTTATTTAAATATCATAATCAATATTATTTATAAATTATTCAAGATTCTTTATTTCTTAATTAAGAAAATTCTTTCATAATCAAGAAATATATTCCTTTCAAGTGCCCTTAATATAAAGGTGCCTACTAAAACAGGTTTTTCATTCATTTAACTTTGAATATACTCAATTCTAAAGAATCATTAAAACAAATAGTATATGTAGAGAATAAACAGATAAATTACAGACACTTTACTACTTTTAGAATTTTTTTATAATAGATAAAGTAATAATCCTCCAAATACTATTTTCATTATATTTGGTTTTTCAATTAGATTTATACTATTTAAAGGCGAATTAAATTTTTTCATTGCAAGATCATTAAACTCTTAATATTTATTCATCTAATCAATGCGATCAATTTTTGTATTCAAATTAAAATATTTTTAGTTTATTTAACCAAATGCTTTTGTTCCTATAAATGCTTAATCACCAATAAGTTTTGCCTTTATTAGAAATATTTTAATCACAGAATCATTATCAGAATAGAAATTATAACACTTTTAAAATTTTTGCTAGTAGTCTTAAATTTCTACTATTGTTGCATCTCCACCAAAAAGCATTAAAAAACTAGCAGGAATAGATAAATTCTTCAACGCATAACAAGTGACTACAGTTCCTAAGCTGTGGCCCATAAAATCTATATTTAAACTTCACATCAAATTTTGATTGCATACACTTTCAGCTAAAATAGCGCCACCAATTTTGGCCTACTCATAAGTTGCTTAAAAGTCTTCAATTATTTAATCAAGTGCTGTTTTAAATTGTTTAATTTAATTTTAAAATAAGGAAGGTTCAGTTAACTTCACGTATTTTCCAAGTAGTTATATCAACCAATAAAGAATATTTGTTATTATAATTTAATTAAAATGCTCTTATAAACAGCTATCTATCAATTCTTTTAAATAATTTTGATAAATTTAAGGTTCATAATTGTTGATAAAATTATTTAAAAATTTATCTAATATTTTGTAAAGTCTGCTATCAGACCATTTCAAAAAAATAAACAAATTTTCTTAACATTCTTTATTCTTAGTACTTGCTAATACTTAAAAGTTTTCTGAGGCTGAGAAGTCCTAAGTTAAATATCCAGATATTAAAAAAGTAACTGCTTTCAAATCTTAATTATTTTTATAAGTAATTCTACCATCACCTTCTAATTTTATCTCATTTAATTCAATTATACTATCATCCAATCCATAAAACTGAGAATTCTAATTTGAAATTAACAAATCTTTGAATTTATAAAAGCCAATTTCTGATAATTAACTAAAAAATCCTTGTTCCATTTTATTTAAAGAGGTTTTTGGAAATCTTTGTGACTTTTTAATCTTAAAAATGATTAAATAATTCAGAGAATAATAGATATAATTTTTTATATAATATAAATTATAGTATTTCATTTTAATAAATAAAAATTTAAAATATTATTTTCCAATTATTTTCAATATATTTCATTTTTTATGTTCTAACTATTCTAACTTATCTCAAAAAATTTTTAAATAAAAAATAAAATGAAGACCTTAACAAAATTTCAATGTTAACATAATATAATAAAGCTTTTTAAATTTTTGAAACATGTATTGTTTATACATTCTTTAATCTATTATCGTTTATGAATATTATAAAAAATTAATTTGAAGAGATTAATCATTAAAAAAACTTTTTTGTTAATAAAAAAATTAATTAATTTATTTGTAAACAAACAAGATCAATTAAATATAAGCTGAAAAAAGTGAAAAAAAATTATATTAAAATTATAATATTGAATAAGATGATGATGTATTTTAAATTATTAATAGTTCTCATTCATTAATTATATGTCAGACTCATAAAATCCATATGATGATTATATACTTGATAAATAGATATAATTGTTTTTGAGCTTTAATCAAAATATTAATATATTATGATTATTAAAGGAATAAATTAATTCAAAAAATATTATGAATTTAGAGAAAAAAAAGTTAAATATTTGATATTTACATTTAACAATTATTTTTTTTGAATATTAGTATCATTTTATTTAATAATAATAAATTATTTTTCTGAATTTTACTTATTGTTTTCTCATTTATAGTAATTACTATGGTAGCTAATAGAGTTTTTGCTGATAATTTGTTGTATTACTTTGAAATTTTCACTTCAAGAATTATAAAAAAAGCAAAATTTACAGATTTTTAACAAATTATGATGAATAATTAAAATGAAAATAAACATTATGATGTATTCTAAATCAATTATGAATTATTTTTATTGTTAATAAAATATTCATTAAAGCATGAAAAATAAATTCTAAGTATCATAAAACAAATAATAAATTTATTAAATACATTTAATGCATAAAAACTCAGTTATAAACTCTTTTGGAGTGTTTGATAAATAGATATAATAATAAGGATCCTCCTGCAATACCTAGTATAGCTCCTCCTATTTTCATATAATTTGGTTTCTCGGGGGTGCTAATTGACTTCTTTACTTTTTCTTCTACTTGTATTCTATTTTTGTAAGTGAGATCTTCAAATGATTTCATTGAAGTATCATAAAATTCTTAATATTTATTGCTATAATCTAAATGATCAATTTCTGTATTTTAATTAAAAAAGTTTTCGTTTAAGCCAAAAGACTTTGTTCCTATAAAATCTTAATCTCCTATAAGTTATGCGTATTCAAGGAATATTTTAATTACATTATCATGAGTAGAATAGAAGTTATAACACATTTAAAAACGTTAGTAGGATTCTTCAATTTCAGTAATTGTTGCAGCTCCTCCCATTAGTATTATATATCTAGCTGGTTTTGCCAATTTTTTCAATGCATAAGCAGTAACTACAGTACCTAAGCTATGTCCCATAAAATCTATTTTTAAATGCCCCATTAACTCCAAGCTATTTACATATTCAGCTAATGCAGCACCACCATTTTTAGATTACTAGTAAGCGGCTTAAAAATCTTCAATTATTGAATCTAGTGCTGTTTCAAGTAAGTTAATTATTTTTCTAAGAAAATAACTAGTAAATTTTGCTAATTTTATGCATAGTACTAATAGTTTTATCACCCAGTAAGCGATCTTCTTAATTATGTCACTACATTTCCACTTTTCAATCCATTTATTAATCATATCTTTTAAATATTTTTAATAACTGTCATCTTAGTAATCATCCATAAAATTTTTAAAAAAAGTTTTTATGATTCTTAAAATGCTGCTATCTGACCATTTGAAAATAACAAATAAGTTTGTTTAAGATTCTATGTTATTAGAATTTGCTAATTTTTCAAAATTATATGAAGGTTCAGATTCCTAAGTTGTATAACCAGATATTAAAAAAGTTATTATTTTTAAATCCTATTTATTCTTATATTTGATTCTACCATCTTTATCCTTTTTTATTTAACCCCATTCAATTGTATTATTATCCAATCCATTAAAATGATAACTTTCTTTTAAGTTTATTTTTTCCTTTTTCAATTCTTCGAATTTTTACAAGATTACATTTGTCATATCTCCAACAACTTTTTCTTCTTTTGAGTCTATTGATTGTTGGTAATTGCCACCAAGCATAGCTGATGTCTTATTTATTTAATAAATAAAGTTAAAATTTGTTTTAAATCTAGATTTATTTTGATTTTTTTGGAAATTTTACTCACTACATTCACCTCATTTTATTAAAATATATCATTACTTTAATTTAGCATCTAAAAATTTTGAATTTCAAAAATATTTTAAAACAGATACTTAAGGGAAGAAAAAATATAAAAATAATTTAAAATAAATAATTACAGTATCTGCTTAATTTATTTGTAAAGCTGAAATACTTTTAAGGTTAGGATTATCTTATTCATTTTCTAATTTATTTTCAGCTTACTTTAAGCAAAAAGATTTAGCCTATGTATTAAATGCTTCTTTTTCCTCCTTTAAAAAAGGAAATTATTCATAAATTTCTTAACTTAGAAAGTCTTCTTCTTCTTCTTCTAGTAATTTAATCAGAGAATCAACCATTTTCTTTTCTATTTTTAGTTTAGTTTAGTTTTTTTGAATAAATGATATATATTTATTTAATTTATTTTAATTCAAATATTTAAAGTTAGTTTTTTTATATCTTGAATTATGTTTATCTAAACTGAAATTTTGATGGAGAACCTATTTATCAATAATCAAAAAATAGATAAGTATTACTAACTTAGATATTTATTTGTTCCTATATTAAATAATTCTTAGCTTTGTTAGTATTTAATAATGAAGAGCTGATTGATTGCGAAAACGTATTCAAAAATAACAATTATAATTTATAACCTGATTCTTAATAAGATATTTTTTTACTTAACTTTTTTTAATTCTGGTTAATTTTATTAGGGTGATTAATTTTTTTGTTTTTTATTTTTATTAATAAGTTAATAGCAATAAATTTTATTTCAATTTTGAATTACGGTTATCAAAAATTAGTATTTAATTTTATTTCTTTCCAATTCTACCTTTAAAATCAGATTAAAGCTTCTATAAACTGTTTTATTACCCATTAGAATTAGAATTATAATAGTTTGTTTTTCAATATTATTAATATTTATACTATTCTTTTTCCATTTTATTATGGAATTTTTAAAAAACAAATTTATTAAGAGCTGTTGAGTATTTAATCTAAATAAATTTTGGCATACATAAATCAAATAGCCACAAGTACATTGATTACTTTAATTTATATTAGTAAATAAAATCAAATTTTCTTAGAAAAGAAACTATATAATCAAATATAGCTGTTCCTAGTATTTAAATATCATGAACTGGATTGTCAGATATTTCAATACCATGTTTTATGTCAATAAATTTATAATTGAAAATAAATAATAAATTAAAAAGATTTATATTAGACAGTAATCTTTAAAAAATATTGATTTAATTAATTTTTACAATATACTGTATATAAAGATCACAATAACAATTGCTTATATTTTATTCAGATTTTAATTGTTTTCATTCATTAGAAAATCTAAATTTTTTTTTAACTTGAAATGATATTGATTGTATTAAGAATTTATGATAAATTAATAAAGATATAAAAAAACTTTTTTAAGACTTTGAATCATTTAATTTAGAAAACACTCATTCTAAGTTATCATTAAAACAAATAGTATATGTAGAGGATAAACAGATAAATTACAGATACTTAACTATTTTTAGAATTTTTTTATAATAAATAAAGTAATAATCCTCCAAATCCTATTTTCATTATATTTGGTTTCTCGAATAGATCTATACTATTAGAATGTGAATTAAATTATGTCATTGCAAGATCATAAAACTCTTAATATTTATTCATATAATCTATGTGATCAATTTTTGTATTGAAATTAAAATATTTTTAGTTTATTTAACCAAATGCTTTTGTACCTATAAATGCTTAATCACCAATAAGCTTTACCTTTATTAGAAATGTTTTAATCACAGAATCATTATCAGAATAGAAATTATAACACTTTTAAAATTTTTGCTAGTAGTCTTCAATTTCTTCTATTGTTGCAGCTCCTCCAAAAAGCATCAAATATCTAGCTGGAATAGATAAATTCTTCAACGCATAAGCAGTGACTACAGTTCCTAAGCTATGGCCCATAAAATCTATATTTAAACTTCCCATCAAATTTTGATTGTTTATACTTTCAGCTAAAATCGCTCCACCGATTTTGGCCTGCTCATAAGTTGCTTAAAAGTCTTCAATTATTGAATCAAGTGCTGTTTTAAATTATTTAATTTAATTTTAAAAAAAGGAAGGTCCAGCTAACTTCACGCATTTTCCAAGTAATTATATCAACCAATAAATACTTGTTATTACAATTTAATTAAAATGTTCTTATAAACAGCTATCTAACAATTCTTTTAAATAATCTTGATAAATTTTAGGTTCATAATTGTTGATACAATTATTTAAAAATTTGTCTAAAATTTTGTAAAGTCTGCTATCAGACCATTTGAAAAAAATAAACAAATTGTCTTAGCATTCTTTGTTCTTAGTATTTGCTAATACTTAAAAATTTTCTGAGGCTGAGAAATCCTAAGTTAAATATCCAGATATTAAAAAAGTAACTGCTTTCAAATCCTATTTATTTTTATAAGTAATTCTACCATCACCATCTAATTTTATCTCATTTAATTCAATTATACTATCATCCAATCCATAAAACTGAGAATTCTAGTTAGAAATTAACAAATCTTTGAATTTATAAAAGACAATTTCTTATAATGAACTAAAAAATCCTTGTTCTATTTTGTTTAAAGAGGTTTTTGGAAATCTTTGTGACTTTTTAATCTTAAAAAAAGATTGAAATATTAACATAATTAAAAACATAATTTAAGAAATAATTTTTTTAAATATATAAATTATATATAGTATTTACTTTTGATAAATAAAAATTGAAAATATTATATACCAATTATTATCAAAATATTTCATTTTTTATGTTCTAACTTATCACAAAAAATTTTTAAATAACCATAAAAAATTTTAATATTGCATTTTGAGGAATAAAAGAAATAATAAAGAATGATTTAAAGTATATTAAAAATTACAAGTTCATTTTTTGGTGAATCTTAAAATTTTTTTATTTATGGATTCTTTTTAGAATATTAAGAATATTGATCTTCATAAGTTTTTACTGGACTTAATAAGTAACAATAATCAATTGAATATTAAGTTTCTTCATCTTCAATTATACTATTAATAGCATATAAATTACAGATATTTTGAGCTTATTCGTTAAATTTTTATTTTTCTTCTCTTAAATAAGGAAATTTTTCATATATCTCTAAATCTAAAAGATCTGTTTCTTCTTCTGTTATTATTTAGAGGAGAGAATTTTACATTTTCTTTTTTTGTTGTTGTAATTACTCTTATTTAACTAGTTATCAAATTATATTTATTTTAATGATTTTTATAGACTTATTTATAATTGATTTTTAAAATATGATCAATTGTAGAAAGTTCTTCTATACTGAAATTAAGATAGATATTCATCCTATTTTGAATTCTCAAATAATAAATAGAGATATTACCAGATGAGGTGTTAATTTATTCAATTTTAAATTACTTTTTGTCTGTTAGGTGTCGCAATAATCCATCATCAATTAATTGTAATAACGTATGTCAAAGAATTTTAAATAAAAAAGTTTATTAATTTTATAAATAATAAAGGAGTTTTATCCTAAATAAAATCATGTTTTTCTATTTTATTGTGAAAGCAAATAAAATATACTAAGACTTAACCAATTTTAAAATAATTTATTTTCAGCTTAATTTAAGCCAAATTATTTTGCCTATGAAATAAATGTTTTTTTATCCCTCTTCTAAAAAATGAAATCATTTGTAAATGTATTAATTTTAAAATCTTCTTCTTCTATTAACTTGATAAGAGAATCTATCATTTTCTTTTTCTTTAATTATTTTCACTTTAATGTTATTTCTATTAACAAATAAATGAATTTGAAAAAAGTATTTAATGCTAGGTTTTCTATATAAAGAATTATATTTATCTAAACTAATGGAGAACCCATTTTTTAATATTCAAAGCTTAATAAGAATTATTCATTAAGATATTAGTTGTTCAGTTATAAAAAAAATATTAGCTTAGTTCATATTTTAATAATGATTAATTGATTGTTACAATATATATATATATATATATAGAAAAAATAAAAACTTTGAATTATAGTCAGATTCTTAATTTGCGTTTCTTTCTATTTGAAAATTTTAAATTTTGATTACATTTACTAGGATGATTATCTTTTTTATTTTGAGAATAAATTAACAACAATTAATTTTATTTCAATTTTGATTTGTCATTAGTGGATATTTATGTATGTGCTTTAAACCTATTTTTACTTTATCTACTAGATTAAAGTTTCTATAAACTGTTTTATTACCCTTAATAGTTTGGATTATAATAGTATGCTTTTCAATATTTTTATAATTATATTATTATATTTCTATTTTACTATGGAATTTTTAAAAACTAAAGTTATTTATTACAAGTAGTAAATTTTTGTATAAATACAACTTCTATATCTAAACGTAATAGCCACGTCAACATTCATTCGTAATATATATAAATACAACTTCTATACCTAAACGTAATAGCCACGTCAATATTCATCCGTAATATATAAAAGTAAAGCATATTAATCTTATAAAAGAAAGATATATTACAAATATAATATACGTTATATTAAGCTTGAATGAATATTTAGCTAGGATGCCTTAAAATATTTAAGTCAAATTAGCTAATTTCTCTTTTTAATATGGATTAGAAAGCATCAAGGATAATAACAGATTTAAATTAAAGATAACTAAACTGCCAGTCAAATCATTTTTTTATAAACTGTGTATCTTACGCCTCTTATAATTAATACACGTAAATTAAACAAACATAGGTATAGCTTAAAAATTTTATTTTTATTTTGGAGGTTAATATAATTTGGGGTGAATTAATGAGAACTTACAATATATACTATTTTGTACTCATAACTATGTTTCAACCTAAAATATAAATAATTTTTTTTAAACTTGAAATAACTTTCATTAAATTTAGAATGTATGATAAATTAATAAAGATTTAAATTCATTTAATTTAGAATACACTCACTCACTATTCGATTCTAAATTATCATTAAAACAAATAGTATATGTAGAGAATAAACAGATAAATTACAGATACTTAATTACTTTAAGAATTTTTTTAAATTAAATAAAGTAATAATCCTCCAAATCCTATTTTCATCATATTTGGTTTCTCAATTAGATCTATACTATTAGAAGGCTTATTAAATTCTGTCATTGCAAGATCATAAAACTTTTAAAATTTAAATATATAATTTACGTGACCAATTTTTGTATTAAAATTGAAAAATTTATCTTTTCTTTAACCAAATGATTTTGTTCCTATAAAATCTTTTTTGCCAATAAGCTTTGCATATTCTAGAAATATTTTAACCACTTTGTCATGATCGGAATAGAAATTATAACACTTTTAAAACTTTCCCTAAGATTCTTCAATTTCTGTTATTGTTGCAGCTCCTCCAAAAAGCATTATATATCTAGCAGGAGTAAATAATTTCTCCAACGCATAGGCAACTACTACAGTTCCTAAACTGTGGCCCATAAAATCTAGATTTAAACTTCCCATTAAATTTTAATTGTTTATTCTTTCAGCTAAAACTTCACCACCCTTTATAGCATCTTCGTAAGTTTCTTAAAAGTTTTTAATCATTACATCAAATCCTATTTTAAGTTTTGAAATAAAATTTGAAAATAAGGAAGGTCCAAAAAACTTCAAGTATTTGCCAAGTAATTCTATTAACCAATAAATAATAATAATTATATTTTAGTTAAAATGTTCCTATAAACAACTATCTAATAATTCATTTAAATAACTTTGATAAATTGAAGGTTTGTATCCTTATTAACAACTTTCTAAAAATTTATTTATAATTTATTTAAAACTGCTATTAGACCATTTGAAAAAAACAAACAAATTGTCTTAACATTCTTTGTTCTTAGTATTTGCTAAATCTTTAAAATTTAATGAGGTTTTGATATCCTAAGTTAAATATCCAGATATTAAAAAAGTTACTGTTTTCAAATCAAATTTATTTTAATAATTAATTCTGCCATCACCTTTTAATTTTATCTCATTTAAATCAATTATATTATTATCCAATCCATAAAACTGAGAATCCTACTTTTAGATTATAAAATCTTAGATTTTATTAAATAAAGCGTCTACTATAGAACTAATTAACCCTTTTTCTATTTTATCATCATAGGTTTATGAATCTGTTCTCGTTCTTTTTGCCTTTTTAATCTTAAAAAATAATTAATTTATTAACAAATTTAATTAGAGAATTTAAGATATAATTTTAATATATTATCAATAAAAGTATTTAAATTTCAAATAAAAGAAGGCAATTATTTATTTTTAAAATATTTCATTTATTTTTTTTGTTCTAATTAAGTACCTAATATTTTTAGGGAATGATCAAAATTTTATTAGGAATTCCCCCCAATAATTCTAATCAATTATCTCATATTTAAAATTCTGAATTAAAAACTGTAATTAGGCAAAAAATTTAGGAAAAAAAAATTTTTCAATTCTGGAATAATAGGTAAACAGTAACCAAAATATCAGAAATGGATTTTTTTACTAATTTTTGCTTCATGTAAAATAATAAACTAAAAAATTTATTTAATACCAAACTTAATAATTATTCGCTAAATAAATAAATAATTAGATTCAATATAAAAAATATTAGTCGTTCTCTTATTAATAAAATAAAAAGTGAGTAATTTATTTGAGTTATCTTGAAAATATAACAGTTCCAATCTTCAAAAATTTCATTCAAATCAACCATATTTTTCAAAAAAAATAATTAAAAAGCTTTTATTCCAAATTTCTTCTTCTACAGCTTTACTTGAAAATCTAAGAAGAGTTGATGGATTAATTAGAACATAAATTTATATATTAAAGATTAAATAAAAAATAATTTGCTTTCAATTAAAAATTTTATACTTAGGTTTGAAGGATAAACGAAATGACAATGAATAATTTAAAGTATATAATATAAAAAATTACTTTTTCAATTTTTGGTGAATCTTAAGAGATATTTGTTTGATAACTTTTTTTAGAAAGTCTAGCAAAATCTTCTTCAGTGAATTAAACTGCATATTTATTTAGTGAATCTTCAAATTGTTATGATTAAACATTAGGACTTTTATCATCAAATGTAGTATCAAAATTTATATTTGATGAAGTCAACATTCTGGATTATGCTTTAGATCTAGGGCTTTTAGTATATTCAATTTCATTCGAACTATAAGATTAATTATTTGACAGATCTGATTAACTTCCTAGACTTGAATATTCAGTTTACTCTTCTTCGTTTGTACTATCAGTAAATTAATCACAGAATTATTGAGCAAATTTGTTAAAATTTTATTTTTCTTCTTTTAAAAAAGGAAATTTTTCATATATTTCTAAATCTAAAAGATCTTTTTCTTCTTCTGTTATTATTTAGATGAGAGTTTTTTTCATTTTCTTTTTTTGTTGTTGTAATTATTCTTATTTGATTATTTATCAAATTATATTTATTTTATGAGTTTGATATTTGTATTTAATTTTTAAAATATGTTTGTTTGATTGATTGAATAATTAAGTAAGTTTTTTTTTCTATTCTGAAATTTTGATAGTTATTAATCGTATTTTAATTATCAAATAATAAATAATGATATTAATAGATAAGGTGTTTATTTATTCAACTTTAAATTATTTTTGTAAGGTAAGAGTCTTAATAATCAATCAGTAATTAGTAAATGATTATAATAAAATAATTGAATTTGAAAGATGTATTTAATGCTAAGTTTTTATACTTAGAATTATATTTATCTAAACTGATGGATAACCTATTTATTAATACTCAAAACTTAGTAAGAATTACTAACTAAGATATGAATTGTTCAGTAAAAAAACAAATATTAGTTTGGTTCGTATTTTAATAATCATAGATTGATAGTAAATATATAAAAAAACTTTGATTTATAAACAGATATTTAATTTGTGTTTCTTTCTATTTGACTTCCTATCTTAAATTCTGATTAAATTTATTTGGATGATTATCTTTTTATTTTTGAAAGTAAGTTAACAGCAATAAATTTTATTTCAGTTTTGAATTGTGATTAGCTAATATTTACGCTTAGTTCTAAACAATTCTGACTTTATTTATAAATACAAGTCTCTATACGCCATTATATTACCTATAATAATATGGATTAAAATAGTCTATTTTTCAATATTTTTATATTTATATTATTCTATTTATATTTTACTATGGAATTTTTTAAAAATAAGTTATAAGACAAAACTTCTAAATAAATAAACCTAACCTACTAACCACAATAACTTCATCCATCCGTAATTTACAAAAGTAAAGCAAATTAATTATGTAAAATAAAATTTGTATTACAAATATAATAAATCAAAATATAAAGCTTGATATTTGATATAAATACGACATTTTCTATTTTTGCTGTAGATGAATAAGCATAAATGATATTAGAAGATTTAAATTAAAGATAAATAAAGTTATTGTCTAGATAATGTCAAAAATATTTAAATAGGTATGGATTGAATTATTATAATTTTTTTTGCATCCATGATGATAAAGAAAATAAAATTTAAAATATTTTAATTTTGTCTTTAAATCAATATTTATATATAAAATCACTTAAATTAATCCTTATTTAATATAAAAACAATAATTAATTGATTGTTTTTAATTACAGTCTATTTCTTTTTTAACTGATAAGATTTCCTGATTTTGAAAGAAGTGATTCAGACACAGTTATTGCCAATTATTTAATTGCTAAATTATAAGTTTGTAGAAAATATTTTATTACTTTTCCACCATAAAATTGGATTATCTAATAATTAAATATCATTTTCATTTAAATTTTTGCTTGATTTTAGCCATTATTACTCTTTTTATAATATAGCTACTCTCAGATAATAATTTTTATAGTAGGAAATAGATATTTAGTTGAGTAATGTAATAAATTATATTTAATTAAAAAAAAAAATTAAAAGAAATAAAAAAAAGGTTTTGAAGCAGGTTTCAAACCTGATAGAAGAAAAATAAAAAAATGTTTAATCAAACATTTAATATTGAATTAATTTTTTTTACTTATAAAATGAATGATAAAAATGCTTAACTCTAAAAATAAAATATTTGATTAAAAATTTAGATTTCTTTATTTTTTCAAATAATTTAAATAAATTTAAAATATAGTTAATTTGTTACTATTCTTATATACTATATTATATATACTATTTTACTATTTTTTACTGATTACTATACTTCAACTTAAAATCTAAATAATTTTTTTAAACTTGAAATGACTTTCATTAAATTTAGAATGTATGATAAATTAATAAAGATTTTTTAAAAAAATTGCTTAAAATTTAAATTCATTTAATTACGAATACGCTATTCGATTCTAAATTATCATTAAAAAAAATAGTATATATAGAGAATAAACAGATAAATTACAGATACTTAATTACTTTAAGAATTTTTTTATAATAAATAAAGTAATAATCCTCCAAATCACATGTTCATCATACTTGGTTCTCAATTAGATCTATACTGTTAGAAGGCTTAAATTCAACCATTGCATGATCATAATACTTTTAAAATTTTAATATATAAGTTACATGACCTATTTATGTATTTAAATTGAAAAATTTATCTTTTCTTTAACCAAATGATTTTGCTCCTATAAAATCTTAATTGCCAATAAGTTTTGCCTGAGTTAGAAATTTTTTAACCACTTCGTCATTATCAGAATAGAAATTATAACACTTTTAAAACTTTTCCTAAGAGTCTTCAATCTCTGTGATTGTTGCAGCTCCTCCAAAAAGCATTAAATGTCTGGCAGGAATTGATAAATTCTTCAACGCATAGGCAACTACTACAGTTCCTAAACTGTGGCCCATAAAATCTATATTTAAACTTCCCATTAAATATTAATTTTTTATCCTTTCAGCTAAAACCTCACCACCCTTTTTAGCGTCTTGGTGAGTATCTTAAAAGTCTTTAATCATTGTATCAAGTCCTGTTTTAAGCTTTGAAATAAAATTTGAAAATAAAGAAGTTCCAAAAAACTTCAAGTATTTGTCAATTAATTATATTAACCAAAAAATACTTTTCATTATCATTTGATTAAAAAATTCCTTTTTGCAATTATCTAACAATTCATTTAAATAACGTTGATAAATTGAAGGTTCATATCCCTGTTCGCAATTTTATAAAAATTTATCTACAATTTATTTAAAACTGCTATTAGACCATTTGAAAAAAATAAACAAATTGTCTTAACATTCTTTGTTCTTAGTATTTGCTAAATCAAAAAAATTTAATGAGGCATTGATGTCCTAAGTTAAATATCCAGATGTTAAAAAAGTTACTGTTCTCAAATCATATTTATTTTTATAAGTAATTCTACCATCGTCTTTTTATTTTATCTCATTTAAATTAATTATATTATTATCCAATCCAAAAAACTCAGAATCGTACTTTTAGAATATAAAATATTTTATTTTATTTAATAACATGACTACTAATCTACTAATTAGCCATTATTCTAATTTTTTATCTTGAGATGCTTATGAATCTGTACTCATTTTTGATGCCTTTTTAATCTTAAAAAATAATTAATTTATTAACAAAGTTAACTAGAGAATTTAAGAAATAATTTTAAAATAATATGAATAAAATTTTTTAAATTTAAAATATAAAAATTTCATATAAAAGAAGGCAATCATTTATTTTCAAAATATTTCATTTATTTTTTATGTTCTAACTTAACAGTCACCATAATATAAGAAATGGTTTTTTTTTTACTAATTTTTGCTTCATTCGTAAATAAATAAAAATTGATCTAATATTAAACTTAATAATTGTTAGCTAAATAAATAAATAATTAGATTCAGTATAAAAAAGATATGTGGTTCTCTTATTAATACAATAAAAAATGAGTATTTATTTGAGTTATCTTGAAAATATAACAATTTCAATCTTCAAAGATTTCATTCAAAATCATAAACCATAGTTTTCAAAAATAATAATTAAAAAGCTTTTATTCTAAATTTCTTATCAAGTTGATTGATGAAATTTAATATCAAGACTGCAATATTTATAAATCTTCTACAGCTTTACTTGAAAATCTAAGTAGAGTTTATGGATTAATTAGTACATAAATTTATATATTAAAGATTTATATTAATTTCAAAAATAATTTGCTTTCAATAAAAAATTTTATACTTAGGTCTTGATGAATAAACGAAATGTTAAAGAATTAATTAAAGTATAAAACATAAAAAAATTACTGTTTCATATTCTGGTGAATCTTAAGGGATTTCTATTTTATTACTTTTTGCACGTCTAACTTTCACATCGTCATCATCTTCAGGGAAAACATCTGCATATTTATATGGTAAATTTTCAAATTGTAATGATTAAAGATTAGGAATTTGAGAATCAAATATACTATCAAAATTAATATTTAATGAAGTCAACATTCTGGATTATTCTTTAGATTTAGAGCTTTTAGTGTATTCAATTTCATTCTAACTATAAGATTAATTATTAGACAGATATGATTAACTTTCTAGGCTTGGATATTCAGTTACCTCATCTTCGTTTGTACTATCAGTATATTCATCACAGAATTATTGAGCATAGTAGTTAAAGTATTATTTTTCTTCTTCTAAAAAAGGAAAATTTTCATATAAATCTAAAAGATCTTTTTCTTCTTCTGTTATTATTTTTTTTATTTTGATGACAGAATTATTTTTCATTTTCTTTTTTTTTTTGTAATTATTCTTATTTAATTATTTATCAAATTATATTTATTTTATGATTTTGATATATATTTATATTAAATTTTTAAATATCTTTGTTTGATTGAATATAAAATTTGTTTTTCTATTCTGAAATTTGTTAGATATTCATCGTATTTTAATTTCAAATCATAAATAATGATATTACTAGAAAAGGTGTTTGTTTATTTATTCAACTTTAAATTATTTTTATTACGTAAGAGTCTTAATAATCAATCAATAATTAGTAAATGATTATAATAAAATAATTGAAATTGAAAGATGCATTTAATGTTAAGTTTTTAATACTTAGAATTATATTTATCTAAACAAAAAGAGAAACTCTTTTTTAATACTCAAAAAACTGAGTAAGAATTACTAACTAAGATATGAATTGTTCAGTTGTTAAACAAATATTAGTTTTGTTCATATTTTAATAATCATAGATTGATAATCAAAATATATAAAAAAACTTTGATTTATAGTCAGATATTTAATTTGCGTTTCTTTCTATTTGACTTCCTATCTTAAATTCTGATTAAATTTATTTGGATGATTATCTTTTTTATTTTTGAAAATAATTTATCAGTAATTGATTTTATTTCAATTTTGAATTGTGATTAGCTAATATTTACGCTTACCTCTAACCAATCCTTACTTTATTTATAAATAAAAGTTTCTATACACCATTTTATTACCTATAATAATATGGATTAAAATAGTCTATTTTTTAATATTTTTATATTTATATTATTCTATTTTTATTTTACTATGCAATTTTAAAAAAATAAGTTTATTATATAAATCAAAACTTTTAAATATATAAACCTAATAACCACAATAACGCTCATCAATAATTTAAAAAAGTAAAGCAAATTAATTAACTAAAATTTATATTACAAGATAAATAAATAAATCAATATATAAAGTTTGATATTTTATATAAATATGGCATTTCCTGTTTTTATTGTAGATGAAAAAGCATAAATAATACTAAAAGATTTAAATTAATTAAAATTTTTCTAAATCAATTTTAAAGGAATAAAAGAAAAAATAAAGAATGATTTAAGGTATATAATATTGAGCGTTACTTTTTCTATTAGTTAATCTAAATAGTTTTACTCTTAAGAGTTATTTAAAGAATGATAAGCATCTTCACCTTCATAGATTCCACCACTTATATTTATTTGGTGAATCAATCAGCTCTTATGAGTTAAGATTAAGGCTTTTTCTTATTAGTTTTCAAATGTATTATCTGCATTAGTAGAGTCAGTTTTTTATTCTATTTACTTAAATCTAGGAAATCCAAGATATTATTATTACAATCTAGTTTAATCAGTTGAATTAATTGATTAAGTTAAATGACTTCCTAGGCAGTCTAAGTTAAAATTACAAGTCTAAAGTTAAACTTGCTCCTCTTCATATATTTTATCAGAATATTAATAACAAAGCTGTTAAACTTATTCATTAAATATTGATTTTTCTTCTTTTAAATAAGGGAATTTTTCATAAATTTTCAAATCTGAAAAATAATTTTAGTCTTCTGTTAATGTTTAGAGAAGAAAACTTATCATTTTTTTTTTCTTTTTTTTTTAGTTATTTATTATTATATTATACTTTTTTGGTTGTTTTAGATGGTACTATTTATTGTTGGTTATTTTAGTATATTGGAAATTTTTATTTTAACCAAACAGAAATGTAGATAAATATCATACCTTTGAATACTAAAATCCTAAAGAGAGATCTGTAAATAAGATATTTAACATTAAAAGAAATAATTGATTGCTTCGTTAGTGTATGATAATGAATCATTAATTGATATACTGTCTAGTATATGAGTACTTTAAATTGAATTAAGATGCTGACGTTGTGTTTCTTATGATTTCACTATGTCATCTTCTGATTAATTTTGCCCAGATTATTAAATTTTGTTATTATATCATACCTGAACAATAAATTTTGACATTAAAATTTGTATTTGTCTGTATTAAATACAATTTTTAACTTATAATAATAGATTTCTATTTTGGTTATTCATTATATTGCCCACTTAAATTTGGAATACTAATGAATATTTTAAACCATCTCAATAAATAAATTATTCCTTTTCTATTTTACTTTTGTTTTTTTTTTAAATGAAATTGGTAATATCTGTTTTTTTTTTTAATCTAAATGAGCTACTCATTTAATTTAATCTAATATTCAAATTTTAATGTGTTGGTAATTTTTTAAATAGTGTTAAATTGGAAAGCTAAATAAATAAATATAAAATAACTCATTTTGCTCAATCCATAAGGACAATTAGCTCTTAATTTTTAGGATTTCAATATTTAAGCAAATCCTTTTTTATTTTATTTTAGTATTTTTGAATAATGAAGTTGGTAAGAGCTGTTTATTCTTTTAAGTCTATATGAACTATATAACTTAATCTAATAATCAAACTTAAATACGTAGACAATTTAGAAAAATAAAGCAAAATAAATCCTATATTTTAAAGCTAAATTAACAAATATGAAATAGGTTATTTACTAAAACACTCTTTATATTGCTAATCCAGGTATTAAAATATGATGAACTGGCTGGATAGCATTATATTTTAATACCTGGATTATGCTTAATTTAAAATAAAAAAAATAAATTAAAGTATTTATGAAAAAGTATGTAAAGGCAAGATTCAATAAAATTCATAAATTGTATTTAATATATAAATATATAGTATAAAAAGTGCTCAAAAATAATATTCAATATCTTTTTTAATCTTTGGCGTTTTCATTTACTTTCAACAAAATTTCAACAAAAAAAATAAAATCAAAAATTTTTTTTAACTTGAAATGATATTGATTGTATTAAGAATTTATGATAAATTAATAAAGATATAAAAAAACTTTTTTAAGACTTTGAGTCATTTAATTTAGAAAACACTCATTCTAAGTTATCATTAAAACAAATAGTATATGTAGAGGATAAACAGATAAATTATAGATACTCTACTATTTTTAGAAGTTTTTTATAATAAATAAAGTAATAATCCTCCAAATCCTATTTTCATTATATTTGGTTTCTTGAGTTGATCTATACTATTAGAAGGCGAATTAAATTATTTAATAGCAAGATCATAAAGCTCTTAATATTTATTCATATAATCAATGTGATCAATTTTTGTATTCAAATTAAAATATTTTTAGTTTATTTAACCAAATGCTTTTGTTCCTATAAATGCTTAATTACCTATAAGCTTTGCCTTTATTAGAAATGTTTTAATCACAGAATCATTATCAGAATAGAAATTATAACACTTTTAAAACATTTACTAGGAGCCTTCAATTTCTTCTATTGTTGCAGCTCCTCCAAAAAGCATTAAATATCTAGCAGATATTGATAAATTCTTCAACGCATAAGCGGTGACTACAGTTCCTAAGCTGTGACCCATAAAATCTATATTTAAACTTCCCATCAAATTTTGATTGTTTATACTTTCAGCTAAAATCGCGCCACCAATTTTGGCCTGTTCATAAGATGCTTAAAAGTCTTCAATTATTGAATCAAGTGCTGTTTTAAATTGTTAAATTTAATTTTAAAATAAGGAAGTTCCAGCTAACTTCAGGCATTTTCCAAGTAATTCTATCAACCAATAAATACTTTTTATCACAATTTAATTAAAATGTTCTTATAAACTGCTATCTATCAATTCTTTTAAATAATCTTGATAAATTTAGGGTTAATAATTGTTTATACAATTATTTAAAAATTTATCTAAAATTTTGTAAAGTCTGCTATCAGACCATTTGAAAAAAATAAACAAATTGTCTTAACATTCTTTATTCTTAGTACTTACTAATAATTAAAAATTTTCTGAGGCTGAGAAATCCTAAGTTAAATATCCAGATATCAAAAAAGTAACTGTTTTCAAATCCTATTTATTTTTGTAAGTAATTCTACCATCACCTTCTAATTTTATCTCTTTTAAATCAATTATCCTATCATCTAATCCATAAAACTAAGAATTTTAATTTGAGATTAACAATTCTTTGAATTTATAATAGACAACTTCTTATAATTAATTAAAAAATCCTTCTTCTATAAAATTTAATGAGGTTTTTGGAAATCTTTGTGACTATTTAATCTTAAAAAATGATTAAATATTAATAGAATAATATAGATAATTTAAGAAATAATTTTTAAAATACTATCAATTAATTGTAGTATTAACTTTTAATAAATAAAAATTTAAAATATTATATACCAATTATTATCAAAATATTTCATTTTTTATGATCTAACTTATCTCAAAAAAATTTTAAATAATCCATAAAAATTTTCTATATCTTTGAGGAATAAAAGAAATAATAAAGAATGATTTAAAGTATATAAAATTAAAAATTACTAGTTCATTTTCTGGTGAATCTTATTAGTTTAATATTTATGGATTCTATATAGAATATTAAGCATTTTTATCTTCAGAAATTCCATTTGCATATTAATTTAGTAAATCTTTAAATGTTTATGACTAAAGGTTAGTGCTTTTATCATTTGCATTTTGAGAAATACTATCAAAATTTATATTTGATGAAGTCAAATTTTTGCAAAATTCCTTAAATTCAAAACTTTTAGTAAGTTTATTTTCATTCGAACTATTAGCTTACTTAATTTACGAAAATAAATTTGCTTCTAGACTTAATTAATGATTATCACTTGAAAAAAATTTGTCAATTTCAAATAAATTATTAGCATATTCATAGCAGATATTTTGAGCTTATTCGTTAAATTTTTATTTTTCTTCTCTTAAATAAGGAAATTTTTCATATATATCTAAATCTAAAAGATCTGTTTCTTCTTCTGTTATTATTTAGAGAAGAGAATTTTACATTTTCTTTTTTGTTGTTGTAATTATTCTTATTTAACTATTTATCAAATTATATTTATTTTAATGATTTTGAAAGTCTTATTTATAATTGATTTTTGAAATATGATTAATTGTAGAAAGTTCTTCTAAACTGAAATTAAGATAGATATTCATCCTATTTTGAATTATCAAATTATAAATAGAGATATTACCAGATGAGGTGTTTATTTATTCAATTTTAAATATTTTTTTGTCTGTTAGGTGTCGTAATAATCCATCATTAATTGATTGCAATAAAGTATGCCAAAGAATTTTAAATAAAAAATAATTTTATAAATAATAAAGGAGTTTTATCCTAAATAAAATCTGAAAATCATGTTTTTTCTATTTTATTTTGAAAGAAAATAAAATATACCAAGACTTAACCGATTTTCTAATTTATTTTTAGGTTACTTTAAGCAAAATTATTTTGCCGATGAAATAAATGTTTTTTATCCCTCTTTGAAAAAATGAAATCATTTGTAAATGTCTTAATTTTAAAATTCTTCTTCTTCTTCTTCTACTTTTAGGTTTATCATAGAATCTACCATTTTCTTTTTTTTTAATTATTTTTACTTTAATTTTATTTCTATTTACTAATAAATGAATTTGAAAGAAGTTTTTAATGCTAGGTTTTCTATAAATAGAATTATATTTATCTAAACTAATGGAGAACCTATTTTTAATATTCAAAACTTAATAAGAATTACTTACTAAGATATTAGTTGTTCAGTAAAAAAACAAATATAAATATTCGCTTGGCTCGTATTTTAATAATGATTGATTGTGATAATATATATATATAGAAAAAATAAAAACTTTGAATTATAGTCAGATTCTTAATTTGTATTTCTTTCTATTTGAAATTTTTAAATTTTGATTACATTTATTAGGATGATTATCTATTTTATTTTGAAAATAAATTAACAACAATAAATTTTATTTCAATTTTGAAAATGTGATTAGTGAATATTTATGTGCCTTTAACCTATTTTTACTTTACCTCAATATTAAAGTTTCTATAAATTGTTTTATTACCCATAATAATTAGGATTATAATAGTCTATTATTCAATATTTTTATAATTATATTATTCTAATTTCTATAATACTATGGAATTTTTAAAAACTAAATTTATTACAAGTAGTAAAATTTTTTGTATAAATACAACTTCTTTTCCTAAAGGTAATAGCCACGTCAACATTCATCCATAATATATAAAGTAAAGCAAATTAATCTTGTAAAAGTAAGATATATTACAAATATAATATACATTATATTAATTTTGAATGAATATTTAGCTAGAATGCCTTAAAAAATTTAAGTCAAATTAGCTAATTTCTCTTTTTAATATGAATAAGAAAGCTTCAAGGATACAAAAAGATTTAAATTAAAGATAACTAAACTGCCAGTCAAATCATTTTTTTATAAACTGTATATCTTACACCTCTTATAATTTATACATGTAAATTAAACAAACATAGGTATTTTATAAAATTTCATTATGAAACGTTTATATATTATTTTTTGTATTTAATAGTCAAATTAATCAATAAGAATTAGTGGTATATTTTAATATAAAGTTTCTCTTTCAATCTATATGTTAATCAATAATAAATAATATCTATGACTATATGATCCTATATAGTCAAGTGAGTTGCTTGGATTGACAATACTATATTATACTATTTTACTATTTACTGATAACTATACTTCAACCTAAAATCTAAATAATTTTTTTAAACTTGAAATAACTTTCATTATATTTAGAATGTATGATAAATTAATAAAGATTTATAAAAATATTGCTTAAGATTTAAATTCATTTAATTTAGAATACACTATTCGATTCTAAATTATCATAAAAACAAATAGGAAATGTAGAGAATAAACAGATAAATGACAGATACTTAACTACTTTAAGAATTTTTTTAAAATAAATAAAGTAATAATCCTCCAAATCCTATTTTTATCATATTTGGTTTCTCAATTAGATCTATACTATTATAAGGCTTATTAAATTCTGCCATTGCAAGATCATAGAATTGTTAATATTTAATTATATAATTTAGGTTATCAATTTTTGTATTCAAATTGAAAAATTTATCTTTTCTTTAACCAAATGATTTTGTTCCTATAAAATCTTAATTGCCAATAAGCTTTGCCTCATTTAGAAATTATTAAACCACTTAGTCATTATCAGAATAGAAATTATAACACTTTTAAAACTTTTCCTAAGAGCCTTCAATTTCTGTGATTGTTGCAGCTCCTCCAAAAAGCATTAAATATCTAGCAGGAATAGATAAATTCTTCAACGCATAGGCAACTACTACAGTACCTAAACTGTGGCCCATAAAATCTATATTTAAACTTCCCATTAAATTTTAATTGTTTATACTTTCAGCTAAAACCGCACCACCCTTTTTAGCATCTTCGTAAGTATCTTAAAAGTCTTTAATCATTGTATCAAGTCCTTTTTTAAGTTCTGAAATAAAATTTGAAAATAAGGAAGGTCCAAATAACTTCAAGTATTTGCCAAGTAATTCTATTAACCAATAAATAATTACTATTATAATTTAATTAAAATGTTGCTATAAACAACTATTTAACAATTCATTTAAATAATCTTGATAAATTTAAGGTTTGTATCCATTTTAGCAATTTTCTAAAAATTTATTTACAATTTATTAAAAACTGGTATTAGACCATTTGAAAAAAATAAACAAATTGTCTTAACATTCTTTGTTCTTAGTATTTTCTAAATCTATAAAATTAAATGAGGCTTTGATGTCCTAAGTTAAATATCCAGATATTAAAAAAGTTACTGTTTTCAAATCAGATTTATTTTAATAATTAATTCTACCATCACCTTTTAATTTTATCTCATTTAAATCAATTATATTATTATCCAATCCATAAAACTGAGAATCCTACTTTTAGATTATAAAATCTTTGATTTTATTAAATAAAATGTCTACTAATGAACTAATTAACCCTTTTTCTATTTTATCTTGAGAGATTTATGAATATGTTCTCGTTCTTTATGACTTTTTAATCATAAAAAATAATTAATTTATTAACAAAGTTAATTAGAGAATTTAAAATATAATTTTAAAATAATATCAATAAAAGTATTTAAATTTAAAATATAAAAATTTTAAATAAAAGAAGGCAATTATTTATTTTCAAAATATTTCATTATTTATGTTCTAACTTATCTTAGAATATTTTGAAGTAAAAAATAAAATTACTGAGGATTGTACTAAAATTTCAATATTAGCTTACGATAATAAAATTTTTTAAATTTCTAAAAAAATATATTTAATAGATACTCTATAATATATTATTTAGCCATTCTCAGATAAATATTTCTCGAGTAGGAAATAAAATATAAAAATGGTTCTTTTTTACTAATTTTTGCTTTGTGGAAAGTAATAAAAATTGATCTAATACCATACTTAATAATTGTTCGCTAAATAAATAAAAAATTAGATTCAGTATAAAAAATATATGTCATTCTCTTATTAATACAATAAAAAATGAGTAATTTATTAGAGTTATCTTGAAAATATAACAGTTCCAATCTTCAAAGATTTCATTCAAATCATAAACCATATTTTTCAAAAAAAATAATTAAAAAGCTTTTATTCAAAATTTCTTATCAAGTTGATTGATGAAATTTAATATGAAGACTGCAATATTTATAAATCTTCTACAGCTTTACTTGAAAATCTAAGAAGAGTGTATGGATTAATTAGAATATATATATATTAAAGATTTATATTTATTTCAAAAATTATTTTTCAATAAAAAATTTTATACTTAGGTTTTGAGGAATAAGCGAAATGATAAAGAATTATTTAAAGTAAACAACATAAAAAATTACTTTTTCATTTTTTGGTGAATCTTAAGAGATTTTTATTTTACGACTTTTTATAGAACATCTAAAAATCTCATCTTCAGGGAATTCATCTGCATATTTATTTGGTGAATCTTCAAATTGTTATGATTAAAGATTAGGACTTTTATCATTTGCATTTTCAAATGTACTATCAAAATTTATATTTGATGAAGTCAACATTCTGGATTATGCTTTAGATTTAGGGCTTTTAGTTTACTCAATTTCGTTCGAACTATTAGATTAATTATTTGACAGATCTGATTAATTTTCTAGACTTGAACATTCAGTTTACTCATCTTCGTTTGTACTATCAGTATATTAATCACAGAATGATTGAGCACATTTGTTAAAGATTTATTTTTCTTCTTTTAAAAAATGAAATTTTTCATATATTTCTAAATCTAATAGATCTTTTTCTTCATCTGTTATTATTTAGATGAGATAATTTTTCATTTTCTTTTTTTTTTGTAATTATTCTTATTTAATTATTTATCAAATTATATTTATTTTTATGATTTTGATATATATTTATATTTAATTCTTGAAATATCTATGATTGATTGAATAAAGTAAGTTTATTTCTCTATTCTGAAATTTTGATAGTTTATCAAATCATAAATAGAGATATTACCAATAAGGTGTTTATTTATTCTACTTTAAATTATATTTGTTGGTAAGAGTCTTAATAATCAATCAATAATTAGTAAATGATTATAATAAAATAATTGAATTTAAAAGATGTATTTAATACTAAGTTTTCAATACTTAGAATTATATTTATCTAAATTAATGGAGAACCTATTTTTTAATACTCAAAACTTAGTAAGAATTACTAACTAAGATATGAATTGTTCAGTTATAAAATAAACATTAGTTTGGTTCGAATTTGAATAATCATAAATTGATAATCAAAATATATATTTAGCTACAATAAAAAATTTGATTTCTAGACACTATTTGACTTCCTATCTTTAATTCTGATAAAGCTAATATTTACGCTTAGCTCTAACCAATTCTGACTTTATTGATAAATAAAAGTTTCTATACGGGTCATTTTCATTTAAATTTTTACTTGATTTTAGCTATTATTACTCTGTTATGGATATAACTACTCTAGGATAATTATTTTTCTAGTAGAAAATAAATATTTAGTATAGTAATAAATACTATTTAATAAAATAAAAAAAAAATTAAAAGAAATAAAAAAAATAATAATTTCATTACCATGATTATTAAATTAATTTATGAATGAAATTATTTACTAGTAATATTAATTTTATTTTTGTTTGATTATATTTGAGTTTTATTTTTAAAAATAATAAATATTTTTTAAATTAAATTAAAATATCAATACAATTTTCTATTTTTAATTTCAACAAAATTTTTTTAAACTATAAATAACATAGATTGTATTTAGAATTTATTTAAGATAAATTAATAAACATTTAAAAAAATTTGTTTAAAATTTTGATTCATTTAATTTAGAATACACTCTCAATTCTAAGTTATCATTAAAACAAACAGTATATATAGAGAATTAACAGATAAATTATAGATACTTAACTGCTTTTAGATTTTTTTTATAATAAATAAAGTAATAATCCTCCAAATCCTATTTTCATTATATTTGGTTTCTTAAGTTAATCTATACTATTAAAAGGCTAATCAAATTATGCCATTGCAAGATCATAAAATTCTTAATATTTATTCATATAATCAATGTGATCAATTTTTGTATTCAAATTAAAATACTTTTAATTTATTTAACCAAATGCTTTTGTTCCTATAAATGCTTAATCACCAATAAGCTTTGTCTTTATTAGAAATGTTTTAATCACAGAATCATTATCAGAATAGAAATTATAACACTTTTAAAACTTTTGCTAGGAGTCTTCAATTTCTTCTATTGTTGCAGCTCCTCCAAAAAGCATTAAATATCTAGCAGTTATTGATAAATTCTTCAACGCATAAGCAGTGACTACAGTTCCTAAACTGTATCCCATAAAATCTATATTTAAACTTCCCATCAAATTTTGATTGTTTATACTTTCAGCTAAAATCGCGCCACCAATTTTTGCCTACTCATAAGTTGCTTAGAAGTCTTCAATTATTGAATCAAGTGCAGTTTTAAATTTTTTAATTTAATTTTAAAATAAGGAAGGTCCAGCTAACTTCACGCATTTGTCAAGTAATTATATTAACCAATAAATACTTTTTATCACAATTTAATTAAAATGTTCTTATAAACTGCTGTCTATCAATTCTTTCAAATAATCTTGATAAATTTAAGGTTCATAATTGTTTATACAATTATTTAAAAATTTATCTAAAATTTTGTAAAGTCTGCTATCAGACCATTTGAAAAAAATAAACAAATTGTCTTAACATTCTTTGTTCTTAGTACTTATTAATACTTAAAAATTTTCTTAGGCTGAGAAATCCTAAGTTAAATATCCAGATATTAAAAAAGTAACTGTTTTCAAATCCTATTTATTTTAGTAAATAATTCTACCATCACCTTCTAATTTTATCTCATTTAATTCAATTATACTATCATCCAATCCATAAAACTGAGAATTCTAATTTGAGATTAACAAATCTTTGAATTTATAAAAGACAATTTCTTATAACTAACTAAAAAATCCTTGTTCCATTTTATTTAAAGAGGTTTTTGGTAATCTTTGTGACTTTTTAATCTTAAAAAATTATTAAATTATTAACAGAATTATAGAGATAATTTAAGATATAACTTTTAAATTAATATCAATTTTAGTATTAGCTTTTAATAAATAAAAATTTAAAATATTATATACCAATTATTATCAAAATGTTTCATTTTTTATGTTCTAACTTATCTCAAAAAATTTTTAAATAACCATAAAAAATTTTCTATATCGCTTTTTAACTAAAAGAAATAATAAAGAATGATTTAAAGTATATTCTAAATTACAAGTTCATTTTTTGGTGAATCTTAATAGTTTTATATTTATGGATTCTATATAGAATATTAAGAATATTCATTCTCATAAGTTCCATTTGCATATTAATTAGTTAAATCTTCAAATTTTTATGACTAAAGATTAAGGTTTTTATCATTTGCATTTTCAGATGCACTATCAAAATTTTTATTTGATTAAGCCAAATTTTTGTATAATGAACTATTAGCTTACTTACTTTACTAAAATATATTTTTTTCTAGACTTAATAAGTTAGGAAAATCACTCTAATATTAAATTTTTTCCTCTTCAAATGCACTATTAGCATATTCATAGCAGATATTTTGAGCTTATTCGATAAATTTTTATTTTTCTTCTCTTAAATATGGAAATTTTTCATATATCTTTAAATCTAAAAGATCTTTTTCTTCTTCTATTATTATTTAGAGAAGAGAATTTTACATTTTCTTTTTTTTTATTTGTAATTATTCTTATTTAACTATTTATTAAATTATATTTATTTTAATGATATTGATAGAGTTATTAATAATTGATTTTTGAATTATGATTGATTGTAGAAAGTTCTTCTATACTGAAATTAAGATAGATATTCATCTTATTTTGAATTCTCAAATCATAAATAGAGATATTACCAGATAAGGTGTTTATTTATTCAATTTTAAATAATTTTTTGTTTGGTAAGTGTCTTAATAATCAATCATTAATTGATTATAATAACGTATGCCAAACAATTTTAAATAAAAAGCTTATTAACTTTTTTCATAATAAAGGAGTTTTATTCTAAACATAATCTTTTTTCTATTTTATTTTGATAGAAAATAAATAACTTAACCGATTTTCTAATTTATTTTCAATTTACTTTAAGCAAAATGATTTTACCTATGAAATAAATGTTTTTTATTCCTCTTTTAAAAAATGAAATCATTTGTAAATGTCTTAATTTTAAAATTCTTCTTCTTCTATTAACTTTATTAGATAATCTACCATTTTATTTTTTTGAATTATTTTTACTTTAATTTTATTGTTATTAACTAATAACTGTATTTGAAAGAAGTATTTAATGCTAGGTTTTCTATATTTAGAATTAAATTTATCTAGAATAATGGAGAACCTCTTTTTTAATATTCAAAACTTAATAAGAATTACTTACTAAGATATGAGTTGTTCAGTTATAATACAAATATTAGCTTAGTTAGTATTTTAATAATGATTGATTGATTGTGAAAATATAGAAAAAATAAAAACTTTGTTTTAGTCAGATTCTTAATTTGCGTTTCTTTCTATTTGAAATTTTTAAATTTTGATTACATTTATTAGGATGATTATCTTTTTTATTTTGAAAATAAATTAACAACAATAAATTTTATTTCAATTTTGAATTGTGATTAGTCAATATTTATGTATGTACCTTTAACCTATTTTTACTTTATCTCTAGATTAAATTTTCTATAAATTGTTTTATTACCCATAATAATTTGGATTATAATAGTCTATTTTTCATTATTTTTATATTTATATTATTCTATTTTACTAAGGAATTTTTAAAAACTAAAGTTATTACAAGTTGTTTAGTTTTTTGTATGAATAAAACTTTTATACCTAAACGCAATTGCCACGGTAACGCTCATCCGTAATATATAAAAGTAAAGCAAATTAATCTTGTAAAAGAAATATATATTACAAATATATTATATTTAGCTTGAATGAATATTTAGCTAGGATGTCTTAAAATATTTAAGGCAATTAGCTAATTTTTCTTTTTAATATGGATAAGAAAGCAAAAATGATACAAACAGATTTAAATTAAAGATAACTAAACTACCAGTCAAATCATTTTTTTATAAATTGTGTATCTTACAACTCTTATAATTAATAAATTCAAATTAAAGAAACATAGGTATTTATTTTTTAAAATTTCATTATTCTCTCAAATATAGCAAAATTATAAAAAGGAAATTTAAGATTTAACTTGTATTAATTATATTAAATTAATTTATTAAAAAGAATTTAATTCTAAATTTTTTCCAAAAAGTAAATTGGAAAAATCTCCCCACCCAAAAGGCAGTTGAAAAACTGCTGGATAAATAATATTGTCCTAAAGCTTATAGGGTGGTGTTGTATTTATAAAAAATATATGGCTTATAATTAATTAAAATTTAATAATTTTTTTTAAAAAATGATAAGGTAAAGTTCTAACACAATTTATATTTTTAAATTATTTAATATTTTAAATAGAAAGAATCAAAAAATTTGTTTTAAAATTGAAATAACTTTTTATGAAAATAGATGTATGTATGTAAAAAATTAATAAAGATTTAAAAGATTTAATTTAAGAAATAAGATTAATTTAATTTAGAATACTCAATTCTAAACTAAACTATCATAAAAATAATTAATAAATGTAGAGAACAAACAGATAAAATATAGATACTTATTTATCTTTAGGTTTATCTTGTAATAAATAAAGTAATAATTCTCCTAATCCAAATTTCATGAAATTTATTTTCTCAGGTTAGTCTAATCTATTAGAAGGTGATTTAAATTACTCCATTGCAAGATTATAATACTCTTAATATTTATTCATATAATCAAGATGATCAATTTTTGTATTTAAATTGAAAATTTGATTATTAAAACTAAATGGTATTGTTCCTACAAATTTTTGATCGCCAACGACCTTTGCTTTTACTAGACCTGTTTTAACCACAGTGTCGTTTTCAGAATAGAAGTTATAGCACATTTAAAACTTTTTGGAATAGTCTTGAATTTCTTTGACTGTTGCAACTCCTCCAAAAAGCATTAAATATCTAGCAGACATTGATAAATTTTTCACCGCATAAGCAGTGACTACTGCTCCTAAGCTGTGACCCATAAAATCTATATTTAATTTTCTCATTAATTTTAGATTGTTTATATTTTCAGCTAAAATTGTGCCACCATTTTTAGCCTATTCATAAGCAACTTAAAAGTCTTCAATTGTTGTATCAAGAAATGTTTTAAGTACTCTAACTTAATTTAAAAAGAAAGATGGTCCGACTTATTTGATGCACATATTGAGTAACTCTAACAGCCAATAAATGCCTTTTATTATAACATCGTTAAAACAAGCCTATAAACAACTATCTAACAATTCTTTTAAATAGTCTTGATAAATTTCAGGTTCATAATTGTGCATAATATTATTTAAAAATTTATCTAAAATTTTGAAAAGTCTACTGTCTGACCATTTGTAGAAAATAAACAAATTTTCTTAAGATTCTTTATTCTTAGTATTAGTTAATATTTAAAAGTTTTCTGAGGCTTTAAGATCCTAAGTTAAATAGCCAGATATTAAAAAGGTAACTGTTTACAATTGTTGTTTATTTTTGTAAGTAATTCTACCATCGTATCCTTATTTTATCTAGTTTAGATCAATTAAACAATCATCTAAACCATAAAACATAGGATTTTTATTTGATATTAAAAAACCTTACAATTTAGTTGACACAATTTATTATAGTGAACTTAGAATTCCTTCTTTTATTATGCCTTTAGTTTCTTCAGTTAATTCTTGCTCATTTCCACTTATCTGTGACCTTTTAATCTTAAAAAACGATTAATTTATTAATATAGTTAAATATAGAGAATTTAAAAATCTATGTTTTATTACTTGTTCCATTTATTCAGGATTAATTTGTGTTCTCTTTGATCTTTTACACTTAAAAAATGATAAATTTATTAACAGAATTAATAGATATTTTAAGAAATAACTTGTAAGATAATATTTTATATGACTATCTTTAAATAAATTAAAAGATATACCAATTATTATCAAAATATTTCATTTTAATCTCAATAAATTTTTAAATGCAAAAATCAAGTTTAAAATTTTTCTAAATCAATTTTAAAGGAATAAAAGAAAAAATAAGGAATGATTTAAGGTATATAAAATTGAGCGTTACTCTTTCATTTAGATAATCTAATTAGTTTTACTCTTAAGAATTATTTAAAGAATGTTAAGCATCTTCACCTTCATACACTCTGCCATTATATCTATCTGGTGAATCAATCAGCTCTTATGAGTTAAGATTAAGGCTTTTGTCTTATTAGTTTTCAAATGTATTATCCGCATTCGTAGAGTCAGTTTTTTATTCTATTTGCTTAAATCTAGGAAATCCAAGATATTATTATTACAATCTAGTTTAATCAGTTGAATTAATTGATTAAGTTAAATGGCTTCCTAGGCAGTCTAAGTTAAAATTACCAGTCTAAAGTTAAACTTACTCCTCTTCATATATTTTATCAGAATATTAATGGCAAAGCTGTTAAACTTATTCATTAAATATTGATTTTTCTTCTTTTAAATAAGGGAATTTTTCATAAATTTTCAAATCTGAAAAATAATTTTAGTCTTCTGTTAATGTTGAGAGAAGAAAACTTATCATTTTTTTTTCTTTTTTTCTTTTTTTTTTTGTAGTTTTAAATTTTAGTTTTTTATTATTATATTATACTTTTTTGGTTGTTTTAGATGGTACTATTTATTGTTGGTTATTTTAATATATTGGACATTATTATTTTAACCAAACAAAAATGTAGATAAATACCAGACCTTTGAATACTAAAATCCTAAGGAGAGATCAGTAAATAAGATATTTAACATTAAAAGTAATAATTGATTGCTTCGTTAGTGTATGATAATGAATCATTAATTGATATACTATCTAGTATATGAGTACTTTAAATTGAATTAAGATGCTGACGTTGTGTTTCTTATGATTTCACTATGTCATCTTCTGATTAATTTTGCCCAGATTTTTAAATTTTGTTATTATATCATACATGAATAATAAATTTTGACATTAAAATTTGTATTAGTCTGTATTAAATACAATTTTTAACTTATAATAATAGATTTCTATTTTGGTTATTTATTATATTGCCCACTAAAATTTGGATTACTAAGGAATATTTTATACCATCTCAATAAATAAACTATTCCTTTTCTATTTTACTTTGGTTTTTTTTAAAGTGAAATTGGTAATATCTGTTTTTTTTTAAATCTAAATGAGCTACTTATTTATTTTAATCTAATATTCAAATTTTAATGTGTTGGTAATTTATAAAATAGTATTAAATTGGAAAGCTAAATAAATAAATATAACATAACTCATTTTACTCAATCCATAAGGACAATTAGCTCTTAATTTTTAGGATTTCAATATTTAAGCAAATCCATTTTGATTTTATTTTAGTATTTTTTAATAACGAAGTTGGTAAGAGCTGTTTATTCTTTAAAGTCTATATGAACTACATAACTTAATCTAATAATCAAACTTAAGTACCTTGATAATCTAGAAAAATAAAGCAAAATAAATCCTATCTTTTAAAGCAAAATTAACAAATATGAAAAAGGATATTTACTAAAACACTATATATATTTGCCTTTTAATTTTTAAGATTTTCAGCTTCAAATATCTGATTTTTCATTTTTTAGAGATAAATATCGAAGAATATAAAGTAATTTTAAGGAAAAAATTTTATTAAATGAGCTTTCATTTTAATTAAATTTATTGATTATTCTAAATAATTTTGCTATAACATGTCTTTAGATTATCAGATATTATTTTTATCATTTTACTTTAATCATAAATCTAACAAGAAAAGTATTCACCATATACATTTTAAAAAATAATAACTAATTTTTACCATTCAAATAAGTGTAAGTATAAATTTAGAAAATGTCGAGATCTTACTTCAAGGATAAACTAAAAATAAAATTTTTAGAAAATAGATAAATATTTTAAAAACTATTATTTTGTCATTAGTCGAATATACAGCTTAACTATTAAGCTATTTTATATTACATCACATATTAAATATTATAAATACTACGATTTAATTTCTTAAATTCGAAATCGAGTTATTGATGTCATAAAAACGTATCATTAATGTTGAGTCATCAAATAAAATATGAAATGTTAATTAATCATTTGAATATTTTAATTTAAGACTCAAAAAGTTGTGACGTTGAGTTTTTATTAATAATTAATTTTCAATTAAAAAATAGCTTATAAATTAGTGTTTAAGAGTTAATTAACTCTTAAATAATTTAAAATTAATAAACAAATACAGATATTTTTTAGGAGTATCCTTTGTATTTATTTTCTTTATATTTTGATTTGTTTTAATAAAATAAATCAAAATATTAATAAAAACTGCGAGATACTCGGGGTGAAACATCTGTATGATATTTATAAAAATTAAATTTTATTACATTTTCTTAAAAAATTATAAAATAAAATTCCAACTCAATATTTTCAATTTTTTAGTTTAATATTTTTTTCAAATAAAATGAATTTAAAAAATATATTTTAAAAATTGAACTGACTTTTTATGAAGAAAGAATATGTAAAAAATTAATAAAGATTTAAAAGATTTAATTTAAGATATTAGATTAATTTAAAGCTTAAATTAACAATTTAAAACTTCTTTTCTACCTCTATATATCTTTCTTCTCATTATAAATAGTAAAAAACTCACCCAACAAACTCTATATTTAGACTATATTAAATAAAGAAGGTTAACAAGAAAAATATACCTAAACTAACTATCTAAAAAACTCACTATCGATCCTTCAATTCTAAACTATCATTAAAATAGTTAATAAATGTAGAGAATAAGCAGATAAAATGCAGTTAATTAATTATTTTTAGAATTATCTTCTAGTAAATAAAGTAATAATCGTCTTTATCCTAATTTCATAAAATTTAATTTCTCAGGTAATTCTACTTTATTAGAAGGTGATTTAAATTATGCCATTGCAAGATTATAATACTCTTAATATTTATTCATTTAATCAAGATGATGAATTTTTGTATTTAAATTGAAAAAATTATTATTTAAACTAAAATGGAATTGTTCCTACAAATTCTTAATCGCCAACAACCTTTGCTTTTATTAGACATGTTTTAACCACTGTGTCGCTTTCAAAATAGAAGTAAAACCCCATTTAAAACTTTTGGGAATAGTCTTGAATTTCTGTAATTGTTGTAACTCCAAAAAGCATTAAATATCTAGCAGACATCTATAAATTTCTGATCGCATAAGCAGTGACTACTGCTCCTAATCTGTGACCCATAAAATAAATATTTAATCTTCTCATTAATCATTGATGGTTTATAATTTCAGCTAAAATTGCGCCACCATTTTTAGCCTATTCATAAGCAACTTAAAAATCTTTAATTGTTGAATCAAGTATTGTTTTAAATGTTCTAATTTATTTTTAAAAAAAGAAGATCCAACTTATTTGATGCATGTGTTGAGTAATTAATTCTAACAACCAATAAATACCTTTTATTACAATATAGCTAAAACGTGCCTATAATCAACTATCTAACAATTCTTTTAAATAGTCTTGATAAATTTAAGGTTCATAATTGTTCATAATGTTATTTAAAAATATTTCTAAAATTTTGAAAACTCTACTTTCTGAACAAAATAGAAAATAAACAAATTTTCTTAAGATTCTTTATTCTTAGTATTTGTTAATGCTTAAAAGTTTTCTGAGGCTTAAAGACCCTAAGTTAAAGAGCCTGATATTAAAAAGGTAGAGGAAATTAAAATAGAAAAATTAATGGCATGCCCAAAGCCTAGATATAAATATAATTGATAATGTCAGGGTATAGATTAAAAATGAATTATACAAATAAAAGGAATGAAGATTATGACGAAGAAGATATGTTTAAATCAGCAGAAGAAATAATTTTTAGTAGCGATTATGCAAACTTAATACAAAGCCTTTATTAATCACTAGAGGAAAGAATTAAACTAATCTATAAAGTGAAAGATAATAAATATCATTAAAAAAATTAAATGATAATAAAATGTGTTATGATTGACATATTATAATTATGCTAATTTAATTCAAAAACATTAAATCTATACTATATTTTATATTTTTAAATAAACATCTTTATATTTTATTAAATGTAATTTTAAAGATTAAAAAAAAATAAATATAAAATCTAAAAAATTTTTTTTAAACTTGAAATAAACATTCATTAAATTAATTTAGAAATTTTGATAAATTAATAAAGATTATATAAAATGTTGCTTAAGATTTCAATTCATTTATTTATTTATTTAGAATACACTCGATTCTAAATTATCATTAAAACAAATAGTATATGTAGAGAATAAACAGATAAATTACAGATACTTAATTACTTTAAGAATTTTTTTATAATAAATAAAGTAATAATCCTCCAAATCCTATTTTCATTATATTTGGTTTCTCAATAAGATCTATACTATTAGAAGACTTATTAAATTATGCCATTGCAGTATTATAATATTCTTCAAATTTCATCAAATAATTAATGTGATCAATTTTTGTATTAAAATTAAAAAATTTATCTTTTATTTAGCCAAATGATTTTACTCCTATAAAATCTTAATCACCAATAAGCTTTGCATATTCTAGAAATATTTAAATCACCTTGTCATGATCAGAATAGAAATTATAACACTTTTAAAACGTGTGCTAATAGTCTTCAATTTCTTGTGTTGTTGCAGCTCCTCCAAAAAGCATTAAATATCTAGCAGAAATAGATATTTTCTTCAAAGCATAGGCAACTACTACAGTTCCTAAACTGTGACCCATAAAATCTATATTTAAACTTCCCATTAAATCTAGTTTGTTTATACATTTAGCTAAAACCGCACCACTATTTTTAGCCTGTTCGTAAACCTCTTAAAATTTTTAAATCATTATATCAAGTTTACATTTAATTTCTTTAATAAAATCGTTAAATAAAAGAGGATATAACTCCAAATATTTTTCAAGTAATATTGTGAACCAATAAATAGTTATTATTGCAATTTAGCTAAAATTTTCATTTAAATAATTATTTATCAAATTAAAAAAATAATATTTATAAATTGAAGGTTCTTTTTAGCATTCATCAAAAAGTTTATTTGCAATATCTAATAATGAGCTATCAGACCATCTGAAAAAAATAAACAAATTGTCTTAACAATCTTTTTTCTAAGTATTTGCTAAACTTAAAAAAATAATTGAGACTTTGATGTCCTAAGTTAAATATCCAGATATTAAAAAAGTAACTGTTTTCAAATCCTATTTATTTTTGTAAATAATTCTACGATCACCTTATTTTTTTATCTCATCTAAATTAATTTTTTAATTATCCAATCCATAAAACTGAGAATCATAATTTTGGAAGACTAAATCTTTGATTCTAGTTAAGATATTATCTACTAATTTAATAAAAAAATTTTTTTCTATTTTATCTTCAGAGGTTTATGAATCTGTTCTCGTTCTTTATGACTTTTTAATCTTAAAAAATAATTAATTTATTAACAAAGTTAATTAGAGAATTTAAGATATAATTTTAAAATAATATCAATAAAAGTATTTAAATTTAAAATAAAAAAATTTCAAATAAATGACAGCAACAATTTTCAAAATATTTCATTTATCTTTTATGTTCTAACTTATCATAAAACATTTTTAAATAAAAAATAAAATTACTTAGGATTATACTATAATTTCAATAAATATTGGTATTTGAAAATAAAGCTTTTTAGTTTCCTGAAAAAATAATTTAAAGATTTATTCTAACCACGCCTAAAAAAAATGGGCGATTTAAAAAAAGATGAGTTACAGTGAATTCCAAGGATGAAAAAAAATTCGGAAAAAATATTTAAAATTTTAGTTTTATAAAATGTAAAAACCTGTTAAAAAACTCGCTTTTTCTTTTTCTTTTTATTGCGCTTGCTTTTTTTTTTGTTCTTTCTTTGTTTATTTAACTCATCATTTTATTTTCAACTTTTACTTTTATTATTAATTAATCTATCTTATTATTTCATATTCTTTCTTCATTATTTCCTTCTAATTAACTATTTAATGATATATTTTTTCTTCAATATTTAAAAAGTAACAATTAAATTAGTGATAAAGGTGCATCAGGCTTAGGTTCTGGTTTAACAAATTGCATTAATCTCTCAAATTTGACACTTGAACTTTAGTAAAAACAGTTTATTTGTTTTGGATTTTGATATTTTAAATGATAAAAACTAATTTAAAACAATAAAGTTCTTTTTTCTTTTTCTTTTTATTGCGCTTGCTTTTTTTTTTGTTCTTTCTTTGTTTATTTAACTCATCATTTTATTTTCAACTTTTGCTTTTATTATGAATTAATCTATCATATTATTTCATATTCTTTCTTTATTTTTTCCTTCTAATTAACTATTTAATGATATATTTTTTCTTCAATATTTAAAAAGTGAGAATGAAATTGGTGCAAAGGGTGCATCAGGCTTAGGTTCTGGTATAGCAAATTGCATTAATCTCTCAAATTTGAATCTTGATCTTGGGTAATAACAGTTTATTTGTTTTGGATTGTGATATTTTAAATTATAAAAACTAATTTAAAACAATAAAGCTCTTTTTTCTTTTTCTTTTTATTGTGCTTGCTTTTTTTTTATTCTTTCTTTGTTTATTTAACTCATCATTTTATTTTCAACTTTTGCTTTTATTATTAATTAATCTAATATATTATTTCATATTTTTTCTTCATTTTTTCCTTCTAATTAACTATTTAATGATATATTTTTTCTTCAATAATTAAAAAGTGAGAATGAAATTGGTGATAAAGGTGCATCAGGCTTAGGTTCTGGTTTAGCAAATTGCATTAATCTCTCTAATTTGATGCTTAACCTTAGGTAAAAACAGTTTATTTGTTTTGGATTGTGATATTTTAAATTATTAAAACTAATTTAAAACAATAAAGCTCTTTTTTCTTTTTCTTTTTATTGTGCTTGCTTTTTTTTTTATTCTTTCTTTGTTTATTTAACTCATAATTTTATTTTCAACTTTTGTGTTTATATTATTTCATATTCTTTATTCATTTTTTCCTTCTAATTAACTATTTAATGATATATTTTTTCTTCAATATTTAAAAAGAAGAAATTAAATTGGTGATGAAGGTGCATCAGGCTTAGGTTCTGGTTTAGCAAATTGCATTAATCTCTCAAATTTAACACTTAACATTTAGTAAAACAGTTTATTTGTTTTGGATTGTGATATTTTTAATTATAAAAACTAATTTAAAACAATAAAACTCTTTTTTCTTTTTCTTTTTATTGTGTTTGCTTTTTTTTTTTGTTCTATCTTTGTTTATTTAACTCATCATTTTATTTTCAACTTTTGCTTTTATTATTAATTAATCTATCTTATTATTTCATATTCTTTCTTCATTTTTTCCTTCTTATTAACTATTTAATTATATATTATTTCTTCAATATTTAAAAAGTGAGAATTAAATTGTTGCAAAGGGTGCATCAGGCTTAGGTTCTGGTATAGCAAATTGCTTTAATCTCTCAAATTTGACACTTAACCTTAGGTAAAAACAGTTTATTTGTGATATTTTAAATTATAAAAACTAATTTAAAACAATAAAGCTTTTTTTTCTTTTTCTTTTTATTGTGCTTGTTTTTTTTTTTGTTCTTTCTTTGTTTATTTAACTCATCATTTTATTTTCAACTTTTGCTTTTATTATTAATTAATCTATCTTATTATTTCATATTCTTTCTTCATTTTTCCTTCTAATTAACTATTTAATTATATATTTTTTCTTCAATATTTAATTAGTAAGAATTAAATTGGTGATGTAGGTGCATCAGGCTTAGGTTCTGGTTTAGTAAATTGCATTAATCTCTCAAATTTGACACTTGAACTTCGGTAAAAGCAGTTTATTTGTTTTAGATTATGATATTTTTAATTATAAAAACTAATTTAAAACAATAAAGCTCTTTTTTCTTTTCTTTTTATTGTGCTTGCTTTTTTTTTTGTTCTTTCTTTATTTATTTAACTCATAATTTATTTTCAACTTTTGCTTTTATTATTAATTAATCTATCTTATTATTTCATATTCTTTCTTCTATTTTTCCTTCTAATTAACTATTTAATTATATATTTTTTATTCGATATTTAAAAAGAAGAAATTAAATTGGTGATGAAGGTGTATCAGGCTTATGTTCTGGTTTAGCAAATTGCATTAATCTCTCAAATTTGACACTTGATCTTGGGTAAAAATAGTTTATTTGTTTTGGATTGTGATATTTTGAATTATAAAAACTAATTTAAAACAATAAAGCTCTTTTTTCTTTTTCTTTTTATTGTGCTTGCTTTTTTTTTTGTTGTTTCTTTGTTTATTTAATTCATCATTTTATTTTCAACTTTTGCTTTTATTATTAATTAATCTATCTTATTATTTCATATTCTTTATTCATTTTTTCCTTTTAATTAACTATTAAATTATATATTTTTTCTTCAATATTTAAAAAGTTACAATAAAATTGGTGAAATGGGTGCATCAGGCTTAGGTTCTGGTTTAGTAAATTGCATTAATCTCTCAAATTTGACACTTGAACTTCGGTAAAAACAGTTTATTTGTTTTGGATTATGATATTTTAAATTATTAAAACTAATTTAAAACAATAAAGCTTTTTTTTCTTTTTCTTTTTATTGTGCTTGCTTTTTTTATTTATTCTTTCTTTGCTTATTTAACTCAACATTTTATTATCAACTTTTGCTTTTATTATTAATTAATCTATCTTATTATTTCTTATTCTTTCTTCATTTTTTCCTTCCAATTAACTATTTAATGATATATTTTTTCTTCGATATTTAAAAAGTGAGAATGAAATTGGTGATGAAGGTGCATCAGGTTTAGGTTCTGGTTTAGCAAATTGCATTAATCTCTCAAATTTGATGCTTAACCTTAGGTAAAAACAGTTTATTTGTTTTGGATTGTGATATTTTAAATTATAAAAACTAATTTAAAACAATAAAGCTCTTTTTTCTTTTTCTTTTTATTGTGCTTGCTTTTTTTTTATTCTTTCTTTGTTTATTTAACTCATCATTTTATTTTAAGCTTTTGCTTTTATTATTAATTAATCTATCTTATTATTTCATATTTTTTCTTCATTTTTTCCTTCTAATTAACTATTTAATGATATATTTTTTCTTCAATATTTAAAAAGTGAGAATGAAATTGGTGATAAAGGTGCATCAGGCTTAGGTTCTGGTTTAGCAAATTGCATTAATCTCTCAAATTTGATGCTTAACCTTAGGTAAAAACAGTTTATTTGTTTTGGATTGTGATATTTTAAATTATTAAAAATAATTTAAAACAATAAAGCTCTTTTTTCTTTTTCTTTTTATTGTGCTTGCTTTTTTTTTTATTCTTTCTTTGTTTATTTAACTCATAATTTTATTTTCAACTTTTGTGTTTATATTATTTCATATTCTTTCTTCATTTTTTCCTTCTAATTAACTATTTAATTATATATTTTTTCTTCAATATTTAAAAAGAAGAAATTAAATTGGTGATGAAGGTGCATCAGGCTTAGGTTCTGGTATAGCAAATTGCATTAATCTCTCAAATTTGACACTTGACCTTTAGTAAAAACAGTTTATTTGTTTTGGATTTTGATATTTTAAATGATAAAAACTAATTTAAAACAATAAAGCTCTTTTTTCTTTTTCCTTTTATTGTGCTTGCTTTTTTTTTTTGTTCTTTCTTTGCTTATTTAACTCATCATTTTATTTTCAACTTTTGTTTTTATTTTTAATTAATCTATCTTATTATTTCATATTCTTTCTTCATTTTTTCCTTCTAATTAACTATTTAATGATATATTTTTTCTTCGATATTTAAAAAGTTACAATAAAATTGGTGATAAAGGTGCATCAGGCTTAAGTTCTGGTTTAGCAAATTGCATTAATCTCTCACTTTGTCTTGGGTAAAAACAGTTTATTTGTTTTGGATTGTGATATTTTAAATTATAAAAACTAATTAAAAACAATAAAGCTCTTTTTTCTTTTTCTTTTTATTGTGCTTGCTTTTTTTTTTTGTTCTTTCTTTGCTTATTTAACTCATCATTTTATTTTCAACTTTTGCTTTTATTATTAATTAATCTATCTTATTATTTCATATTCTTTCTTCATTTTTTCCTTCAAATTAACTATTTAATGATATATTTTTTCTTCAATATTTAAAAAGGTATAATTAAATTGGCGATGAAGGTGCTTCAGGCTTAGGTTCTGGTTTAGCAAATTGCATTAATCTCTCAAATTTGACGCTTGATCTTGGGTAAAAACAGTTTATTTGTTTTGGATTGTGATATTTTTAATTATAAAAACTAATTTAAAACAATAAAGCACTTTTTTCTTTTTCTTTATATTGTGCTTGCTTTTTTTTTGTTCTTTCTTTGTTTATTTAACTCATCATTTTATTTTCAACTTTTACTTTTATTATTAATTAATCTATCTTATTATTTCATATTCTTTCTTCATTTTTTCCTTCCAATTAACTATTTAATGATATATTTTTTTTAAAAGTGAGAATGAAATTGGTGAAGAAGGTGCATCAGGCTTATGTTCAGGTTTAACAAATTGCATTAATCTCTCAAATTTGATACTTAACCTTAGGTAAAAACAGTTTATTTGTTTTGGATTGTGATATTTTTAATTATTAAAACTAATTTAAAACAATAAAGCTCATTGAATTTATTTGATAGCTATTATTTGATTAATTTTTTATCTTTTTTATTCCTCTAATTTTATTTTATTTATTTATTTAAGAAATAATTTTTAATTTAAAGTTTATTATATTTGATATTTATTTAAAATTTACACAGATTTATTATAAATTTTAGCTCAATGAATTAATCATAACAATTCAAATTAATAAGCAAGTGTCTTAAATCAAAAAGATTAGTTGTCTTTAAAAAATATTTCTAGTGATGAGCAAATATTGAATATTAAAGGTTTTTTTTATTTTTCAATATTTTGAAAAAGTTTTTTTTAACCTAAAATATATTAGATTTTATTATTGTTTTTTTATTTTTAATATCATTTATATTTTTGTAAGTAAATAAATATTTGTAAAAATAAAATTAAATTTACTTAAATAAATTAATTCCTCTTAAACAAACCCTCCTGTTTCCAATAAACGATAAAATAATTAAATAATATTGTCCTAAAGCTTTAAGGGTGGTGCTGTATTTATAAAAAATATATGGCTTATAATTAATTAAAATTTTATAATGTTTTTTAAAAAATGATAAGATAAATAAAGTTCTAACACAATTTATATTTTTAATTTATTTAATTATTTAAATAGAAAGAATCAAAAAATTTATTTTAAAATTGAAATAACTTTTTATGAAAATAGATGTATTTATGTATGTAAAAAATTAATAAATATTTAAAAGATTTAATTTAAGAAATATGATTAATTTAATTTAGAATACTCAATTCTAAACTAAACTATCATAAAAATAATTAATAAATGTAGAGAACAAACAGATAAAATATAGATACTTATTTATCTTTAGGCTTATCTTGTAATAAATAAAGTAATAATTCTCCTAATCCAAATTTCATGAAATTTATTTTCTCAGTTTAGTCTAATCTATTAGAAGGTGATTTAAATTACTCCATTGCAAGATTATAATACTCTTAATATTTATTCATATAATCAAGATGATCAATTTTTGTATTTAAATTGAAAATTTGATTATTAAAACTAAATGGTATTGTTCCTACAAATTTTTGATCGCCAACGACTTTTGCTTTTACTAGACATGTTTTAACCACAGTGTCGTTTTCAGAATAGAAGTTATAGCACATTTAAAACTTCTTGGAATAGTCTTGAATTTCTTTGACTGTTGCAACTCCTCCAAAAAGCATTAAATATCTAGCAGACATTGATAAATTTTTCACCGCATAAGCAGTGACTACTGCTCCTAAGCTGTGACCCATAAAATCTATATTTAATTTTCTCATTAATTTTAGATTGTTTATATTTTCAGCTAAAATTTTGCCACCATTTTTAGCCTATTCATAAGCAACTTAAAAGTCTTCAATTGTTGTATCAAGAGCGGTTTTAAGTATTCTAACTTAATTTAAAAAGAAAGGTGTTCCAACTTATTTGATGCACATATTGAGTAACTCTAACAGCCAATATATGCCTTTTATTATAACATCGTTAAAACAAGCCTATAAACAACTATCTAACAATTCTTTTAAATAGTCTTGATAAATTTCAGGTTCATAATTGTGCATAATATTATTTAAAAATTTATCTAAAATTTTGAAAAGTCTACTGTCTGACCATTTGTAGAAAATAAACAAATTTTCTTAAGATTCTTTATTCTTAGTATTAGTTAATATTTAAAAGTTTTCTGAGGCTTTAAGATCCTAAGTTAAATAGCCAGATATTAAAAAGGTAACTGTTTACAATTGTTGTTTATTTTTGTAAGTAATTCTACCATCATATCCTTATTATATCTAGTTTAGATCTATTAAACAATCATCCAAACCATAAAACATAGGATTTTTATTTGATACTAAAAAACTTTACAATTTAGATGATATAATTTATTATAGTGAACTTAGAAATCCTTGTTTTATTACGCCTTTAGTTTCTTCAGTTAATTCTTGCTCATTTCCACTTATCTGTGACCTTTTAATCTTAAAAAACGATTAATTTATTAATATAGTTAAATATAGAGAATTTAAAAATCTATGTTTTATTACTTGTTCCATTTATTCAGGATTAATTTGTGTTCTCTTTGATCTTTTACACTTAAAAAATGATAAATTTATTAACAGAATTAATAGATATTTTAAGAAATAACTTGTAAGATAATATTTTATATGATTATTCTTTAAATAAATTAAAAGATATACCAATTATTATCAAAATATTTCATTATAATCTCAATAAATTTTTAAATGCAAAAATCAAGTTTTTTAAAATTTTTCTAAATCAATTTTAAAGGAATAAAAGAAAAAATAAGGAATGATTTAAGGTATATAAAATTGAGCATTACTCTATCATTTAGTGAATCTAAGTAGATTTACTCTTAAGAATTATTTAAAGAATGTTAAGCATCTTCACCTTCATATATTCTGCCATTATATCTACCTGGTGAATCAATCAGCTCTTATGAGTTAAGATTAAGGCTTTTGTCTTATTAGTTTTCAAATGTATTATCCTCATTCGTAGAGTCAGTTTTTTATTCTATTTGCTTAAATCTAGGAAATCCAAGATATTATTTTTACAATCTAGTTTAATCAGTTGAATTAATTGATTAAGTTAAATGACTTCCTAGGCAGTCTAAGTTAAAATTACCAGTCTAAAGTTAAACTTACTCCTCTTCACATATTTTATCAGAATATTAATAGCAAAGCTGTTAAACTTATTCATTAAATATTGATTTTTCTTCTTTTAAATAAGGGAATTTTTCATAGATTTTCAAATCTGAAAAATAATTTTAGTCTTCTGTTAATGTTGAGAGAAGTAAACTTATCATTTTTTTTTTTCTTTTTTTTTTTTAGTTTTAAATTTTAGTTTTTTATTATTATATTATACTTTTTTGGTTGTTTTAGATGGTACTATTTATTGTTGGTTATTTTAATATATTGGACATTATTATTTTAACCAAACAGAAATGTAGATAAATATCAGACCTCTGAATACTAAAATCCTAAAGAGAGATCAGTAAATAAGATATTTAGCATTAAAAGAAATAATTGCTTCGTTACTGTATGATAATCAATCATTAATTGATATACGTCTAGTAGTATATGAGTACGTTAAATTTAATTAAGACTCTGACGTTGTGTTTCTAATGACTTCACTATGTCATCTTATGATTAATTTTGCCCAGATCATTAAATTTTGTTATTATATCATACCTGGATAATAAATTTTGACATTAAAATTTGTATTAGTCTGTATTAAATGCAATTTTTATAATAGATTTCTATTTTGGTTATTTATTATATTGCCCACTAAAATTTGGATTACTAATGAATATTTTACAGCATTTCAATAAATAAACTATTCCTTTTCTATTTTACTTTGGTTTTTTTTTAAAATAAATTTGGTAATATCTGTTTTTTTTTTAATCTAAATGAGCTACTTATTTATTTTAGTCTAATATTCAAATTTTAATGTGTTGGTAATTTAAAAAAATAGTATTAAATTGGAAAGCTAAATAAATAAATATAAAATAACTCATTTTACTCAATCCATATGGACAATTAGCTCTTAATTTTGAGGATTTCAATATTTAAGCAAATCCATTTTGATTTTATTTTAATATTTTTGAATAATGAAGTTGGTAAGAGCTGTTTATTCTTTTAAGTTTATATGAACTGCATAATTTAATCTAATAATCAAACTTAAGTGCGTTGATAATAATCTAGAAAAATAAAGCAAAATAAATCCTATCTTTTAAAGCTAAATTAACAAATATAAAATAGGTTATTTACTAAAACGCTATATATATTTACCTTTTAATTTTTAAGATTTTCAGCATCAAATATCTCTTTTTTCATTTTTTAGAGATAAATATCGAAGAATATAAAACAATTTTAAGGAAAAAATTTTATTAAATGAGCTTTCATTTTAATTAAATTATTGATTATTCTAAATGATTTAGCTAGAACGTGTCTTTAGATTATCCGATATTATTTTTATCATTTTATTTTAATCATAAATCTAATAAGAAAAGTATTCACCATATACATTTTTAAAAATAATAGCTAATATTTATCATTCAAATAAGTTAATTGTAAGTATAAATTTAGAAAATGTCGAGATCTTACTTCAAGGAAAAACTAAAAATAAAATTTTTAGAAAATTGATAAATATTTCAAAAACGATTATTTTGTCATTAGTCGAATATACAGCTTAACTATTAAGCTATTTTATATTACATCACATATTAAATATTATAAATACTACGATAATCATTCTTAAATTCAAAATCGAGTTATTGATGTCATAAAAACGTATCATTAATGTTGAGTCATCAAATAAAATACGAAATGTTAATTAATCATTTGAATATTTTAATTTAAGACTCAAAAACTAGTGAATTGAGTTTTTATTAATAATTAATTTTTAATTAAAAAAATCAAAGATTTTTAAAAAATAGCTTTTTAATTAATGCTTAAGAGTTAACTCTTAAATAATTTAAAATTAATAAGCAAATACAGATATTTCACCACGAGTATCCTTTGTATTTATTTTCTTTATATTTTGATTTGTTTTATACAAATCAAAATATAAATAAAAACCGCGAGATACTAGGGGTGAAACATCTGTATGATATTTATAAAAATTAAATTTTATTACATTTTCTTAAAAAATTATAATATAAAATTCCAACTCAATATTTACAATTTTTTAGTTTAATATTTTTTCAAATAAAATGAATTTAAAAAATATATTTTAAAAACTGAACTTAATTTTTATGAAGAAAGAATATGTAAAAAATTAATAAAGATTTAAAAGATTTAATTTAAGATAAGATATTAATTTAATTATGAATATACTCAATTCTAAACTATCATTAAGATAGTTAATAAATGTAGAGAATAAGCAAATAAAATACAGATAATTAATTATTTTTAGAATTATCTTCTAGTAAATAAAGTAATAATCGTCTTTATCCTGATTTAATAAAATTTAATTTCTCAAGTAATTCTATTTTATTAGAAGGTGATTTAAATTATACCATAGTCAGATTATAATACTCTTAATATTTATTCATTCATTTAATCAAGATGATGAATATTTGTATTTAAATTGAAAATATTATTATTTAAACTAAAATGGTATTGTTCCTCCAAATTCTTAATTGCCAACAACCTTTGCTTTTATTAGATATGTTTTAACCACTGTGTCGTTTTCAAAATAGAAGTAAAACCCCATTTAAAACTTTTGGGAATAGTCTTGAATTTCTGTAATTGTTGTAACTCTAAAAAGCATTAAATATCTAGCAGACATCTATAAATTTCTGATCGCATAAGCAGTGACTACTGCTCTTAAGCTGTGACCCATAAAATAAATATTTAATCTTCTCATTAATCATTGATTTTTTATAATTTCAGCTAAAATTGCGCCATAATTTTTAGCCTATTCATAAGCAACTTAAAAATCTTTATTTGTTGAATCCAGTACTGTTTTAAATGCTCTAATTTATTTTAAAAAAAAGAAGATCCAACTTATTTGATGCACATATTGAGTAACTCTAACAACCAATAAATACCTTTTATTACAATATAGCTAAAACGTGCCTATAATCAACTATATAACAATTCTTTTAAATAGTGTTGATAAATTTAAGGTTCATAATTATTCATAATGTTATTTAAAAATATTTTTAAAATTTTGTTAAAAAAAAATAAATATAAAACCTAAAAAATTTTTTTTAAACTTGGAATGACATTAAATTAATTTAGAAATTTTGATAAATTAATAAAGATTTTATGAAATGTTGCTTAAGATTTCAATTCATTTATTTAGAATACACTAACTATTTGATTCTAAATTATCATTTAAACAAATAGTATATGTAGAGAATAAACATATAAATTACAGATACTTAATTACTTTAAGAATTGTTTTTTAATAAATAAAGTAATAATCCTCCAAATCCTATTTTCATTATATTTGGTTTCTCAATAAGATCTATACTATTAGAAGACTTATTAAATTCTGCCATTGCAGTATTATAATATTTATCAAATTCTAATATATAAACCATGTGATCAATTTTTGTATTTAAATTGAAAAATTTATCTTTTATTTAGCCAAATGATTTTACTCCTATAAAATCTTAATCATCAATCAGCTTTGCATATTTTAGAAATGCTTAAATCACTTTGTCATGATCAGAATAGAAATTATAACACTTTTAAAAATTGTGCTAATAAACTTCAATTTCTTGTGTTGTTGCAGCTCCTCCAAAAAGCATTAAATATCTAGCAGGAATAGATAAATCCCTCAAAGCATAGGCAATTACTACAGTTCCTAAACTGTGACCTATAAAATCTATATTTAAATTTCCCATTAAATTTAGTTTGTTTATACATTTAGCTAAAACCGCACCACTATTTTTAGCCTCTTAGTAAGCCTGTTTAAAGTTTTAAATCATTTTATCAAGTTTACATTTAATTCCTTTAATAAAACCGTTAAGTAAGGGAGGATATAACTCCAAATATTTTTCAAATGCTATTGCCAACCAATAAATTGCTGTTATTGTAATATCGCTAAAATGTTTCATTAAAAAATTATTTATCAAACTGTAAAAATAATATTTATAAATTGAAGGTTTTTTTTAGCATTTATCAAAAAGTTTAGCAATATCTAATAATGAGCTATCAGACCATCTGAAAAAAATAAACAAATTGTCTTAACAATCTATTTTATTAGTATTTGCTAAACTTAAAAAATTAATTGAGACTTTGATGTCCTAAGTTAAATATCCAGATGTTAAAAAAGTAATTGTTTTCAAATCCTATTTATTTTTGTAAGTAATTCTACCATCACTTTATTTTTTTATCTCATCTAAATTTATTTTTTAATTATCCAATCCATAAAACTGAGAATCATAATCTTGGAAGACTAAATTTTTGATTCTAGTTAAGATATTATCTACTAATTTAATAAAAAAGTTTTTTTTTATTTTTTCTTCAGAGGTTTATGAATCTGTACTCATTTTTGATGTCTTTTTAATCTTAAAAAATAATTAATTTATTAACAGAGTTAATTAGAGAATTGATGATATAATTTTAAAATAATAACAATAAAAGTATTTAAATTTAAAATAAAAAAATTTCAAATAAATGAAAGCAACAATTTTCAAAATACTTCATTTATTTTTTATGTTCTAACTTATCATAAAACATTTTTAAATATAAAATAAAATTACTTAGGATTATACTATAATTTCGATATATATTGGCATATGAAAATAAAACTTTTTAGTTTCCTGAAAAAATAATTCAATAAAAAATATTTTTCTAGCTTTTTGAGGAATAAAAGAAATGATAAAGAATGAATTAAAGTATATAACATAAAAAATTACTTCTTCATTATATGGTGAATCTTAAAAGGTTTCTAATTTATGACTACTTCTAATTTTAAGATGATCACTTTCATTTTTATTATCATTTGTTGAATCTTAAAATTGTTATGGACTTTGATAAATAACATTTTCTAATCTACTATCAAAATTTTTATGTGAAGAATTCAACATTTTGGATTATGTGTTAGATTTAGGGCTTTTAGTTTATTCAATTTCATTCGAACTATTAGATTAATTATTTTGTAAATCTAAATCATTTTTCAGATTTTAACTTGAATATTCAATTTAATTATCCCCAGATCTACTATCAGTATTATAATCTTTGATAAAAGACTCAGCAAACTAGTTAAATTTTTAGTTTTCTTCTTTTAAATATGGAAATTTTTTATATATTCCTAAATTTTCAAGATATTCTTCTTCTTCTTCTGTTATTTTTTAGATGAAATTATTACTCATTTTCTTTTTTTTTGTAATTATTCTTATTTATCTATTTATTAAATTATATTTATTTTTATGATATTGTTTTATATTTATATTAAATTTTTGAAATATCTTTGATTGTTTGAATAAAGGAAGTTTGTTTTTCTATTCTGAAATTTTGATAGTTATCCATCCTATTTTTGAATTATCAAATCATAAATAGATATTACCAGATAAGGTGTTTATTTATTTATTCAAATGTAAATATTTTTTTTTTGGTAAGTGTCGTAATAATCAATCAATAATAATAATTGATTATAAAAACGTATGCCAAAGTATTTTAAATAAAAAAGCTTATTGATTTTATGAATGATCTATTTTACTTTGAATGAAAAATAAAGATAAAAAGATATAAATCATTTTCGAATTTATTCTCTGTTTATAATTACTTTAAGCAAAATCATTTAGTCTATGAATTAAATGTTTTTTTTTTTTCGTTTAAAAAAATGAAATCATTTGTAAATGTTTTAATTTTAAAAGTTATCTTCATATTATTTTCTCTTTTTTTTAGATTATTTTTACTATAGTTTTATTGCTATTAACAAATAAAATATATTTCATTGAATTTAAAAGAAGTATTTGATACTAAATTTCTATATTTAGAATTTTAATGATCTAAACTAAATGATAAACTTTTTCTTAATGCTCAAAAATTAGTAAGGATTACTAACTAAGATATCTATTGCTTAGTTATAAAATAAATAGTAGCTTGGTTGGTATTTTAATAATCATAGATTGATTATGAAAACATATACATACATATTAAGCTTAAATAAAAACTAGATTATTAATTTGTGTTTCTTTCTAAATCAACCCTACTTTTAATTCTGATTAAATTTATTTGGATGATTGATAATCTTTTTTATTTTAGAAAAAAAGTTAACAGCAATAAATTTTATTTCAGTTTTGAATTGTGATTAATAAATATTTACGTTTACCTCTAACCATTTTTTACTTTATTTATAAATAAAAGTTTCTAAAATTCATTTTATTACCTATAATAATATGGATTAAAAAAGTCTAAATTTCAATATTTTAATATTAGTATTATTCTATTTTTATTTTAATATGGAATTTTTAATAACTAATTTTATTATCATCATGATAACTTTCATCCGTAATTTACAAACTAAAGCAAATAAATTTTGTAAAATAAAATTTGTATAACAAATATATTGCAAGATGTCATAAAAAAATATAGTGGTTGGTATGCCACTTTTTATGAATTATATTTTTTGGTTTTTTTTTAAAAAATATCTTTATATTTTATGAAATGTATTTTTAAAGAATAAATAATACTAACCCAACTCTTATAGGGTGGCACTATATTTATAAAATATAAATATGGCTTATAATCAATTAAAATTTAATAATATCAGTTTTAAAAATTATAAAATAAAGTTCCAGCACAAAATATATTTTAAATTTAATAGCTTTATATTATTTTAAATAAAAAAGTTAAAAAATTAATTTTAAAATTGAACTAACTTTTTGTTAAGATAGAATATGTATGTAAATTATTTATAAAGTTTTAATATAAAGTATTTATTTATTAATTTAATTTAGAATAAACTCAATTCTAAATTATCATTCATTAAAGAATTAATAAATATACAGGATAAGCAGGTAAAATATTGATACTTAACTATTTTTAGAATTATCCTGTAATAAATAAAGTAATAATGCTCCTAATCCTAATTTCTTGAAATTTAATTTCTTAGGTAATTCTACTTTATTAGAAGGTGGTTTAAATTACTTCATAGCAAGATTATAATACTCTTAATACTTATTCATATAATCAAGATGATCAATTTTTGTATTTAAATTGAAAATATTATTATTTAAACCAAATGGTATTGCTCCTACAAATTTTTAATCACCAACAAACTTTGCTTTTACTTAACATGTTTTAACCACTATGTCGTTTTCAGAATAGAAGTTATAGCACATTTAAAACTTTTGAGAATTGTCTTGAATATCTTTGATTGTTGCAACTCCTCCAAAAAACATTAAATATCTAGCAGACATCGATAATTTTTTAACCGCATAAGCAGTGGCTACTGCTCCTAAGTTGTGACCCATAAAATCTATATTTAATCTTCTCAGTAGTTTTTGATTGTTTATATTTTCAGCTAAAATTTCGCCACCATTTTTAGCCTAGTCATAAACAACTTAAAAGTCTTCAATTGTTGAATCAAGTACTGTTTTAAATGCTCTAATTTATTTTTAAAAAAAAGATATTCCGACTTATTTGATACATATATTGAGTAACTCGAACAACCAATAAATGTCTTTTATTACAATATCGCTGAAACACTCATTTTAACAACTATCTAACAATATTTTTAAATAGCCTTGATAAATTTCAGGTTTTTAATTATTCATAACATCATTTAAAAATTTATCTAAAATTTTGAAAACTCTAATGCCTGACCATTAAAAGAAAATAAACAAATTTTCTTAAGATTCTTTATTCTTAGTATTTTTTAATACTTAAAAGTTTTCTGAGGCTTAAAGATCCTCAGTTAAATAACCAGATATTAAAAAGGTAACTGTTTACAAGTGTTGCTTATTATTGTAAGTAATTCTACCATCCTATTCTTATTTTATCTCGTTTAGATCTATTTTACAATCATCTAATCCATAAAACATATGACTTTTATTTGATATTAATAAATCTTACAATTTATTTGAAACAATTTATTATAATGAACTTAGCACTTCTTGTTTTATTATGTCTTAAGTTTCTTAGCTTTGTTTTATTACTTCTTAAGTTTCTTAAATTTATTCAGGATTAATTGAAGTTCTCTTTGATCTATTATTCTAAAAAATTAAATGTATTAACAGAATTAATAGATCATTTAAGAAATAACTTTTTAAGATAATATTTATATCAATATTTAATTTTAATATACTTTAAATATATTAAAAGATAAACCAATTATAATCAAAATATTTCATTTTTATTTTTGAAATTTCCAGTTAAAAGTTTCTAAATAAATTTTAGAGGAATAAAAGAAAAAATAAAGAATGAATTAAAGTATATAAAATTAAGCGTTACTTTTTCTATTGATGAATCTAAATAGTTTTATTCTTAAGAATTATTTAAAGAATGTTAATTCTCTGGTGAATCAATCAGCTCTTATGAGTTAAGATTGGGGATTTTATCTTATAAGTTTTCAAATGTATTTTTTGTGCTGTTAAAGTCAGCTTTTTATTCTATTTGCTATAAAGTAGGTAATTCACCATCTAATTTACTTTAATCAGCTGGATGAAGTGGTTAGTCTAAATGGCTTTCAAGCTACTCTAATTTAAGATTGGGACTTTTATCTTATTAGTTTTCAGATGTATTATTGGTAAAGCCAGCTTTTTATTCTATTTGCAATAAAGCAGGAAATTCACGATCTTCAAGTGGTAAATCTAAATATCTTTCCCACTAATATTTAAGATTGGGGCTATTATCTTATTAGTTTTCAAATTTATTATATGTGCTTGTAAAGTCAGCCTTTTATTTTATTTGCTCTAATCTAGGAAATTCACTAGAGAATGTACTTTAATGAGCTAAATGAAGTGACTAGTCTAAATTGCTTTCTCGACACTCAAAGTTATGATTACCAGTCAAAAGTTAAGCTTACTCATCTTTAAATTTACAATAAAGCTTTTAAACTAATTCGTCGAATTTCTATTTTTCTTCTTTTAAAAATGGGAATTTTTCATAAATTATCAAATACGAAAAATTATTTTCGTCTTCTTCTTTTGTCTACAATTCAGAACTAGAACTTGACATTTTTTTTTCTTTTTTTTTGTAATTTTAAATTTTAGTTTATATTTTATTAAATTATACTTTTTTGGTTGTTTTAGATCGAACTATTTATTGTTGGTTATTTTAATGTATTGGACATTATTCATTATAACCAAACAGAAATATAGATAAAAATCATACCTTTGAATTCTAAAATCGTATAGAGAGACCAATAAATAAGATATTTAACATTAAAATAAATATTTGCTTGATTAGTGTCTTATAATGAATCATCAATTGATATAGTATCATGCATATAATTTATCTGATGTTATGTTTCTTATGATTTCACTATTTCACCCACCTTCTGATTAATTTTGTCCAGATTATTAAATTTTTTTATTATATCATACATAAATAATGAATTTTGAAATTAAAAATCTTATTTATCTGTATAAAATTCAATTTTTAACTTATATTCCTAGATTTATATTTCTATTAACCATTCTTTTACCCACTAAAATTTGGATTACTAATGAATATCTTACAGCATTTCAATATATAAACTATTCCTTTTCCATTTTACTTTAGTTTTTTTAAAATGAAATTGGTAAGAACTGTTTTTTTTATCTAAATTAGCTGCATAAATATCTTAATCTAATAATCAAATTTTAACGTGTTGGTAATTAATATAAATAGACTTAAAAAATTTTTATTTTGGAAAGCTAAATAAATAAATATAAAATAGCTCATTTTACTCAATCCTTAAATCCTTAAGGAAATTAGCTCTTAATTTTTAGGATTTCAATACTTAAACTAATCCATTTTTATTTTATTTTAGTATTTTTTAATAATGAAGTTGGTAAGAGTTCTTTATTTTTTTGAATCTATATGAACAACAAAATTTAATCTAATAATCAAACTTAAATACGTTAGCAATTTACAAGAGTAAAGTAAAATAAATTTTATTTTTGGAAAAATAAATTAATAAATATGAAATAGGCTATTTACTTAAACACTCTTGATACTTACTTGCCTATAAATTTATAAAATTTTCAGCATCAACAATTTTAAATAAACATTTTTATTAAATGAGCTTTCATCTTAATTAAATTTATTGTTTATTCTAAAGAGATTTTGCTATAAGGTGACTTTGAATTTTAAGGATATTATTTTTATCATTTTATTTTAATCATAAAACTTAAATCTAAACAGATAATGAATATATTCGCCATATACATTTTAATTTTTATAATTCAAATTATTTAATTGTATATATAATTTTAGTAAATATCGAGGCTTTATTTCGAGGGTAAACTAAAAATAAAATTTTTAGAATATTGATAAATATTTCAAAAACAATTATTTTGTCTTTAGTAGATATAAAGCTTAACTATTAAGCGATTTTATATTACATCACACATTAAATAGTATAAATTCTATGATACACATTCTTAAATTAAAAACCTAATTTTTGATGTAATAAAAACGTATAATTAAGGTGGAGTCATCAAATAAAATACGAAATATTAATTAATCATTTGAATATTTTAATTTAAGATTTATAAACCTGTGAGTTAAGTTTTTACTAATAATTAATTTTAAATTAAAAAAATCAAAGATTTTTAAAAAATAGCTTATAAATTAGTGTTTAATAGTTAACTTTAAAATAATTTAAAATTAATAAACAAATATCTTTGTAAATGAAAATTTAAACATTAAGACAAACTTCTGTTTATTCTTTCTTTTTCTTTTAATTTCTTGTAAGTAAAAATAGAATTAAAACAACTAAAAATTAAAATATTTAAAACTATTTAAAGGCTCCATCCATAACATATTATAAACTATGAAAAAATCGATTTATTTATTTTAGTTTCTAATTCAGAAACTTTTAATAATTATGTTCAAGCTTAAATAAATAAATAAATTTTAAAATAAATGATTTTTTATGAAATTATAAATAATAATAATTTTTGACTCATTAAAAATTAGCTTTCTATTATAATTAAGGTTAGCTGTAAAGAATACACATGCAAGAAGGTGGTTGATTGATTAATTTTTAAATAAATAATATCCAGATAGATGAGAAAAAGAAGAAAAGATATGCATGAGATTATGCTAATTAAAATAACATAAGAATTAACTATTTATTTTTATAATTGATTTTAGTTTAAAAAGTGTCAAAATAATTTATTGAAAGTAAACATTAAAATAATAATAGGTAGTGGAAATGTCATCGACAATGATGAGCTAAATAGCTCTTATTTTTATAGATAGTTTTATAGTATTTTATATAGCTCATTCTTTAGTAAAGCTTTTAGCAAAAAAAGATAAAAAATTCACTCTTGTTTTAGTAGGCTTGGTTGCCGCTGTGCTTTTATCTTCTCATTATGTTCTGTATACAAATTTCGTTAAGGAATAAAATTATTTTGAATTCTTTGGTGTTGAAAGAGCTTACAATTCAGATATCCTTAATAAAAAATTAAGACAAACTTTAAGTTTGTATCACCCTGATAAGAATCCAAACAGTAGCTTGGAGTTATTTAACAGAGTTTCAACTATGCGTAATACTTTATCAGATCCTCATTACTAAAAGCTATATGATAGATTTGGTGAGTTTAAATATGTTGAACAATCAAAGCAAGCTGATTATCCAGGCACAAAACTTTAGTTAGCACTCTCAGGGTATGTTAATTCAATTTCTTTTTACTCTGTGCTCTTCATAGTTTCTGTTGTAATGAGTTATGGTCAGAAATTCTCTAAATACAGAATTTTATCTAGTTTGGTACTTTTAGGTTTATAGGCCTAAGATTTGATAATGCTTGCATAAGTAGATGATGCATATGAAGGAGTTAAATAAGGTTAAAGAATACCTAAATTTGAGGTAGCTAGAGATTTCTACGATGACTATATTCCATCATTTTCAATCTTTGAAAGATTAGTATTAATAAGATATTTATGCGTTGCCTTGCTTACTGCATTAAGATTATACTTCGACCTCTTGAAAGATGAAGTTGTTAATATTTATGAAGATTAAATTGATAAATAGCTTGATACAATTTATGAAAAATTGCTGAAGCAGATAGAAGTATTCAAGGTAAATCCTTAGAGTCCTCCTCCTTAACCAGATGAATAGGCCAAAGAAACAGACCCTCTTAACAAAGAATAACCTGCAAAAGTCTTTGATATTAAAGAATTTAGCAATAATAAAGAAGATTTACTCAAACTCAAAGAGTTGGCATTAAGACACAAGGAAGAAATTCCCAAAGATAGATTCTTATGGCTTAAAAAACTATTTAAATTTGGTCTCTTTTTACTGTTTATCTACTCATTTGTCTCACGCTATTTAGAAGATGACTCCCAAGACAATTAAAATTCATAACAGAGATATCAAAAGTAATAATAATAATAATAAAGATACTAGCATCACACATAGTTTGAAGAAGATGATATTTAATATTGAAAAATTTGACTCAAATAAATAATATTTCCTGTAACAGTTTAAAATTTTTAAACACTTTTTGGAGTTTAAAAAGTCTTTAAAAAAATATATTTTTGTAAAATTAAATTTTATAAAAATTAAAATTTTCAACTTTAAATTGTTTTCAAATTATTTTATGAATTATTTAATTGATTAATTAATTTATTTTATTCATCAAATTATAAAATAGATTTTAATTTACAATGCATTATATATAGTTAATTAGTGGTTTTAATTCATTTAATTATATGGTAGATTATATGCTTCAAATTGAAAAAAATTTCATGTATTGGTTGGTATTATATTAGTTATATGCAGTCTTTTCGCTTTCTGTAAGGCTATCGAAATATGGGTGCAAAAGAGCTTACTTTACTGATATTCTGTCTAAAGGATTAAGGGCTATCATTTACATAAGTAAGTCGCGAGCATCATTTTCTAAATTTTTAAATACTATAAAAGGATCTTAAGCATGGAAACGAGGGAATGTAGACTTAAAGTAAGGATAATCTTCTAATCCTTAAAATGTTTCTGAATTGGGAGTACCATGAAATTAAAAGATTTTAAATATGGCTTCTATTTCTGAATCACTTATAAATAAAGGTTTTTTTTCCATCAATTCATAGAATACGCAGCCAATACTCCACATATCTATAGCCAAGGAGTAAGTTTTTACACCCAATAAAATTTCAGGTGGTCTGTACCAAAGAGTTTCTACCTCATGAGTGAGCGTTTTGCTTGGTACTTAAAAAGTTTTAGCCAGACCAAAATCTGCTATTTTAACGTTTCCAGCCTTATCAATAAGTATATTTTAGGGTTTAATATCTCTATGAATGATTCTTCTTTAGTGACAAAAATCTAAACCGTTTAAGAGTTGATACATTATTAACTAGTTTTAAATTTTAAAAATTAGTAATAATAAATTTAACAACTTGTAATAAAAAATTACTTTTATATCATGTTATGTTAAATGTTTCATAGTTTCCAAATACTTCTTTAGATCATAGTCAACATATTCAAAAACAAGAAATAGTTTACTTTCCTCAATTTGATATATAACATCTCTTAATCTAATAAGGAACATAATTTAATGAATATAATTTAAATATATCTTTCATAGCTATGATGCAAAGAAATGCTGAAAAGAAAATAATAATCAATTAATAAAATATAAAAAATTACTTGACAATGTTTTAATGGTCGCTTAAATCCTTTAATATACAAATTTCTCTAAGGGCAGATTGAGGAATACCTTCTTATTCCTAATCTAATTTTACTTTTTTAATAGCTACTTGTGTGTTGGTTTAAGTATCAAATCCTTTGTAAACAATACCATAGGTTCCCTCTCCAATTTTTTGTAAGCATTTAAACCTATCAGGAATTTCGTTAAAGCATTATTTTTTATCTTCCTAGTGACCTAAGCTTACTTAAGATTGTAAAATATTAGTTGCCATTTATAGGTATGATTAAGTTTTATTTTTTTTTAATCAATAATTGAAGATATTAGAACCAAAAACAAAGAATTAATTATTTTAATTAATATCCATCACAAATTTAATTTTTAAAAAATTATTAGAAATGCAGATTATTTTCAAAATCTTTATTTGTTTGTTTGGTTAACGATTATATTTTTTTGAAATTTAACTGTGTCTTTTTTACTATTTAATTTTATAATTTTGAATATTTTTCAATTTGTTTTAGAAATTTTTTATTTATTTCTCTTTAAAATATTTCATTAAGTCTAAATTAAAGCAAATAATATCAAAAATAGATTAAAATTTTTAATAAAATTTTTTTAATTAAATTTTAAAAGTAATTTTTTCTTTTGGTAGTTATTTTAAAGGATATAACTGAATTGTAATTATATCACAAATATTAACATTATATAAGCATAAAAATATACATATATAAATACATATTAGAAAAAAAGCTTAGGAAATAAATAAAATTTGACATTTTGTAATTTTTTTAGTAAATTTACAAAATTTAAAGAAAATTTAAATTTAACGTTATTTGTTTGTTATCAATCAAATTCTTTCTTTTTTATTTGATTTACATATTCTGTAATGGTGCTGCTTAAATCACTCTCTTGATGATTTACCCAAAAATCTATTTTGTCAAAATTTTTACTTAAGAACTCTGCTTAGTTTTTAAAATCTACATACTTTTTTTAAAAAAATTAAGCGATTGATCAAGATAAAATTGTTTATTTTACTCCAATAATGTAAGTCTTTGGAACTCCCATTCTTTCTTCACATTCTCTAATAGGAGCAGCTGTTTACTGCAAGATATTTTCAGCTTTATCTAGCTACTCCTAAAAATCAATTAGAATAAATAGGAATATATTACAACTCTCTATCATCTATTGATACTCTTTGATTAAACTCATAATTATACGAACATGCTTACAATCCTAAAATCCTTTGCTAACCTAAGATATCTGCTTCAATTAAGATACAATCTAAGAATTATTGGTATAAACCAAAATGTTCTTTGATCTAGAATAATGCTATTATTTATTGATAAAAAATTCAAGCAAAACCTATTAAAAAAATAAAAAAGTACCTATTTCCTCCATACATCATCAGTAAGCCATTATCTTCTATGTGTTTTAGCTCTTGATTCGTTAATTTACTTTGGTAGTAAGTAGGAATGTATTTCGTCGTTATTTTAATAATATGTATAGGTAAATGGGATATCATATGTGCTTGCCCTTTTGCGTTCTACTGCCTCAATCTGATAATTTTCATGACGAGACTCATCATCTGCACTCTAAATACAGTCAAAGTTTTATTCAACAGCTTCCTTTTAAAGAGTTTGATTTATACTACTTTCCATCATTTTAGTATTCATTACACTAGTTGTCATTTGCGTTTAACTAGGAGTATTAGTTAAAACTGTATCGAACTCTCTTGAAACTCTACTTGGTGCATTGCTATCTCCATGTAAGCCTTATGATTCAAGCTAAGGAGAATCAGTAAATTATTATAATTGCATTTTCATTTTAAATGATTTTCTCAATTAGTATCCTGTAGAAGATGGATTAACACCTGACAATTTTTCAAGAATGCTTGTATTTTTTCTCATTTTAGCATTATTTCTGTTAATTTTTCTTCTTTATTAAGTATTTGATTGGCTGTTATCGCTCTCATCTCCTCCTGCACCATGGTTATTACCAGGAGTTGCAGCAGAACTTTAAGAATGGAATAAGTAGGGGCTATTTCTTAAATCCTTCATCTACTGAATAACATTAATCTAATTTAAATAATAAAAATATGTTAATTTATTTGAAAACAATTTAAATCTTTTAATAATCATAAAAAATAATTTTGTTCAAATTTTTAATTTTAAATAAGAAATATAAATATTTTTTTATTATTAAACCAAAAATTTTAGATAAAAACAGGATTTATTAAATTAATAAGTATCCAAAAAATCAAATTCAATTGATTGTTTTTTAAAAGCATTTCATAAAATAAATCTTGATCAGAAATATTATTCAAATTTTAATCTTAAGTGGACTTTTTTTAATGCTATGATTAGAAAATTAAATAGTGTTTAAAATATTGAACACATGTGATAAGTTAATATAAGTTTAAAGTAAATATTTAGTTTTAAAAATAATTACATCTTATCCTGAGAGTAATTTGGAGTGACTGATAATTTATTTAATAACTAATGAAGTATCTTAGATGAAAAGTGGTTTGTATAACTTAAGTGTTTCTTAGATTTATTTGCATACCATTTAAATTTTTTATTATTTTTCATCTATTTATTCATGTTCTTCTTCCTCCTCTTCTTCAATATTTTTTTTCTTTTCTAAAATTAGATTCTCAGATTTAAATTCGGTAACTTAAATATTATCTTCCTTTAGTAGGAATGCCTTGATGGGATTAATTAATCTATCTTGATTTTTAATATTGTTTCCAGTTTTTACTTCAAGTGGAGAAATAAGGCTTTATCCATTTTGACCTTTTTTACTTGAACTTTAGTTGTTGTTTTAGCTGTAGGATTTGGAAGAGTTTAGCACTGGAGGAGTACTATCTGGTATTTTCCTATAACTTGAGGAAGTTTTCTATTAATATTAACTGCTCGCTTATTTGTTATCAGATAAGAACAAGTCTTTCTTTTCTTCTTCTTCACTTGTATTATTTTCTTCTTAAATTCTCTATGAAACTTATCTTGAAAGAGAGCGAACCTTATTTGTGCTGCCTACAATAATTTCATCTGTGAATTATTTTGATTAGGGTTGGGCTCCAATTATTGATGTCCTTCTTCTGCCTTGTTTATGAATGTTAGAATTCAAAGGCATAGCTTTAGGTGATTAAGCTCCCATTTTTTACAAATTGAATAAATCACTTGACTTTTTTATACTATCCCTGTGATCTTTATGATAGATAGAAGATGGATTTGAAATAGGAATTTATGGTATTCCTGAAGAAGAACCAGAATTACAAGAAATCTATGAATTTATGCAAATTGTATCATCACTTTCCTTTTTAATTGGTTATAAGTTGTTTCCACTCGATTAATTAGTGATCTGAGGTTTATTTATAGATGGTTATGAATTAACTCCTTGCTACGACGAAGGGATATTGGACTAGCTTAATGAAAGTTGCTCTTAAAAAATAAAACAAAATCAAAATAAATATTTCAAATAATAATTTTTTACATGAAGAATCGATTTCCTTATTTGTTGGTATTTTATTTATCCTAGATTGCTGTTGAGCTCCTGAAAACATTTTATTGTGAAGTGCTTTAGTCTTAACTTTACGAATTGTCTTTTTTGCCTCTTTTTCATCATGATATTACCACAAAAACATATTTTTCTAAAGACTAATCGATATAAATAAATATTTAAATAAAATAATTGCATGAAGAATATTCTAAAATAAATTTTGAAATACTTTATTTTTGGATCTCTTGCAAATGATAGATTCAAAGGAGCAGGACATCTTATTGTATTTTTTAAATTATTTTTTTAAGTCATTGCTTTCGTCATAGTAGTTCCTAAGCGCATACTTAAAGTACTCTCATTGCTACTACTGTATTTTCCAGGAAATGTTTGCATTGAAACAGGTTAAACACTAAGTGAAATGCTCAAGAGATAAATGTTTTAATCATTTTTACTTTTGGGATTACTTTCTATATCACCTTAGTGCTCATCATTACTATCATGGTGTGCGTCACTGATTATAATATCATGATATTATTTTTTTTCAAGGTCAAATTCACCATCATATCTCTTTAGCTGCAAGAAAATAAGGAATAGATTAACGTAATCTTTACCTTAATTAAGCAAATCAGAGGGATTGATAAAATCGTTAGCATCGATATTTCTTACTTTTTTGAATACTTTCTAAAGCAATCTCTCTGTTTCAGGTAAACAATGGAATTCAAAAATAAAAAGTAGATCGAATATTTCGTTTCTCCTAATTTATTTAAGTTTGCAATCTATTTTGAAATCTTATTTCTTATACACTGGTTCTGCTGCATTTCTAGGTACCTAACCATCCTAGCCTAATTTAGGACTATTTTTGAAAGTTAACGAATCGATATTCTTCTACTCATGCTTTTCTTCAATAGGTTGTATTATTAAATCTAAAATGCTCACCATCATCTTTTTTTTTTCATATTAAAGTTTTAATTTAAAATTAATTTTGAATTTAATTTTTTTATAAAATAAAAATGGAAAATTAAATTTGATAAAGGTTATTGTGAAAAATTACATGGTGAAATAGAATATCATCTGCTATGACTTCATGTGATGGGAAGGAGCCTTCAAACTAAACTTTAATTTAATTGACTAAGTGCAGTTTTTTTACTAAGATGATCTCGACAGCTTAAATTATGTTAGCTTTTATGTTGAATTCATTTAAGTTTTTCTACTCAATTTTATGGAATTCGTTATTTAGCTTTCTGATAAAATAAAGATAGATGTATTATTAATGATATTCATAAATGCATTTAGACAACTCTTTTAAGTCATCATTTTTTATGACATTCAAAGAAACCATATTGTACCATTTCAAGTAATCACGTTCAAGCTGACTAATATTATCTGAAGAGTTTTTAAATAAGAGATCATAATAATATTCATTAATTTGAACCATTTCTGAGACTTTTGGTTATTTTTCTAAAATAATTTGTATCATCTTGCTGCTTTTCCACATTATTGGTCCCATTAAAAGTTTATAATAAACTTTTTGGTAATTTTCTGTCTGTTGTAGTCCAACTGTTTCAATTTATTCATAAACAGACTCTTCCGTTTAGTTTGACTAATTATTGAGATTTATTCCTTTCCCTAAGCTTTCGTCAAGCCATACTTCTAATTCTATTTCCTTGTCTTGCTGAATGACTTCTTACACCTTTTTTTAGAATTAAATAAATTATTTTTATAATTATCTATTTTTTTTAATTTATAAATTCAATATTTTTGGTATTTAAAATAAACTCTATTCCTAGCTTTTAAATTTATTTAATTAACTTATTTATTTAATATTTTATAGAGGCTTACCTTTTCTTAAATAATAACTCCCTTGCTTTAGAATTTTTTGTCTCTTGCTGCATTTGCTGCACTGGTGCTTTGTTGTTCCTTGTTTTTGAATAGTTGACTTAAATTTGTAATTCGCTCATTCACTTCTTCGCAGCTTCTTATAAAATGTTAGCCTTTTTCATTGTAGAAAACAATTTGCATGTGCTAGTCGATAATAAAAAAGGTAGTCATGTTTTTTAAAGAGAGGTAGGAATTGCTTTTATCTGACTTCTAAAAAGAGTTTATAAATATCCAATACCTTCTCATAATTCTATTTATGATATAACATATAGTAATAGTTAAAAGAGTATAACTGCAAATCAAGTTGCTTGAAGAGTAAAAGAATTCAAATAACGTTGTCTCATATAAGTTATTTATATTACAATAGCTTTGGTAGGGCATTTGCTTTCTAGCACAATCAAATTATTCTTTCTCTCTGCAAAGAATCATAGCTTACAATATAGAATTTTAAAAGAAGGTTAGCGCTAAGCATTGTAAAGGAGTAGTAATAATAATGGTATTTTAAATAATTATTCCTATTTATCCAAATATTTGCCAAAGTTCTATATCAACTAGGTTCTTGTCCAACAACATAAACTAAATAGTTATTAATTCAAAAAAAATAACGATCAAAATTGCTAATCGTTGCAAATGGTACGATTTCTTATTCCTAAACGTATAACCCATTAAATAAGACACTACCAGTAATAATATTAATCCCAAATCCTAGTAATTTAAAAGCTCTTTCAAGTGAAACCAAGGTATAATCTTTGCTAAACTCGTGATAATCACTAAAATTTACGTTTATTGAAACAAATCTAAATTTATGTAAAACATAGTTTCTTAGATGAAAGTCTCTTCCGATTTAGGATTCAAAAATTTCCCATATTTATCCTAAAAATAACAACTTTTATTAAGGTACTAGTTGTACAAAGTGCCCTTTTTAAAGCCTGCACTTGCTCCACCTCCTCCTCTTCTTTAAGATTTCATATTTATAATTTATTAATTAAATGATTATAAATAATATTTATTTTAGTGTATTTCAAACTATTAACAATCAATCCTAATTGCACTATAATATAAACAAAATTTATTCTTATTTATCTTACTATTTATTAATTTATATATATATATAATTATTGATTGATTAATTATCTCAATATATAATCTCTTCTTTATGTATTCATTTTTTAAGTAGTTTATCCAATTTATTAAACAACTAACCAACTAACCGTTCATTCATTGCATTTGTCTTAAGCAATAAAATTAGATTTATTTTGTAAAATTTAAAATCATAGTTTAAAATTTATTATTTAAAACAATTTTAAGAAATAAAATTGAAGCTCGATTAAAATTACATTTTATTATTAAATTATTTGAAATAAATTAACCAATTGAATTATTCACTACCCTGCTTAAAATAAAATTTATAATTCATTATCTTATTTTAAATAAGATAACTTAAATAGTAAGAGTATTTTAACAAAATCAAAGTTTTACTCATTCATAATTAGATTAAAGAAAACATTTAGCAATGATTTTTGATTGTTTCAAAGTTAACTGAAGGTTACATTAGATTTAAAAAACTATTAATTAATTTAAATTTAATGTATTGAATTATCCAATATTAGACTTCATATTTACACTGGTATATATAAGCATCACTGTCATAACACTTCAAATATTAATTTCCTTTCTATATATGATTTATTTGTCAGTTTCAATGCTTTAAAAAGTTTACCTAAAATTTAAAATAATAAATTTTGTTATTTAATTCAACTAAATAACTGTATTAATTAATATTTTCTATTTAAATTTAAAGCAACTTTGAGTTTAATACTTAATTTCTGTAATCAATGTTGCATGAAAATCTAAATTATGTTTTAAAACTATACTCTGACCAATTAAAAATAAAATTCTATTTTTAAACAAACAATACTATTTTTAGTTTAAAAAATAAAAGAGAAATTTAATTATTGAAACAAAAGTAAAAAAATTAGATTTAAATTAAATTTTTAACTGAAAAAATTAGCAAATTTAATTTCTCATTTTTTAGATTGTATTTATTGAAGTAGAAATGCAAAACAAGAATGTAGAAGAATTATTAATTAATTAATATTTTTATTTGTTTTGTTTTTTTTGGTTTGAAGGATTTAATTTTAATTTATTAAATTAAAAATTGAAAGAAATTTCCTAAAGATATTTTAATTTTTAGGCAATTAAATCTATTGATATTGTCAAGAAAGTTTAACTAAAAATACGCTACAAGGAGATTTATTAGAATTTTAAGAAAGCAAGCAATAAAGAGTAAATAAACTTAAAATAGAAACTATGAAAAAAAACGCATCTAAAATTTTTAACAGACTCAAACTAATCCAAAATAAATAATAAAGTGTTCAGTTTGGTGTTAATAGATTGAAACCTCTTTATGACTTTTCTGCCAAAGGGATTGCTGAAAATATAACCACAATAAAAAGATATTATCAAGATGTTGCTTATATAGGACCATCTATCTCCTCCTTTCTTCAAGATATACCCCATAGTATGGTATTTCTGAAATTTATTTCTTTCAATATTCGAACAAGGTTTTCTATTTTTATTTGATCATATTGAAGTAATTATTTTATCTAATAATTTTATAATTATAATCATACAGATCTTGATCTCAAAAATTTGTTTATTTGTGATAGCACTGAAGAGCTAGTTAGGGAAAGCCTACAAGAAATTGATTTAATTGCTCCTTAAATAAATTTATATAAAAAATTCCCTGATTTAAAAATTTATCCTCTTATTGTAGATGAGGAACTGTTTCCTTTTAAATCAGAATCCCTTGATATGGTTATTTCTAACATGAATATGCATTACGTCAATGATTTGTCTGTAGGGTTCTCTAGAATTTTAGATTCTTTGAAGCCAGATGGCACTCATATAGGTAATAAGCGAATTTAACAAATCAAATTGTATTAAAATTCTTTGAGTTTTTTTTTAAATTTAATCTATTAAGATGAAATGAGCACATTTTTATTTAAAAAGATAGAAAATCATATATTTATATTGTATATTTTTTGATATAGGAGCAATATTAGGAGAAGAAACACTGCAAGAACTAAGAATTGCATTTACTTTAGCAGAAAGCGAAAGATGTGGTGGTGTGAGTTAGCATGTTAGTCCATTTGTTACAATTACTGAATTAGGAAATTTGATTACAAGATTATCTTATAATCTACCAACCGTCTTTTCTGAAAAGAGAATGCTTTACTTTGAAAGTTCTGTTGATCTAATGCAGTTTTTGTACAAATTTATATAAAATTCAAAATTAATTATAATTATTTTTATAAATATCAGGCAAGATTGTGGAGATAACTCATGTCTTCTTGAAAAGAGAAAAGGAGTTTTAAAAGATACACTTTTAGGAAGTATTGCTATATATGATTCACTCTTTAAAGAAATAAATGATCCTGAGTATAAAAATTAGATATTTAGTACATTTGAAATAATAAGCTACGCTGGCTGGAAATATCATGAAAGTTAGCCAAAACCAAAGAAAAGAGGTAGTGCAGAATTCAGCTTGAAGGACCTAAGTAAAGAAATAGTTGATATAGATCCTGAAGCTGCCTAAAGAATGAAATCAGGTGAAATACTTGAAGAAGGGGATGGGCCAGACGAGGCTGACCCTTTACAAGATTTATAAAATGAAAATGAGTTAGAGCCAAAAAAGAAAAATTGAAATATAGTTTATAGTGAATTAAAATGAAATCGATTTATAAAAAAGTAATAAATATTCTATATAGATAGCTAAAGTATTTTATCAGATTTTAATTGCTGAAAGAAGCATCGAAATAAGTTTTCTTTAAAATTTATACATTATTAATTAATATAGTTATTTATATATTTTTTTTTCTTTAAAAATTAAAATTAAATGATTGTGTTTTGTGATTTTTAGTTCATCATTTTCAAATCTGATACATTTTAAAAATTAGTTTCCTTAATGTGTTAAATAAAGCAAGCAATTTATTTAACAATATTTTATATTTTCAAAAATTTAACAAATTTTACAAAAAATTTTAGATTAACTACAAAATAAATAATTAGTTATTAAGATAATTTATAAGTATTGCTTACGAAAATATAGCAAATAGACATAAAATTAAAAAAATGGATCTTTTGAAGAAGAGAAATAGCAGAAACATTATCGGTAGCAAATGTAGAGCATTTATTTTTCCTTTTTGAAAAGAGTTTATTTTAGTATTTTAAATTATGATAAATAATAGCTGTGTAAAATATCAATGCTAGGAAAGAAGACTTAAAAGACCAAGACCCAGCAGATATTTAAGAAAAGGAGTATCAGAATTATAAGCAATTTGACACAGAATTTTCTCAAATACTGTAGAGACTTTAGCAGCTTTAGTCCAAAGAGCAATTGCTAAAACTTAAGTAATTTATTTTATGGAAGAAAATAAATAATTAAGCAATAATGTTTATATAATAGTGATAATTAGATTAAAGAGTTATGTTAGAAAATTTATATTTTAATATTTGATTGGTAGAAGTAAACAAAAGAAAACTAAGAGATTTATTGTAGGGAAAGTCTGCTCTAGGGTTTGATTTCTTTACTTATAAATTTGCAAAGTGTTAAGGGAAGAGTAAGAATCTTAAAGTAGAGTTTATAAATGTTTAGAGTGATAGGATACCAAAGAATTGTTGACCCTAATAATGAATGTACCGAAACAATAATGACAACTTAAGATTATTTAGAATTGGTTATAACTGTGCTGAAGGAAATATTTAACTACACTAAAGACAAGGATATAATTTCTATTCTTGTAGAAGAGGGAATTTTTGGTGAAGTTGTTGAAACATTGCAATCTTTAAAAGCTTATATTACTTCTAAATATAATTAAATAACAGGAATAGATATTCTTTATATTTTCATATAAATTCTTAAAAACTTAGCAAATGAAGAAAAACTTAGATATAGATTTTTTGAAAAGCGTGCAATGGACATAATTTCAGGTTACTTGCATCACTTTGAGCTTACCTAGGATGAGGTAAATATTAAAAAAATAATAATTATCTTTAAAATTAAGATTCATTTTTTTGTTGTTTGAGCTAAAAAAATATTTATTGTTGCTATAAAAATATATTTTTAACAATTAATTAGAAGGAAGAAGAAAGAGACTAAAAAATTATGAAGCTTTATAGCTAAATTACTGCTCTTTTAAGAAACTTAGCTGTGGATATTAATTGTACAAAAGTATTCTTAGAATTCGGAATTATCGATAAACTTTGTTTATCAATTGTACTTTATCCAAATGAATAAAACGAACTCATGCTAAACACAATGAGAATCTTGTCTAAAATATCTTTGAATAAAGAATGTTCATTGAAAATATTTGAAAACCAGGATTGTATCAAAAATATCTGCTCTTTATTTAAGATTTTCAAAACCAACATTTTTATAATAATTCGTATTTCGTTTATCTTTGCAAACATAACCACTTATAATGAGTCTATAAGAAATATGATTTACTTTTAGTTTAATGCCTTTAAGGATATTTACAATTGCTTTGAATATTATGCTTAAAGAGAACTTACTCCATTAAAAAATGAAACTGTAGATAAACTAGGTCTTTCTACAGCTGCTTGGGATTTTAAAATCATGCAAAAAGAGTAATTAATCAATCTTATTTTTTAAATGATTTTTAAAAACCTTAATTTAAAATTTTATTTAATTTTGTTATTTTAAAAATAATTTTTTAAATATTAATTGAGTGTTTTACTGGATTTAATATTTTATTGATTATTTTCACTATATTGGCTATTTTATAAATTTAGCTATTTAATTAAACTTTGTTGAAAAGCTTAAAGCAACAATTTAAAAACTTTAATAGTAAAATTTTTTAATTTTTTTATTTTATTAAAAAATCCATTTTTGTGTGATATCAATAAAATTGTTTTTTAAATGAATATTTATAAAATATATTTAAATAATCAGATCAGATTCAGAAGCTTTAATTAAATTATTGCGTTTAATAGCAAATTTAATGACTGTTTAGGAAATAGGGACACATTTAATCACTAAAAAAGGAGTGTATTATCATGACTTGATAAAGAAATGCAAGCTCATCCTTTAAAAATACAAAGATATAAATGAAAAAAATTAAGAAATAATTAACTGTGTTTTGAGTTGTCTTGCTAATGTTTCTTTTTATGATAAGCAAGCAGCACTTACAAATGATTTTGAATAAAAAAATATGAAGGCTGAGCTTGTAATTCAAATCGGAAGCTACATTATGCAAAATGATAGTGAGGATATATGCTGTGAAGCTCTTCGTGTATTAAGCAATTTGAGTAGATCAAAAGACCTCATTAAGTAAATAATTAAATTCAAATTATTAGATGCAGTTATACTCTTGTTAGACTCTAATTCTAAGGATATTGTTTATTATGCTATTGGTACTCTCATCAACCTCACAAATTCAGAAGACATTAAGTATTTTTAGTTTTTTTTAATCAGATTGTAAGTATTATTTTAAATTAACTTAGGAAATTAATGGATAACAGTGTTATGGATAGTTTATTATAAATAGTAGAAGATTGCACTTTAGATGACAATGATTTGATTTCTATTACTTTAAAGGTAGATTAATTTAAAAAGAGTGTATTAAATTAAATAATATAATTTAAATAAAATAGTGCGTTGGAAACATAATGGAAAACAATAATAAAATTCAGTAAGATTACACTAAGAAGATTGAAGCTGCTCTTATGAAGTATGGTGAAGAATGTGATATAGTTATTGTAAGATATAATTATTTAGAAATTTATTATTATTGTAAATAAAAAATTAAATGATATTTCTATTTAAATAGTCTCATACAAAGTAAGAAACTGACAAAATAACTGAAATATATGAATTGAGAGGACTGATAAATTAAATTCTTAATAGCATGCCTGAAGAGATGTATGCTTGTCTTGTACCAAGTAACAAAATAACAATCTAAATTACTTATTTTTTTATTATTAAGCTCATCTAAATAATAAATGCTTAAACTTATAACTTTTTTTAAAAAAGATTGTGGAAGAAAGTTTAAGGAGCACAGTGAATATATAAAACATATGCAAAGAAGACACAATTTGTGAGGAGTTCTAAGAAATGATACACAAAAAATTTTTAATTAATTAGACTTTAAAAACAAAAATAATAATATTCTATTTTATAAAATTAATTAATCTATTTTATACATTTATTTATTTTCTTTCTTTCTTTCATTGTAAGTAATATTTTTAATATTCTTGTGAAAACTTATAAAATCAGTTTGTTTTATCACTTTTATATCCATATGATGGATTTCGACTGTGGTTGCTTTGAGTAAATATTTCAAACTAATTCCTGCGTTAGTAAGGAGTAGAGTTTAAATCTTATTTATTTTGTGAATAATCTTGGTTTTAATGTGTTCGTTAATTTTTAATTTCTGAAGATATCTTTAACAATTCAATCACTTTGCTACTTAGATATTCTAACTAGGTTTCTGAATTTCCTATTCGTTCATCAAAGCTGTTAAGACTTTCTTCGAATGTTTTAACTGCTTAACTGATATTATTGATAGATTCTTTAATTTCTTCATGATTTTAAGATTCGCTTTCATTTTTTATATTAATCTAAGAAGATTATCTTGCTTTGTTTGTTTGCTTTTGGTCTACCACTTCTCTTGATAAATAATTTATACTTTTTTTGTTTGATGAAGACAGCTGATGATTTAAAGCACTTTTACTTGCAGATAATACTATATTTTCCTTAAAAACCTAATTCAAGTCTAATTATTCGCAGCTATAAGCGTCCTTTAATTATTTTTAAAGCATTTAGTTGAGTTTTATTTTGAAAATTTTACTTAACATTGAATACAATCTTCAAATAATAGAAATTTCATTCTTATCAAATCATAAGCTTCAGTTGTTGCAATATACATTCTTCCTATTTCCGATTTACAATTTCTGCACAAAAACATTTCGTAAACACACAATTCAGTTACTGCATTAGAATTGTCTTAGTTTTACTCAGAAATAAACTTTTATTCCGATTTAATAACACTTGATATACTACCTTCAAGGGAAATAAATTTAATTTCATCTATAACATAAATGGATTAAATTTTATTAGTTATAGATATAAAGTTGAGGCATTTTTTGCATTAAATAATTCCTTGTGTTTGTTGGTATTACATGCTATTTATTGTTAATTAACAGACAGACAAACTACAAAAATAAAATAGTGATGTATGCTAATTTTTTGACTAAAAAGATATTTTATTAAAAAACTTACAATTTTTAAATAGTAAAAAATAAATTTACAAAAATTAATTAATTAATTGGAATACTTTTAGAAATTATTTAAGTAAATTTGATAGAAAATTAAGTACAAGATAGATAGTATATAAATGAAATACTTTGACAAATTGAAATAAAATAATTTAAATAATAATTTATATAATTTTTATTAATTGATTGAATTAATAAATCATTTTAATTTAGTTGAGGATTGTTTGAAATAATTTTTAATTTTAATTAATTTTTTTCTCAGTTTTAACCACTTGAATTTGATTTATTCTTGTAAAAGGTAAATAAATTTTGTTATTATGTTTCTTATTGATCAGGATTTTCTTCAATTAATATATTTTAATTAAAAGTATGTTTATCATTATGATGTTGTTAGTCTTAGGAAATTATTTTATTTTATATTTTTTGCTTTATCTTTTAAATTTAAAGTTTGTTCATCGAACTAGTATTTTATAGCTTTGTAAATGTTGCAGTAATATTGTTTGGATCGTTTAAATTGTAAAGGGAGAAGATTTGTTCTTTTGTTAAATCATTTGTTGATTTTTATATGAATTTAAACGAATCATCATTTTCTTCTGTTTTTAATCTTGATAAGTTTCGGCTACGAATAACTTAATTCTCTTAATTATTAATTTAATTTTATTCTATCTGAATCGAGTTGTTTTTTCCTTTAGATTTTTTTATTTCCTTTATTTTTTATTCCCATAGTTTTTTTTATTCAGGATTTAGAGATTACAGTGGATTAAGAGTAAGTAAATTGGCATCTTTTTAATTATCAATGACAGATTATTTTCTACTTTGATCTTTAGGTTAAATTGTTTAGCCTGAGCTTAACTTTTATGGAAATATTACGTGAGATTACTAATCAATAAATTATTAATTAAATGGATTTTGATTTAGCTAATAAGGTTAACATTTAAGGTATTTTGATGAGGTTATTTGAGATTACATTTAGCTTTTTACTGTATTATTTGGGTCGTTTTTCTGCTATTTTTAAAGGAGTTGCTAATATTATAGTTATTACTTTTACTGAGAAAATTGAGTTTAAGGGAAGTTAAGAGGTTTTTATTAAAGAAGTTAATTTACTGAGGAATTTTACTTTCTTTCTGAGAGTGACTATAATGATTTGTAAATTAAGCTTTTTCCCTTTTGAAAATTTTATTGTAAATTATGAAAGTTGTATTCGCTCTAATGGTCTTTTTCGTATGTGAAAGCCTTGTTATTATTTTCCTACTTCAAAATATTTTGATTGTTTTGCTGTACTTTTAAGTAGTAGTCTTTTGAATCAGATTCATTATCTGTTTTCATAATTTAATTCATTCTAAGGACAGTTTAGAATTCATCACTTTAAGTGCTTTGAGCAAGATTAAAATTTTAGAATTATTTTTATTTCATATACACTTTTGCAGTATCGTCAGAGAAGTTTTAAAATAAATTATAATGATCATTATTCATGTAATTATTAGAGTTTGGTTGAGCGAATAGCTGATTTTTACTTTTCCTTGAAGTTAGTTCAGAAAAGTTTCTTAATATTTACTTCTTTATAGCTGATTCATTTCTACCTAAAATATCAAAAAAATAGATTTGTTTATTAAAAAAAATTTAATTAAATTATTACTTGAATAACATTCATAAAATTCTTATTTTTAATCAGGAGAAACATTTGATCTTCTTGTGAATAAATCAAAATCCACTTTAGGAACTTAAAAATTTTAAATCCTTCCACTTGAAGTTTCTGGCTTTTAATTGATAAAAATACTCTTTACAAAATTTTTGGCTGAAGTATCTGTCATATTGTTTTTCGCTTTATAGATTTATCTGTCTCTTGAAAGCGTTTATGAATCATTATTAGCTGTTATCTAACCAATGTTAATTTACCTTCTTTGTTTGTTATTTTAAATGCCCTGATAAAATTAAATAAATTTTGAGAAAAGAGTTTTCTGAATTTATAGCAAAATCCCACTCTCACTTTTACATTAAAATAAGCAATTATTAAAACTCTCAATCTGCGGCTATTATTTTGATTCGAACTAATCTTGATAATCATTTTCAGAATTGACATTATTAAATTTGAAAATCTCCTATTAATGATTGGTTGCGATCACATCCCCGTGATTATATTCTTGTGACTATTAACATTTTAATTTAATGTTAAACTAATTTATAAATTTATTTAATTTATCTACCGTTGAAATTCCTTGATTTGATTACAGTTTAGGGAAGGAGATTTTACTCTTTTTATCACTAATTTTCAATGTTTCTTCTTCAAAATACAAGATTCTCTACAAATTAAAAAACACTTTAACAACAAATAAATATATTTTATTTTACTTAAAATTTCCCTTAAAGTACTATCATGTAATTCTCAAAAGAACATTTAAACTCTTCCTGATGCATGTAATTAAAAATTTTAGAGCTTGCAATTATTCTCAAGATGTTTTGTTCAGATAATAAAGAAAAAAAGCTTAAGTCTCTTAAAGCACAAACACATTTTTGAATCAGATCTATAATTTTTTGCCCTAATATTGCTTATTCTTAGTTCTGTATATCAATTTTCGCTATTATAGACTCCTCTAATGCAACTAATGTCTTAGCAACTCCAGTTTGTCTTGCAAATTGAACTAACCCAAAGCTACTACCAGCTTCATATATTCTTCCTACCTTCGTGCTTTATGCTGGCTTAACTTGCAACTTTCCCTTTAAGACAACTATTAAACAAATCTGAGGATTATCTATTAAAAATAAAAATATATCATTAATATAATTATGCTTATTTTTATTCTTTGTCTATAAAAAAACAATGATACATTCAATAAATACCTTTATTTAAAACAATATGATTCTGACTACATATGTAATACTACATTTTTTCTTACATATCCTTCAAATCCTTGTAGCTTATTTCGTAATTAAATGGAAGAGATTCAAAAATCTAATTTAAATTTGTCCGTCCTACATATTTATCAGAAGCTACTTAGCTCAATTCCAATTAATACTGTTTAATTTTTATTTTAAAAACCCTAAATATATGCTCAGAAGTTATATTATGTATACCATTTTATTTGCCTGTTTAAAATATGTATATATCTTTGTAAGATGAAGCTATCTATTTAAGAGCTAATTCCTCTCAATGATTTTTTTAAGTCTTTATTTGGAATTTAATTTATTTTTACAAGTCTTAAAAAGCTTTTTAATATCTTAAATTTCTTAATTATATCAAACAGCTAACCACTCGCTCACTAACTAACGAAGCAATAGTATAATTTATACAATAACTATAGGTTATTGTTGTATTATAAAGTGTACTTAATTATATTTGTAATACAAAATTTATCTATAATTTTAAGATTATTCAAATTTTCATCAGAAATATATTGAAATAAAGTATTTTCTTACATTATTTGTTTATTTTTTTATAGAAAAAAACCATTAATTTTAAATAATAGTATTTATTTTCATCTAATTAAATAAAGAAATTAAGATTATTTCAAAAATAAAATGAATTTACTCATTTTTAATCGAAATATTTAAAATTTATTTATATATTATTATTTATACATTAAAAATTTTTTTAAATTCATTTTAGAGATAATAGTTTTTTATTAACAATAATGTATTTTTAATGTCTCAATATATTTCTTACACTTTTATGATTTCTTTGCATAATTCCTAATTTTTTAGATTAATTTTAAGCTTTTTTGTTTTGACTAAATATTTATATTTTTTAAATTGTAAAATTATATATAAAAGTAACCAATAAACTACCTATCAATTAAGAGGATTGTATAAAATTTTAATTAGCATTAGTAAATTATTTGCTATATTTTTATAATAATTATTAAAACTACCATATTACTTCTATTTAACACCAACATAAAATTGAGGTATTCCCCATTTTAATCAAAAAAAAATAATAGTAAATAACAAAAAATAATGATAATTCATTTATATTTTAAATAGTGGGTGGCAGTAAATGATTTTTTTTTAGAAAATACAAAAAAATATTAAATTTAAAAAATTGATAAAAAATTAAATTTATCTTCTAAAACTATTATAGCTCGTGCTATCAAAAAATACATTTTATTGAATCATAACTAAATATAATACTGAAACAAGCAAAAAACAAAATTAAAATTATTATTTTAAACTGATTTCAAATATTTTTGTTTGCAAGTGGGTAATCAGTATAACCTTTAGCACCTTATGTAAAGAATGTTGATCTATCTACCTTGTAGTTAATTTCATAGCCATTTTAAACTCTTTCAGGTAAATCTGGGTTAGAAATAGATAATGTTCCAAATGAGACAGCATCACAGATATTGTTTGATAAATAATTTTTCATGTCTTCAATAGAAACATTATCATTTGCAATTAAATTTCCTTTACATAATTTTCTCATTATTTCAAAAAATGTTTCAGTTGGTATTTATTTAGCTCCATCAGAAGAATCATCCCATTAGTTAACACCGTGTCTTTTAACTTCTATGAAAGCCAAACCTCTGCTATCTAGCTAAGGAATTAAGTATTGTAATAAACTCATAGGATCAGAATCAAACATGTAATTATTTCTCCCTGTGGGTGAAAGTCTAATAGCGACTCGATCAGATCCAAAAACACTAATCAAAGCATCTATTACTTCTAGACAAAACCTTGATCTATTCTCAACAGATCCTCCATATTCATCTGTTCTATCATTTACCCCATCACGTAGGAATTAGTCAACCAAATAACCATTGGCTGCATGCAGCTCTACTCCATCAAATCCAGCTCTCTTTGCATTAATAGCTCCTTATTTGAATTCGTTAATAACCTATTAAATTCCTTCTTTTGTCAATCTTTCTGGTTTTCCATATTCTTCATTGTTTGCAAAATAATTTTTTCCTGGAACAGGTTTGTCTGTAGAAGATATTGGTGCTTTACCTCCAGTTTAGCTTAAACTTACTGCCCTTCCACAGTGCCAAATTTGTAGCATTATTAAACCCCCTTTGCTATGAACAGAGTCAACCACTTTTTTCCACCCTTAAACTTATTCTTCAGAAAAAATACCAGCTGATCCTATTTAATTTTTTTTAAGTTTTTAAAATAATTTTGAAATTTTGTTGACTCAGATAAACTAAATAAATAAATACCTGGAAAACAGTTACTCAAAGGAGAAATTTAACTACACTCAGTAATAATTAAACCAAATGAAGCTCTTTAAGTGTAATACTCTACTAATAAATCGTTAGGAACTCCATCATCAGGATTAGTTCTTTGTCTTGTTAAAGGAGCAACAACAAATCTGTTTTTTAATTTTAAAGCTCCAAGCTAAACTTCAGTAAAAAGGTTTGAAATTTGAGAAGACATTTTGTGAGTTTTGATATGTTAGAATTTAATATTTGATATTTATTATTTTAATTATTTAATAACATTTTAACAATCACCGCAACTCTAATTTAATTTACCAGAAGGAATTTTTCCAGAAAATTTAATTACTCAAAAATAAAATTAAGCTCTTCAGACTCTATTATTATATTAAAAAATAAATTAAAGAACATTTTTATTATTATTTGATTTATTTATAATGAAAACTTAAAATTTTACATAAATTATTAAAAGATTTTAAATGTTTTTTTTTTTTAAGTTGTATTTTGCATTTATAAATGCTTGTTTAAAATCAAGTACTTTAAATACAAATTTATTTGAACTTTTCTAATAAAAAAACATAGCAATTATTTTTTTCTAGATTAATTAAAGAAAAAATGTGTTACAAAAATTTAATTATAACTCTAATATTACTAAATAATGAGTAAGTAACTATTTTTAATAAAATGTAAATAAATTAGTTAGTTCTATTTTAAATAGTTTTTTTATTACAATTTTAAAATCAACTTAAATTTTTACTATGTTGTTATCAAATTATATTCAAATTAATAAATATTAAATAAAAATTCTATTTTTAATTTATGAAAATTAATAAAATTTTTACATTTACTACTTCAAAAAATAAATTAATAAATAAATATTATATTTTATTTTTATTTTTCTATCATTTTTCCAAATGTTATATAAATTAGATTATTAATTTAATACATTATTGGAATATCCTAATATAATTTATCTCAAAGGCTAATATAAAATCTAATCAACAAAAAACCAAAAAACAAATTAATTAAAAATATAAATTTTTAAAAATTTATTAGAAAGATTAATATTTTTCATATATTTTTTTTTCAATTATAATAGAAAATTTTTTAATGAATTAATTTCTATTTTTTTTTCCATATTTTATTTAAATATTTAAATTGTTATATTTTATAAATTATTTATGTATGTTTATTAAAAAAAGTAGATTCTTTAAAAAATTAGAAAAAATCATTTTAAAAAAACTTAAATATATATTTTGCTCATTTATATAAATTAATGGTATAAGATTAAATATAGAAATATTTGATTTATATTTGACATAAGTGATATAGAAAAATTAAATTTAATAATAATTTACTTAAATAATGTGTAAAAGAAAGCTTATTTACCTTTTTTAAATATTAAATTGAAATACTTAATTTATCAAATGATAAATTAATAACCAATAATAATTAATGTAAAAATATAATCAAAGAATTTTATTTCGTAGATATTAATTAATTTACAATCATTTAATATATCGAATTAATGATTTGAGATCGCTTTTAAAAAGCTATACATATTATAGTAAACAATTTCTCTAAAAGATTGAATAAATAAGCAAAATATCACATAAATTGCTAATAAAATGGATGTCGAGGAGAGAAAAGAGCTGCTAAGTCTAATATTTGACAGCGATATTATTTATTAGATATCCTACAGCATGTGTGTGAATGCTTTAAAGTATTAATTTTATTTCACTTGGAATATTTTTGGTTTAAAAACTGCAAACTATTTATTTTGATTTCATTTTTACATGATATTAAAGAAAATCAGACAAGTTGAAACAAGAAGAAGACCTCTATGTTATTGAGAAAAATCTTGCAGAAATTAATGGGTTTTTTAAAGAAATAAAGAAATAAAATAATTTTAGTAATTACATGAATTTATTGAGGTATTTAGAATATGTTCAGAAGCCTAAGTATTCTACAGTATTCAATTATGATGATGATTCTGATTCTATTTTTTTTATAATGAAAGGTATAATTTTTTTGTCATCTCAATTCAAGATAGTCATAAAAATTGTTAATATTTAATAAAATCATTTTTAAATTAAATTATTGTGTTTTTCTAATTTATAGGATAGGTTTGCGTACTTTTGCCTGATACAAATTATGAATTCAATAGATATTCTATGGATATTAAAAGAAGTGCTTAAAAGAAATTACAAAGCTTACAGAATAGACATAAAGAGCTAAAAAATATATTTGAACAGCATGACAATCCAAATTTTTCAATTAAAAGAGTTTATAAAAATCCAAGTGATGATGATGACGATGATGATGGAGATGAGTAAGAAGATGAAGAAGCTTAATAGCCTTGGGGATACGATATACAAACCATTAACTTAATTCATCCATAATTTTTCTGTGCTAAAGTCCTAAAATAAAATGAATATTTTGGTGAAATTGGTGTAGAGTTTAATATACCAAGATCAGCCACAATAGTGTGTAAGACAGATTGTGAATTTGCAATATTACCTGCAAAAGCTTATTCTACAGAGATAAACAATAAATTTTATTCAGAAGATGTAAATATTTTTTCTTTCCTTTCATTACCAAAATATAAATGCAAAAAAAGCTAATTTAACTAAAAAATAATTGAGCATCTATCAATAAGTAAGATTAAATAGATTTTGTTTAAAAATAATTTATACCTTTGCTATCTAAATAGAAAATAAATATAATAGTAATAAGTCTTTTAATATTTTTTAAAATTGCTCAATTATAAACATATTCGCATTAATTCATCACTCTAAAATTTTATGAAAATATTTAAACATTTTTAAAATAGAGGTTTGTGTCTAGACTAAGAGATATAAACTATATGTTCAAAACTATGAGCAAGCATATGATAAATATATTTGCTAGCTAAACACATGTTTAAATATGCAATAGTCACACAGATATTTTTAAAATGAATGATACAGCTGATTACATATATTTTATTGAGAAAGGATAGGTTGAAATTTATCAAAACTATTTTTACTAAGATTTAAAATTACCAAGTGAAGATATGGATGTTAATCCTATTTATTAAGATCAGACACAAGTAAATAGCATTTCTGAATTTCAGGTATATAAACTGAAAGCAGCTATTTTAGGTAAATGCAATTAAATAGATTTACAATCAATCTTTAAATTATTTTGATTAGAAAAGGGTTAGTATTTTGGAGAAGATGGCATAATTTATAAGAGACAACAAGGAATAAGAGTTACATCAGCCTATGCAAAAACTCAGTGCATTTTTCTTAAAATTAAAAAGGATTTTTTCTATAATAATTTCAAAGCTTTTATTGAGTGTGACAAACTTAGCGAAAGTATTATCCAAGAAAATCTAAAAACAATAAAAATGAAAACTTAGGAAAATGAAGAATACGAATAATATTACTGTAGTTTAATTAGCAAAAAGATTAAAGAGTTAAAGCACTCTAAAGATAATGATAAGAGAACAAATACTCCTCAAAATAACAGATAAGATACACAAATTTCAGAAATTATGAAGGAAGAAGACGACATTTTGAACACAAAAAAAATGAAAAAAAATTTGTTTGAGCTATATAAGGAAGAAAAGACATGTTAAATTTTTTAAAGCAAAAATACACTAACTCCTATAACAACCTATAAAAGAGATCATTTGTAAATTTCTCCTTTATCCATTTAGAAGAGATCTACTTTAAAGTTTGAAAATGAAAATTATAGCCAATTTGATAATTTCGTTGAAGATTATTTATACCCTGAAGTAAATATGAACTTAAACCCAAATCTATTTATCAAGTAAATTACTACACAAATAGTAGCTATTTTTTTTATGTTTTTTGGTAATTTTTATTTATAAAAATTAGGAAAATGAAAAAAAAATATAAAAGTGGGAGATCTGTTTCATAAATAACTTTAAAAACACCAAAAGAATAACATAACTTGGAAACTCCAATAAACACTTACAATTAATTTACTGAATCACACTCGTCTTTAAAATTTAAAGGATCTTAAACATTTAATAACACCCAATAAATTGTGAATAAACCACAGACAAACAAGAACAAAATACAAAAAGCCAGATCAAATTAGCAGACTCCTATGAAAATAAATTCCCCAAATCATTCCAGAGCTTAAAGTGCTTTAATCTAAAAGTAAATAAATGTTTATTTGTGAGATTTTAAATAAATAAATAATATATTTTTAACATAGTTTTAAAAATTGCATCGTTGAATAAAATCAATATCATTAAAATTAAAATGACGCTAATCAAATTAATTTATCTAGAAATGGGTATCTTGGTATTGATCATAATGACTTTACTATAAAAATTGTACAAACAGGTGATATAGTTTAGGATTTTTAAAGTCCACCAAAAATAGCCAACTTCATTGAAAGCTCAAACAAGCAGTAGTAACTATAATCAGCAGCATATAATTAAGATAAATACAATTAATTTGATAAACTTACTACTAAAAGCTCTTTGTATTATATAAACACTAAAAGAAGTGCAATCCATCATAAGTCTGCTTCTTAAGGAGGACCTTACAGTATTACTCGCTCACTTAAAGAAGATAGCAGAAACAACTAAATAGATAAAAATAATAACTTAAATAAATCTAGAAACTCTTAATCTTAATCGATACTTTATGAAACAAAATAAAAAAACACTGTAAAAGAAAGATATGGGATAGATAGTAAATTTTTGATTAAAGAGAAGCTAAGTTTTCTTATAAATGCAAAAGAAAAAATAAATTAGCATTCATAATAGTTATATAACAAACCATTAATTAAATTCAAAAGCATAACTACTGTACCTTACAAAACAGGCTAAATACCAGTAAATTAAATAAAGAAATTTTCAACTTTGAATGCCCAGGATTTAATTAAAAGTATAAACCAAATAAACACATAAAATAATAATTTAAACAATTCTAACATTAAATCTCCTCTTACTGCTAAAGTAAAAAATAATTAATAAAACTCTAGTGTTTCTTCTTTCTTTACCTTCATGTCTTAACCAAAAAGTAATATATAGAATAGTAATTACTTAGGAATTCATAAAAAAATAAACAGCTTTAACCTATAAAATTAATGAAATATTTGTATTATTTATACTCAAATTCTATTCAAATTTTTATTTTCTTTCAAAAACTGTAAACTTGAAATGATTTTATTTGTAAAGTATTTATAAAAAATAGATAACTTTTTCTTTTTATTTATATAGTAGTTTATTCCTAGAAAACTTACATTTGAATTATAATATTTTTTTTGAATTAATTAACTAATTAATGAAGAAAATGTTGAAATAGAACATTATATGAATTCTTAATCAAGGCTAAACTTTAGTTAGTTGTTTAATAAATATAATTAATTTTGATTATATGAAGTAAATTAATTAACTATTTGATTAATAATAAAATTAACTACAAAAAACTATTAAGAGTTATTTCATTCATTTTATGTTAATAAAAATTAAATTAAATAGTAATAAAGATAAAATCATAGAAGAAGAAGAAAATTTTTTTATTAATAACTTTACAAAGAGAATAACCAAAAATCAATTAATTATTAATTTAAATAGTTCTACTTTAAACAAATTAATAATTAATTACTCTAAGAGGTAGGATTGAAATAATTTGTAATCAAAAGCAATCTTTGAGAGAAGGATAATGAAATAGCTTCAGAACAGTCCTATAGAAACAGAATAGAATATTTCAACAAAGAATAATAATAGACAGTCTCAAAATCTGCTTTTTAAAAATGTGCCTTCTTTTATCATTAATGGGCACAAGGGGGAAGATTAAGATATTTAAGCAGATGATTAAGAGTCAGTAAACTTAACAGAAAATCCATTAAACGCTATGGATAACTCAGAAATTTTTCGGAAATCAGTTAAAAGATCTCCTAGCCCTAGAAAACCTATAAAACCTTAATTATTTTAAAACGAATAGAACAACCCTGAAAACATATTCACAAAAAAATCACAAAACAATATATTGTATCAGTAAAATAGTTAAAATAAAATGGAAGAAAGTTTAAAATACCCTTTATAGATGGAAGATAAATTAGCTTAGCTTAGCTTTAATGGGTGTAATTATAACTCTTAAACTATGGGAACAGGATAGTTGATTAAGTAATAATCAAAATATTTAGAATGCTAAAGTCCTTAGCTATCAATTAAATATGATCATAGAAAGTCAAATGATGCAAATGCTATAAGCCCATTAAAAGAAAGTACTTTTGCTCAAAATAGGCCGCGGTCAATCACAGATTTCACAAATCCTAAGGCAAAAAAAAGACTAACTCAAGTAATAAAAAGTTAAATAGTCGAGTAATTATAAGTTAAACAATAAGAAGATTTTGAGAAAGGAAATAAAATTATTATGAAGGTACTTAAAAACTCTTTAGATAGGATGCAAAGAATAGAACTTCAGTTTAAAGAATTCATATATAAAATTCTCCATAATTCTCAAGTAAGGAATCTCACTCACTTGAAGATAGAAGCATATGACTTAATAAAAGATAAAGCTTTTTTTTTCAAATAAAAGCAAAAGCAAAAGCAGCACTCCAAATTCATTTTACTCCTTAATCGAATTTTTAAAAAAACTAAGCGTTGGTCTATTTTAAAAGTATTTATGCCAACCTCCTCGTACAGATTAATTTGGGATGCTATTTAGATTATTTTCACAGTGTTATTTCTTTTTTTCTACTCTATTTTAATATTCTTTGGGTAGGAAATACAAACTAGCTAAAAACCTATCTAAGAATTCTTTTAACTAGCACTTTACCTTTTTATTGGTGATATTGTAGTCAATTTAAACACTGCATATTTTAATAAGGATTTAATAGTTTTAGACAGAAAGCTCATTGCAAAAAAATATTTTAAGTCACTATTTGTAACAGATACTATATGCGTTATTATGCTAATTTTTAAAATTATTTTTACTTCAAGTAATATCTCTCCAGGAGTTGATGACTAATTTATTTCTTAATTTAAAAATGCCCTAGTATTTTCAAAAATATTTGGTTTAAAGTAAAAGAGTCACATGTTATAAAGTGTTTCTGCCCTTAAAGACTCCTAAAAGCACTTGCTTAGACTTGTAAACAATATTCTACTTGTCGTCTTAGCTGCTCATATTGGTAAATTCAATAAATATCTAATTTTCTTAGTTATAATTCATAAATTAAATTATTAGTGAGTATTCTGTGGTATTAATTAGCTTTAATTGAGGGATATTATAATTTTTAAGTTACTTGGATTACAAAAATTTAAATTTAAAATGAAGATTGGTACACAAAATATATTTATTCATTGTATTGGTCAGTAACTACTATGACTACAGGTATGCATACATATATATATATTAGGCAATTGATATGATCATATTAAACTTCTTTATAATATAATATAGTTGGCTATGGAGATATATCAGCTTGTAATTATATTGAGGCTTTATTTGTTTCAATTATGATGATATTTATGAGTTGTGTTTTTGCTTACTCTATCAATAATATTGGTATCATACTATAAGCTATTGAAAGAGACACTTAAGAACTAACTGATAACGTTGCAACTATTTAAAGGTAATAAATAAATTAATTAGTTAATTGTTTATTATACAACTTCTTTTTAAAATAAAACATTATTATAAATTAAAGGTCAATTTAGTTCATACATTAATTTTTTTAATAAATACTTACTAACATACATCTTAAAATAAATTTTATATCATACTTTATTAACTAATTTATAGTTAGTTAAATTAATATTTTAATTAGCATAAATAAAAATATTTTATTATATGAATAAATTTAATTTAGTTGATTTTAATTAATTGATAAATAAAATTGGAATTAATTAGTTTGTTTTTTACAAATAATTTTTAAAAAAATAAAGATATTTGAATAGAAAAAACGTTAATGTTGAATTAAAGAGTCGTATCAGACATTATTTATATTTTTTGGCTGAAGAATAAAAAGATAGAAATAAAGAAATAGAAGATAAGGTTTTTAACAAGTTATCTAATAAACTAAGGGAGGAAGTGACTAATGAGGTCAACAGTAGAGTTTTAAAAAAGTATTTGATATTCACTAAATAATTTTCAAATGAGACGATTAATAGAATCGTAATGATTATGAAAGAAGTGCTTGTTTCTCCTAATGAAATTATTTTTAAAGAAAATTAAGTCGATGACTGTGCGCTCTATCTTATAGAAAACGGAATAGTAGAAATTTAAAACTAAAAGTAAGGTTCAGAAAGTTCAATTGTTATTAACACTTTAACTTAAAATCAACTATTTGGGGAAATATCTTTATTTTCGGGTTTAAGTAGAACTGCAACCGCAAGAAGTGTGAACTTATCAACTCTGTACAAAATATCTAGACAAGATTTAATTGACGTGTTAAAATAAAATGATGAGGATTTTTAAAGATTTAAAATGATAAATGAGTAGATTATTTTTTATAAAGACTATTCTTCTTTAGGTCTTGAATGTTACACATGCAAAAAGTAAGGACATATAGCTTCTTTGTGTCAACTAACTCATCTTAACAGAGATAGATAGTTTGTAGCATTAAAATATTCATTTTCTCTATTTTAACCAAGAGAAAAAAGCGAGAGAAGAAAAGCAAAATAGTAAATTTTTAGATATTAAAATAAAAATAATTTATAAATTAATTTTAAATAAAGGAAACTTGTCATTTTAAACAAAAAAGAGTACTTAGAAATCAAAAAAAGGTTATTTTCAGATTAGAGTGATGACGATGATGAAGAAGAGAGTTCATTTGAAACAAGGTATGATGGAGTTAATTAATATTAAGATGAAGAAGATGATTCAAATTCTTTTGATAAGACAAGTGTCACTAAGTCTGAGTTTTGCAATGTGGAATATATCTTAGATGATGAAAGTTTTTAGGAGAAAAATATCATTTAGTAGAGAAGTAGAATGCTTAATTTAGATGACATCGATCGAAGAAATTCAGAATTAGCTGTCTCAAGAGATTTGGAAAATTCTATGATACAGTCCAAAAATGCTCAAAAGAAAAGATAAACCATAAAATAAACTTCTAAAGAAACTAATAAAGAACCTGTTAAAGAAATTCTCGATGAACTCAATGAGAAACAAGAAAAAAAATTATTGAATAAAATTAATAAAAAAGTGAATAAAAAAATAGATAAACTAGCATAAAAGGTAGAAATTCGTCTATCTTTAATAGAAAACAGCAGTATTTAATTACCAATTGAGGCAGTTCAATCTAGTAGAAATAATTATAAAAAGAGATATACGAGTAAATCTGAAAGAGATACAGCTTCTATTGAGTGTCATTTGATTGATTAAAGAAAGGACAGTGATCTCGATATAAACACAAAAAATCTAAATATCACAAAAACAATTGATTATGATAATAATGAACATAATATTTCATCCATAAATTGTGCTGATTTAGATAAACGTAGTGATAGGAGTATTTCTACTAAAAGTAAAAATTTTAACATCAGATTCTCTAGAATTTAAAACAATGATAATAATAATAATATCTTTAGTGAGAGGGAAGATTCAAAAATAAACAGAAATAATAATAAAGAAAAAAAATCGATAATTGTTAATAATCTCAACGACTAATATATGTAGCACCTGTCCCCGTACCAGCAAGTTTAATAATAAGGAGAAAAAATAAGCTAAATTAATTCAAACTAGCATAACGACTATCAATATTAACAAATCAACTAATAATTATTTTAGACTTAAAACGATAAAGAAGGCAATATTATGGATAATTTTGATATCTAGAAGGAATATTCAAAGTTTTTTCCCCATAATAATTTATCAAAAATTTTGGATAAACTCAAGTTCTCTCTTAATCAAAGAAAAAATAAAGCAAAGGCTTAAAACATGAACAAGTTTAATCGCATTATTAACGATATTAAAGTTGTCAAAGCAGTAAGAAGATTAAACTTAATAGTAACTGAAGACTATAAGCATAACTTGCTTATAGAATATAATCCTACGTGTGTTGCTTATGGAATTGGGGCCAGAGCCAATAATAATTAATTACCTGTTAGGAAAAGCCAAGAAAAGTCAATATTTGATATAGCATGATATTTCAAAGCTAAAAATATTAAATTTCTAAATTTAATCATAAAACTAACTAAAATAAAATAAAGTTTGTGATATATTAATTAATTAATTTATATATTTTACAAATAATAAATTTATTTTAGAAAAATTAACAAAATATTATTTAACAAACTGAGTGAGTAAGTAAGATCCGAATTATTATAAAAAATATATAATTAGTTAATAAATATACAATTAGAATTAGTTTATAAAAATTATTTATATGTTGGAATATGATTAAATTAGTAAAAATTAAAATTTGTAAATAAATTACATAAAAATTATTCATCATAAAAAATTATTTTTGAAAAATTAAAAAAAACAGTAGACTCGCACACATCATAGTGTGTCGGTATTTTGATTTCCCGATATATCAAGTTTCAAAAATTTAATTAAACGAAAAAGAAGATATTATAAATTTTCAAAATGAGATATTGTCTTTATACAATAGTTGAAGTATTTTATTATAAATTACCTATCGTTCTTTTATATCTTCTATCTTTTTTGATTTGAATTCACTATTTAATTTAAATAAATTTATAAAATGATTTATAAGTAGAAAACTGTCTGATTAAATGATTGATAATATATTAACTTCTAAATAATAACTCACTTTTATTCATCTAAAAATTAATAAATAAATAATTTTTAATTTTAAGAAAAAGATATTATAGATTATCAAAAATAAAATACTCTCTTTACACAATTCTTTAAGTGTTTTATTAGAAATTATCTATATTCTGTATTTACTTGCATTCAGTATTTATTTTAAATAAATTTATAAAATATGATTTATAGGTTGAAATCTGATTAAATTAAAGATAATATTATAACTTCTAAATAATAATTAATTTTTTACTTATCTAAAAATATTTATTCAATTTTAATTACAAGAAGAAGAAGAAGATATTATCAACTCTCTAAATGAAATACTATCTTTATACAATTCTTTAAGTATTTTAATATAAACTATCTATTATCTTCTGCCTCTTTTGATTTTTCATTCATTATTTAATTTAGAGTTTTAAAATTTTAAATAAAGGAAATCAATCAATAATTAAAACAAAAAAGAAAAATTTTGATAATCAATATTTTAAAGTTATTTATTATAGTTAAATAAGCAATTAAGTAGTAAAAACTCACTAGGTATATACAAAAGCTTGCAAACAAATAGAAAGGTTCCATTTAAGTCTAAATTTAAAATAGTAAAAAATAATGAAGAGGTGGGAGGAATAGCAAAAGAATAAAGTTCATCAATCTCGTATTAAAAACGTTAAAGCTGCTGTTTCAAATACAGGAGTACGCAAATCAGGAAAACTCAATAAATCTTTAAATGATTCTAAACAAATATCGTAAATTAAGAGTCCTGCATAATAAGGTGTAGCCTACGAAAATTAAAATTCAATAAGCGACTACTATGAATCCGAAAAAAATAATTTAGAATCTATACCATTGTACAGAATTTTAAAGCTCTAAAATTTACAGCGATATGCCAAGGAGTTAGTATCAAGAGGTTATGGCTATGATTTGAAGAAATTTAATTACTTAAGTTAAAATTAGCTAAACAGCCTTCTTGATGAAATAAGAGTAAGAAAATACAAATAAAAAAGAATCATTAATTAATTACACTTGATTTTAAACTAGGATTAAAAATAATTTTTTTAAAAATTCAAGGTTTAACCTGGACATAAGACAAAATTAATTGATTTATTAGATTTAATATCGAATGAGATGATCCCAGAAATAGAGAATAATTCTATGTGGAATGCATTATCTCCTGGTAGCTAAGCATAAAATTATAATTAGACTCTTTAATCAAGTGGAAAATCTATGAGTAAGGCAAATTCTGCGAAGTAAATTCCTTCTAAGTAGCATTTTTATGCTCTAGGAAAGTAGCCTGCAACAACTAAAAATTAAAGGTAGTAGAATATTGTTCCTAATTTGCAAAGAAAAAACTCATAGCCTCATGTATCCACATAGAACAGAGCAAATCACCATATGTATTATCAAGGAAATTAAAGATAAATAAAATCTCATACTTCTCATGTAAAGAAGCGCACAGGATAAAACATTGGATATGATTATTTTATAGACAGCTAAGATGGCAATGATGGATATGATGAATTTTAAGAAGCTATTGAAAGTTTAGTCAATTAGTATAATTTTGCTAATAATCGTTAAATATTTAAAGAAAATAAATAGACTGATGAGTCCTTTAAGAACGTAAAAAGAAAAGATTAATGAATATGCAATATATATTTAAATTTTAATTTATTTTATTAGGAATTACAAGAGTTAGATTTAGAGTTTGAATTGGAGTAAAATATTGGATACAGAAATTAGGCGCAAATGCGTGCTAAGGTTGATAAAGCAGTCAACTAAGTAAATAAATCATATTCTAAAACTCAAAGTAACTATGGTAGTGGAAATTCAATCACAAGTAATTCAACTTCTACTAAAAATCCTTCTCTAAATAATTCTAAGACAAATCAAACCAGCTCAACAATAAGTGGAAGCTCAATAGCATAAAAATCTGTTAACAGTACTTAAATAAACAATTCAAAATAATAAACAAGCTCAATCACATGTAATCATATTCAAATTTTTAAAAAATATATGTATTTATTAATAAATATTATTAAATTTAAGAGACAAAACCATAAAGTTCATAGACATAAAAAAGACCTAACAGTGGAACGTAAAAAGCTCAAAGTATTAGCTAAACTTAATCTTCAAGAGAATCTAATGAGTCCTATCATTAAAGAGCAGTTAGTAATATATAAACTGGGTCTGCTAAATTAACAGATAAAGATACTCTTAAAGGTAGTAAAAAAGACAGTTAAATTATTAGTCTTCCAACTAAAAAGTAGGAAGAAGAAAAATCTAAGCTTTAGTAAAAAGAAAAAGAATTAGATTTTAAGTAAAAGTAGGAAATTGAGAAACTTAAATAAAAGTCAGATGGAGGTAGCAAAACCCTTGCTTAAACTGCTAAGGATTTAGCAAGTTAACTTTAGCATAATGATTAGCCATAATAAAATTAGAGTGGAATTCACAAGAAAGGAAGACCCCAAACTGCAAAATATTCAAGAAATGTACCTTATGTTCAAGATGACTAGTGCTTAATTGTAGAATATGATGAAAATGATCAATTAGTTTTAAATTATAAAGAAAACCGTTTGATAAAAAGTATTATGAAAAACATCAAGAGCAAAAATAATGTATTAATAAAATCAAAGAAAACTTGATTTTGATTGAGTAATTTTTTATCTTTTTTAAAAAATATAGGATAACAGCGATGAGTTAAATCCATAGTTAGATTATGATACTATTAAGCATATGTATATGTCCTTTGATGGTGGAAAATTGACTTCAACTTTAGTAAATTTAGATATAGAAGAAATGTGCTTCTGCTTTGCATGTGCTATTTTAAAGCATATAGAGCATGGTGAGGAAGCTGAAAGGGCATTTCAAAATAATAAGATGTATAATAATTTACACTAAATTGATGAAGAGCATGAAGACCATATTAGTAAAGAATAAAATTCCTCAAAGAAAATGAACAAGCAAGACATTTCCATGGATAACTCTACAAGTCTTCATGATACTTCTGTTCAGTCAAATGCTAACAATACCACTTCTAACAATAATTAGTCTTAATAAAATAATCAAAATTAGCATATTATGTAACATTAATATAATGATACTTCTCTCAATCGAACAACTAATCCTATTGAAGAACCCACGATGATTCATGTATTTACTTTTTTAAATAAAGCAACTCATTTAATAAATTAGTTAACTAATTTTTAAAAAATGATTAATAGGATGATTATAATTAAAGCATCATTAACGCTGATGCAGAGAAATATTTAAAAGACGATGATTAAGACTATAGATCAGCAGAAAGATAATTCCCACAATAGATGAGTATAAATAATGGGACTTTTAATTGGAAACAGAAAAAGAGTCTGTCTGATATCAGTGAAAGAACTCATGAAGTTTCTCATTAAAACAATAAATCGATTACAGTGGACTAATCCAACGAGTAATCAGTAAACTAGAGAAATAATTTAACTAATCTAAACAGTAGAAAGTAATTTGAATAAAGTCGCTAGGAAATGGAAGAAATTTTGAAAGAATCCCTACTAATGAATGTGCGTGATAACTAAAGTTTACGTCGCAGACTAGAAGTCGAACACCATGATGACGAAAAAGAATTTGAATACACAGAAAACGAAGAAGATGATGAGGATGAATCGAACTAGGATATGCATTCAAATCTTAAGAGGAAAGGTTTTAAAAATATAAAATAAGAAGTTGGAAATTCTAAGGTCCCTTACGATGAATCTCTTAACTTATATTTGGAGAAGAATCCAAATAGTGAAGATGAAGAAAATGAATTTTTGTCATAGAATATTAACAAAGAGAGCAGCCAAAAGGTGAAAAATAATAAATATGATTTAGACGATACATAAAATTAAGAAAAAAGCCTATAAGAACCAGAGTCATTTAACTAGGATTACAACCAAGAAAACTATGAAGAAGTGGAGAGTGAAGGTGAAATAGAGGCTGATAATGAGTAGCAGGAAGTACCTAATAATCAGGAACCTGCTGAAACTGACAGCTAGTTGAATTTCTCTACGATATCTAGGTATTCAATGGTCATACCAAATGACGACATTTCAAACAAGAGATTATTTGATAAGACTTACAATTATAAAGAAAATAGTGATTAAATATTCACTTAAAAGCCAACAAAAGAAACTATACAAAATTACTGCAAAAATGTATGCATTTCTTGCTAATTAGAGAAGCAGATTCCTATAATAGCTCTTGTTTACATCGAAAGGCTTTTAAATAATAGTGGTTTTTACATGACCCCTAAAAATTGGAGAAAAGTGACAATAACTTCTATGATAATGGCTTCCAAAATTTGGGATGATGAGTCTTTTGAAAATAAAAACTTTTCACAGGCATTCCCTATGTTTGATGTGATATAAATCAACGAAATGGAAAGAGTCTTTTTGAATTTTATTGACTACAATCTATACGTTAAAGGAGCCGATTATGCAAAATATTATTTTATATTGAGAGAATTTGCATAAAAAAACAAAAAGTCATTCCCATTGAGACCTTTAGATTTGAAAACTATTTTATACTTGCAAAATAATGCAAACAGAGCTCAAAGTAACCTAAAAGAAATGTATTAAAACCCTTTAAACAAGAGCTTTTGAAATAAAACAAAACAAAAAATCCACATATCAAAATAAAAATAAAAAACCCATTTATTTTATTTTAAAACAGAAAAGCTAATAAAATTAAACATTTCAATTAGAAAAATAAATAGATTATATTATAAATTATGCATTCATAAATAGATTTAAAGTAAAATTATCTGCATATGATTTTCTTTAAATTAAACAAGCTATCTATCTTGTTTAAAAATAGTTTTTAAAAACTATTTTTTATTTATTTATTTATAAATTTATTTGTTTTTATTTTCAAATTAAAATTATTTTTCATATTCATTTTAATCTTCAAATTTTATTTTATCTAAAAAACGAAAAATCCAATTAATTAATTAATCGTTTTTTAAAAAGGAGATTTTTGAAATCTTTATTTTTTCGTAGAAGTAGGTAGGCTAGCATAATCAATTTTTGTTAGTAACAAAAAAAAGCATTTGGCTTTTAAAATTTAAAAAGTAAAAAAGAACAAACACAGTCATAAAAATATCTTTGATGAGATTATTAATATATTTATTATTAAATGAATCATTTTTATATACTTTTTATGAATACTTTCATATCTGTAATTTAATCAATAATAATAGAATTTAATTTCAGCAAGGATTATGCTCTGTAAATCCAATCTGTATTTAGCAGTATGGACATTTATGATAAACATCCTAGCAACTATTTATGAAAAAAGGTACAAAGCAAATAAAAATAGGAGATAGCACGCATGCATATAAGCAAGTCCATTTATTAGCCTCACATTTTATTTCTGATTTTCCTATTTTTCTGCAATTAGCACATTAAACTTCAGAGCTATTATAATTTCCACTAAGGTCATTAGGTAGATTTATACAAGTTTTTTATTGCTCTAAATTATCCTTGATAGAATTATTTAGATTTTAATGGTAGAAATTCTCTTACTCTTAATAATTGCTTGCCATTTTAGGCACAATTCAAAAATCTGAAAACTTTTTTCAAAGTGAACTTGACTTTTTTGTAATACTTTTTGTAGGAATATTTAAAATTAACAAATAACAACTTTTACTTATATTAATTAAATAATGGTATTGATTAATCAATAAATTCATTACTGATAGAAAGTAAGATTATTCTAATATTTTTTAAAACAATTTAGTAAAATTAAAATTTTAAATAATACCATTAATTATTCCTTTAAATAATATCATTAATTATTGTTTTAAATTTTATTTAGCCTTAAAATATTTTTAAATGAATCCATTTGAATAAAAAACATTCATTTTCTCCTTAAAAGTAGTTTTTTTAATTAAATAATTACTAAGAAACATAGAATACAAAAAGAAATAAACCAGTAGTTTTTCTTAAAATATTCTTATTTTATTGTGAAAATAATTATTAATTAATTAATTAATTAGTTTTTTATAAATGTTTTTTAAAATAATATTAAAATTATTTAAGGTAATTTATTTATTCAGCTAATTAATTAATTTATAACTTCAAATTATTTTTTAGATTATTATTAAAATTTGATATCTTTAAAAATATTTATTTAAAATAACTAAAATATTAAATATGAGCTCCAAAAGAAATAGTTAGTAGAATTTGCCTGCATAGCAAGCTTAGAAATAGCCTAATGAATAGCAAAACAAAAATACTTAAAATCAATAAAGCCATCAACAATAGCAATAGTAATAGTAATAATAATAACAGCAACAGCAACAATTTTAGCAATAGTAGCAGTCTAATTAATAACATAGGCAATCTTAATAGCATTAATAATAAATACCTTAATAACAACAGGATCATGCTCAAAATCCTTAGACATAGATGTATTAGAATTCAGCTTAATAAAATAAACCAACTAAATTGTAAGAAAAAAAATCTAGCCAAGCTATGGAAAATGCAGAAATAAATGAGTATATTAAAAGTTTTCTCAAATATAATTCATTTTAGAATACATTAGAATGCTTCGAAGCTGAGATAAATGCAAAAAGAATGTCAAGCAAATTGCAAGATAAAAAGGTTTTGAAAGAACCAAGCGCAGATTAAGAGAAACCTCGCTTGTATTAAATGCTATAAAATGAAGCAGCAAGAACTTCTAGAGAAAGAAAACTAGAGCAAAATATGAAAATACTCAACTAAAAATATCTTGAAATGCTCTAAGCTTCAAGAAGTTTGTTTTCTATTTCTGTAAAGCTTTTGACAGATTATATGGAAGCCAGTCCACAAAATGTAAAGATAAAACCAGCATTATTCAATATTTTTATTTAAATTCTGTAAAAAAGGAAGAGAAAATTGATGAATATAAAAGAAGTATAGGACAGTACCGGAGACTCGTACTTGAAGAAGGAAAGCCTTCGGAAAAGTAACCACCAAGTAATGAAGTAATTCAAGAGCTTAAAGAAAATATTGTTGATTTATCAAAAAGAATTTACAATCAAACAAAATAAAGAAGCCAAGAATAAGAATAAAACCAAAATCAAGAGGAATAAGAAGAGGAGCTAAATTTAGATGTTTTATAAAGGTAGCTCAAGTCTGAGTTGATTAAACTTAGATTAATGTCTTTAGAAACAGGTCAATCTCATAGATAAGATTATCTTAAAAACCTAATTAAATTAGATATTTTAGATTTAGGACATATTGATAAGCCCACTCATTACTTGATCACTAATCTTAATAAGTAAATTAATTAACTTATTCAAATTTTAAATTCCTTTCTTCAAAAGTTATGACCATTTTGTCAAGCACTAGTTGATTGCTCTAATAAGTATTGTATGCTGCATCAGATTAGGGAGATAGTATATCTTAGATAGAGACACATAAAATGTATTAATTAAGCTTATCATTAAAATTATGAAGGGATAAGAGAAAGGAAGTGTTACTTAAAGATTTTGTTTAGCTGTATTGCATAAAGTAACTTTGCATGATGAGCTTGTGTCTTTATTCTTAGATGAAAAATTGCATTTATGGCTTGTAGATTTACTTAAAATGTCTATTTCTAGTGAAAATCAAAAAGATAGTAAATTACATGTCTTTGTATTAGAATATGCAAGTGCAACTCTAGCTAATTTACTCTCAGATGATTAAATAATGTCTACATTTTATGGATAGTAACAAAACTAAGTTTAAGTAATTTAACATTTCAGTTAAAAAGTTAATCGATAAATTTAATCATTTAAAATAGTTTTTAGATAGCCTCTTGAAGTGCCTTGATTTCTAGAATTCTATTCAAGCAAATAAATTTATACTTAAATCACTTAGCTATTTCACTAAAGACAAGTTTAACTAAGCAATCTTAGAAACAAGCTATGATGAAAAGATAAACTAATTCCTTGATTAAGTTTCTAGAAAAACTGATGAAGATTACAAAACTTAAATATTAACATATCATGCTAGAATATTTACAGCTGAAGTTAACAAACAAATTTTAGACATGGACTAAAAAGATGAATATGAAAGTGGAATGAGAAAAAAATATGATGAAAATGATGATAGTATAGATTATGGTTATGATGATCCTGATTAAGTTATTATTTTTGAGCATTTTAATGATGAATTGACCGATGAATTACTTAAAGGTGTTTATAACAGATGACTTTAATTAAAAATTAAAATTATCATATCTATTAGAATTTTTTTTATTTTATTAAATATTATAATATAATACAAGTAAAAAGTGGTAAATATTATATAATTGTGAATAATTATTAGGATTAAAACTTACTTTTTAATAAATCTATTAATAAATTTGATATATTTTAATTTTATTTAAAAATCTATTTTTATTTATTTTTAGTTCATTTTTTTGCATTTTACATTCAAACTTATTTTGATATAAACAAACAATTTAAAGTTCATTAATTTTTTACTTGTTATTAATTATTAAAATTGAATAAAATCTCTAATTTAATAAATAAAAATTTGATTTTAACCAAATGATTTTTTAAAATGGAAATTTTTTATTATAATTAATAAATAAATGTGTTTATGGATAGGATAAGTTAGATTGAGAATTTGTAAGGTATATATTAAAATTATTATACATTAAGGATATAAGAACATGAAAGAATTATATATAATTTTATATATAATATTTTATATATTAAGTATTATTTATATTAAATTTACTTTTACATAAAATAAAGTTTTCCAAAAATAGCTTTTGATTTCCTCTCATAATTTTATTTATTTATTTTCAACTTTTACTTCATTATTTAGATTAATGATTGTAATTTCATCGTGCAAAAGAAAGAGTTTTTAATTGTTAGTTTGTTCGCTTACTGGTTTAAATTGAGTTAGTTTTAATTTTTTTTCATTTTATTTGTGTTTAAAACTGATTTATTTTATTTAATGTGAAAAAGTTATTAGTATTTTTTTTAGTATATTAGAGTTTTTTGAAATGCAATAAATATAATAATATAATTTTTCATTTAAAAACATTTAGTTTGCTTAATTTAAAGCCAAATAGCAACAAGTTGAGAGGAATCAAATCTTTATATTTATTTATTTATTTATTTATTTATTATTTTATTGATTAGATTGAATTGTTTAGTAAAACTTTTTAAAATGTAAAGTTAATTTTCAATCAATTTTCTGCTTTATTTTCTGTATTTACGGTACTTTTTTCGGAATTATTATTTGTTTTAGATAATTTACTTGGGACTTCTTCATCACTATTTAAATTTAGAGTCTTTGGACCGAATATGCTATTACATCTTTTGAGTTGTTAAGGATTAGCATTTTAGTTATTTAGTTCTTCGATATTATCTTCTAGGAATTTTTTATTTTAATTGAAAAAATTAGATGAGTTTCCAGTTCCAAATTTAGGACTAGTGTTTGTATCGGAAGATTCTTAGGTTGGGGTTCCTCCTACAAAAGTTTAGTTATTAAAGTTTTAAAATACCTTAGACCCTTATAAACCATCTCTATTTTTTTTTTCTTAGGTACCATTGATGTTTTCAGATGGAACAGATATATAGCTTTAACCCAAAACGGTCAATGTTTAAGTAGCTTATTTAGGGGTTTCAGATTGTTAGTTATTTAAAATATTGACTCTGTTGATCATATTTTTAGGATTTTATTAAAATTACTGTTGTTATTATTATCTAAAAGCATTATTACGATTAAGGAAATTATATTGGTTAACAAAAGGAGACTCCATGCTTTCAGTTGCTTAAAGCTTTTAGGTTACCGGTGTCATTGGAGTCAAAGTAACTCTCATATCTTCTTTTAGTATTGGTGTATAGTTAATAAAGTTTGCAGGTACGGATAATCTGAGAGGAACATTAAGCATTTAGTTTGTATTTGCTTATTCATGTACACCAATATGATTATTATTTGAGGATTTAAAGTATGGTTTCATGGGTTTTAAAAATATTTAGTTGTAAAAATTAATAATGTCAATACTTTCTCCTTGATCATTAGTAGTCTTTTTTACTTTTTCTGAGTTGAAGTGAAGGAGATTTTCGCATGCAGAAAGCATTCCTTTGAACTTAATTTCTTTACCTACAAATAACTCAGCACTAATTAAACTTAGTGCATAGATCGAGCAAATGATAATTTGGTCAACATATCTTCTATTCATGAGCTAAAGTTAAGAGCGATAAACATATAACAAAGCTTCCCATATTCTTTCTTAAATTTTATCATCAAGTTCTAATATTTTGCTGATTTCCTTAACTCTAGTTGCTGAATGATAGATTAATCTCCTGCAAATAGTGTGTTCATATGGCTGATCCTTATTTAAATCTTATTAGAATTTTTTTAGAGCGTTTTGCATTAAACATTCTTTTTCTTCCCATATAATGTATAAGAGAATTTGCTTTTCAATATTGAAAAGTTATTGCTTTATGGATTCAGGAATGTGTCTAATTAAATTTTAAAGATAAATATTTCAATAAATAAATAAAACAATTTAATATTAATTAGTTAATTAGTATGTTAATTGATAGATAAATTAATTGTTGATAATAAATACCTATCAAACTTAGCAAAATTTGATATGACCCTCCAGTAATCAAGAGAAGTAATTTTGCTTTGTTTTATGACCATTTCTAGATTAACTCCCTTTATGTCTTTCACAAAGCAATGAGTCATAATACAATTGGCTAAGACAGAAAAAATAAAACTTTTATTTTTAAGCAGAGAAATGAGAACATTTTCTTTATAGAAATTCTTTTATTCTTCATCACTATTTAATTTAAAAGTATTTTATTATTTTGATAAATCTTTTTTAGAGCTAAATTAATTATGAAGGAGTTTTATATAATTTGTGCTATTCTGTTTTGAGTCTAAGTTAAATAATATTCTAAGTTTTCAATTTTATTTAAGAAATCTTAATAAATACTTTATTTTATTATACCGAAATTAAAGATTTTAATAGAAAATTAGTTGATTTAAATAAGACTTGATTAAGTTGATAAAATAAATTAAGGTGATGTCTTTTAATCTTGTTTGCATTATAGAAGTGATATGTTTATAGATAAATCATATTCTTGGTTGCTTTTAATAAAATTTAACACAAAGTATTTAGATTTGTCTCAAATAATTAATTAAACCTTTCTATATGTATTTTTAACAATTAGAAAATTAGATGGAGAGAAAAAATAAAATTGTCTGCTGATGAAAAAAATTAAGTATAATATTTTTTATTGATTAGATACCACCAGTTTGATTTTTTGTAACCTTTATTCGAAGCTTAGTTAATTGAATACTTTAATCAAAAAATTTTTCTTTTTTAGTTGCTTTAATACTGATTTTAATAAATTCTTACAAAACTAGTTAGAACTTAAATATTCCCTCAATTTTTAATTTGATTGAAATTTCAATTTTACTGTGTTTTTTATTAAAGCATCAAGCCTTAAATTAAATTGAAAAAGAGACAGATAAAAAATTAGCTAGAGATTTTTTAGATTAAGAGTGATTATTTATTGCTTATTGCACAGTAAAATTTGTTGAAATAAGATGATTCAAAATTTGATAAAAAATATGTTATTTTTTTAGAATATTTATGTCAGAGTAACATCAAAAAATGTGTGTTTGAAAACCAAAATTTTAATTTTACCTTATCAACTTTTCCAGAACATTTTAGAAGAAGCTTAAAACTTTTTATACTTTATATTCTATTCCATCTGTGCCGCTAACTTCGTTTTTCTTTTTTACAGAGTAATATACATCACGCGCAATTTGAGAAGCTTCTTCCAACAATTAGGATTTATATTCCTTATTTATTTTATTCATAAGTTCCTCAATTTTTTTTATTGGATCTGACTTAGAATACATATTGATCCATTTTGAATTGTCCAAAGCATTTGACAAAGGAGTACTTTGGATAGCAGGAGCGCTTAACAAAGGTTAATGACTCCTTTGGAAAGGCATTTTATAAATATCATGAGGAGTCTTTGGTGTATGAGGGTGTTAAATTTATCCTGCATCTGCTAATAGGCAAGCTTAATTTTATTAAAGTCCGTGATTGCCAACTGGACTAGATGGTCTTTCCAAATCTGAAAGCTTAGAATTTAGACTGAGATTTTACTCATCGTTGTTAAAGAGTGTTTTCTTAAAATAGCTCGCATTAGTATGGTTTAAGTTGCTTATCTAATATTTGCTTTCTTGATAATCCTTAGTAACACCAGGAGGACCTTGCTGAAGATGCATACTTGAAATATGCTTTGCTTTTGGTGTCTGAATAGATTACAAAAACTCTTCTTCCTTTTATAAAAATTCATGCTCCTCAATAATGGGATACTTTTTAATTTCTTTCTCTAAGAGCTTGCTTAATTTTTCTAATGATTGCAAAGAAGAAAATGAATCTGCTATCAAGGCGTTACTCGTATCTGTTATTTAACTAGAAATTTATTATGAATTCTTAGTGGCTGTGTTGGCTAATTCGCTTTCTTTTTCCTCATCTATATTGCTGGCTGAATGTTATGCTTTTTCTTTGGTTTCTGTCAAACACGAAGTGTCACTACTACTGCTGCTGCTATTGCTACTGTTGAGATTTCTGTTCATTTTATTTTCGTTAAGATGGTTTTGCTGTGAGCTTTCTTCCTTGGATTTTAATTGATATATCTTTTCAAAGAGATTCACCAACAGAGAAACGAATAACTCACTTTGTTCCTGCATAACTGGAATTTCGAGCTTACTCTTTAGGAGGATTGCGTTCACCTATTCAGAAACAGTTTAAAAGTTTACATACTACTTCAGATTTGATGACTATTAAGCTGAGTTATGCAATCCAGAATTATGTGTGTAATAATCAACGTTGTTATTTAAAGATTAAGCTGTCTTTCCAGCGTATTTCAAGGCTTCTGAACAAATAAAATGAAGAAGGTAAACGCATTGTTCAATATCAACTTCTGAATTCTATTTAAGTAGCTATTCTTTCAAAAGTAGATAAAGGCGCCAAATGATTCTTTGCATATAATGCTTTTAGATTAATTCTGTTTCAGTGTAGAAGCAGTCTAAAACGTGAGTAAATTTTACAAACAAGCTGTGATTTCTTTTGATAGACTCTAATTTGCTTTATATGACTTCATAGTACTCTCTATCTTTGAGAACTTAAGAGAACTCTGCCATAGTCTTCAAGAGCTAGTCTATTTATCCCCTACTGTAAAATTTATTGCGGAGCTCAATAACGCTCACATTTGTTACCTTTTTTACCTTATTTTCTTCCTTTTGTTTATCACTAGGCGAACTGCAGGAAGAATTCGACTGAACTTCCTCAGTAAGCTTTTAATCTTTTTATTAAAGTCTGATATTTTCCTTGTTGTTAATGCTTTCATCTTAAATACCACTAGCAGAGTATTATGTTTCCTATTGCTAAGGTGTCTATGGACTCTTTTATTTAATCCTGAGCCTTTCAGCTTCTTTTTCACGATTTTCTAATACCATGTAAAAAGCTGCGCATATTGGGTAAACACTTTTTTAATAAGCAGTAAATTCACATGTAGCGTTGTTCAAGTACTGCTCTAAAATATCTTCTATTGACTAATTAATCTCAGGATTATCAAAATACTTTTGAATTATCTCCAATTGATCTTCCATCTGAATTGTCTTTTATATTATGTGAGTTCCTGTTTTGACTGAATTTCCTTATTTTGTTTGTTGTTTGTTTGCTAGTTTGTTTGTTTGTTTGTTTGGAGTGCTAAGTTCCTAAAGATTCTTCTACTAAATAGAGAAAGGAGTGAGTAGCTATTAATTAAAGGAAGAAAAAACCGAATGAGAATTGTTGTAAGAAAATGTTTTAAGTTTGTGTTTGCTTGTTTACTTGTTTAGTGGTTGCTTTTTATAGATTGAAATAGTATAAATGTATATAGAGATGGCTATGTTTATTAGAGGTTTGATCGAAATTTATTTCTAATTTTTTTGTTTGTTTATCTTTGTTTTAATTTACTTTATTCAAAGATAAGCTTTGATTCTATCTATCTATTATTACTTTTTGAAAGTGAGCTAAAAATTTTTTATTAATTTTTTATAAAATTTCTTTAGTGCGCTCAGTCTTGGATTTTTTTGAAAAACAAAATAATTAAATAATTTATTAATTAATTAATTAGCACTTAAAATGAGTGATTTTATGAACAAATAAACAAGCAAATCAATTCGCAAATCCATCCTAAATTCTGAAATTTTAAACAGATTCAAATAAAATCAATCATTGGTTTGATTCTTTTTCTATCATCTAGCTTAATGTTTAATTTGAATTTTCAAGCGATGTGGCGCACTCTTTAAGCTAATTAAATTTGATGAAAGGTATCTATCAAGTATCTTAATGAACAAATTTATTTAATGAAATACTAATTAATGTTTAAAAGCTAAAATATCAACTAATCAATTAGTATTTTAAAAGTTATCTTTATTAAAGCTAGTACATCTTAAAAACCTAATTTTCCTTCAAAAAAAATCATTCATATCTCAATTTATTAATTAATTGAAATTTTCTAATCCCGCCAAACATCAAATTGGTTATTAATAATAATTAAAAACAAATAAAATTGAAATTTATTCACTTCAATTTATGAATTAAAAAATCTTGCTATTATTTTTTTTGTAATTATAAAAATTGCATAAAAAATTATAAATTTTAATTTTTGCTGTGAAATTCATTTTTGATTATGATCAAATTAAAATTTCCCGCAAAATCTTATAAATAACTTATAAATTTAAGTAAATAAAGCAATCAAATAAATAAATCAAATTTACCATAAAAATATAATTACTTAAATAGTTCATAAAAAAGCAATAATAATCATCTTTAAATATTATTATTAAAATGAAGCAAGTCAAAGATAAGTTTATCTAAAATATTTTTTTAAAACAATTTCATCATAAAATATCATATTTAGTTAATTGATTTAATTATTTAATTTCTTCTATTTATTTTTAAAAAGATTTCACAAAAATCATTAAATTTAATTAACAATAATTATAAATAAAAGAAATTTATATTAAATTATTAATTTTTCCTATTATAAATATAAATAGATATAGAAATTTAAAATATTTTAAAGCAAATTTCAATAAATTTAAGATAAATAATAATACTTTATGTATTGATTTTTTTCCCTCAAATAAATCAACAGAATTTTTTTATTTATTTATTTATTTAAGTTATCATTTTCTTTTGATAAACATTAATTTTTTATTAATAAATCCACTTCTAATTTAAAAATAAAAAAAATCTTTCATGTTTCAAAAAATTTAAAAATTTATATTCCACAATAACTACAAATGACCTTTTAAAAACATTTGCAGATTGTATGTATGTTAATTTTTAATGAAGATATATTATAATAGAATATTTTTCATAAAAAATGGCTCATATTATTACGTATGATTAATATATTTATCAAGCTTTTTAGAGGTAATTTTTATTTTATTTCGAATACAGCTCTTCTATTCAAATAATATTTTTAGATTTTATGAGCCAACAAATAATTAATTTTAAATTTAAATTATTTTTAATTAAAATAAATTAAGTAAATTAACAGCTAAACATATATATTTTTTTATTTAAATCAATTTCTAAAAGTATATTTTTTTTTATGGTAGCTAGTAAATAAAATATGAAAAATACCATAAAAATAATTTGAAATTTAATAAAAAAAATAATATCTCAAAAAAGATAAATAAATATTTAGTATTATAATAGATAAAATTAACTTATTTTGTTAAAAAATAAAGTTTAAATAAATATATTGATTAGCATTATGATAATAAACAAATTTATTTAAATTTTTTGTAATATTAAAACAATTATTTAAACTGTTCTACAAAATTAATATGGTATAGTTGGTATTATTTCTATGATTTTATTTTTAAAAAGTTTAAATAATACTTAATCACTTTAATTAAATAATAAATTTATCTTATTGTGCTGTCTATTCTTCTTTCAAATGGTAGATTAAAATATTTAACCATAATACTCTGAAATATTTAAATCAACCACAAAACAAACTTCTGAAAAAAAAAATTCAAAATTATCTTAGTAAACAAACAATTATTTTCATGCTAGTTTATATCATAAAGGAAAAATTAATCTAAATTTTTTCTATTTTAAATAAGAAAAAATTTTTAAATGATAAATTCAAGTTTAGAACATTTTTTATTATATTTATTGCAAATTCTCCTGATATAGAAAATTGTATAGACCTTTATCAAGCTAAAGATAATTGTATCAAAACTATTATAGATCTATGCTTTTTTTTACTTTTAATCAATTTTATCATGATTTTAATTACAAAGTATAAGGATAATTTAGTATTTTTTTATAAAATTATTTTTATTGCTTTAGAATATTAAAAATTTGTTTACTTTTTATAAAACAAACTTAAATAAGAAATATATAGTTGATTTAATTTTAAAAAGACTTTGGTTTCTTAAAATTCATTATTATTTTTTAATGTTTAATTTTACAAATTTAAAAAATAATTGTGAAATTTTGAGATATCTTTTAATTATCAAAAATAATCCATAATTCAATCACTCAAATATTTTAGATAGTCAAAATTTTTAAACAACTAATAAATATAAATAAACAAAATAGGAAAATATGATTTAGTCTACTGCTAATTATTATTAAAGCTAACAGGAATAGCAATTAAATTTCAATTAGAATCGTTCACAACATTAGCAAACACAAAGTTAATTAATAAATGTTTAGGAATAATATGTGACACCAAGAGATATTCACTTTACTATGAACCAATCAAACTCTATTGGGTAAAATAGCTACATGTATGGAACAGCAAGTCAGTAAAATGCTAACAACAATGCCTTTAGCCAAGTTTTAACTAATGGGTAGCATTAGCATAGTTAGAGTATTGGCACTCCTTATGCAGGACAGTCACACACTCAACAAATTTAAAATTAAAGCATTCTTTCTATAAAAACCTAATAAAATAAAGAATAATAGTATGTTTATTGCCCTACTCACACAAATTTTTTTATAACCAATATATGTGCTTAGAAAGAATGCATTGAGCCTTTATGTCCAGAATGTATAGTTGGACATAATGAGCTTCACATGAATAATAAAACTCAGTCTTAATTGCAAAATATTTAAAGTGCAAGATAGAACTCAATAAGCAAGACTGAATCTATAATTAAATAGCTTAATCAAGCAAAATAAGATATTCTACCTTAATTATAGCAAAGTATGAATGATTCAGCTAAGAAAAACATGGAAAATTTAAATAGGCTTAAGCAATAAATTTTGGCCTGCGTAGAAAATTTTTTTAAAGAGCTGCAGAATAAAATTAATGATACCTTTAAAAATACAAAAGATTTGTCTGAATAGCTTAATGCTGTTATTTTTTAAAGGACTGATAATCTCTAGAACACTTTGAATGAATTATAATCTCCTCTCTATATAAAGGCTTTAATTGAAACTATGGAAAACCCTACTTCTTTCAGTATTGAAGAATCATCCTATCAATATCTTGTTGATTAGATCAAAGAAAACAATTAAATTATATTTAGTAAATCTACAAACACAGAAGACGTACTCAAAGAAGTATTACGAAAATTGTACTCTTACCAAAAAAGGAAAAAAATATTTAAATTTCCAACTTAGGGTAATAATATGCTTGATAGTAGGAGACTGAGTGATTCAGTTCATAACAGTTCTCAAAAATAATTAAAAGCAGTAACTTCTCCACTTAGTCATAGAAGTAATATCTTTAACTAGCAGTTTACCAATTTCTAGTAAATCCTATCATCTAATAGTCCACAAAAGCAGCAATCGCTTCACTTATCTAGATAGAGTTTGGTAGTATCCCCATATCAAAAAGAATAAATTAACTAAGCAACAAAGCAAAACGAGGTTTCTTAATCACTAAAAAATATCAAAAATGAATACTATAACTAAAGCACTTAAAAAAAAGATAATGCTAACTTCTCTAGTAATTTATATGCAAGATCTAAAACAACTTCGTTAGGAAACGAAAATTATTTTTCTTCTTCTTCAAATAGCAATTTGCAAAACCAAATTGGATAGAAGCAAAGATTTACTCAGTCTACCTTAAGGACTAACACTTTGAGTAACTTTGAGACATTTAACGAATTCAATGACAAATCAATAGACTTAGAAGAAATAGGATAAACAATTAGATAAAGAAATTTAAATGACAAAAATTAATCTAAAAATGAAAGCCTATTTAAGCACCAATCCATGCAGAAATAAAGGTAATATATATTTCAAAACCAAAACGAATTCTTTAAAAATAATTTATTATCAAAATATGAGAGTTTGCTCTAACTCAAAAATTTAAATCACTTTCTAATTTATTTAATTAAAAAATCATTAAATTTGCTTTAATATGCATTTAAAATAAATTCTAATTTATATTTTTAAAAGCAACTAACTCTCCAATTCAATTGACAAAGGAAATACTAAGTTAGTGCTCCCAGTTAGTAGATAACAAATTAAAGAAGAAATTCTTGATAATCATAAGAATGATTTTGTGGAAAGTTTTACTGTAGAGGAACTGAACGGAGGGAAAGATGATTAATAGTATATGAATTGTGATATAATTGATGATGTATATGATGATGAACCATCTTTAAAATCTATTTACGTGTTTGTTGAAGGCACTAAAATTTATCACTTCATCTCATTTGAAGAATACCTCAATTTCCCAAAATCTGGATTTAAAACAGATTTTCTTTCTATTGATTTTAAAATACCGATTGGTCACTGTAGTATTTCTGTGCCGAACTTTGATTTGGTAATTATAACAGGTAATAAATTTTAATTTTGTTTTTTAATAATATTTAATATACAATTATTAATAAAAGGTGGTATAATGTATGAAAAAAATAAAAGAAAATCAATCAGAGATGTTTATAAGTTGAATAAAGAATAAAACACTTTAGAGCAGTTATCGGGAATGTTAAATCCTAGATCGATGCATGGATTGGTATATAATGAAGGCAGAGTGTATGCGATTGGCGGGTGTTCTGGCTATGATGAATCTTCCTCTATAAATAAATGCGAGTATTACGATTTAAATACATCAAAATGGGTGGAAATAGCTGATTGTATTTACAAAGCCAGTGGATCAGGTCTAACTGTGTTTAATAAGAAATACATATTTAAATTTGGTGGAAAGGAAGATATCGTTAAGCCAGTCAATTTTATTGAGTGCTATGACATAAAAAAGAATAAGTGGGATTAAGTAAACTTTAATTTAACTATAGACAATAATAATAGTCTTCCATTCTTTCCTTTTGTGAGATAAATAAATTACAACTAAATTATATTACTTGGAGGGTAAAACCATAGTGTTAGAATGAATTAATCTTTCATAATAAATGTTAACCAAGAAAATAATAAATAAACTCCTGATCTCCAATTCGAAAAATCTCGTTCCCTTCCCTCTTAATACGATTTTTATCAATCCCAATCTTATATTTACCAAAACGAGTTATATGTACTCAAAAATGCTTCTAAAATGTCTTCAGATGACTAATCCATTTTCTTAATTTATAATGGAGATAACTGGAGTCACGCATGAAGATTAAAAGAAAATTATATTATTTATTTTTTTACCTTAATTTTATAGTAAATATTATTGTATATTAATTTATCAAAATAAAAAGTTAGTTTAATTTATTTTAAACTATATTCAAAAGTAACTAACTAACTAAATAATCAAAATAATTATATCAAATATATATATAAATTTATTCTTTTAATATGTCAGTTATTTTATATCTAATAACATATTTTCTGTTTTATATTTTATAGTTTAATATTTAATCTTATAGTTTTTTTCAAAGGATGATTGCAACTTTCTTCTATAAAAATGCACCTAAATACTTAAATATTTTTATTCATAGTTGTTTAAAAATAACCAGTTAATTTAAATCTTTTCTTTTAAAAATACAAAATTATTTAAAAAATATGCTTTAAATATTAAAATTAACATAAAAAAATTTCAAAAGATTTACATTATTCATAATTATTTACTCATTTAGTGTTCAAAAGTTCTGTTTTCATTATTGATAAATAATTTTAATTATAGTAAAGTAATTTTTTTTGCATTTTTATATTTTTTGAATTTTAAAACTACTAATTTAAATTTATTAAAATCCAGAAATCAGTAAACATTCAAATAATTAGATTAATTTTTAAGATAATTTTACATAAATTTAAATTATAAATATAATTTTAAAACAAAAATTAAATTCTTTGTTTAAAAAAAAATTAAAATAGTAAAGCTCATATTTTATATTTTAGATGGTTACAATAATATTATTAAAAGAGAAGTGGTTATTTAAACAATTAAATTAGATTTCTTTGATTCTTATTTATCTTTATTTAAAATAATCTAATATTACAACACTTTGAATTAAAATAACTATAATAATATAATTATAAGAGAAATGATTATTTAAACAATTAAATTAGATTTCTTTGATTATTATTTATTTATTTTTATTTAAAATAATCTAATATTACAACTCTTTGAATTAAAATGACTATAATAATATAATTATAAGAGAAATAATTAGATAAACAATTAAATTAGATTTCTTTGATTCTTATTTATCTTTATTTAAAATAATCTAATATTACAACTTTTTGAATTAAAATGACTATAATAATATAATAAGAGAAATGGTTATTTAAACAATAAAATTAGAATTCTTTGATTCTTATTTATCTTTATTTAAAATAATCTAATATTACAACACTATGAATTAAAATGACTATAAAAAACTAATAAAAATAGTTGTTGATTAATTTGAGAGAATTCTTCTAATTTATATGTTAATCAAGATTATTTGAGATATTATAACTATTGATATTAATTTATTATTATAGTTGTAGTTAAATATTTTAATTTTATTAAACTAGTTAATTAAGTTATTCTCTTGTTAAATATTTTAATTTCAGTTTTGTTCATCAATGTAAGACTCGTTTAACGAATCTTCTTTGAGTGTTTCTAACTCCTTTTAAGTTTTTCCCATATTTAAGGCTTCTTTAAATTTTTACCTTGTGTCTTTTCTAAATTAATACCCCTTGATTATAATTAAAATTTTTAATAAATATAAAATAATAATTAAAAGCAAATAATTTAATTACATTTTCTACATTTTCAACTACTTTAAGCAACTTATTAACAAGGCCAAAATGTATTCCTTCTTTATAATTTACACTAAAAAAAATAATCATTTTTAATCCAACAGAAAATTAATTAAAATATTAATTACAAGTTAGCAGAGATAGGAACCCAGCAATGGAAAGGTTCTTCTAAATCATTTTCTATAATTTAATCTACTCTTTTTACATTTTTAACTGACTCATCGAGTAAAGCTAGAAGCAGAGTGTTTGTTGACGTGGCTTTATAGAGCTCTTCTTTATCTAAAACTCCATCACCATTTGTATCACATTCTTTAAATATTTATCTCACTATACCTTTTAATTTAACTTTATCATCATGAGTAAATAAGTTCTGCTTAAGCACATTATAAAGTTAGTCAGGATTAATATTTCCATTCCCATCTGTATCACATAATTCCATAAACACTAAATATATTTTTATATTAGTATTAATTTTTAATTTTTAATTTTAAATTAGTCACCTCTCAATTTATCATCAATACTATTTTCTTTAAACATTTCGAGTCCTATAATTAACTCCTTATAATCCACAGTGCCTGAATTATCATCATCGAAAATACTTTTAAATATTTGAATTTAAATATCTGCATAAAATTAATTTATATTTACTAAAAAAGTTTGTCTCCCAGATTTTATTCAGCTCCAAGACCGACATAACTGAGTAATTCTCCGAACTCAGCTCTATCCATGCCTTCTTTCTTTATTTATATATATAATGTAATAAAAACACCAAAAACATAAAATTAATTTACTTTATTTTTGGCAAATTTAAGCATCAAAGAGTAGTTAGAAAATAACTGCTTTATAACATCTTGTTTGTTTTATAAAAGCCATTAAATTGTTTTCCATTTCATTTTGAATTTAGATTTAGCAGGAATCTTCTTCTTAAAGTTATCCAAATTAAATCCATAGTCCTTCTTTGCTACATTGAGCATAACAGATATCGAACCTTTAGGAACAGGTAGAGCGGTAGTATTGATTTTACTTCTGTCAGAATATTTTAGTCTATTTTAAACTTTCTATTTTTTAATTTAAACGAATTTAATTCTATTTAAAGTAGCATATGTTTTTGATTTTACTTTGTCATAAATGAATGTTTGTATTCTTCCTTTCCTCTCTATTTCCACAGTTTTAGGATTCCTAAATCTATAATCTTTAATATATAAACAAACAAATAAGCAAATTAATTCATTAAAGTGTAAGTAAATCTAATATTAATGTGAATTATAAGGTAATACTTACATTATAATTCGTTATCAGCAGAGCTTTTTACTATCTCATTAAAATCATTATCTTTTTATTTGTATTTCTGACTTTCTAATTTAGCTAGCGTTTCGGAAGTTAGATTTCTGGTTCCTTCGTATAAAATATTTGGATCTCTTTTAAAGCTTTTAGCAGATTGACTAATTCTTTTATTAGGAAAACCATAAGTAGAGGCTTAACTTAACTTTAAAGTGTTGTTTAGTTTATTTTCATCAGCTCTTTTTTTAGGACTCTTTTATTTTTGATACTCTGCTTAAGCATCTAAAAACATTTATCTCTATTTCATTTAAATAGCTTCATCTAATTATTTTTTCCTTAGATACTAAACAGTTATATTTCTATTCATTAATTTAAGTTAATTTTTTGGCAGATTCTCACCAAGTTTACTCCTTTGGAGAGTCGAATAAGTTCCTGCTGGAGGAAGAAATCCATTTTCTATTTAAGTTGATGTTCCAAACTGGCTTGGTTTAGAAAAATTTGATATTGTAGACTTTCTCTTTTACATAATTCTTTCATTTTATGTAATATTTGCATGATTAATTGTTTGGGATTAATTTGATTCATTTTAAGATAAGCTGTTGTTATTTTGCAAAATCTAGAAGCTACCCTTTTTCATTTAATGGTAAAATAAATGTATGTTTTTATCAATTTATAATTTAAGATTCTTTCACTCTTACTACGAATTATACTCGTAGTTTTAAGACTAATTGTTAATTATGTATTGCTAAATGTTTATATATTATAATATTGGTATTTGGTGGTTAACACAATTATTAATTTCTTTGATTTTACTACAAAATTATAATACTGATTCTTAAAATTAATAAATAGTTAATGACTTTCTATATTTTACTTAAATATTAATTAATTAATTAATAACTATTTAATATAAACCAAAACTCCTTTTGTAAAAAAATCTATTTAAATAAATTACCAAAAAAGGCTGAAAATATTTTTTCTAATTAATAAAAAAACTATTTTTTAATGAAATAAATCATACAGGATTTAATTTATTTTTTTTCAAAATTCTATTTAAATGTAAAGCAAATAAGTAAAAATAATCATTAAAATTTAATTTTTAAAAAAATAAAATAGATGATTATCAATTTATAAGTTATTTTATTGATTTTCTGTCGAAAGTTATTAAAATGAAGAAAAATATTTCAAAAAAATTTAAATTTGACATGGACCTTTCTCTTCATTTTAAAAAGTAATTTAAAGTTCTAAAAAATAAAAATGTATTTCTATTAAAATTCAACCAAATAAACAAAATTTGTTTCCCTAGCTATCTTAAAAAAATTTGATTTTTACATTTTATTGTGTTTAAGTAATAATACTAGACACTATATTAGATGTAAATAGATAGATATATCGGTAGATAAATAAATGTTGGTAAATCTAATAAAACACAAAAATATAATAAATATGACTTTTTACATTTATCAATTAATTTAATTATTGAAATACGTTTGAATTTAAAAAAAAAAAATTTTTGTTTGAAATGATAATATCATAATTTATAGTAATTTTCTATGTTTTCATGATGAATATCTAATTTATGAAATTACTCAAATCTCTTTTCATAATGTTCTTAACTCAATAAACCTTCTACTTTTTCAAATTAAGCTTAATCAGCGAGATTTATTTCTACAAACCATTAATTTTCATCCTCTACATCAAGTGTGAGAATACTAGCTACTGTCAACCAATGTTTATTATACTTTTAAATTGTTTTATAATTTAAATTATTTTAAATAAAACGCTAAAATTAGTTAAATAATTTTGTATATGTATATTTCTTTTTGTTCCAGAATTTTAAAGAGAATGTATTTTTTTTATTAATTAATTACACTAAGTATTTCTGTTTTAACAGGAGTGACTAAATCAGCTATATAATGCTATCCTATTACTTAAGCAAAAGCATCATCTGCATTCAACTAAGTCCCTACAGGCTTAATATCTGCACGGGCTATATTTCCAATTATTTTTAATCCTAAGTTAGTTATTCCGATTCTTCCAACCTTTATTTATTTATTGATTGATGTGTTCTCATAATAATAGAAATTATTTTTTATTTAATTTAAATTGCTTTATTGTAATTATTACCTTTTCTTCATAATCTAAATCTATCCATTCGTGGAGTGGAGTGAATTTTCTAACAGCTTTAAGATTAAAGATAAAATTTAAAGAGTAGATAGATTTTAAAATTTCTCATTTAAATAAAAATATGAATGAATGATATTAAAGTAGAGGTAACAATTATTTAGATGTTTAAAATAAAAATTAATTACTGATGTTGTAAAAGATATTCTAGTTAAGATGAGTTTTCTTTAAAATTAAATTAGACAAGGAATTTATCTTTTTTGATAACATTTTAAAATAATTTTCTATTGAGATAATGTTTTCTAAGGCTTATTATATATGAAAAACAAATTATGTTTATTTCTATCTATCTATCTAACTTTCTAATATTAAATTATATGAATTTACTTAATGAATGATCAAAGATTCCTATTTATAATTTCAATTTAAAATATTTAATTATTGTTAAAATTTAAACTATTTGTAATTATTCCAATTAATAAATTAATTTTTTTAAGATAAAATGTTTAAAAAAATTTGTGTATCAAATTATTTATTAAATACTTCAACTAAAATCAATAGTTTTTTATAAATAAAAAATAATTGGTTTATGATTTAAGTATTGAATCGATTGATTATTTTGTAAAGTAATTATTTTAATCAGTCATACATAAATATATTATTTGACTGACAAGATATGCTCGCTTGATTGCTATTCATTTATTTATTTATTGATCGGGATGAAGGGTTACCAGATAGTAAGTAAATTGAACTTTTTTTTTCAAAAAGATATTTTAAGAAAAGTGATAATTGAGAAAAAGAGATATTTTCATGTCAGCATTTGATGAGGAATCAAATGTTATCTAATAAGCAAAAAGATAATATTGATTGCCGCAAAACAATAAATAAATAATTAATTAATTTGTTTAATAAAAGTAAATAAAAAAGGTATCAATTATATCAAAATAGATTTTTGTAATAAACAATTTTAGAGTTTAAATATAAAATGGAACAATCAAAAATTGAAGCAGCTCTTTCTCTGATTAGAAGATTACCTCCTTAAAAGATTCACTATAATGCAACAGCATTGAGCAATTTAATAGAAGATTAAGCAGATGAATTCCTTTAGAAAATAGATTAACCTCTTGGTAAATAATTATTTTACATATTATTTTGATTAAAACATAGATTAGCAATTATACGTATTTATGTATAGCAATTGTTTATTTAAATTGGCTTTAGGAGTAAACTGCTTACAAATATTAAAATGCGATGAGATTTATTTTCATAACATAATAAATCTCTTTGTTTAAAATTAGAAATCGGAGTCTGCTCTGTCACTAATAGAGAATTCATAAAATGTGAGTTTAACAGAGATGGAAACAGCTATAGATCTCCTTACTCCAATGTGTATCATCCACCTTTTGAAGATGGTGAAGATGGCGTTGTTCCTATGTAAGATACACGTGATCTTGAAATTAAAGCCAATGAGTTATTTTTGGAATATCAAAAATTGTAAAAATTCATTTATTTTAATCACTATTAGAGCCTATTTATTTGTAGGCTAAACATATTCAATCAATAAGTTAAAATCTTTAATTTAATAAGATATTATCAAGGAGGTTTATCAAATATTTATTTCTTTGACAAAGACGATGGTAGTATTGCATGTGCATATGTTGTTAAGAAAGGTAAAGTTATATTGTTTATTATAATAATAGGTTTAATTAAATACATTAAATAGTAATTAATTTTAGTATGCTTAATTTATTTATTCTTATATAGATGTTGATAGAGTCAATAATATTGAAAAAGGCACATGGGATTCTATTAATGTTGTTGATATTAAAATTACTGATCCCAGTAAAAAGAAAATTGTTTATAAGTGTACTAGCTCAGTAATTTTAGAAATGGAAATTAATGATATTAGTGCAGGAAAAGTTAATATTTCAGGAACCTTAACCAAATCAGTAAATTTTATAATAGAATATTGTTTGTTAATTCAAAGCAGTAGTTAATGACTTCAAAAATACAAATTTATTTTTGCCATTTTAGCTTAAGCACATCTCAATAAAAAATATTCAAATTAAGTTTTGAAAAATATTATTTACTTATTAACAAGAAACAAATAAAATAAATCCTTTTAATTAATTCTTTTATGTTTTAAAAAGAAAGAAGAAACTAAAGTGTTGGATGGAACAACTGATTTGCATGCCTTCCACTTGAAAAATATTGGTTAAATTATTGAAGACATGGAAGGAATGTTAAGAAACGATTTAGATAACTTTTACATTGGAAAAACTAAATAAGTAAGTTCATTATTGAATTTTTTCAATTCAAATACACTTTTATATAAAAAAAAATCAATCTTTAATAAAAAATAAAATAAAAAACTCAACTTAGTTATTTATATCATAAATTAAAAATTAAACAAGAAGCAAATTTTATTTCAAAAATATTTAAAAGATTTGATTAAAATAAATGGATTTTTAAAGTATTTATTAACTTAATTTAATATAAATGTCAATTTAATAATCTTAAAGAGTATCTTTGAAATGAGAGATCTTCATGGACATTAAGAAATTGAAAACATTAAAAAGGGTCTTGCTAAAGATTTATTAAGTAGATAAGCAGTTTGAAAATTGATATTTATAATACATTTAAAATGTATAATTAAAAAGTAATTAATAAATTATTGCAATGTTGTTTGTGTATTTATTGTTTGTTTTTTATAATTTACTATCTTAAAATATTCTAAAACTTTTAATAAATCTATCAGGTTATCTTTTATTCAAATTAAAAGATTTATTGTTTAGTATACTTTAAAACTAATTTTATTTTTAGAATTTTCTTTAAAATTAATTTTTTAGCCATTTGTGAGTGATAAAAGTTTCATTGAATCCTTTTTTTATAAATAGATAAGCAAAATAATTTTGTGTAAAAAGAAATAAATAAAATCAGAAAACATCAATAGTATTCATCAAAGAAAGACTCTTAATAAAAGAATATAAATCAATCATTTCTAATAAATAATTATTTATATGCTTAATAAAATTTAACAGAACATGCTCATCAGAAATCTTAGTTTAATTAAATTGACCCTTAACAAAAAAAATCCAGAATAATAAATTAAATTAAAATAAAAACTAGAACGCAAAAAATCTTAGAAACATTTCTGCTATAAAAAAAAACAAAATGAAAATTGATTGCTTGATTCATTAAGAAAATTAATGTATTTTCTTGTGCGTTGCTCAATCTTGCACAAGTAAAAATAGATTTTTATGCTCTGAGTGCATAACAGAATAGGATGAAAGTCATACTCACTCTATAATCTCTCTCTCTTCTTTAAATAAAATGGAATAAGCTGCTCAGTTCAAATTACTTAGCTTTGCAGACCCTAAAAAATAGTTTATCCCTAGCCTAAAAATGCAAAATGTTGACGAGAGAGTTTCTAAAATAATTGGCTTCTACGAATCACTTTAGAAATAAATTATTGCAATTATTTAATAGAGAATGAAATAGGAAGTTGAAGAATGTACTAACACTGCCTGCACTCATGCATCTCTTTTGAAATAATCTAAAATAGAAGAAGTAGTTTAGATACTTTTTAAATCTTCCGTAAGTGGTAATTAAGCTGATTTGGATAAAGATATTAAAGATTTCTTCACAGAGTACCATAAAAACTACGCTAAAGTAGAGAAATTCCTTAACAATTGCTTTTTTTGGGATTAAAAATTCTCTTATGTTGAAGACATCGACAAGAAGGTTAAAGAAATAGTATTCAAGTTTGAATAAGCTGTTAATAAATTTTCTCCTAATAAAGTTTTAAAAAAAAGTAATATCACTATTGAAATCCTAAATAGTATTTAAAACGAAGAAATCCTTTTACCACCTTGCATTAAATATCTCCCTGAAATAAAGTCTTTCTAGAAAGTTGAAGGAGTCTAGAGAAATTATATAGGTATTATTGACGCACCTATCACTAAGGATCTGCTTAAAACTTCCTTTAAGGTAAAAGTACATAAACGTATATGGGTTGGAATTGGTCTTTGTGAAAGAGATCTCATAGTAAGCAGAGATTATTAATGTGATGTGAAGTTGATAGATAAAAAGAGTGGATTATGGTTTACCTCTTCTAATGGTGATTGCTATTAATCAGAAGAAGATTGTTATATATTTGGAGATAGCAACGTTTATTTCCGTAGTGGGGATATTCTTGTTGTCACTCCTTATTAAAACAAAATTGATTACTATGTAGAAGACAATCCTGGTAGAATTTATTCCCAAAAATTTACATATGATGAAAATAAAGTTTATTGCCCTTGCTTTGTTATGTAATAGAATGGATAAGATCAAATAGAATTTATTTAATGAGTTTAAATTAATTTTATTCTCAAATCTATCAATAAATTTATAAAAATTTGTCTACTTTTTATATGAATAAATGTGAATAGTAAATGTAATTTTTTAAAACTCAGGTTAATATTTCCTAATTAAAGAATATTCCATCTATTTGTACATTAAATCTAAGCATTTATTAATTATGATTTAATATTTTTTGGTAGCAAAAAGCAATAAGTAAGTCTTAATTATAAAAATAATGATTAAATTAAAGTTAGAAATAAATAAGACACCTTTCTCTATTAATTTAATAAAATGATAATTTTTCTATAAGATATTAAAGAAATAATTAGGATATTTATATTTTGAAAAAATAGATAAAATTAAATAGTTTGTTTATCTATATTAAAAATTTTTTTAATTTCCCATATTTGATCTTAAAATTTAATTAGTAGATAAATAATGTTATTTAATAATCAAATTTACTCTAAGCAAATAGTATAAATATTAAAAAGAAAATGATTGTCTTTTAAAATAGTTTTTAATTTAAAAAATATTTGACTTTTATAAATTGCTATGTTTATTGAGCGATTTAATTCTATATATTTAAGATTCAAATAGAGGATATTTTAGTTATTTCATCTTTATTTCATACAGTAAAAAATACAAAAAAAATTATTTAGACTTACAAAACAAGTTATTTTCGAAATTTCTTTAGAATATTAATTTCACAATATAGAAAAGATAAATTTATTTTTTATATTTCATTGTGATTTTCTTTTACTATTTTTGAATAAATCTTTTATATACCGTTTAAATTATTTGGTATAATGAGGATTAAATGTATAATATATCTAAAAGAAATTATATTTATACATTGATTTTACATAAAATAAACAGCTAAGAAAGGTAAATTTTATAAAATTTACTGCAGATTATATATTAATTATAAAAAAAAGTATTTTTTGAATTACAATTACCAAAAATTACTTAAAAAATTTAATAATAAATAAAAAAATTTCTCCTTGATCTAAGAATTTTTAAAATATGTATATTTTATATAAAAATTGTTTTGAGAAAGAAAAAAATAATTACTTTTATCTATTTTCTTATAATTATATCTTTTATTTAGATATTTTAACTTAATTATTTATTCAATCTCACATAAAGACTCTAGTTTAACATTTTTTATATATTATTTTTTGATTGAAAAACATAAGTTTTAGAATATTCTAACTAAATACTTTTACTATTTTAGAGTAAGCAGAGTCAGTAATTTTATTTATCAGAATGGCATTTAAGACCATAATTTAATTTAATTAATTTTGTCTTTCCATTAAACCTAACAAGACACTTTAGAAATATTATGATTTCTGAAAGTTTTAAAGATATTTTTTTTAAATCTTGACTTATTTTCTATAAAAAATTAAAAATTAAAAACTCATCTATTTTTTCGAAATAAAATTTATAATTAATAAATCCGAATTAATTGCTTAAAATTTAACAATATAATAAACTGAAATTTATTCTATGAGCTATAAGTGTATTGATCATACAGATTACGAATATTTGTTTGTTAACCTTAGAGAAGTAAAGGGAAAATCTCGTCTTCTTTGTGAAATTTGTGCTTAAGAATAGTCTGAAACTCATGAACTTAGCCTTGTTTCTATTGGAACTTTAGTAAGTAATTCTTTTTCTCAGCACTAGAAACTTATTTAATTTGCTGACTAAGAGAAGATTTTGCTACCTTACATCAAGTTTGATATTGTTCAGAATGGAACTCTTGAAAAAATTAATAGCTTCTACGATGAGCTATCTTCTTCTTTATTACAATTTGTTGAAGCAAAAAGAGAAGAGACATTGAAAAATTACTACGGACTAATAGAGGCTCAGACTAAGATAAGAACTATTTCTAAATTAGAAGAAATCTAGAATATTTTAAGAAATGAGAATCATGAAGACACATAAATCCTCCTCAATCAAGTAAAGGAGTACTTTGATTCTCAAAAGAGTAGATAAAATGAAATTAAATCATACTTAGAGTGTTGCGTTAGCATGTCGAATAAATTAGAAGGATTTTAATCTATTTCAAATAAAGTGAGTGAAATTAAAGAAAAAATAGATGGCGTTTTAAGGAGTGAAGATGAGCTCTCTTATTTATCAGAACTTAGTCAAAAAGAAATCAAGAAAGTAGAAATATTGAAAGAACAAATTAAGAGCTAAACATCATAACTCCAAAAATTAATTAACTTGAACACCAATTTGAAGTACTAAAAACCCTTACAAAACTTTGCTAAACCAGAAATCGATCTATATAAGCTTGATGCCCTAAATAAATCTAAGAACCCTAACTATTTCATGCTTAAAATTGCAGAGGCAATTAAGAACAGCAAGTTCTTTATTCCTTTAGAAATGAAATAAGAAGCTAATAGCCTAATTTTTAGCAGAACATAACCTGGTGATGACCTTGTTGGTTTGATTGATGTTCCTATAGACGATGATGTTTTTGGATAACCCTTTAAAGTTAAAATTCTCTAAGGTTTCGCTGCGATTGGTATTTGTGCTCGTGATATTCAGGTCAAAAGATGTTATAGATTTGAATATTAGAATTACTTTCCTTCATGTGGATACGCTATGATTTCAACATCTGGTACCTCTTATTCTTCTTTCTATCCTTCTAATCACAGATAGTATATTAAAAAGCATTATGGAAAGGATGCAGTTCTTACAGTGATACCATGTGATAATAAGATCATCTTTTAGTGCAATAGCTTTGAAACATTTGAGTTACTCTTTTCTCCTCAAGAGGGTATTGTCTATACTCCTTGCTTTTTGCTTTCTGAAGAATCTTCAATCGAATTTATTGTAGATGAGTGAAAGTAACCAATAAATATATATGTAATCTTAAATAAAACATGGTTAATTTTAATCAAAAAATATATATTACACTAGAATATCTTTTTTTGTATGCTATGTATGAATTAAATAAGTTATTTTTATGATTGAAAATTATTTTTAATATGCATAAATCATTGAAACGTATTTGAAACCGATAATTCAATTCAGATAAGTTCAACTAGAATATAATTAAGATTATTTAGTTACGTATTATTTATCCAAAAAAATAAAATAAATGCGTTTATGTCAAATTTTAAATTATTTAATTAATTAATTTTTCACAATGTTTTTGTACATAATTTTATAATTTTTAATAATTGTATAATGAAAGAGTTATAATTGATTGATCTTAGTAAACTATAAAAACTATTTAGAAAATTTTATAATTTCAATTTGCTTGAGAGAATTTTTTCAAATTAGCTTTCTAAAAAGTAATAAATTTTTTTAAAAGAGTTTTTATAATTTTTTTTCCTACAAATTTAAAAAAATTTATTTTATTTGTAGAATTTTAGTTTAATTTTCTGTTATTTTATTTAAAGTTCCAATATTTATTAAATTTAATAGAGAATAATGTCATATTTATTTCTTTAATGAATTAGCTGTGAGAGTTGTTTTTTCGTTTTTGTAAATAACTGGTCTTCACTTGAATTTTTAATTTAGAAGACACTCAATCTATCTAACTTTTCGAATTTCTTTTAATAATATTTAATTCATCTTTTAATAGATATTTTTGAGGGGAGTAGCAAATCTAAAAATATCTCTCTGGTTTAGCTAAAAAAACAATAAATTTTAATTATTAAATGATACCAACAAGACTTTACGAATATTTTTTATGGGTTTAAGAAAATTTAAGAAGTCATCATCAAAAAAGGAGCTTTATTCTAATAGTCAATTTAATTAGTTTTTCAATAAGAAAAAATATGGTAATTTATTATTTATTTTTTCTGATATTTTGAATATCATAGCGAAATATCATTTAATTATTTTACATATTATTTTGATTAAAACATAGATTAGCAATTATATGTATTTGTGTATAGCATTGTTTATTAAAATTGGCTTTAAAAGTAAACTGCTTAAAAATATTAAAATGCGATGAGTTTAATTTTCGTATTATAATTAATCTCTTTGTTAAAAATTAGAAATCAGAGTCTCGATTAAAGCCTATTTATTTGTAGGTTAAAACATTTAATCAATAAGTTAAAATCTTTACTTTTATAAGATATTATCAAAGAGGTTTATCAAATATTTATTTGTTTGACAAAGACGATGGTAGTTTTGCATGTGCATATGTTTTTAAAAAAGGCAAAGTTATATTGTTTATTATAATAATAGTTATAATTAAATACATTAAATAGTAATTAATTTTAGTGTGCTTAATTTATTTATTCTTATATAGATGTTGATAGAGTCAATAATATTGAAAAAGGCACATGGGATTCTATTAATGTTGTTGATATTAAAATTACTGATCCCAGTAAAAAGAAAATTGTTTATAAGTGTACTAGCTCAGTAATTTTAGTAATGGAAATCAATGATATTAGTGCAGGAAAAGTTAATATTTCAGGAACCTTAACCAAATCAGTAAACTTAATAATAGAATTTGTTAATTCAAAGTAGTAGTTAATAAAAATAATACAAATTTATTTTCGACACTTTAACTTAAGCACATTTCAATAAATAATATTCAAATTTAGTTTTGAAAAATATTATTTACTTAAATAGATTAGCAAAAAAATTTTGAGTAAAAAGAAATAAATAAATCAGAAAACATTAATAGTAATCATCAAAGAGAGACACTAAAAAAGAATATAAATCAATCTTTTCTAAAAAATAATCATTTATATGCTAAATAAAATTTAACAGAACATACTCATCAGAAATCTTAGTTTAATTAAATTGACCCTTAACAAAAAAATCCAGAATAATAAATTGAAATTAAAATAAAAACTAGAACTCAAAAAATCTTAGAAACATTTCTGCTAAAAAAAAAACAAAATGAAAATTGATTGCTTGATTCATTAAGAAAATTAATGTATTTTCTTGTGCGTTGCTCAATCTTGCACAAGTAAAAATAGATTTTTATGCTCTGAGTGCATAACAGAATAGGATGAAAGTCATAATCACTCTATGGTCTCTCTCTCCTCCTTGAATAAAATGGAATAATCTGCTCAATTCAAATTACTTAGCTTTGCTGATCCTAAAAAATAGTTTACCCCTAGCCTAAAAATGCAAAATGTTGACGAGAGAGTTTCTAAAATTATCGGCTTCTATGAATCACTTTAGCAATAAATTATTGCTCTGATTTAATAGAGAATGAAATAAGAAGTTGAAGAATGTACTAACACTGCCTGCACTCATGCATCTCTTTTGAAATAATCTAAAATAGAAGAAGTAGTTTAGATACTTTTTAAGTCCTCCGTTAGTGGTAATTAAGCTGATTTAGATAAAGAAGTTAATGATTTCTTCTCAGAGTACCATAAAAGCTATGCTAATGTAGAGAAATTTCTTAAAGATTGCTATTCTTGGGAGTAAAAATTTTCCTACGTTGAAGACATCGATTAGAAGGTTAAAGAAATAGTATTTAAGTTTGAATAAGCTGTTAATAAGTTTTCTCCTAATCAAATTTTTAAAAAAAGTAATATCACAATTGAAATACTAAATAGTATTTAAAACGAAGAAATCCTTTTACCATCTTGCATTAAATACCTCCCTGAAGTAAAATCTTTCTCTAAGGTTGAAGGAGTGTAGAGAAATTACATTGGTATTATTGATGTCCCTATCACTAAGGATCTGCTTAAAACTTCCTTTAAGGTAAAAGTACATAAACGTAGATGGGTTGGAATTGGTCTTTGTGAAAGAGATCTCATCGTAAGCAGAGATTATTAATGTGATATAAAGTTGATAGATAAAAAGAGTGGGTTATGGTTTAGCTTTTCTAATGGTGATTGCTATTAATCAGAAGAAGATTGTTAGATATTTGGAGACAGCAAGGTTTATTTCCGTGATGGGGATATTCTTGTTGTCACTCCTTATTAAAACAAAATTGATTACTATGTAGAAGGCAATCCTGATAGAATTTATTCCCAAAAATTTACGTATGATGAAAATAAAGTTTATTGCCCTTGCTTCGTTATGTATTAGAATGGAGAAGATCAAATCGAATTTATTTAATGAATTGTAAAAAGTATAATGTAAATTTATTTTATCCGAAATCTGTCAATAAATTTATAAAAATTTGCCTACTTTTTGTATGAATAAATGTGAATAGTAAATGTAATTTTTTAAAACACAGACTAATATTTCCTAATTAAAGAATATTGATCTATTTGTAAATCAAATATTAGCATTTATTAATAATGATTAGATACTTTTTGGTCACACAAAAGCAATAAATAAACAAGACTAAATTATAAAAATAATGATTAAATTAAAGTTAGCTATAAGACACTTTTCTCTATTAATTTATTGAAATGATAATCTTTCTATAAGATATTAAAGAAATAATTAGGATATTTATAATAAAGAAAATAGATTAAATTAAATAGTTTGTCTACATCAAAAATTTATTAAATTTCCCATATTTGCTCTTTAAATCAAATTAGTAGATAAATAATGTTATTTAATAATCAAATTAATTTAGTATTTTTATTATTCTAACTAAACAAATACAATAAATATTAAAAAGAAAATTATTGTCTTTTAAATTAGAATTTAATCTATAAAATATCTTTGCTTTTACAAATTACTATGTTAATTGAATGATTTAATTTTATATTTAAGATTCAAGAAAAGGATGTTTTTCATCTATATTCTATTCAGTCAAAAAATACAAAAATTATTTATTTTAAACTTAAAAAATAAGTTATTATCTAAATTTCTTTAGAATATTAATTACTCTTTTTATCTTTTTAGAAAAGATAATTACAAATTTTATTATTCATTGTGATTTTCTTTTGCTATTTCATGAATAAATCTTTTATAAACCTGTTTAAATTATTTGAAATGTATTGGCTTTAAAGTTTAATAAATCATATTTATGCCATTGATTTTACATAAAAGAAACAGCTAAAATTAACAAAAGATTTTATATTTAATAGTAAAAAAAAATATTTTTAGAATTATTAAAGCTAAAAATTACTTTAAAAATTGAATATTAAAAAAAAAGTTCTCCTAAATGTAAGACTTTTTAAAATATGTATGTATGTATGTATGTTAAAAAATATAAATGATATCTTTTAGCTAAAATATGGTCAGATTTAAAATATTAATATTAAAGAAATTATTAGAATTATTATTAGCCTATTAAAGAAAAAAAAGTAAACAAACAAATATATTTTGCATTTCATTTTTCAAATTTCTTACATAAAAATTGTTTTGAGAATATACATACTAGTTATTTTTATCTATTTTCTTATAATTTTGTATTGTATTTAGATATTTTAACTTAATTATTTATTGAATATCATGTAAAACTTTTGTTTGACATTTTTTACATATAATTTAATGATGGAAAAACATATTTTTTAGAATAATCTATCTAAATAACTTTAGCTCTCTAGAGTAAGCAGAGTCAGTCATTCTATTTATCAGAGTTGCATTTAAGACCATAATTTAATTTAATTAGTTTTGTCTTTCCATTAAACCTAACAAGACACTTTAGAAATATTTTGATTTCTGAATGTTTTAAAGATATTTTTTTAAAAAGTTGACTAATTTTCTATATAAAATTAAAAATTAAAAACTAGTCTATTTATTTGAAATAAAATTTATAATTAATAAATCCGAATTAATTGCTTAAAATTTAACAACATCATAAACTGAAATTTATTCAATGAGTAATATGTGTATTGATCATAAAGACTACGAATATTTGTTTGTTAATCTTAGAGAAATAAAAGGAAAACCTCGTCTTCTTTGTGAAATTTGTGTTTAAGAATAGTCAGAAACTCATGAACTTAGCCTTGTTTCTATTGGAACTTTAATAAGTAATTCCTTTTCTCAGCACTAGAAACTTATTTAATTCGCTGACTAAGAGAAGATTTTGCTACCTTACATCAAGTTTGATATTGTTCAGAATGGAACTCTTGAAAAAATTAATAGCTTCTACGATGAGCTATCTTCTTCTTTATTACAATTTGTTGAAGCAAAAAGAGAAGAGACATTAAAGAACTACTACGGACTAATAGAGGCTCAGACTAAGATAAGAACTATTTCTAAATTAGAAGAAATCTAAAATATTTTAAGAAATGCCAATCATTAAGGCACATAAACCCTCCTCAATCAAGTAAAAGAGTACTTTGATTCTCAAAAGAGTAGATAAAATGAAATTAAATCATACTTAGAGTGTTGCGTTAGCATGTCGAATAAATTAGAAGGATTTTAGTCTATTTAAGATAAAGTGAGTGAAATTAAAGAAAAAATAGATGGCGTTTTAAGGAGTGAAGATGAACTCTCTTATTTATCAGAACTTAGTCAAAAAGAAATCAAGAAAGTAGAAATATTGAAAGAACAAATTAAGAGCTAAACATCATAACTTCAAAAGTTGATTAACTTTAACACCAATTTGAAGTACTAAAAACCTATAGAAAACTTTACTAAACCAGAAATCGATCTATATAAGCTTGATGCTCTCAATAAATCTAAGAATCCAAACTGTTTCATGCTTAAAATTGCAGAGGCAATTAAAAACAGCAAGTTCTTTATTCCTTTAGAAATGAAATAAGAAGCTAACAGCCTAATTTTTAGCAGAACATAACCTGGTGATAACCTTATTGGTTTGATTGATGCTCCTATTGACGATGATGTTTTTGGATAACCCTTTAAAGTTAAAGTTCTCTAAGGTTACGTTTCGATTGGTATTTGTGCTCGTGATATTCATGTCAAAAGATGTTATAGATATGAAGTTTAGAGCTACTAACCTTCATGCGGATATGCTATGCTTTCAACATCTGGTTTCTCTTATTCCTCTTTCTCCCCTTCTTAGCACAAATAGTATATTAGAACACATTATGGAAAGGATACAATTCTTACAGTGATACCATGTGATAACAAGGTCGTCTTTAAGAGCTAATGCTTTGAAACATAAGAGTTACCCTTTTCGCCTCAAGAGGATATTGTCTATACTCCTTGCTTTATGCTTTCTGAAGAATCTTCAATCTAATTTATTGTAGAAGAGTGAAAGTAACCAATAAATTTATATGTAATCTTAAATAAAACATGGTTTATTTTTTATAAGAAAATATATATTACACTTGAATATTTTTATATGTATGCTATGTATGAATTAAATAAGTTATTTTTATGATTGAAAATTATTTTAAACAGGCATAACCTATTTGAAACCAGTAATTCAGGTAAGTTCAACTCGAACATAATTAAGATTATTTAGTTACGTATTATTTATCCAAAAAAATAAAATAAATGCGTTAATGATCAAATTTTAAATTATTTAATTAATTAATTAATCAATTTTTCACAATGTTGTTATACATAATTTTATAATTTTGAATAATTGTTTAATGAAGAGTTATGACCTTAGTTAACTATAAAAACTATTTAGAAAATTTTATTATTTCAATCTACTTGAGCCAATTTATTCAAATTTGCTTTCTAAAAAGTAATAAATTTTTTATATTTGAGTTGTTAAAAATTTTTTTTCCTACCAATTTAAAAAAAAGTTATTTTACTTGAATAATTTTAGTTTTTATTTTCTGTTATTTTATTTAAAGTTCTAATATTTATTAAATTAAATAGAGAATAATGTCATATTTATTTCTTTTATGAATTAGCTGAGAGAGTTGTTTGTTCGTTTTTGCAAATAACTGGTCTTCACTTGAATTTTTAATTTAGAAGACACGCAATCTATCTAACTTTTCGAATTTCTTTTAATAATGTTTAATTCATCTTTTAATAGATATTTTTGAGGGGAGTAGCAAATCTAAAAATATCTCTCTGGTTTAGCTAAAAAAACAATAAATTTTAATTATTAAATGATACCAACACGTGACTTTACGAATATCTTATGAGGGTTTAAGAAAATTTAAGAAGTCATCATCAAAAAAGGAGTTTTATTCTAATAATCAATTTAATTAGTTTTTCAATAAGCAAAATATGGTATTTATATTATTTATTTATACTGATATTTTGAATATAATAGCGAAATATTATTATAAATTCTTTAAATTATATTCAACAATTTGCAATTTTGAGCCAAAAAAAATAAATTTTATTCAAAAAATTATGCATTCTTAGCTTAACTTATTTTTAACAACTTCATTTTGCAAACCTATTTTATTTGTAAAGATTTATCACTAATTTATTAAGTTGAAGCAGCACTTTTACAATGATGGAGATAGATCAAATTTAAAAATGCAGATTATAATAGCGCACACTATAACAAAACAAGAAAACTATGATTTGAATATGAAGTAATAGCAAAATATTTGAAAAGTTTTTATTTTATGGCTTTAAGCGAGTAAGCAAAAAATAGGTTTGAGAGAGTTAATTTCATAATTCAATAAAAGTTAGTAAATATGATTTATGAATATATGTAGAGAAAAGTTGGAAAAAAATCCCTTAATAATGACTATGTATTTTGTGTGTGTGATTATAATGTTTATTTAATTTTCACTATTTTTCCCTCGTCTAATCTATCAGCAAAGAAAGCATTTGATGATTTCAAATTTTTTTTTTTCTTCCCTTATTTTCTTACTTATTCATTAAAAAGCTATTAATCATTAAATTACTAGTAACTTATCAAGTGTTTAAAATATCGAATGTAAATTAATTATTAAGATTGCAAGCTTTAAAATCAAGTTCAAAAGCAAATAATAATTAACAAAGAGCAAAAGATAGACAGAAAAGACTTGTTTGATTTGATTAATTTAAAAGCAAAAAAGTTAAGCAAAATATTATAAATAAATTAATATACAAAAAAAGGCATAGCGTATAGAGAATTATCAAAATTGAGGATACATAACCCAGAAAATAATAAGAAACTTTTAATTCTTAGATCTGAATACTATGAGCGAAGCTCTGATATAATACGATATAATCATATTAGGAAACACAAAAACAGGGAAAAAAACATTGAGGGACTTTCTTGCTAGTTTATCTCCCTAAGAAAGCTTGCAATAAGTATTAATTAACATTTGATTAATAATAAATCAAATATTTGATTTTATTTTTTTCTCCTCTAATTGCCACTCTCTAATAAATGGAGAAGGGAAGAGGCGAAGAAGGCTGAATCAAGTAGAAATTGTATTGATCGATTGTTTTAATTATAAAAGGGAGGAAGTAGTAGAATAAGCATGATGAAAAGAAAGTATTAACTGAATTAAGATGTTACTTTCTCAGTGAGATATTGGGTCAATAGGGGTGATTTCAGAACCTATTCAAATTTTATTAAAACTATTGAAAACGTGAAGGGAGTTGTAGTCTTAGTTGATTTAAGTGGTAAGAATATTTCTTTTATAAATATATTGATTGATTTAGTGCTAGTTAAACTTGTTGGATGCATTTATGAAAAGCATTTTCTAGATTTATTTTAATTTCTTTTTTTAATGTAAAAATAAGACCGTAAATCTATACAAAAAATTGAAAACTACTTTATTAGCTTCCAAAGAAGAAATCTTCCACTTTTCTTAGTCGGAAACAAGTGTGATCTTGACAGGTAAAATTTTTAATTTATAGCTCTAAATGATCAAACAAACGCTTCACTCTCTCCCCCCCCAGGCTTACTTCCTTTTTTTATCATTTTTTTACGTTCAAATATGAATGGAGTATGAATGAATTCAGTCACTTACTTAATCCTGCATGCATTCCACAACCCAACCAGTATTTTTGATAAACATATTTTTATAAATACGCACACTCACCTTGATATTTATTTGACTTAGTCATTTAATCCAAAAAAGTATTTTACAAGCATGAACGAATAAATAAATAAATAAATGATTGATTTTTGAATTTTGTGAAAACAATTAATTAATGGTTGCTTGAAAAATGAATGAATAAATGAATGAATGCTAATTTTAGTTACTACCTCTTTGTTATCGAACAATCAAATTTTATTTTTCTTTTCTAATTATCAGAAACTCCTTTTTTTGAAATTTTCTCTTTTGGAGTCTATCTTATTTTATTTTCTCTCTGATCAAACTAGCTATTTATTTTTGAGCTAGAAAATTTTGTAGCACAATTTTCTAATTTTTTTGCTACAGTTAGTTTCCCAATCTGATTTGTTAGAAGCAACAGATATTCGAAATATTAATTTTTAAAATCAAATGGCGTAAAATACTAATTTTAAAACTGAATGTGCGAGTTTAAATGTCTAGAATACTTAAGTTTTGTTTGTGTTCTTTTTGCTTATCTCCCCACTATGCAGAACATACAAATTAACAAACAATCAAAACTTATTTGAATCTGAGCAGAGATTTCCCAACAAAAAAAACGATTTGGAATGTTTTGAATTCAGCAATCTGCTCTGTTAAGCCAAAATGTCAATAATCAGCTCAGCTGCCTTAGACGAATGATTCTTATTAGATGAAATTAGAATGAATGGGAGATAATAAATTAATTAACAAATAAAGTTATTTGAAGCAAAATCAATCGAGATGAATCCTCACTCACTCGCTTCTTCTTCTTCCTCTTCTTAATTCTTACTTACTTACTTAATTACTTTACTGTTTTAATAAAAATGAATATATTAATATTTTATTACATTTGATTTTTAAAAATATAAAAATAAATAGTATTAAAAGATGATATAAATTTTATGAAATTATTAAAAGCATTTTTTTTGAAAAATGTTTTAAATAATTATTGCTTACTAAGAAGGATAATAATTATTACTTACTGAGAGGAAAATGATAATTATTACTTGTTAAAAGGACAGTAATTATTACTTATTAAGAAGGCTAGTGGCTGCTTCAACTCAGCTGCTACTTATTAAGAAGGATAATAATTATTACTTATTAAAAAAGGATAGTTATTACTTGTAAGGAAGGATAATAATTATTACTTATTAGGAGAATAGTTATTTAAGTTTGACCTAAAATTTTTTAAGTCAAATATTAATAATTATCATTGTTATTTCTCCTTTAAACTAATAACAAAACAAACAAACAAGCAAACACACACAAATGCAAGCACTTACTTACTTCTAACTTGCATCCTTACTTAACTAATATCTCACTTTCTTCCAAGGAGATAGTTATGTTTACAAACATATTTTTTTTATTATTTCTTTACATCTTTCGGACTCGTCGCCTTGCTTCTGCCCACCTAGAAATTTTCAATTTCATCCTTTTGAACGGCATAGAGAAATCTTGTCATTCAAAACTAGGGAAAGGAGTAAGGTAAGACAGAGATCCTTTTTCACAAAAGATAACAAAGAAGACAATAAAAAAATTTACTGTAAACGGCAAAGAGTATAAATAGTAATTAGGTAACGACAGCAATCAATCAATCAATCAATACTCATGCAGTACTGAGAATCAAAGGTAATTGCAGGAGAGAACCTCAGATGTGGATATTGCTGAGCGTCATTTAGCCAAATGAAACAAAACAAGAAAATAAAATTCATATAAACAAACACACACAACTACATACATTCTGCTATCATCCTTGAAGACATAAGAGAATGAATTGGCTATATTTGGCTATTTGCGATCTTGGGTCCACTCCCCCTACGGTTCTCTCCCTCTCAGCCTCCCAGGGTTCGGTTTTGGGACACGTTAAAGTCGCGAAGAAATGAGAATCTCAGCCTAGCTAATCCGAGATGAGGAAAGGTGTTAGAAAGCTAGTTTTGCGGTTCGTACAAAACAGCACTCTCTAACCATCTATTTCCTTAGGTTTGATTAATGCTACTGATTTTATAGTTTCTTCGTACCGAATCATTCCTGAGCAGTACCCAAGTACTCTTAGGAGGGGGGATGATAGTGATCAACCCATCCATTATTTATTATATTTAATCAACACTCAACCAATATATAAAGAACTTTATATATATTAATGACTATCAGATTTTTATCAAAATCAACAAGTTTTTCTATCAATCCATCCATCCATCATCATACATACATATTTGAAAGACAATCAAAAGTAATCTTCATAAAATTGGGGCATAAACAAATAAGCATACTAACAAACTAAAACAAATACTTACTTAAATAAAAAACATAAAAGCAAAATAAGATCAACAAAAAAATTAATCATTAAACGGTATCATTTTGTTTATTCAAAATTGTTTTAATATATAGAGAAGTATCATCAAAAGAGATGATGAATATAGCTTAGCGTTTCAACGCTCAATATTATGAAGTTTCTTTGCTAACAGGTGAAATGACCGATGAGTTATATTAGGGAATTTTACTTAGCACTTTTAAGGAAAATTATACAAAAGGCAGCTGCGGCACTTATGTTAAGAATGTAAGAGAATTGTAGCATTAGAAAAAGAGAGCTCTCGCCTACAGATATGCTTTAGAGTAAGTTTATGGAAACACTATCCGAAAAGATATTCTCAGATAGTCTCTTAGCAATATTGTTCCCTAGTAAATACTTTAAGGAGAGACAGATTAAGATGGGTATAGTCGAGAGGCCTAGTAAATCTAGTAGTAAATTTAAGGCAGCCTTTTCGCTGGCAACTTCGATGACTAATAAGATCAAGGACTCTTCTAAAACTTTCTCGCTAAGAACTCTCTCATGACTGACTTATCTTCATCTGTTATCCAACACATTGCATTCAATCCTTAGTAGATTGATGTTTTAAACTGATGAACCAATTATTTTTGCCAAAATAAAAATTATATATAAATAATCATACGAAAAAAAATTAGAAATCCTTGAAATATATTAGAAATCATTAAAGTTGCTTAAAAAAAGCACTACCTTAATTAAATTCATAAATTCTCTCTCAAGATAAAGTATCCTATGATATTCAATATTAAATAGATATAGCTTATTGATAATACTACTTAACCTCTACTAAAAAATTACTATTGTAATGATCAAATAAATAAATAAATAAATCATCTTTGGAGTGTTCTCTTATACTAAGATTATAAAAATAATAAAAAATTGTTTAATTTATTTATATCTATTTCATATTAATATCATTCGTATTTTATTTTGTTTAGAATTTACATTTTATGTATTATATGTGTATTCATTCAATCACTTATAATTATACCATATATTAATTAATTAAATTTATCCATCATCCTTACATTATTTTGAATCATTAACTGCTATCAAGTTTCTTACACTTTTTTATATTACCAAATACCTTCTCGAAAATTAATTTTATCATATTTCATTAAAAATTTATTAATTCTTTCAGTAATATTAATATTTATTTATTTATTTTATTGATTGATTTAGATTCTTGTTCTATAAAATTAAAGTTTTACTCAAAAATTAAAGGTAAAGAAAAACTACATTTTTTTGAATATTTTATAGTAACCTTGTGCTTTCTTAGAAATTCATATGATATTTCTAATCTTAATATATATCAAAAAACGAATAATCTTTATTTGCTCGAGAGATGAAAATCTTCTTTATAATATCAATTTATATTTAGTTTTGAGTGGATTAAATCAAAGTAAAATTATTAAAACGTTTTGATTATTAATCATTCATTATTTATTAAAATTATCTAAAATCAAAATATTAATTTTATCCCAAAAATTAGTAATATTAGAACTTACAGTGCTTTCTCTGTCTAAAATTTTTTAAATTGATGTTTATAATATTGTAAAATGAAAATGTATTTAATTGAAATGATTTAAATGGAATTGATATTTCTTAAAAATTCTCTGAATTAAAATTAAAAATTTTAGTTGTTTTTTTATTTTTGAAATAATAAGTTTAAAAATTAATTCTTGCTGAGAAACTATATATAAGATTAGTACTTTACTAATAAATTTATATTAGAAAAATATTTGCTCTTTTAAAATCGAATTTATTTAAATAAATATTGATAAATAGTTTTGTTAACATATTTTAACACAAATTAGTATTTTTATATTACTTTTATTAATTTTTTGATTAGAAAGTATTGATTATTTTAGCTTAGTAAAAAACTAGGTTTAAAATTAAAATTTTAATTAAAGAAAATCAAATATTAATTAATCAACCATTTATTGTTATATTTACTAAATTATATTTATAAATAATTAAATATTATATCTTTTTGATTATTATTTGTGTTACTATGTTATATTCTAATAAATGTTCTAATTAGGATAATTCTAAATTTAAGAGATTTTAATTTAAGGAGAAAAAATTTGGATATAACTAATTTGAAAGACTCTTAAATTAGAATAAAATTTAGAAAAAATACTTGAAAAATTTATGAAAAATAAAAATTTTTTGTAATATTTATTGAATAGTTAAAAAACTTTAAACAAAAATCTTAGAAAAAATAATTAATTTAAATTTGCTATATGATATATTATAATATAGTTATATTTTGTAAATTTATATAAATTAAAATTTATTAAATATTAATTAATACATTTTATTTCATCAAATAATTAAATTTTTTTTTTTAATTTAATTTAAGATAAAAATTTTCTGTTTTTTAAAGTTAAAGCGAAATTTAATTTAAGGAAAAATAATTTGAAAATATTATTTTTTTTCATCTCCTTAATATCTAATTACAGTAGTTAGCTTTTACATGGATAAATAATTCTAAATTTAACTAAAAAATGAATCTAGTAATTAACACAAATAGCAACCCTGATATTTTTCTACATTATTATTATTTAGAAATTAATAATACAAATAAATATTTTTGAATCAAAAGATAAATTAAATTTTTTTTCATAATAAATAACTTATAAATTAGTTAGTTAGTTAGTTAGTTAGTTAGTTAGTTAGTTAGTTAATTAGTTAGTTAGTTTGTTTGTTTGTTTAGAAAGTTTTAAAACTATTATTATTAAAAATTAAAATTGTTGAACTTTTACTATTACTTTTTAAATTTAAAAGTTGTTTTAGAAAATGATTAAATATTGTTGTGAATTTGTTAAAAGTTTGATTTAAAACATAATTAATTATCTTAAAAAAATAATCTTTTTTTTTCAATCATTTCATTTTAAAAAAGTAGATATATTCTATAATTTTCAAATTATTATTTACCTCCAATAAGTATTCTTACCAATAAAAATATTTTTAATTCTTCTGTAAGATTGAAATTAATTAATTTATGGTTGAATAAAAAGACAGTTTAATTTTAAAATCAAAGATTTCATGATAAATTTACGATTTAATTATTTGATAACATTAAATTTAACTAATTTTATTAAATTTTAAATGCAAAGGAAATTAGTTGGTTAATAATGATTTTAAATATAAATCAATCATTTATTTGCTGATTATAAAAATAATTAAAAATAACAATTAAATTATTTTAATTAATTTTTAAATTAAGACAATAATATTTTAAATTATTTAAAAAAGATCTATTTCAAATTAAATAAAAATACAAATAATCTTATTAATATTCACTTTATAAAATTAAAAAAATTTTTATTTTTAGTTAAAAAAATAAGTTCATTAATTGTAAGTTAATTTTTATCAGGTAAATGATGACTTTAAGAAAAAATTTTGTAAATTAAATAAATTGTTTTTTTGATTAAAATAAAAATTATTTAAATTTTAGATACTGTTTTAACTTTTGAAAGAAAATATTACTATTTTTTATTTTTAAAATTAAAAGGAAACATAAATAATTTTTTACAAAATATATTTGAAACTGAATATTTTAAATTTATAATTCAATAACAAATTCAATAAAATATTTCTTTAATCCTAACTGACAGAGCAAAAATAATATTTATTTATAAGAAAGAATGGAATTTTATAATATCAGGGTACATTTGTCTCTTATTGAGCAATCATAAAGGGGTATTCAATGTTAAATGAATAAAGCCCCTGTTCTTAAAACATTAGAATATCAACAGCATCCTTCACTGCTACTCTTTTATTCACTTACATTTTAACCGGGTTTAAGACGTCTTCTTTCATTATCTTATTAGGTTTTAATATCACTAATTCTTATGAGTACATCTTAGGCCATGCTTTCAAAAGCAGAATCTATATTGTTAGAGTTTTTGGCAGATGTTTCAATGAACTTGATTTTCAATGAAGAAGCTATTTTAGAATTGTAAAATAAATATAAATTAAAGAAAATTTATTCGATTAATGGAATTATTTTCTATTTTATAATTGTAAAAAATTAAACTTATTGAATTAAAAATTATTTACCCAACTATTAACCTTCTTCAGTAGATACAACTCTTTTATCAGAGAGATCGCTCTTATTACCAATAAGTAATTTACAAACATTTTCTTGGGCATATCTATTTTTTATTTAATTTAAATTGTTTAAGTTTAATGTTTTAATTAAAATCTTATTTTTTAGTCGCTAAAAATTTGTGTTTGTTTGTTTTATTAATTGATTGATTTCCAGCTAGTTGTGTACGAGTTAAAAAATTAATTTTAATAATAAATTAATAAAATTTTTACTTTTCAATTTCTGACATCCAGGTTTTAACATTTTCAAATGAGAGTTTATCAGTGACATCATAAACAACAACGATACCATGAGCACCTCTAATTTTAATAATTTAAGAGATTCATCGATTTTATTATAAAAAAGCTGCACTTCAATAAAAAATACCTGTAATAATTAGTTGTAATAGTTTTGAATCTATCTTGACCAGCAGTATCCCACTAATTAATATATAAAAGGATGATAACTTTACTTATTTACTTAAAATGCAAGTATTTATTACAATTTACAATTTGATTTATTTGCCTTGGAGATTGATGGTTTTAATTTTCTGCATGTACGTTCATATTTTTAATAATTAATCAAAGGTTATTTTATATATGATTTTGAAGTAGTATTACGAAATCGACACCGATTGTATTATAAAAGTTTTATGTAAAAGTATTTTCGGCATATCTCATGAGCATACATGATTTACCAACACCTGAATTTCCAATCAAAACAAGTTTGAAAAGATGGTCGCTAATATTTAGATCATAAAAAATAAGTAAATTATAAGAAAGAGGCTACTAGTTTTTATTTATATTAAATCTAATTTAATCTATCTGCTCATCATAAAATTCCTAAAACAAAAATAAATAGAGCCGCTTTTTTGCAATAAATTTAATCGCATGAAATTAATGCTAATGCGCATAGGCTAAATTAGAAAATAATTTTCTATTTACTATTCTTAACTTTGTTCCTAATATGGTGTGTTATTCATTTACTTTACTTTTTTTTAATAAGTCTTTAAAGTTTTTAAGATCTAAATAATTTATTTATTTATTTGTTTGTTTGTTTTATATAAATTATCAATATTTCCATCAAGCAATTTTGCTATTGAACGAACAAAAATTTATTCATATACATATAAAAAAACAAACAACAAACAAGCAAAAAAATACAATATAAATTTCATATAAAATGTAAAAGAGTTTTGATAATTGATTGATTCTATTTTACTTGATTACAAATTTTCTTTACTTTTTGAATGAAAAATAAATAGCATCATCAATCAATCAATACAGTCACATCACTATACTCACTCATTGAATTTCCTTCACATTGTTTGAAGAAATTATAATTTTTTGCATTTTATATAATATAATATATGCAATTGAATAATTGAATTTTAAATACAAAATTTAGCTGGCATTTAATTTAAGGCAATTTTAAAATCATTAAATCCTAACACATTCTATTTCATCTTAATTTAAGTAATTATTTATTTTCTGTCCATCTTTAACCCAATCGTCTCCGATTAAAGATTTTTTTAAATTTGCTTTTTTTTATCATTTTCATTCAACCCTTCCTTTTAAAATAAAATTGTATATTCTAAAAAGTTAAAATAAAAATGTATATTCTAAAAAGATAAAATTAATTATTAATTTTTAATTAAATTATTTTTTAATTTTTGCTTTAGAAAATTTAAATTTATTTTATCTAAAAATAATAAAGTTAAAAGAAATAACCTAAAAATTATTTAAAAAAATTCCGAAATACAATTTTTTATAGTTTAATTAAATTAATGTTTTTAGAAGAAGAAATAAAATAAATAATTTATATTTGTGAAATTAAAATAATATTAAAAAATTAAAGAATTATTCGGATTAAATAAAATTATTTTTTTTAAAATTATATTGCTGCTTTGATTGTTTAAAATAAAAAAAATATTTTATCAAAAGAGAGAAAGAATTTTAAAATATTTAAGTAGGAATAATTAATAGATAAATGCGAGCTTTAAGGTTATGCAAAGGTAAAGCTAAAATATTAATTTAATGTGAGGATAAAAAGTGTATCAATTTATTTAAAGTTATTAAAATTTAATAATTTAATTTAGAAAGGAGGCTAATATCATAGAAGCATTTATTTATGCTTGAATTGATTAACTCTTTAATTAAATTAGCCAAAAAATTTAGTTGTAAGTAAAAGGAGAGCGCAAAGTATAGTAAATAATCAAATAAATATATAAAATTTCGTTAAATATTTAATAAATCAAATCAAAAGATAGATAGATATAAATAACTAAATAAATAATACTATTTTAAGCTAATAATTTATAAAATGAAGTCTATCAGAAAAAAATGGAAATAGGGCAAGTTTTAGAAGATCTAAAATGTTTTCTAAAACAAAAATCAAAACACAGAAGATTAGGACGAAGAAGATGTCGAAGAAGAAAGCTAGTTGAATTTATTGTAGAGATTGTAGAGTCAATAATCTAAAACTAAAGATTTAGCTTTAATTACATTGGCAAACATCAGTCACGGCAGTCCTTAAGACATAATCAGTAATTAAATTTTAAGATCTCTTTGAAATATATTACAAAAGCTACATGCTTGCTTTTTCATATTTTAGTTATTTTAACTCATTTTGTTATTATTTTATAGATATCTGCATCGAATAGCCAATATTACTTTAGCTCATAACTATTTTAGATGACAAATCACCTTTCACAGTAATCCACGATTTGAATGCAATCACTAATTTATTGGGATTAGAGTATTACACTAAGGAATCTATGGGTTAGTAACTCAACATTTCTTCTTTCTTGTTAGAAAAAAGCTTGCTAGTTAAATTAGAAAAACTGATTATCACTGTAAAGAATCACTTATCTTTGTAAACTATCTCAAACGATGATAAACTTTAGAGTTTGAAAATTCTACAAACTATTTACGAACTCTTAACTTGTTTGATAGAAAATGTTTAAGAAAGATACCTCAAGTTAGTTACAGAATCTCCACTTTCATAAGGTAACAGCATCAACTATCAAACATTTAATAAAGTTTAAAGCTATCTAATTCTCAATACACTAATCTGTCCCCCTTGTTAAGCATTTAATCTATCTAAATTTAGCTTTTTAATAAGATTGAGCAATAATCAAAATTATTAACCTGATTCTTTGAAAAATGTGTGTGCCCACTAATTTTTATATAAGCATCAAATTAACCTTTTTAATTTCAAGCGATATCTAATTACTATTTTATTATTAACAACTTAGTTTTCATCAGAACTGCTCTAGAAATTATCAGCTAGATTTAAGACTTTGATCTTTTGGCTACAATATTGAGCTATATCCAAGTTCTTACTGAAGTCTCTGGCTAGATTTGCATTTTAGTTATCGAAAATCACGAGTTAATGGAAGTTTTTGCCAAGATACTAAGAAGCAACAATTTGAATGACTTAAAATTCAAATCATAAGTAGTAAGCATCCTTTATAATGTACTCACTACATGCGACGATAGACTTAATGAAGAGTTCCAAGTAGTATTGACAACTATGTGCGACTACATTGTACAAACTATGAGTATTAAAATATTCTAAGAAGTTTCAAACCTCTAATCCATAATGTCCAACAATATTTCTGGATTACTTTCACAAATAAAAAATGATGAAAATTTAGATGAAAATGAAAACGAACAAGAAGGTAATAAAATCTTTATAAATAAACAATCAATCTATCAAATCAAATTAATCTTTATCTAAAATTAAATTTAGAAAAATTATCATAAGCTAGTATAAATTCATAGTAAAAAGCATAAAAATAATAAAAATTTAATAAGCAAATATTAATTATTTCACCAATAATAAGTATTAATTATTTTTTTCTAAAGCTAATATTGACAAAAAATAAATAAAAATATTAGATATAAATTATTCTTTCTAAACCTAATTTTTCTTTTCTAGATAAATTGTTTCTCAATAATGTTAAGCAAATTATTCTTATGCAAAAAATAATACTTCAAGTCTAAAAGTAATTAATTAATAAATAAATAAAATTGAGTCAAGTCTAAAAACAAACAACAAATTAATAAATAAAATAGAATCAAATAGAATTTTTAAAAAATACTATTCAACTTAACGTTAAATTATTTTGTGATAAAAAATTTATTATTGATTTTTTCTAAATTTAATTTAAGGCTAAAAATTAAATCTGAAAATATTTTTTCATAAAAACCTTGAAATAATATTAATTTATTTAATTATCTTAAAATAATAGAAGTTCATGATAAAGAATTAGAAGATCAAAAGAGCAAAGAAGCTATTAGAATTTGGTTTAGTACTGCTGAAGCTATTGAAATAGTAATGGGAGTGTTAGTAAATTTGTTTGAAAAGGAAAGTGAAGAAGATGTATTTGAAGATGAAGAAATGAATAGCGATTGCGATGATGAAGTAGAAGAGCAAAAAATAAGTAATGCAAACACTGTCTAAATTAAGGAAAACGGCAAATTTGTTGAGAATCAAGTGAAGTCATTTATGATCAGCTAGTTATTGAAACCTATTTTCCTTGAAATGGTTGTCGAAAAAAGTTTAATTGTAAGCAAAGATGTAATTAATTTCTTTGATCAATATGGACAATCTGGATAAAGCATACTTGCTTAAATTAATACTATAATTAACTTTAGTTTGAGTATTCTTACTAATTGGATTTACAATTACAACACCTATCTTAATAATGAATGGAATACCATCGTACTTCCTTAGGTTTGGGAAGATTTAAAACGCAAGTTAACCACCCTTTAAAACACTACTCATTTAAATTAAATTATTGTTGTAAACTTAAAACTCTTCTTCTAAATTATTAAATAAAATCAAGATCTCTCTGCTTAAATAAATTGCTCTGAAATTTTATCTATTTCTAAAGATGTATTTAGTGTTGAATGTTAAGAATTGACCTTAGTTTACCTTGACCTTATTGCTTACCGTTTCCACCCTAAGTTTAAAATTTCATAAGAAGAAAACAGCAATTCATGTCTAGTTTTAAAAGATTTATTGAATTCAGAAGATCCTATGATAGCTTCCTAGGCTTTAAATACTTTATTTGATGTCTATTCTGAAGAAGACTACGATAATGTTTTTGTATAACACAATATGTTATAAATACTTATTGCTGGTAAAGACATATTCTAATCTAAAATCAATGAATTCAAATAGAATTTAAATAAAAGTGATTATGATTTCATTAAAGAAACATTAGTTAACCTTAAAAGATTTATTAAATATAAACAACAACACATTAAATGATTTTTATGTGCCATTATATTCTTTATTTTACTGTCTTTATCATTTTCTTATTTTAATTGTATTAAAACTTAAAATTGAAAATATTTATATCAAATTAAACCACAAAACTCAACCCATTACTAACTAATACATACACTAGTTGTGAGATATTTATCCTTAATTTATTCTATCTTCCTTAGATATTACACATAATTAAGTCATATACTTTATTCAAGTTAGTTATATTTGAATAGATTAAAATCTATAAAAAAACAACAAGCTGATAATCAAAATCCTATTATATTTTAGCAAAAATTTAAAAGTGTTAATTAAAATTTGTTTAATTAATTTTAAATTTGCTATCACTTTATACTATAAATTTAGTATTTTTTTAAAAGTGCTCAAACAAATTAATTTAAATGTTGAAAAATTACTTTGATTTTTATTAAAAAATATCTACTTTATTTTTTAAGTGTTTTTATTAAAAAATATATACTTTATTTTTTAAGTGAACTCAAAAAAGCTCATTAAAAAGTTACATTATTATTATTATTATTTTAACTTAGAATTTCAAACTTTTAATAAAATAAAAGTTATTTATTGTTTTATTTTTAAAATTAGATATTTTTTTACACTAAAAATTGATGTTTTATTTGAAAGTGGCCAAAAAATTAATTTAAAGTTACAATAATATTTTAATTTATAAAATTACAAATTATTATTAAAATATAATTTTTTCAAAATGTTGGGATAACTATAGGGTCTCTATTGTTGCAAAGACTGTTGAGATTCTTGTTGCAAGGGCATTTTAAAAGACTTTTCAAATCTGAAGAAATGAACAAATCAATGACAGAGAGCATTTGAGTACCTTAAACGTAAACACACTTAAGAAGAGCTGGACCCTAGAAGTCATTTTCTATGGCACTTTGTATTTGAGTTAAGGTGTAAGTTTAGTTATCACTAGGGACAATATTGTGATTAGCTAATGCCTTAATAGGATTGTATTACTTGTGAAGAGAAGTGACAGTTGAGAAAAATTAGGTTTCACTACCATTAAAGCATGTACCGTGCTTTTACCATTCATGAGTTCTAAAGGAATCAGAGTCATTATATAAGCCAACCCAGTAAGCATTAATGTAGTCAATATCAGATTAATTGATTTAGGAGTAGTCCAAATCATCGTTTGAGCAGTTGCTTGGATAGCTGCAAGGATTGCTTCTAGATCCTGAAGGCCAAAGACCGTGAATATTGAAGTTTTAGTCATCGAAATTTCCAAGATATTAAGCACTGCAACTTTTTTATTAGCAGATAGTTCCAGGCCATTCCATCTCAAAGACCAAATAGGTATAAGCAGAAGTGTAGGAAAGTAATAAAGCAAAAAGTAAAACTGATTATTTGTAAGAAGCCATTTTTTATTTATTTATTTATTTTTTTTTTTTGAGTTTATTTTTATTTAGTTTGTTATTATAAAATTTTCAAACAAAGAAAGGAGTGTTTTTAAAGTATGGTTTTTCACATATAATTGATACATATATGGCTTTATTAAGTCTCAGAATTCATATTGGATATGCATAGAATCATAAAGATATTTAAAAAGGGGGACTCTTAGTTAATAAAATGTGTAAAAAATTTGAAAATTTAAGTCAATATTACAATCAAATTAAAGATAAATTTGATACCTAACTGATTGATTACGTATTTTCTTAGATGAAAGTATATTTAACAAATATTTTCCATATATACATGCATAGTAAAACAAATTCATAATTCACAATGATTAAAAATGATCAGCTAGATATATCTATGAATGTAAAATACCTTATCAAAAGATATCTTTTTGCATCTTTAAATTTCAATATTTTGCTTGATTTTTAAAATATTTGAAAAATTTAAACAAGAAATTTAAACGAATCTATAAAAAAAATTAAAATAATTCTAAAATAAAATGAATTATATTCCATACATACTATTGAATATGGCAGCATAGAATTTTAAATAATTAATATATTATATAAATCTAGTTTTGTTTACATAAGAGAAATAAATCTATTTTTGTATAAAATTCATTTAAGCCATAAGATTAACTTAATTAATAACTAATAAAATACTAGAATTTAAAGTATTTCATTCAATTTTATATAATTAATTATTACCAAATCTATAAACTGATATAATACAATTTTAAGGATGATTTCTATTTAGCTAGCTGATTATTAATTAAAATTTTACAACCACAAAAACAAAAACAAACAGATTTGATTAATTTAAACAACTGTTTAGCATGCCAAAATGCTTTAATAAAAGGACTCAACAATAAATAAGATAACCAAATAATTTACATTAAAATTTAAACTTTTATTTTTTATCGTAATTATTCTTGCTAAATATTTTTAGAATACAATTTTTTTTAGTTTTTGAAATTAAAACTTAATAATTGATTGGGAGTTAAACATATTTGATTAATTTAATTAAATTTACTTTTGATTCATACTAACTTTTGCTTCAAACTATGAATTTATAAACTAATTAAAAAAGTACATAGATTAATTTAACAAATTTACTTATTAAACATGATAATATCAACAAATATAATTTTGAGCCACAAGCTAAATAAAATGTAATGTTGTTTACTTACGTTATTAACTAGTTTTTAAATATAGCATTTTATTTTAAAATACAAGTTATAGATTGGTTGTTCTACTTAATTTCTAGTAAGCTGAACATTTTAAAGTTAAACAAGCTTAACGTACATATTATTTTTGTAAATCCCCCTCCTTTTATTTTAAAAGTAAAAAGAGCATCTTTTCCAGCTCGTTATCTTATTTTGCTTACAATTATTAGTAATAATCTTATGATTTACACTACTTTGCACTATAGGATGTGCTTAATTAATATTTAAATAAAGTATTCAGAGAGATTTTAAATTCTAGTAACTTAACCAAACCAAATTTAAAAAAATAATTTGGGGGACTCCATTTTCTTAAATTTTACATATCAAATAAAGGATGATGCATGGTAATAGAAGAGGTTTAATATTTACAATAAAGAATTTAATTAAATTGAAAAAAAATATGTTAAAATTTTCGTAAATTAGAAAATGATTAAATTAAAATAAACTGAGTAGTAAAACTTATTTGATTAGCTATAAAAAATGAATTTTTTTTATTTATTTTTTTTTAAATGTTAAATAGATAAAAACATTTTTCATTACATTTGTAAATAAATAACATAGTATTATAAAATTCACTTAAAATATTAATATTATCTTATTATGATTCAAATGTTTTATATAATATACAACTTCTATTTTGTATGCTTCTAAGAGTAGAAGAGTTTATAAATTAATTAACTTTGATATTTATAAATTTATTGAATATTCGTTATCCGTATAATATTTATTTTGACTTTATAATAAACAATTATCATATTTATTTATAATCAATATAATTAAAAAAGTGATAAACACATTGTTAAGATGCTAGATACATTCTGATTAATATAAATAAACCAGTTTATAATGAAATTATTTTATTAAAATTAAATATTTAGTTTCAAGTTAAAAAAATTGGAAAAAAGAGAAAAAATAGATTTTTGTATAAATTTTATCTTATGAAATTTAAAAATAAATAATCAATCAAAATAAAATATGGTGAAAATAAATAATAAACTATCAAAAGAATAAAAAATGTGTTTTAAAAATAATATTTTAGTTAATAAAGTATAAATTAATTTGTATTAAATTTTTATATCCAAAACCTTCCTTGAAATTAACAAAAAAAAACAGATAACATAAATAATTAAAAATTTCATTTAAGTTTTATAAAAATCAAGAAGCAAGATTATTTAATTTGTTTTAATTAAGAGAAGATCTTATTCTATTAAATATATTTTTCATATCTCCCATTTACTTTTTATATTGATTTGAGAAGTTTTCCATTTCTTCAGATGACATTACCTTTTTTAATTCCTTATCTCCATCAGGATGTAATAAATTTCCTTAATTTTATTACTGCTCTAAATCAACTTATTCTATTTGAAAAAAAATAAATATATAAAATAAAGCTAATACTTTATTAATACTTTTTATTTCTCTCATCATTTTGTTGAATAGCTTTTCATAATTTTCTTCATTGTCTGAATTTCTTTAAAAAAATAAATAATTAACATTAATTGAGAATCATTTATTTTGATTTATTTTACATCTGTTTCTTTTTTTGATCTTATTTTTGTGAAGGACTTTTTTGTTAGTACTATTATTCATATTCAAGTTACTTTTATTAACTTCTACTGGTCGGAAATATAGGTTATATACGATGCGATAATTGATTTTTTTAAATCAGAGAATAGTTAGGATTATAGCTTCCAACAGGTGGATTAGATTGTTGTATTTAATGAATTTTCTTAATATTCAAATGATATTTTTTACTTTAGTTATCTAATTTATTCAAGGAGCTATTTTAATTTAATAAGCTTGTATTTACTGTAAACATGTCCTTATTTTAAGGAGTTTTTTATTTTATAGTATACTGCTTTAGACGATTCATTAAAGTAAAATTCTAAAACTAGATTGATGAACAATCTTAATTAAGTGATCTATCAGCGTTGTGGTTAGTATCTTCAGTTTTTAGCACATCTGAAATTGTTTGAGAGGGATTATCTAAAATGTTCAATCTAACAACAAACTAAGTATATTTGTCTTTGAAAGACTCACTATTTTATTCGCTGTACTTTCTATAAATAAAAAAAAATATATTTTTTTTTGAAATAAATAAATGTTATTCTTAACAACAAATGGTGTATTTTACTCATACAAAATTTAAAATAATTATATTACCTATTATGTGCATTTAACGATTCAAGCTCTGTTACACTACTTTCATTTAAATAACCAGAATAAGGCAATATTTAATTTTTATTTGGAATCCTTCCTTTCGATAGTTGCATACCACTCTGATACTGCTTTAACTTATACTGAATATATCTTTCACTTTTTTTTGTACCAAGTTATTGATCCTTTTTTAGTCAAAATCATAAGATGTTTGGAATTTATTTTTGTATTTTAAAAATTGTTTTCTTATTTTAGAATAAATCATTTTACTTTCAAAAGATTTCCTAGGGAATCTCTCTCTTTCAGAAATGGGCTAAACGAATTATTGTATTGGGAAGATTCACTTTTGTTATTCTTCAATTTGATAAATCTCCTGCTTTGTTCATTTTAAAGATCTCCAGCGACGAAATAGTTATTTAGTTTATTTTAGATGTCGATATTTATGTTGCTTAGGTTTTAAGATGAAGAGTGATTTATTTATTTTGGTTGACATTAATTAGGTTCAATCTGTGGAAAATATATTTAAGATTTATTGGTATCTATCTAAATTTCATTTTTATTACTCATTTTAAGATCGTTATCTCTGCTTCTACCTTTCAAGAGAAACTCTTAAATCAGTCTTTTTTAATTTAAGGGTTAAGAAAATTGAGTAGACATTTGTAATTGATAATGCAAAAAATTTAATTAAATAATTGTTTTAAAAACAATCTTATTTGTAATTTAACAAATAAATTTTTACTGATTTGTATTAAAGAATGTAGAAATTTAATTAATAGCAGCAAAAACAACAATCTACTTAATCAAATTATAAAATGACACAAATTTAAATAAAATTCTTAATTTTTAAATATTTTAGCTGACTAAAATTGTTGGTTGATTGATTTCACCTACTAATTAAGAAATATTCTTAAATTTTTAATAAAAGAGCATACAATAAGAATAGATTTTTCTAAAATTATTAATTAAATAAAGAAATTAAAAAAATAAATATATAAAAATGACAACATAATTATTCCATTTAAACAAAAAGTGTGAGCAAGTAAGTATTTAAAAAGGTTTAGAAAATTTCTCTAGAATTTCTTGAAATTTATATGTTGGTCTTAAAAATACTTAATTATTAGAATTATGACTCACTTTAATAGTTTAAATAGTGATGGGCCTTAATCAAAAATAATAAAGTAGGCTAAAGAAAAAGAAAGAGCATAAAGCGAAAAGAATAAAAGATATATATTTAATTAATACATATTTGAAGTATCTTTTTTCTTCATTTTATTTGTCATAAATATATATTAATATAAATGGATATATAGATAGATAGATCAAAGTATGAATTGTAAGTATCAAGAAAGCAAACAAGTAATTAAACAAGAAAAAAAAAAAGCAATAAATAATATAATATAAAGTTCTATTTTAGTATGAATAAGTAGAGAATAGAAGTATTGATTGTCAAATATTTGCATATTTATTTTAATATACCAATGTAAGACTGCAATCAATATAGACTGTCTAATAAAAAGAAAATATCAATTTCATAAAAAATTAAAACAAAATATAAATAAAAAACGAAATAAATTAATCTCAGAACTAAAATCAAATGAACAAAAATATCTTAGCCTTCGTCAAAGTAATTGCTTCGATGCAACTAGTTTATTTTTCCAAACTTAATGGCAGCAACATGGAATCATTATTCATGAACTCAATTGCATTTTTTAAATAATAGCTAGATCAAAATAAATTTAATTTATACATAAATTTTATAATCAGAGTTATCATTTAATTATGTCGAATCCCTTTAGGTTTATAAAAATAGTAAAATAAATAAAATGCAGTTGCTGAGCCATTAAGTTGAATTTTAAAATTGTTTTATATTTTATGTGTAACCCAATTAATTTATAAAAACAGAATCTTAGCCCTTTGAACAAAACCCTTGCTTTTTCCAACAAGTTCCACTTTTCCAGAACTTTAACTGTTAGAGAAGCCATCAACGCTGCTTTGGACGAAGAAGTTGCCAGAGATGAAAAGGTTTTCATCATTGGTAATATTTTGATATCATTAAATAATTTAGGCCATATAGCATTTAATTATCGACATCTATTTAAATTTAACATTAAATGAATATTTTTATATTTGAAATTTAGGTGAAGAAGTTGCCAACTATCAAGGTGCCTACAAGGTTACTAAGGGATTAGTCCAAAAGCACGGACCCAACAGAATCGTCGATACTCCTATTTCTGAAATGGGTATTTAATTACAGCAATAGAATATAAATATAATTTAATTTACCAAAGTTTACTAGCTTTTTCAATTACTAAAAAATGGTTTAAATTTGATTTTGAATGAATGTGAAGATTCATTCAGTTTAAAATTATTTAAATCACTCAAAATAAATACGCATAAAAAATGTTAATAGCTAGAACTAATATCATATAGATATAGAAGAAAATTAATTTATTCATTGTTATCGATTAAAGGTTTTGCCGGTATTGCTGTTGGTGCTGCCATGTATGGTTTAAGACCAGTTGTTGAATTTATGACTATGAATTTCGCAATGCAAGCTATCGATTAAATTATCAATGGAGCTGCTAAGATCAGATACATGAGTAACGGTGACTTAGATACCCCTATTGTTTTCAGAGGTTTGAATGGTCCCGCTGCTGCAGTCGCCGCTTAACACTCTCAATGTTTTGCTGCTTGGTAATATTTTATTTTGAATTTCTTTTCTTAGCTCCGAAAAAACCAAAAAAAAGTCTGTCTGCAAGTCTTTATTTCTTTCTCCCTGGTTCTACATGATAGAATCTGAGTATCTTTCAATAAAAATATATTATTTTTATGAAATTAAATTATTTCTAGACTTGTTTTATTATTATTTTAGCTAAATATCTAAAAATGATCCTTATAAAATAGGTACTCTTCTTGCCCTGGTCTCATTACCATTTCTCCCTATGATGTTGAAGATGCTAGAGGTTTACTCAAGGTACTTTGTTTTAATTCACTATTAAGATAAGAAAATTCTAATAGATATTAATTTTTCGATTCTAAGTAAATGGATGATATATAAAATTTATATGTAATAAATAGGCTGCCATCAGAGACCCCAACCCAGTTGTTTTCTTAGAAAATGAAATTATGTACAATGTTTAATTCACTGTCGATGATGCTGTCATGGACAAAGATTTCGTTCTTCCTATCGGTAAAGCTAAAGTCATGAGAGAAGGTAAAACTTATTACGATATATTAACAAATGATTGGAAAATGTTGACTTAGTATCAATGCTTTAATTAAATATTTATTTACTTATTTATTTATTTTTTTTCCTAATAATTAAATAATGCGAAATATTTCATTTGCTTATTATCTTCTAATAAACATTAATTTCATAATCAATTAATTTTTTAATTTAATTAAAGGTACTGACGTCACTATTGTCTCCTTCTCCAAGCCTGTTAAATACTGCTTAGAAGCTGCTGAATTACTTGCCAAGGAAGGTATTTCTTGTGAGGTAACTTGCTATTCCCTTATTTAAATATATATAATTTTATTAAGATTTTAATGTAATAATTAATAAATCTATTATAAAAACCATATTAATTTTAATACTCTAAAAGGTTATTAACTTACGTACCATCAGACCCTTGGATAGAAAGGCTATTGTTGATTCAGTTAAAAAGACCCACAGATTAGTAACCGTTGAAGAAGGATGGCCATAATGTGGTGTCGGATCTGAAATCTGCGCTTTAATGATGGAAAGTTCTGCTTTCGATTTCTTAGATGCTCCTGTTGAACGTGTTGCTGGTTTGGATATCCCTCTTGCCTATGCTCCCAATCTTGAAGCTATGTCTTTACCCAACGCTTAACACGTTGCTAACGCTGTCAGAAAAACTCTTAAGGGTCACAAATGAAAATAGATGGATTTCCCCCATCACCAACAACCAAAAATTGTATGATGAGAAAAATAAATAAAAATAGATTTAGATTTTTTGAGGACAATTACAAATAAATTTTTCTCATTTTTGTATATTAAAAATTTCACAAATAAAACTATTTATTACTAGTACAATAATTTTTATATATTTTTTATGTATTATTGTTTTTTTACCTATCCACTCATTCATTTATTCACACATAATAATTTTTTTTAACCAGAATCAGCCAAGTTTGTTTTAAAGAAATTTGTAAATGATAAAAAAATCGAAATAAATATTTTATAATTAATTAATTCATCAATATCAATATCATCTGACCAACAATTAATAAATAATTAAAAAAATAATAAAAAAATAAACTCTAACAATTAAAAAAATTAAAGTATTGAAAAATGAATGAATAGTTGATTTGAAATGTATTAAAATGATAATTTTGATCAAAAAGCTACATATTCTTGTGAAAAATGGTTAATTGATTTTATATCAAATTCTTCTTTGAAAAATTAAAGGCTAATTTTATCAATTTAATTAAAAAAGATAAATAGAAGATTTAATTAATAGAAGCAGCAAATAAGGCAGCAAAAGACTTTGAAATTAAAAACAATATTATTAAAAAAATATCATTTAATTAATTTTGTAAAGCGAATAGGATATTTACTATCAAATCTAACAATCAGTAAAATAGGCAAGACAAAATGGGCTCATAACACAAAGCCGGAAATTTCAAGCAAAAGAATAAGAAATTCAAGGGAGCAAAAACAGCTACTAAAACTCATAAAATAGAGGTTCGAAATTGTTTTCCTCATATTTTTTCTATTTAGACACACACACAATTCATTCCATATTTTGAGCATATTAATACTGCTTGCTATGGAGTGAATAAATAAATATTCTACAAAAACAGAATTTTAGAATACTGAGCTTTATGCTTTCTAAATTTACTGGAATTTATGATTTATGAAAATTATTATCAACATATAAATAGACTAAGACCAAAAAAATTACAAAGAAGAATACTTCATTGAATAAATCAGCTCGTAAACTCTATTTGGAATAGTAGAAATTCAATAAATCAGTCAAAAGAGAGGATTAAATTGAAAAGTTGATTAACTAAAATAGCGTTTTGGATAGTGCTACTAAGTCCGCTTTTATCGAAATGGCTAAGTAATCCAAGGCTCCTAGAATAGTTTATCTCTTACCTCTCAATAATGCTGCTAACACTAAATAGCTCAGGTAATTTTTTTTAAAAAAAAAAGACTTAGTTAAATCTACTTAAACCAATACTTTGGCTCGTTATTTTTAGCACTAATAGCAAAGTAGAAAATCAATGAAAAATATTAACAATTACTTGCTTTAAAAATAGATAAGAAATAGAATAATATATCAGCAGTCAAATGTCTAAGCATGAAGACATTGAAATGATGGATAAAACAACTGCTTCCAATCAAGATGATGGAAAAATGAGATTCAAATTCCCTTACTACTAGTTCTTCGCTCACCCTACTTACTGTATTATCAAATTTTTTTTATCAAATATAAACTTGAGTGACTTGATGTTTTAAATTTTTATCATTAAAAAGTCCCTGGTTTGATCAAAGAAAATTTCATTATCATTGAAGGAGATAGAGTTTTCGAAAATATTATGGACTTCTGCAAAATCGCTGATATTGTATGTCCTGTTCTTTCTTGCAAAGATGCCAATTTAGAAAAGCTCAACTTAGATCCTTACAATAACGCAAATGCTTTCGATGAATGGGGTTATAAAATTCTTTCTGCTCTCAGACTCTAAGGTCTTCCTTCCACTATTTCAGTCCTTTAAGACGTTAATACTATTCCCCAAGGCAAGCAAAAAGATGTTAAGAAATTATTTTAAAGATATTTTGCTTCTGAATTTGAAGATCACTTCGTTTCAATAGAAAATGAACAATCAATCTTTACTTTATTGAGATAATTATAAGCTAGAACTTTGTTACCCTATGACTGGAAAGAACAAAGAGGCTACATGCTTGCTGATGAAGTAACTGTTAATCCTACTAATGGAGTTGTCGAAATTACAGGATTTTTAAGAGGTAATTTAAGCAATTTTAAATGTAGTTTCTATATTAAATTAAAATTATATTTAAATAGGCCACTGTATAAATGCTAATTAGTTAATACACATTACTGGTTATGACGATTACGAAATATAAAAGATAGAAATTTTAAAGAATCCCATTAAAATTAAATAAAAAATAAAAAAGAAAGGTAATGGCATGAATGAAACCAACATGTCTATGATTAATTTCAATAGCGATATACTTTTAACTCAAGAAGCAACTGATCCTGATTAAATCAATCCTTTTGCAAAGGATAGTGGATTAACCAAAAAGAAATCAAAGAAGCATTCTTCAACTGCTAATATTTTAAAAGGAATAGATGAGAATGAAGAAATAGATAACGAAAATTCAGATATCGAGGAAGAAGGAGATGAAGAAGAGGAAGAAGAAGAAGTAGAAGAATAGGAAGAAGAAGAAAAAAATAAAGGTAACATTGAAGAAGAAGGTGATATTGAAATTGAAGGAGAAGATGAAGAAGACAACATCACTATCAATTCTGATGATGAAAATCAATAAAAATGCGAAGGAGAGTAAATGAAAAAATAAATAATAAATTTTGCACATTCTCTAACTTACTTTTTTTATGAAAAAATTAAAAGCAAAAAGCAAAAGATTTTAGAATTGTAAGAAAGAGGAGAAGATGAATTAGAATTAGAAGATGAAGTAGAATATGCAACTACTATTAATTTGAGAGAAAGATATGAAAATTATCAAGGTATGAAGAGTTTCAAGACCTCAGAATGGGATAAATATGAAAATCTCCCCGATCCTTATGAAAAGGTTTATGTTTTTAAAAATTACATTAGAACAAAAAATACTGCTTTCCTTCATGCAGAAGAATAAGCATTCGCCTATGCAGGTTTTTATATTAAAATTTATGTTAAGGGCTTCCCTCTTGATAAACTCTCTGCTCATCCTAAAGAAAAGGCTTTGGTAAAAATATTTTTAAGTTTACAATTAAAGTCTAAGAATTAAAATATATATAAATAGATTTTGTCTACCCTTTTAAAGCATGAAAGAAAAATGACTGTTCTCCATGCAAGAGTCAAAAGAAATATAGAATATGAAGACAAAGCTGTCGAATCCAAGTAAAACTATGTTATTCATATGGGTTTCAGAAGAGCTGTTGTCAACTCAATATTCTCTAAAATTTACAATGTAAAATAAATTAAAATTTTTAATGAAAAATTTATATGAAAGCATATATTTATTTTTATAAACAGAATAATGATAAGACTAAGTATGTTAAAAAGGTCAAAGAATTAAACTAATTCTATATGGCTTCCTTCTATTACTATAATATATATCCTCCTGCTAATATAATTATGTTTAACGAAGGTGGAGATATCTTAAATGCTGATTTCTGTCTCTCTGGTTAAGTCATGAAGAGTGATCCCTTATAAGTTGTGCTTAAACGTATCATCTTAACTGGTTATCCTTTCAAGGTAATTTAAATTACAATTAATATAATTTAATAATAATTTAATGATTTAATAAATAGATTCATAAGAGAAAGGCTGTTTGCAGACTTATGTTCTTTAATCCTTTAGATATTAAGTATTTCTAACCTGTAGAACTTAAAACAAAGTTGGGTTTAAGAGGTAAGATTCTCGAATCTCTTGGTACTCACGGTTTAATGAAATGTTTATTCAGTGGTTTTGTTAAGCCTCACGATACTATTTGCATGCATTTATATAAAAGAGTTTTCCCTAAGGCTCCTTTCTGAAAACACTTAAAAATATTTATTTGATAAAGCCATAAATAAATTCTATTAAATCTTTTAATTAATATTAAAATAAAAAATATGTATTTGTATATTAAATATTCTAGCAATTTATCCATTTTTTATTTCAAATTTAGATTTAAAGATTCTTTATAAAGTTCAAGTTTATTTGCTACTTTAATAAATAAACAAGTTAAGCTTTTTTTATATAAGTATTTGATAAATAAATATAGTTTAAAAAAATAAAAAACCACTATCAATAATAAAAGTATTAGTTAGATTTGCAAAGAAGAATCATAAAAAAATTATTCAAAAAATCTTATTCTTATAATCTTATGAAAATCCATATTTAAAAAAAGAATGAATTGATTTCTTTTTATTATCAAGAAAATATGATTATTATTTATAAAGACACATATCTGTTAAATAAAAAAAGAATATTTATAATCTTTAGTGATTTTTATGTAGAACATTTTTGATTAAGGCTAATGTTGTTTTTTTATTTTGTTGAAATAACGAATTTAGTTTTAATATCAAAGATACTTTTCATTATGTTTTTAATTATTTATTTATTTTAAACATATTTAAGATTTAGAATAGATTTTTTATCTATCTTTCATTTAAATAAAGTTAATTTTTTTAATAAATTTAATTTATAATTTATTTTATTACTTTAAAAAAACATTAAAATATTTACTTATGCAATTAATTTAATTAGATATATAATAAAAATAATGTTGTAAATTACATATAAAAAGTTTATATTATTTATCATATTACAAACTAATTTTTTTTGTTCCAGTTTAATCATTTAAAAATTATTTAATAAATAGTTACTAATGATAAATGGTAAATTATTTTCGTTAATCCTTTTAAAATATAATTTTTAAAAAATGAATGACTTGTAATTTCCATAATAGACTTTGAAACTCTAAAAAAATAAAAAGCAGTGTCTGAGCAGAATAGCAGAGCGATTAGCTTGACAGTTAATGAGTATGTTATCCTTCCACCACAACAAGCGGCGAGTTTTCCCTGTTCTGTTGCCAGCCTGAGGCGTTTCCTCAGCTCTTTAATGCCCTGGTGGAGTCCTATTACTAGGTTACCACCATAGCAACTCATTGTTTGGAGCGGGCACACTCTTAGCAAACTGTCTCATCAAACTCTCATACCCTGACTATTTTACCCTACACTGTATATGCCACCTAAGTCACAGGCATTGCTGCCCTGGCAAAAGACTATGAAAACACAATAATTTAAATCGAAAAATATTTGATTAAATCAAATTATGGGTTTTAAAAAAATTAGTTATTAAGTTGACCAACCAATGATAGATACATAGAAATAATCAAATTTTCATTTTTAATTGAACAGGTGTTTCTTTTTCTTTTAAAACAATAATTTAATTAAATTTAACAAATACGTGTCTGCTTTTTTAATTTTAATTAATTAAAAATATCTTTTTTAATCAAATAGAACTTTTCCAATTTTTTCTTGTTTTTTAAGAAAAAATTTAAAGAAAATTTCTGCTTTTAGCATTCAACCAACATTTTAAAAATTTAATAAAGTAGATTAAAGAATGAATATTTTGCAATATTGAACACAATAATTAAAAATGAATTTATTTATAAAGAAAACTTGGATCAAGAAAAATAAAAAGCAGTGTCAGACTAGAATAGCAGAGCGATTAGCTTGACAGTTAATGAGTATGTTATCCTTCCACCACAACAAGCGGCGAGTTTTCCCTGTTCTGTTGCCAGCCTGAGGCGTTTCCTCAGCTCTTTAATGCCCTGGTGGAGTCCTATTACTAGGTTACCACCATAGCAACTCATTGTTTGGAGCGGGCACACTCTTAGCAAACTGTCTCATCAAACTCTCATACCCTGACTATTCTCTCCTACACTGTATATGCCACCGAAGTCACAGGCATTGCTGCCCTGGCAAAAGACTATACATTCATAGACATATAAAGTGATATTTTCAAGCTTAATTAAATTTATGGGTTTACTCAAAACTTTTTTATTAACAGTTTGTTTGTATTTTGAATCTGATTTAATTTAGAATTTTTTAATAAAAAATTTAAAAAAAACAAATAAATTAATTAAAAATTTTAATAATTATAATTTTAAATTAGAAAAAAACTAATAATTTTAAAATTTATTTTGAATTAAAAATAATTTAATTAAAATTTTTTTGAGTTAGAATTATTATTTAAATAAAATTATAATGTAAATTTATTGAAAAGCTCAGCAAATTTTTATTTTTGCAGTTGCAGACAGTAAAATTTCTTGTTTGAAATTTAGAAATAAAATGGAAAAAAATGAATGAAAAATGTTTGGCTGGCGAATGGATATATGCTTAAATAAAGTTGTATATATATATATGTATGAATGAATGAATGTATTTTTATTAATTAATAGATATATGATTGATTGATTACTTTTAAAACTGTGGATCAATAAAATTCAAAATTATGAATAAGAATACATATCCTAATATATTTTAGAAATAAAAACAAATAAAAGTGTTAACACCTATTAATCAAGTAAAACGAATCTAAATAATTCAATTTAATAAAAAAATCTATTGAAATACATATTTACATACAAAAATAGATAAAGATAAATTCAATGAAGAGAGTTCAATCTTAAGAGTAGCTTGGTTAAGGTAATTCACTGACTCAAAATTCTTAAAATTTATTAGGCAGTGCTAAATTAAATATTTATGAAAAAGCAGAAAAAAGAGGAGGAGTTTAAGTGTTTGTTAGGGTAAAACCCACATAAGATGGTGACCAAAGCATATTTTCAGGAGATGATGAAAATGGTAGATCAGTTGTTGCCACTAAAACCCCTCAAAGATCAAGATAAATATAATATAGCTACAAAAATGATAGAAGTTTAGAAAAGTTAAATGAAATATTTTAAGATAAGGCTGATGTTTTCTTTTTTGATAATGTGTTTAGCCAAAAATCCAGGTAAATTTGCAACGTTAAATTGATCAGATTAACAAAGCAAGATAAGCGATGAAATTTATATTATTATGAAACTTTTTTCATTACTATAAAGATAAATAGTTTCATATCTAAATTTCTATTTTATCAAATAAAGCTAAGAAATCTTCTATCGCAAGACAGCTAAAGAAGCAGTTTCAAACGTTGTTAGTGGATAAAACACTTCCATTTTGATACATGGTCCATCAAGGTAGATTATTTAAAATATATGAGCCAGCATTTTTAAAATAAAAGCATAAAATAACAAAAAATAAAAATAGTCTTAGCTTTTTCATTTGCTAAAATACTTTTTATTTCTATATAAAGATGCGGAAAAACATATACTCTCACTGGTGCAGATAAACACTAAAAAGGATTGATGTTTAGATGTGTAGATGATCTTTTATCCAAAATAGATGTTGCCAATGAATAGGATTCCTAATACAAATTATTCTTGTCTATTTTCTCAGTATACAATAATGAGATATTTGATCTTCTCAGTAATGAGAATTCTGATTATTATGTAAAAAAAAACTTGGCAATTTACAAAATTTAGGCAATACTTAATTGTCTCTTTATGTCTCAATAAAATTTTAAATAATATTAAGACTATTTCAAACAATATTTTAATTGCTGTAAAATTTAAATTTTAAAAGGAAGTAATTGAGTATAGTCCAAATGATGTTAGAATTGCAGGTATGTCAAGACATTTAATCAAATACAAGAGCGAATTTAAGAATAAATACGTGAATGCATTAAAGAAAATATAGTCTCTTAGCTAGCTTTTGAATGAAAAAAAGCTTTATGAAAAAAGTCATATTGTTGTCCAGTTCAATGTTTCTGAAAGTGAATAAATAAATTTCAAACTCAATTTAGTAAGACTTGCAGATATTGATTTAGTAGATAAATAAATAAATGGAGATGATTTTGAGGTTATCGAGCAATACATTAATTAAATCAATTAAAACACTTCATATTAAACTAGAGCTTATAAAAAGTGTAAATTAACTTCATGCATTAGAGATACAATTAATGAAAATACTCAATCTTTCTTTATATCATGCGTTTCTTCATCATCTAATTAGTATGCTTAATCTCTTCTCTCATTAGACGTAAGCATTTCTTTCGTTTTTTAATAAGCAATGAAATTATTTTTAAAGAACTAAAACCTTTTAAAATTATTATCAATATTCATTAAGCAAAAATTAATTTAAATTTAATAAAAACTAAGAAAAACAAATTAATTTTTTGTTATTATTTTTGATTTTAAATTAATTTTTGTTATTATTTTTGATTTTAAATAAATAATTTTTAAACAGTATACATAAAGACTTTGTGCTTAGGGCTCACGCCTTCATGATGGAAATGAAATTAGAAGTAGTTTTACTAGCAATTCTTAAAAAAGACTCCTTCCTAGCAGACCTCCTGTTTCACCAAATTCTGTAAAATCAAGCTTGATTGAAAACACTTTGAGACCTCAGCTCTCTTAATCAAATTTAAGATAAAGCAATATTATTAATCAAAGTAGCACAGCTCCTAAATCAAATATTTAGAATTCTCACATTGAGTTTATTGTTAATGAGTTGGAAAATATTTTTGAGGATATTCGTAAGCAATCACGTGTATTTGGAAGACTACCTGAAAGAGAAAGAAACGAATGGGTTAGCTAAAAAGAAATCATTTTAAACGATCTTTAGAGATAGATTGAGTTACAGCCCTACAGCAGAGATGTAAGATTAATTATTTTAAAAAATAAATTAGAATATAATTAAAATTAAATGAGATTAAAGATTTTAAAATATAATTATTGAAACAGATTCCTTATTGCGAGACTCTTCTAACCAAGTGCTAAAGATAGTTAAGACTTATTAATCCTAGCTTAAGCGATTAAAGATAAATTAGTGGTTCTCCTCCTTAAGGACATGTGAATAATTTAGGGCAAGGAAAGCTAAATGGCTCATAAACAAATTTCTTTTAAGGAAATTTAAATAATAGCTTTTCTAGAGTTAACCAACACAATAGAAGATAAAGTTAAGGAGGATATGCTGAAAAAGTAGGTCGCCTTTCTCCTTCTCAAGAAAACAGATATAATGATTATGAGTTTTTAAAAGATAAAGAAGAAAAATTAGACAAAGACTTCATGCGCCTTCTTGATAGATATAATCACTCTAAGGAGCTGATTGATAGTCTCAGCAATCCTTAAGGATAATAATAGCACTCTCAATTAAATCAACCCTATCCATAGTAATTGTAAAGAGTTTAGACTCAACCTTCTCTAGGATAACGCTCTCCTATTTAAAGTATTATCAGAAACAGCTAAATCCTCTAATCGCCTCAATAGAGATTAGCTGATATAAGCAATGTTCATCAATAACTCTAAAATAATCAAGAAATGTATCGTACTCAAGATTCATCAGGATTTTTAGACCAACCTCCTATCAATAAATCCAAGGTTGCAGTTTCTAGCAATATTGGAGAACTCAGTCCTAATTTTGACTTACTTAATGCAGAAGAAAAAGAGAAAAATGTAGGAAAAAGCTTAAAAAGACTAAAAGAAACAATTGAAATCAAAGAAAATATAGAAAAATCAAAAATATAAAAACTCTAACTACTTAATAAAGACTTAAAACAAAGTTTAAGGGAATATGTCGAAAAATACGAGTAGCTTTCTGATATTCTAAACAGCAAAGATGGTGAAATCGATAGATTGTAGTATGAGCTTAGGTAAGCTTAAGAGGACATTCTTCTTAATGTTGATACAGTTAAAGAATTCAAAATAAAGGAATAAGGATGGCTACAGATGGAAGAGGAGCTCAGAGAATCAAATATACAATTAAAATCGAAGCTACTCAAGAAGAAGAAGAAAGTCAATTAAATAAAGTAATTACTAAGAAACAAATAAATATTTTATTTTAAAATAAATTATAATCCTGAATAAACAAACTCACTCAAAATACTAAAAAAATAGGGAGGAATTTAGAAGAAAAGAAGAAGAGCTTGCATTTTAGAAAAAATCACATGACCACGAAATAGAAAAGTACTAAAGAACTGTTTAAGAGCATGAAGAAATCAAGTAAAATATTTTTTAGAAAATAGAAATAAAATATTAAAAATAAAATATATTTATAAAAATAGGTCAGTAGACCAAAACAAGGCAACTGCTCTTTCAGAAATAGTTAATTAATTAAAAAATGACATGGATTAGAGAGAATAAGAATAAAAACAAGTCTTCTAAAACTTACAGGAAATGAGATAGTTGAACTAAGAGCTCAACTAAAAATATCAAAATGAAGTTATTGAGAAGAATGAAACAGTAAATTAGAATCATGCTTTAACAAGAAAGAAAGAGGAGCTTGAAGAACAAGTGCAAATTCTTGAATAAAAAATTTAAAAGCACAAATAAAAATTTGAAGATGAAAAATCCAAGCTAATGGAGGAGAGAAACTAAGAAAACTTGAAGAAAAAAGAAAAGATAAAGTTTTTAAAAGCTTAATTAGCTGATAACGAGGACAAACACCAAGAAATTGAAGGTAAATACTAGCTTCTAATAAAGCAAGCTGACAACTTGGAAGCCTAGTTAAGAGAAACTTAAAAGTACCTTAATGAATTAAAAGAAATAAAAGACGAATAAACTTATAAGATAGCCAAATTGACTGAAGAGGTAAATATTTAGAAAAAAGAATCTAAATTTATATAAATAAAACCTATAAGTAAATAAAATGCAAAATATATTTTCCTGATGGAGCTTAAAAAGTTTTTGATTACTAAAAAATCGATTGAAATTTCTTTTATATGAACTTTTTATTAATTAAAAAAAAATATAGAAAAATAACTCTTATTTGGAGAATGAAAGATTATAAAATTTAGTTACCTCTTTAGAGGGTAGGGTAGAAAAATTGGAGGCATCACAGTTGGGAGATGCTAAAACTATCAACGAGGTATAAAAATAAAAGAAATATTAATGTAAAGAATTTAATTTTATTTCTTATATGATTTCTGATCATCAAAAGCTAAAAGAACAAAGCAGCCGTTTGCAATCTGAGCTTAATGAAAAAGAAGATCAATTATAAAAGGCTAACTAACACATTGATTAGTTACAAGAATAGTAAAACATCGTAAATATTTTAAATTCAATTTATTATAATTTTTTATTAATTTTTTCTCATTAAACTTTTCTAAATATGAAAAAATGATATTAATTATTTTATTATTTAACATTTCCATTAAATTTAAATTTAACTTTTAATACTTTTATGTGTTATATTTAATAATATCAATTTATTTCTAAAAAAAAGGAACTTAGCACTTTTGAAATAAGATTAGACCAAGTTGTTCAGGAATTCACAGCCTGCAAGGAAGAAAACAATGAATTTAAGAGAAAGGAAATTGACAACAAGAAACTCCTTCAAAACTTAGAAGAATAAGTTGAAAAGTATAAAGAAAAATACTTAAAGGCTAAACACTCAAATAAAAATCTACAATCTCATTTAAAAGAAGTAAAAAATAAACAAGATTTAATTGAATTGCTTTTTAATCTTAATATTTTATTAATATAGCTAGAAAATCGTGTAAAAGATTACATGACTGAAAGATCTATAGAAGTTTAAGCCTAAGCTCGTGAACGTGAAAGACAAACTAAAGTTGAATAAACTCAAAAGAATAAATTAAGAGTAAAATTTCACTAAACTCATTTTAAATTTAAATATTAAGCTTTATTCTTATTAAAATAGATTCTTGATGAAATTTAACAAATGATTAAAAGTCATAAACACAATTCCACAGTATAAAAATATGAAAATTGATTCATTAATATATGCTGATAAATAAACTTACAAACAGAAAAATGAATATGAATAAATATTTTTTGATGAGCATGTAAATTTTAAAGAAAATAAATAATTAGCATTTTGAGGAAAAGTTTTGAAATTATTGTTATTGTTAATTAATATAAATAAGCTTTAAATAAATTGTTATATATAAATTTTGTTTTAAGATTATAAGTTTTACTAGTTCAATTTTTATTTCTCATTATTTGCAATCATCAACAAACTAGAATTAAAATTTATTTCCGTATTATTAATTTATTCTAGAATTTTTATCACAAATTTAAATTCTTATTTTTACAAATTCGTTAATTCAAAAAGAAATATGAAACGAAAGAGTAAATCAGTAAGGCTTTAAAATTTATCTTTAATTTTCAAATGTTTGATCATATCTTTATTTCTATTTAACATATTAAACTTATTGTTAAAAAATATAAATAAATTTAATTTATAAATATTGAGAGACTTCAAATTGAGTTACTCACTCAAACCTTTTATTATTTTTTACATTTTCAATTGATAAAATAATTGTTTTGGTTAATTATTAATAGAAGGTAATTCAAATTTTATAGAGCTTAAAGTGTTTTTAAAATATAAAAATAATGTTTATATGTTTTTTAATTAGATATGTATTATAATTTGCTATAAATATTTTAAAAATAATATTTTGCACTTCTGCACGGATAAATTTACACTTAACACAATTTGTAAATTAGAAGTATGCTAATTTTATAAAAGTAAAATTAACATATGGATTAAATTTAATAAGAGTTAATTTATGGGATATAATTAAAATATAAATATGAGAAAAATATTTTAATTTTTGTAGAATAATAGTAATATTTTATTATTTTAGTAGGGATGATTATAAAAAAATATAATTAATTTTTTTACAACAAATTTTCCTCTTTAATTTACTTGATTTGTTTCAGTTTTTTTAATAATTATTCAATATATTTTATATTAGAAAATTTAATTTAAAAAAATGGAATACTTCAAAAAATTATTCAATCAAAATTTTTAGAATGATTGAGAATGAGATACTTTAATTATGTATGCTCTGACTTTGTTATTAAATTTTACTTAAAACATTTATTCAGATATATTTATTAGAGTTTTTGAAATTAAATATGAGTTTAAATGAGTGGACAGCTTTCAAAAATTATGAAGTCAATGAGTATCTTATTTTCCATGAAAGATCTTATTTTGTTAAAAAAGCACGTAAATAACTATTTATTGACTAATTTAAAAAATTTATTCAGAGCAAAGTGTAAAATTTTGAAATAGGAAGTGTAAGATAATAATTCAAAATTTTAATTGAATTCTAAGTAGTGTGAAGAAGTAAAAAAGAAAGATAATTAATAAAAGAAAAAGCACAATCAAGTTTAATAAAAGAGTAAAAAAAGATTAAATTAATGATTGAATAAAAAAATAACAAATAGATAAATGAATGAATGAATGATTATTTGAAGAAGTAAGAGAAGTAAACGAATGTACATTTATATAATATTATTAAAATAAAGAAATAAATAATAGTGATTTATAGAATTTATATTAATCAATTTAAATGTATAAAAATAATAGAAGTTTTCAATGGTCATTTTTAATGCCCGTCGATCACTACTTACTTTATAAATTATAATATATACTTTAAATTAAAACAATTTAAGGATGAAAAAAATATCCATAAATGTTACTCAAAGAAAGGAAAAACAGTATATTGCTTATTTAGTTAGTTAGTTATTTAGTTCATTGGTTGATTAGTTAGATAAATAGTTTGTTTGTTTGTTAGTTAGTATTTTACATTTATTCTTAAGGGATTTCAATCTTTGTTAAAGATTTATTTGAGATTCTTATTGTTCGTTTTTCTTTTCTTTGAATAGATGGAGATGAAAGGACTTTTATTAATGATTACTAATAAAGATTTTTTCTGGAACAAGTCTTTCCAATATTTGAAATTATTAATGTTTTTTGATTGCGTATTATCTTTTCAACATTCTGATCATCCTTTCTAAAATAATAATAAATCATCTGTCTTATATCAAATCATAAATGTCCGTCCTTTCATTACTATTTTTCATTCTGTTTCAATCTAAATTCATTTAGGGTGAGTTCAAGATTTTCTTAAAATCGATGTCATTTATTTTATGATCGCCAATTAATTCAAATCTGTGGGGATATATGGTTCTATAAAGCTGTCTTAATGAGATTTGGCACACGTTAGAAGCTTCACAAATCTACTTGACAGTCATTTCCATATTATTCAAACAGGCAGCTAACTTCACAATACAAGCAGCGACAGTAGCAGCATGCTATCCTTTAACAAGACCGAGGTTATCTGATTATTAATGAAGGAAGAATGCAGTTTTGGAAATGGGTTCACTTAATTTCATCTTATCGCAAATGTTCTTAATGAAAACTTCAGGTTGAGGCATTTTGTTATTGAAGCCTTCTACGTTCTTCTTTAGGTACATGAAGACGCGATTGATAATCTTTTCCTTAGATTCAGTAATCTTAGCCATTTTCTTTACGGTGATGGGATTAGCGACTAATCGGGAAGCGTGAACTATTACTGCAGCAGAAATAGCTTCATAAGGTCTATTTTTGAGTACGTCGCCTTCAACTGCAATTTTTGAGCAGAGTTCAAGAGCGATAGGCTTAATTTTAGAGCAAGCGTCTTCAGATTTTTCAAGAATCTTGATTACATTTTCTTCCAATTTTTCACGTCTCTTTTCGAATTTCTTACTCTCAGCTGGATTCATAGCACTGAGCTTTTAAGCCAAAGTGATTGTTGAAGTCTAGGCTTGAGTAGTGTTTTCGTTATCAATAGTATTCTCTTCTCTTTCTTCATCATCTTCTTCTTCATCAATTCTGATTTCTATTTCTTCTTATTCATCATTCTTTTTATCAGCTTCAATTTGTTGAACATTCTACTTTTATACAATATCCTCCTAAATTTATTGGGGTTTAGTTGAAGCGCTTTCCTATATAGTCTTTTCAGAAACAGCAGCTTAAGGAGCATCTTTTTGATTGCTTTCTGAAGTTTGTTATTTGTTATTTTCTACATCTTATACCTAATTCATAGCCTTTGAAAGAGATGGTGACTGAACAGGAGTTTCTCTTTTACGGCTAATATAACCAATGTCAGGATCCTCACTGTTTTCATTTGAGCGAATGACCTTGAAAGGATTTTTCTTTTAATTGGAAGAGCTAGAATTTTTAGAAGAAGTAGATTTTTAGTCGTCTTAGCTAAGTTACTATTAACCTTCCTGCAAATAGTTTTGTGCTTCAGTGGAGAATTATAGTTGAACAGGAGTGTGTTCTATTTTAGGCATAGGTATTTGAGCTTACTACAAAACAGGTGCTGAAGCTAAGGAATTATTTGAGCTGGGAATTAAGTTGAGGAAAAGTAATTGAGTTTCTTTAGAAAGACTCATAAATTGAGCAGCACTTCCATCAGGACATACTTTTCTGAAATTGCTATAAGCAAGTTTGAGGGTTTAAAGACTTTCAATTTATTCTAAGATTTACTTTTTTTGAGAAGTCAGGAGTAAAATTTAAGATTCTAAGTATTCAATAATTCCCTTATTTCCCTAGTAGTTGTTGAGAGCTAAGATTTCAGCTTAGCTCTGATTTAACTACAATAATTTGCTGGTCAAACCAGTAATTTGTTGTTAAAGTCTATTATTCTCTTAATCGAATGAATCAATCAAAGGATCAGAATTAATGTTACTATTCATCTTTTATTGATCAGATAAATTAAAATTGGTTTAGAGAGCAATCTTTTTATCAAAATTAGCTTGATTTTACATAGCTACAGGTAATTCATTCATGTTAATGCCTATATTCATCTATTACTATTAATGATGATGATGCATATGATGATTCGAATGTCGATGCTACTATTGGAGAGGAATACTTTAGCTCAAAGTATTGTTTTAAATCCAATTATTTTACTAGGGCTATTGTTGTTGAACTTATTGTTAAACTAGCAACTGTTATTTTTAATTTTAGATAGCAGCTGATAATTGTTAAGGAGCACTGTATTAATTTTATGCAGTAGAAGAATTTTATTATTACAATAAGTTATTGATTTAAGCTGAAGGTAACGCATTTAAAATTTCATTTTAATTTCTATTTTCATTGCTATAATTTCGATTTCTATTTTCATTACTTGGATTTCGATTTCGATTATCATTGCTAGGATTACGATTTTTATTACTGGAGATAATATTAATGTAATTGCGAATAATGTCTTCGCGATTTTATTGAATATTATTGATGTACTAATTTTAGATAGCCTTTTAAAAAAAAACTTGCTAGCTGATATCAGCGCAGCCGTTCAAGCTGTTAGGCAATGCGGAGGAATTAGGGAAACTTTAAACATGTTAAGTAGAATCATTGTTAGCGATAAAGGGTTAAGACTTTTATTGCATAATCATGTTAAAATCATTTACTGAAGGTTATCCCAAAAATTAGTTGTCTTTAAAATTAGTTTAGTTTTAAAGTAAATTTTGTTAATGTAAAGCAAACATATTAGAAGAAGGAGCAGCTTACATTTGAGGTTATTAGAGAGGAATTTAATGACTTCCAATCAAATGCGAGATAGAGTTGAGCTGATTTTGAGGTAGTTGTTGTTGTTGAGATTTTTATTACTACTATGACTAGAGCAGTAATTAGTATTGATAGTAATCCATTTATTAAATAATATTAAGTTTTGTTTTGTTTCTAAGCGTAAAATTGCTTGTTAATTAAATTAGTAGGTAGGTATGTAGAGAGACTGTGTGTGTGTGTTTTAATTAAAAATAGAACTGGAAAAAGCTTTTGCTTTTTTTTTGTTTTTAATTCAGGTTTTTACTTTTTTTTTTTTTGATTAAATTACTATTTTAAAATATTGATTTGAACCTTTCTTTTTTGTGAATTAATTGTGTAGAAAGAAAAAAGAATAGCTAGATTAATTAGGGAGCAGACAAACAATTTTTTATGCAAAAGAAAGAATACATGAGTTATTATTAATTAATTAATTAGATATTTAAGGATACTAATAAAGTCTTCTTGTTTTCTTCTATTTCTTTTGTAAATCAGCATATAAATTTGTATTAATTTGAATTATTATAATGGGTAAGAAAAAAATTTAATTACTACTTATTTCTTTCTCAATTTTAGTTAACTTGCTTTTTTTATATGCTTTCTTTAATTTTTGATCAAATTGAATACTCTACCCCATGAATGAATACTAATTATTTATTTATTTATTTATTTTCGTATTATATCATATTTTTACAAATCGATAAGAATAAATTTGATCAAGTTTCTATGTCGGCTGTGCACCTATCTTTCTATCAATCATTTCAATCAGAATTGTTGCGATTATAGAACAGAAAAACGAATTTGTAAAATTTGACTTTGATTGTTTAGATAGGGATTTAAAAATAAAAATGCAAAGTAAGTTCTTTGGTATTTTTATAAGAATAAATTTGAATCTATAGATAAAAAAGCAAAATTGTATCTTTATATTTAGAAATTTAGTTTTAAATTAATATTAATGCATGTATTTTGTAATGAAAAATGCAACAAGTATAATTCTACCAAAGAGTGAGAAGTTTGGAAGTTATAAATTGGTATTTGGAATTTTTAAGGTTCTCAGTGAGACTTGAAATTATATGCAACATGGAGAACTCAAAGTTAGACATGCATGTCTTTTTTACTGGGAAATAACTAATTTAAAATAATCTGTCATAATATAAAAGAAATAATAATATCAGCTTTTTCTAAAGCAGCTCATGCATAATACGTAAGAATAAAACTTGTGTATGTTAATTTTTAATTATGAGAAGACCTTACCTTACCTTTTTGATAAAATATATATTCCAATGTTTTTCTTATAATTTATAGCTTTAAACAAAATATACAATAGAATCTTTTATATGAAGATCTAGTTAATTTGAAAATTCTTTTATAAATATCAACCTCTTGCTTTTTTTCTTTTCTATTTGTTTTCATAGTATAAGTTGAGTGCCCTTCAGAAATTTTTAATTTTTATTTTTCACATCTATCTCTCTTAGACTGTTTTAGAATTACATTTAGCTTTTTTACATCTATCTTACCTTCCTGCTGATTCAAAGTTATTTTCTGAATAAAGTCCTCCTTCCTTTTGATTTAAATATATTCAATTTTCTATTAATTTCTATTACTTTTAGCTTTCTTTTACAATCTCAAGCTAAATAAATAGCTAATTAATTAATTGAATTGAATATCTTGCTGGGCGTTAGGACAAATTAATTTTATTTCAGTTCTTGTACTTTGTAAAAATCTAAGCAAATAATTTAATAAAGGTAGCAAATCACTAACAGTTAATTTTTTTGTTATTACTCCCTGATTAAAGAAGAATTACTTTTACAAAAAGACAATTTATGAAATATTTCATTAAAACATGATTTTGGATTTTTTTGAATTTTCTAAAACAATAATCAAATTTTTAACCAAGTTAGTTAGACAAGATTCATACAAATAGATAAAAATTTTTTTTAATTGATGGTTTAGGGATTTCAAATACTTCTATAATTACTTTATAAGTACTTGATTTATAAATAAATAAGATACTTTTTAAAAAGTTTTGTAGATAAATTTCATCTAAAACGAGTTGTAAAAATAAAAAAACAAGGATGACATTCTTTCTAATATAAATTTAAGACTAATTTCTAAAATAAGTGAAATTTTTTCATAAAAAAAGCATAACTTTAAAAAAAGATATTTTTTCTGGTCAACAACCTGATGACACACATCAGGGGATGATAATACCATAATTTAATATATCAAATATAGTTTTTTGTAATCTAAATATAAATATGTTTCTGATTTACAAAATTTAATATTTGTTAATCAAATCCTTCCTTTAAGAAAGAATAATCTTTTACAATTATTAAAGATGTAAATTTATAATAAAGGAATTGCAAAATTCTTTTACATATTTTTTTAAAACGAATACAAAATCAATAAATTAATACTTGATCAAAATATTATCTTATAACTTAATCATACAGAAAATCTAATAAATAACCTACAAAAAATAAAGGCTAAAACCCTCAACTTAAATATTTCCAAAATACTTGCTTTCTTTTTTATATAAAATCATGAAGTATTCTAATCTAATCTGAGATATTTTATAACAGATTATGTTGCACTTATTCAAATTTTGGAGGATTTTTACTTTATTTTTATGATTAAACAAACAGATGTGAAAATATAAAATTATAGAGAATAAATTTTGATGTAAAAAATTAGATTTGTAATGTGTATAAAGATATATAAAGTGGATCTTAATTTTACCAAATTTTTACTTATTGCTTTTTCTTATTAGAAATTTAAAATGCCCTCATTTAGTTTTAAGATTAGAAAAATTCTGTTAGAAACTTATGTCTGATTTTTTACTACTTGTTTCGACTTTTATAAAAGAAATTTTTAAAAGAAACAAAGTGGTATATTATCTTCATTTCATTTAAATTTTATTTACTTCTTCAAACATGATAACTAAATTATTTTTTAAAACACCTCTGTTCAGATACTGTTGGTTTATTACAAAAAACAATTAGCTGGTGACATAAAAATTTTCTTGTTTTTTAATATTAAATTTTAGTCTGTCAGTGCTGGAAAATCTCGGTATAACTAATATCTAAATAGTTAAATGTGAAAGAATAAAACAAATTGATTACAAACGATTTCTATCAATCTTAGAGTAAAAAGACAGAAATCCCAAAAGCGAGGTCACTAAAAAGAAAGAACAAACTGTTCATCTATTTTTAATAAAAACTTATTAGTAAAGAATATAAAATTAAATTTCATAATAAAAGAATTTTATTATAAAAGCCTTGCTTGTTTTCAAACTAGTTAGTCCTAAATGACTAATTAAATTTTTTAATATCTTAAAGTCATATGTTAGTAAATTCTTACATGATTTAAGACCTAACCGATGTGTTCTCCTCTAGATTAATTGAATTAAATATAATTAAAAAGAAAAATAATCTATTCAAATTTTTGAGGAATGTTGTTAAATTCAAATAATAATTTCTTATTTTATAATACTTGAACGCTTATGTACTTAACTTTTAAAAGAAAATGACATAATTTAGTAAATTAAATATTTATTTTCTTTTATAATAATGATATTTATAATTTTGAGCTCCTAAAATATGTATTTTTATTTAGCTAAATGACCAATAAGTCCAGTAGAATTAAGATTAGATTATGCAAGAAACAAGATATGTGCAAAAGTAGCATGTACTTTTTTAAGTTTAGTCATTTTTCTAATTTTATAAATTTCTCTAAAAATATAAAATCTTTTCAACTGCTTCATTAAACTAAGATGAATCAAAAAATAATACCTAATATAAAAGATTTTCTTATCAATGATAATAAAAGTGTAACCCTACCTTTCTTATGAAATTCACAACATCAAGAGCTTGTCCTTAAATAATTTTATCCTTTTTCCTTTATAATACAAAAAAGTTTGGTCATTAGTTTTGAAATCTTTCTAAATAAGTAAACTACCTGATGAATAAAATATTCAAAAACTAGAAAATTTTTAATTTATAAATTTCATTTCTAAAATATTTTTTTTTTTGAAATGATTGAACCTATCACATATTCTAATAGTAATTTTAACGTAGATTTAATTTAAATAAACATTTTAATAAGATTTTTTATCGAAAATAACAAAATTAAATTGAAACAATATTTTTAAAATTTTGTAAAGATATTTCGAATAATTCTTAAAAATAAAAATAAGATTTATAAAATTAAAACCAAACAAACAGGAATATTTTTAACTTTTCAATTTAAATATATAAATACTATTTTTTACTTTAGAAAAATTGTTATGGAAAATATCAATTATTTGATATATTTTAAAAGTTATTTTTCGAAAAAAAAAGTTTTATAATACTTTTAAAAGAAAATTACAGAATTAAACTAAATAATTATTATCAATAAATATCTCAAGATATTTATTAAATTAGATTTAAATTTGTTTATTTAATATCTTTATTAACTTAATTTATATATTTGAAAAAATAAAGACATGCATACATACACTCATACTTAGTGAAATGAATTTTTTTATATATTTTTTAACAAATTGAATTGAATTTTCTTTTAATTATGTACTTATTTTTATTATCAAATATATTTTATCTTTACCATTAAAAAGTTTAGTATTTAAAAAATTTAACTTAGTTCAAATAAAGTCAAAAATTTATTATATCTTGGCTAATAATTTTCTTTAACCTTTTGAAAAAATCAAAAATAAATCTACATTTTAAGGTAAAGATTTATAAAAAATATATTAAAACTATATTCTAAAAAGAATTTAATGAAATTAATAAAATTTATTTCAATTGTTTTTGTTTTTTATTTAAAAGAGTTTAAATAATTAAATTATAAAGTTAATAAATTATTAATAACAAGCTAAAAATTTATTTTTATGAGTAAAAATATTAAAAATAAAAATAATTTTTGATGTTTTACTGCTATCTATTAAAAGAAATTTAATTTATTAAATCATATAAATATTTTATATCTGATTTTATTATATTTTATTATGGAAATCATCTACCTTAATTTTACTGAAACTTCCTTAATTTAGTGAATCAATCTTTTGAGTGATAAATTATTTTAATTTCAATGAATATTTTGAGAAATTAAAATTCAGTTTTCTTTATTTAATGCACAAAACAGATTTTTGACAAAAATCCACAAATTTTTAGAATAATATTTAAAATATAAAAAGCGTCTAGTCTATATATATATATCTATCTATTTTTAGATTAAAACATAAATTTATTTTTCATTATTTAATTATTGCGTTTTTAGACCAAAATTCAACTGATTCTAAATATTTCTTTCTGTCCAAAGGTACTCCTGACCCACCTTCTTCCTTTCCTAAAGCATTTCTCATCATGGTGATAGGATCCATAGGAATTTCATAATCTAAATTTTAGGGTTTAACACTGACAACTCCCCAGTGGTAATCGATATCTTTATTAGGATCTACATTGCCCATAGCTGCATTTTCTAACTAGATTTATTCTTTTGAATATAAAATAATATCAAGATGAGAAGCTACTTCTTAAGGTACAGATCCTACAGGGAAGTATCTTCTAAGAACAGGCAGTTCCTTTTCAGTTCTAGCTTCATAAATTGTTTTTAATAAATGCTCATTTTCTGGAGTAATCTTTGATGTTGACAACTTTGTTTAAGTAAAATTAGGAATGAAAAGATGTTTGCAGAAAGGGGCATATCCATCAACTAATTTAGAGGGATCATAAATTTTATTAAGATGTTCTTGCATTTCCTCAACAGTAGAGCATACATATGTAGAAGTCTTTACATTAGGGTCAAATTGCTTTAAGCAAAATGGATCAATTACTATTCTTAAATTCTTCATATTATGAACTAATTAATTAATGATATTTTAAAATTGTATTTGCTGATTAAAAATTATTATTAAATTTTGAAAATTTTAATTAATAAATAAATAAATAATTATTAATTGCTTAATAAATAGTTGAAAAATAATATTAGATATTATAATATATAAATATTTATCCTTTTTTCTTGTTTTTGAGTTGTAAAATAAATAATAAAAAAAAATTATAATTTAAGATAAACAAACTATTTAAAATAAATTTATTTTAAAAGATAAAGTTTTAATTTATTAGAAGATATTGAAAGAAAAATCTAAACAACTTCAAAAATTCCATTTAATAAGCTGTCTTTGTGTACTTTTTAAGTTATTTTTATAAAAATCATACAATAAATATTAAAAGTATATTCAATTTTAAATTAAAAGGAAAGTTATTCTATTTACAAATATAAATCTAAAAATCTACACTTAAAATAATTATTAATTACTCACTCATTGAAAATATGATTCAATATTCTCCAATATTTATTTAAATACTTAATTTTTTTATTTTATGTTGTTTTTTTTCAAAAATCTAACTATATTTTAATAATTTTACTTTATTGATTTATTGATTGTTAAAACGAATTCATAAAAGAAAAATTTTCATATATTGATAATACATATCATTTTGCAATAAGAAAATGGTTATAGCAAAATGTAATAAAATACTTACAATTGATCTATATTATTTTATATATTTTTTCTTATTATATTATTTTAATGAAAAATAAACTAAATTAATTTGAGAAATAGGTTTATATCCTAAGAAATATATTAATGTTTAAAATTTTTAAAGAAATTTAGCAAGTGCTCATTCAGCTAATATATTCTAATTAGCTCATCTAATTGCATCATAAATTACTCCACCTGCTGACTAAACTGTCTTAATAATACAGCAACAGCATGATTATATATTTTCAGCTATGACTTCAGAACCTTATCCAACTTTTTCTACTACATTTTGAGAACACAGACAAGTGCACATACTACCAATTTTATTGCAGCAACCTCCACAACAGCCGATTACTACATCAAACTATTTTTCGGCTTCATCTCCTATTTTAGATAATAAAGCAGTACTACAACAGCAAGTGCAAAACTTAGAACAGCAACCAGCAGCTTTTTATGCTCCATCTTAAACTCCTTCTCCTATCTATGAAACAACTTTCATGTTACAGCAATCTTTGCAAATAGATCCGATAGAGGAGAAACAAGAAACACAACATCCTGAGACAGACTCAGCTCCAGATTAAACAGAATCGCCTATCTTCTCAGCATTACTACAAGTACACATCTAAGTAAAGATAGCTCCACATCCAATACAGCACTTATGACAAAATCCTGTTACTACTTCTCCTCCTGCACTCAAATTGGCTCCAACTTTTCCAACATTTTCTGTAGTGCATGTATTAATACAACATTCTCCAATACGACTGCATAAATTTCCACAGAAAGTTTAAGAATGCTAAACACCTGATTCTAATCCATCACCTACTCCTTTCATAAAGTTAGAATCACAGCAATCTCTGCAAAAATCACCACATCTTAAAAAGCAGCTTTCACAACAATCAATAGATTTGTTTCCATATTATTCTAATGAGGAGCCATTACAAAAACGTCCACAAGCATTTGATAAAGAATTGCACCAACCACCAATATTACCACAGCAGCTACTGCAAAAACTTCCTAATAAATAAACAAATAAAGAAATAAAAATAATTTAATTATTTTAAAAAATGTAAATATTATTTGAATAGCAAGTTCTTTATTTTTTTATTGGTTCTAAGTTATTTAATTAATTAATAAATAAAAACTGTAATAGCTACTTTTCTACCTAAAAAAATACTTAAGTAACAATAAAACTAAATAAGTAAGTTTTATTAAGATAATAAAATAAAGTTTACCTAAAGATGTACAGCAAGGTTCGCAGCTTTCTTTGAAAAATGTGTCTGAACATAAACCAAAAATACCCTTTAAACAGTAAGTAATCAAATAAAAAGGAGACAATATTAAGTAAAAAAGGCAATCACACATTTTTTTGCAAAGACTGTCTTGCTTTTTGTAGGAGCAAAAATTACATCCAGGAGCTCCTCCTACATAAACAACAACAGGACCTGCATACGTTCTGTTTTTATATTAGTTCTATTGGTAGTTGTTTTATTAGTATACTACCGGCTATTTAGCTTAATTCTAGAAATGTTAAGGATAATTATTTTATTGTTATTGATATTATTAGTTAGGATATCCAACCCCATATTGTTATTATTATTAATATTATTGTTGTTATTAATATTCGGAAACATAAACCTAGTTATTTTATTGCTAGCCCTAGCCATTGTACACAGGAATGGCGCCTTATTAGTTCTGATAGGCATATACCATCTAAGGTTGTTGCATAGGTGGTGCATTTTAATAGTATGGATCTTAAACAACAACAGTCTATGGAGGTTATTAAACAACAACAGTTTAAGTTGGTTATTAAACAACAACAGTTTATACAGGCTATTGTACGATTACGGTTTAAACTGGTTAAGCTACTACAGGTTACATAATTATTGGTTAAACAGAATTAACCTTAACTGTTTATTACTATTATTATCCGTATTACTATTCATTAATTGGCTAATATTGCCTCATTTTTGAAGTAAAATATAATAAGTTGAAATATTTATATTGTTTATTTTTAAGTCGAGTATTTTATAATAACTATACAATCTAATAAATTAATTAATTAATATTATTATCATGATTTTTTCATCTAATTTATTATTATATATAAATTAATTAAATTTCATTCAATTTGCCAATCAGTCATTCAGTGGTCTTACAAAATCTTGATAGAATACTCATCTTTTATCATCAATCTTGCACTTAATTATAATTAAAATTCAAATAAAATTAACCAGATCTATGAATATTTAAATTGATGGATAAGAACTAATGAATATTATTATGTTATGTTAGTCTTTAAAAATGAAAAAATCCTAAACATTAATACAAGCTCGTTACAAAGTATCGAATCAAGCTTGGTATTTGGATATAAATATAATTTAATAATTAGATCACTGTAAGATTAGTGATAGAGAGGAAATTTAGATAGATGAATTATTTTCTAATTTTTTTTTCTTCAGGCGTTTGAATTTCGATAAGAGTTAGCAAAATCACACATACATACACAAAATTTTCATTATCTTCTTATTTTTAAACCTAATTTTAATCAAAATAAATAACTTGTAAATTTGCAAAATAAGAATAATACTTTATTATGTGAAAAATTAATTTTTTTGAATTTTAAATGATAAAAAGAAATAATTTTACAACTGTCAAAGTACCATTTTTATTTTAATGGTTGGAAAATGAAATATACCTAAAGAGAATAAATAAATCAATCAATCTAGATCGTATAAATTTTTATTAGCAGAACAAATAAACTAATTTTTTACTAACAGAATATTTTTTATACTGATGAGAAACATCAAATGTAAATTCAAAGCAATATCAAAATAATGAAAGAAATAATCATCCTATATCAAATACTTTTCTATCAATGAATTTCGAATCCTATCTAGTTCATCTATTAAATATTTAATTAATTAGAGTTAAAAATAAATTGTTCAATTACTTTGTTTAATAATATATATAAAATTAGGATATTAATCAAAGGACTTTCTGTAAAACAGTTTCAACTCAGTTTATTTGTACTACTTTATTTTTTATCTATTTTCTTTTGGAATTTGTTTGACTTCTATAATTGAATTAGTATTATTATAATCTATTTTCAATACTTAAATAAAAAGTGGTTTCATATTTTTATTATCTATTCTTTATCGAAACCTTTAATTAGGAAATAATAAATATAAATCAATCAAAAACTTTTTCAATATATAAATACTTTATTTAAATCAAGTCTACATTCGTGTATTTTATTTATTAATATGTCAAATCTAAATATTTCTAAATTTATTAGTGAATTTTTTCATTCAAATTATTATTTAGTGACGAGAAAATATATTACAAAAATATTTTTTTTGACTTAAATATTTTTTTAAGAATGAATATCTAATTTTATTGATTAAATGCTAATAGAAAATTAAATATTTATTTGATTCTTTGCTTACATAGGTTGCTTACTAATTTAAAAAATAATACAAAATTAGTAAACTCAATGAATTTTGATTTGTGGGAAAAAAATGTTAAGTAGAAATTCAGACATTTGCCATTATCTTACAAAAAAAGAAACTAAATCCTTTAAGTAATTCCTATAAAATAGATCAATAATTGTTGACAAAAAAAAATTATATTGCTAAAAAGTTATAATGTAATTTATTGAAGAGTTTTAATTAGTATTGAGGACAGCTTGTATCTATCTATCCTACTAATCATTATAAATTTTTAATTGCATGAACCTCAAAATGAACATATTTTATATATCTATCTATATATCTTACTATAATAAAGTAAATGATGAGTGAATTTTTCATAAAATTAATCATTTTTAATTAAAAATGACTTATTAATTAAAATGAGCGAATAATAAATTAATCTATCTATCTAAATTTCAAAATAAAAAACAATAATAGATTATTAATAATAATTAATTAATTTTTTTTAATTATAATTTTTTTTTTCATTTTTACATGAAAAAAAACTTAATTAGTAGAAAATAAAATTTGAGTAATTTAATTTATTAATACAAAAGTTAAAAACTATTTAATATCTATACATTATTTTTTTGTTTTTTGATAAAAATTAAGATTTATATTGAATTTTTCTTCAAATAAAATGCATTCTGTTAATATAAACTAAGCGGTTTTTGATAGAATCACTTAAGAAAGGCCATAGAAAATAGGAAGATTATAGAAATGGATTAATTATATAAGTTGGAGCAGAGAGTCTGAGGAACCTAAAAAGTTAGGAAATTTGACATTTGCTTTAATTGTTATTATTATTATATCTATTTTAAATGGAGTATTAAAAAGTAACATTCAAATGACAATAAACGGCATCCATAACTGCTTGCATTTATTTTCATTTATTTTTTCTATGTATGCCCTTATGAAAGCTAAAAAAAATTCTAACATGCATTATACCTATGGATACACTAGATACGAAACTATTGCTGCTTTTAGCAATTGCATTTTTTTGATACTCTCATCATTGTTTTTAGTTATCAGTAGTTTACACTATTTAACTCACGATGAAGACCACTCAAGCTCTGCTGCCTAAAATATAACTGACGGAGAGAAGGCTCATACAGAAGCAAGTCAACACGAGGATGAATCTGGTCCTCTAATCATATTTTATGTCAAAATAATTTTCAATTTAGTTGGCATTTATTCTTTCAGTGAATACGCTTTATTTGCTCCTTTAGAAGAATTCTAAGATATTGGAGCTTCCACGTAAAAATATGCTTATTCGGGAGTTAACGAATCAACATACAAAAATTACTCCTTCAAATATGAGAAGTTCTATCGCTATTTATCTTAAAATAGTCATCACTTCACAGATGAATCCCATCCTAAACCTCTTAATGCCCACCCTCATTCTTCCAAACTACATTTTACAAGCCATTATGAAAACATGCATAGCATATTCCTTCATTTTTTCATAGACTTCCTCTTTAATTTTAGTACTCTTGCATGCCATTACTTAATGAATTTAGATTTCCATGAAGCTGCTATACTCCTTCCCTTAATAATTATGATAATTACTATTATTTTCACTAAAAAACTTTTGGTTATCACCTTCAAAATTCTCCTTCAAGCTCTCCCAATAGATGATGAAATTAATGTGAAATAAATGATATAGGAAATAACTTCGATAAATGGAGTTGTTGAAGTGCCTTAGCAACATTTCTGGGGTATGACAGCTGGCTACTTGGTTGCCAACGTCACTGTTAAGATAAGAAAAAGCTCAAATTCAGAAGAGATCTACTAAGCCATTCATACTATATTATCTAAAAAGTTTTATAGTATTTGCATACAGATCGAAGAAAGCAAGACAGAATATTGAAAAAATTTTTAAAAATAAATAAAAAAATCCTTAAAAATAAAAGTTCATTTTTATATGTTTAAATAAAATCAGTTCTAGATAATATTTTTATTTATTAATTTATTTTCATTCTAAACTGCTGATAATTATAATTTAAATATTTTTATAAGAGAAATCTACTATATAATTCATTCATTCATAATATTTTTTCTAAAAATTTTTATGTGATTTAAATATGAAAATAAGAAAGCATAGTTGAAATTTGACGAAAAAATGAACAAATAAATTAATAAATCTTTAATAAATATTAATATTTTTTGAAACCTAGCTCTTTATTTAAAAATAATAATAAAAAACAAATAAAATTAACTGTAAATACTTGAATAAAAATTAAAGATTTTATTTCTATAATTAATATAATTTATTTTAATTTAAATTATTAATTAAAATTTTAACTGAAGGGTAATGAGACTCAATTATCTGAAACTCTAATATATTTTAATGTAGAATTTAATACTTAAAAAAAAAATTTTTAGAATTTTATTTTAAAAATAAGTAATAAATTAAATATTTGAATATGTTGAAATTTAAATAATTGATAAAGTTGAATAATAAATAGTAATAAATCAAAAATAGTAACATAAAATTCAATCAAATTTATAATATAATAAACTAATATAAGTTTTATTTAAATAAAATAATATTCATAAACCTAATACTATTTTTTTTTCATTATTTTAACTCATTTGGAATTATTATTGAAGATTTTATTTAAAATATATTGCATTTATTTTGTATGTATTCGAGTTTTATATAAACTCACTCACTTTCTTGCTTAATATATATTTTCATTATAATTTTATATTTCCACATTAAGAGATATCAGTCTACATTTTTATAAGTAAATTATTTGTTTTTCTAAAGAATTTATTTTAAATTTATTTCATCAAATTGAGTTTGAAAAACGAGACTAAAGAGTGCATAACATTTTCCACATATTATCTTCATCAAGATATCCAGGCACAGGATACTTAATAGCTCTTTAAGAAAGATCTATCTTAAGCATTTGGTCTATTGTTAATTTGAATGCATCATCTAACATTCTGGGTAGTAATATCTTTAAAATTGGACTGCTTTCTTCTATGCAGGGATTAGTATTAACTTCAATTATCCACACATTGAAGAGCTCGTCTATGATGAAATCATATCCGAATATTTCAAAGCAATTTGGTCTTTAGTTCATGTTTAGCTTGTTCCTTACACTTTATAAACTTAATTTAATTTCTTCTTCCATCTTTGGTATTATTTTGTCTTTAAGTGAGATATTTTTGGATGGAAAAGTCTTATCCAAAAATATCTAGAAATCTTCAAAGCTCATTTAGTTACCGTTTTCAAATTTACCATAATTCTTTGAATGTTACTAAACAGCATTATTAGTTAAATGAATAAAAGGATTTTGTAAGTCAGTTATATCATATACTTCGCTACTCATACGTAAGTAACCTTATTTAAAAATAAGTACATCCATGTTTTGAGTTACTAGCACCCACACACGAATATCAAATTTTCTTTAGTTTATAAGCAAAGGCCTTTCTATATACTTTTAAATAACAAATTAGTTTTCTGAGATAATAAATTTGCCGCCCTTCTGAGGTTTAACTGTGGGTTGCTTAATTTATTAGTGAAAACCTTTTCTTGTAATTGAAGCAGATGCAATAACTTAACTATTAGCTAAGCTTGCTGTTTAGGGTTTTCTAGGAAGTAAATTAATGCTTTTAGCTATATTAATCTAAGAGCCATTAATCAAAGGCTCAAACTAACCTGATTTTACTTAAGACTAAATTGAAATAGTTGGTTAAAGAATCTTTTTGGCAGACTGAATCGTTTTTTTAGTAGCTTAAATATTAGGAGTGTCTACTTAATTGCTTGGCTCAATCTGAAATTTAACTTAATTTGTCTACTTTCCTTTGTTTTCATCGCTTTCGTCAGATTTGTCATCAGTTGAAGGAGAGTTAGTTTATTGATCTAAACTTGGAATCTTTTCACTGGCGAAAATTGCTAAATCTGTTTATTTGTTAACTAAAAGATTACTGCTACTTTTTATTTATGCTTCATTTTATAGCTTTAGGAGCTAAGTCTTCTCTTCAAGCAGTTTTTCTTACTCTTCCTTAAAATTTTTTTCAGGGAAACCAATGTAGTATTCATTTACTAATTTCTCTAGTTCTTCTACACTCGAAAATACTTCTATACCTCTTCCTCTGTTCAAATTTACAGGTTTTAGAAGCCAAACGTAAGGAGACTTTCCTTCAGATATATAAGATTCTTTCATTTAGAAGTTAGGAGCAGCTGTGGTAGACTCCTTTCTGTCTTGTAAAGAATTTTAGTTTTCATTTGGACGTAGCTAAAATTAAACTCTACCATTCCTCTTTTTAATTTCTATCTGATCTTTTTAGGTCTTTAAGTGTGATGGTAAATTTTTCATATAATACTACAAGAATGTTCTCATTTCATTCATAAAACTGTTGCTGTCAACATTTATTTCAAAAGTTATTGGTGTGTATTCGAATACATCAAGTTTATTTTCTGCGCAGTAGTTTTTCATATTTTTAACCAAATTACTTTTTGTAGTTATTTCGTGGTGATACTCGAAATGATTTACTACTTTCTTAGTCAACTAAATTTCACCCTTTGTGCCAAGCTTAGAAAACCTTTAAAATAAAATAAACAATTAGCTTAATTTAGAAATCCTTAAAGAATTAATATTAAAAATAAATATATTTGTCAACGAATTGAAAGCAAGAATAAAAAAAACTATTATTTATTTTTAGTTTTTAATTAGAATAAATAAATTATAAGAATTTATTAGGAAAGAAATAAAAATGCGATTTTAATCAATAAAATCTGAAAATTTATGATTAAATTATATTTTATTTGTTTAAATTTGCTAAAAATAAAATATTTCGTTTACTAAATTGGTCTGCTAAATGGATGCCACTCGAAATTGACTTCTGGACACACTTCATCAACTTCTTACAAGAGCACACGAGTTTCTAAGATTCTTCTGACAATTTCAGAATTATTGCCTTTACCAATATAATAGAATTAAAAGATTTAATTCTAACTGAAAAAGGCGAGAGTATCTTTTACAGATATATAAGGGAGGAGTGATTTGTTCATGAGATTCTAATCTTTTAACAAAATCCTTAATTAATCAGTTAATTAATGAATAGTCTATTTATTCTAACGCTCTTTTTCAAGCTCTCTTTTGTAATATTCTATTTTTATGCGTAGTTGCTCTTAGATTTTCAGTGACTCTTTTTCTTTCGTTTTAAGGTTTTGTGTGTGCTAATTTTTTACAGACTGTAATTCAGATTTACGCTACAAATATTACTATCTAATTTATGATGACCTCTCTTTTTCAAGCATTTATTAATGCTTTATAAGCTTAATTAATAAAGGTTCTTCTGAGTTGTCAGTTTAAGGAATAGCAGGTAGTGTGTGTTTCTTGTCTATGCTTTATGAAAAATTAGATCTCAGATTACTGTATGACTATCCATTTAATAAAGACTTCTGCATAATTTGATATATGCCGCTGGATTAACTGTAAATATCTAATGTTTCAGCAAGTTAAGGATTACGTTTAGAGACATTTTAAAGTGATTTTTTATTGTTATTTGAAAGATTTAATGGCAATTTTTCTAATTTCATGTCTCTTTATCTTTATTTATTCCTATTTTCTAAATCTTCTTGGATTGCTTTTGCTTCATCTATTTTTTTTAGCTACTCTAATTTAATTGCTTCTGCATTTGCATTAACATCAAATTATTTTACTTACAAATCTATATCTTCCGCACTATGAATTAGCTTTTTCTGTTTTATTTCCTAGCTACTAATTTACACTTGACTTGTTTGCTGATTTTCTTTCGTTTAGTTGACCTTCTAAGTTTTTACTTTTCTTTTTAGATTGTTTGCACGATTTGAATTTAAATCTGATGATTATATTGTCTTGAATTACTTTATGCTTGACTATAAATATGGATTTATTTTCAGTGATTTATCGCTTTTTGTATTGAAAGTATCATAATCAATGACTTCTTCGTACATTTAGTGGTAATCTTTATTTCCAAAACTACCTCTAATGTACTTATAAAAATTGTTATTAAGTTTTTGAGTTGACTTAGACCTCATTTTTTTAATTTTAATTAAAATAAAGCTAATTTATAATTATTAATTTGCTTTTTTTTCAATATTTAATTGCTGAAAATCTTGAAGGATGATCAATTATTTCTTATTCTAAAACTTAATGAAATTATTATTTCAATAATTGTTTAAATTTTCGCATTTCAGTTTGATTTTTTGGTTAATTATCAAAAGGAATTGAAAACTTATAATAATTTATGTTAATATATAAGTTAAAGTTTCATGAATGTTATTTATTTTTCGATAATTTATTATTAAATAATAAATTCATTTTTTTATAAATTCAATTGTTAAAATATTTTAAAATTAAATTTAATTAAATTAAAATTAATTATGAATTTTTTATTCTTACAATAATTAATTCAATTAATTTTAATTTATTCCAAATACTCTAATTTAATTAATAAATGTAGTTATATTATATAATTTTAATATTGTCTTTTAAATAAATACACAGAGTTGAAAGTTTTTATTAAAGTCCGCACTATTTTTATTAAGTTATTTGCAATTAAAAAAATGATTATAATTATCCTTATTTTGATAAGTTTTTTTTAATTTTAATTAGGGATCAATTCAATACTAAAAATTTAGAATTATGTAAAGTACATAAAATTGAAAAAATTTTTAAGACGAATTGATTAGTATTTATTTATATCTGAATCCCCCTTTAATCAATCCAATATTATTATAATTCTATATAAGAAAGAAAAGTTTTCAATAGAATATTAAAAATTATATAATATAGGATGTAAGTAAAATTAAAATTAAATTGGTTTTTGATAGAGATAATTTGATACTAATAATATAATTTTAATCCAAAAATAAATCTATTTCTTCAATAAATAAATTAGGAATGAATTATTTCTTTTACTTTATATAATATATTTTTAGGATATGTTAGATTTTAATGAAAAATTGGATATTTTAAAACAATAATAGCTAACAGATAAACTAGAGAAGGAAAAATATTAATCTTTTTATAAAAAATTATTTATTATTTAATAAATTTAAAAACAAGCCATTTATCATAATATTTTAATCTAGAAAACAAGTACTTTGTATCGCAGGTTTTATTTAAAATTTATAATTCAATTTATCTTATAAGTTTGTTTAGAGTAATTAGATAGCACAATTTTATTGCTGTTTTATCACGAAATGAATCAATATCCTCAAAAATGAAATATAACAACTTAAATTAAATTTGTTCATTCAAGCATATTAACAAAATCAAAATAAATATCTAAATGAAAATACTTAAAATATTAAGCTTGTGATAAATAAAGCACTTTTAAAATTTCATAAAAATACTTGCATTTTGTTGTAGATTATATTCCTTTTAAGTCAAATGCTTTAAATTAGAAAATATTTGCATCAAAAAATTTAATAGGTATTGCCATAAATTAATTTCATAAATTTTTATATTTCTCTAACATTTATTTTAAAACTACTTTATTAATAGGCTTATTGTAAATATTTGAGCTAAAAACTATGAAGTTTTTTTAAAAAAAAAATATATTGCTTTAATAAACTCAAAAAGTTAAAGTTTATTTGAATTAAATTTGTAACAAATATATTTTATTAGCTTTTTATGTGTTTCAATATTAGCTATTTATTGGATCTCAAAAAATCTTTTATATAAAACTAAAGATATTGTATTCGAAGTAGTTAAAATTTGTTATTTTTCTAACATAAATATAAATTAATTAAGATTTATATTCGGTATTTATCAATCAACATTCAAAGTTTAATTTTTATTTTGTTTTTTGCCATAATTTAAAATTAAAATAATTTTTAAGATAGAATTTATAATATTAAAAGTGTATTTTTGAGTTTGTTACCTTCATTGCAAAAATTTTTGAAAAAATTATGACTATAACGTAAGCTTATTAATTAAGAGGAATTTACTGATATTATAAAATAAGTTATTATTTAAGAAATAATATTATGGATATGAAGTAAGGATTAAATTTGGGCAAAGTAAAGCAAAATTTATTAAATATGTATGAAGAAAGAAATTATGAATGAGTTCTTAATAGCTCTAATTAAAATTGGAAATATCATGAAAAGTAATTAATATTTATCTATCTAGATAAACGAATCAATCAAAGTAAAAATACATTTGCTTTAATCAAAACATAATATGAAAAAATTTCTATCACTCACCTTTAAAAAAATCTTATAAAAAATTGATCATTAAGATTCATAAAAATTAAGTAAAATTATGATATTGATTTTTTAAGGAATTGCAAATATAATTAACTTTATTATAATTGAAAATTCGATATTTTTTAAGTACCTTAATTAATTTTAATTAGCATCAAATGAATTATAAGAAAACGGAAGACAATGCAAGGTTTGAATAAACAAGACTCGATTAAATGATTCATAAAGAAATTGTTATGTCAGAAAATCAGCAAGCAAAACTAAAATTTGATGATGGCAGCTAGCAACAAAGAGCTACATAAAAATAAGGTGTTTTACTCTAAAATTAATAAAGGAGCTCTTATGACTTCAAAAACGCTGATTCTGATATCAAAATAGCTAATGGATAATTTAATTAGATTTAAAATATTGATGGTCTGTTAAAAAATTAAAGCGAAGCTAATGAAAAAAAACATAAATAATAGAATCAGCAAAATAGCTAGATGGTAAAGAGGCCTTCTTCCACTATTTTAATGCAGGAGTAATAATACTAGAAAGTACAAAATCCAATCGTAGCAGACATTATTTCTGATAAATATGATGCACAAACTTGCTTTTTTTAACTAGCTTTTATTATCATATTTTTTATAGAGTAGATAGCAATGTAGGAGTATAATAAAATATATGAGTACATAATAATTGCTATATTTATTTTATTAAGTCTGGGTAATTACCTTTTAATTAAGTATCAAGAGTTTACATATTTGCATTTTGTTTAAATTGCTAACTCTATTATGGTTACTATTATAGTAGGTGTATGGGTTTACAACAATTAGTATAATCAGAAATACGATGTTGAAAGATATGCTCAAAGCATGATAAGCTATTAAAATACAGATCAAAGCAATCCTAATAGTAATGGAGTTAGCAACAATAATGATTAAACGCAGAGAAACTGCTAGGTTAATTAAAGCGCAAAAGATGATTTCTACTTATTACTCCTTTAATCTCAATCTAAATTTTTTTTTTAAGGAGCTATTCTATATCGCTTACAAGATTGCTTAAATAAGCACTTAATTCCAAAATATAGATAATTAATTAGTATTATAAGTGCTATAGCAATTGGGATTTTACTTTACGCATAATAAATATCTGTAGATCATAATTTAGATATTGATTTAGCAATCAAGTGTCTTTTTTTAATTTTGATAATCATTTTATATGAAAAATTTCAAATGAGAACGCTGAGCTCATATTTAATCTCTTTTTAGGCCTTGAAAAAATACTTTACTCTCTCTTTGTGCAACCGGAGTTGTCATGGACAAAGTAATAACATATAAATTGAAATTAACCCCAAAGATTTAACCTCGTGCAAAGTCATATACGGTAATCAATAGCTTTCTTAGGAATTATTGAGCGATTCTCTTTAGTTTTTTCGTGATTTTGAGCTTGATCTATTCAGTATAACAAACTATAATAAAATAGAGTAATTTGACCAAGGCGAAGAAAAAGCCCTTTCACAAGAGGCAGATATAAATAACTTTGATTTCGGAGCATCTACTGAAAAACTAAAAATTAAAAATAACTTTAATAAAACTAAGCAAAAAATTTTGTAAGCAAAGTTTAACTCAGCATCCAAGCAATTTATTGAATAAAAAATACTCAAATTTAGTTCTAGCGAATTGAATAAAAAAAGGAGCTCAAAGCATTCTAACCCAACAATTGTAAGTCTTAAAAGGATTTGTTAAGAAAATAAAAATAATGGAAAGGAAGGAGAGCAGCCGATGACAATAGCAGCTATGCACACTAATGTAAACTTCAACAAGACTGATAATTTTATTTAAACATTTAGAAACACAAATAATCGAAATAATATTTTTTAAGGTAAATTAATTTGGGTTTTATTAGTTTTTTTTATTAAAATAATCTATCTATATTTGAAATAACAAAATAATCTATAGAAATTATGAAAAAACTTCTATCATCAACTCGCATTTAATCTCAACTAATATATATAATTGTTATTAATTTATATTGAAAAATAAAGTCCATCATATTTTATCATCTAATGCATAATTATTAAATAAAGATTACAATGAGAAATAAAACAATGATGCAATGGCAAATTAAAATGAGAAAGATTAGCTTAATATAACTCCTTCATTAATTAAAGCTCAAAAGACCTCTTTAAAATCAGATGAGATAAACACTCAATCACCTGCTCCAAAGCAAAGCAGCGAAAAAACAGAAAAGCAAGCTCAAATTTCCTATGATAAGAAAGATACAAATAATTAAGATACGTTCAGCTTAAAAACAAATGAACAATCTAGAGTCCTACCTTCTTCATTAGCTAATCGCTACCACACTTTAGAGGATATAATTAAGGATCCAACTTTAAGGTCTATTCAAATTTAAGGAAAATTCAAAAAAAGTGATGGACAAAAAATTCAACATTTATCAATAAGCTTAATTAAATATCACAATATCTTTTAGAATGAAATAATAATTGCAAGCATAACGGATATGACTTCTATCCAAGAGATAAACAATTTGTAAAAAGAAGTGCAATTTAAAGAAATTATGTTTGCTAACGTAACTCATGATTTAAGGACTCCTTTGTATGCGATTAAATACTCTATCGATAAGCTCAAAGAAATTTTCCAAATACACTAGTGTAATACTATCCTTGAGCAAAAAGAATAGATTAAATAAAAGGTAAAAGAACTGCAATAGAGTGAAGTTAATGATTTGCATGAGTAAATTAATATTTCAGTTGCTAACACTCATCTTATGGAAGCAATTATTTAGGACATCATTGACAATAACAGAAACAGAATGGGTACTTTAATTTTATTGGTATATTTAGGCATAAGCTAAACTATTTTTCTTCTTAATTTAAATAGGAAAATTAGAAACAGATATAAGATAGTTTAATTTATTAGAACTGCTACAAGAAATGGAAAAGTTAATGGAAATTATTTTATGGGAAAAAAGGAAGAAAATAAAATTAAAATTTGAAATATGTAAATAAATAAAACAAAATAGCTTGATTTATTCTGATTCTTAGCGTTTGAAGCAAGTTTTAATGAATTTAATAAGTAACTCAATTAAATTCACTAAAAAGGGAGGAATCTTGATAAAAGTTTCAAAAGTTTACCTGAAAAACACTAAAAATGTCGACAAATATTTGAATTCCCCCTACAAAACAAATTTAAAACAGAAAATAACTGAGATTGTTGAATAAAACGATCCTCCTTAAAACTGTATTAATACAAGTCTAGCTGAAAAAATGAAGGTTTTGGATGAAAATAAGCTTTATACTTGCTATCAAGAAAATGTATTTTCTTTGGGACTAATTTAATTCTAAATTATAGATTCTGGAATAGGAATGAATGATAAAATCTTAAAAAGCTTATTTACACCTTACAACACGCACAACAATGAAAACATGAATAGACATGGTATTGGTCTAGGATTAACTATTTGTAAGACAATTGTAGAAAAGCTAGGACCTTTTTAACTAAAAGTAGCATCGAAAGTAAGTAATTAAAATTTTATGCTAAAATTATAAAATTTTATTTCTTAAAATAGGAAAAAAGAGGTTCTAAATTTACTTTCTATATTTACCATGATCTACATTAGAGTATGATTCCATCTAAATTAGAATAAATAATTCAATCAGAATAAAAGAGATAGAATGAAAATAATATCCAAAACAACAATAATAATAATAATGGATGGAATTATAATCACAAACCTTTAAATAATTAAAATGAAGATGATATTCATCCAATAGTATCTCCTCATAGTTTTATTAATCTTATTCCAAATAGTAGCGAGTAAAATCTAAAAAGTGAAATCTATTTGGAATACGAGTCGAAAGACAAGGCAAGTAAGCAAGATTCACAAATCAAAAGAAAAGAGTATGAATACTATAAGTCTGGTAATAACTAATCTATTCTACCTGAGAGTGATAAGTAGTCAAGCACATATCAATAGGATAGTAGGAGAAAGATAAATTCTTTGTTTCAAAGAGGAATTACAAATGGTAGCATTTTTTAGTCATATCAACAAAACAATTATAAGGCAAATAATAATAATGAGAAACCTAACGAAATTCAAGAAAAAGATGAAATAAAAAGTCAAAGCTAAAAAGAACTAATAGACTAATCGATAGAGAATAATCTTGAAAATAGAGCAAAAGATGACAAGAATAAAATTTCACAAATGGATTTTACCTATAGTAATAATATAAATAACTTTGATTCAGGATAAATAATGGCTAAAAGTCCTAAGTTTGTTAGCTTCAATAACAGTCAGAGCTAACATATCCATAACATAAGCAACTATACAAATGCTATTATATAGAATAAAATCTCAGACAGCATACATTAGATTAAAGAAACTGAACCAAATCAGAAATCTAACCTTTTGCAAAAATTTAGCTTTGGGGGAAATAGTAGTACTGTAAAAAAATATCAAATTCAAAGCATGGAGAATACTGCAAGTAAGAACAATACTTCGGGCGCAGTTGTATAAGAAAAGGATCCCTTTGATATACAAAAAGCAGAGACTGAATGGAAAGTTAACTTAGCTCACTCTAGTGAAGATATTTAAGACAAAGAAGAAAAGCAGGTTTCAACTTAAAATTTCAAGAAAGAATAAAATTTATTAGAAAAGAAGAATAAAAACAATGACAACTAAACTTAACAAATTTATAATAGTAGCAGCTTAAATTCTACAATAGCAAGTATTGTTATAGGAGAAAATACAGCTAATGAAAAGTAAGAAAATGAAAATATGAATAATTTAAAACCAAGAAACACCCCTTTCTTAAATTAAAATAATGAATTCACAGCAAGCCGACATGTAATCCAGAACAACCCATTATAAAAGCAAATATCCTTTTAGCAGCCCATTTTATAGAAAGTGCAGCAGCCTTTATAAATATAAACAGAAGAGAGTATCATGTAGAGAACAAACTCGAATATAAATTCTCCTGAAAAAAAAATTTCATAAATCAGTTTTAAAAAATAGCAATAAGAAAGTAAAAATAAATCTCTAGATATCAAATAGCTTAAATAATAAGATTTTGGTGATTAAAATTACTTGTTCTAAAAACCTATCCTTTTTAAAAATTAAGACATTTAAGAAAACGGATATGGCCATGATTCTTCAATATTTTTCAATGTTTTAGGAGGAGGTTTTCCTAGTTGTATTGTTTAAACACAAAGTAGAGTTACGAATCAAAGATCAAGCAAAATAATAAAAAACCAGAGTTATAATATATTAGATCAGATTAAATGTGAACAATATGTTGATGAATAGTAGTTAGATGACGATCAATTTTTTAACACAAGTATTTTATAATCTCTTGAAGACACATAAGAGCGTGCTAATTTAGAAGAAAGTAGTTCTCATGCATTGGTAAAGAGTAACAACTAGTTTTAGATTATGAGAAATAAAAAATAAACCCTTTAACAGCAAGATGTTGTATCAAACATAAACTAAAAAAGCGAAAGAGAATCGCAAGTGATCTCAATTGATAAAAAAGGACTCTATATAAGCAAAATAGACAGATATAATCATGTAACAAATCATAAAATGACAGAATCAGTTCAACTAAATTACATTAAAAAAATTAAATTTGGTACTTATTTACAAATTTAAAATATTTTTTTATATTAAGTTTTAAATTTTGGAAAAAAAGGTGTGGCGGAATCAGACGAGCAATAAGAAAAATAGTATTTGAACATTTTGATTTGCGATGATAGTGTTTTTAATATAAAAGTACTGCAAAAGCTACTTTTGAACTTTAAAAAATATAAAATGAGCATAGACACTTGCCTAAGCGGTGAAGAAGCAATAGAAAAATTCTTGTAAAAAAATAAGCCAAACAGCTAAGAACCATACAACTACATATTTTTAGATTGGAATATGCCTATAATGGATGGCTATGAAACAAGTTCAAAAATAAAATTTTATGTTAAAGATGAGCAGTTTTTGGATTGCCCAATCATTATATGCACTGCTTATGAAGGTATTAATTAAAATAATAATAAATTAATTTAATTTTTTTAAAAATCAATTAAATTAATTAGACACCACAGAAATCAACAAATGTCTTAGAAATGGAACTGATGGAATATTAACCAAGCCTATTTCTTAAGATTAAATTAATGAACTTCTTCAAGACTTTTAACTAAGTAAAGAAACCATTTAAAGAAACCAAAGTAACTGAACACTGTAAACTGAATATTAAATAAAGATTAAACTTAAACTTAAAATTTTCTAGCATAACAATAAAACATTAATAGTTACTAAATAAAATAATGAATAAATGAGCTTATTAAAATAAAATTTAATAACAAAAAAGATATAAAATAAGTTACATTACCAACAAACAATTAATAAAACAAATATTTTATCCAATTTATTTTTTGAAAGTCTATAAACTAAAAAATATTTATCTATCTAAATAAACACCACCTATAAAAGTGTACATAATAGTTATTTTTCAATTTATATTTTATATATTTATCCTTTGTTTTTATTTCCAAAACTTAATAGTTAATTTTAGTTATCATCTCCATTAATTCATTAATTTTTCAATCAAGTTAAATTTATATTGTAATCAAACCAATTAATTAATACCGTAAAATTAATTTAATAACAGCATTTCATGGATTAAAATTCTTGTGGTAGAGTTAAGTCAAAATTTTAAACAAATTAAAATATCAAATATTTATTTAAAACTAAAAAGTAAGCAAAAACATTATATTAAATTAAAATAATATGAAAATTATAAATTAATTTATTTATTTATTTATTTTTAATTTTACAAGTAGATTTCTTTCTAGCTACATAAAAAATACATCTCAAATAGCAATAGACAAAATATAATATTAATTAGATAAATAACTAATTAATTAACAAACTAATTCTTTGAGTATAATTTCTACTTTTTCCAAAAGTAATCAATTTCATTAATCAACAAATGAGTTAAGAAGGATAAAGCTTTATTCATCCTAGAAACCTTATTCGTTCCATTTTTTATTTATAAATTAGAATTCTTACTTTAAAGATTAAATTTAGTTTGATAATTTGATTTCATCGTTACTATTTCTGTAAATTCTGAAATTTTAGAAACAGAATTTTTCTTGATTTTAACTGTAAATAACAAATGCTCTATATTAATCTGACTAAGATTTTTCTTCTTCTGTTTTTGATTAATATGGAATGGAAACTGTAAATTAAGGAAGGTAACTTGGCTAAATCTAGTTTGAGATTATTTGTTCACTGAAGATCTTTTCGTTACCTTTTACTCTACCTGGCTTTAAAACTGCAAAAGCTGCATTTTAATGTTTGCTGAAGGCTTCCGAGTCTTTAATAAAAAGAAAATTAACTCAAATGCATAATAAAAATAATTAAAATGGGAAATTATTTACTTTTAGGGACACCTCCAAAAACAAAAATATCATTATTCCAGTATCCAATACTCATACCAATATATTAATTTAAGATAGAATCTTTATCAACACCCAAGTAAATTTCTTCACACTACTAAGTTTAGAAGTTATATCTTTCAAGAGTAAGCTAATCTTGTTGAACGCCAAATTCCTAAAATAAATATTTAGTTTAAATTGAATAAACTGTTTAATTTTTTTAGAAAATACCTTAATTCCTCCTGCAATATAAATGTAAGCATGATTAGGACACTTGCTATCAGAACAAGAAAAACTATTTTATTCTTTCTATGCAAAATACCCACAATTTTTTTAAGTGCATTTAACGGCAGGCTTGAAGACAGCACTAAATTTAGCTCTGGGACTAGTCATACTGCCAACTACTTAAAATTCTTTTATTTCAGTAATTTTTGAAGCAATATCACGTACTACTTCAGCAACTTCAATTGAGTCCAAGACTATTCCATTGCAAATACCACCAAATACAAATATTTTATCATTAGTAACAACAGTTTGATGGAATGCTCTAGGACTGTTCAACTACTAAGTAGGTTAAATTGAGAAATCTGAGTTATCCTTTTGTAGTAATTCAACTAAATAAGTATTTGAAAAATAAGGATAATAAAAAGGTATTTAAGTTTCTTAGGTATTTGGATTTTTTTATGACTAGATTTCTTTATATTTTTAGTGGATAGATTCTATTTCAGCAATCAACTAATTTTAGTCAAGAATACCTTCTTAATACTATCTCCAAGCTCTTTGCTATCTAGCTTAGAACTAAATTGGAAGTCCTTTTTCTTACTAAATGCCATACAAGAAATCTAAATCTTTCCAATATCCTCCTGAAATGAAAATTTAGTTTGTTCCACAACGAACCATATCATGACGGCATGTGTTAAAAAGAATATCTAAGCAATACTAAAATATTTTTAAAGTATTTTTACAATAATAAAAGAAATTTCTATGAATTAGAAGTTTACTTTTGTGGTTGCTAATTCCTATTTATCTTATTCTGTGAAAATTTATTGATTCTTTTCGTCAACAGTCATGACTTCTAAAGCTTGTACAAACTTATCGAAGCTCAAGCAAATTCTTCCTTATCCTTAATCTTTTTTAGCTTAATTAGTATCTCCTGTAAGATAAGCTAAACTAAAAGGAATGACAGGTAGAGTTATGAAACTTCCAATAGGTTCTTCAATATATTTAGGAATACTTGCATTATAAACATTTGGATTATAGTTTGGGTTTTCTTTAAATGCTTTAGTAGAGGTATTAAGGTATTTGGTAGAAAGCAATCCAATAGTAAATTTTTTGACACTAGGATTTCTATATTATCCAAACTAGTTAATTTGCAGCTAGTTTTAATTGCAAAATGGGCACAGCATTTCAGATCTTTATATCTTACGAATGCATTTATTGCAAACATCATCTACTTTTTCATAATATTTATCACATTCTTCGTTTTTGCAAGGGAAGAGCTTCATTCTTACGTAATGGTTGTCATTCTGGCAAATTTAACATATGTTATAATTTGTCTCTCCTTCTATTTAAGTATCCATTGCTTGCTATGTCTAACTTGAATTGATTGATTACTTTACAAAAACTCTTTAAAATATTGCTACTTTATTTAATAATTCAGAAGATTTCTTCTAATTTTATTTTCTGTGTAAAAATTTTATTACTTCTGATCTGCAATAAAAAATTTTATTTTTCTAAAGTAAATATATAATTTTTATGTCTAAAAATTAAATGCACAAACAATTACATAGTCTTTTATCAAAATTGTTCAAAAAGTTCTTTATGACTTGCATATTAAAATAGTTTTAAAATAATTAAATACTTCTTATTTGCTTTTTTTGTTCAACTTAAAGTATCTACTAACATTAATTTAATATTTTGAAAGTCATAGAAATAATTGAATTTTAGAGAGAAGGAATGTATCTTTGAATAGAGTAAGAGAGGATTAAAATAAATAAACTGTATCTGATAAACTCAAAATATTTATCTAAATTTAAAAAAATCATTGTAAAATAATTAGAAATTTAAACATTTTGATGATTTTGGATAAATTAAAATATACCATTAAAATCATTTAAACATATTATAATTAAAAAGCAATAAAAATCAATAAGATTTGATAAAATATTTTTAATTGAATAATTCAATAAAATTTAAGAAAAAAACAGATTTTATTTTAAACTCAATATTTTTATAAAAAAATGGAAAATAAAGCAAATTTTATATGTTAAATAGTCATTCTAATCAATTAACATTAAATTATTATTAAATTTTTAAGATTTCTATTAAATCAAAAAAATTAACTTTCAGATAAATTCAAAAAATAGAAAAATTTAAATGATTTTTTGTGAGTAAAAAAATAGGATGAGTGAATATATTTTTTCTAAAAATAGATCTATTAATAATTATTTCTAAAAGATATATCAAGATTAAAACATAATAATATATATATATTTTTTAGGTAAATTATACAGTTACATTTAATTACTTAATCTAATTGATATTACTTTAAGATATAGCTTTTTTAGTCTCATGCTGAAGATATAAAATTAAAAATGTAAAACAGAATAGAGAATAAATTTATTTTTTTTATTATATATAAAATAGTTTCAAAATTTATTTTATCGATTAATCAAATCAGTTAATCTTCAGTAATTAGACAGATAAAACAATATTCTTAAAGTAGTCCTTTTGAGAAATAAATTAATCTTTTATAATATGTATAAAAGTTTTAGGGACAGATAGCATAGCTTATAGCATATAAATTTTCATGATATCAATTTTATGCTTTGAAAATTTAAATTCTAAAATGTTGGCTCAATTTTTAACTTTTTTTGAAGGTTAGTCTTCGAAAGAATCGTCTTCTTATGCATCACTTATTTCAGAATTTTCATCATCTGATTAAATAACTCTTCTCTTTCCATTTATTTTGTTATTAGGTACTACGATTTACTAATTCTATTAAAAATAATATTTAGATATAAATTTAACTTTTTTAAAAATTTTAAAAAATTTATAGATATATTAATTAATAGTTAGTTTGTTACCTTAACTATATTTTATTAGTTATTTTATTATATAGCAACTTATGTATTGTTATTAATGTTATTATTTTAAATTGATGCATCTACTTCTTCATCTTCTAGCTCATCGATTTCTTCTTCACTTGACTCTTCAAGCAAACCATCCTATTTAGATAAATAAGTCATTTAATATGAAATAAATAAATTTTATTTTTAATTATAAAATAATTTTAGCAAAATTTCTATTTAAATTAATTATTTAAGTTTACTTTTTTAACAGGGATATCTTGATAGAGTGGACCTTAGGGTCTATTTTTTCTGCGACGACCTTCTCCAGGAACTTTTATGCCAGGATGCTTTGATGCATACTCCTTCATTCTTTCTATATAGTCAAGCTTAGCTTTTTCGGCATCTCTTAAGAATGGCTATTTTATTTTATTAATTAAAATTTAGATATGATAAATTTGAATAAATGTGAAGGGGGAGTTTTTTTAAAATATAATCTTGGGCTTATTTCTAATTTTGAGAAGATTTGTAAAAATAAATTCAAATAAATAGATAGATAGAATAATTCTGTCAAAAATTAATTTTAAAATTTTTAATTTGTTTTGGGATTATGAAAAAATGATGAAGATGTAATTTATCAAATAGAGCTTTAGTAAAGCTTAGAATGAAAATGAGCATCGTATATAATATGAGAGGTGGCGTTTAAAAATTAGAAACTTGACGATTTAATCGAAATTAGGAAAAATGATAGAAAAATAACTAACTATTCTGAAGAAATAGAAATAAGGTAGAATGATGAGGTGGAAATTATGCAGCTGGGGTGGGGAAATAGTCAGAAGGAATGTTGCAGAGACGAAATAATAGAATCTGCCTGGGGAGGAAATAATTAATTAATCAATGCATCTAAAGAAATTTAGAACAAGATTGAAGCAAAAAAATTAATCAATCTTGCTGTTCCTTAGATTAATTAATTTCAGGAAGAGCAGCTGCTAATTAACTAACTAATTGAGGGTTGAAAGATAGAAGAATAATCTAAATTATTCAATAAATCTAGCTTGCTTTCTTTTTAAATATAATTTCAATTGAGCACAAAAAGTAAAGTGCTTTTCTTTGTAAATTATATTTGTCCTCCATGTTACATACTCCAGTATAACGACCTCTCTTTATCCTTGCTGATGCAGCAGCAGCGAACCCATGTAAAGATATTATAAATAAACAAAATCTCGCGCAAAATATTTAAATTAATTAAACGGCTATATTTTTTTTTGTTTGTTTGTCTACCCCAGCTTTTAATAAATTATCAATCAATATTATGAAATTTGCTAATATATCTTTTTTATTTGTATTTATCTCTCTTTTTCAATCAATTGAATTTATTAATTAAATCTATCACACATATATAACTTTCACTCCCTCTCTCTCTATATATTTGCTAAACTAATCATGTAGTTTTCTATTATAAATTTTAAATTAATAAAAATTTTAAAAGCGTTCTAGCTTATGTTGCATTCTATTTCGTAGCTATTTCGTAGCAGTAAAGAATTATCTATTTTTATTCAATCTTCTCTTTAGTCATTACACTGTTTTAGCATCATTTTCAAAATTTACTTTCGATGTATGAAAGTACTCAAAAAGTAGAAAATAAAATGAATTGTTTACGATTTATTTTTCCCTAGATAGCTCACTCCACTCTTTCGCAATGAGTTTTGTGATTTCTGTAATACCGAAGTTTGGATATTGCTACAAGAATTTTTCTTTACGATTTTTAAAGTACAAAATGTAAGCTGTTGAGGGTTTTTTAGGCATATCTGGATCTTTGATTTCACTATTTTTAGGAACGCCACTCTTATTTCCAGTTTTTTTCTTCAATGGAACCTATTCTAAATATTTTAAAAGTAAATATAAACATCGTGAGATGCTAAAGGAAATGTATGTGTGTCTTAATTTTCATTTTTTAATAAATCTTTGCCAATTTTTACAATTTTGGCTATATTTAAAATTTTAAACCTAGATGCTATAAAGTGAATTTTAGGAGTTTAGAGATATGAAAGACAAAAACAAAAATGATAAAATACTTACGAGAATACGCGTCACATAATTCATGCATTTCCTTAAAAAAGACAGAGCACTTCTATGCTATGATCATCATCTAATTTCATAATTTATATTTTTTATGTCTCTTAAATCTCATAATTTGAAAATCTATATATAAGTTATCTATATTTACAAATTCCTCTGAAGTCATTGTTTAACTCATTCTTTGTAAAGATTGATTCTCTTTTGTCTTCCTTTTATTTTTTATTTTTTTTACTTTGTAAAACCTTTGTATTTTAATTTATCACTTCTTTTTTACTTTTATTTATTTATTTTACTATGAGCAACTCTTGTATATGTAGTTTGTACCTCTCTTAATCTCTAACTTTCTCGCACTTACTACTAATTAATTCAATCAATCAAATACACACTCTCTATATCTCTCTCACAATAGTTCGTTCAATCAACCAGTCAGCTAAACCATCAATCAAATAATCAGACAACCTATATTTCATCTCATTTCTTAGCTCAAAGCTTCATCTTCTAAGAATTATTTGATTTTCACAGTCTTAAAATTTATCTGTATTTAAGATTTACACTTATTACTTTAATGTAAAAAACAATTGATTGATCTCTAGATAAGTTGTTTGTTTGCTCATCAGTAGACTGAAGCATAAATTCATATTTAATAATACACATTCAATTTAACTCTTTTCTCATTTTGGTTTAAGTTTTTCTTATTAATTACTGCCTTATCTCTCTATCAATACATATATATTTATTTGCCCCCTCAAGCAGCTATTTCATTATTTGCCTAATTAATTAAATTACCAACTCACACCTTTTGATTTATTCTTCACAAATTATTTTAGAGCTCAAAATTTCTCCCAAAAATTAATCATTTTTATTTGCTTGATAAATAGTTCACACCTGATATAAAATTTTCTGAAGTGGACTTAGCAGGATAAGCCTTATTTTGAGCATTTTTATCAAAACTTCCTACCCCGCCCTCCTATTATTTTCTCTAATCTGTTCTATTTGATTTACTTGCAATTTTTCATGTATTCTTTCATATATTTCAATAACATATTCAAATACATTCTTACAATTTTAATTTTTTTTTTTATTAAAATAATTTTTTTAATCAAAGAGAATTTTTTTATAAATAAATAATAATAAACCAAAATGAAATATAAAATGTAATTTGAATTAAATTTTTAATTAAAATCTAATGCACAAATATATTTAAAAATTACAAAATATAAATCTATTAATAGTTTTGAGATAATTTTAGACATCAAAAATAAATCATATCAAAAGTCTCTAATTCAAAAAATCAGATTAGACCTGCTATTAATTATTAACGTTCTTAATTAATTAATTAGTTAATAATCAAAGCTTGCATTTTTTATAAATTTTTTATCAAATTGTGCTAAGTGTAATTGTAAAAATCTATGGCTAATATGTCATGTTATCTGATGAATCATCTGAAGTTATTGCTAAGAAGATATCATATTTCGTCTATGAAGCTAAGCCAGTTATGTTAAATGATATCTGCTTATTTGTAATAGAATTATACTGAGAAACATAATTTGCTAGTGCTGTCTAATTATTGCAATTAAGGTTTTGTCTTATCTATAAGTAATCAGGTGGGAAATTTCCTGCTTTATCAATCATAATCCATACATAGCCGTTGTTATTTAAATATATATTCTATACCGATATCCATTGTTTACTTTCAATAGATTTTATGCTGCTTGTATTTATCAAAGCTTAAGCTATAGTAACTGTACTTGCTTAAAAATCTATTAGCTGTTAGAAGAACCTATTGTTTTAAATTAGTTTCGTGTACCATGAAATAATTGTAGACTTTTAATTTATTAATTAGTTATAAATTTGACTATTATAACTGTTGTAAGCATCTCCTTTATTATATGAGAAATACCTATATAATATTTTACAATTAGATTTCAGTTAAATTATCAATTAATAAAGAGAAATATTTCATTTTTATTGCATCAAAAATAAATGTTTGAAATGAAATAAAAATCTTTTAAGATCTATTTTGAAATAAAAAATAATAATAATAATACAGTGTTATGTATTATGGATTTGGATTATCTAGAGCCTGTATCTATATCTAACCTGTTTGGGTTTTGACATTAACTATATTAGAAGGAGAGTCACATCTTACTCCTGTGGTACTCGTCAAATAAAGTTAATTGATTGCAAAATATTAGGACATTTTACAAGCAAAATCTATCTATTGTGCTATTGAAACGGTGCTTTAGAATCTAAAAATAGTTTTTAAAAGCTGACCACTATTACTTGAAGTTGTAAAATTGCCTACATTTTAACCTAAAAATTATCCTTAGTTGTTTAAAGGAAATACTTTAATAAGATATTAAGTATTTTCATAGAGATTATTAATGTAATAATCTTGAAGTCCACTGTTTCCTTAATAAGTCCAAAAACCGTATTAACTTTATCTCTAAAGATTTATTTTATAAAAAAATCAATATTTTGTTTAATAATTAAAAAATAATTTACTTAATTTAACTGGTTAAAATCTTCAACAATACCAGATTAAAGATTTTAAATAATACTTTTAAGACTTATGGAATTAAATTATGTGAAATTGGAAGAAATAGCATAATAAAGTGTAAGCGATTGAGAACTTAGAACTTGAATTATCTGATTAACTGGTGAAAGAGTGGTTGGATTTATAAATATTTGTAAATCATTAATTAAATCTGCTGAAGAAGTTCCTACCCCTTATTATTCAGCTTAAACAACCTCAAATGTCAGAATATTATCAACTAAGAAAAAAGAGTTAGCATTTTCTCCCTATAAATTTATTTGAACCACTCCCAAGGAGCCTACCTAGGAAATAGATGAATCACTACTTAGCTATAGATAAGAGGAAGGAAAATTAGCAGTTAAATTCATTATACCACCTCTATAAATCGATACTCCATTTTAAGGAAGATTGACCACAGTGGAACTAAAAATAAGGTTGGATGATGGCAAAAATTTGTCTAGGGAAACAACCAAGGGTAAAGAAAATCCTCCAACAGGTATTTAGAAATGAGTAAATGGAAGTTTGATACTAAACAAGCTCTAAATAGATTGTTTATCTTATTAATTAATTATGTTTATAGTCACTGGAGGGACATCTTTGATAGTTTGAGTAGATGTAGTGCTAAACTAGCTGATGAATAAGTTAAATTATCCAACTATTGTTGAGTTTGTGATCTTCATTCTAAATGTTGTTTAATATTCGCCAATTGGAATAGAAGGTGTAGAAGGAATAAATGAAACAAAAGGAAGGAAGTTATTGTTAAATTCAACTAAGCTTTAAGATCTAACATTTTAGTTTATAAAAATAGTTATCTCTTCTGAGATGACTCCATAAACCAAGTCAATACGCGTTGTTGATATATTAAAAGTATTCAGAGTAGTATCAGAAGTCAACGTTATATTTCTAGCAGCTGATTAGCTTTCGCCACTTAACATCACTAATTGATTATTGCTATCATCAAATACAAGAATATTTAATTTTTCTGAATTGCATCTTGATGCTTAAAAAGGATTTTTCAAACCCTATTAATAAATAAAAAAAATGATTAAAAATTGAATTAAAAATTTATTTATTTTTATGATAACTTAAATTTTTTACTTTGAGTTGAAGAGTGTATATAATTCCAGAGCTTAAAACAAAATCATTTGATATTTCAGATGTTATGCTGATTCTATTAGATTAAGCTATACAATCCAAAGTTACATCTGCCAAATTAGGAGCACTTAAAATACAGGAATCGGGTTAGTAATAATTTAGAGTATTTACAAAAGAATTAGGAAATTCTAAAATCATCTTTGTCTTTTATGGTGTATTTTAGGGGAACATAAATGTGAAATTATAAAAATCGGAAGTCAAATAAGTTTAATTTTGAGTGGAGGTCGAATTTAAAAATCTAACTTTACTGAGAGTATTCTTTGAGACAGCTATATCATATTCATTATAATAAGAAATCGTGGAATTACTACCTCCATCTATTACTAATAGTTCAAACATTTCAGTTGGATTACCACTATTATCCAAGATTAAAGGAGAAGATGGCTCCTGTAACCCTATAATATCTATAATTATTTAATTTGGTAGGGAGTCTTAAGCTAAAGATTAAATTTATATAATTCTCTGCTGTTAAACTATGCAAGGTATGTAAACTTTGTTTTGGTAGCAACTTAAATGATCTCTATTACCCAAACCTGATATATATCTAGAAGGAAAACTTAATTATAACATTGTATTCTATTTCCAAGTTATTTAATTTTAGTTCGTGTTAAATGACAATTACAGCTAACCGGTTAAGCCTGGGTAAGAATACAGCTTTTTTAGTTTCATATCTCCATTAGGTCCATTAGGAGAGATATTTATGAGTTGGTAATTTAATTGCAAACTCTAAATTGGAGCACTAAATTGCAAAACAACAATCTTAGAGCCAGGTTCTACTGTTGAGCATGTAAATTATGTATTTGGAAGTTAATTTTGAAGGTATATTTAGTTCGCATTTAAGTTTCCGATTTAAATAAAATAAGAGTATGACTAAGAAACTGGGTAAAGTGTTATATCTAAATTTCTTATAACCAACAAATTAAAATTATTAAAATAACATTGAGAAACAAAATTTTGTTTATTATTTGTGTAATCAAATAATTCACAATCTATACTAGTTGGAGAAGCTATTTTAAATAAAAATTTCATAAATAAATAGAAGTTACATTAAAAAATATTAATAAAATTAAATTTTATTTTAAATTAATTTTCTTAAAAAAGAAAAAATTATATTTATTCAAAATTTTAAATTATTTACATTTTAAAAGAGATGTAAAATCACATTAAAGGTTTTCAAAATCATCCCAATCTTTTTGTACAAAGTTAAGTTAGAAGGATATTTAATAGTTATCTTATCTTATTTGCTTTATGTTGATTTCATCAAGTGTTATTTGAGAGTTGCTATCTCCATATTATCTCTATCTTTAATAAAGGAGCTTTCTTCCTCTGTCTGATTTTAATATCAAGACATAGCCAGAAGTATAAAATTTAGCTACAAGTGTTTTTGTGTATTCTACTTAGTTTGAAGAATTTAAAGGTTCTTACAGGACCTATATTGAAACAACCAAAATTTCAATATTTCCTTGAGGAATATAGTCAGAATTTTAGAAAACACAAGTAATTGCTGTTGGTGTAATTGTTAATGTAGAAAATATGTATACATTTTCATTAATTATGCATCCATTTTTTACAATCACTGGAGCAAAATTTAGTGTGCTTTCGCTGTCTGTACACTATGCTACAAAAATGAAATTTGGTGGCAATAAATTAGTAGTTTATACACTAAAATTAATTTCCATACCCTTTTGCAATTCTATTATCTACTTTGGACTGATACTTAAAAAAGTAAATTAACCAGGATTCAATCTATTTCTGCTGTTTAAGAAAGAAAATGATCTTAAATTTCCACTTGAATCAGAAATTGATACTGATGAACGTGGTAACTATATTCCATAAACATAAGGAATCTAAATATTTAGCATAGAGATGTATGTATTTTAAAAGTTAGGAGTTGTTTTATTAGGCATAATAAGTGGACATAGCAAACCAAAGTAATTTAATCCTGTTATTACATAGCTAAACTGAGAACATGTAAGATCTATATCGTCTTAAACAGTAGCTAAAAACGACGAAACTTATTAAGAGGGGATAAAATTATTAGTAAAATTCCATAACGTATTGTAGATAATATACTTAGGATTAGAAAGATTTGGAATAGGATCAGTAGATTAATATGAAAAATTAATCTAAAATTTATTTAATATTTGACCTATATTTGTGGATTAAAGATTATAATTAACATTATTATAATTGTTATACTTTATAGAGTTGTCTGAAGAAGCATCTCTAAAATTGAATGTAATTTTTTAGTTAATTTGTCTATAATACGGGGAAGGTTTTTTCAAACTTAGAGCTTTCACTCCTTGCGATAAAGCTAAGAACATATTAATAAATTTAATGCTTTTAATTGGTGTAAATGGAATCAATATGTACTAGTTATTATATTAAACCATTGTATTCACATCTTAGAACTATATTTGAATGCGATTCAAAGTTATAAAATTGTAATTTTATGGATTATAATAAACAGTAGTAGGGATATAATAGCATGATATTCCTGCTCCAATACAAGAGATTCTATTCATTTCATAAGGATCTGTTATATTTGCTATCTATGAATTGCTGTATAAAGGAAGAACTTGCATGTTGTCAAAAAATATTTCTACTCTTAAAGGATAGTCGAAATTCGATGACATCATTGGATCTTAAGCATTTAAATTGGTATTTATTTTAAGAAAGCTAATTGTATTATACCCATCTATATTCATAGCAGGGTTAGGTCCTAAATAATTTATTATTTCTGCCATTACATTGACATTAGCAACAATTACTTCAGAGTAAACGTAAGTATTTACAAGATAACTTTAAACTAAATAAGATGAGTCCTATGAATTTGCTTACAAATTAGTTGAAAAAGTTTAGACATAGAAATCAAATACTTCTTATCCTCCCATCTACCCAAAGTTCATTATTTATAAATTACTTACAAAAAACACTACTGATTACTATTAGACTGACTAAGGTTAAAAAGGATCTTTGGTTCCAATAAATCTAAAAGTAGTCATATCGGATTAAGCACTTACTATGCAACTAGAAAATGATGAATTTGGTCTTGATAAACAAGTCTATTGTTATCCATTACCTTAAATCATAGGGGTTGTATAAATCACATATCCTTTATTTACTTGATTATCTTGCAAAACAGCCTATTTAGTCATATTTTATAAATGTTAAAAATTATATGATAATAAAAATCAATTTTATTTTTTAATCGAAATCCAACTTATAAATTTATTGAAAGTAAAATTTTATCAAAATTAACAAAGAAAGAAATATTTGAATAATATGAAATTAATTATTGCATTTATCTAAATAGTTTGAGAATAATTATCTTTCAAAAAAAGAAATTATTTTTAAATTTCAAAATTGATTCAATGAATTTAATATATTATTTTTTAAATAATTATCTAACTTACTGTTCCATCGTCCAAAATCATAAATCCGATAACTTAAGTAGTTATACTGTATGGGTTAGTTTAGAGTTGTTTAAGATAGCCAAGACCATCAGTGTATTAAGGCATAGTTTAAGAATCAAAGGAGGCTGCAAAAGTATTAGTAGATGTAATTTTTGGTATATTTTTTTATATTTAGCCTAATTAAATTCCTGCATTTTTTATAATGTAAGAACCTGAAGAGCTTTGAATCATAGCAAAGTTTAGAAAGCTACTAGGAACAACATTAATACTATAACTGTAATTTATCAATAATTTAAAACTTATTTGATAAACAGTTTGAGATTGCAAAGAACCAACCCCTGTACATATGATCTAAGATCCAATACTTTAGCAATTTGTTTGGATGCTTGGATTGTAATTTGGTAAATTCTCATAAATAGAGCCTTATAAAACTGAGAAATATTTAGTTCCTAACTCTATCACAATTTAAGATAACGTATCAGGAGTATTAATTTGTGTTTGAAATTTCAGAGTAAGGGTATTATAAACATTGTAATCAGGTAGTGAGCTTTGAAAAAATAATTTATTTATAATTATAATAATGGTTTCTATGAAAAAAATTACCTATAAAGCTGAAAAACGCTTGATGGCCTTTGACCGAATGATAAAAATAAATCATACTAAGTTAAGGTGACTGTCTAAGTTTAATATAAGTTAATAGTTCCACTGTCAAGGACCAAATTTGAGTAAACTTCCATTTAATAAACTATCAAAGCTAGACTATCTTAAGCCATACTGTTTAAAATATCAAACTAAAATACAAAAATTCTTTAGCTCATTAATGGCTATCCATAATACACAATTTCAAGAGAGGTTGAAGTGATATTACAAGTAAAAGAACTTGGCTGCATTACAACTACGTTGCTTTAACTAGAATCGTCTATTGAATTGCAAACAGATTTAGCAGCAAATGAAAATTAAGGTGATGATAAGTTGATCAAAAATCTGCCTTATGCCTCAACTATGTGCTATTTGATTGTTAATCTTACTCCTATTTTTACAAATTAAAATATCACTGATAGTTAATTTTGAGTATAAATTTTTATTTATTGAATTGCCTATTTTTTTAACAAAAACGTATTTTAATTTGATAAAATATTTATTCTTATTTAATGTTGTTGGCAACATAAATAAGCTATCGAATTGAATTCATTTATTTATCTTAACTAAAATTCTAAAATTATTGTTATTAACATTATTACTATTTGTTTAAAGAACCTAAGTGTTAAAGAATTGGCCAGTTAAAGGTAGAATCAAAGTGTTTGTTACATTTGGTTGTATATAAATAGATATTAACTCTAAGTTTTAATCATACAAAACAGAAGTAGTTTCAGACATTCCTGAATATGTTGACATACCAATTTTAATTACTAAATCTGTTATTGAGCTAGGGATAACAGTACCTGTTTAAACTTAAATTTGATACCAAGTTGTATTGCTCATAAACTAAGAAGGATCTGCGAAGGCTAATGAATATTCAAAAATTTAGCCTATATAATCTACTTGCACAGCATTTAGCTTGTTTGGCAGATAATTAAAAACGCAGGTTGTCTCACTAATTTCATACCAACTAATTTAAGGATATTGCCTTAAGTCACCAATAGAAAAAGGTACTCTTAGTTTTATAATATCTGTACTAATAAGAGAATGATCAAGCTAAAATACTATTGTAAACTGATTAAATAAATCACGATTACCATAATTTTGAAACGTTTACCATGATTTAATTTGGCCAACGCAATACACTTACCTCCATATTATTGCTATTAACACTAGAATAGTTTTTCTTATATAATTAAATATCATTTTTCTAGTTTTATAATTTTATAAAAAGCTTAAAATCTATTTTTTATAGCTCTAAATATTTTTTGTCAATCAATCAATAAACAAATTTTTAATTAATTTTTTTCATGCACAAAGGAAAATAATGAATGATTGAATCAATCAATAAAGAATAGTAAGTTTTTTTAAATATATTTGAATTAAATATTTCTAATATAAGAAAACAAATAAATCATGAATAATGCAACTTGGATTTTTTAAAGATTTCTATTTATTTACAAATCTTTTTTCTTAAAATATTTTGTTGTTAAATTAACTTTATCAACTAATTCATAATTAATTATTTAATTTAAAAAATCTATTTACTTAAGTATAATTTAAAAATTTAACTCTTTTATTTTTTTTACATGATAAGTATAATTTTACTATGTTAAATAGAAAAATATTTTTTCTTAAAAAATTAGTTTTAAAGAAAATATTGATCTAAATATTAAATATAAAATAAATTCATGTACAAGTATATTAGATAAGTATAAATGAATTAATTAAAGTGGAGATAATAGTAATTAATTCTTACATTTTATATTGGGTTGCTATTAGAATTCTTAAATGCTTGCAAAGATTAGGAATAAGTATAATACTAAATGAGTATCTATCTATCTATTAATATATCTAAATATTTTTATGTAAATTATTTGATCAATTATCATAATTAACAAATAAATTGACTGGTATTTATTCAATTAAAAAAAGTAATAATATTTAGTTAGTAAAAAGATTTATTTTTAGCTAGTAAATAAAACTAATAATTACTTTATTAGATATATGGCGAACGCTTAGCACTTCTAAGTAAACAAAATATAAATATCACAAATATACATCATCTTTTATTTACTCTTTATTTGATATTTCAAAAATTAAAAATAGGAATTGATTTAGATTCTATAATAAGATGGAACGAAGAGGTCTGTTTCAGAGCTTCAAAAAATGATTGAAATATGCAACAAACATCTTGATTTTTTCTAAAAGTATAATTTAAATGCTTTGCTAGAAGAAGATTAAATCTTAGACTTCTACAGAAACCTTTCTTTATTTAAATTCAAGGTGCCAAAAAAATAAACTTAAAAGCCAAGTAAATATATTTATATATTAAAAACAAAGTTAATAATTGTATTTTAAACTGTAGAATAGCTTTAAGGATAGGGATTGCTTTTTTTGCTAGAAGGAGAGTTGAGTAGATACATAGTTAATATCAGAAATGAAAACTAGTAAGAAAATGAAAAAAATGTAAACAGTGAGCCACTGTACTCACTACAAACTTTTTCTCCTGGAGAAGAAATAGGGTAGATAATGGATTTCTTTAAAAAATCTTAGGCTTTTAGAATTGAGATTTCTTGTGTTAGAGATTGCTTATTTATGCAATTAAATTAAGGTTACTTTTAATAGTATCTAGAATAATAATTGAAATAGTTTAACTAAAGCTAAGTATATTTTTTAAGAGATATTACTTATTTCTCTCATCTGACTCGTGATGAGATTATGTTGATCTATATGACCAGCAAGTATCAATAAAATCTAAAAGGGGATTTAGTTCATAATCCATAAAAATAAAAATCGACCTAACCAGGCACTATTAAGATCATATTAGAAGGAGAGTTTTTGGTATTTAAATTTATTTTAATTATTAATAAATTATTATTATTATTATTATCTTATTTATTGTCAGGCTAGGTGTCAAGTATCACTCTAATCTATTGATTATTTGAATTCTTAAAAGACAGATTTATCATCACTTTAAAAAATTGTTTAGAAAAAAAATGTCTACAACTCATTATTTTTACAATCTCCTTTTGATTTTTTTGGATTAGAATATTATAATCTTAATTAAAGTGAAAATATTTCTCAAGACAGCTACAATTATGAAATTATCTGCCATTCTTAATTTGCAAAAATTCTTTGTATTTGGCCAAGTATAATTTAAATAATTAATAACAGCCATTTTGAAAAATAAATGATTTAACTTAAATAAAATTAAATGAATCTTATAAAAACTAAACTTTCCAAGATTTTGGATTTACAAAACTCTATTACTAAAAACAAAAAGAGGTAGAGTAAAATTGAATAAAAATCATTAAGCTCGCTTGAAGTTCCAACTGATATTTTAGGTAATTCTCCTCAAAAAAGTTAGAATAACACAATGTTAAAAAATTAGACAAGTGCACCTTCACAAATTGTCTTGCCAGCCGTTTTTTAAGATGAAATAATGCTTAATGCTTTAAGTTCAATAAAATCTATAAAAGATCTATCTCATAATAATAATTATATTTAAGCAAAAAGACAAAGTCAGAATAAAGACTCTAACGAAATTTTGAAAAACTCAAATACTATCGATGTAGTATCAGCATTTAAGTAAAATAGAAAAAATAGTTTGATTTATGAAACTGAAAGTAGAAAGTTAAATGAACAAAAATAGAATTTACAACTTAAAAATAAGCATAAGAATGAATTAAATTAAAAGAGTGTTGATTACATTTCATATGACTAAATAAACAAATAGATAGAAAATTTATTCAATTCGGAAAAGCAATCTGAATAAATAAATTTTATTAGAAACCAAAAAAATCAGAATAATAATAATGAAAATTAATTGGAAGATAGATAAAATTCATTAAGTTTAAACAAAAGAAATTCATAAAGTTACAGAAAGAATACTCACTTTTTTATACATCATTTAAAGAAAACGATTGATAGTGGTAATGTAATTCCTCATCAAAAACAAAACTTATCAATCAATGATTTAAATTAAGCCAACCATGAGGATTAATTTGTAAACAAAAATATATCATTTTAATATTTACTTCCTCATGTGGATTCAATTTAAAACTTAACTGAATTGTCAAATAATAAATCAAGAGACGAACTGAAAGCAAAAAAGAAAAAGAGTATCTATTAGTATGAAAATTAAAATACATTTTTACCTAAATTAAATGAACTCAAATAATCATAAAATTATTATCATGCAAATAATTCAAGCAAAAAAGAAATTTCTAAGCTTTACTTACAAAACTTAGATCTCTCATCTCTTAATGAAGACTCTTAATCGTATAATATAAAGTAAGATAAACTAAATAATAGCATTATTCATTAAAATGATTAGATAGTTAAAGCTTTGAGAAAAAAAATAGAAGAAGAAAGTAGTCTAACTCAAAGAAAGAAAGTTGCTTCATGTCATGAAAACTCTTAAAGCTTACTTTAAAAGCAATTTTAAAATAAGATCTACACTAGAAAAAAAATAATTAGACCTAATTAGGAGGACTAAAGCACAGATAAAAAACTTTCGGTAGACAAATCAAGTAGAAGAGAGCTCTCTGTGTAAGAAAATAAAGCAAAAAAGAAGGAATAATAAGATAATAAAAGATTTTATTTATAAATTGATTAAAGTTTAAGATAAAAAATAGAATTCGATACAATAAAAAATACTTTACTTAAACACACTAATAACTAATCTTATACAGAAATAGTCTCTTCAAAATTAGAATCTCAAAAAGAAAGATCACCTTAGCAAAGCTTACAAAAATCAGAAAAAAAGAATAGTTTAAGCAAAAATTTAAATAAATTAATAGATTAAATTCACAATTCTTAAAACTAAAAAAAGATTACAGTGAACTAAAGTTAAAAATATTATGATGGAATTTAAAATAATTCAATTGTTTTAAGTAAATAGATTGATTTAAATCTAACATCTATATGAATTTTTTAATGTAATCCATAAAATATGCATCCAGTGAAAAAAAAATTTTAATTTCTTCAAAATTATAGTATTAAAATATTTTTAAATAGAAAAAATGAATTTATTAATTGATATAAATCATTTAAATATACATGTGATTAAAATTATAGAATTATTATTTATAAACAATTAAGTATTTGAAATATTTTAGATTTTTTTTATATTAAATGATACATTTTTTGTAGTTAGATTAAAATATTTATTATTACCAGTAAATTCAAGTTAATTTTATTGAAATGATTCAAACAAACTTATTTTAAGTTTATTTATTAATTTGGTTGGTTAGTTAGTTTATTTCCTTGGTTTGGTTTATTGGTTAGTTATTTAGTTGATTTGTTTGTTGGATTGGTTAGTTAGCTATTTATTTATTTGTTTGTTTGTTTATTTATTTTGTTTTTTTGCTTTATAGATATTCAGTAGATTTGTTAGTTTTGTATTTGTGTAATTTAAGGTAATTTATCTTATTTTTTCAAAATATTTTACATTCGTCTTGACTATTTTACTATCTGTTTAAAATCTATTTATAATTTTTCATAAATTTTTTGATATGATAAAAAATAAAAAATTTACTTTTGGAACAGAATTCTATCTTGTCTGATTATTTAATTTTAAGAGAGGTTTTTTAATCTGGCTACTTTTAACCTTTATATTAGCTGTATCTTTTTATCTTTTATTATTTTATTAGCCTATATTGTCTAAATTTAATTCACTAGGAATCTAACTAAATCTTCTAGAAACATAGCATTCTTTAATGCTTGAGCTCATAAGAATAGGACTAGCTAAATTTTCTTAGGAGACCAACTCATTAATTTAATCCAATACTATTATTGATATTGTTCTATTAGAATTGTATTCTGTTTTAGTTTTAGGATTGTATTCAATCAAAAAGGTTGAAGCTATTGACATTTCATTATTTTTTTACAACTGATTTCTAATAAATTCTTGATGTAATTTTTTTTCGATTTGGGATTTATCTAAATTTTTTTTTTTTAACTCATCTTCAAGTGAATAATAAATGTTAATGTCATTTTAAAATGAAGAAGAAGTGAGAAGTTAAGTTGCTTTTAGCTTTTTATCTAATCTCTCTTCAATTTAATTGTATTCGTTTCCAACGCTTTTATCTTCACATTCAAAAGACTCAGTAGAGTAAACATCACCCAAAATCTAGTCATACTCATTTGAAATTTTCCTTTATTTTTCTTTTGGAGTCGTATGGCTGTGGTTAGTAAAGCTTGAGAAGGAGTAATCGATTTCCTTTTAATAGCTTAATTACTTCTTCAGCTCAGACATACTAGCAGTCATATCTGTCAAATTAAACTCGAGGTCTATATGTTTAAGATCTGATTCATCTTAATATCCTTCATAGTCATAACAATCATTAAATAAAAAATTTTGATAGAACTTTGAATAGGAACTCTTTGAAGTTTCCTCCCCATTCTATTTATTTCTGAGCTTACTAGAAGATTTTTGTTCCAAAGTCTTAAGGATTGGGCTTAAATTACACTTAAAAATTAATAAGATTAATTAAATATTTTATTATTATTCAAAATAATTTCTTACTTATTTTTAAAAGTCTAACGTTTTTTGTCTTTATAATTCTAAAGATTTTTATCTTTTTAGCTCTGATGTATTTTATCTTTTTAACTCTATTGTTTTTAATTTTTCTTATTTAGGTTAGGTAACTTAAACACTAACTCTTAATGGAGAAGAAGAGGATTTGCTTTACATATGTGCGTTTGTTAGCTTATATTTCTAAAGGAGGCTGGACTTAAAATTATTATTGCTTTCATTTTATTAAGTTAAATTTGCAGATTTATTTTGGTTAGAAATACTAAGAGATTGCTTTGTATGGCTTTTTTGTCTTTTTATTGAACTCATTTATTATGTGTTAATCATTTACCTTGCAGACTAATAGACCTATGATTTTTTCAAAAACTGAGTCTCGTCTTATCTTTTTAAATCAATACTTTTTTTATTTTCATATCTCTTTGTGAGACATTAAATAGATTTTTATTTTTAACCCTAATTTATATTCGCATTATTGCCCTTTTGTTCAAAAGCAGTTTTAAAATCACACTCTATAGTAGTCCTACTTGTGTTATTTTTATGATCTATGATTATTTTTTTATCAGCACTTTTATCTTTTCTGAAGCTAGGAGAGTTCTTGAGGTCTGAGTTAATGTTGAGTTTGAAAGAGAATGAATTCTTTTTCATTTTAAGTAAAATTATAATTAAAATGCTTTTATTAATTATTGTAATAAGTAGCTATTAGTCAATCTATCTGACTTCTTCTAACTTTTTATTACCTCTACTTTTAGTTTATCAAATATTAAACAATCGCTTTATTTATTAATAAATTTTAATCATACAATTCTAGATATTAATTAACAAATTATAAAAATTTTCTAAAATTTAAACTGGCCATAAAAACAAAAGATAATCTACATCATGCAAAAATATGAATGGCGCCATTTTACTTCAAAAAAAATTTGAAAATTTTTAACAATTTTCAAAAAAGTTAGAAAATGCTACATTTTTATTCACCTATCACATGGAATTTAATTTATCAAATATTTATTACAATTAATTTTAAAGAATATTTGAATTTAAAAAGATAAAAATATTTTTAAACAGTAATAACTGTCTATATAAATAAGCTTAGGCTTCTTAAAATAATAATTCTATGTAAATGAATCTAATTTAAGTAAATTGGTTTATGTAACAAATAGAATAAATTAAACTTTAAGAATGATATTAAAAATATTAAATTAAGATAAAATAGACTTAAAATATTTGCTAAGCATAAAGTTGAATTAAAAATAAATTTAATTTCTAAATATATACCATTTAGAGTTTTCTTTAAAATAATAGCAAATAAGTTGATATTTTTTGGAATCAAATTTAGTTCGTTCTATTGAGTGCTTTATTTTAATTTAAATTTAAGATTGTAAAAATTTTACTTTCAAAAAATGGTTTTTTTATAGATTTGAATGATATTTAATATTTAAATTAATTTATTTTCATAAGAAAACTTTCAGCAAAACAAATAAACAATAAAAGTAATATTAATTCAATTAAAGTTAACCAGTCTCTTAAATTTCCTTTTTAGAAATTAATTAAAGTTTATTTGAAGTCTCTCTTTTTCTTCATATTTAAATTTCAGAGTATTTAAAGACTTTATTTTTTGTATTTCCATACATATTATCATCATATTTTCTTCAGTTAAGTTATTATAATAAAACCAGAGTCCCAATGAAAAAAGGTTAAATTTTAGAAGTTCTTGACAAAAAGATTGCGTAACTTCACTATCTATCTTATAACTCTAGAATTCTAGACTCAGATCTTGAATGTATTAATTTTTTGATAGTTCTTATCCAATTAAATTAAAATTATTGTCTTCTTCATTATATGTATCATTAAATTCTAAAGTAATTTATTTGGCTTTGCATTTTGATAATGCTGTGCATACTTCTTGTGAACCTCCTTCAAAGTAATCCTTACTAAATAGCATTTCAATTTTTTTTAAATGAGAACTATCAGAAATTCCTTTGCCTAAATTCATTATAGCAGTGTTAATAAAGCAATTTTTCCACGAAATTATAGTAAGTATTTCCAAATTTTTGCAAGAAGTAATTGCTTAGCCTAGCTCATGTAAATCGTCTTAAAAAATAACTTTCTTATCAAAATAAAAACTCAATTCAAAAATATTATCACATTATCCAACAAAGGCTTGTTTTAGAAAATGATTGGTGAACTCATTTTGGAGAAAATTAGTTGTTTTATAATCATTTTATATAAAATCTAAGAACATTTAACTAAGCATTGTAATATCCCATTCTATCTCTTAATAACTCTCAATTATGTCTAATGGATCAAATTTGAATTCTTAGCTAGAAATTAGTTTATAGAAAATATTCATTTTGATAATAAATTTATAACACACAAACTATTTTTAATATTTTTTATCTTTTTACTAAAAAAAAGAATTTAAAAAAAAAATAAATTATGAAAAACAAATTAGGATTTCTAGGATTTTTATTTTAGATGGATTAATTTTATTCACTAAATAGACTCTCTTAAAAAGTGACTCATATTTTATGAGATCATATAAAATTAAGCTAAAAATAGAACAATTGAAAATAAAATATAAAAATGCACCGACCGGGAATCGAACCCGGGTCAAAGCGATGGCAACGCTCTATTCTACCACTAAACCATCGGTGCTTGCAGTGACAATAATAATTCTAAGTCCATGAAATTAAAAAATTAAAAATTTATATTATAGATAAAATAATATTAATTTAATAAAAATAATAAATATTAAAAACATCAAATATAAACTTTTATTTAATTAGAAATTTTTGTCTAAAAATCATCTATTATTATCTCATTAATGTATATCACCAATAATAATTAGTTAATATAACTTGCTTACTTACTTACTTACTTATTTACTTACTTCTCCATTATGTTAAATACCTTCTTAAATGTATTATTAAAATTTATCATCCCATATAAAATTTTAACAAAGTTTCTAAAACAAATTTATTTGACTAATAAAAAAAGGATGCTAAAAAAATGAGTATAAATTAGGATTTATATTATATCTGATTCACTCTCTTCCCTCTATTATAAAAAAAATAAACTATTTATTTAAAATTTCAAAAAGTGATATTCGGTCTGACCATAGTAATAATAATAAAATGATAGATTTCATATTTTATATGTATATAAATTAATTAATAATTAAATAAGAAAAGGAAAAAGAACATAAAATTAATTATCATCGAATTTATATATTATTTTTTAATTTCAATAAAATAAAACTAAAATAAATTATTTAAAATTAAAAAGTAAACAAATAAACACATAAAAATAAAATGGCATAAAAATTTTAGCAAGTAGCTTCTTAGCTACAGAAAAAATATGCCACAAATAGCAATATACATAATCTTGAATTTAATTATGTTTATTTCTGAATATAATTTAAATCATTGCTAATAAATAGCGATGATTATTTTTTATTATTGCAAGGTGTTTTATTTTTTATCAGCAAACAAATGTTTCGTCATAATCTTTTTTGAAGATAGAAGAAACTATTCTTTAATCAACTTCATTTTATTATTTACTTTCATAAAACTTTTTAAAAAAGCTATTTATATGCTATTCTTATAATTCTTAAGAGTGTAATAAGCTAAATTGTTTTTCAAAGTAGCTGAGGTTAGTGCTCTTATCTTATAATTTAAAACATAAATATAGTTTTATTTTTTAATTCTAAAATAAAATTTACATTTTTATATAAAATCTGTTTTTTATTAATTTAAGTTCAGATAATTTTCAGTAAGGCCAATACATTAAATAGCTGCCAATTAGTCCTGACTGAGCAGCATAGTAATTGCTTTTTTCAAAAAAAAAATATCTTTAAAAAGTTCGAAAATATCTAATGTTAAGTGGACTTCGCTAAATATTTTCTTAATTAGTTCCTTTTCTATCCCTTTAGATGAATAATATTTCTTCGACTTGAAAAATCTATTTTATATAAAACATTAGGATATATGTAAAAAATCTTTAAACCATAAAAAAATTACTTAAACCGAAAAATGAAATCTTTTATTTTTTATTGAATAGATTTGCTTTGAATTATTTTGAAATTCTTTGCTAAGTTACTAGTCAAGTGTTCACTTTTATGACTTTAAGTATTAAAATCAAGGATATTTTGATATTAAGTTTCTAAATATTCTTTAAAATTATGATCTTTTGATTTAGACTAAATTTATTTTTTTTAGCTTTCACATTACTTCTTTTCAAAAATTGATTTTGGACTTTATGAAATACTATTAGAAGAATTTCCAAAAGTACTATTTAACTAATTGTTTTAAAAATTACTTTTTTCATGCTAAGGTTTTTTTTTTTTGATTTTATTCTTAAAAATATAATCAATTGTTTGATCATCGTTTATTTGATTTAAATTATCTTACCCATTACTAGATATTGAAAAGATGTCTGATTTTTCCTATATTTAATTATTCACCTAGTTTTTTTCAACATAATCTCTTGATTTAGTTGAGAATAAAGGAATAAAAATTTATTTTTTATCACGTTTTTCAATAACATAATCTGTTTAATTAGATGTCGTATGATCTGTTTAAGGAATATTTTCGATTTTTTATTAAATATAACTATTATGCTTAAGAATCTATTCATACTTACCTCTAAAGATGTTTTGAAGGAAAAGCATAAAGAAATCTTATTTAATTAGCTATTAGGAGTAAGATCTACCAATACTTCTACAAATAACAATTATAAAAGCAGCTCCATTGACTAGTGATAAGATTTGTGTTATTGTAGGATATTAAATATGAAATTACCAAACAATTTCATCAATTTAAAATGTTATTCCCAAGTACGGGCCTACTCCCTTCTTTAAACTAAGCTTTTTATCAGAGGTAGAGACTATTTAATTATAATTATAGGGTGAAGTGTATGACTCTTGCTATTAAAATATTAATCCCTAAACAACTTCAGTCTCTTATATTTACATATAGAGAGTATTAAAAGTAGTTAAATTAACTTATAAAAAATTTGGTATAGTCCTATAATTTGTTTATATTTGCTTTGAAGTTGTATTGTATTGCTATGATTTAGCTTTTGTATAGAAGAAGGAACTAAATCCTTGAATGACATTTTCTATATCAGTTTAATCAGCACAGTTACTTGGAATATTTTGTTTAAAGCTGTCTATATCTAGACAGCCATACATATTAATATATAAGTTAGATACCTTCAGATTATTGTTACTTGTATCGATTAAGAGAGAGTAGTTACTGACTTTAGAAAAATCAACACAGTAGAAACCACTTAATTAACTATTAGTACATTTAATAACATCGAGATTAAGCCTCTAATAAATTTTATTTTTTGTATCTTAATAAAAAAGCGCTGCCTTAAAGACAAAGTATGTTTTATTTTAAATTTCTTAATACTGATCTATAGTCATAGATGCATTGTAATAAAACTAAAAACCTACTAGATCCTAGCTGAGTATTACATCTTTCCTATTATTTGTGATGAAACTCTAAGATCTAAAATTTGGACTGATTAAGTTATTACTATACTGATTAACTAAATAAGCAAAGTAAAATATCATAACTCCAGCTGAGAGTATAGATAATACCAAACCTAAGTAGTTGCCTCTTTTCCAATATTTTTAATTTCCTATATTAAATAAAAATTCAGAAGAAAATATATCAAATTTTAGAATGCTCATGTTTAAGAGAATTTTTTTATTTATTTGTTTATTTGCTTATTTGTATGTTTGTTTCTTTTTTATTTAACTTTTACTTTCCCTAAGTTAATTTATTGCTTTTTAATTTAAATTAAGCTTTATATTATATTATTAAAAATTAAATTAATAAAAATAATTCATACAGTTCGTCACATAAAAGTATTAATTTTGGAGGCTAAAAGCTTTCAAATTACTTTATTTATTGACATAAAAATAGCAACAAACTTTTTTCTTGTGTTATATTACATTATAGAAAGAAATAATAATATAGAATAATTCAAAAAATAAATAAATATACATTTAAAAATTTTATTTTTTAATTTATTAAGTTTATTTTCATCAGATTTTTTGTAAACATAAATTTATATAAAAGGCAACTAATATTTTTGATTTAAACACTTGTTATATAATTGATATTGGCAATGCGAACTCTGCGGAATAAAAAAATTCTTTGACATATATTACGTATGTTACCTGAATACCTAAAATTTCAGTGTATAGCCTTGAAAAGGACAGTACCCTAAGGTACTATATATATATAATATTAATTTTTATTGTATTATTATGAAAAATAAAATTTACTAATCATTTTATAAATTCATAAATTATTAAATATAAAAAAATTAATTTTTAATTTAATTGACCGGCCACACAAAACAATAAAAAGATTTTTTATCAACAAACAAATATTTCTTCTTAATCTGTTTTGAATATTGAAGAAACTATTCTTTAATCAACCTCATTTTATTATTTGCTTTCATAAAAGTTTTTAAAAAAGCTATTTATATGCTATTCTTATAATTCTTAAGACTACAATAAGCTAAACTGTTTTTCAAAGTAGCTGAGTTTAGTGCTTCTTTCTTATTATTTAAAACATAAATATAGATTTATTTTTTAATTCTAAAATAACTTTACATTTTTATTTAAAATCTGTTTTTTATTAATTTAAGTTAAGATAATTTTCAGTGAGGCCAATACATTAAATAGCTGCCAATTAATCCTGACTCAGTAGCATAGTAATTGCTTTTTTCAAAAAAAAAATATCTTTAAAAAATTCGAAAATATCTAATGTTAAGTGGACTTCGCTAAATATTTTCTTAATTAGTTCTTCTTCTATTCCTTTAGATGAATAATATTTCTTCGGTTTGCAAAATCTATTTTATATTAAGTATTAAGATAAAAATAAAGAATCTTTAAATCATAAAAAAATTACTAAAACCGAAAAATAAAATCTTTTATTTTTTATTGAATAGATTTGCTTTGAATAACTTTGAAATTCTTTGCTAAGTTATTAGTTAAGACTTCCCTTTTATCCCTTTCAGTATTATAATCAAGGATATTTTGATATTTAGTTTCTAAATCTCCTTTAAAATCATGATCTTTTGATTTAGACTAAATTGATTTTCTTTAGCTTTCACATTACTTTTTTTCAAAAATTGATTTTGGACTTTATGAAATACATTTAGAAGAATTTCCAAAAGTACTATTTAACTAATTGTTTTAAAAATTACTTTTTTCATGCTAAGAATATTTTTCTATGTTTTAATTGTTTTAAAGCTTATCTAGTGCTTGCTCTTCTTTTATTTGATTTAAATAATCTTACCGATTACTAGGTGTTGAAAAGATTGTTGATTCTTCCTATTTTTAACTATTCACCTAGTTTTTTTCAACATAATCTCTTGATTTAGTTGAGAATAAAGGAATAAAAATCTATTTTTTATCACGTTTTTCAATAACATAATCTGTTTATTTAAGTATCAAATCAGTTGGTTAAGGAATATTATCCATTTTTTATTAAATAAAACTATTATGCTTAAGAATCTATTCATACTTACCACTATAGATGTTTTGAAGGAAAAGCATAAAGAAGTCTTATTTAATTAGTAATTAAGAATAAAATCTACCAATACTTCTACAAATAACAATTATAAAAGCAGCTCCATTGACTAGTGCTAAGATTTGTATTATTGTAGGATATTAAATATGAAATTACCAAACAATTTCATCAATTTAAACTATTATTTCCATGTAAGGGCCTTCTCCCTTCTTTAAACTAAGCTTTCTATCTAAAGTAGAAACCATTTAATTGTACTAATAGGGTGAAGTATATGACTCTTGCTATTAAAATATTAATCCCTAAACCACTTCAGTCTCTTATATTTAGATAGAGAGAGTATTAAAAATAGTTAAATTAACTTACATATAATTAGGTATAGTCCTATAATTTGTTTATATTTGCTTTGAAGTAGTATTGTATTGTTATGATTTAGCTCTTGTGTAGAAGAAGGTATCTAATCCATTAATTACATTATCTATATCAGTTTAATCAGCACAGTTACTTGGAATGTTTTGTTTAAAGTTGTCTATATCTAGACAGCCGTACATCCTAATATATAAGTTAGATACTTTCACATTATTATTACTTGTATCGAGTAACAGACTGTAGTCACTTACTTTAGAAAAATCAATACAATAAAAACCATTTAATTAACTATCAGTACATTTAATAACATCGAGATTAAAACTCTAATAAATGTTATTTTTTGCATCCTAATAAAATAATGTTACCTAAAAGACAATGTACGTTTTATTTTAAATTTCTTAATACTGATCTATAGTCATAGAGGCATTATAATAAAACTAAAAACCTACTAGATCCTAACTGAGTATTACATCCTTCCTATAATTTGTGATGAAACTCTAAGATCTAAAATTTGGACTAATTAAGTTATTACTATACTGATTAACTAAATAAGCAAAGTAAAATATCATAACTCCAAATGAGAGTATAGATAATACTAAACCTAAGTAGCTGCCTCTTTTCCAATATTTCTAATTTCCAATATTAAATAAAAATTCAGAAGAAAATATATCATATTTTAGAATGCTCATATTTAAGAGAATTTCTTTTTTTCTTTGTTTATTTGTTTATTTGCTTGTTTTACTTCTACTTATTCTAAGTTAATTTATTACTATTAAAAAAATAAGCTTTAACAGTATTTTATAAATTAAATTAAATTACTGTTTATATCAAACAATTCATAAGTTTTGTAATAAAATAAATTATTATATTAATAGTTTTTGACATATAAACTGCTAAATTATGATATTTATTGACATAAAAATAGCAAAAAAACTATATATATTCAAGGTTTTTTTTATAATAATAAAAATATATATATAAAAATAAATTATATTTTATAATTAAAATATTTTTTTAATTTATTAAGTTTATTTTTATCGCATTTGTAATCATAAATTTAAGTTAAAGGCAATTAATTTTTTTGATTAAGAGACTTGCCCTTTAATTTTTTTTATGATACATTAATTTATTTACCTCTATAAATATAAATTATTTAATCATTTTTATCTTAAAAAATATCATTACCCAAAATCAAATTAGTAGTTATGAAAGAGTTGAAGTGCTAACTAATATTGCTATTTGCAGAATACTTTTTTGTAGTTAATTCGCTATTTGTAAAAAATAAATAAATAAATTTATTTTTTTTTATGTTATTTTAATATGTTTATTTGTTTATTTTATTTTAATTTTATTTTATAGAAAATAAAAAATAATTTATAAATTTGATAATAATTCATTTTATGTTCTTTTTCCTTTTGTTATTTTATTTAATTAATTCTTTTTTAAATAAACTATGATATCTATCATTTTATTTTTAATTTATTTTTAAATTAATTGTTTGTTTATTTTTTTTATGAAAACCTTGATAAATTAAAACTTTTTTGAATTTGAGGTTTGTGAGTTAACGAGGTTTTACAATATATTGTTCTTAACATATTAATTTTAATTTAATATTACCTTAATCTCATTCATTTAGTGTTTAAGATTTTTCTAACATTCCCTACTTCTAATTATACTTTTAAACTGATGAAATTAAAAAAAATGCACCGACCGGGAATCGAACCCGGGTCAAAGCGATGGCAACGCTCTATTCTACCACTAAACCATCGGTGCTTACAGTGAAATGAATGATTATAAGGTATTCAAATAACTGAAACATTTATTTAAATTTATTTTACAATTTAAAGTCAAATTATTGTTTTATGAAATCATATTAAAAATAAAAAACAGTAATATTATTTTATATTTATATCTTTATTGTGAATTTATCTCCAAAAAATAATCAAAATTAAATTTTATGGCAAATATATATATATATTTATATTAAATTATTAACAATCTAATAAGTTATTTATAAATGTCACCTCGCAAATAATATAAAAGGAGTAGATCAAGGTCCATAAAAAAAGATTAAAAAAAGGATAAAGAATCAAAAAGCCGAAGCAAAAGAGCTTACTCTTCTTCAGCAGAAAGAAAGAAAAAGCGTTCTAAAAGCCCTTAAAAACATCAAAAGCATAGAAGCAGAAGTAGAACAAAAGATTCAAAAAAATACAAAAATAAAATGTCTTCTCACTCTAGGTCTTCATCATCTAACTCGAGCTCTAATTCTTACTCGAGAGATAGTAAAAGAGATAGAAGCAAGGAAAGAAAAAAGAAAAGAGTGTATCCTTCTTCTTCATCTTCCTCCTCATCTAAATCACGTGAATAAAAATAAAAAAGAATATCTCCTAATTCTAAGGGCTCAAGCTTATAAAAAAAACAAGAGGATCAAGTTTAAAGAAAAAGATTTACTCTTAATGCTTCTTCATTGACAAATATTTTAAAAGATTAAATAAGAACAAATATTAGGCTTGATAATTAAGAAATAAAAAATGCAAACAATAAATTAAATTAACTTGGCATGGATGCTTAAGCCAAAAATTTGGCAGAAGTACTTTGCAAGAAATCTGATGATCTAGTTAAAGAATAGTAAAAGAAACTCAAGTTTATTTGTGGCTATATGTCATGTGGGCTAGGATTTTAGGATCAAAGGGAATTAAATAAACATATTGAATGGCATAAACAATAATAAAAAGAGCAGTAATTTTTGTAAGGAATAAAACCAAGCTAATTAGTTTATTAAGAAATACCAAAATAGTATTGATATATTTTAATAAAAAGATGATAGATAAACAAGCAAACAATATTGAATTTTAAAAATATATTCATAATTCATTTATTTATTTATTTTAATGACTGTCTTAGACATATTTTTTTAAAAGTATTCAATTTATTTTTAAAATACATGCTATGTATTTAATTACAAAATAAATAAATAATATTTTTATTTATCATTTAGTTACTTTAAATTAATTAATTTAATATCAATTTTATACTAACCACTATCAATTTTTTATTCTAATTTATAACAAACCTTAAAATATAAATAAATATCTAAAATGGTATCAATTAATATCAAAAAAAATATTTATTTCTTAATATATTAATTCTATTTTTTAAGTATTTTTATTTTTTATGCATTATGGATCTTTAATTGCTTATTTTAATATTTAAATACTAAAAATAATTGAAAATAAGATATTAAATATAGCATTAATTTTAAATGAATCACAATAAGCATATTAAAAATTGATTGATTTAATAGATAGATATATACAGATATAAGTTATTTTAGATTTTTCTTTTACGTTATCTCAAATTGATAAGAAAGATATTAATAAGATTTTACTAGTTAATGTAAATTGCATTTTTGAATAGTAATACTTACAAGAACTAAAAATTAATTAAATATTTAAACAATTTAATAGAAACTTTTTAATAAGTAGAGGTTTTAAAAAATGGATTTATAGGAAATAGATTTATTTTCTTCTTAATTTTCTTTTACAGTTGGAAAATCAAGTAATCATACTAAAAAAGGAACAAAACAGGGTGTTTTTTTATCACTAATAGTTTTTTTCTTCGCAATAGGTTATTTCTCTTACCTACTCTACTAATTTGTAAATAACTAAATTGATCCAAATTATAAATCATAAAATTTTATCACAGAAGAGGAGATTGATATTAATTTAAGCTCTGATCTAATCGGATTTAGATTCGAATATGATACAAATTAGGATATAGAAAATTTATAAGCCTAGTAGAATTAAACATATTTAGTTTTTTATGCCTACTTTTACAATATTAATGGTACCTCTTTAACTTAAACATAACTTAACATCATATAATGTACTAATCCTTAATTAGCTGGATTTTATTGTTTAGACTTTTCTCCAGTTTAAAACAACACTCTTACTTTAAGTACAAAAGATAATTTTTAATCTTAAATATTCATTTATACATATGGTTGCCTTGACTTAGATTTTAACAAAAATTCAACTCCAAGCAACTGTGCTAATCAAACAGATATAAATAATATTGTAAATGGTTAAAATGCAGGTTTTAGACTAAAAATGTTTACATCTTAGTTTAATACTTAAACAAAATAGATTTAAGTTAATTATCGAAATTATTTTACTTATGCTATTGGAAATTCCATTTCGTATACAACTCTAAAAGCTTAAAAATAAGTCACTTCTGTAAAGGAAGGATTTTTTATTTAATCTTCTTCCAATTATTCATCTCCAATAGCCTACGAGACTTCGAATTAGCTTTGGGACAGGGAATATTTTATAAGTTAGATTAATTAGAGCGGATATGGTATGATAGAGTTAATCATGGATGAAATTGTATAATAGGTTTAAATTTAATATCCTACTATTCCTTAAATGCTCGCTTTAGTAAATAGCACACTTTCTCTATTAATGATACTGGGATTTATAGGAAGAAGATTTTCCTGGAGTAAAATAAAAAATGATTTATTTTTAATGCTGCTACAAAATTTCTACCAATAAAAATATATGCAAATCTTAGAATCTAACTAGTTACTAGAATAAAAAGATGATGTATTTATTTAATCAAATTAGTATTAATAAAGTGATGATATCTCAAATAAGTCTAAATTCTAAAATGATTAATCAGATATTTTTTAAAATTAATTAGAAGAGAATTAAAATAGATAAATAATATTTCCAAATCTTGAATTTAAAAGTAAATAAGTTCTGGACCAAATAAAATCTTAAAATGGTCATAACTATGAGAATAAAGAATAACTAAATACTGGATAATTATTGACTAATAGATAAATGGAGGAATAATGTTAGGAGTAGATAACTTTGTAAAACACGAGCCTTGAAAAAAAAATAATAAAAGAACTTGATTAAAACAATTAAAATTTAAGCTATAAAATCAAAAGTTCATTTATTTAAGAATAATTTGCTTAAGCTTAATCAAATTATAAGCTAATCAAACCTTAGACTGAAGAAATATAGGTTAAAAATCAGATTTATTCAAGTTTTTCTGGGAAAAAAGCAAATGGTCTTAAAAATATTTCATTAAATCAGAATGATAAATAATTAAAAAATTTATCATAATTAAAAGCTTCTCTAAGTAGCAAAGTTTCAGAAAAAATATCTTCAATCCTATTTAAATTGAAGTACTTTATCTTATTTTTATTTAGAATATGGTCAATTTAAATATTTTTTAAAAATAGATTTTTCAATAAGAAAGAATACGATTCATCTAAAGGTCTAGATAAACTCTAAAAAAGAGCTATAGAAAAATAATTATCAAAAGATTTAAATATATTTGAATTCTACAAAGATATAATTTTTTTGAAAAAGGCTGTTATGATTTTATTTACGAGTGAATAATTGGCTACACTCAGAATTATAGGTTGCTCTTCAAATTTCTTAGATGAATCAAAACATCAGCAGACCATCATGGATACCATAAAAAATAAAAGTAATAAGTGCTTGAGCTATTATAATTTATTTATTTATTTATTTATTTTAAAACAAACAGGTAACTACTTTTAAGAGCAGTATAAAATTTTATAGTCTGAAAATCTTTAATTCGAAAAAATTGCACAATTTATACAAAAAAGTAAAAAAAATGAACCATTAACTGAAATAGACAAAAGATTGTTGTCCTCAATTTGTATCTGAAATCAATAAAAATATTATTATTTATTTGAATTATACTTAACCATGTATTAATATACAATTAATTTAATAAATATAATAATTATTTATCTAAAATATAATATATCTTAATGTATATACTTAAAATAGAAAAAAAATACTTACACAATATTTTAATTTTAAAAATGTTTTGAGATTTTATAGAAATTTTGAAGTGCTTGATAAAACCAAAAATTTTAATTGTTATTACAATATATAATCTATAAATAAATTTATGTAATTGAATTATTTTAAAAAAGAAAAGATTAAAGATGAAAAATAAATCCAAATTTAAAAAAAATGTTTAAATAAAATTAATTTCTGAAAAAAAAATTATTATTAGAATTTCTTCAATTTTTGCTTTCTTGCTTTTTTAAATCAATTTATTTGATTATATGATCATATTTTTGTTAATATTCTTTTACTTTTTCCTAGTCTTGCAGATCAGAATAACATTATATGACTTCTTTAATTGAATTAGCTATCTCTAAGTGATCTTTTTCATAAATTGATTAATTTATTTTTAATGATTTTAAGAAAAAGGTCAAAGAAGTTTTATAATTTTAGATACTTCTGTAAAACTCTCCTAGATTGTCTAGTGAAATTACTATGTCAGGATGATTTTTTTTAAATATCTTTTCTCTCATTTTGAGAGACTCAAGTAAATATTTTTCTGCATTTTTTTAATCCTAAAGATCTTGATAGCATACGCCTACTCTATCTAATGACGTTGCAATCGAAGGATGGTCTTTTTTATATATTCTCTTTCTCATTTATAAAGAACTCATTAAGTTTTTTAATGCCTAGTTTTTATCTCCCATCTTTAAATAACAACTTCCAATATTGTTTAACGACGTAGCTACGCTTTCATTGTCTCCTTAGTATAATTTTTTGTCCATTTCTAGTGATTCTTCTAAATATTTTAAAGCTTTTTCACATTCTTTAAGTCCCAAATAACAGAATCCCACATTATTTAATGAGGCAGATACATGAGGATTTGCATTTTAAAAATTAATTTTTCTAATCTGAAGTGACTCTAAATAATATCCAAGAGCTTATTAATTGTCATCTGTATCAGAATAATATGATGCTATTCCATCTAGAGATAATGCAATCTAAATATGATTTTCTGGGTAAATTAATCTTTTTATTTTTAGAGACTCTTTGAAATACTCTAAAGCTTTATCATTTTATCCATTTTATGTATAACAAGACCCAATATTATGTAAAGATTAAGCTATTTCTTGATGATTTTCTGAATAAATTCTTTTTTTTATTTCTAAGGATTTCAAAAGATGATTCAAAGCAATATCATAATCAGCAATATTTAAATAGCATAAACCTATGTTATTAAGAGTAGAAGCAACTAATGGATGATCTTCTTTATGAATTACCCTTATCATTTCAAGGCTTTCATTCAAATATTATAACGCTAATTCAAAACAACTTATATCCTTATAGTACATTCCAATATTGTTCAGAGACTAGGCTATTTCTGGGTGACTTCCTTTATATATTTATCTTCTCATAAATAGAGACTTTTCATAATAATCTAAAGCATTTCTATAATCATAAAGACTGTAATAGCAAGCTCCAATATTATTTAAAACTGTAGCAATACTTGAATTGTTTCCTTTATAAACATGCTTGCTCATTTAATAAGACTACAAGAAATATTAAAGAGCTTTTTATTAATCGTTTAATTCTCTATAGCACACACCAACATTACTAAGAGAAACAGCTACATTTATATGATTACCTTTAAAAAGCTATTATGTAAGCTTAAGTGATTTTAATTAGTACTTTAATGCTTATTAAAATTGTTTAAATTCTAGATACCTCTATCCCAAGTTATTAAAAGATTTTGCTATTGAACTTAAGTCATTCTTAAAAAATGTTTTTTTCTATAAAAGACATTCAAGTTAGCATTTTAGAGCTTTTTTACTATCTCCTAAATCGGAGAAGCATTCACTAATATCTTCTTGCGCTTTGACCATCTTTTTTAAAATTTATTTTAAAGCAATTTCATTTTCCTCTATTTGTAAGAAATACTAATATATTTCATAGGTCTTCTAGTTATAATAAAGCATTAGGTCTAAGAAATACGTTATGTTTTTATTATCATCATAAGGAAATAACTTCAAAATGTATTTGATTTTCTGTAAATATTCTTGTAGAAATTCCTAACAATTACACTCGATTAGCAATTTTAAAAATTCTTCATGCAACTCCAAGCAGCTTTTTCTTTAGTCTTTTTAGTTTTAAATCATTTTTTGTTGTACTATTTGATTAAATTTTAGTACTAAAAATTCATCTTCCTATTTTTTATATTATTTCAAAACAACCTCAAACGTTTTTCCAAGTGAGTATACATCAGACTTAAAATCAATATTAGGATCATCTATAAGCTATTCAGGTGATGCATAACTAAAAGTGCCACCTTTGATATTAATTTTTGAATTATCTTTTTTGATAGAAGAAATGCCAAAATCTGTAAAAACATAGTTATCTGATTTTGAAACTAGAATATTTTATGGCTTTATATCAAGATGCAAAATATTATAAATCCTAAACTAAATTAATCCATCTAATAAATCAAATATAATGCGAAGTAGCTTCATTTAATTAAACTCCTCCTTTTGTTATTCTATCAAAAATAACTCATCTTTTAAACTATATTTGCACTTCTCTAATACAAAAATGTGGATATTTTTACTAACTTAAATAACTTCTATGAATTTAATTACATTTATATTCTTTTCAAAAAGTTTCATAATACTTATTTCACTTTGAATTTCTTAATCATTCAGATCAAAGATGATCTTAAATATAAAATCTTCATAAACACCAACTTGCTTTATTTTAAATCCCTCAAAAATTATTCCTTCTCCACCTTTTGCCAAATATTAGCATAAATAATAATACTTTCTTTAAAGAGCCTCAAATATGACATCCTATACTAATTAGAATTACCTAAAATGCTAATAATCCGAACACTCCATAGAATTTTAACAATTTTGACATTTGTAACATCTTATCAAATTGATATCTTTCCCTTCATTTATTTAAATAAAGTATTGTTTGTCCCAAATCTTAATTTCTTTTTGAATCAATTATTTTATTTATTACTCAACTATGTTATAGTTTTCTTTTTACAATATTAATGTATGAATATTTTCTGTCACCTTAATTTCTTTAATCAATTTAGTTAATTTCAATTATTCTAATTATTTTATTATTTTAATTTCTTATTGATTTTCAGTCTAATTAATCAAAATAAAGTATTCAGGCTAATGATTCTTGTAAAATCCCTAAAATAAATCTTGTTTATTTTGTGATTTTAAGAATTCCATCAAATAGCAATTCTATTTCTCTAAAACATCTAAAATGATATTTTTTTACTCTATAAAATTTTAGCTTAAAGTCTTATTTGAATTTTTTTCATCAAATAGTTTTATACTCCATTCTCTTGGCTTAGATGTAATTGGTATATTTTCTTCATTTAGTTCTCCTACAACAATTTTAGCTTAATTTTCATAGTCATACGGATTAAATTATTCAAATTAACAATCACTTGCTTGACTTTTTGAAGTAATTTAATTCCTTTTAGCATCTTATTATTCATTAAATTTAAGATTATTACACTGATTATCTTCTATGATTTAAGATTTCTATTCTTCCTTATTTTAATCTTAATTTTCAAGAGATTATTAATAATTAGTGCTTAGAGTTTCAAATTTTTTGCTTTCAATAAAAGTATCTGCTTTATTTTTATCTGACTTTTTTATGGTTAAATCATTTATATTCTTCATAGTATAATTTTCTCTTTCTTTTTGAATTTTCGTTTTATTTTCAGATGATTAAAAGCAAGGCTCTTCCATTTCTTCTTGATTTGATTCAAACGACAAATCATCTAACTAAAAAGTAAATTTAAACTATTTTTGATGCTTTTAAGATTTCTTTTTAATTTTTTACCTTAAAATTTTTGGATTTATAATACTTTATTTTTTATATTTGCTTTTCATTTTTTTTTTGTTTGTTTTCGAAAGTATTTAAAGATTAACTTACTTTAAATTATTTAATGAAAAAAGATATGCATTTTTTTATTGTTGTAAAGAAAATGAAACAAAATATGATTATTATATTAATATATTGTAATACACTCTATATCCTCACAAATTAATAATTTTGTAAAAGTAAAAAATTTTCCCCTCTTAAATTGCTTAAAAGAAAGACAAAAGAATAAAAAGAGATAATATTAAAAATAGTGATAATAATGGATTTGTAGTATATTGATTTCTTTTCATCTCCTTTTTCTTTTACAGTAGGCTAATCTAGCAGATAAACAAAAAAAGGGACTATACAAGGAGCTATTTTATCAGCTTTTGTTTTTATCTTCGCAATAGGTTATTTCTCATACTTATTCCACTAGTTTGTAAATAATTAAATTGAACCAAATTACAAATCTCAAAGCTTCATAACAGAAGAGAGGATTGATATAGATTTAAGTTCTGATTTGCTTGGATTCAGATTCGAATATAAAACGAATAAAGATTTATAAATTTTATAAGCATCATAGAATTAAACATATTTGGTTTTTTATGCCTACTTTTACTATGTAAATGGTACCTCTTTAACTTAAACATAACTCAACATCATATAATGCACTAATCCTTAATTAGCTGGATTTTATTGTTTAGACTTTTCACCTGTTTAAAATTACACTCTAACTTTAAGTACAAAAGAAAATTTATAATCTTAAATATATATTTATACTTATGGTTGTCTTGACATAGACTTTAATAAAAATTCTACTCCAAATAACTGCGCAAATTAAACAGAAATCAATAAAATTGTTAATGGCCTAGAAGCTGGTTTCAGATTTAAACTATTTACTTCTTAGTTTAATACACAAACAAAGTAGATTTAAGTTAATTATAGAAATTATTATGCTTATTCTTTAGGAAAATACATTACTTATACATCTTTAAAAGCATAAAAGCAAATTACTACTGTAAAGTAAGGATTATTTGTTTAAGATTAATCTAACTACTCATCACCTATTTCTTATGAGAAAGAAAATCAACTTTGGGATAGGGAGTACACAATAAACAATATTAATTAGAGTGGCTATGGTATGTTTGAATTAATTATGAATGAGATCGTAGAATAAGTTGAAATTCAATACCCTACGATTCCTTCAATATTGGCATTAGTAAATAGCACAATATCTCTTTTAATGATACTAGGATATATCGGAAGAAGGTTTTCAGAAGGCAAAATAAAAAATGATTTATTTTTAATGCTGTTATAAAATGTCTATTAAGAAAAATATTTATAAATTTTAAAGTGCAACTAATTATTAGAATAAAATATTGACTCTCGTTAAGAATTAGCATAATAATAGCAATAAAAATAATCTTAGTAATAATAAAATTAAGTAAATTTAATCTAATCTAAATTTAAAAATGATTAATCAGGAGTGTTTTAAGAGTAACTTGATGAAAGCTAAAGCTAAAATAAATAAATTACACTTCGAAACATTGAATTTAGGAATAAATAATTTCTTGATTAATAAAATAAATAATAAGTATATAAACAAGAAAACAAGTAGCAGCATAAAACACAATAGCTATCATTAAGTAAATAAATAGAAAAAATAAGCTAAGAATTAATTTTTTAATAAAATGTAGGTCTTGATTAAAAAATTTCGAAAAATATTGATTTTAGTGTTTAAAGCCCAAATCATTAAATGAAAACTGCTTTTTTTAAATAGCAAATAATTGAGGATTAATCTAATTATAAATTAATTAAGTCTTTGGCTGAAGAAAAATAGACAAAAAATATAATTAAAAAAGAATTTTCCAAAAAATTAAAAATATCAAATACAAATATAATGTTAAATCAAAATGGCAAGCAACATTCAAATAACTTTTAATAGTTAAAAAAATCATTAAATTATGAATTTTCAGAAAAATTATAATCTATTCTATTTAAATTTAGGTAATTTGCTTTTTTTGCTAAATCATTCAAAAAATTTTTTATTATTAAAATATTATTTAGATTTTTTTGTAAGAAAGAGTATTTATTATCTAAAGGCTTAGATTATTAACAAAAAAAAATAATAGAAAAGCAGATATCAAAAGATTTAAATATCTTCGAATTCTACAAAGATATTTTATTTTTGAAGAAGGCTGTAATGATTTTATTAAGTAGTGAGCAATTAGCAGTCATGAAGATTATAGGTTGCTCTTCAAATTTCTTAGAGCAACCTAAAACGTTAATCAACAAGGATAATTAATTAAATAATACAGGTAAACAAATAAATTTCTTTTATATTATTTATTTTATAAAATTAATAATAGGATAATTAAATTACTTCTAAGAATAATATAAATAATTTGAGTCTGAAAATCTGTAATTTGAAAAAATTGAACAATTTATTAAGAGATGTTAATAAAATAGTTCTTTAACTGAAATAGATCAAAGATTATTATCATCTATTTGTATCTGATGTTTTACAAAAACAAAAATTAAATAACAATTAATAAAAAAAATAAATTATTTTTAATTTAATTAACTGATTTTGAAGAGAAAAATTAGTTTAATTTAATTTTCAAGGAATAAATATTTAATTTTATTGATATTGGAGTTTAATGACAAGTTTTAATAAAGATAAATACTGGTTTATTCAATATATTTTTAGATTAATAAAATATTTTTAATTTTTTTTATTAACCATGAAAGTTTCTAAAATATATTATTTATTGAAATATTTTATTCATTTGTATTTATTTAATTCAGAAAATTTTAATTATAATAATAGATATTCATTATATTGTGATAGATCAATTTATATAATGAGGGTTTTTTAAAAAAATGAAATAAATGTACACTTCTATTTTTTTATTCTAAGTAAAAATAATTTGGAAATTATTTTTTTTGATTATTAAATAATAAATATTTTATTTTAAAATAATTAAGTATTTAATATTATAAATTAAAAATTTAATATCTGAAATTTTATATTTATATTAAAAAACCATAAAACAAATATTTTAGAATAAAAATTAAAATAAAATTATTTAATTAATCTACTATTAAGCAAATCAGGAATTTAATTCTTACTTTTCCACATCCACTACAATTTAATACCTTGCATTGCTGTTATATATCTGAGTTAACTACTTCAATTAATCATCTAAATAATTTATTAATCTAAGTAAATTAATTATCAAATATTCAAAATGTTTATAACAATGATTTATCTGTTTAATTTATTATTCCTAACAATACTAATCTCCATTGAAATAATTTTATTTTATTCACTGCCTAAAAATTATTTTTTAATAGAATGTCTTTATTCTTCAGAATTGGTATTTGATGATAAATTTTGAGTTTGGTTAATACAATTACAGTTTAAGTTAACTTCATTTTATTTAAGTTAAGATAAGAAAATAGATTGAAATTAAGTTTACATAACCTAATTTTTATGTTTCTTTATTATCTCCTTTTAATTTTGGAAAATCATATTTATTTATTTTAAGATAATATCTGTGATATGATAGAGGAATTTCTTCTTCTAATGCACTTATATATTGATAGTTTTTTTACACTTTATTTTTTACTTTTGAAATTAATATTATATATTCAAAAGAAACAGATTTAATCAAATTTATCATTTATTAAAGAATTACTTAATTTTAAAGAAAAAATCAAGCAAATTGAATCATTTAATTAAAAATTATTCTTTTATTTAGCTAATTTAATTAAAAAAAATAATTCATAAGATTAACTAATAAAATCAGAAAATTTCTTGATATTTTTGCAAAATTGTAATATCCTTAACCGATTCAGAAAATAATTATTTGGCATATTTATTATAGATCTTGATTTTATAACCCCTTAGTTTTTTAATTGAAATAATTTGAATTTGTTTGGTTATGTTTTGCTTTTTTAGTATTATTTTTGGAATGAATCAGACATTGCCATATAGTTAATTGCATAATTATTATTTATTTATTAAAGTGATATTTTAAAAAACTCTAAAAATAAATCAAATGAAAGAAAATTAAATTAAAATCTTAAGGTGTCGAAATGAAATAGGTAGGTTTCTATAGGATTGAAAATAAATTAAATGTCCATAAAATGAAAAATAAGGTAGGTATCGATAGAATTGTACTTGATACTTTTTCCTGAGCTATAACTATAATACTGTTCATCATATTGAGAATACAGAAAGACTAAACTTTTTACTATCAAAAATTTGTTTTTAATTAATATCAATTTATTTAGAAATCAAAGAATTAGAGGTTATCTATGAAAATAGAATAGATAAATTAGTAGTTAATAAAGTAATAAAAGATTAGAATGTTACTTTAATATCATAATTTTTATTTTTTTACCTCATCTCAACAGGTTTTTATTGCTACAGCATTAAACAAGGTGACAATAATATAGCATTCATTATATTTTTTTACTCAAAAATATAATAAAGGTGATTATAAAAAATGTACTTTTATGAATTTTTAATGTAAATAAATTAATTAATTGGTCTTTAAATCTATTAGTTAATATGCAAAACAAACTTAAAAAATATTAATATTATCTTTTTGTAAAATTTAAAATAAATTTATTATAATATCTTATTTTTAGTAAAAGTAAATTTTTATTACATTTAAATTTATAACTAACATTACTTTAGAACATTAATCTACTCTTAATATATTTATCTATACAGTAATAATTTATTTTATCAAAATATTGAATATGATCTTTAGTTTCTTTAATGTATGAAAATTTTTAATTAAATAATTATTGATAACTCATAATTATTTAGAATAGCTATTTTATTTTATTATAATCTAATAAAGGTTTAGTTATGTTAAATTCATGCCAGCTTTCTATTTTTTTGATAGATTATATGATTTTGATAATTAAATTATTTATAAAATTCAAAAATCTAGTTTTTAGCAAGCATATTAATATTATTTACAAATAACTCATTCAGTAAAAAAATTAATATAAAAAAAAGAAAGACAAAAGGATAAAAAGAAATAATATTAAAAATAGTCATAATAATGAATTTGTAGCATATTGATTTATTTTCATCTCCTTTTTCTTTTACAGTAGGCAATTCTAGCAGCAGACAAACCAAAAAAGGGACTATAAAAGGAGCTATATTATCAACTATTGTTTTTATCTTCGCAATAGGTTATTTCTCTTACTTATATTACCAGTTTGTAAATAATTAGATTGACCCAAATTACAAATCTCAAAGTGTCATAACAGAAGAGAGGATTGATATAGATTTAAGTTCTGATTTGCTAGGATTTAGATTCGAATATGATACTAATTAAGATATATAAAATTTATAGGCATCATAGAATTAAACATATTTAGTTTTTTATGCCTACTTTTACTATATAAATGGCACCTTTGAAACTTAAACTTAACTTAAAATCATATAATGTACTAATCCTTAATTAGCTGGATTTTATTGTTTAGATTTTTCTCCAGTTTAAAACTACACTTTAACTTTAAGTACAAAAGAAAATTACTAATCTTAAGTATTCATTTATACTTATGGTTGTCTTGACTTAGATTTTAATAAAAACTCTATCCCAAATAACTGTGCTAATCAAACAGAAATCAATAATATTGTTAATGGTGAAAATGCTGGTTTCAGATTTAAACTATTTACTTCTTAGTTTAATACATAAACAAAGTAGATTTAAGTTAATTATAGAAATGATTTTGTTTATGCTTTAGGAAATTGCATCTCTTATACAACTTTTAAAACATAAAAGCAAATCACTTCTGTAAAGTAAGGATTTTTTATTTAAGACTAATCTAACTACTCATCACCTATTGCTTATGAGAAAGAAAACCAACTTTGGGATAGGGAATACTCAATAAGCAATATTAATTAGAGTGGTTATGGTATGCTTGAATTAATTATGAATGAGATTGTAGAATAAGTTGAAATTCAATACCCTACGATTCCTTCAATATTAGCTTTAGTAAATAGCACAATATCTCTTTTAATGATACTAGGATATATTGGAAGAAGATTTTCATAAAATAAAATAAAAAATGATTTATTTTTAATGTTGCTATAAAATGTCTTCTAATAAAAATATTTATAAATTTTAAAGTGCAACTAATTATTAGAATAAAATATGGACTATTGTTAAGAATTAGCATAATAATAGCAATAAAAATAATCTTAATAAAATTAAATATAATAATAAGAATAATAAAATTAAATAATTTTAAGTTAATCTAAATTTAAAAATGATGAATCAGTGGTTTTTTAAGAGTAACTTGATGAAAGCTTAAGCTAAAATAAATAAATTATATTTCCATACATTGAATTTAGGAATAAATAAATTCTTGATTAATAAAATAAATATTAAGAATAAAAACCTAAAAACAAGAATCAGCATGCTACAGAGCTATCATCAAGTAAATAAATGGATGAATTAAGCTAAGAATTTATTTTTTAATAAAATGCAAGTCTTGATAAAAAAATAACGAAAAATCTTGATTTTAGTTTTCTAAGCTAAAATCATTAAATGAAAAATAGTTTTTTTTAATAGAAACTGGTTTAGGATTAATCTAATTATAAATTAATTAAGTCTTTGGCTGATGAAATATACAAAAACAATATAATTAAAAAAGAATTTTGCAAAAAGTAAGAGGTACAAAATACAAATATAATATTAAATCAAAATGGTAAACAATATTCAAATAATTTTCAATAGTTAAAAAAATCATTAAATTATGAATTTTCGGAAAAATTATAATCTATCCTATTTAGATTTAGGTAATTTATTTTATTTTGCTAGATCATTCAATAGATTTTTATTATGAAATATTAATTAGATTTTTTGATAAGAAGAAGTATTTATCATCTAAAGGCTTAGATTATTAACAAAAAATAATTATAGAAAAGCAGCTATCAAAAGATTTAAATATCTTTGAATTCTACAAAGATATTTTATTTTTGAAGAAGGCTGTAATGATTTTATTAAGTAGTGAGCAATTAGCAGTCATGAAGATTATAGGCTGCTCTTCAAATTTCTTAGAGAAATCCTAAACATTAATCAACAAGGATAATTTCCTTAAAAATAAAGGTAAACAATAATATGAATTTATTTTATTTTAAATTATTTTTATATAATAATAGGATCATTAAATTACTTCGAAGAATAATATAATATATTTGAGTCTGAAAATCTGTAGTTTGAAAAAATTGAACAATTTATTAAGAGATGCTAATAAAATACTTCTTTAACTGAAATAGATAAAAGATTATTGTCATCAATTTGTATCTGATTTTCTCCAAAAAAATAAATTAAATAGCAATTATTAAAAAAAATAAATTATTTTTGATTTAAGTAACTGATTTTTGAAGATAAAATTATTTTTAATTTAATTAACCAATCAATTTTTGAAGATAATAATTATTTTAATTTAATTTTCAAGCAATATTAATAATTAATTATATCGATACTTGGAGTTAATGACAAATTAAATAACCTGGTTAACTTCGATTAATGAATTTTAGTTTTTGATATTTAATTATTTCATTTTTATCACTAATTTCCATATTTTTCTCTTCTTCAAACCCAAATATATCATAATTCTTTTAATTTTTAAATCTCTATTTTTAGTTATTTGCTGAGATTTATTCATATCTTTTGGTAGATATTAATAAAATAGTAATTGATTATTTTATGGCAATTGACTACTCTTGTTTGTTCATTAATTTAAGATCTTTTCTTCTAGGATGAAAAAATTTTGAAATGAAATAAATGTATTTTTCATTTCTATTTAATATTATTTTTTAAATATAATTATTAAATATCAAAAGTAATTACTTTTTTAACAATTTAAGTAACTTAAAATCATCTTTAATATTTAATTTTATCATCAAATTATATTTATATATATAGCACTTCCATTAATTAGATTATTATAATAAATAATATTTTTATTATTTTTAAATTAAATAATTAATTTTTGATAGTAATTTTATTAATTATAATATTTTATTTTTATTTATATGAAATTTTAGTTGAATTCAAATAAAAATCTTAAAATTTACTTACAGTTTCTATTGAAACCTTAAATTTGAGATTTTAGAGAAATTTTGAAGTGCTTGATAAAACCAAAAATTTAAATTTTTATTTACAATATATAATCTATTAATAAATTTATGTAATTGAATTATTTTAAAAAAGAAAAGATAAAAGATGAAAAATAAATCCAAATTAAAAAAAATGTTTAAATTAGTTAAAATTAATTTCTGAAAAATAAAATTATTATTAGAATTTCTTCAATTTTTGCTTTCTTGCTTTTTTAAATCAATTTATTTGATTATTTGATCATATTTTTGTTAATATTCTTTTGCTTTTTCCTAGTCTTGCAGATCAGAATAACATTATATGACTTCTTTAATTGAATTAGCTATCTCTAAGTGATCTTTTTCATAAATTGATTAATTTATTTTTAATGATTTTAAGAAAAAGGTCAAAGAAGTTTTATAATTTTAGATACTTCTGTAAAACTCTCCTAGATTGTCTAGTGAAATTACTATGTCAGGATGATTTTTTTTAAATATTTTTTCTCTCATTTTGAGAGACTCAAGTAAATATTTTTCTGCATTTTTTTAATCCTAAAGATCTTGATAGCATACGCCTACTCTATCTAATGACGTTGCAATCGAAGGATGGTCTTTTTTATATATTCTCTTTCTCATTTATAAAGAGCTCATTAAGTTTTTTAATGCCTAGTTTTTATCTCCCATCTTTAAATAACAACTTCCAATATTGTTTAACGACGTAGCTACGCTTTCATTGTCTCCTTAGTATAATTTTTTGTCCATTTCTAGTGATTCTTCTAAAAATTTTAAAGCTTTTTCACATTCTTTAAGTCCCAAATAACAGAATCCCACATTATTTAATGAGGCAGATACATGAGGATTTGCATTTTCAAAATTACTTTTTCTAATCTGAAGTGACTCTAAATAATATCCAAGAGCTTATTAATTGTCATCTGTATCAGAATAATATGATGCTATTCCATCTAGAGATAATGCAATCTAAATATGATTTTCTGGGTAAATTAATCTTTCTATTTTTAGAGACTCTTTGAAATACTCTAAAGCTTTATCATTTTATCCATTTTATGTATAACAAGACGCAATATTATGTAAAGATTAAGCTATTTCTTGATGATTTTCTGAATAAATTCTTTTTTTTATTTCTAAGGATTTCAAAAGATGATTCAAAGCAATATCATAATCAGCAATATTTAAATAGCATAAACCTATGTTATTAAGAGTAGAAGCAACTAATGGATGATCTTCTTTATGAATTACCCTTATCATTTCAAGGCTTTCATTCAAATATTATAACGCTAATTCAAAACAACTTATATCCTTATAGTACATTCCAATATTGTTCAGAGACTAGGCTATTTCTGGGTGACTTCCTTTATATATTTATCTTCTCATAAATAGAGACTTTTCATAATAATCTAAAGCATTTCTATAATCATAAAGACTGTAATAGCAAGCTCCAATATTATTTAAAACTGTAGCAATACTTGAATTGTTTCCTTTATAAACATGCTTGCTCATTTAATAAGACTACAAGAAATATTAAAGAGCTTTTTATTAATCGTTTAATTCTCTATAGCACACACCAACATTACTATGAGAAACAGCTACATTTATATGATTACCTTTAAAAAGCTATTTTGTAAGCTTAAGTGATTTTAATTAGTACTTTAATGCTTATTAAAATTGTTTAAATTTTAGATACCTCTATCCTAAATTATTAAAAGATTTTGCTATTGAACTTAAGTCATTCTTAAAAAATGTTTTTTTCAATAAAAGACATTCAAGTTAGCATTTGAGAGCTTTTTTACTATCTCCTAAATCGGAGAAGCATTCACTAATATCTTCTTGCGCTTTGACCATCTTTTTTAAAATTTATTTTAAAGCAATTTCATTTTCCTCTATTTGTAAGAAATAATAATATATTTCATAGGTCTTCTAGTTATAATAAAGCATTAGGTCTAAGAAATACGTTATGTTTTTATTATCATCGTAAGGAAATAACTTCAAAATGTATTTGATTTTCTATAAATATTCTTGTAGAAATTCCTAACAATTACACTCGATTAGCAATTTTAAAAATTCTTCATGCAACTCCAAGCAGCTTTTTCTTTAGTCTTTTTAGTTTTAAATCATTTTTTGTTGTACTATTTGATTAAATTTTAGTACTAAAAATTCATCATCCTATTTTTTATATAATTTCAAAGCAACCTCAAACGTTTTTCCAAGCGAGTATACATCAGACTTAAAATCAATATTAGGATCATCTATAAGCTATTCAGGTGATGCATAACTAAAAGTACCACCTTTGATATTAATTTTTGAATTATCTTTTTTGATAGAAGAAATGCCAAAATCTGTAAAAACATAGTTATCTGATTTTGAAACTAGAATATTTTATGGCTTTATATCAAGATGCAAAATATTATAAATCCTAAACTAAATTAATCCATCTAATAAATCAAATATAATGCGAAGTAGCTTCATTTAATTAAACTCCTCCTTTTGTTATTCTATCAAAAATAACTCATCTTTTAAACTATATTTGCACTTCTCTAATACAAAAATGTGGATATTTTTACTAACTTAAATAACTTCTATGAATTTAATTACATTTATATTCTTTTCAAAAAGTTTCATAATACTTATTTCACTTTGAATTTCTTAATCATTCAGATCAAAGATGATCTTAAATATAAAATCTTCATAAACACCAACTTGTTTTATTTTGTATCCCTCAAAAATTATTCCTTCTCCACCTTTTGCCAAATATTAACATAAATAATAATACTTTCTTTAAAGAGCCTCAAATATGACATCCTATACTAATTAGAATTACCTAAAATGCTAATAATCCGAACACTCCATAGAATTTTAACAATTTTGACATTTGTAACATCTTATCAAATTGATATCTTTCCCTTCATTTATTTAAATAAAGTATTGTTTGTCCCAAATCTTAATTTCTTTTTGAATCAATTATTTTATTTATTACTCAACTATGTTGTAGTTTTCTTTTTACAATATTAATGTATGAATATTTTCTGTCACCTTAATTTCTTTAATCAATTTAGTTAATTTCAATTATTCTAATTATTTTATTATTTTAATTTCTTATTGATTTTCAGTATAATTAATCAAAATAAAGTATTCAGGCTAATGATTCTTGTAAAATCCCTAAAATAAATCTTGTTTATATTGTGATTTTAAGAATTCCATCAAATAGCAATTCTATTTCTCTAAAACATCTAAAATAATATTTTTTTACTCTTTAAAATTTTAGCTTAAAGTCTTATTTGAATTTTTTTCATCAAATAGTTTTATACTCCATTCTCTTGGCTTAGATGTAATTGGTATATTTTCTTCATTTAGTTCTCCTACAACAATTTTAGCTTAATTTTCATAGTCATACGGATTAAATTATTCAAATTAATAATCACTTGCTTGACTTTTTGAAGTAATTTAATTACTTTTAGCATCTTATTATTCATTAAATTTAAGATTATTACACTGATTATCTTCTATGATTTAATATTTCTATTCTTCCTTATTTTAATCTTAATTTTCAAGAGATTATAATTAGCTTTCATAATTAGTGCTTAGAGTTTCAAATTCTTTGCTTTCAATAAAAGTATGTGCTTTATTTTTATCTGACTTTTTTATGGTTAAATCATTTATATTCTTCATAGTATAATTTTCTCTTTCTTTTTGAATTTTCGTGTTATTTTCAGATGATTAAAAGCAAGGCTCTTCCATTTCTTCTTGATTTGATTCAAACGACAAATCATCTAACTAAAAAGTAAATCTAAACAATTTTTGATGCTTTTATGATTTCTTTTTAATTTTTTACTTTAGAACTCTTGGATTTATAATTCTTTATTTTTTATATTTGCTATTCATTTTTTTTTTGTTTGTTTTCGAAAGTATTTAAGATTAACTTTCTTTAAGTTATTTAATGAAAAAAGATATGCATTTTTTTATTGTTGTAAAGAAAATGAAACAAAATATGATTATTATATTAATATATTGTAATACACTCTATTTCCTCACAAATTAATAATTTTGTAAAAGTAAAAATTTTCCCCTCTTAAATTGCCAAAAAAAAAGACAAAAGAATAAAAAGAGATAATATTAAAAATAGTGATAATAATGGATTTGTAGTATATTGATTTATTTTCATCTCCTTTTTCTTTTACAGTAGGCAAATCTAGCAGATTAACAAAAAAAGGGACTATACAAGGAGCTATTTTATCAGCTTTTGTTTTGATCTTCGCAATAGGTTATTTCTCATACTTATTCCACTAGTTTGTAAATAATTAAATTGAACCAAATTACAAATCTCAAAGCTTCATAACAGAAGAGAGGATTGATATAGATTTAAGTTCTGATTTGCTTGGATTCAGATTCGAATATGAAACGAATAAAGATATATAAATTTTATAAGCATCATAGAATTAAACATATTTAGTTTTTTATGCCTACTTTTACTATATAAATGGTACCTCTTTAACTTAAACATAACTCAACATCATATAATGCACTAATCCTTAATTAGCTGGATTTTATTGTTTAGACTTTTCACCTGTTTAAAATTACACTCTAACTTTAAGTACAAAAGAAAATTTATAATCTTAAATATTCATTTATACTTATGGTTGTCTTGACATAGACTTTAATAAAAATTCTACTCCAAATAACTGCGCAAATTAAACAGAAATCAATAAAATTGTTAATGGTTTAGATTCTGGTTTCAGATTTAAACTATTTACTTCTTAGTTTAATACACAAACAAAGTAGATTTAAGTTAATTATAGAAATTATTATGTTTTTGCTTTAGGAAATTACATTTCTTCTACAACTTTAAAAGTATAAAAGCAAATTACTTCTGTAAAGTAAGGATTATTTATTTAAGAATAATCTAACTACTCATCACCTATTTCTTATGAGAAAGAAAATCAACTTTGGGATAGGGAGTACGCAATAAACAATATTAATTAGAGTGGCTATGGTATGTTTGAATTAATTATGAATGAGATTGTAGAATAAGTTGAAATTCAATACCCTACGATTCCTTCAATATTGGCATTAGTAAATAGCACAATATCTCTTTTAATGATACTAGGATATATCGGAAGAAGGTTTTCAGAAGGCAAAATAAAAAATGATTTATTTTTAATGCTGTTATAAAATGTCTATTAAGAAAAATATTTATAAATTTTAAAGTGCAACTAATTATTAGAATAAAATATTGACTCTCAATAAGAATTAGCATAATAATAGCAATAAAAATAATCTTAGTAATAATAAAATTAAGTAAATTTAATCTAATCTAAATTTAAAAATGATTAATCAGGAGTGTTTTAAGAGTAACTTGATGAAAGCTAAAGCTAAAATAAATAAATTACACTTCGAAACATTGAATTTAGGAATAAATAATTTCTTGATTAATAAAATAAATAATAAGTATATAAACAAGAAAACAAGTAGCAGCATAAAACACAATAGCTATCATTAAGTAAATAAATAGAAGAAATAAGCTAAGAATTAATTTTTTAATAAAATGTAGGTCTTGATTAAAAAAGTTCGAAAAATATTGAATTTAGTGTTTAAAGCCCAAATCATTAAATGAAAAATGCTTTTTTTAAATAGCAAATAATTTAGGATTAATCTAATTATAAATTAATTAAGTCTTTGGCTGAAGAAAAATAGACAAAAAATATAATTAAAAAAGAATTTTCCAAAAAATTAAAAATATCAAATACAAATATAATGTTAAATCAAAATGGCAATCAACATTCAAATAATTTTTAATAGTTAAAAAAATCATTAAATTATGAATTTTCAGAAAAATTATAATCTATTCTATTTAAATTTAAGTAATTTGCTTTTTTTTTCTAAATCATTCAAAAAATTTTTTATTATTAAAATATTATTTAGATTTTTTGGTAAGAAAGAGTATTTATTATCTAAAGGCTTAGATTATTAACAAAAAAAAATAATAGAAAAGCAGATATCAAAAGATTTAAATATCTTCGAATTCTACAAAGATATTTTATTTTTGAAGAAGGCTGTAATGATTTTATTAAGTAGTGAGCAATTAGCAGTCATGAAGATTATAGGTTGCTCTTCAAATTTCTTAGAGCAACCTAAAACGTTAATCAACAAGGATAATTAATTAAATAATACAGGTAAACAAATAAATTTCTTTTATATTATTTATTTTATAAAATTAATAATAGGATAATTAAATTACTTCTAAGAATAATATAAATAATTTGAGTCTGAAAATCTGTAATTTGAAAAAATTGAACAATTTATTAAGAGATGTTAATAAAATAGTTCTTTATCTGAAATAGATCAAAGATTATTATCATCTATTTGTATCTGATGTTTTACAAAAAAAAAAATCAAATAACAATTAATCAAAAAAATAAATTATTTTTAATTTAATTAACTGATTTTGAAGATAAAAATTAGTTTAATTTAATTTTCAAGGAATAAATATTTTATTTTATTGATATTGGAGTTTAATGACAAGTTTTAATAAAGATAAATACTGGTTTATTCAATATATTTTTAGATTAATAAAATATTTTTAATTTTTTTTTTTGTTAACCATGAAAGTTTCTAAAATATATTATTTATTACATATTTTGTTCATTTGTATCTATTTTAATCAGAAAATTTAAATTATAATAATAGATATTCATTATATTGTGATAGATCAATTTATATAAAGAGAGTTTTTTAAAAAAATGAAATAAATGTACACTTACTTCTATTTTTTTATTCTTAGTAAAAATAATTAATTATATTTAGTAAATAAATTAGATAAATGTATTGAAGTTTTACTTTGTCAAAAAAAATAAATCTTTGAATAATAAATGACCCTTAATAAATTAAAAATCTTTATTATTTTAAAATATCTTTAATCAAATCAAATATAATTCATTTGGTAACCTTTATTATTTGCCAAATATTCTAATTTCTCTCGCTATTATTTAAACAGATTTTGTTATTATTTTTATTTCTAAATTAATAATAATAAAGAACCTAATAGATAATAAAGATATAATGAGTTAAAAGTTTGAATTTAAATAATAATTAAAATGGCCTGTTAATTAGTTTCAATTCTAAGTAAGTGAAATTTAACAGCCTTAATAAAAGTTTAGCATAAGCAGTGAAATGAGTATTTTTTCATAGCAACATCATAATATAAGTTCATTAATTTACAGTACTGTGATAAATGATTAAACTTAACAAAAAAAAAAAAAGAAGGACAAATTGAAGAAAATTGAGGAAAGAAGCAAATAAATTTAACTTTTTTCTAAACTTATTGACGAAGGAGAAGCATGTTATGATGAATAGGCTAAAAAATAAATCAAACTAAGCTCAAAACTTTAAATTTAAAAGTATTTCACCTGCTAAAATATAAACATAAATTAATAGTTCAGAGATCATATACAAATTTATTATGGAAATATTTTAATAGACGATTAGATTAAAAAAAATAAATTAATAAGTGAAATAATTGGAGATTTAAATTAGAAAGAGGAGCATAAAAATATTTTAGGAGAATACCTTAAAAATGAATAATAATATAGTATTAGCATGAATAACAATTTTAACTAGAAATAATACTCAACTGTTTAACATATGTATTATCGTAAAGATGATACAGGCTCTGTTTCTGTTAAAACATGTATTTCACAGGATGCTAGAAGATTTGTGGTTTAAAAAATATTCTAAAAAACAACTAGGTAAACCACTGAATAATTTGAAAATTAAGTTAAATACGAAATTGATATTTTGAAATATATTAATTAATTAAACACTCTAATTACATTGCCATTTATAAAAGAAGAAATTTCCAAAGAGTCAAATCAAAGCAAGAAATATATCTTAAATATAGATTCTGGCATAAAAAACTTATTTTAAGTGAAACATTTTTATCAAACAAATAAAAAATATGTAGAATACAACGTAATTTTAGAATATGCATTTTGTTAATTATTATTAAAGTTGAATCAAATGCACAGAATTTGTAAAATAGCCCATTCTGATATTAAACCAGCAAACATAGTTATTGGATACGATCTATAATTTTATTTTATTGATTTTGGAGGATCAATATATTTAGATGATCTCAATTCTTGCAACTCATATTTGGGATTTTATACTAAATTTTATAATCTTAATTTATTTTTGGAAAAAAAAGAAAATTAGTGGAAATATTAAGAAATTATAGACTGTGATACCTCTCAGCTAATACTTTCCTTTTTGTATATGATAGATGTTGAGGATTCATATTACTAATCTTTTAAAAATGTGAATTTAGACAACTTTGAAGATTGTAAAAAAAATATAAAGCCAGAATTTAAAAGGCTAGGCAGGTATCTTTTAGGGAGTCTAATGTATATTATTTAAAAATAAAAAGATTCTAGTATAAAACCCCCAAAATAAAAAATATTCTTATTTTCTGATTTTGCTGGATAATTAACAATATCATTTAATAATTTATATGATATCAAGTATAATTAAAAAGATTAACATTATGAAGTCATTTCAGTTAATAGATTCAGCATTTAGATCATAGAAATTATAATATAAAACGAACCTAATTGCAAATTTTTAATTAATGAATAAAGTTAGATAGATTATATCATTAATAGATAAGAAGAAAGAGATAAAAGAAATATTAGCCAATATCCGAAGGTTTGTGAATTTTTTAAATTACAGTAAGAGGACATTTTATTTTTTGCAGTTACAAATCATAAATTTTACAATAAAAAATTTTTTATACATTAGTTTTTACTAGAAAATAAATAAATTCCTTTGGCTGAGTTTTAAGATGATATTCTTACTTATATTTTATAATCAATAGATAAAAAAGTATTAAGTATATATTTTAAATAAGAGTGGTTATTGATTAAAAACGAATTGATGGGTTTTGAAATAAAAGAAGAATTAGATTTATTCCAAATATGCATTGATTCTATTGACTAAGATAAAATAAAATAATTTATTACAAGCTTACAAAAAAATATACTAAATAAAAATAAATTGCAATAGATAATATTATCAATCGATTATAAATTACTGGATTTTTTTAAAGAAATAATTGATAATTTAAAAAAAGTTACTTTAAGCAAAAATAAAGAACTAGTTTTATAAATATTTCTCTATGATATAGAAGATTTATTTAAAAATAATATTAGGAATTTATAGGTTGATTTTGCAATTAATATTTATCACAAAATTAAGTAGTAAAATCTCATCTAAATTTTATATAATGAAGGATATCCTAGTAAATGTGCAAATATAATAGCTAAAATATTATTCGATGAAAATTAAGATTAAAATTTAGAGACAAACTATCATTTTCAAATAACTTAAATATAGGATAAATATATTTTCATAACATAATCAGAAATATCTTTAAATAGCTTATAGATTAGCATATTAAAAGAAACAGTTATTAAATATTTAAAATATAAGAAAAAATATGCAATCTAGCATTAAGTTTCCCAAAGCTAAATAAATAAAAACAAAAGCTATATACTTTAAAACATACTATAAAATAAAAATTAAAGAAAATAATTTGAAATATTTTTGATATCCTTTCAATAAAAAATAGAATATGATGCTAATTTAAATTATACTTGCGATTTTTTTTAAAAAATATATCTTATTTATGTTAAAAATAATATAAAAATAAGAAATAATGCTTATTTAAATTTATATTAAGAAAGTTATAAAAAATTCAATTCAGATTATGAATAAGAATTAATATCCAAGTATGTAAGCTCAAAATTGTCTAGTAAATATATAAAAAATCTAAATTTAGATTTTTCATAATTTAATTTTGAATTGGATGGAATGACAATAGAATCTCTAAAGTTTAAACTACAAAAACATTAGCTTTTTTCTTTGAAGATATAGTTTACAGATAGTCTATTTGAATACAAAACTCTCACTAATTTTCTAAAATGCATTAAATTATATAAATTTGGAAAAATCTGTTTAAATTTTTATAATATAGAATTTAAATCTATAGAAAGAATGAAAGATATTTTGGATTACTTATATTAAAATAAAATTTTGTTTTAAATTAATATTTAAGAATCAAAATTGATAGATTAAAAGGATATTAATTAATTAATTATTTAATATAGTAATAAAGATTCTATCTCTTTGCAATTCTTAAAAGAAGTTGATTTTTTTATTCACTTAATTATAGATCAATCATCAAATAATAATTTAAAAATAAAATCTCTTAATGGAATAGACCCTGAATCATGGAATAATATTAAAATATAATAGAAAAATGTTTAAGATATTGAATAAGGAGCATTTAAATGTTTTATATTTGTTTCAATTGGTTTTATTGGTATATCTTTCTTTCTTAATTCAACACATTTTTTTCTTGAAAGTTTATCTTTAACAGATGAAGATTTCGCTACAATAGTTTTCTTAAAAAATATCTTTTAGTTGATAATTTAGGCTTGTTAATAACTTCTAAGTTCTTCTTTGATGATACCTAATAGTTTTTTGATAGTAATTATTTTTTACCTGATATTATTAATTGAGACGCCTATATTTTTAGAGTTTTGTTCTGAAATGAATATTGCTTTACTTAATTTCCAACATTGTTCGATTATTTAAAGTTTAGCATCGTTTTTGTTTATTTACTATAATAAATAGCTCTGTAAATTCATAGTCATTGCAGAAACTTAAAATAATAAAATATAAGCCTAAATAATTAAAAAGGTATCTTAAAAATTAATAAAAATATAATTATTAATAAATATAATAAAAATTATTTCTGATTTATCTCTAATCATTACATTAGAATTATAGATGAATTATTAAGCTATCATAATTCAATCTCTTTTAATAGGATAATTTGTTATTTATGAAATTTTTTAAATTTATAATAAATTTAATGAGCTAACTAATAATTATAACTAATAATTATGTTGAGTGATAATTAAATATTTGTTTGTTTCATTTGAGTAATTAAAATACTATATCATTTCAATATATTAAATATTTATTCATAATTAAGGGTCATTTCAAGTTTACTTGACTTTTGAAGAATCTGGTTCAGATTCTATTAATTTTTTTCTTGAAAAAATCTTAGAAATTAATCCAAAATAAATAATTTGCCCCCCAGTATTCAGATTTTCACTTCAAAAATTCACAAAAAAAAAAAGCTAATTTTATAAATTATTAGGCAAATTATATTGAATATTTCAAATTAAAATAAAAAATTGTATTAATTTTATTATAAATTTTTTTAATAACTTTTTAATTATTATTTAAAATATTCCAATTAAGTTTTTAGTGGAATCTAAACCACTAAATTTTTAATTGGCATATTGCTATAATTGCTCTTTCAATATTTTTATTATTATGGAAAACTTTAAAAAGATTAGACTTAATCTATGGAAAATTTAAAATAAATTTAGTATATTTCTCTTTTTAGTAAAAGAAGGAAGGTTTTATTCTTAAAAATTAATAATAAAATTTATTTTAAAATATGAATAATTAAAGAATATGTATAAAGTAATACTTAAATTTTTTCTTTCAAAATATTAAATGTAATTTTTAGATATTTAAAATATCAAGACAATAAATTAAATTACTATTGATGATAACTCTAAATTATAAAATAGCCATTTTGCTATTTATAATCTAAATAAGTAAGTACAATGGTCAAATTATTTTAAACTATTGCCAGCTTTTTTTTTTATAGATTGTGTGATTTTAATGATTAAATTATTTATCAAATCCAAGAATATAGTCTTTTTAATAAGAATTTTATTGTTATTTACCATTAAAAATCCAGAAAAAATAATTAATACAGATAAGAAAGAAAAAAGAACAAATATAATTAATATTTAAAATATTCTCAATAATGGATTTGTAGGATATAGATTTGTTTTCCTCTTCTTTTTCTTTTACAGTTGGCAAATCTAATAGGCAAAGTAAAAAAGGGACTATATAAGGTGTTATATTATCCATAATTGTATTTATCTTTGCAATTGCTTATTTCTCTTACTTACTCTACCAGTTTGTAAATAATTAAATTGACCCAAACTACAAATCTCAGAGCTTCATAACAGAAGAGAGGATTGACATAAATTTAGGATCTGATTTACTAGGATTTAGATTTGAATATGATACAAATTAAGATATATAGAATTTATAGGCATCATAGAATTAAACATATTTAGTTTTTTATGCCTACTTTTACTATATAAATGGTACCTCTTTAACTTAAACATAACTTAACATCATATAATGTACTAACCCTTAATTAGCTGGATTTTATTGTTTAGATTTTTCACCTGTTTAAAACTACACTCTAACTTTAAGTACAAAAGAAAATTTATAATCTTAAGTATTCATTTATACTTATGGTTGTCTTGACATAGACTTTAATAAAAATTCTATTCCAAGTAACTGCGCTAATCAAACAGAAATCAATAAAATCGTTAATGGTGTAAATGCTGGTTTCAGATTTAAACTATTTACTTCTTAGTTTAACACATAAACAAAGCAGATTTAAGTTAATTATAGAAATGATTTTGTTTATGCTTTAGGAAATTATATCTCTTACACTACTTTAAAAGCATAAAAGCAAATAACTTCAGTAAAGTAAGGATTTTTTATTTAAAGCCAATCTAACTATTCATCACCTATTGCTTATGAGAAAGATAATCAACTTTGGGATAGGCAATACACAATAAACTCTATAAATTAGAGTGGCTATGGCATGCTTGAATTAATTATGAATGAGATTGTACAATAAGTTGAAATTCAATACCCTACAATTCCCTCAATATTAGCTTTAGTAAATAGTACTATATCTCTTTTAATGATACTTGGATATATTGGAAGAAGGTTTTCATAAAGTAAAATAAAAAATGATTTATTTTTAATGTTGTTATAAAACATTTACTAAGAAAAATATTTATAAATTTTAAAGTGCAACTAATTATTAGAATAAAATATGGACTCTCGTTAAGGATTAGCATAATTATAGTAGTAACAATAATCTTTGTTACAATAAAAAGAATAAGAAAAGTAATAAAATTAAGGAATCTTAAGTTAATCTAGATTTTAAAATGATGAGTCAGATATTTTTTAATAATAATTAGATGAAAAATAAAGCTAAAATAAATAAATTATATTTCCGCAGATAGAATTTAGGAGTAAATAAAATCTTGATTAATAATAATATAAATAATAATAATAATACAAATCTAAAAGTGAGCAGTAACTTAATAATGGACAGTTATCATAAAATAAATAAATGGAAGAATTAAGTTAAGAAATTATTATTTAATAAAATACAAGTCTTGACAAAAAAATTGCGAAAAATATTGATTTTAGTATTCAAAACTAAAATCATTAAATAAAAAATGGTTTTTTTAAGTAGCAAATGGTTTAGTATTAACCTAATTATTAATTAATGAAGTCTTTAGCTGAAGAAATATAGACAAATAATATAATTAAATAAGAATTTTTCAAAAAATAAGAAATAGCAAATTCAGATATAAAATTAAATCATAATGGTAAAAAATATTCAAATAACTTTCAAATATTAAAAAATTCATTAAATAAAAAATTTTCAGAAAAATTATAATCTATTCTATTTAGATTTAGGTAATTTACTTTATATTGATTGCTAGATCATTCAAATTATTTTATTATTAAAATTTTAATTAGATTTTTTGATAAGAAGGAGTATTTATTATCTAAAGGCTTAGATTATTAACAAAAAAAAATCATAGAAAAGCAGCTATCAAAAGATTTAAATATCTTCGAATTCTACAAAGATATTTTATTTTTGAAGAAGGCTGTTATGATTCTATTAAGCAGCGAGCAATTAGCAGCGATAAAGATTATAGGTTGCTCTTCAAATTTCTTAGAACAACCTAAAACATTAATTAATAAGGATAATTTCCTAAATAATACAGGTAAATATTTGAATTTATTTTATAATATTTATTTTAAACAATATTAGGATCATTAAATTACTTCTAAGAATAATATAATTTATTTGAGTCTGAAAATCTGTAGTTTGAAAAAATTGAACAATTTATTAAAAGATGTTAATAAAATACTTCTTTAACTGAAATAGATAAAAGATTATTGTCATCAATTTGTATCTGATTTTCTCTAAAAAAAATTAATTAAATTACAATTAATCTAAAAAATAAATTATTTTAATTTAATTAACCTATTTTTGAAGATAAAAATTATTTTAATTTAATTTTCAAGCAATATTAATACTTCATTTTATCGATACTTGGAGTCTAATGATAAATTAAATAAAGATAAATACTTGTTTATTTCAAAATAAATTTTTTGATAGTTGTATTAAAAAATGTTAACAAAATATTTATCATATATTTTTTAATTTGTTAAACACAAAAGTTTCTAAAATATTTGATATATTTATTCACATATTTTATTCATTTGTATTTATTTAACTTAAAAATTTTAATTATTATAATAGAAATTTATTACATTGTGATAAATCAATTTATAGCAATCATACAATGAGAGTTTTTTTTAAAAATGGCAATAAATGTAAATTTGTTTTTTAATATTCTAAGTGAAAATAATTAACTAAATTTAACAAATTAGATAAATCAATTAAAGTTTTGGTTTATCAAAAATCAATTTTTTGAATAATAAATAATCCTTAATAAATTAAAAATTTTTATTCTTTTATAATTTCTTTAATTAAATCTAATATATTTCATTTAGTAATCTATATTATTTGCCAAATATTCTAATTTCTGTCTCTATTCTTTAAACAGCTTTTCTCATTATTTTTATTATTAGATTTACAATAATAAATTGCCTAATAGATAAATAGAATAGGTTAAATGTTTGAATTCAATTAATAATTCGAATAGCATGTTAATTAGTTTCAATCTGAAGTAGGTGAAACTTAACAGCATTAATTAACGTTTAGAACATGCAATAAATTAGATATTTTTTTAAAGTAACATCGTAATATAAGTTCATCTATTTAAAGCCTAGCGCTGATTGATTAAACTTAACAAAAAAAAAAAATGAGTGAAAAATTGATGAAAAATGAGAAAGGAAGTAAATAAATCGGATTTTATACTAAACTTATTGGCGAAAAAGAAGCATGTTATGAAGGATAGGTTAAAAATTTAGGCAAAATAAACTCCAATCTTTAAATTTAAAAGTATTTTATTTGCTAAATTATAAATAAAAATTAATAGTTCAAAGATCATATATAAATTTATAATGGAAAAGCATAAATAGATAATAAAATTGTGAGAAATAAATTAATTTGTGAAATAATTGGCGATTTAAATTAGTTTTAGCAGCAAGAAAATATAATAGGAGAATCCATTAAAAATGAATAATATAGTATTTGTATGACTAACAATTTCAACACTAAATAATACTATACTGTTTAACATTTATATTATCGTAAAGATGACACATGTTCTGTTTCTGTTAAAACATGTATTTCATAGGATTCTAAAAAATTTGTAGTTTTAAAAATATTAGAAAAAACATCTAGGCAAACAACAGAATAATTTGAAAATTAAGTTTAATACGAAATTGATATTTTAAAATATATTAATAAATCAAACACTCTAATAACATTACCATTTATTAAAGAAGAAATTTTATAAGAGCCTAATCAACAAAGCAAGGTGTATATTTTAAATATAGATTCTGGCATAAAAAACTTATTTTAAGTGAAACATTTCTATCTTGCAAATAAAAACTATGAAGAATACAATGTAATATTAGAGTATGCATTTTGTTAATTATTATTTAAATTGAATCAAATGCACAGAGTTTGTAAAATAGCCCATTCTGATATTAAACCAGGAAACATAGTTATTGGATACGACCTATAATTTTACTTTATTGATTTTGGTGCATCAATATATTTAGATAATCACAATTCATGCAACTAATATTTGAGATCTTATACTAAATCTTTTAATCTTAATTTATTTTTGCAAAATAAATAAAATTAATGGAAATATTAAGAAATTATAGATTGTGATACTTCTCAGCTAATACTTTCTTTTTTGTATATGATAGATGTTGAGGATTCATATTATAAAAATTTTTAAAATGTGAATTTAAACAATTTTGAAGATTGCAAAAAAAATATAAAACCTGAATTTAAAAGACTAGGAAAGTATCTTTTAAATAGTCTAAAGTATATTATTTAAAAATAAAAAGATTCTAGTACAAAACCTCCAAAATAAAAAATATTCTTATTTTCTGATTTTGGTGGATAATTAACAAGGATATTTAATAATTTACATGATATCAAGTATAATTAAAAAGATTAACATTATGAAGTTATTTCAGTTAATAGATTCAGTATATAGATCATAGATATTATAATATAAAACGATCCTAATTGCAAATTTTTATTTAATGAATATAGTTAGATAGATTATATCGTTGATAAAGAAAAAGAAAGAGAAAAAAGAAATATTAGCTAATATCCGAAGGTTTGTGAATTTTTTAAATTTTAGTAATAAGATATTTTATGTTTTGCAGTGACAAATTATAAATTTAGCAATAAAAAAATTTTTATACACTAGTTTTTAATAGAAAATAAATAAATTCCTATGGTGCTGTTTTAAGATGATGTTTTTGGTTATATTGTATAATCTATAGATAAAAAACTACTTAGTATTTATTTTAAATAAGAATTTTTATTTATTGAAGACTAATTAATGGGTTTTGAAATAAAAGAAGAATTGGATTTACTTCAAATATGCTTTGATTCTATTGATTAAAACAGAATAAATAAAATTATTAAAAGTTTAGAGATAAAAATATAAATGTAAAGTAGATTACAATAGATAGTATTATTAATTGATTATAAATTACTATTTTTTTTAAAAAAAATAATTGATAATTTAAGAATAGTTACTTAAAGCAAAAATAAAGAACTAGTTTTTAAAATATTTATTAATAATATTGAAAATTTATTTTAATATGACATAATGAGTTTATCGGTTGATTTTGCAGTTAATATTTAGCAATAAATTGAGTTGTAAAATCTAATCTAAATTTTATTATAAAAAGAATATCCGAGAAATTGCAAATACATTTTATTAGATGGAAATTATGATTAAAATCTAGAAACAAGCCATCCTTTTCCAATTAATTAAATATATAACAAATATTTTTTAATAACATTATAATAGGAAATATCTTTAAATGGCTTACAGAGTAGCCTATTAAAAGAAACATCTATTCAATATTTCGAAAATAAGAAAAAATAAATAAGCTAAAATTAAGCTTCCTTAATCTAAATAAATAAGAATAACAGCTTAATACTTAAAAACATATTATCAAACAAAAATTACAAAAAATAATTTTAAATATTTTTGATATCCTTTCAAGAAAATAAAAAATAAGATGTTAATTTAAGTTATACTTGTAAATTGTTTTAAAATATACATCTTTTTTAAGGCAAAAAAAATGTAAAAGTAAGAAATAATACTTATTTAAAATTTAATTAAGAATCTAAAAGAAAATTCAATACAGACTTTGAATAATAATTGATATTTGGATATGTTAATTCAAAGTTGTCTGGCAAATTTATCAAGAATTTAGATTTTAATTTCTCTTTTTTTAATTTTAAAATGGAAAAAATGACAGTAGAATCTTTAAAGTCTAAAATTCAAAAATACTAATTTCTTTCTTTGAAGATATTGTTTAGAGATAGTCTATTTGATTACAAAACTCTTATTAATTTTTTAAAGTGCTTTAAATTATTTACATTTGGAAAAATCTATTTAGATTTTCAAAATATTGAATTTAAATCTATAAAAGGAATTCAAGCTATTTTGGACTTCTTATATTCAAATAAAATTTTATTTTAAATTAGTATTTAAAAATCTAAATTGATGAATTAAAAAGATAATTTATTAGTAATTCAATATGGTAATAATTATTATATCCCTTTGAAATTCTTAAAAGAAGATGGTTGCTTGCTCAACTTAATTATAGATCAATCATCAAATAATAGTTTAATAATAAAATTACTTAATGGATTACACCCTGAGTTATGGAATTTTATTTAAATGAAATTGGAAAATCAAGAAGATATTGATTTTTTTTTAAAATAGTCAAAAAAGAACCAGGTTGTACTTAATGCTTTTTTTTTATTTATTATTTTTATATCAGAATTTATTAACTAGCGATTGCTTATCAACAATATCAGAAGATTATATAACTAATTATAATAGTGGATAATTATCAATTTTGTATGTTTAATATATTCTAAGCTCTACAATGCTATAAGATAAAGATCCTTAGAATCTTTTTAAATTAGTTATTTTTTTACTAATCTGAGTTTTAAATTTTGAAATATTTACAAATTTTATTGATGATTTTAAATAAATTTAACTTAATCTTCAATATTGTTAGATTATATTAAGTTTATTATCTTTTTTGCTTGTTAATTACAATAAATAACGCTGTAAATTTATAGTTATTGTAGAAGCTTAAAAAAATAGAAAATAAGCCGAAAAGTATAGAAAGACATCTAAAAGACTTTTAATAATACCATTATTAATCAATATAATAGTAATAATTTTTAATTTATATCTAATCATTACAGACAGACTTTAGGTGGATTAACAATCTATCATAGTTTCGTTTTATTTTATAGGATAATTAGTTATTTTTGAAACTATTAATATTTATAAAAACTTTAATGAGCTAACTAATAATTATGGTGGTTGATAATTAAATATAAGTTTTATTTAAGTAATTACATATATTTTTTTAAAAGTAACCCTTGTATTTGTATTTAATGTATATTTTATAAAAACTAAAATTAAAAATTTAATAGAAAAATCATAAAGATCGATATAATTAAATTATAAATATTATTAATTAAATTCTATTATAAAATTATTTATTTTTATATAAATAATGTTGAAATGCATCAGCAATTCAAAAAAATAGTGATCCCAATTCACTAAATTTTTGAATGGCATTTAGCTATTAATATTTTGATTAAAAACCTTTAAAACTCTTTTTTATTAATTTTTTTGTTATATTTGAATAGAGCAATGTTTAAAGTATAATCTTTGTACTTTTGTTTTAAATTAAATAAGTTTTTTCCTAAAATATACCTCTGATTGATAATTCGTGAGCACCACTATAGATAAGTGTATAAAAGGCATACTTGTCGAAAAAAATAAATCTTTGAGCAATAAATAATCCTTAATAAATTAAAAATCTTAATTCTTTTATAATTTATTTAATTAAATCAAATATTATTCATTTGGCAACCTATTTTATTTATTAAATATTCTAATTTCTATCTCTATTCTTTTAACTGCTTTTTGATTATTTTTATTACTAATTAATGATAATAAAGCACCTAATAGATAAAAAAATAGAATGAGTTCAATGTTTGAATTTAAATAATAATTAAAATGGCCTTTTAACTAGTTTCAATTTGAAGTAAGTGGAAATTAATAGCCTTAATTAACATATAGCATAAGCAATGAAACGAGCATTTTTTCATCGCAAGATTATAAAATAAGTCCATCAACATACAGTACTGCGCTAAATGATTAAACTTAACAAAAAAAGAAGGAAAAATTGAAGAAAATTGAGGAAAGATGCAAATAAATTGAACTTTATGCTAAATTTATTGATGAAGAAGAACCATGTGATGAAGAATAGGTTAAAAAATAAAGCAAACCAAACTCAAAACTTTAAATTTAAAAGTATTTCACCTGCTAAAATATAAACATAAATTAATAGTTCAGAGATCATATACAAATTTATTATGGAAATATTTTAATAGACGATTAGAATATGAAAAATAAATTAATAAGTGAAATAGTTGGAGATTCTAATTAGTAAGAGGAGCATAAAAATATTTTAGGAGAATACATTTAAAATGAATAATATAATATTATCATGAATAACCATTTCAGCACTAGAAAATACTTTACTATTTAACGTTTATATTATCGTAAAGATGATACATGTTCTGTTTCTGTTAAAACATGTATTTCACAGGATGCTAAAAGATTTGAGGTTTAAAAAATATTTGAAAAAACATCTAGGCAAACCATAAAATAATTTGAAAATTAAGTATAATATGAAATCGATATTTTGAAATTAATTAATTAATCAAACACTCATATAACATTACCATTTATTAAAGAAGAAATTTCATAAGAGTCAAATCAAAGCAAGAAATATATCTTAAATATAGATTCTGGCATAAAAAATTTATTGTAAGTGAAACATTTCTATCAAACAAATAAAAAATATGTAGAATACAATGTAATATTAGAGTATGCGTTTTGTTAATTATTATTAAAGTTAAATCAAATGCATAGAGTTTGTAAAATAGCCCATTCTGATATTAAACCAGCAAACATAGTTATTGGATATGATCTATAATTTTACTATATTGATTTTGGGGCATCAATATATTTAAATGATCTCAATTCCTGCAACTCATATTTGGGATTTTGTACTACACATTATAATCTTAATTTATTTTTGGAAAAAAAATAAAATGAGTGGAAATATGAAGAAATTATAGACTGTGATACATCTCAGCTAATACTTTCCTTTATGAATATGATAGATGTTGAGGATTCATATTATAAACATTTTAAAAATGTAAATTTAGACAATTTTGAATAATATAGAAAAAATATAAAGCCAGAATTTAAAAGACTAGGAAAGTATCTTTTAAGAAGTCTAATGTATATTATTTAAAAATAAGAAGATCCTAGTGCAATTCCCCCAAAATAAAAGATATTCTTATTTTCTGATTTTGCTGAATAATTAACAAAGAAATTTAATAGTTTATATGATATCAAGTATAATTAAAAATATTAACATTATGAAATCATTTCAATTAATACATTCAGCATTTAGATTATAGAGATTATAATATAAAACGAACCAAATTGCAAATTTTTAATTAATAAAAAAAGTTAGATAGATTATATTGTTGATAAAGAAAAAGAAAGAGATAAAAGAAATATTAGCTAATATCCGAAGGTTTGTGAATTTTTCTAATTATAGAAAGAAGACATTTTATATTTTGCAGTGACAAATCATAAATTTTACAATAAAAAAATTTTTTTATATTAGTTTTTACTAGAAAATAAAAAAATTCCTATGGCAGAGTTTTAAAATGATATTCTTACTTATATTGTATAATAAATAGATAAAAAACTATTAACTATATATTTTAAATAAGAGTCTTCAAAAATTAAAAACTAATTAATGGGTTTTGAAATAAAAGAGGAATTAGATCTATTCCAAATCTGCTTTGATTCTATTGACTAAGATAAAATAAAATAATTTATTTTTATGTTACAAATATTCATGCTAAATAAAAATAAATTGCAGTAGATAATATTATTAATCGATTATAAATTACTGGGTTTTTTTATAAAAATAATTGAAAATTTAAAAAAAGTTACTTTAAGCAAAAATAAAGAACTTGTTTTATAAATATTTCTCAATGATATTGATAAATTATTCAAAAATAACATTTAGAATTTATAGGTTGATTTTGCAGTTAATATTTAGCAAAAAATTAATTAGTAAAATCTCATCAAACTTTTATATAACGAAGAATATCCTAGAAAATGTACAAATTTAATAGCTAAAATATTATTAGATGAAAATTAAGATTAGAATTTAGAGACAAACTATACTTTTCAAATAACTTAAATATTTGATAGATATATTTTAATAACAAAATCATAAATTTCTTTAAATAGCTTATAAGTTAGCATATTAAAAGAAACAGCAATTAAATATTTAGAATATAAGAATAAATATGCAATCTAGCATTAAACTTTCAAAAGCTAAATAAATAAGAACAAAAGCTATATACTCTAAAAAATACTATAAAATTAAAATTAAAGAAAAAATTTTTAAGTATTTTTGATATCCTTTCAATAAAAAATAGAATTAGATGCTAATTTAAATTATAATTGCAATTTGTTTTAAAAAATTTATCTTTTTTAAGTTAAAAAAAGTATAAAAATAAGAAATAATGCTTATTTAAATTTATATTAAGAAACTCTAATAAAATTCAATTCAAATTATGAATAAGAATTGATATTCAGATATGTAAGTTCAAAATTATCTGGTAAATTTATAAAAAATCTAAATTTAGATTTTTCATAATTTAATTTTGAATTGGATGAAATTACTATAGAATCTCTAAAGCTTAAATTACAAAAATATTAGCTTTTTTCTTTGAAGATATAGTTTACAGATAGTCTATTTGAATACTAAACTCTAATTAATTTTCTAAAATGCATTAAATTATATAAATTTGGAAAAATCTGTGTAAATTTTAAAAATATAGAATTTAAATCTATAGAAAGAATGAGAGATATTTTGGATTACTTATATTAAAATAAAATTTTGTTTTAAATTAATATTTAAGAATCAAAATTGATAAATTAAAAGGATATTAATAAATTAATTATTTAATTTGGTAATAAAGATCATATCTCTTTGCAATTCTTAAAAGAAGTTGATTGTTTTATCCACTTAATTATAGATCAATCATCAAACAATAACTTAAAAATAAAATCACTTAATGAATTTGATCCTGAAACTTGGAATATTATTAAATTTTAATAGGAAAGTGATCAATTGTAATTTTTTAGATATGCTATTATATCAATCTGTTTTTTCCTCCCCTTTTTATTTCTTTGTTTGATCATTTCTACTGGTGATTTTAACTTAGATAAAATACCAGATGAAATTGAAAAAACTTTTAATAATCATCTGTAATTAATAATTTAGTGTAGTTAATATTTACTAAGTTCTTTTTTGCTATAAAATATATAATCTTGGAGAATTTATTATTTACTTTTTTTATTACTGCTCTTATTAGATATAATTATATTCAACATTTTTGGTTATTATTTTAACAAGGTTTAACTTAATCTTCAATATTGTTAGATTATTTAAAGTTTAGCATCATTTTTGCTTATTTACTACAATAAACAGCAATGTAAATTCACAGTTATTATAGAAACTTAAAAGAATAGAATATAATCCTAATTTATTAGAAAGGCATCTTAAATAATAGTGATAATACAATTATTAATCAATATAATAGTAATTATTCTTGATGTATATGTAATCATTACATATGAACTTTAGGTGAATAAAGAAGCTATCGTACTTTCATTTTTTTTAATAGGATAATTTATAATTTGTGAAGTTTTTAATATTTATAATGAATTTAATAAGTTAACATATCATCATATTTTTTGATAATTAAATATTAGTTTTATTAATGTAACATCACTTCAAAATATCTTTCTTTTTTAAAAATTTATTCATAACTAAAGGTTGGTTTGACTTGACTTGACTTTTGAAGAATCTGGTTGAGATTCAAATAAAAATTTATTAACTCTAGTTGAAAACAAAATTCAAAAAATAAAATAATATGAATTAATTATTTCAAGTTTTATTCTTTTTTAATGAGTTGACTAGAGTTAAAATAAAATTCAACTACAATATATAAAAAAATGAATCACAAATATTTTAAATCCTATGAAAAATAAAGGTTAAACAATTTTTTTTTTTGAATTTGATCAATATTAATTGACAGTGTTTAACCAGAAGCAGCAAATATGTGCTCAGACTCAAAAATAGTCACTTAAATATTCACTGTAGCTAACAATAAACAATAATTGTCATTCTTTTTATTATATGATAAAATTTAAATTAATTTTATGAGTCCTTAAAGTAAATTATAGCTAAATGCTTCTCTTAAATTTAGTGAAGTAGTATCACTATTTTTTAGAAAGGCCTTTATTTTATAATAATTGTTTATAGTATTAATAACTTTTATTTATATTAATCTTTATGATTTTTCTATTAATTTTTTAATTTTAGCCTTTTTTAAAAAATTTTATTCAAATTGTAGCCAGATAAACCACAGAAGAATTTGAATATTAAGTTTAATACGAAATTGATATTTTGAATTATATAAATTTGCCAAATACTCTTATAACATTACCATTTATTAAAGAAGAAATTTTATAAGAGCCTTATCAAAGCAAGATGTATATCTTAAATATAGGTTCTGGCATAAAAAACTTATTTTAAGTGAAATATTTATATCTTGCAAATAAAAACTATGAAGAATACAACTTAATATTAGAGTATGCATTTTGTTAATTACTATTTAAGTTGAATCAAATGCACAAAGTTTGTAAAATAGCCCATTCTGATATTAAGCCCGGAAATATAGTTATAGGATACAACCTATAATTTTACTTTATTGATTTTGGAGGATCAATATATTTAGATGATCTCAATTCCTGCAACTCATATTTGGGATAATTCACTAAATTTTTTAATCTTAATTTATTTTTGGAAAAATAAGAAAATGAGTGGAAATATGAAGAAATTATAGACTGTGATACTTCTCAGCTAATACTTTCCTTTTTGTATATGATAGATGTTGAGGATTAATATTATTAATTTTTTAAAAATGTGAATTTAGACAATTTTGGATATTGTAAAAAAATATAAAACCAGAATTTAAAAGACTTGGCATGTATCTTTTAAGGAGTCTTATGTATATATCATTTAAAAATAAGAAGATTCTAGTATAAAACCCATTTATTTTTTTTATTTAATTTTATGTTTTAAACAATATTAAATAACTTTACAAATATTAAATTAATATCTTTTATAGCTTTTTCTTTTCATTTTTTAATTTAGGATTGGTTTATTTTTTTAGTTTAGTCTTCATTTTGGTAAATAATCTCTGATGTTCATGAATTTTATAATCTGCATTTTTTTTTACTAAAAATGATTTTTTATTTGAATTTACTTAGTAATTTATTTAAATTTTAGTTATTTTTGAAGTTTTTAATATTTATAAAAACTTTAATTAGCTAACAATTAATTTAGCTGGTTAATAGTTAAACTATTAGTTTTATTTAAGCAATTAAAATGTTATATCATTTCAATATTTTTTTCTCTTTTAAGTAATTATTCATAAATAAAATTAAATTCTTTTTTAGATATAAAAAAAAATACATTTTGATAAATTAATTATAAAGCTATTAATTTTAAACATAAAATTATAAACATCAAATATCTTTTTTAATCAATTATTGTATTTTGATCAAAAAAATTTAATATCATTATAAACAATTTTAACTTTAAATAATTAAAATTTGGTTAGCTTAAACAAAATTTATTCTTTTTCATTTAATTTTTGCTTAAAATTATATTTAATATCTGTAAAGATATTAAATTAATATTTTTATAGCTTTTTCTTTTCAATTTTTTAATTTAGGATTGATTTATGTTTTTAGTTGATTATTTATTAGTTTTTATTTTAGTAAATAATATCTCATGTTCATCAATTTTATAATCTGCATTTTTTTTACTAAAAAATATTTTTTATTTTAATTTACTTAGTAATTTATTTAAATTTGGTTTTTTAGTGAAATTGAAATTTGTGGTAAAATAATTTATAATGAAGAAATTTAAAATGAAATCACTTTGCTTTTAAATTTAAAAATAAGTGAATGCTTCTAGAATTATTTCTAACAATAATTAAAAAGGTTTCTATTTTTCTAAATTAAATTATTTTGTATATAGAAACAATAGAATTGAATGTTAGAATAAAGAAGAAGAAGAAGATTTCCTAAGAATATCTAAATGTGCAATTGATAGATAATGTTTGATAAAAAATAAGATAATTTTGTTAAGCAATATTTATTTATTTATATATATATATATATATTTATATATTTATTTATTAATATGAATAAGAATTTTTGTGTCTAAATTGACATTCACTCAAAGAAAGAGTTTATTTATACGATCTTTATTTTGAAAAAACCTGCTATAGTTTAATATTTTAAATAGCAAACAAGCTAGAAGAAAAGCGAATGAGTTTGCATTTTTCTAATTTTATTTTGAATAATCATGTAAAAAAGGATATCAGTTCTATTTGAAGACAATACAAAAGTAAAAAAATAAACAAAAATACAGAAAAAATAATTAAATATTTCTAAAAATTAAATTTTTCAAAAATTAATTAAAAAACGAAAGAAAAAGTAAAATGTTTTCAGGAGGTTTTGGTGGATTTAACTTCGGTTTCGGAGGTGGTCGTGGTAAATATATTTGGCTTATATTTTAAATAAATGCAAAGCAATCGTAGCGAAACATTGAGATTAGGCCAAAATGGATATTTTTGATTCTCATGTTAGCTTCAAAAAAGCAATATTGCCCATTTGTATTAATCAAGAATCTCATTTCAAATGATTATAAAAAGATGATGATGATGAATACGATGAGGACGCTAGACAATAGCAAGAAAGTGGCAAGGACGTCGATACTTAGGAATTATATAATATTATGGGAGTCGACAAAAAAGCTGATGTTAACGAAATCAAAAAGGCTTATAAGAAGGCTTGTTTGAAGGGTGAATATCGTCACCCTGATAAGGGAGGTGATCCTGAAAAAGTAAAAATAAAATTTAAAAAGAATTAGGAGCTCTAATATTTTATAAACAAAATAGTTCAAAAAATTGAATGAAGCATATGAAGTTCTCTCAAATCCTGAAAAGAGAGATATTTATGATAGATATGGTCTTTAAGGACTCAAAGAAGGTGGTGGCGGTTCTGGTGGCAGCCCCTTCGATATTTTTGAAACCTTCTTCGGTGGTGGTGGCCAAAGATAAACTGGTCCTAAGAAAGCCAAAGCCAGAGCTGTTGAAACTGAAGTTACTTTGGAAGATGTTTATAAGGGTAAAATGACTTAAGTTCCAGTCAAAAGAAAAAGAGTTTGTGAATCATGTGAAGGTAAAGGTGGCAAAAATGCAAAGGTAATAAAAATTATTCACTTTTGACTGAAATATCTAAGCAAATATAAGCAAAACATAGAGAAAAAGCAAACATTAAATTACTCGTTAAAGTTAATGTATGAACGAGGAACAAAATTAGCTTACTTTTAATAATTTAGCAGAACAAATAAAAATTTAAATATGAATAATAATTTAATAGGTTTGCGATCAATGTAAGGGTCAAAAGATTGTTATTAAGTTGGTTAAATAAGGACCTAACTGCTACTCTCAAAGCCAATAAATTTGTGATAAGTGTTAAGGTTAAGGTGATCTCATGAAAGAAGCTGACCGTTGCAAGGTTTGTAATGGTAAGAAAATTGTCGACAACGAAAAGATTATCGAAGTTCCCCTTGAACCTGGTGTTCCTCATGAATACAGCTACAAGTTTACTGGTGAAGCCGATGAAGCTGTAACGAAAATTATTTAAAATTATTCAATAAAGATTTAATTTTACTTTAAATAAATTAGCCTAACATCATGGCTGGTGATCTTTATGTTAAAATTATGATTAAAGACCATCCTGTCTATAAAAGAAAGGGTGCTGATCTTTATATCGAAAAGTAAATTACCCTTTTAGAAGCTCTCAGTGGTGTTAACTTCGAAATTAAGCATCTCGATGGCTCTACTTTGAAGATTGCCACTGCTCCTGGTCAATATATAGAAAATGATAGTATTCACACTATCCAAGGAAAAGGTATGCCCTTCTTTAAGGATGCCTTCTCTCATGGTAACCTCTTCGTTAAATTCAAAGTATGTTAAAATTATTAAATACTAAAAGTAATTGCTAAATAAATAAAAATAACTTATTATAGGTTCAATTCCCTAAAAGCAGAGCTTTAAAACCTGAACAAATCGAAAAAATTAAAAAGGAACTTGGTGCTGGAGTTTAAAGCCACGTTTTAGATAAAAGTTAGAAGTTTGAATATTTAGATAGCTTCAGCGAAGCCGATCTTAATCCTAATCCCAAGGGAGGAAGTAATAAATAAAAAAATTAATCAATTAAACATAAATCTTATGAAAATTTAAATAAAATTATAGGATCTAATAGCAGAGATGATGATAGAGAAGGCATGCCAGGAGGTGCTCAAAGAGTCTAATGCGCCCAATAATGAAAAAATAAATTAAAGTGTAATTAAAATAAAATTGAAAGAGAAAATAAAGCTATATTCAATAATAGTTAAATTAACTAGCTATTTTAATCGAAATATATTTTGTTAATTCTATTTATCTTAATATTCATTCTGTAATTTGATATAATCTATTCATCTATCCATCCATTTATCTATTATTCCATATATTTCAAGTCTTTTCTTTCTAAAACTGATGAATCTTATTGTTTATAGCTTTAAATTTAAGGTATTTTTTTAATTTTATAATTTCTTACTTACACATCCAAAAAATAAACTAATCAAAAAATAAATAAATCAATATCTAATTAACTAAAATAAAAATTAGTTTATGAAGTGTTTTTTAATAATTTCTAAAATATGTTTTTTATAAAAATTTTATGAAATTAAAAAAAAATACTAATAAATGAATGGGAGGTTTTTCTAAGTATTTATCATAAAAAACATAATGAATTTTGTTGAAAGTAATTGCCTCAACAAATTAGATTCGTTATATATTTATTTATTAAATTTTAAATGAATATAAAATTTCTTTCCAACTTATTTCATTCAAAGAAATTTCTCATAAATTTTTCATTAATTTTTTTTTTAAAAAGATATTTAAAAAATAAATAAATTATTTTTGATCAAATATAAAATTGCAAACAAAATCTATAAAAATAAAACAAAATTTCTAAGCACACGCTTTTCTTTATAGTCTGTTTTAGAGGTATATATTAGAGATTTATATTTTAAGTAGAATAATTATAATTCTCTCAAAGTAATTTTATTTATTTTAAATATAATATTTATATAACCAAATTAATTTCATATTTTAGAGCTGTTTTATGTTTCTGGATAATAAATTATATTTTCCATTTCATTCCAAGTTTTGAAAACTTCAAAGCCACACTTTTAATAAAAAGGCAGGGCTGCTTCAGAATCTAATTAGCAAGTTTAAAGAATGATTCTATCTACTTTTTTATTCAACTTAATATCTTAAATTGTTTTGAAGAAAGACTTTTTGCCCAATCCCTTTCCTTAAAATTCATCTGTCAATCCAAAGAAAGCTATTTCAACATATTTTTCTCCTTTAAAAGCTGCGTATTCACCATCTATTTCAATTCTATATTCAGATATTCCTATTACCTTTCCTTAGTGTCTTATTTCATAAACTATTTCATTTGGATTATCAAATACTTTTTATTTAATCTCTTCTCTAGATTATCTAATCCTTGAGCTCCAATTATATTTTTTTCCGACTGATTGCCACAAATTGAGATATTATTCTATGCTATATTTTTTAATATCTACAAGCTCGATATCCTCGTATTTATTCTCTAAATCTTCTTAAGATAGTTTTTTTAGCTCTAATTTATAATTTGTCATTTTAGTATCAACCCATTTGTGTTCCCCTAATTCAAATTACATTTTGCAAAGATACTTTTAATTCAATCAACTGTTTAAAAATTTTAAATTATTGATAATTTTGCAAATTATAGTAAAACCAGCTAAAAATTATTTGTGTTTCTTTATTCTTAAAATAATTAATCAAAAATTTTGCCAAGATGAAATTTTAAGGTCAAAAATGACTTAAAAATGAATTAAAAGTAAAAATGATTTATTTTTAAAATATTTTAGATTCATTTAAAAATTACAAAAAAACTTTAATTCAAAAAAAAAAAAATTGGATTTTGTTTAAGTCAATTTTAAATAAATAATCTTTTTTAATAGATTTTTCAACTGAAATACTCTTAAATTGCTAATTCTAATCAAGTAAAAATGTTCATTTTTATTAAATACAAATAAATTTTCTTAAAAAATCAGAAGAGTTAAAAGAAAAGTTTTTATTTATTTATTCTTTTAGCATAAGAAAAATGTTTTTTATCATTAAAAAGACAATTTTTTGTACCGAAAAATTTGAATTATTCTTTTCTTTAATGAATTTTTTGTATTAATTTAAATATTATTCTTTAGCTTAAGCAATAAATAGATGCATAGACACATAAATTAGCTTTTCATGAAATAAACATTTATTTTTTAAGATTAAGAGTTTATTTTTTACTGATGATTAAATAAATATTATTAAATAGCATTAAATTTAAAATAATATTTATTGATTTAACTTATTAATTTTTTTACAAAAATTCAATTTTATTTTTAAAGTTAAGTAAAAGTAAATAAATAAATAAATTTCTACTTTTTAATTGATGCTTAAATTTTTTAATTATTTAATTTAATCAAAATTTTTTTGATTGAATTTCATAATGTCATTTAAAAAATTATCTAGATGTACATTTTATAAATATTTTTATTTTAGAGTGGTAGGATTTTTAATAAAAAGTTTTCTAATTTTTATAATATATTCTATTTTATATTTAATAAAGCTAAATTGTTTTAGAATAATATTATTTAAAATAAAATATCAAATAATTATTTGCACTTTCTTTGTTATTATTAGATTAAAATAAAATTTCTTTTAACATTATTTAGTTAACACAAACATAAATAACTGAAATTAAAAGATTTAAAAGCAAAAAAAGACTTACATAAAGCAATGTAATACGAGCCTTTGGACATAGAGGCTTATCCCTTCAAGGAAAATAAATAGGACAAGGAGAAGAAAAAATAGTAAAAGGCAGACGGTGAAAAATATGAGAAAAAAGAAATAAATATTTTATCTTAATAGCAAGTTTTACAATAATAATAATCATAGGTATAGCAATTGGTATATATAAATACACTCTCTTTTTAAGCAATGGAAGCTGACATATCTTTAGCAGAGTATTTGAGCATATTTTTTGGGTGCGGGACTGCTGTTTATTTGTTTATAAAATTGTTACCTCTGCTCACAATCGAGGGTTGTGGAGAGATTGGATTTAGAGGAATTGCATTAATTTCTATATTCTATTTTAGCGTACCTCCATTGTGTCTATGCTCGACTGGATTTAAGAATAACAAAAAGCTATGTTTGTTTGTATCTAAATTCTTCTTTGCAGTTAGCTTCATCAACTTGCTTTCAATTATATATGTTTTTAGTGTCTCATACACTGCTGAAAAGTGGTATAAGCTAGAAAGTGAGTGCATAATTTCAGAAGAATCAAAAAAAATAAATTTTTAAACTACTTAAATAATTTTATGTCAAATCTTTCTCTCTATCAACGGGTTTGTCGTGTTTGCTCTGATGAGAAATCTCGCCAAATCCATTGAGAAAAGAGATTGGGCTGTAAGAAAAAAGATGGTAATATTACCTCACAAAATAATCAATGTTAACATCCCTGTATTTTACGATTAAATGCTCTTCTTTTTCTTTAAAAAGTAAGTTCCTGCTCTTTGGACTTGCTTGATTTTTTGAATTTAAAAAAATCGATATTAATAATTCTACTTTGATTTTTTATCATTTTATTTTTTATATAATTATTTTTTATTATTTTAACTTAATTTAATTTATGTTTTATTTGTTTAAATTCAACAATTTTCTTAAAATTATATTGCAAAATTAGTAAAAAAAATAATAATATTGATATAGCCAAGAGATATTTTCAAAGCTATTCTAATACTTTTTAATTTATCATGAAAGCTCCTTCTATTCATTTCTTTTTTTATTGGCTAATCAGAGCCTTATCAAAATAGAAAATTAATTTTTTTGTAAAAATCAGAAATTTCAAAATATAAACAAGCATATTAATCAAAAATATTGTTAAATAAAATGAATATTTTTACAGGTATTAAAAACAAGATAAAGGAATCAGTTATTGAAGAGGAGCTATAGAAAAGAGAGAAAGAACTTATTCAACGATATTAAGAATATGAAGCCTAGTTAGAGAAGGAGTATTAAGAGAAACTTTAGGAATAAGTAAAGATTATTGAGAACCAATTTATTGAGGATATGAATTAAAAATTGTTGGTTCTTTGTAGAGAATATCAAAGATTCTTCAATGAAAAAATTGAAAAGATAGAAAGCGTGTATCAGCAAGTCAACTTTTAGGCGGAACAATTTAACATTTTCCTCTAAATCTAAATAGAGTAATTTGAATAAAAGATTAAAGACTATCAAAGCTAGCACCAATATCAGAATCTCAAATAACAGCTAATTGATGAATTCAAAAAGATATATAGTAAAGAACCTAAAGATTCAATGCTGAAGAAAATGTTTACAACGAATAAAGATATTTAAAAGAACCTACTCATGTTTGATGACTTGATTAAAGAAATCTCTCACAACAAGCTGGACTCTATATTAAAAATAAAATAAAAAGTAAACATAGACTCATTCTTTTAGCTTGAAAATAAGCTTCTAAGAGAAATTAGGAATCAATATATAAATGACCAGCAGATGGAATCAATTAAAAATCATTATATAAATACATTTGAATGTTGTGTCTGCTTAGAAAAAAATAAAGTTGAGTTTGTCTGGAGTGGTTGTGGTCACACAAACACATGTGCATAATGTTCTAAGAGTTTAAAAGCCTGTCCTATTTGTAGAAAGCCGGGAAAATTAATTCATCTTTACATAGCATGAGCTAAAAACGAAATTTTACTTTATAAAAAAGCAAAATATAACAAGAAAATCTAAGCAAATTGATAAAAATATTCATGTAAAATCTAAAATTTTAGATGAAAACTTAAATATTTATTTTAAAGCTACTTCTTTATATAATAATAATAAATAAAGTAATTTACTCCTTATAAATGTTATAAAAACTTAAAAAAAATACTTTCAATGAAATTAAATTATTTTCATCAAAATATATTTGTTTAACTGAATAAATAAATTGTATCAAATTTTGATATTTTAAAATAATTATTTTGTAAATTTGTTTGAAATAAATCATTCAATTAATGAATTATAATTATCATATTGGTTTTTTTAGTATATTTTATCTAAGATACAAATAAACAAAAGAATTTTATATTTTAAAAACTGAAACTTTAACATATTTTTTAAAATAATATTTTAAAATAATTAAATTATAAAAGAAGTTTTAATCATTTAAATTTAAATGATTTCAAAATATATATTATAAAAATTTAAAAATTATCTTCATGTTTAACTTAAAGTAAATTAAATTATAATCAATATAAATTTAGTAGTGCTTAAAAACTATATTTATATCAATAGTTATTAAAGATGGATTGTCTAATTTATTTTAGAATCATTCAATTTGAAGGTAAGTTGCAACTATCGGCTGCTTTATCATTTAATAAACTAACTATCCACTATATAAAACCGGTTAATGCAAAAGTTAAAACGACACCTAAAATTTAGAAAGAAATAGGTGTTATTCCAAATGCATAAATTTAATGAATCTATTAATTTTAATCCATAGATTCAATTACTTATTCATACTTTGTTATCAGTTTTTTTAAGTATGATCTTTCTTTCTTTATAAATTCGTCATTTGATACAGATTCAGAGATTATTTTTTTTTTTGTAATAGGGTCAACTTGAGCAAAATCATACCAAGCAATCCTTCTTAAAGCTTTTTTCGTGCTATAAGAAAATACCTCTTACTTAATTCCGAATAAATTAAATTATCTGCTAAGCTATTTTAGTTCTTTGTATGCACTATTTTCAAAATTTTAGTCAATATCTGAGTAAATCCATTTAATTTCTTTTAAATTATGTCTTAATTATTATTTGTGCTGATTGAATTAATCATTAATCCTGGCCTATTAAATCAAGCTAGGGATTAAAAATGTTGTTATCCTTTAAAATAAAGCTACAATTAATAAGTATCTGAGATAGGGATTTACTTTCGTTAACTAGTATTAAATATTTCCATTTGAATCTACAAATTAAGATAGAGATTCTATGACCAAAAGTAGTATTTCTAATAAAATTAAAGTGATCCATCCATTTAAAGAATAAATTTTATATTTCATAGTAATAACTCTTAAATTTAACCATGTCTATAGAGATTTAGTACAGAAAATATCCATTGTTGGTAACTCTTTCATAGTAAGCGAATAAGTCACTTTTGTGTCAAAAGAAATCATCAATCCAAGACGCTCCAAAGCATGCAATCTATTTGAAAAGACTTTCTTAAAGTATCTATTATTGGATTAAATTAATATATACAGGATCAAATTTACCCAGAAAGCACCCAATATTGATTTTTAGCCTGTATTAACGATGTAATTTTGTTACTTAACTGTATTGTAAGTTAGCAAAGCCATAATTAAAATGAGAATTATAGGGAAAAAAAGATTGTTGTAAAATTTAATTAAAATTTTCCTCAAATTGTAAGGGTGGTAATTTTTTTAATAGAACTTCACATAACCTTTACAAACATGGGGTAACTCATCTGCTACAGGTCTTGAAGATTAGAAAAGATACTAAGAGAAAATACCAATTCCACTAACCCATTTTTTTTTTAATAAAATTTCTTGATCTTAAAGACAATAAACATCCTCTTAAACATCTTCTTACATTTCAATGATATTTTAGTTTATTTTTTTTCCTTACTCATCATATTAAATCCTGTTTGGATAAAATGCTTGCTCATAAAATTCAAAGGATTAGTTTAAATTTATGTCTATTGGATCTAACATGAAATTTAAGTATAGATTATTTGCAATAATGTCTTCTTTATCCATAAGATCTTGCAACTCTTAATTATCACTCAAAAATTTAAGATAATTTCCTTAAACGCAGATCAAAATGTTGGCACAAGAATTTATTAATAGGTAAAATAAAATAATAAAATTTATACCAAAAATCTATGAATATAAGCTATCAGGATTGTATGCGATATCTACAATTCCAATAAAATTGAGAACAAAAGATGCTAAGCATAAATTACAAAAAATAAACACAAGTAGATAAGTACTGCAATCTTTTGAATCAAATGAGTATAAAGTATGCTTTTGAAACGATTAATTTTAATTACAATTTTCATTTGTAAAAAACAATTAGTCACTGAAAATAAATTTTTCCTCATTTTCAGTACAGTCTTCTTGATTATCTGGCAGGTTTTACTTTTTTTTGTTTTAATATTAATTTCTCAATGAACTAGGGTAAGCTGCGAAATAAAAGATAGGAAAACAATTTCTGACCAATAGCTTTAATAGTTAAAATAACCTTTCACCATACAAGCAATAGTAAAATATAAATGTGAGCGGCCAAAAGAATATTTTCAATATAGTTATTAAATAGAACCAAAATGTGTTAAAAGCTCCATGTATTGTTTTATTTTTGGGCTTATCCTTTTTTTCTGAAGTATTTTAATTAATCATAAAGTTGTAATATTCTTATACATTTTTTTAAATATGCGTTTTGCAGGATTTTAAATGTAAGTCTTTGTAATTATTATATGATTATTCATTTTATATTTATTTTTATGCATTTTTGTATATTTCGTAGCGATATTACTCAATTAGAATATGGTTTACATATATTTCTTAGAAAAACGATTTTAGCCTTTCTTCGTATTAGAGTAAATCACTTTAGTACTTTTACTTGTGTTATTATTTTGCCTTTTCTATCCTTTTCTTTTCTATATCAAAAATGAGTTCTTTTAATTTAGGCTTCATTTAGCTCTCTGTAAGTGAGCTGTTCTTCTTTTACATATCAGTTAATTATATATTTCTTAAATCACTCATTTATTTTAGGGTAATCCAAAAAAATTAGTAATCAGAGCTTTTTTTTAGTTATTAATAAATAAATAATTTTTGCAAGTTTTTCTTTTTTAATTGATTTATTCATTTAGAATTAAAAGTAAAAATATACTCAGTTTTAATTAAATTGATTGATATTGTTAAATGTTCAAATTTATTTTGTCAATCTTATTTTCTTATCAATTTTTATAAATAAGTAAATTTTTTCACCTTAGGTTACAAATTTAACAACCTTAAAGCTCTTTTAATAAAGAGTATTTTACAAAATATCATATATTTGAAATACTTTTTTGAAAATTTATTTAAACTTATTCAAATCAATCATTATATAATTGATCTACTCTTAAAAATAAAATTAGATTTATAAAATGAAGTGAAATAGTTTAAAATATATTCATTAATACCAAAGCAGGGGAAGATATTTTAAATATCAAGGCTTAGAATAGGTTCAATAAACGGTTACAAAAAATTTTCTTTTTCAAAAATGATATCTTTTAAAAAAAAAATTCCTCCGCCCTTATTCAATCACTAAATAAATATGCAATTTTAACATTTAAATTTTTAATTTGAGATAGAATATTAATTCAAAATAAATTTAATTTAAATATTTTTTTATTCGTAATGTGTGCCTGAATCTGGATCTTAATTGAAATACAATCAACTCTCTTCGCTAGATTGAAGCTAATGTGGTGGCAAGGGTCTTAGAATTTTTAAGTAAAGAATTATGAATTTTATCTACATAATATTCTAAATCATCAATATCTTAACAGTTTATTATTAATTAAGAGTTTGTATGTTTTAAATTTTTCTTCAAGTCATATAATTTTTTACATATTTTTGACCCTAGATTTCTTTATTTAAAAAATAATTACATTTAACTTTGATGGTTGATTGCTTTTAATGGTTGTTCAAAATAAATCATTCGAATTGGTTGTAATAAACATAGCTATTATGTTAAAATTTATTTTGTTTTCCTTAAAAAAAGATTAATTACAAAAATATGTTGATTACACATCTTAAATATTTGTTTAATTTAGAATTCTTTAAAAAGATCGATTGATACAGAAGAAAAATAGGCAAAAAGAAAAATCAGTGGTTTTTTATAAATAACAATTATAAATAGATAAAAAATATAATTTTCCTTTCTTAATTGTAAAAATAAAAAACCAAGATATTAAATTTGTGATTTTAGTAATAATCTCAGATATGATTTATAAAGAAAGTAATTAAAATAATAAAATATACCTTTATTATTTCTTAAGTTACTTACAAATCAAAGTTTTAAATCTAACAACTGATTAATAATTAATTTTTGATTTAGTTTTGATATTTTTTTAGACTTTTTAGAGATTAAAAAGTAATAAGATTAATTAAAAGAACAAATTCACTTGTAGAATATATAAATACTCACTTATTTTATGGGATAATTTGCATCAAAAGCACTTTTGCAATAAGGATAAGTTCTAAAAGAGGAAACACTCTAAGAAAATTACTTTTTTAGATAAATCTATTTTATTTAAAAGAAATACGTTGCATTTTACTTGGATTATCTCAATAATTACTATTCAAAACTCGAAAATAGTAAAAACCCTTTATACAAAGAATCACTTAAAAAGAATCTTTTTATAGACGATGTTTATAATAAATATAAAATTTATAAGAGTTCGTCCTAAAATAACAATAGTAGCAATAACAAATCATTAAGTTGCATTAGCTGCAGTGGTAAATTAGAGTTTTCTTTAAAATTATGATTATCCTTTTTGTTTAGTATTCAAATAAAAATGTTATTTTTGTGTTTATTTTATTGAAATTAAAATTTTTAAAATATCTTAAAAAGAATTTTATACAAAAAAGTATTTTTAGAACTATTAAAAAGAGAAAATAATTTTTTGATAATTAATAAATAATTAATTTATAAAATGAATAGGATATCTTGAATAAAAGTTAGTAAAAAAAAGTGAAGCATTTAAATTCTTTTATGGGCGCAACAAAAAATATAAACCCTATACTAAAGATATAGAATAAAAAAAGTTACATTATGAAGATGTCTTAATAGCCACAAACCTTACTGATGAAAGTTTTAAGCCAAAAAAAAGATATACTTTATTGGAAAATACTCAGCAGATAATCTCTAAATAACTTTAGTAATTTCTTTTATTCTAAGGCAAACCTGATTAGATTATTAGATAGATAAAACTAAAACACCTATTGTTAAGCTATTTGGCTTTACCCTTTCGTTTAGTGATCTCCACCTTCGCAATCATTATCTTTTCTCCAATTGCTTTTGTTCATAATATAGTTAGTTTTATAATAGAAGATTAAAACTATCAAGAAAGGTAGAAATAGTAAAAAGATTCTAAAATTAGATATCGTGTTAATTAACATAGCTTTATTTCATCATTTATTTGTTGTAATGAAAAAAGAGAAAGAAACTTTGATAAATATTTCAATTTTTCTAGTTGTTAATCACCAGTAGAGTTGTTTGATTTTGTTAAGTTTTGGGTATTTTCTGGTATTTTGGTTGCTTATTTTTTAATGTAAAAAATGCTTCCTAATAACAACACTTAAGATGAAAACATGAGATTAATTATTTATTTTATAATTATTCAAGAAATTCTATTTCTTTTGTTGGAGATACTATCTAAATACTCAAATACTAACACCAATTTCGATACTTCTTTATAGGATAAACAACAAATCCTTGAGAGATTATAGATAAGTGATGAAGACTTATAAATTTAATTTATGAGAAAGCCTTGTGAAGTTGAATTAGTTCTTTAATTAGAATTTTATTATTTAAAAGATTTGGAAAAAGTTTTGAAAAATGAAAAAGATTATAAAGGAAATGATGGAGATAATTATGAATTTTTATATAATAGGATATAAATTGTAAATAATTAATTAAATTAAAAAGGATAAATATTTAATGGTTTGAGTTTATTCTACTAATATTTATTCACTCCAAACGAAAATGGTCTTTCGGATTAAACAATTGGTGTTGATAAAGATTATCTAAAGCTATACGAGAAGAGACAAGAGGAAAATAAAAAGAAACTAATCAATATAGAAATCGGATGCATTACAAAAGGTCTTATTCATAACTTTTTCTTCTTCATAAAATTGCTTTGCTTCATTTTTATGATTATAACTCTTGTTTTAGTAATTTTGCAATATTTTAATTTCCAAGTTAAAAACGAGCAAGCATTTAATTACATGAAAAAATATTCTAACATCATATTTGTTATTCTATTTGACTTTGAATGCAATTCAATCTAGCTACTAAAATCATATCGTAATTCACTTAAGAGATTAACATAACTATTAATTTATGACAGAAGTGAAGAAAATAGATAAAATTATGATATTTCTAGTTATGAATTGCCTTGCATCAACTTATTCAGCCTGAAATCTATTAACACATGGTACAATTTGAGAAAATTAACTTTTTAGTAAAATATAGCCAATAAAAACATTATCATGCTTCACTGTCTTTTAGAATTTACAACAACTTTAACACTTATCATTTTATTTTGGCCTACTTTGTATTCTTTTTATACTGTGCAAACTGAATGTGAAGGCTAATCTCTATCATCAACAAATTTAGTTGTCCTAATTATATTATTTTATAGAATCATCATAAAGTCCCTTTATGAGGTTGTTTCATTTTTCTGTGAAATTAATTCATCTTATTATGAACACCTATAAATCTTATAAGATATTACCTCAGCTTTAAAATAAACTCTTGATAAGTATTCTAAGTTAGAACAAAATTATAAAAATGGTACAGATTAAATTAATAATGATGAAATAGATTAAAATCATCCAACAATTTTATACTTTTAATTTGAAGCAGTTAAACAAATAAAAAAAATTCTTAAGTATAAGGAACATAAAATTATATTAGATCAATTAGAATATCAATTAATAGATTTAAAATAAAAAAGCCAATTTGACTCTAATTAACGTTACAATCTCAATTTCAATAGAAGAATTGATTTAAGAATTAAAGAAGATTATGTAATTATGAAGTATGAAGATATAAAATGGAATCTAAATTAAATAAAATCGATATTCGAGCAATAAGGAAGATATGTAAACAATTATAGTAACTAATCAGATTAATAAAATTTATAATAGGAAAAGAAATATCTAAAATAACTAATATAGTAATATGAAATTATCATAAAAGACCTAGAAGAGCATTAAAAAGAAAATTAGCTTTACTTTTTAAATATAATACCTATAAATAAAGACCAATTATCTGGTTTTATTTGGATATTTGTGCCTTTGTTGCTATCAGTCTTACTTAAGCTCTTTAAAAAAGGTAATTTTTCTTTTATCAAGGATGTAGTTGATGAAATTTGGAGAAATTTAACTTGAACTTATTTAAAAGCAAATTAATTATAGTAATAAGTATGAATGCAATATTTTAATAATCATTTGTAATATTTTTTTTACATAAACACAAATCATTTCAATTTTTATTTATATAAAAATAAATTATTAACTTCATTTTAAAATTCAATTATTAAATAAATTGCTTTAGATAACTGAAAATATTTATTTGCTCTTTATATATTTATGTATAGTACTTAGGGTACAACCTTTTTTAAGGTTTAACACTGAAATTTTAGATATTTAGGTAATTTTTTATAATTTTTACATTAGAATTTAGGGTTAGAAATCTATGGCTATTTTAATTTACCCAATATAATATGTATTGGTGAAGTTGATTTTTATTAAATATATCAGAAAATTGATTTTTAAAATCTTATTATTTTATCTTACTATGCTATTTTAGATTTAATTCTATTATAACTTTGTAAAATTCTTTAAAATCACAATTTAGAATACTTTTAAGGTTTGAATATTTTATTTTATGTAAATAATCAAATAAATACTCATAAACAAGTTTAAAAATGACAAATCATATATTGTATTTTAAAAAAATCATCTTAAAAATCTGAAAGTAATGAATGACAAATTGATTTTTTATATACAAATAAAAAGTTTTATGAAAATGATGATTTAAATAAATATATTTTGTCTAGTCGACAACCAATTAAAATTTTTTGCAATAATTAAATAAAATTAAATTTTAAAAATATTTTTATTATCATAAGTTGAATTGAGTAATTAATTTTATAGAAAATACAAATTCAACTTAATTATTTCTTTAAAACATACATGATGCTCAACTCTACAAATTTAAAACTTAGTCAAGTTGATCTGAGATTCCTCATTTACCTAAACTCATTTTGATCTACTAAATTTAAAAGATAAATTCTAATCGAGATTGTTATAAAAGAATAAAATTTTTCTATTAAATTTAATTTTCTTTTATAAATTTTTCAATGATATTTGCTGAATTAATTAATTATTTTATTTACAAATTACGTTCTTTGTTATAGAGATTACTGATGCAAACCAAACTATTATTTTAATTAATTTTTTTTTCAATAGTTTTGCAAATATTCTGGTTTATTATTATTATTTAAAATTAGCTTTTTTATTTATTTAAAAGTAAAAATGAAGCTGTGAATATTGCAATAAAATCTTGATAAAGAATTTAAAAGTATTGAGTTATCATACGGAGAAGGAAACTTAAATATAAATTTGCTTAGATAAAATCATTCATTTTTAATTTATGTATTTCTACTTAAGTGGTCGTAGAAGAGTAAACATTCCACTATTTAAAAATGTAACACTTTATTAATTATTTTCTCTATTGTTTATATTAAATTTTCAATAAAGAAAAATACAAAAGGTTAAAAATAATATGAGATACTAATATATATCTCTCTCTCAAAAATATGAATTTAGATTATTTTTAGTAATTTTAATATTTATTTAATAAAACTCTAACAGCTAATATACACTAATACTAGTTAAAAAATATTTATTGTAGAATTTATATAAATGGTTTATTTATAAAAGAAAATTAAATATAAATTTACAGAATAATTCTTTTATTTTCTCACTTAGAATCTATTTATATTAACTGTATAATCTTTGTAATTTTATTATTTATTTATAAACAAATTAATACAAAAGCTAAAGAATAATAAATAATTGACTAAAAAATATGAAAGCCTTGCCTATCTTTGCACTTTTCATTTCAGCTCTTATCTTAAGTTCTGTTTATTTGACTTAAAAATAAACAATCTATGATGTTAATGAGGAACAGACTTGCCATAATATAGAGTATTAAGAGGTTTTGGGAACTACTATTGAACGTATCAAAAATATATGCAAGAAAAGTTTGATTTTTACTATTGAATACAAAGAAAATAAAAATGTTACATAGAAAGACACTAAGTGCATCAAACCTAATGAAGATAGCATTGTCGGAAGTTATTTTGGCGATGAATACACATCTTTTAGAGTTACTGGATACAAGGAATGTTGATAATATTACTTCTAGCAATTTATTAATATAAATATATAAATGTCGAATAAATGTTAAATTTTGTAAAACTTCTTATAATTTTTTTAAATTTGTTATTTTTAAAATCAAGTATAATAAATTTTCTTAAATCATACTATTTACTAGATTTAACTAAACTCAAACATTATAAATCGTTCATTTAATTAGCTTATTAAATAATATTTTATTTTTTAGATTAAATTTAATATAACTATTAATCATTCATTCATTCATTCTTCTTAAAGTATGATTAAATTCCTTTAAAACAAAGATTAATAATAATAATTAATTAACTCTATAACATTATAAGATACCCTAATAATTAATAAGCTTATTTATTTAGCCATAACACAAAAGATAAAACATGAAATTTACTATTAAAAAAGTATTAAATTAATTAAGTTTTCTTTTATTAACTAACACAACCTTCATCATTTCAATAACTCAAAGAAGAATTAAAAAAAAAATTAATTTTTATTTAAACTAAAAAATAATTTTAACAGCATATTATTTAAATTGGATGATAATAACTCTAATATTTTGGTATTATATATTTTTTTATTATTTTATTCCTTTATTAATAATTTTTCTAATTATCTTTGAAGAATCAAGCATTTTTTAATAAAGAGGTAGCAATATTTAACAATAAAAAAATATGCTGAATTTTAAAATTTACAGTTTCTTAATTAATTAGAATTATTGATAAAAAATAAAACAAAAAAAATAAATTTTATAAATAAACAATTTTTTTGCTTTTTTTGAAATTGAAATTATTGACTTTGTTTTACAATTTAAATTTCAATATAGACTAAATCTTACAGTCTTTCTTTATAAATATTTATTTTAAATTAATTCTAAAATCATATTTTATTAAGAATTAAAGAAAAACCTACAAAATTACCAAAAATTGTTTTAAATTAAAATAAGAAAATTAATACTTCTATCAATGTTAATTTCTAATTGAATATTTCAACTAAATGAACAAACACATAATTTTCATCTTTATTTTTTTAAACATTTTTCTTTAAATCTAAATCTAAATTTAAAATAAAAATAATAAATTGATATTCTTCTAATAAATAATAGAATTTTATCTATTTATTTCATTATTAAATGTTTCTCTAATTATAAAATCAAACAAACTTAATATGAATCAAAATATTAAAATTAGGGATGGGATTTTTTAAATCAAAAATTTATATTTAATTGATTGAGCAATTAGAATTTTTACTCTACCTATAAATTTAAATATTAATTTAAGTATGATTATTTTATTGTTTAGTATTCAAATAAAAATGCTATTTTTGTGTTTATTTTATTGAAATTAAAATTTTTTAAATATCTTTAAAAGAATTTTATGAAAAAAAAGTATTTTTAGAACTATTAAAAAGAGTAGGATATCTTGAATAAAGGTTAGTAAAAAAAATTCAAGCATTTAAATTCTTTTATGGGTGCAATAAAAAATATAAACCCTATACTATAGATATAGAATAAAAATAGTTACATTATGAAGATGTTTTAATATCTACCAACCTAACTGATGAAAGTTTTAAGCCAAAAAAATATACTTTATTGGAAAATACTCAGCAGATAATATCTAAATAACTTGAGTAATTTCTTTTATTCTTAGGCAAACATGATTAGATTATTAGATAGATAAAACCAAAACACCTATTGTTAAGCTACTTGGCTTTACCCTTTCGTTTAGTGATCTCCACCTTCGCAATCATTATTTTTTTTCCAATTGCTTTTGTTCATAATATAGTTAGTTTTTTTATAGAAGATTAAAACTACCAAGAAAGGTAGAAATAGTAAAAAATTCTAAAATTAGATATCGTGTTAATTAACATAGCTTTATTTCATCTTTTATTTGTTGTAATGAAAAAAGAGAAAGAAACTTTGATAAATATTTCAATTTTTCTAGTTGTTAATCACCAGTAGAGTTGCTTGATTTTGTTAAGTTTTGGGTATTTTCTGGTATTTTGGTTACTTATTTTTTAATGTAAAAAATGCTTCCTAATAACAACACTTAAGATGAAAACATGAGATTAATTATTTATTTTATAATTATTCAAGAAATTCTATTTCTTTTGTTGGAGATATTATCTAAATACTCAAATACTAACACCAATTTCGATACTTCTTTATAGGATAAACAACAAATCCTTGAGAGATTATAGATAAGTGATGAAGACTTATAAATTTAATTTATGAGAAAGCCTTGTGAAGTTGAATTAGTTCTTTAATTAGAATTTTATTATTTAAAAGATTTGGAAAAAGTTTTGAAAAATGAAAAAGATTATAAAGGAAATGATGGAGATAATTATGAATTTTTATATAATAGGCTATTAATTGTAAATAATTAGTTAAATTAAAAAGGATAAATATTTAATGGTTTGAGTTTATTCTACTAATATTTATTCACTCCAAACGAAAATGGTCTTTCGGATTAAACAATTGGTGTTGATAAGGATTATCTAAAGCTATAAGAGAAGAGGCAAGAGGAAAATAAAAAGAAACTAATCAATATAGAAATCGGAAGCATTACAAAAGGTCTTCTTCATAAAATTTCTTTGCTTTATTTTTATGATTATCACTCTTGTTTTAGTAATTTTGAAATATTTTAATTTCCAAGTGAAAAATGAGCAAGCCAATTGGTACAATATGAGAAAATTAACTTTTTAGTAACATATTGCCAATGAAAACATTATCATGCTTCAATGTCTTTTAGAATTTACAACAACATTAACACTTATTATTTTATTTTGGTCTACTCTGTATTCTTTTTATACTGTGCAAACTGAATGAGAAGGCTAATCTCTATCATCAACAAATTTAGTTGTCCTAATTATATTATTTTATAGAATAATCATAAAGTCGCTTTATGAGGTTGTTTCATTTTTCTGTGAAATTAGTATTCTAAGTTAGAACAAAATTATAAAAATGGTACAGATTAAATTAATAATGATGAAATATATTAAAATCATCCAACAATTTTATACTTTTAATTTGAAGTAGTTAAACAAATAAAAAAATTCTTAAGTATAAGGAACATAAAATTATATTAGATCAATTAGAATATTAATTAATAGATTTAAAATAAAAAAGCCAATTTGACTTTAATTAACGTTATAATCTCAATTTCAATAGAAGAATTGATTTAAGAATTAAAGAAGATTATGTAATTATGAAGTATGAAGATATAAAATGGAATCTAAATTAAATAAAATCGATATCCGAGCAATAAGGAAGATATGTAAATAATCAGATTAATAAAATTTATAATAGGAAAAGAAATATCTAAAATAACTAATATATTAAAGACCTAGAAGAGCATTAAAAAGAAAATTAGCTTTACTTTTTAAATATTATACCTATTAATAAAGACCAATTATCTGGTTTTATTTGGATATTTGTGCCTTTATTGCTATCAGTCTTACTTAAGCTCTTTAAAAAAGGTAATTTTTCTTTTAACAAGGATGTAGTTGATGAAATTTGGAGAAATTTAACTTGAACTTATTTAAAAGCTAATTAATTAAATTTTTTTAATAAGTATGAATTCAATAAATGTTTTAATAATCATTTGTATTTTTTTCTTAAAGTATGATTAAATTCCATTAAAAAAAGATAAATAAAAACAATTAGTTAACTCTATAACATTATAAAATACCCAAATAATTATAATTTTTAAAGCATAAAAGAGGTTATGCAAATAATAAATAAGCTTATTTATTTACCCATAACACAAAAGATAAAAAAAATTATCAAATAACATGAAATTTACTATAAAAAAAGTTTTTAATTATCCTTTCATTTTTCTTTGATTAACAAAAACAACCTTGATCATTTATTTCAATAAATTATATAAGAATTAAACTGTAAAATTAATTTTTATTTAAACTAAAAAAATAATTTTAATAATAATAGCTCTATTACTTTTTTAAGTCTTTTGGTATTTAATTTTTTTAATTATTATTATTCCATTCCTTTATTAAATATTTTTCTTATTATCTTGGAAAATTTAAGCAATTAGTATAGATGTAGCAAATTTAACAATAAAAAAATATGCTGAATTCTAAAATTTACAGTTTCTTAATTTAATAATTAAAATATATTGATAAAAAAATATAAAACAACAAAAATAATTTTTAAATAAATAAATAATTTTTTTGCTTTTTTTGAAATTGAAATTATTTATTTTGCTTTACAATTTAAATTTCAAAAAAGACTGATTCGTTTTGCTTAGAAATCAATAAATTGTATCAAGTGTAATCAGACTTAAAAAAATCTAAGTGATTAAGTTTTTTCAAGCTAAATCTTACAGTATTTCTTTATAAATATTTATATTCAATTAATTCTATAATAATATTTTATTAACAATTAAAGAAAAACCTACAAAATAAATTGCTAAAAATTGTTTTAAATCTAAAATAATAAAATTAATATTTGATTTAAGTCTTAAGACTACTTCAATAAATGTTAATGTTAATTTCTAATTGAATCTTTCAAGTTTATTTTCTAAATGAACAAGCAGACTCTCTTTTGAATCAAAATTCAAGATCAAAATGATAAATTTATCATTTAATTATAAAATGAATTTATTTAATTTTCATGTTTATTTTTTTAACATATTTCTTTTAATTTTAAAATAAAAATAATAAATTGATATTCTTGTAATAAATAATAGAATTTTATCTATTCAATTAATAATTAAATATTTCTCTAATTTTAAAATCAATCAAACTTAATATGAATCAAAATATTATTGAAAACTAAAATTAGGGATTTGTTAAATAAAAAATTAATTTTGAATTGATTGAACAATTAGAATTTTTACTATACCTATAAATATATAGATTAATTTAAGTATGATTATTTATTTTATGATTCTTTTAATTGAGCAAAAATCAAAAATACATAATTTCAATATTAAAAATAGTTTATATTATTAATTTATATTTTGAAATAACTTTATTCTACAATAATTAAATTATTCATTTAAAAATTTCTAGATTAAATTAAATTATTATTATTTTTTTTTTGATTGTTTTGTCAACTGCGTGCTTGCTAGGGAGACTCTCTATTATTCACATTTAAAGTTAAAAATTTATTATCTGATGCAAGTTATTCTATAACGTCAGCAAAGCAAGTAAACTCAGATGGAATAAGTTATTCTATCTGAAGATCAACAACAACTCTTTTGGATTCATCATCTAATAGTTTATATAAGAGCCATGATATGTTTTATTTTTCTTGTTACTCTTAATCCATCTATTGTAGGACTTAAGTTGGGATACTCAAATTATGATGAGATTTTTATTACTTAGGAAGTGGAGATTAATTAGGTTCTTCAATTTCCATTAATGAAGACTAAGAGTTTTAAATCTTAGTCAAAGATTATTTTTATTAATAGTGTTATAAATCAATCTAACTATATTACTAAGATAAGAAATAATCATCTATTTTTTATATCATAAGTCTATAAAAGTTTTTATATTGCTGAGCTTTTACAAAACGAAGTCGAAGAACATCTTTCTTTTGTTGCCAACATTTTTTCAAAATATTAATATTTTTAATTTGATCCCATTCTTCCACATGCTGTAAATAAGCCTACTATTTTTCGAAGTTGAACAAGTTGTTTTCAACTGATATCTGTGCAAATTATTAGAAACTCATTGTTTTTTCTTATGTAATATCATCTATTAAATCAGTGTTAGAGAAAAATAATTGCATGATTGTCAGCTTATCCATTCCACCTTATATATGTCGAGTCAGCATAACAAATTCATCATAACCTTTATTTAATCAATAATAAATTTTACATTTTCTTAAAAATAGATTCATGTTATTTAAAATAAAATAATGAACTAAAATATTGAACTAAATAAATAAATAAGTAATTTTTCTATCTTGAAAATCTACTCTCTTAAAATCAAAAAATATTGTTTTTGCCTTAAGGATTTAATTTTCTTTTTAATAAAAGTAATAATTAATTTTTAGATTTCAACGAAAATAATTAATTCATTTGAATTTTTTCATCAAAATAATTTATTTGGATATAGAAAAAAATATTTTTAAATATAAAAGGAAAATTTGAGAATAAATAAAAGGATATTTTTTGAAAATAATATTTTTTACCTATAACTTAATCATTGTCTACATCACCTGCTAAATAGATTGGTCTTAAAGCTATAATATTTACCTTTTTTTCTTCTATTTTGGCTTATAAAAGACAATTTAAAGCTTAGTCTTAATCAATAACATTTTTATTTTTGAGAGATTATTCATTTGTTAAGTATTTTAACTATTCAATATCTTATTTTATTTTATTCAAAATCTTTTAAGTTACTTTATTTTCAAACTATTTAAATAGTATTTCAATGACTTTAGGGATAGAATAAATTGAAAAAGTTTAATATATTTAAGGAAGATTTTCATCTAATACTATTATGCAATTTATGTAGAAATTAAAATCATCTATATCATAATTTATCTCATGATCTATTCCAAAAAATCTTAAAAACATCTTCACTCTTTCAACTGTGTTGTGATATTACAAACTTCTTAAAAATTGTACAAGATTTTTTTCAGCTAATTTTTTAAAGCCAAACTTATTTAAGAAGAAATCATAGGCAACATTATGCAAAGGATTGCTCTTATCTTTGCTCTTAATTTACTTGATTTTATCATTGTATATCAAAGAAATGTATTTTCTAGTATTCTGTTCTGTGAATATAGGTCCTTTATTCTTTTTTGAAATTGTACTCATAATTTTATAACCAGATGTTTAGAGGAAATTGAAAGCAGCATCTTAATTAGGGGAACTTTATAAACCATATTTCTTTCTAAGTTGGTGTTTTTTAAATCTGTAGTTCTTAATTAAATCAATTAATGAAGACTTAGGTTGAACTATCTGTTTGTGTATAATGTCGTCTGATATTGTTTCAGGAGCATCATGATTTTTTTATTAAACTGATTTTTACTAATTTCCTTAAGATTTTTTATTCTTATTGATGACTAAACTAACTATTTTAGAAAAAGTTTTTTAACTTTTTTACTTTTGGGATTCTGGTCTTTCCGTTTCTAAATCAGCTTCAATAGAAATGCTATCATCTATAAGTGTACTTTACTAATTTTAGTTTTTTTGATCAAACTTACTTTCTACACTTTTTCTAGCTAGAGATGATGAACTTTATTTAACGGGAATGGATAAAGATTACCTTTTCTTTTTAGGGCTGCTTGTTTGTTTATTTTTGTTCATCCTAATTTGACTATTATTTTGCTTCATCTATGGAGAACTTTCTTCTTTTTGAGGTTTTTTAACTGTAATTTAGATGTTGCTTTATTCCTTATTCTTATTTTTTTTCGCTGAAGCAGTATTATTTTGATCTTCTTCGTGATCTTCTGTCTCAAGGATAATAGAGTTTTAAGAAGGAGTACCAGATATAGGATTTTATAAAGTAACAGAGTTTCTTTTAGAGTTGCTAATTTTTTTGCTGTTTGAGCTTATCTATTCTAAAACATTTTCATATTCCACGATCAGCTTTTCGTACAAATTATTTCTTTTTTTAAATTATTAATTAAAAATAAATAAAATTATGTTTTATTTCAAATCTTAAAAGAATATTTCGTTTTAAATAAAAATTTTTACTAAACTTTTTAATTTGATTAAAAAGACAAAACAAAAATTTAACAAAGAAAAATAAAAAATTTAATTTTTGTTATTTAGAAAATAAAAATTAAATAATTTATTTATTTAAAAATTAATTTAGTGATTAATGAGATAAAATTAATTATTTTACCCAAAGTCTATGTTTTTATTTGCTTCTTCTATTTCTACCTCCTTTTCAGCAAGATGTATCTTGGATTTGACATAATCAATTAACTAAAGCTTACATTTGTTCCAAATATTTCTAAATCTTAGATTTTCTTCATATTTAAATGCATTACTATCTTAGATGAATAATTTCAGGTCTTCTATGTTGAGATATTCGCTTTCTTTGAGCAGGTTATGATCGATAATTTTTTAGAAGACTTCAAGGACAAATCTCTATTTTGAATTTAGTATTAAATGTAAATCTGAGATATCCTCTTCAATATTAGCTTTAAGAGTATTCTCTAGGGTTTACTTATAATTAATAGGTTTAGGAGAAATTGATTACTCTTCAATTAAATCCTTTTATTCTTCTTAATAGTTATCACGATTAAAGCTTGAATACATATCTTGCTCATTTCTATCTGTGCTTGATGATTTGACGTCAATTCTATCATCTAATTAAATTTTAATTTTCAAAATATTCAAATTAATTTTTGAAATAATTAAACCTGAGATAGCTTCTATAAACATAGTAAACTTATTAGCTGATAAGGTCCTGTTCATATACTTATTCACAGGAGAATCTATTCTATCGTTGAAATCAATTTTTAATTACGATTTATCATTCGATGCGATTTAAGATTGCACTTTCTTCAAAAATAAAGAATCTTCTTTTTTTACTGTTAGATTTTAGCTTTACTTCAGGTTTTTTTAATCGGAATCCTGTAATGAATCATTTATTTTTTTCATCCATCTATTTAAAGATAAAAAAATTTAATATTTACAATATAAAGACAGACATTCTAAATTTCTACTCTAATGGTGTCTAACTCTGTTAAGATAGACAAATTTTTTATGGAGGAGCATCAGTCTAAGTTTCAAATTCAGATGTTGTGAAGTAATCTTTTGTTTCTGTTTCTTAATCGTTTCTTTGAATTAAATCTTAACCAACCTTTTTATAAGTTTTTTATTATTTTAATTTGCTTTTGTTAAAAATTCTTACTTAAATCCCGACTGAGGCTAAAACAAACTTTAAACCATCCAAGCCCTCCATTTCAATTACTTATCTCTCAGTTGATTCTATTTAATACAAACTAACTTATGATCTTTCTTGGTTATTTTGTATCATTTCAACTGAAATAAATTCTTCTTTTTAAGCTTGTTCTTCAAAATCATCTATCTCTGTTTAATTTATTTAGTATTTTTGATTTAAATCCTTTTATTCTTACTCAAATTTATTTTATAGCTCTTTGAGCTATTAATTTTCTTTCTTCATTTTGAGGATTTGTTATTCTTGTTGCTGCTATGTTTGCTAAACAACTTATTCTAGTTGTTTGACGAAATGTTCTTACATCTTTTGTTACTCCTCTTGTTACTTATTTGACATCTATTCATGAAATACTTGTAAATCTTCTAACTATTTTTTGAGTTTGCTATAATCTTACTGAAGAGTTTTATATTCTTTTCTGCCTTCCTTTAAAAATTTCTCAAGCTTATGATTCTTTTTCTTCAAATAACGAAATTCTAGGACAATCCTCTTATTTAACACATCTTTTCTATAAGCGTACTTATTCTATCCAAAATAAATTAATTTTAATTTTACTTTTCTAACTCTTCAGTTAGTTTGCTAATCAAAGGGATATAGTAATCTATTTTATTTATGCAATCTTTGTGGATGCTTTAGATCTCCTTATGAACATCTTTTTGGAACTATATTTTCTCCTCGTACTACCTAGAAAAAGCTTCTTTCATTAAAAACATTAGATTCTCCTGAACCTTTTTATAAAAAGTAAATAAATACGTTTTTTATTCAAACATAAAATTGAATTTTACTTTTTTTAGTAATTAACCTCTCTCTACTGAATGTATCGATATTTGTCTTATGATTTCTGAAATGCAAGCTTAATGAATAGCTTACAGATCCCCAAATAACTTAGAATATGTTACATCATTTTATTAATTTAGAGATTATTTAGTTAAGTTTGATTCATTATAAATTTAATTTAGCATGTCTTCGTACCACTAAGCTAAACTTACTATGTCTTTTCTTTCACTTATGTGCATCAAATCTTTATTTTATGAAGTGTGAACTACAATTTGGTCTTTATTTTAAAGAATTTAAAATAATTTGCTTTAAAAAGTTTAATTATTTTCCCTGTTATTTATTATATTATAACTCATTTTATCAAATTTTGTCTGATAATACTCCTCTTTGGGAAAATGTAATTTTTTGAATTTCCAATCCTACTAATTGACTTCTTATTGCTCTTCTTCATCTTTAATTTTAAAAAATTATTAGTTTTTTTTAAATTTAAAAAAAAATAAATTTACCAATTAAAAATGCATCACATGGAATCAGCTCTAATAATTGCAATTCTAACTTTTCTTTTATTTTTTTGATATTAGTTTCATACAGCATTTCTTTTGTTGTGTTATAACTTTTAGGAGAATTTTAGCTGCTTATAAAGTTAGTGGATTGTTACACTTTTTTAGGAGAAAGGATTATGCTTAAATTGCTCACGTTTGACTTATTGAAATCTTTAACTGTAATGTTTTTACTGTCGTTTTCAATTGAAAATTAAGAAAATTTATTGTAAACATTATTTGGCTGCTTTTATCTTTTTTGCTCCATGATCTAGGCTTTATTTGCTTTAATTAATTTTAAGAAATATTAATATTAAGTAGTAAAAATATAATTTCTACCAGATATTATAGAGCTCTCAATTTATATTTTTTTGTCTTCGAGGATACTAGTTTATATCTTAATCTAGGAAGACAATTTATTTTAAATAATATTATCACTGAGGTGCTGCTAAATTTAGCTGTTGTCACTTTAAGTTATTTTCTTTAGTTTATTTTTGCTACTGGAAAGAAAAAACTTGTCATTATTTAACTTTTAAGAAATTCCTAGACTATCAAGAGCTTTTTATAAGTTACTTTGAGATTTTAATCCATCATTTTGCTACTCATTCTAATTTATAGCCTAAAAACCTTGTGGTGTATGAGTTCGAGAATGTAAAGGAGTAAGATAAATATTATTAGGCAAGGAGCCTCTTTTGGATTAAAAATTGAAAGCATTTGATTAAAAAATATTTTGATTGTCTTCATTTAATTATTTAGATTTGCTACTTTAAGAAGATTTAGGAATAATTAAAGAGCTATTTCTTGAAACAAATTCTTGATGAGGAGCACTTTTATCATGAAGCATTCTATCTTAATATGCTATATCATTACTTGATTTTATTTAGTTAACATCATTTTATTGAAAGTTATCTCTACTTTATTAAAACTGCAAGTCTGTTTAGCTGTTAGAGATACTTTTATAATAATTCTTTATGCTACTATTCTAGCAATCTGTAGAAGAGTTAAAAGGTAAAATTTATAAATTCATGAGCGATTTTATATTTGAATCTGTACTTAGATGAGTAGGAGATAGCTATTTAGATTGCAATGTATGAATTATTTAACTACTTTTCACATTTTGCTCCTAATTATTCTTAACACCATCTTAGAAATTTTTTAAATATATTTGCTAATGTGAAGATTATTAAGCTAGATTTGCAGGTTGATACATGGTTTTTAGAAACTGCTTGCTGTTTTCATGGTATGTTTAATTGTTATTCACTAATTTTCCACCATTAATTTGTTATCTCAAAGACCTTTAGTGCTTGAAATAATTTTTTTCTCTCTAAATATATTCTTCTAATTCTTTGTCATCTTTTTTCATCTCTTATTTTTCTAAATTGACTGCCTACTTGTTTGGTTGCTTTATAATTTTTAGATTAATATTTCAGAAAAATTAAATTTTGACGAGTAAGTGTGCATAAATAAAATGAAAATTTGCGTAAAGCAACCAGCTAGTAAGTAAGAACAAATTTTACATGAAAAATAAATAAATGTAATAAATAAATATTATGAAGGTTACAACATAAAAGATAAATAAATTGTAATAACATGATACATTATAACTAACTAATTAACAAAAAAAGCAATCTATTAAAAGAAAACTCTTTGTTTTCCATATGATAAAATTTAATCAGATATTTTTTTATTAATATGAGGTGATGATTTGATTGTTTACAAAATTAATAATTGATTTAAGCTAAGTATCTTGATTTCATTTCCATAAATAATATTTTATAAGTTATAAACCAGCTAATTTGTATCTTCACATCACATTAGACAAAACAAGATTTTTCTAAACATAAAAGCGATTCATTTAAACTTAGTCCCTGTTGCTAAGAGCTTCTCTTCTGATTCCTAAAAGCAAATAATAATTAGACAGTCAAATAGTACAAAATAAATTACTTTCATTTCTCTTTGCAGTTCTTCGATTTTTGTTTCTGCCTCATCTTTTATTTGGTAGCAAAGATAACACTATAAGGGAAACAATATCAATTAATTTGTAAGCTCAAAATATAAAATGGTAATTAATTTACTGTCTATTTTTAAAGTCATAAATAATTTCACTAGGACGATAAAAATGCTTTAATTAAATTTACCATCTGAATTAATTTAATAATAAATATAATCAATTTTTTGAGTGAAATCTTTGTAATAATTTCATACGACGCCCTACGTTTTAAAAAACATTATAAAATAAAAATTAATCTAAAATCTAACTAATTACAGCCTAAAGAGTGCATTTATCCAAAAATAAAATTTGACTTAAAGTTTCATCACATTAATATTACGTTATGCTTAATAAAGTAAAAAAAAATATTTGAATTAAAATATTTTATTGGTATTTTTACACTCTATTTTAAGAAAATTGCAAGCTTAATTATATTTTTTATAGATTTATTTTACTTTCTTTTATTAAAAATAATCATTCTAAATTTTTTATTGAAATCCTAGTCTAATTACATCCTGCGACTATTGTTTAAGAAACAATAAAAATAAAAATTAACTTCAGAAAAAATATTTACATACCCACTTTAAAATAAAGATTAATATCAATTCTTATGTATTGTTCATAATAGTTAATTACTCCCTTTTTTAATTGTAAAGATTTAAATGATAGTTTTATTAGAAAATATTTTACTGCCTATTTTAAAATAAACACTTGATTTTATGACATTTATCTTTTAAATTACTCCATAATTATCAATCTATATTTTAATTAGGATTTTTAAGACCAGAAAATATGAAATGAATAAAAAATATTTACCATCTTTTTAAAAATTAATTAAGAGCTTTTTATATATTTTCTTAAATGAATTAATCAAATTACATCTTCCTATTTTACAAAATATTAAATTTGCTTTTAAAATTTTTCTTAAAACACTTACCCACTAAATTATTTATTTATAGATCTTTAATAATTTTTCTTTTTTTTTTTAAGAATATCTTACTGACTATTTTTAGCAGAAAAAAAAAATTATTTAATTATATTGAGAAAATAAATAATAATAAGTTTTTTATCAAAAAAGAAACAATAATAATAAAGAAACTGATTACTTTCCACTATAAAAAAGAATAAATAAATTGTCATCTGCTTTAGCAATTGGTTAAATTAATTTACATACTTTTTCAATTTTTTGAAAATAAGCTATTTATTTTTCAACTTAAAAATTAATTTTACAAACTTTGAGTTCATCTATTTATTTTTATTAATAATAAATAAATCATATTTTTCATATTAAATAAATAATTTTACATGATTTCCCTTTGAATTGGCTTACTCTATTGCTAAATCTTTTGTTTTCTTATTAAAATAAAATCTTTTCAATTATTCAAAATCTTAATTGCATTCATTACTAAAATCTTTTCAAAAATTCTTTGTTTTAAATTTTTTATTGCCATCCATGTCTAATAAAATAATTTTTAATTAGGAATTTCTTATTTTGAAATTAATATTACGAAATCAACTAATTCTTGCTAATCTTCTTTACTTCTTCCTATTTCTGTTTTGATCCTGTCGAATTCAGTAATATTAGCTTTTTTATCTGAAAGTACAGAATAAATTAAAGATTTGATTCTACTTATTTGTAAATTAACAATTTTGATACTTCTAATTCTCTACTCTTGATAATTATCAGCTATGGTTGTTGAATAAGAGTGTTGATAGAGTTAATCAAATTTAATTTAAACATCAAATCTATTGAGAGCGTCCGAATACACATTTGCATATATCTCAGCCTATTTTTACAAATCTTAAATTGAATTAATAATAGATTAAATGTTTATTTATAAATTATTATTCTTAATTGTAACTATTTTAGATAACTTTTTTAAGCTATTTTAAAGAGTGAAGGAATCTAGATCCTTAGATGCTATTTTTTCTATTATTTCTATTGCTTATGTTTTTTATTATGTAAAATCCTCTCTTAATTCGTGATAAATGTCCAGATTATTTAATAATTATTTAGCTATGTCATAACACTGTTATCCTTTTCTTTAAAATTGTTTTGCCAAATTTTTATATAAATTATCTATTTTAAAAATTTATTCAGCCTAGTCTTCAGCTATTGCCTATGATTTGAGCTTCAAATTATCTTCATTTTTTAAAAATTACAATAACTCTATAATAAATGGTTTAATTAATTTAGAATTATGGTAAGGTTTCCTGTGAAGGTTTTTCTATACACAAAAAGAGCACATTGGCTCAAACGTACAATCTTCACACCTTTCATCAATACACATCGTATCCTAAAAATCGTGGTAATCACCCTTAAAACATTTAGGAAATCTCTATTCCCTGATTTTCCTATCTAAAATTGATTCTTTGTCCATATTTTGATTTTAATAAATTTTGTCTTTCTAAGAATGTTATGTTAATTAATCCAATCAAAATCTTTTTCTGATGGTTTTTGAATTTAACAATATTATTCTTTTTTTCTTTTGCGGCATTATTTCCTTTATTAAAAATTAACTTATTCAAAATTTGAAATTAATCCTCACCATCAATTAAATCTTTTTATAAAATAAACACAGATAATTTCTTAGCTTTAAAATAATATTAACAAATTATAGTTATTAAATTTAATAAAAGAAATCCAATTATTTTTAGAATTAAAATAATATTATCAAATTAAAATTTTAAGCAAAATTTTTGATTGAAAAACGCAATTAATTAATTAATTATTCTTAGCTTTAAAATAATATTAATAAATGTCTAAAGATATAGTTAAAAATTTAATAAAATAAATCCAATTATTTTTAGAATTAAAATAATATTAAAATTAAAGTTTAAGCTAAATATTTTGATCGAAGAACACAATTAATTATTCTTGATAAAAAATATAGTTAAAAAATTGAATAAAATAAATGCAATTATTTTTAGAATTAAAATAATATTCCAAAATTAAAATTTTAAGCTAAATATTTTGATTGAAGAACACAATTAATTATTCTTGATAAAAAATAAAATAAATGCAATTATTTTTAGAATTAAAAAAATATTCCAAAATTAAAATTTTAAGCTAAATTTTTAGATTGAAGAAAAAACTTTAAATCGTTTTAAAGACAAACATTTATAAATAAAATAGTTTGATTTCATTTTTTAATTTATTTTATTTAATTTTAAGTTTTCATTATTCCTAGTCTTCATCATCATCACCAACATTTAAATCTATTAGGTAATTCAAGACCTCCACATATTGAGGGGCATCATCACATAATTTTTAAAGAGCTTCTTTTATTTCTTGGTTTTTATCACGTAATTCTTCATATTTACTATAAATAATAATTGAATTAATAAAATGGTTATTTATTCTCTATAAATGAATTACGTCATCAATGTAGCTTCAGGGACAGAAAGTCTTGCCTTACCAGCAACTAAATCTTCTAATTTTTTAGCTTTATTTTGCATACAGCTAATACTTAATATATTTGTGCTTCTCTCGAGCTTGTGTTTTGTGAGTTCAATATTTTTATTATAGCAATCAGACTCTAATTTCTGTAAATTATCATTGTTTCCTTCAATTTATGCGTTGAGCTTTTAATTAGTTTTAAATAATATATTTAGAAAAAAAACAATAAATAATTTGTTCTAATTATATAATTTTATAAGCATTCAGACACAAATTAGCAAAAATAGTTAGTAAAAATTACATCGTCTAATTCGATTTTTTTATTCTTAATAGCTTTTTCCATTTGTTCAGCATTTCTGGTAGTTTGATTGAGTGTAGTTTTTAGTTGGGCAATCTTTTTAGTAATTTAAGCAGAGTTATCAGAGGCTGCACTGATTGAAGAAGATTTTTAACTCATAGAGTTGGAATTGCTAAAGGTCTTATCTTTATTCATGTATTTTAATTAAATAGTTTCTCTCTTATAAACAGCTCTCTCCATTTCTGCAATGATTGCTTCTTATTTCTTTCTTAAATCATCCAATCTGAGTTCCATACGATGGATTTCTCTTTTAAGTTCTTGAATTTCAGTCTAACCTACTGTGGGATCTAAAGCATCTTGCATTTCTTTTTCTAATTAAATTTTTCTCTCCCAAAGTAAAATTTGTCTTTCTGATTCAACAATTTCAGCAAGTAAGTCAGCCTTAATAAAAAAACAAAAAAATATTTATCTATCTTGAATCATAAATTGTTATGAAATTACCTTTTCTTCTTTTAAACGATCTATTTCTACTTCTAATTTAACAGATTCTTTTTCTAATTCTTTTAGCTTTTCAACAAACTCAGATTTAATGTTGAAATTTTCGTTATCTAACTTTTGTTGCTTTTCTTTATTTCTGTAAATTGCATCATTGAGTTTGTTCATTTCATTTCTTAGATTTTTGAGAGCATTTTAAATTTCACGAATATCTTTTTCATAGATTCTATAATTATTGTTAAGACGTAATTTCTTCTATTCTAAGATTGTTTATTTAGTTTTAAGTTGAGAAACATCTTCTTCAATTTTATTTAATCTGTTGTTCTAGGTAACGAGCAAAGTTTGCTTCTTTATCCACTCTCTTTGCATCAAATCATTTTCTTTACCCAGTTCTTATGTCTTTCTAATCAAATTATTTCTCTTAGCTTCAAGAGGTCCTCTGCTCATATCACTTTGGACGCTGCTTAACTTATCATGTTCTCTATTTAATCTTCCTACTTCGTGTTACTTTTTTTCATTTAAATCATGACCTTGTCTAATTTGTACTTCGTAAGTAGCCACAGTAATTTCTTTTTCTTCTCTTTCTTTGATGACCTATCATAGTAAAAACAACCAAATAAATTATAATTTATCTGATAATTAATAGAAAATAATAATGAAATTAATTACTTCTCTTCTTTTATTTTCAAGTACTTCAATTTGAGAAAGAGTATTAAGTTGATCGATCTTAACTCTTGCAATTTCATTAAGCAAGTTTTCTAATTCAACAGATTTATCTTCAATTTCAATTGATATTTGATTGGCTTATTTATTTAAGTTGGTGGCAGTCTTTTCGATTGTTGTGTGTTCAGACTTTTGATGCACCAAATCTTCCCATAACTTTTTAGTTTCTGTGTGAAGTTTCATAATATTAGTTTCAATTAAATTCATTTAATCTTCTATATTTCTCTTATCGATCTCAGCTCTTCCTGCTTCAGTTTCTGTTTAACGTAGAGATTATGTAAGCAGGTTAATTTAGGCTTCAAGTTTGCTTTTTTCTTCTTGCAATTCATTGTATTTCTTCTATAGGTAATCCTTTTCATAGTCGAATTTCTTATTCTTGCCTATTGATATAAAAATAAAAATTTAAATTCAAATAAATAAATAAATTTTAGTGAATGATAGAAATAAGAATTTATCAAGATTTTTTTAAAACTGCCACGAGTTGATTGATGAATATTTTCATTTGAAAATAAGCAAACAAACAAAAAAAATGAATGAATTACCTTCTAAACTTTCTTGAATTTCAGTTTCCTTCCTGATTTCTGCATTTACACCATTTAATTCAGTTCCAATTTGAAGGTTAAGTTCTTGTTATCCCCTTTATTTGTTAATAGAAAAATATTAATAGCATTTGAATCAAGCAAACTTAAAAAATTCATATTAGTTTTTGATTAAACATTTTTAATCAAGATTTTAAAAGAATTTTACTTGAGAGCTTCTTTAATGGCTTGCAAGGCGTTGTCCATTCTTTACATAGTCATAAGAGACTTTTACCATCTCTCTAATAAATTCTTCTTAGAAGCAATAATTTTTTGCATTTCCAAATGAGCTTCTTTGAGAATTTATTTTGCCTATTCTGTTTCTTCCTTTTAGGAAATTAATTAAGCAGTTAAGATAGTCTTTTGTTCAGTCTAACGTTTAATTTCTTCATTCATTGTATCAATTAATAAATCTTGTTTCTTTTTTTATGCTTCAAGATTAACTACATTTTCTTCAGCTCTATAAGTGTTAGTCTTAGTATTTATAATTTAACCCTTCATTTATTGATTAAATTCATTTATTTAATAAAGAGTTCTAGTTAATTTAGAAAGCTCATCTTAAGCTTTCAAATATTTTTTTCTTAACTCCTCCAACTCCTTTTTCTTAGCGTCATACACTTCGCTCTCTGTTTTTAATTTTTATTCAGCTTCAATTCTTTTTAATAAATAAGTTATGATTACTCAATTTGCAACATTTAAAATTAATTTTTTTTGAATTTAAATATTTTAAAATTCAACAACTTTAATGATCATATTTAAATTCCCATTTTAATTCTTAATAATCTTTAACTGAAATCAACAAATAAATTTTAGTTGATTTTAAATGCTCTAAATACCTTAATTTTTAAACCCAATTATAATTTTCATGAGCTTATTCAAAATTCATTTGATTTTCTGCTAATTGTTGTTGGACTGAATATAAACGAACACCAATATCTTCTTTAGTTTTTTCAAGTTTTTTCAAATTTGCATCTATTTCAATAAGCTTCTGATCAACCCTTTCATGTTCGTCAGTCAATTATTTCGTCAAATCAATTTAAAGTTTAGCAAGAAGAGGCTTTCATAATTATTAAAGAATTAATTTAATATTAAGAATGTTTGTTTTTCAAGCATAATAAATCGAAATATTAATATTTAAATGAAAGAATATTAGGATAATATTCTTCATACATGATCTGCAGGTAAATATGCCATATCATCTTCTAAATTGTTATCTTCTGGTCCCTATTAATTACTCATTTTTATGTTTTAGAAACTTAATAAATAATGCTTGCTTGCCTAAGTAATAATATATTTAATTTATTTGATTAACAAAAAATAAGTTGTTTTTTATTAATTTGTTTCTTATTTTCATATGAGCAATTTAAAATAATCAATTAATTTATCAATCAATCAATGAGTCTCATACTGAAATGTATTACAACATATCATCCAATTCCATTAGATCCTTTATTCAGTAGATCAAAAATTATAATAACTTGATCATTATATTTCTCTCATTCATAATTTATTGACTCCACTGTTACTTTATTTTTACCACTCAAACAAATCCTTATTCAAATTGATAAATTTATTTTATTTAATTTTTAATAATTAATCAATTATTCATTTTAAAACAGCCATTTTTAATCAAAGCAAGCCATAAATAAAAAATAAATACTTATGTATAGCCTTAATGAAGAATTATCAAATAAGCAGTAAATTAATTTTTGAAAATAGGGCTAGGATTTGAAAATTTAAAATTATCATTTTCAAAAAAAATACTTTTAAAAATAATTTAAACTCTTCAATGTTAAATAAAAAACGTTATTTAAAATAAATTAATATTTAATTATAATAAATTTAAATACAAAAATATCAATTTTATATGTTTTTTATAATTTATATATTACAATTTTTAATTATTCAACAATTTATCTCATTAAAAAAAACTATTTGTAAAAAACATAATTAATTAAATAATAAAAAATTAAAATAAAAAATAAAGCTTAAAAAATTAAAATTTATGGTAAATATTTAAAAATACTTTTGTATTTTTAATACAAATACTAATTAAATAATAAAAATTTATTGCTTTTGATTTTATTTAGAATGATAAAACGTTTTTTAGATAAACTACTTAGTTATTTATGATTATTTTTAAAATATAAAATTATCAATAATTTAGTTCATTTTAAAAAAATAATCATAATTTTATTTATTTAAATTTTTTTTATTAATTAAAACTTGTAGATTAAATTTAAAATTGAAAAACAACCTAATAAAATTTATATTTTTTTATAATCAATCCAACCAAACATGATTTTATAATTAAAACAAATTTTTAATTATACAAAAACTAAAGTTTAAATTATTAAATAAATATTTATCAGATTTTTCAAAATTTAATTAATCTTCTTTTTTACTAAAATGATATTTGAATTAAATATTAAATTTAGTGCTAAATTTTTTAAATTGTTTTTATTTTATAGATATTATTAATTAATATTTTATTAATAAAAGTAAGTGCTTTTCTATTTAAGGATGACCATCAAAATTATATTGATTTTTATTTTATTTTTGAATGCTAATATCCATTTAAACTGAAAAACTATTTATTTTAAAGGAATTTAGAAATATAAATTAATATTTTTTTGGTTTGTAAAAATTGAGTTTGGTGTGGTTTTAACACGACTATTTATGGTAAAATTAGTTGATAAGTATCAAATAATTTAATAATTATTTAATTTTAATGGTAAATTGTTTAACGATAAGTTATAAACTATTATGAATATTGAATGATTGATAAATTTTTCCTTTTTACTAATCAAGATTGTTAAAATTTTTAGTTTTTAAAAGATATAAAAAATATTAATAGAAAACAATATTTGTAAAAATATTTAATATTTATTAGGAACTGAAATTAAGATTAGATGAGCTCAAAATAAATGCAGACAATTTTAGATTTATAGAGATAACTTTAATAGTACAAGTATCCTTCGTGCTCGCGTCATGTTGAAAAAGATTATTTAAATATGATATGCATGGACAAAAGATGTGATGAAGACTGTATTCTTGATCCATTTTGTTCTATTTGCACTGATAGAAATAATCATAGAAAAGCATATCACGTATAGCATAACTTAAAGAATATCTTAAAAGATGTTTTAGATTAGACTTAAGAAGTTTAAGTCATTACAGAAGCAGACAGCTCATATGTTAACATGCCATAAACAGAGTTTGAGGTTATTTTGTAATAGTTAGGAAAAGAGTTTTAGGTAATATTTTTCAAAGCAAAGCCAATACATTTTAGTAGAATCGTCAAAAATGCATTTTAAATTAATTAAAAACTCATAAAATGTTTTTTGTTATAAAATTTTATGCTTTATCAATTAGATATTCGGATAGGAATGTTTCAAAGTTGCTGAAACTCTCTTCAGAACAATTGAAAAGTATAGATTGTCTAAGATTATTAAATGTCCTGAAAAGCCATCTGTATAAAAAATTATAGCAGAAATATTAGAAAAAGGGGATGAAGGAACACTTAGAAGAAATTTAAAAAAACTATTAAGATATGGTGAAGTCTAAAACGAATAATTAATTCTAAATCCCTCTAATTAAACAGTTTTTAAAGACTAGATTGAAAAAAATGCTAAAACATATATTAAAATGATAGAGCAAGGTTTGGAATAGCTTGGATAAATTAGGTTTGACCTATTTGTAAGAGGCATTAGAACTGATTTTGATGAAATCTAGTTAATTAAAAATTCCCCATTGAAAGACCCTAGTTCAGCTAGTCCTTCTAAACTAAGAGAAACCCCAAGTAAGCTCAATAAATTAATAAAAAGCATATGAATTAATAACATAACTTAAATGAAAACAAGCTTTTTTTTAACAGAAAAAAAACAAATAAAAAAATGAATGAACAATTAACATAAATTTAATTAATAAAAATAAATAGTTGATCCTGCAATTTCAAAGTACTTTAAATCAACTGCTGAATCTCCTCGTATGAAATTAATTTAAGATAAAAATTATTCTAAATACATAATTTAAAAGGCGATCATGAAGCTATTTTAGATCAGAGAATTAAGTAAGCTGCTAAGACAGCTGAACAGGAAAAAGCTTTAAATGCCACTATGGTATATTTACTTTTCTCAAGAGATAAATGAATTAAAAATAAACTTACTCAATTATAAAAGAATGCAATGACAATTAAAGAAGAAGTTAGATCTATATAAAAGGAGATAGAAGTAATAAAATGCATTAATTCAATTGAAAGGTATTCTATTTTTATTTATAATTTTATAGAATGTAAGACAAATAGCAGTAGATTAGGCTAACTAATAATCAGGACATGTAACTCTTAATTTAAAAATAAAATTCAATTTTTTATTTAAAACAACAACAAAATAATAATTAGGCAAGCTAAGTAATTTTTAATATTTAAAACATACTACTTTTATTTACTCCGAATTTACATCATTTACTCACTTGACAATAAACAAACAGAAAGTAATAAATAGAATATTTAATTGCAAGATTAATATTAATAAACTTTTAAAAATAATTAGTATGTAAGCTTTTATTTTTTCTAAATTCATATAATAAATACTTATTTTTGCTGTCTGCTTATTTAAGTGGAATTCATGGGAAGAAGTAAATAAATTGTTTTAATTAAAAAATTAATTAACTTACTATTATATATAAATCTAGTTGTCGACCAACAACCATCAAACAGTAAAATTAAGCATATTAGATAGATTAGATATTTATATTTTTATTTCTAATAAAAATAAAAAAGTGGGTAAGAGCTTTTTTTTCTTTCAAATGCATAGATAATAATTTATTTTCATTAAAACAATAGGGACTTGACGTAATTTTATTAGATTTTTGGAGGTTTCAAATAATCTGATTTTGGTTTTTAAAATAGGGAGTAAAATTGTTTCTCTTTGTAAAAATATAAATTAAAAAACTTATTAAATAAATAGAAACATGTAAGTTTAAGCATATTGAAGATATTTATCAAATATTAAATAAATCAATATTTTTCTAGGCAGTAAATTATATTTTAATCTCCAAAAAAAATATTTATTTTATTATTTTGATAATAAAGACTCATGTAAATATTCTAAATTGAAATGTTCAAAATTTTAATATTAACTTATTCTATAAAAATGTTAATAAATAGCCAGTAATTAAATAGCATTTATTTTTTTATTTCAAATTATAAATTTTGTTTATAAATAAACTAGGACGTAAGCTTTGAATTATTTGTTGAAGATTAATTTAATTGTTTTTATACAAAATCATACAGTCAAAGACAGTAAAATATTTAAATAAAAACCATCTTTTTTTAATATATTTTTAGTGGGTAAATAAATAATTTAGTATTAAGCTTAAATAAATTAATTTTTGGTGAAAAAAGTGTTTCAAGTGCTATCCAATTTATTATGAAGCTAACAAAGACGTAGATAGACTTAAAAAGAAAATATATGTAAATTTCTATGAATTATTCATATTTTAATAAGATTAATTTATAAAATAGGAGTTAAAGTAAAGATATAATTAAGAAAAAAACCAATGAAGCAACAATAATGATGAGCATAAAGAATATTTAAAGCTACCGATTAACTATATACATATATTTATATAGAGATTTAATAAATTTATAATAATACTTATTTACTTGTTTATCTATCTGTATTCCATTTATTAATTTATAAACGTAAAAAATTAATTTAATTTCACCAGATTGCATTACTTTCTATAAATAGTAAAAATTATTTTCATTAACTATCAACTCTCTATCCCATGTTAAATCTAGCTTATATTTCTTATCCATCTGTCTTTTTAAGAACACCTTGACCATTAAACTTTCCTTAGTGGAAAGGTCCTTCCCAAATTCTGTAACCAGATTTAGGATATCTAAATATAAATACACCATCACCCTCAAATAGCCCATCCTAAAAGTTACCTTAGTATTTACCTTCTAGTGTCCAGCACTCTCCACTTACAATTTTTCCATCTATAAATTCTCCTTCATAGGCTAAAACTCCTCCTTGATTAGTGCTGTCTCTCAAGTAAATAAGAGAACCAGAGGCATTAGATAATTATTCATCTTTGAACTCTCCAATGAAAATATATCTAAATATTGATTAATTTTATATTATATAAATTAAAGTAAGTAATATTTACCTTTAAACTGTATTGTAAAGAATACCGTGAGAAATAGCATCATTTTCCCAATTTCCCCATGTATGGATACCGTTTGGTTGCATACTTAGGCCATATCCATACTTTCTTGTTTAGACAAAATGACCGTTAAAGACTCCTACAACTTAACCTAAACCAGTCATATGCTTTTTTAGCTCCCCTGAAGTTGGATCATTATACCACTCAACCCAGCCTTTGAATTCAAATGCATTATTCATAATTGTTCCTTAATAGTATTTAAGAGGACGAGGGAAGTACTTGTCGCTTTTCATTTCAATAATAGATTTGAGGGTAGGGCGAATAGCTTCATTTAAGAAAAGCATGTCATTTAAAAGAGAAATCAATTGAGCTGAGTATACCTAACCTGCGTGTTAGAGATAAAATTATATTGATTAAGTAGAGATTTTGCTTTTGAATTCGTTATGGAATGTGACTAAATCTTATGTTCCAATCATATACAATACGAGCATGCCCACTTTAAACAAAAGAGCTCTTTCTGTGCAGTTTGCATCTCTGCTTAAAGGCTTTATGCTATGAAAATTATCTGTTGGAAGACTAAAATCTAAAGCTTTTTCTTTGCCTGCAATCGTTAAGCTGCAATTACCTTTTATAACATTATTATTACAAACAAATTGAATTAAAGTATTAAATTAAAGATTTTTTTGATGATTTTTTAAAATTTTAAATAAATAATTTTGGATAAAATGATTAATTAATTTACCTATTATAAATTTCTGATATTGAGAGCGTGATACAAAGATATTGTAGGGATTTAGTGTGAGATATTCCATATGATTAAGACAAGAGAGATAAAAGCTATCAAGACATGTATATATCAATTCATAAACTTCTTCTTCTTAAATACCATCTCCAGATCTCTATTCTTAGATGTAGCTTTCAAAATTACTAGCAACTTCATTATAATCATACAAAACATATAAATCCTTCTCTCCTCCTTTTCTCTCTTGCATTGAAAAGCCAATAATCTTCTACAGGTGAGAATTGTAACTGGAAGCTGCTGCTTCAGTTATTCTTTCAATTTTAAGCTATTTTGATTTTTTTAAAATAAAATTCGTAAAAAATCCTACTTTTTAGATTATCGATTTAATCAAAATATTGTAAGATATAATAGTATTGAATGATGTTTAAACTTTAAATTTGTTGCCATTTTACCTTGTAAACTTCTGGGGCTAATGACTAATAATGTTGCATGATTATCTTATAAGAGGATTTTGGTTCAACTAAAACATAATTTGTTGAAGTTAATTCGAGTACCCAATCAAAACCAACACCTAAAACTCCTTAATTTTCATATTTCGATCTTATGGTCTCATAAGGAATCATAAAATCATTTGCTTTTAAAACTGCTGATGCTGACATTTTTTGTTAATATTACTTATCTAATGAAAAGCTTAAAGTTTTCTTTTTGAATTTATTACTATCAATTTATTTTTTTACCGAATTTGTGGATATTGATCAATTAAATAATTACTTTAATATTAATTTGCATTATTAAATCCCATTCAAAATATTTATTTTAGATAAAGAAGATATTCGCATTTAATGAGTGAAATTCACATACGATCGCAAAAAATTTAAGCCTACAAAAAAACAAAATAAATATTTTATCAACCATTATTTTATTGATATAATTTAATGGTTAATTTAATTATTATTATTATTAACATTATAATATTGAAAAGTATTATAATTCAATTCATTTAACAAATGACAAAAGCTAAAAAAATAAATGATAATTTATTATGAAATCTCAAAAATTCTTTAAAATACTTCTAAAAAATTTTTATATTTCTTAAACAATTTTTTTTTTGAAAAATGAGTTTTGTGCTAAAAATAAAGAAAATCATAAACTAATTAGCAAATTTTAATTTTAATGAAATCATCTGGATTAAAATCAGCTGTTTTAATAATTAGCAAACTTCTAACTAATAAAATACCTAAGTTGTATTTGAACTGTGACTTATTTAAATTTACAAAATACTTTTTGTTTATTTTAATTGAATTAGAATTTTATTTTGTTATTCAAAATTTTAATTTATTATTATATAGCTACTTTTTTGTATTTTAAAATTACTTAAGGATAATAAAAGAATATATTTAAAATTTTAATGTGGTTTTTAAATATATTAAAACAATCTAAAATTTAAAAAAAACATAAACATTTGATTAAATAATTTATTAATAAATAAAATTATTTTTAATTTAGTTTATTGATTCAGTTTTTAGGTATATTTTTATTAATAAATTTCTAATTAAAATTTATTATTAAAAAGCCTATTTTGCTAATATTTAAAAATACTTTGAAAATAATATGAAATTGGACATGAATTTATTATTGATTTTATTTTATTTTCAATAAATAAAAAAACCTATTTATTAAGTATTCTAAAAATAAAAAATGATATTGTTTATTTAATTCAAATTCATAATTATTAAACGAAATTATTTTATTATTAATTTATAATTAATTGATTTACTTAATATGTTACTTTAACTATTTTAATTTATAATTTTGTTATTTTTTAGATAGAAATGATTAATCACAAATGGATAATATCAATCTAAACTTTTTAAACTGTAAATAAAATATAAAATCATGAACAAATAATTAATATATATTTATTATTTTTTATAAGCTTTTTTGTTTATTATTATTATTAACATCATCAAAATGACAGACAATCAAATCTTATTTAATTAATATATTTATTTATTCTATTATTCTTTCTGATCATTTAGTTTTCAGACATTTTCGTTTATGCATGTCATTATAAAGATTGTGGAGTCTGTCTTAAAATATGGTATTCCTTCATAACTTTCATCAAATTCATTTGAAGTGCTAATAAAAGATCCAAATTCAAATTCAAGTCCATCAAGGTTCCATCTTAAGCCTTTTGATTCAATTTTGCCCTTGTTAAAATTACCAAGTGGTAGAACTCCCAATCCCTTAGTTTGCTCTAATTTTAAAGCTCTTTTGTAATAATATTCACCAGGTAACAAACAAGTAGCTAGTGAATATTAATCCATCATTTAGATTATAGATTAGGAAAATGGATTTTTTTCTTTAAAGAGCTTATTAATTTTTACTAAGTTAGACAAGTTGCTAATAGTTTAATCGAGTCTTCCTCCAAAAGCTCCAATTATTAACAATCTTAAATTGCTCTTTTAAAGTAATTCATTAAAAAACTTCTTAGCAAAAAGGAAATTAATTGATTTTTCCAAATCTGTATCATCCAAGCTATTGTTTTAACTAATTTCAACGCCTTTCTCTTCATAATACTTCTTAACGTGAGGTTTAATACTATCAAGATCTCCAACAATAGCTCTTGGTAAATATTAATCTTTGATAGATTCTAAATCATAGAGTCTATTAGCTCCTCCATCAGCACAAACCAAGAAATCAGTAAATGTTATAATTTTTTCAAATAAACCAATCTACTAAGGTCTATTTAGCATGAGAGTAATGTAGAGAGTATTCTCATCCTTCTCTCCCTTATTGAAAAATTCGTTATCTATCAAAAATATTTATTCGCTCATTTAATATTAACAATTTATTATTTAGAAAGATTTTTGTTGCTATTATTTCTAGTTACTAGTCAAAAGTAATTTATTTGTTTTATATTTATTTATGATTAAAAAAATAAGCAAAGAGTAATAAAAAGAAAGTGGTAATACAATCTTTGTTATCAATTTATATTTTCAATAATAAATAAACAAATATTATTAATTTTAATGTAATCATGTAACAAGTTGCGCTTAACTTTTTAGCTGCATTTTTATATATATTAAGTTTATATCAATACTTAACTTGATACTTGAAAATTAAGCTAAAAAACTACACACTGAATATCTATTAGACAATTACTTCTATTTTTATTAAATTGTGTAATGCCTATTTTATTTAATTGTAATTTATTGAATGTAATGTTTTCTCGCTTCTTTTCAAGATTTGTCTATATTAATTCTAAATACAAAACATTTCAGGCCTTTTTAAGTCAATTTCACTTTTTTATTTGGACCAATACATAAATTTTTGATTTTTCAATTTAGTAAATGTTTAAAATATAGTTCTATATTATTTAAATAATCATAAAATCAGTAACAAATACAAATGCTATTGAATATCATAAGGGTATTAAACATTCTTGTGAAAAAACTATGAAAATAAGCTAGAATATTAATCATATAACAAAATGTATGTAATTAAAATCAATAGAATTGGTCTTTTTTAGAATTAAAAATTTGAAAAAGTTTTGATAATAAAATATATCAATATTCGATGGATGGAGTCTTTAATTAATATTAGATTACATTATAAACATTATTGTTTAAATGCAAAATAAAATTTATTTAAAATATGGATTTATTTTAAACTAAAAATTTGATAATAATACACAATATAAAACACTTTGAAATAAAATGCAATTCATTATCCCTCTTCTAAATGAAAATGAAATACAAAAAATAAATAAATAAATAACTAAAAAATAAAATTCATTATAATTTTTCTCTTTGATATAAATGAAAGTTTATTTTATTCTATATGTTTTCTATTTTTATTCTTTGATGTTTATAATTCAATTATTTATTTTAATTACTATCAATATTTTTTAAATTTTAACATATTTTCTATTGCAAATAGATTTAATTTAAATAAAATAATTAGACAAGCATTTAAATTCTATCAATTTATTAGAAGGGAATTTTTTAGTACAACTTATGTTTCCTAAACCTTCTTTGTTAAAATAAATACATGCAAATAATATCCTTTTAAAGGTACTTACTTATATGTTGATTAATTGATATATGAAATATAGAATTTATTTTACCTATTTTTCATTATACCATCCAAAAATATTAATATCTCATTTATAATAGTAAATTATGATTTTAGTTATTCTATGAATTTTCAAAATAGAATTAAATTAAAAGTAATCGTATTTATAATGAGAATTTTATCCTATTTTAGTGATTTACTTTTCAAAGATATAGAACATTTAATTTTTAATTAAGTAAAAGTATAGAGTTAATTATAAATATGTATTGGCTTAATAAAAATTCATACATTTATTTATTTTGGAAATTATTGTAAATTTCTTACAAATTAATTGTATAATATTTTTTTTCTCAATAAACTACCTTGTCCTGTTTTTAATAATCTTTTAAATAAAATTTTTTAATTTATAATCTTAGATTTTAAAATTAAAGTAATAAGAGAGACTATTGGTTCAAAAAAGTTTTCAAAATATCTATATCAAATTCAGCAATTATTTTTTTTAAAAATATTCACCCCAAACTTCACCTCATTTTTGAAATATGCTACATAAATCTTAATTTAAGTTTTCAAAAATTGCCATTTAAATAAAAAAAGTATTAATCTGTAACGATCTAAGATTATAGAAAGTTACTGTTAACTTTATTAAAATGTTAATATTATTTTTGTTAATTAATATGCACTTACTTTAATATTAAACCAAATTCATAGCAATTACAAACTTTATGATTTTAATATAAAAATAAATGTTTTCTTAATTTATTTTTATTCATTTGAATTTGTTTATTAAATGATAATAAATTTATAAAAGTTTAAATATTCTTATTCATTTTATTAATAATATTATTAGTTATCAATTTGAATGTAGTATTCTTTAAATTTAGGTTGAAAATAATCATCAATAATTATTTACTTTTTCAATTTTCTAGGTGTTATCTAAAAAATTATAGCTTTTACGGAAATTAATTGCAGTTCTAGAAAGCTAACACTTTTAAATGTAGATGAATTAGAATAAATGATAAAGTTTTTATAAATATTTTAAATAATCTTACAAAATTATCTAATTTTTTAAATCTTTATTAGTATCACCATTTTGTATGTTAACTTCTTCTTTAAAAGTTAATTGTTAAAAAATATTATCTTTATAACAAAAAGAAATTGTTCATAAATAAATAATAAGAACTAGTTTAAATAGTCTACTTATTGCCTTCCTACATACTAAGTTTTATACTTGAAATGAAGATAAATTAGTAATTAAAAATTGACTTTATCATTAAAATATTGTAAAATTTTATTTTGTTATTTATAAATTTTGGAATATTCTATAGTGAAATATAATATTTTTGATCTTGTTCGCTTAAATTTTCATAGAAAAAAAACTTTTTAAATTTATTTGACACAGAATTAATACGTAATTTGTAATTTGAGATTTGTAGTAAGTGCTGATAAAATTTGATAAATTATATATTAAATAATTGTAATAAGAAATTTAATTAAATAAATAATTATTCATTTTCAAATATTTTTTTAATTAATTAATCCTCTTCAGAAACTGATTTTTTCTAAATGAAAAATAATTAAATAATCAACTAAATAATTATCTATAATTATTTATTTCTTATACCACAAGTTTAGATTATTGATTGTTTCTGAAAAGATATAAATAATAAATACTACTATTAAATTTGTATTGTTTATCAGCATTTTAAATTTATAATTACTACCATTTAATACATTAAACAGGTTCAAATAGGAAAGAAATATTAACACATTAAAATGAAATAATAAATACATTTGTAAAAAAAAAGTAATAATATTATTACAAGTTTGATTGAATTATTTATTGTATGAAACTTTTCTTATCTCTCTTAACTTTTTTGAAACTTGGTCCTTCTTTTTTGAATTTTCTTGTTACAAATAAATTAAAAGCTTCTATAAAAGAATTGCGTGATTTAAAAATTTTTTTTAGTAAGCAAGATTCAATTAAATATTTTGCTTCAAAAGCTTAAAGTATTAAGAAATATTTATAAATAATATTTAATGATAATAATAACAATCTAATTGTAAAATGTAAAGATTAGCAAAAATTTTATTTAGAAAGCCTTAACATTCATTTTCCTCGAATGTTCCTAGAATCAGATCTTATTCTGTTACAGCAGAATCAGTGAGTTATTCTGCAAAAATAACAACTGAAAATAACCATGTTTTGGTTTCTGATCTTTCAAAACAATCAGGTGGTTAAGGTAATGGAATCTCACCACTAGAATTATTCTTATCCTCACTTGTGGCATGTGAAAGTGTAACTTCATAAGTTATATCTAAAAATTTAGGATTTAAGATTTCTACTGCATCATACTAAATACATGGATAAAGAGATGATAGAGGTTATCATCATCTTCCAATGACTGCAGAAGCTCCGATAACATCAAATTTTACTAGGATTTGGGGAACCATCTATGCTGAAACTGATGCAACATAAGAATAGCTAAATTAATTAAATGAAATATTAAAAAAAAGATGTCCTATTGCAAGAATGATAATAGATTCTGGCTGTAAATTAGATGTTGAATGGATAAAAAAATAATGAAAAATAATAAAATATAGATCTAATTAAATTGTAATTTGCTTAATCAGAAGATTTCTATTGCTTATTTGAATAATTTTACAAATAAAAATTATATGCTCGATGTAGAATTTGTATTACTATTTATATGAGATATGCTTGTTATAATTTCTAAAATTAAATTTTATTAAACTAATTTTATAATTTAAATTTTTTTATTTTGATTAAATTATAAAGTAAGAATGAAAAATTTTTAACTGAGAAATTAGGAATTTGTAGGAACTAATTCCAAAATAATTTTGAAATAAATTACATAAAAATCAAATGAAAAATTAATTTAAGCTTAATAATAAGTTATTGCAAAAATTCTAAATGATTTATTTAAAATATTTACTAATATTAAAAAAAAATTAAAAAAAAAATTTGTTGAAATTTATTAAAAATATTTTATCTCTCTCTCAATGTAAACCACTTATATTACAAATATTTACAATCAAATTTTTAAAAAAGCTAATTATTCTGAGCATTTATTAATCTAGCCTTTATATTAAATTAGAAAAAGCATATTTTATCATAAATAAATTTGTTGTTATATAATTAAAAAATATTTTAATTAATAAAGGAACAACTAGTGTTAAAAGGAATAAGTTTAAAATAAAATGTCAAATATATGGAAGCTCTTCAAGTTAAAATGAATAGGGTTTCTTAAAAATGTTGGAGCTAAATAAAATTTTAATAAGTTCTTAAAATAGATAAATTTTTTTAATTTTATTATTTAAGTAAAATAAAAAATTATAACTCTATTATTTATTCAGATTTTAATTTTACGATTTTTTCTTAATTTAAATTGATCAGTTTGTTTTTTATGTATTTAAAGGAGTAATATTTTTAATTTTTTAATTTATAATAGAAAAAATTAATAGGTTTAATTTTTCAAGAATAAAATACTTTATTTTTAAATATTAAGAAGACACTTTACTTAATTCATGATAAAAATAAATATAGATAAATGATATATTTTTCATTTATTCCATATCAACCTTTTTTGTTGTAGACGTAGACAAATAAGAAGAAATTATAAAATACTTTTCTTCAAAAATTTTTATCTTTCAATTTTTAGAATATGATCCATCCTTATTTATTATTAATTAATTAATTTAAAAAAATTTACAATCAAAAAGCAAATTAATTAAATTAAAAACTTAGAAAAATGTAACCCTAAAATACCTAAAGTTGGAATAACTATTTCCAGAAAAATTTATTAGAAGGCAAAGACAACTGGTTCAATGAAAGATTAAATAATTTTAGTAACTAAACTCAAAATAAAATTTAAGAAGTTTCAGAAGGTTAAGATTGGAATGGCGAATGGTTTTATGTTGAGGTCAATTAAATATCCATTCCAATTCCTTCATTTGTTAGCCTCGCAACACAAAATAAACTCAAACAAACCATTTAAGAAGTTTAATAACAAGTAGATTATCATCTAAAATCACCTTCTTTTAGATAATAAATCTTAGACTATATGCACAAAGATTTTATGAATAAGAATTGTCAACTATTTAAAAAAATCAATTCTGTTGATTCAAATCCTTCTTTAAAAATCCAGTTTGAAAATCAAAACAAATTATTTTAATAAAATCTTAATGCAAACACATAAAAAGCGGATGACTTTAGAAAATTTGTTCATCATATATTTAATAGAAATATTAAGAACAGAAATTTGATAGAAAATGACATACAATAATATATGAAAAACAAGGAATCTAAAAAAAAACCAAATAATAATAAAAATTACTTGCATAGTAATGAGGACTTCATGAATGATTAAAAATTTATAGAAGAAACATTAAATAGCATTCATAAATTTGGAGTGGATAGATGCAATATCTAGAAAAATGATAACTAAAAAATAATGTCTGAAACTATAAGCATTAATTTCTAAGAAAGAAAAACTTTGAAAACTATCACATACTCAATTTTGCATCATAATCTTTGCAAATAAGATAAAAAGTGGGCGAAAGAATATATATACAAAGTGTTATCTCATATCAATCCAAATACTAAAGATTTTGAATAACGCAATTATATTCTAAGATAAATATACCTCCTTTTCTTGCAAACAATAATAATCAATTCTAATAATAGTAACTAAACTGATCAATTTTTAGAGAGTGTCTTTAAATCTGAGTTCCTGTCTTCTTTACTAAGTGATCATCTTTTATTTTCAGCCCAACAGATTCTGAAAATAAAAAATCATACAAATTAAAACCAGGATATTAATACTTTACTAGATTAACTTTCAAAAGCAAATGATTTTAATTTGTATTTGATCAGCCAGAAAGAGGTTGATTCTAAAAAATACTTGCATGCAAAACATAAATCCCGAGAAATATTTATCTATTTTGAGCAATGTTTACAATAAGATGAAAACTAGCAAGTTTATTATGTCGTTAATCCTAGTGATTCATTTGTTTGTTTTGCAGAGAGTTCTTTTTGAGGTTTCAATCAACCAAAAAAGCCACAACCACCACAATGAATTGACCCATAAATTAAAATGATTAATAAGAAAGTATATTATTTATTAATCATTTTTTATATTCAAGTTTATTTCTTTCGTATTATTTTATATTATATTTAGTGTATATAAATAGTAGTCTTTACTAATTAATAAGTTAACTCTTCTCAACTAAACTTTTATTTTTTTATTTATATTTATTTTTAAAAAAATATTTATTAAATCATAAATAAAATAATAAAAACTCGTAAAATATCTAGCGTAAAGCATTAAAAGATGTAAAAATTAAATAATTATAAGATTAATAATAGAAAAGATAAAAAGATTTTATAAATTAATAAGATAGTTATAAAATGGAAAGATTCTTAACGTTCATCTTCTTTATATGATAAGGATAAAGCAAAATAACTATTATAAAGAATAACATCTTAAAAAATTTAAAAGAATAAGAATAAATTGTTTATGAATAAGTATTAAAGAGCTTAAATATTTAAAAAATTAACTAGTTTAAGAATTAGAATATTAAAAATTAACAAATTAATAATTATTATAAAAGATTATTGAAGATATAATTATAGCAAATAAAATTAAGAATATGAAAATAAATTTATTAAAATTAGAAAATATAAATAACTTTTATCATAACACTTACCAATAAAAATATTTGTGACAAAAATATTAAAAGTTAATTAATAAAAAGAATAAATAAATATATTTATTAAATAGTATTATTTATAAAATAATAGAATAAATAAATTAATATTAAAAAATAAAAATTTTTAGAAATAGAGATCAAAATTTTTTAATTTTTCAGCAAAATTTATAAATATTTTGATGACAAATATACTATTTTTCATTTAATGCATCAAAATATATCAGAAAATAAATTTTAAAAATATACATAATCTTTAATTAAATTATGTATATTTCTAAATATTAATTAAATCATCGCTAATAAATAGCGATGACTATTTTTTAAAACTGCAAAGTGCTATAAAAAGCTTTTCAAATTAAGTTAGTCACAATTAGTAAGACAAGAAGAATAAAATATTATTTCATTTGGTGTTTTATTTCAATTTAATTAAAAAAACTTTCTTAATCTAAATTCATTAGTTTTTTATGTATTTAAAGATGTAATATGTTCAATTTTTTAATTTATAATAGAAAAAATTAATTGGTTTTATTTTCAACAAATTATTTGTTATTTGACTTAGTAAAATAAAATACTTTATTTTTAAATATTAAAAAAGGATTAATTTATTTTAGAAATAAATATTAATTAATTATCTATTTGATTTAGTCTATATCAATTCTTTTGTAATAGATGTTAATATATGAGTAGACAAATAAGAATAATTATAAAATACTTTTTTTTTAATAAAAAATTTGTATCTTTAAATTATTAGATGATCCATCCTTATTTATTTATCATTATTAATTAATTAAAAAAATTAAAGTTAAAAAACAAATAAACTAAAGTAAAAAATCTTAGAAAAATGTAAACCCTAAGAACTAAATAAATAAAAAATCAAGGAAATTGGAACAACTTTTTCCCTAGCGTTAACAATGAATAATTTGAAAGCAACTAGTGCAATGAGAGATTAAATAATGTTTCCTACAAAACTCAAAATCAAATTTAAAATGATTAAAAAAAAGAAGATTGGAATGGTGAGTACTTCTATGTTGAAATCAATTAAATATCCATTCCAATTCCTACATTTGTTAACCTCGCAACAAAAAATAAACTCATACAAACCATTTAAGAAGTTTAATAACAAGTAGATAATCATTTAAATATACCTTCTTTGAAATAATAAATCTTAGATAAGATGTACAAAGATTTTGTGAATAAGAATTGTGAACTATTAAAAGAAATCAACAACACTCCATTAAATAACAAAACTCCTGGTAGTAAGAAATAGAAGAAAAATATTAAAAATCAAGTAGTTGATTCAAATCCTTCTTTAACAATCCACATTGAAAATCAAAAAAAATTATTTTAATAAAATCCTCATCCAAACACATAAAATGATGATGTTAAATCTGATATAACAGCTAGAGAAAGCTTTACTTAGAGATATGAAGTCATTAATAAAAACTTTTCAGCTAATTAAGCTGATGAATTTAGATAATTTGTTAATAATGTATTTATTACAAATATTAAGTAGAGTAATTAGCTATAAAATTACATACAATAATATTTGAAAAACAAGGAAACTAAAAATAAGACAAATAATAATAAATACCTCTACTTGTTTTGTAAAGAGGATTACATCTATGATGCAAAATTTATAGAAGAAACATTAAATAGCATTTATAGATTTGGAGTGGATAGATGCAAAATCTAGAAAAATTAAAACTAAATAATAATGTCTGAAACTATAAGAATTAATTTCTAAGAAAGAAAAACTTTGAAAACTATCATATACTCAATTTTGCATCATAATCTTTGCAAACAAGATTAAAAGTCAGCTAAATAATATATCTACAAAACTTTAGCTCATATCAATCCAAAAATCAAAGGTTTTGAATAAGAAAATTATATTCTAAGATAAATATTCCTACTTTTCTTGTAAATAATAATAATCAATTCCGACCATAGTAACTAAACTACTGAATTTTTAGATAATATCTTTTAATTTGAGTTCCTGTCTTCTTTACTATGTGATTATCTTTTATTTTCTGCCAAAAAGATTCTGAAAATAAAAAATCATACCAATTAAAACCATGATCTTAATACTTTAATAGATTAACTTTCAAAAGCAAATGATTTTAATTTGTATTTGTTCAGCTTGAAATAGGCTGATTGTAAAAAATACTCTTATGCTAATCACAAATCTCGCGAAATATTTATTTATTTTGAGCAATCTTTACAATAAAATGATAATTAGTCAGTATATTACGTAATTAATCCTAACGATTAATTAGTTTGTTTCGCAAATAGTGCTTTTTGAGGTTTCAATTAATCCAAAAAAAGCCATAACTATCAATTGAATTCCCATAAAAAAAAATTTTTATATTTTTCTTTTGTATTATATTTGTTTTATTTTGTGTATATAAAGTTATTTATTGATTCATCAATTCTTTTCAACTAAACATTTATTTTTTTATTTAAATTTTATTTTAAAAAATATAATTAATTACTTAGATAAAAATTCCTTTAGATATTAAAATTTGAAGTTAGCTAATTAAATATAAAAAAAATGTTTTTACAAATTAGTCATAATTATAATATGTTTAAATGATATTTTTTTTATTAAAGATTAAAAAATTTCACAGTTTTTACTACTAAATTTACTTTTAAGGATTTTTTAAAATGACTTTATTTTTCTTTCTATGAACATAAACAATATTAGGTTACTATAATCCCTTATACCTAGTACCTTGGAATTCGGATAAGATAATTGAGGTTATTAAAATTTTTATTAGTAATCAAAAATTAAATATTTTGCTTTAAACACTGAGTGTATTAAGAAATATTTGTAAAAAATATTTAAAAATAATAAAAACAATCAAATTATAAAATGTAAAGATTAGCAAAAATTTTATTTAGAACTCATCATAGTTAAGAACAATTTCTATTTAGAGTTAATACTAATATTTACAACCAAAATTTTAAAAAAGCTTATAATTGTGAGCATTAATATAGCTTTTACTAAAGTAGAAATTAAGATATAAATACATAAATATAATTTTAAAAAATATTTTAATTAATAAAGGAAAAATAGAGTTTATAGAGTAGAGTTTGAAATAAAATATGTCAAATTAAGGAGCTCTTCAAGTTAAAATAAATAGGGTTTCATAAAAAAGTTTAAACTAAACAAAACATAATTTATAATTCTAAATCAAATTTTAATAATTTCTTAAAATAGATAAATTTAAAAAATAATTTTTTATTTAAGTAAAATAAAAAATAAAGAGTAACTCAATCTTATTAATTAAGATTTTTATTTTTGATTTTTTGTTCATTTAAATTAATTTAGCTTTTTATGTATTTAAAGGCGTAATATGTTAAATTTTTTAATTTATAATAGAAAAAATTCATTAGTTTTATATTTCAAGAATAAAATACTCTATTTTTAAATTTTAAACCAGCATTAATTCATTACAAAAATAATAAATATAAATAAATAAATGAATGAAATATTTCATTTAGTCTATATCAACTTTTTTTGTTGTAGAGGTAGACAAATAAGAAGAAATTATAAAATACTTTTCTTCTAAAATTTTTATCTTTAATATGTAGAGGATGATCGATCCTTATTTATTATTATTAATTAATTAAAAAAAAATTTACAATCAAAAACCAAATCAATTAAATTAAAAATTTAGAATAATGTTACCCCAAAATACCTAAAATTGGAATAACTTTTTCCTTACAAAGAAGAAAAAATTAGGAGGCAAAGACAACTCGTGCAATGATGAGAGATAAAATAATATTAATAACTAAACTTAAAATAAAACATAAGAAATTTCAGAAGGTTAAGATTGGAATGGTGAATGCTTTTATGTTGAGGTTAATTAAATATCCATTCCAATTCCTTCATTTGTTAGCCTCGCAACAAAAATTAAACTCATACAAACCATTTAAGATATTTAATAACAAGTAGATAATTATCTAAATATACCTTCTTTGAAATAATAAATTTTAGATAAGATACACAAAGATTTTGTGAATAAGAATTCTGAACTATTAAAAAAAATCAACGATGCAAACACAAAAATAGCTGATGAATTTAGAAAATTTGTTAATGATATATTTAATACAAATAGTAAATAGAGCAATTAGATCTTTAATGACATACAATAATAAATGAAAAACAAGGAAACTAAAAAAAAACCAAATAATAATAAAAATTACTTGTTTAGTAATGAGGACTACATGTATGATTAAAAATTTATAGAAGAAACATTAAATAGCATTCATAAATTTGGAGTTAATAGATGCAATATCTAGAAAAATGATAACTAAACAATAATGTCTGAAACTATAAGCATTAACTTCTAAGAAAAAAAAACTTTGAAAACTATCACATACTCAATTTTGCATCATAATCTTTGCAAATAAGATTAAAATCGGGCTAAAAAGTTTATCTACAAAGTTTTATCTCATATCAACCCAAAAAAAAAAGGTTTTGAATAGCAAAATTATATTCTCAGATAAATATACCTACTTTTCTTGTAAACAATAATAATCAAATCTAATAATAGTAACTAAACTGCTCAATTTTTAGAGAGTGTCTTTAAATCTGAGTTCCTGTCTTCTTTACTATGTGATCATCTTTTATTTTCTGCCAAAAAGATTCTGAAAATGAAAAATCAAACTAATTAAAACTAGGATCTTAATGATTAACTTTCAAAAGCATATGATTTTAATTTATATTTACTGAGCAAGAAATAGGCTGATTCTAAAAAATATTTGCATGCTAAGCATAAATCCCGTGAAATATTTATCTATTTTGAGCAATCTTTATAATAAAATGAAAACTAGCCAGTTTATTACATCATTAATCCTAGTGATTCATTTATTTGTTTCGCAGAGAGTTCTTTTTGAGGTTTCAAACAATCCAAAAATCACAACCACAACAATGAATTTACCCATAAAATAAAATGATTAATAAGAAAGAATTTTATTTTTGAATAAATTATTATATTCCAGTTTATTTATTTTGCATAATTATATGTTTTATGTCGTTTAAATAGAATTTTTTATTCTTTGATCAATTCTTCACAACTAAACTCTTAATTTTTTATTTAAATTTTATTTTAAAAAATATATTAATTGAATCATAATAATATTTATAATATTATAAAATATATTAATAAAAATAATAAAAATTTGTAAAAGATTTAGTCAAAATATTCTTAAAGCTTATCTTCTTTATATGATAAGGATAAAGCAAAATAAGTATTGCTAATCAATAAGTTTTTATTTAAAATTTGAATGCTAAGTAGTATTCTTGCTATTTTTATTTTAATTTGTCAGAATTTATCTGACAGATCTACCTGTGATTTTATTTAAAGGAAAGGTCTTTTAATTTTTTATGAAAAACTAATTTTTTTGCTTTCCTGTTCTGCAGTAGTTGCTTATAATACAAAGTATTTTTTAGCTAGTAGTGTTAGATTAGGGTATGTATTTTAATTTTTATAATAAAACTCTAGTTCAAAAGACCTTGTTTTAGTGTTGTATAAACTATTATCAACTCTCTCTCTAAGATATTTAAAGCTTAATTTCATCTTTAAGTGCTTATTTCTAGAATTCTATATTGTAATCAACAATTTCTGAATCTTAATACTCATCTGATAGTATTGAATCTGTTTCTCTTTTCTCTAATTTTCTTCTATTTTTAGTTTTTTAAGACTTCCAATTAGATTATCTTCATTTTCAATTGTTTTTATTTTAGATATTTAATTCAGTTCATCTTCTAAGCTCTCAATCATATTTTCAAAATACTTTGGCTCTTTGATCTTACCAATCCTCTATAAAGTGGATGTAAAAAATTTGATTTACAAATAATCATTTTTATTGGTTCATAATATTTTTCTAATTTATCTAAATAGATTTTGAGCAAATTCTATTTAATCTCTTATATTTTTCTTAATTAAAGTTAAAATAAATAGTGTTTCATAAAATAGGTTGGAACTAAACAACACATAATTTATAATTCTAAATCAAATTTTAATAAAATCTTAAAATAGGTAAATTTTTTAAAATTGTTTTATTTAAGTAGATAAAAAATTATAACTAAATATTACTCATTCATTAAGTTTTAATTTTGTGGTTTTTTCTTGATTTAAATTGATTAGCTCTATATGTATTTAAAGAAGTAGCATATTAAATTTTTTAATTTATAATAGAAAAAATTAATTAATTAATTTTATTTTCAAGAATAAAATACTCTATTTTTAAAATAAAGAAAGCATTAATCCATTACAAGATTAAATATAAGTAAATGAATAATATATTTCATTTAGTCTATATCAACTTTTTTTGTTGTAGAGGTAGACAAATATTTAGAAATTATAAAATACTTTAATACTTTTAGTCTATATCAATTTTTTTTTGTAGATGTTTAAAGAAGTAGACAAATACAAGAAATAAAAAAATACTTTTATTTTTTAATACAAAAATTTGTATCTTTAAATCTTTAGAAGATGATTCTTATTTATCATTATTAATTGTTTGACTGAATTAATTAACTAATTAAAAAAATTTGAATCTAAAAGTAAATAAATTAAAGTAAAAAAATATCATTGAAAATGTAAACCCTAAAAAACAAAGAAGTAAAAAATCAAGGAAATTGGAATAGCTTTTTCCCTAACACTAACAAAGAATAATTGGAAAGTAACAACTGGAGATAAAATAATTTTTCATAAAGTTAAAATTGGAATGGTGAGTGCTCCTATGTTGAAATCAATTAAATATCCATTCCAATTCCATCATTTGTTAGCCACGCAACAAAAAATAAACTCATACAAGCCATTTAAGAAGTTTAATAACAAGTAGATAGTCACCCAACTGTTTCTTCTTTTAAATAAAAATTCTTAGGCAAGATGCACACATATTTTTTGAATAAGAATTAAGAACTATTTGAAAAAATCAACACATCACTAAATATCAATAAAGTAGTTGATTTAAATCCTTCTCTTTAATTGCACATTGACAATCAAAACAAATTATTTTAATAAAATCTTAATTTAAAGAAATAAGATGATGATGCTAAATCTGATTCTTCAGCTATAGAAAACTTAATTTAGAGATACGAAGTCATTAACAAAGATTTTTCACCTTTAAAAGCTGAAGAATTTAAATAATTTGTTAAAAATATATTTGATAAAAATAATGAGTAGAGTAATTTGGTTTTTAATGACATACAATAATATATGAAAAACAAGGAAACTAAAAATAAGCTAAATAATAATAAAAACCCCTACTTGCTTAGTAAAGAGGACTACATGTATAATAAAAAACTTATAGAAGAAATATTAAATAACATTTATAGATTTGGAGTGGATAGATGCAAAATCTAGAAAAATTAGAACTAAATAATAATGTCTGAAACTCTTAAAATTAATTTCTCAGAAAGGAAAACTTTGAAAACTATCACATACTCAATTTTGCATCACAGTCTTTGCAAATAAGATTAAAAGTTTGCTAAACGATATATCTATAAATTTTTAGCTCATATCAATCCATATAGAAAAGAAAATTAATAAGAAAATTATATCCTAAGATAAATATTCCTACATTTCTTGTAAATAGTAATAATCAATTCTGATCATAGTAAATAAATTAGTGAATTCTTAGATAATATCTTTTAATTTGAGTTCTTGTCTTCTTTACTATGTGATTATCTTATATTTTCAGCCAAAAAGATTCTGAAAATAACAAATCATATCAATTAAAACCAGGATCTTTATGATATAATAGATTAACTTTCAAAAGCAAATTATTTTGATTTGTATTTGTTGAGCAAGAAATAGGCTGAAAGTAAAAAATACTCATATGCTTAGTACTAATCCCGCTAAATATTTATTTATTTTGAGCAATCTTTACAATAAGATTAAACTTGTCCAGTATATTATGTAATTAATCCTAACGATTAATTAATTTGTTTAGCAAAAAATGCTTTTTGAGGTTTCAATAAATCCAAAAAAACCACAATCATCAAATTGAATTGTTATTAATTAATGTTTATATTCCAAATTTATTTATTTCGTATAATTATTTGTTTTATTTTGTATAAAAATTTCTATATTGATTGATCAATTCTTATCAAAGAAACTTTTATTTTTTAATTAAAATTAAGTAAAATCAAAGACTCTATTATAATTTTTTAATTTTAATTTTGAGATTTAGTATGTTGGGTGCACATTCATTTTTAAAATACTTTTGTTAATATTTATAAAATAATAAATAATATTCTTTTATTTCTGACAAAGAACAAACAAATTAAAGTCATTTAAGTAAAAGCTTTTCAAATAAGTTAGTCACAATTAGTAAACTATAAGAATAAAATAGTATTTCATTTCGTTTTTTATTTCAATTTAATTAAAAATTTTTCTTGATCTAAATTCATTAGTTTTTATGTATTTAAAGAAGTAATATGTTAAATTTTTAAATTTATAATAGAAAAAATTATTATTTTTATTTTTCAAGAAATTTTAGTACAATAAAATTTTTTATTTTTAAATACTAAAAAAGTATTAATTTATTTCAAAAATAAATATAAATAAATGATATTTTTCATTTAGTAAACAACAATTTTTTTTGTTTTTGATATCAATATGTAAGTAGACAAATTAAGAAGAAATTTTAAATTAAGCTTTTCAAATTAAGTTAGCCGCAAAGTCGCAAATAGTAAAACAAGAAGAATAAAATATTATTTCATTTGGTGTTTTATTTCAATTTAATTAAAAAAACTTTCTTAATATAAATTCATTTGTTTTTTATGTATTTAAAGGAATAATATGTTAAATTTTTAATTTTATAATAAAAAAAATAAATTGGTTTTATTTTTCAAGAAGTTATTTTTTATTTGGTTTAGTAAAATAAAATTTAAATATTAAGCAAGCATTAATTAATTTTAAAGAAAAATACAAATTAATGATATACTTCATCTAGTCTACATTAATTTTTTTTGTTATAGATGCAAGTATTTCTGTAGACAAATATGAGGAAATTATAAAATACTTTTTTTTTTAATACAAAAATTCTTACTTTTAAATTTTTAGATGATGATCCTTATTTATCATTATTAATTAATTAAAAAAATTTAGAATCAAAAAGCAAAAAAATATCTTAGAAAAATGTAAACCTTAAGGGATAAAGAAGTAAAATATCAAGGAAATTGGAATGACTTTTTCCTTAACGCTAACAAATAATAACTCGCAAGCAACTAGTAGAATTAGAGATAAAATAATTTTTCCTCCTAAAATTAAAATCAAATTTAAGAAGTTTCAAAAAGTTAAAATTGGAATGGTGAGTACTCCTATGTTGAAATCAATTAAATATCCATTCCAATGCAAGCCATTTAAGAAGTTTAATAAGAAGTAGATAATCACATAAATATATCTTCTTTAAAACAATAATTCTTAGACAAGATGCACTAAGATTTTGTGAATAAGAATTTTTAAATATTTAAAAAAATCAACTCACCACTTAATAACAAAAATATAGATAATAATTAATTGGAGAAGAATATCCAAAATAAAGCAGTTGATTCAAATCCTTCTTTAAAAATCCTCATTGAAAATAATAACAAATTATTTTAATAAAATCCTTATTTATAGACATAAGATGATGATGATGTTAAATCTGATTTTTCAGCTAGAGAAAGTTTAATTTAGAGATATGAAGTCATTAATAAAAACTTTTCAGCTTAAAAGGCTGATGAATTTAAATAATTTGTTAATAATATATTTGGTAAAAATAGTAAGTAGATAATTTAGCTTTATGTTGACATAAAAGAAGAATATATGAAAAAAATAGAAATGAAAAAAGCACCAAATAAAAATAAGTACATCTAAAACTTGTTTAGATTTGAGGACTACATGTATGATAGAAAACTTATAGAAGAAATATTAAATAGCATTTATAGATTTGGAGTGGATAGATGCGAAATCTAGAAAAATTATAACTAAATAATAATGTCTGAAACTCTTGAAATTACTTTCTAAGAAAGGAAAACTTTGAAAACTATCATATACTCAATTTTGCATCATAATCTTTGCAAATAAGATTAAAAGTTAGCTAAATAATATATCTACAGAAATTTAGCCCATATTAGAAAAGAAAGTTATATCCTAAGATAAATATTCTTACATTTCTTGTAAATAATAATAATCAATTCTGATCATAGTAAATAAACTACTGAATTTTTAGATAATATCTTTAAATTTGAGTTCTTGTCTTCTTTACTATGTGATTATCTTTTACTTTCTGCCAAAATTATTCTGAAAATAAAAAATAAAAAATATTAAAATCTTGATCTTTATGCTTTAATAGATTAACTTTCAAAAGCAAATAATTTTAATTTATATTTGTTGAGCTAGAAATAGGCTGAATGTAAAAAATACTTGTATGCTAAGCTCGAACTTCGCGAAATATTTATCTATTTTGAGCAATCTTTACAATAAGATTAAAATTTGCCAGTATATTATGTAATTAATCCTAATGATTAATTAATTTGTTTAGCAAATAGAGCTTTTTGAAATTTCAATAAATCTAAAAAAAACTACAACCATCAAAATAAATTAATTGACTCATAAAATAAATAATGAGAAAGTATTTTATTTTTTTAAAAATTTTTATATTCCAAGTTTATTTATTTTGTATAATTATTCGTTTTATTTTGTTTAAAGAGTAGTTTATTGATTGGTCAATTCTTATCAACGAAACTTTTATTTTTTAATTTTAATTTTATTTTAAAATAATATAATTATTCAGTATAAAATATTTTTTAAAATAAAAAAAATATAATTTTTAATTTATTAACTTTAAAAAAAATTTAATATTATGAGCATAAATATAGCCATTGCTAAAGTAGTAATTAAGATAGATAGATAGATAGATAGATAGATAGATAGATAGATAGATATACATATATATTCTATTCTATCTTAAATATAATTAAAAAAAATATTTTAATCAAGAAAGACTAGTGTTAATAGAGATGAGTTTGAAATAAAATGTGTCAAATGTGGGAGATCTTCAAGTTAAAATAAATAGGGTTTCATAAAAAAGGTTGGAACTAAACAATACATAATTTATAATTCTAAATAAAATTTAAATAAAATCTTAAAATAGGTAAATTTTTTAAAATCGTTTTATTTAAGTAGATAAAAAATTATAACTAAATATTAATCATTCATTAAGTTTTAATTTTGTGGTTTTTTCTTGATTTAAATTGATTAGCTCTATATGTATTTAAAGAAGTAGCATATTAAAATTTTTAATTTATAATAGAAAAAATTAATTAATTAGTTTTATTTTCAAGAATAAAATACTATATTTTTTAAAATAAAGAAAGTATTAATCCATTACAAGATTAAATATAAGTAAATGAATAATATATTTCATTTAGTCTATATCAACTTTTTTTGTTGTAGAGGTAGACAAATATTTAGAAATTATAAAATACTTTAATACTTTTAGTCTATATCAATTTTTTTTTGTAGATGTTTAAAGAAGTAGACAAATACAAGAAATAAAAAAATACTTTTATTTTTTAATACAAAAATTTGTATCTTTAAATCTTTAGAAGATGATTCTTAATTATTATTATTAATTGTTTGACTGATTAATTAATTAACTAATTAAAAAAATTTGAATCTAAAAGTAAATAAATTAAAGTAAAAAAATATCATTGAAAATGTAAACCCTAAAAAACAAAGAAGTAAAAAATCAAGGAAATTGGAATAGCTTTTTCCCTAACACTAACAAAGAATAATTGGAAAGTAACAACTGGAGATAAAATAATTTTTCATAAAGTTAAAATTGGAATGGTGAGTGCTCCTATGTTGAAATCAATTAAATATCTATTCCAATTCCATCATTTGTTAGCCACGCAACAAAAAATAAACTCATACAAGCCATTTAAGAAGTTTAATAACAAGTAGATAGTCACCCAACTGTTTCTTCTTTTAAATAAAAATTCTTAGGCAAGATGCACACAGATTTTTTGAATAAGAATTAAGAACTATTTAAAAAAATCAACACATCACTAAATATCAATAAAGTAGTTGATTTAAATCCTTCTCTATAATTGCACATTGACAATCAAAACAAATTATTTTAATAAAATCTTAATTTAAAGAAATAAGATGATGATGCTAAATCTGATTCTTCAGCTATAGAAAACTTAATTTAGAGATACGAAGTCATTAACAAAGATTTTTCACCTTTAAAAGCTGAAGAATTTAAATAATTTGTTAAAAATATATTTGATAAAAATAATGAGTAGAGTAATTTGGTTTTTAATGACATACAATAATATATGAAAAAGAAGGAAACTAAAAATAAGCTAAATAATAATAAAAACCCCTACTTGCTTAGTAAAGAGGACTACATGTATAATAAAAAACTTATAGAAGAAATATTAAATAACATTTATAGATTTGGAGTGGATAGATGCAAAATCTAGAAAAATTAGAACTAAATAATAATGTCTGAAACTCTTAAAATTAATTTCTCAGAAAGGAAAACTTTGAAAACTATCACATACTCAATTTTGCATCACAGTCTTTGCAAATAAGATTAAAAGTTTGCTAAACGATATATCTATAAATTTTTAGCTCATATCAATCCATATAGAAAAGAAAATTAATAAGAAAATTATATCCTAAGATAAATATTCCTACATTTCTTGTAAATAATAATAATCAATTCTGATCATAGTAAATAAATTACTGAATTCTTAGATAATATCTTTCAATTTGAGTTCTTGTCTTCTTTACTATGTGATTATCTTATATTTTCAGCCAAAAAGATTCTGAAAATAACAAATCATATCAATTAAAACCAGGATCTTTATGATATAATAGATTAACTTTCAAAAGCAAATTATTTTGATTTGTATCTGTTGAGCAAGAAATAGGCTGAAAGTAAAAAATACTCATATGCTTAGTACTAATCCCGCTAAATATTTATTTATTTTGAGCAATCTTTACAATAAGATTAAACTTGTCCAGTATATTATGTAATTAATCCTAACGATTAATTAATTTGTTTAGCAAAAAATGCTTTTTGAGGTTTCAATAAATCCAAAAAAACCACAATCATCAAATTGAATTGTTATTAATTAATGTTTATATTCCAAATTTATTTATTTCGTATAATTATTTGTTTTATTTTGTATAAAAATTTCTATATTGATTGATCAATTCTTATCAAAGAAACTTTTATTTTTTAATTAAAATTTTATTTTAAAAAATAAAATTGAAAAATCATAAAGATTAATATAAATTAAAATTTTAATATTATTAATCAAATCCTATTATATAATTATTTATTTTTAAATAAATAATGTTCAAATACATTAGCCATTTAGCTATATTAAAGACATGTGTAAGTTTTTAATAATTTTATTTAAGATTTTGGAAAATATTTATGACAAAATTTTTTCTTAATTTATTTTTTGAATTTATTAGAAATCCAAACTAATAAAAAAGTATGTTTTTAAATATATGATTTTTATTTAATAAAAAGATAGTTTATTGCCTTTTAACAGCAACAGCTAAATTAATTTAGTTAAAAATTGTTATAAATTAAAAATTTTGTAACAAAATAAAATATTTTATTTTAATGAATTTTTAGGCGAAATTAACTTTTTTAATATTAAAATTGAAGTTTTATAAGTTTGTTTTACATTAATACATATATTTAAACTTTTAGATATATTTTAGATCTAAAAATATTATTTTAATGTTAGATATGTTAGTAATTTATTTTATAAAATATTATATTTGAATTATAATCAAGTAGAAAAATGTAAATTATTTAAATACATTAGGAAAATTTATGTTAATTATTTATATTTAATTAATTGAAAAAGTTAATAATTTTTATTCAGACTTTTATTTTGCTTGTAGTAATAGAAGAAAAATGTTCACTTTAAATTTAGCTTTAGTCTTTTGATGCATTTACTAGATTTTATTTTAGACTATAAAGCTTTGGTATTGATTTGTTACAATCCTCTATTTGTTTATTTTTAATCCACAATTTAAATGAGTCATTAGATTCATCCATAACCATACAGGAAGAACTATTGTTATAGTTGATTGGACCAACAGAATTTGATTTGTTAATTACTTGAAGTCCTAAAGAAGCCTAATTATCGTTTATCAGCTAAGTAATATTTAATTATTAAGGCGTTAATTTGTCAATTTGAAGACTTGAATTCCTTTATGGCTCATTCTTAATATTAGATTTAGTTTCTGCTATGTATGGTGTATTTTTTTGAAGCTAATTTTAAAGGATAAATCTCTATTTTAGAAGGTCGGTTGAGTCACTTACCACACTTTTTTGTATTAGCATTGATTAATTTGGCATATTAGCTTAAATATTTGGCTGTAAAACTGTTTGCATATCTTTGTATAAATAAAATGTTTAGAAGACTGTGTTGACTGAAGAACGAGGTGAGAATTTGTAAGCTGAGTTTTCTGATTCTAGATAGCCACATATATTTTCTATATTAAAAGAATCTTATAAATTGTTGTTTTCTTTCTAGGTATATTCTATTTTTGATGATGGACCTAGTTTTTAGAGTATTCTGTGGGCAAAGCGAAGACCCAATTGAGGTCTATCAATATGTTTAATATCGTTCATAAGAGTTGTTATCGTTATTGGGTCATGATAGTTATACAAATATTAAGCATCAATATTTTGAACTGTAGTGTTAAATATTTTAAATTTCACCTACGTTTTTTCTTAATTTAAATCTATGCGAACAGCTATTATTCCCTTTGGTGGAGTATTTTCTATTGCATTAAAGATAATATTAAAAATTAAATGATTGAAAAACTATTTATGAGTAAATAGATAATCATTTTAAAGGATGGCAGGACTGTAATCGAATAAAAGTTTAATTTTGCTTAATTTTGCTTTCGCTAAACAGATGTCGAAAAATGGCTTTAGCTCTTTTTATAAGCTGAACTCAGTACATTCATTAAGTTGAATTTTTTAGGGAAAGCGACTACTCAAGATCTGAAGAGCACTATTGTAGTTGTCAAGCTTATTTTTTAATTTTAAAAATTAATACAAGTTTTCTGAATTATTTTTTATTTCAAGCTCTACTGTTTAACTTGCTAGGTTTTATTGCCTCATTAGTTTATAGAGGTGGCTAACAGTTAAATTATTCATATCCTTTATTGCTCTCATAAAAATCTCTTGTAAATTAAAATATGCGCGCTCTTTTGATACAAACTTTTCCTTGTAAGATTCATCTTCAACAGAAATAACACCATAAATTTCATTCAAGTAGAATGTACTTAAGCGGAGGTTAAGTTTATATTAAGTGTCATCATTCTTTTTATAGACTGCACTGAAATATTCAACTAAATCTGTAATTGTGTTTTAATTTTCTTCATTTAAGGTTACTTTTTTATCTAACACAGCTTAACTTGCAGCAGCCGCTACGTTGCGCTAAGTTAAACCAGATTTTAATAAGTTATTATTTGGAAGTTTTTCTTTTATTGATTTTTTAGGCTAACCTACTTAATTTTGTAAGCTTAATAAATTTTATGAATTATATAAAAGATTAGATGCAACCTCTTGAACGCTTATTAATTATTAGGAATATTAATTAACAGGTGTTTTATTTTGCTTATTTTACACCGGTGTTGTCTATTGATATTTTAACCCAACCATAGAATTGTGTTCTTATTAATCTAAATTATTATTCGAAGGTTATGTATATTATTTTAATTTACTGCGTAGATTTTTCAAATCATTTAAGGGACTTAGATTACCATTACCATTTTAACCCTTAAGACTAATAATTTGATTGTTTTATGATTCTTATAGCTTTTTTTTTTAAAATTACTATTGAAAGTTGTATGTACTCTATGTGTTCCTGTTATTTTGAATGTCTTAATCTGAATTGTTAATTGTGTTTTTTGTTAAAGATCTTCCATTCTCAAAATTAATGTTGCTGTTATTGATGATAGAACACTATCCGTTATCACTGTCATTCGAACTAGTTCCTTACTTGCTTCTAATTACATTTTTATCTTTGAGTTTAATAAAACGCTTTTCTCCCCACTCCAAAGCTTAACTAATTTTCCTCCTTAAATGACCTTCAAGTGTATCAGCCCAAGTAATTGCATTGCTTTTCATTAAATTTTGAAGTTTTGCATCATCGCTTGCTAAGATAGTATTTTTCATTAGATGTTTCATATCATCGTTATTTTTGACATAACTTAATAGCTTTGGTTTTTGATTAGACGAATTTAATTCAATTCTTTCAACTTTTTTATCAAATTTAACTATATAAAGACCATTCGGTAGTACATTTTAAATTATATATTTATATACGTGCTCTTATTATTAGCTTAAAAATAATCTTCTATTTGTTTTTTCATCAACATAAACTTTGTAAATAAAGATGAGCCAAAGAGGAGTCACCTATAAAAATTGTGAAAGGAAGCTATTTAGACCATTGCAAAAAGCCATGTTGACAAAGAGCAAAGTTATTAAAAATAATTTTGGTAGAAATTTAGTACCAGTTATATAAACGTATGTCGCTAAACCTTGAATATACCCGTTCAAGAAATTAGATGAAGGATCGTGATAAAAATCCTGATCTATATAAGTCCAAATAATGGTTGACATATAGAATGTGCAGTTGACTGTGTGGATAAGATTGAAATATTTTTTTTTTATATGTAAAACAGTTATTGTAATGACGCCTGATCCTACTAAAAGCAAGTTAGAAATGTAAGGCTTTGGAGTATTAACGCCTGCTTTTACAGTAAATATAATAGAAACTACACCTATCAATATCACTGTAGCAGCCATTACTTTAGTCCAACTTAAAAGAGGCGGTATTTCTCTCTTTTGATATAGCTGCTCGAGCATTTAATTTTTGAAATTTAATGTATATCTATTCATTCGTTGAGTAATTAGCAGTGTTGATTGACTGTATTTGCAGATATCCTATATGGATATATGATATCAAATTTATAAGAAACTAATATTCTGAATATATTTATGCCTTTTAGTTAAGTCTTTAATAATTAAAAAGCGCTTCCTCCTTGATTAATATCACTAAAGCTTGTTGAATGAATGGTTCTATCTTTTGATTTTTGGATCACAAGCTCTAAAAATTGCTTATTTTATAAAGTAAATTTTTTTAATACTGCTACTTACTACTTACTATTTGCCTTAATTTTTACTAAATATTGAATTTTTCTTAACTATTTGTTTTTTTTTTGATTTTTAATTTCCAAAATTTACTCATTAGAAGAATGTTAATTAGCAAACCAAAGCATCAAAAAAAGCATATTTTATTTCAAAGATAAAAAATTTACTAATAAAATCACTGAAAGGAGATTCACTGTTATCAAATATATTTATTTGCATATGTACATTCTAATATTTTAATTAATGTAAAGACAACACTCAAAATCAAATACTAAATAAAATTCTTCCAGAACCACTCTGTAATATATGCTGGTTTTTCCATTTATTTTGTTAATTTAAAAATAAAAGTTTTTTTTAACCTTTTTTTTGTTTTTTCGAATTCATAATTTTAGCAATATTTATTTATTAATAAAATAAGAAATTGCAAATTCTAATCTAAATTAGCTCTTAAATATTCAAGAGTAAATACACTATTCTGTTTACAATTTTCAATATATCAGTGCTTTATCAGATATTGCTTTAGTAACAAAACAATCATAACAAAACTACGAAAAGCTTAAAAAACATTTTCAATTTAATTTTGAATGGGAAAAAAGTAATTAGAATCCCATCACAAACAAAACAAATCAAAGCAAGCACACTGTAAATTTTAATTAATTTTATTAGTTGCCATTAACTTAGAATCATGAAATTTTAAAAGTGAAATTTTGTTTATTTTTTATATGGTTAAAGTGCTTTCGTTCAGCGATTAAAGTCATAATTTATTAAAAAGGTTAAATATCTTATGTAGAAATATCACCAACATTATCTCCATAAAAAATTAAATTTTTTTAGGTTTAAGCAAAGAGAAAATTAGTAACCTTTAAAATTAATTCAGTAGTTATCTCATTAACATTCAATTTTCTTTAATTATTATTTCATCTTCAAAATATTAATGTAATCCAATATTCATTAATATTTTACACTCATCTGTAATAACTAATTAATAAATTGTAATTTTAAAAACATTATAGCTTTAATTCTCCACAAACAAATACACTATTTTGCAACAAAATTATGCTTTTAATTATTATCATATTAATTCTCAACATTACTACAATTTTTAATTCATTTTTCATTTGAAAAATCGATTTCTTCATAAAATATTTGTTATTGAGAATTTATTTTATTTACATTTCATTTCGATTCTATAATATCTAAAAATATTATGTTTCATGAGCACTTTAAATACAAAATATCACTTAATCAGTTTTTTATCAAAGTAAATTTCTTTATTTACCGAAATTCTATCTATTCCAATTATAAATCATTTGGGAAAATAACAAAAAAAATGAGAGAAAGATAGTTAAATTTATTTAAAATAATTAGAAATATATTAAAAAAATAGAAAAAAAAAGATTAGCTTGTAGACTAACTTAACAAACTAATTTATTTTTGTTTAATATCAATCAATAATTATACCTATCAAAAAAGGTAATAGAAAACCTTCAGCCAAAAGAAATATAAATTGAGCAAAATTTGTAAATTAGACAGAAAGATTCACCAAAATTATTAATATAAATAAATGAGTGTCATTATTAATTTTAGATTAATTCAAAATTAATTAAGAATTTATAAGTTCTAAATTTTAAGCCATTAACTTAAATATCTTATTTTATGAAAATATTTGTCATACATACATGCTTTTTTTGCATAATTATTTGATTCGCTTTAAGATTTTAGTGAAATAGTTGTATAATTAAATTTGTAAATAAATAAATAAATTTCTGATTTTAATTAGGAGTTGATACTAATTAAAAAATGAAATTATAATTTTAATAGATCAACTAGCTTATTTCAAAATTTTATTATCTAAGAAACTTTATAGAAATATTGATTTGTGATTAAAATCTAAATTTTTTTCGATTTCATAAAAAATCTGTAAAAGCTTGAATCGCTTTTGTTAGCTAATTATAAAAAATGAAAACATTTTTACTGGCTTTCTTTTTTACATTTTTAAAGTGCAAATAACCCTTGAATAAAAAAGTAAGCTCATAATTTTATTTTTTAATTTGATTATTTTAAAAATGAATTAATTGTAAAAAATCAACATAATTTAATTATTTTAAATTATTAATTTTATTTAACTAGGCAAATTTAATCTTTAATTATGTATATATTATAATATCTAATATTTAATTTTTTCCTATCATTAATAAATTATCACTATCCTTATCTATATAAACAAGGAAAGATAATTTATCTATGTACGAAATAATTAATATTGATTTGAAAATCTATATATATTTAATAACTTTTTTTATTTAAAAATAAATATCCTAAATAAATTGAACTAAATATTTAAATATTTGGAAACCAATAAATAAATAAATAAATAAATAAATAATAATATTTTTTGAATATTTTATTAATTTTTATTTTACTGTTTTTGATTTTTCCATTCACTCTATAATTTAATCTAAAGAAAAAATTTATTTTTTCATATTTTATAATTAAAATATGTAAGCAAAAGCTAACTCTATTAATTAACTGATTAGCTAGCTATCATTATGATTTTGATAAATTCTGAACAATTATTAAATGAAGATAATAGATTTCATGCTAATTGTATCAATAACTTTTTTTAATGGAAGTCTACTGTTATAAATTCGAATAAAAAATTTAAAAGATTTTAAAATCTGATATAAGCTAAATTAAAATTATTTTTTCTATTCAAGATGGTCATTCTTATAGATTAATCACAAGAATCCAAGGCCAAATCATAAAATTAGTATAAATTTTTAAGTTATATTTCTTTTGATTATTTAGAAGTCTGCTTACTAATTTATGTCCTTGATTCTTGGTTGAGAGTTAAATCTGTCTTTTAACAAGTTTTTTTAAAAATAGAACCTTTAAAAAATTAATTTTTAAATTTAATTATACAATTATCCTTTTAAATAAATGTAAATTAAACACAAATATTTTTAATCCTTTTTATACATCTTGTCATCTTTATTTAACTAATTAAATTTTGAGTTTTAATAATTCCAAATCTCTAACGAAATAAAATAAAATCAGTTAAAATTAATATTTCAAATAAAAAACACAATATTAAAAATTAATTATTGTTTACTATCTAAAATTTATGAGCTTATTATCATCTTTTCTCAATGATTTAATAGCTTAAATAAAACTAACATTAAATAACCTGTAAATATTTAGTCTTAAATTAGTCTTTTTTTTAAAGTCAGAAGCAACTAAATAAAAATGTGTTTTATCGTATTATTAAATCTTATTTAAAATTTTTTAATATTTAACTTTAATTTAAATCTCCTTTGGTTAAGGGCAACAAAATTATTTATTATAATTAAGTTAATAGTTTGAAGCCTTCTTTATTAATTGAATTTCTAAGTCTATAATAGTCTTTTTTTAATTCTAAATATCTTCCAAGTTGTCCGTTATAATTGTAAATTTTAATTAAACATATTTATATTTTATTTTATATAAAATAAATAGCCGTAGTAGGAAATTATCAAGGAATGTTATAAAAGTAGTTTCAGATAATATTCTATCTTGAGATTTAATTTTAAATATGAGGTATATTATGGATAAACCATTTTGATGTTTAAAAATTTTTAAAATTCAATTACCATAAATCCTAATAAATTAATTATCACCAGCATACATTTTCATCATATTTTCTGAATATTTATCATAACAATATAGTACTATAAGGGTTTGGGTGGGTTGGTGAGAATTAATGAGGATTGACGGCATATAGAATAAAGATAAGTTAAAAAATTATTATTGTCTTGAAATGTAATTTACTTTAATTAATAATTAAAAGATTTATAAAATTAAAATAAATCTATCATATTGAATATTTACTATTTCCAAACACAAATTTAATTTTGGAGTTTATAAAGTTATTTATCAAAAGATCTTAAATCATTTTTTTGCTATTTACTTTTTATTTTTTTTAATTTTGTTGAATGTTCTAATATTTCTTATTACACCTAAAAGTTTCTATTTTTTTCTCAAAAAAAAAACTGTTTATTATATTTAGAATATTGATAAAAAATAAAAATATTTGATTAAGCTTTTGTTATTTTTCTTATTTTATGATAAAAAGTAATAATAAAACTAGAATTGATTTTCAAGTTCTACTTTTAACTTTATTTATTGGTCTGTCTATCAGTATGCTAAATAAAATAAGCTAAATATTCAAACACTAATTAATAAAAATAAAATGGGTAATAAATAAGTTTTGCTAATTTCTAATTCAATAATGATCTTAAAAAATATTAAATATTTTATTTAAATAAGAAAAGTTTAATAAGATAAATTTTAGCAAAACCTTGTAATTCAAGTTTAATGTCAACTTTGATTTTACAAAAAATAACTTCTGCTTTGTCTTTTCTTAAAATACAAAAACCTTAAACTTTATCCATTAAAATAAATAAATAATTTAGGATATATACAGCTCAAATATAATTAAATTTATTCATCTAATTATAAAATGTAATAAATAATAAATAAAAGAATTCGAATTTTATTTATAATAGAAATGGATTAATAAACGTCAATCATTATTAATCAATAAATTATATTTTTGTTTTAATAAATAAGTAAAACATATTAAATAATACTAATATAAAACTATCTAAGTGATTTAAATGAATAATTAAATTTTTTAAATCTATTAAATTAGATTATATTACAAAATTTGAATTGGAAAGTATTTTAATTTTGTAATAATTGTACCTATAAAATATTTTCTAATTATGTTTGCTTTCTTTGATACTTTTGCTTTGAGTCTAAATTACACTAAATTTGATCTATTTAGTATTAATTGTATCAAAGCAAATTTTATTAATAAACAAAATTTTAATTTTAATCAAAATAGAACATTTAATTTTTTAGTATTTTAATATTATAAGATATTTACTTAATCTAATAATTTTTTATGATTATCATTGTTCATTCATTAATTTTTTTAAAGGTTAATAATCAATTAAAATTTATTTTTTTGGTTGGTTTGTATTTTCATTAGAATAATAATGAGTTCTTTATTTAGTGAGTAATTATAAAAAATAAAGTAATAAATATGTCAGGAGTAAGGACATGATAATTAGCCAATACTAAGAATATGTATAAATGAGTAGTGCTAATTAAATAGCAAAAATAAATGTACTTTATGTGCTGACTGCTTTATAAATCACAGTAGTCATTTTTAGGAATGTATCAAGATTGAATAGTTTATTTCCAAATGTTAAGAGAATTCATAGTTAACTTGTTCTACTCATGACAAAAAATTTGAGTCAATAATTACTGAATTGAATTATTAAGCTAAAAATTTTAGAAAAAAAGTAAATGAGATGTACAAATCTTTTAAAAAGTAATTAAAAGAGACATATTCTACATAAATAATTTAATAATTGTAGAGTCTTCAAGCAAATCTTTAAAGCTAAAAAAGTAGTTAGAAACTTTCTTTAACCATTAGCACTCTTATAAGGTAGTATAAGGGATAGAAAATAGAAGAAGTTTAAATCGATTATGATTCGCTATTTAGTAAAGTATCGAAGTCATAGGTGGAATGCTTGAACTCACTTTTAACTGATTTTTAAAATATATTTGCAATTAAATCTGTTGAAGTAGAAAAAAATGTAAAAGAAACTAAGGATATAATATATAGGCATTTAAATTTAGAACAAGTTGTTTAAGAAGAAGAATAGTAAAGGAATGTAATAAAAAATATAGAAGTAAGTCAGAATAATTTACTTGATCGATTAAAGGCAGCTGAAGAAGATAAGTTAGAAGCATAGAATCAGCTAAAAACCTTGTAAGATAAATTTTTTACTCTCTAAGAATAAGAGAAGATCTTCTTTTATAAACTAGAATAAAAAAAGAAGTTTAATGTCGAATCAAAGAGATAATTCCTTCATAAAATTCAAAATTTAAACGAAAAACAGATACAAATAAAGTTCTTTGAAGAACAGAGAATTAAATTATTAGATGGTATAAGCTCACAAGAATTTTTATGTGAAGAGCCTTTAAACACTAATTAAAATGGTATTCTAATTATAGATCAATAAAAATAGCAATAAGATGAAGATATAGCTCTTACTTTGATAAACTATGAATAAAATAATAAATCAAACTAAGATATTTAATTTAAAGATGATCGAGCTGAAAAAAGTTTTTTGATTGAAGAAAACAGCATAGAAGCAAAAGAAATGCAAACAGAAATAGACTTAGCCTAAAAATAAAAATATATCTTTTTAGAGAAATAAAAATTATTGCTATAATAGAAATAAGATGAATATTCTGATATATATTCTAAAGATATTCAGCAACTTTAGATAAACTTGTAGGAAATTGAATAAAAAAAAGAAGAGTGTTCAATGGAATTAGAGAAGGCGAAAATAAATTATTCAGAAAAGGTGGAAAATTTAAAAAATCTGTAATAAGAGCAATACAAAAATGAGGATTTGAAATATTCAGAAAAGAAAAAATTGTTAGACATTTATAAAAAGTCTCCAATAAAGAAAAAAATACTTATTTTCTGAAATTTAATTAATAAAAATAATATAAAAAAGGTCTTACTTTGTTTTCAAAAGAATATTCAATAATTTATTTTTGTATTTTAAATTGACCAAATAAAAATAAAAAATAAAAACATTATCAAAATATTTACAAAATAAACTCCAAGTATTAGTTCAAGCAATATTAAATTTTATGTAGTTAAATTAAAAAAACGTAAAATATTTAGTCTTAGCATTTAATTTACTGTAATATATAAGTTAACTTAATTAATAAAAATTATATATATAATGGTCTTACTCTGTTTTTAAAAGAAAAATTCATTCATTCAATAATATATCTTTTTAATGTAAAAAGTACAGATCCGGCGGATCGGTACAGCTCTAGTTCTAGCATTTAATTTACTGTAATATATAAGTTAACTTAATTAATAAAAATTATATATAAAATGGTCTTACTTTGTTTTTAAAAGAAAAATTCATTCATTCAATAATTTATCTTTTGCATTTCAAAATGATCAATAACAAAAAAAATAAAAATATTTACAAAATAAACTCCAAGTATTAGTTCAAGCAATATTAAATTTTATGTAGTTAAATTAAAAAAACGTAAAATATTTAGTTATAGCATTTAATATACTGTAATATATAAGTTAACTTAATTAATAAAAATTATATATAAAATGGTCTTACTTTGTTTTTAAAAGAAAAATTCCTTCATTCAATAATTTACATTTTGCATTTCAAAATGATCAAGTAACAAAAATAAAAAAAAGATTATCAAAATATTTGCAAAATAAACTCCAAGTATTAGTAAGTACTAGCAATATTAAATTTTATGTAATCAAATTAAAAAAACGTAAAATATTTAGTACTAGCATTTAAAATATAGTAATATAGAAGTTTACTTTAGTATTAGTTAAGTTATTTTTTTAAATTATTAGGAAGATTGTAAGCTAAGGAAATAAGGCTTTTTTATAAATAAATATTTTGACCTCTATTTTTTAGAAAATCTGGATTATAATATTAATAATATAATAAATCCTTCAAATATTTTTGAGCCATCAAAAAAAATATTTATTTATTTTCAGTGCTTACGCATTAATATTATTAATTAATTGTTCCTTTTAATTCAGTATCCTTTATTTATTTATTTCATTTAATCAAACAAATTATTAATTTAATTACTTGATCAGTGAATTTATATCAGATCTTCATTGGATATTTTATGTAAAATCAATATATTATTCATACAATATATAATCTCATCCGCTTAACTTATTTAGCTATTTTAGGCAAGTAAGCTACTGTTATTATTTATTTTTTATTTTGTAGCAAAAATATTATTTAAAATATCAAAAAACTTCTAGTTATGGAATTATTTCAAAATTATTTTATGGAATAAATAAAATATTCAAGAAGAATAAATTATTATATAAAATTCTCAAATATCTTACAGAAAAGCTAGAAAAACAAATATGATTTATAGGTCGATAAAGAATGATAAATAAATAAATAATTGATTGATTTATAATTTCAAAAATTTTACCTTGAAAAAAATATAATTTTGGATTAATCTACTAATTTTAAGATTGTAAAATTTGCTTGTTTGTTTTTTATTTTTATTATTTTGATTGTTAGCAAATAGATATTTATATTTCATGCAATATAGCTTAATTATCTATATAAAAACAGAAAAGAAATCAGAAAAAAATTGATAATTAATTAATTAATTTTTTATTATTCTGTTTAGTAGGTAGATATATTTTCTTTCATTCAAAATAAGGTAAATAAAAACATGGGACTGTAACAATCAAAAGGAATCATTAACCCCACACACAAGGTTTAGGATGATGATATCAATTTAAGAAGGTAGAGATCTTTATTTTTCCCTTTAGGTGAAAATAGACGCATAAAGACAATTGACTACCTTCTAGTTGCTTGCGATACTCTTGAAAGTGGTGGTGTCGAAAAAGATTAGAGTTCAGTATTAAATAAAGATTTGTAAGAAAAGAGAAAAAAACTAAAAGCTACTTCATCTGCTAATCTGTAATTGATTGAAGAAGCCTTTAAAGAGTATGATTACAACTACTCCAAAAGCAATGTAGTTAAAATTAACTTTTAATTGCAGAAAAAGTCATTCGATGACTATCTAAATGATTTATTTAGTAATTCAAACACCAATGGATTCATCCTCTATTTTACTGGACAACTTACTGAGGCTTAGTAGCTAGTCATCAATTAGACAGAAAACACTGCTGTTTTCTACGACTTTAAGAATATCATTAAACGCTGGCGTAGAGTTCCCAATTATACCAATAAACATCTTTTAATTATAGTCGATGCTGAAAACTCTGGCTCCATTCTTGCTTTGAACAAAAAAGTACATTTAGAAGAATATGAGGATATCTTTGGATTAGATTAGACAAATGAAAGCGAATTCAAATACAGAAGAGATCCTACATTTAGTATATTCGCAAGCCAAACTCAGAGAAGCAAAGATAAAGAATTTTACTTAGGTGAAAGTCCTAATAACAATTTTTAAGGAGACTTTAAGAATAACACAAGATTACAAAACAATGGAAAGGGTCCTAATAGCTTTAATGATGCTTCTGTTAACCATGTTGAGATAGATAATGAAAAAATGCAGAGTTACATTCAAGCATCAGGCTTTACAGCTTTATTTTCTTAATATTTAAAGAGTGGAAAACCCTCAAGTATTACTGATATTGCTAAGGCTAAAGATATTTAAACCGTTTTAAATGATAATGATCCTTTCTTCTTCGGATTTATGGTCAAGGCTTACCTCGATTTTGGTATCTTCTTTTGGGCTAGATACTAGAAAATGATTAACTAACTTGAGTTAAATTGCTATGTAGCTGTTGGATTGACAATCAAAAATTCAAGTTAAGCAAATTCAAATAATGAAAAAATAGGTTAATTTACTTCATAGATATATCAAGCCATAACTGACGACTAGAAGTTAATGTTAGCAAAAGATTTAACAGAAACACAAAAAGTGTAAGGTCTAATGAGTTCCCCTTAAAAATCAAAAGTTTCCACACTAGCAGAGTTAGACAGTAATAATTATAGCGATTTAGAATCGAAGTTACTTCATAACAGTGTAAAAGGCTAGTACTTTGGATTTGTTGGTATTTTGAAAAAGGATAAGAAGTTTGGTAATCCATTATTTTCGAAACCAGCTTAAGCACCAAAAACCTCAAACCAATTAAATTTGATTAAGTCTATTGATAATCTAGATGTACCAGAGAGCAACAATAATCTCATATCTTCCCTCAATCACCTAGAAGTAAGCTCATTCTAATCGAACAATGCCTTTAAATCCACCATACTTAGAGGAAATTAAAATTTAGATGAAGGAAACATAGTAAGAAAGCATTATGGAATGTAAGAATACTATAAAGAAATCGAAGGCCAATAAAATAAAAGCGAAGCACAATTTTCTGAATTGTACGAAGGCATGTGGAATGAAGATAAATTCAGCAACTATGGTACTTACTACTATTCAAATGGAGATAGGTAATTTATTTATTTTATTTTATAGCAAATGATAATTAAATTAATTTAAAATAAAGATATGAAGGTGAATATAAAAAAGGCATGAAAAGCGGTTTCGGTATATATTATTACTCAAATGGAAATATCTATGCAGGCAACTTCGAAGAAAACTAAATGGATGGAGTGGGAAAATTCATCTTCACAGACGGTGAGATCTTTATTGGAAATTTCAAAAAAAATAAAAAAGAAGGTTTTGGAATCAAAAAGTAATCTTATGAATAAGTAGATATGATTTTATCAGGCAAGTGGATCAACGACAATCAAAATGGTTAATTTAAAATAACATTATCTAGCCTAAAAGATGTTACAATGAATGCATTCTTTAAGAAAGGAGAAATTTCAGAAAATGCAAAATATACAGTTAAAATATCTCAAGATAAAGAAGTGAGTTTCAATGCTAAGTGGATTAACAACAGAAGAGTCTAAGGTTTCTAAATTTAAGAAGATCTTAAGAAATAAGAAAGCGAATATTCTCAATACTTGAATAAAATTGAATAGTTTGATAAGGAATATATCAAATTCATTCCTCCTACTATTAAAGTTGAATCTGATGTTAAAAATGCTAATAAAAATGCTTGAAAAATTTTTTATGATAACTATAATTATATTTCTTAATTTAACTTAATTACTCAAATAAATAAATAAAATTGTTTTTCTTTAATTTATTAACTTGTATTTGCTAGTATCATTTTTGATATCCAGCTAAGTTTTCAGCTAGCTTTTATTATAAATTGTATAAAATAAATATTTTTCACATTAATTCTTCAATTTATTAACATAAACTCCTAAATTTTAATCTTTTTATCTACTATTTTCAAAAATTATAACAAAATTTTTTTTATTTAAAGTTAGATAAATATAGAAACATCTTTTGTTTCTCTTAAAATTATTAATTACTCAGTAATTATTAATTTTTGATGTAGTTCTCTTTCAATTTGTATTTAAATTAATTTTTATATAAAAACATAAAAATTACTTTCATTTTTTTCCAAATTAAGATAATCTATTTTTAGGATATTATTTTGATTTAATTTTTTTAGAAATATTAAATATTTCATAATATTTTATACAGTTTAATCTCATATGTTAACAAATAAAGAGGGTAATTTATACTTAAAGTTTATAAGAAATAACACGATTGGTTATTCAGTAAATGTTTATATTTAATTCTCTATAATTTATTCTTCTTTTTTTAAGATACTTGTTGGAATTACATTTAAAATATATTCAAAAGTTTATTAATTTTACAAAAATAAAAATCAACAAACCTCTCTTAAAAAATAAAAAATGTATTTGAAACTTATCAATAAGTAATAGAAATAAATTAATTAAATTTTTTTTTTTTTTAAATTGTGAATAAGTTTCTTGTTTTAATAATTTTTAGTAGTACTGTAATAAATCTAAATACGAATATTTTTCAAATATTTAATCTATTTTTCATAATTTTATTTAACAACTAAACAAAAATGATTTTTAATTAATAATTAAAAAATTTCATTATTATGTTATGGATATATAATTTTTAAAATCAAATTATTTTTATTGTTTTTATTTTAACTAAGTTAGCTAATCAAATATATTGTTTGCTTCCTCTACCTATCCTATTTTTTTGTAAATGTAACCTAAGCTCTTATAAGGTTCTAAAAATTGAGGATCAGCTTCTTGAGCTTCCATGTAGTAATAAATAGCTGTTCCAAACTCTCCAATTTAAAAATAAATAGATCCTAAATTATTCAAAGCTTCTGCAAAATTTGGTAAAATATTTATAGCTTTTACATATTGTTGAATTGCTTATTCTGCAAATCCTTAATTTTGATAAATTAATCCTAAATTGTTGAAAGTGTCATACACATTTGGGTTTATTTCTTAAGATTATTAGTAATAGGATATGGCTTTAGAATAATCTCCTTCCAAATAGTAAGCAAATCCTAAATTATTCAAAATATAAGATTAATTAGGTCGGATTTTTAAAATTTTTTCAAAAAAAATTTTTGATTTTTCAATATTTCCATTTCTCAAGTGTAGTTGACCAATAATAATTAAATGAAAAACAGAATCAGGCATAAATTTTAATGCATTCTCATACCAAATTATGGCCTCTTCTATCATTCCTAATTAACAATAACAGTATACAATATCATCACAGTTATCTTAATCTAAATTATAAATCAGTGAACATTTCTATAGAAAAAATTTTGCTTCTTCTATCATTCCACGTTTTGTAAATAATTTAGCCAATCCAAGCAAAGCATTCCAATCTTATGGGTGAGTTTTTAAAATTTTTAAATAGCAAGATTAAGCTTCTTCTAGTCTTCCCATTTAAGAATATATTATCCCTAGGTTTATTAAAGGACTATATAATTCAAGGCCAATTTCTAAAGCATTTAAAAAGCAGTTAATTGCTTGATTTTCATGTCCGGGTTCTCTATATTAACATCCTTTATAAAAATGAAAGTAATATTCTTTTTGATTGTTCTTTATCACTTTTTCTTCAAATTTTATTGCTTCTTAGTTATTTCCAATTTTATGATATATTTAAGCTAAACTATAAAGGATTTCCGAATCTCGTGGAAATATTGATAATGCCTTTTTATAATTATATATTGCTTCTTAATTTTAATTGCTATTATCATAAAATTTAGCTGCTTTATACCATGTGAAAAAACAATTAGGATTCAAATCCAAGGCTTTCTTGATGCACTCGTTGGCTTCTTTTACCATATTTTTATCAAAAAAGTATAAATTTCCTAAATTTATTAGAGCTTCGTAATCAGAAGGTTCATTTTCTAAAGCTTTTTGATATTATTTAATTGCTTGGTCTTTCATATTTTATTATTCATAAATAGACCCTATAGTATTGTAGATATAAGGTACATTTGATTTGAAAGTATTTATTTATAACAACTCATTAAATGTTTACAAAGCATCTTAAAATTTACCTTATTTATAGAAAATTTATCCTAAAAGGCGATGACACATGTAGTCTGATTAGGGGTTAATTCTTATAGCTAATTAAATGTAAATTTAGGCTTCTTCAAACTTTTGTTAAGAAAAATATAGGAATGCTTAATCAAATAAAAATTTATAGTTTTCTATATCTTCTTAGACATTGTTGTGATCTCCAATTTAAATAGTTTCAAAATTCAGATCAGGCTTTTTTATAGAATACCATCGTTAAATGTATGTTAGTAAATTTTAGTTAATTTTATTGCAAAAAAAACCTTTAAAAATCATGGTTTTCTTTTTTCTTTTTATATTCTATTTTAGAATTATGTGAATTAAAAATTATTTATAAAAAGTTAAACTCTTTTTCATTTTTAAAGAAAAAAGTTGAAAATTCTTTTAAGAAAGGTTTTTTCAAATAGAAATATATAGAACATTCTTAATTTTTCTAGAAAAATGATTTGTTATTATTTTTAAATTATTTTATAAAGTAAATATGAATTAGAAACATAATGTGTGTGTTTTAAGTAATTTAAAAATATTAATTATCAATAAATTTATTTTCTTAGTTTTATTAGAATTTTCTAAAACTAATAAATGGCTAAAACTTATAAAATAGACTGTTTTCTCAATGAAATTAAATATGCAAAATGATATAATAAATTATTTATTTGATTTCTTAGGATTAATTTCTATATATTAGAATGTAAATAAATTCAACTTAAAAATGAAGCTTTTGCTTAATGTTTAAAAAATATTTTAAGAAACAATTAACAATAAATTAATTTTTTCAAGCAATTTTTATATTTTAGGATTTCAATAAGACATTAAATTAAATTAGAAGCCTATTATTATCTAGAATTTCTAAATTATTTTATTTTTTAATTAAGATCTATACCATCAGCTTCTTTAAAAATCAAATAAACAACTAATTGTATTTTATTTTTAATAATATTTTTTTTTTTTTAAAAAGCAAATTACAATGTTAGATCTCTTAAAACGAGATTTAAATGAGGGAGAAATAAAACAAGTTAAATAATTGATTTTTAATAATATTTATTATAAATACATAAAATGTTTAATTAAACAGTAAGCAATTTCATATACTTAGACATTTTCTCTCTAATTTTTCAAAAAATTCTACTAAAAGAATCGCACTCCATATCTAAGTCTTTGCTTGCTTATTTCAGTTTTTATTTAAAAGTAAAAGAAATCAAATTTAATCTAAATAATTGTGTAAAATCTAGTTTAGATATTAAGAACATAATATCATCCTCAAGCTATTTTGTTCTGGAATATTCATTTTTCACATTTAAATCCACGGAAATCACTAGTTTTAAATGATCCAATTTTTTTAAATGACTGCTCATTCATTCATTCTTATATATTACATAGCTTTGAAAATTTAATGGGTAAAATAAAAGGAATATATTCAAAAATGAATTGCATATTTGTAAATATCATTTTAAGTCATTGTAAAAATATACAGATTTATAAGGATTATATGTAGTTAATAACACTTATAAAAAATAAAAATTAAATTTTAACAATAAAAAATAAAAATATTCGCATTAATTTTCCTTTTACTTGAAATATCAAATATTTTTTAAAGAATTTAAATTTAAATGGTGAATATAAATTTTAAAAATTTTCTCTAATAAATTTTTGTAAAATTATTATTTTTAAAAATCGTAATTTATAGGAAAATTTGCCTGAATGTAAGAGGATCTCAAAAGAATTAAGCTAAGAAAAATGATTTCAATATTTAAAATTCTCATGAAATTTTGCACCTATGAAATAAATATTTGCTACTCAAGGAGAAAGTATACCTTGAGTTTTGTTTATACATTTTGTTCTCAAAGAAAAATAACTCATGCTTAAGATACAAGTAATTAATAATATATATCATCCATGAAGTCAAATATACAAAATCCCAATTAACCATTCAGTAAGTAAATAATAAATGGAATGATATATGATAGTTCAAAAAAGATTCTTAACTGAGTGATATATGTCCTTCATTTCTATGTTGCTACTTAACTTGGATACTTGAAATAAGCTTTAAAATGGTCCTGTAGCTCATTTGTGCTAATGTTGGCATCTTATCATTAAGCTGACTTAATTTTGACAACAATCTATTAGTAAATACCAATGCTCTTTATACCTCCATATAGTCCCTAACTTAATCTTATTGAGCTAATAATTTTAAGATATATTTATAAAAAGAGATGGTATTTATTAAATTATACATTTAACAACAATTCATAAATATCTATCTATATCTTTAATCTTAATTTCACTTTTAGTGGTTAGAATACTGTATAAAAGAACCAAGTCTTGATTATAAAATGTATTATAAATAATGTATTTAATTTTAATATGATTAAAGGAAATTATAAGAAAAGAGATAAATTAAACTTGATTAAATAATTGATAACTAATTTATCAAAGGATGTGCAAGATTTAAATTATTAGCTATTGAATAGTATGCTGGTATAATAAGTCACAAAGAAGCAGTTAACTTTATTTAATCTTAAAACAAACCTGCTTAAATAAAATTATTTGAAGCTAATATGAGATAATATATATAAGTTGCTTACTGAAACCTTTATTTATATCTCAATATTACATTGAAAAAAACAAAATTCCATTTGAAAACTATACAGAACTTATAAAAATGATTTATTTTTTAAATTAGTAAAGTACTTAATCCTATCTAAATAGAAGGATTATAACTTTTATTTTGCACAATATTGCAAAATGCAAAGTTTGAAAAACATTATAAAATCATTTTAAATATATTTTTCATTCAGTTTTTATACTTTTTTAATTTTAATATTTTATTTATAAAAAAAATAATTCATAAAGTTAATAGTACATTTTAAATTTGGTATTTATCTATTGATAATTTATTCAATTATGCAAAATTTAATTTTCTATTAATAATCTATTAGGTTATCTATTAATAATTTATTCATTAAATCATAATTTCTAAGTTGAAAATTAAAAATTTTAAATTTAAAAGATTTCTTTGATTTCTAATAATTAATTGTTTTAGTAATAATTTAATCAAATTTTTAGATTTAAGATAAAAAAAAAGGAAAATAAATGGAGACTGATTTAAAAATAAATCAAAAATCCATTAAATACTAAGTAATATCCCTTAATTGAAATTAGTTAAACAGCTACTTATCTAATCTCTCATCTCATATATATGATAACATTTTAAAATAAAAAGTATATTTATATTGACATAATTATTTTTATATTTAATCACTATTTTATTTTTCAAACTAGCTCTAAAATAAAGTTTTGTTTATTCATTAGTATGTTAGTTGTATATATCAATAGGTTTACTTGCTGAAAGCATTAAACATATAGCAGAATTAACATATCTATTATTTAGTCAATAATAATCATATTAAACAAAATATACTGACTTATATTAATATAAATAAATGGAAGCCTATAAAATATTTATGTAATTAATATGAAGAGCTAAGAATATAATAACAGAAGAAATTTATTTTTATTGGAGTCTAATTTTTTTTTAAACTAAACATTTGTAAGGCCTTTCAAAAATTAAAAAGGTATTTAACTCTATATTTTTATAATTTTTTATATTTTTTGATTCGTTTAGAGGAATTTATAAACCAATAATTAATTTATTCAATGCAATATTTATTTTAGAGAATAGATAAGAAGAATGCTAACTCATTAAACTAGTAATTACTTTCTTCAAATTTTTAACATTAGGATCTTCGAGTTTTGGGGAAAGGATGATGAGAACTAACGAGGATTTAAGGTACATATTTGTTTGATGTTAAACTGGGTTTATGAATCTAGAAAACATAACATAAAAATAAATAAATAAAAATAACTTAAAATAATTAGTAAGCAAAGTTCTCTGTTGAAAGGTGTTTTTAAATTTTAACTTCTATTAAGGAACAAATTACTGAATCCAATATTTGTAGTATTAATATAGTAAAGAGAAATCAGTAAGAGTGGTAATATTAGTAAATTTTGTTGTAGATTACACGAAGAGTGGAAGAAAAAATAAATTTTCAGAGGCTTCTGATGAAAAAGAAAATAGTTGAAGAATTTAAATAAAATCCTACATTATCTATCAGAAAGTAGTAAAAAATTAGAAACTTAATCCAGAAACGATGTTGTACTCGAAAATAAGGATAACCTTAAAGAATAATAATTTAAATACTCTTAAAGTCCCTATAGTTATGTAAATAAATTAAAAGTGGAAGTAAAAAGACTCAAGTTTGCCAATTGCTAACATAAGAATGTAAATTTGTAATATTTACTGATAAAATATTACTTTAGAAAGGATAAAAAGGTAATAAGTATCTCTGATATAAACCAATAAATGACATTAAGTCATCGAAATGCAATGAAATAGATAAATTTTCTAAGCTTAGAATTAATCTTTGAGGAGAAAAAAACCCTTCACATTCAAAAAGTAAATTGTAATATTTAAATTCTATTGAGTATTGTAAATTCATTAACAACTTTCAATCATTTATTGGAGAAGATTATTTAAAGGTCAAGTTATTTAAGTAGGTTAGCACTATGCCATAAGTCTAAATAAATAAAATAAAATTTGAAAGAGAATAAAATTGAGTTGCTTAAATGGACAACCAAAGGAGCTAACTTATGCTCCATATAAAAGATATGGGCTTAATTACCTAAAAAAAAAATCATAAAATTTCTGATGAATTGAGTGAAGAAGACATTTTCAAATCAATATAAAATATATTCTAAAATAGTAAGAAGATTAAACTAGCATTAAAAAGAATGCATAATCTATTCCTAACAAGATTTTATGGGAATAAATTAGAAAGAAGGTCCAATAAATTTATAAAATATTTAATTATAAAATGAATATTTATTATTATTTAATTCTAAATTTTATGCTATCTATTTATTAAATATTAGTAATAATAATTACTGTTGACTTTCTAGTGTCTACCAATTTAAAATATTACCCTCCATTTATTTTATCTGACTTTTATTTCAAAACAAACTTTTTTAAACATATAATTAATATATTTGTTTTGATATGAAATTATATTTTGAAACTAGAAGCAAGCCATAACAATTAATTACAATAGATAGATAGATAGATAGATAGATAGATAGATAGATAGATAGATAGATAGATAGATAGATAGATAGATAAATAAATAAATAAAAATGACTTAAAATAATTAATTAAAAAATTTCATAATTACGTTATGGATATATAATTTTTAAAATCAAATATTTTTTACTGATTTTATTTTAATTAAGTTAGCTAATCAAGCATATTTTTTGCTTCCACTACCATTCCTATTTTTTGGTAAATGTAACCTAAACTTTTATAAGGTTCTAAAAATTGAGGATCAACTTATTGAGCTTTCTTGTAGTATTCGATGGCATCTTCAATCTTTCCATTTTTATAATAAATAGATCCTAAATTATTCAAGGCTTGAGCAAAATTTGGTAAAATTTGTAGAGCTTTTTCATATTGTTGCTTTGCTTATTCAGCTAATCCTTAATGTTAATAAATTAATCCTAAATTGTTGAAACCATGATGCATACTTGGGTCTATTTCTATAGATTATTAGTAAAAGGATATGGCTTTTGAATAATCTCCTTGCAAATAGTAAATAAATCCTAAATTAGTCAAAGCATAAGAATGATCAGGTTTGATTTTTAAAGTCTTTTCAAAACAAATTTTTGATTCTTCAGTATTTCCATTCATAAAGTGTAGTAGGGCGATATTTGATAAAACATCAACAGAATTAGGGTTAATTTTTAATGCTTTCTCACACCAAAATATGGCCTCTTCTATCATTCCTAATGCTTCATAACACTATGCAATACCATTACAAGCATCATAATCTAAATTATTATTAAGTAAACATTTCTATAGATAATCTTTTGCTTCTTCAATCATTCCACGTTCTATACACAAAACAACCAATTAAATCAAAGCATTAAAATCTTATGGGTAAGTTTCTAAAATTTTTAAAAAGCAAGATTAAGCTTCTTCTAACCTTTCCATAAAAATATATTCTCCCCCTAGGTTGTTTAAAGCCTAATAGAATTCCGGGTTAATTTCTAAAGCATTTAAATAGCACTAAATAGCTTCATTTTTTAATCCAACTTCGCTCGAATAATTTCCTAAATCATAATGAAATTAATGGTTTCTTGGATTTTACTTTATAGCTTTTTCCAAAATTTTTATTGCTTTTTATATATTTCCAATTTAATGATATACTTAAGCTAAACAACCAAAGATTTCATAATCTTGTGGATCAATAGATAATGCTTTTTCATAATTTTATATTGCTTCTTAAAATTAATTGTTACTATAATAAAATAAAGCTGCTCGCTTCAATACTTATAAGCTATTAGGATTAATATCCAAGGCTTTCTAGAAACACTCGTTAGCTTCCTTTACCATATTTTTATCCCAAAAGTATAAATTTCCTAAATTTAATAGAGCTGTGTAATAAGAAGGTTATATTTCTAAAGCTTTTTGATATTATTTAATTGCTTGGTCTTTCATATTTTATTAATCATAAATAGACCCTATAGTATTGTAAATGTCGACTTAGAGAGGATTTATTTATAGTGACTCATTAAATTTTTACAAAGCATCTTAAAATTTACCTTATTAATAGAAAGTAAATCCTAAAAGGTGATGAGACAAGTAGTCTGTTTTGGGATAATATTTAAGAGCCAATTAAAATAAATTTTAGGCTTCTTCAAGCTTGCCTTATTTTAAATAAAGCCTTCCTTTATCAACTAAATATTAGTAGCTTTCCGTATTCTCTTAAAGATTGTTTTAATCTTTAATTTAAATAGTTTGAAAATTCTGATCAGCCTTTTTTAAAGAATACCATCTTTAAATGTATGTTAGTAAATTTTAATTAATTTTTTTGCAAAAAAGACTTTTAAAAATCATGGTTTTCTTTTTATTTTCTATTTAATAATTAAGCGAATTTAAAATTAATTAATTCATTATAAAAATTTAAACAAACTCTTTATCATTTTTAAAGAAAAAAATTTGAAAATTCTTTTATGAAAGATTTTTTGAATTATAAATATTGATTGAGAAAATTCTTAACTTTTCTTAAAAAATAATTTGAATATATTTTTTAATTATTTTATAAAGTAAATATGAATTAAAAACATAATGTGTGTGTGTGTTTTAAGTAATTTAAAAGTATTAATTATCAATAAATTTATTTTCTAAGTTTCTTTTTATCTTTTAAAACTTCTAATAAGAATAAAAGAATTCTAAAACTTTTAGTATATTAAAATTTATAAAATAGATGATTTTCTCAAAGAGATCGAATAAGCAAAGATTTTTATTGAGATCAAATAAATTTTTGATTAGATTTTCTTCATATAAGCAAAATTTTCTCTTTATTAGAACGTAAATTCAACTTAAAAAAGAAGCTTGCTAAATGCTTAAAAAAATATTTAAAGAGCAGTTTTTATATTTGAGGATTTTTATAAGATAATAAACTAAACTACAATTATTTTCTAAATTTTCCAAACTATTTAATCTATTAATTGATATCAAAAGCAGCAGCTTCTTTAAAGATCAAATAAGCAACTAATTGTATTTTCTTTATAATAAAGATGTTTTTTATAAAAAAAGCAAATTAAAATATTCGCTCTCTTAAAGGGGGATTTAAAAGAGGGGGAAATAAAACAATTAGATACGAGTGGATGGGATTGATTTTTAGTAATATTGAAACAAAAATTTTTAATAAAATATTTTAATTTCAAATTTCGGATTTATTTACGAAATCCGAATATCGAAATCCAAGATAACGAGAGTTTAAGATATTAAATTTATAAAAAAATACAATTAATTATGAAAATAATTTAATATAATTTTTTATTTTCAAAACTCATTTGCTAAGTTATATAACATAGACGTATACTGTTCTAAGTAGGGATTAATGACTTCAACAACTTCTTCTGCATTTTTTTTTTCAAAATATGTGTAACACTCGTATTAAATACATTGGGGCATTTCTTCTATTTATGATAAATTGCAACAATTAGTACATTTATCTATTAACTTTTATAATTTCATCTCGTTTATCTTTTTCTTTTAAGTTAATATAAATATTAATGCACTTGGATCTTGTAGACAATTTTCACATATTTAATTTTTAGTCTTATTAGAACATGCTATGCATATTTCTTTTAAATAGTAATGGTTTAGCTAAAACTGTTTTTTTTGTTTTTAAAACTCTGAGGATAAACCACCCTTCTACTGTTTATTTTATATTGCTAGGATGTTATGAGATTTAATTTCTGATTTTTTTATTCTTTAGACCCAATCCTTTAGTATTAAAAAAAGTTAATATTCTTATATAAATGTATTTTAATAGCTTACTTGAATATCTACATCGAATGTTGAGAACAATCTACCTAAAGCTGAATTTATCTGTTTTTCCAGATATTCATTTAGATTTATCTAATGCCTATAGTTTTTCATAAATTCATTTACTGAAACGACACAGTCATATAATCTTTAGCTTTGAGGGTTATTTATTATGAAGTATTTTATTCTTTATCCGTATTTTGGTTTAGTTTATGGATCTCGTTTCATTTCTTTAAGGGCAATTCTTGCATGAGGAGGAGGCATAGTGTAGTTCTCTAATTTACATTCTTTACTTATAATCAAATCTCTATAAGAGAACTAATCATTTAGCAATTTTTGCCATTCTCCATTCAAATAAAGCTTTATTGCACTTAAATTCTTATTTTTTAGAAGTGTTTCTAGGCAATTTTTCATAATGATACTAAGAGCTTAGCAACCATCTTTTCTCATAACTTCTAGACCTTTTGCTTCAAATTTAGGTTCATCGGTTTCATTTTCCACAAAAAATCCTGCATATCTTTTTTTTGTCAAGATCACTAAATTTTAATATGTCTATAAAATTTTTTAATTCATTAATATTAATTACTTCATAAATTTTATTTATGTTTACTTTTTCGTATTTTAATTTAAGAGGATAGGGAAACATTTTTGAAACTTCACTTTCGATTTCCTTTCCTATTTTTATAGCATCATTTACAGAGACTCCTTTAATGTTTACAAATACACTGTCAGTATCTCCATAAATAACCTTTTTTTATTAAAGCATTAATTTTTCAAGAATTTAAGTAACATAAATTTACTTATGCACCCCATTTTTTACTATTGTTAATTAAATTTATTGCTTAATTTAACAGAAATTTGCCTATTTGAATGATTGAATCAGCTAAATCACCTAAAGGCATTCTGCCACTAAAGGTAGCTCCAGTGTATCCAAAAATGACACACATAAATAATTTAAGTGATTTTTGCCTTTGCTGAAGCTTATTATATATATGATTATAAAGCGGATTTTATTTGTATTTTCCCATATTACCCTTAATAAATTAACGAGTAAAGAAAAATTCATGAGTTATTTATGAAAGCACTCCTTCTCTAACACTTTTTTTAACAAATGCTACTTTATTAGGAGCTACAAATATGTCTTTCATGAGTTCATCAATATCATAATTATGCTTTTTAAGAAGTTCTTCAAATTAAACATCCCATTGCTTTTAAACTCCTAGTTTTTTAAATCCGCCTTTTTAGAAATTATCATCAATATATCCTAAACAAGTAGAAAAGCATAAATTATATGCAATCATTATAGATGGATAAAGAGATATAAAATCTAAAACAATCACAGGGCTTAAAATTAATTAATTAATAAAAAATTTAAATATAAATTTGATAAATTAAAAATAAAATTTACTCAACATAGAATAGCTTTGGAGGTTCCAAAGTAAGTGGGCTGCACTCTAGCATTCTTTGAGTTTAAACTCCGTACCTAGATGCGCTCATTAGCTTATAGCCTAAGAGATCTGTAACCCTGTTCATTATATGCTCTATTCTAAATTAATGTCCTTTGCATATCTAAAATTAAAATTTAATTTATAAGTTGTAAAAAAAAAAATAAATGAAGAATTTTTTTATTAATTAAAAGTTATTTTAATTCATTAAAGTAAATTTTATGAAAAATAAAAAGTAAAAACAACAAAATTAAATTTTTAAATAAACTCTAAAACATTTTTTATTTGTTGAAGTCAATTTGAAATAGAGATAATTTAAATTAGTAAAAATTATAATAAAATTTATAATTATTTCAATGAAAAATTAATCAAATTATAATTTAATAGGTTTATTATTTATCAATTATTAAATTTACAAAATTCAAGAAAAAAATTTTAGATGTTTTTGTTCTCAAAATAATTTTTAATTTAATATTAAATTAAGAATGTAAATAATTACTGCTGATTAGAAATCAAATCCATAAAGCTTAGTTTCTTCAGCACACGTGTTGATGATTTAGATGTGATCTATGATATCTTTAGTTTTCATTAATCTTTTCATCATATATTCAAATACAAACACTCTCTATTTAATGTCTTCATGGTTATACATTTGTGTTAAACTCCAATTAGAAAAAATGGGAATTCTTTCTTAGAAGACATAATTTACAACACTTTCTAACTCATAACAAAATAATTTGTAATCATGTTTGACTAATCTCCAAGTATTTATTATCATTCGACCTAATTTGAATAATCAATTTAATTTAAAATAATTTTTTTACTTTTTTACCTGCAATTTCAAAGTTTAGTTTAAAATTAGCGAAAAACCCTGTTTATTTTGCACTGCGATGAGATTGTTTAATTGATTGCATTGCTACATTTTACAATTTAAATGATTAGTTACTATCAAAACTCATACTCTACTAAGAATATCCTTTGGCAGAGTCATTTTAGAATTATTCCTCAATTAGACAATCCGCTAATTTGAATGCCCTTAATATATTAAATGAATTTTTTGGGCATCTTGATAATATATCCATAACATCAATTCCTAATTGCCAACAGCGATGAGAAAAGTAAAAAAGAGATTTCTTTTCTATGTCCCATCCCGTTATAATGTCAACATTAAAAATATGGATTTATTTAATGAAAGTAAGCAATAATTCTTCTTCATTTTTAGTTACAATAATTGTTTTAAACATGGAATCATTAAAACCTGTTTAAAATATATTTTAAAATTTCTTAAATTTTTTTTTCTTTTTTAATAATTTAATTGAATTTTTTTGAAATAAAAATCAGGGAATTTACCATAATATTTTCTAACTTTGTCTATTGGTTCATGGCAGTTTATTTCATCAACTAAAATTATTCCTTATGCTTTAAAAAAAATTAATATAAAATAAATTTTTGTAATAAATTTACTATTTATTTCACTCCTTTTAAAGTTTTCCAGGTCAAATACTATGAAATTGATTGGATCAGAAGAAGGATCAGGAAGCATATCTGGGGTAGATTTTGCAAAGATTTCAAATGTGTACATTGTGATATCTTCATGATATTGCGTTAATCTATTTTAAATTATTTTTCAATTTATTAATTTTAAATAATCATTTTTACTTTTTGTTTTAGTTTTATTAATTTTCTGTTAGCTTCTCCTATTTTTAAGAATGAGAAAACGGTGATAGCCAATTTTTTGTTACAGGAGTTACATTTAATAATTATTTATTTTATTTTTTATTAGATTTAATTATATCTGCTGAGATTTGTTTAAAGCTAGGACATTTTTTTTAATACCTAAATCTTTATTTTGTTTCTTAAAATTACTATTAGCTATCATAATCTTCTGTTATGTAAGCCCTAAAGTATTTAGGTAACTTCAGATTATTTTATATTCCAACATAATACTGCTTGTGCTATGGAGTTTTAATGATGTCTTTTTCTAAAATTTATGCAAAATATAAGTTCCTTTGGACTGATTTATTCTTCAAGTTATAATGTTCAAACAAATCTTCTAAATTTTCATAGTAAGCGCTAAGTTAATTCAAGTAAAATTTTTTATAAAATTTAACATGAAAATAAAATTTACTATTGATGCTCTACTTGTTTGGAAATGCCAGTAGCCATAATTTAATTAAAACTTGGACATTTGGGTTTATATTTCAATACAAATCTCTTTGCTTAATTTTGTGGTTTTTCAAAAAATTATTGAACAATTTAAATATCTTGTTTAGTTGACTCATTTAAATTGCATCTGCATAAATATTTAATTTATTTACAGTATTAACATTCTGAAAAGGCAGTATCTTCTACTTCCATATTATTTTTCACTGCATTGAAATTATCTCTCCAAATCTAAATGTTATTTTAATTTGTTTATTTTTCATACTGAAGCTTAATGTGCTTTTTCACTTTTTGATCTTCTTCATGTTTCAATTTTTCAGAATTTCCTTGTAAAAACTCATTTAAAGTTCTTTTTTTTGTAATATTCAATTTTTCAATTTTTTCTTCAACTAATTTTTCTAAAAAAACTTGATAATCTTAACCTAAAAAAAATAAAATAAATTACAATTAGGGGATATTTTTATTTCCATATTTTTGCTATCCTTTTCTTGAAAATTATTATTGTCATCTTCATCGTTTATATTTTCATCATTATCATCATCACTGCTTGAAGATTGTTCATCAGAATCACTATCGTATTAGTCAATATCTTCGTTTTACTAATCATTTTCAGAATCTTCCTATTAGTCTTCTGGAAGTAAATCTAGCTCCTTGACCTAACCTTTAAGCAATTTTTCATAGTATTTGACCTTTCTTTTACCATACTGCTTATTTCTGTTGATAATAGAATGAATACCCTCATCTTTTTTTTATTTCTGAACTTTATGAAAATTTTTGAGTATTTCTTAATTTAGAAATGCATTCATAGGTTTGTCTAACTGTTACTTAGATTAATCGATAAATTCCTAGATATGCTATCTAAATTATTTATTTATATTTTTGTTCAAAGAGAGTTGGTTTATCCAATAAATATCATTGTTAAATTTCTTAAGTAATTCTTGCTTTTCTTGTAATTTCTTTTGTTTTTACTCCTATAAAAATGTACTCTATCCACTAAACCCATTAAATTAAAATCTGGATAAATTAAATTCCTTCTCATCATCTTCGTTCATAAATAAACTTTCTATATTATCTGTGTAGTCGATGGTTTAAGTTGCCTTCATAGATTTAATTCCAAAGAGATCTTCTTGCATTTACTTTTCCTCTTTCCAAAACATTTCAAGTGATTTGTTAATTTGCACAGAACATTCTCTGGTCCTCTGTTTGCAATTTTTAGCCAATTCTAAATCTGAGCACATTTCAATGAAATTTTCTTCAGACTTCTCCTCTTACAAAAATATATAGTTTAAAATATTTTTATAATAAACATCTATTTCTACATCACATGTAGAGACCTTTGTCATACTATTAAATTTATTCTTAGAATTTAAATAATATTTGCATATTTCTCTCTCTTTTGTCAATTACTATAGAGCTTGATTTTCATTCTTTCTTAGAGAATACTTTAATAGCTTTATTTCTCTGAGCCCCTTAATATCCAAGTCGCTGTACAGTTTTAAAAAGTGGGTTAAATGTCCCTATTTTTTAAAATTAATTAGAAATAATCCTCTATTCAAATAAAAATAGTTTTACTTCATAAATAACAAATTCTATATTCATCACTACGCCGCTCTCTAAAATGCCAACTAATTTTTTAATCATTTTTGGATTATAGAAATAAATCTTCAAAAATGGTTCTTCGGTTGAGTGATACCCATAAATATCTTTTTTATATATTATCTCATAATTCAAAATTATAGGAGTTGTGGACATTAAAAATTTCTTCTACTTCTCACTGACTGAGTACAAAGTGTAATAACATTCTTCAATTAAATCAATAAATTTATCTAAAAAAGCTATTATTATAAAGAAATATATAATAAAATTAAAATTGTCTTACTTATCAATAATATATATATATATATTTACTTACTTTTATCATTTTAAATAAGATGAGAAATCTAATTCACCTTCAAGTAGAAGTAAGGAAAATACTATTTAAAATCAAAGTTAATTAAAGAAGAAGAAAAATTAATTATACGCCATGAATATGAAGACAAACTGAGTTGCCTTATTTATCATTTCCATACATTCTAGCAACAGGAGCTTAAAGAATTTTTCTATTTTTTCTATCAAATATTTTTTCATAAAACGAAAAGTCTGTTTAAAAATTAATGATATCCATAATGGAATAATTAGAAGCAGGATGTCCTGGAAGATTTAATGCAATCTATTCATGGGAAAACAAAAACAAGGATATTTAATCAGGTTATTATTAAATTTGAGTGTTTTCAAATTTATCCAAGGCATTCATTTATTTATCTTTTTCTTGAATTTATTATTATACAAAGTCCTGCTTTTGATTCATATTGAATGATTGAATATAGTTGGGTGGTTAATATTAATTATATCTTTTTTTTCTTATTGAATATTCCTTTTTATACTGCTCTTTAATAAAAGGGTTCTCTTTGATGATTTAAAATCTTTATTAATTAGCGGTATCTTTATTTAAACTTCAATTAAAGCACTAAATATATTTTTAATAAAGATAAAAAATGCTTATTAATTACCGCTATTTTAAAAATATTTTGATTTCATAAATTCTTTTTGATATTAATAAATATTTATTTTAAGTGCTTCTCTAAATTATTGAATTAAAAAAAATTATTTTTAGAAATTCTGATAATTTTTTTTTATTAAATTGGAAATATCAATTTAGAAATAGATTTTGTAAAAAATGTTAAAATAAAAAATATTTTTAATATACTACTTAGAAAAAAATACAAATTTGAAAATGGATAGATTTGATAGTAAATGCGATTATTAATTAAACATGAAAAAAGAATATTTTTCAAAACAAAATTTAGAATATTAGCAGATTTTTTATTTAAGAAAATGAAAGCAAATATTTTTATTTCATAGAAATAAGTAATAGGATGGACATTAAGATTGAATGAATATTTTATCAATTTGTTTGATGAGATTTTTCTTCAGTTAAGAATTTAGTTTGAAAATTTACAAAATTTGAAATCAAAGCTAATTAAGAAAATAAGAAAAACACACTTTTTCTTTTTTATAAAAATTTTAATTAAAAGAAATTAGATATTATTTTTGTCAGAAAACGAGTACTCGACGGATCTCATAAATAGAACAGTTATCGAGCTAAGAAAGCATAGATGAAGCATATTCCATAAATAAATAAGTTCTTCTACCGAAGAATACTCCTATTACAACATAATTAAAATGGATATCTTCATCTTTTCTTAGCTTTTCAACTTAGTAGATTTATGCTATCCATAGTTTTTAAATAAACCAAGGCCATTCATAAATAAAATAAGTTTTTTAAATATAAATTTTAATACATTCGGAAATCGCTCTCCTCGGAAAATACCATGCCCGCATTTAACCACCCCACAAAACCCAATAAAACCTCGTTATTTGACAGCCAACCCCCAGCTTATTACAAAATGAAAAGATGTTTGTAATAACAAAAAGGAATATCAAAACACTTTAAACCAAAATGAGATAAAAATTTTTTTTTTGTTTAAGGATTTTAATAAGGAGAATATATAAAAATATTTTTTCAAAGTAGAATGATGATAGATAGAAATTTAAGAAGGAGATCATAAAAAAGAAGAAGAAGAAGAAGAATAAAAAGAAAGAAATAAAATAAAAAAAATGAAATAAAATAAAATAAATAAAGAAAAAGAATTAAAATAAAAGAATGAATAAAATAAATAAACCAACTAAAAAAATCAGATAAAAATCAACTCAATAAATAAATAAATCAATTAAACAGAATAAAATAATTAATAATATTTAATATAAAATCTTAGAAAATAAAAAGCATTAAATAACTTAAACTAAATATCCATATTAAATATATTAAGCTTAGCTTTACTTTACTATTAATACATATTTTCAAATATTTTTTGACAATATTTAATTTTAAAAAATCTAAATAATGTATTCAATTAAGATATTTTATTTAATTAATATACACATTTTAATAGTAGATTAATTTGTAAAATATAATATATTTTTAGAGATAAATATTTTATATATTTTTATCAATTAATCGAAATAATAAACAAAATTTCACCATTATCTATGTTGATGGTGAAATATAATATATATTATTTCAATTTACTAAATTTTTTCCATATGAAGATTTTATGTTTATAGATAGCTTGACTTAGATTTATGAAAAATAAATGGTTCTATATTTTAGTAAAGATTCATATAGTTTATCTATATATTAAACAATCTATCTGTTTTTATTTGATTTTTTGCTTGTTGTTTGGTTTGTTTATTTATTTGTTTGTTTGTTAAAATAAAAAATAGAATGATAGAATTAATTAATTAATAATTAATAAAAAATATTAAAAATAGTCATTTATTTATTTAATTGATAAGGATATGAGTTTAGGAAGAATAAATCAGCTTTTATTTGGCAAGGAATTTTTAAACTATTTAAATGAAATAAACATTCTTCTTATTGGTGTAGGAGGCATTGGTTGCGAAGTTTTAAAAGTGTTGTAATAGTTTAAAGTGAAGTCTTTACATATTTTGGATTTAGATACAATTGAAGTTTCAAATCTCAATCGTCAGTTTTTGTTTCGTAAACATCACAGAGGACATTTTAAAGTAATTGAAATTTACTTTTGGGCGGATTAATAATTTATTCCTGAAAAATTATCTAGGCACACGTAGCTAGAGATGTTTTGAAGCAAGAATATCCTGATATGAATATTATTTCATATAACAGCAATATTAAGGATGCTTAATTTGGGTTAAAGTTCTTTAAAAACTTCTAGCTTGTCATTATGGCTCTTGATAATTAAGAAACCAGGTCTTTTGTAAACAAATAATGCATGATATTGAATATTCCTTTGATAGATGCAGGAACAACTGGATATAAAGGATAGAGCTTTATATTGAAGAGAGGAGAGACTAGATGCTACGACTGCTTCCCTAGATCTGAAAATAAGAAAACCTACCCTGCTTGCACTATCAGAACTCTTCCTGAGAAGCCAGTTCACTGCATCATCTGGGCTAAATATCTTTACACTGTACTTTTTAATGAGAAATTAGAAGATGACGATGATTCCAACCTTCTTTAGGATATTGCTAAATACATTGAAGGAGAAAACCATACCGACCTTGAGAAAGGACAATACCTTTTTAAGGCTATATTTGAAACTGATGTTAATAGGTAAAAAGATATCTTTTATAAAATAAAATCCAATATAAATTATTAGAAGACACTTAAATTATACATTCAATCTTTAATTAATTAATTAATTAATTATTATATTTTGTGTAGACAGAGATAGATAGAACTTTAATTTTTATCTTTTATTACAGGTAGAAGGAAGGAGAAGATAATTAAAAATTTTAGCATTTGAAAGTGCTAGTTAGAGAGGAGTTAGAGGGTAAGTTAGATAAATCTCAAGATTATTTGCATAGATAAGACTTAAAATTCTTGCAAAGCACCCATACTGAAGAAGTTTATATGGATATTTTTATTAAGAGCTTTGAGCATTTGATCAAGGAAAAAAGATAAAAAAGTTGTGTTCCCTTTGAAAAAGATGACAATTTGTGTATGAAGTTTATTACTGCTGCATGTAATTTACGTTGCATAGTTTTTTCCATTCCTCTCTAAACTTAATTTTAGGTTAAGGAAGTTGCTGGTAATATTGTGCCTGCTATTGCAAGCACTAATTCAATAGTAAGTGCTATTGAAATTACTGAAACTATTAAATTATTATAAAGACAGTTTTACAACAACCCTTAAAAATACAAAAATAGAGAATTATACATTTAAAATGACATTAAAACTAAAATCCTTGATGCAAAACCTGGTAACTTCAATCCTAATTGCATGTCTTGCAACTAGAATTTGCTTCCTCATATTATTTATTGTGATTTTAACAAAGTCACTCTTGGAGAGTTTATTAATTCTGAGCTTCGTAGCAAAGCTATGTAGGATGAAGATGATGATGAGGGAAACGATGATAATAAATTAGTTAACTTTAGTATTTCAAGTGGTTAATTTATTATATATGAAGAGGATGAGTATCAAGAAGAAGATGAATAAGAGCAAAACGAAGCAAAGCGCCAAAAATTAATCAGTGAAATATTCAAAGACTTTTCTGATAGTAGAGTTGTAGTTACAAATGAGGATAACAACAGCATCCATTAAACTTATCTCTTCTGTCATATCGAGAACCACAAAATCCCTGGTCTTGACATAGTTCGCTAAGAAAAGAATCCTAACAATACAGTCACATGGAAAACAGTGATTGCTTAATCAGACACTGTAAACAAAGATGAGGAATAAAAAAAGCAAGAAGAAGAAGAACAAAATAAAAAGAACTATAAGGAAGTTAAAGGAGATGACAAAAACAATAACACTTTAGAAATATTAGATTCCGATTCAGAAGATGATTTAGTTATTTGCGAAGATAATGATAATCCATCTCAAGGCGCCGCAGAAAAAGAAAAGAGTAAATAATCAAATGGAAAATAACCTCATTCTGAAACTGATGTATCTTCTTTAAACCAAAAGAGAAAGGCAGTATAGGAAATTTCTGATGGTGGAGCTATGTAAATAATTGATGACAGTGATGATGAAATAATTTTTGAAGATTAATAAGACAACAAAAAGTTAAAAGTGGATTGAAAATACTGTTTTAAACTGTAATTTTAAGAATAAAAGCTGTAGATTTTAGTTAAAAAAAATGAGCGTTTTATATTTATAATTCTATTTTAATTTAGCGTGCTTATTTTAATTATTTCAAAAATAGATTTACTATTTAAAATTAATTTGATAGTAATTAATTTAGTACTTAAAAGCCAATTTTTTTATTTATTCATTTAATTACTTCATTTATCTTGTTTCAAAAATTTAATTCTGGTTATTTTTTAATAAAATAATTTAAACCACCTATTTGATTGTGGTTGCGTTGCATACTTATTTGATGATTAATAAAATTTAAATCAATCAGTAAATTAACAGATCTTGACAAAATTAATTATATATTACAAAAAAGGGAAGGGGAGAAGAAACTGTATTTTTAATCTATTTCAATTTGCAATATCTAAATAAGATTTGATATTCTCGTATATGTTTTAAAAACTTTCTTTTTAAAAAACTCCCATCAAATGAATGTCTAAAACAAAAAATTATTAGCTACTTTTAATTTAATATACATGGCAGAGAGTTAGTTACTGAAGATATCTAATAATAAAATTTGTTTAAATTAATAAACAAATAAAATGCAGATGATATGATATGATTAAGATTATGGCAAAGAATATCTATTAGATTAAAAATTTCATTACCTAATTTTGTATTGTAAAAGAAAAATAGTCTTAACAAATTATATTACTATTTGATTTTGTTATTCTAAGAATCTAAAATTGCATTTATTATTTATTTATTTATTATTTATTGCACTTTTGCGAGCTGAAGAAAGTTTTATCATTCAATTAGATTGCATTTGCAAATATAATAAAATATTCAAATATTGAATAGATAATAAGTAGAAAAAAATAGTTTATTAAGTTCTTTCAAAGTAGCATACATATATACATAATCCACATCCAACACTTTTAAAATGGGAAATAGTTTATGCCATTTTGATCACGATCCTGAAACTTAATAGTCTATAAATATCGCAAAAAATTATTTTAAAGAAATAGATAGCAATTTAGTTAGAGATGCTACAGGAAAGATTCATAAAATTAAAGAGAGTCATGTAATATTATTTATACAAAAGGACTTTTTTCAACAAAAATACCTTGCTTTATTCATCTACTTTAACTTAATTTATATCTAATGACCATTTTTCTCTATTATGAAAATTAGATTTATAAATAAAAATTGGTAGAGCTCATCAAAAGTAAAAATGAGAAGAATTAATAAGCTAGAGAGAGAAAGTAGGAGACCTATTTGATTCCATTCCTTGAGATAGCTTACACAACTAACTAACTCAAATACGAATACCTTGTTCTTAACATGAAAAGTGCTTAAAAAAAAATGGATGGTAAATTATTTTGAAATAATTTAATTCAGTAAATGCATAAATATACATTCATACATATAAATGAATATATGTATTTTGATCACCTTATTTTCTTTCTATTAAATACTAAAAATATAGAAGTCGATTTAATTTCTATTTCTATATCAAAAGGAATACTTAACTTAGTTCCCTTAAAATATTAATTAAAAAATTAAATATTGAGATTATTTCAATTACCAATAAAACCATTTAATTGATTTTTTATTAAATTTAATCTTTGTTTTAAGAAATCATTAAATAGAGAGAAATGAAGCTAAAAAATGTGGAGGATATTGACATAAGAATGAAAGAATAGCAAGAATTAGATGATATGTTAAATAAAATGGCTTTGAATGAATATTTTCAAGTGATTGCTAAGAAGAAAAAGAAGTAAGATTCTTCTGTATTATAGAGCTAATGCAACAATTTAGGATACAGCTAAAATATAACAAATTAAAATAACTAACAAAGAAATGATGACTAAAACTCTCAAAATCCTTTAGAAAAATAGCTTTTAAACAATAATATTGAGAATTTATTTCACTCAAGAAGTAGCGAATTACCAAAAGCTCAGGCAAATTAATAAATTAATTTGTAAAAATCAATAAGTGCTGACAATTAAAATTGGATTACGAACTCATATTACCGTACATCTTATGAAAGACCAACTTTTGGAAAGAGTTCTCACTACTGTTAAAGTTAAATTTAAAACGATAGAATACAATACAGTATCTTGGATATCAATCAAGAATATTAGTCTGGCTTAATTGCTTCTCATTAATATTTGCTTAATTACTTGTATGAAAAAGTTTCTAAAGATGAACACATTGTAAAGAGTCTTATTGACAAGTTTGGAGAGTTGATTTCAGAGAAATTTTCTCCAATTTTCAATTAATACGAAAATTTGGACATTTTTGAATGTAATTTAACAAACTCTTCAGTCGATTGCTATGAAAAAATCTCAGAAATAGTTAAGGAAGATATCATTTTTTTAATTGAGTTCATTAAAGAATATCTAAATTAAATTTATGGTGAAAAAGTTATTCCACAAAATAAAATGAATTAAACACAAAAAGACAATATTTTTGATTTATTTGTGAGAAAAGTTGTGTTTGATAATGAGAAAATATGCGAAATTGCATTTAAAGCTATTGATATTTCTTCAATATCACAAAACAACTAGTTTAGATCTTTCAAGAGAGAAGCAAGTCAATTGCTAAATATTTAAAATGCTTTTAAACAAGACAAGGACCTATGTTTTTTATCAGAATGTCCTTAAAATCCATTCATTTAGTTTGAAAAAGAGCTAGAAAGCATCAAGCATTTGAGTTCTCCTTATTTAAAAATGGTTTAAATTGAAAATTTCAGGACAAATATAAAGCTTAGAGCTAATACTTTATACAAAGAGCTTGTTAATAGTTAAAAAAGTATTTAATATAGTGTAGATTAAATGCTACTTATTGAAACATTCATATTTCTTACTACTGAAGTTGAGCTATTCAATGATCTCAAATTTATTTAGACATATGCTAAATAAAATAAGCTAGGAAATGGACATGCAGATATTTGGTTTGATATTCATGAATAGATTTTATAGCAAGATAATGTTAAGTCTTATTTAGATTTTATATTTTTTAGCTAAAATAAAAATTCTCTCATTCAATAATAACAATAACCATAAGCAATAAAAGAAGAAAGTGAAAGTATGTCTGAATACTCAAGACTTTCTAATTAAGAGATAGGGCAATTTTAATTTAATAATAATAATAACAACAACAACTAAAAAAATCAGAACTAAGTACCTATTAATTATACTCACTCAGCAAGTAGTCATACAATTACAGAGTACAGTCTGGAGCTAGCTAAAGACGATTTGAATAATTAAATATTCTCTTAATCTGATATTATAACAACTATGGGCAAGAAATCAGAATAATAAAGCCTTAAAGATAATAATAGCACTTCTAAGCAAAGCTTTGTATTTAACAAGTAAGGCTAATAAAATAATAGTAGAGCTTAGTAACTAAAGTCAACATTTGGAGAAGAAAATCAACAAATGATTTCTACTGCTGTCCATGGATCTATTTTATACGAGGCAGAAATGGTAATAGAAGATGAAAATGAGGACTTAGATAGACATCAAAAGTGATTGATTAATCAAATTACAATTTTCATCAAATAATTTATCAACATTTGATTTTCTATGCTCATAAAAATTGAATTTTTTTCAAAAAGCAATAATCAACTGAAGAAATTTATAAAAAAATATTATTTTATATACTCAATGTAAATGAATGAAGGAATTTAGTATCTAAATAATCGATACAAAATTATAAAAACTGATAAAATATATTAATTAATTTATTATTTGAAATGATGACCAACTCGAAATGAATGATAGATTAATAAATTATTACTCTTATATTATATTAAAAAATTATATACTTAAAAATTTATCTTTTATGATATTTATATTTATTTTCAATAAAGGTTCAATCAAAATATTCCTCCATATTTATAATTTAAATCAATTAAAATTTAAAATAAACTTTGTAAATAAACATAAAGTCATTTTACTTTCTATTTTTTTTTTTTGAGCAAATTAAAAATGTTAATTACAATAAATTCTCATTAATTCTCACCATACTTCTTAAAAATTTATAAATAAATTAATAAATTTTTGTAAAATTAGCTTAAGATCATAAAAATTAAATGAAATATTACTATCTGTAGCTACACAGTAGGTGATATTCTAATTACAGGATTAGCAATAATTATTCTTATTTTTTAGTATTTTATTTTAGTTTAATCTCATCTTTCAGTTATTTAATTTTAACTCATGGACATTAACATATTTTTAAAGTAATTTATTAAAGAATAGGTTAAATAAATTTATCATTTAATAAGTAAACTACTTTTCCAAAATAGTTTTTTATTCTTTTAAAAATCCTCAGAAAACAAATATATTGAATAAAACAACCAGAAAATTTACTAAATTTAAAATAGTTGATTCAATTATTCTTATAAATAATTTTTCTTATTAAATTTTGAATCTATTATTATTTTATTTGGTTAAAATACTTGTAAATCAACAAAAAAATTGTCAAGTCTAACATTGAATTAATCTTGTTTAAAAATTTATCAAATTATTTTTATTTCTTTTATTCTAAAACTCAGTAATAATTTATTCTTTGTGATTCCTTCAATTTTTCAATATATTGATTTATTAAATTTTAATAATAAAGCTCATCTTCTTTTAATTCTTCAATATCCTATTATATTTCATTATTATACTCTTAAAATTTATTATTTTTTAATTATAAATATTTACACAGTTTTGTTGTATTTATTTATTCTTTTAAATAAAAATTTTATTTATTAAGATTACGAATGCTTACTTTTACATTTAAAAATTTTAGTACTTATTCATAAGCTCTTTCTATGATTGGTCAAATTGCTAACATTGGAATTAAATGTCATTGTTTCTTTTATTTGTTTTTTCTTTAAATATATTTCTTCTTTCTTTTTTTGAATAAATACATTAAACGAATCTTGTAAAGTAAATTATTTAAAAAAATTAAAAATATTATATTAAACATTTGGATCCATTAGTATTTATTATATTGTCTTCTAAATAAATTATGTCATCAGTGATTTTAATTACTTAATATTAAAATTTATGAGATATTTCTACAAATAAAAAGATGTTCAAATAATTTTTAAATTTGCATATATTTGTAAATGAAAATATCGAATAGTTCATAGCAAAAATTATACTTCTTTCTATCTTATTTTTTTAACAAGTATTTATTTAATTTTTATGATATAGTATTTATTGTCATACTTGAAATTTTATTTTCCTATGTAAATATTTTAATTCCTTTTCTAATTTTGAGTTGAGTTAAATAAAATATGTTTTAAATAAATTATTTTTACATTATGAAAAAACATTTTTTCATTTTTTAATAATTATTTTAAGTTTAAGAAAATGTAGAAAAAATAAATAAAAAATAAAAAGCTTTTAAAAGTGATGAATAAATTTACTTTTGTCTGCTCAGCAATCAATTAAGAAATTTATCTAATAGCTAAATATAAATATTTTTAAATAAATTAGAGTACGATTAGAAGAAATGTAAATGATACTTTAAAATATGTCAATAAATAAAGCGATATTCGTTTTTATTTAAAAAAAATATTTAATTTATTACTATTCAATTTACATTACGAAATAGTACTGTTATAACTTGAATTAGGTGATTTAATAAAAGTATAACAAATAAAGATATAAAAGAGAGATAATAATTTAAAATTCAGGTAAAAATAATTGATTATAATATAATTAATAATTTATACCACTTAATTTTTGTAAATTTGATCTTAATTTGAATATAGCTTTCAATTATTTAAATTACTCTCAACTTTGCTCATAAATTAAAATATAGAGTACATACATACATTCATACATACATACTTGAAAAGGAATTTTAGTTTGATTGTTTGAGGAGGTATTTAAATTACAATTTTTTTTACATTTTATAAAATGCGTACTAAAAAAATATTTAACCTAAGAAAAAGCAATAATATTTTAACTGCAAAACCCATTTCGAGCAAACTTAATATTTTCAATACATATTTTATGGGTTATTTTTAAAATTTGTTAATCTATTTCAAGCAATTTAAATTTTGAAAAGAAAATTTCAAATCTATTTCTCTCATCAAATTCCAAGATATTATCAATTACAAATAAAAATTTTGATCTTAAATTAAATAATTTGCTACTAAAAATTTTCTTTTATACTTTAATTATGATGCTATTGTAAATTCGTTAATATACTAATGGAATCTAACCATTTCTTATTTATAAGTAGAAATTTATTGTACAAAAGTAAATTAGCATTAAAAATCTATTAATAATTTGTAAAGTTATTATTTTGTTGAATCTTTAGTTCCTTTAAGTGTTTTATGGTATAAAAAATGATGTTCTAGCAACGCAAATTTAAAGTTACTTTTTAAAGTTCTGGATAGTGAAGAAAAAAAAGATTCAACAAAAGTAAAATCTTATTTTATTAATAATAAATAACAAAAATACAGTAAAAAGTTAAGAAATAATCAGATAAACTTTTAAATGATTAAAAACATTTTAGACAAAAGCTAAAATAATAAGGCGGATTTAAATTATTTTTGAAAGAATTGCAGACCTTAACGCTGAATTTACAATTTTTAAAATTTAAAGAGAGAAAAAATAAAACTTTCTGACAATCAATTTAATTAAATAAGAGTGAATATCTAAATTAATTAATTTATTTATTTATTGATTTTTTAATTGAGTTTCTATTTTTTGATATTATTAAACTTTTTTAGATAAAGAATATTAAGTATTATAAAGAGTTATTTGTATGATTTTGTTAGTTCATTGTAAATCTGATATTATATGTTCATCATATCATCTAATTTATCACATTCTTCTACTAGATTTTGGAGAAATGTAAATGAGAGTAAAAATATCCAAAGACTAAAAAATGTTTAGGAAATCTCCTAAAAATAACAAGTAAGAATAAATAATTTAATATTGAAAAATAATTTCTTTTGTTGCTTTAAAAAGTTTTAATTTTACTGTGGTTTATTAGTTGATTGATAAGCCATTTAAAATGTAAAAATAATATAAGCGTAAAAATATGTTGTTTGAATTATAAGAATGTAATCAAAAAAAATTATCTTGAAAAAAGGAGAGTGAGAGCGCAAATATGATATTTAAATTTGCAAATTAGAGCTTGAAAATGATGTATTTAAATGGTAATAAGATAATCGTATTAGGATGGATTTATGCTTTAATACTAAATTTAAACTGTTGGAGTAATATCTAAAAAATTTAGTTTTTGATTTTGATGGAAAAGATAATATAGACAATAATTGATTTGGTTTATTAGTGAGTTGTCCACCAATACTTAAATAAAAAGTATAAAAAACTTTCGAATATTTTATAATAATTAATAGTCACACAAAATTAATTAGATAAACTAATAAATAGTTCCTAAAAGTAACACATCAATTTACAACAAAAATATAAATTTTAAGAAGCAGTTTTGAAGTATTTTCAAAAAAAATGTACACAAACTTCAAAAAATCTGCTGAATATTACGACATCAGCGATAATTTCAGCTTGAATTTTAAAGACTCATAATCTTAACTCAATAAATAAACATCTATTCAAAGTCAAAGTCAGGATACCTAGTTTAAAAATATTCTTACTTAATTGAAGAACAACTCTGAAAGCACTTAAGGATCTGAATAAATTGTTGAAAGATCTTCCTTTAACTGCATGTCAACTTTGGAAATCAATGAAGACGAATAAGAGCTATTATTTTTTAATGGCAACGATCAAAAATTTAGCTTTGAAAAATAAGATCTAGAAACCCCAAAGAAGAGAAATAGCTAACAACAAAACTTCATTGCTGATTATTTCTTCGATATAGAAGACAGAATAAACTGTTGGCTAGACTCATAAGGAATAAAGTAAGTATCTCCTCTTGATAAAAAAGACGAGTACTTTGAATAAAAGAAAAAGATAATATCGACTCAAGTGTTATAAAGCTAGAATGATTTAAACGAAGAATCAAATCAAACTCCTTCAGCCAAAAACCTAAGAAAACAATCATTACTCGAAAGGAGAAAATTAAATAAAATTATTGGCCCAAAAAGCTGTTACGAGCTAGACTATATAAATTGCTCATTACCTAAACAAGAAAACTATATGTCAATTTTTACAGCATCAGATTTTACTTTATGACAAAGCTTATATTGATTGATTAAAATGCTGTATATAACTAACTAAATAACAAGCAAGCAAATTTACAAACAAAAAAACAAACTCACTGACTAATAAATTAAAATACCATATAAAAAAATTACACATAATCCACTTATAAATCCTCTTTTGAATATCTTAATATCTTACTCTAAAACTACTCTGAATATCTATTTATCTATCTATTAATCTTTCTCTAACCAGTTTATTGCAAATCGAAATAATAAAAACTAAATCAACAAAATAAAATTTTATCTGCCTGAATAAATCTATTAACAATTAGTATTAAAATTAATAATGTTTTATTTCTTATTTATTCATAACTACTGTTTTATCTTACTATCATTTTTCTTACTTCATGAATGAAAAAAATTTACTTTATTTACATAGCGTTATAAATTTTTAAATTAAATATAGACAATTAATATTTGATTGTTTGTTTTTCTATGCAATTATTTAATCCAGTACAACGGTGCTTATTGTAAAAAGTAAAAAATATTCTTTAATCAATATTAATTTATTTTTTAGCATTATTTCAGAGATATTTTATCATACCGTATCTATATCAACTTACAGAGCAACTTTGCTTTCAATTTAATTAGTAATAGTCGATAGAGCTTTCAAAGTCAAATTTATTTTTAAAGAAAAATGCATAAGGAAAGTTAATATTTTCTCTACCTATTAATTAAAGCCTTTAAACTAAAATTTAATTTCACTAGCTTCTTTCTTTCTACTCTTTTAAGACTATTTTCTGGTTTTTTCTCTAATTTTGATGAAAAAGATCCAGAAATTTTATGGAAATTTATTGTGAAAAGATTTCCAAAATTAAGGCATGTATTCAACGCACTAGTAGATCTAAGAAGCTTTTTATTCTACAAATATGAAATAGTTTTAAATCTCAAAAAATATTAAATGTTTAAAAGTAGCTGAAGTAAAGTCAAAAGATATTTATTTAATTTATTTGATTGCAACATAAATACTTCTTTTTTATATTTCTGGTAAAATAAAATGATATTGTAAAAATAATAAGGATAATCTAAAAAAGGTTTATTAAAATCTAAATTTAGATAATTTCTTAATTTTTGTCACGTGAACAAAGTATAAATTTATTTTTGTCTATAAAAAAATTTAATTTGTTTGTTCTAACCTCATTTTCCTTTTTAACTTAAATTACAAAAAACACGTAATTCAGATAAAAAAGACTACTTTGAGTGTAATGCTTATGTAATAAATTTGATATTGTATATTTTTTTATAGATTAAGTTGGAGTATTAAACAATTGAACACTTTTTATTAATATTAATTTTTTTCTAATAGAGTATAGCATATCTACATATTTTAGTTATATACAATGTAAATGATTTATATTTAGGTTAAGCAAGCACATCTTAAATAAAATTTAAAATCACTCATTTCTGCCATAAGAAATATCTAATAAATAAATTTGGCTATTAAATAATTATATATTGCTAAATTACTTGAAAATTAATCTACTTATACTTTAGCTTACTTTTTTTATATTACTTCAAAAAATTGTTTTATATTTTCTGTCTATCATTTATCCTAAAATCCTGCAAATAAATAAGAAACTTTGGTTGTATTTTTTCTATACTTAATAATTATGAGGAATATTCAAGTTAAAAAATATTAAACATTGTTTAGTTTAAATTACATTTGTTATATTATGCAATATAAAATATTAGTAATTGATTTTTTTTTAATATTGCAGCTTATTAATTACTTTTTTATAATTATGATTAATGAAGCTGAAAAAATTGTGTAATTTGCTTTATTTTAATTGAAATTTTAAAAAAAATAATTTTAAATCTAAATAGTTTTTTAAATAATCTAATTTTTGTTTAAATTAACTTTTGAGAGATTTTTAAAATGGTATTTATTATTTTACATTTAAGATTTAATAATAAAAATTATTGAATAAAATCTTTAAAATAAATTTTAAATATTTGTATTTTATTTAATTTAATGAATATAATTCTTTATTTATTTATTTTAATGAATACAATTCTTTATTTATTTATTCGTTTGTTCAGGTATTTAAAAATTAAAATTAAGAATTCAATTAAATTAAAAACTTACTTTTACTTACATTTATTTCACTCTTTTAATATACTAACTTTCTTGATGTTTAATGTCTATTTCAATATTTCTAAGATTTTCTACTTTAATTTAAACTGTATTTTTAATTTGAAGCTTACTAAAAATAAATTTTATTTGATTTACTTAAATATTTGTTAAGTTTTTGAATTTATTCATTTCATTTCATAGAAAAATTTTGAATATCATTTAAATTTCTTGGAAAAATAATTATTTTTTTCTGATTTTGATTTTCTAAAATCTAATTGATTTAAAAATTAAAACTATTAAATAAAATCTGTTAGATTTTTTAAATGTTTATTTTTATAATCAACTTTGTTATTTAATTTAAATTTTTACATCTAAAATTTTTTCTTAGACTTTGATTGACAATTTAAAGGTTTGAGTAAATATCAATAAAGAAATGTTTATTTAAATAATGAAATATTTACTTAAATAATGAAATATTTATTGTGCCACCTAAAATAATTTTGATGAAGTAAATTTTAATCATCCATTAGCAAAAATATTAATTTAAAGAAATATTCTCAAAGTGTTTAATTGAATATTGGCAGAGAATATTATAGTAAAATTAATTGTTTTTATTAAATCAAATGATATGAGTTGATTTAGCTGAATTCTTAATTTTTGCAAATTATTGAGTTTATTTGATTATTAAATTTTCAGTAATAAAAGTTTCATTTACATTCTGAGTAATTCAAGTAGATTTATTAGCATAAATAAGGCAGTCAACTTTAACAAAAATGAAATAAAGAAGGACAAAATAAGGGAGATTTACTAGTATAGAAAATGAAAGGGAATAGCAAAGAAAGCTGTATGAAGAGAACTTGAGGAAGAAGAAAGAAATGCTCTATTTTGAGTTTGAAAAATAAGAGGAAGTTCTTAAATACACTAAATTATCAGTTGAAACACATAACGATGTTAATTTTAAATATGAGCATGATAGAGTCACTAATATTAGAATAGAAAAAGAGAATTAATTATAAGATTTACTCAAAACCTTGAAAGATGCTCAAGAAATAAATAAAATGTAAGAGCCACTACCTGAAGGTTAAAGTCTCTATGGATAAGCTAATAAGGGAATTAATTTGACATCAATTTTTAGTAAAAGCTTTTACAGATCATCTGGTTTGCAAATATTAACTAGCACTTAAATGAAAAGCAGAGATGATGTTAACAATTATATTGCTTATATGAATCAAGAAATTGAGTAAGTAAATGAAAATTTAAAAAATGAAGAGTAAAGAACTTTAACGCTTAAGAAATCAATGCAGGAGCTGTTTAAAACCAAGCAAAAATTTAGAGATTAGCTACATGATTTAGAATTTTTGAATGAAACAGCAGATAGACGTTTTCACGATTTAGCAGCTGTTTAATTTAAAGCTAAGGAAAAAAAAATAGCAATTGATAAAGATCTTAATGCTGCTAAGAAGGTATTCAAGTTTGAAATTTTATTTTAAATAAATTAAAAAATGCTATTACATTTAAATAAATAAATACTTATTGAAATAATAAGAAAACATTGAATGGAATTAATTATAAATTATTGTTTTTTAATTGAAAGAGTTTGAAGGAGTACTAGTAAATTGGAGATAAATACAAAGAAAAGCAAATGGTCAAAATGAAAAGTGGTGAGAAAATAAAAAAAACTGCTGAAGAAATTATTTCTCATGATATGATCAGGCAAGATGAGCTAGAAAAGGAGATTTAGATGCTCTAGTAAGTTATCTAAAAAGAAGTAATTAAATAGTAAACTATTATAGAAAAGAGGAGTGAAAGCAAGTATATCCTTAAATACATCGATTGCTTCACATAATTTGAGAGACTCTTTCTCTCAGGTGAAGTCAAAGAAAAAGATATACAAGATTTATATGAATTCAACAATATCAACAGGAGAAGCATACTGTACTTCATAAATTATATCTTTATTAAAGTAGAATATCTTAATTAATTAATTATATATTTTTATTTATAGGAGCCAGCACTAGCAAAATCTTTCTGACGATGGGTCTACTATAAATCTCTAATCACATAATTTGATTTTAAATGCCCATAGATCTAGGAAAGATTCTAGGATGAGCAGTGGAGATAGCAGATCTCCTACACTCTCACCAACAAGGGATAGAATGAGAAGTAGTTTTAATATTTAAGAAGAGGATAATAGACGTTCTCTTATAGATACTATTAATAAGTAAGTAATTTTGATTAAATTAATTTTCGATTTCAAATTTTTCAACAATTATGCTAACAAATTTTAAATAAATAAAGATTCGACAGTGAGCATCCTAATGGAGCTAGAGATTTGGTTAACGAAATGATCAAAATGTATAATAATTATTCATACATCTAAGAAACTCTAAATGGCAATCATAGTAGATTGCTTGAAGAAAAGGCAAGAAAATAATAGGAGCTAATAGATTTAGAAAATAACCTTAATAATATCAAGAAATTCAATTAATATTTAGATGAAATGGAAAATAATAAACAATTCGAAAAGTAGATGCTTGAGTTAACTGAAGCAGTAGATTCAGGACTTCTTACTATTCCCTAATCTGAAAATAAAATAAATGGAGCAATTAATTAAAATACAAATAATCATCATAACAAAGAATAAAAACAGCTAATTAGCACTGTAAATATTTTAAAGCATGATAACTTTTAACATGAAAGTGAAAAAATAAAAGAATTGGCTTAAAAAAATTAAAACTTTATTTTCAACTTTTTCTCGAACTACTGTGAAAGTGTTATTAGAGTGTGTTAAATTCTAGAATTGATATTTGGATTTTCATTAAACCTCTGTCCTGTCTAACTAGAAAAGCTATCTAAATCCACTATTTAATTTATCAAAGATATTTGGGCAGGCAAATTCGAAGAAAATCTCGACCCACTCTAAAAGAAAAATAACAAAAGGTCAAGACAAACAATAATTTATTAAAAATTAGGTAAATTTATTTAGCTTTTTCAATTTATTAAAATCGAATTCTAAAAAATTTGTTAAAAAAATTGAGAATTTTTATTAAAATTTAGAAATCCTTCTAAAAAATAATTTTTAATTTAGTTAAAAATGCTTTCTGAATATTGCAATTTTGATGATAAAATTTTAGCAAAAATTTAATTTGAAGAGCTTTGTTTCTTTTTCAATAACTTTTAATTTGTTAAAATAGGAACTTAAGAATTATTAAATGGAGAAGAGTAACCTGTAGCTTACTTTAAGCATATTGAATCGGAGAAATTTACTCATGAAGAAATTAGAAATTTGTTTACAGAAATATTCCCTCATAAACATCACTTAGCTGATAGTTTCTTTTCTTATATAAAATCGGAAAGAATAATCTGGTTCTTCTGCAATTTAGAGTAAATAAGTAATTATTTAAATGACTAAAGAAAACAAAATGGAGAAGAAAAAGGAGCTTAGTTAGCTTTGGATAATATACATGAGCTCAAAGAATAAGGATTAGCAATTTTCTAAAATAAATTATAAAGTAAATTAAATTAGCAGAATGTTTTATTTATTTATTTTATTTTATTTTTAAATTTTAGATCTTATGGAGCTTATGATTAAAATTCATAACTAAATTAAAGATAGCAGTCATAATTGTATTAAAGTAATTTTACTCCATTTTATAATTCAATATCTAAACATATTTTTAAAGTATATAAGAGAAACTTACCCTGATTACAATCCTTATAGAAGGTATACTTAGAAATAAGTAAGAGAAAATGATGAAATCAGAGAGGCAAAGTTAAAAGCAACGCAAAAAAGTGATAACTACTTTAGAAATAATGACCCCTTAATGGAGGACTTCATCATATTGAAGAAAGAGGATGCTTACAATATTTTGATTAGAGAAAATAGTTCTGATTAAGAAAAGTAATAGCTTTAATAACTTCAATAAAAGAAATAGGAAGACAAAAACTAAGACTAGATTAATATGCTTATTGAGTACATTAAGAAAACAAAAAATAATGGATAACAAATTTTAATCGAATAAAAAAAGTAACAAGTAATGTAGATGTAAAAAAACAAATAAAAGAACTAATTCAGCTAATAAGAAAGTATTTAGTCTCAGTAATAAATAAATAATGGAATAATCCATACTGTTAGTTCCTAAGAAGGAAGTAACGTTTTATATCAAAGAAATTAATCATAAATGGCTAATACTAGTGACTTTTCTTCAGGTAACCAACCATAGCAAATTAGCACAGTTAATGCTATTTAAAGCAGCTAAGATAGTTCAAATAAACTGTATCTCTCTTCCGTGAAAGAGGATATTACACGCTTTAAACAGTTGAATAAAGGAGAAAATGAAACCATCTAAAAAGAAAGAGAGAGAATTCATAATCTTTCTAAATAGAAATAAATAGATGAATTATTAGAAATAGAAAGACAGCTGCAACAAAAAAATAACAAATTCTTTGTCTCAAATGAAATAACCTCAATTAACGACCGTTTGCATTAAGAGAAAAATGCACCATTCAAAGAAAAATTAATTAGAAATTTCTCTGAGAGCTAATTAGTTTTAAGTAAAGTAGATCGTATGGATAGATTTAGTGGATTTATCGGACCTCAAGTAGTCAATAAAATTCAAGAAGAAAAAAATCAAATGGTGCGTGCTTTAAGAGGTGAACTCTACCAACCAGACTTGAACTATTTAAAGTCAAATAATGCTTATAATGTTCGCAAACAAGTTGCAATGGAATAACTAAACTTCTTGCATGATTAAAAATTAAAACAAACTGTTTTATTAAATCATAGCAGCTCGTAATCAATTCAAAGCAGCTCAAAGAAAAATGATTAAAACCAATTTAGCTTTAACAAGGATACTCATTCTAAATAGAAAAAATCTGAAAACTAAAATGCAGCTAAGACTGATATCTTACTAATTAAAGATGACAAATAGTTAAATGAATAGCAAGTATTTAATCAGTAACTCAGCCACTTCCATCCTATGAAACATCAGTCAAAAGTTGATCAAATTACAATAAAAAGAGAGTAACCATCTGATGAAAAGTCTCAACAAAAAGAAATTCTATAGTAAAAACTTAAAGACATTAAAACTACCTTAAAGCTGCCAAGTGCAAACTCAACAAGATTGCAAACGATAGATAGCCGTCCTTAAACATAAGGATCAAACAATTACAGAAAGATTAAGAAGTAAGAATTCTTAGTTTAAGATGGATTCAGCAATAAAAAGAGTAATTTAACATTAAGCGGTTAGAATTTCTATTCAAACAAGCTCGTAAGAGACACAAGTGCTAACGATTTATAATATAATAGAAAAGCTTAAACTCCTATTAATTATAATAACTTTGGGTTAAGCGATGTCTTCTCAAGTGAAACAAGCTTTACATAAAACCCTAACAGTGTTGGTCCCTACAACAACTAAAACTTAAAGTTTTACTAACGATACGCCTCCCCAGAGGGAGATGCCTTCTTTGATTAAATTCTCAACGGCCCACCATTTTATAATTTAAATAATAATTAAGCTCGTCCTATGACTTAGCAAAATACAAAAGCTTAATAAAAATACTAAATGAAAAATAATGAATATAACTATCCTATAAATGAGTACAATTTAGATTAAGTGGCAAAACCATAGTCAAGCCATGAAGGAAAAAGAAATCTTTTCTATAAGCAATAATAACAATTTCCTTAATAATAAAAATACAACTCTAATTAAAATTAGAATCAGTAAGATTAAATTTTAGAAGAAGATTAGTAAAGAGAAAAACGAGTTTCATTTGGATAAGAAAGTGAACATTTCTAAGTTTAGTAGTAAAATAAATAAATAGAAATAGAAGAATTTGGTTAAATGAATTCTAATAGATAAACTGATATCTACAGTACAGTTTCATAGTCCTCATCTCGTACCAACAATACTCATATCAACCGTCTTTCTGCCAACTAAAAACATGATTAAGAAGCTTCTTAATAAAATGAATAATGAATAAAAAAGGTTTTTGAAAGAGTACTAATTATTAAATAAGAGTAGTGCTATATTTATCTATCTATCTATTTATCTAATACTTCTTATATTTATGAAATTTATATCATCTTAACTTAATAATAAAATTAACCAGTCATTATTTTCTTTTCACATGTATTTATTTATTCATTCATTCATTTTTCTGTTTTTTAGTTTAATAATTTTAAACATTTTATTTTTAGGTAAATTTAAAAAGTAAGTAAGTAAGTAAGTAAGTAAATAAGTAAGTCAGTAAACTCATAATAAAATCAATATCAAATAAATAAATTTTTTATTAATTTTAATTAAATTTTATATTACCATAAAAACAAACTATTTGAAATTAATTTTTAGCTCAAAAAACATCAATATTTTATTATTTTAATTAAAAATGTTTAAAAAATTTACATTCACTATTTCTTAAGGTGTTCTGTTTGAAGTGTAAAAATTTTATAAGTTTATTCTACTCTTTTTTGAAATATTAATATTTATAAAAATAATTATTTATTTATTTATTTATTATATTCAGATTCAAAAAAAATATGAAGTTGAAATTAAACTCTTAAAAAATAATATGAAATAAAATAAATTTTAAGTAAAAATTGGATAAATTAAATTAATTAACTATTTTCATGATTAAAAAAATCAAGTTTAAGTTTTTGTAGTTAACAAATAATGAGGAAAGTAATTTATCAGCACCATAAATATAATTAACTAATTTTAAAGGTATTTATTTTTTGGTTATATTGCTAAAAATCATATTTAAAAAAGAGTTTTTTTCTTATTTAACATTTACTAAATTTTACATATATTTATTTTGATTTATTTGAATTAGACAATCAAGTAGAATTTATATTTGTTGTTTAATTTATATTTTTTAAAATTTTGTACATAATCTATTAGTTTGTGTAATAGTATTTTTGTAAGTATTCAAAATAAAGCTTCTTTTAGTAACTTTCGTTTTAAAAGAATGAAAAAAATAATTGATTTTTTGTTTGTTTGAATTAAAAACGAGTATTTAAAAGGCAAAAAATTGTAAAATCTCTATTCTTAGCATGAATGAACGATACAACATTATAGATACTTTTAACTTATTATTTTTACAAATATTTAATGATAGCTAGTTAAAATTTATTAATGATAATTATTAATAATTGTTTATAAGGGATGTTTAAGGGATGTATGAAATTATATAAATTAGAGGTCTTTCTTTATCTTCAATGGCTGTGGTTCTTGTAGGATAAATCGACATTTTATTGGTGTTTCTTAATAATTTCTGTGAAAATTTTATTTAATTCAGCTATTTTCTTTGTGGTGGATTCTGATTTATCATCGCAAAAATCGAACCATATTTCTAATCTAATTTTAGCTTTACTATCTCTTGCCTTATCGACCATTCTAAATCCGTTAGTCTTTTTATTAATTAGTTAAAATATTTAAATAAATAATAGTTTAAATGAAGGATGAATGGATAAAGTTAATTTTTTCTCACTGAAAATCTTTGAAGATTTGTTAATATTGTTGATTAAGTCATTAAATTTGAGTTAGACATATTTATTATAATTTTTGTTAAGATTTATTTGTAATCTTTGTTATTTGTGTCACATTTTTCTCATTCGCTGCAAAATAGAGAAAATTATGAGCTAAAAAGATATTCAGTTTAATTTAATTAACTATCAAAAAAAAAAATCTATTGCCACAGCAAGCCTACTTAAATTATTTATATAAATAAATTTTTTTTCTACCTCATTATAGAAGGCATAATTTTCGCATAAGATGATTGAAAGGACATCTTTGAAAATATTATCAATAACTTCAGGATTTTAATCAACACTTTCGAACATAGCTTAAAATTCACCACCTCTAGAGTTCTTGGGATCTTCCCAAGCAGGAACAATTCCCTTCTTGAATATACAAATAGCTTCTGTGGAGCGCATTTTCTTTTCATGCAAGAATCTACATTTTACAAAGAATAAATTATTGTACGAAAATTTCTTATTTAAAATATATTTCCAAAAATTGCTTGCTTGCTTATTTATTTATGAATAAATATTCTTTCTTTTTTAGTTGTTTCTTTTAAATTGTAGTCTTGTAGAATTACTAAACTACTCAGCAATATTTAATTTGGTTTGCAATTTTAAAATTACAAAACAGCTCAAAAGTAATCTAAAAATGAGTATTTTTTTTACCTCCAGCTGCTTCCATCAAAAGTAAAGATCTAAGAGACAGTTCTAATTCTGGTACGCCAGATTTTAGCGAGAGACTCCATATCATTGAAATCGAAAATAGCGAAGTTGTTATCAAGGAAATTATTAGATTAAGCATTCTTATCAACCTTTTCTTGCTTGAGAGACTCCCAAATAACCCATGTATCCTTAAATTGAATGCTTTTAATATCAATATGACCATACTTCTTTTCATCTTCTTCGCTAACCTTTCCTTGGCTTGCGGGTAATGTAATCTTTTGATTCTCAGCCATTTATTTAACTCTCTATATTTATTTATTTACTTATTTTTAATTTGCTTTGCTTTTTTATGTATTTATGAATGTATCTTCTTAATACTTTTTTTAACAATTAATTTGTTTTTTTTTAGATTCTTTCTTGTTTTAATTATTTTCCTGTATAATTGTTAAAATTAAAAGAGTTCAATATATTCGAAAAGGTGGCAGTGAGCCACTTTTCTTTCAAGTCAAGTCTCTTCTTATTTTTATTCTATTTATACTTTTTAATTCTTTCAAACCAAACCATCATTAAAATTTAATTGCATCCATAATATTTTGTTATTTATTTTATATGTTTTTACTAATAAAATAATATTAAATACATTTTAAATTTTATATTAATTTATCTATTCCATTTCAAAACCAAATTTATTTTTCATTCCTAAATTCTTGTCAATTAATCCTTTAGGTAAATTATATTCGTTTTAAAACCTATATTTTGAATAATTCAACTTGTTACGAATAATAAGAGATTTGAATAATTAATAAAAAATACTATTTTAGTTATTAAAAAATTATTACACATAATAATTTGTGAATTAATAATATTTAATTTCTTGCAGATTTTGGGTTCTTAAGAGGTATTTATTCTTTTAAACGAAAATATTTAAACAAGTTTTAAGATAATACAAACAGTAGAAAATAAATATATATATATTAAATCTTATATATAAATTTAATATAATCATAAAACTTAATTTTAATTTTAAAAAGATAGAATTTACTCATAAAATTTGTCGGAACTTCAACTAAAATACTTATTTATTTTAAAATTTTTTGAAAAATAATTAAAGTAAATAATAAAAGTTAAATACTTAACAAAATAGTTGTTGAGTTTTTTAAAATGATGAATTAATCTAAAAATTATTAATTGATTATAAAAGTGGTAAAGTGTTTGTTACTTTAATCTTTCTCAAGTTAATTTATCTAAAATAGTTAAAATATTTTTTTAAATGAAAAATTTTAAAATTAGTTTAATTAAAATAATTGCAAATAGAATAATCTCTTAAACAGCATTGTTTTTTTAGCTATTTTATTATATCCAATTTGAAAATCATTAAATAAATAAAGATAATTTATGAAAGAATGCCAACAATTATTTTTAGATTTATTTTTAAAATTAAAATATTTTTCATACTCTTTTATTAAAACTTCTTCAAAATAAATTTTATTTCAGTTTTAATTAAATTTGTCAAATTCTCAAATAAGTGAGTTATTTATTTATTTATTTATTTTTAAATTTAAAGAAATTAAATAAATTTTCTATCAGTTTTTAATTATAAATTTTCTTTTTTATTAACTTCATTTAATAAAATGATATTTTTAAAAAAATTAATTTTAATTTATTTAATTTATGCAAATAATTTTAAAAAATTGTCTTTTTTTTAATTATTTTTAAGTATAATTAAGTAAGTTTCATTAAAAAAAAATTGAGAGCCTAATAAGCACTCTTAATTATTTAATTAAAATCTCTAAAAATTTATTGTGTGATATATTTAAAAGCCTATAATAATCTATATAAAGTAGTTTTAATTAGTTTTTCAGCGAAAAATGTTATATCAAAGAAAATATCTAAAAAAGATTTACTAATTTATTTATTAATGAAGGACAAAGTGAGTGTTAATTAATTTATTTGTTTAATTTTTAAAATTAAAGAGTGATCATCAATCAATTTATTTGTTCACCTTTATATCTATCAGATATTTATGAACAAATAGTAAAAAAATAATTAAATAAATAAAAATCCATGATAAAAAGATTAAGAATATCAATAGAATCCAGTCAAATAAACAAAAAAGATAACAAAGAAAGAAAGAAATGAAGCATATAGATATATGTATAGATTTTATTTAAATCAAAGAAAGATTTGAAAAGTTAGATAAATTATAAAAATAAATTAGATGATCGCAACATCATTAAATAAAAATAAAGATTACAAATTATAATATCAATAAAAAATAAAATATCAATAATTTTTTACTGTTCTAAAAGCAGCAAACAAGCAGATACTTAATTAAATTAAGTAGTAAAAACTAAATAATATATATTTATTACTAAATAAAATTGCTTAGAGTTATTGGAAATTAAAACATAGTAATTAGCAAATATCAACTTTAAATTCAAGCTGAAGGATTAAATACGTTTAAAACAAATACACTCATAGCAAAGCATTTAATTTCATGAATTCCTATTAGTATGTGAATAAGCTAAAGAAGGTAAAAAATCCAAATTTCATTACAATTTATACATACATATTCTCAAAATTTATTATGATCATCAAAACATTAAAATTGTCTTGTTAATTGAAAAGCAAATCAAATAAACTTCTACACAAGGATGGAAGCAAAGAGTTAATTAGAAGACATCATATATAAATTAGATTCCAGTATATTTAATTTACATTTTCAAAGAGATAACAAATAAATATGCATTATTTATAAAATTTTCAATAGCTCTCGAATGCATTAGAGAGATTTCCTCAGTTCTTTGATGATATAAAGATTTCAGTAGTGTAGAAGAGCATTAATGAGATAGATCGTTTACCTTACAAATATAATAATATTGAAATTCTTTACCTTAGCAACAATAATTTAACTGACTTAGAAGGTATCCAGCAATTCAAAAAGTTAAAAACATTAACTTTAGCCCATAATGAGGTAAATAAGTTACTAATTTCATTTCAATCATAGGATTTTTATAGCAACAAATATAAAAAAATATCAGAAAAAAAGGTTTTTTGTTTAATAAAAAGCTTTCAAATGTGAAAATTCTCAGGTAGATATCTTAACTAAATTCTCTAGAGTAATTAAATTTATCTGGAAATCCCATAGCAAAGCATCCAAATTACAAGATTTACTTATTGACTGTTCTACCAAATTTAAAAAGCCTTGATGGAAGAGTAAGATAAAATAGTTAGGATCTCTAAAGATCGAACTTACTTAATTAATTTTGATATGTTCATGAAATTATTTTAATATAAATAGCCCGTCAGCGAGGAGGCAAGATTAAAAGCGGAAATAAAAGCAAAATAGCAAACCCAACTTCTGCAGTTGATGTTGAAGAATTATTGCGAAATAATTAAACTAAATTCAGTAAATTTTTAAAAATAAATTTTATTGCAATAATTAAATCGAATGATTTTTTGTAATTAATACTAAATCAATAAATCTAGTTTGGGAGAAAGATTGATCTGCACAGAGAAATGATATAAAATAATTTAAAATTTGTAAAAAATATGGAAAATAAGGAATTGAATCATTATTCCTTCAAAAACAAATTTGATTTTATGCAGACTCTCGATGAATATAATAAGAACGAGCTATAAGACTTGCTATTGAATGATATTCTCACCTTCTATGAATAGTTTTAATAACAAAACCCAAATAACAATGAGGAAGATAACTACGATAAGGCTTTCTAAGAAATGATCAAACAATAAAATATCAAATTAGCTGAGATAGATGTTCTCCTTGAAAAAAAAGTTTAAAATTATAATGAATTTTTAGAAGAAATGATAGCTAAATTTAAACCTCTGCCTCAAAATGTATTTTGATTCATTTTAAAATTATTTTTTTATTTTTTACTTTTGTTAGGTAAAAACATTTTCTCCATCTAGAAACTTGGCATCTTCTGATGCTTAAAACAAGACCAGTAGCAGACTAAATTTCAAAACTAGCGAGAATAAAGCGAAGTAGATTCTTAAAAATAGCAAATCAAACTAGAGTCTACCCACATCGGATAAAGCAGGTGCTCTGTAGTCTCTAAATAAAAAAAAGTTATCTAGAGATTTTAAATAAAATAATATTCCTGATGAAGAGAGAGATTTATTCTAAAAGATAAATCAAGGAAATTCAAACACAAATGAAAGCTTCAATCCTGTTTCGCCTATCACTGACAATTAAATTTTCAGTACTTCGAAAGATAAATTATTTTTTACTTCAAATACTTAGCAAGATCAAATTCATTACACTTAGCTATAAGAAGAATAAGATATTTTGTTAGGGAAATAATAAAAAAACTAAAAAAATGAACAAACTTAGCAATAGAGATTCAACACTTATTAAAGTTAATAGCCAACAAATTAAAATAATTTACAAAGAAATTTATCAGCTGAGAATATATTGTACCAGAGAAGTGGGTCTCCTAGTGATTACGTTATCAAGGATAGATACTATTCTCCAACCAATAATGAATAAGTCAGCAGAAGAAACTAAGGTGGTTACGATTCTTCTCTTGAGAATACTTCCCGTGGAGTGGCAAACAATTAATAATAATAAGAATCTAAAGAAAACTCCCCAAATAGAACTATTCCTCAACCATCTTAATATGTAAAAATATTTATTTATATTTAATTAAATTTTATGAAAATTTATTGAAATTAAAGGAAATAAGACCAAATCATCAGGATGAATGCTGCAGAAAACTCATGAAATCAGCTAGAAATACTTCACAAGATTTCTTTGGCAAGCCCACACCTTATAAGAGAAGAAATAAAGAGCTCGAAGAAATTGTTTTTGAACTAAATAAAAAGCTGTAAAAAAAGGAAGATGATATTGCTTAATTAAAATAATTAAATGGCACTATTAAAGAAAAACTTGTTGAGGTCAACAGCAGCAGTGAAAATAATTTGAAAAAGTAGTAGCAAGACTAACTAGAATTAATGAAATAGCTGGAGAAAAATTAAAATTTAAACAAAGTCTTAGACCATGAAGTGAAGGAATTGAGAGATCAATTGAACAGGATGTTAATTAAAAATAATGAACTTAGCAATGCTGAAAAGAATAGCATTTATTACAAGTAATAGCAATAAGACATTTAAGAATAATATGATATACTTTAGTCAGAACTTAAAAAAAAAGAAATTGCAGATAATTTCTGTCAGTAAAGAATATTAAAATTAGGTTTCCTTTACCTTAAGTTTTCTACTCAAACAGAGAAAAAGATAAATGAGTTTAGATATGACAAGAAAAATGAAAGAAATCAATTTTTAATTGTCAACTGCTTTAAAAAAATGAAACGCTATTCTGTCATTAAAAAGTTTAGTCGTGTCTCTTTACAAGAATAGAATCTTACTTTATATCATAATTACTTCAATTCTTGGAAGCGTAATATTATTTTTTAAAGCGATGTACAGAGAATGCTAAAGAAGAAGGAGCAATAAAATTTGGCATAAGCATTCGTTGGATGGAAGTAATTTATTGCTATAAAAGAAAGAAATTTAAAAGAAAAGGCAAAAGTTAAAGAATTTTACTTAAAGCAGCTCCAGATTAAGATTTGGAGAGCGATGAAATAACAATACAAAAAGAGCGTTCTTTCTAAAAAAGAACTAGATTTATATCAATAAAAGGCCACAATATTTGATAATAGCAAAACTAAGAGAAGGTTTTTGAAACTTTGGAAGTCATACATTGTTAATTTTGCTTTACCATATAAATAGAAATAATAAAATGCTATTAGATAATCTAACTTTTATCTATTAAAAGTGGGCTTTGCTATGCTCGTTAAAAATCGCAAAGATTCTATCAACAATAATATAAAAGTTAACAAATTTATTCATTATAAAAAGAAGCAGCTACTTCGCTCTGTCTTTAATTATATGTCAGGTCCTTTGGTTGCTTTCTCAAGAGAAAAGAATGCTAGAAATAAAGTGGCTGAATTATTCATCAAAAAAAGACTTATTAATACCTGGAAGTAAACCTATTGTATTTCTAGGTAATTATCAATCATATTTAATAAATTTAATTAAAATTGTAAAATACTTTCATAATTAATTGTTTGGTTTTTAAGCTTATATCAAAGTTAATAATAAATATTTTTTAATAGAAATTTAAAGAGACTGGAAGAAAAGGCAAAGCAATTTAGTTTGAAAAAATTAGTTTAAAGACATTTTAATGCCTTGAAGGACTTAAGAGAGAAGGTAAGAAAGAGAAATTTATTAGCAAAGGCTGTGCAAACAAGAAGAGAAAATTAATAGAAGAGAATTTCAATTTTGAAGTGGTTTAAATTATCAGTATCTAAAAAATCAGATAGATTAGATTAACTCAAGCAAAAGAATGATTTATAGAGAGCTTATTTCAAGTAGTGGCTTCTGCTTATTTAGTAAAGAGTTTAGAAAAAATAGAAATAAAGATAGATTCTGAATATGGCTGACAAAAAATCAAAACTGACTCTGTCTTAGGCATTCAACTCCTGGCTTTATATAATCAAGAGAAAAATTAGAAATAGAGGAGTTGTACAAAATATGTTAGCTAAAAAAGAAACTTAGTTGCTAAGAATATCTTTGTTCTAATTTTCTAAAGAATAAAAACTAGGTTTGTATAAGAAATTATTGCAGTACAAAAATAACCAAACATTGCTCAATGCAGATTTCAAAGAAAATCAAATAGTTTTAGAAACAATAAACGAAGAAAAAAATGAAATAGTTGATAAATCCCGTGAACTCATGCAATAAAATGTACTGCTTCAAGAACACATCACAGAAAAGAATTCAGAAATTGTAATTTATTATTTTTGTGAATCTAAAAATAAAACTTTTATGACTAAAAATATAGAATCAGCTGAAGAGATAGATTTAAAACTTAGAAAAGTTAGAAGCTAACCAAGAAGAAGTGATAAAAGACTTGTAACAAAAAATAGGCGAACAGGAAATGTAAATTTTTGAAATCAATAACGAGTATACAGTCTAAATGGATTAAGAAGAAAACACCTAAAAGACTATGAGAATGGATAATAAAGCTATGCAAAGAGAAATCCAAAATCTTCAAAAGGAATTAGACTGTAAAAATTCCTCATAATTTATTCAATAAAATTTATTTAAGCTTTTTTAAATTTCAACAAAAAACTTTTAAGTGAAAAATTATTTAATTATTAAAATTGTTAAATAATAAAAAAATCTTTTGTTTGATTAAAATTAAATTATTACCAAAAAAATATTTAATTTTTCAAAAATTATTTGTAAATTTAGCTTACTGAAATTATGTTACTAAATAATTTGTTTGTTTATTTGTTTAAATAAATATTTATTTTTTAATAAAAATATTTTTAATGCTTATATTAGTAAAGAACACTTAACTTGCAGAGTATGAAAGGTCTTTTTAAAATAGAACCACAGAATTGTTTGGTGATAATAGAGATCTTTAGGAGAAATTATAGAACTCTATTGTAATGGCTAATGAATTCAAGCAAAAGATAGAATAACAAGATAGCATTATTGCTAACCTAGAAAACAAAATCATAGAGTTGAATGATAATAATTAAAAATAAAAGGAGCATATCACTGAGTGTGTGGGTGTTATTCAATAATTTGAAAGCACTTATGATGCTAAAGTGACTGAATACGAAAATATAATTAATTTACTGAATACTTAGTTAGATGAGAACAAAGTATAATAGGAACAGTCAAATGCCATAATTGAGTAACTTACTTAGGAAGTAAAAAAATTAGAATACGAAGTATCACTTTTGACTGAAGATCATCATGCTAATACAAACCAATTTATAAGTAGTCTTTATAAGAGTGGATAAAAGTAGATGTTCTCTTCAATAGGATTCAATTAAAATTTAAACCATTCGATTTCTTCAGAAGCTGATGCATTTACTCTTAGAAAAAGACAAAATTATTTCACTTCTCCTCTCCAAACTGATCAGAATAGAAGAACGGCTTCTAAAGATTATAAGATATTATAAAAATCATTTGAGAGATAAAGGACTCAAATGAAAGACAAAATCTAATCTCTTACTTAGCAAATTCAAAACACATTAAATAGTTAAGGTTAAGAAGAATTACTTCCCTAGTAAGATATTAATATAAACAATAGAATGAATGGTGCCTAATATAATTTTGTCAGTAACGGCTTCCAATCAGCTAAATCAAACCAATCTTAGATTCTTCTTTCTGCCAAGCCATAAAACAAAACTTCAACTGCTAATTTTTTCACAGATAGAAGATAATTAAACTAGGATAAATCTTATGAAGACTCATCTAAATTTATAAGTAAATTTTAAATTAATTAAAAAAAATAAAGCTAATTACTTTTATTAAGATTTGAAAGGTTCAGGCTTGTATAGTAATAATTTATTAAAGAACAATGAGAGAAAAGAAAGCCCTATTAACAGCTTAAAAGTGACTCCAAAGGTTTATAAATATAAAAATAGCAGCATTAGTGGAGGTCTAGGAATAGGAATAAATTTAATGCCAAACTTCACTGCTTTGGGATAATCTTAGAGCACTACTCATGCAATAAAAAATGATCTCCATTCTATTGTATCTCCTTCTTACAACCTTAGTTCTAATATATAAAATTTAAGGCCAGACTCTGCTAAAGAAAGTCGTACTTAAAAATCAAGTGTTAACGATCTCTCTATGATAAATAATACTGAAAATATTCTTTAAGAGTAATTTTTTTTTTAGAAATCCAAATAATTGAAAGTATTTTATAAAATGTAATAATTAGGTTAGAAAAAAGTAAATCAGGAAGAAAGATAATAAAAAATTAATTGGAATTAAGAATTAAGAATCTTAATGACAACTTAGAATAGGACATTTAAAACGCAAAAAGATTGAATGCAGCAAGAGACAACTAATGAATGAATAAATCTGTCAACAATACCAATTAATTATTCATAAAATATAAATAAAATAATATTTTAGAATAGGAACTTATTAATGTTGATAGTAGTATTTATTGATAAGTGAAAAATGTTAATGAATTTTTTAAGAAAACTATTATTCGAATGAATCAATTAAAACTTTTTATAAGCAAAACGATTTTAAATTCTGTATAATTAATATTTTTTTATATGTAGAAAAATAAATAAATAAATCAATAAATATATTTGTTAGTTATAATTAATTGATTGTAAAAAACTATTAATTTATTTATAAATCCTTTCAAATTTAATTTTACAATTTTCTTAAATATGATTTACATAATTCTTTAAGTATCTTGAGAAAGTAACAAACAATTTTTTTTTAAATTCATTAAATAAACACCCAAACAAAGCAATATATTTTATTAAGAAAAAATTGAAATGAATTAAAAAAATAATGCGAGAAAAATTAGTTTTAGTTGACAAATTGATCAGTTATTTTTGACTGAGGTTAAAAAAGATATCTAAAACTGAAAAAAAAAATTAGAGAATTAAATTAATTACTATATATACCCATAAATATATTAAAGTACTTTATTCTAAAAAGTAAAAGTATAATGTTAAGGTCCTTATTTATTACTAAAAAAATCTTAAAAATAAATAAAACAAATTAAAATCGATCTTTATTTATTCAAAGTGAAAAGCAGAAAGACCATCAACCTTTAAGGAAGATACTTTAAAAATAATCAGGAAGGGAGTAACTTACTTAATATACTATGATTTACAGTTGATAATAGTGAAAATTTTTATTAAAAAAAAAATAAATTTTTTAAAATTAAAGTAAATGGAAAAAATTATTTAAATTATTTAAAAACAAAATTTCATGATAAAATGTTTATTTATTTTGTTAATACTAAAATATAATTTCATAAAATATAAAAAATATTTAAAATAAATAAAATTAAGGTAAAAAAATCTATTTATATTTATTTATTTATTAATTTATTTTTTCTTATTTTCATTTTAAGAAAATTTTTACATGTAATTTATATAAAATCAAAATTAATCTCTCTTAATAAAGATAATTATTTATTTATTTATTGAAGTAAAATTTCTCTGAAAATTTTTAGCAGATTAATTAATTACTGATAACTAACTAACTAATTTAACAACTAACTAAACTTGATTTTCTTTCAAAGAGTAACTACGCAGATTGGATATTTGGCTATTATGATTAAAATACGGCCATCTTTTGTGTATTCAATATCAAATTCTAAGTTATTTTAATCTGAATATTAAGGATATTATTTTTTTAATACATTCCCTATGCAATCTCTTTTTAATTAAGGCAGTTAGTTTATCATGTCTTTGTGCTATGACTCACTCATTTCTTCTGCATAGGTTTTTTTCCTTTCTTCATTTATGTATTCGTCTGAGATAAAATTACAGACACTCATTTTTCCTATTGATAAATTCAATTCAATATTTTCTCCATTTAATTCACTTTCCATTTGGCAAACTTATTTGTAAATTTCATCATTTTTAATTTCAGTTGTCAAATCATACACATTTTGTATATCCCAAATTTGTATAAGACTGTTTTACAATCCAATTATGAGATACTTGCCATCTGGTGATAAGCTACAATTAGTTACTGATGCAGGTAAATTTTCTATTTTACGTGCAAGTTTGTAATCATTTTTGATGTCGTGTAAGATAAAAGATTAATCTCTTGAACCAGTAACTAAATATTGAGAAGAGTATGAACAAGTAGTTACAGCTTAGCGATGGTTAAATAATTCTTCTTCTACCAAACGAGTGTCAAGATTCCAGACATAGCAACTGTAGTCACGAGAAGATATAGCTAACTTTTCATTGCATGGAGAGAAGGCAATTGATAGTATGTAACCGTATTAGCCTTCTAGATTGTGCAATAATTAGAATTCATTTTCGACACTATAAACTTTACAGGTAATATCCCACGAACCAGATGCAAAGTATTTTAGATTATTTGAAAAGGCCAAACAAGATATTTGCTTTGTATGACGACCTTCTATGAGTTTTTCTAACTCAAATTCACAGGTATACAAACTCAAGCTTGTGCGTTTCCATATTCTTATTTCAGTATTAGCACAGCCTGTTGCGAGATAGTCATCGTTTTATGATAGAGTCAAGGCTGTTATGGAATCAGTGTGATCTTTTAATATTATTGATTCTCTAACATCATCTACACCTCTAGAGAGGTCATATAATTAAACGTATTTGCTTTCTTCCTTAGTTACAACGAATACGAATGTACCTTTTTCGGATATTGCTGCAGTAATGATTCCTCCTATGTTTTCATCATAGTCCTATTCATCAATATTTTCATCTTTGTGCTATTCTTTCACTCTGTTTTGATAGACTTAAGAAGGCTTTAAGTTAGGAGCTGCAAAGATTGAGTTCTTTCTCTTTTGGTTTTTTATGTTTGAATTATTCAATTTCTAATTCTAACTTTTTTTATCATCATCGTCGTCTTATTCTGTTTCTAGAACATAATCCTCTTCATCTTCGTATCTCTCAATCGATAAATAAAAATCGTTCTTTATCTTTGGGTTATTTTGTCTTTTAGAGAATTAAGTGTTAGAATTTTCATATCTGTTTTCTCCTCCTTTTTTAGTTTTACTTTATTCCATAGCAACCTGCATCACAATATTCTCTTAATTTTCTCTTGCTTCATTATTTTATTCATCATCTTGGTTCTACTCTTATTTAGAAAGTGTATGCATGGCATTTGATTTATTGTTTTAGTTTTGTCTGAAATTTAAATTGATGTTATAGTATTAGTTAAAATGATTTTTTAAATCCCAAATTCTGACTGTGTTATCTTGTGAGGCTGTCAAAAGGAAGCGACCGTCATTTGAGATTGTTACTTAAGTTATAGCCTAAGAATGAGCACGCAACTCTTCCATTCTATAATTTGGAGCATATATATCCACGAATTTTAGGCAAAACTCATCAGAAGTTGATGATACAGCGATTGAGTGTCCTTGGCGAACAAATTAAATGCCAGATGTTTCATATGGAACATAGAAGGAGGATATTTCATTGAATCTATTTGGGATATGCCAAATTTTGCAGGTAGAGTCTAAAGCTGTTGTAGCAAGCATCTAAGAATCACTAGAAAATGCAAGGTGAGTTATCTAACCAAAGTGAGCATCTATCGATTATACTAAGTGGAAATGATTTTGAGTATCCCAAATGTTACAAAGACCATTGGTTTGTCCTGTAACAAACATAGTACTGCACTTAGAAAAACACATTGAAACTATTTAGGTCTAAAATGTGCGTCCCTCTTTATTTTTTACAGTACCTACTATACAATTATACGAGAATCTCTTATTGGCATTCCAAATAAAGCAGCACGATGATGTTGACTCATTCTACTGAACTTAATTAGACTTTTGAGGAGATAGCTATATATTTACTGTAGATTATTATTTTGAAAGAGATGCCATCTATCCATTTTGCTATTAAATGATGCTCTATTTTCTTTAAACAGTTAAGCTTCGGTTGCCTTTTTTAGTTTAATATACAGAAGAAACAGTATTTGTTACAACAGAAGGCAAGGGCAATGTGGCTAAGTACTTTCCATTCTAAGAAAATTCAAGCTTGCAGATGGCTATTTACTCTTCCCACTCTATTTAATGAGAAAAGTCAAAGGTATGCCCATTCCAGACTTTACATGATTTTTCTTGAGATGAGGAAGTGACCAAGTAATTTCCATCCACAGAAAAGGCAATAGCGCTAATAGGATATTTGTGTGCTTGAACTCTTTTAAATGGTTCGAGATACATTTGCTAATTAAAATTTGTTGAAGAAATACTCATATGTCTCATATTAGCTAAACCTAGTGATTGTCTTTTAGAATCTTAAGAGTTTTAACGTGAAAATTATTGGTTAACTATTGTGTCTTCTGTTTTATGCACATTTTGCCAGACCACAAAGTGGTCATCTTCGGATGCGGAAACTAGATAGTTGCTGTCAGGAGAGAAACATAAACTGCTTATTGCCTATGAATGGAGACCTTCGTCTAGAGTCTATATTATAATTGCTAACTCTCCTCTTTTTAAGATTGACCAGATGGTTATACGGCACGAATCTTTGTGTGGACTTGCTAAACCTGCACATGTGGCTATGTATCTACCATCGTTGCTTATGCACATAGCTGCTACTTTATTTGGAGAAATAACTGAGTTAACTGCGAAGGCTGTGTGATTTTGATTAGATCCCTCTTCCTTTGGTGGTTTAAATCCAGTGTCAATACTCCAAATTGAGCAAAGAGTGGAATTTGATGATGAAACAGCTAAATATTTACCATCTGGAGAAAATTGCATACTATTTACTAAAAAGTAAGGCATTCTTTACGTTGTGTAATTTTAACCCATGACTGATTCATCTAAGAAAATAGTTTTTCTAGCTGTACTTTGCTAATATTTTATTTGCTTGCCTTTGACTTAATCATAAACTTGAATACCAGGTTCTTCAAATGTCGAAAATACTATCATCTTATTGTTTGGTGACATTCTTACACACGATACACCACCAATGCAGTCGTTTTTATTTTGAGTGTTGCCAAGAATCATGCTATCACGTCTTTATTTCCTAGTTGAAAAAACTTAAATATCTTAAAAATCAGCTTTGACTGTTGCATCCCATATTTTAATGTATGATTAAGATGAGCCAGCAATAAGCATGGATGAGTCAAACGAGAATTATAAAGAAGTAATCCAATCGTTTTTAACACTTAACGTTTTTTTTAAGTTATATTTGCTTTTAATCTCCCAAACCAAAACTTATGTATCGTACGAACCAGTAGCAAGATATAATCCATTGGAAGAATAAGAACAGCATTGAACTTCTGCTGTGTGATTTGTAAGAGTTTGTAGTAATTCCATTTCAGCGAAGGAATCTTCAACATCTTCATCAAGATTTTCTTAGTTTTATTCAGCTCCGTTTTCTCCATTAGCTTGTGCCACACCTACTGCTTTTGGTTTTGGCTATTAAGTTTGTGGATTTTTAACATTCTACTTTTTTCCTTTTTCTTTGGATTCAGGTTCGACTAATTTCCAAATTCTAATAGTGTGATCACTGGATACAGTAGCTAGATGTGCGTGAACTTCACTTATTGCCATGTCATTAATTTTATTTTGATGTCCAATTACAACTTCTTTTTCCTCTCCAAATTCATTTACATGAGCAATAATATTTAAGAAAGCATAATATATGTCTTCTTTATAAGAGCAAACAGCTCTAATTTCTTCTTAAAATTGCCTTTAGAAGCTTGTTAAATTCCAAAACTAAATAGGAGTAAAAACAGGATCAACTACATTTAGCATATTTGTTTGGCTATCTTTATTTTTTTTGTTTGATTTTTTTGCTTTACTTCCATTAGGGTTGTCAATCTTTGGTTAGAAAACTGATAAACCACCGTTTAGAGATCCAGTATAAAGCTTTGAATTAGAAGAAAAATGCAAAGCAGTGTATGTATATGAATAGAAACTATTCCACCTTTCGTGATTATTTTTTTCATCGTCAAGCAAGCAGTGCTAAAATTTACTTCTTGAAATTACAATTGAACTTCCTCTCAAGTTTGCTTCACTAACATCTGAACATGCAATATCAATATCCCCGCGATATCCATAAAGGTATGCACGAGAAAAACTACAGTTACGAAGCTTTACTAATCCTAAAGAGACTTTGTTGAAACAGATAGCACTTAAAAGATTAGATGAAGCAATATCTAATGGATGTTTTTGATGCTTGATTACCCATTCTTCTTCAGTGTTTTCTTCTTACTTTATTTCTTGAAGATAGTGAACTTTTTAAACAATTTTTTATTTCTGTTCTTACTTTTTTTTAGGCATTCTGCGAGTACGCATGATCATTTAAATATATCTGTGCTATTAAACTATTTCTTTATTCATAATTTTATTTTAAAATTCTTCACTTAGAATGTCGTTTCTCATTATAGTGGCTAGTTTCCTTAGTATGTTCATTTCGACTGAAGCATGATTTGTTTGTTGAGAAATAGAAAAGGGGTTGTGTTCACTTGTGCCTCTCTCTTCAAGCAAATATCTACTATTTATAGCGAACTTTTATAACTCCTACATTGGTATATTGTGGATTGTATTTTTTGATTTGTCAAAATCATGTTTCATAGCACGAGCAATCATAAATTCAAGCCAAGGAGTATTTCTAAAGCTGTAAAGCTAAGATGACGATGGCAAATTTTTATGCCCTCTGGGTTTAGGCTGATTTAAGTTCATCTCGAAATCTCTCATGGACTGCACTTCATGATTTTGGACTGTTTCATCTTCTTCAAAGTTTCCAGTTACAAACTAAAAGAAGGAGATGTCAACAGAGGCTAAAAAGGAAGTCCTAGATGCATTAGCAATTACACAAGTAAGAGCTTTTTCAAAAGTTTGTGTTTCTTCAGGACTTCCACCACTTCTCATAATAATTCTTTACTATTCTAATATTAAGCTTTGAATTTCATGAAGATTCATCTTATATTTTCTTTTAGTAAATAAATTCATAGCTAAATTTTCAAAAAATTCAATGCAATTGTCAAGACAAAGAGGTCTTTAATCTTCATCAATTTCAGCTTCTGCAATTAAACCATTCAGTTCTTCTAAGAGCAATTTCTCTTGCATTTCTTCTTAGTTTTTCACCCATGTAGCTGCTTGCTGTCTCTCTTCTTTAGTACCACCTTCTCCCCAATAAATTTCCTTCAAGCCTTAAACCTTAGACAAAATTTCTGAGAAACAAAATAAGTTAAAAGGAATTTCTAGCATATCTATTAAATGTGTGTTTATTCTCGTGCATGCTCTAAAAGTTTTAATTAAAAATCCAGGTGCTAAATCTCTTTGCATTTAAAGTGTAAATGAAGGTTCTCTACGACGGTTATTATTATTCATATTACTAACCATAGATGAATCAAGAGAAAAAGATCCTTTCCTCTTTCCTTTCACATCTAATCTAACTTAATCTTCCTTTTACCTCACATAGTCCTCCACATTCTCTTGGCTCAAAGAAAGGATCTAAAATACCTCAAAGCAAGTTTCACGATCATCTTCCTAAAAGTTGGCGTTCTATTTTGGAATATTCTAGTTTGTAGTAAATATAGTATTTTTATGGTTTTCTATAAAAGGGCCTGGATTATTTATACTTTTTTTATATGCTCTGATTTCCTCAATATCTTTGGGCTGTTGACATTTTTATCCAAAAAAGTAAGGAAATTCTTCAGCTCTAACAAATGGTTTTCGATATGTTATAATTAATTTTGTATTATTCCACTCTCTCAATCGAATCCATTCCCTAAACGAGGTATTTGGACTACCCCATGACCACTCACTCAAACCATCTAAAATGATAACTTTTGGAATAGAAGAATTTTTGAGATATTCTAATTCCTTGCTACTTCTGAATGCATATCTTTCAATCGAGCTATTTAAGAAAGATTCAAGATCTAGGTGCTATGAAGTATTCTCAACTTCAATCATTTCCACCAAAATTGGTATAGCAATATTTCTGCTTCCAGTTTCTTAAATTTTTTTCATCAGTCTCCTCATTAATTCTCTGCTTAAATGAGTTTTTCCCATTCCAGGACCACCTTTTATAGCAACAACATTGATAGTTGTATTAGCTTCAACTAAAAAATATTTTTCCAGCATTTGAAGACTATCTTCAACTAATCCGTCAATGTTTATTTCCGTTTTAGATAGAGCATTACTTGAGATAAACTTTAATCTTTAATTAACATGAATTTTAGAAGCTTTCTCATGCAAAGAATCATTTCCTATTTTTTAATTACAAAAATAAAAATTTCAACTTTTATTTTTTACCAAATTTTATTTTAAATAAAACCTTTTATTTTCAAATGAAAAAAATTAATTAATTTTAATTTTGAATAAAAATAAGATGTTTGTTTTTTAGAATTGTTAATTAATAAAATTCGTTTTTATTTAAAAAAATGAATTATGTTGAAAAAGAAATTTTTTGTTTAAATACTTTTTGAAGCAACTCTGTTGATGAAGGCTTCAATGAATCTATTGCTGATGGCTGTTTTTGGCTCGTTAATGACTAAACTGAAATTAAGCTTTCGACCTAATAATTCTTATATCATTTTTTATTCTTTCTCTTAATTAACATTTTCAATGACATTATTGTTTATATTAGCTATAATTAGATTTTCCATATTTTGTTTAAGAATTTTGAGCTTTTCTTTGTATTATTAGAAATATGACTCATCTAGAGATGAATCTATGTTCTCTATCAACTTAAGCAGTTACTCATCATCATAAATTATGCAATTAATTTCACAGCTCGATTCCTAGAGAAACTTCTCAAAAATTTGCATTTTTAGTTATTCAATATTTTTGATATCAGAATCTGAAAAATACTTTGACATATTAAGCTTTAATTCAAATATGCTAATTAACTTATAAGTTTAAATAAGAACTTTCATTTCAACATACCTTAAGTAGTGGTTTTTAAGTAAGGAGTTTATAAATTTTTTTCTTGTGCTTTGCTGCTAGAGGTTCTCATAGTAAAATGTCTTTCTGCAGAGATCTATAAAAGTATCACCTGAGACAAGTTTAATGAAGTGAGAAGCCAACTCTGCAATATCATTTATTTTAGAATCATTACTATCAGTTTCTTCTAAATTTTTGCAATTTTCAAAAATCTAATCAAATAACATCATGTAAGAATAAAAAATTTAATAAAACTCTTTTTCTTCATAATTCTACAAAATAGCTTCATAATATTGTTCAAATTAAATTTTTTTCTATAGGACATCCTGATAATTCGTGATAAGAGAATACTCTGTTTTCAGTATTTAGACAACAAATTTCTAGTTTTTGTTGAATTCATAATAGATTTGCAAAGAATTGATGAGACTTTGAACATGATTGAAATCAACATCCTAAAATCCACCAAAGCAAAATCTTGTGTAGTATTTTGTCCAGTCCATAACAAACTAATCTAATTATATGATTTTTTATTTATTATTATTATTATTATTATTATTTTTGTTGTTATTGTTATTATTATTATTATTTGCTTAAGAAGAAGTATCATGAACCTATTTTCTTTTTAACAAAACTATTTTCTTTTAGTATTTAAGGAGAAATATACCTATTTGTAAAGGTAATCTCTATTCAAACTATCTTAGCAGCTAAGTAATTTTTTTTATCTTATCGAGAATACGCTTTTGCATTTTCTCGTCAAATAAATCTGCCTTGTGTTAGTCTGCGAGGCAAACAAGAGACAATAAAAAATTAACTCCTGTTTCTAATATTAACTGAAAAGTTTAGAGAGCTTGAGGATTTGTTATTCCTTATTATAAAACTTAAGAAAATAATTCATAAATATCTGTGTAAGTACTAGATGCTAATCTATTGTTAATGTCCTAAGAAGGAGACTAAAATCTAAGCTTAGCCAAAATTGAGTTGACTTTTTCTAATTACTCTTCATTCAACTGGTAAGTATATTCTTCAATTATCTTTTCTTGCTGCTTATTTTCTTTTTTTTCATTTTCTGAAACCAAAATACTTTTTTTTTGATTCAAAACAGGTTTTAAGTGGTTCTCTTAAAACTTTTTAGGTTTTCCAGCACAAGTTCCACCTCCTAGCAATAATACCTATTCACATTATCTGTATCTTTATATTAAAGCTTCACTTTATACAACTATTTCTTCTATGTTTTTTCTACTTAAACCATTAAATAAGTTCTAAAGACCTACTTTATTTTTATTCATGAAATCTTTCATGCTAAATTTGTCTTTGATTTTGCTGACTCTATAAATTTCTTACTTATTATCATATTTGTAAATTTCATAGTAAATATCTTTATTCAACTTTATAGTCTTCTTTTAATGTTTGACTTATTCATTTTTGATCTTATCAAAACAATAAAAACTTGCCTCTTCGTTATTTTCGCCATCTAAAGATTTATATTAACTCTTAAGGCTTTACTTTTCATATTGAAAAGACTAATTTATCCATTCAAATCGAATTTATTTTCCTATCATTTGAATTAATAAACAGCTTGTTGACTTTTTAAGTCTATCTAAAATAGCTTCTTCTACCTAATATAATTTATTTTGAGAGCAGCTTTATGTACAAAACTCCTTTTCAAGATAAAAATATAAATCATTATAACACTAAGCAAATTAAATAAACAGATTATAAAAGTTTACCCTAGCCTCCATCATGAATTTATTTATTTTAGAAAAATTTTAATGTATCTACCTATGTTTAATTGCTTGCTATTGATATTGTAAAATAATATAGACTAAGAGCTCCAGTATTATTTTTATTAAATTAACAATTGAAACAAATAAAAAATAATTCCAAAATTTATTTATTTATTTACATTAATACTAGATACTATTGAAAAGTAATAAATAGCTTCTTAAGAAGAACTAACTAAATAAATTAATAGATAGATAGATATATAGATAAATACATTGTTTCTTTCTTTTAAAAGTAAATTTATGCATATAAACGAATATGTTTGCGTGAATTTAAAATTACATATATGCGTGTTAAATAAATACCTAATAAATTAGTACATTGTTAACTTTTAAGACTCAGTAATGAGAACCTAACCTAATATTGAATTTATAAATGTATCTTTACACTTAAATTTAATTCAAGAAATTAGATTTGTTTTTACAAAAGTTATAAATCTTATTATTATAATTAATTCAATTCAATTAATCTATAAAATAAAAACTAAATAAATAAATTATTAATAAAATAAATTATCAAATAAAAATAAATTCTACCCCGAATTTATAATACACTAATCTCCTCCAATCGTTCATTCAATATATCAAATTTTTTTAAAACTTTTTATATATCAAAAAATAATTTTCACAATCAAATAATGAACTTCGCCAAACAATAATTAAAGGAAATATTAAAAGCATATAAAAGTATTTAGATAAATTGAAAGAAATTATTCATTTATTATCAAACTAATTTTAAAGCACAAATACTTTTTTCTAGGTAATTAGCTAGCTAGATTGACTAATTTTTTAATACATAAATAGATAAATATATACAAATATAAATAAATTAATATAGATCATACAGCAAAAGATTAAAATAAAAAATTTTCAAATTAATTATCTTCTTCAAATTGTAAACTATATAAACTCATTAACGAAACAAATTCATTCATATCAATGTTTTGTAAATTCTAGCCTTAACTCTATTTATTTTTATTGTTTTTATAAATAAAATTATTTTAATAAAATAAAATTGCTTTACATAAAGTTCATGATGTCTTTCGAAATTATCTACAAAATCAATTAGGAGATGTTCTGAGGCTAGTTTTCCTTTTCTTACATCAGGACAGTTTTTCGGTTTGAAAGAGTCTTTTTTTATTTTAAATAGAATTTATTAGGTCAGCTTAAAATTTTAAATGGAGGTAATATTTTTAATTTGATAATTCAAAATAATTCTTCAAAATAAAGTATGTAAAAATTTTATTTTCAAAAAACTTACCAAGTATTTTCTGATAAGAAGGTAGATTTTATTAAAATTGATTAATTGAGTTATAGACTTTAGTTATGCTGGCTTGTCTTGCTTTGCTTAATCCTTTTCCCCTAAAAAACTTAAGGATATCGTGACCGTTTACTTACTTTGTTTAATCTTTATCGAAATTACTGAAAATAAATTCTAACTCTTCCAAACTGAAATCGAATCTGCTTGTTTACATCAATTATTAAAATTATTAGAAATCACAATTAGCGTTTCCTTGCTATTAATTAATTTTATCAATTTTATTCCAGAAATTAATAAATCCTCTTGGACCTCTCTCTGCAAGTTTTTTTAAGAATTGGCTAACACAAATACTTTATTTATTCATTTTTGCTTCTTCTTATTCCCTTTCTTATTTTATTTTAGTTAATGTTCTTTCATTTAAGTTGTTTTAAGGAGTGGATGTTAAATTCTATTTAACTTAGTTATTCTCGTTATTAATATAATTTTGTCTTTTAGGAGTATTAAAATTCTGCTAATTAGATTGATTGCTGATTATATTATAGCCAGTCTCTCTTTGAGGAGTCACACATCTCTTACCTTTCTTTTCTTAGTTTGAATTTTCATATCTGTATGAAGCAATTTTTTCATTATGACTAATTTCTTCCTATTTATTAGATTGTTGTTAGCTTTAAATAAACTATTTTCCTGGAGTATAAAATTAGCCATATCGTTATGAACTAATTCTATCATTCTAATTTATTTCTTCTGCTTTTTTGTTCAGTTATAACTAATTTTAAATAGATCCATTCGGATTAAATATATTCTGTTCTGATTATTTTATAGTATTTTAATTATGTTTAATTGATTACTCCAAAAAGTTTAAATCTTAATTTATTTATTCTTTTTGATTAATATTTGATATAATATTATATCTTTGACTTTGTGGAGATCCATATACTTATTTCTTACCTGATTTTTTTAAAATATTTTAGTTTGAATCTTCGTATTGATGAGAAAGTATATTTCCAGAGTCTCTTTAGAAAGGAGATTTAGCTACTTTTTTCTGAACCTATTAAATACCAGCTGTATTATTTTCATGAGTCAGTATGTTGTTTATCTCACTTTTTAAAATATCAAAGTCTCTTTTTTTCTTAGAATAATCGTAGTTATCTTCTTAGTTGTTTGTAAAAATATTGTTTTTAGAAATAGGTGAAATATTCATTTTTTTTGAATGCTTTTTCTCAATATTTGAATTATCTCTGTCTTAATCAGCATGGTTGATGATATTATATCTGTTAGTTATAGGACTTCTAGAGTAGTTTTTCATAAATCTATGTTATCTATTTTAAGTTTCTTCAGTATTCAAATTGAAGATATCTGATTTTTGCATTTGTTAAGGGTAAATATTATTCTTAGAATTTTGCTATTTTTTCTCATCAGCATCTTTGCTTAAAATATTTTCTTGTTACTCGTTTGATGTAAATTCGTTAAACTGTTTAGTCAAATTTAAAATATTGTCTTATTTTCTCTCTTCGATTTCATTTTATCTTGCACTTTCTCTATTTTTTTCAAAATTATATTCCATTTAACTACTAAACATTTTCTCTTCCTAAATTTATACAAATTTCCAGCCAAAGGACATCATTTGTTAAAATTCTTAGTCGCCCTCAATAAAGTAAGAAACTATTTAGTAGAAATCCAAAAATTCTTAAAAAGAAAAGCTCTTGCTTTTAGAATTCTCTCTAAACTAGCAAAATATATTAAAATATCTAAGAAAATCCTACAAACTTTATTTGACAGTCTTTTTATTATTGATAACATCTGGTTATTTAGAAGGATCAAACTAATCTAATTAAATTCAATTATAAAATATTTTTACTAAATATATCTTATTACAGTAAATAAAACTTGTCAAAGTGGAAACCAATATAAGCTGAGTATTCATTAATAATTTAGAAAATTTTTACCTTAAATTAAAAATTTTCATTGTAAAATCCATCTATTTTGTCAAATGCATTTTAAATTTTGGATGATTGCTATTAAAAAAATATCATAATTGAAAACAAAATATGAGATTGTTTGCAAAATATGATATTTTATTTTCAAAATATAAAGTTTAATAACAAAAAAATATCTATAGACAAAAAGCTTAACTTAATTTTTTTTTTGACATACAAAATATCATATTTTGTTTTCAATTATGATATTTTTTAAATAGTAATGATCCAAAATTTAAAATGCATTTGACTACAAAGTACAAAAAGTTTTGGCTAAAATTTTAAATCCCATAAATTCTCAGTTTTGACAAGTTTGACTGCATTTATTTAATTAAATTATTTACCTATTATATACTCAATATCTATGAATCCTGTTTGTTAAATATCTAATTAATAAAACATATCTGAAATAAGCTGCTTTCTGTATTGATCTATAGGACTAAATACACTTTGAATGAACTAGTCGTAAATAAATTATCTATTTTTCCAAAATAATTATTATGAATACAAAGACTTAATATCATTTTCTGTTAAATTCAATTGCAGGTTCTTTATTATCTTCACAAAATGATTTTCACTGACTTATCTTTTTCCTGTGCTGTCTAGCTCCTTTTTAATTAAATAAATATTTTAATTAAGCATATTTTCAACAAATTAAATTACAATAAATTATTTTAAAATGTTCATAGCATCATTTAAATCTCCTTTAGCTTTTAACTGTTTCTAAAATTTTGCTAGTATATTTTTTTCATCCCTTTAATTCTCTTTTGCATCACTTTAATTGAAATTTAGAAAAGAATTGTCTTTGTTGTTAAAAGTCTTTCTTCCTCTAAATGGAGATAATGATCTATCTTCGCTTTTAAATTTAATAAAAATCCATTAAACTCTCTTACAAAATAATAAATAAAAGGTTAATTTATTTAATATTTAACAAAACAATTTACATCTAAATGCCTTCTTCTTAAAATTTTCCAAATATTTAGGAAATAAAGCTCTAATAATTAAGTTATTGATTATCCTATAAATACGAGTTGTACACTTCTTGGATGAGCTTTTTACATTTAAAATGATAAAAAATAAACTCTATTTTATGAAAATTCCTATTAAAATTACTTTTTTATTTGTTATGTTTACGCCACAACCTTCCATTACACTCAAAAAGACTTTGAAATCTACAGTTCCAGTGTTTTAGATATCATAATGCTTGAATTTTTTAAAAATGAACTACTAATCTCTGACGTTAGTTGCTCTTTTTGCATTAACTTTACTCCTAAGATCTTCTTCGAACCTAAAATAAAATAATTTTTAATCTTATATAATTGAAGTGAATATGAAATTACTTCTTTTTAAATATGTCCATAAACTAAGTTTGCTTCCTCTTTTTATATCTTAATCACCAAATATTTAATAGCCTTTTAATTTTTGTTTTGAAATTGTTATTTTTTAATTAACCATCAAAAATATTAATAAAAGATTGATTTTGCTTGCTTAACTCACAAAATAAATAGTTTTTAATTAGTTGAATAAAATGATAAATAAAAAGATATAATTAATTATTGATTAATAAATAGATATATATGCAATTAAAAATTAATTGAATAAAAGAGTAGTTGTTATTAACGGATATATGTTTTATCGAAAGAAATTTATTACACTTTTTTTTTTTTATATAAATTTGTTACACAATTTTTTTAATAAATAGTAATTAATTTTTTAAAATATTTTTCATAAAATTGATTAATTTAATAAGTTTTAAATATTTTTCTTTTTGATACGAATTTATTTGCATCTTGCTGTAGTTTCGTTTGAATATTGAATATTTCTGTTTGTTTCTATGAATTCATTTTATAGAGAAGACTAGTTGTAGTTGTTTTGACTATTTGTAGTGTTATTCGTGTAATTGTTTTAGATGGTTTAATGATCAATGCTGAGGTTGTTTTAAGAGTTATTAAGCGATTCTTTAGCAGAATTTAGTTTTTACTAGGAAGATTTTAAAGCCCTTGGGTTTTATATGAAGCTAATTTTGTTATTTTAATGGTTGATTTAGTTAAATTTAAAGCTGGTGAAAAATGAATTCGATATTATTTTAGGTGCTTTAGCTATGAATGTGTTATTGTTTACTTGCTATAAATTAACTTGAGACATCTTTTGAGAGTTATCTTATTCATTTATGGATGTGTTCAAATTATTTTAATCTTAGAAGAGTTTTTGTGAAATTCTATGGAGCTTTATTGAACTTCTGTCAATTCTGGATGACCTCAAATAATTGTAATTCATGTGAACATCATTAAATTCTTTGTTTTCATGTATTTAAATGTTTTTCTTTTTCAAATTGTTCATTATTTCTTTATAGCAGTCATGCTTATCATTTCCCCCCAAGTATTTATTTATCAATTAACTTTAATTAACTTAATCAAAACCTTCTTGTACTTTTTCGGTATCTTCAGTTTTTGCATTTTGTACTGTTTTCAAAAATTCTAGATTATCCATACTTCTATTGATCATATCCTTTCTGATTACTTCTCTATTTCCTCTAGCTCTATGAGTCATTGGCTGCACTGTGTTTTAAACTGAATAATTTCCACTTTCTTGAGTTTTTAGGTCTTCTTAAGAGTGGATTCTATTTTTTCTAGAGCTGACAATAAATTTTTTTGGTGGTAGAATTTGAGAAAAATCACTTTAACTTGTGCTGTTCATTATTTAAAAATTCTACCTTGCAGAAACATCACTCTTTCCTTTGCTGCCTGTAGTTTCTTAAGTGTCAGCGTTTGTTTCATGAGTGCTAGAAGATTGGTTTGATAGGTAAGAATTTCTATGAGAGTGCAGATACTACTTTTCACCAAGGTGACGGACGAAATGGTGATTATCAAATTGAGTAATAAATGAATTATTTTTAATCAAGTGAACTTCGTCTAATTGCTGTGAAGAATAAATTTCACTTGAAGAAAGTATTTCAGAGCTCTTTAAAGGGTTTTCGAAATTTTAAATTTATTTATACGGCATATTATTAATAAGGGGTTTGCTTTGTTAAAAATCTCTAATAATCACAGAGTTATTTTAAAGTCTTTCCTAAGAAGAATTTAAGCATTTGTTAACATGAATTTAAATTTTTCCTAGGTTTTTGCTCTATTCTTAAATGCAAGATGGATTTCTTAATGGTTTCAATGGTTAGCTAAAATTGACCTTTCTTTCATTAGAAGTGTTATTAATACGGATGCGTTTTTAGCTTAAAACAACTTCTCTATTCAATCCGGTCTTTCTTTGAGGATCGCGAAGTTATTCAAGTTTTCTTTCTTTATTTTCCATTTTAAGCATGGCAATATCAAGGAGAGTTTGCCAAAAAGGGTCATCTTCTGCGATTCTACTTTCCAAATCCTAACGTGAAATGGCAAATATAATACCTCTCTCAGAATCACATACTAATTCAGAAGATCTAGTCTCGTCATCAGTGAGTAAATCTTCACACCCGACAATTTCACCAGTAGAGTAAATTGCAAGCTATTTGAATAATGTAAATAGATTAAAACTTTACTTCAAAAATAAATCTAAAATTTATGATAGAAATTTTTTATTTTATAATGAATTAATTTTCTTGATTCATTTGATAAACTTTTTACTAGATAAACCAAATTTAATTATAGATTTTGTGGTATTAAAAAGGGAAGTCACAATTATAATTTAATTAAAAATTTTTACTTATATTTTCTTCACACAGTGTCTCATTTTAAATAGATTTTCTGTCTCAGCTGTAAGGTGAGATGTATTGAGAATGTATTCACCGTGATAGTCGTTTGTAGCAACTACAGCTGAAGAATAAGCTTTGAAATCTCCACTGATTATAAAAAAAATTTGTTTGGCAGATTCTTTTTCTTTAAAAACGACTTGGTTTCTCTAAAAGTATTTAATATTGATTAAAGGTATTAAAGATATCTATTAAGCCTTTGATAATCCTTAGAAACAGCTAAATAATTTAAAATTATCAATAAAATAATCTGAAGATTTTTTTTTTATTTATCCAATCACATCCTAATATGTTCTTTTATCAATGCTACAAATTTCACTTCTCTTAAGTGCCAAGATAGAAGAATTTCTAGAAACGTTGTTTTATACTTCAATCTTTCCAAAATCTTCAAATTTATTGATTTCCTTGATCAAAACATCATTTTATTATCTGTCCCTTAAGGTTACTCCCAATTTCCCATTAAGCAAAATATAAACTTTATCACAAGCCATACCTTTTATAATATAATATAATATAAGAAATTAGATATTTATTAAAAAAATTTTTTTTTCTTTTCAAATAAAATTGCTATCAATAGAAATTCAATTTTTATTAGTTATTATCAATACTTCCTAAATAATTTCTTAATTTGATTAATTTAATTATGAACTGAGTAAATTCAAATATTGATTTCATAAATTGAAGGAATTATTTTGTAAATTGGTAAAAAGTTAAGTATTTTGATTCGATGTGTGAAGCACATAAATAAATAATGTTTGTATTCTTATAAATTTAATAAAGTTGTTAATTCTGTAAATTAAATTATTTGTTCTGTAAATTAAAGTTATTTATTTATTTATTCTTGGAATGAACAAAATAGAAGAATTTTAAGCTTATAATAATTTATACTATGAGATCATATTAAAGATTTCTATTAAAGGGAAAAAAACCTCAAATAATAAATTTCGATATTATATTTTCTACTACTCAAAAGATTTCACAACCTTGAATAAATATTTTTAATTTTTCACTAGTTAAGCAATCGGTTTAAAAAAATTAATAATTTTATTCATTCTTCTTAAAATTTCTCAAATTTAATTCATTCTCATTTAAATCATTGAAATATTCTGAACTTTTTAATGGTCTTGAATTATTTTTTCGGTAGAAATTTAGCATTATATTTATATTCGCTATATTTCAGATAGCAAAATTATAAGAACATTAATTAAGTAAGTAGGCATTTTAATTAAAGGAGCATCATGAATTTTTATTAAATTTGTCTTAAATTTTTAATAGACTTTCTTGTACATAAAAAGCGAATGAATTATTTATATATAATTGATAACAATTTAAAAGCAAAATCATCAAAGAAAAAGCTCTTGAATGAATGCTAAAAGAGTTTATGTTTTATGATAGATTGTTCATCAAGAATATATATATCTGCAATTTAAAATCTATTATAAAAGATTTTTTACCTTCTTTGTAAATGTATTGTCTTTCATCAAATGTTTCGTAAATCAAGTGCTTGCATAGTCTTACTGCTATCTTGAAACCTTCGTTATTTACAACCTCAACCATAAATGGGGATGTTCTAAGAAGTTTATAAATGGACATGCAATCACGGAAAGTTCTTTTGATTGGATCTATTTTAAGCAGCTTACGCAAAAATTCAATAATTTTTTCTTCGTCATTAGCGATATTGAATTCCAACTCTTAATAAAATCTAGCTGAAGTTTAAGTTTTTTAGTTTACTTGCTCATTTTCAAAATTATCAGTGGGATTTTGAATGTCTTACAAATCAGTTTTATCCATAGAATGATTTAATGAAGACACCTAGGAATTATTGTTATAAGAGAACCCTCTGAGCTTATTAGCTGCTTCTCTTCTTAATTTCATATTTTATCAGTTTTTTTTTTAAGAAAATATTCAGCTTGGAAAGTTAGCTTATTTGTTATTTACTTTTTTATTTTGGGTTTATACAAAATTAATTGATTAAAAAGATTTTTATTTATAAAAATTGTTAAATATATTTTTATCTTGTTTCTTTGTGTTCAATAAATTAAATTAAAATTTTGTTTTTTTTCTGTAAGATTTTAAAAATACAGTAAAACAAAATTTATCTATAATCTTGTGTAAATTAAAAGCGAGCGTATTCCTAATCCCATAACTTTGACGCAATCTTAAATTAATCGAAAGAATTACAAAATAGATTTAACATATTCAATATAAATAAAAAAATATAGGGAATTATTCTGAATATAAAATTAAATGTATAGGACAACAATCCAAATATATGTTTATAGAACTAATTACACAATAACAACTTACATTGATATTTAGCAATTTAAAAAGTTACTGAATTCTTTGGTTATAGCTATAATGCGATACATACAAAATTTTTTAAGGAGAATTTATGTCTAAATTTAGATTTTATACTAATTTAATTAAAAACAATCACTATAATTCGCATCATTAAAATTTTAAACATCATCGATAATACTGCTTCAAATTATTTTATAAATATTGTTATTTAAATAATTTTATCTTTGGTCTGAATTTTAAGTGTAAAAGTATTTATTTATTTTGCATAGCTTTTATTTTGATTGATTGGTAAAGAAATTATTGAATATTATTTTATTACACTTACACATTGTGAAATTGATCAAATACACACGGATCTAGTAAAAATTAATAAATAAAGTAGACAAAAGTTAATTAGATCTAATAGGTTGCAATAAATTTCAATACAATAATTCACTTCCCCTCATTCAAATTAAAAATATTTCAAAAGTATCTTTGTTTATTTGCATTCATAAACCAATTTATAAAGAAAAATTAATAAAAACTCACGCCTTCATGACGACATATAAAGTTTTATAGAAAAAAATCTTAATCTTCTTTTCTTCTTCTTCAAAACGAATGTAAAAAAATAAATATCTAAGAATGATATAAAATACTAAAAAATGTAAAAGAAGAATTTTTTGAAATTAAAAATAAAGAGAGGGTTTGATTTTAATGAATGATTTATCTATATTTGAAAATAATAATTTAAAGAGCATATTATTATTCTAAATTTAAATATTAATTTTAAAAGAAATACAAAAGAAAAAAGTCAATAAAATTAAATGTAAATGATATAATAATCAAACTTTAAAAAATCTTTTACAAATCTCTTAAATTTAGTAAGCTAAAAGCAGAAGAATATTTCAATATGTTTAATTCACGTTAAGCACTATTAATTTACAATACAATCTATTCTTCAAATAGATCTCCTAAATAAATAAATTTATTCCGAGACTTAAGAAACTAAAGAAGTTAAGCTCATAAATTATTTCCTTCATTATTATCAAATGAAAAATGTAAGTTAGTGGCTGCATAGCCAGCCAATAAATTTATTATAAATTTGTTTTCTATTTAATTATTTAGCTTAATTATCAAAAATCAAAAAAAAGATAATTTTTTGGACAAATAAATGTACGCAATATAATTAATTAATTAAATAACTAATGAAGCACACACTTAAGCAATAATTTAAAATTAATATTTTAATTTAATTTTTGATTTATGATAAATTTATTTTGCATAAAATATTTGCTATCAGGTATTAGATTCTTTTTATATTAAACAAAATAATAGCTTTAGCTTATTTATTCTTTTTAATTGATTGGTTGCCCTTCAATAATTAAATAGATCAATTTATTATAATTATTAATTGCTTATTAAACTAAAAGCAAAATTATTGTTTTAATATTTGCTTACTTTTATTATTTAATAGATTTTAAAATAAAATAAATCTTATATTTCTTATTCTATCTATAAGCTCTGTAAGATTTTAATCACTTTCATTTAAAATGGATAATTACTAACCTCTAAATATATATCAAGAGGATAAAAAGGTCAACAAACTTAGGAATTCCTCTGCTGATCACACACCAATTAAATTCAGATTTGATAATAGTAATTAATCTTTTACAACTGAGAGGAGAGGACAAACTCCTAAGGATGAAAATTTGCAAGATATTTTATCTAGCTAGAAATTAAGATGGGCAAAAAAGGGATCTATGAAAGTGAGCTACTTAGAAGATCCGAGCTATAACTTTGTGCATTAAGATATTATAAATTAATCATTTTTTGATAAATCAAATGGTTAAAATAATGAAAAATAACCAGAATGCTTAGATGATTTAGAGAATTCAACTCTAAAAAAGAATAACTGGACAAATAACTTTATAAAAATGCTACTGAAATAAAAGGAGAAGTAGATAAATAGAACATCTCAATAATTCTTCGATTAAATGAATATAAAATAAAAAAATGAAATAAGCCTATAGAAAATGCATGAACCGCCTAAATATAAATTATATTAAACATCTATATAAAAGAGGAATTTACCTCCTGTGAAGCTAAAGCAGCTATAATATCTTCAATACTTTGAAGAAAAGAAAAAGAATTTCCCTCACTTAAGTCAACCCTTAAATGAAATATTTCTTTAAAGTCCTCATGAAGTATTCAACCACTCAAATACTACTAAAAAAAGCAAAGAATAATAATCAGAGTAAATCAGAAATCATATTCAGAAAGAGAGTCAATTTATATTTTAAGATCAAAATTCAAAATTTGAGGAGAATGATGTTGTCCTCCTCTAAAAAGATGAATTCTCTTATATAAACAAGGCAATTTAATACTTAGAAAACAGCTCTTAAAAAGATTTGATAGAAAAACCGTCTTATTCATCGATATAAGCTGAGATTTTGAATTTGAGCCCAGCAAGAAAACTCCCTCGAGTTTTTGGTTAAAGATAAGCTTCTCCTCTGAATAGGATAGCTCCATAGTACAAACAAAAATTTAATTAAGAGTTAAAACTGCATCACGATTCAGAAGTACCTTGTGACCAAAAAAATAACTTTTATTTGGTTTGCAAAAACCCCTAAGAAAAAAACTTAAATTTTTCAATATAATCAACATAAATCAATTCTCAAATAAAAAATCTATCTATGAATTTTTCTGATAAAAAAGGAGTAAGAAATTCTTATTCAGTTTCAAACCCTCCACCAATCAAAGTGAAATCATTAACAACAAAAAACAAAAACACAAATGACGAAAAAAAGTTTAATTTTGAAATAGTTAATTAAAGTTTAATTAATTACTGACAAAATCTAAAGATTTTAGTAAACAAATTAAAATAAACTTTCCATTGATAATTCTAAAATTTATATAAATTGACTTTATTATTTAAATTTTAATAATATTTAAAAAAACACTATTAACCCTTAATTGTAAATAAAAATATTAGCTAGTGTGTAAATTATTTATTTTTAGTCATTCGAATATATTTGCATTTATTTTAACATATTTTATCAATTTATTTTCAATTTCAAAAATGATTTATCTCAAATTTATATCAAGAAAATATTTTTAATGTAATAATCTTTTTATTTTGCTTTTATTAAAGCAAAAAAAATATTTTAGTAAATAATCCTGACTGACTAAGTTATTTATTAATTATTAGTAAAAGAAAGCATAAATAAATTGTTAAGTATCTAAAATAAAAAATTAAATAAATACAGATAAATAAGATTAAAAGTAAGGATATTAATTTGAAATAAATATAATTAAGAATACAATATTATCATAATCTAGCCAAATGTATAAATAATCAAAAATAAATAAATATATTAATATTTTAAGATAGTATTTAGGATAAATTTAATCAATATTACCAAGATAAAGAGATAGTATTTTATGAATAAAATGAGTGATTTTTTATAAATGAGAAAAGTAGAAATTTAATCATTCAATGAATATAGTAAAATAAAACAAAATTTATTTATGCTTGCTGATGGCTCTGAAATAACAAAAGTAATACGATAACTAATCTAAGTAAAAATTTAAATTTATATGTATTCATTTGAAGGATATCTAAAATAATTTTTGCATTTAAATTAATTAGATCAATCAATAAATAAATTATAGATTTATTTTGTTGTTGAGATCAGATAAGTAGTACTTTTTCGTCAAAAAATTTATTTGTTTTGAATAAATTTGAATGAATGATAAATTAATAAACAAATTATTTGGTAGATAAGACAGGATTTAATAATTTGTATGTATTTAATTAGATCGAATATATATAGAAAGATTTTAAAAACGTAAAATTAAAGAATGATACATAAATTATAAAAACAAACTTATAATTAATTATAAGAAGACGAATAAATAGATTGATAAATATTCATTTTTTATGACTTTTCTTTTTCATTTTTTGTTAACAGTGCTTACAAGATTTAAAGCAGGAAGTAATGCAGAAATGTTGGTTACTCCTTCTGGTCCAACATAAGAGTTAACACTGATTTCTTTAAGGGGAAGTCTTTGGTAAATTCTTTCAGTAGAATCAACAATGTATTTTTGGAGAGCAGCACCGTCTAAGTTCTTGTCAGCTTCAACTGTTTTCTTAAACATTTCAAGTTAGAATTCTTTGTCTAATCTTTCTTATTCTTGCTCTTTTTTCTTTCTTTCTAATTAAATGGCTGCATCTTTTTAAACTCTTGCTATTTAAATTTCTTAATCCTACTTAATTTTTTGTAATTCTAATTGTTATTCCTTTTAGGTAATTAAAGCTTGTTGGGTTTGACGCTTAATTGATTCCTCACCTTAATACCTTGCTCTCTCGGTTTCTGTATCTGCTCTTCTTTTGGTTAATGAAAGTTCTGACTCTAATACATTTTTCTCTACTTTTCCATTAGTTTCTAATCTAATTTATTCTGCTTTTAAGTGAGCTTCTTGACGGAATTCTGCTTAAAGATCTTCGAACAAGCTTCTTGAACAAATCTTTACTTCAGTAATTTCAATTGTTTCAAGCCAAATACCCCAACCAGAGAGCTACTTTTAAAGATCTACCTTCATGCTATCTCTAAGCATGTTACGGTTGGTGAGAACTTCAGTAAGGGTGTGGTTGGCAATCTAATGTCTTAGAATACTCTCACACATAATTCTTACATTTTCATTAGCATTACCACCTTGTGTGTACTTGTAGCACTTAAAGGGACCATCTCCTTCTCTGTGGACAGACCAAATAGCAAATCCAGATACTTCAAGACCTTGCATTTCTTTAGTGACATTGTTGGCACTGAAGGAGACCTTTTCAATATTACTAGGGAAGGTGACAGCAGTCTAGTAAGGTAGAACAAAGCACTTCAAACCAATACCAGCTTTCTTGAGTACACCGTTTTCAATAACTAGCATCCACTAGTTAGGTTCTGACTAAACCCATAGCTTAGAAATAGATTTTGCAACATAAGTTACACCACCAACTGCTACTACACCAATAACAAGAGTTGAAGTTGAAGGGAAAATTGAGGTTATTGTTTGCAAGAAAGTCATTTAATTTTTTTTTTTAACTTTTGATTTGTTTGTTTAATTAATTTATTTTTTATGATAAAGTATTCAATTATTTCTAAGATTTAAAGTGAGAAATCTGTTTTACAAAAAAATTTGTTGATGCAATTAATTAATTTATTTCTGTTTCTTTGTTACAGTCTATATATAATAGATAGAAAAGGATAAAGATTGATAAATATATTGACACTTAATCTTTTTAATTAAATAAACACTTTTAATCAATTAAATCTTTGAATCCAATAATTTTTTCTTTTCTCACGCAACTCAGTTTTTTTAATTTTTTTCTAGACCATTGTGGTAATAACTTAAAAGATTTGATCAAAGATATAAATAAAGTAAAAAAAACAAATTTTCATTTGCACTATAATCTTTATTTTAGATAAAGTTAATTCTAATACATAGATACATTCTTTTGTTTTAATTTTTGGAGATATAAATATGAAAGTAAGTAAGTAAATAGATAAATTAAATGTTAATCTATGGTAAAATTTGAAATAAAATAAATGTTTTAGTTTTATTATTTATTTGATGTATTTTTTGTAAAAATTCTAATGATTGATAAAAAGTTAGATATTTTGTTAGTCAGAAGAAATATTTGTGTAAATGAATAGATCTAATATGCAATATTTAGTATTTATTGTATTAGATGAGTGGTTCCTGAAAAGTTACTTAACGATAGGTAGGACGCCTATGTTTTTATTTGGTATATAGTAAATAAATAAATAAAAAATAGACAATTTTATTGGTCGTTAACTTTGTTATAATTTCGAGAAAATTCAATTACAATAGAAAATATTAAATAATAAATTTATGGTAAACTTAATGTCAGTTGAAGTAAATAAAATAAAATAGTATAAAGTTTTCAATTTCTTTATAAATTAAGAAAAGACTACTTTAAATATGAATGAGCATTTATTTTTCATAAATAATCAAAATGATTAATAAAATCTCTTCACTCTTATTTAAAAATAAATATGTTTGTTCAATAAATTTGTATTACAAAAAAAATACTAAAAAATATTTGAATTTATCTGATTATTAGAAGTATTTGCTTACATTAATATAATTAAAATAAATATTTAAACAATAAAAAAGCATGAAGGAAATGCTTTAGTGATAATTTAAAATGTAGTTTTCTGGATTTATAATTATGTAGAGGAAAATTAACTTACCTAAATAAATAAATTCTTACACAAAGTTAATTAAGACTTTAAATTAATAAAATATCCTTTATTCAAAAGTACTTTTTTAATTATTATTCCATTAAAAATTATCAATAAAAATACAAATTTTAATTAACTTAAAAGGCTTAACTTGCAACTATAAAAAAATCAGGTATTTTAATTACTAAAAATAAACAATTTCATTTGATTAATTCTGAACCTTAAACATATTTTTGAAATAAGTAAATTAATAAGATAAAACTTTACTTTAATTTTTCAAAAATCAAAAAACAAATTAATTAATGAAAAATAAAAATGATTATTTAACATTTTATAAAAACACTTAAATCTCTTCTAAAATTTATACATAAAAAAAATAATTTCTTTATTAATAAATAAAAGCATAAAAAATAAGTTTTTCAAACAAATATTTAGATTTATTAATACAAAAATCAATCAAAACCATAAGTTAGTTTTTAATTAATTATTTGAAAATCAAAAAACAAATTAATTTATTTATTTATGAAAAATAAAAATGATAATTTAAAATTTTATAAAAACGCTTAAATCTTCATTAAAAATTTATACATAAAAAAATAATTTCTTTATTAATAAAGGAAAAGCATAAAAAAATAAGTTTTTCAAACAAATTTAAATTTATTAATACACAAATCAATCAACACCATAAGTTAGTTTTTAATTGCAAATATATTGATTTAATTTTTATCACTTATCTCATTTCTTTTGTAAGTTATTCACCATACTAATGGCTGGTAGCAATGCAGAAATATTGCTAACTCCTTCAGGTCCTATATAAGAATTGACACTGATTTCTTTAAGAGGGAGTCTTTGGTAAATTCTCTCTGTAGAATCTACAATATATTTTTGCAAGGCAGCACCGTCTAAGTTCTTTTCTGCTTCTACTGTTTTCTTAAACATTTCTAAAGCAAATTCTTTCTCTAATCTTTCTTACTCTTGCTCTTTCTTCTTCTTTTCTAGCTATACTGCTGAATCTTTTTGAATTCTTGCTATCTACAATTCCTATTCTTGTTTGATTCTTTATAGTTCTAATGATTATTCTTTTTGCTAAATGATTGCTTGCTAAGTTTAACGTTTAATAGATTCTTCTCCTTGATATTTGCTTCTTTCAGTTTCTGTATCAGCTCTGCTTTTAGCAAGTAAGAGATCTGACTCTAGCCTGTTCTTTTCTACTTTGTTATTTGTCTCGACTCTAATAGCCTCAGCTTTCAAACGAGCTTCTTAACGGAATTCTGCTTACAAATCTTCGAACAAGCTCTTAGAGCAAATCTTCACATCAGTAATTTCAACAGTTTCTAGCCAAATACCCCATCCAGAAAGTTGCTTCTAGAGGTCTACTTTCATGCTGTCTCTGAGCATATTACGGTTTGTTAGTACCTCTTGAAGAGCATGGTTTGCAATCTAGTGTCTAACAATACTTTCACACATGATTTTAACGTTTTCATTAGCATTGCTTCCTTGGGTATATTTGTAGCACTTAAAAGGACCATCAGATTCTCTGTTGACAGACCAAATAGCAAAACCAGAAACTTCTAAACCTTGCATTTCCTTAGTGACATTGTTGGCATTAAATGAAACCTTTTCAATTTTACTTGGGAATGTTACATAAGTTTAGTTTGGCAATACAAAACATTTTAGACCTACTCCAGCCTTAACAAGCTTTCCGTTTTAGATAACTAGTAGCCATTAATTAGGGTTAGATTGAACCCAAAAAGATTGAATCAGATTAAATCCTCTCTTTGTAATTGAAAATACTACTAAAAAACCTATCAAATATAGTGCATAAGGTAAATATGAGGTTATTAAATCTACTATCTCCATTTTTATTTTCTTTTATTGCTTTTAAATGAATTTGTTTATTTTTTTTTGAAATGAATTATATCTACTTTCGATTTAATTATAAAGTTCGTTTTGAAATGACTTAATATAGATATAGATAGATATATGTAAAGGCTGAATATTAAATCAACTTTTATCTATAATTAATTTATTAGAGATGTGATTATTCATCTATAATGAGATTTTATCAGAAAGTGTATATCTTTATATAATTCAACATTTTTTAATGAATTTTTAATTATATTCAGAAAGAAAAAAACAGCTTTCTAAATTGTAAGTGTAAACCAACTCTTGCAAATTACAAAAAATAAACAAATATGTACTTAAAAACAATGAATGAAACATAATGTTAAACTCTAACATAATTATGAGAAGAATAATTTATTTCATACATAAATATTTACTTCATACTTATGACATTCAATTATTAAAAATGATTTAATGATAAGATATCTTTAAATTATGTATATTGATTTATTTATGCTATCCTTAAAGATGGTAGTAAGTTTAATATGATTAGACTATTTAAGAGAATATTGGTCAGCTTATCAACTGCGAATCTAAAAAATTGATATTTTAATAAAATATGTATATGGCTATTACTTTACATTTTAAAAAATTATTTCTAAAATAGATATTAAAATTTTTCAAAAATAGACAATTTTATATTGGGAAAAAACAGAATTTTCTTATCATTTTTTATATAAGAAATTAATTAATCTTTCTATTTAATTTTTGCTCTGCTTTTTATTTAAATATCTATCTATCTATCTATCTATCAATCTATTTCTTAAGAAATTACTTTATATTAAGTTAGATTATTCTAATTTTACTGAGTAACTTTTAAATTTATTTTCTATCATTTTTTCTTGTGTTTTTTACCTTAATCTTATTTATACGAGTAAAGTATTTGCCATACTGTATTTCCACAATATTCTTTAGAATAAATAATTATAATATATTAATTTTATTCTATATTATATAAAAATAAGGGGTAAGAGGAGTGGGATTGTATATTTTTTGTTTGTATTTTTAGTGGAATTTCATTATTTGCAAAAAAAATTTATTTTATCTAGCTTTTCTTCTACATTGTCAGAAAAATTTTTGAACTCTCCTTTTTTGAACTTAAAAAATTAAAATAATAAAAGACTCTCTCTACCACATCTATTTAAAAGATTTTAACTTAAATAAAACTTTCTGGTTTAACATTTATATTAAAAGATTTATCTAAAATATATTACAGCTTTATATAATCAAATTTTTATATTTAAAAGCACATTTGTTTCAAGAAAAATGCTTATTTAAATGATAGCTTAAATATAAAATGAATTATTTAAAATAAAGTTATTTGACTAAATTAAACTAATATCAACAAAGAATATTTTAAATATATACAAACATGTGATTAATTATTTATTTATTTATTTTTAGAAAATAAAAATAATTATATAAATTTATATTGAAAGTTTTATTTTAAAAAATAAATTTACAAAAGAAAAATAAGCAAAATGTTAGTTAATTGGGTTAAGTTAAATTTTAATTAAGTATTTAAGTAATTTATTTAGTTAGATATTAAGAATGCTTGCTTGCTTGCTTTCTAGCTATCTACCTATCAACGCTTTCTTCTATTGGTTATAGCTTTAGGTAACTTCTTAGATTACTGAGTTTATTTTCTATCATCTAGTTTTTCTAAAGCTTTCTTTCTAAAGTCTTCAATGTTAAGAATTCTATCTCCTTCTCCTTCTTCCTCTTCGAATTCGTCATTATCTAAATTAGTTGAAATATTGTTTTAATTTTATTGTTAATTTATTTTATTTACCTGGAGCATCTTATCTTTGTTTATTTGCCATGAGAGCAGTTGAGAGGTTAGATACATTTTGAAGCAGAGTGTGATAGTTTTCATTTGCTCCTTAGGCATCAATGGCAGAGAAAGCCTAAACAATCTAATTTACTTTATTTTCAATAATAGCAAGGAATATCATCATATTACCATCAGTTACACTGTGTGAACCAGCTAGTTCTTTAGCCACCTTCTTATCGCATTCGATTGTATTGAAGAGAGTTTCAATCCAATTTGTAAGACTATTTATAAGCTTTTAAGCATCATGACGCTTGAATTCATAAGATTCACTCTTGTTTTCTGCCCTTGTCATAACTTCTTCAAATTCTTTAATCTTTCTCTTATATTAAATATCCATATTGCTTCCACCTTTGTATTGATCTAATTCAGACTTTTTTTATATAAAAGTGAAATCTTACAATTAAGCTTAAAAAACAATCTATATTTTATTAATCAATTAAATACCCTCAATTCACCTATTTGTTTCTCTAGTTCTTCAATTTCATTAGAGAGTTCATTTACGAATTTAAATGTTTAGAAATTCTATTTTTAATTAATAAATTTTTATCTTAAGTATTTTTTTAAATTTTTTATTTTACCTTTTCTTCATTCTCAATAAATGTGTTAACAAGCTTTTCAAAGTCATTAACCTTGGTAGCTGCTTAAATTTTAGCGAAATCTTCTTCATATCTTTGAATTTTTTCACTCTAAGTTTAATTTACATTTCTATCCTTGTAAAGCCTGTTAAATTTAAAGTTTGCATTCATAAAAAAAATTAAATGGAATTTTATTCAATAAATTAAAAAGGAATTTTGCTATAAAAAAAATGATATTTTCTGAAATTATTATTTCAATAGAAAATTAATTACTTTTAGGAAGTTGTTCTTGCGAATTTATCAGAATCAAGTAAGTCATTATTTAATTTGTTATCATCTCTATTTTTCTCGGTTAATTTGATGTAATCAAGTGCCTTTTTATTCTTTTCCATGATATGTGATAATTCTCTTAAATCTTTTTCGAAGTTTTCTGATTCTTTTTTGGCAAGCATTTTAAGATTTTAAATTTAATCATTGGCTCTATCTCTTTCTTCGTAAGCAGTGTTTGCTGTTTCGATAATGTTGGCCATTTGCTTTCTTTTTTCATGCAATTCTTTTTCAAGTTTTTTATATAAGTTATCAAAAATAACTCTTTCTCTTCTCAATGAGTCAATTTACTGTCTTAATTACTTATTTACAGCAATAGCTTCATTAAACTTTTAATTTGCTTTATCAAGCCTATTTTCCAAAATTTTTATTTATTTAGCTAACGAGCTATCGTTCTCAGCTCCTGCATTATACCCACCAATATTAGAACGCTTTTCAATTATTTTTTTTTAGAAGTCGACAACATGTTTCTCAATTTCCATTTATTAGCGTCTTTCAACTTCTATTTTTTGCTTTAATTCTTCAACTAAGCTATCGCTGCTAGGTTTTCCATACATCGTGTTTGATTGCTGAATTTTCTAAGCATTCATTTTAGACTATTTTAAATGAAAAACTATTTAAAAATAACAAATAACAAAGATTTTGACATCATTCATTTTAATAATAACTTTAATTTATTTAATCTAGCACTTTAAAAATTGTTTTTTTATAACATTTCTTTTATTTAATTTGCAACAGTTTTAATACTTATGTTGAAGCTTTAAGTAAAACTCAAGCTTTGAACAAAATTATTTTCATTTTTAGTTCGATTGTTTTGATTAAAGTTTGCATTTTCTGTTTCAAATTCAAATTAAATATTTAAAATTGTTATTTATAAAAATATTCAGCAATTAATTACAATAATGTCTTTTAGCTGCTAATTTTCATTTTTGAGCTTATCAACAATACCTCTCTACTTCTTTATTAATGCTACAGTTTCTTCTGCGTATGCCTTTCTATCTGATTCGAGATTACGGAATTTGCGCTAGTACTCTTCTAGCTCTTCCATCTTCTTTTTCTTTTCAACTAATATATTAAATAAATTAGATCAGCATTTGAAAGCTAATTAATGAATTTTTATTTAGCTAATAAATAAGGAAGTCTAATAATTAATTATCAAACAACTATATGAAAACTAAATCAAGTACGGTTCTCGTTCATTGCTAGTTATTTATGTATGATAGTATTAAGTAGTGTTAATAATTTCTCCTTTATTTATTATCTTAATGTTAGAGAGCTAGATAGGTAGCTTTGTAATTTGCTTGAATTGATAGAGTTATTCTTAAAAAAAAAGAAATTTAAGTTATAAAGATTGATTAATTAATTAATTATTTTTTAAACTATTTAATATTGTGAACTGAATTTTTTCTTTTACCTTCATATATTAAAAAAAATAAATAAGATAGGATATAGTTTGAAACAGCTCTCTATTTATAATAAATATACAAGCAGCTGGTTTCATTCATAAAATGAATAAATAATAACATTATGGATATAACTGTTTTAACTTTCTTATTATCAAAAAATTTATAATTCAATAAATCTATTCCTTCTCATTAAAAAAATAGATTTTTTTAATTAACTTATCAATAAAATCTATTCTGAAATTAAAATTTAATTTAATTTTTTTAATAAAATTAATTTTTAATATTTCAATAAAATTTATTTAAAAAAAAAAAATTTAATTCTGAATTTTTCAAAACTAATTTTTAATTCAATTCATATTTTTTATTTTAAAGTGAATTTATTTTAAAATAATAATTAAAATTATTTTTATTAAACAAAAACAAAAAAAGAAAAACACAACCTTAAATAATTTGTTAAGTAAATATTTTCAAACATTTAAAGATCATTTTGAAATAAAAGTTATCTGTGGCCATAATTATTTATCATAAAAACAAGAAAGGCAAGTAAAATTTAGGAAAAAAAGCTATTTTAAGAAAAGAACAAAGAAATAAAAATAAATATATGCTTTTACAAATATATATTTATAAAAATAAAACAATCTAAATTATTTGTTATTCAAATTTAATTTGTTAAAGTTAAGAGTAACTTTTAAATATTTTTAAAATGTAATAATTGTTTTAACATAATTTTTTTGATAAATACTTGATTGTTTAATGATCATAATGGAAATTGCTGTTATTCTTTTAGAGTTTTAAAAACAGTTATTTTGCATTTATTGATTCACAAAAAATTAAATTATTTAAAGAAATTTTATCTCCTTTAAAAAGAAAGAAACTAATAAAATTTGGCGAGAAAGATATTTATTTATGTGATCGTGTATCATTATCATTAATAAATGAATACAGTTTATACTTAAGAGGATAGGTGTTTGCACAATATATATTAAAAATATATAGCAAATAAAAAGAGGGTTGATTAATTAATTGATTGATTGACCTCATGATATTTGATTTGATTTAAGAAGAGCTTTATTTGTTAAATAGATAGAGTATTTAGCGCTCTTCAAAATTATTTGATAATTAGAAATTAACAAAATATAATATAAGATTAATTATTTGTAAGAAAATTAAACAAATCATTAGAAATCTTTTTATCAAGTTAGTTAATAAAGGATTGAATCAATATACTATTCATAGTAGGAAAACGTTTTATACATAAACTAAAAAGCAGAATATTGTGAATTAAAAATGGTTGATTATTTCGTATTTCCTTATACTTACGAAGACATCTTGAAGTCTGCAGACGAGAGATATTGCGTCAATGCGGAAGAATAGAGGAGAATAAAAAATATGGAAGATAAGAGAATGAATAGAACCCTGAAAGAATTAGAATCTGCCTTTGTCGAGGACTATACTGAAATAAAGTAGCACGAAAGGTAAATTAATAATTGTTATCAAACAAACATCAGCAGTCATTTGCAAATATAAATTGAATAAAAATGAAAATTATTTTTAAGGATTAGCAAATATTAACCCTTATTAACGTATTTAAATTAGATTCGATATACTCTACTTTCTGATCGATAATTTCGGCTCAAAAAATAGTGAATCTCCAAATTTAATCAAGTTTAGTCTATCCACAATTGAATAAACAGGAGAATTGCTTCTTACATATTTAAATTCGCATTTGAGAAGAGTAAAAGAGGATTGCTAGAATCAGAATATTGCTCCTGAAGTACTTGCAGATGATAGACATTCTTTGAAAATGATTATATTTTTGACTACCTTCTTCCTTAGAAACACATGCATAAGACGTATATCAACAATGAAGGAAGATAACAATGACGAAGCTCATCAAAATAAGAAAGGTAAGCTTTAAAATGAATGAATCAATTAACTATCAAACAAAATGGAAATATGGAATTTAAAATAAACTAATAATTAAATAAATCAAAATATTCTATTCAAATAAAAATTAATAAATCCCTCTAAATTGATGAAATTTGAAAATTTTATTTGAAATAACATACATAAAATTTTTTTGTTATTAGAGCAAATTACCAAAAACATTTTAATCATTAATCACAACAAGTTTTTGAAAGTAAATTGCTGGACCAAATTAAAAACAAAAATTAAATTTAAACTATCAACAAAATGCCTATGATTTTTTTCTGATAAAAATGTATTAAATCACTTATTAATATTTCAAAGGCAAAAAGAATACAGGTGGAGAAGAAAATTATGATAATCTAATTGAAAAGCAAAGAATTTGCATAGATTTGCTATAGAAGACTCTTTAATTAGATCTCAAAACTCTTTACCAAAAGAAATCTATTGATGAGGAATTTTATAAATATTATTTGGCTACTGCTTTAAGATTACTCGAAAGTAAGCCTTTCATTAGGGCAGAAAAGGCTCGTACCAATATATTTGCTATTATTAGAACTGTCATGAGAGTATTTTCTGAGTATAACAAATAAGAATTGAAGCAAGTTTAACTTAATTTCATTAATCTTATCTATGAAGACGAAAATTTAGTTCAGCCTATTGCAGATTTTATAATTGATCTTTATAATGATAAAAATTTAATCTTTTCAAAGGAATTTACTTTCGATTTGCTACAAATATTGGTCACTTTCTTGCAAGAAAAAACAAGCCCTTCTTCTGAAAATACAGTAAATTTTTTATTTGAAAACGAAATAAGTGATTATTCATTCATTCTATAATAAAAATAATAAGGTATTTAAAAATGCTAGAGATTTCTTCTCTATTTTAAGTAACCACTTGCCTAAAATTTTCATTAACAATTTATCATGCTTCTTGACATTATTTGATTCTGAATCCTATTTAATGCGTAATACTGTCTGTGAAATTTTGGGAAATATTTTAAAAAATGTGCTTACTGCTTAAAACGAAGAAGATGAGGAATTCATTTTAAATGAAGAATCAAAGATAAAGTAAAAAGAAAAACTTTTGGATCGTTTAATTGACAGAGTTTATGATAAGCATGCTTACAGTCGTGCATAAGTCTTAACAATATTAGCCGATTTATGCGAGAACAATGCTATCCCACCTCAATTTTTACCATAAATATTAAAAGCTGCTATTAGCAGAACTAGAGATGTTGGTAAGTAAATTAAAATAAATTATAAATAAATAATATTTAATAAATATAAAGGTGCTATTGTCAGAAGAAAAGCTCTCTAATTGATTAGCAGAGTAGTTAATTATTATGTTTATATCTACCAAACCAACAAAGATGGAAAGTTTATCACAAAAGAATAAGTCATTAAAGAAATCAAAAAGCTTGATATGTAAAATTTATCATGTGCAGAATAGCTTGAAAAGATTGAAGAAAGACTCAGAGAAATCACTCAATCTGAAGACCCGTAATAATTAAAAATACTTCATTTAAAACTAAAATTTTACTTTAAAGTTTAAGCATTATATTTTCTTTTAAATATTAAACACTATTTTTTCCTTTAAAGATTTAATATTGTTTTTTCCTTTAAAGCTTAAAAATTGTTTTTTGCTTTAAATTTTTGGAAAATGATTTTTATTAAATTTGAGCGTTTGAGAAAATCTTTCGAAAATAAAAGAAATCAATATTAAAACATAGAAATTTAATAAATCAATGGATATAAATTTCTCTCAAATTGATAATTTAAATAGAAACATTAAATTTTCACATATTTTTTTAATGAAAAGTGCTGAATTGCTTTTACAACAGGATGAAATTGAAAGCTTAACAACCAGACAAAAAAGTATAAAAGCTTAGATGGCTTAAATTGCTTAATTATAAAGCAGATATTAGGAATATTAAGATTTTTTGCATGCACTTGATATTCTTATCCCTATTTTAATTTAGCTTCTTGGTTCCAAGAGTGTCTATGATGTTTTAGAAACTATTAGACTTTTGATGTACTTAAAGAAGTATAACATCACAACTAGCGAGCTTGGTATTAAGAAAATGATAGTTTTAATTTGGTCAAAGGAAAAAGCTGTCAAAGAAGAAGTTATGCAAACATATTGGTCTATATACATGAATAATAAAGTAAAAATTATTATTAAAATCTGTAAAATTTTATCAATTTATAAATTATTTTAGGAACAAAAGCCTTAGAGAATCGCTAAAAATTTGATCAATTTGATGATAGATACTAACATAACTGAAGCTTCTAGCTTTGAAGAATTGCTCTTAAGCATGATGGACACACATAAGATATCTTAAGAAGAACTTAAAAGCTAGAATCTTAAGGCCTATCCTATTCAAGATTAGGTTTTTGCTGAAGTTTGGGAAATATTCACTAAAAATTTTAGACGTTTATGTGAAGCTGATCCTAACCGTGAAAGAACTGAGCAAGAAAGTTTAGAATATGAAAAAGAACTTATTTTACAAAAAAAAGAGATGAGAAGTGCTATTCAAATTCTTCGTATTATCAGTAGCAGATAAAAGAGCAATTGGAGCATGAAACTTGAAAGCTTTAAGAGTAATTTAGAAATTTGATTTAATTATTTTAAATTAATATTAAATTTAACAAAAGACATCCTCAATTACTATAAGAAATTCGTCAATAAAGTTGACTGGGTTATTGTCAAAGAAATTGCTTGCATTTCAGAATAGGTAAAATCAGAAGATAACAAGGCTATTATTGAGTCTATTGCTCAAATTTTAACAGTTCTTCTAATCAGGGGTCACGGAACTGAAGATTCTGAGTGGTTCTTGTCATGTGAACAGATCATCAGATTGACATTTTTAACATTTACAAACCCAGAAACTATCATAAAATATTTAATTAAAAAAATGAGCCAATTTTTGTTTGAAAAGAAAATTGCTAATGAAGGTGGTGCTGTTGATGAAGAAGAAGATGAACCTAATTAGAATAAAGATGACTTAGAAATGCAGCTTGAGAAAGATAACAAAAAGGATGATGGAGTTTAAAAGCCTCTTACAAGCAAAGCCTATGAGCATAAGCTAGCTCAAGTCTTGTACGTTGCAGGTAATAGTGCATTAAAATTCTTGATGCATTGTGATAGAATCGAAGAATATTTGAATAAACGTAGAATAGAAGCTGAAAACAACAAATAGAAGGAAATGTAAAATGATGCTAATGACAATGAAGATAAAGACATAGGTAATTTGTTTATATTTTTAAAGAGCTTTTGATTAAAATTGGTCATTTATTTTCTATTTAAAGATAAGATCAATGGAGGTTTCGAGGCTGAATTTGAAGAACATCAAAGAACTTTGCATAGTATTTAGGATAAACTCATCATCGAGTCTCCAATTTATAGCTACTTCTGTAGTATCGCAACAAAAATATGTTGGAATATGTTCAATTCACTAAGTTTAGCTCAAAGAAGCGAAGCAGATAATATCAATAATAAATTAAGAAGAAATGTTATTTTGGACAGAGTTGCAATGCTATGTTTAATTAAATTTATGTGTGTTTCCTCTTAAGTATGTAAGAAAAATCTTGATTTAATTTTCAATATGTTGGAATCTTAAGCTGATGCAATCGTTAAAACAAATATCTTAATTGGTATTGGTGACCTCTATCATAGATATCCTATCATACTTGAAAGATACTTACACTTTGTCTACAAGTCACTTTCTGACAAAGATGTTAGAGTTAGAAAGACCTGCTTGATGGTTATAACTCACTTAGTGCTTAACGATATGCTTAAGGTCAAAGCTGAAATCTCCTCTATTGCAATTCTAATTGAAGACTCTGATTAGAGGTATATCTAATATTTTATTTCCATTTAATTTATTTATTTACAATTAAAAATAATTTACCAAGAATTCAAAATATGGTTAAGTTATTCTTCCATGAGTTGAATAAGAAAGATCCCAAGGCTATTTACAATTTGTTGCCTGAATTGATTGGCAGATTATCTACTGAGAATATTAATGAGTCTATCTTTAATAACTTTTGTGAAAATGTGTTACCACATATCGATAAGGATAAATAAGCAGAGTCTCTTGTTGATAAACTTTGCTAACGTTTCACTTTAGTTAACACTGAAAAGGAATGGATTAATATCTCTCATGCTCTTAAAATGTTCTCGTACAATGAAAAGAGCTTAAAGAAACTATTGGAACACTTTGAATCTAAATATAGAGAGAAATTGAATATTCCCATTATTTTAGAAAACTTCAAGGCAATAATCTTAAAAACCAAAAAAATGCCTCGTTAATCATAGGAGTAAAAGCAATTAATTGATGAACTTGACAGCAAAATATCTAATTTCAAAAAAGAGACTTTTGATGATAAAAAATACAAGAAAGAGAAGCCTAAACCCAAACAAGCAGCTGGAACTAAAGGAAACTAAGCTAACAAAGGAGCTGTAGGAAATGCCTAAAAGAAAGGAAAATAAAATGTTTAAGTACCCAATCCATAATAATCAAAGAAAGGTTAATAGTAAATGATGGAAATTGAGTCTGATGAAGAAGAAGAAGCTGTATTTTAACCTAATAGAAGATCTCAACAATAACAACAGCAACAGCTTCGTGGAGGACCTGGTAAAATTTTAAAATCTAATTTGGAAGAAGTGAAAAATGTTAAGAATGCTTTATTAGCAGCCAACCATCCAAATAACTAAAGGAACACCAAATAAAGGGCTGAACCTGAAGAAATTGATATTGAAGATGATGATTTTGATGAAGAGGAGGAAGAAGAGTTTGTTGGACATAACAGAGGTTAATCTAGCAGAGCTTAATAAAGTAATTAAAGAGCATCATCAAGAAATGTACAGAGAAAATCGTTGAAAGAAGATTCAGATGATGATGACTTTGATGAGGAGTTTTGAAATTATAAAAACATGAAACAAGAATTAAAAAAAAGAATAATTTTCTTTCTATTGCTTAAAATAAAAATTAAATACCATTATTTATTTTCAGTAATAAAAACAAAATAAATATCCTATTACTAATTAATTGATGTGATATTTATATGTAAATTATATGTGTGAATGTCTAAACAACTTTAAATAGGCGTAATGGTATTATTTGAATTTATAAACTTACATTAAAAATTTATAATAAATCTAATCAACGAATAGATAGTTTATGGTTTTAATTAATTTCTATTTTAAATTATTATTTAAAATTAGAATTTTATTTTAATATTTATTAAAATTCTTATGATTTTTCACATTAACTAAAAAATACTTGATTCAAAAATAAAAAACTTATTCAGTGGGTATTTGAATTATAATTAAAAAATAAAAAACTTTATAAATCAATAAGTATTTAAAGTTGAATTTTATAGTGGATTGCCTTAAACTAGATTATTTTTTATGTATTTAATCATTTAAATTTTACTAAAATAAATAATAAATAGTTTATGGAATATTTCAAAAAAATTTAAAACAAAAAATAAAAATTTTTTCATTCAAATCTAACGTAGAAAATGTTTTCAAAAATAAAAATAAAAATTTTTTTTACGTTCAAAATATGAGAAAAGGCATTAAATATTTACAAAAATTGATAAAATTTGATAAAAAAATAAAATTAGGTTAAAAACAACAAAATAAACACCATATATATGCTCACCTACACAATTGGCGATTTTTTAATTTCAGGATAAGCTATATTTGCCATCAGTCAGAAATTTAATTTATTTTAACAATTACAAAGTAAATAAAAATAAAATATAAATCTTTTTATTTTAAAATATATTAATGCAAATACAAAATGATCATTTTATTTTTACATAAAAATTAATATATTTATTAATTTATTTACGCACTCATTCATTCATTCATTCATTAATTTTAATTTTGAAAGATTTTTACAGCAAACTTAATTGAGATGCCTTTATTATATGTAAATAATATATATATCTCACATCAATTATTCTTTTTTTGACTTTTAGCTGTATTTTATTCTCCATTTTTAATAGCTTCTTTTTACTCTTTATCAATAGAAACATCATATAAACCTATTTTAGTTGAAATTGCTAAGAATCCAAAGTCGAAAGCTGCAAAAGCTAGAGTGCTTAATATGTATATAGGAATCATAACAGCTAATCCTTCATTCTAGAAATTATAGACAACTTTGCCAAAGACAAAGTATTGAATGGCCGTGATTGTAAAGTATGCTGAAAGAATCATGAAATCAATTGTGAATTTTTGCTTTTTATTGATAAAGACATGCTATTTATAGAGAAAAATTTCAATATATAGATGCAAGTGATTTCCACCATGCAAGTAGCTCATCATATAATATGCATTCATAGTTTGAGGATCAATTTTACCCCACAAAAGTTGAGGATCAACAATCATCAAAGACCAGTATCCGAGCCCTACTATCATTGATAAACTTAATACGAGCTAAAAATAAGTGTGAGTGATAGGGCTGTATGTATATTTGTTGAAATGCTCTTTCTTTTCAATAGAAACACCTAAAATTCTAATTATATCTTAGTACAAGACATATATGTAGTAAATAGTAACTAGAGTATGTGTTAAATTGGTCAAAAAAACATGCTAATTCCAGATAATATACCAAAAAGATCCTCCTCCTCTTTCAACTAGTTTTCTGCATTAGTTAAAGTAGAAGAGTGTCAACGTGGCGAAAATTAAGTGAACAATTAATCTTGTTGTATTATTCATTTTAATTAGCAAATTTCTATTAAAAAATAATTAATTAATTAATTATTAATAATTAACTTTATGATTTACTCTTTTTCTTTATTTAAAAAGGTATGTATATGCTTCTTTCTATTTTTCTAAGTTACATCGATTCTGTACATTTGTTTGTTGATTTTGAATCATGAATCTAAAAAATAAATGTATCTAAATGTATGGTATTTATTTTTTATAATTTAATTACTCATCAGAATTACTAAGCAGTTTGAATTGCTTTAAAATTTTAAAAAGATTTGAGATTTCAAAGTTTTATTTACATTTTTAATAAATAAAATCCTAACACAATAAATAAAAATTTAAAAAGATATAAAGATTCAAATCAATCTATCCAATAAACAGAATGATAATTAATTAATTAATTAAAAATAACATGAATATTAATTATGAACATAATTATATAAATAGTTTAATGATAATTTTTTTAATAAATTGATTTGATTATCTTATCCGTAATATTCAAATTATTTTGTTTTTATCATAAATTTATTTTATTTTATAGTTAGATATTTTTAAAAAACAAAAAGTTATTTAGATAGACATAAATTTTTTTAAATTTTTTATAATAAAAAAAATATATTTATTTATAAAGCACTGAGATAAAGAGATAATTCTAAATTTAAATTAAATAAAAAATAAGCAGTGTATGAAAAAAACAAACATAAATATTAAAAATACAATTTTTAAATGATAGAAAATAATTTTATTAATGTGGCAGTGGTGTTTTTTAGCTCAATTATTTTTTTTACTTGGAATTTTCAGACTATTTTATGTTTATGATTTTAATTATTGACAATCTGGAGAGAATTTGTATAATCCTATTTTGCCAAACAATTTTAAGGATATGTATTCAATAAAAAAGAAAACTATTACAAAACTAGAGTAAATTGAAACCATAGAAGCAAAACCTAAGTTTTAGAAATTGTAAACAACTTTTCCAAAGACAAAATAATGTATTGCAGTAATTGTAAAGTAGCAGACAAATAATATAATACCCATAGTAAACTTTTAAGTTCTATTGAGGAAAACATATTGTTGATAAAAAAAAAACTCTGAGTACAAAATTAAGTGATTTCCTCCATGAATATATGTCATAATTTAGTATATATTTAATTTTTAATAATCTACAGAACCCCATAAAGTTTTAGGATCATATATCATTAAAGACCAATAAGCAACACCTACAAGCATAGATAAAGAAAAAACAAACTAATAGTAATTATGAGTGCTAGAAGTATAAGAGCTTGTTCCCATTTTATTTTTGTTAATAATCTAAATAATATCTTATATGGTCACTAATAAATAATAAATAGTAACTAGTGTGTGAGTTATGTTTGTCAAATAAACATGCTAATTCCAAATGCGCATCAAAAAACTCCCTTCAGTCATTCTTCTTAGCAGAACAAAATAGAAAATATTTATTGCAGTGAAAAGTAAGTGAATCCATAATTTCAAAAAACCAATTCCCATTTTTAAAAACAAATCTTTTTCTTAAAAGATTTTTTAATTAATTTTTTTTGCCTTTTAAATAATAACACTGATTGATTATCTAATTAGGCTCAAAAAAATTTTAATAAGAAAAGATAAAATATCTTATTAATCTCTATAAATGCATTTATACATTTCTGATAAAATTTTTTATCATTCATTCATTTAATATTTAACTTAAAATAATTAAATATTTAACCAATATTCATTCTGATAAAATTAATACCCAAATAAATACACCATATTCTTTTTTCTGTAAAATTAAAAAACTAGTTGTTTGTTTGTTGTGTATTCTATTAGTTATTAAACACACAAATTAATACTTCTTTTATAAAACATAAAAATTCAGAAATTACACCAATTTTAATTTGTTTAAAATTATTTATATATTAAATTAGATTAATTTAATTAATATACTTGACATATTTAACCATCATAAAATTAGTAATTACTAAAAATGAACAGAACATATATTTGATTTCAGTATTAAAGATTGTGTATGAACATTTTAGTGGGTTAAAAATTAATTAAAAGGCACATTTTAACTTCATTTTAGGGGATAGTAAATTACATAAAATCTTTAGAATAATTGAAATTAAAAAAATAAAGATAATGGTTGTTAATTTTAATTTTAGAAATTTCAATTAATTTTAAAAAAATAAATACAATTAATCCTCATTAAGTAGGGTCTGTCTAATCTCCATCAGATTTTATGCTTGGATAAAATCTTAAGTAATTCAAAGTTCTCATTTATTTTTTTCTAAGATTCTTAATGTAAAAAAATTTATGACCTTTTGCTAATTTTTTTTCATAAAAAAGTAATTAAAATTTATTTCCATCTTATAAATTAAAAACATTTAAATAAAAAAAATTTAAAACAATTATTTAAAGGACTTAATATAATCAAGCTCCAGAACATTTGAGTAAGGAGCCTTAATATAAAGAAGCTTAAATTAATGAATATTGAAGATAGATTAAATAAGATAAATTAATTTTTATTTATTTGATCTCAATCAAATCCTAAATTTAATTTCAAAAAATTTTCATTCAAAACTAATCAAATTCTGTGAAGAAATTAATCGATCAATCATATTTAATTAATAATTTAATCATTCATTTATTCAAATATTTGATAAATAAATAATATAATCTAATAATATTAAAAAAAAATATATATAAATATATAAAATGAGCAGATAATTTTCTTTGAGAGATGATACGGAACAATAAAATTAATATGATATTGAGAATCCTTTTATCGAATAAAATAATTGCTGTTTTGATGGAGTAGTCTCAAAAAAATCATTTATTGTAACTTAATTTTTTTACTACTTTGCTTGTGGCATATTGGATTTATTTTGCTTAATTTATGGTGATAAAAAGGAAATGGGAGATGATTTTAAATAATTTTATGCTTGTGGATTAATTTATAATATTATAAGTGTTATTTATTGGGTATAACTTTATCTTAGTTAAGGAGAATTTCTAAAAGAATTGATTGCTGTTTTTATTTGTTTAGAATATTTAATTATACCTTATATTCAAATTGAATGTCATAGCATAATTCCAAAAAATGTTAATAAACAAGACGAACTAATGAGGGTACTAATTTTGATATATATAATATTATAGTTTATAAAATTAATATTGTTGTTTTTATTTTGTTGAAGAAAATATAAATAATACAATTTTAAATTAAAATAATTTTTTATTTGTTTTTACATTTAAAATAATAAATAATTAGACCATTATTTTATTGAAACTATAATCACCAAAAACCTTTATTATTAAAAGTCTTAATATAAATGAATGAAGATCATTTTGATATTATTTTTAATATTTTTTAGAATATATTTGAATGAAATATCCTTTAAATATTAATATAAACACTTTTAGAGCCAAAATATTTAGGATTTACAAATATTTTAACTTGAATATAATTTAAAATTTATATTTTCTATTTTTTCATTCAAAGCTGAAAAAACCTGAAAGGAATTATTTTTTGGATTCTAAGTTTGTTAAATTTGAAAATATCTTGTGAATGTGCGAGTGTGTATGTGTATTTTTCAATACAATTTATATAAAACTCATTTTTCAAATAGCTAATATTTATTTAAATAACACAGCTAATTTTTACTATATTTTTAAATTAAAAAACAAGAAATAGATATTATTTAAACTTAAAAGTGTTTTAATTTTGAATGTAAACCTTTTATATTGAACAGAAATGCTTAATAAGTTTTTTTATTAATTACCTTAAATGTTATAATTTTAGGAGAAAAAAAATATTATTTATTTTTTTCTCTTTCTAAGAGATTTTTTTTAAATGTAGGAAACACTCCTAAATTTTTTTTGTTTTTGTAGCTATTTTAAATGCATTCAGTATTTAAAATCTAAATAAAAAATAATTTATTTTAATTATTAGTATTTACGATTATATTTTAAATTATTGCAAATTTATTTTTAAAATATTAAATTGTTATATTCAGTAATATATTATATGACAAGATATTTTTTTCTCTCATAAACTAAAAATTTTTTAATTTTAATTTAATTAATAAGAAAGAAATTTGGTAAATAAAAGATTGTTCTATTTTAATCAAATTGAATAATTTTTAAAAATAAAAATTCTTAAAATATTTTTTAAGAAATTTTAATTGCAAGTATTTTTATTTATTTATTTTGAATAACCATCCAATTTTTAAAATATTTATTTCTGCTGAAAAAGTTCTAAAAATTTGAATTGATTGATTATTCAAGATATTATTTTGACTTACCTAAACTAAAGAAAATATTCAGTCAGTAGGATAAGAATTATGGATTAAATATATTGCTAATAAATAATTAGGTTTGATTTTTATCTATTTATGAGCATATCTTTATTTTATAGAGTGTTAATTCTTTTAATTTTTAATTTTTGAAATACTTATTTAATCATGTAAAAATAGTTAAAAAAAGAATTTGAAATTAGCATTAAAGAAGATGTCATAGACTTTTGGTATTTGATTAAGCTTTTAAACATGAATTTAATTTTAAAATAATCACAATAAAATATAAAAACTTAATTGTTTAAAATGAATTAATTTATTGATAATATGATTTTAATAGAATTTATATAAAATTAAATCTATACGTTTTTCAATATAGAATAATGGCCTAATCCGTTTTAGCAGAGATAAGAAAGTGGGCAAGCTGTCTTATTATCAAATTTAAAATGCAGTAAAATGAATGAAATTTTTGAGTTTGATTGATTTTTGCAAATAAAAAAAAGGAAAATAGGTTTTGTAAAGAGAATGAATGATATTGATTGAGCAAGTAAAACAAACAAATTTCTAATTACATTAAAAAAAGCATGCATTGAATCTATTAAAAAGCTAATAAAAATATATATTAATTAATACTAGAATCTTGAATACTTAGAGAAAGCTATAGATTTATAACAATAATAGAATTTAAAACACATATAAAACTAATACATAATCGACTATTTCTTAAGTATTCTCCTGAAATGATCGATTCCGATACAGCAGTATTAACTACAATCATTTTCTCTGTAATTTGTTTGATTTACTCTATTGTCATGGCATTCGTCAAGGTAACACAATTTGCAAATTATCATATTATTTGATAGCATTACAAATGCACGTTTTTTTAATACACATAAGCGCTCCTAAAAGTCTGAAATGTTATTTCAAACAAAATTTAATTCAAATGTTACTAGGAAATGCCTATTTAATTTTATTTTTTTAACATAGAACTTTTTTGGGAATGTTGCTGAAGATTACAAGAAATTAAAAACTGGATAAGTTGGAGGTACATTTGCTGATAGAGAAGCACTATTAGTCATACAAACCTTAGGAGCTGATCAGAGAGCTTTAAGCTTCTAAGATTCTTGTAAGCGTCTATTAAAAGAGTCTCTTTTTCTTTTTACTTACTAATCAATCAGCATGCTGATAGTAGCAACCATCTTCTGCTTGACTTTCATTGTAAATTAAAGATAGAAAATATAAGCTAACATACTAAAAAAAATATATATATATTTACTTAAATCAAACACACACTTCATTCCTACTTTTAAGATATTAATATTCAATCAATTAAGATTAATTACAACGATTTTATTTATTTTTGAGCTAAAAAGAAACACTTATTTATATTTGATTCTTTTTATATGAGCAACAAAATAATTTTGCTAATAATTTGTATTGAACCAAATTATGAATATTTGAATTTAGCTTACAAATTAAGTTGATTATTTGTGAATTAATATTTATCTAAAAAAATAAATAGATATGGTTTAGTCTCGATGGCTAATATTTATGGCTCTTTTTGCCTTTCCTAATTGGATTGTTGATCACTAGTTTATGCACTTTCTTGGTTATTTTGTTGACCAGCCAAAGCAGAGCTAGAGTTTTATTCACAGCCCAAGATGATAAGGAAGTTACTTTTTCTGAAGGATACATAATGAATAACAGTATCACAACAGGAATTCTCTCTATTTTTATACTTACACTTCTCTTAGTCATTCCAAAGTTTGAAAGTAAAAGTCAACTCAAAGCATTTCAAAATTAATTCATCATTATTATTATAACAATAAATAGAATGGTATTTTGAAGATTATGACCAAAAGAAGTATCAGTAGAATTTCTACTTTAACAGTTTGTCCTTCTCACTTGGAGGTACTTTTTCTACTTACAAATTTATATCTTTGAAACATTCTTTATTTGTAAATTTTATAGTCTGTCTTGCAAGTCTTTTCTACAGAGATTTGGGAGGTAACTTGAGTAAAGGCATAAGCATTGGTTCTACTTAAATTGGTAATTAGAAAATTACTTTTAAAAAAAAATATTTTATTTAATTATTTATTTATTTTTAAATTAGATGAGCAGTTAAAAGACATTGGCACACCTGATGCTGCTAGTGCTCACAACAATCTGAAGTATGGTGAAATTATTGGAAATTACTTTAGTCATAACGTCACATCTACTCTCGACTTGATTTCCCTTATTTCTACTTTAATCGTAGCTACAAACCTTCTTTCAACGTAAATACAAATTTTGATTGAATAAAATCTAAGTTCTTATTTATTTTTTAACAAACTAAAAACAGTGGTAAAGACGATACTGACAACACAACATTCAATTTATTGGTATATTTGATGTCATTAAATGTGTTAATAACTTTTGTAGTCTCTTGGATATCCAAGTTTGCTTCTGACAAGTTTTAGTTGCAACCAACTTCTTCATTCATCGCCAAACAGATAAGAATTCAATACATTGTTATTAATATAATCAGTTTCATCTTACTCTTCTTCCTACCATCTGAACTTGTTCCTACTAAAATTTCTATCGGAAAAGATGGTACTAAAAATCCTTCATTCTTTGACTCAGATATTTCCGAAGGTGATTTGATCTGGTGCTTGCAAATTGGGCAAGTTATTTCATTCTTAATTATTCTATTCTACGAAGTCTGGACTTCATACGGTTTCTCATTGGTAAGCATTTACATCATAAATAAAAAATGATATTTATACATATTTGAAATATATTAATTAGGTAAGAAGAGTTAGTAAGTAGTTCAGAACAACCTCTTTCAGCTACGGAGTTGCTTATGCTGAATCTTAAAGCAATGTAGCCACATGCATTATTGTATTTATCTTAGCTTTTACAGTTTACTTTGCTTACTACTTTGGAGGTGTTTTCGGTTTGAATTGGATTACCATTGGTATTCTTTAGTCAGCTCCATTACTCCTAGGCGTTTGCTTCTTCAGTTTGGCAACTAGCGATTCAGTTACTACAGCTGGACTTAATGGTCTTGAGTAATTCTGTACAAGACTAAGACTCATTAACTGGGCAACAAACAACTTCTCATCATTGATCTAGTTGCTTAATATTGCAGGAAACTTCTTCGCTAATTTGCTCATAATTGCATCTATCGTCCAAATAACAAAATAATAAGCTTCTGCTATTTTCAATGGAGGAATTTTAGTAGGATTCCTTATTGGATGTTCTATGATATAACTCATATCGTATGTCAACACTTTGGGAATATAGCACTTAGCATCTAAAATGGTAAAAATATTATTCAAGAAAAAATATCTAAAATTGATTTTCATAATATGCTAAATAGGTTGATGAAAGCAATAATTTCAGGGTAAAAGTTTCTCAAAGTCACTTCGAAAATTTAAATAAGCTAATTCTCAGTACCTTTACACCATCATTCTACACTGTTTTGCTTAATTTGATTATCGTAAAATAATATACAATTTATAAATGTAAAACTTAGTAAATTTATTTATTAAAAATCAAGGTTGTTTCTTATATTATGTTCACTGCCATGATTCTAGGTACATCAGCCACTATCGGATTTACTATCGGCCTTACATTGTTCGGTTTGATTTCTTCTCTCCGCCAACTCATAGTTGGATACTCCCTCAAGAATGCTCAAAATTATATCGACTGTACTTTATTTCATTAACAAAATTATTTTATTAAAGTATTTTCCTTTTAAAAGAATCTAATTTGATTGGTTAAAATGAACTCAAGTAATCCACAACTTCAAGCAAGGATAGTGGATATATTGCCTAGGCTTTATACTAAATTCCAGGAACAGGACTTTACAATTACATTAATTTAGCTTTAATGATTTTTATACTTGGAGCACAAGTATTTTAAAATTATGGATATTTTGATAACTATATGGCTAAGAATAGCTCAGAATTATCTGGAAGCACAACCAACTGGTATTTAGATAGCTCTGATAGTTCTTCAGATGTAAAAACCAAAAAACTATTCTGAAACATATAACAGATGAAATTGAAATAAATATTTATCAATAAAAATAAATAAAAAATACATTTATGTTAAATAAAAAATTCATATTGTATTTTATTAATCTACATTCAAGTTAACAAAAATTAATTAATAAATAAATAAATTACTTATGAAACAAACAAATTAAAAGTTAAAACAAATTTTTAAATTAGAAAAAAAATTTCAGTAAAACTAATTCATTTTTTTATGATAATCTTAGGATATATTATATTTTTAGTTTAATTTGATGGACTGAAAAATTTACCAAATAATTTTTTACAAAAATATTATTTTTGACCAAAAAATATTTTTAGAAATACAGGATTAGTTTGGAAAATGTAAGCTATGTTATGTATATAAGATATTTACATGAAATTTTAAATATTATAAAGAATTAAATAATTATAGTGAATTAATACAAATTTTATTATGTTTTGGAAATAAATGAAACTATTAACAATAAAAATTTTAAATTATTGAACATCAATTTTTGCTAAAAGAATTACGAGAATTTAGTGGGAAAGATAGCTATTTTTTTTCTTGCTATATCTATACTTATAATTCAGATGATGTGCTACAGCTAAACCTGTAAGTTTTAGGAGTCTAGGGATTTCTGAGTTTGATAGGCACAGTATTACTTATAGATTAAATGTTATATGGTAAAAAGTCAGACTTTTTTGGGATTTAAGAGGCTTTTCTCCAGTCTGCCATTGTTTGTATCATTTTTTTTTCTACATTTTTCTAAATGTAAAAGGTAGTGTCTCTAGTTTTATTGTAAGCAGTAAATGCACCTAATTTGTTGGATTTTTAAACAGTTTGCTACTTATTAGCCAAAATATTTTTATACGTTTCAATAATCTTTTTGGGACTTAAATTTTAGATTGGTGAAACTGAATTCATCTAATTTTTATAAGCTTCTTGCTCATTAAATAAAATACTTGCTGGCTTTTTTGTAGATTAAATTTAGCTACTTTAATCTTCCTGCAAATAAACTTCATCGACGTAAGGATTTATTTACAACTTTATCATTTAATTGTTTAAATTTTATTTGTTTTAAATATTTTATTCCTTTTTTTTTATTAAGTTTTAATATATATTTTATTTTGGTTGTTGTTGTTGCTGAATATCCAACACTTTTTCTATTTTTTAAATTTTATTTTCTTAAACAACTCTTTACGAATCAGCAGATTTGCATGTCTGCCTCATAATTTGAAGAGGGCTTTATCTTTTCAATCTCGATGTAATAAATGCATTTTCTGTTGTGTTTGTCTGGATGTCGTAGGATTAAGGGTTGTTTTAATCATTATTTTTTACTTGATATAGATAAAAGGAGTTACTTTTGTTAGAGATTGTGGAGAATTCAAGCAATTTTTCATCAGTATTGGTTGAAATACTCAAATTTTTTGAATTCTTTAAATTGATTTTTCTAATTTTATTTGGAATTAGATTAATACTTTATTTTACTTCATCATTTTCAGCAATAGTTTGCTAATTTTAAGTAACCTGTTGACTATTTTACTAAACTAAATCAACAAGGAGTGGCTTTTTGTCTTTCAGGGTTTTTGTTAATATCTTTTTAACTGGTATTAAATATCTGTTCTGACTATCTTTATCTTACAAATAGTTTTAATAATCATATTTAGAAGCTAGCATAATCTTTTTTCGCTTTGATACTTCAATTTAGAAGAAACCGTTTTAGGTACTTGATTGATTTTATTTATTTTATTAGGAACTATCAAGTTAATTCTTTTTATCCTCTCCTTCTTGCCGTTTTTCATATAATGGACTCTCTTTTTCAAAGAATTCCTCATTATATATATTTTATCTAGGAGATTTCCTACAGTTTATGAAAGATTTCTCTTTACAATCTTCTAACTTTAATCCATTCTAAAAGTTTGTTGAGTTATTAGGTGAATTTGGCTATTAATTTCCAAAGTGTTTAGTTTCATCATTGTTATTACTTGCTTTTCTATCTTAGTTCTCATTAGGTATCAGATTTGTTGATTCCTCTAATTCTAAGTACTCAAATGTTGTTTTAGGTTAATAACTTGTTTTCGTATAATACCTGGATGAATCAGAATAACTTCTTTGACCTTAATTATTGTAAATAATTTATGTATTGCTTTATTTGAATTGTTATTTTTTAGGAGAATTAACATAATAATAAAGTTAATCAGTTTAATTATATTTAGTTTCCTGAAAGCTTTGCATGCCAAAACTATTGTTATGATCAAATTCGTTAATTCTACAAGAACGAGGAGATTCTTAATTTATGCTAAACTCAGAATTTTAAAATTTATGTTAGCTATTTTTTTTACTTTTTTGAATAATTTCTGATTATCGGAGCTATTTGAATCTGCTCGGAGATAGTCCTTACTAGTTAAAAGGAGAAAAACCTTATTAATTATAAGGAGAGCGTGCAGTTTAACTAGAGGTATCTTATTTTAGTTAAGGAGATTAAGGCATACTGCATGTTTGATCCATTAAAATTTAAGAAAATATAATATTTTTTAATTCATCTCTATTCTCAACCAAATAATTTTTATACTTGCTGAATTGCTCAATGAGATTCCTTTCTTTCTCTTACAGAATGATTTCCTTGTTTTTTAATCTAGTGAGAATATACTCATGGATGTAATCGTTTCTCTCAAAAACTCTTAATTTGAAATCAATATCTTTGATCACAAGCAGCTAACCTGTAAAGCTTGAGCAATAAACTTCAAAGCTTCTATTTTAATCTTTTAGTAAATCTTCCTCTCCAAACATTTCATTTGCACACATATTTAATAACTATAACAAAATAAAAACTATTTTATTTTAATCTATATAAAAATGTTTAATTTTACAGTAAACGATTTTTACTTAGAAGAGCTATAAGACCTTAGAAGAGTATCGATCCCTTCCTTGCTCATACTTTCTAATTTTTTTAGCAAAGCGTCATTTTCAAAGCCCTATTGTGGGCAGTTATATCTATTTCTAATCTATTTAAAAATTAAAAATTTCTTAGAGTTCATTTTAAATTGCAAATAAATACACTAAATTCGCCATGCTGGACAATATAAACTGCATTGGAGGGATCGCCTTTAGAAAAGACTATATCATTTTTCCTGAGTTAAATCTATTCAGAATTGAGATAAATCTCCTTTAAAAACTCAAAACTGAGCTGCTTAAACAAAGGAATTTCATATAATTTATCTATTTATTTTAAAATATTTCTTTATTCAGCAGTTTTCAAAATTTCTAAGTATTAATTTTTTTCAAGAACAGCAAAGGTGCATTTTTTAATGCATTTTATAGTGGCTAGTCTTGGCTTATTGTAAATGAGAGCTAGCTCGCCAAAACTTTATCCTTCTTTTAATTTTTTGACAAGCATCAACTGACTGAAATCATTTGGAATAATATTAATCAAAGATTAAGCAGGAGTTTATGGTATCTAATTTTATTCTTTATTTGATTCAGGAGACTAATTTAAAAATAAATAAAAAAATGTTAAAAATAAGAAAAAATAAATGTTTTTACTTTATTAAAAGCATCATTTTTTTTAATAAACTAGCTCTACAGCATTTCTTACTGTGCTTTAAGAGAATTATTAGAACTCTTCTGTTTTTCTTATTTTTATTAATATTTTTTAGTTGGAGATGAATCATATTACTCGAGTTTAGAAGAAATTCGAGTTTCTGTGATTTCTTATTACGATGCCTTGTTATATTGTCTAGGCATTTGTGAGTATTCAATATTCCCTGTTTTATTTGAATTATTATTAGTTTAAGAGATTAATTCAGATAAATCTTTTTCCTAGATTTATTAGTTTTAATTTTTTGTGGTTTGAGATCCTATTTGAGCTATTGAAGATAGAGTGATTTAAGAATTAGGTATTTTAGCGTATACTTCAACTTCACCTTCTAAAATCAAATAGAATTTTTCACCTATTGTTCCTACATTTAAATGAAATATTTTAATGTTAAAATTGTATAAAAATAATTTTAAAAATAATTAAAAGAAATGAAAACATTTATTAAAAATATACCAATTTCAAAAACATTTTAATCTTTTTCAAAGAACTCGATTTGCATCTATTGGCAGCATTTTAGTAGTATATCTCTTTGACCATCTTCAATATATTTTTGAAAAAAGGGTAAATTTTCCATTATTTTCAAAAGCTCGTTTAAATTTGAAGATCTTCTCTCTTTCGGTTTCTTTTACAGAGCTCTAATTATGACGCTGTTAGCTTCATCGATTGAATTTTAAGTTGAAATAAACTGCTCTTATCTCATAATATCAATATCTTAAAGATTAATTAATACACCTTAGTTTTAATCAGCTCCAAACAAATGACTATTAAACTATGTATTAGATTTTTTAAACACCTGATCTAATTTGTTAAATGGTGTAAAGTTTTAATGGTCTTAGGATTAATCTAAAATTTCATTCGAAACACTTTAAATCAACAAATTTTATTTGTTTAATGTTTAGTCAGCCTCATCAATATGATTAAATTTATCAGACTATATGTCTAAAGTGCTCTTTTTTAATGATTCCCCAGTGCGAGAATCTATGTTTCTAGACATTTTGAATAAGAATGTCCCCTGAGTAAGAAATAATTATGGAAGATCTTAAAAAAATAAAGTATTTGAAGCAAAATAATATTTAGCAAATTATTAAGTTTCTAGTTACAGAGCGGAGATATTCAATTAATTTATAAAAATAATTTATGGTAATTAAAAATATACATTTGTATATCTTGTATTATATTTCCAAATATGCAAACAAACCACTAGATAAATATTTATTATTTACCATAAATTACTTTTATAATTTCTTTATTTAATTATGAAAGTAATTTAAAATTATAATCATATTAATTTATAAAAAAGATGAAAAAAAAATAAAATAGAATTATTTTATTTTTTTAAATTTAAAAGAAAATAAAATAAAAGAAATATTTTATTTAAGACTAAAATATAATTTTATCAAATCTATAAAGTTTTCTATTATCCATAAAAGATAAATAAGCAACAAAAAACCCAATGGTATTTTAACTTTTTCGAAAAAAGTAATCGTTAAAAATTTACAAATTTGCAAATAAAAAATTAATTAACTTTAACTCTTGATTTTTTGCAATAACAAATAAATCTTTATATAGAATAATTTATCACTATGTCAATGAGCAATAATTCAACAACACCTAAAAGGTAACACGCAAAGTAGCACCTTAGTTAACTTATAGGATTATCATAAAAGGATTTAAATAGTAACATAATTACAAATGTTTAACAACAATAACTAACTCTTTTAAAAATGTTGATTATCTTTAACATAAATTAATATTAATAAATAAAGAGTTATTCTTTGATGATAAAAGTCCAAACAACAAGATGCAATCTAGCTCAACTCCTAAGCAGCTTTTTAGCAATACAACAAAGAACGCCTCATAAAATTCAAATTTTTTTACAAGCAGCAATAAAAGCTATAACACCAACAATTTCTAAGAAGAAAAAGAAACATATAAGCCAAGCTTTAGCAGCAGTAAAAGTCCAATTAGAAAACCTCTTCAGATTTCTTAGAGTCCTATACCGTACTAAAGTATTTTAACTGAATAATAAAATCAACAAAATACTACTCCAACACATAAAAAGGATTTCTACTTTCATGTTAGAAAGAACTCAAAAACTCCTCCTAAGTAATACTTATAACAACAAGGCAACCTATTAATTAATTTATTTTTACAAATTTCAGAAAATAATTACCTCCTTTGTTGATAAATGAAGAAAATTCAATCGAAAAAGATAGAAATGGATAGAAAGGAAGTTTTGTAAATGGTGAAAAGAATATTTAATCATACATTAACTAATTTGAAAGTGTACTTTCTCCTGTTAGTACTACTTCAATCAGTTATAGCACAATAAATCCAAGCCAAGATATAGCTAATTTTAATACTAATAGCAACAATAATACTTAGAGTTTAAATTAATAAATATAGCCGAATCTAATATAAACTCAATAGAATGGACTTCATTCTCCCTATGCAAATACAAGCAACAATTTAACAAAATAAATGCTTTCTATCTCAAGTCAAAATGATAAATTTTTTAAAAGCCCAAAAACAGTATTGTAGTCTACAGTACAAAATACAAAATAAGGTGCTTAACAGATACAACAACTTTCAAAGTCTCCATAAAATTCATAGAGGTAGCCAGACATTGTTACAGAAAGACAACTTATTTTTTAGGAACTCAAAAATAAGATTTTGTCAATGAAAGTAAATGCAAGGGATACTCTTTTTTTGACTAGTCAGATTAAGGAAAAATACGAACAAAATGCAAAGTTTGCATTTGATTTCCTAGAAGAAAAAAATTCGTTTGTTCTAAAATACTACATTCATTTAGTACATGAAGAAATCGAAAGATTAGTTTAAAAAAAGAAAAACATTCTTTTATCAAGAAATTAAGCATTTAGCTAATTTCTCTCTTAGTTTATAAATGGAACCAATAAGCAAAAGATATCCTTAAAAGACGAATACTACAGTCTTTTACCCACAGCCATAGATTTGAAAGAAATAGTATCTAAAGACATAGCTCTTCTATATAGAAATTTAGAAAAAGAAAATACCCAAATAACCTAGCCTGTTTAGAGAGTTTCTCCTAAAAAGGAAAGCAACACAGAAAATTAATAAAATATCCAAAGTCAGAATATTTCTTCGTATACTAACGTAGACGTATAGTAGATTCCAAATGAAATCAAGCAACTTTTAGTTAAAGCAAATGTCTAAATTAATAATTTACAAAAAGAACTTGACACAGAAAAGTAAAGGGTAAAGCTATACAGTGAGGCAAATGGCTTAGAGGAAGATTTTGAAAGCGAATTTAAGAACCTTAAAATTCAAAACCAGTAGTTTTTTATTAAAAAAAATAATCAAAATTAATAAAAATATTTTTAAATAAAGAGATCTTAAAAAACAAATTTAGGAGCTAAGTGCTGAAAATGCTAATTTATTTAGGAAATTTAATGAATCTGATAAACTTGCAAAGTAACTTAAAGACGATAATGCAAATCTTAGTTCAAAGATAGAAGAAAAAGGATAAAAGTTAGAGAGTCTACACAAAGATTTAGAGGAATGTAAGATTTCCTTACAATAAATGATTATTGCCTAGCAGAATGAAAAATAATCTTTTTCAATTACTTTGTAAGAAAATGATGCAAAATATAATATTTTAAATGAGAAGAACTAGCTGATTGAAGTAATTAATTTTTTGATTTATTTGCTTGTTTTTCTTTGTTTGAATATAAAAGAAAGTGATATTAATTTACAAATTATCTTTAAAAGGAAAGAATTAAGAGTAAAGAAGATTAAATCCATTAAAAAGAAAATGAAGTGTTAATATTAAAGTAGAAGATAGAAGAACTAAAAAATCTTCAGGAAATTAACTAATTGCTCTTGGATGTTGATAAAAAGGATCATAATTTAGTAACGAATTTGATATGTTTAGTAAATAAGTTCTAAAACAATGAACTACCGAGAAATACATAAATTACTGTTGTGAAATACTTAGAAAAATTAAATTTGATTTGCAAATATTCAAGCTTAAGAACACCTTCCCCAAATAAAAATACACAAAAAAAAGAAATATAAAAAAGTGAAAAAATTAAATGCATAAACAATCAAACTCTTCACCTCCTTAATTCCTACATGCAGAAGCTCATGGATAAAATAGTCAAATAGCAAGTGCTCTACGAAGAACTTGAATGGTTTAAAGACAATATATAAAGATTAGTAGATAAATTCCTGCAAATGTCCAAAAATCAAATCTCATTTAATCATATAGACTTCTTTAAATAAGAAATCTAAATAAAATATGACAGAATATAGTAAAAAATATCATAAATTTCACCAGACATAACATAACTTGAATCAGAGATGCAAGTAAATATTTTAACATTAAAACTTAATTTAAATTAAATTTTTAGGAAATAGCAGCAGACTAAGTAAAATTTTTAAAAAATGAATTGGAAGATAGCACAGACGAGGAATAATTGTATTCAAGTATTGAATTATAAAAAGAAAATAGTAAATTAAAAATGGAAATTCAGCACCTAAATACATAAATTTAGCAGCTAAATTTAAAAGATTAGTTAACTAATAATTCACTAACTAGCTCATTAAATAAAAAATCACTAAAATGATAAATAATTAAATTCTCCAAATTTTATCTGTAAAGATTTTATTGAAGTCAAAATTAAATAATTATCTAATTACTTAATAAGTTACTAATAAAATCTAATCTATCATTATTTTACTTAATTAATTATTAAATAAAATTTATTTTCATGTAAATAACAAACAAATATTTTATCTATTTATCTATCAATCAATGTATTCAATGTAAATAATTTCTATTTTTTATTTCATAAACTTTCTAAAATAAATATTTTTTTAATTATTATTTCTATCAAAGGAAATTTTATTTTAATTAAGTTGAATTTTAAGGAAAAAAATGATTAAGGTTGGGTCTTCTTACATTCAGTAAGTATTTAGTATTAAATTTTAGATAAAAATGATTTTAAATATCATTTTTCAAAATATGTAATTAATTTAAATAATTATAATTAACTAGTTTACTTAAATTGAAATTTAGTATTTTAAGTGATAAGCAAACAAACAAGCAAATAAGCATTAATTAATAATTTACTTAATACTATAAATAATACAAAAGATAAAATTGAAGTTGTTTATTTCAACTTATTTTTCAATTGAATTTATAATAAAACACAGTTAAATGAACATTATAACTCTGATTTTATTATCATTACTCTTTTTAAATGTGGAATGTATAAAATAATATCAAATTTACATATATCCTTATTGGCCACTTACAGTTTGCAATTCTACAAATGCTTAGATATTATTAGACTCGAATACTTAAATGAATTCTGCTCAATTAAGTATTATATCGGGTTATGAACTGCAGCTTGTCTTGTAATTAAAATAAATGATTTAACTAGTTTGATTGATTGATTGATTTATTTATTTTATGCTTTTAAAGATAAAATATAGGTAACATGAAGAATGATTAATTTTATCAGATACAACTTACATGTGTAAGTCCTGATAGTTTTTATTAAACATTGGCAAATGACGCTTCTACAACTGATAGAATTGTTTTAGGAATAGGAGCTCAACGAGTTAGCTAATCTGTTTTAAGCTAAAATATTGCTAATTCTATGCCAATATATCTAAGCAGCTTGAAGTTAATATATTAGTAAGATTAAAACAAAAGCTACTGGATTTTATTCAGACCTTTGTCTGTAGAAGTTATATTCAGCTATTTGGGATTAGGAATCGCAGTGAGTTTGATAGTTTGGTTTATGGAAGAGCGTGCTTGGAGTTAGCCAAAGATAAAGCATATTAACAATATTTTAGAAATAGTCTATGATGTATTCTCAAGTCTCTTCTTTACCAATTTAATTTATTTGCAAAAAGCTAGCTCTAGAATCGTTCTTTGGTTCTTTTGGTTCACTACATTTGTTTATATAGTAATTTATTAATCTGAATTGACTCTCAAAGTTTCTGAATCCTACACCACAAGTAAATAAAATAAATGTCTAATTTAATTATAATTAATTTTTCATTTTACTTTAATAAACAAACAAAAGAAACTCTCAGTAGTATGGATTCAGCTATTTCATAAAACTACAAGATAGGAGTTTTTGATGTTTTTTATAATCAAATGTTAAGCAGTTATCCAGACAATACTTCTAATTTTGTTAGCTATAATACCACTAACACTCTACAGACAATTAATGTAAAGTATTTATTTCTGAAATCATTCTTTTAATTTTTATAATTCTCAAAAAAAAGCAACTATTTACAGATCTTTAAACTAGCAAAATTTAAGGATTTCTTTTAGAAACTCCTTTGTCTAATTATTATTGTTCTTTATATTGCAGTGCTGAAGCAGTTGATGAAGTTATCTTATCATTTAACTATGTGAGTCTTTTTGCGAAAGGAACAAGTAATTAAGTTATTGTCAATTACAATTCATAGTTATCTAAGTCTCAACAGTCCTTGCCTTTGAGCTTGATAAAAGGATAAATTTTTGATGTTACTGGATTATCTCCCTGCTAAGCAAGTGCAGAGCAAATAAAGACATCAGAACTTGCAGGAGTATGGATTATTCTAGGAATAACTTTTGGCATCACTCTATTTATTTGGGGAATATAGAAGTGTTTGAAAGTAAAGCTAAGCAAAAGCACTAAGTATTATTACTAGTTTTAAAACTAAAAAAATTAACTTTTTGAAGATCGCTTATAAAAACAAATAAAACAAGAAGTGTCTGGTAACTTACAATCTATCTATCTATCTATCTATCTTTATATTTTTCTATTTAAAAAATTTAATTTTGAAAATTTACCTAAATTATTTTATTAAAAGAAATTTTGGAAAACTATAAAGGAAACTTTTTCAAATAAATTTAACTATTTGAAAGAAGTTTAATGCTATAAGATGTAGATGAAAAGAGTATGTAAAATATACATACACCAGGCTATCCAAAAGAACAACATGACGAAGTTACAATTGATAATTAAAATGAAGTCTATAAAAGAACTATCTAAAAACAATCAGAATGAAAAACCAAACTATTTTTACTTATTTATTTATTAAATTTATTCAGCTTTAACTAAATTAATTAATTATTTGTTTTTTTTGTTTTTCTAACAATTAAAATTTTAATATTTCACAATTCCAAATTATATTTATTTTGTACAATTTTATTATTTAGTTTTACAAGTATTTAAATTAATTAAATTCTTTTAAATTTTTAATTTATTTTGTAAATTTATAAAATTATTTGAATTAAAAATTAAAAGAAAACCATTAGTAGGTTAGTTAGATAGATAGATAGATAGATAAATAGTTAGTTAGATATTAATTAATTAAATAAATATGTAGCTGAGTTGGTGAATGATCTAGTAATTATTCTTTAGCTTTATTTTAATTTATTTCTTTTTTTGGATTTTATGTTTTTTTCTTTGTATTTTCTTATTTATTTATTTTGATTTATTTTGATTTATTTTTTACTTATTTCTTATTTTATTTTTAATTAATTTCAATATTTATTTATTTATTTATTTTTTTCAAATTTTTTAAATTTTATTTATATTTTATTTATTTATTTATCAGCAGAGCGAGTGAGAGAAAATATCAAGGCACTTTAGTAAGCTAGCTTTTTTAAAAAAATACTAATTATATAGATTAATATAGAATTGACAGAAGAGAGAATTGCATCGAAAAGGCGGCCAAATAATACTTTGTCTCTAAGCTAATCTGATTTAACTAGAATTCACTTATTAAGGTTAAAAACTTTTGGATAATTAAAAGAATGAAATCGATTATTTATATTCAGCAACTTATATAAATATAATCGATTATGAAAAATGATCAGGTTTGAAAAACTTTATTCATTCTTTTTTCTCATCAATAAGTGAAAATTAAGTGTTTCAGATCAAGCTTAGATTGCGGACTTTCATTATTTAGATCTTTATTGATGTTTTTTTGGAATTTCTTATTTCTTTTTTCCTCATCAATTTCCTCCTTTTTTCTGCTTGATTTTCAATCAAATTTTGAATTATTAATTATAAATTTTCTTATCAATTTTTTATAATTTAAAGAGGTGGGAAAACATTAATTAATTAATTAAAAAACATAAACAATAAATATAAAATATCTTAGATAATGTAATGAATTCTAATATAAAAATAAATAAATAATAATGAATTGTGTTTCATTAATTCCATGTTATTCACTTTAGCTAATAACAAATCAATCGATATAATACTAACTTAAAAAAATAATTTCCTTTTAACTTATTTAAAATTGAAATAATTTGTATGGACGGACTATAAAACTATTTAATTTATCTAGCAAACAAACATTTTACTATTTAGGTTAAATTAAGTTATTTATAGTGAATATTTTACTTTAATTAAATCTTTATTTTAGGTAATATAAATTAGGTTTTTATTTAATAAAAAAGTTGTCTTAATCCTTCAATCATCAGGAGCAATAGGGATCAGCCAAAAAGCATATAGGTAGAACGATGAAACTAGAAAGTCTTTTTATCCAAATTTTTATTTTCTGTTAATGGCGTATATAGTAAACTAATAAACAATAGATATAAGACCTGTAATTAGGCAAATTAAGAAACTTTCAAGTATTGAGAAAAATATAGTTAAAATAAAGGATAGCGCCACTTTTAAAAGAAGTATTACTCCAATTATCAAGTACATGTTACTGAATTTACTTAAGGTAATTATGGAGATTAAAAAAAAGTCTCCACAGAGAAGAGCTAATGAGTAAACATATAGATGATAATAGCAAATACAAAAGATGAATCCAAGTAAGTAAATTTTTGATAGAGAAAAGAGGATCAGACTCAGTAAACTTAAGGGGAAGTCTCTTATTGTAATAAAGAAAAATCTAACAGCAACTATGCAGAGAATGCATGATGCACAGCTAATAATAAGAAAAGCTGGATGTTCCATCATATACTTTCTTACTTCATCAAATACCCAAATCCTAAAATGAAAAGTGAAAATAGAATTTAATAAAATGTTAAAAACATTTTTTTGTAGATTAACAAAATAATTACAAAAATACAAAGCCTAATGCAATGGAGTATTAAGTAAAATAAACTATGTTAATATGTGCTTCTAAACTCTTATAAAGAGAATCTCTTTCAAAGATCTTTACTGATTTTTTCGTTTTTTCAGCTTCTAAATCTTCATAGTGCTCAGTGCCATACATTTTTAGAAATACTACTATTATTATTTCAAGTTTAATTTGCAAAAATATTATATTAACAACGTTTATTTTCTTGATACAACAAAGTAGTTTTTGATTCTTTCTTTAATTTTCTGATTATCAAAAACGAATATTTTGCATGCTCTTCTTATTCACAATTAAAAAGAGAGAGCATCAAAATATTTAGAAAGTTAAAGAAATGATAAAATATAGCATTATTGATCAATCTTGCTAAATTTAAAAGAAATTTATTATTTATTGCTTTGTTATAAAATAAAAGTATTTATAGTTATTTGCAATTTTAAAAGGCTGTTTATTTACTATCAAACTTACTTAATAAAAACTAAAAATTCTGATTGGTATATTTTCAAATAAGTAATATTTGACAAATTTAAGAACAAACTATTTAAATTAAAGTTTACTCACAGATTCTAATAGAAAGTAAGTATCAATTAAATTTTTATTTTAAAATTAATTTAAAAATATTAATTTATTTTAATAAATAACTTATTTTATTTCAAAGAAAACAGATTTCAACTTACAATTTTATTTTATTTATAATTATCAGAGTTTAATCTAATAATTTAAATAAGAATTTTTATTTTATTTAATAATTATTACAGTTTAATCTAATAATTTAAAATGTTTTATTTTAATAAATTTAATTAATACTAAAAATATTACCGATAATTTTTTAAAAGAAAGTAAGTAGCTAATTGATGGTTTGAATTGCTTTAAAGATTAAAGCAAACATCTACTTTTTCTATTTAAAAATTCAGATATATTCTTTGATTAATGAAATTTGAATTTAATATTTCTATTATAACAACTTTTAGTTAGTTAATATATTTATTAGTTTATTTACTTAAGTTGCTTTTAAATATAGTTTTTATAAATAAATAATTTAATATTTGAATCAATTGAAAAATTATAATTGTTAATTTCAATACCTAATTTATTTCCAATTCATTTGTTTAAATGGTGTTTTATAACCAAAATTTTTGTCAAAAGATATTAGTCATAATATGATTTATTAAAATAATTTAGATTTTTGTTAAATAGAAAATAGAAAAATAATTAATAAAAATTATTTTTTTGTGAATATTTAAAAATAAATATTTTGTTTTATGATATTTTTTATTTAAAATTAATTTAAATTAGATAATTAATTTATTAGATTATTTATTATTTGGTTTTAAACATGCAAACAAATAAATATTTATGTAAAAAACAAATTAAAATAATCTATTTAATATAAATTATTATATCATCAAATCAAACTAAATGCAATAATTATTTTTAGAATAATTAAAGGATTCGAATTATAAATAATACATTGTTTATAAATTTATTTACCTTTTTATTATCTAGCTAAATTATTAAATTGGAGATCTAATAAAATTCTTAGTTTTTGTTAATGAAAATTCGAATAATGAATTATTTATTTATAGACTCATTGATTGATTGATACTTGAATAATAAATATACAACTTACCAAATAATATTTTTATTAATTCTGCTGCAAGGTAAATTGAGCTGGCAAAAAAATAATAATTGCAAATATATTAAGTAAACATAAGCAAGAAGAGTATAAAGCAAATAAATAAATAAACTTAAAAGATTTAGGAGATAATTAGTGATAAATTTAAGGAGTATTAACAATGGATAAAAGATCATAAAGCTAGGTATAGTTTAAGACAAATTATAATGAACCTTCAAGGACTAGCATCAATTTGAAGGAGAAGCAACTTCTCGAAAAAAGTGGATCTGTCGCTTAAAATCTAAATAGAAATGTTCCAAATGATTTATACGCCAGTGTGAGCTAAAAAGATAAAGAATCGTATGAATTTATTCACTTTTGAGAAAATAAATAAGATCATGCATTTAAATTGTTATTTACTAACTTATTTGTTGTTAAAAATAGATAAAAGAATGCTTCCCACTATGATAATAATTTCTAAAAAAGCCAATAGGATTCAGGCAAAAATGTTTCTGCAGAAGAATTATAGGAAATGTATTCTACTAGAAAGGAGGCTCTCTAAAAGCATATGGATAAATTATTTGTTTCAAATGATACCTATTTTAAATTGATGAAAGGTAATTAATTAACTTGCTTTGTAATGATTGTACTCTACATAGAAATATTTATTTAGCAAATCTTAACATTAGATTAGAAAACATATTTATTTTAATATAATTAAATGATTCATAAAATTCAAAAATATAAATTAATTCAGGTGGACTTGTTTGCGGTTATTGTCATCGTCCTAAAGATCTTAACTTGGATTACAAAAAAGGAGCTGAATCTATTTACTAAAAAGATTTTAAGCCACACGCTTGCTGCAAAGGTGTGCCAAGAGTCCGCTCTGATTTTTTCGGAGGGTAAATTTTATTTAGCACTTTAAGTTAATGAATATATAAATAAATTATTTTGATATTGATATAGATTCTACACTTAGTAACCCATGGAACTTACAACTGTTCATAGAGTAATTATTTATATTATCAAAAATCATTATGTATTTAAACAAACAAACAATAAATAAATAGACTGATTATATTCCTCACCCTTTAGAAAAAAATAAATCAGAGAAGAAGCCAGACTCATCCTAATTTCTTCCATTTGCAGGAGTTTCAAGTTACAATGTAAATAAAACTCTTTGATATTTATTTATAAGATTAGTAATAAATTATCAAAATTAGGACTAATATGCAAATTGGGGTTCAAATCCAGTCAGCTTAATTAAACCTCCTTATCATCCTACAGTTATTAAAGAATTACCTTTTGTAGGAAAAACTATGTACAAAGATTATTACTAAGGAAAACCTGCTGAAAAAGATGCCGAAAGAGATAAAATCATTTAAACTCATAGAAGAGGATAGTTTAAGTAATAAAAAAATAATATTCACAAAAAGAAAATAAATTTATGTTTTAAAATAATGTTAGATCACCTATAAATCCTGATTTCCCATTCTTGTCTTCTACCTCGTATGGCTCTACATATATTCCATAAAACACTTCCACTAATAACTTTAAAGTTCCATAAAAAGTAAATCAATCAAGCTTTAAATAATAAAATCCTTTATAAATTATAAAATTATTTTTTTAAAAAAAGGCATCTGCACCTCTTCCTCCTTTCGACGGTTAATATGTCACTAATTATAAGAAAGATTATGATGACAAGTCTCACCATCCTAGTCAAAAGTGTGATGATAAAAATTGTATTATATGTGGCAGAAGATTACTTAAAAAGTAAGTATCGTGAAATCTGCTATTAAAGATTTAAGTTAAAAAAATAAAATTAATAAAATATATTAGAACATTTATAACAAAGTAATTAAATGAGTATCCTTTTGTTAGTTAGTTAATTAATTAATTAGTTTACCATCATTTTCTTTCATTTCTAATAAATGCTATTTCTCAATAATTTTGTATGAAATTAAAACATTTTTTAAAAATTGTAAATTATAAACTGTATCTTTCTTTGTTAATTAATTGAAATTTTTATTAACGTAATCTATAAAAGATATTAATTAGATTCTAAAAATAATTGATTGAATTTTAAGTGATAGGGTTTTAAAAAAATAATTTATTGCATTGTATTGTATTGTTTAGATAATATTTGATTTTAAAATCAATTAAATTTCTTACTAAATAAAACTCTTTTAAATATAATTTTGTTTTAAAATTAAAATAATTAAGAAAAATATCGAAATTTTAAACGATGTATCTTAGAATCAAGTACTAAATCATAAAATGATATAATTAATAGCTAGAATTAAAGAGAAATTATTCAATTGAAAGACAAATATTTATAAATTTTGCTTTTTAAATGCGTAAAAAATATTATTATATGAAAATAAATTGTATCAATTAAACTTTGCTATAATCTCTCCATCAATCTATTAATTAATTCATTCATTCGTCTTCTTTTATTCTCAAGAAAATAGGGAATCTTGGTTTACCATCTTTGGTAAGATTTTGGTATTTGAATGTTATCACACTTCCTTTTTTAGGTGGCCTTCTTCTTTAGTCATCATTGAATCCTGATCCTATTTTGAATTCTTTTCCATTTTTCATACGGCATACCAAAGCACCCATCATATCTGCACATCTTCCTTCACCTCTTTCACTCCCAATTACTGTAGCTTCTTCATCTGTAAATGTTTTTACCTTAAGAAGGGTTTTTGATCTTCTGCATTCATACATTGAATTAGGATCTCTTAACATCAAACCTTCGCCATTATTTTTTAAGACTCTATCAAGCTCTGATTCAAGTTATTCTCTGCTCTCCACTATCTTATGTGGAAGAACTTTAATGTACTTGTTACCAAGTTTTGGAATTTATTCTTGTAAAGCTTTTATTCTATCTTTAAAGGGTTTTAATAATTTAGGACAGTCGTAAACTAAGTAAACAATATCTTTCCACCTTTCATCTTTTTCTTCATTTCCATTTTTTGTCTTAACAATACCCACACAACGCTAGAAATCATCTCTTTTTGTAAACAATTCCCCATCTAAAGTGCAATTTGGGAAATTTTAAATGAAAAATGGAGGAGGGTAGAATTCGTTACCATTCCTAGAATAAAATGTCTTTCCAGTCCAAACAGCTCTGACTCCATCCATTTTTTCACTTGCATACCAGCCAGTTGGATCCATTTCATCTGGCATTGCTTAAGCTAAAAGTACACCTGAATCCATACTTCCGTTAGCACCTAAAGAACCTTTTTTAATTTCTCCAGTTACAACAACTGAGCTATTACCATCATCATCATCACCCTTGTCGAATGATAAATCTAATTAAGAGCCACCAGACCTAGCAGTTAAATCTGACTAATCTGAGATACCTGAAATATTTGAATGTGAATCGTCGTATAACCCTGAATCTTTATTAAAATTTTTCTTTTTGCCTTTCTAGTTGAGATCAAGCTAATTATTATTACTAGATCCATTTTATGCTGAAAAGTGTTTATTAACTTCATTTAGCTAAAAATTATATTGACTATCATCTCTCACATATCCCTTTCTTTCGTATTCCTCAATTTAATTTTTGAAATACAATTTACACTAGTTTGCACTTAATATTGTAGAACTTTTTTCCCATGTCTTTTTTATTCCTAGTTTGCCTATAATTTCTTCTACTTCATTGCCAGACAGAGTTAAAATTACAAATTATGATGACCAAGTTTTGTTTTCCTATAAATACGCTTGAGTATTTGAATCAACTTTAGAATCTTTATCATCGTTAGCATTATTTTCAACAGATTTAGGTGCTGAAATTTAAATTGAAAATCCACTTGCGTTATTTGCAGGAATGATGATTTAAGGCTCATTCTTTTTCATGGGAATATCTCCGCTATATCCTTTCAATTTTTTGTTTTCAATCACTCTTATTATGTAATCTAAACAAGAGTCAGTGTCTTTGTGCTACTTTTGGACAATTTAAGTTTTCTCTTCAATCTCTTCACCTTAAACCAACTTTCCATATCTGATTTAAGATTTATTTCCATCAAGCAGGCTGATTTCCCAAAACTTTGATTGATTAAAATTAAGAAATACAGGTTTTGTTAAATCAATTTTGATCATCTTAGATTACTTAATTAGAATTGAAATCTATCTATCTTTTTGAATTTAATTTATTTTTTATTTACTAATAATCTTTTTATCAAATATAAAGTAAACTAATTAATGACAATGTATGTATTTATATATATATGAATATTCTACGCGCTATTTTAATTAAAAGCGAAGTCATAATATTTTATCAAAAAAGAATAAAAACAAACAGTCACATCTTCTATTTCATTAAAGTTAATCTATCTGATTATCTATTCACCTTTATTTTTTATTATAAATAAGTATATTTTGACTACTTTTGTATTTTTAAAAGCATTTTATAAAATTTTTCTACTAAATGATTATTTTTTATCATTATCCATCCATAATTTTTTGAGTTATTTTTGAATCTAACTAAGTATTTAAAAAAGTATTTTAACTATTATTTTTTATTTCATAAACTCCTAATTATTTATAACCTATTTTCTTTATTTTTTATTTTAAAATGTTCATTTAACTATTTTTTTTTTTAAAGTATTAAAAATATTTTTATTCAATCATGTTTTTAACATAATTTATTATTTAATTTATATTTTTCATTTTTAAAAATTAAGAAAAATATTTTATTTGCTATCTATTTAATTTATTCAATGTGGTAAAAATTTTTTCATATCAAAAAGTATTTTAATAATTATCTGAATTAATTTTTGAAAAAAATTTCCAAATATATTATTTAAGGAGCCTACCTTTATTTTTATCTTTTAGAGATTTAGAGCTGTTATTTTAATTTTTGCATGAAATTTTTACAATTTAAAATAAAAGTAATTTAAATTTCTATGAAAAATACTTATTGATATAAATAAAGCAAAGAGATCAAGATTTTTATAAAAACGAGAAATTGTTAATATTAAATGCTTTATTAGCTATCTATCTATATACAAATAAATATGTGTTTGTTTATAAATAAAAAAGTATGAAATTAAAATTAGTTTATTTTAAAGGATTATTAAAATGATCAATTATATTGCTGCATGCTCATTTGTATAGCTTTTTACATTTCTTCGTCTTCATCGTAAAAGTCGTCCTATATTTATTTATTTTTTAATTGATTTTTTTTGGATATTATTTTATATATAAAAGAGATTTATTTACTTCTTATATTTGTGGTTTGCTTTAAGTTTTATTTGCAGGCATTTTATTTGATTCTTTTTAAATATTTTGAATTACTCCACCTCTTCTATTAATTTAATTGTTTTGCTTTTAAGTAACTTCATAATCGCTATCATCATCACCGTCTTCATTAAGATTCCTTTTATTTCCTCTATTTCTAAGATTTCTTCCTTATTTTTAGTTTTATTTTTATTGAGCTTATTTTTGTTGCTATCCTCTATTGTTGCTATTGACTGCTGCTCTTTAATTATTTTTATTTTAGTTTCTGCCTTTTTTTCTTTCATTAGAATAAGATTCGTCTAGGTCATAATCTTCATCACTATATTGATCTTATAATTCGTATTCATTGAAATCTTCATCTTGCTTTGAATATTAATTTGCCTGTGTAGTTTTACTTTTATTGTTGTTGGTTTGGGTTTTACTATTTTAATTTCCTTCTTAAGCTTTTAATTAATCGTTATCCTCAGATTCATAATCTTCATATTTAAAATTACCATCTTCCTCTAAGTCAGATTCAACTAATAATTTTTTAATTCCTCTTGTTTTTATTTTATTGTTTTCCATCACTTTTATATTAATTTTGAAGGTTTATTTAAGGCATTTAAATAAATTAAAATAAGCTTACTCGAATCTAATTTATTTTGTTGCTTTTGCTTTAACTATGTCATTTTTTAATTAGAGAAAGAGTCATCAGCTTTATCATTTGCACTTTTTCTCAAAAGAACTCTTTTTCCTTCAGTTTTTTGCTTTTGCTTGCTAGAGTTCCGAGTTTCTCTAGATTTTTAAAGATTGTTTACTGTTTTTTCATATTCATTAACATCTATACTGGCAACAGAATCATCAGCTTCTTCTTCGTCTTCCTCTTCTTCTGCTTCTTCATCATCAACAACAAAATCGTCATCCTTTCTTTTCTTTTTCTTATTTTTATCGTTTTTTCCTTTCTCTTTATCCTCCTCTTCTTCTTATTCGCTTGGTTCAGATGGTTCTTCTTTGTAAAATTCTTGTTCATCGTAATCATAGTCATAATCATATTCATCTTCGAAATTATCTTATTTTTTATTTTATGCTTGGGTTTAGATCCTGTAAATATCCTGCTGCTCAGCTTCTTAGTTTAAGTTTCTTTGTAAGATGCATATTGCTTCATGGTCATCATAGTCTGTATAATAAAATTTAATCAAATCACTTTAATTCTACAACGTTTAATTTTTTTAAAAACTAATTATTCAATATCATAAAAAATGCAAATATATTTATTAAATAATGAAAAACTCACCCCTCAAAATAATATGTTTGCCACATTTGTGACACAGTTTAGTCCTTGAAGAGCAAGCAATTACATGGTCTTAGAAATCATCTTTGATAATTTAAGTTTCACAAAACCTGCAAAATTTGGGTTTCTTTTCACAATATTTGTCTTAATGATCCTTAAAGTGTCTTTGTTCTATTTCCTGATCGCAAAATTTGCACTTTAGCTTTATTTTAAACAAAGAATTTTTATTAACTATTAGCATTTATTTATTTTGCTCTTTTTTTTTAAGATAAATCCATAATGAATTGCAAATTATAATATATGTATTTATTTATTTATTTATGCTGAGTGATAATGATTATTACTAATTAATGAATTTCTAGATGTGCTTCGGGATCTCTTTTGTCATAATACTCAGGACAGAGTTTACATGCTATAATATTACGGTAGCAGTATGCTTCATGAAGAGCTAGCTTAGAATCTTCAATTTCCTTTTTACTATAATTTATAAAATTATGTTGATATAGTCGCTCATATCTGAATAGTAATTTCTAAAAATGTAATCAATCAAAGCTAGCTAGTAATGTAAGTTTGCTAACTCCTAAGTTATACTAACTTGAGTGCTTTGCTACATCTATTGTGCTTTTTAAATGCAAATGTAATTAAAAGAATAGAATTTCTCACCAGTTTCCACAATGGACTGACTATTAAGCATGAGTTTTAGTTTCACTCATTTCTTGCTTGTTTGCTACAGTTTAAACTTTTTTAGATCAAATTTGTTATTTTAAAAATTAAATATGCAAATATTTATCTTTTATTACTTACTATCAATAGAAAGGTAAATTGATTCTTGACTATTCTTTATAGTAAATCAATCGATTGTAGTTAAGGAAATGAATGAATGAATGCATTTCTTAAGAATGACGATGAGAGAAATTAAATTTAATTATCGTCTACTATAGAGCGAAATTCTAACTTATCACTTAGATTGCTAACTTTGCTTTAACTCCTTTATTTTTTGGTTAGCTCTTTTCAGAATTTAATTTAAAAGCAGATATTTATTTATTTGTTTTATTTCTAATTTTGCAGAATAACAATTATCATTCATTACTCATTCATTTATTGATTAATTGATAGATAGATAGATTGATACATTTTTAAAAGCTTCTTTTTAAAATAAGCGCGAAATAATTATTAATAATCTCTTAAATTAAATTTAAAAGGCTTTATTTGAAACATAAAGTTCTAGAAAGCTAAAAATGTATTTAAATATTACGCTATTATTCATAAAATTGTTGAAATTTAAAAGCCTCTGCTTATTATTACACTTGATAGACATAAATTTAATTAGATTTCTTAAATTAAATACACTCACAAATAAGATTTATGACAGTAACATAAAAGTTATTTTTATTTAATTATGTTGCCTTTTATATCAAGTTAAGTGAATAAGTAAGTGGCAGTACTTTAAGTCGTACAATTGTCTTAAATTACGTATAATTGACTTGCTTTTCGATTCTTATCTGAATTAATCAAAAACTTAAAGCTTCTGAAATATTTAGACTTAGAATTTATTAATTGATAGCTTAAAATGATATTTTTGAAAAAAGCTGCAAAAAGAATCTAGAATAAAAATATTTAAAATGCAGACAAAAAAATAATGTATTTAGGAAGAAAAACGGATTGCTTCTTTGAATAATAGTTTTGGGCAGAAATATTCTACAAAGAAAAGATACGAGTGATAGAAAGAATACTAATTATCTAATACATTAATATTTATTATAAAAATCTCTTTTGTGGGCAAACAATCAAAAAATAAAGATAAATTAATAAGTCTAATAAAAGCGAAACAAATCGTAGCCTCAATATCTCAAAAACTCAGAAAAATTCAGTCTCAGATAATTTTTAGCTGGAAATAGCACAGAATGATATGCTCCAGCAAAAAGTAATTATATACTTATGTTTTTAGTAGGGTCTTTTTTTGGTAGTATTGAAAGAATTCTGAGAAAAAAAAACTAAAATATAGATTTAGTTTCCTTTTTAGATTAAAGATGACTGAACAATCAATTAATTAATAAATTAATCAATCAATCAATCAATCTAAGCAGCTGGATAATTGAATTGAATTGAAAGGCCTCAGAAGAATAACACAGAATTAAATAAAGCAGTCAAACAAGCAAACAAGCAAGCAAGATAATTAATTTAGTATAATCTAAGTAAAAGAAACTAATAATTATAATTAAAATTATGATAATTAACTATTTGTTTGAATTAAGAATTAAAAAAATCAAAGTAAACAAAAAAAGCAAAAAAAAACCAACAAAGAGTTGATTTTATCTTAGAACTGAGATAGATCATGATATAGGAAAAATATGAAGCCAAAAAAACTGAATATAAATCTTAGCGCGTGAGGCATGGCTACACGCTGAATTTGAATAATATCTTTGATGACTTGGATCTTGAATAAGATAGTGATTTCAAGTCACTTCTCGATTATCAACTCTTCGATAAAGTGGTATGATTTTATTTATACACATTAAGTTTACTCAATTATCTTGATTCTCACTCACTCATTCTAGCTTCTTTTTGCTTCATAAAAGCATCAAAATGAAAACTAAATTAACTAACCCTGAATTCTTTTTTTATTCAAAAAGCGTAAAAAAATTAAGACAGCTTAGCATTAACAAAATACAGAAAGTATTTCATTTGATTTAATTTAAATTAATATAATGACTTAACTCAAGTAATCAATCAATCAAGCATATCATTAATGGCAATCCAAAAATTAAATAAATAGCATTATGCATTATTTTCCTGTTTTTTCAAATTTTTTACTTAATAAGTGGCTAATAAAATACTAATTATTTGCTTATTTGGGGGTTCTTTTGCGTTTAAAAATGCGTTTGTTGCAAATATTTTACATATAAATCATTAAATAATTAATTGGATGCACTTAAGTGTAACAAGTCCTGCCATTAATTATTATTTTTATAAAGGCATGAAAATTAATTTAAAATAACTAAATGTTCTAGTTTTACATTAATTTGGGAAGATTTTATGATATAAATTTTTAATAGAATGATAAAAAATGAACTTCTTTATAATCCAATTATATGCCTTTGAAATTTAAACATGAGATCGATTTTGTATTCATTTAACATTTTAAAAAAAAAAGAAGAAAACAGTATCGAGATGGAATAAGAGCCATTGCCACAAAAACACAATGAAAATAATTATAATAATATGGGAATGTTTGAGTTTTATTCTTGCTTTTAATAAAATTCAAATTTTTGTGATATACTTAAAACTGGAAAATTGTCTGATTAGCTTAAAACAAGCGAATTTTCACCAAAAGACAAACAAATATTGTCATAGTTGAGTGTGAAATAACTCCAAAAAAATATAAACCTTGCTGACACTAAAACAATAAATTCTGACCAAATTATGAGTCCAGACAGCACTCAGTACTATGCTTGCAGAGAAAGCGAAGAGGACGAAGATGACGAATAAGAAGAAAAAAGCACTGCTCCAATTGATTTTGACATTGAAAACGATTAAATAAATTCAAATTCCATGCTGCAAGAAAGTCCAACAAGCTACAATTCATCTTATTCCTAGCGCAGCATTTCGTCTCCTATAATGTCGTTGACGAAACAATATTAAATTGGGAATGATTTTGTCATTATTGAACAGGTAAATTTACTAAAATATAATAAGAGATGTTTGCAATAAATAAATAAATAAATTTTTACCAATCTTTAATTTTGTAAGGCGTTATTCTATTAATTTTTGAAATACTCATTTCCACCTTTGAAAATTGAATTCATTGATTGATTAATTAATTATTTTAATCGATGTATAAGTATTTGCCAAAATTTAATAATTTATTCAGTAACAAAATATCTTAATTTAAAAATTTTGCTTAGCTCTTTCAAGCTTATAAAAATTAATTATTAATATTTAGAATCCAAAAATAGAATTTAATCTTATACAAAATAATATTTAGAATAAAGTAAAAAGAAGGCAAAAAAACCATGCTATGTACAAAAAATACAGATGCTACATGCAATAAGATAGTGAATAATATAACATTCTTTAATTAGAAAGTTCGCAAGGTAGTTAACTGATTAGATTCATTTATTAAAATTCATTAAATCCTTACTTTTTAATTTTTCTGTTATTTCATCCATTTTTTCATTTAGACAAATTTGTAATTGTGTGAATATAGAAATTTCGCAAGAAAATTAATGAAAAAAGTGCGCTAGCTGATTTATATTTCATTATTTATATTTGAAAAATAAAAAGAAAACATAGATTTGATACATAACTATCAACAGTTCAACCAAAGTGACTGCGTTCTCCAACACAAATACACTATAGAAGAAGACAATTATATTTTCTTAATTGTAAATTATTTATTTATTTTTAAATTTTATTTATTTCAAATAAAATTATGCATTTCGCTCATTCTAGCAATAATTTTTATTTTAAAATTCACTTTTCTCCCAACCTCTAAACAATTAATTAATTAATTAATAAATAATTCCAAAAAAGCTTGGCATAGAATAGCAATTAATTTAATTTATTTAATAATTCCCATTATAAAAAAATAGACAGAATAATTTGAAAGCTTCCATTTAGAATATCCAATCAATACAAATTTTTAGCTAATTATTGCAAGCATTAAAAAAATTTGTGATTTTCTATTATAAATTCTCGAAAACAAAGTTATTTAACTTGAAATAAAAGGTAAGTTTTATATCATTCATTCACTAATTGATTTTCTTTGAATATTAATATCATTCATTATTCTTTAACATAGCTGAACATCTTTGCTGGACAGCGAATGGATAAATAAAACTAGGTTTTGAAGTCTTTAAGCATATGACTAAAAGCCAAAGCTATAAGTCTTCCAAATTTATGTAAATAGAAACATCAAAAAAGTTTTGTGAATAGATTATATAAACTCTCAAAGAAGTCTCAGAAGGTAAATAAATAAATAAAATTTATTTTCATAAACTAACTTTTCAAAATTAATTAAAATAACCAAACAAATAAATAATTGAATAATTAAATAATAGGATTGAGCTACGAAATAAAAAGCGAATTGAATAGATTTATTGAATAGTAAGAACAATAAGAAGAAAAGTGCACTTTACAATAATTTCTAAAGCACCCTGTTTTTCAAATATAGAATCTATAGTACTACTAAATATGTTGAAAGCTAAAATTTTAAAAATAAATAGGCTGAAAGCGATAGATAGATAAATAAATAGAAAAAAAGTAAGAAAGACTGCACTAAAAATAATTTCAATAAAAAATAACAACCAAAATAATTAAAAAATTGTCATTAGTGGTGAAATAAATAGCAACTAACTAAAGGCAATTAATTAATAATTAAAATTTTAGCCATATAAAATAGAATGATATTTATAATTAAAAAACCAAATATTTTATCAAATTTTTCAACTGAGTGATTTACTAATTAATTAGTAAATTAATTAACCAAATAAAATATATTAATAAATAAATAAATCACCTATAAAATATATATAAAAATCAAACAAAGTTAGAGGATGATAAACTTAGATTAAAGAATATTTATTCTCTCTTCTTACAGTTTATTTATGCTCTTACTAAACTGCTAAAAAATAAATAAATAAATAACCAACATATTAAAAATATATCAAATTAATTCCAAAGAAAGCTACTCTTTCATGCATTCATTCTTTTTTCTATATATATATAACCAAACTATCACTATAAATATACTCTAGAAAAGTAAATATTCTAATACTATAGCATAACATTTAGCATAAAATTAATTTATTAATTAATTAATTCAATTAATAGCTGTGTTTTCTAATTGATTATCTTAACCAAAATAATTAAATATATTTAGATGCTCCTTTTATGTACAATTTTAATGCTTCATCTAAATTTTCTTATAGTTAAAATCTCACATATTTTATCAACTAAATTATCTATTATAAATATCTTAGGAACTGATTTAGTAAAACTCATCTAATACTTTATATATAAATAACACCAAACTTAATAGTTATAAATTAAGTAAGTAGGTGAAATACTTAAATTAATAGTTATTCAATTCTAAATAAACACAGTATTATGCAATATGATCTTTATTTAAATTTATCTCTGTAAAATGTAATTAATCTTTATAAATAATAAATCATTAAAATCTAATAATTCTTTTTTTTAACTTTGAGTATTAATGTGGCTTGGCTGAAAAGGGAGGTTTTAAATAATTTATTTCAAGATTATATTTTAAAAATCTAGATGATATTATCTTTAAAAATTTTCAAAAGTATTGGAAATCCCATGAATCAACCAACCTCCCTCCACAATACTTTTATGTTTTATGAAATCAATATTGATTTGGAAGTAAATATTTATTTTCATTTTTTAAAATATAATTTAAAGTTTTTATTTTAATGTTGGCAATTTATTGTTTGTTTAGTAAAATTATAATTTAATATTTAAATAGATCAAAATAAGTATTTTATATTTTCTTTATGTTATTTTGTAAAATAGCTTAACTTGATAAAAAATATAGATTGAATAAAATTATTTTGTATAAAATAAATTTATATATTTATTTTTCATTCTGTTAATGACCACAATTGCACTATTTTATCATAAAATGAACAAGTAATTATGTTCTTGGTGTCCTGGCTCCAATCACAAGAATAAGCTAAAGAAGTGTGTCCCTCTAATTTCTCTTATTGTTCTACTGTTTCTTTTAATAGAGAGTCATAAAAAATATGATTTTAAATTTCATTTATTTTACTGTTGCCATTTAAGTCAACAATTTCAAAATAATGTTAACAGTAAACTCCAAGAAGTGCTTGAGTAGAGCTTTAAGGTTTCCAAATAGCTCTCCAAACACCTCCCTCTCTTTTGGAAGCAAATATTTCTTTTTAAATGTTTCTCACATCCCATAGCCTTAAATGCTCATCATAGCTATTATTAAATAATATGATTGACTTCTTAATGTAAAATAAAAAGCATAAACAAATAAATACCATCCAGTAAAAAATTAGTTCGAATTTAAGGGGTCAAAATTGATTGTGCATATTCCCATTTCATGAGATCTTTATTATTTTTTTAATATATTTAATTAAAACCTTCATTTTAAATAATTAAATTTTTTTGAACCTTTTATTCATCATAACTTAAAAATCAGGTACTCTTGTGTCATAGAGTATTAACTTTTAGTCATCTCCTCCACTCAAAAAAATATTTTAATCTTCTTTACTAATTCCACAAGCCCACACAGAAAATTGATGCTTAGATACCTTAGTAATTTCTTTCAAAGGTTCTAATTTAAAGAAATGTTTTTTATTCCTATTAGAAATAAACAAATCTAATTTTAATTACCTAGATTTTATGCTAAATCAATAATAAAAACACTCTCTTAATCAGTAGAGGTGACTATTCTTATTTGTGGGAGGCTAGTTTTTGTTAAAATAAAAAGATTAAGACCCAGATATTTAAAGGCATTCATTCATACGTTATATTAACATCTATATACAGGCATTTATGTCCTTCTTCAGTTTATATTTCTCTTTCTTTATGCAATTTAATATTTGATTCTTCTTTTTCTTAAAATATAAATTACAAGATTCATTTTTATTAAAATGGTAAAAAATTACATTCTTTTAAAGAATAAATTCTGACAAAAGAATCGCTACAAGCTGTGCTTAAGAACACAGTATTATCTATCTTTTAATAAAACCATTAAAAATCTAAAACTCCAGCACTCTCTACTATGTCTTTTATCACTAGCTTACTGAAAATAAAGATTATATAATAATAATAATTAAAAATATTAAATTATACTTTTATTCTACTTAATATAATTCAAGACGTCCGTAAACTTTTTGATCCCTAAGTTCATAATATGCTATAACAAGGTAAGATTCGAAACCTTTTATAGGACAAAATTTAGCACAATCAGGAGTTAACTCAGAATTAAACTTTTAAACTGATTTAAATAAATTTTTATTTTCAGCCATTTAAATTATCAATTTTGATTAAATTTTGTGAATATTAAAAATAAAAATTGCATTATTTCAAGATATGCTTAATTTAGTATCTAAATTATATTCGTTAACACGAATATTAGTCAATTTAATCTATAAAATTTGCACTAAATCTAACTTTTAAAAAAGTAAAAATAAATTGTCATTTTTATATTCTACAAATAAATATTCTTAAAAATATTTTTTGAAATAAAAATAAATTTAGTAATTTTTAATAAAAGAAAAGTTTATTTATTATTTTATACTGCCATATTTTATTTTTTATTATTAATGTAACAAATTAAATTCAAAATAAGTAAGTAATTTATTTCATGATTTTAAAAATATCAGCAAATCAAATGTTTTCTAAATATTTTTATTTTTAACAATCCCAAATAAAAATTTATTAAAATAATATTATTTTTTAAAAATGTGTTAAGAAATTAAGTTAACTTAATTTAATAGTCGAATACACTTTTTTTTCTTCTAAATCAAATACAAATTTAATCAACAAAATCAATTTTTATTTATTAAAATAACTTATATTGTCATTTTGATAAAAAGCAATTTTTATATTTAAATAAATTATGATAAAATTTATAATTTTATGAAGTAAGTTTTGTTATAATTTTTTATAAAAAATAATACAAAAGTATTTTTTTTAGGTTGAACAAAGATATATTTTTATAAAAATGAAATTAAATAACTGTAGTAAAGTTAAGAGTAAATCAATAATTTTAATATTTTATAGAGAATTAAGATAAACAAGAGATTTTGTGGGAAATAGACATGTACCATCATTTAATATAGTATTTATTTTATTTTATTAAAAAAATATGATTTAATAACAAATTTATAATTTATAGACCTTCTTAAATTTTATTTTTTTATAGCCAAACAAGCACAAACAAGATTGTGCCTAATTATTAGTTAGATTCCCTTTAAAACGAATAATATTTTGCTAATTAATTATTAAAACAACTGCTTCACGATTGATTGATTTATTTATTTATTGCTTACTTGCTTGCTTGCTTGATTGATTTAATTATTTATTAGCATAAAAGCAAAATTTTCTTATATGGGATACACTTTTATTGCAAAATATTGGCAAAGGATTCATAAATAAATAAAAGAAAAATTGGAGTTCTTTAAAAGCTATTTATTTTTAACATAAAAATGAATTAATTATAATTTTTGTAACTTATTTAAGAATTAAATTAAGAAAAATGAGTAAGTAATTAAGTAAGTAAGTTAGTTTGTTTTACATGATCAATGTCTAGATACCACAGAGTCAATTGTTTACTTATATAGTTTAGGGAAATACTCTCTCAATACTTAAGAAGGCAAATCTCCCTTTTCAGAACCTATATTTAAGTTACCATATAGCTCTGAAAGATAGTCATTTGCTATTTTTTTAACATTAGCATCATAACTGCTAACACATTGCTTCATTTCTTAGAAAAGCTGACTATAATCTGCTCCTGTACCCCACCATTTCTCTTTATCATTCAAATCACCATCTTGAAGGGAAAGAAGTATGTGGAGGGTTTTTAGGGAAACGATAAAGCTCTACTTCAGGACTGAAGTTTGTTGATTTTTGCCTTTCTAATAATTTAATAAAGGGTTTTCTAAAACAAGAGAGTATTCATGAATGATTGAGGCAAATTGTGAGTGATTTGGATTTGAAACAGGAAGACTTTTCTCTTTTAAAGTAGTTAGTTTAGCCATTACTGATCTGATGTATTTTAAAAGCTAGTCATTATCAGAAGATGCTATTTATTCTATTGTCTACTAAATTTAATCCTTCTATTCGGTACCCTATAATTTTAGGAACTCTGTCAACTCAGATGATTAAACAAGTTCTACTTTTTCTTCAACACTCTTCTGTTCAATGCTCCTTTGAAATGCGGTTCCTGTTTTCGTCTCTATGAACATTTTGATAATAAAAATGATTAATTTTTTTTATAAATATTCATAGTATTAAAAGATTTTTCACCAAACATTATCTCCATCGATTTAGTGAGGAAAGTAATAATTTTGTTTGATGAAGTATTTTTTATTTTTATTTTTTGCCTTATTTTAGAAAAAATAATTTTACATTTATTTTCTTAGTATGATAACTCCTCTTTGTCATCAGGTTTCTTATCGTTCGAAAGACACGAACCCATAAATATATATTAATAAAACTTCTTTTTGACGAATAAATCTGTTTTGATAAAAAATGGATTGAGTGGTCTGCTTTGTAATTTAAAATAAATGCGTACAAATTTGGTAAAAATATTTGAGGCTCTCTTAAGGCGTAGCTTCTTTCTTTCTTTCTTTTTTAAATTTCCTATAAACAATTAAAAATTTGTAATAATTTTTATATTTAATTATTTATATCAAAAAATTAGTTTTTAATTATTAAAAAGAGAGAATATAACACAAAGACTATTAAGAATGGTATTATTTATATATATATTTGTTAATTTATCAATCAATGAATGAATGTATGTATTTGTATGATCAAAATTTTATGTCTTTTAGGTTTTTATAAAATTAGTAAATCATCATTCAATTTCTTCTCTTAAATTTTATTTTTATCGAATAAATGATTGATTGATTGAGCTTATAAATTAAAAACAGTCATTCATCTCTGTTTTTTATTTTTTATTTCTTATTATAAATAAACTCTGCCAATTTAGTGGCTTTCTTTAAATAATTTTTCAAAAAAATAAATGATTAAAGGGTTTACTGACTTAATAGTAGAATCATTAGATCTACTTAATATTCATTCTCTCTCTTTCATAAATAATGTGTGTCTTTAATTAATTTCATTCACAAACAATTTTTTCAATTAAATGTTTGAATTTCTAAAATTCATAGAACTTTGTAATTTATTTTTTTTTTATTTAAAACAATCAAATATAAAATTATTTCCTTAAAATTAACCCTTTTTATATAAAAATTATAAGAATTTGTGAGAAGAAATTCTACAAAAGTCTCAAAGTTTAGTTTTTAAAATAGCTATATGAGAAAATAAATTCTAACCTTTAATATTTTTTCTTTGAATTTACAATTAATTTAAGTTTTTTAATAAATTCTATTCTTTAAATTAAAAAAAATGTTAAGATAAGTATTAAAGAATGAATACAATTAATTTTATCAGACTATTAATAATTTTACTTTTTGATAAACTAAATAAATTTTTATATTTTATTTTATTAAATTTTTGTTTTCTATTTAATATTTAACAATTATTTTAATTTTTTTATTTAATAATAAGTTTATTTTACCATTAAAATTAATTACATTTTTAAATATTAAATTTAATAAAACTTTGTTTATTTATTTATGATATATAGGTTTAGAATTAATAAAAATAATTTCAGAAATTTTCAAATTAAATCTTTTGTTTTCTAATATTCAATAATTATTTTAGTTAACTGAAAGTTAATAGTTAATTTTACCATAAAAAATAAATTGAAATTTAAAAGATGATTTATTTCGTTTTTGAATCTTAATTTAAATTTAGCATTATTTTAATCTGATTGATTTGTTTGTTACAAGTTTATCTTTATCATGAAAATTATGTTATTTCATTCAAATAATTTTAATTTAATATATAATAATTAATAGATTTTGTTTATAAAATAAATATTGACTATTTATAGTATTTTATTAAGGTAATTGAAATTTTTTTAAAATGGTTTAATAAATTAATGAATAGTATTTATTATTGATATAATGAAAAATCATTATTTTATTAGAATTTAGATATAATTTAAATTTTATTTTTCTGATACATTAAGGTAAATAAAAAGTATTTTTACAAATATAAAATATTTGTTTCATAATTAAACTTTATTCATAAATATTTTTTGATAATTTGAAGAAGTTTAATGATTTATTTATTTATAATTTTATCTTAAATGTTATAAATTAGCATTTGATAAAATATTTTATTTTATTAACAAAAATATATTTTGAAATTTTTGATCAGTCTATATCGCTAATTCCTCCAGATGATATATTTTATAAAGAGTTTTTATCTTGATCTGGTTAACCAAAATCTGTAATATCACTTGAATGAACACTGCTTTTTTCATGGGGACCATCTTCGTCATCTTCATCATCTTCACTTTCATCATCTCCGCGTTTTTTCTGAGTCTTTTGTAATGTCTCTTCTAATTCATTTATTTCCAAATCTACTTCATATTACCACTTAAATATTGCATCAAACAGCTATTTGTCTTCTTCGTTCTTAAATTCTAAGTCAAGGGGAAGGTCTGGCAGTCTTCTTGATTTTTTGAAGCTTAAAGGATTAAAATCTATTTTTTTTTCAAATAATTATGTCAATAAAAATATTTTGAATTGAACTAATGAATGAGTATTTTACCAAGCAAATAATTTGTTTTTACAAGTTCATCAATTAAACCTGTGCCTACCTTTTTTTTAATTCTTAAATCGTTAAAGTAAGAGAATTCTGTTTCTTGTATGTTAGTTTAATTTTATGGAGTTTGTGCTGGAGATTCATTTACATTGACAGATCTAGGTGTTTAGTCCTATTATTAAGGCTTTTATTTTGAAGGCTTAGTAATTTTTTTTCTTGGAGTTTCACTCTTAGGTTCTTGAATATTTATTGGAATTTACTACTACTGAATAAGCTTTTTTTCATATTCCTCATCTTCTAAAATATCATTTTCATCATTGTTTTCACTTTAACTGTCCACCTAATCAACTTATTCAACTTATTTGGAAGCTTATTATCTTAAAGCTTTATTTGAATAACTAGGAGTTTTCTCTTTAGGAGAAGGCTGATTGAATGCTCTTGGAGATTATGATGACGGTTTTTTTGATAACTATTTTTTTAATTGTTGTTGTTATGTAACTTGCTTGCTCCTAGCTGGCTTAGGAGAATTTGTCATATCAAGTGCTTCAACATCATTTTATTTATTATTATCCTCTAAATTTTAGTCAATTTATTAATCTTCTTCCTCTTCCTCTTCTACAAATTCTTCTTCTTCTTCATCATCTTTTTATTCTTCATATTCATTTTAATCTATATCTACAGTTTACTATTTCTAAATTTCTTGCTAATTAGCTTATTGAGGAGGAACTTCTTCTTCTTCAAAAATCAAAACATCTTCTTCGCTATCTGAGTTTTAAGATGATTTGACAGTTTAGTTTACCTATCTTGGAGATTCAGTAGATTACTGCTATCTTGAAGAAGGACTTTAATTCTAGATAGTAGGTGGAGGAGGAATTATTTATTACACTTTAGGCTTAGGAGTTCCAACCATAGGCTAAACTACCTTTTTAACTGGTGGTTACTTTTTAACTGGCTATACCTACTGCTATGTAGTTTACGGTTTGTTTTATTTTGGTGGTCTCTGCTATGGCACAAGTTCCTTATATTTAAACAAATATTTAGCTTCATAAAATTTAACAATTTATTTATTTGTTTATTACCCTATAAACTATATATTCTTCAATAGCACTCTTTTCTTTATCTTGGTCATTTTTCTTCTTTTTTCTATTTTGAGGTCTAATAATTAATTCATTTTAAATTAAAAAAATCATTTTAACAAATTTTTAAAAATACGATCTCGAAGACTAAGAATTTTATTTCTCATCTTAATTCTCATCAGGATTTGTGTCTTACTTATCAGTTTTTTTCTTTTTCTTCTTAACTACCTTTACTTAAGTAACTTGAGGTCTCTCTTGAAATGCACTAACTGACTATTAAATTTATTTCTACTACTGTTTGCTTTATGATTATTGCCTTTTAGTTCTCATGGCACTTCCTATATCTCTGTTTTTTAGGTTATTGATATTATCTTAGTCTTAATAACTTCCATCTTCATCATCAATTTTTTATTCCTCTATTTCTATTTCTTCATAACTTTCTTCTATCTATTCATTATCATCTTAATTATCTACTTCGATTTGATCTGTCAATTTAGACTCTTCTAAAACTTGATTCATTACATTTGCCTCTATATCTTACCAAGTCAGTTAAATTTAAGACTATTTAAGCTTAGAAGGATCAACCTTGTAATATTCGTTAAATGATTGCATCTGAGGTTCATAATTAAAAGGAATCTTCACTTTGAAAGATCTACATAAAAAACATATAATTATTAAAAACAAAAATCTATAAATACTTACCTTGTTTATATTTTTTCAAGAATCCTTTCGTATTCCTTTGTTACAAACTCTATTTTTTTGTCATATTCAGTATCATTAGATAAATAAGATTTCATTTTTTAGAGAATATAATCCTAAAGTTTAACATGGTTTATTTTGTGAGGTGCATGCTTTTGTTTGCCAAGCTAATCCTCTAAGTATATATCAACATTTATGTTATGTATAAGTGATGCTTCTTCTTTTGAGAGCTTAGAGTAATTAAATCTGTTGGCGTCAATATTAAGCAAGCTCTTATTCAACTCAGGTTAAATAATACTTAGAGATTAATTTTAATCGTCATAATTCATAGTAAAAAAAGATATCCCTCCATTATTTCCATTTGAACCAACCCCATTTTAAAATAATCTGTGAGATTATTATCCATCTGAGCTAAATAACTAATCCTAAACCTTAGCATAATATGAATTAAATTCTTTGGCTGCCTATTCCTAACGGTATTTAGAGAATAAAAGGTATTAATCTACCTTATAACGGAATTCTCTAATCAAAATACTCTTTTAGTTATTCTTAATTTCATCTATATCAGTTCCGTCTATGATATGACTTGTTAAATTTTTATAATGCTTTAAATTGAATATATTTGAATGATGATAAAATGATCTTTTTCCTAAATTTTTAGTTGATCCAACACCTAACGAAGCAAGCGAAACAGACTAATTCAATTTGCTACCTCTAATTCTGCCTTATTATTAATAAGACCTGTTTATAACTTCTGAGTTTTACAATTTATTATTTTAAGCATAATTGATTGAAGACTAATTTAGATTTAGTGGATTATTTAATGAATTAGAGATATTCATATTATTATGAAGCTAAGGCAAAGAGCTTTGAGCCTTGAGAGTTTCATTTTTTAAAGGAACAGGCAAAATAAATTAATTTACAGCCTATCTTGTTTAATTTATATTTCCGTTTCTAATCATACTGCTCATGTTCAAGCTATTATTTATTATTGTTTGCTAGTTTTAATTATTTAATCCTACATAACTTGCACCAAGTTGCTATTAATTCATCGAGGTATTCGCATTATGAGATTTTAAGTTCCCAAAGCTATTTTTTCTAGCTGTATTTGGCTAAGAATAAACAATATATCCCATTTATTGCTACTATGACTCTGCGCTATTGCTATTTATTTGAATGTTTTTCTAATGATTTTCATTATTAACATTCTCTAAATTATATGAATTTTGATTTCTTGGCACCAAGCCTATTTTATGCATTGACTCAGTATCTTTATTAAATTATTTATATATGGTTTGCAAGCAAGTATTTGAATTGTAATGGATATCAGATTTTGAAATAATCTTGACTTAATGATATGTCCAGTTAATATTGAAAACCTGATTAATTTACTTAATTTGCTTTAAATGAAACTATGTTAATATATGAAAAATGTGATTATTAAATATTATTATGTAAAAAGCTTTTAAAATAAATAGCTAGATATTACTTATTAGTAATACTACGAATAAAAATATGTTTATTGTAATTTAATAGTTATACAATTTAAATATTTAAATTCTTTTAATATATAATAGATATTTATTACGTTAACCTAGTTAACTAAAAAAATATACATTTTACAACTTTTTAATTCAGCCTAGGATTTTTTCGAATATGAGCAAAAAAAAAAATTTTTTTTAGTTTAAAATTTCGAGGGTATGTATTAAATATTATTAAAAACTTGTTAAAGTCCAATAAAACAGTATGATAAAAATAATTAAACTATATTATAAATTAAATTAATTTAAAAGCATAAAATAATATGAAAAATCTCCATCTATCTATACAAATATATTTATTTGGGAATATTTTAAATTAAAGATTAGCAATATTTGAAAAATAAATAAATAAATTATAGATACTAAATATTTTAAAAATAATTAATCAATCAATCAATCATTCGTTATTAGATTTAGTGTCATGTTGAGTATTTAATATTCTTAATGATTTTGGTTATTTCTTTATTTGAAATATTTCTTCTAAATTTAATAAATTAAAATCATTCTTGTAGGGAGGTTTTTAGGTTGTTGTTTTAGGGACCTAAAAAGAATACTTCCTAGATTATTTTGAGTTGTTTGATTAATTTGGAATTTTTGTTTAATCAAAATGAGTGTTCTTATTTATTGATATATTAACTGGATTAAAAGAATTGTTACTGCTATTATACTAAGTTCTATACTAAGCCTGCATTTCTGACAACCTTTTTTATGAAAATTTAGTTTTTGCTGTATTATTTCTTTTATTTAATTCATTAGAATCATTCTATTCTTTTTGGTAGCTAAGACTATCACTTTATTTAACTCTAAGTTATCTTTATTTATTTTAAAATGTAGATGACGTGTTCTACGTTTGAAGGGTTCTATTCTAGTTTCTATTTGTATTTGTATTTGACTGCCCCAAATATGATTAAAATGTAAAAGTACCTTAGTTTAACTGATTAGAGTTGCTATGGTTACTTTGACTGTTTGGAGTATTTACTTAGCTTTGAGGTTTAGATGTTGATTATGTAGAGTTATTTAAAGTGTCAAAATTTATGTGGTGATTATTATCTAATGGTAATTTAAAGCACAAAGGCAAAAAATTATCTTATTTTGCTCTATTTTAGTTTTGAGAAGTACTTGGAACTATTCTTATTTAGGTTTATTCTTTTTTTACATAATTTTGTTTTTAAAAGTCTCCATTCTGATTTTAATTATTTTGCCTAAATTCAACAACTTAGTTTTTCTTTGAAATATCGTTATTGCTATTATTTAGCAGTTACCCTGAAAGAGCTGTCTACTTAGATTGATTCAATATTTAAGTATTTGTATTCGTTTTTTATTAATTTGTAGGCAGTGAATTATTTACTTTGAAATAGCTAGGAGCAAGAAGCTAGATTATTTATAAATAAATCAATTTAACTAATTTAAAATAGAAACTTTTGTTACTTATTTTGTTGTGCCTTTTTAGTTGCTTGGCTAAGGAGACTAAGAATGATAACAATTGTCTAATTTTTTTATCATAAATTCTCTTTTGTTAGTGTTTGGGGAATTTAATATTTGTTAGAATTGTTAGCTCACCACACTTTGCTGAGGTGAATTGCTCATTTCTTCTTCTTAATCATGATATGTATTCTAGTAAAGAGCTATGATTCCGTTAGTTTTAAGGAGTCTTGATCTGTTCCCAGAGTCTTCGTAAGAAGAAAAATAAATAAATAAATAAATAAAATCAATTTTAACATTTAATCATTAATTTTTTACAAATCAAAGGAGAGGGTGCTTCAGCAGGTTCCTTGTTTACTACACTGGTGGAAGTGCTGTAATTTTTTCTAATGTGAATTTTTTTAAGTTATTTTTTTGTTGCTCTTTGCTTTAAAAATTTCACAATCATTATTGAGAGCACAACCTTTTTGGATTTACAAAAAACAAATTACTTTTGTTTTTGAAATATTTTCATTTACATTCATAAAGGTATTTTTAGACTAAAATATTTGCCTATTTTCATCAAAAGATAAAGGTATCTAATCATTTAATCTCCTAGTAATCCATGGATGGTTAAGAGACTTTCCTAATTTATTGAAAAATAAATAGATAAAATTATCAAAATCATCCTAAAATACATTTTAAAAAATCTTTTTATTTTTTTTTTAAACTCAATTAATATTTAATTAAATACCTGCATTATATCTGTTAGAAGGAGAAAAGTTAGTTAATCTTGTAATGAGATCTATAGCTAGACTGAATTTAAATTAAAATTAATATTTATTTATAAATAATTTGATAAAATTTTAAATTACTTTGAGCAATTAGGCCAATTTTCTATTTTCTGAGAACAGCTAGTAATGATTTTGATGTACTGCTCTTTTGTTTCAATTTCATAGTTATAGTTAAATGGATGTCTACCCATAGATAATATCATATACATAATTATACCACAACTCCATAAATCAACTGGCTAGTTTTTATTAATATGCAATCTAAAATTTATAAATTAACTAAAAATATAATTTTTTATCACCTTCGAGTACGGTTAGTTTTTTAATTACTCTGGAGACATAAATAAGACTGTCCCACACTATTGTAAAAAACTTCTATATGTCATCTCAGTAGAGTACTAAATACCTAGTCCAAAGTCAGCAACTTTTACAGAAGTGAGATCATTTGGATCTGCCAGTAAAATATTTTCTAATAAATGAAAAAACATGTTTATTAATTATAAGTTATTAAATATAGAAGTAAAGTAGAAATAGATAATTGAATAATTACCAGGTTTTAAATCTCGATGTAGGATATTTTAAGAGTGCATATAATCAACAGCCGAGAGAATGCATTTCATAATTGTTGACGCTTCATCGTCTGTAAAGGGCTATTCGTTTTGTTTTCTTTATTTTATCAATTGGGCTATAGTTCCTCCTTTCATTAACTCCATAATAATAACAAAAGCATGCTTAGTTTCTCCAACCTTTTTGACATTAGTTATAATATGTATGACATTGATAAAATGAATTATTAGAAAAGGAATGCGTTTTATGATTAAGATACAATAAAATTGTTTTAAATAAAATAAGCATTATATAAATGCAAATTAATCTTTGAATATAATATTATAGACATATTTGTTTATTTATTACTCTTTTGAATTTAACAATATGAGGGTGATCTAGTTATTAAAGCAATCTTCCTTCTATCAAGCTACAGCTCATGTTGGATTTATAAAGTATCTTAATTTTAAATATTTTTTATGTTAATCTAAAGGTGGTAAGTTGTAAAAAAAACATCAATTTTATTTATTTATTTATATGAGTTGAAATGGTTTATTTCTACATATATACTCAATAAATTTTCTAATATGGAATTCATTTACTTTAATTGCACATTCTTATTCATCCGTATTATCTATTGCTTTATAAACAGTTCCAAAAGCTCCTTGCCCAAGCTTTTCTGAGAGCTGAAACTAGTATTTACTCTCTAAGTATGAAATAATCTCGCTCTCTTCAGTCATATACTGTTTTATGAGAAAAATAGTTCTACAATCTTAATAAATTAATTAATGAATAAATATATTTTTTGTTAAATAATTGAATGTATAACCATAAATTAATAAAAATTAGTAATTTCAAAGCTTAAATTATGGATTTAAAAAGAAATTAACTTTGCATCTCTATTTTTAAAATCTACTAATAAGCAAACAAACTCTTTCAAAGAAACAACTTTTATTAATTTAAAATTTCTAAATTCAGAGTTTCTACATCATCTTAAATAACTTGTTATTAACATTAAATAGAAATACTACTTTTAAAAATATAAACAGATTTTATTAATATTAAAAAAATTATTTTAAGGTTTAAATCAGAACACTTGAAATCTAAATACTTATAACAATAATTGTTTGAAAAATATTTTTAATCTTCTTTGTTGTATAAAAAATTAAATTTTAATCAAAGCTTGGTATTTGCTAATTAAAAAATCAAAGAAAATTAATTTTCTTCTTATTTCATTATATTTTTAAAGATTAATAATTGACAAAAAACCAAAAAATTATTTTATTTATAAAATGCAATCTGAAAATTAAAATAAAAAATTATTTGATTCAAAGCTATAATTTCTTCTAAGAAGTACTTTAAAAATTATAAATATCAACCAACATATTTTTAATAAAATTTACTCAATAAAATATTGAAAACAAATTTAAAATTATAATTTTAATAAAATTTATATTATTTTGTATTAAATAAAATAAAAGTCCTCAAATATATTAAGAATTAATCAATTTATTTATCAAAATAACTTTTAATAATGAAATATTCTAGAAAAAACAATAAACTACTCTGATATTTTTAAAATTATTTAAAAAAAAACTGTTTTATTGAAGTTTGTTTTACAAAAGTATTTAATACTATTAGATAGATAGATAACATGAATTTAATCAATTTAAATGTAAACAGTATTCTTTGTTAACAATTTATATTTTTAATTATAAGAAAAGGAGCTATTTTAATCTAAAAATTAAGAAAGAATAAACTTTCATAAATACAAGCTATTAATCTTTTTTAATTTGATTATTTCTACAATTCACTCATTTTATCAAGTCTTCAAATTTTAATTATAATAAAAATTATTTTTTTTTAGCTAATATTTTAACAAAAATATTTACAAAATTTTGTATTAATTAAAATTTTAGTCTTCAAATAAATTAAGAATTAATCAATATTTTTATCAAAATAACTTTTAATTAAGAAATATACAAAAATAATTAAATTTATTTTCAAAATATATTTTTAATTATTTTTTTGTAAACTGTTAAATTGAAGCTTTATATAAGTAATTGCAATAATTTTAGATTTAAACTACGAATAAGAGTCAATTTAAATATAAAAGTATTAGTTGTTTATAATTTATATTATTAATTTTTAGAAAATGAACTATATTAATCTAAAACTTAAGCAAGAATAAACTTTCATAAATGCAAATCATTAACAATATTTTAATTTTTTGAATTCACTAGCTAGTTTTATCAAATTCACTTGTTTTATCAAGCCTTAAAATGTTAATTAAAATAAAAATTATTTTTTTTAGTTTATAATTTAACAAAAATATTTACATAATTTTGTATTAATTAAAATTTTAGTCTTCAAATAAATTAACAATTAATCAATATTTTTATCAAAATAACTTTTAATTATGAAAAAAACAAAAACAATTAAATATATTTTTAATTATTTTTTTAATAACTGTTTTATTGAAGTTTTACATAAGTGATTGCAATACTTTTAGATTTAAACTACGAATAAAAGTCAATTTAAATATAAAAAGTATAAATTGTTTATAATTTGTTTTAGAAAAGGAACTATTTTAATCTAAAACTTAAGCAAGAATAGACTTTCTTTCATAAATGGAAATTAATTTTTTGAATTCACTACTTAGCTAGTATTATCAAAAGACTTCAAATTAAAATTATTTTTTTAGCTAAAATTTTAAAATAATTAAAATTACATAGATTTAGAATGAGTAATTTATTATTTTAAATTATCTGCTTTTTTTCATAAGTATTAATGAGTAAATTTTATAATTAATAAAAAAAGTATCTATCTACTTATCATACATAATATTTTTAAATCACAAATTAATAAGAAAATGACTGATTATATTGATTTCTTATCAAGAGTTAAAACTTATTCTTTTGAAAAATGGACTCTGCGAAGCTCAAAAGTAGCTTTTAAGATTTATCACTCATATAAATTATCATTTTATAAATAAAGATCACTCCATATCATTTGGCAAGTTGGGGATTTAGTTGTATTGCAGAAGATACATTTGAGTGCACTATGTGCCAATAAACGATATCTGCTTCGCATCTACCTTTCTAAAGCGAAATAGAAGAACAAAAAACAATAGATATGGGTATTTAAAATTACATTTGTAATAATTTCCTCATTTATTTTTATTTAGACTTATTGATTAAGAACTTTTTTGGAAGTATTATGGCTGTTCATAAAGAAGAATGTTTGTATAATCAGAATAATTATGACAATTAAATATATTTCTCTTTGACTGATGAATTTTTGATATAAAATATGGAGGAATTATATATGTTGGCTTATAATAGTTACGAGTCTTTTGATAATATGAATTAAACAGAAGAGAGTTCTTCAGATGAGAATAAATCAGATAAATATCCTTGCATTGATACCTCATTTCTGAAAATTATTGTAATACAACTTTATTTAATATTTAAGATACAAATAATTAGAATGAATTGCAATTTATTTATTACTCTTTTTAAAAAAAATAAATTGTTTTAATTTTTAATAAATAGCCTTAGCAGTACCATTTCTTACTCTCTTAAGATTAAAAATTTGTCAAAATAAAATCATTAGATGTAAATAAATATGATATTAAATATATTTATTTATTTATCTTAAAAAAATATTTTCTAACTTAGGTAAGAAAAACACTAGCAGCCTTTGCTTGGAGATTAGAAGAAGATAGTCAATCAGGAAAGGGCACTTTGAATTGTGATTTTTGTGGAAGATGTGTACCTTTGCAAAGTTATGCTACTAATAATGGTAGATATATGATAATTACATAAAATAATGAAGCCAATGAAGCTTTTAACCCTTACGAAGAGCATAAGTACTTTTGTAAATGGAGTTCAGCCCAAATATTTACTGCTGAATAAGAAGAATCTTCTTAAACTAATTTAGAAAAAGAAAAAGAAGATTCTGATACTTCAAAATCTATTAATGGATGGAATATATGCATAAATTATCTTTTAGATTAATTCACTTATTAAAGCAAGAAAAAGAAGACATTCGAAGCAGTTAATGAGATTCATAAAATGCAAGACGAAATTAAAAAAATTTAAAAAGATTTTAAGTAATTTGAGTAAACAATCAGTGAAAAATATACAAAAATAGTTAATGACTGTGAATCACTAAATATTAAATCAGCTAGTACTTCATAGTTCAAATAAAAGCTATAACAAAATAGATAATCTATAGACGATATTTTAAAGGATTTAAATCTAAATAGTTTATTAGAATCTAATAAGAAAATCAAAACTAATTGATAAAATATAAAAATATATCAAATACTAATTTAATTATTTTGTAAATATTTTATAAGATATAAAGTAATAATATACATTCTAAAGGTTTTTAAATTTTATCTAATATTTCATCATAATTTATGGGTCATACTTTCATAAATAACTAGCAGCTAGTTGATTTTTTTAGTGAAAAATCTTTTTGATTTTAAAATTATTAAAAAAATCTTAAAAATTAAAAATTATTCTTCTATTTTACTAAACTGTAAAAATTTTTTTAAAAAATAAAATTTTGATAAACTTTAAAAATCTTTAATTCTCAAGATATAATGTGAGTGTTCAATAAAATGTAAACCATAATTATTTTTAGGTTAATATTATAAAAATAAATTAACAAAAGAAATTCTTCTTTATTTTATAAACAAAGAAGGGGTTTAAAATTTAATGTATGTCATTATATTTTATGGGAGCTGAAAATATTTTTGTTTATGTAGAGTATTTTAAAAATAAATATTTAATTCCAAACTCTAACTAACTGAGCTATTGTGTTTGTTTTATAAAATAATTGTCCAATGATCATTTTATTCTTCTGAATTTTCTAAGCAAATTAAATTTTTAATAAATAATAAAAATATTTTATTGAATTTGAAATATATGTAGACAGTATAATTATATTTTTTCATGTCCTTTTTATTATTTTATGTGTTTCTGTATGCTAAAAAAAGATTTTTCAATCAATATCTCTATATTCTATTGAGTATTTAGTATTTGTTTTTTTAATAATTTATTTACTTATTAAAACGTAGGTCAGGAAGGAGAAAAAAATAATAAAAAATTAGTTAAATAAAAAAATAAATAAATTAATTAATTAATAAGCTTTGATAAATAAAAAGATAGAGATATTTATTTGTGGATTAAAGAAGATGAGCGATTAAGTAGAAGAAAAAAAAGATAACTAATCAGTAAATACAGTCATGACTGAAGATATTAAGAAAGAGCATTTAAGAAGCATTGAGACAGATAAAACTTGGGATGATATTTTTGCTTTGTCTCCTGAAGTGAGAGAAAGAATTAAACAAATTTACGAAAGGCCTACGAAGATTTAATATTTGTCTATTGGAGAAACAATTGAATATATATAGCCAGTTATTACAATCAAGTGCAGAAATGGTGGAGGTAAAACTCTTACTTTTGCTATTCCTGCTTTGGAATTTGCTTACAGAAATAAAAATAAAAAGACTTCAAAATCCTAGCAATCAGTCTAAGAAGTTCATGGATAGAGTTCCTAAACTGGAGCAACTGTTTACTGTCCTACATCGATTATTATTGTGTCAACATAGCCACTCGCTTTGCAAATTTAAAGCGTTTTAAATAATCTTTTGGTTGAAGTAAATACTCATCGAAGTTGATAGTTTCTTTAATATTAATTTTATTAAAATTTTTAATAGGGAGTTTCTACAGAAGTTCTATTCTAAGACCAAAAGATTACTCAATCTGGTTAGATATTGATTTCCACTCCAGAGCTACTTTACAGATACTTGGTGATAGAAAAGTTAATATAGTTAGATAATTTATGTCATATTGCTGTTGATGAAGCTGATAATATGCTCACATCATTTTAGATGCAATTAGAAAGAACAATCGTATTTTTAAAGGGTAGAGATATTGTCATTTAGTTTGTTTCTGCTACCTTGACAGAAAAAAATATTAAATTTATTTATGATGCTTTAAAATTTGATAGCACTTAAGACGAAGATTCTAAAATTTTGTATTCAATTGAGTTACCTTGGAAATTAAAAGGTGTTACTTAATATGGATAAGTGTTAAAAGGAAATAAATAGGAGAATGATATAGAAAAGTATATGATTTGCACTCAATTAGTCAATTAAGTAATTGAATATAACTCCAAGAACCCTGATTTGGAATCTTAAATTATAATCTTCTTTAGAAAGATAGCAAGCATTTTAGAATTTGAAAGTAAGATTGCTAGAGAAAAGTTAAATTGGAAATATACAACTTGTGCTAATAAAAGTAAAAGAAATGAAAATATATAAAATTTCCGTGCTGGAAACTATGACATTATGTTAGCCACTAGTGTTATGAGTAGAGGTATTGATATTCGTAAAGTAGGTTTAGTTATTAACTTTGACATGCCCTTAGAAATGAATGAAAAACTGGAATACCTAGATAAACATCAATATTTGCACAATATTGGTAGAACTGGTAGATTTGCAGATTTAGGTCTATCATTAACTTTCTTCGAAAATGATAAGGTATACGAAAATGCCAAGTATACGATTAAGGATAGTTTTGAATGCGATTTACTTGACTTCAAAATGGAAAATATGATTCCTGAGTTGGCTAGTGTTATGAAAAATAACACACAACATCAAAGAGTGCAGTGAAATTAAATAAAAAAATAAATCTAAACTTTTTATTTTAATTAACTCAAATAATACAATTATGAAAAAATTAAATTCTAAAATTTGATGATGTTTTTTTTATATTGAATTAAAAATTTTTTTATTTGTTTTCTTTAAAAAATAATTAAAATAAATAGATTTGATTAAAATTTTGAACTCACAAATAATTTATATTACTTTAATTGAAAATGATTTAATGTATCTCACTAAAATAATTTAAATCAGTTGTTTCTGTCAAATAAAATATTTAGAAGATGTTTAAGTTGAAAAATAAACAAACTATATAAAAAGAAATATATCATTTCAATGGATTTTTATTAATTTTATTTTGCATTTGAAAATAGATTGAAAGATATTCATTGATTTTATTTATTTTTGTTATACCTTCAAATCTCAAATTATCTTTGATATTTTAAATTAAAACTATTAATTTAAAATTAGTTACTGTCAATCTATCTAAAAAAGTTTATTTATTATTATTATTATTATTATTTTTTGTAAAATATTTATTTCAATATAAATTACAATGTGTTATTTATTTCATCAGTTTAATTTTAAAGTTAAAATATATATCTAGCAGATAGGTTGCTTTATGTTAGTTAGAACTATTTAAACATCTAAAAATAAATATATCATTTCAATGATTTCTGATTAATTTTATTTTGTTTTTAAAAATATATTTAAAGATATTCGTTGATTTTATTTATTATTGTTTGTTCCTACAAATCTCAAATTATTACTTTTAATTTTTTATATTAAAATTATTAATTTAAAATTTGTTTTTGTCAATCTAAAAAAGTTGATTTATTATCAATCATTATTTTTTGTAAAATGTTTATTTCAATATAAATTGCAATGTATTATTTATTTTATTAGTTTTAATTTTTAAAGTTAAAATTTATATCTAGCAGATAGTTTGCTTTATGTTTGAACTTAAACATCTAAAAATAAACTTATCATTTCAATGATTTTTATTTATTTTATTTTGTATTTAAAAATAGATTTAAAGATATTCTTTGATTTTATTTTAAACATTCAAATCTCAAATTATCTTTGATTTTTTATATTAAAATTATTAATTTAAAACTCGTTGCTGTAATTCTAAAAAATTTCATTATGATTTATTAATTTATTCTAAAATTTTTATTTAAATTTTAATTGCAATGTGTTATTAATTTTATCAATTTTATTGATATAACTCATAAAATTTTTATTTTCTTTTTAAAAATTCCAATTTTATTGAATTATTTTAAGATTATCGTTTATAAAAAACTAAAATTTTTTGTTTGTTTAAAAAATAATTTATATCAATCAGTTGTATTATTTATTTTTTAAAATCTACTAATAATATACTTTTAAATTTAGTTCTTTAAAATTGTTATTTTGGTTATCGCAATCATTATATTATAAAGGCGAAATAACTAAATAAGTAAAATAATTTTTAGTATTTTGAGGATAATGAAAATAAAATTTATGTGAATTAAAGATATTTCTAAACTGCTATTTTATTAATTGCTTATAAATCAAGAAGTAAAATAAAAATATTGATCACCAAAGAAAGTAAAATACAAATTATGAGTGCTTAATGGCAACTCTAAGAAAATGAGAATGATTTTACATATATTTAGCAAAAACTACAATTAACTATATTAATTATTTAATGAATTTAAGAAAATGTACTTGAGGAAACTAAATATTTTATGCTTATTCATTTTGTGCTCTTTCTAAAGAAATCAAAAAAGGAATAGTTGTATTTATTCATATGTCTGATCTGTCTGCGAACTGTAAATACTAAGAGCATAAAGAAGTACCCGAGTAAGAAGGGCCAGAAAACAGGTAAATCAAATAGCTAGCTAAATGTGCAAAATAAACTAATTACTGCTGCAACAGTGCATTTATGCCAAAACTTGAATTCATTCATAGAACGAATGAGGGGACCTTTTTCAATTTAGCCTCCATCTTCGTCAGCAGAAATAGGGTTTTATGAGTCAGTATTTGTTGAGTGGATTGGTAATGAGCCTATTTCATCATCTTCTTCATCTATGTCTGGCAATCCTTGAGGAGTGAGGAATTATACGCATAAATGCAAGACAAAAAGAGCAAATACATAGGAGACAACATAGAATCCACCTAAAATAGAAACTCTAATAATATATAAAAGTACAACTACTATGGTAAAAGCCCAACGCTCCTTGGGATAGATTATATATTTTTCTAACTTCTACCTATATTTTTTTTAAAACTTAAAGATGTACTTATCTATAATAGTTTCTTCTTGATCCATTTTTTTTACAAACTTATAAATATTTTTTACGAGATTATTTACTGATATTCCTATTTATATTTAACCTTCCTTTTGAATTGTATTAAAAATTGAATTGAAATATTATTTATCTTTAATTTTATTAGTTAATTAATTAATTCTTTTTAAACTAAGAAAATTTTTGATAAGCAAAGACAGCAAGCAAGCAAACAAGCAACAAACAAACAAAAGATCGACATAAAAAATATACATTTAGTCAATATTAGATTAACACGATGTAATTATTTTACAAGACTTTTCTTATTATTCTTCTTCTATCATATTACTATTTCAAATTAATTTTACTTAAACCCTAAATAAACTCCGTCATTTGCTTTTTGAGCTCTCTCCACTTAAGCTAGACAGACAAAGCTGTTAAAAAATTTAAAATAAATCTATACCTATTTTGGTCCTTTAAACGTGCAAAAATAAACAAACCTTAATAAATTTTATCAAATTAATCAAAATTAATTAACCTTAATTTAAACTAAAAATACGTGTAAAGTAACAAAAAAAAAAAATTTAACAATCAAAATATTAGAATTCATCAAACATTAAATTTAATTTTACTTCAGAATTTATTCACACCATTTAGAAAGCTTATTAAAATCACTTCTAAATATGATATTATGTTTATTAGTATTTGATTAATTCAAAATATAAATAAATAAACGATTTATTAATTATTATTTTATTTTTTAAATATTGAGTTTTTTAGTTGACCTATGGATAGTATTACATACACTATCAACCAAATGTTTTTAAATTTATGGAATAATCCATCAGATAATCTCAAAAATGCTAAATTTAGATCTGTTTGAATTTAAAATAATTAGTTTATTTTATAATTTTACTATTATTTTATTGTATCAAATTGACATTTATTTAATCATACTTAGAAATTATTATTCAATTTTTTTTAAATAAATTTGAAAAATTATAAAAAATTTAGATAATCTTTTTAACCTTTCAGTATGGCATATATTAGAATGGATAAAATTTTCTTTTCAAAGAATTAAAAAAAATTTGATCAAACATTTTTTATTTCTTTTCTTTTATGAGGTTCGATACCTGCTTCAAAATCTTTTTTTTATTTCTTTTAATTCTTATTTTATTTTATTAAATAATATTTATTGTTCTATTAAATGTATATTTCTTACTCAAGAAATAAGTATTTGATAATATCAATAGTTAACTAAAAAATAATAATTTTGAATTGCTAAAATTAATTACAAAAATCTATATGTTATAATTTAAGCAAGGTTGTTTAACAAAAAAATTAACTTAATTAAATCACTAATAAACTGTGCACTATTAAAATTACTCATGAAATTATTTCTAACTTAGAACTTAATAAAGACTAAAGTTCATCATTTTATTAGGATTTAATTTCAGTTTATAGGCAACTTTTATCATATCTTAATGTATTATAATATTTCCCATATAAAGAAAGTTTTATATATTTGATCTTGTAAAATATCAAGGTTTAGAAAAAGAAGGATTAAAATTAAAATAATAAATAAATAGCAAGACAAATGTTTTTTGATTTTAATTTTTTTATAGTATCCTATTATTGCTTAATTTGAAATTAAAAAATGTAAATATAATCTATTTAAATTATTTCTAATTGTTAAATTAATAATATAAATTTAATTAAAAAAATGGAAAATAAATTTTAAACAATTTATGCTAGAATTTTTACAAAAAACTCAAAATTAAATTATGTAAATCAGACTAGTAAACTGAACAATATTATTGCTATTAATGAAATTATTTTTAAATTAGAGCTTGATGAAGACTAAGGTTCATCATTTTATTAGGATTTGCATTAGGCTCCTGGGCAGTCAAACCATTGGCCTCCTGTGAAAGAATTCTAATTATTGCTATAGCAAAGAGAGCAATACTAATCATTCATTAATCTAAAACCATATTAGCAATATTTGCAAGAACCTCCGTTTGGTCCATTAGCATTAAAAGATGCACATCCTGTTGGAATAGCCACACAACTATCTTTACTCAAGTAGTATCCAGGAGAGCAAGTCAAACACTAGCTTCTATTATCTTAATTACAAGTCTAGCAATTGAGAGGACAAGACATACATAAATTAGCTTTTGATTCACCACCACCTGTCTATACTGTTACACCAACCTATAAAATGTAATTAGGTGAGCACTTTTAGCAATTGTAGACACTTGGTGTTGTAGTTCCCTAACCCCAATCTATACAACCTTAAGTAAGGTAAGATTATGAATAAGGTATTTTACAAGTTACTGTATTTCCATTATTTGAAATCAAAGTAAATCTTTACTATTTGTTGCAAGTTAAGCAATTTCCATTATCATCACAAGTGGCACAACTAGAAGAGCAACTTATACATGATTAGCCATCATTTGAAGGAGTGGGTCTATATCCATCTCCGCATTTTTAAATAATTATTTCAGACTTATTATTTGGGTCTTAAATACAACTTAATGCACCAGGAAAGTTGCACTGTCTACAAGTTTTTCCTTGAGTCATCATATAGGGTATTGCTTTTGATGATGAAACACCAACAGCAAAATCATTAGGTGAATCATAGCAGGAAGCACAGAGGGATATTAAATTTGGATCATTTTAATTGATCATTTCTTTGCAGTTATTAACATTCTTTACACATGCACTATTTGGTGAGTATTTTTAGAAATTTTCGCCATAATTTTAAACAGTAAAATCTAATTATAAATAGTAAGTTTTCGAGTAAGGAGGATTATCATTTGGATTGATTTGACAAGCTAAAACTTAAGGTTATTTCATGATTGCATTCCATTAACAGATCAAGCTGTTGGTAGGACAACTTCTGCAAACAGGTTTAGTAGGTTAAGTTTAATCTAAATAGTATCCAGCCATACAAGCTGTGCATATGGTACCATTAGAAGAAGTAGGATTACATTAAGTACAATAGTTATCACAAGATGAAAAAGTTCCATCACTTAATTTAATAATTGGAAGGTTGGCAGGTTATTACAAGCCATCTTTTTGAGGGATAGATTTGTTAAAAGTGTAGGATGTAATCAATTTATTACCATTTAAACAACCTGAGTAGTAATCTTTGGTTGTTCCTACATTTAATGTTATAAATTTAGAAGGACTAGGGCATGGTAAGCAAGATTATTAATCCTCATCATAGTAATAGTAAGGAACGCATTAATTACAGGCTTTAGAGTTACTTGAACAATCAATACAATTATAAATAAGACATTATGTGCACACCTAGATACCTTACTATGAGCTTTATTAACTGGAAAGAGTGCTTGAAGGTAAAGGTTCTAAATAATAATAATTCTATTTTTAAGAACAGGCAGCACACTTATTAGCAGAAATACAAGAATCGCATTATCCCACAAAAGGACTTCCATCTGTAGGAACATAGAGAGCCTAGCAATTCTAAGAACAATCATTATTTGAATCTAAATAAAATCCTGGTAAACAAGAATTGCAGTAATAAAAATCGCTTTAAACTGTCATTGCAGCACACCCATAGGGTAATTTTTAACACACATGTCCTATAGCAAAATATCCTTGTAAGCAAGTAACTTATCTTGTACCAGTGTAATTAATCAAGGATGAGTATTATTTTGATAGGGTAAGTGAAGGATCATTACTTTATTAACTTTAAATTGAAGCAAGAAAGTTAGGATCACTTAAAGCATTGTTTCCAGCACAACATGTTGAACCTTCAGGACATGGAATACACATATTCGAAGTAGTAGAGGTAAAACCTTATTGGCATCCTTAAGAGCACTATCCGTTGGAATAGTTAGGGCAAGAAGAGCAACCTTAAGCAAAGTTATAAGGATCTTTAGAGTCTGAGGAATACTAACAAAAACTACATCTCTAAGAACTTATATCAGGAGCATACTAAGTTGAAAACCTATCATACTGTTAAGCAAAAAAATTGCAAATTTACTGAAGCTATTAGGATTAAGTACTAGAAGACTAAGCAACAATAACCAAAGAAAGCAGTAAAGTAATTATTTACCAATTTTTCATTTTTAGTTTATTAGATATTTACTTTTTATTTTTTTTGAATTTAATTGATTATAAACTCTTGATCTTTTGATAAAGTATTTATAGCATTTTAAATCAAGCACCGTAAAAGAATATATATCAATTAATTAACTTTTAATTTCTGATAATATTTTTGATAAATGAAGATAATTAATCCTTCTTTAATTTGATTTGATTAAAAAAACTATATTTTAATTAATTTCCTGATAAGTGAGTTAGGAAGCGCATTAGGGTTTTATTATTGATAGCAAGCCAAAATTAATTTATTAAATTAATTACAGATATTATAATGACATAAACTTAAAGATTTTGAATTTACATTTATATATCTTTAAGTAATATGGCTGACTTTAATAAAGAATAATAGTAAATTTCAATAACTTTTTACAAAAAAAATATCTAGGTATGTAGGATATTTATTTTATGCTAACTGAATTTAGAAAATCTAGTTAACTTTTGTTTCTATATTCATACTGCATTAGTAAAATTTATTATTTAATAAATTTGATAACCTAATGACCTATCAGAAAAATGTTTATTTTTATTAAATTGGCAAATTTTCTGATTTGTGAAAAACTAAATTTATTTTTTTAAGCTACTTATGAATCAAAATAAATTTGCATTTCTTATCAAATTTTAGTTTTTTTCATTTATCTTATTTGATTTAACAAAGATTTGATAGATCAAAGAAATTTTAAAAATAAATTATGACATAAATGTGTTATAATATTTATCAATATTTTTATTATTATACTTAAAAATGATAGAAAAATAGAATTGCTCACCTATATGAGCGTAGCGCGTATTTTTTATAGACTTGTAGAAACAAAAATATATATGAGTGAGTTTTATTTTTTTTGAATAATTTATACAGAAAACAAAATACTTATTCTTTAATTCACTTTTCCTATGATGAACAATAGATTAATTTAAAGAAAAACTATTTCAAATATAAATAAAATCTTCTTTTTGTAAAAGAAATTTTTATTGATTACCTTATCAGAAATTTATTGAAAACAATTTTTTTATTTTATTACAATTTCATTTTAGAGTTTAATTAATATCAAAAAATGAATACTTTTATTCAGTTTTTGAGGTTTTTGCTTACAGTTCCTTACATTAGTAAATTAATGTTGCATTATTAATAAACATATAAAATCAATTCAAATCATTTTATTTTTGAAACAAGGACAAAAAACTTTTATTTGTATGCTAATAATTTATAGGATAGGTATCAAATAGATGATCAGAAATAAATTATTGAATGATTAGATTTTTTATGGATTATAAAGATGTTAAAATATATTTATTTCAAAATAATTAAGTTTAATAAATAAATATTGATATTATTTTGGATTAATCATATTGATTTTAATTTTTATTACTAAAATCCAACTCTCATTTTATTTATTCTTATTTTTGCTTTGGTAAAAATTTTATTTATTTGATTGTTACTCTAAAAATTTACATATTTTATAATTTGCTTTTTCCTTTATTAATTTTAGAAACTAAATTCTTTTTTACTGCTGCAAAAATAGTCTCTCTCTTACTTTTTAATTCTTTTTGAAATAATTATTCGATAGACAATAAATATATTCTAAATACAAATTTACTGTGTATTATAAGATACCATAATAATTCTTAATTTAATCCCTTATAGATACTAGGAATAGAGGTTTTTTTTGAAAAAATTGGGCCCCAGAGTAGGCTTCAAAGATATGGGTGGGGGTGCCCTTAATTAATGAGGATTTAGAGTATTTAAATAAAAAAAAATTTTGTATTTATTCTTTTAAAATATTATATTTATTTATAAATTTAATTACAATAATTAATAATTTTATTTTTACTATTTAAAACAATTTTTGATTAAATATTTGTCAATGACATAAAAAAACTTAAGGTATTTTGTTAAAAAATTTTGTAAAAATAAAGTTTAGATGAATAATTATTTTTACAACGTTAACTTGTTTGTTTTAAGCAAAATACTTATATAAATGTTTAAATTACTTATTTGAAAATTAAGAAAAATGAAATAAATTATAATTTAAAATTAAAACAATATGGTGATTCAATAACTAATTAACTCCATTATGAATACATGTATGAACTAATATCTGATAACTTTTAAAAAGAGTGTTTAAATATTTATTTATTGATCATTAAACTACTATTATAAATTATTTAAATATTTTTGGCATTATCGTATTAATTATTTCTTCTCTAAATGATTATGTTTTAATTAGCAATATTAAAATATAATAGAGATTATTTATTTAAACATTAAAATAGCACACTTAAATAGAAAATAATTTTTTAAATTTGTTTGTTTTAAACTAATAAATAAATTTATTTTATAAATAAAAAACAAGGGCTTTAAATCAATGAATGAATGATTAGTTAATTGATTGATTCAGTTTATAAATTCGAAATTTTTAAAAGTTTTTGTAACTATTATTTTTTAATTTGATAACTATCAATTTTATTAAATATATTTCAATAATAATTAATATTTTGTATCTAATTAAATTTTTTAGGCAACTAAATAATCAAGTACAATAAATCAAACAAACAAAAAAACAAATTATCAACAAGCAAATATAGTAAATAGAATAACTGAGAAATGGGAGATACTGATGTAACAAGTTTATATCATTTTTACACAATTTCACTTTAAGGTGAATAGCTTGAAAATCCATTTTATTTTAAAAATAATTATATAGAAAGAATATATTTCAGAAGAAGTTTAAAAAGCTATAGATGATGTAATTTATTGCATTTTTAATACAAAATAATCAATATCAGCTTAGACTTACTGATATTAGCCAATCTGTTTTTAGTAGTCTTCATTTATTCTTATTTATTTAGTCAGTGAAATAAGTATTCGGCATTAAAGATGATTCAAGTTAAGTTACAATCACATACAATAAAGATAAAGTCAATCTTTGGACATAATAAATTATTGATTACACAATCAGAGGTCTTAATAAGTTAGGAAAACATTTCAAATATTGCGTTACAGCAATACTTCAATAAACTAATCACGCAGGAATATCTGTTTAAAGTAATTTACATTTGAATTATAGATAAAATTATCTAAAAATGCATAGTTTATGCCATATAAAATATTTGATTTATAATTTTAAAAAATAGTTACTGCCTATTAAGATACCAATACAGATGGTTCTCTGATTTAATGTTATGAAATTAATGATATTTATGCTATTGTTTCTGTTTTTGCAATGGCTGTCTGATTTACAAGGATTTTTAAAGATTCTATGCTGCTAATTAATTAGCTTATTAAGATCATCATTATATAAATGGCATTACGAATTAAATTTATATTAAAATAAAAAATATCTTTAAAGTTGTATTTGCATCTTCCGTTGAATATAGTAATTAAAATAATGAAAATATATATATATTCATTCCTTTTTTCATTTTAAAATGTTTAATTTATTTATTTAAAAATTGTAAAAAAAGAAGATTTTTGTTAAATTATTGTTTTTTTTTAAAAAAAAAGCGTTTGTTTTTTTAGAATAAATAAATAAAATTAATTTCTATTGCCATATAAGTAAATTTTTTTATTTATAAGCATATTAAAATGATATTAAAAATTGAAATGTACTTTTATGATTAAAATTAAAAGAATCAATGATTAACAAGACTTTTGTAAACATTTCAGCCATTTATAAAATGATTTAAGTGAGTCTATTTTATTAGAATTCATTTAGTAAGTAGACGGATTAGATAATTGAATAGAATTGACAGACTATTCATTTTGATTGTTTGTTTTATAGCGATATAAATATAGTTAATAATATTTTTTGATAGTTATAATTGGTTTATTAAAAAAACAATGCATAAATTAAAAATTAAGGATTCAATTATAAAAAGAGCAAAAGTTTGAAAAAATCCATTAAAAACATAGATTGATATTTAATTTAGTCAAATGAGCAAAAGCAATCAACCATAAGAAGACTTAGAAGAATAATACCTTCCAGATTTTACTAAATTATCAAATGCCTCATTGCAAAAATACAGAGTAAGTTTATTGTTTTGTGATTATACTATCATCGCAAATTTGTAAAGTGGTGGTGACATATTTATTAAGCTTCATTTTTAATAACAATTTAGATGTATTACAATATAGAATGTACTGAAGAAGAGCTTGTAGAGAAAGTTAAAAAACACTTCAAATCCACCCTAGACATAAATTCGCTTTAGTTATATGAAAAGATATTCAAGTTGAAAAGAGAAGAAAGAGAAGAATTAAAAAAGTAAGTTTTTAATAGTAAGTATGAAGGTTTAATATTTATTATTCTATATTTTAATTTAACAGCAGGAAGACTTTAAGAACAAAGAAAGAAATCTAAAAATCTAATTTTTGAGATAATTAATAAAACTACTTAAATTATAAAGCATCTGCGTAGCTTTCAAATGGCAATAAATCTTGTATGCAAAGGTGCACAAAGATAGATAGATAGTCTTTATTAATTAATAAGAAAAAGCATAAAAGCAATTAAATAAGTATTATTAAAAGCTTTAAATGGATAGATGATTGATAGATAGATAGATCTACATAAAAATAATAAAAATGCAAAACTTCAGTTTTTACACAAATGCAACAATAATCAATAAATATTTAACAATAATATAATTAATATGTATATAAAATGTATAATTCCTCACTCTCTACATTGTTTAATATTCTTAAGGATGAGTAAATCTTATTTCATTAATTATAGTATAAAATTCAAAAATTACAATAATAAAATAAAATATAGCTCGATTTAAAGATATTTCATCGAATTCATTCAGATATTTTGAGTTGAATAATATTTTAATTTAATCAATCAAATTTTGTTGTAATTTATTCTTTAATATTTTTTTAACTTTGTTAATAAATTTTTAAAAATCTAATTTAAAATAGCTTGAATAATTTAGATAAAATATTTAAATTTTTTTGATTTGATTTATTTAATGAAAGATTTTTTTAATTTAAATGAAAATATTTTAATTGGTTAAAAGAAAGATGTGATTCCAGCATAAAAACTATAAGCTTTAATAAAGTATAAAGTATTAATTTAACAAAAAAAGAAAACAAATAGAATCATATTTCATAAAAATAAATGAACAATACTCATAAGATTACAAAGTAATCTGTTTAGATTGCTACAAGACCTGCTCTCGAAAAGATCAAATAAAAGTTTTCTACATGTTCTTAGCAAGTAAAATTAAACTATGAACCTATTTTTAACAAATTAAACCAAAAATAGCAAATTTATTAAAAATCTACTTCAATTCAGAAAAATGATTAGAAATATTTTTAAATCAGCTTATTTTTTAACAAAATTTAGTCACTATAATATAGCATTTGCGTTTCACAAAAAGGAATAGCTGTAAATTAAGGAGATTGCTCCAAAGAGTTCAATATCCTTCTGCATTGTATGAAGTAGAAGAGTTGAAATATCTTTAGTAAATAATTTTAAGAATTTAGAATCTTTGTAAATTCTTCAATCAAAAAAATAATAAGAATTTATGTGTTATAAATTATATGATTAGTTTTTATAAAAATCAAACGAATCATTCATTCATTCATTTTATCAAATTATTTTATTTTTCTTAATATTTAGAATTAATTCATCTTTAATATTTATTCATTCAGCTTATAAAAATAAATATTTATATAAAAATAAATATTTAAATAGAATTTTAAGGTTTTATATAATTTTTTTAGTAATTATTTAAGAAACATGAATGCTAAGTAGATTAAATAGCTTAAGATATTTTATAAAGTTTTGTTATTATTAATAAATACTTTAAATTTTATTAAGATTGTTATATAAATTCATTATTAATCTCTAATTGGTAATAAGTAGCCAAGTCTCCATTCAATTTATTCTATATCAGACATAAATCTCCATTATCTATTTTAATAGCTAAAACTTGAAGGTATTCTTTCGTAGTCCTACTTTAATCTATCTTTCTTGAAAGTTAGACCTTGGAAGTATAACTTTCTTAATTTAGGCTATAATTTTTTAAAATGATCTATTTCCCATTCTTTAATTGACTTGAAAAGTTCCAAATCCTTAGATTTTTTATAAAACAATTTTAAATTTACTTTTAATAGGAAAAATTTGATAGTAAAACTATTTATTTTAAGCTAGCTTTTATTAAATAAATAAAGTATTAATGCAACACAATAATATCTATTGTGCTTTCAATCAATATATATTTTACTCTTTGCTTTTTACATTGAACAAAGGCTTCATAGTCTTCAACGCATGAATAATTAGTTTAGAATATTCTTTCACATCTAATCATCTTAACTAATTCTTTTTCACAAAGATTTTCTAGTAATCATTTAAAAAAATAAAATTATTTGTTATGCTTAATACAATTAATGTGAAAAAATATTTCAATTCTTTTTTTAATGGTTTAAAGTTGATTTTTAAAATAAGAACGTGTTATTTTTGTTGGTTCTTTTTAAGAGATTTTTAAAACAATGAATGAAAAACAATAAATGGACAATCGCACACATTTTTGATACAGAAAATGAAACAAATTTATTATCTAAAAATATAAAGAATGCAAAACTTGGTATTTTATCTTTTGGAAATTCTTTTGGGATAGATGGAGAATATTCTTCTATAACTTGCTAAGGGTATGCTCTTTGATGTGCTCTGTTTTCCATTATTTATTTTTTAATATTTAACTCTTTTTTACTAATGAATGAAATTTGCAAATATAAAAATTTGATCAATAAGAAGTCTAATTTGTATGTAATAGCAATTAATTTAGTTAAGAAAAGTATTCTTGTATTTCTTTTGCAATTACTAATAATCATTAAATATGATTGAATTTAGCTTATTTCTATTTAATCTTAATAAATTATTGCAATTTTAAGCAGCTACATTATAAATGTTACTCAAAAATGAGTATTCAGTTGAGGTAAATTTATTAATCAGTAGTAGTAAAATTGCTTTTATTAAATATTCAGTAAAAATAAATAAATATTTTTGGAGAAATATTTAATTTAAAAGTTAAATAGTATTTGAGATACAATTTTCAAAAGATTATCTGAAGTTGAAGTAATTGTTAAGAAATAAAGATTATCCATAAATGGTAACTGTTTTCAAAAGATTTTATTTTATATGATTTTTAAAATGACATCAATTTATACTACCCAGTTTGTTTTGCATAATTTTTTAGATACAGTTATTTCAAATTGAAATTAGCAGCTAGTAAAATTGCTAAATTTTGTATATTGAAATTATAAATTTCCTTTATCAATTGAATCCATTGACTAATTATTTAAGACTAGTTAATGGAATATTTAATTGACTATTTAGGAATTTACCTTGAAATATTTAGTTGATTTTGTTCGTAAATTATAGAAATTCAATTTTTATTTCATGTTTATATAGAGAAATTATCATATAGCAGAATTAAGAATGAGTATTGCTATTATAGGCATATTTTTAAAAGACAAAAATGTGTCAAATAATATTTAGGATTTATAAACATTGTTACCTAAATATAACGAATTAACATCAAATTATAAATATTAGTAATTGTTAATACGGAGCAACCTAAATTTTGTAATTATAAATAATTATTTGATTACAATCTTTCATTTATAATTAATTACCCTTTTTTCTTCTAATTAATAGCAATTATTTTCATTTGACTGTTGTCTATATTCCTTGTTATGTTAGTTAGTCTATTTCCAAAAAAATAATTTAATAAATTTAATTACCCATTCAAGCTGAAAGACAGAAAGAAAGACAAACAAACAGACTTAAAGGTAAAAAGAATTACATTTGATTAATTTTGATGTTCCTAATAAAATAAGTATTTAAAAATTATACATAATCTTACTTACACTCAACGTTAAACCAATTAGTTTCTCATAACGAAAAAAAGAAATTTAATTAATATAGAACTATTTTATCTGGAACATATATTTCGAATTTACTGACATAAATACTCATAGCGTTATTTGATATTAATTTATTTTTGATTTATTTACATTTTAAGATACATTTAATTGCCACTCACGCATTTTATTACTTTTTTTAAAGATATTTTCTAAAGGAACATTTTCAAATACACCTTACAAATAGTTCCTTTGTGATATTCAAACTAAATATTTTTTGATAGAACTAACATAATCTTATAATATTAGGTTTTTTTAAATCATCTCTAGAATAGAAAATTTAAAGCCACATTTGCTATGATTGTAGAATAGACTTGCTTGCTAGATTAGGTTCTAGTTCTATAAAAATTATGTATTGCCTATTAAACTAATATTGAATGATATGTAATTAGCAAAAATATGAAAATTACATTCAATAAAAAAAGAATAAGTTTTAAAAAATCAAGTATTTTAATGTCATTTTTATCTGAACAAATTTGAATTTTGATTATTGATGTGAAAGTTAACAAATTTATTTAAGAGGAATTTTTTATTAAACAATTTAATTTTTAAATGTTAAATAAATTTTTTAATGTAAAATAAAATTTTAATATGTTATTTTGCAAAGTAGATATTTTATTTTTGTTTATTTATTCTTTGATAAAAAATTTACAATGAATCTATAATTTATTGATTTTGCAAATTTTTAAATCAAATTTATAAAAACTTCTCACTCACTCAATAAATAAAAAATATATTTCTTGATATTGATCAAAATTTAATTTATTTAATATTAGAAACTTGTATGTAAGTTTTTTTTTTAATAACCAAAAAGAAGGATATTTATGAGTTGTTTAAGATGAGATTACCTCTTATTTAATTTCATTTTAATATAAAAATTGACATACTTAGATAATTTTCAGAAAACTTATTATCTCTACTTAGTTTCGATATATTCATATAAAGTAGAAGAAACAAATTTACTTGTTTCTCTACATAAAAATAAGATCAAATAAATATAATTAAAATTTAAATAAATTCTTTAGGGATTTTATATTGCTTTTGCTTGCTTGTATTCAATCGTTCTTAATGCTTTTTTGTTTATTTATCATTTTACATTCAAAATAAAAATGCAAAGAAAAATATCAAGTTCATTCTATAAGTAAGCACTTATAAACAAAAGAAATTAGAATTTGATATGAAAAAGAAGCAAAAAAGCATGCATGCAAAATAATAAACAAGAAAGAAAGAAAGCGATTGAATGAGTAATGAAGCAAGAATTAGTCCTATCAAAAAATTTGTAATAAAATTCGCTAGGAGTAAGATGCCGAATAATTTATTTATTTATTTTTAATGTAAATTATGTATTTATTTGCTGCATCTAAGATAAGTGTTTTTTGTTTATATAGGTAATTAAATAAATAAATATTATTAATAATTAATAACAAACAATCAAAAAATTAAAAAATAAGCAGAAACAAGCTGTTTGTTTGTTTATTTAATTCTTAATTTCATAACAAAATTCACAATCAAGACTAAAATTACCATGGAAGACTATATCTCTCTTATCCATCAATAATCTACAGGTGTTAGCCAATCTCTATACGATGATGGTAACCCTCTTTGAATTGTTTTATTTATCTACCATACTCCATATACCTAAATTCAATTTTAATCATCTTTAATCTCAAGCTATTCACATCTCTAAACTTGAGCAAAATGTTTGTTTCAAATCTACCGACTTAAATCATTTTAATTGATAGCGTCTTTGGTGGATTATAGAAGCTGGTAGAGAACTCTGATAAAAATTTTATTTATTTGAAACTTTAATTCAATTTTAGCACATTCATTTTTTATTCAATTTACCCTTTTTAAACTTTAGGAACCGAAGAAATGAAATACAAGTGTAGTCTTTATAAGATGAAAAAACAAAGAGTAAAAGTCAATGTTGATTTTGTTATTACAAACAAGGCAATTTACAACTACTAAGATGAAAGTGAGGTTTTATTTCATTTAAATGTTTTACTAAAAACTACATAAATCTAATGAAAGAATGAATGAATGAATTAATAAATGAATGAATGAATATAGTGCGAATAAATATTGGCAAAGCACTTTGTTGGTTTATTGAAAAATTGATGTTTGATTGACATAAAGAAAAAATTTTACTGAATTTGTTAAAGAATTTAAAGTCAGCTTTGAAAATAAATTTCTTTTAGAAATAAACATAAAGCAAATGATATATTCTTATAAATAAATAAACAAATAAATTATTAAATAAAAATAAGAAGAAAGAATTGATTGGTAGATTCTATTTGTGCTGAATTGAAATTAATTAGAAAAATCTGATTATATTTTACTATAATAATTAAAGAAGAATTCTTAATCAATCAATCAATAAATATTTCTTTCAAATTAATTATCTTGAAAATAGTTTGGTTTGATTCTATAAAAGTATTTACAAATTCAAATGAATTTCAATTTTTTGCAAGCACAAACTAAATTTGATTTTTAAATTTACAAATTACTCTTGGCATTGATTTATTAATTTATTCTCAAAATCAATCAATCGATCAATCAATTATTAATTATAACATTATTATAATAATTATAATAATTCAAAATTTTATACATAATAATAGATCAAATTCTCAGAATAATACTTACTGACATTACCTAAATTATTGTTAATCGCCATGGATAGGAGTTCATGATTGCCTAAGGGGATAATCAAGAAGATTTGAGATATAAATTTGAATAGTAATCATCGTTTATTTTACTAAATATTTATAATTGTGTCAGTATTATTTATTATATTACTCTACTCCAACTTATATAAATAATATAAGCATGAAAAATTTATACTTACAAAATCTATTCTAAAATCAAAGGCGCGATCTCCTTTTGAGTTACTTGCTATAGTCATACACTGATCTAGCAAAGAACAAGCTTTTGATGATTATTGTGGTATATAATTAATTGCTTCTTTAATTGATTATTTTCTGATGAAAATAAATTGTTGTTAATTAACTAAATGCTCTCAATCTTTATTTTTCACCATAAGTTTCAAGAATATCTTTTGAAATATCTTTGGAACAAAATGAAATAGATAAAATTTTACTTAATATTTCTATTTTAATATTTCTTTCCCTTTCACTTTTCAATTTTTGTAATATTTTATAATCTTCAATTTCAGAAATACAGATTGTAATTGAATCAATTATCAAACGAAATAAAATAATTGAATTTATTTAATACACTCTCAATCACAAATTTATTTGAAAATTTCGATTAATAATTCACCAACTCAATCAAAAACTTACCCATTTAGTTAAAAAATGAAATTAAAAAGACCAAACATTAATTAATTTAATTTGTTTATTAGGATGACAAATAACTGCACCCATATTAAAAACAATTCAAGTCAAAGAAAAGAATTAGTAAGAATTCATCTAAAGATTAATCAAATACCTTTAACAACAATGAAGGTTTTTGCAGTAGCTAAAAGTCAGCTTTAAGTAAATACTACACAAACCCCAATTTAGACAACTGTGAAAAATTAGTAAAACATTTCTAAATTTACATTTGATAATAATTAATCTTATTGATTGTCTTCATTAGTTTATGAATCATTTGGAATATGAAGAGAAATTTTCAGTGAAAAGAATGGATGATCTTAGTGTTTCATCATCACCTATTATAAAATCTTAAATGATACAGCAAAATATTTAAGAGGACCCTTTGTAGCCTCCATTTCAAATCAAGGAGAGACAATATTGCTTGGAGGATTTTGTATTTTATAAAATTCTTGGCTAAGGAGCTTTTGGAGTAGTCTTTTTATCAATTGATAAGCAAACAAGTAAATTTTATTTTTAAATTTGTATTCAGCCCTCAATAAATAAATTGCGTTTTTTGATTAATAATTTTAATAAAAATGTAATAATAATTGATTTAATTCTGACTATATCAATAATTACTTTTCTAATCATTTTTAATTTATTATTGCGAGAAAGTTTTGCGTTAGTGAAAATAAAATTGAAATTATAAACTTTTAGTTTAAATTGATTGGCTTTATTTTTAATCACAAATTTATTTGTTAAACCATAAATAAATAAATAAATAAATCAACAAATTAAATTCAAAAAAATAATAGATGAAGAAGTAGCTGTAAAAATGATCAGCAAGCACGAAATCGAAATAAAAAAACAAAGAGACCACACTTAAACTGAAAAGCTTATTTTAGAGCACATCAAACACCCCTTTTTAATCAACGTTCTTGGCACATTCTAAGATGTAAAAAACATATATTTCGTTATGAAAGTGCTCAGTAAACAATTTTTCCAATTAAAATACAATAATAATCTGTTTTATAAATAATCAATCAACAGAAGGAGGAGAACTCTTTTAGCATCTCAAAACATAGAGGTTTTTTGCTGAAGAAAGAGTTAAATTCTATGCAGCGTAAATGATCCTTGCATTAGAACACTTGCATTCCTTCAATATAATTTATCGTGATCTGAAGCTAGAAAATATTCTTTTAGACGAAGAAGGATATTTGTGCTTAACTGATTTTGGACTTGCCAAAATTCTATCAGATACAGATACTGCTTTGACTTTCTGCGGGACTCCTGAATATTTAAGTCCTGAAACAATAAAAGGATTTGGAAGTTCCAAAGTAAATTAAAAATAAATTTACTTCAAAAATTAATTCTACTTTTAATAAAATAAATAGGCGTCAGACTGGTGGAGTTTAGGCACTTTATTGTAATTAATTAATTAATTTATTTTCATTTAAAAAAATACAATTTATATGTTTTAATTAAAAAAAGATATGAAATGCTCTTTAGCATGCCTCCTTTCTACCATAAACAGCATAAATAAATGTTCTAAAAAATAGTCTTTGAAGAGCTCCAGTTTAATCCTAATATGCAAGTCTCATCTTAAGCAAAGGACTTGATTGGAAGAGTAAAATATCTTATTATTTAATCAATCAATAAAATTTATTTCGTTAAATTAAAATTTCAGCTTCTTTGCAAGGATCCTAGAATAAGGCTAGGAAGCTGTGAAGGAGCCTCCGAATTGAAAAATCACCCTTGGTTCGAAGATGTAGACTGGGATGCACTCTACAAAAGATAAGTAAATAAATAAATATCTATTAAGTATAAATAAATAAATAAATTAACTATTTAACATTTAGGTTTAAGCTCCTTTCAAGCCTGTGACAAATCAAGAATGCTGGCTTGGATACTTCGACTAAGAATTTGTTAGCAAACCGATAAATAATTTTTTTAAATAAATCTACGATTTCAATGACTTAGATTGTTATGAGACTTTCTAATACTACTGAAGAATTAAATATCTATCTATTGCACAAAAAATTCAAATTAACAAAAAAACCAATACACTTTTAACCAAAATAATACAAGTTAACCATTAAAAAGCATTCAAATTTCCTTAAAAGAAACTAATAAGTCTCTCTAAAAATTATCAAAAAGTAGTTTTTAGAAATCAAATATTTATAAAAAATAACTCAAAATTTAATCAAACAAAAAAAACTCATTAAGCTCAAAAAATGTGAAGCAACAAAGTACTACATTAATGCTACGAAATGAAAAAGCCGAAAAAGCAAATTATTCACTCTCCTACTTATTTACTCGCTCACTCATTCACGTTTTTTTATCTAACTACTTACTTATATAACTATCTATCTATCTAAATAACTAACTAACTAAATATACTTCTTGTTATAATACAATGCTTCTTTAACCAATTCACAGAGAAAATATTATATTTAAGCAAAAATCTCAATCTCAATAGAAAAATCCTCCAAAGTTTCTTCTATACCTTGCTAAAAAAAATAATTACATAGCTAAAATAGCCTACTTATCTACCTACAATAAATTCTATTTAAAAAATAAAGTCAACTTCAATTTAGTATTTTAATGCTACTTATTTCTAATATTAACCAACTATCTAACTAACTAACTAACTTCCACTATTTAAAATTAAAAACTGCTATATTAACGAAGAAAAATCTAAAAATTTTTCTATCTATTTCTATCTTTTAAAATTAAATTTTGTACTACTTCGTATATATATTTCGTACTTACTTGCTAAATTAATAAATAATGGCCCTTCTACACAGTTTTCACATAAATTTTTTATCTTTTTAATAATAAAAATAAAGTATTTCTATTCAATTTTTACTTAAACTTATTTTTTTAAATAAAAATTAGTATTTATTTTCTTAATTATTTTATTTAATTTATTTTAATACAGTTTTTTATTAATTATCTAGGTACTAAGAAAACATATTTATTTAACTATTCAATTTTTATTTTATTTTTTAATTGAATTTGATGAAATAAATTTTTTTTATCATAAATTATTTATTTTTATGATTATTTATGAAGATAATTTAAATTATTTTTTAATAAATTAATGTTTAAATTCTCTAATAGTGAAAATAATATTTTTAATTAATAATTAATTCCTCATATTATATATATTATTGGCTCTTTAATTTTAATAAATTAAAAATAATTATCTTTAAAAATAGTTATTCTTTTAAATGATAAACCTTAAATATTTAATTTATATTAGCAATTGATGAATAATTGTTAGCTTGATATCAGTAAATTTTTTACTAGCTATGTTAACAATTTAATATTTATAATGTCTATGAAGAAAGCTATTATCAAATAAAATGAGAGGAAAATGAAAAGATTCTTAAACTATTCATTTTTATTATAAGATTTCAATCAAAGTTGGCTGAGAAAAAGTGGAAAACTAGAAAAAATAAAGAAACACATGGATTTCATTCAAAAAATCAAATAAAGAAATTTATTATGAATTAAATTGTTATATTAAAAATTTAATAGCAAGAAACAATAAAAAATAAGATAGATAGAATTCAAGATATTATAAAATAGTAAAAACATAAATAATAAAACACATACATAAATACATTCATTCATAGACACATAGTTCATTTATTATGATTTCTGCATAAAAAACACAGCATTTGTAGGATTAGCAAACCCACAAAAACATACAGGGTTATGTTGATTGGGCTATTTAGAGAATTCCATCAATACACAGCAATGAATTGAAGAATATAAGTTACGATTATGTTTTAGTTAATTTAAGCTCTATTATCAGCGAGCATTTCGTGTCAAGCAAAAGTTTGCTTTCAAACAAAAGCGCTTTTTTAGAAAAAGTAACAAAGAATTTTATAGATGTCATTACTCATCTAAAGCCTAGCAGAAATATTATTGTTAGCATTGATGGAGTGAAGCCTATTTAAAAATCAAAATATGAGTATGTTTAGTTGTTAAAGCAAGATCCGAATCACATCAATTATTCAGATTTATATCCAGGAGCTTAACTAATTGAAGAATTACATGAAAAGATAAAGCAAGTTGCTCATGATTTTATATAAAAGCATCAGGAATTGAATTTTGTTATTTTAGATTAAAATATGCCAGGAGATGCACTTTATAAACTAAGGTTTTTTATACGCCAACAGAAGAATAGATTACATTTTAGAGGTGATTTTAGATTTGCTCTTGTGGATAACAGCAATTAGGGCTTTTTAACAGCACTAGCATTACATCTACATTATATAGATTTGATCTAGCATTAAGTAATTCATTTAATATTATGTATGACTGTGTTAAGAAAAGCTCAAGCCTTCATTTTTGTATTTTGGAGAGTTTGTTTTTTGTAAATAGTAGCTTTATTCTTAGCTGTGTCTATATAAGCAAAAAGCATTATTTTGATAGAAAACTATTATTTTAAAATTAATTATAGAGCCAATCAATTTAGTAAGGCCACGAATCATCATTTAAGTATAGCACAATCGATGTAGGAGTATTTAAGTAATTTATAATTTCTGAATTCTCTTTAATGAACGTGCAAGGTGTTCATAACTTTTAGTCAATTATTGATGATCTCATCCTGCTTTCACTGCTCCTTGGATCTGAAACTCTCCCAAAATTAACTTTTTTCTCTTTTGAAAAGAACGGAATGGATTATTTGTATTATCTCTACAAGGTATTTTTTTATTGAATTTTTAATAAAAACGAATAACTATTCATTAATAAATTAATTAATAAATAAATCAAACAAACAAAAAGCGTATGTATCCTTTCTTGAATGGAAATTTGTCAGAAAAGGGAGTTATCTATCAGGTTAATTTACACTTATTCTTCCATGAGTTGGGAATGATAGAAGATATTCTAATTTTCAACGAAATAAGATAATCATAGTTTTAATATAACAATTCTAGACATAATAGCATTTAGCTACAAAAATCTGTAGAAGAAATAATTGAAAAAATTAAATAAAAATATGACTCCTTAGATTACGACCCAATCAGAGCTTCTGAGATAGTTTAGCAAGTATTTGAGAAAAACTTAAACGAAACATTATAAGAATAGCAATAATTAAAAGTACTTTTTATTCTTGCATAAAGAATACAAATAATCATTTTTTATTATTAAAATAATCCGATTAGAATGAAGGAGAAGATGTTGCATAACAAAGCTAACCAAAAGTGGTTCCAATTATTCCAGCAGCATAACATGTATAGAAGCCACAAGCTAGTGAAAAAAAGACTTATAAATCATTCTTTACTCCCGATAAGATGAAGGAGGTATTAAAATAATATTTATAAAGTGTTAAGTTTGATTGATTGAATTTAAAACAGATTCACCTTTAGTGTCTCTCAAAGGCATCTTCTATCTATTAAGACTGTATTGTCGACACAAGTAAATACGGTGAGAGATTCTTCGAAGGTATTTGTGAAGATGATAATGATGAAGACTCTGATATTGATGAAAAAGCTACATTGACTGAAAGAAACCACAATATAGCCCAATAATACTTGATTATAAATAACTACAAACCCGGAGAGAGAGGTTATAAAGATCAGTTTTATCTTAGTGTAGGAAAATATGATCAATCTGATTTATCTACCCTTAGACCTAGCATTACATAAAAATATTTTGAAGGAGTTGTTTGGCATTTCGCATCCTATTATGGGTAAGAATTATTTCTTTATTTGTAGCTAGCTGCTAATTATATTTATTAGTTTGACAACCAACCAACCAACCAATCATCTTCAAAAAGTTTTTCAGCAATCAGTAAACAATATTTTTCAAATAAAGCAAGCGAGTGTTTTTCTTATTAAACAAATAATTTTATTATTGAAAGCTTTATTTAGTAAAGAAATCAATAAAGTTAACTTATTTGCAAGCGTATTTAGAAAGAAGTAAAATATGAAGTTAATTTTTAATAAATTATGATGCTATTTAGCATTAAATTTTTTCACTATTTTATATTTTAAAAGTAAAATTGTTAAATTTCAAATAATAAAGTGATTTATTTTAACTTTTTAAAATGGTTGAGAAATAATTTTTGAAAAAGCAATTTCATTGAAAACCAAAATAAAAATTGAATGAATGAATGAATGAATAAATTAATCTAACCCCAAAAAGTTATTTAATAATGAATAACTAATCCTATTTTTATTATAGAGAGTATCCAGCATGGAATTGGGAGTATAATTATCATTTTGCACCCTTTGCAGAGGATATGAATAAACTTAGCGAGTTATAAATTAAATTCTTTCGCTAACCACCCCTAACTAATTCATAGTATATGATTATTATGTCCAATCAATCATACTCCTCTAAATTACCACATGAATTGAAAGAAAAGGTAAAATTTTATTTCACACCACAATAAACAAAAAAAAACTACATTTTTCTTTAAAATAAATTCAATTTTTCAGTTAATTTGTTTACTCTATTTCATTTATTAAAATTTAATTCAATATTTCTTTCCTGATTTCATGTTTATGTTCTCTAAACAAAAAAACAAACAAACAAATAAAGCACACAAATTTTTTAAACCAATCAATTTTTTTACCATAATATTGAATGAATGAATGAATTAATTAATTAATACTCTTGAAATTTAAGGGAAATTATTGGATTAAGAAAATTTTAAATAATAAATAAATAAATTAAAATTTATAACAAGATTTATGGAGAACAAAGTAATTTAGCAGATTTGTTCCCATTAAGCTTTGGGTAAGGACCTAACAAGACCTAGTTTTTATGCACATTAGAGATTGAAAGATTCTTGAGTTTCTTGTAAAAAATACCCGAATATATCTCTTTTGCATAAAAAATGGATAAGGAAGAGCCTTATTAGACATTAATAACCCATAAAAATACAGTGCAGAAATCTTTAACTGAATATGAAGCCAATGGATAAGCAAAGTCGGAAGGTACAGATCCATAATAATAGCAGTAGCATCATGATTAAAAAAATTTGTTAAAAATTTAGCAAAGTAACATCTGCTGTGAAATAGTGAAAATACTAAATCCAAGCGAGGATATTTATACAGCTTAAATAGATACAATAAGCTAAAAACTTCCAATTAACTTAGATCTAAGTAATTTAGTTGTAACATTAACAGATAAAGAAAAGGAAAATATTCTTGAGTAGTTAGGTGATATTCACTAAAATGCTTATGTAAAGAATGAAAAAATTAAAATTTTAGAAAGAAGTTTGGGAATTACAGTTGATGCCAACGAAGTATTCAACAGAGGAATTGGTGAAAAAATCTTATATACTATACCATAAGCATTTACAACAACAAAAAGCGGACAATAAAGTATAGGAAATAACTAGAGTTAGATGAATTAATAGCAAGGCTAGCATAATAGAAATGATAATAGAAATAATCACAGAGATAATCACAAAGGATATTAAGGCCATAACAATTAAAAACCAAAGTATAACAACTACTAACAATAAGGTCATTATCAATCTGGACATTACAATCACCATTAAGGAGGTTAAAGAGGAGGTTATAATTAGCACAACAATAATGGCAATAATAATAATAATAATAACAACAATAATTATCACGGAAATCACAACAATTACAACAAATTCAATAACTATAATAATAATAACAACAACAATAACAATAATAACAATAATAATAATCATTACAACAATAATAAAAGACCTCATCCAGATTCAAGATTTAATAAAAATAATAATAAGGGAAGGAAATAATTTTAATCTAACAATTATAACAAATGAGAATTTTTAGTTTGAAATGAGTAAAAATTAATTGTGATACTCAAATATAATAAATATATTATTTCTTGCCGTTATAATTTATTCATTAGACATAATAATGAAGTTAATTAAAAATATCAGCAAGCTAATTTGTCTATGAATTTTCAGTAACAATTGATTATAAAAAATAAGCAGTAATTCATTTATACTTATTTATTTAAAATTTTTAGTTAGAATTAAGTATTTATAATTATATCTTTAATTAAATTCATTAATATTTATTTTTGCTTGTTTGTTTGTTTAAAAACTAATCTGCTAAATAAATTAAATATTTTTAAAATATCTACAACTTTTCAATTAATATCTCAAAGATATTTATGCATTAATTTACTTATTGTTTTAAAATTTATTTTTATTTGTTTGTTTGTTTGTTTGTTTAAAAACTAACATACTAAATAAATTAAATATTTTTAAAATATCTAACTATTTTTCAATTAATATTCCTATTTATGCATTTATTTACTTAATAATTTCAAATTTATTTTTTATTTAGTAATTTTACTTTAGTATTTATAAAGAATCAAATTGGTAAGCAGATAAAAATAAAAATGTATCACGAAAAAGTAAGCAAAAATAATATGAATTTTAGATTTTAATAAATTGATTATAAGAAATTATCTTAAATACTTTAATAAAAAACTCTTTATTAGAGACTGAATGTTGGTAACAAATGTTTAGATACTATAATTATTCTATTAAATCTCTTTATTAAAAATCTAAAAAACTTATTATTTTATGCCTCTCAATAAGCAAAAATAAATTAAATCAAAGGTTTTAATATTTAATTATATTGTAGTTTTTACATTAAATAAAAAATTTGATTGAACTTTAAAAATTGTAAATAATAGATATCAAATTTTCTTTGATATTTTTCAAAAAACCTATTCTCTTTTATATTTGAAAATGCACTTTTGATGCTTTATTATTTGACTACCATTATGAAAATATCTTTTTAGCAGAAAATATTACTGACAATAGTTAATTTTTATATAAAATATTTGTTATAATTAGATTAGGTTGATCAAAAATACCTTATAAGTGTATCTCAAATTATTTAAAAATAGATTTTTATATTTGTTTTAGAGAAACTTTAAAATCATTTATTTGAGCACATATTAAACAAGTATCATTAGCTAACAGGTTCAATTTAATCTTAATTTTAATTTATTCAAAATCTTATTTGCTTTTTCAATGTTGACAAATATTATTTCATATAAATTATTGATTTCATTTTTTTCTTTTATTATAAATATTGTTTATTATTTTCCTTATTAATTAATTTTTATCATTTTTGTTATGTGCTTTTTTTAAATTTTGAAAATCTTATTTTATATCATAAAATTTTTATTAATTAATTGGTGACATAATATGTAATTTGATCAAATCTGCTTTTGTGTGATTAGTTGCTAAATATAAAATTTGATCAAAAAGTTTTAAACTGATCCCTATTAAAGATAAAAAGCTTTTTCTAAGAAAAAATTTCTCTTTTATATAGAAAGATCCATAAATAATAAATAAATAAAACAATTTAAAATTCTAACTTAAAATAAATTCTTAATAAATTTTATTTTGCATTTAATAATTATTTTATATTGTTTTCTCTAGCTATATTTTTATGTTTTACTTTACTACTATCAGGGATACAGACAGATCAGCAATTTTCTAATCTAATTTAATAGAAATCGATAATTGGAAATTTTTTTGATCAAAAATAAAAATAACTTTTTTTATATTCTCAATAATATATCTCAATTTTAAAAAAATCGATTTTTATACATTCATTAAAACACTATCAATAAATAAATTACAAATTTTAGTTTAAAATTATTGTTTTTATTTATTTGATCCTTACTTTATCATATAGTTAGTGCTAACCATTTTTAGAGGTTTACCTAAATTATTTTTCAAATTTTTGGATTTCATGATCAGTTTGTGAAAATCAGATTAACTTAATAAAAGAATAATAGAATAATTAGGAAATCCCGTTATCCTGATCAAAAATAAATTTAATTATCAAACTTATTTATTGTTATTCCATATTTTTAAAACTCAATCTAGCTAGAAAGTAAAATTTTGATAAATATTTAATTAACAAAACTAACAAAGCATTAAAAAATTGAAAAAAATGACCAGCAGAAATTTTACTTATGTAATTTATTTCTATATATAATTATTATTTATTTTGATTTATAAAATAGCTATTTGATTCTGAATGCGATCACGAGAGTCTTGTAGATCTCTCTCTAAGCTTCATGTAAGATTAATTTTAGTTAAAGGTTAAAAATTCTTTAAAAATTAAAAATAGTTTTTTAAATACATCAAACTTTGAGCTTCTTTAGAAGTTGGACACTGTTGTTTCTAAATGTAAAAATCTTAATAACTTAGAAATGAGATTAAAGTATCACTTTTTAATTATTTAAATAATTTTTATCAAATTTTAAAATTCTGTAAAAAATTAAAATATAAAATAATAAAAAAACTAAAGTTCTAAATTAATTGAATTTCAACATCCTGAAAGAGCTCAATCTTTGGCTTCTGGCCTAGTCGCTTGCTAATAACTTACTAATCTAAAGATTGTTTTTAGGTAATAATATATTATCAGTAAGGATATTATAAAAAAAGTATTTATAATAATAAAGTTATGAAGAAGACGACTCAAAAGGTATGGCTTAGATAGCTTCTATAATTGAAGCATGCTAAAATTTGAATGACCTAGAATTAGATTTATAGTAAATAAATAACTTTAAACATTTATTTTTTGCTTGATTTAATTAAAATAAACTTCTACTTAAAAAAATTAATTTATTTGATCAAATTTTATTCATCAAAATTAATTTCTTTTATTTTGTTTTGTTTGTATCTTTATTTATTTTTATTTTTAAAAATATCTTTTATTAATAAAAAGTTCAAGTAGAAGATTTGATGTTGAATGTGCTCTATTTTTAAAATAGGCAATCTAAAAACTTCAAAAGCTAAATAATCTCACCATAAAATTACAGTAATAAAAAATTTTATTTAAAGTAATAATATTGATATTTTACTAATATAATAAAAATAAAGATGCTCTAATTTAACTGGAGAGAGCTTAGCTACTTTATCAACTGGAATTTAAAAGATAACTTCGTTAGAAACTTTAGCTCTTTATTTATGGTAATATAAAAAAAATCAATATGAGTATTTTTTATGTTATTTTTATAGCGATAATTAGATTTCTTCAGCAGGATTAGGCTTGTTTGGATCTAACTTAGAAAATATCACAAATTTGAAGTCATTAGATATTTAGTTACAGTATATTTTATTTATATTAGCACTTTATAAAACTAACAATTGGTATTTGATAAAGATAAAATAAGATAAATGGATAAGGAATTCAAGAGTTTGCAACTTCTTTGTCTAGATGCTAAAATCTTGCTAATTTAAGTCTTAACTTATTGTACTATACTTAAATATATAAAAGCGCCTGTTTTAATTTTATATTTATAAAAAGAGAGAATGAATTAGGTGCAGACGGTGCTTCAGCTTTGGTTGATGGTTTATCTTAGAGCGTTAGTCTAAAGCAGCTTAACCTTCGTTTAGGGTATTTATTTAATTTATAAATATTACTTCATATAAAACATTCTTTAAAATTATTTTATTTATTTATTTTCACTATTTTAAAATTTAAAAGATATTGTTTTTTATTGTAATATTAAGACTTAATTAAATTGGAGATGAAGGAACAGCAAGATTAGGAGCAGGATTAGGAAAATGCCAGAACTTAACTGATCTTACTCTTAATTTAATGTATTTTTTTTTTTTTTCAATATTAAAAATTTAATCATCCTTTAACTTTTTCATTAGAGATAACTAAATTGGATCTCAAGGTATTTCTGGATTAGCATAAGGTTTAGCATCAAGTAAGAGTATTAGTTATTTAAAGCTTGAATTTTAGTAACTTTTTAAGATTAAATTTATCTTTATATTAACATTTATTTTCTATTAAAGCTCAAACTAAATTGGAGACGAAGGAGCTTCTTTATTGGGTTCTGGCTTAGGAAAATCTAAAAGTATTACAAACTTGGTCCTTTATTTGAGGTTATTCATTTATTATTTATTTAAAATTTTAATTATTTTTTATTTAATTCAGTGAAAACGACATTAAAGCAGAAGGAGCAAAACTTATATTATAAGGACTATCAGAGTGTTTAGAATTAAAGGAATTAACACTCCGCTTAGGGTAACTTTAAATATTATATTATTTAAATATTTAATTTATATTATAGAGATAATTCTATAGGAAGTGAGGGAGCTATTGGATTAGGTTTATCTCTTAAGCTACTAAAAAATTTGATTAGCCTAAATTTAGAATTACAGTAAAAATTTTTATTTTTGGAAATTAATAAATCAAATTAATTCTTAAAAAATCAGATACAACTAAATTGGATTAGATGGTTTAGAATAATTAGGTTCTGGTATTTAAAATATCAGCAAATTAGAATAATTATCCCTTAATATTTCGTAAATTTTATTAAATCTTTGTTTAAAATTAAAAAAATTAAAATATAATTATAAGTGGTAATTCTATCGATTCAAATGGTCTTTCAAATTTAGCTACTCATTTAGCTTCATGCAATAATCTTACTGCACTTAGCTTATACTTAGGGTAAGTTAGTATTTTAGAAATACATAATTAAATATTTTAATACAAATATTAAAGGCACAATCAAATCAAGGATGAGGGCTTTTCTGATTTAATTTCAGCTATCTCTAAATTGAATAACTTAAAATCTTTAATTTTGGAATTAGGGTAAATTTAATTAATAAAAATAAGCAGATAATTAGATAGATATATTTACTTAATAAAAAATAGCCGTAACAACGAAATCATTGGCAACCGTGCTAAGGAATTATAATAGTTGAAAAATTTGACTCAACTACAGAAAGTGATTCTATATTAAATGTAATCAAATATTAAAATGTTAATTAATTTATCAAAAAATTTTTAAATTTTGTTATAAAGCCCTATTTCTGATAAGCAAACTATAGATGAATTATAGCAATCTCTTGAAGAATAAGTGAAATCTGTTTTAATAAGATGAATGAATAAAATATTTCAAGTATATTATTTAAAAAATATAAAATTTTAAAATATAAAATAAAATAAAATGTAAATAACTAACTGCATATTTCATATTCTTTTCAATAAAGTATTAAAATTACATTTAATATTAGTTTTCTTTTGAAATGTTTTTCATAATATAATTAAAATTAGTTAATATTTTATTAATAGGTTTCTAAAAATAAATATTTTTATTGAAATAATACTCTATAATTTTAGAATTTGCTTGCTAATTTTTATTCAAAAACATTAAAAACTCCTTGATATTCAATTTTAATATTAAAATTTGTTAATTTTTTATTATTTAAAAGATGTGAAATGGATGGATGACAGTTTATTTATTATCTTATAAAATATTTTACTTGAATAAATACTTAATAAATTTTATTTTAAATTCTTAATAATATTTATTTTTTTGCTTACAAAGTCAATAGAATTTTCTAATTAAGTATTTGTGAATTTATATTTTAAATATTTTAAGAGAATATTTTATTTAATTAATGATGCGATTTTTTTTTCGAACATATGATTTAAAATATTTTAGTTGTTAAATATTTTTTAAATAAAAATAATATGAATTGAATTAAATATTTTAACAAGAGAATTACAGCTTAAAAATGAAGAGATATTTTCAAATGGTTTTTTGATCAGTGATTTATATTAGATTTTATATTTTGAATCCAAGTTAGGAAATATATAAGATATTCTTGATTTCTTATTCACTTGCTTGGTTTCTTGGTGTAAATTAGTTAATCTATGAAACTACCTTTTTAACTATATTATAAATAATATTTTAAAGAGTAGCTATTCTATTTAAAAAATCTAATTAAAACAAAAGTCAAAGTAAAGTAGAAAAAGGATATATAAAGTGATTAATTAATATTAAATATGGATTTTCAAAGAGAGGATGCAGGAGGGAGTAAAGTAGTTACTCCTAAAATTATGTTTAGACGTCCTGGAAGTAAGGACGGAGGAGGAATTTTACCTGGACTTGTATTTAGTTTAATTTATGAATGCTCAATATAAAACAATTATTATTAAAGAGGTTAGGTTAGTTCAATAACAATTTTACAAGCAAAAATTAAGACCAATCATCGATAAATGAAGATTAATTTCCTTAAACCACGAAATAAAATAATTAAATAATGCTTAGATCAAATTTAGAGCTTACAAAGTTAGGATCAAGGTTAGAATTAAATTATATATTTAAATTTAAAACAATTTGATGTCAGCAACATTTATTATTTTTTTTGTTCAATCAGATGTTATGATTATTTTAAAATGTGTTTTAAAAATCTAGAGAAAATATTGGATCAAAGACTCTAATTCCTATAAGATCTTAAAATGATCTACTTAGCAGAGAAGTTGACAAAGAAATTAATAACATGAATTTACAAAGCAGGTATTTTATAAAATTAATTAGACTTTAGATAGAAATTGGATTTATAATATAAAGAATAAGGGATTTAGAAAGTATGCTTATAGATTTTAAGGGGAATATTGAAAGAAGGATATAGAAAATTTAAGATGATATACCAGGAAAATTCAATTAAAATTTTAAAAGACTTGAAGATAAAGAAGGTTAGATGTGGAAAGATAACAATCAAAAGCAAGGAATGATTTAGGATTAATATTAGATTATAAGGGAAACAATTCGCAAGAATAATGAATAAAATGGGGCTACTATGCTTGAGTTATAGCGTAAAATAGATGAAGTTACATTTTAAAATCATAAACTATAAAAAAGTTAAGAACAGTTATAAGTAAGTTCATTAATAAAAGATATTGATAATAAATAAGATATTATAATCAAAGGTTTTTATCAAAAATGGTCTTGTTCCTATTGAAAATAACAATAAAAAAAAGTATGATCCACAAGAAGGCTAGTTATCTCTGCTTAAAGAATAGTTTAATTAAGAACTAAGAATAAGGGAGAATGCTTTTGAAGATTTAAATAGAAATTATTAAGATTTGCAAAAGAAGGTTTTTGAACAAGAGAAAGAATTTTTAGTTAGACTTTAAAAGTAGAGAGACTAAATCATAGAAGAAACAAATATACACAAGCAGTAAATTAAGTAGTTAGAAGGGTAAGTGTTTTATTAATTTTTAAGGAGTTTATTTCTATTTGATATTTTTATATTATTTAGGGTTAAAATGGAAAAGCTTCTAGGGGAGAATGATTATTTAAAGCAATTGATAGATTAAGTTGAAAGAAGACTTGAAGATGAGATGGATAAAAGATTAAAGCAAGAATTTGAGAATAAAGCTTACTTAGAACAAAAAATGAATCTATTTAAGGATGAAATAGTAAATAAATTACTTCAAATGTAGCTAATTTTTTATACAAATTATTTGTTTTATTTTAAAGAGAAATGAAGAAAAGTCTATTGTCGAAGGAGAGTAGAGATTTATCAAATAAATGCATGATAGCATTTAGGCAATTCACTCAATTATTAAATTCACAAAAGAAGAATTAGAGGCTAATTTAGCATCTACATAAACACTTTTTTCAGAAAATGTTAAAAGTAGATATTGATTTTGTTTTTATTTTTGGGAAATATTTAAGTTGTTTTTTATTTTTTAAGATTTTGGTCATTAAATTGAAGTCATCAAGGAAAACCTTGAAACAAAAGTAATGCTGCTTGAAAGAGGTTATAAAGAGGTAAATTATAAAGTCAATGAAACAAAATAGCTATTTAGTGAGCATGCAAATACAGTTAACATGCAAATAGAGAGATAAAACGAAGTAAAATAGTTTTTTGTTTGAATATATTGTTTATTAAGAATATTTAATTAATAGGTTATTGAAAATAATGAGTAAGTTCTAAGGAGAAATGTTTAAGAAATAGAAAAAGAGTTAAAGGCTAAATTGGCAGAAGCTGAAAAAGAAAGCGAATTGTGGAAAGATAAGTTTGAGAAAAAAAATTTGGCAATCTTTTAGGAAATATCAAATGCTATGAAAGGGCTCAAATAAGATATGAATACAGAAAAGAAAGAAAATATAGCAAGAATAAAAGATATTAAAGAAGAAATAGATTCATATTAGAATATGAATCAGAAGCTAATCACCAATTTGAAGGAACATACAGACAGAATACAACAAAGCACAGAATTTTTAATATAGGAAAATGATCGAAAATAAAATGAAAATCTGCTTCAAACTTAAATAGAACTTGAAAAAATGATGAGATAACTTGATGATATTTAATTTGATAGAGCAAAAGAATTTGCTAACGAAAAGGTAATAGAACTTGAGCAAAAGTTTAGCTCCACTCATAATTAAAGCATTTAAAACCTAAGAAACGAGTTAGGCAATTAGGTGAATAAATTAAGAGATGACTTTGATATAATATTAGCTGAGAAAGAATAAAATCTATTGGATAGAATTAAAAACAACAGAATTTATGCAGAAGAACTCAACGATTAATTATTGAGACTGCTTAAAAAAGATTAAAATGATTTATTTGAATTCAGATAGCAGCATATGGATGACCTAAGATCTTTAAGAAAAGAACATTTGGACAATCTAAGAAATTCCATGAAAGAAATGTCATTAGAGGTAAAAAATAAATCTAATCTATTTACATTTAATTTTCTCAAATTTTTCAATTATAATTTAAACAATTAATTCCAATCAACTTTAATTTAAACAATTAATTCGAATCAATTTTCAATTTAAAAATTTATTTTTAACTTTTGCTTTTTTTAATTTTTATTAACAAAATTTAAAAGAACTTGGAAAAAAAATGGTTTTTATTTGATTTTAAATTATTTTTGGTTTAAATTTTTCTTTTTATTTTGTGATATTGAATTGATTTTATTAATTGATTTAAAAATATTAATTAGATGGACAGTAAAATAGATGTGGAACATAAAAAATGGGAGGTTGCTCTTTTGCTTTCTACGAGATCGTTAGAAAGACAGCTGGAAGAAACAAATGCAAGATTTAATGAAAATATGGATAAGCTGAGAGAAGAATTGATTGAGAAATTTAAATATGAGCTTGAGGAAATTGTAATGAAGAAGATTATGGAAGAGATTTAACAAGAAAAAAATGAAAGAATAAGAAGAGAAAACGAAATAGAAACAAGCATGCATAACATTAAAAATATGATATTAGAAGCTCTTCATTAGAAAGTGGAATCAGCAAAAGCACTTGCTAGAGCTTTAGTTACAGAAGAGGCTGCAGAAAGAGCCAAGAATGATGAAGAAATTCTTAGAGTAATGAAAGAAAGCATTGATACATTAGATCGTACACTAAGGTATTTAATTCTTTAGAAACTATAAGTAGTCTTTTATATTAATCTTTATTATTTATTAATCAGACAATTGATTAGAACTTCTATTGAGGAATGTATGTACATTTTAAGATAAGAGATCTAAAAATTGGAAGACAAATTGAATGAGTTTAAAGAGTGGACTATGAAAGAGCTTAAAAAGTTGCAAGATGAAATGAAAGAGTGGTAAAATGAAATTAGGGCAGAAAACTATCTAAGAGATATGTATCAAAGATTACGTGATGAGGAGCTTTAAGAAGTGATAAAGAAAATAGAATTTGAGCTCATTTCAATTAAAAAGAATAGAGAAGAAGACTTACTATTGCTTATATAAGAAATACATATTAGACAGGAGGAGTAAAATAATATATTATATTATATTAATTGCTATATTAACTAAAATTAATTAATTAATTACAGAATTACAAGAGTTGACTCAGTTTTAGATGACCATGAAAGTAGAATCACTTAACAAAGAGAAGATCATGATAATCTTAGAAATGAATTTGACGAACATTAAAACTGGGCAAAAGAAACTATTAAAAAACAAAGAGATGATTTCGAAAGATTCAAAGTAGTTACAAATAAGTAAAAATTGTTATTTTTAATAGTTATATTGAGTATATATTAATTATTTAATTTAATATTAAAGGAATGTCAAATACTTGGATGAGACAGTTAAATTTAATTTAGAATATGTAGAAGGAAGAATGTATCTAGATAACATGTACAATAGAGTATAAGTTTAAGCTATTATTGATTAATCTTCAAATAATAAGTCTAAAATTAGAAAAATATTCTCTAAACTTAAAGAAGTTATATTCTAGATCAATGAAAACTTCTAATAGCAAGAAAACTTTGAAGAAAAAACAGAAAAGAACTTTAAGATAGCAGAAAAAGCGATAAGAGCACATACTCAATATCTCAACTCTCTTGATGCAAGATTGGTACTAATTTTAAAATTTTATATAATTTAAAATAACTATTATTTTAAATAAACAGCACATGGAAGAAATACTAAATAAGCTTATTTCATAAGACTAGCAAAGACTCAATAACGAAATAAGGAAAGAATTGAATACTAATTTGGTTAATATGAATGAAGAAATACAAAAGGTATTTATTTAATTTTTTATTTTTTTAATTATAAAACATTTTGGATGAATTTAAAAAGGCTATGAAAGAAATGAAAGAAGATAACTATAAGTAAATTGATGAATTGGAGAATAGGACTGTCGATATATAAAATAAACTAGATGAATAAGGTTAGAAATTAGAAGAATAAAATGAGTAATAAATAAATAATTATTTTACAAACAGAATATAGAATCTATATTAATTTTTTATAGAGAAATAAGCAATGTTAAGAAATTGGTAGCATTAGTTGAAACAGACCTTAAAGCAACTGAGCATGAGATGAATTAAAGAATTGATGAAGGAATAAATAATTTGACAGAAAATATAAATTAATAATAATAAGAAAATGAGTAATTCAAGGAAGAAGTTAATAATAAAATAGAAGAATTAAACTAAAAGAGTGATGAATTCAATCAAAAGATTGAAGAGATAAACCAAAAGGAAGAAGAAAATAACCAAAAGTATGACGAGTTCAACTAGAAATTAGAAGAACAAAATTAAAAATTAGATGAACAGAATTAAAAATTAGAAGAACAGAATTAAAAATTAGAAGAACATAATGAAAAACTTGAAGAATAAAACTAAAAAGTAGAAGAGCATTCTGAAAAATTAAATGAAGTAGATCAAAAAGTCAATGAAATGGATGAAAAATTAAATTAGGTAATTTATTAATTCACTCATTTAATGGTTAATTTAATGATTAGTTATCATGTTTGATTTTATTAAAAAAAATAAATGAATAAATTATTTATTTATTTATTAGGTTAAAGAAGAATTTGGATAAGAAATGAATTAGAAACTAGAATAAGAGACTTAGAAAGTTGAAGAATTACAAGCAAAATAAGAAGAAATGAATTAGTAGTTATAAGAAAAAGAATAAGGCATAGAAGATTTAGCAGTTGATATTAAAACTTAAATGGAAAGAATAGACGAGCTAGAAAAAACTGTTGAAGGACTCAAGACAAATGTTGATGATGTGCAAGAAAAAAACAAACTAAATGAATCTAAATTAAATGAGAAAAATGAGCAGAAAGAGAATGTCAACGAGTCAATGTAGAAAAAGGTAAAAATCATTCAAATTTACTTTTTGAATTAGAGATACTTATTGATTTCATTTTAATATTTTGAATTGCTTGTGATTGATGAATAATAATTATCATAAAGATTTTATTAAAGATAAAGAAAATTTTTAAATCTAAGAATATTTTGTTTTGAGAATTATTTTTTAATAAAAATTTTGATTAAGCACAGTTTAAGTTTCATTTTATTAAATAAAGTTTGACTCAATAGAAGAGGAAGTTAATAATCTGAAACAAGAATATGAAAATTTAAAAGAACAGGATATATAATAACTTCGTAACTAGTTAGAAGAATAAATACAAAACTTAGAAGAATAAATTAAAGACATGTAAGATAAGTCTAAGAATTAGAATAATGCTTCATAATAATAATAAGAAATGGAAGAAGTGCAAAATAATGTGAAAGAATTACAATAAGAGTTTGATGAGTACAAAAACTAGATGATGGCAGTTGGGTAAGCCCTTGATGACTTTAAATAAATAAATACAGATTTCACTAGCATAAAAGATAGATTAAAAATATTAGAAAGTAAATGAAATTAGAAAAAGTGAGAAGAAATTTTAAATTATTTTATGTTTATTTGGATGTTATATTAATAGCTAATTTAATAATTAGTATGTAATATTTTCAATTGTAAGCTAATTTAAGGTATTAACTTCTTACAGATTACAATAATCACTAAACACATTTAATATTTTTGTAAATTAATTCTTTATTTTTATTGAATTTATTTCTTAAAATTTATAGCTGCTTTGTAATAATTTTAAAAATATTGCAAAATATGTTTTATTTTTATTAGTTTATTTTATAAATATTTTATTTTATAAAGGAGGAATAAAGTGATTTTGTTTCAATTTGAATTTTCTTTGTTACTTTTTTTATTTTAAAATAGCAGAATTTCGAAGAAAACAAGGAAAATATTGTAATGAAATTGCAATTAGTTGCTTGTTTCGGTTGTAAATTTAATGTAATTAAGACTTAGTAAAAATTGATGAACGTGAAATTAATTAATTAGCTTAACAATTATTAGATTTTTTGAAAAGAATTAGTAAAAAGGTAAGTAAGTAAAAGTGAAGATTTACAAAAACCTTTAATAACTTAAGAATAATCATTTTTAATAATAAACGAGAAAAAAAAATTATATGAATAAATAATTTGCAAATAAATTATATAATTTTGCAGATAGATCTTTATTGATGGCTCTTAAATGCGTATATAGAAATCGTAATAAAAAATATGATTATAAAATAATCACATAAAATTAAAAGTAATAGAAGCCTTATAATTTATTTATTTATTGGAAGAGATTTTCGTTATTAAGCTTAACAAGATAGCAGTAAGCCAAAATTTTTAATCAAAATTTTTCTTAAATTGAAATTAAAAGCTAGCTAGCAAGCAATTTAATTAAAGAATACTAATAATTATTATAATAAAATCCTATAAAACTAAGAAAGCAATATACATACATATTTATTTATTTATTATCAATTTTGTAAAATGGGATAATCATAAAGCCAAGAAAATGAAGACGAAAAGGAGGATAAGACACAGAATGAGAAAAAAAAGTCAGAAAAAATATAAATTAGTCCTTATGTAGATGGAATGCCCGTTTTGCAATCTAAGTTATAAAAATTAATTAAAAAAGAAGATAATGAGAAATAGCAAAATAATGAAGTGTATCAGATGAAAGAAAGCAAAGAAATAAACACAGATATCCATTAGGAAATACAATTAATCGAATAAAATAGGTTCTAAAACTGCAGTGATCATATAAGACAAGAATTTGAAAGCTTTTCCAATGAAAATAAGATGAGTTAGCGCAAGTTACTCGAGTATTTCGGACTCTAAGATCTTGAAAAGCAAAGACTAGGTAAAAAATAATATTAAAATACTCTGCAAGCTTTGATGCTTATTTTTTAAAGCATCAAAATAAATCTCAGTCAGAACAGATAAAAAATGAATTTAACTAAAATCAATAGAAAACAAATAATGAATGATTAAAAATTATTATTAATTAATATATTTTCTTTAAAAATTTATAGGAACTAGGTTTTTCTTAACTTGTAAAAGCACATTAAGTTAAGAAAAGACAGGCCCTTATCTAGACTACAGCAAATTCTTAAAAACATTATCGATGCTCTCTGGAAATAATGAAGATGGGAGATTTTAATTTTTATACTAGCTCTTTGATATAAATTTAGATGGTAAAATTGAAAAAGATGAAATGAGAGACATCCTCCAAATGATTCTTGATGCTCTACTGAGCGTAACTTATGAAGATGATGACTTGAAAAATTTATCAAAGAAAATACAAGGAGAGTAAGAAAGGATGATAAGTTTGGCACTAGACCAGATAACTTCTGAAATATTTGACTCGGCAAATGAGTCAAACAGTATTAATTTTTAAAAATGGAAGAATTGGATATCCTAAATAGAAGGGTTTTAGTAAGTTATAAGGTTTGATCCTCAAGCGAATAGCAATAATACTTACACACAACAAAAAAACTGAAATAATTTAACACTAGAATTAAAGAAATTTTCCCCTCTAATAAAAAAATCAAATAAATAGCTAATAAAACATATTATATTATTACTTCATAAAACTTAATAAAAATTTATATTAAGCTCATTTATTTCCCACGACATCCGCCCACGATATGTTAAAAATACTCTTATTAATATAACTTGTCTATCTATTTATTTATATTAAATTTGTGGTGATTGACTGGCATATCTAATTATTCTATCAAAGCAGTTATAAATTAATCCTTCCATTTCAGCCATCCAAGCAATTTAAATATATATTTAAGCTTCAATTTGATCATTTTTTGTATGAATTAATCTATCAAATTAAAAATTTTTAGGAAATTAAACTAATTATTTATTTTTTCTTAATTTTCATTATTTAAAAAAAATTTATTAACCTAAATTATAAAATTTTAACTGTTAAAATCATAATCATTTTTTTATGATAATTTAAATTAAAAAGAGCAGAGTTTTTTAAGTATTTTTAATATTTACAAAAATTGCAAATCAAATTATTTTAAAAAGTGATTCGCTTTTACAAATGATTCTTATTAAAATATATCTCAACATTTTTTAGAAAAAAACTTAAAAATTAAATTTTTTTTCAATTAATTATGTTTTTTTATGTTACTCTTTTGAAAAGAATTAGAAGACCATAAATATTTATTGATGCTTGAGTTTAAATGTATGTATTATGATACCAAGCAATTCAAAAATATTAATGATCAATTATTATTTTATTTTAAAAAATTAAAAATTGTAAATAAAAAACTTCAATTCCACAAATTAATTTTTTTAGTTTATTTTAGAAATGAAAAAATTTACCGCATAAATAATCAATTTTGTCTATGTTTTAGCAGTCTTTTATATTTTGATATAGTTAATTAATTAAATATAAACAAAGATTACAAAAATAATTAACAAAAAACTTATTCTAAATTATAAATAGCTAATCTCCTAGGCTACATAGCAATAAGCATACAAACTCTAAATAGTTCATTAAAAAAAGTTTAGTTATAGATGACTTCATACTATGAAGGAAGAGATCTCCTAAGAACAGAAGATATTTATGGTAAAATAGCTATTTATAATCCCAACTTATGAATAAATTTATCATTCTAATCAAAACATAGGATCTCAATCAGCAACTGCGATCAAGTATAGAAACATAGATTAAGAGCAATATGTGCCTGTCGTCATTAAAAATGTTCCAGAAGTTTGTAAGAATTAACTTTTTTATGTTAATTTTTATCTAACTAGAAATTTCATTCAATATGGATTATCATAATTATTAATAATTTTTTTCGTTTTGTTAATACTTTTGCAATATTAACAATAGAAAATAGAAAATATAAAGAAACGAACATTTTTTTATGATAGAAATGAGTTTTTGCAAAACATTCATTTTTTTCATCAAAGAGGGTTGAATAGATTATTCACTATTTATTTAATTATTGAGAATTTTTTTCAGAAATTAGAAGCATCATTTTGAAAAATGACTTAAAAGAAGAACTTCTACTGCAATTTATTTATTTAGAAAAATTTGCATTAAACAAAAAATAAATGAAATATAAAGGAAAATTTAATTTTTTGGTATTTATTAAATCTTAAATTAATTTTCTATTAAGAGAATTAGTCAACCAACAACCCTCTAAAATGCCTATAATAAATAAGAAGGCAATTTAATATTTACTAATATTTTTAGAATTGTAAAGAAGTGATAAGTAAAACTAATTGAATTTATAAACTTTAAAAATAGACCAGCGCTAAGCAGATCTCCACAAAAGTATTAGAAATCCTCACTTCAATGATTATAGATATGATCTGAATTAATAACATCCCTAATTCATACCCAACTCTCACTCCTCTTCATATAAGGACTCTCTTGACAACTTCAAGTAGGAATAAGAAGCCATTAAGACTTAAATTCTTAAAAATAACTCCCAAATTAACTACGACATGATCAGAATGTAAAAGAATAAAAACACATATGATAAACTGAACCCACCTTTTGCAAACCTACATTCAGAAATCAATGAACGCTAATATTAATACAATAGTCTAAGATCTCCTTTGAATTAATAACTCAAAAACAGCTAAAGCAACGGATTTCTTTCAAACAATAGCAGCGGAAACTTGATATAATATGCTAATCAAATATAAGATTAATCTCCATCTGATAGATAAATTAATGCTTAACAAAAAATACTTGCTAACAGATCTGCCTCAATCCCTTTATTAAATAAAAATGTTAATTTAAGTGAAGTCATCAACTCCTAAAGGATATTTAAGCCTGAGGATTAAAGTCCTTTGAATCTTTACTAAATGAACTAGCAGTAATAAATCTATCAGCAACAATAAGTCGGCTCTCCAAGTTAAGTTAACAATTAAGTCTATCAAAACAACATTCAACATCAATAACAAATACTTAACCAGCCTAAAAATAACTTTTAAGACTATGTCTTAAATGATTAAGTCTCACCTTAAAATCACTAATAGCAAATTCAATAATAACAGCAACAACATCAACATTAACAACAATAACAATTTATGTAATAAAATATCTAGCCTTAATAAAATGTTCAAATCTAAGATCAAATGCAATAAAGCGATTATTAGAGCCCAGAAAAGGTGGTTCAATCTTCTACAATATCGTAAATTTAATAATGTTACTAATATATATTAAAATAAAAATAAAATTAATAGAAACAAAAAGACTTATAAGCCATATAACATCATTATACACAATAGATACATTCCTTACACTCCAAAGTTTGATTTACCTGAAATTAAATGGGGTAAATAACATCATTTTTTGAAACTAAATTAAAAAAAACTAACTTTTAAAAATTAGATAAATACGACAGATAAATGTTTAAAAACTTTGATCAGAAAGCTATGCCTCCTGTTGAAATAATCAGAACTAAAAACGAAAAAATGAACTCATTCCCTGACTATACTACTTGTAAATTTAATTTAATTTCCTTATTTCAAATTTAAAAAATATATTTAACATAATAAGGGAACTAAAAATATGGAGACGCGAAATGAATGAATTAACAATTTCTGTATTATTAAATATAGTTAGTTAGTTAATTTGTTTTTTATAAATATGTTTGTAATATATTTTCAAAATAATTTTAAAATCGGACAGATATATATATATATAATTATTTAATCTTAAATTTTATTTTTAATAAATAATTGCTAAATTTTTAAAAATTATTTAAAAAAAATTTTAGAATTCTTATTTATTTAAAAAGTTTAACTGCTTTTTAATATATACTATATACTTTTAAATCATATTATGAGTTTTTTTTTGTTATTTGTTTAAATGTTATGTTTATAATTACAAATCTATATAATACGACTACTAGATTGAAACAGTTAATAAAATTAACCAAACAATTTACATTTTTATAAAAAATATTTATTTAATAAAGGAATTCAGATTAAAATAAAATGAGAAAAATTTTATTAATTGTTATCAACTGTGAATTTATTTGTTTAATGATTCCACATTTTTTGAGTTAAATTCTTTAATTTTAAAGTCTTTTTCATCTATTTTTTCATCAAATTAATTAGTTTCGAACTCATCTTTTACAAAACTTGGGTCAATTTCCATGGTTTAATAGTAAATCAACTCCTAATTTCTGTATGTTAAATTTTTCTTTTAATTTTCTTCCTTTTCAGGATTTATGTTTTTGGATATCTTCAAGCTATCTTTAACAATCTATTATTAACTGATTTATTTTTAAATTTATCCAATCTTAATTGGTGAATTATCAGTATAAATCTAAGATTAATATCTTATTTCATCAATTAGCTTATTTTAGAAATCCTATTTGTAATCCTATTATAGAATATTACAATTTTAAAATATATAGAAAGAGAAACTTATTTTATCATCATCACAAGCTATATTCATGAAATTATAAGGTGAGGTTTTTTATAAGATCTTCTAATTTAATTTTAAACCTATCTAAGTAGGCTATAAGCAACTTTAAGAATTCCACATAAAATAGTTATTTTTAATCTCTCGCTCTACTTTCAAAGACTCTTTAACTAGAAATATTTCTTACTTAGAATAATTTAATTTAGCATTATTAATAACTTTAAATTCAATTAAGTTCGAGTTTTCATCTTTTCCTTAAATTATTTTTATTAATAGCTTAACATATTTTTAGGTTAAGTTTGCTTTAATTAAGTAATCTAAAGAATTTTCAAGCAAGTTAATTATTATTTGGCAAACTCTTTGTTAATCATTTTACACTTAAAAATTTTCTTAACTATGATCAAAATTTTATTAAAATTCGCACTTTTCATAGAATTCGCTATTATTAAATTAACTCTGTTCTATTTCTTCAATTAGAACATCTTTTGAAAAATTACAAAAATTTTCTTAAGTGATATCATTCTATCTTCTAATTAAATCCTCATTCTTTTATAACAAGACTTAGAGTAATTCATTTTCCATACTTTTTTAATAACTTATATCTACAGAAAACTCAATATCTAATTAACTATAAATAGGCTAAAAGATATTTTAGATATACTTCACTAGAGCAGACAGCTAAAATAAATTATAATTTATCTTTATTTTATTGTATTTTTTTAATTAAATGAAATCTTAAATATTTCTAAGATGATTTAGATATAGTAAGCTGTATGACTGTTTCAACGAAATGTTTTCAGTTTTCAGAATTTTTTCAAATTTTAAAGACATTTTGGTGAAATGTTGCAAATATACATTCTCTTTGATTTTAGATTGCTTATTGTTGAAAGCTATTTATTTCTTTAAGCCTTCATCAATACAAATAGAACAAACTGGATAGCTCAAATAATTGAATACAATTTTTACTATAACATTTATTTTTACATTATTTTTTATTATAGAAGCATTAAATTCTTCAACTTTATATTTTTCTTCCTCTAATTATTCTTGTTTTTGTTCATTTTTCTTTAATTTATTATTTTTATTTTATTTTTAAATAGGAGAATTACTCAGAAATATATTTTTTTAATTAAATTTTGATTAAAAATTTATAATTTATCTGGGTTCAGTATCAGAGGACTATTGTTGTTATTATTATTTTCTTATTTATTTTGTAAAATTGTTAAACTACCCTAACTTATAGTTAGAATTGATTGAGTTTGTTGATTATTCTTTTATTGAGCTCTAATAGATTTTTTTCTCAAATTGTTTTGATTCATCATTTATTTAGCTTACATCAACTTATTTAGTAATTTATTAAATTTTGTTATCCTATTTTTATTTATTATTATTCTATTTTGTCATTTCTCTAAATTTAAAGTAAATATAATGCTCTAAATTATTTGAAACCTACATTTAAGATATTGTAGATATATTCTTTGTTGGACTAGAAGCTTTAAAACTAGATTATGTTAACTGAAAAGATGTCTGTTACTTTTATTAAGAATCTTTTTGTATTACAGTGTTTCTTAAAAATTAAATCAATGAGCTGTCATCCTTAATGTTATATTCTTGTTAAGCTGCTCTATTAATTAACTTTTTCTCAATTAAATCTTTTGTCTTATCGTATTTTATAATGAATATACTAGATGGGAGTGCATCTCTGACGAATTGATTTGCTTCTTTTTCATTTTCTTACAAGAGAAAAAGCTCTCTTTAATATTTTTCATTTTTATACTTCATCCATATAAGGAAGCACACTGAAAAAAACAACAACCCATGAAATGGATTAAGTTAACCAGGATAGAAAATGGCAGAATATGAGAAGTTCTATATAAATATAATAGCTGAGTTCAAAACAAAATTAGTTCCAATAGATAAAATAAAATGAAATATGTATTGCGAACCTATATGTTTTAATTTTATTTTTTAATTTTTAAACTATTAAAGGATTTATTTAAAAACAATTATTATAATAAAAGTGTAAAAATAAATTTTATACCTGCAAATATAAACATCATATTATTCTCCTATCCTTTAGCACCAATATTTTTGTTTGTAACTAGTATAAACCCTATGTTTAGAATCACAAATCCAGTGTTATAAAATGCAACTACAACATTGAAACTGTTTTTTTTCAACTTTATGATGACTAAAGAAATAGTAGAGGATATGATGCACCAGCAAAATCCTAAGTATTGCAAATTTCCAGTAAAATATGTATATAAAGAGAATGGTATTGAAATTAAAATTAGTATCTTGCACCAGCAACAGAATATTTAGAAATATTATGGAAAGGCTATTTTATTAAAATAATCTTCTTCTAGTGATCTATTTATAAATGAGAGAGTATATTTATTCATTTTAGTTAAAAAAGCTAAACTAATTTATCTTGGTTTTTTTATTCTTACTTTTTTGATATTATTTATTATATTTGCTTTTAGATTATTCAAAATTATATTTAGTGTTAAATAACTTATTAAAATAGCTAAAAATCAAACACACACACACATGCACTAATGTTTATTAAAAGTTTTTGCTTAATTAAAGAAGCTAAAAAAATAATCTACTTACAATTAGTTAAGTATAGCTTAACATAGATATAATAAAAAATTTTTTCTGCCAGAAAAAATAGAAATTAAACATAATATAATTTTAGGTTAAGCAAAAAATATTAATGAAATTTTACTATAAATTAATAATTTTTAGGTATCTATACTTAAATCACACACATTTTTTACAAGCATAGCCATTTAATGCTTAAAGAATAATAAATAAAAAAATAAAAATATTTAATTGATTAAAAATATTCTGGAATTATTCTATTCATCAAAAAAATTAAAGGGAGTTTGAATTTTTTTTAATTTATAAAAAATAAAAATTATGAGCTTAAATTTTTGAATATTAAGAAATCATTTAAGTATCAAAAAATATATATCCACCTTAAATAGTTTAAATTTTCTTTATAATGATATATTGACCATAAAAAGTAAAATAACTTTAATATTTTTAGTCCTTACAAACTAATCAATTTCTAGCTCTTTAAGCTAATTTTATCATTGAAAATACAATACAAATTTAATTAAATTGTAATTATTGCATTAATTAACAAAAGTGTAATTATAAATCAAATTAAATTTTTAGACTTTATAATGTATAAAATTAAAATTAATTTATTAATATCACAGTTCCACGTTTGTTTCACTATTAAGTTGAGTTCAGAATTAATGAGGAATATAGTTAGTTGCATCAAGACAGAGGATTTTGGTTATGTAGGCTTTTATAGGATATTTAAGCTAATTTAATGTTCATAAAATTTTTAATTTAATAGCTTTTTTTCTTTTACTTAATATTTTATTTTTATATTCTTTCAATAGATTTTCATTTAAATTAATTAAGAAAATAAAGATTTATAATCAATATTTTTTGCACAAAAACACTCAAATAATTTAAAAAAGTAATGAAATTATATAACTTAAATAATTCAAATATTAACCCAAAATAAACTAACGCCCGTAAACATAATTTTAAAAACTTCAGTAATTATTTAAATTTTTCCTACATTTTGGTATACATCAGTTTTATAGAAAATTGCCTTTAGTTAGAAATGGAATTTATTTTTTCAATTAATATAAAAATTTATTCGAATTCTATTAAATTTAAATTTACCAAAAATGTTTAATATATTTTAAGATAAGTTATCTAAATTATTATTTTTAAAAAGTTTATTTGATTATAAATATATATTAGATACCAGAATAAACTTTTAAGCCATTTTTATGTTAAGTTAATCAATTATTTATAGATCAATAATTTACATTATCATCAAAAATAAATAATAAAAGAATTCACATTAAAATAAAAAGAGAAAATTTTAATTAATTTTTATCAGCTGAGAATTGTTCACTAATTTTCTTTGTTATTTAATGATTCCACATTCTTTGAGATAAATTCTTTAACTTTTAAGTCTTTTTGATCTACTCTCTCATCAAATTAATCAATTTTTAACTCGTTTTTTACAAAACTTGTGTTAATTTCAATGGTTTAATTGTAAATAGGCTCCTCATTGCAGTAAGTTAAATTTTTCTATTAATTTTCTTCCTTTTCAGAATATGTATTCTTAGATATCTTTAACAAATCATTAGCAATCTGTTATTAGTGGATTTATTTTAAAACTTCTTCAATCTTAAATGATGAATTTTCATTCTAAGTCTAAGATTAACCTCTAATTTCGTCTAATAGCTTATTTTAGAAATCCTATTTGTAATCTTATTATAAAATATTACAATTTTAAAATATATAGAAAGAGAAACTTATTTTATCATCATCACAAACTATATTCATGAAATTGTAAGGTGATATTTTTTCTAATATCTTCTAATTTATTTTTAATCCTATCTAAGTAGGCTATAAGCAGCTTTAAGAATTCCACATAAAGTAGCTATTTTTAATCTCTCTCTCTACTTTCAAAGACTCTTAAACTAGAAATATCTCTTATTTAGAATAATTTAATTCAACATTATTAATAACTTTAAATTCAATTAAGTTAGAGTTTTCATCTTTACCTTTAATTACTTTTATTAATAGCTTTACATATTTATAGTTTAATTTTGTTTTATTTAATTAATCTAATGAATTTTCAAGCAAATTAAGTATTATTTAACAAACTCTTTACTTATCGTTTTATATTTCAATGCTTTCTTAATTATTATCAAAATCTTAATTAAATTCGCACTTTTCATTATTGAATTAACTATTATTAAATTTACTCTACTCTATTTCTTAAAGTAGAACAGTTTTTGGAAAAAAACCAAAAGTTTCTAAAGTGATATCATTTTAATTTCTAATTGAATCCACTTTCTTTGATAATAAGACTTAGGGTAATTAATTTTATAGGTTTTATTAATGATTTATATTAACAGAAAAATCAATATTTAAATCACAAAAAATAGGCTAAAAAACATTTTAGATATACTTCACTAGAGCAGACAGCTAAAACAAATTATAACTTATGATTATTTTTTTATTTAATTGTAATTAAGCAAAATCTTAAATATTTTTAAGATGATTTAGATAAAGTAAGCTGTATGATTGATTCAACTAAACACTTTAATTTTTCAGAACTTTTTAAAATTTTTAAGACATTATGGTTAAATGCTGTAAATATATATCCTCTTTGATTTTAGATTGCTTATTGCTATTAGACATTTAGTTTTTTAAGTCTTCATCAATACAAATGGAACAAACTGGATAGCTCAAATAATTGAATACAATTTTTACTATTACATTTACCTTTGCATTATTTTTTATTATATAAGCATTAAATTCTTCAACTTTATATTTTTCTTCCTTTAATTATTTTTGTTATTATTCGTTTTCTTGAATTAATTTTATATTTTTATCTTACTTCTACAAAGGAGACTTACCCAGAAGTATTTTTTTTTTATTAAATTTTGATTAAACATTAAGAAATTCTCTAGAGCTAGTATCAAAGAACTATTTTGGTGATTGCTATTTGTACACCTATTTTGTATTATTATTAAATTACCCTAACTTATGATTAGAAAAGATTGATTTTGTAGATTAATCTTTTATAGAGCTTTAATATATTTTATTCTCAATTTGCTTTGATTCATCATTCATTTAACTTGCATCAACTTATTTTTTAGTTTACTTAGTTTTTTCATCCTATTTTTATTTATTTTTTTTTGTCATATCTCTAAATTTATAGTAAATATATTGCTCTAAAGTATAAAAATCCTACGTTTAAGGTTTTGTAAATATATTTCTTATTGGACTAGAAGTTTTGTATTTTTTTTCTGTTAGTTACAAATATATCTATTATTAAGAATTTTTTTGTATTACAGTGTTTCTTAAAAATTAAATAAATAAACTATCATCCTTGATCTTATATTCTTTTTAAGCAGTCCTATTAATTAGCTTTTTTTCAATTAAATCTTTTTTCGTATCATATTTAACAATAAATACACTAGAAGGCAGTACATCTCTGACGAATTGATTTACTTCTTTTTCATTTTCTTACAAGAGAAATAGCTCTCTTTAATATTTTTCATTTTTATACTTCATCCATGTAAGAAAAAACACAGAAAAAAACAATAACCCATGAAATAAATTTAGTTAGCCAGGATAGAAAACAGCACAATATGAGATATTCTGTATAAATATAATAGCTGTGGTCAAAACAAAATTACTTCCAATCGATAAAATAAAATGAAATATATATTATGAACCTATATATTTAAACAATTTTTAATCTTTAAAAGGTTTATATAAAATAACTATATGTAAAAAAATAAATATTATACCTGCAAATATAAACATCATATTATTCTCCTATCCTTAAACGCCAATATTTTTGTTTGTAATTAGAATAAATCCTATGTTTAGAATCACAAATCCAGTGTTATAAAATGCGACTACAACATTGAAACTATTTTTTTTCAACCTTACGATCACATAACAGATAGTAGAAGATATGATGCACCAACAAAATCCTAAGTATTGAATATTTCCAGTAAAATATGTATACAAAGAGCATGGTATTGAAATTATAATTAGCATCTTGCACCAGCAAGAAAATATTTAGAAATATTATGGAAAGGCTATTTTGTTAAAATAATCTTCTTCTAGCGATCTATTTATAAATGAGAGTGTATATTTATTCATTTTAGTTAAAAAAAACTAATTTATCTTTATTTTTTAATTTTTTTTGATATTATTTGTTATGTTTACTTTTAGATTATAAAAACAAATTATTTAATGTCAAATAAATTAATATTTAGTTTTTTCATAATTTATTAAAATGAGTAAAAATAAAACAAACAAACACATACGCTCATTTCACTCATTTATTGTAAATAATAAATGTTAATTAAAAATTTTTGCATAATTAAAGAAGCCAAAAAATACTCTACTTATAATTTAATTGAGATAGTATAACTAACATAACATTAATTTATTAATAAACTTTTTCTGCTAGAAAAAATAGAAAAAAGGTGAAATTAAACCTAATTTTAATTTTAGGTTATAAAAAAATATTATAACAATTAACTGTATGATAATAATAATAATATTTAGGTATTTATTATATAAATGTCATATTTTTCTCAACGATAAATGTAAGAAAATAATTTTTTTAAAGAGAAAAAGGTTTTTGATAGAAAAGATATTCATATTTCGAAAATCTTAAATTATCAATAAAAAATTATAAATACTTTAATTTTACTATACTTAAATCCTTTGCATTTTTTACAAGCCCAGCTATTTAACGCTCAATGATTTTAGAATTATTTTTTTTATTTAAAAAGTTTAGTTGATTTTAAAAATAAGTTATATACTATACTTGTAAGCCATAGTTAGTTAATCAATTATTCATAGGTCAAACATTTACATTATTATCAAATACATTTAATAAAAGAATTCATATTAAAATAAAAAGTGAAAATTTTCATTAATTTTTATCAACTATGAAATTATTATGAGTTTTTTTTCTGTTATTTGTTTAATGATTCAGCATTTTTGGAGTTAAAACCTTTCACTTAGAAGTCTTTTATATTTACTCTTTCATCAAATTAATCAATTACAGACTCATTTTTTTCAAAAGTTTCGTCGATTTCCTTTGGTTAATTATAAATTAACTCCTCATTGCTGAAAGTTAATTTTTTCTTTTAAATTTTTTCCTTTTCAGTATATATGTTTTTGGATATCTTTAAGGTATCTTTACCAATATTTTACTAGTTGATTTATTTTTAAACTTCTTCAATCTTAGTTGATGAATTATCAATCTTAAATTGTGAATTTTCATTCTAAATCTAAGATTAACATCTAATTTCATCAAATAGCTTATTTTAGAAATCCTATTTGTAATCCTATTATAGAATATTACAATTTTAAAATATATAGAAAGAGAAACCTATTTTGTCATCATCACAGGCTATATTCATAAAATTCTAAGGTGAGGTTTTTTCTAATATCTTCTAATTTAATTTCAATCCCATTTAAGTAGGCTATAAGCAACTTTAAGAATTCCACATAAAATAGTTATTTTTAATCTCTCTCTCTACTTTCAAAGACTCTTTAACAAGGAATATTTCTTATTTAGAATAATTTAATTCAGCATTATTAATAACTTTAAATTCAATTAAGTTCGAGTTTTCATCTTTACCTTTAACTATTTTTATTAATAGTTTAACATATTTTGAGATTAAATTTACTTTATTTAAGTAATCTAAAGAATTTTCAAGCAAGTTAATAATTATTTAACAAACTCTTTACTGATCGTTGATTATTTCGATGTTTTCTTAATTATTATCAAAATTTTAATATAATTCATACTTATCATAGAATTCGCTATTATTAAATTTACTCTGCTCTATTTCTGAGAGGAGAACATTTTTTGGAAAAAGACCACATGTTTCCTAAGTTATATCATTCTAACTTCTAACCTATTTCTTCGATAAAAAGACCTAGTGTAATTAATTTTCCATATTTTTTTAATGGCTTATATTCACAGAAAATTCATAATTTAATGCACTATAAATAGGTTAAAAAACATTTTAGATGTACTTCACTAGAGCAGACAGCTAAAATAAATTATAATTTATCTTTATTTTATTGTATAATTTTAATTAAACAAAATCTTAAATATTTTTAAGATGATTTAGATATAGTAAGCTGTATGATTAATTCAACTAAACGCTTTCTGATTTCAGAACTTTTTAAAATTTTTAAGACATTATGGTAAAATGTTGCAAATATATATTCTCTTTGATTTTAGATTGCTTATTGTTGAAAACCATTTATTTCTTTAAGTCTTCATCAATACAAATTGAACAAACTGGATAGTTCAAATAATTAAATATAATTTTGATTAGTACATTTATCTTTACATTATTTTTTATTATAGAAGCATTAAATTCTTCTACTTTATATTTTTCTTCCCCTAATTATTCTTTTTGTGGTTGATTTTCTTGAATTTATTTACTATTTTTATCTTACTTCTACATTGGAGATTTACCCTGAATTTAACTTTTTTTATTAAATTTTGATTATACATTTAAATTTTCTCTGTTGATAGTATCAAAGGACTACTTTGGTGATTATTGTTTACACATTTATTTTATATAATTACTAAATTACCCTAACTTAGAATTAGAATAGATTGGGGATGTTGATTAATCTTTTATTTAGCTCTAATTTATTTTTTTCTTAGATTACTTTGACTCATCATTTATTTAGCTTTCGTCAACATATTTACTAGTTTGTTAAATTTTGTCATCCTATTTTGATTTATTTTATTTTGTTATATCTCTAAATTTATAGTAAATATATCGCTCTAAAGTGTCTGAAACCTACTTTTAAGATGTTGTAACGTTATTTCTTATTGAACTAGAAGCTTTGTATTTTGTTTCCATTAGTTATAAATACATCTATTATTAACAGTCTTTTTGTATTATAGTGTTTCTTAAAAATTGAATAAATAAGTTATCATCTTAAATATTATATTCTTTTTAAGCAGTTCTGTTGATTAGCTTTTTTTCAATTAAATCTTTTTTTGTATCATATTTTATAATGAATACGCTGGTAGGTAGTACATCTCTGACGAATTGATTTACTTCTTTTTCATTTTCTTACAAGAGAAATAGCTCTCTTTAATATTTTTCGTTTTTATACTTCATCCATGTAAGGAAGCACACAGTAAAAAACAACAACCCATGAAATGAATTAGGTTATCCAGGATAGAAAACAGTTGAATATGAGAAATTCTATATAAATATAACAGCCGAATTCAAAACAAAGTTGCTTCCAATAGATAAAATAAAATGAAGTATATATTGCGAACCTAATGTTTTTAGTATATTTAATAATTTTGAATCTATTAAATGATTTATATAAAATAATAATAAATATAACCAAAATAATAAATATTATACCTGCAAATATAAACATCATATTATTCTGCTGTCCTTAAGCACCAATATTTTTGTTTGTATATAGAATAAAAATTATGTTTATAACAACAAATCCAGTGTTATAAAACGCTACTACGACATTGAAACTGTTTTTTTTTGAACTTTATGATGGCTAAAGAAATTGTAGAAGATATAATCGACCAACTAAATCCTAAGTATTAAAAATTTCCAGTAAAATATGTATATAGAGAGCATGGTATTGAAATTAAAATTAGTAGCTTGCACCAGCAGGAGAATATTTAGAAATATTAAGGAAAAGCTATTTTGTTAAAATAATCTTCTTCTAGTGATCTATTTATAAATGAGAGAGTATATTTATTCATTTTATTTAAAAAGAACTAATTTCTCTTGATTTTTTAATCTTTTTTAATATTATTTGTTATTTTCGCTTAGATGATAAAAAATCAAATAAATAAATAATACTTTGTTATTAATCTTATTTTATAGCTCATTAAAATGACTAAGAATAAAATAAACAAACACGCATTTATTTCTTATAATTTATGTAAATTAAAATTTTTTGAGAATAAAACTAGCTAAAAAAATATCCTACTTATCATTTGTTTAGAATAGTTTAAAAAAACATAACATAAAAATATTTATAAACTTTTTCAGCCTGAAAAAAATGAAAAAGAAATCTAATTTTATGTGAAATAAAAAATATTATAATCGCATTACTCTATGATAATAATAATCATTTTTAGGTATTATGTAGTGGTAATATATATTTTTCTCAGCGATATGAATGAAAGAAAGTAAGCTAATAATTTTTTTAAGGGAAAATGGTTTTCCTTAAAAAAATAAAAAGATATTGCAAAAATATTAAATTATCAATTAAAAATTTAATGTGCTTTGATTTTACTAATATTTTTTTATAAAATCATTTAATTTTAATTAACAAACAATTCAAATTTAAATATTTATTTACAAAAAAATTTTCTAAATAAATAATAATAGTTTATATTACATAAAAAAATAGTGAATTGTTTAATAAATATATTTATTTTAAAAAAACTTATTATCAATTAAACTTACTATTTTTAAATTTTTTGAAATGCATATTTAAGTATCATAAAAAGTTGGTTTTCCATAATCTTTTTGCAGTTTGAATTTTAGAGTTTATAAAAACTTCAGTAATAATTCAAAATTTTCATATCTAAAAACTAAACTAATTGATAAGAATGCCTAAAGCTAATATGCCATTTTTTATTTGATTGTTTGTGGTTTGTACTTTATTCGAGTGCTTAGTTAGTTAGAAATATAATTTATTTTTTCATTTTATTTAATAAATTTTTTATAATTCTTTAAATTTAACAATGATATTTTAAATATTTTAAGATAAGTTATCTAAATTTTTTAATTAATTAGTTTACTTCCTTTTAAATTTAAATGGCCAGTTAATTAATTATTAATTAAACAAAAATTTACATTCTTATCCACTATATTTATATAATCAAAGAGTTCACATTAATAAAAAAGAGAAAATATTAATTAACTTTTGTTAACCACAAATTTATCATTAATTTTCTTTATTTTATTTGTTTAATGATTCTACATTTTTCGAGTTAAATTCTTTAATTTAGAAATCGTTCTGATCCACTCTTTCGTCAAGTTAATCGATTTCGAATTCATTTTTCACAAAAATTGGGTCAATCTCAATTGTTTAATTGTAAATCTATTCCTCATTGCTTTACATTAAATTTTTCTTTTAATTTTCTTCCTTTTCACAATACATATTTTTAGATATCTTTAAGATATCTTTACCAATCTGTTATTAATAGATTTATTTTAAAATTTCTTCAATCTTAATTGATTAGTTTTCAATCTTAATTGGTTAACTTTCATTTTAAGTCTAAGATTTACCTCTAATTTCTTCAAAAAGCTTATTTTAGAAATCCTATTTATAATCCTATTATAGAATATTACAATTTTAAAATATATAGAAAGAGAAACCTATTTTGTCATCATCACAGTCTATATTCATAAAATTGTAAGGTGATGTTTTTTCTAATATCTTCTAATTTAATTTCAAACCAATCTAAGTAGGCTATAAGCAACTTTAAGAATTCTACATAAAATAGTTATTTTTAATCTCTCTCTCTACTTTCAAAGACTCTTAAACTAGAAATATTTCTTACTTAGAGTAATTTAATTCAGCATTATTAATAACTTTAAATTCAATTAAGTTCGAGTTTTCATCTTTACCTTTAATTATTTTTATTAATAGCTTAACATATTTTTAGGTTAAGTTTTTTTTAATTAAGTAATCTAAAGAATTTTCAAGCAAGTTAATTATCATTTAACAAACTCTTTACTGATCGTTGATCACTTCGATGTTTTCTTAATTATTATCAAAATTTTAATATAACTCACACTTATCATAGAATTCGCTATTATTTAATTTACTCTGCTCTATTTCTGAGAGGAGAACATTTTTTGGAAAAAAAACCAAATTTTCTTAAATTGTATCATTCTAACTTCTAATTATATCCTCTTTCTTTGATAAAAAGACTTAGAGTAATTAATTTTCCAAATTTTGTTAGCAACTTATATTTACAGAAAATTCAATATTTAATGCACTATAAATAGGTTAAAAAACATTTTAGATGTACTTCACTAGAGCAGACAGCTAAAATAAATTATAGTTTATCTTTATTTTATTGTATAATTTTAATTAAACAAAATCTTAAATATTTCTAAGTTGATTTAGATATAGTAAGCTGTATGACTGATTTAACTAAAAGTTTTCTGTTTTCAGAATTTTTTAAAATTTTTAAGACATTTTGGTGAAATGCTGCAAATATATATTCTCTTTGATTTTAGATTGTTTATTGTTGAAAACCATTTATTTCTTTAAATCTTCATCAATACAAATTGAACAAACTGGATAGCTCAAATAATAAAATACAATTTTTACAAGCACATTTATCTTTACATTATTTTTTATTATAGTAGCGTTAAATTCTTCAACTTTATATTTTTCTTCCTCTAATTATTCTTGTTATTGTTCATTTTCTTGAATTTATTTGCTATTTATATCTTACTTCTACAGAGGAGACTTACTCAGAGATATATTTTTTTTATTAAATTTTGATTAAAAATTGAAAATTTCTCTAGAGCAATTTTCAAAAGACTACAGTGGTGATTGTTATTTACTCATTTATTTTGTAAAATTATTAAAATACCCTAATTTTTAATTCGAATTAATTGAGTTTGTTGATTATTCTTTTATTGAATTCTAATAGATTTTTTTCTCAAATTGCTTTGATTCGTCATTTAATTAACTTACATCAACTTATTTGGTAATTTATTAAATTTTGTCATCCTATTTTGATTTATTTTATTATATCATATCTCTAAATTTATAGTAAATAAAGCGCTCTAAAGTATCTGAAACCTATATTTAAGATGCCATAAATGTATTCTTTGTAGGGCTAAAAGCTTTGAAACTAGCTCGTGTTAGTTGCAAAGATGTCTATTACTTTTATTAAGAGTCTTTTTATATAATAGTGCTTCTTAAAAATTAAATCAACAAGCTATCATCCTTAATGTTATATTCTTGCTAAGCTGTTCTATTTATTAGCTTTTTTTCAATTAAATCTTTTGTTGAATCGTATTTTACTATGAATACGCTAGCAGGAAGTACATCTCTGACGAATTGATTAACTTCTTTTTCATTTTCTTATAAGAGAAATAGATCTCTTTAATATTTTTCATTTTTATACTTCATCCATGTTAGGAAGCAGACAGAAAAAAACAACAACCCATGAAATGAATTAAGTTAGCCAGGATAGAATACGGCAGAATATGAGATATTTTATATAAATATAACAGCTGAGTTCAAAACAAAATTACTTCCAATAGATAAAATAAAATGAAATATGTATTGCGAACCTTTATGTTTTAAGTAGATTTATTAATTTTTAATCTATTAAAAGATTTATATACAATTATTATAATAAAAAGTGTAAAAAAGAAATGTTATACCTGCAAATATAAACATCATATTATTCTACTATCCTTCAGCGCCAATATTTTTGTTTGTAATTAGAATAAATCCTATGTTTAGAATCACAAATCCAGTGTTATAAAATGCAACTACTATATTGAAACTGTTTTTTTTAAACTTTACGATGACTAAAGAAATAGCAGAAGATATGATGCACCAGCAAAATCCTAAGTATTGCAAATTTCCAGTAAAATATGTATACAAAGAGCATGGTATTGAAATTAAAATTAGTATCTTGCACCAGCAAGAGAATATTTAGAAATATTATGGAAAAGCTATTTTGTTAAAATAATCTTCTTCTAGTGATCTATTTATAAATGAGAGAGTATATTTATTCATTTTATTAAAAAAACTAAGCAAATTTATCTTGATTTTTTAATCTTTTATGATATTATTTGTTATTTTCGCTTTTAGATTATTAAAAATATACGTTCAGTGTCAAATAAATTATTAGTTCTTTATAATTATACTTTACTCATAACTTATTAAAATAATTAAAAAAATCACACCAACATTTATTATTATTATTATTAATTAATGTTAATTAAAAGTTTTTGCTTAATTAAAGAAACTAGAACCATACTCTACTTACAATTTGCTAGGATAACATACCTTTGATATATTACAAATCCTTTTAATAATATGACATTAATAATGAATAAATATTTTTAAAAATAAAATTGATCTTTTCTATGTAAATGAATAATTTATAATAATTATAACTTAGTTTATAATTAATACTGATATAATATTTTCATTTCTTTATTTTATTCTACAATAAAAATAATTTAATTTTAGTAAACAATTTAAATTAAAATATTTCTTTTTTATAAAAACTTTATAAAAAGAATTAATTTTAAAAGAAATAAAAAGTAAATTTAAAAAAAAAAAAATTTTAATTTTAATATTTATTTAAAGAGTAAAGGAAATTAAATTATTATCTTCAAAACAAACTAAGATCACTATTAAAAAGTAAAATATATCTAACTAACACTTTGATTTAATTAAATTAAGTTTTTGTTAAAATAGTACTGATAATAGATAGATATATTAAAAAATAATTATGGAATAAAAAATATTCTTTTCTGAGTTAGAAGATGTAATTAATTTATCAATTTAATTAGCATATCATATTTTATTTTTATTGCAAAAAAAGCTATTAAATTCTTCTTTATCTTCTCACAAGACTCTTGAAATTAATCTTCGGTAAAAAAAATAAAAATGATATTTATTATACAAATGCATTTAATAATCAATATATTTTTATTTTAAAATTTTTTAATTTTACTTCTTTTTTTGTCTTTAAATATTTTAAAAATGAATTAACTATAAAAATAATAATATAACAAGAAAAAACAAAGTAGGTGATCTATCTAATTCAGGATTAATTTCTGCTTTGGAAAACTGCACTATTCTCGAAGATTTGATACTAGATATTTGGTATAAATACATTATTTTTTCCTTTTCAGCTTATTGAATTATTTTTTGTGCTTTTTATATATCATAGTGGTGCGAAATCACAAGCACAGCAGTTAAACTTTTTACAAATTTTTAAGCACAATTTGTGATTTAGACCTGCATAAATACAATTTTTGATTTATAGCTCCTTTATATATATAATTTTAAATGAAAAATTTTAATTAATATGTATTTTCATCTAAAATAATTTTCTAAATAAAATTCAATATATTTATTTAAAAGCAATAATTAAATCACTGACATCTATGCATCAAGCTTAGGGTCTGCTTTAGGTTAATGTGCTAATCTAACAAATTTGGAAATAGACTTTACGTAAAAATATTTATTTTCTCTTTATTTTTTATTATAATATCAAATATTTATTAATTAATCAAGTCTTAGTTTATTTTTAATGGCTTAAATTATCAAATCTTATTTAAATAAAATAAAAGATTAAATAAAATTCATGAATAAGGAGCCTCTAATTTAGGTTCTTCTTTGGCAAACTGCACTCATCTCATTAATTTGAAACTCGTTTTCAAGTATATTTTATTTGTACATTTTTTGTTATTTAATTAAAATTAATTAGCATTGAATTTTCAATCACTTCTTTTAATGTTAAAAATTGTTTTAATTTTAATCTGTTTGCATAAAAATAAAAAAAATATTATTAAAATAAAGCTAAAATAAAATTGGTTCATTAGGTTTATCAGGTTTAAGTACAGGTTTTTCTAATTGCAGTAATCTCAAAAGCTTGACACTCTTTCTTGAGTAATATTTTTTGTGCATTTTTCTATGATTATTTTTTCAAGATATTTAAATTACAATTATATATAAATGGAATGTGGACAAAAATTTAAAAAAAAAACAGTTTAAACTTAATTAAAAATAATCTTCAGAAAAAAACTGAAAAACATTTCTATCTTCATCCACAACAAATCACAACACAACTTTTTTATATGCTTTTAAAATTTTTAAATCAAATAAAAGCTTAATCTAATAGATTAATGGTGTTTTGATTGTTTTTAGATGTTGACTTTTCAATACTTTTAATTGTTAACTTAAAGCATTCTTTAGTTTAAGAAAAATTTTTTTCAAATTTAATTTTCTTTCTCTTCTGTAATTAATAAATTATTTTTAAAAAAAGAGATAATGGAATTGACGATTAAGGAGCTGGAAGTTTAGGGTTTTCATTATCAAAATGTACTAATCTTTCAAAACTAATTCTTTATTTTACGTAAAAATATTTTTTTTATTTAATTGTAATTTAATTTATGATAAATATGCTAAATAAATTAAACTAATTTACTCCCTTTTGGGATATTATATAGAGTATTTATTTTAATAGTTTTTGATTATTTATTTTTAAATGTTTTTTTAATTAATTATCTTCTAATTGCAAAATATTTATTCTTCTTTACTTTAATAAATATTTAACTTTTTTAATATATTGAAGCCGCAATTCAATTGGCTCTTAAGGTACAAAATATTTAGTGTCTAATTTAAAAGATTGCACTCATCTTTCATACCTGAAGCTCTTCCTTTAGTAAATTGAATTTTGTTATAATATTATTTAATTTACTTAAAATTTATTAATAAATAATTCAATAATTTTAATCTGAATTATTTTATTTTAATTCATGATTTTATAAATAAATTCTTATTCAAACCAGCATCTATCTTGAATATTGAAAAAACTTATTCTTTTTTCATTTTCTAAACTATTTAAAAAAGAGCAAACAGTATTACTGGATAAGGTGGATAATTCCTAGGTTCTGGTTTGGCTGGCTGCTCTAACCTCTCAGATTTAATTATCGACTTATCGTATAAATAATTATCTTATTTTTATTAATATTAAATTATTGTATTTATTATAATTTTATTTAGTGATTGGTGAAGTTATTTTTTAATTTTTACTTATTTTAAAATTTAGAAAATAATTTCAAATTTTCTTTTCTTATTTTTATTAATAATTCAACTTCAATAAAAAGAATAAATTAAATTGGTAATTTTGGGCTTGAAGGCTTATGTTCTGCTTTGTAAAACTGCAACAAACTCTCGAACCTGATCCTTTACCTTGAGTTATTAAAGATTCAATTATTTATTTATTTAAATGATTTGCTTAAATTTATTTTTGAATTATTTTGATTTTTCCCATATTTATTAATGAGATTTTTAGTTTTTCTGAAAAAATTCTTGAATAAATTAAAAGGTCAAATCAAATTGGTGATGAAGGTTTTTAATTTTTATGCTCTAATTTGATAAAATATGCTCATCTTTCAATTCTAACACTCTTTCTTAAGTTAAAATAGTTTATTTATTTATTTGTTTTTATTTTTTTAACTAATTTCTCTATTTGTAAATTAAAAATTTTATTTGCTTTTTTAAATATTTGTTAAACTAATTATTTCTTATTTGATTAGTTTTTATTTCAATATATCATATTTAAAATTTTTTTAAAGTTAAAATATTCTAGTAAATAGAGCATACAATTCTAAACTAAGAAAGAAAATTCTTAAAATGAAAAGATTAGTTGCCAAAAAAATTAAGTTATGAAAAAATAAAATTTTATAAGTTCTTTAATCTTACTTTAAATAATACATAATAATTACTTTAAATATTTAGTTTATTACTTTTTATGTGAATTTTTTATCAAAATTAAAATAATAATACTGTATGATTTACCATATTTTCCTATTAATTTAATTTATTACAAATTTTTTTAATCATTTTGAAATTAAAAATTAATTAAATAATAAAATTTCCAAATTTGTACCATAATTTTTTTTTAATATTACTATTTAATTAATTATTTAAACTAACATATTTTATTATTAAAATATCTAAGAATCATTTTGTTGGATAATTTGATACCAGATATAGCTAGCTATAAATAATTTTATAAAAATTTATTGAAAAATTAGAAAACATACTAATAACTAACTTTTAACATTAATTTCACTAATTTTTATTTATTTAAAATTAAATTTTTTTGCTAATATAAATATTGAAATAATTCAAAATTTATTAAAATACAATTAATTAATTAATCATTGTTGAGAATAGATATAATCTTATGTTTCTTTAACTTTTTGCTTCTTATTTTTATCAAATTTTTGTAATTTTTCTAGCATTTTATTTTTGGTTTATTTGATTATTGGTTTTTCTTATGCTATTGGGGCAGAATAGGTAGTGGTTGTATTCCACCCATTTGCAGCAGCTGCTTAAGATGATGCTTCATCAAGGAAAGAATCATTTTCTTCTTCTTTTTAGTTTAAACGATTTGGCAAATTTTTGGTAATATTTTTACTCAAGTAGTTAGTTACTAATTTTAAAAAAATTAAATGAATAAAAAAAGCAAAAATTTAAATATTTTTTTTTATTTACAATAAATTATAGGGTTTTCAATGCAAATAGGACATGCTATTGGCTAAATGAATTCATCCACACACTTCTTATGGAAAGTATGGCCACAATAAAATACAATAGTTTCAGTGTTTTAAAATTCTTATTAGTTAGCTTTAATTTAATTCTCACAAAATTAGCAAACTCTATAATCAGGCAACTAAGATCCACTTAATCCCCTATTCTGTAAGTAAATTATGTTAATAAATTTTTTTAAGAAATTTCTTATACCTTTATCTTGAGATAATTTTCTTAAATCTTTATCATGTGATCTTAAAGGATTTATTTAGCCGTAGTGTGTGCACTAGTCAAGAATTCAAAACTTTGTTTGAAGTGTTCGTTTGTTTGAAGGAAGGCTTTCAAAGGAATGTCTTAATAGTTAGAATTTATCCTCTTTAGAAAAATAAATAAATTTTTCATATTTATTAGATGAAAATATCATTTTTAATTTAAAAAAATTACATCTAAAACGTCATTTAAATTAATATTGATTGCCATAGCCTCCAATAATTCTGAAACAATTTGAGTAGAGACAGATTAAAGGTTTAAGTCAGAGGGTGAAGTTAAGGTTTAGATTCCTATTTCCTAAACAACTACTTCATCAAACATTGTAAACCATAAAGACTTATTAATTTAAATAATTTTTTAATAAAATAAAAAGTAATAATTTTTATTTAATACATCGTTTGAGTCATCTTCTTTTTAAGCTTAGTAGCATATTTCCATTCCCTTTTTGAGGTTCAACTAGATATTTTTAACTAAGTTTTAATTGAAGTTAATTTAGTCAGGGCTGTAGTTTTTGACATACTCCTTCCAGCACTGCTGTATAATTTAAAGCTAAATATTAAGTGCATCTGTGAAGTTACCATTTCTTTAGTTAAGATAAACCTATGCATCTAAAACTTTGTATTCTTTGCAATATTACAGAGCTTAGTCAATAGGGTATTACTCTCTTTCCTTTAAAGCCTAAATGACCATTTAAGGTTTTCTTTAGCACAAAAGTTTTATATACATATTCTTAATTTCATCTGTGACAGCTGTTGTTAAACAAAATAAAAATATTTACAAAGAGAAACTTTAAAAAATGAATATTACTTTTGTCTTATTCGTTCACAAATTCCTCTAAAATAGCTAATTAATCGTCTGGGTATTAGTCAAGTTGAAGAATGATATCTCTTTGCTGATCACTAAAATACTTTTTAATTAAGATTTTAGCTTTATATTAATCTAATTTAACAAGTTCCTTAATTTTTTTAATAACAATATTTTTCAAATCCTAGACACCTGGCTACTGATTTTCAAACACTTGCTCTATCCACTCAAATATCCTTGTTTGAATGAGAGGATTTCTGCACTCATAATATAAATCAAAGCACTTTTTGTAATTCTTTTAGAAATTATACAAAAAGCAACATGCCTCAGTGCTTTGTTATAAAAAAAGATATTTTATTCAAGATTTTTAACTTAAAAAATAAATTACAATTCACTAAGTTCTGTTTATTGAATTAAATTTGACATCACTAAAGGATTCTTAATTTCTGGAACTAGGGGTCTCAAAACATTAATCAGAAAAGCATTTCTAACAAGACATTTTTTGTGATATTTTTGAGTATCAGTTAAGAAAAGCCCTTACTCAAGCAATATATTTTATTTAATTCTTTCTTCTTAGCTCAATACTTCAGCATCTAAACCAAGCATCTTCTATTCAAAGTAATTAAAAATTTTTGGATTATCAATCAAGAAATTGACTATCTCTATTTATTTATCTAGGTTGAATGGATAGGATTAAAGCTCTAAGACTCTGCTGAAAAATACATTATTTAGATGCTCTAGGACCTGTATTTCTAGTTTTTTATCTTCTTAACTTTTGTTTGACTTTTAAACTAAATCGATTTCAGCATCTTTATTTTTAAGTAAAATTGTGAGTATTCTTTGATATGGCACAAATTATGGAGTAATCTTGTCCTGTTAGAAAATGTTGTATTTTTTAATATTTTCTTCTTCAACTTCAATACGGAAAATGTCATAGTTTTTCATAATTATGCCTTAAACTCTTTGCTTGAAGAGAATAAATACTATATCAAGAGTTATTTTTCTATCTATTTAAAGTAGATTTTACAAATTTTCAATCTAAAAAACAAATAATATAAGATTTCTTAACATCTATGGGTAAATTTTATCTTCTATCTTACTTCCATCTATCATAATACCAGAAAAAGACTACTAAATATACCTTTTTAATAAAAAATAAATTAAAATAAATAAATATAAATTTTTCTTCTTTAATTACCATAAAACTTTTAATCCAAATTTTCTCTCTTATTCTTTTTTTTCAAAACCCCTCTAATGTCTTCCAAAAAGCTTAACAAGAGGAGTCAGAAAATCTCCAGATTTAGCACAGATATAAATCAATGCATTATACAAATCATACTCCATGCACATAACAAGCAGGGGAGAAATATCTAAATTTGTAAGATCTAGATTTAAAATGAGTTTTTAAAGTACATCATATCTTCCTTTCGAAGAGTAGAAATTCATAACCACTTTTAAATAATCGTTTGGCACATGTCTAAGCTTCGAATGTTCGATAAATGTTTAAAGGCATTCAAGGAAATTTTCTTCGTAGCCAAAATTTTTAATACCAATAGATACAACACTAAAAAGGTATTCTGAATTATCTGTTGATAGCAAAAATTCGGTTCCAAGTGTTAATATTTAGTTAATCTTTATATACAATAAAAATATTTTATAATCTAACTTCAATGAAATTTTATAAATTACAGTTTCCTGGCTTAACTCTTGATCTGTAACTAAGCTAAGCTGAATATAAGTCAAACCAAGAGTCTAAAAAAATGTTTTCATCTCATCTTATCTTTTTTTCTTTTCATCTTCAACGCCTCCCAAATACTTTATAATATCTTTATTTATTTTTAAACAATCAATTATCTTTCTTTTTTCATTTAATTAATTTAATTTGAAACAATTTTATTTCAAAAATTTTTGTTTGTTAATAAAATTTTATTTAATTAGGTTAATTTGAAACAGTTTATTTGTGAAAAATTGAAAGAAAATTTGTACTGTTTTAAACCATTAAACCATGCTACATCAGCTTAATCCAATCCAGTGAGTTTCTATCGTTGAAATAAGCTTGCCATTTTTTTAAGTTAAAACTGAACATGAGTGACTAAGGAAGCAAAAATTTAGCACTGCAATCACCGAAGTGATAAAACAGAGTATGCTTTGATTAAGAACAGAATAAACTCAATTTTTAGAATTCTGGTATATGATCAAGATACATGCAAGAGTTTAATTTTGAAATGGATGTGTCTAAAGGACCAAGAGTAAAGTTGCTTGTATGGATTATGGCACATTCCTTATTTGTGAAGATAATAAATATAATTGAATTGCTTATAAATACACATTTTTCAACTTAGTAAGAAAATTTAGCATAAGCTGTTTAATAGAAATGCACATATTCATCATCTAAAAGCTAGGCTTTAATTAAAAAAACATGGTCTTCCCAGCCTATGCATAAAATAGGCTGCCCACTGTTGTTGCCATAAAAGTAACCTTAACCCCAAGAAATTGATGGTTTGGAAGGTTTATTTTCCTCCTCCTCTTCTTCTTTTGAACTCATTTTGGATTTTTAGAACTAAAATGTAATTTAAATTGATTTGTACATTATAAACCCAACGTAAATTGAATCATTTGTTGTCATAGCTAAAATCTTAAAGTGCTTTTTAAAAAACTAACTTGACTATATAGAATCAAAGTAACTTATTTCTTCAATTGGTAAATAATTAATAATTTCTGTCTTTTATGATTAACCATCTTAAGTCTTAAATGTTTCCTTATATTTATCACTTATAGATCTTTCTCTAATATGTTAATGCTCATCAGTAGCAGAATTAGATCTATGGTTATCGATCATCTCATCATTAATTTAAGTCATTAGTTAGTAAGTGTATTTATCTTTAGTTACTGATGTAAATCTCTTTTCAAAAACAATTGTTACATCTACTTATATCTTTTGATTTTACCCAGTTGTGTCAAAAACTATCATGCAAAATCTAAAATATTTAAAATAAAATTATATTAATGCTTTATAAAAACTGTGTTTGTTTTTTATTACTCTTTCAAAGAATTTTGATATTCAGATATGAATTGAATTATTTTAATAGGCGATTTGAAAACCTTTTTTATTGTTGTCATTCTTGGATAGTTGCTTTTTAATTCGTAAATTCCTATGTCACCATTTTCAAATCCTGTTTGTTAGTTAAAAGTGTAAATAAAACGCATTAATTTATTTATAAATTTTATTTACCTGCAGCAAATATTAATTCGTCATGATTAATTGCCAACGAACATACCTTTCCTGACTCATTTTACTTATCAATACCTCCAAAAAATACATTTTCTTTTTCTCTTTTATCAAAAATGTAAAATATTGATCGACTTGTTCCTATAATCAAGTAATTTTTGGATTCGCAGATGGCTGTAGGTGCACCATAATCTTCCATGTTTTCAATAATAATTTCATGAGTAAATTCATGATGAATTATATCTATCTAGTTGACTTAAGTTTTTTCATCTATAGTTGTATCTAATTGAGATAATCTGAAAAAATCAGTGTGTTTAACGCCTTGCCTAAAAAAAAATGAATCTCTAATTTCTTTGTCTAGCTCCTTCAATGGGTCTATATAATTTTAAGTTAGACTATCTGAATATTTCCTTCCTTATTTTATGAGTTTATCATCATTTTTATATAACTAAGTTTCCTAATTTAATAGATAGTTTGTTAATAGCTTTTAATTTCAATCTACAAAATATTTCTAAAAATACATTCGAATTCTTTCTTATTTATTTATCCATTTCTTGAAAATCTCAGCCTTAACAGCAAGCAGCTCTCTATTAACTCTTAAAATAATTTTATATTTCCTCTATTAAACTATTTAAATGATATGTTTGCAATCTCTCCCTTTAATATTTTCAATGCTATAAAAAGTGATTTAATCAGAAAGCTAATCTGAATTAATTAATAAGCAGAAAAAAAAAATCTTTATTAAAGATTCTAATAAGAAAATAAACAAACATAATTAATTGATTAATTCATTACATAAAGTAAGGTGATCTTAATAACAATTATTTTTTAAAGTATTTTAAATCAATTGTTTTTCAAAATCTTTAAATATTTGTTCATAAAAATAAAAAATTTGCACGCGGTGAGATTCGAACTCACGCGGATCGCTCCAACGCAACTTGAGTGCGCCGCCTTAGACCGCTCGGCCACACGTGCTAGGTGATATATAATAAATTAATTAGCAAAATAATTATTATTTTTTTATTTCACTTTATTACTTTTGAATTCATTAAACTTATATTGCATCTTTCCAATAAGAATTTAGACATAATATTAAGAAAATTTTAATGATTAATTTAAATAAAAAGTAAAATTTAAATTGCTTTTTTAAATTTTTATGTCTAAAATATTTTCTGAACTTTACAACTTAAGTATTTAATAAAATAAAAAAAATTTGCACGCGGTGAGATTCGAACTCACGCGGATCGCTCCAACGCAACTTGAGTGCGCCGCCTTAGACCGCTCGGCCACACGTGCTAGGTGATATTTAATTTCAAAATAAGCAAAACAATATTTATTTTTTGCATTAAAATTTTTCATAAGGAAACCTTTTATTTTAAAATTAATTGAATTTATTTTTGTTAATAAAATTTAATCAATTTTACAAAATTTAATTAATTTATTTTTTTTTAAATTACTGTCTTAGCTTTTAATCTATCTCTTAAATTAATCAAAAATTCAGTATTGAGTATAAATTCCAATTTTTAAATAATAAATTTATTAAAAAAAACAATACAAAAATAAGTAAGTAAAATATAGCTAAATAAAGATATAATTCTTCAATAAATGTAATTTGATTAAATATTTTAATATCAAACAAAGTAGATTAGTTAGTTGATAATATTTTGATCAAAAAAAAAAATATGCACGCGGTGAGATTCGAACTCACGCGGATCGCTCCAACGCAACTTGAGTGCGCCGCCTTAGACCGCTCGGCCACACGTGCTAGATAATATCTATAAACTAAAACAGGAATGACTTTGAAGATTTAATTTATTTATAATAGAATTGTAATTAATTTTTGAATTTAATTCATAAATTTGATTTTAAAATTTATTAAAAATAAAAAGTAATAAATATAAGTAAAGCTATAACACTTTTATTCACAATAATTTTTTGGTGAGTTGATTTTTTTATGATCAGTCAGACAATTATTAATTTATTTCAAATGAGTAATTAAAAAATAAAAGAAATTTTGATTGATTAACTCAAATATTTTTTATAAGATTAATTTGAGATAAAAAGGTTTTCATATTAATAAAATGATGTTTAAATTTCCTTAATTTTTAAATTCTTAGATGATAATTAATTTTTAAACAAAAACAAAAATAAAATAAAAAATAAATAAATGTTTAACCAAATGTAAAAAACATTAGAGAATATTAGTTTATTACAATAGAAGTTGGAGGATTAATACAATAAAATTTTATATCACTTTTCTCCTAAAAAGTGCGATGAAAGTTATAATTTATGTGAAAGTTAAAGTAAATCAAATGAGGAATCAGATATTTAGATAGAATAAAAAACCTTTATAGATGATGGCTATTTAGAAAGAATGGCTGAAAAAAGAAAGCTTCAAAGACAAAAGAATTAAAAAATAAAAATTTTATAATAAAAAATAAAAGCCAGAGAAGAAGTAATTTAAAATAATGAAAAAAATATTGAGTAAATTTAATCTAATAGAAAAAAGATAACATTCAAAGATATTATTTTAGAGGAATATGAAAGATAAACAGACCCTAATTTCTATATGGCAGTACCTCATATACACTAGTATGTCCAAAAAATAAAAAATACAAGAATTTAAAAATAAAATAGCTTGGGTTTACTAATTATGGAAATTGAATGAAACACTTTAAAAATAAAATTTTATAAAAATAAAAAAAATATTAAAGTTAATGAATTAAAATTACAACTTACTTACTAACTTACTTACTTAGTATGCTTGTTTATATATTAATAAAAATATTTTTAAAGGAAAAAAAATTCTTTAAAATTTTCAGTAAATAGGTAATTTATAATATCTTTTTTACTATAGAGTTAATGAGCTTAAATATTGTAACCTATTTGTTTATTAACTTACAGTAACTATTATGAAATAGTTAGGATATAAAATTAATTTTATTTCTTAAATAGGTGTGCAAATTAAAAAATATCCTAAGTCTTCTATAATATTTAGGAATTCAAAGCTTGTAAATTTACTACTACAAATTACTGCTGATATGATTCAAGTTAAATTTTTATTATTTATGGATACTTTTCTATTATTTACTAATTTTAAATTATCTCTTAAACTGAAAATTGAAAATAATAAGAGAAAAAAATATAATTTATTTATTGTTTTATAGTTTTTAAAAAATCCTAACCTATTTATTTATGAAATGTTATTTAATTTAAACCTTTTATATTTAAAATTCTATTTTATGTCTAATGTTAGAATAAAAAGTAATTAAAATATATAATTTATGTAAAAACAAAATTTTCTTTAAACAAATTAATAAATTAATTTTTTCAATAATAAGTGTATTTTAGAAAAAAGTTAATTAGAAGCTAGGATCATGCATTTATAATCTTTTAAATCAAATTTTCAAAATAAAAAATAAAAATATGCACGCGGTGAGATTCGAACTCACGCGGATCGCTCCAACGCAACTTGAGTGCGCCGCCTTAGACCGCTCGGCCACACGTGCTAGATGAAATATTTGTTGTTTACTTCAATTTTTTTTATTTATTTCTAGAACCTTTAGCTAAAGATTCAAATAAGTAAAACAAATATTTGATATTAAATTTAAACACCAAATAGCAAAAATACAATTTTTTTGTAAGTAAATAAATAAATGAAATTCTTTTAAATAAAAAATTATGCACGCGGTGAGATTCGAACTCACGCGGATCGCTCCAACGCAACTTGAGTGCGCCGCCTTAGACCGCTCGGCCACACGTGCTAGGTGATATATTAGTATAAAATATTTTAAATAATATAAAATATGCTCAAATAAATCTTTTTTTAAAATCAATTCATTATCCATAAGCACCTTTATTAAGTTTTTATATTGTATTTTTTAAATATCAAATTTAATTAACAATATTTTTTCAAATTAATAACAAAAATAATTAATGTTTATTTTAACCTGCTATTCTTAAACAATCATGTTAATTGATTGACTTAATAAAATAATTAAGTATTTATTAATTAAAAAAAAATTTTACTTTTAAAATTAAAATGCTAAATTCTTTTTATAAATGAAATTTGATAAATTAATTGTTGAAATTTTAAATTATTTACATAATTATTTTTTTTATTCTAAATTGCTATCTAGCACGTGTGGCCGAGCGGTCTAAGGCGGCGCACTCAAGTTGCGTTGGAGCGATCCGCGTGAGTTCAAATCTCACCGCGTGCATAATTTTTTTTTGAAAAAATTTTATTTATTTATTTACTTACTTAATTTCTTACAAACAAAATAAATAAATGTATTTTTTCTAATTGGTTTTAAAATCTAATATCAAATATTTGCTTTTACCAATTTATTTGAATCTTTAGTTAAAATTATAAGAAATAAATAACCAAAATTCAAGTAAACAACAAATATTTCATCTAGCACGTGTGGCCGAGCGGTCTAAGGCGGCGCACTCAAGTTGCGTTGGAGCGATCCGCGTGAGTTCGAATCTCACCGCGTGCATATTTTTTTTATCTTAAAAAGAATATTATTTTTTAAAGATTTAGTTTTTAAAATAAAAAATATGCACGCGGTGAGATTCGAACTCACGCGGATCGCTCCAACGCAACTTGAGTGCGCCGCCTTAGACCGCTCGGCCACACGTGCTAGATGAAATATTAGTAATTTACTTGAGTTTTGCATAGTTATTTCTTTGACTTTTAATCTTAACTCAAATTAAATTAAGTAGAAGTAGTAATTTTGAATGGGATATAATCTCTTTTTATATTAATGAGACATTTAAAATTAAATATGATTATTAAAAAAAAAATATGCACGCGGTGAGATTCGAACTCACGCGGATCGCTCCAACGCAACTTGAGTGCGCCGCCTTAGACCGCTCGGCCACACGTGCTAGATAGCTATATTGAAAAGAATTGAATTATACTTTTAGCATTGTTAAAGTTAATTAAATATTAAGCTGGTTTTGATCATATTAAAAGTAATTTAGAAAGATATTTATCTATTTATTTATATATACGGTAATAAATAACTTGTTTAGAAAAAGAAAATACATAGAAACTTAAGCAAGATTTATTAATTATTAAGGTTAGAATAAAGGGATAGTATCAGGACAATTAATATAGAAAATGGCTAGTTTGGTTGAAAATTAAACAAATAAGCCTTAGCAAAAAGCTAAGAAGAGCTCTTAGAAAGAAATTTAGGAGTTAGGTATGTTTAAAAGTGAAGATGATATGATAAATTTCTTTGAAGATGAAAGATATAGAAAGTATCACTATTTAACCTACAAAGAATACCTCGAAATTTATGGAAAGACCATTGATACTAACTTTTTACCAAAAATTAACAAAAAATTGATTTACGGGCACTTCGAATATTTCAATTACTGTTATGACTAAACATGGAAGTATAAGTGGTATCCTATTTTCGGTATGTTTGCACTTAATTTAGGTAATTAATTCAAATAGATTTACAAAAAAAGCTCATTAAAAACAATAAAAATTTTAATTTCTGATAAGTAAAATCCTCGCATAAATTACCTTTATATTTTAATATAAATTTAGTCAGATTTAAGTCACCTAGTGTCATCGGAACTCTTGCCTATTTATACACTTTTGACTATTTCTTTGAGAATTTTTTCCTACACAGAAATAATTAGATTAGGTTTATTGATGTCAGAAACTCTTTTAGTTACCATTTGAATAAAAAGAAATGTAAAAAAGATAAAAAATAACTAAATATTAATTTTTAAATATCTATAAAAATAATCCAATACAAATAGAAACAAGGAATTCGTGCCTTTTGTTTTGTTTGTTTCAAAGGAAAAATATTTCAAAGACATTTTAAACATAATTTATTTGATTTTCTAAATTTTTAATCAATCAATCAATCAATAAATGAATCAAAATTAAATAATTAATTTTTTAATTTAAAAAGATATTAACCTTCGATAGAAATATTTGGAAAAGTATGTTTAAATTGTTAATAGAAACATACAATAAGGAGAATACAAACAATTCAAAGTTAGCAAAATTACTGATAAAATTATTATTGGAAAAGACAAATCTCGTAAATTAGATGAGGATCTTGAAATTTAGCAAGAATATGAGTCATATAACACCATAACAAATGAGGATTTAAAGAAAAAAGAGGAAGAAAAGCTCCTTCAGATTATTTAAAAAAATAAATTCTATCAATTCTGCTTGAAAGTATAAAACTATGCTAACTTGTTTATATAAAATGCAAAAGGAGGAATTAATTTTAATTAAGCTCTTGATGATTTCTTCAAAGTTGGTATTTACAACTTGGCAAACAAATTCAGCAAAAATTTTGCATAATTTTAGAAGGAATTCGGTTAATATAAACAAGACATAGGTACATTCCCAACTAGAGGGTAATATTAAAATTGAATATTTAGTTTTATATTTAACATATTTGATTAATTAAACAACAGTGATTACTTCTAAATGCTTTATTATAAGGAACTTAACCAAAATAAAGTGTACAATTTAAAGGATCAACTAAGAGTAATTAAATAGTTTATTTATTAAATCTTTATTAAAAAAATATTTTTATACAAAAATGTAGGAAAGAATCAATTAGTCTATTGATCTTTACAATTATGTCTTTAAAAACAAGCTTACAAAATCATTCGTTAATATTAATTGGATTCATCCTGAACATATTGACGTTAATCCCACCTATAGTAAATTAAATATAAAACTAAATTCAATAACTTACCTTAATTAAATTAAAAAGAAATTAATAGTTACTTGATGGACTTTATAACATTCACAGTAATTTGTTGTGTCCCTTTTAAAATATTTAATTTTAGATAGAAAACTAACCAAATAATGCTGTTGCTGAGATAATAAAAAGCAAAGTTTAATAATTAATGAATGATTAAAATCTTAAATAAATAAAAATATTCTTTAAATGTAAATAAATAATATATTTTATTCAATAAAATTGTTTTGATTATATGCAAAAAAAATGGTCAAGCTAAATAAATTTTATATTTTTCCTTAAAATTATAAAAAGTTTATCAAATTAAATTCAAATATTTATTTATTTAATTCTTTGTAATTTAAAATTTAATAATTTATCAAAAATTACAAATTAAATTAATTAATTTATTTTAGTAAAAAAAAACTAAATAATAATTAATTTTCTAAGTCAGTAAAGTAAAGAATAAGTTTTAAATATTTTTGAATAAACTCATGAAGTGGTTGTTGATGATTCATTTTAGATTGCAGAATTAATTTGATTTAAAAGATTTATGTATACTCTTAAAGAGCATTGATAATACATTTTAAGACACTTAAAATTTTATTGTGAAATTAAGTTTCTGAAAATTTTATTTTTGTGAAAAATAATGAACTATATATATTAATCGATAGATCTTTCTTAAAGTCATTGATTGATATTTTAGCATCAACAATCAATCTCAAATAATTAATTTCAAAATAGAGTTTCAAGTGTCTAAAATCATATTGGCAAAGCAATAGTATATAAAAATAGGCAGCTAATTTTTAAATAGCATTTGGTATTTAGAAAAATATATTTTAAATAAAAAATAAACAATATGTTTTGATAGTAATTAGTTGAATAATTTTGATATATTGATTGATGGATAAATGATTAATAATACACAAACAATTTTTGAATGTTTGACAACAAATGCAATTAATTATGTAAAGTGGTATTCATATTGAGTATAATTTTTAAAATGGAACTTAATATGCTTACTAATTAATTAATAAATGAATAAATCAAAATATGAAAACTAACCAACTAAAATACTTTTTATCATGTAAAAATGTAAAAAAAAAACAAAAAATGTTCATTTAATATATTTTTAAGTTAATTTGCTATTTTGTGAGATACTTTTTGATAAACTTGGCATCAAAAAATTGACTTTTGTATTTTATTATTGAGTTAGTTTTATGTTGAATCCATATGAAAGGTTATATTTAGTGTCAGCTCTTTAAGATTTATTTTAATTAATTAATTCTTTTTACTCAGAAAGCTTCTTCCAATTTTCAGAATATTTTCTTTGATGTATTTAAGCTATTGCTAGTTTATAATTTATTTTACCTGATTATTCATTATATTTCATAATTTATGATGGATCATTCTTTTTTTTCATCTCTTCAAGTGTAGGAGGTTTGTAAACATAAGATTTAATGTCACTCATTTTATTTTAAATTTGAATATTTAACTTTTATCTTTCTTGCTCATATTAAGACTGTCTAAGATTTAGCTATTCTACTTTTTATTCTAAATGAGCAAGCTGTTATGCCTATTATCCCATGAGTTCCTTTTTTAGATTCTAGATGTTCTTCAGCCTTTCATAAATGCGAGAGGTAGCATCTTTTTATGTAGAACTGTTACTGAATTAAGTAGAAACAGCGTTTGGATTTATCACATGATCTTATTAGAATTTACTAAAGTAGTAGTTTTAAGAAGATTTTAGCCACTTTTCTTAACTCTAGTTTACGCTTGTATCGCTAACTTAAGTAGAATTTCTTAAGGAATAGTTTTTATTCTTTAAATTTAATTATGGGATTATCTTTTGACTTGTAGTTTTCACCTTCTATTATATGTATGGAGTCCATAGGTTTTTTTCTTAGAAATACTGAATAATACTTTGCTAATCTTTGCATTTTTCAATTAATTCATTTTAAGCAGCATGTATAATCTGAATAGAAGATTCTACTCCCCAAGAGCTATCAAAGTTATTGTTTTAAATTATTTTTTCTTATGGCGAGGAGTTAATAGACTAAATTATTTTTTTATTAGTATCAAATTTTTTTAACATGTCTTCGTTATTTTCTGTAAAGCTCTTCTAGTGACGTGCAGTCTTTAATTGACTGCTTTCTAATTAACCTTTTGAAAGTTCCTCTGCAATTTGCTAACAAATCTTATCACCAACTTCCGTTTTCACCAATCTTTCTCCCATACTTCTTTGAATATAAAAGTTAATAACAGCTTTTAATTTTTTTAGAGTGTTTTTACTTTTTTGATTAAACAATTAATGAGTTTTAAAAAATTTATTTGATTACATAAAAACTAGTAAAATTAACTGGTCAATTTCCTAATAAACAAAATAATGATAATGGTTTAATACTTAAAACAAAAATTATGTATTAAAAAACAATAAAATTATGTTTGATTTATTTAAAGCTTTACACTAATTTATTTATTTATTTTATTAATAAGTAAGAACTCATTTTTTTAAAAAAAATAGAATCATAAATTAATAATATTAATTTTCAATTAACTGATTTTTATAAATTCTTTTGAAATTAAAAAAATTTGTAAAAATCTATAAATATATTTACTTTTATGATTATTTATTATAATTTTCATAATAAATCAAAGTATTTTTGATATTTTTGATTTATTAAATATTAATTACTATTTTGTGTATTAATTTAAGTACTTTTTGATTTATCGAATAATCATCTAAATTAATATTATAGAGTGATGTTTGAGCATTATCAAAAAATCAAATTTTAAATTAACATAAAATAGAATCTTTAAATAAACTATTAAATTTTCGAAATAGTTTTATTATTAATTGTTATAAAATAGTATATTTTAATTATTTTATATTTTATTCAATCATTATTTGAAATATTAGCAGAATAATTTAAAAAGGATAATAAATATGTTTGTAAAAAAAATGTACTTGCTTTATTTAAATTTTAATTCATTTTTTTAATTACAGAATAAAAAATAAATTTTTGAATAAGTCTTTAAAAATAAAATAAATCAAACATTTTTAATATAAATTTTTCATTAACTGATTTTTATGAATACTTCTTAAATTAAAAAAATAGTTTAAATTGATCTATTAACTTTTACGATTATTATTCATATAATAATTTTCATTTTTAATTAAAATATTTTTATTTATTAAAATTTTGTTGTTTTGTGTATCAATTTAAATACTTACTTACTTTTTGATTTATCAAATAGTTCTCATCAAAATTCAATTCTTAATATTATTTATCTAGAGATATTTAAGTAATGCCAAATAGTTAAATTGGAAATAAAAATAAAATATTTGAAAAAAATTATAAATTTTTAGAAGTAGTTTTGAAAATTTTAATAGAAAGTGAGTAATGGTTATAAAAATAGTAAGTTTTCTTCATTGATTCATTAGTTAAGTACTGTATGAGATATTAGATGAATAATTTAAAAATTTGAAATTATTTACAATATTTTGATAACTTATTAAATATTTAATTTATAGATTTTTAGATACACTTCAATTTATTTCCAAATATCATTTAAATAAATAAATCAGAATATTGAATAACTTTTAATGTTGAATTTTTATTTTTTAATAATTTATACAATATAATTTAGCATACTTACTTACTTATCTTTACAGTTATATATATATTTAGCTTTCATTAAAGTGCAGCTTTATCGCAATTATATGGCCATAATTTAATGTTAGATTTCTATTATAAATAATTTGATTATTTTTGTTAGCAAATAGGATTGTTTTATAACTATTAATAAACAAAGGAAGAGTAACCATTTTCTAAGTATCTATCAGACTTGCAAGTATAAGCTGGTCTTAGACATCCATTTTTATCAACTATTGAAAAACCAGCTGAAAGCACAAAATGTACTGACCATATTAAGAAAATTAATATCAAAATCATTAAAATAGCATTTTTGATATTTTTAACTCTAATAAATCTCATTTATTTATCCACGCTAAAAGTATTATTATAGTAATATTAATAAAATGTCTTTCAACAAAATCTAAACAATTCTAATCTAATTTTAATAAATATTTCAAAGTTTTTAGTTGTTGCTATTGTTATTTTTACTATTTTTATTTTAATATTGTAATGATATTTTTAAATTATTGATTCTATTAATTTATTTTGATTAAATAAGAATCTTTAGTAAGTAAGTAATTCAAGTTATTTATCTAAATTTAATAATTAATCTTCATGTTAATTATTTAGTGATATTGTAATAAATATAATTGCAAACTTTTTTCAATTGGTTATAAAACTATAAAGTAAAATATTATATATAAATCATATTATAATATAAAAATAGACAAATAAATAGTATTTAGTAATTAATTAATTTTCAAGTATGTTTGAGTAATTTGCTTATTTTATTTATTTCTTGATGATTTTTCAATTCATTCTTTTTATTGTTTTTAATTTCTTTTCATTCTTAAAGCATGTCTCTTCAATGATATGATTAAAGAGTTGATCTTCTTTGAATCCTTCATTGATGTGAATATTATCATTTCGGTGGTGCTGTTTAGTTTTAGAAATCAAGTTATTCAATGATTAATTTGAAACTTCAAGATTGCTGTGGTGTTAATTTTAAAAATCGTTTTTATGGTTATTTTGGCATATTGACTTGCTTAGAATTTCCTCTAAGTTTTAGTTAAACTAAGATTCTTCATTCAGGTGAAAATTGATTTCATCAAAGTTACTTTTATGCTGCTCATGATTGCTATTTTGATTTTAATGGCTTCTCCCGTTTCTGCTATTTCTGAATTAGTTATGGGAGTAGAATAATTAATTTTCATTTTCTTAATTAGAGATTGAACTTGCATAGAAAGCATCATCATGAAGGTTATTATTAGATAAGAATAAAGGTAAAATTGGATTATCTATAAAAACTGCCTCTTCTGTAAACTCTTCAATTGGTAGTTGTTGAAGAGCTTTTCTCGGCATGCTATTCTGTGACTTGCTTTTCCTTTGGTTTATTATTAAATTTTAGTTTTCTTTTTCTTACAGAGAATCAGTAAAGTTGCTTAAACTATTTTAAATATTTTAGTTAATGAACTTATTCTCATTACTGAAACAGTATTGATCTAGCATATCATTAATTTCTTCATCTTCTTGCTCAGTTAAGCTTTTTTTGCTATTTATTTCATCACTTAGTGATATATTCTGAGCATACTCATAATCATTGTCATCATCTTCGCAGATATTTATTTTTTTAGTTTTCTTTGCTTTATTATTCATGATACTTTTTCTTTTCGGTGGTGGTATGATTTTGAAGATATTATCATCGAGAGAGTTTGGACTAAAGAAGGTATCTTGAGGATGCTGAGGGTGGTTAACTTGAGAAAATTCCTAAGAAAATTGAATAGATTAAAAAGATTGGTTGTTCAAATTTTATTTATTTAAAATGGTTGCTATTGTTTAATGAGTATTTCTCAGTTTTTCAACGGACTTTTTTGCACTTGCTCTTTTAGAAGACATTCTGAGCTTCTCTTTGTTTGGAGAAATGAATAAATCATTTTTATTAAAAATATCGACATTTTCAAATTTCAATGATCTCCTAGACCTAACACACTCAGATAACTTAGAGCTTTTAGAAAGATTATTATTTTTTAAAAATGAATACTGATCTGAGCATAGATCAAACGAACTTGATTTATCACAATCATTATCAATATCTTCTCCTTCATCATTATCATCGTCATCATCACTTTTTATTTTATTTATATCATTATGAAAAGCCTTGTTTAGACAACTATTTTAAAAGCTTTAATCTGAGTCATATTCTTATTCTGTGTGGTAATAAGAATTTTATTGTTTATTTGGAAAATTGTTTGAGCAGTTTTTAGAAAAATCAAAAATATTTTGTTTATCTTCAACTTGTTTGGAATTTTCAGAGCAGAAATTCAATTTTTTGATGCTATCAATATAAAACTTATTCAAACTTTCCTCTTTGTTGGAAAACTTTTCTGAAGACTGAGGAGATTTTTATTTTGTCTGCTCTGTATTTTAGTTATTGCAATTGAAATCAATGCTTTTTCTATTTGAAAGTTTTGAGACTCTTTATTTGAAATCTTCATTTGCTAATTTTAGAGGAGATTTTTCGATAGAAACTTATTGGTTTTGATTGAAATTATAAGAGCTAAATTGTAGGTTTTAAGAGCATTCATCTGCTTTTTAATTATTTTGGGACTCTTCATTTATTTAATAATTTGAGTAATTCAAACTAATTCTTTTGCTGCTATTCTAAAGAGGAGAAGGGTCATATTAGCTATTTACATTTCTTATTTATTAGCGTTTGTTTTTTTGGTTGTTTTGTGTGCTTTAGTAAAATCCATACTATTTGCTTGAAAATTTGTAAGGAGATTAGCTGCCAAAGACACTTTCACATTCAATAATTCCTGATTTCTTCTTTTAAGGTGATCTTTAAGGTGTATTTGAATTATCTTAATATAACTCTCTTCCTTTGTTATTTAAATTTGTCTTGTTTTATTTTTACCCATTTAAGTTTTAATTCTTTAAGATTAACCCAAGTTAAGGCGATTATTCAGAAGGGCTTGTATTTTCAAATATAAAATCACAAATGTTGAATTAAACTATTTATTAAGAATTCTTTTAACTCTCCATAACTTCAAATGATTTATATTTTTTTTCTTCTCTCCCAATCCAACTTGTTTGTAAATCTATTTCAAAAGCTGACTTCTTACAATAAAACATATCAGTCTGCAAACTATTTATCAATTCATGCTTATTTTTCTAACTTAGTTATGTGGAATTCATTAATTGTTAGGAAAAAAATTACATTTAATTTATTTATTATTACTACCTTTAAGACTGAGATTAAACAATAAAATCTTAATGGTTATTAACAAGATATTCATTTATTTCTTCAACCAGATTTTAATATTCTGTCACCAGGATTGTTGAATTTGGGAATACTTCTTATCTGTATTCCTCATCTACAAATATGTTAATTCCATCGCCTATATAAACTTTATCAGGGAGTTGCTTTTTCTTCTATTTCATCTTGCTAACCCCAAAATAAGAACCATTAGAAAATCTTTTATTCCCAAATTTAACTCCTTTATGATCATATTCTTCTTTTATCATGTTATTATTTTTACCTAAATTCTTTCTAATAATTGGCTATTGCTACTCTTAAAAATTATCACTCCTAAGATCAAACTCAAATCTTTTTCTTTTTTTGGAGTCACTTAATTAATTATCATACATAATCTGCATGCTCATAAGCTATTTTAACCTATTTATCCTCTATTCCATTCTTTATTCGAACTAAGTAACAACTTCGTTCATCTTAGCCTCTGGTTAGGCTTAACTATATTTCCCTTCTAAAATATATCTATCTGCCTGCTAATAATCCATTTTCATTTCTGTTATTTTACATATCTCTTCATAAAAAAAAGCACTATTAACACCTATTTCATTTTCTTCCATATGATAAATGACATCTTCTTTATCTTTGCACATATCACTCTAATATTCAATTTAAAAAGTCTTTAAAAAATATCTCATAAAACAAGCAGAATAAAATTTTCATTGATTGTTTGTTTATTTTCATAAAACTGATCAATTTCTAAAAATTTATAAATACAAAAGCTAATACATATTCAATCCAAAACCTAACACACCTATGATCTCTCTTAATGTAGTCTCTCTCACAAGAATATTTAGTAAATTTCTCCAGTTCTTAAAATATTTAATAATTGATTTCACTAATAGTTCTATCTTAATAGTTCATCAAAAAGTCTAAATACCTAAAATAAATAACAAAAAAGTGTTGATATTTAAATAAAACAAAACAAATAAATCAATTTATAGGAAAAATGATTTCAATAATATTTTTTTATTTTCGTCTAATTTTGAAGGTTATAATTTAATTAAATAATGTTACTCTTCCCAGGTTGCCATTGGATCCTCCTAAGCATCTATCTATGATATCAATGTTTTATATTCACTAAATTTTAATTGCATAAATGTCTATCTTGACTTAATTTAAATAAAAAATTACCTTAGCTTATCAGAAATTTGCTTTTTGGTAAACTTTTAACCTATTTTAAGAAGGATTAATTTCATAAAAGATCTTCTGATTGAATTAAAGTTTACTTGCATTTTATGATTAAAATAATAAGCTGTAATGATTGTCAACAAGCCCTTCTTGCTCGTAGACCTCTTTGAGCTCCGATTAAAAATAAGAACCTAGATTCATCATAATTGCAGTATTGCTAAAGAGATAGAAAAGAAATAACGTGTACTTATTTAGCTGTATTAAAGGACCAATTTAAAGAATATTTATTTATTGCACGCTATTTAATCTTGTAAAATAAATAAATAAACAATAAAGATATATCAAATTTAAACAATATTTTTGATTTATTCTTAACTTTGTTATTCATCTCAAATTATTTAATTGAATGTGTTTGTTTCAGTTTAAATCAATATTTTTTTAATTTACCGCAAAATCTTATTATTATTATCATTTTTAATTTTGAATTTTTCGTAAGTAAATCATCAAACAAATATCTGATATTGATTTATTGGGTTTTATTTCTACTTGGATTCAAATCAATTTTCAACTTTTCATTAAATTTCAAATATTGAATACAAAATTTACTTAGTTATTTTGTGTCTATAAATTTTGCTATTTTAATAAAGTTTTTTTTAATTTTTCTCTAAATAGATAGTAGCAATTATAGGAATAGTATTAACAAATATTAACTATAAATTTTAATAATTAATAATTATGCATTTAAATTATTTTAAATTAACTTATTTAAATAATTCATTCATTAATCTTCAGTTTCATCTAAATAGAATTAATCTTCATGACCAAAAGCAATTTCTGGAATTTCATCTCTTATTGGTTAGTTTTCTAGCTGAATATTTGGAATCCAAAAAATGTGCACTAAACAAATTAAGCTACAAAAAGCAATAGGAATGAGGTATAAAATATCGTTAAATTGACGTATTTGCATTAAATAAACAACTATAGACCCTATTTCATATAAATTTATAAGAATGATTAAAATTAAATAATAAGTTAAAAAAATTAAAGGATTTACCAAGTTATGAGCTAGCAAATAGTACTGCCATTCCCATGGAACGAACAACGGTTGGGAAAAGCTCAGCAAAATAAACAAAAGCCACTGTTCTTAAATAGTTACTTGAAAACCTTGATATCTAATAGAAGATTAATTAATAATTTTGATTTGTTTATTAGTATAAAATTTTAAAATAGAAAGAAATTCTTACAACTACTATCAATATCTGAAAGAACGTGATTGTTTTAGAGTCTTTAATTTAGCTTTGAGTGAACAAATTTGTGTAAAGATAGAATAAAATAATAAAAATAGCAGAAATAGTGCAAGAAATGTAAAGTTGTTTCTTTCTCTTTAATTTATTTATGATAAACACTATTTTTTTAATAATTTTTTCATATTAATATCACTGACTTTATTTAATAATATTTTATTATTTACTTGCTACAATAGAAGCAAAGACGTCTGATAGAGACAAGACTACGACTTTAACATATGTTGTTAAAGTTCCCTTTTCTAAAGTCAACTCTCCAGCTTTGAAAAGCATTTCTGTACAAAAGAAAATCATAGAGCCTGCCAATATACTTAATCTAACAGAGAGGTACTAAAATAAATCTTTGTATTTCCTATTTTTCTCTTTCCATTCTTCGTTCCATGTACTTCTTTCAAGATCTACATTTAAGCTTTTTTTGCCATTTACAATAGCTATCTTATTAAGCATTCTTAGGGCTTTCTACTTATTTTTTAAGTAGTAGAATCTATATTATTATTTTTCAAATATTTTTATTAATTTCTATATATTTTCTAAATACCTTGGTGATTCTTCATAGGTACTAATCAAGAAATTGAGTAAAATTGTAGGAAATACTCCACATACTATCATCAATATTCTCCAGTCATGTATAATGTAAGCAAATGCAGTAAATATAGCCTAGGCAGCACTAAATGCAACATTTAATCCAATACCTGATAAGACTCTAACATATCCAGCTAATTTAGTTAAAAAATAACAAATTAAAATAAAATAAAATTATTACTTGTTTTTTATTTACAAATAAACCTAATAAAATAATTATCCTCTCTCTCAACAAAAAACAAACAAACAAAAATAAATAAATCAATCAATCAAATCAAAAATTGATAATTTTTTTTATTCACTTTTAAAAATTTCATTTATATTTTTTATGTTTTGAGGAATAATTAGAACTATTTTAAAAAGCTAAAACTAAATCTACTTACTTGCTTACTCATTAATTAGGGAGATTTATAATATAATAACAGAAAGAGCTGCAAAAGCGCTAATAGAATAACCTGAAATAACTAAGGGCAACACCTTGGTAAAACATTAAACAATTTAACCAATAATAAATATTTTCCATGCCAACTTTAGTGCATGCTTTCTACCAAAGTTATCACTCAAATATCCAAAGAAAGAATATCCCAAAATACCAAAAAAAGGCTAAAATAGTATAAAAAATTATCTCAAGTTGTCGTTTTTGCAGTAAAGATTAAATTCTACAGTAATTGAGTTAAATTAATTTGGAAGCAATAATTTCCCAGTTTATTCCATGGTAAGATCTCCATTTTAGCACAAGTCTTCTACATTTTATGTTTATGAATAATGGTCTACATATTTTACTTTCTGGAATAAGAAATTTTAAGATATCATAAACCATCCCACGACAAACCATTGCAAACAGAAACAGGAAAATAATCTTATCTAATACCAGTTTTCTGTACCAACCTTTTCAAGGAATTGCTCAAAGGAAAACTTCTTAGAAGTGATATTTATTTTGACTTAGTCGTAAGATTGAGTTTTATTTTAATAACTATCATTTAAATAATTTGCCAGACTTAAAGAAGGTCTGATTCTTATATCTTGGTGAGATTTATCTCTCATCTTAGAGTAATTTACCCTCTAGTTATAATAGATAATTCTTGAATTTTCTTTTTTTTACTGACTATTTTCATCATCTTCGTCTTCATCTTCATCATGATCTGAATCGTAGTCTTTATCATTCTAATTATTTTCATCTTCATCATCATCTTCTATGTTATTTTTCTCAATGTAATAACTCTCGTTTACTTCATTTTAATTTAAAAGACGATTGCTCAGTTCGGATATTTTTGTCTTTTTTTTATCATACATTCAATAAAATTCTAAATCCTATATAATTTAACTAATCCAATTTAAGTCTGTCTAATCAATTGCTTGATTGTGATGAGGTTTATTGCTACTTCTTTACTTTTGTATAAAGCTTTTAATTATTTAATATCTATATTAAAAACTTAATCTTAAATTTTTTGTTAGTTAACTAACAATTTTTGATAAACTTATTAAGATAAATATTGTGAAAAATATATTCATATTCATTCATTTAATTTATTTGTTTAGCAATTATTAAATTTATTAAATTCTTCACATCAATCTATCAATTTTTTTATTTTTGATTCATATTTTAAATCTATCTAAAACAGATTTGTGTTTTAAGTAACCTAAATATTATTTACAAAGTAGAATATAGTCAAATTATCTTTTTGAAATAAAAGAAGAAATAGCACAAAATAATATATATATTAAAAATTAGATTAAATATTATTTAACTTTGAATTAATGTTAAATAAAAAACATTGAATTATTTTTTTAATAAATAATTAATTTTGATTGTTATTTTAAAAATAATTCTTATAAATTAATTGAATATTCCAGTATTAATCAATTTCAAATATCTATTAATGAAAAAGCAATAATAAGTTAAAAGCATTTACTAAAAACCGGATTAGGAGATTAAATCAATCTTAAAAAAACTACAAGAAACATTTGAAGATATAAAAAAATTAAAAGAAGAAAAGCATAGACTGCAAGATCATTTAGAGCATTTAAAAAGTTAGAACAATTCTCACATAGATGAGTATTTACATAAAGAAAACATAGGAAACAATCAGAAAGATGCATCAAGTCTAGAAAAGAAGCTATTATATGATGAAAAACTTTAACTTTTAAATATTATCAAGACTTAAAAAGAATAGCTCTAAGATAAAAAATAGGAGTTGAATAACATATCAGATGAAATGAATAAAATTGTAAAAAAGAATAATGATCATCTTGAAAATGAAGATAAGATAAAAAATAGTCATCTAGATGTCTAAACATCAGTAGCTAAAATATAAATAGATTGCGAAGAAACAGATAAAGAGATTAAAAGAGATTAGGGTATTCTAGATTAAATAGAAAGCAGTAATAAGCAATTAGAGCTTGAATATGAGTAACTTTGCAAAGAACATGAAGATATTTAAGAATAAAGTGACAACATTAATTAAGAGGTTTTGTAAAAAGAATAAGACATCAAAGAATTTTAAAATGAATTAGCTTAAACGTTTTAGCATCTACAAGAGCTTGTGTTGAAAAATAAGATTTTAAATGAATAACTAAACAATAAAATTAACTAAGAATAAACTAACTTAGAACAGATCTCAAATGCATATGCTCAAATAGAAAAAATTGACACTCTATTAATTTAAAATAATTAAATCATATAACAATTTGATTAACAGCTAGCAAATTCATGATACTTACTTACATAGATAAATATGTAATATATAAATCTATTTATAATAAATACATTAATTATTATTTTATATTATTCAAGCAAATGATTTGTAAATAATTTAAAAATAAATTCGTTTCAATAATTTTAATATAAATGTTCGATATTTATTATTTATTCATATTGTAAGTTATTCAAAATATAGCAATATGCCATACAAAAATTTCGTGGTTTTGATGCCACTTATTTGAATTTAAGAAATAATTGAGAAAATTATTAAGGATGAGAATTAATAAAGATTTATGGTAAACAGGAATATTATTAATGATGAGAAAGAAGTATTTAAAAAAATTTTATATTTTTGTTACTATTATTTTATCTTAATATAAATTATATATAATTAAATTAAAAAAATTATTCTCAAAATAATTATTTATTTTTTTAGTAAAAGCCAGGATTACAATAAAATAAAATTAAAAGAATTATTCTCAAAATTATTGATTAAAATTAAAAGAATTATTCTCAAAATTATTGATTAAAATTAAAAGAATTATTCTAAAAATAATTGTCTATTTTTTTGATAGAATTTAGCCTTGAAAATCAAATTAGCTAAATAAATAACTTTACTATAATTATTAAAAAAAATATATTTGTAAAATACATAAGAAAAAAATGATAGAAGACATAGAAATTTATTTGAAATTAGAATAGGTACTTCAAATTTATATAATTTAATATTAAATTAATTTCTTATTTATTATAATAAAGTTTTTAAGCTTGCCTCTATAATTATATACTGAAGTAGGAATCAAACTAAGGTTAAAAATCTAATATCTTTTATTTTAATTTAATTTATGTTTTTTTAAAAACATATTTTGTAAAATGAGAATTTATTATTTTTTTATTATCTTTTTAAAAGCATTATTTATCTTAAGTTTCATTTTATTTTCTTAATTTTCTTATTTATTTATTTTACAACTTTTAATTATTATATTTTTATGCAATTAATTTAAAGCGGTTATGATATCGAGATTTAAGATTTACAGAAATTAGAAAAAGCTTTAGCAAGTTGCAACAAACTTGAAACTTTTTTGTTTCAAATAACGTAAATTTGTTTATTTTTTTTTATTAGAATTTTTTATGAAGTAAATAGATAGACTAACATTTTAGATTTTTAAAATAATATTTGGACTTGATTTTATTTAATTATTTATTTATTTATTAATTTATTTTGTTTTAAATAATTTAATTTGGTAATTTTAAGAATCTAATTTATTCTTAATTATAATATGTTCTTTATTTTTTTATAAACTAATTAGCTAATTAAAAAGTGTATATAATAATTTATAAAAAGGTTTACTTAAATTGGTGATAAATTTTTACAATTTTTAGATTAAGGTTTATCAAGTTGTTCCAACTTATCAAATTTGACCTTGATTCTCTAGTAATAATAAATTTTTTTTATTATTTCTTTATGATTATAAAAGAAAGAAAAATGAGAGTATTTTTGATAATTAAATACTTAATTAACTGTGTGTATTCTTGGATTTTTAGATATTAAATTAATTTTTTAATACTTTTAATTATATTTTACTTTTAGGTTTTTTTTTCTTTCTTATTATATAATTAATTACTTATCTAATTTATTAAAAGGAATAATTTAATTAGTGACTAAGGTGCCTATTCTATAGCTTCTTGTTTAAAAAGGTGTCTTAATATCTAAAAATTGGTTCTCGATATAAGGTAATCAGATTTTATTATATGAATATATATTAAATATTTCTTATTTTTCACATAATTTTTTATTTTCGAAATCAATTTTTAATTTTTATTTGTGTTTGTTTGCGTTTGATTTACATTTTTTATAGTTTATTTTTTATATGAATTTTTAATAGAAGATAATAAAGTTTGATTTATTTAAATATTAATAGCAATAATTCAATTAGAGATTAAGGCATATAAGATATAGGTTCTGCATTAGAAGTATTGTCAAGTCTCTCCTAACTTGAACTTTTGGCTAAGTAAAATAAGCTTAATTATTTTGATAATTACGGTTCTTTAAAAATTATTATAAAGAAGAGAGTCTAGCTCTGTTTGTTATAAATTAGTTTCATTTAAAATTAATGCATAAATTTCTTAGTTGGAAAAAAAAATACTTTATTTATTCAAAAAATATTTTTAATTTAGATATCATTTTTAGCTTTTTTTATTTCTTTCTTTTTTAAACACACTTTTTTGCTCATTTTAATTTACTAATTTCATTATTAGTTCAAATTATATTTCTATGGAAGGGATTTTAGCTTTATGTGCTTGCATATCAAATTTAATTGGTCTCAATAACTTGAAGCTAATCCATAGGTAAAAATATAAAAACTCTCTAAATACTATCGAATAAAACCCTTTTATTTTTATCTTATTTTTTACAATTAATTTATTTATAGTCGTTCCTGGTTTTTAATTTCGCTGATTGGATATATATATGTATGTATGTATTCAGTGGATTTTGTAAAAATATTAATATATAAATGACTAAATGGCATTAGATCTGTCATAATGCCTGTAAAAAAATTTATTTGCTTCTTGTTAAAGAGTTATTTGTTTATCTATCTATCTAAATGTTTACTTAGAAAATTAGATAAGAAGTTAATTCTTATAATAATTAATTGATTATTTATTTATTTCTATTTAATAAAATATTTAGAATATTTAATTTTAAAATCTTAAAAGCTATTTTGAGAAATAAATTTCTAGTAATCACAATGATTCATTAGATTAAGATGTTCCTTTTATAAACTGTCCCAATCTCTTAAATTTAACATTGAATATTAGGTAAAATAAATTTATTGTTTTATCAGAATTCTATAATTAATTTAAGTATCTTTTATCTTTTGATTTTATTTATATCTCTTAATTAACATATTAAATTTCAATTTTTTTCTTATCAATATTTTAAAAAGATACTCAGACGATCGTTAGCAAGAAAAAGTTTTATTTCTATTTTTGAATGCTTGTCAAAATCTCAAAAATTTAACACTACATTTAGAGTAAATTATGATTGTTAAAAATAAAAATCTAATAACATGATATTAATTTAACAATTCCTGTTATAATTTTTTATTATTTCAATTGATATTCATATTTTATTTCAATTTTAGATTATTTATTTATTTTATTTCAATTTTGATAATTCTTTCATGATGAAATATAAATTTATATTCACTTTTTAAAAGAAAATTCCATACCTTATGTATGAATGATAATACTTTAGGTCAAGCTTTGGCTAAATAAGCTAATCTCTCATCTTTAATACTCCATTTATGTGATTAGTAATTTATTTATTCATTTGATTTTAAAGAATTTATTTTTAAAATAATAAATAAATTACTTACTTACTTACTATAATTTTCTCTTATTTTAATTTCAAGTATATATAATTGTATATTTATTTATTTATAAATTAAGTTGTTATTTTATCTTTTTTTTTCTTTCTTTCTTTCTTTTATCATAAATTAAATATATAAAAAATTATGTGAATTATCAAAAGTCATTATACAAATTATGCAGATATTGTTTCTAGTTTAGTAAACTGCAAAAAACTCACAGTCTTAAAAATGTATTATAGGTAAAAAAATTAAATTTCTTTTTGTTATGAGTTTTTAAATAATATTAAAAAAAAAATATATATTTTAATTGGCTGACATTAATTAAATCAATTAATTTTCAATATAAAAAGAGAATAATTTCAAATGTATTAATTAATTTTCTCTATCACATTTATTCAGCTTATTTTAATTATTTTTTTCATATAATAAACAAGAAAACAAATTGGTATAAGAAAGACAGAATATTTGAAACTTAAAAGATTAGTTATTATAAAACTCATAAAATATTGATTGATATTTGTAATCCTTGTAGTTTTAAATAATTAAAGAAAATAAATTTTGTTTTTAATACAATTTATTAGTTTGTAGTCTATCTGCCTGTATACTTCTTCATAATTTATATCTTTTGTTGAGAAAAGCTATATTCTTATACCTTTTTAAAAACCTAAAAATGAATTTATTAACTAAATAAATGAAATCTAGCAATTAAACTCTTTTTCACAAATATTTTAAGAATCAAAAAATTTAAGATCTATTACAAATACCACAATTTCTATTAATAAAGAAACTAGATAGATACTTTGGTTAGGTCCCCAATAATATCAATCAAAAAACATCAAATCCTCGGTCGTATATACCGAAATACGAGAACCGAGTAGCGTGAAAGTACGGTAAATATCATAATTTAGTTTTCAAATATGAGATAAAAATCAGGTTTATTTGACCTCCAAGATAAATTATTTAATTTTTTACAATTATTTAAAAGCTTGATTTTAACATCACAAATAATCAATAAAGTTAAAAAACAAATCTAAAATAAAAAATTGTCTATTTTTCTTATTGAAAAACAAACAAACAAATTAATTAATTAATTAAAAATCTTTACTTTTCATTATTTAAAAAAGATATTTGGTAAAAACATAAGAAATAAAATGACAGAAAACATAGAATTATTTTATAAAGTAGAAGAGGTATTTCAAAATTATATAAGAATATAAAATTAATTTCATATTTACTATAAAAATAGTTTGTAAGCTTGCCTCTATAATTATATACTGATGTAGGAATCAAATTAAAGTAAAAAATCAAATATCTTTTTTATTGTATTTAATTCATGCTTTTTAAAATATGTTTTGTAAAATAAGAATTTACATATTTTATTTGCTTATTAAATTTACTTATTAGAGCTAGTTTAATTTTCTTACTTTTTTCATTTTTTTATTTATTTTACAAGTTTAAATTATTATAATTTTATTCTATTCTTTTTAAAGAGGTTATGATCTTGAGGCTTAAGATTTACTCGAATTAGGAAAGGCTTTAGCAAGTTGCTCCAATCTTTAAACTCTTTTACTCCAAGTCAAGTAGAATAATTTTATTTAATTAATTTTAAAAAGTATTTTTTAATCAAGTAAATAGAGACTAAAATTTTAGCTTTTTAAAATATTTTTTGGCTGGCTACATTTTATTTATTTATTTATTTATTGATATCATTTATAATTAATATTATTTGATATTTTTTCAAATCCAATTTTTTCTTTTTTATATTTGTGTACTCTCTCATTTTATTTACTATTTAGCTAATTAGAGACAAAATATTTTATAATATTAAAAGTTTTACTTAAATTGGCGATCAAGGCATATAATTTTTAGATTATGGTTTATCGAGTTGCACAAACCTATCTAATTTGACCATGATTCTCAAGTAAAATTAATTTTTTAACTCTTTCTTTATGATTAAAAAAATAAAAATGAAAATCTTTTTGTTGCACATATTTAATTATTTAGATTTTTTTTTTTTTGTATTTTAGATATTAATTAAACTAATTTTTTAATATTTTTAATGTGTAGTTTTACTTTTAGGATTATATTCTTTCTTATTAAATAATTAATTATTTATCTAATTTATTATAAGCAATAACTTAGTTGGTAATTAAGGTGCCTATTCTATTTCTTCTGGTTTAAAAAAATGCCTTAATATCTAAAATTTGATGCTCAATATCGGGTAATCAGGTTTTTTTTTATTAAATAAAAATTTATTAAATGTTTCATAATCCTTATTTTTTATATGATTTATTTTATTTCAAAATTAATTTTGACATTTTTATATTTATTTGTGTTTAATTTACATTTTTTTTTAGTTTTCTTTTTGAATTTATTTTAGAGAGAAGATAATAAACTTAGTTTTATTTCAATATTAAAAGAAGCAATTAAATTGGAGATTAAGGCATATAATATATAGGTTCAGCAATAGAAGCATTACCAAACCTTTCCTAACTTGAGCTTTAATCTGAGTAAAATAAATAAGCTTATTTATTTTTATAATTATAGTTTTTTAAAAATAATTATCAAGAACTAAGTAGCTCTGTTAAAAATTTGTTTCTTTTTTTATTAATGCATACATTTCTTGATTTTATAATATTATATTTGTTATTAATTCAAAAAAAATTAAATTTAGATATCATTTTTAACTTTTTTTCTAACTTTTTAAATATGCTTGCTCATTTTAATTTACTATTTTAATATTAGTTTAAATTTGATTCGTAAGAAAGGGGTTGTAGATTTGGGTACTTGTTTATCAAATTCTATCAATCTCAATAGTTTGAAGCTCTCCCTTATGTAAAAAATAAAAAATCTATAAATCCTATAAATCTCTTTTATTTTTTATTTAATTTTATTTCATTCATAGCAATCAATTAATTTGTTTTAATTAATATTTAAAAAGCGATAATAAAATTTTACTTAGTGATCCATCAAGTTTAGGTTTTAGCTTTTTAAAATGTCCATATCTGTAGACATTAGAACTGAAATTTTAGGTGTAAAAAAATATTTTTTTGTTTCTAAATTAAAAAGTTATTTGTTAATCTATCTAAATGCTAACTTAGAAAATTAGATATAAGGATTATCCTTATTATTATTATTATTCATTTATTATTTATAGCTATTTGATACATTCCTTAGCATAGTTATTTTTAAAATATTAAAAGCGAATCTGAAAATTATGTTATAGGCAACCAAATTGATTTATTAGATTAAGATGATGCTTTTATAAACTGTCCCAATCTCTTAAATTTAGAATTCAAATTTATGTAAAATGAATATTTTGTTTTATTAGAACTTTATAATTTATAGTTTTTTAATTAATTGATTTTTATCTCACATTAAGCATATTTTAAAACTATTTTTTTATTTTTCTAATGAATGAATAAAAAGGTCACATAGCATGATGAATTAATAAAAATAACAATTTTTATTTCGTTCTTTGAATTCTTGCTAAAATATTACTAGTTTGACTCTAAATTTATAGTAAATTGTGTTTGTTAAAATATAAATATCATAAAAGAATATTATTTTAACATTTTTTCTTCAAAGAAAATAAATAAATATTTATTATTTAAATTGATATCAATATCTTATTTTATTTTTTACAAATTGATTTTTATTAAAATTTGATAATTCTTTCACAATTTATTATTTATTTAATTACTTTATTTATAAGAATTATTTATTTAATTTTAAACAATTAAAATTTTTAAAAATAAATAAATGAACTACTTTAATTTTCTCTAATTTTTTTATCAAGTTTTAATTTTAAATTAAAAATTAAAATATTAATTTATTTTTTTTATTTAATTATTTTTTCTTTCTTTCATTTATTAAAAATTTATATTAATTATTAAAAGTTATTACAGAGATAGATTACCTATTATTTCTAGTTTAGCAAACTTCACAAAACTCACAACCTTGAAAATTTACTATATGTATAAAAAATTAATTTCTATTTATTACGAATTATTTAATAATATTAAAAAATATAAATTTTTATTAGCTAAAATTTATTCGATCAATTAGTTTTTAAGTTATTTATTTATTTATTTATTTTTTTGTATGATAAGAGAATATTTTAATTCAAAATATATTATTTTCTCTAATACTTTTATTCAACTAATTTTAGTTATTTTTTTATTATATATCAATAAGGTCTGGATATCAAAGGATAAATAATAAAGATTGCTTGAAATTTAAGAGATTAGTTACTAGAAAACTTATATAGTTTTGAGTTTGCTTTAAAATTGTTGCTGATTTTTTAAATATTAAATAAAATAAAGTTTTGTTGTTTTAATTAGTTTGTAATCTTTCTGTTATATATATACTTCTTCATAATTTACATCTTTTGTTTAAAAAATCTTTATTATGATAAATTAATTTTTTAAAAATTAATACTGAACTTACTTAGCAATTAAATTCTTTTTCACAAATCTTTTATGAAAAAATAATTTATGCTGTTCTATTTTTAAATTAATAAATTCATATTTTATATATAATTTTAAAAAAATAATGCTAAAAACTTTAAGCTTTAATTTAAAAAATAATTTTACCATAATTTCTCGTTGTTCGTTTCTCGCTATTCTCGAAAGTTGTATTGAATTGTAAAAAATTTTTAAATATATTAATCAAATAATAAATTGTTAAGATTAAACCTTAAATTATGAGGAATTAGAGTGAATAACTGAAGTCTGTCTGTTTAATGCAAAATATTATTTTAAAAAATAAAATTATCATTTGAAAATTATTTTAAATAAATTTTAATAGTAAAGAATGAATAAAAAGTCACCAAAAATTAATTAAATTTAAATTGAGAATAAAACCTAAAATTAATTTTATGATTAATTTAATTACAAACAAACCCTATCAAAAAAAGGCAATTTAGAATAGGAACCAATCAGAAATTTAAGGAACTTATTAGGAATATTTAAAAAAAATTTATAAAATAAATTAATGTCTAAGAAATGCATTAAATTAAAGTACTATCTTGAGAATTTAATTTGTTGATAAGTGTTTTATTATATTAGCAAATAGAAGAAAAAATATATATAGAACTTCAGATTTAGTTAAAAGATAGTTAATAAGTTAGTTAGTTATTTAGTTAAGTTTAGGCAAATGAATAAAATATAAATGACATTTTCTCTCATCAATATGATGATTGGTGAGACAGCTTTAGTACTGCCTGTTTTATTCAATTAAGAAGGATATATATCTTGCATAGTTGTTCTTATTCTTTAAGGATTTATATCCTACAAAACTTGTGGCATATTGGTTGCAAATCTAAAGCCAAAAGAAAGCGACGTTTCAGATACAATATAAAGAATTTTGGGCATAAAATGGTGGAAGTTTTTCTAAATTTTAAGTTCCATTTATCTCTACTTAGTTGCATTGCAGTATTTCCTGCTTTGCAATAATATGGTTTATCGTATGATCACATTTTTAATGCTGGTAAGCGGGAATGATAACTTCGCTGCTCCTTCTCAGTTAAGTTACAGCTAGTTTTCTTTACAATATTTAGGATATATTTCAGCAATACCAATAGGATTTCTTACATTCATAAGAAAAATGGACATTTTAGTTAAAATATCTGAATATGGCATTTATTCTATATTTTCATTTGTTATCTTTATTTTTACTGTATTCATTTCTAATGTTGCATCTGGTAGATTAAGCCATAGTTCATCTTCAGTTAAATTATGGTCTTTTGATATAGGAAATGTATCAGGAGCATCTGCTATTGGTTATTCAGTCCATACTACTATAGGTCCTGTAATAAAATAACATAAAAATTAAGAAGAAAACTATAAAGTCTTAGGCTTTGCCTATTTTAGTGTATTTTTGATTTATCTATCAATAGGCTTATTTGGAGGATTAGGGATTTTAGGTACAAACTTTCTTATTAATTCAAATTAAGCTTAAATTTAATTGAATAAATTAAACATGTCATTTTTAACTTTTTATTAATATTAATTTATTTATTAAGGAAGGGATCTCAGAGCTGAATTCGGAGAAAACATAAACGATTACTTTTCATAGACAGATGTACAAAATTTGTTCACTAAAAAATGATTTATTGAATTTTTTTTAATAATGGAATAGATATCTATATTTATAGTTCAGATTCTCTATTTTATAAATCTTATAACATGTTTACCTATGTCATTCTTTATATCTAGATAAAGACTCTTCCAATTTTTCTACAGTGAAAGAGAACCTCCAGAATAACTATTTATTGGGTTTAACTTATTTTATGTATTTCTATGCATTGTCTTGCAAAATATCCCCTCAATTAAATCAGAAGATCTAATGAATGTAAATGGTGCCATTACCTGCTTCTTCACAATGTACTTAATCCCTATCATATTACACTTTCAAGCATATCATGGATAGGACTCGTTAATGCTTAAGCTAAAAAAGAGTATATCTAAGCTAGGTAGAATTTAATTATTTATGATTAACTGCTATTCAATTTTTAAATAATTAAAAATGTAAATAAATAGGTGTTATAGATGACTCCGAAATAGCCTTAGAAAGCACTTTGCTATCCGGTGTCAAAAGTCAAAAAGAGGACAAATACAATTTATTTATAAACGAGGACGAAGATTCAGATGATGACTAAAACGAAGATGTTACTTCATCAAAGCAGAATCAATAAAATCCTAAATAAATGAAATAAACTCTCAAAGATAAAAAAGAATTCGAATAATAAAAGAAGAAACTGATTGAAAACCAATCTAAAAACTTTTCTATTATTTTTTACGGGGTAATTGGTTTGATTGGTTTAATAAGTTTAATATATGGTATTGTTGCATTATCAAGGAAGTTCTTTAGCTCAAATCCCGATTCCATATTAGATGATTGATTGATTGATTCATTTATTTATTTAAATATTAAAATTAAAATGAGTTTTTACAATGAATAATTTTCTAACAAAAAAACATAATAACAATTCTAAAATTTTTTAATGATTTCTATTACTAATTTAAAATAAATACTTTCATAAGTTATAATTAAACAAAAAAAAAGTTAAGGTGATTTATCTATTTAAAATAAATATTGTATATAATAAAAAAATTTAAAATATCTACAGTCTGAAGCTTTCAAAAAATTATAAAAAGGAAGAATCTTTTGATTGATTGAATGAATGAATGAATGAATGAATGAGCGTATAATGAAGAGTGAATAGTTTACTAATAAGATTATTAAAATTTAGTAAGAAATAAAAGAAAATATATAAATAACAAACAAACAACAAGAAATAAATTTCAATTATTATTTACATATTTAGTTGTGTATTTTTTATACTCAAGTTAAATTATTTAATTATAATGAGTTTAATAATATTTTAAAAAATCTATTTTCTTTAACTATAAAATAAATAAATAAATAAATTTGTGAAAACATTTATTTATGTATTGATTCATTTATTCAGTCAGTCAAGAGCTACAATACTATCTTCAAAATCATTTGAAACTATTTGTGCATCTTTTGAGTTGATATGTAAGGGTAGTTTATATACAATTCCCTTTTTAGAATCTAAAAATACCACTCTCTTTGTTTCTTTGTTGTACGAAGCATACATAATATTTGGATAGCCAAGTTAAAAGTATGTTACAATTTACATATCATATCCAAATCCTTTCATGATATAAACATTCTTCTTCGAGCAACATGGTTCTACAAAGTAATAATTATTTAAACCTGTAATTGGAACTATCCTCGAATAACTTAAAAAGACATTTCTCATTGTAGTAGGTTAATTAGTGGGTACATCATACATTTCAGCCCAGTCATCTTTTCTAATAAGTAAGTAAGTAAGTTAATAAATAAATAAGTAAAAATTTAAAATTAAGTTAATTTTAAGCTAAAAAATAAATTTATGTTAAAATTATTCTTTATGTCTAATTTTTAATTTTTGAAATTAAATTATAAATACCCGCATAAAATGACTCTTCTCTCATTAACCTTGTTGATAGTGAAACCATTAGAGAAATCAGTGCTAAGTGATTCATTCACTTTAGTTTCAATATCTAGACTGCAAAGGAGCTTTTCAAAGGAAAAAATTAGTTTATCAGAAGTTTTTTCTAGATCTATGACAAAGCTATCGAAAATCAAAAGGTTTTCTTATTTAGTAATTTTATGAGAGAGACCGACTGAGACTGTTTATTAACCAGTCGAACAATCATAAACCTATTTTTTTAAATGTTTAACTAATTAAATAAATATTTATTGTTTTAATTTTATAAATGAAATTTGAAAATCTACAAATTATTTATTTAAATAATTCATAGACTTATCAATTAATTTTAGTGCAATTTAGGGTATTTTTAATCAATTAATTTAGGTATTTTGAATTAATTAATTTTAGGGTATATTTAGTTTGTTAAAAATGGCTTTGATTCTCTATAAACTAGCTTGCTTTCTTATGTTTTAATAAATTATTTATTTTAATTTTTGTTTTACAGTTATCAAAGTCCCGTCTTATCCAGCTGCAAGCTGTGAAAATACAGCTAAAAGATTCTTGCTAGCATGAACTATATATGCAACGTTTGCTTCACTCTAAATGATTTAAGTCTACTTAAAGTTGTTAGAATCAAAAATCTTAAACTAGAAATTTTATTTATCATAAAAGACTACACTTCTTGAAGGAATAGCATAGCCTACAAATTCAAAATTAGCAGGAATATTAAAGGTGCGCTAAATTATTTTTTTAGGATGCAGAGTAGCAACTAAAACTTGCTCTTGCTCAATAATTAAGTAGTTTGCAGCATCTTCTACACTAGATCCAGCCATCGAATATATTTTTTTTGTTTTATTATGTACAACTTTTAGTATAAATGTTTTGCGGCAGTAATTGACAAAACCTATAAAGATGATAAAGAACATCGCTCCAATATTAATCTATCTAATTAACTCTCCCTAAAATAAAAAAAGCATTAATTTTTGTTGGCATGAGAATGGATTAGAGGCAATTTTAAAAAAGATTAATAGCGTATTTAGAATAGAAAAATGAATCAGATATTTACCTCTAAAAAGAAGGTGTATAGGAAGTTGTATAGATAAAATAAGTTGTATTTGATAAAATCAGTAATATAATATGGTATAGGGATCAAACCAGTATACTCTAGAACGGAGGGAATAAAATTACCAATAATATCTAGCAGGAATATTTTACATGGTAATTCATCCATCATATTGAAATCTCTGGTGATATCCTACAAATACATGAGTACAAGTATTTCAATTGTGTTATATATAATTCCATGTAATGGGCGCGGTATGCAATTGAAGAATATTAAAAACAGCTAAACTCCTAATCCAAAAGGATTTTCGGCTTTACTAAAATAATTAAGTGAAATAGTGCACAAGCATAAGGCGACAAAAAACATCTTCTTCTAAGAAAATCTATTACTTTTATAAGCTATTTATTATTGCTTAGATATTTAGGAAAATCTGATATTATTAATTAAATAATTTTGTAAATCATCAATATTGATTAAAAAAAAAAAATTATACAATTTATTTATCTCTATCTATAACTAATTACATTTTTTTAAAATAGTGATTCAACGCTTCTATCCAAAACGTGAATCAATTCACCAGCAAAAAAATTCTAAAATAATTTAAAAAAGTTGTTCAGACTGACTTTCTTTTTTTTGATAAATTCAATAAATAAAAAATAATTAGCTAATTATTATAAATTATTTCTTCTTCAATACTTTTCCAGTATTTATAATCTTTATAATTTAGGTTAAAAATTGCCGATTTATTCAATTTAATTTCTATTAAATAGCTTAAAAAAATACAAATTGCAATATAAAAAAAAATAAAATTGATTAAATAAATCCCATTAAATTAATAAAATTACTTCGTTCCAAATTTTTTTGATAAATTTTTTAAATAAACTACCAAATTTATTGAAGTTTTTAAATTATTTACTTATTTAAAATTTTATAACCTTGATTGAATTTATTTTACACTATTCTAGAAAGAAGAAAAACTAAAATTAAAATTTTTAAATATTAAAGATTTAGTTGAAGATTTGATTAAATTATTTACAATATTTTGAACTTGAATATTTTTGATGTTATTAAAAATAGATTTAAAGTTTATTTTAAACTGATTTAAGTGATAACTTAGTTATTTCTTAAATAATTAATAAATAACCATATAAATATATTTTTATAATAATTATAGGTTTGCAAATTGAGTAAGTAAGTAAGTAAGTAAGTAAGTAAGTAAGTGAGTAAGTAAATATTAATTACTTTATTAGAAAAGAATTTTATAGATTTTTTTAAATTATTTACTTGTTTAAAATTTTATAACCTTGATTGAATTTTTTTACACTATTGTAGTAAGAAGAAAAACTAAATTAAAATTTTTAAATATTAAAGATTAAATTGAAGATTAGATTAAATTATTTACAATATTTTGAACTTGAGTATTTTTGATGTTATTAAAAATAGATTTAAAGTTTATTTTAAACTGATTTATTAGTGATAACTTAGCTATTTCTTATATATTTAATAAATAACCATATAAATATATTTTTATAATAATTATTGGTTTGAAAATTTAGTAAGTAAGAAAATATTAATTACTTTATTAGAATAGAATTTTTTTGCTTTTTTCAAAAAATTTACTTGTTTAAAATGTTTAACCTTGATTCAATTAATTTTGTAGAAAATTGAAAAACTAAAATAAAATTTTTAAACATTAAAGGCTTAATTAAAGATTTGATTAAATTATTTAAAATATAATGAGCTTGAATGTTTTTGATATCATTAAATATAGATTTAAAGTTTATTTTAAACTGATTTATTAGTGATAACTTAGCAATATTCTAAATATTTAAAAAATAACCATATTAATATAATTTTATAATAATTATTGGTTTGAAAATTGAGTAAGTAAGCATTAATTCCTTTATTAAAGTAGAATTTAAAAGCTATTTTAAATTATGTACTTGTTTAAAATATTTAACCTTGATTCAATTAATTTTATACTATTGTAGAAAGAAAAAAAACTAAAATAAAAATTTTAAATATTATAGGTTTAATTAGAGATTTAATTAAATTATTTAAAATATATTGAACTTGAATGTTTTTGATGTCATTAAAAATAGATTTAAAGTTTATTTTAAAATGATTTATTAGTGATAACTTAGCTATTTCTTATATATTTAATAAATAACCATATAAATATATTTTTATAATAATTATTGGTTTGAAAATTGAGTAAGTGAGTAAGTATTAATTACTTTATTAGAGTAGAATTTTATAGTTTTTTTTATAAATTTATTCTATTTACAATTTTTTAATGTTTTTTGTTTTATAAATTCAAATTATGTAAATCCCAGATGTATTTTGCCCGTTTTTTCTTAAAATAAACTCAGCAACAATGTCTGAAAGTAGACTTTCGTATTTTTTCTTTAAAGAATAAGGATCGTGAATTTTTTCATTCATCATTTTCTGTCTGTCTTCATCTAAATGGTTGAGAAGAACTTATTGTTTTTGTTATTAATTAGGGTCGGTAAATCTAACAATTTAGTGTATTCTATTGATTGTTGATTCATAAGTTTCTTTATCATTCATCATTTATTATAATCTGACTTGATAAGGAATTTTATATTTTGATGGATCATTAAAATTTCTAGTTTTTTATTCCAATTTTTCTTTTTCTTTCTTTCTCTTTTCAAGTTCTTTCACTAAAACTTAAGGAAGAGCCATTCTTTTTTTGATTCTTGGCTCTTAAATAGGTTCACCTATATCACGATAAAACTACAATCTTTCTTCTTCTTTTCTTTGCTAATATGAATAAATTGGAGTTGAAATTTCAAAGTGAAATTCTTTCTCTTTCATCATCTAATCTAGCAACACCCTGCCATTACATGTCTTATAATTGTATATTTTATATTTGTCACAAGTATTTTACAAGCCATGCTGATTGATGAAATTAAAAGACTATTTTGTTTTATACTCATCCTATTCTGTAATCACTCTATCATTATCATAAATGTTTAAAATTGGCAAACTTAGTTTTCCGAAAATAATTCTGCTAAAACCCTCAGTCTTACAATCTAGGTAATAGAAAAACTCTTAAACATCCTATTCAGCCATTTATCTATTCGGTGAATCGAAACATTCATAGTCTCCATCCATAAATTTATCATGATAATATTTAGATAATGCTAAATCCCCAACATAATAATAATTTAACCCAAGCTTATCATAAATAAAGGTCTCTTAATTTGTATCCTTAAGCACCCAAGCATATTAAAGAGCTATTTTTAATAAAACAAAAAAACATTTTTAGTAAGTTTTGAAATTAGTTTTAAAGTAATTAAAGTGTTTTTTTTTTATCTACCTTTTTTTAGTAATATTATGGAGGCTTTGTAATCTTTAAGACCTGTAGAACATTCAGCAATTTATTTTAGAAACTCTATTTTTTTCTGTTAATTCTGAGTATAATCACAAATTATTTTTCCTTAGCTTAAAAAGAAAAGTGCTTTGTCATAATCAAGAAAGTCAATATAAACTTTAGAAATAAACAGTAACATATTTAAAAAGCAATTTATATCATTCAAGTCGACTAGGGTGTTCAGTAATTAAATTACCAAAAACAATGTGTGCTCAATATCCTTTCTTTGTATTGAAGAAATCAAATCATACCATTTATTTGTAAAATGATTAAGCAATCTTCTGCAATCCTAGTCCTAGTGAATTTACAGTTAGCTTAATTTTATTCTATTTTGTAACATCTTTTTTAAGCTTCTAATTACATTATTCTCACTCATCTTAGAAATGCTAGTAACATTTGAACTGCTTGAAATTCCTGAATTTTTACGTCTTAACAAGATAGTTGATTCTTAATGTTTATCAATACTTTCACTTCTTTTTTTTCTTTCATTGCTCACACTATCTTTAAAGTTTTATAAAATAAATTTATTTTGATAATATTTTTTTATTTTAATCTAAATAAATTATACAAATACTCAAATAAAAGTTACTTCAATTAATTTTTATTTAAAAAACATAAAATTTAAGAAAATCTTAATAAATAAAAAAATTTATTTTTTAATAAAATTTATATTTAAAAAATTTATTTATGAATTAATTGACAAATTGATGCAGTTGATAATTTTTGAAAAATATTTATCTATTTATTATTTGCATAAGTATATTTTTTTATATTTTATAGAAATATATTTTTGGGTTGATATTTTCAAATTTTAAAATAAAATAAACTCACAATCAATAATTCAAACAAAGTGTTTTTTAAGCTAAAAAAAGTAGATTATAAATGAAATTAAAAAATTAAATTATAATTTAATTTACTTTATGTTGGGATTTGAGGTTAAATTGAAGAAAATCTATTTGTTTTTTTGCTTCTTTGATATGAATTACTAGGAGGAAGAGGAGATGCTATATAAGTCAGTGAGGATATTGAATTATTATGCTATGGGTTGGGTGGAGCAGAGTGATCTAAATATTAGAGACTCCCTCTATTATATAGCTAATCTACAGAAGGCTCTGATGTAATGAAGATTTTACTTGGTTATTCTTAATTAGATGACATTTTACTAAACTCATTTAATAATGTTTCATCATTTTAAGAAAGAGAACGTACTTTAGGATTATATGTATAAGAATTATTTGTGTTAGGTACTGGGAAGTTATAAGCCTATGTGAAAGCTCTTTTATTTTCAATATTTTAGCATTCATTTAAAATACGTTATAATCCATTATTTATTTCGTTATTGAATGGTTTGGTAGGAGATTAGGTTCCACTGTTTAAAACATAGCTTTTATTCAATATATTTGGAGATTAAAATCTTGAAGAAGGATTTTCACAAACAGATTTATTCAATCTACTTTCTTTGTTGGATGCTTCACTAGTTGTTAAGGGTGAAGCAAATCTCCTTCTTCTTGGGGTTTAGCAATTTGTTGATACAGATTCACTCTATGATTTTAAATGACTATTTTAGAGAATCTTAGAATTATTTCCATCTTCTCTACCAATTATAGAAGGTCTTTTTGAAGAATCAAGAAAAGATTTGTTTATTTTTGCTTCTTAATTTATCATAATGCTTGCTAGTTTAACTCTACTTTTTTATTAAGAGCGAAGTATATTATAATCGAATTATTTCTTAATTGAATCTGAGAGCCCACTTTAATTTTACATTTCACTTTGTTTCCTCCCTGTATAAACTGCACTTTATGGTTGAATTTGAATTTCACTCTAATTTAGTTTATCTAGCTTGTTTTTATTTACAAAATTTTAATCATTTCCTTCTTCCAAATATTATGAATATTCTTATGTCTTATTTATCCTTGGCAATTTAAATGTAGTTAGCTAATCTAAACCACCTGAATAAAAAAGAGCTTTTTCTGTGAGTTATTACTTCGCTATGCTTTTCATTTATTTTTGGTGATTTTGGTTGAGTTATTCCTTGTATAATTCAAAACTGTTTGAGCTATCATCATTCATCTCTCTAAATAAGATTTCTAATTAAATTTCCAACAAAAAATAAGACTTATAATTATAACTTTTAGGAAGTACTGAATTAATTGCATCAATCAATTATTTATTGTTTCGTGGTAAAGTCAAAATATTTAATTTGATTTTAGATTAATAATTATCATTCAATTTTTCTTTCTTTAATAAAATTTATCAAAGTGAACTTTCTTGTAAATTAATTATGTAGAAATATTTCTGATATTTTATATTTATTTCTTTATTTATGTTATCCAATTTATTTTCATTTTGGTTCTAACAAAAAAAATCAAAACTATCTTTCAAATACTCAAAAAAAAATTAAAATTAATTCAATCAAACAAACAAGATAGATAGATAAATTGACAGGCAGACAGAAAGACTGATAAAAGTAAATATCTAATATTAATAAACTTTTAATTGCTGAAATCTCTTATAAAAAAAAATTTAAATTATCAAAAAAATCAAAATTTAGGATTAAAAATATATTTTTCCATAATAAGAAATGATTTTCAATTAATTAACTAAATAGTAAAAAACTCAAATTAATTTTAATATATTTAAAACAGGACTATGAGCTTATTTTATAATAAACACATTTAATCATGAATATTCTAACAAATTAAATGTATTCTAAAATTCTTTACTAAAATCCAATTTTAATAAAAAACATATGATTGATTTTTAACAGAGTTAAATCTAATATAATTAATTTAACTATTTTTTACTTTTAAAAATGAATTGAAATATTTTTAAAAAAGTAAATTATTATAAATAAATTCATTTTTGTATTGAATTTAATAAATAAATAAACTCGATAACTCTATTACCACACATAAAATATATAAAAACAATAATTATTTAGTTGGTTTTAATAACTTTACTCATTCATTAAACTGCTAGATATTATTACTTAGATAGAATACTTTTGTTAAATATGCTATCAAAAACCCACTATTTTATATATAAAAATAAATAAATAAATAAATATTTAGTCAATTACATTTATAAGTTAATTAATTAAAATGAATAAATTATTACTTTCTCTGAAACACAATTTGATGCATCATAACCTTATGGAAGCTTGGAATATTACTTGAAAAATATGGTGTAATTAGCATTTTTAGAATTTTCTAAAACTCTACCACCAAAATATTTAATAACTCTCTCTGTTTCTAATTTTTACTTCATTATTTCTTTATTTTTTCTTTAGACTTAATCCAAGTATATAGAAAAATCAAACCCAGTAAAAATATCTATTTTTTATAGAAAAATTATTTTTGATTTCTCATTATTTAAAAAAAATACTTTTGTTCCAGTCAGAATTATATTCTCTATAATCTTCTAAGGGAATTTCTCCTTTTACAGTATTACAGTCTTCGATCCATTTAAAATTCAATATTTCTTTACCTGATTAAATTGAAATAAGTTTTATCAACAAAATATTATTTCTGATTAAATTAATTTCAAAATATAAATATTAAATCAATGTAAAAAATAAATATTATTTATCCAAATTAAAATTAAAAAATAGTAAAAAATATATTAGAAATAGTTGAATTTTACCACTCGTTAATAGAGAAAGGATTCTAAGTTAATTCAAGGATGAGTTATTTCCTTTTGCATTATGCTATGAATTAGTGATCTAATTACCGACTATAATTACATCTTCTTAGAATTGGTCTTTTTCTTCACATAATTAATAGCTATTTATTTATTTATTAATTTTTTATACATTTCCTTAAAAATATTTTATTATTAAAAATTAATTACCTCTTCAAGTAAAGACTTTGACAATTTTACAATTACTAAATTTGATTTTATGATAAGTTGATATAACCAATTTTTTTATTTTTATCTTGGTTATCAGAATTTATTGAATTTTACTTTTGTATTTTTTAAAAACTAAAACCAAATCTCATTAAACTACTACTATTATTGATATTGTTATTGTGAACTGAATTAGAAGGAAAAACTAGCTTCTTTTAAGATAATAGAGATCCGGTTGCAATTGTAGATTTTTTTTTAGATAACAAATCAGCAAGAGAAGATTTTTGAGAAGTACTGTTTTAGCTAGTTTAAGGAATAGGTTTTTTAGCTGTAAATAATAAACTTTTTTAGGAACTTAATTCTATAGATTTAACTTATTTAGCTTATGATGATTGTTAACTCATTTAACCTTCTGATTCAACCTCCATTTTATTTTATATGTTTATTTATTGTTCCGTTTTAGTAACAAATTTATCATTTGATTGTTTTTGTTCCTGCTATTTTTAATCTTTCAAGTTATTTGTATTATTTTCTTTGTTAGTGTTTGCTGTTATTTTATTCATGCAGAAGAAATCTTACATTGTTTTTTACTATTTTTTGATAGAATCCATACCAACAAATAGAATTTTCTCTTCAGCTAAATCTGGTAAAGAGCTTGTATGAACAGATATTTATGGATCTTTGTTTAATTATGTATTGTAAGCAATAATATTTTCCATATTAAAATTTGTTTGTTCATACTTTTCTATTAATGATTCTTAATTTTTTCTCTTTAACCATTTAGTTGTGAATTTTCCTTGATAACACTCTTAAATTATATCATGATAATATTATTCTAATTCTTCTTGACATCTAATTTCATCTTTTAATTGTTTTTATTAGAGTTGTTGATAATAAAAAGTCTTCTACCAGCTATCCAGTATTGAGTCTTCTTCAAAGGAGTCATCCTTTTTTTTGTATTATATAGGTATGCTTTCAGCTTTTGCTTTCTTTTTAATTTCCTTTTCTTTCTTTAAAAAAAATATTAACAAAGCACAATAAATAATCATTAAAATGAATGAGTTATTAAATAATATTTAATTATATTAATTAAATAATTATTTAAAATATCAAAAAATTTTTATATTATTTTTTACATTTTTTTCATATTTTTAGTAAATTTTGTCAACTCTTGTAGAGAGATCGTTGACAGTTTTTTATGGTTTAGGTACAAGATACTCTGGAGTGGTTTCCACAAATTTGTTTTCTAGCAGGCATTTTTCAAGCCAATGAATATTCAAAATAGGGATTTTTTAATTGTGTGCATTTTCATAGTTTTTATCACTTCCATCTTAATATTAGAATAAAAATAGTTGATTTATTGATAATAATATTAAACAAACAGTAAGTAAATAAAATTAACTAATTAAAATGCATTTTTTATTTTCATTAAATAATTATTTTATGCTCAAAAATGAATGATAAATTCCTTCTAAATTTTCCTTTAAGTAGAAGTTAAATTCGAATTGAATTTAAATTGGGCGGTAATTAATTAATTATTAATTAATTAAAATTCAAAAATAGAGATAAAACATATTTGCATATTTAAAACATAAATAAATAAATACCTTTCCAAATAACAAGATCAACATTTTTGGTGAATTTCTTTTTTATATCTGCCCCAAGTTTGTTTAAAATTGAATGTACTGAATTAGATATATTTTCTCTGTCATTTGTATACACGTCAACGAAGACACTCTAAATGTTTTAATATTTTAAAGTATTTCATAAATTTATCATTAAATAATTTTCTACTTACCTTACCCTCTAATGGCTTTGCTTTTGTTGGAGTAAAATCTTACTTAGCAATTCCCTTTTTTTACTTTTAATCCACAGCTAAATTTAAAGTAAAATTATTCTTAGTTTTCTTATTGAGTTAGCCTATGCTTGTGAGAGGGCGCTTTATGTTGCGTTTTTTATTTAGATTATTGCTTTTATCGTCTTAATCTCTACTTTAAGAAGAATCAATTGAAGAACTTGAAGTTATCTAAAATTGCTTTTTCTTAATGTTTTCTTGATCAAAAGGAGCAGCATCAGTATTCCAAATATTATTTCTATCTTCATCTTTCTTATCTGTCTCTAAAATATATGCCTCATCTTGTAATTCATACTATAACTCCTGATTAACCATGTAAGGAGGATTGATTTCTCTTGGACTGAAGTATCCAAAAAGACTTTGCTTGTCTTTAGATTTTGTCTTTAAAAGTTTTGAGAATGCATTACCAAAGACATCTCTTCCACTAAAATTGACTTCCTTTTATTCTTCTTCCTCCTCTTCCATACCATAGTCATTCCTTTTAACGTAATTAATATTTCTTCTGTACTAAGAAAGAAAGGTTGACTTTTGCGAATCCAAATTATTTGAATTCTATGAATCTTCCTACTTGAAATTGAACTTAGAATCATCCTCCTCAATAACTGAATATTTTAAAAGAAGGTCACGCAATTATTTATTATCCTACTTGTTGAATTTGTTATTGGATGGAGTCTTAAGAATTGTGCTAGTACAATTCATTTAATAAATATCGCTATTCATTTCACTAATCTTCTATTATTTGTTGCTATTCATTAATGAATTGATTAATAAATTAATTACCCCTTTAATTAAATGATTGTTTTTATTCCTTAAATCTTAACAAAAAGTAAAAAATTTTGATTTAAAACTAACTATGTATGTATCTTTCTGATAAAAATACTGATTTATAGTAAAAAAAAACTTTAAACAAAAAAATTAATTCAAAATTTAATATCCATAAATAAATGAATGAATCATCCAAACATACAATAAGCGCTGTTGAAAGTTAGACAAATTAAAATGAAAATTTTTCTTTATAATTAAATAAAGCATTAAATGTATTATAAAATATTTCTTCTGGTTGTTAAGAAATTTAATTGTTAGAAAATAATATTTTATTAACTAAAAATCCTAAAAATATTAAACTTAAATAAAAAAAATTGAATTTATTTGAAATTAGCTAACTCAAATTTTAATTAAATATAAAAGAAACAAATTAAATAAATAAACAAACATGATTTAAATTAATATTGCAGATTATTTATTATTTTATTGACAATTTTTAAGTTGAATTTCACATGTAAAATTCTCTCTTTTTAAAATAAAAATAATAACATTTAAATTGCTATTTTAGCAAAGAAATTACTGAAATTTTTTAAAATAAAAATATTTTATTTGATTTGAATTTTTTTGTATTAAAAATTTTTAATTTAAAATCAGGGTTTTTATGAAATTTATTATTTTTAAAGTAGTTAATTTAAGTATGAACAAACATTTATAAGTTGATGAAATTTACTATTATTTTAAAATTTGTAGATAAAGAATCTTTATCAAAATAGATACGTAATTATTTATTTTTTTATTTCAATAATTTGGAAGAGATAAGACTTTTTTGATGTAAAGATAAAAAATACTAATAGAAACGACAACATTTTAAATATTATTTTGATGTAAATTTTTGTGATTATATTAATTATAATTTTAATTTATATAAAATTTATGAGTAGCGTTTTGAAATAAATTGCTTCTTTAAAAGGCATTCAATTTTAGTCTTATAAATAGAACAAAAAAGATCAAAGGGTCTTCTTTTTAAATAGTTAGAACGAGGGGCATGGCTACACGGTACTTGTTGAAGATTTGGGAGACATTGACGATAATGTTAATAATACTACCCTTAATTAATTAAAGTAGAAAATTACCTTTTTGAAAGATTGTGATCATCTTAATATATTAAAGCATAAAGAGGATTTCATAATTGATGATAAATTTATCATTTTAATGGAGAAATGTTAATATTCTCTTAAAACTCACATATAAAGGAAATATTTATATGTTTAGATTCATTTACAGGTTTTTATAGATTTCGCTCTTTAACTTTTAAATGCAGTAGAATACCTACATTCTAAAAATTTGTATCTCTCAAATTTCAGCAATGAAAATATCTTTTTAGATGAGAATTTCAATATCAAATTGCATGATTTTGGACTAAGAAAATCTATAAATACATTGCAAGCATATAAATTATTTTAGATTGGAGCCAATTAAAAAGGATTTCACTACTTTGCTCCGGAACAACTGAATAGCAGTTTAGAAACGTATGTTTTACAAACAGCTGAGGCTGATATATGGAGTGTAGGAATATCATTGTATCTATTAGCAGGATCTAATTTAGATCATATATACTTACTTACAAGAGGATTATAATAATATCAAAAGTAGATGTAAATAAATGAAGAAATGAATCTGCTTCTTTCATAGATGCTGAGCTAAGATCCTAACAAAAGACCTCAAATATCTCATATTAAATAACAATTTGAAATCATAAAAAAAAATGTAAACTTTAAATAAAATTTTTTGAACACAGGTTATAAATAGGAAGAAGTAGAGAAATTTATTAAAGCACAAGTTATGTACTAAAATGACTTAAATAAAGAATCACTTTAGTTATTGGAAGAATTGGTTGAAAATAATTAAAATAATGACATGTATCTTGCATGGAAAGCAAGAAATTTAGCTAGGTTTGATCGGTATTAAGAATCATAAGAGTTAGCAGATAAGGCAGTGTCAATAAACCCTAAAAATTATTTTGCATTCAATGTTAAAGGATACATTTATTCTATGACCAACGAATTGTAATTAGCTGAAGAATGTCTTAAAACCACTATTTCTTTGAATCCATAATTCATAACAGCTGTATAAAATATATGTAATAACTATGAAGAGAATGGTAAGATATCTGAATCATTAGAGATGTATGAATAATCCAATCTTCATAACCCAAATAATATGTAAATCCTTATTAATCTTAGTAGAATATATTTAAACAACTTAAAATATGAAAATTCAATGAAATATTTATAGTAAAACATAAAAATGTACCCATACAATTATTATTCATTGTACTACTTAGGTTTAATTTGCAAAGCAACCAAGTTTTACAATAAATCTCAATTATGTTATAAAAAAATCATATAAAATGACTTATTTACAGTAGAAGAGAGTTTAGTTTCAATTTTAAGCTAATTAGGAAGTATTTAATTTGATAAAAAATAATTTGAAAAATCTCTTAAGAGCTATAAAAAGTGTTAAAGACTAGAACCAGATGAAAACGCTTATGTATTTAATGTTAGTCTCATGAAAAAGTTAATTTGATAAATTGTTAAACAATCAATCATTATAAAAATTAATATAATAACTGAACCAAAAATATATTAATTAATTTTTAGATATTTCAAATAAATTTAATTTTAGCATTAATTAATTATATTTTCCTATTTATTTTACTTATTTAGTTTAAAAAAATAAAAAAATAATAATTAAATTAAATAATCAAAAGATAGAAAGTAATTAGTTATTTATTTAATAAGAATTAGATTAAATTGTACTATGATATATTTATTATATTTTTATATATTTAAAATTAGATTAAAAATTTAAAAATTACAATAGATTTTTTTTTTCCAATGTAGAAATAAAGAATTAAATGATATTTATTATGTCTAAAAATTATCTGATTTTAAATTATAATTTATGAAAAAAATAAATATATATTTATCAATTTAAAATTTATAAGGAAAATCTATTTTGATTAAAGTAAATTTATTAATTTCCTTTTTAATAATTTGAATAAATAGAACCATTTAAATAAATGAAGAAATATTAAATCTGATATCTGAGTGGCTTTATAGAATTTAATTTTAATCTTTTAAATAAATTCTATTTTTATACTTTTATTTAGAACTAATTTTATATGTAATAAATAACACTTGATTATTAACTGAATTGTATTGTGGTATAGTATAGTGTAGTGTAGAGTGGCATTATTTTCTTCAGTTTTTAAATCATTTTTTAGAGCAGTAAAATAATGAATAATTTAAATGATTCTTAAAATGTAAGTAAATAAAAAAAAGATTCCATATATAAATTTCTTAATTTTTTAGTTTGAGATGATCAGAAATCTGATTGTTAAAATTAAAATAAAACTTTTTATATGTTGAGAACTGAATTAAATTTATTTTATGATCTTAGAATCATAAATCAAAGTTTAAACTAAACAATATGTTTGAGGATTACTAAATATTTATTACATGGTAATTTTAGTAAAAATAATTAAATTTTAAGCAGAAACACCATAAAATTAATTATTTTGTTTTTGTTTTAATGGTAAAGTACAAATTTTAAAAATAATAACTTGGGAACGTTTATACGCAGATATTCAAATTTAAGAGTTGCTTATTATGAATGTGAGGGAAGGATTGAAATTATTTATGGAAGTGCTTTTTCAAGTAAAAGAAAAGTAAATAAATAATTAGCTAATTTTACAAATATTTTTAGAAAAAATTCAAGTATTTAAAAAGATCAAATTTTAAGTAATTATTAAAAAAAATTAATTTTATGGATAGATCATATTTAATTCTATCCAAATAGTTAAGTTAGTTATTTAGTTAGAATTAATGCAAAAATATCAGGAGATAAAAATTAATATCCACTTAATTGAGAGTAAGATATGTTTAAATGTGAGATAAATTATTTGTATGATAGCTTTTTGGTATTGAAAGTAGATAAAAATAATGAGCAAATAGTTGTTGATATGAAATGTGATATTTTAATTGACAAATTGCCTTACCTAAATAAGAGCTTTTAGAGTGAATCGATTATTGAAATTAACTAAATAAATAAGGCTTTTCATAAGATATTATTAAGAGAATAACTTAGTTTTAAACAGAAAAGGTTTACGTGAAAATGAATTAAACTAATGAATTTGGATAAAATGAATAAGCTCTTGTGCATTAGTCTATGTGGGAAATATAACAAAAAAGGGGATATAGTAATAAATATCTCTATTAAGAAATTTAGATAGCATACAATTAATTAAAAAATTGTAAATGAAAAAGTTAAAGAAAAATTGGATAATTTAATTATCTGAGCGATTTACACCACAAGCACAGTGCTAAATATAAATAAAAAATCTTCAGCAAAGATTAAAAAAAGAAATTATTAAATTAATTCAATTAAAATACATTTTTCGTAGTATAGAATATAAGTAAATTTTAGTATATTTCATTGCTTGTTTCTTTGCATTAAAAAATATTTTGTTATAAATAACAAATAATTATTTATTTTTAAACAGCTTTTATGTCGTTTTGTTCAAATTTAAATAAGCCCTTATAAGGAGATAAGTATTATTTTGCTAATTCTTTTGTATTTTATTTTTTTAGTTTGCGCTTCTTGTGCTTACTTATTTGTTTGCTTGCTTGCTTGCTCGAATACCTGATAGCTTGTTTTAAGCAAACTGAGAAAAGGATATACATATATATGGTTTTTAGTAAGGCTAAATTTTAATAAAGAAGCACAATAGAGAGAAATGTATCTATTAATGAAGGAAAGAGAAGTATATGAAGAAGAAGAATATTATAATAACAAACAATTTTTCCCTAAGATGAATAAAGGGAGTCAGAATTAAATAATACAATAAAGATAAATTACTAATTTTAAGCTAAGTGTAAATCTATTTAATGACAGAGCAAAAAGTAAATAATATTCAATCATTCAGATAAGATTTTCTTTTCTATCTCATTCTTGCTTTCATTTTTTCTTGGTTTTAAGTGATAGATTATGAATCTAAAATCACTGGTTTATAGTGACAGCAAGATAAAAATAATGAAAAAATTAACTAAAAAATGAGAGAGTTTACTAGCAAAAATGAATAAGCAATTAATTGAGATAGAAAGGGATCCAGTTTACTTTGAATGAATGAACGAACGAACGAATGAGAAAACAAAAAAACTGTGATGAAAAAAAAAAAAATTAATAAGAATACATGCAAATGAGTTAGAAATAATTAAAGTCGGGGAGAAATTTGATTGTCTCAGAAATATATAAGAATATTATTTAGAAATTTTGATGACGCTAATAATAATATTATTATTAATGAAGTAAATTTTCAAAAAAAAGAAGATAATTTATTAAATTTGCTTCAGAGAAATCTAATATTACATTCAAAAAAGCACTGTCTACGTAAATATACATAGAAATACATACATAAATTAATTTATTATTATATCAATCATATCATATGATTAGAGTGTGATTTATGTATTTATTTATTTATTTTTTTGTTTGTTTATTTATTTATCTATCTGCAAATGAATAGTTTTACAACAAACAAACAAAATAGTAATAATATTAATAACAAAAACAAATCAAAGAAAAACAAACAATTAGTAAATCAAAGTAAATCAAATAATTAATTATTAAAGAATAATAATACTATAAGGAATACATTCGTAGGATTACCAAATATTCTTAAATTTAACCAGGTTATACACTGCTTTTCAAAGTAAAAATCTCCCTTTTTTAAATCCTTATCTTTTATCTGCATTCTTCTCGGTTCTCGGAGTTCTGTTTAAATTAACAAGAACTGACATTATTCGGAAAAACTAAAAGAACTGCAGTCTTAGCTGATATTTGAAGAGAAAAAGACATATTAATTTATTAATATAAAAGTCTTTTTAAATTGTTAAAATTTACTTTTTAAAAAAATAAGACAGAGAAATACTTAAGTTAGACAATCAGCATAAAAACTTCTTATTAACATAAAAATGTCAATGAACTTCATTAATTAAATTCTCTCCAGTGCATAGAGTAAATATTTATTTATTACGCCTTGATTTAAATGCTGGCTTTTCAATTTTTTGCTAGCAAACTTCGCTTAGTTTTCTTTGTAAGTCAAATTTAAAAATTGATCAATATTTAAAAACTAGACATCATGTTCAATTTGCAATAGAGACCCAACAATGTGAGCTCACTCTTCTAGCCAGGGAACAATCCCTCCCTTTAGTCATCTGCTTAAAGTTTCATTTAAAAGCAAGAACATAATTCAGACAGCTCTTCCAAAAACTCAGAGAAGGAAGACTCTCCTTCTAAGAATAAACTTTTCAATAATATTCCAAAAAGTGAAGGTAAGAAGCAAGCTTATATATAAATAATATTATAAAAATAAAATTTGAGGAGTCAGTTGATAATTAATAATTTTGTTTTATTATTTCTTTGGTATGGGAAAACAAACAACAAATCAATGATAACAAATAAATAGTCTGTCGGGTAATCAATCAATCAATCGATCAATCAATCAATGAATAATATATATGATCTTCATGAAAGATCCCTAACTAAAATGAATAGAAGCTATTAGAAAATTGATATATCAATTAAAATAAAATAAAGTGCGCCTATTTGCTTGTAAGCGATAATGATAGAAATTAGATTAATAATTGATCTTGAAATTATATAAAAATAGATTTTGAAGAAAAATAAATGCAGATTCATTTAAAAAAAACAAAATTAGGGGAAAAACAAATAAAAACGATTAATCAATCAACAAGCACTGCATATCTTATTTAAGCTAAGCTATTTATTAAAAATTAAGATTTAACTTTCCGATAACTAAAAAATATCAATATTTAGATCTACTTGCTATAAATGTCTCAAATTACCTAAAAAACACCCATATTCCCTACTTATCTAGTTTATCTTCCGTTTTGGAAACGATTTGTTTAATAAATTTTCATATAAAACGCTTTAATAAGGTGATTTGACTAAATGCTTATAAAGGGTTTAATTTTATTTAGTATTTTCTTACTTTTTTATTCTGCTGGGTTTTAAAATAAATGTTGAGAAATTTTTGTTTTTTAAGAATATTATTAAATGACTCACAAGTATTAATTTGAAGGGAATTTTTTACAAAAATGATGTTTTATAATAAATAGGAAAGTTAAAGAAGAAAGAAAGCAATATTAATGTGAATGCATAAATGTTAAATGGGAACAATAGCAATGGATTAACAAGCCAGCAATTAAACATGCTTTAATAATTAAATTGCAATCTCCCCAGCAATAACAATGGCTTAAATCAGCTTAACAATATGAATTTATCTGCTCTTTAATAGCAATCTTAACAAAATTCTGTAAATTAAAACTTCCCCTCTTTTGATATCTAGTCTCTTCAAACAGAAGAATAGACAAAATAGCTTCTTCTCACTAAGATGGTAATAATATTATAAAATTTTTGATTTCCTTTTTTCAGCCAAAAGTCATGATAAAAGTTGATTGATCGATTTATTATAATAATATTAAGACTGTTTTCAAGTCATAAATTCCCATCTAATTACTCATGAATGAGTGGTATTATATGTATATACCAAACATTTAATATCAAGCATTTACACTTTACTAAATTAAATAAAGCATCAGTCAATTTATCTATTTATTTTTATTATTAATTAACATTTCTTTCTTTCTTTCTTTATTTTTTTTCACATTTTCTATTCATTCTTTCAACTCAATTTATTTGCTAACATGCTTGACATGCTTAATATGCTTCGCATATACTAAAGGAAATCTCTCATTTTTTTTTAAAGATAATTTAACAATAATAGATGATCAACCAATTGCTTTTGAGCAACAATACCTTGCCTTAACAGAACATGTAGCTATAAAATCAGCAATAGTAATAGTATCAGACATTGTTACAATAATAGCAATTAATATAATCCCTCTAGCAAGCTCAGACATCTAATTTGTTGAACTAAAATAACTACATCCCTACTCCTCAACCTGTTGCTGCTCCCCAGCTCATTTAGTAAACCCCCGTTTCTGCTAGTGTTGTTACTCCTCAATTATCAAACAGATACTCCTCTATGAATGCAAATGACAAAGTACTCACTACAGAAAATGACGACTCTGATGACGAAAACGATAAATTCAAAAGCCAACTGAAAAAGAGTATCCGCAAAAGACAGTAAAAATAAATTTTAATTTAATTCGCAGATCGAATTTAAATTACAGAAAATAAATAAATAATTAATTTATAGATTTATTCTTTTACAAAATATTTTTAATTTACCACATGACTCAAACCAATATTTTTCCTTGCTTACTTTTTTTTCTTTATTTATTTCGCAGCTTTTAAATTTAGTTTAAATTGAGTAAATAATGTATTAACGTTTGAATCTTATACTTGCAGCTATATGTTTAAAGTTGTAAATTAAAATTTTAGTGGTAATTTTAAGGGTATTATTCAAGTAAATAGATAGAACAAATAAACAAACAAATAAATCAATCAATTTATCAATCATTTAATAATATGCTAATATTATATCTATCGACCCAACAAATTTTAACAGAATTTAATTTGTGGATAAAAATTTAATTTAATTTTTACCTAAAAATAATTCTCATTTTATATATTTAACTCTATAATAAAGGAAAAAATTGAACAACTGTGGACACCCAGATCGTGAACATTACGCTAAAGGCATGTGCTCAAACTGCTACCACAAATACGGAAGAACTAAAAAACCTTGGTTATGTCCTCATGAAAAACTTTATGCATGTGGTTTGTGTCAAAACTGCTACATTAACAAATACAATCAAGTAAATATTTATTTTCTTACAAGCTTAATTCATAGAATAAAAAAAACATTCTGAATTCTAAAATAAATATTATTAATTTATTAAATTTGAATGAATAAATCATTTATTTGCTTATTTATTTAGTGTTTGATTGATGTTTTTGTTCTTTCAAAAATATCTTTCTTCCACAGTCTAAAAAAAGAAACAAACAAACAAACAAATATTAATTTATCTTTTTAATATGACATGTAACCTAAAAATTTAATTTTTTAATTAAGAGAAAGAGAACTGAAAATGACGGTCCTATGGATGGAAGCGAAAAAATTGAAAGTGATGACTAAAATATCAATTTCTCTGAAATCGATTAACCTGAATAAAATAATTAATTGACTGATACAGAAAGACCTTAAAAAACATCAAAGAAACAACTTGAAGCTTAACTTTAAATTTAAAATCAATAATAGGAAAGCCAAATTTAACATAGACAAGCTTAATAAGATTAAGCTGCTTATGGAGATGATGAAGATCAAGGTGAGGATGAAGACGAAGAAGATGATGGATAATGAGTAAAATGATTTTATCTCACTTACTGTCCTAGTTAGTTTTAACAACGTGTAGCTAAATTGTGTAATAAAAATTTTCCTCTAAATAGGCAACACACATTATTTAAATATCTATCTATCTATTTATCTATCTATCTAATATCTCTTCTCATCTCTGATCTTTCTTCTTTGCAATTATAATTAAAAATTTCTTTAAACACCTATGTATGCTAAAGCATATTCGACTCTATATTAATAAAATTTATTCAAAATAATAATTATCAACTAACTATACATTCTTTATGGTGTTGTATAAAATACACAAACAGCACTTAAAAGTAATATATAATAAGCAAGCAAATAAATACAAATAGAACGAATCATTGAAGCGGCCATTAATTAATTGATTAATTATGAATTATGAATGGCATGGCATGAGTTTGAATAATCAAAAATGAGTGTTTAAAAATAAAACTAAATTAAATAAATAATTAATAAATAAATAAATTGATCAATAAATAAAATTATGTTATATAAAATTTATAAATAAATATATAATAAGTATTAAATTTAATTATCAACTTATAATGTTAATTTAAATTTATTTGTTTATCCTTGAAATTAATTTTCTTTTTAGTTCTTTAATTTATTAGTTAGAAGATTAATTCATCTAAATAATAATATTGAACTTACTTAGTTTTTAATTTGTTTGTGTACTCTATCTAGCATTAAAATTTTTTTATTTATTTTGCAGATTGTGTAAATTTAGCTTTTCTCCTTTAACTTAAATTTATAATTATATCTCATTAATTTATTTGTTGCTTATTATTTTGAATAATTAGAAGTATATTAAAGAATATAATATTTTTATTTAAATTAATCTAATTACTTGATAATGTTGCTTGCTTGCTTTCTACCTATTAGAAAAATTTTATTAAATTAGTTTTATTCCTTCAATTCATATTTATAATATTACCTAATATTTTTATTAATTGCTTGAATGTTTTTAAATAGGTATTTATAAAAGCAAAAAAATGTAAGTATAATTGTTTAGATAATATTTGTATTATTAAAGGTTATATAATTTTATAAACTTTTTTTCATTAATCTAATTCACTAAAAATATTTTTTATTGCATTTAATTAAAAGTTAATTTTTTATTCTTTAAATTTAAAATTTTGCAAAAAAATATTTTTAGGTTTTTCAAAGTTTCTGTTTTTTTCATTCTTATTTTAAAGAATATATGATAATTTATACGTAGCCATTAATTCAGCAAAGTATTTGATAAAAAATTAATATTTAATTGTTGAGGAACTATCAATGCCCACAAATCAGTTTTATTTTTGCATAGAATTTGGCTTCATTTTATACAATTAACTCAAAAAATCAAATTTTTTTTTAGAAATAATCAACTTTGATTTATAATAAAGTTATAAATAAGTAAAAATTACAAATAAAAAGTTAATGAAGTACGTTTAAATTTTATTTAAAACTAAAAAAAAGTATTAAATAAACAAATAAACTGGAAATACTTAAGTTAAAATATGTGGGAATGATTATCTTTAAAAAATTAAATGTGCCAAAAAGACAGAAAGAAAGGATGTATTTTAATTTATTGGAAACTATTAATTCAGTTAGGTATTTGATAAAAAATTAATATAATATTTACTGGCTGAGGAACTAACTATAAATTCCTTTCAAATCAGTTTTACTTATTTTTGCAAAAATTTGTTTTCATTAGGCAGTTTACTCAAATTGTCAAATTTATTTTCGAGAAATAATTACTTTTGATTTAGAATAAATTTTTAAATAAATAAATAAGTAAAAATTACGAATAAAAACTTCTAAAGAATGTTTAAATTTTTTTTAAAACTCAAAAAAGAATATTATAAACAAATAAACGGGAAATACTTTAGTTAAAATATGTGGGAATGCTATCTTAAAAAAATAAAAATAAGTTATTTAACTAATTTTTATTTTTATAATTAAATGTTTGTTTCAAGAAATTAACAAATAAATAGCTATTTACATAAATGTGCTTGTATTTATTAGAATTTGTATATGGCAATTAGTCCAATTCTATTTGAATTACTGGTATAATTTTTGATAATAATTACAATTAAGATTAATTAATTAATTTAATTAATAATTTAAGATAAGTAGAATAATTGATAGGATTAGACCAGACTAATTAGCAATAACATAACATAGATAATTTATTTATTCATACTTAAAGTGACTAATTTATTACTGCTTAAGTAGAGATTTATTTTAAAATATTTTAACCTATTAGCTCTTATTGAATTGAAAAACATCGAGTCCTTCCTTTAGATATTATTATGAACAGCTTTTTAGCTAGCAAGTTTAAGTAGAACAATTTGTCTCCATTAGGTAGTAAAAGCAACAATAATAGTACATTTGTATAAAGAAGAAAAAGTAATTTCATAGATGCTAATAGCATTAAAAAGTTTTAAGATAAACAAATAAACTTTTCTTAGTTCAATAAAATAGGGAATTCATTCAATTCTCTCTTAGAATCAACATCTAAAACAAGCAAGTCTCACCATATTCGTAGTGGCTAACTAAATAATGATTTAAAAAAAAGTATAAGACTCACAAACAGGGTATTGAATTTTAGAGATATTTTAAGATGCACAGCTCTAGTTTTAATTTTGTTTATGTCTTCGCTCACAATAATATTTGATAACGCAGAATGGACTTAAATGTGGTACACCAGCTATACAGTCATTTTGTTTTGTAGTTTGTATGGTGACTTATTTTTAATTTACTTCTATGGAGTACAATATTAAGGGTAATATGTAAGCTCTATAAAAAGTGTCTCCTTGTATTTAGTTAAAGAAAAGTGGTTCACACTTCTAACTCCATTACTCTCTTTTACTCTTTTCTGTTTTACAGGCATGAAATATAAATTTTTCCTTACTTGCATATTTCCTGGTATCAAAGAAATATAGTATATCATCAAATCAATAGGAGAAAGAATTTTTAAATCAATAAGATTGCTCTACATACTTAAACTATTGAATCTCTTTCTTTTGATTTTGTTTTTTGCTCACTCATTTGCATGTTTCTGGATCTATGTTCCAAGCAAAATTAATAGCAATTATAATTGGTTATCTAAATATTAATTGTCTGACCAAAAATGGAGCGTTTAATATGTAAATGCTCTTTACTATATTACAATTTCTATGGTTACAGTTGGGTATGGAGACATTGCACCTACTAACACAGAAGAAAAAATAATGTGTTCTATCTTAATAGTGCTCCTTTGTGGTATTTATGGTTACTCTCTCAATCAAATTGGTGTCATTTTCAATGAACTCAATAAGTAATTTTAAATAATTCGTTGTCTAAATTTCAATAATTTAAAAATTTTAATCCACCATTAAAAATGTCCATCAATAAACAATAGAAGAAAAAAAATATTTATTTCTTTGAATTCCGTTGCTTTTTTTTTTGAAATATTTTTAATCTGTTTACTTAATTTTAAACTTTTAACTTTTACTAGTAGATTTTTATTATTTTAAGATTGAGTTTTTTACATTTTGAAGAATAAAAAAATTAATTTTATTCCATCTTTAAAAGAAATAGCATATCGATTTAACAAAAAAAAATATATATAAACAAATTTATGCTAAGGAAGAATGTGAGTGAAAATTTGTAAAACAGAATTAGAGAGTATTTAGATTACTATTGGGAGAAGAAATTTGATGACGATACACAGGAAGAGGGATTGAAAATTATTTAATCATTAAATTCTAACTTGAAAAAATAGTTAATTTATGAAAGTAATAACTTAGTGATTCGAGATTCTCCAATATTCGCTTAAAATTTTAGTCCTTAATTACTCAGTAAATTAACATAAATTATAACTGAGTAGAAGTATATGCCAGAGGAGATTATTTACGAAAAAGATAGCTCAGATCTAAATTCGATATTTTTTATAGAGCAAGGCGAAGTTTAAATAATTAACAATGGCAAGAATAAAGTGAATGTGATTAATGAGTTGACAAAAGGTGAATAGTTCATTCTTTTATTTTTATATAATGTTAAAAAAAAGAATGATTTTAATTATTTATTTATTTCTTTAATTAGGATAAAATTTTGGTTACTACTCGTTCTTTACTGGCTAGCCAAGAGAATTTACGACAAGAAGCAAAAGTTTTTCTGCTGTGCTAAAAATTGACTTAAAACCTTTTTTAGAGTTACTAAAAGAATTCGAAGATGACTTAGAAAAATATTATTATATTAGAGATCTCATTAACTATAACAGTCAATATGATTTAATTAATTAGTATTGCTCGGAGTGCCACTAGAGCAGTCATTAAATTAATAATTGCCCAAAAATACATTATTGTTGTGATAGAATACAACTTGTAAAAAATGAGTATTCTCTAAGTAGCTTGCAAATAGATAGAGACCCAACCTTCAAAAGATAATCTCAAAAAAAAACAGGATATAAATAATAAATTATAAGGCTATTGGACAAATACATAGATTTTGCTGTTACTTTTGATGTAACTCTTAACGAATATGAAGATAAATTCTTGTAGTCATACTATGACAAAATGGAAATGTAGACTCCAGTGAATGCTGAAGCGGAATAAAATTAAAAGAAAGATTTTATACAATTCATATCTTAAATAGCTGAAGATCAACCTACAGAAGTCTTTTCAATTAACTTCGATAATAACGAAAAGAAAAAACAGTACTTGAGTTAGCATACATTAACATAAATCTAATAAGATGAACATTCTAAAAAATAATAGTAAACACTTCTTGAAAAATCAGTTAACTTTGATGAAACATCAATAGGCGATAATTTAAGAGCTAGAGTGAATTCAGGGAATGTTTCTCAAAGCAGCTATAACAACTTATAATCAAATAAAGATCCAAACTCAAATATTAATTTAGCATTGAAACTAAATTAGTATTTTTTCTAAAATACAGACGAATCTCCATCAGAAAATAATTAATGTATTTATTTATTTTATTAAATATTATTATTTAAATTATAAACAAAACTAAATACCTGAATGAAGTCCATCCATGCTTATTAACAAATAATTCCCAAACTTAAGAATAATATTTGGTGATAATTAATAAATTTTAATACCATGAACATTGTTTGTTTTTTTTTCAAGTAGAACATTTTTTTTTTAATTAGTATTGAGATTGTAAAGCCTAGTTAGAAATTTTGAAGATTTACAGATACCTTTACTAGAAACTCCAGTTTCAAGATTTAGTAAACTAAATATTAAGAGAGAGAAATCTTTAAAGTCATTTTAAAGGATGATAAGTGAGAGTTTAAGTATAAAAAGTAAGTTAAAAAATGATGAGAAAATAGAGAGTGAAAAATAAAAAAATTTAGAAAAATCAATTTAAAATGATTATTCAAATATAGATACTGAAATCATCAACCCATTGGATGAAAGTGTAAATTATAGCTAAGTTAGTCGAAGAAAGCTACTTAAGTTAGAATATGATACAATGAAGATTATGAAGGTTTATTTTATTAGAGATAACTATCCTAGCATTATATAAAAGTTCAACCTCACAAATCGGTATTACAGTTATTAAATAAAAAATAAATCTCAAATCAAAATGTCATCAAACGAGTAAAATTCTAAATTTGATAATTTAATTGATTAAGGCGAAAGATAATTCTAAGAAAACACATTTATTTCTTCCTAAAAAGAAAATTAAAATGAATTTGCTGAACCAAATAGTGGTATGAAGATTCTTTCAGGATCTCGATTATTCAGATAATCTACAATCAATATAATCTAATAAACCAATAATAATAAAAGCAAAGCAAGAAGCATATTCAGAAAATTTATTTATGAAAACAGACGAAGTTAAAGCAATAACACATCTTTTCATTCAAGTTAGAATGAAAGCGAAAACAATAAAGGTGAAGATTAAGACAGTGTTTTTAAAAGAAAATCAATCTTTAAATACCCAAATTAAAATAAAATTTAAAGTATTTTAATCACTTAAAACTCTAACCAAATATAAGATATCGATAATATAAGCGTAAATGATAACAATGAACAAAAATCTATATTCTATTAATAAGGCAAAGATTAAGATTAATAAAGCGAAATATAAGATGAGTCCAAAATCAACTTTTTCCCCAATTAATAAATTTAAAATAAAATGATTTTAGACTCTTCGTCTATTTTCTCAGCAAGAACAATTTAAAACGAAGCTCAACAATCTTAAAGAACAGAGATAAATAGGCAAAGTGATGATACTTCTAAGTAAGAATCTGATATTAAGATTTTGAAAGACGATAAGACTTCTTAGAGAATATTATGCAAATTCGACTCTTTTTCTGATTTATGAAAATTTTCAAAAATCTCATAATTATTTTTATCAAACAAAATCTTTTAGCTAAAACTAAAAACTAACTCAATCAGCCTTTTATATTTTTAATAATTAGCAATTTAATATTTATGTTTATAATCAATAATTTACTTGAATTTTTTATTTATTTATTTGTAAGTTAGTTAGTTAGTTATTTAATTAGTTATTCTAAGAAAATTACATAGCAAAATTTCATAGTTAATCTATAAATACAGAAAAATGTTAGTTTTTAACCAGATAATAATATGAGTCCTTCTATTTTTAAATAGATTTTTTAAAAAAAGTATTAATTTAAAATCTTGATAGTGTTGGTTCCTTGAAATTGGATTAAAAATTTTTGTGAATGGTTGTCAATTTAGACAGTTTTTATTGAATCTAATTCATGATACAATTATGAAATTATTTATTTCTAAAAAATACTTTTACTATTGAAAAAAATTAAATAAATAAATTGATTAATCAAGAAAATTTAATAAAAATAATTTTTTATTATTTAGTTAACATTAATTATTTTTTAATTAAAAAGTTTGATTAATTGTTTCAATAAAAAGATTTACAAAATTTAATTAAAAAAAAATTAAAGCGAATTTAAAATAATTTGTATAAAAATTAAAAATATTTTTTATAAATTGATAAGTTTATTTATAGTTTTAAAACATAAAAACATATTTTGGACTATTTTTATTTTAGATTTTCCAAGTAAATTAGAGAAAATAAATAAGGAAGATATTGCATCTAAGAAATAATTTATTTAAGATTAAATCAAACTTATTAAGATAATACGAAAATAAATTTATTATTGGTGAAATATTTTAATAAAAAAATGAGGGCAGGCAACAAAAATAATAATTTTAATTATAAAATCAACAAACAAACTTTATTCATATTTTATCAAATTTTTTAATTTTATCTTTGAAAACAGTTTTGCTTTTTCTCTAAAGGCTTTCAAATAAATAAATTCAAAGTTATCATTTTCATTCAAAGAAACAATCTTCATCAACATCAGCTTCAACAGCTTCAGGTACTATTGGTCTGGGATTTTCTTCTTCGTATGTCTTTTCCCATTCTTCATCGTTGAAGCTTTCAGGATCTTCAGCAGTTTCTTTGGCTTCAGCAAGCTTGTTAGCTTTATCAGTTTCCCAAGCTTCTAATTCGGCCTCTTTCTTTTTAATTTCTTCGACACGATCTTCGTAGTGTTGACGACGAATTTCAATGTCAGTCTTACGAAGACGGCAAGTATCTTGCAACCATTTAAAGAGACGAGCATATCCAATATTATATTCTTCAACCTAAGTCTTGTCATACTTTTCTAATTTAGCTGTTATTCTGTTAACTAAGGCATAAGGTTTAACCTTATTAGGCTTAGGACCTTAATGGTTATACTCAATCACCTTATTGATAAAGCTTTCGTTAAGAATCTTCTTAACTTCCTTCCAGTTTAGAACGTGAGTTCCAGGAATATTTATTTCTTCCATTGAATAACCCAATAAATAAAGAATATTTTACAAAATTCCTGGGAACTTTAAAATACGGAAATGAGCTAGCTCGTAGATATACTTTTGAATATCTTCTTCACGAAGAAGTTCCTTTTAACGTTCAAGACGAACACATTCTAAGCGATATTAATATTCCTTTTCGTTATTTGCTTCTTTTAAGTGGTCGTAGTCAGGCTTCTTTTCATCTTCAGCCTTTTCTTCTTCGTCATTGAGTTAATCAAGACGCTCTTTGGGAACTTCTTTTAAGTAAGCAATTTAACGATCAATATCATCACTAAGTAGCTTGTATTCCATATTTTCCCAGCTTTAGGCAAAAAGCTTAACATAGTTTTCTAAATAGGTAATATCTTCAGTACTAATACCACGATCTTATCCCATAGTATCAGCACAAACAACATATTCCTTTAATTCGTACATAAATTCTTATTCTTTAGGTTCTTCTGGATATTCTGCAAGCATTTATTCAAGTTCAGCATTTTTGGCAGCAATAGCTTCTTCGTCTCCCTCAAGAGCTTCAATTTCTTTCTTGAATTCATCTTCCTTTTCTTTCTTCTCGGTCTCCCACTTATCGTGCTCAGCTTAAAATTCTTATCTCTTGGTAAGAGCATCATTAAAGAACTCTTCCTATTAATCAAAATTAAAAAAAATTAAAATAAATAAATAAATAAATATTTTTGCTTTTATTTTTACTTTTAAATAAGACTTGTATTTCAAAGGGAAAGCGATATAAGCACCTAATTTAGGAATATTGAAATAATTCATTCTGGGTTCTTTAACCAAATCTGGAACGTAAACATAAGTTGGTGGGATAGGTGATTCATCATCTTCGTTTCTTGGTTCAGGCTCCTTAAATACAGCTGCAGTAATGCTCTCCTCTTCTTTAGCAGAGAGAGTTTTGCCTATTTTACGTAAAAAAAAATTGACCTATTGAGTTTGATTTTTTAATTTAATTTAAATAGAAAAATATTAAATTGATGTTTTTTTGATTGTTTGTTTGTTTGTTTGAAAGATATTTATTTAACATCTAGTTATACTTTTTGAATAAAATCAAAATCTATCATCAATTTAATATCTATCTATTAATATTGTTATTTATTTATTGATTTATTTAATTTATTTATTTTGTTTAAACACAATAATTTAATAAGTAGGTAAATGAGTTAGTAAGTTTGTTAATATTGTAGTTAATTGATTGATTAAATTAATTAGGTTAATTACCTGTCATAATTTCTTATTGGCTTGTTGAGTAGCCAATATAATTAATGACTTTATCCTTATCTTAATCGAGATGGGCCTTTTCATCTTCATCTTCTTCATTAATCTTTTTGACTTAGAAATCCTTAATACCAATATAAACACCTGTTAATCCTTTTCTTTCTTCAAGGAAGTTAGGGAATTCATGGCTTAAAAGAACATCATGATATTCTTCGTTAATTATTTTTTATTAGAAATTCTTGTCAATTTATTCGTCATGAAGCTTAGTTTCTTCGTTAATTTAATTTTCTTTTTGAATTCTATCTAATTCATCTTTGTATTCCTTCTTTAAGTTTTCTTTTTCTTTGAGGGTATCATCTAACCTATTTTCATTGTTAACTGAAACTGAATAATTCAAAAGCCATTTTGCTAAGTAATCAACAGGGAACTTAGGTTTTTCCTAATATAAAACAGCTAAGCCCTTAGCCAAAACTTTACCAATATTGTCTTGCTTGAGATACTAATTAAAATTAATTCAAAATTATGAAATGAATATTACAAATAAATGAAAAATTCTTATTTCCCAAATAAACTAAAATGAATTCTAAAACTTTTTCGCATTTAAATAAGGCTTTGGAGAGCGTTTAAAGCTTTTAATGAATTAATTGAAAAAGTAAATAGATGAGTTTACCTAAATATCTACTTTATCAGTTGCAAAAGTGCTCATTTATTAAAATTCTATCTCTATAAAAATAATAACTTTTCTTTATTTTTAATAATTATTATTATCAAATATTAGTGAAATTAGTTTTATATTTTTGCATGGAATCAGTCTTTGCTTCTATGTTGTTAATATATTAAATAATATTCAAAACCAAATGAATTCCTATCTTTTGCAGTCACAAAAAACTTTGCAAATATATAACTAACATTCATTCATTCATTTATTTATTACTAAATTATTTATTTTATTTAATTTTTGAAAGAATCTTTATTCAAAATTAAAACTGAAAATGACATTTTAATGCAATTAATTTGATTTAATTATTAATTATTTTTCTAAAAAAAACAAGCAATTTTATAATAAATATGTTACGATTAAAGACTTATTTAAAATGTTTTAATTTGCTATCTTGAATAATAATTTATCGATATGAATCAATCTTAATTCTTAAAATAATTTCAAATTTATTTATTTTTTAATTTAAATATCTCGTTAATAATTTATAACAGCATACAATTTATGTATATTAATTTTAATTAACTTTTTGCAATCAAAAATTTAAAAATCTTTAATTTTTATAAAAAAATTGGTTATTTATTAATAAGAAATGGCTGATAAAAAAATATTTAGGGAAATAGAAGGTATTTTTGGCTGGATAGAGGAGATAAACAAATAATAAAATAAAGATGACGACTCAGCGTAATTAGATTGGAAGTAATAGTTGACAGAATTCTTTAAATTTATTGGAGTGGATGATATAACTGAAGTTAATTTCCATATTTTTTATACTTTGATTAATCCTCTAATAAATTTTCTCTAAACGAGGCAAACAAAATAAATAAACTTTTTATCATCAGTGGAAGATTCTCATCATGTTTGCTTAAAAATATAAATAGGAAGAGATAAATGCATTAAATGAGTTAGCGATGATTAAAAAAGAAGAGCAACTTAAAAGAGAAAAGCATTAAGAAAATAAATTTAGAGATTACAACGAGGATAATAAGCTCACATATAAAGATTTAATGAGAGTTTTTATACCAGATGATGATTTAACAGAAAAATAAATAGAGACTGATTTGGAAAAAGAAAAGAAAGAGTTGATGAATGCATTTAGAATACTAACTCCCAATAAGAGTGGTGATACAATTGAAATATCAAGGTTAAAAAAGATGATCTTTCTACATGAAAAAGAATATACAGGTCAAAAGTAGACCAAGCATGGTTAAAATGAAAAAGAGGAGTAAAAAGAAAAGGAGGTATTAAAATAAATTTGTTTTAAATTATTTTTCTTTATTTTTGTAAAAATAAATTTAGAGAGCAATGTAAAAAATAGAAGACATATTAAGCGACCTTAAAATAGAAGGAGGAGGATCAGATACATTTAATTTTAAAGAGTATTTAGATGATTAATTCAAAATTAAAAAGCAATGAATGGAGTTTTTAAAAAAAATAATTTTATTTATTTATTAATATTATGTGTTTCTTGTTAATATTTAATTAAGAAATTATATCAAAAATTTGTATTTAAGTCAATCAAATTTTATAATATTTGTACTAAAACCATAAATTAAATCTAAAATAAAATATGTTTTCATTTATATTTTCATAAAGTAGCAAGTGTGCTTCAATCTTAAAATATTTTATGTATTTTTTAACATATAATAATTCAAAATTATTTTCAATTTAAAAAACTTTAATAAAGAGATATTTATTTCACAATAAAATCCATCCTTTTATTTGTTAATTTTTATTTCAAATAACATTAAATTTTCAAATTATTTTCATTAGACATTTTGATACCTTAATTAAAAATATTATTTGTAAACAATTTATTTTTATTTAATAAAAATAGTTTCTCTCATCTATAATAATAATATTAATATCCAATCCTTTAAAATAAAGCCTTATTTTTCTGAACAAAATTAGTCGATTAATAATTAAAAATAATTCAAAAAACAAACAGATCGAAGTATATATTTATTTAGAGAAAATTAATGTTTTTTTTTATTTTTTGTTCAATTTAAAACAAATTTTAAATGATTTATTTTTTATGTTTATTAAATTCAATATTAATTTCCATTTTTTTAAGTAAAATTTTTCATTGAATTTCTTGCTCTTCATTGCTGCTTTATTCTCCTTCAGGGCTAGCCATTTGCTTGAACAATTGTAAGTAGTAGCTGTGCAATAAAAGAACACTGTTAAATATTTCAAAAATAGCACTTTCAAGCATGCAGAAAACAAATCCAAACCAATAGAGCCCCTAGGCTTTCAAATATTTACCAAACAAAAAGTTTGAGGTGTTTAAATCTGATAATTCAATTGTATTAGGGATGTCTTATTAAGAGCTGTCTTTATTGATTGAATAATGAATCAGACAGAGGGAGTATCCAATGATTCCTAAACCGAGAGTGCATAACACAAACATTAAATAAGAATTCCATTAGAATTTTATCTTATTTTTTTGTTAACTTTACTTTTAAGCACATTTGCTCTCAAGATTTTTGTGTATTATTTGTAAATAATGTTTATAATTTTCTATGAAGCTCCTCCCCATTTTATCTAAAGATTATTCAGCTCTTTCTTTTGCCTTTTCATAATTATTTTTTTCATTTTTAGTCCAATCCATGTCCTTATCATAAGCTATATCTATATAAAGCTCCTTTGAGAGATATTTCTTTTTTATAAATTAATCTAACAGTAGCATGAAGCCAAGACTTTTCCATACTAAGTAGAATATAATTACTTGGGCAGACTCGAAGCGGAAGTACAAACGAATTCTGAAAACAAATATTAGCACTGATAAAACAATAGCTTAACAAACAAAGAAAATTTTAGAGTAATTTAGAATTTTTTTGTTGTAATCTTTTGGTTCTTTACCTCCTTCATTGACATATGACAGGACTTAAGTGTTAAAAAAAAGAATGGAACCTGCAAAGCTTTCTAATATAATCCAAAGGATGATGTAAATGTACATTAAGCTGTATTACTGTTCTACATTATCTTCTCCTTCTAAGGAAAAAAATGGATATCTAATAACGCAGATATCTGCACTTGATAAATAGAAATATGTATTTTTCTTCAAATATTCGCAATCGTTGACAGTTATATTATTTGGACTTTAGATGGAGCACTAAAATGATTATTCTGAAATACTATTTCCAATTGTAGGATTTATAAAAACGACATCATAAAGATAAGAAATAAAATAGCCTAACCCTCTGAACAAAAAGAAATCTCTAGCAGCCATAAACATTTCCACATAAATATTCATTTTGATACTGGTTTCATAAGTCTTTAGCTCTTCAATACTATCAGCGTCAAGATAATATTTACCTGTGTTGCTTTTTCTTTCTTAGTTATCTTACACACTGTTTTACAATTGATTATTCTAATTATTTTGAATCTATTGCTGAACATCTTCATCAAAGTTTTTTATTTTTGAAATATTATTCGAAATATTTTTAACTCTATTTTTCTAGTAGAAATAAACCATAAAAAGAATGCAACACTTTAGCAGACAATAAGCATAGCAAACAGTCATAACTATCATCATTGTATCATAGCTAGGACATTCTGAGCGATATATACAATTGCTTAAATCATTTTTAAAATCATTCACTAACATTTATAACATAAAATCATAGTATGTGCATGAATCATATGTTTAGAAAGAACCATCAGTTGTTTATTAACTGAATCTTTTTATATTTAAAATCTCATCTTTCGTAAGCTCGCAACTACTCATTTTTCGAAATCTCTGCTAAATTATGCTTTTGTTCTATTTTCTGAGAAATCGTAATATTCTTTCTTAAAATGTTGAATAACTTAGATATTTATTTATTTTGAATATCCTTTCTGTGTTAATTAAATCAATATCAGATTTTATATTTTTTATATTGTTTATTTTTGATGATTTAGCTTTATTCCTCAACATTTGCTTTTGTCTTTAAAAGGTAAGCTGAAAATTAATAAATAAGTGTATAATCTATCTATTAATCAATCGATCATTTAAATATTATGTATTTATAGGAGTAAATTTGCATTTGCTAATTTAAATAAAGGAAAACATTGGAGTCTCTTTCTTTAATAATCAAAAAAATATTCTAAAAAATATCAAAGGATTTTGAACAAAAATAAATCAATAAATAACTAATAACCAACAAGCATAACTTAAAAATAAAAATGCTAGTAAAATTATTTAACAATCATATTAATTTTTATCTTGATTTATTTATACCAAAATATGTGAGCGACTAATTTAACAAAATAGCAAATATGACTATAATTCTGCTATTAAATTCTTTTTTATTAATGATTTATCAGTAAATAAAGAAAAAATTACCAATTATTAATTGTATTTATTTAATATTAATTTATTTATTTTCATAAATAATAAATACATCATAATAAATCATTTTTCAAAATAAAATTTTAAAAAGAATGAAACCCCCCAGCTTTATTTTTTATTACTAAAACCTAAAATTTTCTTATATACAAACCTTTAAATTAATTAGAACTGTTATTATATTGGGTTAAATAGATTATAAATTAATTTTTAATTAAATTTTATAACAAAAGAATTTATTTAATAACCTAATAAATAAATAAAAATTTTAATAAAATCATTCTATTTAACTTGATAATTTAAAAATAAATTAATTAATTTAATATCAAATATTAATGGATAAATTTAAAATTAAAAGTATTCTAAATTTATTAGTTTACACATTCACGAGATTTTAATTAATAAATAAATTAATTCTAATATCTATCTATTTGAAAAGGGAAAATACAACGTTTTTTCTTTAAGTTTATTAATGAAATTTCAGTTTATAGAACTATAAAGTTTAAATTAAATATTAATTTTAAACAAATATGTATGTGTTTATATAGATAGAATGGTTGTGCGAAAGTAATTAAACTAAAAGAAATTTGAATAGATTATTTTGAGAAGAGGTTAATTGTTTTTTAATAAATAATTAATTAATTAATTTGATTATTATTTAATACAATTGAATATTCTTTAAATAAGTAAAATTACAGTTATTTTATTTATTTTTAATATAAATTATAGTAATATATATTTTTATATATTTTATTTATTATTATTATTATTAATTTAGTTATTATTAATTACTATGTTATTTATACTATATATATATAGATAGATAGTGAACTTATTATTTTTTATTCTTTACGTTCAATCTTTAATCAAAATTCAAAAATTGTCTATTAATATGCTCTCTTTTTTTTCTAATTTTTTTATTTGTTTCTATCCAATTAATTCGTTTTAAGCGCGCCTATTATTTATTAAAATTGTTTGTTTATTTATTTAATTTGTTATTGGCTGAGATTTTCAGAATTTAAATTTTTTTTTTGTTTTTTGGTTCTTTAAAATCAAATTTAATATCTTTTTTATTTATTTCCACTTCTTTCATTAAGCAAAAGTGAAAATTAAAGAAAAAATATTGTAAGAAAGTATTCGTTAATATGGTTGGATAGTTTCAAAAGAGGAGTCTGAAATTTTTTATTAATTCAATATGAAATAAAGGAAAATTATGGTTTTGGATTGGTTTATGTTTTTTTTAAGTTAAATCAAGCAAATAAGTTTGTTGAGACTAACTTTTCTGTAGATGGAATGCTATTGTATTTATCTGCAAGAGAGAATACGGAAATCGATTCTGATGTATCTGCAGTGTTAGCATTGCTAATCATGCTCAAATCTTTATCCTAGTTAGATTGCTTTGCAGAGTTGTTTTTGTTGTTATTGAAGAAAGAAGCCCCAGAGGGTATATAAAAGTTTCCATTCTGCTAACCACTCAAAGTGTTGAAATTACTTATAGAGTTAATGTTATTTTAGAAGGATATTGAGTCATTGGATGGGTAATTCATTAAATAAAATGGAGAGTTTTAGCTAGATTAGGATGACTACAAGCTTGTTTAGTTAGCAAGAATATTACTACTCTCGGAATTGAGCATGAGCATCATCATTTAATTCAATGCTGCGTTTGTTTGTTAAGAGGAACTCAGAGAAAAGTTAGACTCAGCAGTTTCGATATCCATTATGTTAATTTACTGATCTTCTTCAGTCAACTCAATGCCTAGCATCTACTTGAAAACAGGGAGACGCTTTGGAGTCTACCCAAACTTAAATTGCCTTATGCTTTCATCGTCGAAAGAGCAAATGTGCTTCTAGTAGAAGTGCTAGTAGCGAATTTCAGAAACAGGGCGCTCATCGTGCTTAAAATGGCAACGAGCAGCGTATTAGCACACCTATTCCTTATGATATGCTGAGCATAGTTTCGTTTTATAATTTTTATTCATAGCCAATCTTTCAATTAGCTCTTCTTTTCCATGGGCAAAACGACATTTTTATCCATATTGACAAACTCCCTTGGAAACCCAATTTTTACAAAGTTCTGTTTTATACTTCTACTCCATCTTCTTTAATTAATTTAACTGCTAATGAGCTAATTGTTGTAAGGTGCTTTACTGATTGCCTTCTTCGCTAGTCTCAGAGTTGCTGAGCATTTCCATCATAAGCAACTGATTTTGTTGAGATTGACTTGAGCAAGAAGAAGATGCTTGTAATTGAGAAGCTAATTGCTAAAGTTAGTGGCTACTGCCTGCTGCTGATGACATAGTTTGTTGCAATAAAGACATCTGCTAATTTTGTGAGCTTTATAATATTTTAGAAGAAGCTGTAGAAGAATTATTCCCGCTTGCTAGATAGCTCGAAGGCAAAGCAGAAGAAGAGCCAGAACCTATATTTTCTAGCTATTACTATGAAGTCTGGCTATGAGATGGATAAGTAAGAGATGAATTTTAATTGATGCTATTTGGGTTAGCGCCAGACATATTGCTGACTTTAGACCCAGACGAAGAATTAGAGTAGTATTGCTCCAGGAAGAATGATTGCAAGGGCAAATAAGCTGGTAAGTGAGCCAGTGCCTTAGCTGTAAGCGTTTGCTCCATAATTACTTTTTTCAAAAAAATTATATAAAAAGTTCGTTTTTTTTTTGTTAGTTTTTAATTTATTTTTTGTTGTTGTTATTCTCTTTAAGGTTTTTTTACTTTCTCTCTATCTTTATTTATTTATTGATTGATTAATTGTGCAAGTCAAGCAAACAAGCAAATAGATAAAGAAAGAAACAAAGAAAGAAATAAACATCAAATCTTTTAGTTTTTCTTTTAATAAATCCATTCATCGCCTAACCAATTAAATGAATCCTTTTTTTCTACTCCTTCATTTGTATAAAAAATAATATCAAAATCAAAGCAATCAATCATAATTCTTAATTAATAATTTATTTAGTTATATTTAAATATTTCTTTTTTAATTCTTATCTTTTTTGCTCATTTTCTTCAAAAAAGTGGAAGGAAGCAAACCCTTTAATTAATTAATATCGCAATTAATTACCTGTTTTTTTTCTAACAATAGACAGAATCATATAGATAGATAGATATTCAATATTTCACATTAAAAGTTATCTCATTCTTGATCTGATTCAAGAAATCAAAAAATACCAAATATCTTCAAAAAAAAAAATTAGTCAGAATATTTTAGAGCAGAATTACACCATCAGGAGAAGTTTAAAGGGTCATTTCTAAAATTTTTTGCATTAAATAAAAGAAAAAAAATAAAACTATGAGAAAATAAATAAATAAATATCTCTAATTTTGCATGCATTTATTATTATTATTTTAATAAGATTTTGTTTTGAATAAAAATTATAGTAATTTATTTGTTTTTTATAATTTGAATGATTAATAAATTATATTTTAAAAATAATCTAAGAGAAAAATACGCTCACAAATTAATTAATAAGTAAAAAAAATAAATGAATAAATAAGCAAACAAAAAAATAAAGTAAAAACTATTTATATCCAAATCCGCTTTTTCAAAATTAAAAACAAACTTCAAATTTCTTTCTATTATTTATCACACTATTAATCAATTAAATAAGTTTTTTATTAAGAAATATAATTTATTTTTCCTCTTCCACAATTTTATTAGTAATCATTTATCAGATTCTTGTTTTTCAAATTTATTTTTTAAATTTCGCCATCGTTTTTGAAAATATTTACTTACTAAATATATTTCAGGTCTATCTCAAATAAAATTATTTACTTACAGATAATACTGCTTAGTTTTTTATATATTTTTAGTTAATTTGTATTGTATTTTTTATATTACAATTATAAAAGCTTATTTTTTAAATAATAAAATTGTTAATAAAATCAAAATATTTAAAAATCTTCTTCACTCTATTTATTACTGAATAGAAATATTTAAATAAAATTTGTTGCTAGAAATTTATTAAAAAATTATTGATTTCATTCATTAAAAGACCAGAAACATTAACAAATTTTATTTAAGTTTTGACATTTTCACTTGATAGATAGATAGAAACTACAAATGGATAACAACAAAATTAAAAAATCTAACTAACTCAATTAATTAGGCTAACATTCAATTATAAATTAACAGAAAAATTATCCACAAACTTTAAGATTTATTTTGCTTCAATAAATTTCAAATAATTAATTTAAATAAGCCCTTTTTTGCTTTAAAATTTTTATAAATTTAAAATCTACTTTTTTATAATATAAAAAAGCTTTTCATTCAATTAACAAATAAATTTATTTATATATTTTTTTAAGTTTTACAAAGTTTTTATTTCAAATAAGTTAAGCCTATCCAATTAATTCTTATTAAATGCTTTTCTTTAAAATAAGATTTTTTTGCTAAAAATCTTAAATATTTTATTTTTTTATTTTACTTAGGTATCATTCATCCTTTTAAAATGCTATTTTATTTTTTACTTAAAATCAGGCTTTTAATATAAAATTGTATTTTTAAAAATATTTTATTTGTAAAAATTAACAAAATTATTTAACATAATTGTTAGATAGTTTGATTTTTTTAAAATCTGCTGAGTAACCTTATAAAATGATATTTCTGTAATTTTTAAAAACAGAATCTAATGAATATTAAATATTATCGGGTGGTTGGTGATTCAAATCATTGATTTTAGAAATTTAAAAGTTTCTAACTAAGGATTTGTTTTTTTAGAAATTAAAATAATATCTTGACTTTGATGAGAAATCTATGCATCTTAAAAAAGTTTGACTATTTCAACAAATTTCATTCTATTGAATAATTTATTAAGATGGCAGATCAAGCCACTAAGTAATTAAACTTATGAATGGTGTCTCAAAAATGTACTCTACTTTTTTGGGTGAAAATAAAAATCAAAAAATTTCTTTACTGTAAAAATTTAAAAATGGCTTGCTCCCAATATGAATATATTAAAAAATTCGAAACATACTAAACACTTTTGCCTAATAATTACATACCTTCTTGGATTTGTTTCTTAACCAAATTATATGCACAAAATAATTTTTGTTCTATTTTATTAAAATTGGTGTTTTAATTTTTTGAGCTTAATTTGTATGCAAAATAGAAACTTTAAAAAATTTAATAAATATTCACATTATTTTCTTATAAAAAATTCTTTTAATAAATGATGGAAGGCAGTTTATTTATTGTATTTTAAAATTATGAAATTTATTTATACTACAACAAAACAGATTTATGAACTTTTTTGTACTTTTCAAAATTGTATATAAATAAGCTTGCCGAATAAAGTTTTTTTATATTTAAATGCTGAACATAATGAATATATTTTTTTAAGGATTTTAATATAGAGATTCAAAAAATGCACATAATTTAATAAATAAATAAAGAAAAGCAAGAAAGAAGAATTACATTTATTTTAATATTTTATTGTTATTATAATTATTTATTTTTAAAGTTTTAACCAAAAGTTTTATAAAATGAATGAGTGGTTGATTTGTTTGTATATCAAAACTTTAAAAAAATTAAAGAATAAAATTAGCTTGATTTGTTTGTTTGTTTTTTTGCTGTTTTTTTCTTTTTTAGTTAGTTTGTTTGTTAATTAGTTGGTTAAATAACTGCTAATTAATATAAGCAATTGGAAAATCTTATGTATATATTTATGATTAAATCAATACTCCTTAATTTCATCTCCTTAATCTGTTTGAATTGCTTGAAGCTATATGAAAAATTAATTCTAAGTGTATGGTTAATATATAATCTCATCACTTTATCCAAAAGTATATTTACGAACGTTCTTAATACCCATAAAACTATCATACTCAGATCCCCTAATAGACTTTTAGAACGAACTAGAATTTCTTTTAGCCCTATCTAAGCTTACTACTCCATTTTTAATCTGATTAGTTAGCCTATACATAATAGTATCAGACTCATCAGATATTTATTTTATATTTTTACCAACGTCATCCATAAGTTATTTAATCTATTTTTTAGTTATAAATTATATATTCATTCACCTTACTTATAATAAATATTAGCTTACCTTCTATTTTAGATGATCTATTATAAGTAAATCTTATTTAACTAATTCTTTATTCAAATACTCCATCCCTATCATACTTCTTTAAATTAATAAAAATAAACCTTTAAAAAACAATTTAAAACGATTAATTGTATATACTTATCAATATAAAAAATTATAAAAATTTGCTATTAAAGTAATAAATATTAATTAATTAATAATCATCTAATTGATTTACTGTTTTGATAATTCTAACAACTGTTGCTTTTCTTCGAGTTTTTTAAGCTCAAAAATCATTTTTTGCTTTGTGCCTTCAATTTAAAATTTAATGTTAATAAATCTGTCTTCAAGAGTTTCAATCTCTTGCTAGTACATATCTACTTCTTTAAAGGTGAAATTGTTGTAGCTAGATTAAAGTTACTTGTACAATTTATCAATTTGTTGATTATATTCCTTCAGTTGACTCATTAATCTTTGCTGATTTAAATGATTGAATTTTTCAATAGAAGCTTTAAAATTTATTAAAAATTAATAATTTATTTAATATAAAAAGTCATTTATTATATTTTCAATATTTTACAAAGTAAATTAAAATATTCTATGATTTAAATTTTAAGAATTTTTTCATGCTGAGAAAGAGTAGAAGGTATTTCTTGCAGTTAAGAGTCTATTTTTTATTGTAAATCATTTAAATTCCTCATTTCTACTTCGCAAAACAAATGACCGATGTTCTAAATAATGAAATAAAATCAATTTTTTAATTTATAAATTCATTAAATAATTAATGCATTTATATTAATTTACTCTCCAAAGACTATCCATTTCTTTCCAGCAAAATTGCTTAAACTCCTTGAATTCAGATATTTAGTCATTAATCGCATTTAATTAGTTATTTACAATTGAAGAAGAATCGGAATTTCTTTAAAAGCTAGCAAAATTTTAATTTAAATTTGGAATTTTATTTGATATATTTATGATATTGCTTTGTAGCTGAGAGTATTAAGATTCTTATATTGAACGTTATTTTTCTTACTACGCCTAAATTTCATCAATTTGTTTCTATAATTAAGATATCTATGACTCAAGCTCCCTTTACGATTATGAATTTGATTTGTTCTATTTTTATTATTCTAACTCTCTGGTAAAGTTTACTTCTATTTAAGAAATTCTTTCTTCTAATTTTAACTATTTAATCGCATTTTGCAATTCATTTTACATATTTTCCTTTCCTCCTATCTAAAAGCTTCTATTTGAAGACTAATTAAAAAATGAGTAACCATTATCTTTTTTATCTACTTTCTCTTTCAAGCTTTAAATTGCCTTTTCTTATTGTAAAATCTTAGTCTCATGATCATTTAATTTCTTACACAAAGTGAAAAAAGATTCATTCTTTTAAAACAAATTTGGTGATGAAGAGCTATTGCTCAAATTTTAATCTTAGATTTACCCATTTTTTAGTAGCTAAGAGTCTAATAAATTTAATAATGGAAGGATTGAATCTAAATTGTAACAAACTCTATTCAGATTTTCTTCTAGTTTATCAATGCGGTCAACATGAGATATTGATGTGTTTAATCTAATATTGCTTGCTTAGTAAGTAAACCCTTTTAATAATTAATGCATTAAAATTAAAAAATGTATATTTCAAATGAATCACTTTTTGTTTCTCTTGGGCTTGACATTTAATCTCCAGATATAGTATGCAAGTGATGACCTTTTGAACTTGGAGATTAGTTAGGTGTATGTTCACGTTTTGTAAATTACACAAAAAGATTCTACTATTGTTTATTGTATGGGTTTAAAATCAGCCTATTATGAATATTTTATTGAATCAATTTCTTTCCAGAAGACACTCTTTATGGGGATTTAATCTACTCTTTAGAGCAACTTCTCTTATCTTTAGGTTTAGCAAAGCTCATTTTTATTGACAAATTTTAAAATCTTTGTAAATGTTATTTTGCTATATATTTATGGTTCTTAATTTAATGTGTAAACTTTATCTCTCAATTAAATAATTTATTGAATTAATTAATTAATTATAATTCTATATACCTCTATGCAATCAATATATTATTTTTTTGTTTTATGTGATTCTTATTCACAACTTTTATTCTAAATTCTTCTAATTTTAATTGCTTTTTTGTTTGTTTGTTTGCATTTTGTGTTTTTTATTTTTAACGGTCTAATAAAGTAAATTTTAATGCTAATTAATTAATTCATTTTAAAATTAGCATAATAAAAATTGAGTATTTTATCATCGTTATTATTTGCAATTAAGAATTAAATTAATAAAATAAAATACCTTTATTTAAATTCCTAAATATTTTTAATTTGGTTTTTTATACTTCAAAATATTTTTATATTTTTTTATAGAAATAGTTTTATTCACGTAAGCAATTAGTAATAAAAATATGATTTTAATTATTTGTAAATCATAAAAATATTTTATTTATACTTTAAATCATTTGCTTATAAATTTAAATTAATATTTTATTATTATCTAATCTAAAATATTTGTTTTTAAAGAGTGTATTTTTTTGTTTGAAATCAAAAATTATTTTTTAAATAAAATTATAGTTTAAGAATATTGCTAATAAAAAAAAGTAAAATTTTAAATTTATATATTTTTTTTAACAATGCAATCTTTTGTTATCTGATGTCATATTTGTTTTCAGATGTTATTTTATTTATTAATCAAATTTTACTCTTCAAATTAAACATTTTTGCACTTAATAAATAAAATAAAACTCTAGAAATTATCATTTTTTTTTAAGTTTTATGTAAATAGGAAATATTTTATTGGGGAATACAGATATTTTATTTAAAGTATCTTTTGTATTTTATATATTGTTGTAATAATTTAAAAATTCAATAATTTTTTTTTTTTAGATGTTTATTTAAGAGTTATAAAAATATATTTGACATAAAATTTACAATAAGTTATAAATTAATTAAATCATACTTTAATAAATAAAATATATTTCTGATTTTTAATTTACTCAAATATTCAGAGATAAATTAGCATCTTGAGTATTTTTTTACTCAATAAACATTACTTTCTAAAATACATAAAACCTTGATTGGAAACCAAATTAGGCTCAGAACTTATTATTAAAATAAATTTTATTATTTAAATATAGGTATAATTAGATTATTACCTTGCATCAAGAATAAATTCTACAATTGATTATGATTAAGAAATAGACCTTCCTAAACCTAATATTGCATTTTCGCCGATATTTTAAGCACTAAGTTTATAAATTAAACTAAAATAAATTTTTTTAAATTAAATTTGAATTACCTAATGTCTAAATGAAAGTAAATCAAATTTTAGCTTTACACGATTGATTATCCAAACTTAGAAATACTTAAATTAGTAATATTTCGAGCTTAATTATTTATGTTTCCGCTTTTTTATAACAAATTAATTTGACAATTGGTAAATTTAACTCCAAAAATCAAAAATTGAATAAACTAGATTACGGTATGAAAATTTTTAAAAATCTAAGGTTTTAGCATTTTCCTATGCTTTCAGCAAGCAAAGCAACAGAAATATCAGTAAGTGTCATATATCTATTAAATTAAATTAAATTTATAACTTTCAATCCATAAATATTTAGATTTATGCTTTAATAATAAAGCATTATTTTCAAAATTGTAATTACTTTTAATTTTACTTTATTTTTATTTAATTAATTTTAAATTAATTTAATAAATAAATAAATACCTAAAAGACAATTTGAAGGAAGTAAGTTTTTTACACTAACATATTCCTTTACTGAGTTCTATAACGCCTTAATCAGTTATTGGATTTTCACTAATATTAATTGAATTTAGAAAATAATCAGAGAAATATAATTTACTCAAAGTTTAGATCTAAATCAGAAAGATTTTCACAAGTTTTTATGGACTCAGCAAGCTTTTACGCCCCTAAATGTCCTATAGAATTTCTCCTTTATTGATTTTAAATTTATTGAAAAGAAATGTAGAAATGGATGATAAAATAATACCCAAAGTTAATAGAAATAGAAGTAAGACTATTTAATTTCGCTATAGACTCAGCAAATTAAGAAGCACCTACATCTCCAATTTAATTGCAACTTAAAATTTGTTTATAAGTAAAAAAAAAAAAATTTTTTTTACAAATTGCAAAAATTGTCTTTCAAAAAAAACTAGCAATTCAAGAATAAATAAAATTTTTTTGTTGAATAGTTTATTTAATCTTTGTCATAATTTAAATATTTTTAACAATTAGTAAATTTACAAAATATTTAACTAATTAGTTTGCATAAAAAATTCTATTTGACAATAAATAAAATAAATCTTAATTCTTTGTAAATGAAAGATTTTTTCAATCAGAATTAAACAGACTTCTCAACAGAAAAAAAATTAATATGAAATTAAGAAATATTTTGTTTTAAATTGCTTCTAATAAAAATATTTTTTTACTAAAGATTTAAATTCAAAGAGTTTAGGTTTTACTATTAAGCCAATGCTTTACTAAGATACGATAAGTTTTTATCTCCAAAATATTTTTCTGCAGATAAATTTGGGCTATATTAAGAAAATAAATGATATAAAACTAATATTTTGAGATAAAATATTTTTTTACTAGATTAAGAAATCAAAAGATTTTATAATTTGGTCTTTGGTACTAGAGATTAAATCAGAAAGCTGCAAATAAACTTCTTCATTTTTAAAATCAGTAGTACTTTTTATAATTTCATTTTGAAACAAATGAGTTTTTGAAACAATTATGAAGAATAATTATTATTTAATGAATACTAAAACTCAAGCCTAACTGAAGTCGAACCTTTTTCTGGAGATAATACAAACTTTTGATTGCTTTTTATATAAAAATTAATATTAAGCTATTAATCTTACAAATTTATGCAAAAGATCAATTTCTTTTAATATACCGATAATCAAAAGTGATCAAAGATTGGTCTTAAATCATATTTTTGCTGATATCAAGAAATTATAAATTATATTATTATTGTTTTTTAATTAAAATTTATTATAGTTTAATTTACTTCAATTCTATTTTAAAGTTAAATTTTTTACTCTTGTATTTTGATTTATTCAAAATCGTTTAGAAAATAATGCGTACCAATTATTAATTTCCAACCTTTAATTAAATTGCTTACTTCAATAAAAATATCTTCAAGTTAATATTAATTTGTTATTCATATTAAATTTATCTAAAAATCTTCCAAGTAAACAATTAAAATTTCACAAATAATTTCTAAGATCCCAAAACAAACAAAAAATAATTTACAAAACATTTTCAATTAAAATTTTTGAAAAAATAAAAATGCTTTTTTTTAAAAGAATAAAAAGCATTTATTAAAAAAATAAAAAATCTATAAAAATATTTTATTTAATATTTAGTTTAATTTGTTTATTAAACAATTAATTAACATAAAAATGTTAAATTTATTGAAAAAATTATGATTTTAAATAAAAGTATTTATTTAACTTTACAACTTTTATCCAATCAATAACAAAGATGCTATTATTTTAAAAATAAATTTAGAGCTTTTGCTAAATTACTTAATTAAGAGTATTTAAATGTAAATAAATTTAATCATTGGACAAATAAATAGTGCTTATTGATATGACAAAATAGACTCTTAAATTATCTAAATTTATTTTTAAAGCCAAAAATAAAATTTGCTATATGCTATCGTGATAATGAACTAATTTATTGACATTAATTAAACTAATAATTAGCAATACAATTTTATGAGTTTAATTTATGCAAAATGCTAGTTTGATTTAACCAGAAATATTATCTTTATATAAAATTTTTAATATGTCTAACCGATTTCTAATGAGTTAATAATAACTTCATAAATAGTTCGTGTATAAATTCATAGTAGTAACTAGCAAAATTCTTTACTGAGATAATAGAAAATCTTAGCTAATTTATTTTATTTAAGTTACTTGATAAAGGATTTATATATATTTATTTCTTTATCTAGTTATTAAATGAATAATTTACTAAAGATTTTTGAAATAATTTAATTATTATAAATAGTGGATTTCGGTAAATAATAATATTCTTTGTTACTTTTCTTTGGCTGTCTTTTAACAAAATTTAAGAAAACAAAAATAGAAAATTAACAAATAAATCAAAGCAATTTGTTTACAAGGTGGCAGATAGAAAAATTATAATTAAGATCATTCATTCATTCATTAGCTCATTGATTTATTTATTCGATTAGTTATTGATAATGTAAGATTGTCTAAAATTTGGAATATTAATAATTATCTGCGAAAAAATTTCCAAATAGAGTTTTGCAATTTTTTTGTGATATTTAGAAGATACTGAAAAATTAGATAAATCGCTATTAATTTCTTTATCAATCAAAAAAAGCAAACAATCATTAAAAAATACACCAATCAAATCAACAAATAAAGATATTAGTTAGTATTTAGCCGTGATTCTAGAATCAAATATTAAGCAGAGAGGCAATTCAAGTAGATATATTCATTTACTTACTATAGAGGAGACATACATTTTTAAATTATTGAGCAATTCCTATGATTAAGAGTGCTTCTCTTGGAGATGAAAAGGAAGAGATTTAGCGTTAAAATAGTTTGTCATAAATTATTCATTAGCAAGCTGCATATAACAATAATAATTAAAACATGAATGGATCTAAAACATCCAATAATCAAGCGAAAATTAATACTCATTCTAGAGTTGGATCTAGAAATTTATTATTAGATAACGATAGTTCGAAGGATACACTCCATCTCTAGCCTGTTTCTTTAATACCAACAGCATCTTAGTCCTAATACATATCTTCTAAGCATTTTGAAGGAGAAGAAATGTAATAGATTATTTAACAGAATAATATAGGCGCTAGAGAGGGAGCAGAAGTCAGAAGTAGGCTTTTTTTAGAAAACAAAGATATTTTTCTGCCAAAGCAAGACTTTTCACAAGACGATATTCCAGCTTTCAACGAAGTAAATTTTAGATTGATTAGATTTAATAATGATTGGTATGAAAATAATGTTTGTTTTATAAATACCAAAATAGAAAACAAAATTTCTTTATTTCTCATTATCGTATGAATTACTTAATTAGTAAAAATGAGATAAGTTAAATTTATGCGTGTGTGGTTGATTAATAGCAGATATAAGACAATAAAATGAATACATTTACATAATTTTATAATAAAGGGTGATAACTCTCTTAGACAAAAGCTGACTCCTAAAAGAAACTCTCTTGTGGAAGGGAATTCTCCAATAAGATATAATAACAACAACAATAAAGAATTTTAAAATGATATAAAAACTAGACAACATCATATAAACTCATTATCAGTCACAAAACCAGGTTCAGCCTTAGCTGCAAATACTGCTGTGACTCGACATTAGAAAGAATCAACAAATAACTTAGTGCCATCTATAAATCATATTAGCAACAACAATAATAATCTATTCTCAAACATGAGCCACACAAGTAACTTGATTAATAATGTAGGCAGCACATTTGGTGTGCCTGCTTCGTCAAAGAAGATATAAAGTTAATTAGCTTCAGCATAAAAGATTCCAGCTCCTTCTCAAACATTTATTCCATTTACAGGAAATATTTTAAAGTCGTTTATGTACATCAATCACTTTGCTTGGGCTATGAAAAAAATACTCATATTTTTGCGCCCTAAAACTTTAAACAAATTGTAAATCGACTGCATAAACGATAAAGGTGCTTGTGATTATAACGATTTTTGTGATAAAGATAATATTAGATAAAGTAAAGAACTAAAACATGCCACTCGTTTATGGATAACAAAAAGAACAATATGCTATCATTTTGTTAGGGATCTAAAAAAAAAGTTTAAGTTTGTTTATATAGTATTTTACAAAATGGGTCTTAAACTTTAAAATTTTTAAAATACAATTGATAAAAAGCTACCTTATTTTAATCCGATTAGCTTAATATGGAGATTATGGGATTTTTTTATTTTACTAATAACACTCTTAAATTTTGTATTTATTCCACTTGATTACAGCTTCGGAATAGGGACTGATTTGCCTATAAAGCTAATATGCGCTATTATTTTCTTTTTGGATATATTTAAGCTCTTCAACACAGCCTTTTTTGATAAAGGCATTTTGATTACGAGCAAATAAGTTATATTCTTAAAATACCTTAAAAGCACATTTATATTTGATCTAATCACAGCTCTTAGCTTGATAGTTGAGCCCTTTTAATATACATCATTAATCTTTTTTATAAGGTATTTTTATATTGATTCTCTCTCCGAAAAGGTCAGAGAAGTCCTAACTAATTATCAACAAATTAATGGGCTTTCAAATCTTGCAATACTTTTTCTCACGATTATCTATCATTGCCATCTAATAAGCTGCATATGGTTTTAAATAGGTAAAACATTTATTCAGCATTGTTTTATTTTTTTAAGAATTATTTAAGCATAATTTGAATATTGTATATATTGTAAAAAAACAAAAAAAACGATAATAATAAAAAGGCAAAGATTAGCAATCAAATGGGGATTAAGGATGGCTGAGCAGATATAACTTAATAGGCCAATCAAAAGATGTGCAGTACCTAAATTCTTATTATTTTTCTGTCATTACTTTGACAAATGCAAAAGGAGATATCCTACCTTCTACCAGTAGAGAAAAGATATTTCTTGTATTCTGTTCACTCTATGCTTGTGGTTTAATTGCTTATATCATAAATAACTCTAGCAAAATTTTTAATTAAATCAATAAGAAAAAGACAAAATTGCTAAACCAACTCTCAAGTCTAAATTAGTAAATGAATTAAAAATAAATAAATATTTAATTAATTCTATTTTTATATCAGATATCTTGATCAGCATGAGGTTTCTCCTTCATTGAGAATATAAGCTCAAAAGTACATAGAATACGTGAATAACGAGGGAATGCAACAAAAATAAGACTCTATTTAAAGCTTAAACTACTTAAGCAAGTACCTACAAGAAGAGATCGTTAAAGATGTTTTCATAAAGCAGTTCAAAAAAATTCCCGTACTCAAGTAATCAATCACTACATACATATATTTATTAAAATAACTTCAAATTCAAAATATTTATAAAACTCGTTTCAGCAAATTGAAATGATTTTGCTGAAAAAAATCATATTTTAAAAATTAAATATTATTTTTTTTCATAACTAAAATTATAATTATTTTCTTTAAGATCCTTCCTTATTGCTTATATATTTTTAAGGATATAAGCTGCAATAGATATGGTTTTTGTTACATAATCTGAATTACTTTTATTAATATTATTATTCTCAAAATAAATTGAATTTTAATGAATCTATCTATCTATTTACATTTTAAGAATGTTTAATTGATACATTTTTATTTTAATAGTAAACACTTTGGTAATACAAGTTTACTAGAAAAGCTATCTACAAAGGTTAAAGAATAAGTTTTTGGACCAGGAGAGCTTATAGTTAGATCAAATAGACCGATCATGCCTTGTCTTTATTTCATTGTTTAAGGAGAAGTTGAGGTTTATGTTTAAATTGGTTCATAATAAACAAACAAATCTTAAATAAATGTTTTTAAAGTTTTGAAAAAAAATGAATACTTTGGTCAGGTTGAATTCTTTTCTTAAGATTATACTACTAGTTTATCGGTAAAAGCTAAAGGATTTACTCAGATTTAATACATAACTTTGTATGACTTTTTAGAAATTATTTAAAGCTTTCCTGATGAAAAAGAAGCTTTTTGTTATTTAAAAGATTGTGTTACTTTAAATAATTAATATGAAACAATTGGAATATCATGTTTCTCTTGTTAATCATCCAACCATGTTGTCATGAAATGCCCTTACTTATTTTACCATTAATCAAAAGATAGAATTATTAAAAAGCTAGAGCAATCTATCTAATACCAAATTAAATCGTTCAGAAGATGCATCAAGAGAAAAAAAGAATAAACGCTAGGCATTAAAAAAATAGTTGAAGATAAGGCTTATCTGTTTTCTCAAAATTATGAAGATTTGATTAACACTTCAGTTTATGAAGAATATCAAGATGAAGTTGATTCAGATCAGAAGTCTTATTTCAAACAGTAAACTTGTCCCCAGTTTGAGAAAGAGGAAAGGTATATTTTATTATTTTTAAGAGTATTTTCTTATTATTTAAAATATTTAAAGATCAACATATACTCGTAAAACTTCAAAGAAGTAGTCCTTGAAGCAGACTTCAACAGTTGAAGAATTACCCAATTACATTAGAAAAAACAGCTAAAAGAAGACATCCTTGAAAATGCTGAATCCAAATAGCTTGGAAGAAATACATGAAAAATCATAAATTTCAAGAATTTCACAGTTTTCTAATACTAAAAATATGAGAGGAGAATCTTTAATCAGTGATGAGAAGAAATACATGTAGCAAACAGCACAAGGATCTGTAATTGATCAAGATTAAAGCATTATTCAAAACAGAAAAAGAACACATTCTAATTTAAGTTAAATCCTTGGCTCACGTAAGAGTCCCTTCCCATCTGAACGAGACATGAACAGATCGTAGTCTATATAACTTAATAATAAAAAGCTTATTAATTTGATTTTTTTTCATTAAAAATAGGTATTCAGGATCATTAATTTCTTCTCTTAAACTAAGCGAAGCTGACAAGAAAATAATTGTTATTGAAGAAAGAAATGGCATTGATGGATCAAAGATCCAATAAATACCTGGTGCACCTAATCTTTTTGTTATCAAAGTCAATGAAGGTGATGAATATTCCCTAATTAATCACAGAGCCTACAGCAATATGAATAACGTAACTTCACTCAATACATTTGATCCATCAGAATACTAAAATAGAAGACATAACTCGAACTTCTCGCTAGCTAGCAGAGGAATAGTCTAATCATCTAATTTAACTAGTATGAATTAACCAATTGATGAATTTTCTGAACTAAGACTTGACTAAACAAACCGCATAAGAGAAAATTCGTTCATCCCTAATCAACAAATGGATGTAGATAATATTTAAGGATTCTATTTAACCAATGAAGAAAATACTACTTTCGAAGAACAATAAAACTTCAAACTCTATTTTGCTCACAATAATCTGCAAAACGTAATAAATTAGTCAAATAAGAAATCCGTAAGCCCATCAAAAAATAACTTAAACACTAACTAAAATAACAGGACTAAGCCTAAAAAATCTAGCTACCTCAGAGTAGTCAGTGTAAATAACAAAAATTCTAACAAAGTTCTCAGCAACTAGCTGGAAGTTAATCCAGCCTTACTTCCTTATAATATAAACACAGAAAAAGAATAACTAAATGTTTGATCTTTCACTTAAATTACTTTACCATACAAAATTTAAAAAGTATATAAATAACTCGACAATAAATAACTAAAATTTTTCTATTTAATAAATAAATAAATAATATAATATACTCACTCAACAGAATTATTATGTAATCCAAAATCAATTAATCAAACACCTAATAAAATTACTTAAGTAGTTATTTAGCTAGTTTCTTATTGATTAGCTAGTCTTTTATTTTAGCATAATTTGCAATTTTTCTAATTCAAATATTCAATAAATCAATCAATTAATTATCTTTATTTGTAAATTTATTTTTATCAATTCAAATATATTTTAAGAAATGTATAAAAAATAATTAAAAGTAAATTTAGTTCAATTTTTAAAATTCTATTGATTTGCTGCTTGTTCACTTTACATTTTGAGTAATTTTTAAAATCATTTTTGTTTAAAATAAATAATCTAAATAGATATATAGATAGTAATATTTATTAAATGTAGTTTGTTAGTTTTTTAAAAAAAGCGAAATTTTAATAATATTCTTCTACAAAAAATAAAAACTAGTGTCTACAAATTTTTGTTCCTACCTTTGACGAGGGAAGAAGAAACGAAGAAAAGCGGTAATATGTCTAAAAAATATAATATTGGAAAGAAATTTTTAAATTAAATATATCTTGATCAAATTAAAATTAATTTACTTTTTAATGAATTTTAAATAAATTGATATATCTAAAAAATTTAAGCTATTTTTAGTTTTTATAGCAGAAATTTATATTATTTAGAGTATTATGGAAACAAATTTACTTTAAAGAGAACCATTTACATTTTAAAAAATAAAATCTATCAATCAATTTATTTTTAAATGTTTAATAGTTAATTATTTCTATATTTAAAAAAAATTAAAAAGATGAAGCTGTTTGACATAAGTTAAAAATTTTTTTATCAGATTTGATATAAAAATATTAGAAAGTGATAAAATTAGTTTAAATATGATATAATTTACCATTCATTCTAATATAATTTCTAAAGTATTCAACTATTTAGAATTTAGAAAACTCTTTAGATTCTATTAAAATTTAAATAATTTGCAAGATTTATTTAAAGTGTATGTAAAGTGAATCATTTTGCAAATTAATTGCGAAGATGACAGCTCTATTACGTCAGTAAAAGATTCAGTAGGACGTAATTATGAAATGAAATTTGTAACAAAAGCTGATGAGATTTAACTTTTTTATAATTTCTGATTGAGAGTATCAAAGTGGTAACTAGGATTTATAAGTTTACATTTAATAACAAAAAAGCAAGCAAACAAACAAGCAAGCAATAATTTAATAATTAAATCTTTAATTAATTAATCACCATTAAGGAAAAGATACATAAAATATCAATCAATCAATTAAATTATATAAAAAATAAAGATTTTAGCATAAAATGAACTCAAAGCCAATTGATAAGAACTTATAAACAGTTATACATGGATGGTCGGGAGCACTTGCAGGAGCAATATCAACTTTGATATTGTATCCTATGGAGAATATAAAGACAAGAATGCAAACGTAAATTTATTGAATTATTTTCACAAAAAATCATAATTACATCAAAAATAACATTGAAGATAAAAATTTTTATTTTCCTAAAAAAGCAATGAAAAAAATAGCAATTTAATTTAAATAATCAAGAAAGTGGCTGGGAACGAAGGCATTTAAGGTAAAATGGATAGTTGATTTAAGTTTTAAAAATATATTTTTAATTCTTTTGAAGCAAGTAGAATAATCAATTCAAAAATAAATCCTCATTAATTAATCTATTTTGACTTATTTTCTTATTTTTTAAATAGCTTTTTACAAGGGTATGACCCCAATGCTTGCAGGAAACTTTATATCATATGGAATTTACTTTTACTGGTAATTAGCAAATTAGAAAGCAAATAAAATATTAAATACAACTTATTAATTATTAGGTATTAATTATTTAAAGATTACTTTAATGTCTAACAAGGAGACAATTTATCTTACTTGAAAGTGTCTAGTTTAGCAGGTATAATTACAACAATCGGCACTAATCCATTTTGGGTTGTTTAAACAAGATCAGTCGTTGGAAATGTAAAAGCATTCATTCATACTTTCAATTCATTTATGCATAATGCTCAATAAAAACAATTATAAAAAAAGTAAAACAATGATAATTTCTTAAAGATTATGCTATAAATGATTTAAAAAGAAGGAATTCTTAGTCTTTTCAAGGGACTCTCAGCTTCTTTGATTTTAGTCATCAATCCTATAGTACAATTTATAACTTACGAGTATCTTAAAGAAAAATTATCAGGTATAAATTAATAAATAAATATTTAAAATTAATCAATCAATCATTTTTTATTTTAATATACATTCAAAGATATTTAAATATTAATAATTAATTTTAGGATCAATCAGTTCTTAATTTTTATTGTACTTTATTTGTGGTGCTATCTCTAAGGCTATTGCTACAATAATAACATTCCCTTACTAGGTTATTAGAACATTTACTCATGTAATTCAATTACTTTATTATTATCTTTTTCTAACTAATTACTATAAATTAAGGTTGACAAAGATAAAAAATCAAAAAGCCTCAGTCAAATAATAAAGAAAATATTTGAAGAACAAGGATTTTAAGGTTTTTTCAAAGGTAAATTATAATAAAATGATTGACTTTTATTTTTAATTTGTTCCTTTTTGCTAAAAATAGGTCTTTCTCCCAAACTTATATAAACAGTTTTAAATAGTGCATTCATGCTCTCGTTCTATGAAGAAATTGTTAAAATTATATAATTTTACGTTACAAGAAAATAAAATTTAATGGAAAGAGTTAATTGAGAATATTCACTTTAAAAATATTTATGTTATTAAAAAAATTAATAATAATAGTTTATTATTTTTCTGTATATATAATTTATTATTATTCAATATTTTTAAAAAGAATATTTCACTCTATCAATAAACAAATAAATTAATAATCCAAATAATACATTTTTTTATAAATATATTATAAATACATAAAAAAATTAAATACTTTTAATAATTTATTATTTTTTTAATGCACAAATTACATTTTTTATATACTTCGTATTGGTAAATCAAAATAATTAATTTCGCCAATAAAAATATAATTATGAAGAATTTGAATTTTACATTCATTCTTTCTGATCTCTTTATAAATTTTATTTCAGTTAAGTGTTTTTTAATAATTTAATTATTTTTTTTTGGTCAGTTTATAAAAAATTATCATTTTAATCTTTTTTGTTAAAGATCTGAGTTTTACTCTCCATCTTTATTAATTTAATGTCCAAGAGAATATTCAAATAAAAGTAAGTAAAATATGATCAAGACTTCGTTTTTGGCAATCTGTGGTTGAGATTTTTTGTTACAGCTGCTTGTTTTTAATAATATTATTAATATTTTTGTAATAAAGAAAGTTTTAGAAAGCGATTGTTTTGTCTTTCAAAATCAAAATACTATATAAAGATAACAACAAATAAACAAACATATCTTTTTTAAATAATATCAAAAATATTGATTAAATTCAAAATAAATAAATAGCAAAAAAAAAATGAGTGTTTTTGATTTAGTTTAACCTGTTACAAAAGAGTCTATCTTGGAGTCTTCGCTCTACTTTGGTTTGTTTTTCTTGTTCTAATTTTTAGGTGCCAAATTCTTTCCTTCTATTTCAGGTTATGGCTTTCCAACTCCTTAGAAAACGAGAAAAGATTATGAACTCACTGGATTGCAGATGTTTTTTGTCACTTAGATTACTTATATTGTTGCAAGAATTTTATTTGGATTTTCGTTGGAGATATTGATTAGAAATTTCTGGTCATTCTTTACAGTAGTGAATGTATTTTCTATTGGGTTTTCTATTTTCCTTTACATAAAAGGTAAGTTGAACAAGTCTCCTAAATTTGAAAATACAAGCTTTTTGCCTGATTTCCTTTTCGAATTTTGGTGTGGAATGGAATTAAATCCTACTCTTTTTGGAGTAGATTTAAAAATGTTTTTTTACTAACCTTCGCTTTTAGGCATGCATCTCTTCGTAATCAGCTTTGCTGAGTACCAACACACTCGTTATGGTCTATCAACTTAGATGATATTACTTTAAGTCTTTATTTGGTTATATCTTTTTACTCATTACATAAAAGAAGAATTTATGCTCTCAACTTGGGATATTATTGAGGAACACTTTGGATTTATGCTAGTTTGGGGAGATATGATCTATGTTCCTTTTTGGTATAGCGTTGTAGGATGGTTTGTTGCTGATAGCACTGAAAACTATGGTATGCCCTATTATTTATTCGTGGTTCTTTTGCATTTGTTTGGTCATTTTATTTTCCGTGTCTCTAATTGGTAGAAATATGTATACAAGAGATATGGTAAAAATTCTACTTTCTTAGGTTAAAAATGCGTTCTCCTGGAAGACAGGCTTTTGATTAGTGGTTTCTGGGGTATTGGTCGCCATTTAAATTACTCAGGAGAAATTATAACTTACTTAACTTTTGCCTTGACAAGTAGACTAACAAGTTTTGTTCCATATATATTGCCTTTCTCTTTACTTATTTTATTATCTCAAAGAGCATGGCGTGATGACTAAAGATGCTCATCAAAATACAAAGAATTATGGTAAAAATACTGTAAAATAGCAACTTTCAAGATGATTCCAGGAGTCTATTGAAAAAATAAAGTAGAAGTATGAAATTAAGAATAGATGATTGCCTTTAAATTTCAATAAAAATACTTTTTTTATATTTATTTAGTGATTTTAATTTATATTACTTCTTTATTATTACATTTGCTTCATCGAGTAACTCTTTTGTGTAGCTAACTAAAAACATACGTGTAATTTTTTTTATTTATTTTTTAACAAAGTAATAAGTAAGCTATCTTAATTTCAATTAAATTTACAAAATTTTTACAACTCTAATAAATAATTGTAATTCTTAATAAAACAATTATGATAAATTATTTACTTTTCTCTTTTACTAAAATAATTTAAGATAAAGTAAACTCTGAAAATTCAATAGTAACTAACTTCTTTACAAATTAAAATAATAAATTAATAATAAATTTCTAACATAAAAATATCAAAATTATTATTAAGTATGAAATTAATTTTATTTTATTTTGAATCCATTTCAAAAGTTAAAAGATTAATTTATTAATTTATTTTTTTGATTCTTTATAATTATGTTCGAATATCCTGTGGTAAAAATGTAGAGAAGCTTTTTATATAGATGATGAGTGAAGGAAAGTTTTATGGTAAATTTTTGGTAAAGAAGATGTATAATTATTGAATTCCTAAATAAAGTTATTACAGAGTTGTTTTGACACCAGCTAATTAATTCAAAAAAGGCGTATTTTTCACTCATAAATTTTTTAATAATATAATTGAAATCATTGGGTGCATATCAAAATTTAACAAGATTCTTAAAAATAAGTGAAAGATTATAATAGCGATACAATTGATTATAACTTTTTAAGAAAATTTTAGAAAATAGAAAAATAAATTAGATTAAGCTAAAAAGTTATGGAAATTGAAGAGAAGGACTCAAACTCTTTTGTTTCTTTTGAAGTTAAGAAGAAGATAACAAAGGACAGTAATTAAATAATTGGCATTTATTCTAGTAAAGTGTAGCGTTTGGGTTTATCATAGTTGATATTAACAAATAGCTCACATTAAATTTGATTATTGTTTTTATAAGAAAAAAATGAAGTAAATTTTTGTTATTTTATAAAAAGAAAGCTATAAAGCTAGGACTTCCAAAGATTAAAGCAAGAAAAATGAATAAAATTAAATATAGAAAAACACAAATGTTTAATAAAATGAGAAATAAAAAACATCTTAAACTTAAAAACCCTGCTCATTGGTAGGGATTAGTGCAATAGAAAATGAAGAAAATCAAGAAAATTAGCCTGTAGAAAATTTAAAAGCAGTAGAAATGGAAATAATTCCTATTGTAAGACATTTAAAAATGTAGACGGTTTATATGCTTGCAGGTGATGTTATGGTAGATTTAGACTTTGGAATGAAGGAAGATGAACATCCTTATTGTCAGATATCAGCAATTAATTCTTTTAAGAATCCTATTAAAGTTGAAGTTCTAAAAGAATACATGTCAAATGAGGTTGATTTAACAAATTCATAGGATAGTTTGAAGGAGTTTAGAAAAATAATAGAAATTTTAGAAAATTATCCAGATAAATATGCTCATGATTTTGGTAAAGTGCTGAGACAATATTAGATATTTGTCACAGGTTAGATTAAGAAAGCAGAGTTTTTGAAGAGCAATTTAGATTATAAATCGCTGATTCCAACTTTTGATAAGCAATTTGAAGAATTTCTCGTTGATGCAAGATAGTATTTAAAATAAATTATAACCAAAAATAAATTTCAATTTTATATGATTGTGAGATCTAACGTGCACACTCTAACTCATGATATTGCTAAATTCGGTCTGAGTGAAGGTCTTTGTTAATTGTTAGGTGGTAATGGTGATCAAATAGGGTCTCTAATTTTGAGAAGAGGATTGTTCGAATTTTTTTCAAAAGAAACAAGAAATAACTTTTATTTTTATTACTTAAGCAAGTTTCTTAATGTAAAAGATGTGCAAATTGAGAAGTCAATAAGTCTAGTTACATTAGATGGAATTGAATTGAAAGTAGATTACGAGATGGATAACTACTTTGGTAAAAATACTTAGCCTGACGTTTTATTTTTCTATCCTTTTATGCTCATTACAATCACATTTGATGTGAAGCCTTACATGGTAAAGTAAGTGCTTAACATCAGACAAACACTTGATAATGAGACCCAGTAATATATGAAAGATTTTGAAGAAGACATTTATTACTCGCTGGAAAGTTAGATTTTTTTAGAGAATTATTATGCAGATTACTACGAAAAAATAATGTAAAATAATGGAAAATGCCTTCCAAAAGAAAAGCGTAAATACAAAAAACACCCACAAACAAAGCATCAGCTAGATTTCCGCCAGTAAAATTAATCCGTCTTTTAGAATATAAAACAAAATAGTAAATTGAGGGATTAAAAATTTCAAACCATACAAAACGAAAGTATTAATGAAGAAGTTAATGACTAAGTATAAAACTCAGATCCCAGTTCAAATACTCTTAAGGATCAGCAAGATATTTAAGACATTTAAATTTAAGATAACAATTCTAATAATATGTTAAGTGAAAACAACAATTCCGTTGTTCAAAACAATGATTCTGAAGGTGAATAAAATACTTTGTCTGATAAGCAAGTTTATTAGCAGAATTATAGATAAAATCATAATAGTAACCACCTAAACTAGTATCCTTATGTGAGCTATAATTACACCAACTATGAAAATTTAGATGTGCATAATTTTAATTAAAAGCAGTGCGCGAACTTTGAATAGGCTATCCCTAAACACTAATAAAAAATATAATTGTAAGAAAATATTTGCATATACTAGTCATCCCAATACGCTAATAATGCAGAGAAGCTGGATATTTCAAAGATACCTCAAAACTTAGAGGAAATGAATGATTATTAGCAGATCCATAATGACATTTAATATACTTCAAATTTACTAGACTAATAGCATCATCTAAACGATCTAAATGGTAGTGGTGACTTATTTAAAAGCCAAAATTATTTAAACAACGAGTAAAATTACTCCATATTCAACAACAACCACAACAACAATATAACTTCTTATAATAACTATAACATAATCTAATGAGCAAATCACTAGAATTTTATAAAAAATTTTCATACAAATCCTATTTAAACGAAATTTATCAAAATTAATTAATTAATCAATCAATAAATAAATAAAAACAATTTATTTATTTATGAAAATTTCACTAATATTATATTAAAATAAAAATAAACTATCACATAACATAGATCTCCATCATTCGATTTATTTTATTTCATTTCATTTTGTAGTAAAATTATTATTTATCCAAGCAAAATAAATAACCTAAAATATATTTATTTTATTGTTCATTTGCAATAATCATTCTTTCCTTTTTTAATTTAATTCAACATAAATTTTTGAGTTAATATTTTTTTCAATTCAAAATGATAAGCTTGTTTTGATTTAATTTAGCTAATACGTTTTTAAGTTTTTTAAGGCAGATATTAATTTTTTAATCAAAAATGATAATTTTCTTGATCAGATAGATTCTTTATTTTATTGACAAAATGGAAGATTAACAGATCTATTTTATTTGTAGTAATCACAAACAAAAATGACTAAATCTTTAGTGATTGAATTGTATTATTAGACTTCATACTTTCCATCAACTAAAATCCAAGGAACGAATTATAATTCTGTTTAGGATTCAGTTTTTTGGGCTGCCAAATGCTAAAGAATATTTCCTTCTTCTCCTGAATTGCATTTTACAATTTTCTTGAGGTCCTAAGCAGATATTTTCTTTTTTTAGTAGCACTTATTTAGAATTTTATCGTAATTTACCATTTAAATCTAAGCATATCTTTTAATCTCTTCCTCTACACATATAATTAACTCTAACGCCTTTTTAATCGAGTTAATTTTATTCATAATGCAATTAGAAATTCTATTTCCTTCGCACTCTTTTGGGCCATGTTAGCATCTATAAGAAAATAATTTTGTTTAAGGATCAAAAACCTCTTCTGCATTTCCATAAAAATAAATTTTGATATTTAAATAATCCAAAATTATATCGTCATTCAAAGCTTTTTAAAGAGGTCCCAAAATAAATTGTTAACAATCAGGGCATAAAGCTTCAGAGTATATTTCTAAATCCAATTTATTATTTGAGGAGAAATTTAAATTCTATTAAAATGATTTTTTGATTAAATTCTAACCCTTCAATTTCATTAAAGATTATTGCTTTGATTATGCAAATCGAATAGCATTTAGGTATATGAAAGTCAAAATTATTTAAACATTAATTAAATTCATAGATCTGTTTATTATCTTTAATTTAATTCAGCTTACTTAAGATTTTGATTATAATAAAATTAAACATTTTTTTACTAAATTTAATTTGAAATTAGTCAGATAATATTGAAAAGAAAACATAAAATTTCTTATTAAGAAAATCTAGTTACTAAAATTATTGATGTTCAACCAAAAATTTTCTATCATTTATTTTGTTTATTATACTTCAGATTTACACTAATTTCTCCTACAAAAATATAATTACTGCAAAACTAAATTTAATTGAGAGGGAGGATTTTAATAATATTTTATATTTTTGAAATAAAAAAATTCTAAAATAAATGATGTCCTCAGAACCTCAGCTTGGGTGAATCTAAGGAGTTATGGTACTATTGTTAATTATTTAAGTTGTTTTTTTTTCATTAGAATGTGAGAATAAAAGCACAAAGAAGTTTCTTTATAATCTTTGTCTGTATTAAATTAATTAATAAGAGATTATTTAGAAAAAAGTAGAATTTTTTTTCATTTTTAGTTAGTAGCTTTTTATTACTTTATCGTTATTTCCACTTATTTTGAGTTAAAAAATAACCACACATTTTAAATAATTTAGAAAATAAAGTTTATAAGAGTATACATAATTAATTAGTTTTTTGAAATTAATGTAAAATTATAATGTAATCAAGTCATGTGATTCTAATTATTTTCTCCTATTAAATTATTCATAATAAAACTAAATAAATTTATTTAAATAATAATTATTGGCTAAAAATATAATATACTATTGATTATACGAGAGTTAAGAATAGTTTAGCTATAAATTAAATTACATAAAATACAATAATTTTTCAGAAATTGAAGAATGAATAAATTAATATCAATGTGGTTATTTAGAAAAAAGTAGAATTTTTTTTCATTTTTAGTTAGTAGCTTTTTATTACTTTATCATTATTTCCACTTATTTTGAGTTAAAAAATAACCACACATTTTAAATAATTTGGAAAATAAAGTTTATAAGAGTATACATAATTAATTAGTTTTTTGAAAGTAATGTAAAATTATAATGTAATCAAGTAATGTGATTTTAATTATTTTCTCCTATACAAAGAGAGTTATTAATAGTTTAGCTATAAATTAAAATACATAAAATACAATAATGTTTCAGAAATTGAAGAATGAATGAATGAATGAATGAATTAATATCAAGTGTGGTTTCTTTCTTTATTGCATATATATATCTATATTGTAGGATAATTTGATAGATTTTGATTTTTTTCATGAGGTTAATTAAATATTTTAAAAAGGGAGTTTGATTAATAATTTTTTAGCTGTTTAATTGACATCTTTTTTTTGAATAAAAACATTTTCAAGATGAAACTAATAAGATAAGAGTAACGATTTTAAGATTGAATCCTCAGTTTTATAAATGCTAGATGAGTCATCTAGTGTATAAAAATTTTATATATATTGAAAATTTAAAATCATTAATATTGTTCTGAATGTGCTATAATGATCTACATACATCTTATCTAAGAAGTTGAGATATTCACTCTTCATTTTATTTATAAATTTTTTGCATGTAAATGCTTTTGTGTAATAGCATATTTTTTATACACTATTGAGTTTTGAAGAAGATTAAAAATCTATAAATTTAATCGTAACACAGAATAATTTTTCAAGCATTTGAGAAAAGCTTTTATAGTTTTATTTGATTTCTTCTTTATGACTATTTCGATAAATAGCATTAAATAAATCACTAAAATTTATATTCTCATTATCTACAAATTTATAATCTGGACTTCCTTAAAAGCCTTCGAAATCAAATTTCAAAAAGCTTTCTATTGCTAAAAACTATTGAATATCTTTTATACAAATATCTTAATCTTACTGTAAATTATCAAGTTTGAAGCCATTTTTATAAAAAATAATAATGTTTTGGGGTTTTATGTCTCCATGGAAGATGTTGCTGACATGCAGCGATGTTACTGCTTCTATTATTGTCAAGCAGAGGAGGAACAAAAAAAATCTGTTCTTAATTGTATTTTTCTTAAAAAATGAGTAGAGAGTTTCATCACCTTTCTCTAAATAGAATTCCTAATCACATTTAGAATAGTAATAAATGTTTACTAAATACTCATTTTCCATCTATTAAAAAAAGCGTAACTCATTAAGGAAAGCTGAAGGATTAGTTACTTTCTTTCTAATTAATTTTCTATCTTTTTAGTCTTTCACAATACAAACATCACTATATCCTCCTTTAGAATAATCTAACTTTTCATTAACTTCTTAAAATTTAAAAGAAATGTAGTCAATATTAAATATGTATTTCATTATATCTTCCTATTTCTCCTTTAATGCATTTGGTTTGAACAACGATATTTCGATTGTTTATTAATTTGGGTAAGTTAGCCATTAAATTAGTTAATTAGGTTCAAATGGTTGAGTTTATTATTATTTTTTTTCATCATAAGAAGTAGTAAGTAATTAATCATCCACTTCTTATTTATCACTCACTTTTGAATAAGGTTAAGTTAAATATTAAGAAACTGTAGTATTTAAATCATGTGTAGTTAAAATTTCATTTCTCATTAACATTTATTTATATTTTTCAATAAATAAATATTTGGTTTTTTTGTTTGTTTAATATATATCTATATATATATATATACTAATATACGAGAAAATAAAGCAATTTTTACTATATTATCATAATAACATAAAAAAAATTGAATTTATTACTGTCTTTCTAATTAATTTTCTATCTTTTTAGTCTTTCACAATAAAAACACACTATATCCTCCTTTAGGATAATCTAACTTTCCATTAACTTCTTAAAACTTAAAAGAAATGTAGTAGATATTAAATATGATTTCTTTATATCTTCCTATTTGTCCTTCAATGAATTTGGTTTGAACAACGAAATTTCGATTGTTTATTTATTAATTTGGGTAAGTTAGCCAATAAATTAGTTAGTTAGGTTAAAATGGTTGAGTTTAATATTATTTATTTTCATCAAAAGAAGTAGTATCTTCTTAATCATCCACTTCTTATTTATCAGTCACATTTGAATAAGGTTAAGTTAGATGTTAAGAAACTTTAGTCTCTAAATCATATGTAGTTAAAATTTTATTTTTGATTAATTTGAAAATCATTTATTTATTTATTTAATTATTTTTTTTTAATAATAAATATTTGATTTTTTTTTTGTTTAATATACTATTCAGAGGATAGATAGATAGATACCAAAACAGATTTTATAGCATAAAAATATAAATCGAATTTCATTTACATGAAACAAGTATTGATTCAAAAATTATTAATAATTAAAATTGAAATGAATTTGTTTATTTATTTAAAATTGGATTTAATATTTTAAAATTATTTTTTTTTGTGAAACTAAATTTTTTTTAATTATAATTTATTTTAATAATCGTTCATTTATTTTTCATAATTTTATTAAACTTTTTAAATTTTAATTAAAAGTAGAGATGCAATCAATTAATTATGATGATTCAGGGAACCTATCTTAAGAAAAGCAGCATAAAAGGATTAATTATTTGAATGATAAACAAATAAAATAAATTTATCTGAAATCTTTAAAAAGTCTGATTTCCAATCTGGATGAGCTAATTCAAAATCTTTAATCTAGAATGTTTAAAAACCATAATAAGTAGGAGTAAATTAAATACATTTCTGATGACAATTATTTTCCAAAAAAATATATTGAACTTACCACTGCTGATCTTGACACCATTAAAAACCCTGACAAAGTGATGGAGTCTATATAAAAATAAAAGAATGACTACGAACAAAGGATGCTAAATTTAGAGTTAACCTATATCATGCTAAACGATCCTGTTTAGTAACTGGTATTCATTTAATATTTTATATAATTAATCTTATGTTTTCTGGTTTCTAAGAAAACAAAAGGCTATAATAAGCTAAATGAATGAATAAATTAATCGATCAATCAAATATTAATTTTACATCACAAGCAATCTTAAAGAAAATGCATTTTAATTAATTACAAAAAATAAATATAATTAATGACTCTATTTTATATTATCATAGGTCTTTGTAGATATTATACAGAAGAACGCCTTTTCCAATATTTAATTAAAATTTATAAAAGACTTTGTTTGCTAATTCAGCATTTTTAAAAATAACTAAAAACTTAATGAATAATCTTAAGAGCTAGATGTCAAACTTCTACTTAGACATCTAAAATTAGAAAAATTTGATAAAAGATAAGTTATTTTTGAATACGGTAATAGACAATTTTTCCTAATTTGATTTGAGTTTGAATTTAATTTCTTTTGATTTTAATAAACAAGATCATTTATTTCCCAAATTTATTATGGATTATTCATTCCATTTATTTATATTTTTTTTAACTCTTTCTTTTTTATATTAACACATAATATATTATTTTAGGTGAGCTCGGTTAGAAGTATTATATGTTATTAAAAGGAAAAGTGCTCTTATTTATTCCTAAAGGTATCGAAAATGACACTCAAACTCAATATGTTAAAGTAAACTAGTTAAGTGAAGAGGAGCAATATTATAAAAAAAAATTTCCAAATATGTTCAACAAAAAAAAAATAATTCCAGGTGAATCATTTGGAGAAATATCATTATTAACTAATTAAACAAGGTATTTTGGATTTAATTTATTGTTTAGCTACTTTAATATCTCATTTATCCTACCAAGTTAAATATAAAAATTCATAAATCAATTTAAATATTAAGATTAAAAAGTAATATAATTATGCATAAATAAATATAGGAGAAGTGCTGTCAATATATTATGAGGATTTGTTTTATTAGTTTATTTTAGATTTAAAATTAAATGGATTTAATCTTAAAAAAGCTATTTAAAATATTTTTCTTTAAATTACTGAAATTATTTGAAATTTGAAATGTTTTAATTGCAAAAAAATATTAATTTATAGGACTGCAACTATGGTTTGTGGAGAAGAAAGCTGGTTACTTACTTTGAATAAAGAGGGTTTTGATAAATTAATTGGACATATTCATACTTAGTAAGACTTAAAGAACACACAATTTCTTTAAAAATTTGAAATGATTTAATGCTTATCGAATAATAAGGTTCACTCAATGCTGCATAACATTACTACTTAGAAATATAACTACAATAACATCATTTATACAGAGGGATAAGAAGCAGATAAAATTTATTTTATAAAAAGTGGTGTTGTGGAGATCTCTAAATTGTCATTAATTTAAGAAACTAACCAGACTATTCCTAATATTCAAGAAGAGTTTGAAAGTGATATCTCAAAAATGAGCCAAACATTACAGTCATCATAAAAACTATAAAGACTCTACTCGCTAAATCGAAACAACAAAATAAATGACAAAATGTAGAAATATAAAAGAGTTAAAATAGCTATTTTAACAGAAAACTCTTATTTCGGGCATTAAGAGGCAAACCAAGATATCGATACCAATCACACATAAACAAGAAAATATTAAGCTAAATGCATAAGCGAAGAATTAGAGCTTATGGTCATCTAGAAAAAGGTTTCTAATTTTTCAATTTTTTTATTTTATTAAAATTTAAAAAAATAAATTGTTATTTTATTGATAGATCTTGCTACAGTATTTAAGCAATTCGAAGGATGGTTTATAAGTCTTTTTTAGCACATAGCAGAGATAGATTTAGTGGAAAGATTAAAATCTGAAAGAATAAATAAAAATTTTATCTCTTGTAAAGCAATAAAATCTACGATCAAGAAAAAGCGAGTCTAGTTTTTAAAGTTTTCAGTGTAATTCATATAATAACTTCGAATAAAATTTTCCTGAACTTGATGAAGAGAGCAGTTCTAAGCTGAATGCTTAACAGAAAAGGCAGTTTTATCTTACAAGAAGAGATTAAAATAATACTCTGACAAAAAATTATTCTTTAAAATCTTTTTCTTAAGAAACATCAGCTAGCAATTAAGGTAAACTATTTGAATTATCTGAGAGAAAATCACTAAGGAATAATATGAGTATGTTTTTTGCCAAATAAAATAAAACTCAGGAATATGATTAAAATTATCCTTAAATGCTATTGAAAACCCAGCAAAACTATTCAAACGATGAAAGAAGCACTAAAAAAATACACACAAATCTTTAGAGTCTCGAAGGCCATGATTTTTATAATCCTGATAAGCTAGAAAAAACGACTTCATTGTTTTGCTAAACAAACGATAAAAATATAAAGCATTAAGCTTAAAAAAGTAATATTTTTAAATTCACAGAGGGAGAATAAATTGACACAAGTTTACATGCTACAGCAAGTCCTAATTAAAATGATAAAAAAAAAAATTCAATACAAATTAAAGACTTTTTGAATAACGAGAATCAAACTACAAAAGAAACCATTTCATATTAAAATAATTCTCTGCAAGAAGAAGAGGAAGAAGTAGATGGTTAAGTACAAAAATCTATTCATAATAAAAGCTAAATCGATCAAAGGAAATTAATAAAAAGTTGTTCATTTAAACAAAAGTTTAAGGCTCTTAATATATCAAACTGTAATCCAATTAAAAGCAACAGTTAAATATACTAATAGTAAGAACCGTGTGATCAAATTGTTTCCCCTCTTGAAATATAAAATAATTTGAAAACGACATATTTGCAAAGAAAAAAGAGTAACTTTTCTTCAAGTGATTAATCAACTCCTTAAACAAACAGAAAACAGGATTTACTTTAATCTATTTCATAAATAGGAAAACAACATAAATAGCAACTGTAAGAAACGATCATACTGGTTGACTCAATTCATTTTGATAGTAGTATTACTAGTACATAATAGAACACAAATAAAGACTATTTCACAGTATCGAAAAATTATGGATATATTTCAGATAGAAGAACAGGAAATACAAATATAAATACAACTACTACTAATTATGATTCTGATATTAGCAAAGATTCACCATAAAAAGCTATTAGTCCTTATTACTTTTATACTACTACTACTAAAAAGCAAAATATCAAATAAATAAATTCTAACCGCCATTAAAGTTAACAATTTTAAAATCCATCTGCATAATTAAGCTATTATTACAATAAAAACAAATCGATCATTGAAACTAACAATTTAGATCAACACCAAAATAATACTTAATCACCACAGTCAGTGTAAATACTAAAATCTTAGTCATAGATTTAATAGGATATCAATTCTTAGCAAGTATTTGGTGATTTTAAGCAATATTATGCTAAAAATTTATATTATATTACATCACTTAAAGAGTAAATATTCGAAACTATAAGCAAGTAAAGTCCTCCGTAAAATAGATAAGGCTTATTCTATGATATAGATTTAGATTTAAAAAATTCTCATAATATCAAGAAACAAAAGCTAGATGAAAAGTTTGGTTTGACATTAAGAGAGGATCCCTAGATTTCATTTTAGTAAAGTTAATGTTAAAATAATTCCATTTAGTAAGCAAAGGTAAAAAATTCCTTTAGTATTAATAAAAATTAAAGCAGTCAACATTAATGCGAGAATTAAAAAAAAGAAAAAATATTTAGTGATGTCGTGACGTAAAACATAAAGTGTAATGTTATAAAGAATAGAAAAACTATGTTCCATATACAACTAAAAGACTCTATTTAGGAAATAAATAATAACCAACTTCAAGATTATAGTTAATTGAAAGCAAGTGATCAGTAGTGTTAATAATAGATAAATTAATTGTCTTAATTCCCAATCCTCTATGATAATACTAAAAAATTGTTAGATAAGCAAAAAATATTCCCTCAAACTGCAAGATTAAATCTTTAAAATATTGAAATAGCCTAACACAAGCAAAATTTTTCCAAATCGCCAAGATGAAAATAAATAATTTGATGTTAAGTAGACTCAAAATGCTCAAACGAATGCTTCATTTTTAACACAAAGAAGCGCATACATTTTAATAAAAAGAAATACTTTTTTATTTTACTACAAACATTACTTTGTTTATTACAATTGTACATTCACTTAATCATAATTATATTCAACCAGCCTTTTTGTTTTTAATGTTTTTTTAACTTTATCTATTTTAATTTTAGTAAACTTTAAATCATAAATTACATTATGCTTACTAAAACTTCAATCTTAATAAAATATTTTAACAATTAACTATTATATGAATTGAAACTTACATAAAATACTTATTATTATAACCTTGAATCACTAATATAAATAAGAAAATTTTTTTTGATAAATTTAATTTTTTATATTTTTGACAATTTTTAAATGTCTTTAGAAACAATCAATGTCGTCAACACTGTAGAAGCTATTTAGTATTAACTTATTCACTAATATTTAGATATAAATTCAAATAAAATATTTTATTCAACAAACTAAAGCTTAGTTTTTTTAAATCAGTATGATTCTTATGTTTTTTTTTTTGAGTTTTTGTTTAATTTGCGTTTTAGTTTATAAAATTTGCTTATTTTGATGAATAAAAATATTTCATATCAAATAATGACGAAGTTAAAAATAATTTTAAATATCTGTAAATTAAAATATTTATTTTAGAGTGAAAAGCATTACTTAAGACAAAAAATATATTTTTAACTTTGGTAAACGTAGAAAATTTCTAAGAACAATTTTCTATCAAGGTTAATCATAAACATCAGTAAATTAAAAATAATAGCGTGCAAGATTGGAAAAAGAAAAACTGAGGATAATTTGAAGAAAATTAAAGTAAATTTAGAATTTATCACACATTCCAAAATTTTTCGAATTATAACAAAGATGAAATAATAGTTTTTTAAAAGCTTCTTTGTTAAATAAAGAATAAAAATTTAAGTCTTTGAAGAAAAGTCATTGGAATATTCAAAAATGTATTAATAAAAAATAAATAAATCTCAAAATATAAAATCTATAAAAAGAACTAGAATCAAGCAATCTACTATTTTTATCTAAATTTAAAAAATTTTTTTTGCTTTCAAGCAAAAGGTAGTAAAACTGTATAAATTTATGTATTTGTGGAAATAGAAAGAAGTAAATGACCAAGTTAAAAAAAAGGTGGTTTATCAAAAGAAACTAACAAAGAAATAAACAAGCAAAATATTCATTCTTTTTTTGTTTTTGATAAAAAAAATGTGCGCCCCCCCGAAATCAGTTCAATTGATGTTAATTAAATATATAATCCAATTTTATAGAAAATAATAAAAAGATAATATAAAAAGTAATTATTAATAATCAATCACACAATTTAATCAATCTAATTATTTATTTTTATAAATTATCTATAAAAAACAAATAAAAAAAATAAACATCATTAATTTATATTACTATAAATATCATTCAGATGGAATTAGAAGCTGATTATTTTGATAGCAATTAATTTACTGATTCTTACAGTACGCATCCTGATAAATAGGATAATTATAAATACTACCCTCACTTCTAAGAAATATTGCTTCCTGAGGCTGTACATGAGTTGTAGATGGAATACGAATTTAATGAAAACTTTCTCATTGTGTAATAAGAAGAAGATATTTAATAACTATTGAATTATCCTAATAAATAAAATTAAAATGGCGAACATTTGATTGATCCTAATCATATAAGGGATTCCCACTCTCTTTCGTAGTCCACAATTAGCAACTAGATTGGAGAATCTTCGATTAACTATTTAAATCAAAGTACTTTATTAGATAAGAAAATTATAAGCTAGACAGATTTACTCTCAAATATAGATTGTATTTCTGAGTAGCTAGCAGAAGAACAGCGAGAGCTTTAAGAATAAGAGAAACGATGTATTATTTTTACCTAAAACCCAAATAAAAGCAATGATAATACTGAAAATAAAAGTACACATACAAAATCTAATGAAAAATACATAGTCAAGTCTATTGTTGCAGTTGATTTGACTAAAAAGCCCAGTAATTTTGAATTTAAGTACGGTGAGAGACCCTATGTTATTATTAATCCTTTATAAGGATTTTATTTTATATCTGGAGACGTTTGCATTATGAATACAGTATTAAAGAGAGAATTCACTCGCTTTTCTGAACTGAATTCATTTAAATCCCCTGTGAAAACTTATAGCAATGAAAAAGTTGGTACTTTAGAAGTAGATCTAAACAATAAGAGAAGTGGAATTAAAAACTTTCAATTTATTATAAACAAATTGCGTTCTTACTCAAGCTAAAGGTGTTACTCCTTCGCCTAGTTGCTCGAGAAGTATCAAAAGTTTGTTGACAATCTACAAGAAAAAACTGAAATCTTATAAAATGAATAGAATATGCACTTTTTCTCTAACTATTTAGACGAAAGCTACGCTAATTTTCTTTAAAAGTGTCAATAAGTTTTAACTAAGGTTGCTGAATAACATACATTCTATTCTTATACTATTAATAGATTGAATTTATTTAATTTTGAAATGGAAATGCGTAAATATGGTTACTCAGAAACCCTCTTGGCATTACTAGGATTGGATGTTTAGTAAGCTTAACAGTACATATGGAGAAGAGGACTTTTCGATTATATGGATAAAGCTAACATAGAGGATATGCTTTACTAATACATCTCATATACTATTGGTGAAGGCAAACCTTAACCACATGAAGTAACTCTGCATACATTTGACGGTTTAGAAGTAATGGCAGTAAACAATATAAAAATATTCATGAATGTTGACCCTAAAAATCCATTCGTTGGCTATAATGAAGTATTACTAATAAATATATATGACGTAAGCTAAAATATGATAAAGCAAGTAATGGAGCTTAGAAAATAAAATAAGGATAAATCATTTAAGTATATGAGGGAACTAGAAGAAGATTTATCTTATTCTATGGAAGCCACAATCTTCCTCGAAAAATACTATAAAAATGCTACTTAGAACTTTTTGCCCTCTAATAAAAGAGCAGGTTATAGATTAATTAATTAATAACAAAACAAATAAGAATAAGAATAGTAACAAGCTAATTGATTCATTAAATTTACTAAATTATTAACTAACATATTATTTATCAATTAAAATGCAATATTTAATTATTAAAATATCTGGTAAAAATACTTTCATTGTCATAAAATGTTTACTAAATAAACAATTTATATTTTTAGCTTTCCGAAATTTCACCAATTTTAAAAACTCAATCAAATTTTATTCATTTTCAATTTAAAAAACAATAATTAATTATGAAAGATCTTAAAATTTATTGAAAAAAAAGAATTAAATTTTATCAAACCCTTAATTTTTTAATAAATAAAAATTGTAAATTAAGGTTAACATCACTTTAAGCTTCTTTTATTTGTTAGTTTTTATAATTTAAAAACTTTTAGAAATACTCTAAAAAAGTATGCTAAATCAAATTAATCATAATCAAGACAAAATTATATTCAAAATTAAATAAAAAGTGTTTAAAAAATAAATATAAAATTTTTTTATGAAAAAGTTTTTATATTTTTTATGTCATTTAAATTAAATAATGTACATTTTACTGTTCATAATGCTTATTTAATGGAAGGATATTAAAAAATAGGATTATTTTAGATTGTTTTAATGAAGTATAAAAAATAATAAATTTGGTTTGAATTATTAGGTTTTATTTTTACTTTCTAAATCATTTTTAAATATTTTACTTTTAGTTAGTACAAGATAATAAGTATTATATTTTTTTATTAATATTTATTACTAATATATTTATTAAGAAATTTAATTTTTTTTTTAATTTATTAAATACTAATTTTATTACCCAAAAATGCCTTTTTTAGTAATTAAAATGATAAATGTATTGATCTGTTTATTCGGGAATTTAACAAATTTATTTGTTAATATTTATTTACAGAATTAACTGAAGAAGTTAACCAAAACATATAAATCAATTATACGCTTAAATTTAAATGTTATATATTTGCTTAAAATAATTTTTCTGCTATTTTCTTCATTATTCCTTCTTAACGTTCTAATTTTATAAAATAAATTGATTAATTAAAATTGATTCTAAGCTTTTAGATGAGTTTAATTTACATTTCCTTCAAAGAAAGCAGAAGAAATAAGTACGAAAGATGTGAAGAAGAAACCAATCATACAAACTATTCCCAAGGGAGTCATTAACATTTCCTTCAAAGGAGGTACAGTTCTACCTTATTCTTGCTTAACTTCTTCCTTAATTTCGATCTATTGATATTATTAAATATTTTATTAATCTTATGATGAAATTGTTTTTATAAAACATCAATATTATTTTAATCCTCAAATTCTTCTAAATAAATTTAAATTTATAAATAATATTTAGATTGTTTGAACTGTATCAAAAAATATAATTTTTATTCGTTAGCAATAAAAGTTAATAAAATTATTAAATAATTAATAATTGAAAAAGATTTTCATTTCTATCAAAAATTAATAATTTTAATTTCTCATTGGCTTTGAAATGAATGAATTAATTAATTAATTACGTCTTCAAAGTCTTCTTCAATATCTGTATGGTCATTACGAACAATAATTTTTTCTTATTTCTTCAACTTCTATTCTTTTAACTTATTTAATTAATCGGCCTTCTTTCTAGCTTCATTAGCATAGTTTCTTTCCCATTAAGCCTTAAAGTTATGGAGATCTTCAAAGTCAGTTTCTATATAAATCAAATAAATCAATATATAAGGGACAATCAATTTATATTCAAAAAAATAATGCTAAATAAACAATAAATATAAATATTTTTTCTTTAAAAATAATATTTTATTAAAAATAAATAAATTACAATCTAAGCTGCCAGCATAAACGACTATGCCGTGAATAAATGGATTATCATTCTATGTTTTTTCAAATGAAATGTTTAATTTTCCATCAACAATGCCATTATTGCAAACTTGATTCTTGTAGTAAATTTTTCCATTTTAGTATTTAAACTCAACATACTCGTCATGAGCAACAAACCTTCCTGCTTTGGCAAAAATATCGAGATTAGTAATAACTCTAGTGTCACCTAATTTGACATGGAAAACTCTTCTTCCTGGTTTATCAAAATACATTTCGCAGAATTTCAAAATCAAAGTATAAGTTTATTCAATATCAAGTGCTAATTGATAACCAAAACTGTTATAACCATGACGTTCAGTCATGTAAATGGTTGGTTCTTTTGCATACTTAATAACTAATCCTTTTAAATTCTCGTCATCACTATAATCAACGGCATTTGTATCTTCATCATAGCCTTAATCCTAATTTTAAATTAGTTTTTAATTTCTGTATTTGAAGAATAACGATGGATGGATTGATTGATTGATTTGTTTAATGAATTTACTCTAGTATAAACGAATCCCTCGACTGATCTTTTTGCCATATGTGAACCAGCATTAATAGCATGAACTACCTTCTTTGCAACTAAAGGTCTAGCAGAGATAATTGAAAGACCTGCTATAACTATTAAACTGATAAAAAATAAATTTTTCTATGAATTCATCATCATCAAATTAATTCTTAATTATATTTATTAAAAACAAATAATTATTTGATAAAAAATATCTTTATTTGATTGATCATTTGCAATAATTATTTATTAAAGTAAATATATTGGTGAGAAGTATATTCTTTCATTCATTCATGTTTTTTATAATAATTAAGCTACGAAAGAAGAATTATATACTCAATACGCGTGTTTTGAAAATATTTATGTTATTTTAAACATTTTTACTTTAATAAATAGTCATATTAAATAATAAAATATATTTTTTCAATAAAAAGCTGTAATTTATTAACACATTTATGTATTATCTATCATTTTTATTCAAAAAAAAATCGAATCTTAATCTGTTGATCTTAAAGATTAGTAAATGCACATGAATTCTATTACCAATATCAAATAAAATTGCAAAAAATTATACATATTTATTTTTTAATATTTTAAATAATTCAACTTTACTATCAATTTTAATTATTGAATTATTATTAAACCAATATTTTAAGGGCTTATTTTAATTTAATTAAAGTAACTTAATTCTTCCTAATCTATTTTTAGTAGCAATATTTTTTATTTATTAAAAAGAATTTAAAAATGTTTAGTCTAATTAAAAGAATTTTATAAAATATTTTAAACTAAAATGAGATTAACATTTATTATTTTAATTCTAATAAAGTATGAAATGTGAAATTGGGAATTATGGTTTGACTGCTTGCTTTTAATATTTCTTTTCTTTTTTTAGAATGAAAAATTTTTGAATATTGTTTTTTGATATTTATATAAATTCTGCAGTTTAAAAATTTAAAAAAAAATAAATAAGATATTATCATCAAACTAGCAGCACATACCAAAAAATTATTAAGAAAATATTAAACTTTCAAAGATTTATTAAAAAATATTTGTAATAGGTTGATATAAAAAATTAAAAGTGTAAACATATTATAATAAGGAAACAATTTAGGGCTCATATAAATAAAATTGAATGAGGACATTTGCTTTCATAATCTTGTCATTATTTCTTGCAAGTAGTGCTTTTGCGTTTCTTGAAGTTGCATTGTAAAGAAAGCAAAACGAATTGAAAATAAAATATACTGAAATTGCACAAAAATCTAAATAAATTAAAACTTGCCAAAATGATATTTTGAAGTATAAATACAACACTACAGTTATAACTTAAATGTGCTATCATAAGGATTTAGCCTTTACTATTGAGTCTTTGATTGGAGACGTAAATTTCAATTATGAGGTTGCTGCTATTGCAATAGATCTCCATTCACCATTATCTTGGCTTAAATCATCTAAATGCTAATCATGTCCTGAAGAAACTCCTATACCAACTTTTAAAGCATCATAAGTAATTTATTAATAACTAAATAATTTCAAACTTTAAACATATTTATTTATTTAACTAAACATTTTTCTTTTAATCATTTAAACATCAACTATTAAATATAAAATAGAATTTGACTTGTTCAAATAGCTGCTTGTTTGAACTCACTTAATCAAGCTATATTATCACAAACAAGTACAGATTTAACAAACGTGGGTCTATTGTATCAAACAACATGTATTTATATGGTGAGTATATATCAAGCAAATTTTCTTTCTTGGCATATGACCCTAAAAAGAAGAAATCTATGTTCAGATATATTGAAGAGTAGTTAAAGAAAGACACTTTTGAAAAGTATGAAGACTTAATCACTTTCCCTAACTTAAAAATGATAGGAGCAGAAAAGATGATTGGTACTAAATATTCTCTTAAAAATTAATTAGTTAATAGTTATTTTTTTTTAATATCAAAGGGTACAAAAACTATCCTGCAGATGGTGCAATCGGATTAGGATTAAACAAAATTTATAAAGGCGATACTAAGGTTGAATAAAATACTGATATTATGGAAGCTTTGAACAGCTCAGTTGAGCAGATAAACAATAGAATATTTGGTATTTACATAAATGAAATTGGTGATATTTTCAAAGATTATGTTCTTATTATGGGAGGTATAAATGATAAATATTCACACAAGAATCTAGAGGATATCTAATATGTTCCAGTCAATTAAGAAACTTCTTATTATTGGAGTCTACCTCTAACTGAATTATCTTTCAACGTACCTTCTGCAAAGGTAAACTCTTAAGGACTAAGTGAAGATTTTAATGTTATTAAACCAAAAAAATAAAATGCAATACTTTCTTTAAGCACATCGTTCATTGCCTTGCCTAAGGACGAACTTAATTAACTTATTAGTATCATTAACCGTTATGGGGAGTCTAATTGCAAAATTGTTGATCTTACCTACTTTGCTGTTTATTGCACCAATTTCCAGTAACTTTTAATTTATATTTTTTAATTATTTTTGATAATATCTCTTTTATATCAATAGCACTGAAACTTTATAGTTGATGGAAATTAGTTTAAGCTTTTAGGGTGGAACAAAGCTAGTATTAGATTACAAGTAATTATAGAGACAATGTGATGTTGATGAAAATTATTAAAAGGAAAATCGTGATGATAACGATTGCTTATTAAATATTTAACTTTCTCCTACTGATAACATAATTCTTGGAGAACCATTTTTGAAAAAGCATTACACTATTTTCGATTAAGAGTAAATGAGAGTTGGATTCTTACCTGCTGCTGATAACACCTATTGGAGAAAGGAATTTTATTAACCTCCTAGTTTTATTAAGTATAAAAGAAAAAATAATTCTTAAATAAATTGATCATACAAGAAAAACCTAAAATTAAATATATAAATTTTGATAAAAAGGTATCTCATTAGAATTGTCATTGCTGTGTTCACATTAGGTATGTGCTTTATAGTTTGCATCTCTTAAGTTACAAGATTCTGCAAGTGGTTCAGAAGAAAGTGGAGAGAAGAGGATTCTGGTCATTATTCAGAAAAAGTTTCATTTGCAAGACATAAAGACGAAATATCATACGACGATATTGAGTTATCAATGAGAGAATAAGCTATGAATGAATTAAAGAAATAATAATTTGAAGATACCAACGATTTTGCAAATACTCAATTCTAAGAAGACAGTAGCTCTCACATTGATATTCGTGATTATGAGGATAATTAAAATATTAATAAAAATGCTGATTTCCCTTCAATTCCTAAACCCCGTGGTGCCCAATAGGCTGATTTAATTGAAGTTGAATAAGTCCAATCTTTTGATCATGGATTTAATTTTGTTTAGACAAACAATCAACCAAATAACAACAATAATAGCCAAAATAATAATCAAAATACTAGTAACAATAATAATAATGGTTTTGAATAGCATGAAGATATTTCAATTTCTTTAGATGATGGTAACCAACCTAAAACAAATAACAATAATTTTTGAACTTGTTTAGTCAAAATTAAAACAAAATTTTGTAAATAAAATATTTTTTCAACAGTCATTTAATTAATTAATTAATCCATCCATCAATCAATCAATTTATTTGCTGTAATTTATTGAAATAATATTTTTTTATTTAAGATTATAAAAATTGCTTTCAAAAAAAATATATATGAAAAAATAATAAAATTACTATTAATTAATTGTTTTGCTTAAATAAGATAATCAATCAATGTCTTATATTTTTTATCAGAAAAATAGTCAATTTTTATATTTGTTTGTATCTTTTTTTGAAATATTTTGAAGGTAAAAAAAATTTAAAAAATACAAATTTTACAATTATTTACTTATTTATTAAACCACAGATTAATTCTAACTAAAATGGATGTTTAGCAAAAGAGAAAAGTTTATAACTAAAAGTATTTGAGAATTAAAAAGATCAATGAGGGTTCATTTGGCAAAATTATCCTCTGCGAGCTTGTTGACTAAAAGGGTTAATATTGTGTATTGAAGAAGTTCAAGGTCACCTAATAGAGTGTATAAATAAATATTCTGATTATAGTTTTAAAATAATTTATGATATTAAAAGGCTATTGATGAGTTAAGTATAAAGGAAATCTATTACATGAAAAAACTTGATCATCCTAATTTAGTCAAAGTAATTAATAATACTGGTTTTAAATTGTTAGCCAATTTTATCATTTTTAAATAACAGTCTGATGATATTTTCAAAATTAAAAAATCCTACAATGGCTAAGATTTCTTCGAATAACTTTACATGCATCTTCCTTATTATTTGGAAATGTCAGAAGTCCCTAGAGAAAATTTATCTGTAGAAGCAATCAAAATATTAATCAAGCAATTAATTGAAGCTGTTCATTTCCTTCACCAAAAGAAAATTATTCATAGAGTATTTGCTTAATTATTTGGATAAGTTTTTGTTTATTTAATACATATAATAAAAAATAAAGGACATCAAGCCCAGTAACATATTTTTAGACAAAACTGGAAAACTTTTATTAGGTGATATGGGTATTTCTAGAGATTTCCCTGAAAATAAAGACTAAGAATTAACAGGAAATACAATCACTCGTTTGTACAGACCTCCAGAAATTCTATTTGGATGCAAAAAATATAATGAAACTGTTGATCTATGGTCACTTGGTTGCACTATCGCAGAATTTTTCATGGATCACAAAAAATACTTCTTTTAAGGAAAGAGTGAAATAGATCAACTATGTAAAGTTTTTGAAATTAGAGGTTCTGCTAATGTAAATTATCTATTTATTGATATAACTCTAATTTCAATTATAATATCAAATATATATTTAAAAATCAGGAATAGAACTGGCCAGGCTGTACTGAGCTCCCCTATTATATGGATTTTGGAGAATTAAATTAAAAGGACTTAAGCTCTTTACTACCAAAAGCTCCTAAAGAATGCATAGAAATAATAGACTCTTTGCTATAGTTGTGTCCTCAAAAGAGAGCTAAAATCGAAGATGTAAATAAAAATAATTATATTTAAAATTAAATTAATAACTTAATTCAAAACATTAATTTATAAATTAGATTATTTAGAATAAATGGCTTTAATCAACCACTGAATAAGGATTTTAAGAGCTAAAATAATTTGCTGAAAATAATATATAATCTAATATTCATAAAATTTTACATCCTCCTGAAAGATTTTGAATAATTTTAATTATTTCATAAAGGACTTATTTCAATTAAATAAATTAAATTGTTTTTACATTAAATTTATATTTTCCCATCAGTAAATGCATTTGACTCAATAATTAATTATTGATTTTAAATTAATATTTATATAAACTGAATTGAAATAAAAGCATAAAAAAGCATTTCAAATATTTAATGTTTTTATTTATCAAAAAAAATAATTTGAAAAACTTAAGTATGTAATTTAGAAATTTTAAGTTGATGTTATATTTGTAAATTATAAATTACTCTAAAATAAATTAATGTCAAGTCAAATAAAAGAATTTGTTTCAAAAAAAAAATAAATAGAGAATTATTAACACACACATTTATTACCAAAAAAACAAATCTTAAAAAAAAGAATGAAAAAATTAAGGAACTTTATTTAAATCAAATAATAAAGACTCCACCATAAATTAAAATAAATTTTTAAAAAATGAGTGGCTCGGCGGAGGTCTCACTATGAGGATTTACTTTATATTTGTAAAAGAAAGTGATAAATAATATTTATTAAGTTGGAATTAGTGAAAAAAAAGAAATATATTATAAGGTAAATTACTGATTAATTGTATCTTCTATTTACCAAAATTTCATAATTTTTTAATAGAAATTATTCTAAGATTTTACTTTATTTGACTTGGATATCTATGGATTATCCATTTATCACTTTTAGATTTATCTATATCCATCCATAAAAAATTTTAATTTAAATTATATATTCCTAATTAAGTCACCAGCCTTTACAAATAATCATTCTAATGGGTACAATTATAGATAGAATAGAAGTATTTTTTTTTAAGTATCTGGAGTTATAATCTTGAACAATTTAATATCTAGTCAACCAAATCCATTAACCTTGAGTCATGATAAAAAATTAAAAAAATTTTTTTTTATACTCAAATTAAAAAGAATATTTTCACACTAATCAAATTTTTAAAACTTGATTCAACCTCTAATTTTTACGTATTTATCAAATAAATATTTGATCCCCTAGGTACCCAGTTTAGATAATTTTCACTGTATTTTTAAAAATTAATTATATGCTATCTAATTTATTATTTATTATTCATCTATTTTTTTAGATTAAAAAATATATTTAAACTTGGAAATCATACTATAGTATTTTAAAATTGAAAAGTATTAACTTATTTTTTGCTTATATAAATATTTAAAGATATCTTAGAAATTTTGAATTAAAATAGATATTTAATAGTATCTTTAAGTCTGTCTGTTATATGAATTTATTATTGAGAATCTAAATTTTATTTGCTGAAGATTTCTTTTGTTGCATAAGACTGTTTAATATTTTTTATTTAATTAATAATTCATATCTATCTAAATAATTACCAATAAAAATCATAATTTTAATATTTATCAAGTTTATTTAGCAAATGGAACTAGTATTTTAGAAAAATTTCAATAATGTGAATGATGTGCTCACAAAAATAGGTTAGCCTACATATAAGAGTGTAAATGAAATTAACATCGAATAATTAGATAAGCTAAAAGGCATTAGATCAAAATAATCAGTATTATTTAACCAGCGATTCTTAGAAAATAATGAATCTATTGCGAACAGGGTCAATAATGTTAGAGTTAGAGCAATTATAAGTGGCGTAAATTTAAATCTGCGCTATAGGTAATTGCCACACCTGATTCTTTATTCAGATGAATTGAGATAAAGATATTCCTAATATTTCTGGGATTATGAACTCATTTTCCGTGCAGGAATATTTGGAGTTGCTTATCTTTTGAGTGAATTACACTATAAGTTACTTCAATGGATTTTAAAGCATGGAATTAAAATTGCAGACAAAATCGTAGGTTATTTTATAGACAAAGATTCTATGAATAGGTAATGGTTCGGAGCCTTATTGATATCTTATCTGACTTATAAATTTTCGAGTGGTATTGAAAAATATTTTGATATTTACTCAATTTATTAGGGATATAAGCTATATAGTGATGATTTCTAATCAGACATCAGAAATTTTAAAAAATCAATAGATTACTTTGAAAAGAGATAAGAATGAAATTTATTTATACTATAAGTAATTATGTCATGCATTTTTTGATATAAATAGAATTTCATAGTTTTTAAAACTATATAAATACTAAGATAAAAAATTAAAATTTATGAAAGTTTAATATTCTAGTTTATTTTTAATTTTTAAAGATATTCAATTATATTTCATATAAACTAACTAATTATCTCCCATATAATTATTTTTATAAGTATTTATTTTTATTTACAAAATTTAATTTGTAAACTATATAAAAAATTATAAATATTCATTAAATTTATTTTATTTTTGCTTTGCTATAATTTATTTTTCCTTCTGATAGATAATCAAGTTAACAAACAATAATTTTTATCTATTTTTAATAAACTTTTCATATTTATTACTTTTATTTGTTATATTTAAATATAAAATTTACATATTTGTTAAATAAATTTTAAAAAAATTAGTTCAATATTTATCTCCATAACTATCTTAAAAGGATATTAAGATAGAGATAATATTTTATGTAAAAATGTAAAAAGTATATTTAAAAAATAGAAAACAGGAAAAATAATATATTATATAATAGATAATATAACAATTTTAAGTATATATTGACTAAGTAAATTATATACTGGAAAAACAATAATAATTTTTATTTTATTTTTTTAAATTATTTTTAAAAATATAGTTAATTTTTTAAAAAATTTAGAATTTATGAATTTATTTAGAGGGCAAAGTTGATAAATAGAAGCTGTATTTTTTTTAATTAAATTATTTTAATATTTAAATAATAAATAAAATTTAATAAAGTTACTTGATTTTAAATAGAATTTAAAAAAATAATAGATTTAAAATTCTTTCAAAGATTATTTAGTTTTTTTTTTCTTTACTAAGAGTAAATTCTCTTTGCTTATTTATTTAAATAATTTATCTAGATTATTTTGAAAGTTTTATCTTTATTGATTAATTGAAAAAAGTTAATAGAGTTAAGTTTAATTACAAGAATATTGTTGTTATTGCTCCTGCTAATTTTTAAAATAATCATATTGATTAATCTATAAATTTATCAGTCAAGCAATATTTTTTGTTTTCAAACAAACATAAATATTAAGAATTGTATGAATATATTTTTGTTTGTTAAATATCGCAGTTAAAATTTTTTAAATCATTAATATTTAATAAAGATTTGATTTGAAGGAAGAAAGGTTTTAAGAAAATAGATAAACAAACCTATCTATATACATTAAAAATGAATAATAGCTTAAAATATGTTGAGTTTTTATAAAACTAAAGTCAGACAAGCCCTTCTTTTAAAAATCTTAGAATAGAAAGTGATTCACCAACAGTGAGCAACTACTTTTAATAGATGATAAATTCTTAACAATCTGTTGGAAACAAGATTTCATCATCAGAAACTCCAACTATGAAGAAAACATAATCTTTTAAAAATAATTTTTAGGTTTATAAAATAGAACAAAATGAAGGGTATTTAAATTAATAAATTGACGAATAAAATGCAATAATGGAGCTAGAATAAGATTTAAAAAATTAAAGCGAATATTAAAAAGTAAATGGGTAGGTAAAAAAAATGAATGTCTTTGAAAATGAGTAATACAATTTGGAAAGTGTGGATGTTAAGAAAGAAGATTTTACTAACAGTTTTTCAGAATTAAAGCAAAGTAAAGAAAGTGAGCATTTTTTTGAAGATAACGATGCAAACGATATTTAAATTCAAAGCTCTACTGATCACAGTAGAATTCTGTAAGAATCAAGCTAGAAAAAATAAAGGTATCTTTAAGGTAGTGATAATAGCAAATAGTCAAAGATAGAAAATAAAAAAAGAAGATTTGATTTAACAAAATAACTATTTTACGATAAAGATATAGAGTGCAAATACAATCAAAATACAAATTCGTATAGTGGAAATTGTTCCTTGCACAACTAAGAAATGTTTCACTTTCTTTGTTTTTCTTGCTCTGAATTGCTTTGCAATGAATGTGTGAATATTCATGTGGGTCACCAAATACAAACTATTGAAAATTCATATCCATATTGTAAAAGAAATATTCAATCTATGCTGGATATTTTAAATTAAAAAATAGAAAAGATGCTTATTCATTCAGAAGACTTAACCAGCATACAAAATGATGTTATTGAAACTTACTAGCAATAAAAGCATGAAATAGAAAGGGCATATAAGGCTCTCATTTAGAGTATAAAGGCCTAGTCCACTGAGCTTCTAGAATATTGCTCTAAGTTGTACCATGAAAACTACGATTACATAATAAATTAGCACTACAACTTAAGACAGGAGTTAAGCAAAATGATTGAATCTTACAGGATAATAGAAAAAAATATGGCAATCAATGATCAATTCATAACATGTGATTATTATTTGAAAAAGATGAAACTCATTAATTCAATAATTAATGCTGAGAAGGCAGAGATGAATTAGTTTTACCAATCTTCGCCTTCGTCTTCTTTTTATTTGTTTAATATGAATGATTAATTCAAAGCTATGAATGTATCTTAGCTCTATCAAAATAGTAGACTCAACATTAACGATTAAATTATGACTCATTATTTAGAAAGGGAGTTCGTATAACTCAAGATCAACTTAGGCAAGCTAGATTTGAAGGTAGAAAACTAACAAAATATGATGAATGAATAAATAGAATTAGAGGATAGGAGCACCAGCAGATTTAATGCTGAATCTAATTTTGAGAGCCCAGGAAGCAACAAAATTTAAACAAAGAATTATTTTATGAGCTTACAATCTTCACCTTAAAGTAGATAGTCATTCAACTAAATGCAAAATCAAGTTTCCTCAATATAAAAAAACTAAATTATGAAATAAAGTGACTTAATTTTTCAAAAATGTAATAAAGTGTAAAACTAAGACAATTTAAGTTAACAAGGTTAACAATATACAAGAACTTTCCTTCCAAGCCATATTTAAAATAAAATATAATAGCTGAAACTGTTTGATAAATCAAATCATAGCTAATACTATATAAATTCTAGTAATTAGCAATAAGAAAATTTTTTATAAGCAAAAGACTTGAATTAGGTATGTGAGATGCAGTAAAATGTAAATCACTTCAACTCAACTGCCTGTATCTTAAACAGTGAACCTTATAACAATTAAGTTCATTAAATTACATCAAATTATAAAAATTTACCATACAAAGACAGACTCAAGCTAGAGATTAAAACATAAAATACCTACTTGAACGCAAGCAATATGACAAACTTAAGCAATAACAGTTCAAGAAACATCATAGCAACAACAAAGTCACATTCTCCAAATAAGTTTTATTTGGGAGATAATTCAGAGTAGAGAAACTCTCTTCTCTCACAAAATAAAGAATCAAAAATAATTTTAAGTTCTCCTAACTAAGAGAATCCTTTACTTTAAATTAACTCTGAGAAAGCTGAAAAAGATATCTCTTCAAGAGATTCTTTTGGATCTAATAAGTAGTACAATTTGTTAGATGATAAATAACGTTTAAAATTAAGTATGAGTCCAAGACTAGACCTAAAGCACGATCTTTTTTCGATAAGCAGAAGAAATAAAAGTTTTATTCTACCTGATTAGAACAAAGAAATAAACGGAGTCAGTAAATATAACAAAGAGATTGAAGAAATTAAATCAATATTATACTAAGAACCATCTTAGTAATTTAAAAAGACTCCTCGAAACCAAAATTTTCAACAGAATAAAATGAATTATAAAAATCAATCTGAACTTTCTCCAATCAGCTCTTTGTTTGTTTAGAATCCTTCAAATAGAGATTCTGATAAAAGTTATAATAAATGTTTAAATTAAAATGATAAAAACTCATCCTTCATCAGCAAAGCTATAAGAGAAGAGAGGGACAAATCTCCTAATTTCTTTTAATACAAAACTTTATAATAAAATTTTAATTCTTAAGCAGATTCAGTTCCTTGTCTTACTCCAAAATGTGATAATATTGTAGGATCTCTTTACAACTAAGCCTAAAATGAAAAATTCCTGAATTCTCACTTTTAACTAGAAGGGATTTTGAACACAATTGGCAAAACAGACAATAAATTCAACACGTAAAATGCAACATCTAAGGTTAAAAACCTAAGCAACTTAGAGAATTTAATTCAAACTCACCATAGCTCTTCAAATCTATCACCTAATTCTTAATCTTTCTTAAATTTTTTGAGTAAAAATAGTACTCCTATCAGCAATAAAATAAGCTAAAAGTAGTCAATTCGCTCGATTTCAAATCATCAATTTGAAGAATCTCCAATAAATAAAATTCAAAAAGGGAAATTGACTGAATAGCTAGTTTAAAATTATATAAAGCAAAAATTTTAAAATTAATTTGTTGAAAACAAAAAAGAGTAAAGATGAGTGAGTAGTTTATTTACTTTTTCATACACTATTATACACTATTCATTAACATGTAAAATAATAGTAAATATATTAAAATCAATACATAAAAACTATAAAAAGATATATTAAAAATAATAAGTGATATAATTAACAATAATTAAAATAATTTAAAAAATATATTAAATTTTATTTAAAGGTAAATTAAAGAAATGTATATACAATTAATTTTATTAGATAGAATATAATTCAGTATTTATGAAAATTACTTATATTAATTAATTAAAAAACATTGAGTCTACTGAATATTACTTGCTTCAATATTTGATATACCACTATAAATACGTTTTATTTGTTTGTTTAAATATTTTTTTATTTCAAGTTTTGGCTTTAAGCTATAAATTATTATTTTATTTAAATTTGGAGTAAATAAGGTTTTTTTTGATAAAATAATAACAGTAAAATTGTAATATAAAATTTTTGATCCATTAAAAAAGAAAATTTCTTAAATTTACTAAGAGTTTGGTTTTTATAACATCTTGCTAATGTTATTTAAAAATTGCCTTTAATTTTTATCAAAAAGAAAAAAAAGTAATGCTTGATTAATAAAAAGGGATTTTTTAGAATAAATAAATTTAAAACTAACTAAGAGAGATATTTATAATAATTGGTTCATTTATTCATCTATTTTATAATATTGACTAACTAATTAATTTTAAAAATTATTAATCTTAACTTTCACAGTTTTTCTACTAATTTTTATTCTTAGTGTGCTAATAAAATATTTATAGAAAAAAAAGCAAACAAAAAAACTTACAAATAAATAAAGAGAAAAGTGAGTTATTGTAGGATCAGCTGGAAATTTTGATTTGAAGTAAAAATTAATAGCATTTATTATTATTTTGAAAGACAATTTCTTTTAAAATTTTTATAATAAACAACTTCAAAATGAAAGAATTTAAACAAGTTAGCACCTTTAAAAAGCAAGAGGAAAAATTAAAAAAGATAATTAATTTTTGTCTTAAATTATATTGAGAAAAATTAATTATTATACCAATTTAGTTAGAAGAAACAAACAGTCTGTTAGAAATTAATTAAATATTGCTTGTAAAAAATAAGTATTGCTCCTTGTTTATTTGATTGATAGCTTGCTTTTTTGTTTAGTTTTTCTGTATAATTCAAAAAAATCAATCAATATACTAACAAATCTCCAAAGCAAAGTTTAGTTAGTGAGAGATAGATAGATAACTATTTGATTGAAATAACATAAACAATACAAAAGAAAAATTAAAAACAAACTATAAAAACAAAAAGTAATACTATTTGCATGCAACTAATGCAGGCTTAGGGAATGTAATTATATTAAACTGCTGCTTAAAATAATACTATGACTCCTCATAATGGGTTTTAATATTTGCTATAAGGATACAATAATCTACAATAACTCCAAACTGCTCAACAGCCTGCCATTATGTCTTAGCCATAGATGTAATAATCAACTTAATAGTAATAATAATATTTGGCTCTTTATCTTTAACAACAGCTGTAATAATAGAGATAAATGATGATTCCTCAGTAGTAATATTAGATGATGTACTAATTAAATTAACAACCCTAGATCAATTCTTGTTTCAACGCTTAGATCAATTAAAATCAACATTTACTTCCTACTTAATAATCATAAACATAAATACCCAACATGATGTATAATGTATAGTCTACATTCAATTATCCTATGTACGTTTAGCCAATTATTTCATAGTCAAACACTGCCTAGATCTAATACATGCCAGTCACTAACCGTACGGAATCTACTTAAAATGTAGCTAAGCCTTTTGATAATTTAACTAACTTAAATTTAAATATAATTAATAATGGTAATAATGTACTTGACTAGATCTCTCTTATTTAAAAAGAAAATTTATAAAATTTAAATATTTCAAAAGCCTTCCTAAACTAAATCTAGACTGAAAACAGCAGCAACAACAACATAACTAGCATTCTTGGCTAAGAAAATCAGCTTTAATCCTTAAACTCAGAGAAAACCTTTAATAAAGAAAATGTATAAACATTATTGAAAGAAAATATTGTATTAAGTCAGACTTATAGTCTTATTTAAAAAACTTGCTAAGTTTCTATGTAAAATGATTGCGATGAATTAGCTAAACCAAGCAAAGCTACTTTTAACAATTACAGTGAAAATTAGAATTTATAGCTTTCTAAAGAAAGCAACAGCGCTAAATCTTTTTCTAATAAGAATCCAAAGAGAGGATTCCGTTTAACTAACAATGAATCAAAAACCCATCAGATATAGCAGTTTTCTCCTTCGCTCTCAGATTCCCCTCTTGAAGCGGAAAGAGAAAAACTCAAAGGCAGAAATCCTCCTCTTATTTCTAAGCCAATCAAAAAAATGAGTAAAGATGGCTTGTTTACTGAAGACAAAAACAGTTAACAGAGCGACAATCTGAATTTCTAATATATAAAAATTTAAAAAATTGATAGCATCAATTTCAATTTGGATGAAAGCAGATCTAAAAGCGATACTAAAGTTCTTATAGACAACTCTATTAAATATAATTTTTTTAAGGATAGTATTAACATAGAAAATACCAATCAATAATAAAGTGATAACTCTTAAGATTAACTCAACTTAAACAAAATCTCTCACAAGAAAAACCAAAATTCAGAAACCAATTTGCTTAATTTGGTCAATGTGAAAGAGGTATCAAACTCTAAAATGGATGAAACACATGCATCTGTAGAATAATCAGTAGAAAGCATATAAAAAGATGAAAAAGAAATGCAAATGACAGAAATTGATTAAAATCACTCTTCCAAATAAAATTTAAATTAATTTGAAGCAAATGAAGAAAAGGAGACAGTAAATGCTAATGAAAATAAAATCGATATTGAAATGTTTGACAATATATTTTCTCATGATTCTGAACATAATTTGAAAATTTAATCTTGCTCTCAAAGCCAATATTCCCCAGAGAAGAATAACAGTGAATCTCAAGAACACGAAAGCTAGCACACTAACGATGCTGAAAAAGAGACTCCCAAAAAATAATTAAGAAGAAAATTAAGAGTTCTTAAGCAAAAAAAATTCAAAAATCTTGGCAGGAAAAACAAAGGTAATTTATTTTCTAATTTACTCATTAATCAATCATACCATTCTATTTCTTAAATTTTTATCAAAAGAAAATAATAAATTATAAGGCTTTTTTTAATTAATTTATCTATTACCTATAATATTATAACTTTTTTAATTCATTAATTTTCCTCTATATATAATCCTTTTCATTGAACTTAAGCAAGATGTTCCAATTTATTCTAAATAGAAATGAATCAGATTATAATATTTTATTTACTAATTTTTAATTCCATAATTCAGGTTAAAGTATTTTCAAAGAACTCCCTAACTTTTTATTTTTTAATTTCAATTTAATAAAAGTATGTTATATAAGTTATAAGAGGGTTGTCTTCTTAAAAAATTTGAGAGAAATAAAATATAATAATTTAAACTTTAGCCATTCTAAATAAAAATATTTTATTTTTATTGCTAAATAGAGTATTTATATTTAATTATTTTTTTAATAAAATAGAAATTAACAGTGAGCCTATATTGAAAAAGATTACAAAGAATAAAGAAGATAGCTTTAAATGTCCTTCAAATATAAAATTGGAAAATGTTTTACCAACTAAAACAAGAAAATAAACTCAAAAAATATATAAATCATGTGAAACATAATACAAAGAATAGGCTCAAGAAACTTAATAATAGTAAAAAGAAATTGATAACGTTGATACATTCTAGGAAGCTACTCAAAATATAATGAACTAATTTGAAAAATATAATATAAAAAATTTAAAGCGCGATGAAGATCTTATTTCAGAATTTAAAACATTTATGAATAACGCTCGTAAAAATGATGAATATATAAGCTAATTATTAAATCCAGTTGAGTGTGATTTTAGTGATAACTTTATTGAATTTTTAAGAGGCCCTGCAATAAAATGGATTAAAAAGAATGTGGAATAAAGTAAGTAAGGAGTTTATTATCAACTTATAAATCTCTTTAAATCGGAAGACAGAAGTTCCTCCTCTCTTAGACCTCGTAAAACAAGATCTGCTTACTAGCATTACTTTTGATAGTTCTAAATGATTTTAGTTAGATATACATACATACATACATCTATCCATTATTAGAATAAATAATACTATTTCAATTTATATAATAGATACTACCTACCATTCTTATATAAAATACGCATTTTAAAATGATAAAACTAACTACATATTTCAAATATATCCTTCTTATTATAAATCATGCTGTAGTAATTAATTACTCATCCATGAAAACTACTACTTTTCTCACAAAGTTAGTTATAAGTGAGTTATTGTAAGTTTTTTGGATTGAATTAATTGCTCGGTTGGTTTAGAAATTAAGGAGAGTCTATCAATAATCTTAACTTAATTATTACATCCAATATATAGAAATAAATAGATCATATAAATAAAATAGTTATTTTTAATTTACCTACCTACATACCCATCTACCTAAAATATATAATCATTTTAAAATAATTAACAATTATAATAAATATCATACAACATATCAATTACTTACTTTATCTATAAATATATATATAATTTAAATACACACTTAAATTTATTATCAATCAAATTAAAATTAATATTAATTTATATATAAGTATTTCAAATATAATAATTTAAACATTTTAGATTAAAGTTAGCTTTACTTCTCAATTAAGCCTTAAATAGTTCAATAATTTTAATTTTTTATCTCTTTAATAATTATTGTGCTGCTTTAAGTTTTTATTATTTTTGTTACTAAATCCTTTCTATAAAGTTTAGAACTTTTGTTATATAAACATAGATCTTGATTATAAATTTAAGCCTTTTATATTATCTTTAAACAACCTAAAAATTTCAGGTGATTTTTTACTTTTCTTGATTGATCTATTTTTTTTAGATAGCCAATTTATATTTAATAATCAAATGCAAAATATTTATTGAAATCCACATTAGAATGTTGTTTTTTAGTAAAATTTATGAAAAAAAAAAAGTCATTTTTAACAAAATCAACAATTTTAAAAATTCTTTAATCATATTATTTTTGTAAAAAGGTTTATTAAATTAAAATCTTACTCGTTTATATCTTTTCTATAGAATTGATAATGATATAATAAAATAACTACACTTATAGATTCAAATTTGATATGTGTTAAAAACCTATATTTATTTATGTAAGTAAATATATAATATCTTCATCAACACTAATTTTATTATTTGCTTGTTAAAAATAAATAAATAAATGAACTTAATATACTTAATAGTTTATATAATCAATGGCGAAAAGTAACATCTGCTTTTTAAAAAGATTTATTAAATAAGATTTTTTTTATCTTATGATTACATAGTCTTTTTTATTGACCATGCTTTGGAAAAAATTGGCTTTGATATCTGCTTCTAAATGCTTGTTTGTTTGTATCTTGGATTTTTCTAATATGAATATTAAAAGATTATTAATAACGAAATTGAATGGAAATCAATCAGAAATTAAATTAGAAACGTGAAATCTATTTATTTAAAATAATCAAAATAATAAATATTATTATTGAAATTATCTATTCATAAAATAAATGAGAGTAGAAATTTGGAGATTAAATCTTATTACTTGTTTCTTTTTTAAAATACTTATAAAAGAAATATATGGTGCAAATGCAGCATGTGCTACTGCGAACACCTAAGCATTATGCTAAAATGCAGGAGGATGTAATGGAGTTTGGGATAATACAAACTTAGTTTGCTATGACTGCACAGTAGATTAGAATACCTGCTAAAATAATTGGTAAATAGCAAAATTGAATTTTATTCATAAAAATTAGGCATTAAAAATACAAAAAATATTAAAAAATTAGTTTAGCCAGCCATAAATTTTAATCTTGCTGATTTAGTTTTTAATTCCATTTTATTTAAAATATTGAAATATTAGTTTGAGAAGATGGATCAATGGTAGTTGTGTAAATAAATGCACAAATGCCTAAAATCTAGCAGATTGTAATGCATGCTATGGCTCTTGGAATAATTTAGCAAATCAATGCTATGACTGTATGCAAGACTAATCAACATGCAATGATGTTTGGTATTATATTTAATTTGAAGGAGGATTGCAAATTATCAAAAAATTATAAATAAATAGTATTTTTTATGACTTGCTATTAGAATTTATTTTAAAATTAGTATTTTAACATTCTTTTTTTTCACTTAAATATTGAAAGATTCAATTAAAATGAAGTTTTTCATTCAAATATTCATAAAATATTTTATTTTAAGTAATCGTTATTGGATAAATGGATTTTGCTGGGATTGTGATGGTAGCTAAGTTACTTGTTTAGATACTAATAAATGCAAAGGTGCATGGATTGCAGCTTCAAGTTCTTGCTAAGTATGTTGGCCTAACTAATCATATTGCAATGCATGTAATAGGTTTTGGGATACTTCAGTAGCTCCTCCAACTTGCATAAACTGTTAACAGGATTAGACTACATGTGAAACTGGAGCCAAATGTAATGGCTATTGGAATTCTAGTACAAGTTTCTGTACTGTTTGTTCATTGAATTAAGCGAATTGTTAAGGATCTATTTGTAATGGTACATGGAATTCTGTTACAGGTACTTGCACTAACTGTAACAATGATTCAAGGCAATGTGGATTATGGTAAAATCTTTATTTTCTTTTGAATTTTAAAATTAGATTTGAAAAATAACTCTCTTTTATATAAACATTTTTTTAAAATTTAGTTTACACATATTTTATTTTACACTTTATAAAAATTTATATGAATTTAAAGAATAATTAAATTAAATATAAGAAAATAAAACAATTTTTAATTTATTTTACTAATATTTTAAAAATTAGAGATTTTAAAGCATTAATTTAAATCTAAAATATAAATTAACTTTAAAAATATTGTTATTTTTTCTTTAATAATTAATTGATGGTTATTTAATTAAATAATTATCATTTAAAGAATTAATTTATCAATAACATTTATTTATTAGTAATAAGAACTTTCTTTTTGGATAATGTGTTGATTGTAATTCAGGATATAATACTTGCACAAGTATTACATATTGTAACGGGCAATGGGATACAGTAAACGCTGTTTGTATAATTTGTAATTAAAGTTAAACTATATGCTAAACTACAGGGGCAGGTAACTGTAATGGTACTTGGTAAACATCTCCTGCGCCTGCAAGATGCAATAAATGCTAAAATAGTCTAACTGAATGCACAAAATGGTAATATTATAACAATAAATCATCCAATAAATATCACTAACTAATTTATTATATATATAAATAGTGGATTAAACTGGATTCCTGGAGTTCCAAAATGCCTTAATTGTAGTTAAGATTAAGCTACTTGTTAAAATACAGCAATTTGTAATGGAGTTTGGAATTCAAGTACTAACACTTGCCTAATATGTAATTTAGACGCTGGTACATGCTCTTCTTGTCCTTTATTAAGAACTTGGGATCCTTAAACTCCTAGTTCTAATTTATGCTTAAATTGCTACAAAGATTAGCCTACATGTACATAATGGTAATAATTAATTTAGCTTGTTTAATAAAGTTTAAGCTTAAAAAATAATTTTATTTAAATTAAAAAAGCAACTATTTTTGGGTTCCTTCTAACTCTTATTATGATCCTAGTGTTTAAAATATTTGTATTAATTGCAACTCATCACAAGATTATTGCACAAATAAATTAAAATGTAATGGAATTTGGGATCCTGTGAATTCAGTATGTAGCTAATAATGTAATCTAAGTCTAGCTTAGTGTAATAGTTGTTCAGGTAGTTGGGATAATACTAATAAATTATGCAATGTCTGTAGTAAAACTTAAGCTGAATGTAACATATGGTAATTCATTATTTTTTATTATTTATGATAAACAAACAACATTAATTACAACCTTATTCAGAAAATTTAACTAAAGAGCATATATAATTTTCGTATTATTTATTACTAAAAGCTTAAAAGAAATAAAATTTAATACAAAAGTTAAATATTATTTGAGATATATAGATATTTTATTAGCTATTATATTCTTTATTAAAATTTTAAATATTTTTATCTCATTTTAAATATTTAAAACACAAAAATTAATTGTAATTAATAGAAATTTTTGCATAAAAAATTCTCAATTTTGTATAATTTATTAATTAAAAAGTTATTTTTTAATTAAAGTGGAAATTAATGGGTTTTAGGATAGTGTATAAATTGCTAATAAAGTTAAGCAGTGTGTTAAGCAGCAACTTGCTCCGGAATTTGGAATGCTTCTAATTCTCCTAAGTGCTTAGTATGCAACGAAAATTCAACTAATTGTAAAAAATGTGGTGGATTTTGGATTGATTCCTAATGTTTAAAATGTGATACAAACTCTACAATTTGCACATAATGGTAAGAATTATTTTTATTTATTTTAATAAATAAATTGATTACTTTTTTAATTGGAAAAAAGTGGTGGAATTTATAATACTATTTCATAAACTTGTGTCTTATTGAATGATTAATTCACCTGTAATTAGCTAATGTAAATTATTTGCTTCTTAAACATAATTAAAAGTTAGTTTCATAACGTAAAATGAAGGTAGGGCTAGTTATCAACTCAAGGATTAAGTTCATTTTTAGAACCTTACTGGAATGGAGTATTATGTGTTGATTGCTAAGCAAGTTAGTATATTTGTAACAAAGAGTGTTTCAGAGTTTGGACAAATAATGCGTATTTTATATATTTTATTAATCAAAAATTTAATAAAGTAATTTATTTTCTATAATCACTTTTAGTTGCTCAACTTAATCATGTAATACTGATTAATACACTTGTGAGTCGATTTGCTTTTTGCATTGGAATTACTATTAAAATGCCTGCTACTTCGATGATGTCAATCAAAATAGTATTTGCACAATATCAAACGATTCTGTTATGGTGAATGGAAGCTGCATCTAATGTCATGCAAGCTAGGATCTTTGTGTGAATTAATGTAACTAAGCCTACACTCCGAATGGATTAAGAACATGGACGAATAATAAATGTACAGATTGTTAGGCTGACTAAAATACATGCACTAATGTTTGGTAAACAATTAATTTTAAAAATTAATTCAAGCTCAGATTTAAATTCTAAAAATATTTACCAAATATTAAAAACTAAAAAAATTTTAAATAAAATTTATTAAAGCAAAATGAACTGGATTAAAATAACTGCTGGAGCTCAAAACAAATATGTATGTATTTAATGCAATTCTGATATGTATAACTGTTCTATGTGTTAAGGGAAGTGGGATAGTGTAAATACAGTATGTAATAATATTGGTACATTTTGCAACTCAAGCTCCACTAATTGCTCTAATTGTTCTTTTATTCCCACTTTACAATTTTTGTATTCTTCTACTTCTTCATAATGCTATTACTGTAATCTAAATTAATTTACTTGTGAAACTGCTTGTAAGAGTCTTTGGTTACCTAATCTTTAATACTGTGAGGTTTTAACCACTCAAGATTATTGTTAACTTAATAACAGAGGTTATTGGAACCCAGCAACAAATTCCTGCAGTTTATGCAACAGTAGCTCAGCTGCTTGTACATTGTGTAGCCAATGTAATGATTAATTTTTATTCTTCATTTTCAAATATAACAAAACGATCATTTGTAATAAAAACTAGATAATATTTGGAATAGTTAATAAAATGTTTGCTAGAATATTAATTTAGGACAGTAATATTGCCCTACCAGTGCAAACGGAGGTAACTTTGTGTGGGTGACTGTAAGTTAAATATTAAAAATTTTCTTTAAATTTAAATTTTTATTGTTTAACTTTTTGCATTTTAAAATTCAAGGATTCATTATCAACTTTATATGGAATATCTTTGCAAAATGGTAGATGTGTAACTTGCAATCTTAGCTTAAATGTTTGTTAGAATGCTTGGTATTCATTTATTTTATTTATATAATGTTTTCAATATTAAATATTTATTTATACTTTTAGCTAGCGTTCTTGGGATGCTACTAATAGCGTTTGCCTTACTTGTAATTATAGCTAATCAGTTTGTGAAAATAATTGTTTGATGAATTGGGTTCCTTAAAGCAGTTAAAAATGTGCTTTATGCAATGCTAATTAGAATACTTGTGTAAATATTTGTAATTGGTATTGGAATAGTCAAGCTAATACTTGCATTAATTGTAACAAAGACTAAATTACATGCTAAAATCCATCTACATGTAATGGATCTTGGAATTCTAGTACTAATTTGTGCTAATTTTGTAACTTGAGTTAAGCTATTTGTGAAAAATCTTGCTTTTTTATCTATAGTCAATAAAATAACTCTTGTATTAATTGCTAATCCTCTTAGTAAGTTTGTTAATAATAATGTGGCTATATATGGAATCCAACTTTACCAGCAAATACAAACTGCATCCTATGCAATTAAAGTTAAGCTATATGTCAGGCTACAGGATAATACTAATGCAATGGATTTTGGTTGGCTTCTAATAAATGCACTTAGATCAAATGTAACTAAGACTAGAACACATGTGTAAATAAATGGTAAGTATATTTTTATCATTTAATCTTCTTAATAATCAAATTAACATTTTTGAATACAAATTTTTTTTCACACAATTGGTAATTAATTAATGGAAGCTAAATAACTAAATTATTTTTAGATTTTTTGTAAAAAATTTTTAATTTATTTTAAGGCTATGTAAAACTGCAAATTTTTTGATTAATTAAGTAACCCCCTAAAATTTTATTTCAATTTGATAAAAACATAAAATATTTTTTATTAATCAATTTCTTCTTTTTAGAGAATTAAAAATTTTTTTTGATTAAATTTTGATCTGAAAATAATTACATAGATATGGTTTTAAATTATTATTTTCATAAAATAGCATTATGGTTTGGAATTCCATTCAAAATCTTTGTTAGGCATGCTCTTAAACTTAATATAAGTAAACAACAGCTGTTGATCCTTTCTATACATGTCTAAACTGCAATTAATTGATTCTTGCAGCTGACTGCTCTAATAACTGTAAGCTTAACTAATTCTTTTGGGATACAACGATTGCTACTTAATATAAATGTAGATAGTGCACAGCTTTAGAATATTGGAATGGTTCTTAATGCATTCTTTGTACTACAATTGACCCAAACTGTAACTGGTGTTAATAAGTAGGTGGTACTGCTACTTGTCTAGGATGCTCTAATAACTATAGAGTTAAGACAACTACTTAATGCAGCTGTGATGGTGATCGTATACCTAATGCATCTGGAGTTTGTACACTTTGCTCAAGTTTGATAGCAAATTGTTCCTTATGTAGCTCGATAACTACATGCGGAACTTGTGCATAAGGCTATTCTTGGGACTCAACGAACAAAGTTTGCCGTGCTAAATTTACTTTTACTTCAAATACTCTTTCAGGAATAGCATTTTTGACAGATTTTACTTTCACTTTATCATATCCTAATGCAAACAATCCAACAAACGCTCCTATTATTTATGCAGTTTATTTATATGATTCGATCACTGCTTATAATACTGAACTGAGCAATTTCTTAAACTAGCAAATATCTGTAGGCGTTTTATATCAAAAGGGACTTGCACAAAACACAGGTTACTCAGTTAAACTTAAAACTGGAAACCCTGTACTTGCTCCATTGCTTATTCTAAATGGTTAAGTAATACCTCCTGAAGATTAAATATTAATTTTTACAGTAACTCAATAATTCTCTTACTTAGATTAGTTTACAAAGTATATTAACTAAATGAGCAGTATTTTAACTCCTTAAGATTTTTACTACAAATAATACTCAGATGAGTTAGTCAATTAATATTACTAAAATGCATGCAGCAATTGTCCTACTGGTGTTACTTGTATAGCAAATACTTAACAATGCAACTGTGCTTTGTAAGGTGCTAATATGACTCTTTATGATTGTTCTGGTCTTGACAGTTCCTAATTTAATTAATTAGCTACAAATTTGTTTTCATACTTTAAAAGCACCAATACTTCAGCTTAGAGTCAATAAAAACTGACTTAGTTGCTGCTCTAAGTAGGCACAACTGGAAATTCTAATATGAGTACTGATTTGTTTTAATTTTATGCTAGTTTACTTCCAAATTATGTAAATAGCAAAACTACACCTACAGCATCTGATTACTTGAATTTTATAGACATAATTAGAAAAGTTGTCACCTATACAGATTATATGGTAACAAATAATTTAGCTACAAGTGCTAGTTAAATTTATTATCCACATGATATGATTCAATATGCTATTATTGCAGTTTTAGACTATTAAAATACTTATACCCTTGAAACTTTGTAAAATAATCGACTATCTGCAGCAGCTGTTTCAGCATTATCAGATTTAGTAACAACACTTGATGTTTACTAATTATAGTATGGCTCAACAAAACCTCCTATTTACAGTTAAAGCAGTAGCTTAACTAAAGGAGGTGCAGTTAAGGCTGCTAGATTCTTCTACAATTCAGATCCTTATTTCATAGGAAATTCGACTTTTACATCATATACAAATTACCCTTTTATTGAGTATTTTGTATATTAAAAATCAGGCAGCACATACAAAAGATAAGATGTTAATTTTACTTTCATTTTTACTGTCAGTGAAGTAAAGTAAAGTACAAAGTGTGTAATGCGCTAAGGAGATTATTTGGTATTATGCGGTTCTTAATAATCTGATACAACAAATCTCAAAATTACTTGTGTTTGCACAAACTCAGCAACTCTTATAGAAAAAACTATTTTAGTAGAACCGATAGTTACTACTTCAAGTTCAAATAACTATATCCTTTACATTATACTTGGTTGCTCACTTGGTGGTGCTTTGGTTATATTTTTAGGATTTTTGTTTGTCTATCTGAAGAAGTAGGCACTTAATGATAAGTTTAAGATTCTTAAAAAGCAAAAAGATGGTTCAAGAGCAATAGATCCAAACCTTTCTCTCAGTGATTATGATTTGGAGATTAAGGAATGAAGCAATAACATTTCATAAGCTCAAATATTATTCATATAATAATAATATATTTTTTTATTGTCAAACATCTAACTAAATTTATAATTGAAGTTAACTTTTTTTAATTTTGTTATACAGTTTACAAGCATTTTTTCTTTCCAAATAAGATAAATCAAAATACAAATTAAATTATTTAGAGAAAATATTAAACTAAAATTATTTATTTTCAAGCTTATTTAATCGTTTTATTCTATTTTTTTAGTTAAATAACTATTCAAAGCTTGTTATTCAAAAATTATTTTGATCAACGAATAAAACTAAAGCTCTTATTAAAAGCGTAGTTATTTTAATACCACTCTTTTTAAATATACTTCATTTAAAATTAATTATATATTTATTGAATTTTTTTATTTTTAATATAAATAATTAAATACAAATTAGTAATTTAAGTTTTTTTTTTTAAATTTTAATAATAATTTTAAACAACTCTATCTTTAAATCTTAAATTAAATTTGTTGTTATTCTAAAATTAAGAAATATTTTATTTAACAATAAAAAGGTTTTTATCAAAAGTGCCAAACAAATATAAGTATTAGTAATAAGTAACAAAATATTAATTAATATATAATTTCACAACATTTTTTTTATCTAAGAAATAGTTCATGCAGATTTTTGTTGGTATTCTTTCAAAAGAATCCTATAAGGCCTGATGTTAAAGTTATCCTCAACTGTGTAATAGTTAGTTTAATGAACAGGACTTTTAACACCTTTTGGATTAACTCTACATTGAAATATAATATGAAATTATTTACCATTGTGAGTTGATGTAGCTGTTGCATATTTTTCTGCCACAGTTAAGTCATCAGTTAGGTAGACATTTGCATTTTTTCCCTCCTTTATTTTAGTATTTGTAATTCTACATATGTATCCTCCATATGCGTTATTCATTCCAGGAGCTAGATTATCTTTCATTATCCCCTCAATTGCTTTTTCTTTAGTGCCATGAAAAAGAACGATCCAAGTTTTTGAATCTGCATTTTAGGAAATCCATAATTTATCTTGACCATATCTATCAATATTCAATGCAAATCCTTTGTAACCTACAGGGAAGTGATAGTTATGATCTACAGGTTCTTTTTAATTATAAATTTACAGTTAACCTCTTACTTCTTTTCTTCCCTTATAATTATCACCCCATTCCATATTAAACTAGGGATTAAACATGTCAACTGTTAGCTTAGCGCTTTCTAATAAACTTTTTTCACTTAATGAGAGTCCTAAGTCCTAGAAAGTCAGTTTTTTTTTAATTTCTTAACGAGTTAATGATTAAGAAGCAATTTTAAAGTCTATCTAAGGTTATTAATCAAAAGATATACTTACAATAGTAATATCTTGTTATGGAGTTTGAGAGTTAATCATTTTGCCTATCATTTCTTTAAATTTAGATAAAAATTCATCTAAATGTTGCTTTGTCTTTATGCTCATTAAGTTTTCATAAAGAGAAGAATTTTTATCAATTTAAAGAGAAAAGTAAGCTGCTTGGTTATGGAAACCAATTTGTAGATATGATTATTAAATTAAGTAATTTTGGTCTTTTTCTAAATTTTGAATCTGCTAATCAGTTATGAAAGTCTGTACTCCATCTTATTTGTACATATTTTGTAATGCTAGAAGGCATTACATAGATTCCTATTTGGGATTTTGTATATTTTACAAGTTTTGATAAAACTATTGCACTATCTAATCATTCTTTTATTTTAAGTTAAATTTTTCTTGTTCACTTGGCTGGTTTTAGTTTATAATTTAATGAGCTTTTGTGAATTAAACCATATTTGTGTTAATTTCTGTCTTAGGGTTTAATTAAACAAGCACTTACTAGACTTATTGATCAATGTTCTGTGCTTGATTTTAGTCAACAGTCAATTCTTAAAATAATTTTTTAACTGTTTCTTACTAGTTTTAAGTTAATTGCTATTTTATGTTTTCTAAATCTCTTTCTAATTAGGCGTTTTATTCTATTTGCTCTTTTATTTTTTTTTCTTTTTCTAATATATTTGATTTGAGTTATTCGTTATTGTTTGAAGATTCTTGATAGAGAGATTAATATTAACTCAAATCTTTATTCAATTGATCAATCTAAATATTTTAGTCATTTATCTGTGTAAGTAAAGTATTTTGTTATTCCTAAAATTTTTATTCATTTTATTAAATTAATTCCTTATTCAAAGAGTTTTATTATTCGAATGATTTCTCACTTTCTTAAATTTGAAGTTAATAAGCTTAAATTGTTGATTCTTATTTGCTTATTTTCTCTTATTAATTTTAAATTTTAAGCAAAGATTAATTGTATAAATTTTGATATTCCAACAATTTATTAATTTCCTTGTTTTAGCTTTCAATTTTTTATTCAAATTAAATAACTTCTTGTTAGTGATTTTGACATATTTTTTCAATATTTAAATTATTTCTAAGCCTTTATTTCTGTAAAGCTTCGATATAATTTTACTCATTTTCACTAAACTAATAGATATAAGAAAGGGATTATTCAAAATGATATATAATTTTACTTCTTTCAAAATATGGAGTGAATTTCTTATACAATTCTAGCTATATCTTCATTTATTCTACTTATGATTGATCTATTCTATTGGGGAGCTCGATTTCATCACTTTTTTAATTTGATAAATTAAGTGTATTTTCTTATTCATTACTATTATTAGTTGACTACTCTTCTTATAAATTCTCAGTTTATTATTCTTCTTCCAAATTTTTATTTTTATTTTCTCCTATAAAGCATTTATTTATTAAGCTTCTCTTTTTAGTAAATCTTTCATTTTTTAAATCTTCATCTTTTAAATTAGTTTGGCTATATTAGGTGAGTTTTCTTATGGTATTTAAAGAATTTCTTTATCTTAAATTTAAATTTGTATTCTTTTAAAAGGGAGCAGCTACTTTCGGATATTACATTGAGTTGCTTTCATTATTTTCAGAATGCCAAATTTATGGTTTATTACTATCATTTGAATCCTTTTTCTACTTATCTAGGCTTTGAGAGGGACATTTAGGTTGATGTTTTATAAGAAATTTTGGTTATAAATTTTCATTAGAGCATTTTGTATTTTCTTTACAAGAGTCATTTTCTTCTAATATTTGATTTGAACTATATCTATCTTTAACTTAAGATTCATTAATATTTACTGGGATATCGTAAGTCTTTTGTGAAGAAATTCTTTTTCTTATAGATTAAACTGATAAAGACCTCTCATAATAGGCTTTTCTGCAAGCACTAGAATTTCCCAGATTTTTTAATTCTTTTTGCTCTGAATTTACTTTTTCTGTTTTAGTTTCCTCTTAAAGTTGGATTTTAGTATTCTTATCAACGTAATACTTAACCATGTCATTTAATAATGATTTCCATAAATTTTTTTTGTCAGTTATTTTAGCTGACTAACTTATATGTGAGGAAACTATAAAATTTGAGTTATTTTAGTAGAATATATTTTTATTTTTGTTATTCAAGTTTTGCTGATTTTCTTTTTTAGAACAACCAAAACTTAAGTTTTACATCATTTCTATAATTTAAAGTTCCTTTTTTTAAATTTTACTATTTTATTTATTTATTTATAAATTTTTATAGAAGAGAAATCAAGTAACATCAATTTATAGTAAGAATTATATATCAAATATTAAAAAAAATAAATTAATAACTCAATTTAAATTATCATAATAATACCATTCATTTATACTAAAACTTTATTCAGTAAAAAATCGTTTTATAATAATTTAAATAAGCCCTATTTATTAATTTAAATTAGTTTTCTTCTTTCGCAATCAATAATTTTAATTTGAAAATTTTTCATTCATTTTGATGAATTAACATTAATATGAATAATAATACTAATAACATACATAAATACATAGATAGATAAATTTTGATGTATTTTTTAAATATTTAAAAGTTTTGAAATGTATAATTTATTTGGTATACTTTTCATTAAGTCATAAATAACATTATTTAAAAATAAATATAAGATTCTAATGTGTTTAAAAAAAATAAAATAATACAGAGAGATTTAATACATACTTAATAGAGCTTAAAATTATAATAATAATTGTAAAAATCAACCCAAAAAGATAATTTTTGAGAATTTATTTTTCAAAAAATTTAAAATAATATGATTCTTTCATTCATTCATTATTTGCATTCTTTTAAAAGGATTCTATAAGGTCTAATATTTAAATTATCTTCAACTGTGTAATAGCTTGGTTTTAGCTTTGGACTTTTAACTCCTTATGGATTTACTCTACACTAAAATATTACATGATATTTTTTTCCATCATGAGCAGATGTAGCTACGGCATATTCCTCAGCTACAGCTAAATCATCAGTTAAATATATATTAGCATTTGGACCCTATTTTATTTTAGTGTTTGTTATCCTACAGGTTGTACCTCCATATGCATTATTTTATCCAGCGATTAAGTTATTTTTTGTTATATTCTCAACAGCTTTTTCTTTTGTCCCATGGTATAAGACTATCCATGTTTTAGAGTCTGAGTTAGAAGAAATCCAGGATTTGTCATATCCGTATCTGTCAATATTTAATGCATAGCCTTTATAACCAACAGGGAAGTAGTAGAGGTGGTCAACTGGATTTACTTAGTCAAACAGTGTCAATTATCCTCTCTTTGTACTCTATCCTTAGAAATTTTTCCCCCATTCCATGTTGAATTATGGGTCAAACATATCAACAGATAGTTTCGCGCCCTCTAAAAGACTTTTTTCACTGAAAGACATTCCTATATCTTATAAGGATATTTTCTTTTTGATTTCCTGATGATTAAACTACTTAGAAACAACTTAAAAGTCTACCTAAGGCTATTGATCAAAAGATATTTTGACTATGGTAATATCTTGTTTGGGATTATCAGAGTTTACCATTTATCCTATTTGTTCTTTGAATTTCACTAAGAATTCATTAACACTTTCCTTTGCTTTGGTTTCTACTAAATTCTAATAAAGATATGAATGACTATTTATTATTGCAGAGTAGTAAGAAGCTTAATTATGCAAACCAACTTGTAAAAATGATTATTATATTTAATAATTCTGCTCTTTCTCCAAATTTTAAATAGGCTGATCAGTTAAGAAAGTCTATATTCCATCTTGTAGATACATATTTTATAAAGCTAGAAGGCATTTCATTGATTCTCCTATACAGTTTAAAGATTGCTGAGCTTTTTTGTAATTATCATTGTACATCTACACTAACTCGTCATTTTTAGCTTATAAGCTAATCTTCTCCTCTTCGGATGGCTGATTTTACAATATAATTTAATGCGCTTTAGTGAATTCTACTAAGTTTGTTGATATTTCAACTTGAGGATTTAATAACTCAAGAACCTATTAAACTTACTTATCAATATCTCCTGGCTGATTGCTGTCAACGGAAAATTCTTAAAATATCTTTTTAACTTATTCTTATTTATTTTAATTTGATTTGTAATTTTCTAATTCTGACTGCACCTCTTCATATTTGGATTTGTATTGATTTAAATCTTTATTCTAGCTTGTCAATGAATCTATTTATTTCTTATGCTCATTTATTATTTAGTCAAAGCTATTTTTTTGTTCTTACAACTTCATCTCATATTAATTCTACTAATTTATAATAGTAACTTGTTTTTCATCTAATTACTATTATAAATTATTGTTATCAGTTTAAGATTTCTCTTATAAATTTTTGATTTGTTCATTTTGATTTTAAATTACACCCTTAAGCTGACTTATTTGCCTTTAATACTCTTATTCGAGTCCTTTTTATTTTGCTTAGAATTTACTTTCTTAACTATTAATAACTTGAAGAAATCTCTACTAATTCTATTATGCATTACTCAGACAAATGAGTGATCGCTTAAATTAATTTACGATATCATTTTTACTGTAATAGTTTCCTAATTTCGAAAATTAATCAAACTTTTCTTTCATTTCAATTAAATCAGTTTGATTAATTTTATATTTTTCATCATTGATATTGATAGAATCAAGATTTAATTCTGAAGGACTATTGCGCAGCTATTAATCCATCTGTTAGTTTTGGATAGAAGGTATTCAATATTGCAATTTTAAGTTATTAGTTAATTTATTAATATCCTTAAAATTTTTTAAAACTAATTTTTTTTGTTATTTTAATTAGTATAATAAATAATTAATTAATTTATGCAAATTTAAATCATGAATTTTTCTCTCAATAATTATTTAAATAAAAGGGATTGGAACAAAATTTTTAAATATTATTTTGTTAACTTGAATAGAGAATTAATGAGTGATAAAGAATTATAAAATATTATCCTCAATTTATTTATTTAAGGATCAATAATATTCTAATAAGAATAATCTTCTCAAAAATTACATTATTTATTGGAGAACTTTTAAATATAAATCAATCTTGCTTAATCACTAAAATTTTAGTGATTAACAATTTTTGAGATACCTTGATATTTTTAGTAATTACTTTCTATTTTATTATTTTTATTTTTTTCTAGCGTTTTCGTATTTTTTGATATTACTTTAATCACCAATAAAACAAGAAGTTGAGCTTTAAAAACCTTATCAAAAAATAATTAACTTAAAAAAATTAATTTTTAGATCTTTTTATATTATTTATACCCATCTGAGAGATAGATATTAATAAATGTATGATTTATCTTTCTATTAATATCCAATAAAATAATTCAAAAATAATCTAATATTTACTAAAACCAGATATAAATAATTGATAATAATTGAAATAACACCCTTAAATAAAAAAATTTGCCTTAAAATATAAATTTTTAAAATTAGAATATTGGGGAAGGAGGTGTAATATTTTTATAGTTTTTTTAACGGGGTTAGGGCTCCTATTTTTCTATATATTAGATGAATTGAAATAATTTAATATGTAATAAGAGAAAATAAAAAAATAATTAGAATTTAATTAACAGATTTTTTGCTATTAAATTATTAATTTTATTTAAAAAAAACAGAATTTCTTTAAGAAAAAAAAAAAAATCATTTAGAGTGATGGCTAGTCCTTATATTTTGTTTGTATGTTAATTAAAAGTGAGTATTTTACCTTTTAGAATAAAAAATGAACAACTAACTATACATACTTTAAATATGAGGGATTGATATAAGTTATGAAAATTGAATTGTAAATTTAAACATACTTTAAAAAAAATTATGCTATTATAAAATTTAGATTAGAAATTGAAGGAAAAACTTATTATGAATATATTTTTATGAGAATAGGCTTAAAAAATGACTGTAAGGAAGGGAATTTTCTATGAACAGAATAAAGATGCATACATAAATCACATATTAACTAACATATTTGATATCTTATTTCTTACTTCCAATATATTTTTATCCTTTTTCTTTTCTCTTTCTTTTAAATTATTTTCTAAATCTCTTAAGCTGCTTTCTCTAGAATTTAGTATTCTATATTGAGCAGCTATTTCATCTTTTTGTAGCTGTATACTTTATAACTCTTTTGCTATTTCTTTCTAGTTGTTTTCTTTTATCATTTTTTGTTTAGAAATAAATTCTTAAATCTTTTTGCTTTCTTTTTTCACATTATCCCATTCTTGATTTACCAATTTCTCAGATTTTTCTATTTCTGCCTTTTTTTTGTCTTACTCACTCCACTAAAATATTAATTATATAATCAATAATTAATTAATTACTTTGAAATTTTAATTACTTGTTAATCCAAGGCTTATTTCTGGAATATAATTTTTTTCTCTTATAACATGTTTATCAACTATTATTATCCAACTAACTTTTCCTTGTCTTCTAATTCCTTCTTTCTAAAAGTAAGTTAATCCTTTGCTTACCTTAATCTATCTTTCTTAGTTTTTATATTTTCGTTTTCTCTATTTATCAATTCCATTTATTTGTTAATGTAATCATGTTCGTGGCTAATTCTTTTTATTTAAAAAAATTATCAATAAAAAAACAATTAAAATAACTTTTATATAAATTTATTTACTCGCTTTTAAGTCTGGAGTTCTCTTCAGAAAGAATTTGAATTTCTCTTTGTAAGTCAATGATATTATTTTTAAGTAGAATTTCTCTTTATAGGATGTCATTTTTTTCATTTAATAAATTTTGATAATTTTAATAAAAGTTAGATCTCTCAATTTCAATCTTTTCCATTTAGTTTAAGACTGTATCATTTAATCCTTTCAGTAAGTCAATTTATGTATTATTATTAGCATTTTAAGTGGTTTGGTTGAGAATACTCTCATTCATTTTGTTGTTTCCTTATTATGAGATTCCATATATTTATTGATAAGAGTATTATTAATCTTAATTGTATTATTGCTATTATTATTATTGAGGATTTTTTTTGAATGCAAAAGATTGTTGGCGATTATTTAGCAACTGAGTGTTGTGAATAGGACTTATCATATTAAATAAACTTTGTGGGTTAGCAAATTAATTTTACTAGCTTTTGGTACTGCTAATCTATAAAGCAGCTAGAGACTAGTTGTTCATGAACTATTATCCTATAGTCATTCTCATATTCTTTATTTGCTCAGTGCAATTTATTGTTGATAAATCTAATTTAGGAAGATCAATATTTTTTAAGTTTTTAACCTTTTTAACTTAGTTTTGCTAGTCCAAATTCTATTCACATAATTCCTCAATTTGCTCAATATCCTCTAAGTTGAGACTATTATTGACATCATCAAAGTTTTCATTCATAAAGCTTTCAATTTTACTCTTTTCATTTTGTTCATCTTCTTGTTAGTCTTGATTACAGTTTTTAATTAGGTCTTCTTTATTGTTAAAAGACATTAAAATAGGTTTTTTACTTTTATTTTAATTTTTATTAAATCCTTTAAATGAATTCCTTGCATTTACTTCACTTTAATCATTTTGTCTATTTGCTGCATTATTAAAATTTTAGTAGCATTAATTAAAATCTTCTTAGTTATTGCTAATTTGAATTTAATCTAGGGCGATAAATTCGTTATTCATTTATTCGCAAACTTGCTAATCACTCTCATTATAATAATTTTTGAAGTCATTCTAATTTGATTTGTAATGATTGACATTTAAGCTTTAACGAATCGCTTGCTTCTTAAAGCTTGATTAACACATAAATCTTGAAGTTGGCTTTTGTTCAAGAGTTCCTAAGAAATCTATTATTTATTGAGGTTCATCTTCGAGCTTGTTAATACAACTTATATTATTGATTTCCTAGTTAAATGAAGGATCGATATTATTATGTAGGAAATCGCTTTAATCATTTCCAATTGTAAAATTCATATTATTGCTTGGGATATTGATTATATTATTATTAATTTAAATAGTGTTATTGTTATTCACATCCTCATTTGTATTTCCATTAAATTTCATACTTTATATTTAGAGAGGTAAGTCATTTACAACTTTATTTTATCTTCTTACATTATTCTATTAAGTTTGATTAATTTATTCAGATTGTAATTCCTCATCATTGTGAAGAGTTAATATAACTTTATCATCCTATTCTAAAATTTAATCGGGTTATATTCTTTACACAGAATTAAATTCTTTATTCTTTCTAAAATTACTATTGCACTCTAAGTCGTTTTTAAAATCTTATTTTTCTTCATTATTCTCAGTTTGAATTTTTTTGGCTACAAATTAAATTTATTCATTTGCATTTTATTGCTTCTAGCAACCTCTTAAATGAGAAAAAATAGGTGAGTCTCCATTATCATCAAACTAACTATTTTACTAAATACACTTTTATCTTTGAATTTCTACTTGGCTATTTGAATTAATTTATATCTCATTTTATTCTTGGTTTTAATGCAATTACTCTACTTAGTTTATTATTTCTTATTATTTTTCAATTAACTCTCTCTAATTTTCAATGCAAATTTTATTTTCTAAATTTTCTACAAAATTATTTTAAGTGAATTAGCGTAAAAATGTATGGAAAATAGAGAACTCTATCTCTTTTTAGCATTCTGCTTCCTTTAATTTCTACTATTAATCAATTATTTTTTCATTTAAATCGCTTAGTTTTTCATTTTTTATTTAAGGACTTTTATAAGAAAAATCTACAGAGTTACTTCTTCTTTTTAATTGGACCATTCCAACTCCAGCTTAAAGAAGATTCTTATTTCTTTTCCAAGTCAAATTTTGTAATCTAGTGTCGTCTTTATAATTGAATGATATCTTTTTACTAAATTGAGAATTCTTCCAATTATTTTCAGTTGTTGTCAAAATATCATAAATTTCATTAAACAAGTCACTTTATACAATATCACTCGCTTTCTAGCTGTTAAGCTATACACATAAAAAATTTTTCTTAAAATTAGATATATAATCAGCGAGATAAGCTTTCATTTCTTCAAAAGTTTGTCTTTCTTACTTCAAAGAAATGATATCCTCATATTGCATATCATGTATTTAATTTTACATCCATTCTTTTTCCTATTGCATTTAATTGATTATTTCGTTTAACTTCTCTATTTCTTGGTGGAGGACATATTCATCTGGTTGATACTCTGTAAAAAATGGATTTTAGTTTATAGAAGAAAGAGGCCTATTAGTGAAAGTATGTTTAGAAGTTGGCATTTAAGTAGAGCATCCCTCATCAAATTCGTTGTTACTTTAAGAGAATCTATTTGAAAAAAGATGATTACTCTAATTGCTACTACTTCTTTGATTTTCTTTGTTAACTATTAAAAATAAGAGTAAATATGTATTTCTAAAATAAAAAGCAATAAATATTACATTGATCTTCAAATTTAACAGTCTCTACTACATAATTCCCTACCGTCGCATGCAGTAAGTTTTTAATTTAATTTATATCCTATTTCGAATAACCTTTGGCATATGCTTATAAATTTGTTTGCTATACATTTGCATTTAAGTAATCAAGAACGCAATCAGAAAGCTAATCGATTGAATATGAAATTCTCTCAAAAAGTTTAACCTTGTCTAAATTAACCTAAGATTGGCTAATGTATGAAGGCCCATCAAATGTTGTTCCAGAATTATAGGAATACTATTAATTTTATTATTTTTGGTTTTCTAATCTTTGTGACATTTTAAAAAGTTTTTTAAAAACTTAATTAAGTAAGATATTCGTAATCAATAATAAATAAATAAATAAACAAACAAACAAACACTCTTAAATTTTTGTTATGTTAAAAAGGTATCAAAAAATTTCAAATTTAAATGATCATCTTATTTAAATACAATCAAACTTGATACTACCGCTAGTTTTTAAGATAAAAACACAAATTTATTATTAAAAATATAATTATTTTTAAATGAATAAATGAATCAAAGAATGAATGGATGATAAATTTCAAAATTTAATATACTCTATATAAATTTATTTATTTTTGACTAATTTTCTTCAAAATTATTTTTTTTTTTTAGTATTAATATTTTTTATTATCTAAAATAAATTTATTTTTAGAGTAATTTTCTTCAAAACAATCTTAATTTATTTTTTTAATATTAATATAATTATTATCTAAAGTAAATATATTTTTTAAATTTAAAAAATAATAATAATTTTTATCAATGATTTTAGATATTATGCAGTGCGCACCATTAATTTTGTAGCTTAAAATTATTTAATAATAAATCTCGGGGTTAACAACATATTGCGCGCAGGTGCAGTTTAATTTTTTCTCTTAATATTTTTTTTAATCTTAAAAAATCCTATTTTATATGAATTAACATTTTCTTTTATGATAATTAATTTAATGATAAAATAAAAAAAAATGTTATTATTCTCTATTCAAAGTTTTTTAATATTTTTATATTAATCTTTCTATTACATCATTAAACTATGTATTAATGAAAAACCAAATTAACAAAGTAAAAAAATAAATAAAAAGATTGAAATAGTAAGCTGATTCATTTCCTTTAATAGAAATAAGTATAAAAAAATTTATTAAACTATTATACTTTTTTAATATTATAGTCAAATACTTTGTATTTAATAAATTTTATAAAATTTATTTAAGTTTAAGTATTAGTAACAATAATTATTTATTATATTTCGATATAATTAATAACTATTACAATTAATTTGTTCAAATTTAATGTATTATTTGTAAAAATTATATTTATTTTTAGAATAGTTTGAAATAGATTTTTTTATTTTCAATGAATTGTTTTTTGCATTTTTATTATTTATTGAATACATAATGGTTTATATTGAATTTCAATAATTGTAAAATAAAAAATATAAATAATCACTATCATTTTTAATAGGAAATCAACTATACTCTTTTAATTCAAAAGTTTTATAATAAATTGTATAATAAATAAAAATTTGAGAATCCACTTAATCCAAAAGCAATTAGTGCATATAAATTCAGTAAAATTATAACTTAATAGTTAGCAATTTAGGAAAAATCCATCTAAAAAAGAATTGTTAAAAAAATAATAAGTCAGCAATGCAATCTATAAATCCCTACCAGATTAGCTCTTAAGATGCTTAACATATCTAAGTAATCTATCTATTATTTGATATTTATTATATGAAATATTTAATCTTTAAACATCTTCATTAATAAACCTCAATAGTACGTTGTTTAGCCTTAATATGGATAGTAGGTCAAAGTTTTAACTAGTGCAGTAATTCCTTAGTAGTAGAACTATGAAGGCTCTATCCTTAACTAGACTTAGGTTTAATCTTTTGATAACTCCTTCAATTATGCAGGTTAGAAAACTCCCTTTTTAGTTTAAAGCAATGCTCAATAAGCTCCTCAATAAGTTTTACAATATTCAATGTAACCAATAGTAAATCAGCAGTAAAAACATCAGATTTAAGTTAATGGATAGCAGGTTTATCCATAAAAAGGTCAGACTGATAGATTAAACGATACAAATGACGATAGATTTAGGTTTTCTAATATCAGCTCGATATCTAATAACAACTCTATGATTAGTCATAGCAGAAAAGTCTCTGATAGAATACCTGCTCCTTATACTCCAACAATAGCTTCTTAGATTGTCTAGCCGGGGGCATCATAGGTTATCAACCCCCTATCAACTTACAACTAGTAGCTTCAAATTCATCAATAACAACAAGAAAAACTGAAAGACATATAGAATAAGACTATAAACTAAACATTTAGCACTAATGTATACAATGTAATAAATAGATTTTTATAATTAGCAAAAAAATAAAATAAAATATTTAATACAGCACTTTTTTAAGATAAAAAATACAGTATCTAGATTAGCTGGATTAGATTAATTCCATTTTTTCTAAAATATTCAACTTGTTAAACATTTTGACAATTTCATTAACATTTGTAAAAAGAACATTTTGATTAAATTCGCTGGATATATTTTCTGCTTTTTAAATAAAAACTAAATAAATTTTATCTTTTGCTTTCAAATTGCTCTTATGGTTCAGTGAAGATTCAATAAAAAAATCCAGTAATTTTATTTATGTTAATTTAATTTGTTTTATTAAAAGTCAAAAGAAGATAATGAACAAAGATTGCGTGTTCTCATTAAAGAAAATGAATAACTGATTAAAGAAAACGAATATTATAAAAAGGCTCTCTCTGGATTGCCTTAACAATAATAAAATATCATTGCTCTTTAGCAATAGATTTAGCAATTAGCTAATTAGACCGAAAGTGTGTAGTCTTAGTTGTAAGTACAAAGAGATGAAGCAGCTATGTGGTGTAATAGAGAAAAAGAGATGAATGAAAGATGTAAAGGAATTTATGAGCAGCTTTAAATGGTTAAAAATTAGGATAATGTGCAGCTTGCTTCGTAAAATTAGCAATTATAGCAAAGGATAATCTAACTTGAATAAGATAACTAAGCTTAATAAAGATAGATAAATGAGTTGAATGCTACTTTAAAAGTTTATAAAGACTCAATGTAAAACTAAGGAATAATATCTAACTAAGCTTAAAATAGGGCAAATTTAGAAAACAATTTTAGCTCTTAAGTAAACTCTTATGGCATAAGCAATAACTATGCAGGTTAAATTGATTACAGTGGAAAATATTAGTAATCTTCTTCACAGAAAACAGAGCCTTAGTCAAACCCTGGTACTAGTAGTGAAATTAGTAATTAATATGCCTATTCAAGTCCAAAACAAAGAGAAGAAATGGTTTAATCCATTATTAAGTAATACAAATTAGGCGGAAATACTCCATCTTCAAACACTGCAAATGCACAATAATTCAAGAAACAAGATGAGTATTCTTATAACACTAAAGTAATTACAAGCTATACAAATGGAAACAGCTAAAATGAAGGAAATTAGCAGTAGGAAGCTGAGACAGGAGACTGGAGAACCAAATATGATAATTTATCATAAAAGCTTAATAATTTGAATTATGGAGGTGATTCTTCTACAAACAAGTCAATCTATTGAAAAAAATAAAATGAAAGTATTATAATAAATAAATAAATAAAAAAATAAAATTTTGTCTGCTTTTCATTTCTATCTATCGCATTTCATTTCTAAAAATTTTATAATTCTGAAAATTAATTAAATATATTTTTAAAAAATATTTTATTAAAAAGAAATTTCATTTGTTGTTTTTGAGCAAAAAAACTATGAAAAACTGTTGATTTCAACTTTGTTCAAACTACAAATTTTTTTTACAATAATTAGGTTTAGATTACAACTTATTATTTAAATTATAGGCTAACCAAATCTTCTGATTTCGTTTGCTAGAGCAATAATATTATCATGCAATTTACTAATCTTAGTATTTTTTTCTAGTAAGCAATTCTGAAATATATGGTTATTATTCAAATTTTGATGTGATTTATTAATTAAAAAGCAAAAATTATTACTAATTAAAAAGCAAAATGCAATAAATTTTCATATTTTTAATAAAATTCCCATTTATTCAGTGTAACAAAAGATATCTAATTTGCAATTTATCAAAACATGCAAACGATTTAGAAACATTTTGATTAGCTATGCAGTATAATACTTTCCTCTAAATAAATTAAATCTTGGATTTTCCTTCTTTCTTTTTATCAGTATTTACAATTACTAATTTCCATTAGAAGTAGTTTATATCTATTCTAATCACAAGTAGAAAACAAAACAGAAGCTAATGATAAATAACTATTAAAACAAATATGCTCTGATGTTCTCAAAATTTATTTTTTTTTTTAGTTAATTTGTTAGGATGAAGTTTTTTTATTCAAAAAAATCTACCTAAATTGACTGATCTACAAATTTTATAAATAAGAAAATCGTATCAAAGAAAGATTTTTAATTTTAAATTGCATTTTCTTAGATTTATTTTTTATCAAAAATATATTTTCCTCATTTTAATTATGTTTAGTGTTTATGATAAATACAAATTATTCATTTCTATTGTCTTTTCTTATTATGTTATAAATGAAAAATATATTCAAGCTTTTATCTAATTTGTAATATGATTTTATATTAGTGATGGTTAATCTTTACATTTAAAGATAAGAAGGTCTTCCAATATGCATTTAAGGAATCAAAAATATAATCAGTTGGTATTAAAAGAAATTTATTTAATTTAAAATTGAAATATGATGAAAATTCGAAGCTAAGTTAGATGGGTAGATCGATATTATTGATGAAAATTTAGAAATTAAAGATTACTATTTTTCTTTTTAAATTAAAAGATGTAAACTACAAAAGTTAATAAATTATTGATGACAAAATCTAATTGTAGTAATATATAAAAAAATAATCAATTCCTTTCCCTGATTTAAATTAGAAAATCTCAGGTTAAACTATTTGTTATATCTTTTCGATATTATCATTTAGAATTTAAGTTATCTTCAAAAGTTAGTGATTTATTATTTTTAATGAAGCTATTAAATACAATATGTAAATAAGAATGTATATTCAAGAAGTATTATATATATAATTTTTTTGGCATATTATTTCATTTATTAATTACAAGTTTCATAATAGCTATCATATTATCAAAAATAAAGTAATCACAGTATGATAAAGTCTTCAATCTAGGTAAGATATTCAATTTACTAATTCAATTTTTTTACTTAATTAAATATTTAAATTTATACTTTTTCCTATTAAATATGAGGATATTATTTTTTCTAAAAGTGTATAAAAAGTTTTAAATTATTTACTGCTTGAAATTTTTTTATAATTTTTTAGTTCATCTAAGTGTATCTTCATTTGCAATCAATCACTAGATATTTTGGTGTTTTAAAAACAATTTTGAAAATTTGCAGTCAATTTTTTTTCTATGCTTTCTCAAAGTTTTCAAAATGATAATTATATAATTAACAGCCATAAATTTCGTCTATTAAAGTTAAAAAATTCTTATTATATTATATTTCTAATAAATAATATAATTAATTGTATTATTTGTATTTTAGAAATTAAAAATTTGAATTAGATGATAAAGAAAAGAATTTTTTCTTCTAAAATGAGATTTTGAATTTCAAAAAAATTTTAATGTTATTTTTTTAAGAACAAATTTATATTAAATTTTATTTTTTATTCACTAAATTCATTTGAAATTCGATTGTTTTTTTATTTAAATTAATTTTTTATTTATTTTTCTTGTATTAATCTAAAGATGAATATTGTTATAAATATCATACTAAATAAGTGCAATTCTTATAAATTAGATTTTAAAATTTAAAAATGGCATAAATTTATGGAAAGCCATATTTTAATGATTATTTATATTACTTGATTAATCAAAATCAGTTTTATTTTTTATTGATCATAATATCTTGAAGCTCGATTAGCTCAGCTGGTTAGAGCATGCGGCTGTTAACCGCAAGGTCGTAGGTTCGATCCCTACATCGAGCGCTTTTTATTAAGATTTAAAATAATATTTTTATTAGTAGCTAAGTAACAAATCTATAAAGTTTATGGTGTATTTAGCATATAAAATTCTTGATTTTTAAATGAGTCATTTATTAAACTTAAATTATATTTCTAGTGATTCTATTAATTATTTTCCTTACATTTATCAAAGTCATTACTCAAACAATAGTAACATTCGTGTGTTGTATTGAAAAGTAATATTTATAAATTTTTCATAACAAAATTCACTTTAAAAACAGTAACTCTAATATAAAAAAAACTTTTATTTTTACTAAAAGTTTTTTTTTGTATTATCTTCTCGAATTAATTTTACTACTCCAATATTATCTGGTTTCCTAATTATTACAAAAAATTTTTGTGTAATTTTAGACTACTTGAATTTTTTTATTTATATTAGTGTAAAAAGAAGAAAAATACTTAAAATTGTAATTATTTGCTTTTAATTAAGAATATTTAAGCTAATTTACATATAGCCCTAATATTTGAAATCAATCTATTTATTTGTTTATTTAAAAGAAAAAAAACATTGATTTTATCTCCAAAATTTAGTGGCAAATAATGTTTGTTTGGTTTTTTTTTGTTAAATAAAAATTTGATGAAAATAAATAATTTTGAGTGTATGATGTTAATTATACTATTATGTATCAATCAATCTACATCAATAAAGGATAGATAGATAGATATATAACAAGAACAAATAATTTATAAATTAAAACAGAAATAATTTAAGATTTGAATTAATTGAGATGTCTAATATAATTTTATATAATAGTTTATAATATATATATAGCTGGTAGTTTCAATATAAGAGTAGAGGAAGTTAGTATTTATATTATAAAGGATTTTAATTCTGTTTTCTTGTTTTAAATTGTTTACAATTTTGATTTTAAAAATGTTAATTAGTTTATTAAGATTCTTTAGGTAAGTTACTCAATTATTTTTTATTTCACATAATTTAGTCATTCAGACACTCTATCAATCAATCAATCAATCAATCAATCAATCAATCAATCAATCGAATTGCTAAGTATTGTCTTCGTGACAGAAATCTTTTAAGTCATTAAAATTTATTAAATTTTGTTTAATCATTGATATTTTTTCAGGTTCATAGCTATTTATAGGGGCTTCTGAGGTAAAATCGCTATCAAAACCTTTAATCCACTCTTCACCTTGAGTGCAGGGAATATAGGGCGAGGAAATTTGCTTTTTAGCTAACTTTTCCCAATCCATATCCTTAAACCAAGGGTGCATCTTAGCTTACTGTAAGGTTAAACGCTTTTCTGGATCTCTTTAGAGTATTTTGGTGATAATATCTTTGCATTCATTAGAAATCTTGATATGTTGGGGGAAGAAAATACGACATTCATCGATCAACTAAAATACTATTTGAGTCTGCTAATGGAAGAAAGGAGGATAGCCATATATAAGTTCATAAATAAAGAGGCCAAATTACCACACATCTGAAGAATAAGTATAAGATTTACGACCTATTATTTCAGGAGAGATGTATTAAGGAGTTCCAACAAATGAATTGGTTCTTTCTCTGTTGGCATTAGCAGGTTGTAATTCAGGTGAAGAAGTAGCACTGCTTAGGTTGCTTTGATTACTTCTTTGGCTTATTTTAGGAGATGACCAGCTTTCGCTATCATTTGTTGCACCATCTGAGATGCAGGAATTTACTTTTACCAACTTGAGTAATGAAGGGATTTCATTGATAGTTGAAAATTGCTTGGCCATACCAAAATCGGTTATGCGAATATGACCGTGTTCATCTAGTAAAATATTTTCAGGCTTGAGATCACGGTAGATAATTTTACGTGAATGAAGATATTCTAGGGCTAAAAGGACTTCAGCAGCAAAGAATTTAGCGGTTTATTCATTGAAGCGACGATTTAATTTTAAATGCTAAAAGAGTTCGCCACCCTTCATAAAGTCCATTATGAAAAAGATTTTATCATCAGTTTAGAATGTGTATTTCAATTTTACTAAAAAATTGTTATTTATTGATTCAAGGATGTAACGCTCCATGCGGAGATGTTCAGCTTGCTTTTCATCTTATATTTTGAGTTTACGAATGCTTTTCAAGGCATAGTAAACTCCTGTATCCTTTTTCTAGACCATCATCACTTTGCCAAAGGTACCTCTGCCAAGTACTTTAATAATATCGAAATCGTCTAAAGTAATTACACTTTTTCTTGCATTTAAAGGATCTTGATAGTTAGCTTAATTACTCGAATTAGCGTGAATATTAAAATCTATGCAGCTTTCATTCATGTTGAAAAACAATGGTTGAGTATTTTACTTAAGTTCTTCCTTTGTGTAATTATGGCCCAAAATTTTTTCACGCATTTAAACCATATTAGTTATTGTTTCATGGGCTTTGATGTAGTCAGAAGGCATACGAGAAATATTATTTTTTTTGTCCTTTCTTGTAGTTGTGTACATTTTAAGTTAAGGTTCGTCTTTTTCAAAGTAAGCAAGACAACCGCAGTATCTACGAAGCAACTAAATGATCTTTTCTCTATAAAGAGTACTTGAATAACGATAATCGTATTCAGATGGTACATGCAGAACGAACTCAGTACCGCAAGTGCTCGTTGTAATACCCTTGATGAAATTTAAATCAATGCGGCGCTTGATTGATGTCTTTTTTAAATTATAGAAAGCCTTATCAGTGATCATAATGAAGCGGTCTTGACGGACATCTTTTCTATTGTATTTACCAACAGGACAAGAGAATAATAACTCCTCTTTGGTCTTTTGAAGGTGTTTCTTGATTGATGATACTTCTAATAAGTTAAGGTAGTCTTCAGTTTGAGATATCATATTGATTTTGATAATTTAAGATATATTTAATTTATTCTTTTGATTTGTAAATATTTTAGAAAGGTGATGATGCTACTTATTTATTGAGAAAGTTAATTACTATTATTTCTTTTTTTCAAAGTTAACAGATTTAGTGTTAGTGAATAAATATATTTAAAGTTATAATTGCTTTTTACGAATTTAATTAGATTGCCTTTACTGTTTTTAATAAAGTATAACTCTCAGGAAGGATTTATTAAATGTATTAATGTAGATGAGAAATTATTTTAATTCAGTCAATAATTTAGTGATTAAAACCAAAATTAGGGAAAAATTATAAAAAAGTTATGCTAGTTAATTTAAAGCAATCAAGTTTAGACCACTTTTAATTTGTTTTTTTGGTGAGATGATTTATTTATTATTTGAGGGCAGAATAGCTTTACAAAATGTTAAGTAGGCTTAAGATTTTGTTTTTGATTTCTTTCTCACTTTGATTATTTTTTATTTAATTAATTTATTACTTGATTGCTAAAGTGTTTTTTAAATATCGATCTATGGACTGGCTGATTGATTGATCAATTGATCTATTAATCGATCTTTTTACAAGCATGGGGAATACAAGTTATTAATAGTATTTTGGATTTTGCGTCTTTTTACAGATTATCATTCGTTTAGAAGCTTGTATAGTGAATAAATTAATAAAAGTGAAAAGAAAAGATATAATCTAAGCCACCCAGTTTTCGATATATATTAAACTTGATGAAATCTGCAACTCAAGATTATTTTTTATTTAGAGTTAGTCAATATTTTATTAATTAATTCATAAAAATACAATCTAATTACTTTGAAATTTACAAATTTTATTAGTGAATGGGATATTAATCAAAACACCTTACCCTTTTTAATGAATTAATTAATTATTTAAGAAAATTTTGGAGATAATTCAATTTCTAAATGAAAAAATATCCTTACAATCAATCAGAAAAATTCCTAATAAAAAAAGTACATAAGTTTGATAGAATTTTAATCATTTTCAAAGATTATTATCACAAATATTTTACCTCGTTACCGAATTCAAAAAATACAATTATATTACTTAGAATAATATTTAATATCAATTCAAAGTAGAGCGATCTAGACTATTTTAGTTTATTTGATTAGATATTAGTAATATTTATTATATAATTATAAACGTCTTCTTTTGGTAATAAAAATTACAAAATTATGGAGTTCTCCCTACTAATATTTTTAGTTTCTATATAACCAATCATATATTTTGGTTAATCTTGAATCAAGCTAACTATAATATGTCTAACTTAAATTATATATAGTTATATTTGCCTAGTAAATTCAAAAATTGTTAAAAGTTAATAAGAAAAAAATACAATAATTAGATTATAGTCTTTACTAATCAACAAGTTAATTTAATACAAATTTATTACTTTTGTTAAGTCTAAATCTAAAAATTTCCTTTGGTCTAGTTAAATAACTTTGAATAAAGTATTTTGGTAAAATTTTAATTTTCATGTAAACAAAAAATTAAATGCATAATCTTATTGTGAAATCAATAATTAGCATAAAATCGAAATAACTAAATTATCAATAAAATAAAAATAACAAATAATTAATTTTTCATCTCACATGTTTGAGATTTCAAACAATTTTAATGATTAATATTACAAATATACATGAGCATTAATTAAGAAAAATAATTATTGTAATAGTGAAATTTACTTTTGGTATATTCAAATATTTTAATCTGAATAAGATGATGGATTAAACTTACTAGAAAAAACTCAAATAAGAAATAATAATGCTATTAGGATTTTCTAATTAGACATAAAAATTAGGTTTAAGTATCACATTAAATATTTAGCTCATTACCATCCATACAGATGCTATTTACTTGATATATATCTTCTAAAGATCATATAAATTATTAAAATTTAATTCCTATCAAATTTACAGGCGGGTAAGTAAAATAGACAAAGATTACAAGAATAAATAACTAAAAAAACAAATAAGTAGAAACAAATAGTAATACAAGTGAATCAAGTGTAATTAATCGCATACGCAGTAAATCAAAATTCATAAGATCACATACGAGCTTTCAATAATAATAGTAAGATATTGAATATTTTAAACTTTTTTACTCATTCTACTATATTATCATTTTACTTATGATTAATCTTACCGAGGTCTCAAATACAATCTATGATAAATGAATGGTGTCCACTCTTATTAATGTATTGCATTAAAGTTGAAACCTTATAAATAATTCCTACCTTTTACCTTTTTTAATCTTTTAATTTCCTCCACATAAATAATCACTATTACAGATGTTATGAAAAATGAATATTTACCTAAAATTTAATAAAATCTTCTATCAAAATCAACAAAAATTTGGAAAAACTACTCTCCAATTTACTGTTTTTAATTTTCTTAATTCCATTTCTATTTTCCAAATTTTTAAAAAGTAACAAAAAATATTTTTACAAAAATTTTTAAAAAATTATGAAAAAAAACTTTTAATAATTAAAAAGGAGGATATTATGGAGCAATGATTATTTTTCTATTAAAATATTCTTTTTATTCAGCTGTTTTATTTGAAATGGAATATGCTACTTATTTGTTTAATTTATTGCAATTTACTTTGATTTTGGACACAAAAATAGAAAATTTGAATAGTACATACGATTAATTCAATTAACATTTAATAATTACAAACTAAATCTTTATTTATCACTTTTTTTTTACATTAAGAAATTAATAACGATGAGTTCACTATGCACTAGAAAAATAATTATAAATATATTTTATGGATATTAACTAAGTAACTCAAAGCTTACATAAATTGTGTATAAAATACTTTCAGCAAGCAATAACATTTCAAAATATGTAGAAACATAAATTCTATTTTACATTTTTGTTTTTAATTTTTTGAAAAAAAATAAGTGAGGGAACAATTTGACTTACCTTTAAATTAAATCGGTTATTATTCTGATTCTTAAATCTACTAATAGTAAATATATACTCAAACACATAATAACATATGAACTATATAGAATATGAATAAATGAATAAAAAATCGAAGAAATCTTTGTCTAACAATAATAAAAATATAAAAAATATATTTAGATGATTTACTATTTATAAGATAATTTTTTAAGAAAATAAGAATAATATACTTATGTTTTTAAACATCACAAATTGTGCTTTTTTGGTAATTTAAAAAATCTTTAGTCTTACAAATTTTCAAATTAAAAATTTACTTTTTTACAAAATTTTTAATGGTAATCTTTTGAATGTAATAATTTGAATAAATTAAAAATCTAATATCTTGAAAGATTTGATAAATACTAATATTAGGATGTCGTAATAATAACTAAATAAATATTATAGCTTCTTTGGTGCATAAATTTTCTTTATAATTGATATGCTATTGAAGCAAAAATATCGTTTTTTACAGGTTAAGTTAATATATATGCAAAAAAAATATATAAACATAAGATAAAATTTACCATAATAGATATAAGTGATTTTAATGTATAAATACTACTCTTTTAATGTTCTTACCCTATATTCTGAGATTAACAGTAATAATCTAGAATATTACTCAATTTTAAAAAGTTCTTACAAAATATTTGAAAAAAATTATATTTGTAAATTAGTAGTATTTTTTTTTGTTTTGATATAGATGTAGAACCAAATCACTTACTTTGTGAATTATTAAATTTGCTTGTTTATAAAATCTATTAAATCGATATATTGATTGAATACGTATGTCTAGAAGACGTATATAATTCGCGCATACATTATTTATAGATTTATATTTAAAGATTACATTAATTTAAGCATACTTTTTTTCAAAAACAAATTTTGTTACTATCTCATTAAATCTCATAAATAAATAGATCTTCTGATTGAATTTAAAAACATTAACTCCCTCATCAAACACTAGAGGATGTAAATAACCAAAAATTTCAAATTCAAAATTTATCAAAACTATTCTATTTCAAGTAAAAGTCTTTAAATTATCAAAGTAAAATTTCAAAAGAAATCAATCATTTCTATATCAATTCAATTTCAGTTCCTTTTTATTGAAGTAAGTTAAGCATTAAAATTCATTCAACATAACTTTATTAAATAAATATTTGGTTGATAAAAATTGATGCTACTTATTGAAATTAAATAATCCGAAATACTAGTAAAATTACTAACTATTTTTCTTTAATGAATATTAAACATTTTTTGTATTTCTAAAGCAATTTATTGTTAAAAAGTTTACACATTAAAAATTTTTAGTTTTATTAATTCAATTTTTTCTTACAATATTGTTATTATTATTTTATTAAGTTTAGCAAAATAAAATATTTATCTTTTACTTGAGGATTTTTTATTACGAAGTCTATTAAATAAAAGAAAATAATCAAAATGTACTAATTTTAGAAAAAAAATGATGATAAGTTGTAGCTGAGTACATCAAAAAATTTATCTTTCAAGTAATATATGCTATTATTAATTCTTAGTTTTTCAATTTCGATTAAATAATTCATTATTGATTTATAAAAATTTAATAAAAATATATGAGAAAAAATTTGTAAAATAGATAAAATAATTATATTTAAAACAATTTTTATTATTATTAGAGAAAGAAAAATAAATTAACTAAATTTGTTTATTTCATAATTGTAATAATAAAAATATATTTGTTTATTTATTCTTATTTAAAAAATAAATAAATAATATTTTAAAATAAACACTTAAATAATAAAATTTTTATGAATCTCAATAAATTATAAATGTTTTATCTAAAATTAATCAATATCTGTCTTAATATAATTGATTAAAATATATTTTTTAAAATTTATAAAATTTTATATTTACAAAATTAATTTTATTTTAAAAATGTAATTCTATTCAAAAATGAATAAAAAATAATTTTTTTTTTTTTTTTCAATTCACCTAATTAAAGACCATGTTAATTAAGTACTGAATTAATATATGTTTTGATTCAATTTAGATAATAAAAACTTAAAGAATTTAATGAGTAAATGCTACTTTATTACATCTACAAATTCTTTTTCAAGCTAGAGTTCCTCTTGAGACTTTAACAATTCTTCTACTTCTATATGTATGGCTATTTTACTTTTTATTTTTAAAATATATTTTTTAAAAATAAATAAATTTTAGTTTCACTAATAAAGATTTTATGTTATTTATTTTATTTTGTGAGCTGAAAAATATTTTGGAAAAAATAAATTTCAAAAGTTTAAAGTAAATAAGTGAAATTTCTAAATTATAAATAATTTACTAATGTTTGTAGTATGATTAAGCTAGAATTTATTTAATTTAGAAATAAAAAATAGAATATGAAGAAGCAAATTAATTTTTATTTTGATAGAATTACTACTAATAATTAATAATAAATAGAAATCAACATTAAGCTAATTCATTGAAAAATTATACAAAAAATTAGCGCGGAATATTCAGTTGAATTTTAAATTTGATATATTAAGATTTTCAAAATAAATATATTTATTTATGAAGTAAAGCAATTAATTATTTTGAAGAAAGATTTTACTAAGCAAAAATTATTAATAATAATCATTAATTTTTGTAGTACAAAATAGCAAAAGATAGATAGATATATAAGTGTAGATTAGAATGAAGCTAAGTAATACTCAAAGCTTAAATATTTAAAACAGTGACAACAATGAGCTTTGCAAGATACACAAAAGGATAATAGAACTATAGTGTCTTAATGATAAATGCAAGTTTTTTAATTAAAGGGGATGCTCTAAATGCTTTCTTTAAGGTTAAATACATGAAAATTGTGAATTAATTACCTAAGAAAATTATGAACAAAATAGCTAACACTCGAAAAGAAAGTGTATAATTTCTGAATTCGATAATTAAATGAATATTTTTATGAAGGAAGTCAATACTTACTTGATAAAAATAAAAGATTTGATACTCAAGTAGATTTAACTCGGTGATGAGTAAGCTTTTGAAAAGGCATCTCATTACATCGAACTCCTTAAAGATGTCACTTATTTGAATGGACAATAAAAAAATTAACAACTGAGTGATGTCTTTTTTTAATTAGAAGAAAATTAAGAGTTATTGGAAGACGAATATTATCTTAACAATTCAAAGAGTAAATTAGCAAGCTAAAGTCAGTCAAAAAGTGATATTTCTATTTTAGATTAGTCTTAAATTTCATAAAATTTAGATGCATCTTCGATATCTGTTGCTTCAAATAACAGTGTAAGAAAGAAAGTATTACTAAATAGTAGTAGTAGAAGACCTACTTAAAATGAATAGATTAGAAACTCAGAAATGGAATCTTCCTCTTCTTAGATAATTTCATCTTTTAATCAATCTTCTTCATTTGTCTCTGATAAGATTGCACCAAAACTGACCCAAGTAGAAACTTAGTGCAGGTATATGTCTTTAGGAGACTTTAAATTCAAGTAAACTTAGAAGATTTAGATAACTAGTGAGTATATTGAAGACTTTTGCTTATTTGAGACTTCATAAAGTCAAGATATGAATAATAATTAGCCTATAATGAGAGATTTTGAAAGCAATTTAATTTAAAAATCAAAGGCATAAAAATAGTACTATTTATTAACGAGATGCAAAAGACAAGCTTTGTAAGTATTTAACTTGTAAAAAATGAGATTAGAAAGAGTTATTCATTTTACCAATGACAATGAATTAATTCAATTTAAGCAGATTAGTGATTCAGAAGTGGTTATTTTCAGTCCAAACAATAAATTCTTTTAAGTTTAAAGTATATTTGATGAAAGCAAGTTTTAGCAAATAGATTTTAAGTTTAACATCGATTGCATTGAATGTGATAAAGAAGAACAAATTATTTTCATAGGACATCAGCTTGGTAAAATATCGGTTTGGGATATGAAAAGATAGCAAATGATACTAGAAAGTAATAAAATACACTCAAAAAAAATAAGCATTATGGATTATTGTGAAGGGAGACTGATAACTTGCTGTGAAAGTGGTTCTGTAAAAGAATTTTTGTTTAATAAAAACAATCCAGAACTGAGATAAAAATACATTTACAGAAAAGAAATACTATCAGATTAAGAACTTGAGAGCATAACATGCATAAAAATAATAAATGAAGACACCATTTTGGTTTAGTTAGGAGAAGAATTTATAGAAATATATAAAAATGGGTAAAAATTAAACGAAGAATGCCTAGAATTTATGTCTTGCTTGTAAAATATGAAAGTTTATGACAAAAGGTATTGCATAATGTAAAACACAGAGAAGGAAAACACCTTTTAAATATTTGATTTCAAGAATTTTTCCTTCATAAGGAGACCAATATAACTTTAAGTTAAAGATTCTGAAGATTCAGAAGTAATAGGAGCTTACTATGTGAATAACTCAATAATCCTTCTCCTTTTAAATGAAAAAATCATTAAGTATTTTTGATAACAATTTAATAAATATTTTTCCTATAATTTAATAATTAAATTTACCATCTAACTAACTAATTAACTAAATATAAAATAAATTTACATTATATTAAATTAATTTCTACTGAAATTTTCCTTCCTTCCTTTCTCTTTTGTTAAGTATCAACTTAAATTTTATTAGTGTATTTATAAAAGCTTTACATAAATTATATATCAGTAAGTATTCATGGAAGAGTTATTTTTCACTTAATACTGTTTACTATTCTCATTTTTAAAATAAAACAAAAACCTTATGCACTTGCAGTTAATAGATTCTAAAATGTTTATGGTCTCAAATTTTATAAATTAAAGACAATCAATGCTAATAAAAAATTGTTCTATATACATTCATTATTATTTTCATCTATAAAGTAAAATATTAGAAATTTTTAAAATATTCATAATATAATAAATTTCAATATTTGATATGAATATTTTAAATTAAAAAAAATTAATTTATAAAATTTTTAATTAAATAGTTGAAAATTTTCAAAAATTGAATTATTTTTTTATCATTTCAATTATTTATGAATAATTAATTAAGCTTAGATTAATTTAATATATTATAAATCCTCTTACAACTCAGAAATGAATTTTAAGTTTGAAGTTTTAAAGAATATAAACTCAGAAATAATTTTAGTTTGAGATTTAATTCAAAATTATATGTGAATAAAAAATGCATAATTTTATCTAAAATATAAATATTGAATCAATCAATAGCTCTATTATCATATTTATTGCATTTTTTAAGGCAAATTTATTTGTATTTATATAAAATACAGAATAAATAAATTGATTTTTAATATTATTTTGGATTTCTTTAAATAAAAAATAAAAAAATCTAATCAAAGATCATTATTGTTGATATTGAATTCATTATTAGCAGATATTCTAGATTGTATCATAGATCCTCTTTGTTTTTCATTTAATTCGAAATTTATTTGCTACTAGAAGGATTGTTATATTTAATCTATTTCATTTTATTATTTAGAATTAAGTGGGTTATCATACCATTAAGCAGTTTAAGTTTAGTTGTTAATACCTTAAAATATATGGTTTACACTTTGCTTTTTATTTTTTGTAGCTAGTTTTCTTTTAGTGACTAAGGAAAACTCTAAGTTATTAGAAATGTCTTTGGTGTTCTACTAGTTTTAGATATTTTCATCGTCTTCGACTACTTCTTCATGGTTATTCAAATAGTTCCAGGCCTAGCGTAAATTATTTAATAGGTCTGGCAAAACACTGATTAATTCAGCTGTAGCATATATAACACATGAAATTACTGAAATCATTATAAAGATAGCAAAAAACCATGATATAATGAGTAATCCATTCTTATTTGAATCTATGTTAGACCCTAAAATTTTGTATATGCCTACTAAGATAATAGATATGATCACTAATATTGTTAGGAGGATATAAGCTATGTAAATTCTTGCCTTGGTTAAACTTATGCAGACTGCAACTAAGATTGAATATGCTACATATAGAATCAATAGAATCATTAAGCTTGTTTCAGGTTAAGTGATTCCGACAACTACAAATGAAATAAAAATGAGTTTGACAAACAATTATATGCAAATTAAATTTTTATTAACAAGAGTCTTTCTCTTCAACCTATCGAAGTAGGTATTATATTTAGGATTGCTCATTTCTTAAACCTAAATAGTCCAATTGATTGCAAATATTAAAAAAAATACCAAAACTGCTAGTCCTATTAATGCTATTATTGTTAATGCAAAGCTAAATTAGTTAAAAGAGTTTGAAAAACTTATTTTTTAAAGCTACAACAAGGCATAAAAGATAACTTCACATATTGTAATGGTGATCAATCTAACAATTGTGGTATATCTTTTTTGGTTGACTAAGAAAATTAATCCGCTTTTGTAGCGTTTGCATTTTTGGATGATGACAAAAAATGAAATGATTGAACCTATTACTATGTACAATATTAGCAATGACATCATATTATAAAGGAAACTGTAGCTAAATCCCATCAGCGGTAGCTAAGCTGGTGATGTTATGTTTTAATCAGGAACATTTAGAATTTATACAGGAGAGTACTACCCATTAGAAAGTAATAAATTTTGTTAGTAGTTAAGTGTTCTACCAAAAAGGATTCCTAAATTTAAGTTTTACAGAGTTCCCAAAACAGTGTCCATAATTCCAGTTAAAGGGATATTTATTATTCTTAGATAGCCAATCAATTAGAAATTATCGAATATGATAAATGTGAGTAAGTGATGTCCAGATGCTGCTAACAGTACAAGCAAAATGATAAGAATGATCACAAAAATGGACATAATTACATTTATAGCTATTTATTATGAATATTATTAAAAATGTGAGTAATAAAAGTAGGAATTAGAAATTAAAATGCAATAAAAATAAAATAAAGCTATAATTAAATGATATTAATTGCTTGTTTTAGCTAAATTTTACCTTTGTAAGAACTGCTCTTAGGTTAGCAATCTTAGTCAAGAGTTTCTTCGTAATCACCAAAACAAGGGCAGCTATTATAAATGGATTAATTCAAAATAGTTTCTCCTCTTCCTTTATAGCAAGTGATGCAGGAGTTAGGAGAGTTATTTTGTGAACATGTTGCGCAACCCAAATAGCATTAATCAGAGTTATTGTCTGCAGAAATAAATTAAATCAAACTAGAGAATAAAAGTAAAAAATAAATTATTTGGTAAAGCTAAATATTTTTCTTCATTTGCTTTTTAAGATGATATTGATTTGTAAATTTTATTAAATGAATGATATTTTGTTTCTTGGTGTTTTTGTGGATAATATTAATTACTCCAAATAGTTTGGATAATAAATACTTAAAATATTGGTATTTGAATCTTTAAAAAATTAACAATCCATAAAAAAATAAAGAGAATTTAATTGTCAATAAAATATTTCTCAATAATAATTATACATAGATTAAAAAGTGTTTTATGCTTTTTCTTCTATTATTTAAGTTAAAAAAAATAAATCGTTAATATTGATTTCTAATTATTATTAAACCTTTTTTTTCTTTATTGATTAATCAATTAAAATTTTTATTCTTCCATATAGAGTGATCTATTAGATTATATTACATTAAAAAGCTTCTTACTAGATTATTACATTGAATTTATAATTCTTAATTTTTAAATTTATTATTTTTTAAACTTATCTAGTACTTAATTGATATTTTAGATAGATAGATAGATAGATAGATAGATAGATAGATAGATAGATAGATAGATCGATGATTGATTGATTGATAGACTAGTTGATTTGATTTAAATTCAGTTTATTAAAATTTTAAATTTAATCTTCTAATTAAAACTATAAATATGTATAAAAAATTGCTTTACATTTTATTTGTTACTTTTTTTAAATGTTACAAATAGAAATGAGACAGAAAATGTTTTCTATTTAAAACATAAAATAAATAAAAGGATTGAATAATTTTAATGCTAATATGAAATCTATCAACATTTTTTTGAATTATAAGCCATTATATATACTCTAATAAATATTTTATTTAAATTTTCAGATTTTTAAATTATATGACCTGTTTTAAAGTTATTATTATTATTATGTTAAAGTAATTTTGATTATTTAAATAATAATTCTTAATTAATAAATAAGTTTAGATGAGATTTTGATTTTGATTTTTCAAACTTTTATAAAACAATAATCTGTAAGCCACTATTTTTTTTGCCTGATAAAGATTTAAAAATTATGAGATGAGTCGAATTTCGATATAAATTTAAATAATAATTAGTTTATAAAATTCATAATATTGGTTAGAAAAAATATAATATTAAACATTATTTTTGATAAGAAAAGGTAAGCTAATTAGTTGATAAGCTGTATAAGTTTTAAAAGCTATTTAGAAACTACTAGCTTTTAGTTAAATAACTAAATCAATTATAAATTATAATTACTGAGGATTTAAAATTTCTACTTATTATACTTTTAATTCTTTATCATAAAAACCAATGTTTGTATTACTACTCACAAAATTTATATTTATTTGTATCAAAGATTTTAACATGACAACTTTTTATAATTACTTTAGATAAAATTACCATTTCTTGAGAAATAAAAAGAAAAATTTTGATAAATAATGTTGTTGTGTTAGTGTAGGTAGGCTAAATGAATGAAAGGCTGTATATATTTTTATATTATTCAGAATCTATTAGTCTTATCATAAATCACAAAAAATTTTAATTTTATCTAGTTTTAATTTAATTATTATGATTTATAATAATTTATTTTTTAAAATAAACAATAAATTTCAGGTTAATTTTTAAACCTTTGTTTCACCTTGTTTTATGGAATCAAATCTGGATATTTAAAATTAGTAAACTAATAAAATAGATAGATAATAAATAAAAAATTATCTATTTTAAAGATTGCTAATAGTTATTGTTAAAAAGACTAGAAAATGAATAGCTAGTAAATACTTAGTTTAATAAAGTAATAGGTTATATATATATAAATTGAAAAATAAAAAGTTAAGTCATATCATTTTTGAATATGTTATTTTTTTTTGTTTTTGATATACAATTTGTGAATTTGAGATTATTATTATAATAATTTTTTAAAAAGTTTTAAAATTTTGTGAAAGATTGATGATTAAGCATTTATCAGTCTACTGATTTTTTTTATTTAAAAATAAATCTATCAATAACTTTTTTTCATGGGTTTTATAATTTTTTTCTATTGTAATTTTTTATTTTTAAATTTTAATCAAGATTTAAAATAGAGTCAGCTATAACAGGTGCATTTATTTACTAATACCCTCCTGAAAGCACCATAGTTAAGGGTATATCTCTATTTAAGCATTCTTCAAATACAACTTAATCTCTCTGAATTATGCAATTTTGAGAGAGATTCATTTAACCCAAACGATCACCTTCAAGACAATCAGTTCCTGCATTATATAGTAAAAACTCAGGTTTGAATTAATCAAGAATTTTTTAAAGTGTCTTTCTCAACATAGAGATATATTCTGAATCAGATGTATCAAAATCTACGTTTTTAGAAAGACTTATACCTTTGGCTGCAAAGGTATCTGCTGGATAAATACTGTGATTGTAAAAATCTAATATAAATGTATTTTCTTTATCATCTATAAAATCTCTTTCATGTCCATTTCCTTGATGAGCATCTAAATCTACAATCATGCATCTTTTTATGCCAAAACATTTTCTTAAATATTCTATAGCGAAACATATGTCTGGATATATGCAAAATCCGCCTCCAGATTACCTAAATTTTAATAAAATGAAACGATAAACATCGAATTTAAATTAAATAAAAGAAAAAAGAATTTCAAAACTTATTCTAATCAAAATTAAATAAATAAATAACTATTTTTTGGAGATGATAAATTGGGTGAATGTTGTATTAATAATTAAATCCTGTTTTATACTTCTATATTATTTTTTTAAAATTTACTCTATAATTTAATCATTTCTATACTAGTTACTTTTTATTCCTATTGATGCTATGTTAGATTTTATTAGATGTTTATAATTTTATTGATAAATACTGATTAGGCTTTTATTGGTTTCTTAATTCACTACTGAAATTATTTATTTAAAATTTTGAGTAAATTTTTTAATTTTCTAGGGCAACTTTCTGCTTTTCAGAGTATCTTAGATGTTTAAATTGTTAAAAGATGCAGAAATGAAATTTATTTTTAGTTAAAAAACATAATAATTAGATGTAATTTTGTTATTTTATTCAAAAATTTGTAATAGTATGTTAATATTTTTTATAAACTTTTAGTTTACCTGCAAGCGTGGTGATAGCCTCCACTTAAATTTATAGACCAGCCTCTTTTTAAAGATAAAACGGCGGCATCTATTGAACCCTGAGTAGAAAACATCATAGGATCTAATACTTTCCATCTTAAGAAGCTGGCAGGTAGGAAGAATAGAGGAATTTCTATACATTTGGATACATAAGCAGCATAATTAAGATAAAGTAAATACAAAGGAGACATTCCTAAATGCAGCATTAAGCCTCTTCCTACTTTTTCTTTTGGCTTATAGAAACCTTATTCTTATAGAAATCCTTTTTCTTTGAGTATATTAAAAACTCTTCCATACTTTACAGAATCAAAAGGGTGAAGTTTTTCAATCCCACAAGCTGTAATGTTGTATGAGGGATGGTATAAAATAGGTAAATTTTCAATATATTTATTTTCTAATTCTGATTAAGAATACCTTTACTCCATCCTTTTCTTCTCCTTTTCTATTGTGAATAATAATTTAGCAAAGCAATTGTAGACCAACTCGTTTAAAAATGGGATGAGGATGTAAATTAAAATGGGAAATACAATTATTTGCCATTCTAATAAGACCAACCCTGTAATAAAAATTCCAAATAAAGCTAAATCTTAAACAGCGCAAATTAGTGTGTACATAATTTTTGTTATAAATTAATTTATGACTCTTTTGTTATAACTTATTTATTTTTTGGTTGGCTCAATAATTTAAAATAAAGAATATAGTATTAAATAATTATATAAGATAAATAATGTGCTTATTTTATGATAACTAAAATATTGATAGTGACACATAAACCTTTTTTCTATATAATTACGCATGTGTGACTACTACAAAAGATGAATCTTCTATTCGAATTGTTATTAATTTCAAAAAATATATCTACTTTAAAATACAATAATAATATTTTAATAGAATTAAAATTAGATTTTTTTACATTTTCTAGATTTTTCTCTATTAAAACCTATTTAAATATAAAAATGTTAACTAGCCTTATTAACATTTTAAAATAGTTATAAAAGCTGCTGCTTAATTAAAACTAATTTTTTAGATTTATCTTACAATTTTTTTTCATTTAATGATTTGATAAATAAACAAAAACTAAATTGTCACTCTTTAATATAATAAAGAATAAAAATATTCCCCAAATTAATAAGTAATCTTTCTTTTTCATTGCCGATCTAATTATTATAAAGATTTTAATTAAATAAACTGTAATATGTTCACAAAACTATATAATTCATATATCAATAAAAATAATAGTACATAAGAAAAATTTGTGAAAACATAGTATTTATTAATTGAAATATCTATTTAGAGTTTGATAAGATTTAACAATAAAAAGATATTTATTTAAAATTTGTTTTCAATATTAATTTTAAAAGAATCAGACAGGCAAGCAGCATTTTTTAATTTTTTAAATTCTATTTATTTATTTTTAATTTTCTAAAGAAACTCTATGTAAAGGTGAATATTAAAAAATTAGCTTATTGATTAAGGATATAATTTGTATTATTGATATTTTTATTTAATTTTTCATGATTAATTTAGTTACGTTATTAAGGTAAAATATTTCTGTAGTTATAATTAAATTTATAATTATATTTTTAATAAATTACCTATATTTGTAAACATGTACTAAGGCTCTACTAATAAATACAGGTAAGCAGTACGAGCTCCTTTTTAATCAAAAAATTTATAAAAAGTAATTGTGATAAATGATACTGTTATAATTAAATCACTTTAAATAAACTTGTAAAAAGCTTTTAAAATGATTATATATGTAGTATTTTTACTGAGGTCAATAATGCAAAAGAAATCCACCAAATAATAAATGACTTTAATTTACAACTCTTAACAAGTAGTTGGATAAGATAATTTTGAGTTGTAATTATAAGTTTTCTAAGAAAATTCATATATATTATTTTGAATTTTAGCTTATCGAATCAATTATTAAAATTATAAACTGTATTTTTAATATCAAAGTAACTTAATAAATTGTATAGAGATATCAATTGAAGATGCAAATAGCATTATTTATCTCCAAGTTATATTTTATGTAGTCGCCCTTCATTTATGATATTCAAGAGGCATATTACTTTAAAATAACTATTTTAAAAGGCATTAGCAAATAGGCTTCTTAAAGAAATTTCATTTAACTTTTATATTATTTTAGGTATCAACACAAATACCATTTCTCTATTTTTAGCATAATTAAAAATAAATATTTTTAAGACTAACTTTAATTAGCATGAAAATATTTTTTATTGTTTATATTAGATATGCGCATTAAAGTTCAAAAAAATCAGTCATACCATTTTTAAATGCATAGTCTTTATTTTAAATTATGATCTTGTTTCATAAAATATTAAATTATTAGATTTTATGGATTTGAATGATAAATATTTGTGTTTACTTTTTTATTAAGAATATCTCAAGATTTCCCACTTTAGATGTATTTCTTGTTACAATTAAATTAGTGTTGCTGGAAATCATTAAATACAGAAAAGAATTTAGTTGTAGAAAAGAAAGTAAAATAGTTAAATATTGTGCAAATTTGATTTATTATGTATTATCTATTTACAATTTACCATCGTTTTTTCAAAAATAAAATAGTTCTATTTTTTCAGCCCAACTACGATTACCCAAATTTCATTTCATTTTTTGAGACTTAGAGAAGATATATTTTTAAAATTAAACAAATTATTTTATAAATATTTTCTTTTGAATGAAAGTATAAAATTATAGAAGAAAAAGTCAATCAAAATATTTTTAAAAAGGCTCTTTTATATTTCTACAATTTAAATATTTTATCTGAAACATATGTAAATGATTTATTTGAAATTCATTTTTTTTTTGACAATATATTTTTTTTTCTTCATTAAAGAAATTATTATTTCTGTTTTTTTCAATTTTTATTGATTGTTTACTTTATTAAGCTTATATAATTGAAATATTGTTAGAAACATTTGTGTTCTAATTATTTTATTCATCATCTAAATGATCTGATCTTTACTATAAAAAAGATAGTAAAGTAATTTATAATTCTCAGAAATACTTTAATATAGACATTATAAGTAGATGGAAATTTCTTTAACACTAATTAAGAGAATAAAGACATTAATAGAAAAGATTGTTAAATTGTTAACTTTTGATCAATACTCATTTAAATTTTCTAACAGTTTCAACCAATATCAAGAAATTATTATTGATGAAATAGTTAATTGTTCCTATATTATTATGTCTTTTAGTAATTTATTAAAATTATATTATCTATTTTATTACTAATACAATAAATGACTTGAATAAAAAATATTTATGTCTTCATTAAAAAAATAATTATCAAAATTTTAATATTAAGTTGCACTCAATGATTGAGTGTTGAATGAGTGCTTAAAAATTTTGATTAGTTGCAGTAAATATGTTAAAACAAAGTTAATAAATTAATTTTATTTTGAGTAATTATTTAACATAAAATTTATTTTAAGCTTGCAAAAACTTTTTTATTGACAACATTAAATTTTGATAAAAATGTACTAAAACTTTGTCCATTCTCGCTGCTTAAAAAGGAAGAATGAAGATTTTTTCTTTAAAAATTTATTAGTTTTTGTAATAGGTTTAGCTTATGGTACCTGAAAAATATCTTTTAACACAATAAATTCAGAGAAAATGTTCAAATGTTATGTGTAAAAACTATTTTTCCAAAATGAAGATAGTAAGCAGAAAAGAGATAGAGAAAAAGGGAATGATTTTTAATTTAATTTTGAGCTTTGTAAGTTTTTTTAGAGAATGACTTTTGTTTGAGAAAACAATAAATTAATTAGTAAAATAACCTAGTAGGGAAAAGAAATTAAGGGGTAGTGAAAAAAATAATGAAATAAGATATTAGATTTCATAAGAATGGAATTTAATAAATTAGATGCCCTTAAATATGTTCAGCTCAATATAATAATTCTAAAATAATATCAAATAATTAATATTGCGAGTTGGAATTAATCATCACACCCATTCATTTATGCTTTAATTTAACAAAAAGTAAAGAAAAAATAGTAAATCAATCAACCAAAAAAACTGACTTTTATTAAATATAGGAAAACTACCTTATTTAATTAATTTTATTGAATTAATTAATAGATAAATATTCAAATGGGGAAAGATCCATAGTTGCATTAAATAGATTGAAAGATCTCTTCATATAATTCTAATAATTAATAAATAAATCAAAATTTCAAAAAAAAAAATAAATACAAAATAAATAAACACTAACACTCTCATTCATTAACTCAGTAAAGTAATCTTTGTTAGTTAGTTAGTTAGAAGTACTCTCACTCTCACTTAAAATCACAAACACTTCACTTAAAACTTTACTTACTATTAGTATTTGAATCTCTACAGTTCTTACCATAAAAACTCAATGTCTACTTTCTCTAATATGGACACCTCTTTCCTTTATGAAAAGAAAGAAGAAATCCGCACCTTTATCCAAAAATTACTTTCTGACAAGGGCAAAGATACTAACTATGTTAATAAAAGAATGCAAGACAGTATAGTCAATTTCTTCTTAGAAGACTATGTTGCTCCTCTTTTTATCTAAAGCACATACTTCTGCTCTTCACTCAATCGCAAACAGTTCCATAAAAATATTGTTAACAATTTAAAACAAAAATCAAACAGCAATTTAGATGCTCCTTCCTCTCATAAGAATCCCAAATATGTTCAACTCTTAAGTGAATACCTTGAATTACTTAACAAAGAAAACCTTGTTCCTTAGTATCAATAAATGCTAGTTAAAACTATTATGATGGATGAATCTGATAATAAGGAAAATTGTCTTACTTTATTATGGAGAAAGTAACTATGTATTTTATTATTAGAGCACTTAATGAATCCATAACTTAATAATATTTACCTCATGTGGAACTCTGCCTATCCTGAAAATCCCATTTACAATAAGAAGGAGTCATTCTACAGAAAAAACCTAAAACAAAAAAAAATTATGAATACTTCTTCCTCTACCAACTCAAACTAATCTATGTCTAACATTCGTGCCATAGTTAAATCCATCAACCAAAAGGAGAAAGGTAGTTTTGATGAAGAAAGCCAATGCTCATTAAGTACAATCAAATAAGAATACATTCCTCTCTACTAAATGGAATAATAAGAACAATCTTTTGTTTCCTAAAGCTTCAGCTCTGATTTGAGATCTCCCAAATTGGGCAGTATGACTAGCTCTGAATAATCCTTTTAGTGTAAAGTAAAGCCTTTGAAAGAATAACAAAAAAGAGCTAAAATTCTTTACCTCAGTGATTTGAATAAGAAATCTATCTCATACAACTTAGAAATATTGTAATTTATTAATTAATAATTATCGAACCAAACTTACCTTTCTAGCTCTATCATTCAGCTTTAATGAAATACTGATAACATATACATGATAAAGAATTAACTTGATCAATCACTTCTATAAAATCCATTATTCATTAACAAAAAATAAATAAATAAATTAAATTCAAAACACAACTTAATCGGTACATTAACCTTCCACTGAAAACTTATCCACTATATTATAAACACCTTATTTGTTAAATATTATATAAATAAATAGTTGATTTATTCATTTTAATTATTTGTAATAAAATTACCACATAATAATTTACTTACTATGATTCATTAAATGATTTCCCTTTTAAATGTCAATTGAATAGTTATTAATTTTTATAATATATAATATTAAAAACATTAAAATTTTGAGCAAGTTCGAAACAAATAAGTTTCTCTTCATTCATTTTTTTTGTTCAAAAATATATGTTAAATTTATAGACTTACTTTTTCACATATCTTAAATTATTGAACAAATTTTCTAACCTATTATTTTGATATGAATTAGTTCGAATTGGTTAATTAATCAATTATCTATCTTATTTTTATCTAGTAAAAACAAAAAATTTTTATCAAATATTTAAAAATAATTGCAGTTTTTGCATTTAAGTGTGTAAATAGCTCTTTAACAATTTTTAGTTTAGAAGTGCTCAAATTTTGTGGTAAAATTTAAATTAATTTTAAAGCAGCATCTAATTAATTGCTTCAAAGGTAATTTCTAAGCTTAGTAAGCTATATAAAGTAATACAAGATACAATTTTCTATTGAGATTGGTAAAAATACAATTTATTAGAATTTTCCCTTGTTTGTATGAAGTTCTCAATTGCTTTCTTACTTAATATTTCAATATTTCTTTGATATGTAGATGATTTAAATTATTCTTTTTTTTTCAGATATGCTCTATTATGCTATCTTATTCTTAGATACTTTATATATTCTTAACTAGATAGATTGTTTGAGTTTCTAGATAAAACTTCAAAAGATGCCTATTTATTTCATTTAATTACATTTGTTAAATAAATAAAATTACTTTTTGAAGAAAAAAAAATAATAGATTTAAATTTAAATTATTGTTAAATAAGAGATAAATGTGTTTATGAGATGAGTGGTTTTACATTTTATTTATATTGTTAATTAGAGCAAAATATATTGTAAATATATATTTAGTTTTATGCTCTAAGACAAATTTGAATAAACATATGTATATAAATAAATATATATTAACATTAGAAAAATGCTTCTGTATGAATTTAAAAATTGATCTTTTTAATTAAAAAAAGTAACATTTGCATTAAAGGGAATTAGTATTATTTATAAAAATTTACATTTTCTATTGAAAGAGAGTTATTTAATCAATGAAAAACTGAAAAAAAATAGGAAAAAGAAAATTAAGATGATTAATTTACATTTTTCGAAAAAAATAATAATCCTTTCTTAATTTTCACTTTATTAATTTGCATTAAGATCTTTGCATTCTTTCCCACAAAGTTGATCATTAAGGCGAATTAATTATTTTTTTTTATTAGAAAAATACTAAAATCAATCATCTGAAATTTAATTAAATATCAATCTATTTATCCAATCTTAAACAGATATTAAATTTATGAATTGGTCTGATCCTACCATAAGTAAATATTTGAGTTTATTTACTTATCTAACCTTTATTCCTTTTATACTATAAATATACATTTTTATATTTACATTCTTAATTAATCAATGCCATTTTAAATATTTTGTAATTCTAATTATTGTTTTCTGTAATAATATATAATCCATCAATCGATATTTCCTTCATCTTTAAGGTTAGAATTAAACAAATACCATCTAAATTATTTGAACTAATAATTAATTCGCTATCAAACGCATTTGTTTATTTGTTTATTTATTTATTTATGCCTATTTTTAATCCAACAATTTTGTTATAAAATATATATTTTATAAAATAAATGTTACTCAAATTCATTCACTTTTTTAAAAAAAATAAATTTTAAATTAAATAAATTTCTATTCTTTTACTATTAATTTAAATTCAGCTTTCTTCACAAAATTTAATTTTTAAAAATATAAAATTAGCTTTTAAATGTCTAAATATAATCTAACCCTTTGTAATTGATTTGATTTCAGCTAAATAATATGATATTAAGATATTTTTGGAAACATATCAAAAAGAAAAAACATTATTTTTCATTACAAGTTTTGTGAAGTCTTGAAGATATTTGATTTCTTTTACTAATTTAGTTAGAAGCGATGGTTAATTTTCTTTTTGTTTAAAACTTGAGTTTTTCACAAGATCAAATAGACTATCTTAATAGTTATCTAACCTATAAGTAAATTAAAATTAGATAAAGTGTATATAAACGTGTACTTTTTTCTCTTGGCATTATAATATTTTAAATTTAAAATACAAAAATTCAGTATGTTACATGGGTTCTTTGGGAAAGATATTCTTTAAAAATACTTAAATAAATATTAAATGATGTTTACATATTTCAATAACCTCGAAATTTTTTGAAATATTTTTTGTTTTAACTATCCAAACATCAATTATCATACTTTTTGCTAAAACACAGTTCCTAAAAATTGATGTGATATTAACTAATCAGAGTGTATAGCATAATTATAATATATTGAGAAGTAAAACTTTCAAGTTGTTTAATAATATTTTCATAAAATGCTTTATAAAAAAACGGTGGGAGGAACAATTAAATATTGTAACATTTGCAAATAAATTTACAGATAAATATGATTTATTAAATTAGAAAATATAGGTATTGATAATTACTGATTTCTGAAATCTCGAAAATAAATATCTCTCAAAAAAAATTTGAATTTTTTTCTTTTTTTTATTATTTTACCTTACTCTCTGAATAAGTGTGTGATATTCAGCTCTCTATTCAATTTTCAAAATGAATTTTAAAAAGTAAAAATTAAAAAAGGATTAGAGGTTTTTTTAAGGTAAGATGTTTGTTTGATTGATATTTAATAAGAGAAGTAAGATAACTTTCTAAATTATAAAATAAAAGATATCTTTAGCATAGTACTACAGTTTCTTAAGAAGTCAAAATAGCTATACTATCTTATAGCTTCAGTAAAATTATAAATTAATTAGGAATATGTTATTTGTGATTAAAAATGCATTTAGATTTATGAAAAAACTCATTTGATTAAATTAATATAAGAACCAAATAAATTACCTTACCTGATAAATGATTATGTACTATCTCAAAATATACATTTTTTTAGTAATATCAAAAAATTAATTTCATTTTTCTAAAGAAAAAGAGGAAACTGTAGTAATGACGATATAAAAATTAATCAAAAACAAAAAAATTCTAATTATTTCTCTTAATCTTTAATTTAAAAAGGAGAAAAGAATGATTATTTAATAATGTTATTGACTAATAAAAAGTATCATGAGACTTGAAATCATTTTTGAAATGTATGTGAATCAAATCTTAGAATATTTGTGAACTATTTTACTAACATTGAATTTAATTGTTTTTTTTGAATTAAAGCTATTTACGATAGCAAACAGTTCCTTTCTTCTAAAAGATAAGTTTTATTTCTTGATAATTAATTAATTAGAGTAATATTAACTAAAATACATGCATATTTTTTAGTTTGATTTTGTGATTGATTTTTTTATTTTTATTGAATGAATTTTAATTTAGCTTTTTATTATTTTATAGCAATGGTTTAATTTATTTAACAAGTTCTTGAGATAAGAAGTTAAATTTAATTGCACTATAACAAAAGTATATGTTTTGTACTACTATTAAATTTATATTTTAGATGTTAAAAATTACTAGAAATAAATTTTAACAAACAACCACATTATTACAATTTAAATGTAATATTTAGTAATTTTAGTTTGAGGAAAATAGCAATAAATAAGGTTTTCTTTTTTTAATTTATTTTATTTATTATTGAAGTTAACATAATATTTTTTAGAATAGAAAATTTAAAATATTTAAGTGTGTGCATCTTTATTAACATTCAAGCGCATATGATTATTTGAATATGCTAATTCAAAGAATATACATCAGATAAGAATCCATTCATTTCATTTCTTTTTAGTTTTTAACAAGTGTCTTTCTTAATTAAGTTCATTTTGATTAATGTCTTAACTTATTAATATAAAAGAAAAAGGCATCAATTTTTTATTGTTATGAAACCACAATGCTGTAATTTGCTATTTTTCTCTTTATTCAGACGATCTTTTTCTTTTTGATAGTATTTTTCTAAAAATATTTCGCTTTTGTTCAATAAAAAATAATAAATAGCTGTACAAATTATAGACATTATTAAATATAACCTTTCAGTGGTGTATACAAAATCATCAAAGTAAGATTCATATAATATCTTTTGCTCTTGACTCAATTTTTTTCTGGTCTCAATTACCTACATTATAATATTTGGACTCACGTGATATTTTATTAACTTACAAGTAGAATAAAAATTCATCCAATATATTGAATCGATTTTGTATGTTTTTCTGTAAAAGCAATTTTCATCTCTACAAATTGGAAGATAGAGATATTCTACTGTTGCTTTACAAGGTACAATTATTTAGTCGAATGTTATGAGCTCAAACTCTAGCTCTCTTTGTGGGTTTTAAAACGTATTTATGTATTATATTTAGTCAAAAACCTATAAAAACCTATATTATTTATTATTTGAAATGTATTAAGATATATTTTTAAAAATATTTATCTCTTATGAATCTAAAGCAATAAAATAAATTAGAAAACTTAATTAAAATTGGTTGGATGATTGATTGATTGATCAAGAAATGATCAACTCAATTATCATTTGGTTAGTATCTTGATTCTATTTTTAAATTATAAGATTTGTAATATTAGCGGGTAAGATGATTTATTTATATTTATATCCATCCACCTAACTATTAATCAATCAATATTTATCTTAATAAATTATTATCTTTCGTTCTTAATTATTAAATTAACTTTTTATCATTTATAAAATGATCTGTTACTTATAACTAATAAAAAATATAAATCAGATTTCACTACCTTGATCTGGAATTCAAGAAATGTAATCCCCCTTTTCGAAGAGCAACTTGAGATATGGTATCAAAATCACCTCCTAACAATGCAATAAATGAATTGCTAATACCTGTCTTATTAGTCTAGAATATCATATTCTCTTAGTTTAGCTTAGAAAGTGTGTATGTAAAAAAATCACTCTCATCAGTTTTTGACTTAATCCATTCATAGCTTTTTTAGTAAAATAGATTTTATTTTTCTATCATTGCAAAGCAGTTTTGTGGATTTGTTAATATTTAATGATGCTTATTAAGATCGTTTTAGCAGCAAACTGATAAATTTTAGAGTTTCTGTAAACATAAACCGAATTAATATAAATCTCTTTGATCACTTTATAAAAACCTGTCTATGACAAATTGAAATTAGCTTCTTTATGTTGAGCTCATTTCTTTTAATTAAAAATAATTTACATTAAATACACAAAAGTTATTTTGTGATTATTCAATTATCACTTAAATAATTAGCATATCATACATACATTCTATAAATATTTACCATAATTTAGCTCGATAGTATCAATTTATTTAATTTTTTCCACCATTTTGACACTTTTAAATTGCGTAATCTAATTTAAGTCTATTGGTCTATCTTCAAAAGGTTTCAAATTATAATCTAGTTCAATAATTTAATCACCGAAAATATAAAATATATCCTTATGAAGTTAAATATTTTTGAAGAGAGAAATATCCAGCTTTTCATTTATTTGCAATTTCTATTTCAGCTTTTGCTGGATGAATTTTGATACTTTTTTAGCTCTTTTTTTTACTATCTTTTTAGATAATAATTCTTGATTTCTATTTTCTTCTTGTTACTAATCTTCAGAATTTTAGTTTTCTGAGCTAAGCAAAGAATGAGATGGTGTTTAAAGCATAATATATTGTCCATAACACTATTCGAAATCAAATGATTATTCTTCTAGGCAGTTCATATCTAAATTAGATTTAACTTATTCAAGCTACTACATTTCTCAATTTTAAATCTGACTTTAATAAAGTAAAACTAGTGATGATTATCAATCAATCAATTAATTAGAACAAATCTTATTTTATATTAGTATTGAGTTAAAATCATTAATATATATTAATGCTTAAATATGGATTGTCTGCTTAATAATACTCAAGTTAAATTACACTTTTTTGTTACAATGCCTTTTCATATTATTGTTTATCAGAATTTTACAAATAACATAAACAAAAAGAAGAATGCATAAAATAACAAATTCTTTTTTTTTGAATTTAGTGGAATATTTTATGTGATTTTTAGTAGAATATTCAGATCTTTTTTATAAATAACATTTTATCAAATAAATTAAAATCAATTAAAAAAAAGAAAGGCTGAAGCGAAATTAAATAATTTATTTGATAATTAATATAAAATGTGTTCGTAATTTTATAAAATATAAAACCTAAAAATAAATATTCATAATTAAAAAATATTTAATAAAATTAAATTACATTTTAAGCTAATCTGTCTCATTTATCAATATTAATCTTTTAAGATTCATTTTGTTTAATACAAAATCTTTAAAATAAATAAAAATATACTTTATAAATTATTTTTGATGGAAATAATAATTAATTAATTCTTTGTATTAAAATTCATTTTGGTAAAAATAAATTAAAATCTTTATTATGAGAATATTTTTTAATTTTAACAGTTAAATTTGTATATGAATAAATGAGTTAAAATTAAAAAATATTTTCTTGAAATTTTATTAAATATATTTTGTTTCAATAAATCAATTATTAAATTTTAGATTTTCGAATTTAGAAGATGTGATTAATTTTTTAAATTAAAAAATTGGTTATTTTTTTTTACTTCTACTTTTAAATAAACAATTAATTATTTTGGTAAGAAAATTAATTGAATGTACTTATTTAAGATATATTTTAGAAAAAATAAACCAAGATTTAAGTAAAATATCTCTGTAAATTACTTATTTATTTATACTTTTTATCTTCCTTCCGTTTAAAAACTTATTTTTTTTATAAACATTTCAAGCTCTTAAATTAAAAACTAATATTGATAAAATTATTACTTGCATACTTTCATTTTTATGCTTTATTTATTTTTAGATTTTTTTCTGAATTTTTTTTAATGGAAATTAATACTAAATAAATAAATAATATTCATCAGACTTACTTTCCTTTAATTGATTTTTTTTAAAAATTCATTTTAGAGATATGAAAATATTTAAGAGGGTTTTTTATCTTTATAAATGATTGAATTTTTTGATTTTTGGTTATTTGGTTTTCTTCAGAACATATCTAATGTACTTAAAGATCATAACACAAATGATTGATTGTATTTTTCCAAAAATTATGATTTATTTTTATATTTTAAAATTATTTAGGGCCAAATCCTAGCTCTTAGTTGAGAATTTATTAAGAGAAGAAGTACTATCGCTTGCTTATTTATTTCATTTATGATATCTTTAAATCTACATATTTTTCTATTTTTTTTAGTAAAATATACTTTAAACAGATTTTTTCTTATGAGATAGGAGTTAAAAAAAATTCAAAAATTTGATAAATTTTAAAAAAGGAATATAAATTTAATTAATTAATTTCACTAAACTTTAAGAAGCATTTAAAACATATTTTAACCAAAAAGTTAACATTAATTATTTTAATTTAAAAATAAAAAATCTATTTTAAATTATTTATTTAATAATTAATTCAAAAAACATAGATACAAAATAAGAAATTTTTTTCTATTTAAAATAGGCATGATTAGAACTAAATAAAATAAATTTAATATAAACGATTTTTTTAAGAATAATTTTTTATGAATCAAAATATTAAACTTATTTTAATTTATACTTTTTTAAACTTATAATATAAATATGGCTTTCTATTGACCATAAGATATTTGGAAACCTGTACATTTGATTGAAAACATTAAAGGAAAATAGTCAATTCAAAAGGTTTGAATGTAAAGTAATTTAAAAGCAAATAAATTAATTTAATGAATAAAAATAAAACCAAATATTTATGTTAAATAACTAAATTTAACTTATTTAAAAATCATCATTGAAATTGTTTGAATAATAGCAAAACTTATAATTATTAATAATTTTAAAGGTTTTTTACTTGAAAATTTTGATTTTATTTGCCTAAACATAAATTTTTTTTATGTTTCTTTCTTGTAGTAATTAATAGTTAATATTTTAATTTTTTAGTTTCATATATTTTAATTTGTCATTTGAATTATTCTAAATAAAATTATCTTGCTCCATTAATATTTGGATAAAAAAAATTCAAAAATTTAAATACAATTAAGCATAGTAAATTTTACATTTGTTATATTTTGGTATATTTTTGCTCAAATTAATATGAGTACCAATAAAACTTTAGCTTAAATTTAAAATCAAATAAACAAAATAATGAAAATAATTAATTAAAAGTTTATTTTTGAAAAATAATAAACAAAATGTTATTTTTTCAAAAGGTATATGTGAATTTAAATTATATTTTTAAAAAAATTAAATTCTTTCTTATTATTTGATTAAATAAAACTAGGTCAGCTCTTAATATTAATCATCCAAAAGTAATATAATTAAATAATATCTTTTAATAATTTTATTTTTTTTCAACAAATTTAACATAATAATAAATAGAGCTATTAAATTCAAATAATTAAGCTAGAAATTTAGTTAAAAATAAGAGCATTCTAAATTGAATTAAAATACATCAATCTCTTTTATAGAAGTGAGTAAATTTATTATTTATGGGAAATCAATAGCCTTTATCAATTATATTTAATTAGATTACATAATAAAGTCAATTCAAAAAAATGTAATTCTTTTACTATTAATTAAAAATAAATATTTTTTATTAAGTTTAAAAAATCATATTTATTGAAAATGCAATAAGTTTAAAGCTGGATTATTTTAATTTTTCTCTTTATTAAAATTACTTCTTATTTTAGATATCAAATTAAAAAATGGGAGATATAAAATTTTAAACTCAACTTATCAGTTTTAGATAAATAAAAGTAGCATGTTAAGAAATCAATTAATCAATAACCAATTTTTATTTCACAAAAAAGTGTAATTTAATTAGTGAAAAAGAATATCTTAACATATCATACTATTAATAAGGGGGATTTTTTTTAAATGACGCTAAATACAATTGGTAAAAAATGCTATTTGTCCACAATTAAAAAAGATATTTTGTAAAGCATAAACTATATTTTACAACTGAAAAACTTAGAACAAAAGTTATTTTAAAAGCTAGTGAAAAATAAATTCTAACAGCTTAACAACAATAGAGAAAATGGTTAGATTGAGTTAAATTATTTCGTTTGGAGGGAACAAACTAATTAAAAAAATAATATGACTTACAAATATTTCAATTTAGAAAAACAATTTGAAAAAAAGGCCTTGAAATATCTTTCTTTAATTCCTTTAAAAATGAAAATTAAAAAAGAACTTTGAATTATCAATTATAGTGAATGAATAAAATGCTTGGCTGGGATAATGTGCAAATATATAAAATTATATCTACTTTTCTAAAAGGGAAAACTAGAGTCACTAATAAAAGAATTATTCACAAAATCACTTGTCAAATTAATTTTTTAATTGGATGCGATTGTAAACCTGGAGGTAATCTAAAAAAAATAATAATTAATTCATACTAAAAGATCTTATCATAAAAATGAATACTATTTTAGTTTTTATAATTTATTGTATATCTAATCTAGTGATTATAATAAGAAATGGTTTTAAGGTGCGTTTATTCAAAGTAGAAGTATTTATTAATAGGTTACTCAATTAAAGAAATAATATTTGTTATTTGTTGATATACCAAGCTAAGAATTTCTTTTATATATAAATAGCGTACTGCAAAAAATATTTGACGTATAATTCTTTTATATGAAAAAAAAAAACATCTAAAATTAATTAATTATTAATAATTTGATTTATTTTGACAATTTTTGATTGATTGATTGAATGTCTGATTTAATATCTCTCCTTCTTTCACTCATTATTTGTTTTTTTTGTTTCTGTTAATAGGCTTATCTATTTATTTGTTTGTATCTTTAAATTAAAAATAAGTAAACATACCATTTTCATTTCTATTTTTGATCTTTTAATTAACTTAAGTCTTATGTTTTAGAGGCCAAAGATCCAAACCATTGATTGCTTAAATTGATTAACCAAAGATATTAAAGATAAAAAATTAAGAAAAAATTTTTGTATTAAAAATTAAAAAAAACATAAATAGATATTTAGACAAGTTTCTAATGGTAAGCTACTTTGCTTTAGCAGGTCTAGCAATAGTCCTATACATTTTGTATGTATTTATTATCAATCCTTACTTGTAGTACAGAAAATACTTGAAGTGGGGTAAAGGTTCTTTCTACCCTTTCGTTGGTGTTTTCTATGGTGCTGGCTTACGTGTTAAGCAATACAAAGATGTTGATCATCACTTGAAGCATATGTATGATGACGGATCAGACCCTAAAATTTATGTTGAAAACAATGCCACAGGTGCCATCATCAAGATTTCTGACCCTGAATATATTAAGGAGTTTGTCTAACTTGAAAACAAGGCTTATCAAAAGACTACTCTCTTAATTGACAATATCATCAGACTCGTAGGTTAGGGAATCATCTTCTCTGAAGGCCCCCAATGGAAGAAAAACAGAAATGTACTTTCTGGTGTCTTCCACTTCGAACAACTCAGCAAACGTGTCCCATCAATAGAAAAAATTACTAAGGAAGTTTATAAGCGTTATATTGATTCAGGCAATGTTAAAAACGTTGATGTCATCGAATTATTTTAAGAAATCACTGCTGAAGTCGTTATCTAAACCTTCTTCAGTAATATTTCAAAAGATAAATCCTTCTATGGCATGAGTTTGTCTGTAGCTCTTTCATACCTCATCAACTCTGTTGGTAAGTAAATTAGCACTCCCTTTTACTTCTTATTCCGTACCAATTTCTTCAAATGGGGCATCAGAGAATCTGACAGAAAGTTGAACAAGTAGATAAAAGAATTCCGTCAAATGATTGGTGACATCATCAACGAGCGTATCAAAGAAGAAGAAGAGTTAGAAAAGCGTGGTGAATAAACTACCAAGGAAGATCTTGTTTATTATCTTAAAAAGAATAACCTCCTTGGAGTCCTCTCCCTCGATGAAATTATTAGTGAATTCATGACTTTCTACGTTGCTGGTATGGATACAACTGGTCATCTTTGCGGTATGGCCATATGGTTCCTTACTTAACACCCCGAAATTAAAAAGAAACTCTAAGAAGAACTTGATGCTAACACTGACTACTCTCAAAATGGTCTCCTTAAGCTTCCTTACCTTAATGGAGTTATCTAAGAAACTCAACGTCTCTATGGACCCGCTGGTTAATTATTCAATCGTGTCGCTCTTAGAGACCACATGCTTAAGGACATTCCTATCAAGAAGGGAACTATTGTTAAGCCCTCTCCCTGCTCTGTTCACAGACATCCTAAATATTTCGAAGACCCTCATTCCTTCAAGCCTGAAAGATGGTTTAACAAAAATACTGTCACTCCTTACACTTTTATCCCCTTCAATGCTGGTCCCAGAAACTGCATTGGCTAACATCTTGCCTTAATAGAAGCTAGAATTATGATTAATTATTTCATGAAGACTTTTGATTTTGAAAGCGATCCTAACTTTGAAATGGTTCTCAACTATGCTTTCTTAATAGAACCAGTTGATAAACTCAGAATTAATCTTAAGCTCAAAGAAAATCCTTTGATCTACCAATGAGATATTTGCAAAAATATTAAAATAATAGCTAACATGCAGCAACAGTAAATGGTATGATTTAAAAATACCACTGATTGACCAAATGTTTGTTTCTGCATTTTAGCATTAAAATAATAAATTATCAAAATAGGTGTAATAAATTCTTAAAAGCTATAAATAGTAGGATTTAATAGTTTTAATTATATAAAACATTTGATTTATCTATCTTTCTATTAATAAATGCATCTTTCTTCTCACTAGCAAGATTTATCAAGCAATAAAAGATTGTAATTAATTTATATTTTTTTATATTTGTCAATCATTTATTAAAATCATAAAAAATAATTCAAAAATATCAATTTGCTTTTCAAATTTAATTAATTAATTTTGTGAAAATTTTCAACTCAAATTTAGGTCTTTATTTTTCTAATACATCTACTATTTATCATCAAAATCAAACAAAAATAAAAATCAATATTAATTTCTTTATTTATTTATATTCTTTCATATACCACCAAATAAAAAAAATTAAAAATACAAGTTCATTTAAAAAAATAATATTTTTAAATTCTTCTTTGTAAATTTTATTTGTATTTTATTTTTAGAATTTTTTTTCAAAATTGAAAATGATATTATATTTTCATTTGAGATTGTTTTTCTAAAAAATTTACATTTTCTAAAATAGTTTATTATATAAATAAAAGGAGATAATTAATAATTTAAATATAAGGATATATTTAGCTCTTTAAATATTTTAGAGAGTGAATGTCAATTAGATAGATATTAATTAGGAAAAATTAACATATATTTTATTATAAAATACTACCTAAAATTGATTAGTTAATTAAAATATATATTTATTCTAGTTTTTAATTTGGATTTTATGATAATATATTTTTAATAGAGTTAAATTGATTATTTGTTTATTGGTTTGGTTAATTAGTTAATATTTATTTTTAATATTTTAAAGAAGTTATTTTAATTGAACTTTTAGTTTTATTAGAAGATTTTTGGTATAAGAATATTTTAAGCCTATTATATTTGCAGTTTATTTATTTATTCATTTTATTATTATTTTTTCATCTTAAGTATAGTAGTTATTTTAAAATTATTATTACTTTTTTTAAATATCTTCATACTCACTTTTATAAAACTTTTCTATCAATATTTCACTGTAAAAAAAAATTTAATTAAATAAAATTTTAAGAATAAATTTTACCTTTGAGCTGTGTAGGCTAAATCGGATATGGGATCATATTAATTTATTTATCTTCTTTAATTTAATACATTTTGTATCTAGTTTTCATCAATAAAGAATTCAGTTATTCCACAAAGATTAATGAAATCAATCCAACTTTCATTAATAATATTCTAAAGTTTGTATTCTTAAATGATATCTTAAAATTATTTGATTGAAATTGCTAACTTTCTTTGCTAACAGTAAACAGGAATATCTTCAATTGTGAGTAAAACGACATCCCATTTTTTTTCTGACCATGACTCAATTCCATATTAGATTTTTTATATAATCATCTCCATTCTAATTTTATCAAAATTATTTAATAAAAAAACAAATCTAACTTTGCAATAAGTTAGAAAAGTAATTAAGATATTAGTTGAAAATATAATTAATTAATTGATTAACAAATGTAATTTTCGAATAATCGTTTTTTACCTAGAAAGCGAATTATAAATTTCAAATCTTCCTTTCCTTAAAATGTAATTCTTAAAGCTTTCTCCATCAAAACCAAGTAATTCAAGTAGAGGCTTGCTGAATCCTATATGGTTTTATTCATACTGTTTAAACTTTTAGTTATAGCTTCCAAATGCATAAAAAAAATACTTATTCTGGCTTATATTTTTTTTAATCCAATCAAGACAAGCAGCTACATATTTTTATTGAAGTTTAAAGAGAGGTTCTAAGATATTTGGGTTCATTTTAACCATATTGAAAAAACTGTTCAAAATTTCTGTCTTCTATATTTCGAACTAGCGGAGAACGATTCCTAGTTCGTGCGTTTTCTAGTCAGGGGTATTTATATATTTATTATACAAATGTTGTAAATCTTTTTTTTGTTCTACATTTACACCTTAAAAAATAAAATTAGAAGAGAATAAATATAAAATATTCTTATATTTAGCATTTTAATATAATCAAAAAAAAGAGCAAAAGGAATATTAAAAATTTTTATTTGCTAAAATTACTTTAACGAATTTCAATAGTGTTCATATCTTCCTTCACTTCTACGTTAGTGATTTATTTAATATATGACCAATTTAAAGTTTTTTTATTTGTCTCAGGGTCTTTTAAGAAATCATACTCGAGAATAACGTCTCCGTTTGCATAAACATCCAAAAGTTCGCTAGGAAGAAAACATAGAGGCGAAATCAAAAAATTATACTTTTTTAATTGTTCTTTTTTTTTTTACTTACTCAACTTCTGCAAAAAAATAGGAATTTTTTTTGCTCTTTTGATTACAGTTTTTACAATTTATAATGGTTACAGTTCAGAGCAAGTAGATTTCTATGAACTATCTTTTTCGACTGAGTTAGAGCTGTATTAGTATGAATCAACCTCTGATGAATTTGTATTGTGAGAATGAGATTCTTCAAGCTCCATTTACAATTTTGTTTTACTTTTTTATTATTTTTTAGATTTATAAATTTGTGGTATTAGTTTTTTTTATATTTGTTTAAATAATGTGAGAGTAATTTTAATAGATAATTAATCAAATTGTATTCTATTTGCTTTTATTGAATTATTATTTTAGAAATCTCTCACTCTATCTACATTTCTTTGTTTTTATCTTTCTTTCTTTTGAAGAGTTTGCAAAATTTAATTTCTTTTCCCAAAAACTTAAAGGATGCAATTCTTTTTTGTATTTGATACTATATAACCATTCAGTGAGTGTTGTCTATACTACAACAATATTTAATATTTCTAATGACTACTTACGATTATTTAATTCAGACATACAAATAAAATACATAAATAATTTATTATATGGCATAAATAAGTTTTTTCTTATTTATAGCCTGCTTTAATCATAAAAATTCCTAAATTAATATCAATAGTTAATCAAATAAAGAAAGTAAGATTTTATGTTCTAATTGAAAAATAATTAAGATTGGATTGTATTTTTAGTTTTTTTAATTGATACATGCTTTTAGCAAAATAAAGTATTTAATTATTGATAGATAGATATATATAAATATATTGATTGATTTATTTATTATTTGATTATGAATATTATCTAAAATATCATTATTTATTTAAATTAAATGATTTTATATTTTTAAATTTTAGTATTTTCTAAATTAATTAATTAAAATATATTTTTATTTTAGATTTTATTTGCTATACTGATTCATAAAATGTTTGTTAATTAATAGGTTTTATGTTATTGATTACATGACTATTTTAATTTGTTAGGCATTACTAGTTAGTTATTTTTTTAATTATTTTCTTTTCAAATATACCTTATTCCACAAGTTCTTGATTTATTTTATTCATCCTCAGCTTTTTACTGAATTATTTTTTTTTAAATTTCATCGTCTTAGTTTTTGTAGAATTTATCTATGAACATTTCACTTTTAAATTAATACAATGTTTTTAAATAATATTCATGTTAAAAAATACAATAAAATTTACCTCATTAGTGAATACTCAAAATCAATTTAATAATTTTTTTCATTAAGAGCTCTTTATTGTTTAATATTCTCTATTATATTAGGATTTATTTCAAATTTAAAGACTCTGAAGCAAGAATACTCTAATGCGAACTCTCCGAAAAATAGATCATAATGTTAGAAGTTTTCAGGAGTGAAGCATTAAAAATCTGGTGTTGTGATAACACACTTTACAGGGATTTTTATGTTATCGAGAGTCATTATATCATGCTCAAAATAGAATCCATGATTTGGTTTCTTTCTGTTTATATAATAAAGTCTTCCTATCAATCTTCTTAGTCTAATTTTAAACAAAATATTAATAGCGTTAATTTAAGAAAATTTATTTTTCTACCTAGAAAGACCATCTAAAAATTCAAGACGACCTTTTCTCAAAATAAACGGTATTGCATTTTCTTCATTAAGTCCAAGTAAATTTAATAAGGTTTGGCTGTACCCAATGTTTTTATAATTTTGATCAAGTGTTTCAAAATCTATTTCATAATATATATACATATAAATATCATCCTTTGTCACCTATGTTTTAACCCATTCTAAACCTCTTTTAAAGTAATCTTATGAGATCATTTAGAATTACTCTTTCACTTTTAAGTCACGGAGCACATTTATTCTTTCTTTCATTAACGATAAATGTTTCTTTGCTTTCTCGTAGTATTCCTACAAGTAGAGGCCAAGCTAGTGAATTAATTAATCAGGCATGTTTAAGTATTTTTGAATTGCATATTAAAAATCAAATTCAGTACTAACCATTCTTTCTAAATTTATAAAAAAACATTGTTAAGCTAAAAATTTCTCATATAATTGTTTTGTTTAAATATTAAATGCTTTTAACTTGCTTTTGATTCTTGCCAAAAAAATTCTTGTACTTTAATTACATTTTTGCGTTACTATACTATTGAATAAAGTTCTTCAATAGATAGATAGATAATTTGCAAAAGTGAAAAATAATTTACTCATATCTACTTAGGTGCAACATATTTCTTTTACTTAACTAGCATATTCTCCTCTCTTCCAGTATGACCATTGATAAGTTTTTTCTATATTAAATGGGTCTCTGTAGTAATCTCCTTCAAGAACTATCTCTCCAAATACGAAGCAATCTTCCATTGGTTGAAGTATTTAAAAGAATGGTTAAATGGTATAATCGCTTTGCTTAACCCCTAATAACTTATTTTATTTCTTAACTTTTTCGAGTTTATTTTGAATTTTTCTCTTTCGCATTTGCTCCTTTTTTAGCTTTTTGATTACTTTCTCTTTATCATCATCATTTTCTTTAAGAACTACAAATTGAAAGTTAATTTAATTAGTTTCTTTGTTACTATTTACGCTCTGACTAGAACTATCACTATTTGTGACAACTTCTGATGTCTGCTAAATAGAATCGTTGTCGTTTTCTATTTCCATTTAATAATTAGAATTCAAGATAAGTTTTATTTATTTATGTGTTTTTTGTTCCTCTTAAAGCGAAATATAACCAAGTTTGCAGATGTTATTTTCTGCAAATTATATTAATTAGCAAATTTGAGTTTTTATATAAACAAAAATTATTTACAAGCATTATTAACTATGCAAATAGATTAAAAAATTAATTAAAAAATCACTATTTAATATAGATAATGTAAATATAAAATGTACTTTTTTTTATCTAAATCAAAAACTTTTACTTGATCATTTATAACCAGAGATTTTTAAATTGAAAAACAATTAATTAGTTTATTAAGCAATTACTTTGTTTATTTATTTGGATCAAGAAAAAATCAATGAAAACAAACAAATAAACATTTTTATACATATCATCTCATTATTCTTACTATTACTTTTTAGCTTCTTTAATCTTAAAGCTCAAATATTTACTACTCATTAAAGGCTACGATACTTACAAACCTTACTGCTCTCTTACTCATCCTATTCCTACTTCATTTGACTTGCATTTTAATTATTTTAAGGATAGAATTTATCAATAAACACCTCACTTTTTATATAAAATTGTTTATTTAACAAATTAAATGTAAACTTTTCTAATATTAAATATCATTTAAAATATTATTTTATTTTATTTACCTCAGCATAGAATATTCCATGTCCTGGTATAAATAATGAGGAGTCTATTTTTATTATTCTCTCACACTCATTACTTATTTTATGATGTTAGGGTTCACGTGAAACACAAATAGTCTAAAGGTGCAGTATTTGGACATCAAAAAATCTCCAAAATAATTGTACTCTTTAAAGCTCTCTTATGTTATACAGCTGAATGGAGGTAATATAATTTCACATTTATTAGGGATTGTGATTCCATCAATGGTAATTATATTATGGTCTAGGATAAATGCTTAACCCAATTTATTTTAATATATATTCATCAATCTAACCATCAAACGATATAATCTATTTCAATTTACAATATTTAATTATTAGATGTAAGCTATAAATTTAGAAAATTCATAGAAAATTATAATTACCTAGACAATCCATCAAAAATCTCCAATCTCCCCTTTCTCATAAATATGTTGTTTGCTTCTACTTCATTTAATCCTATCAAATTTAACAATTTTTAACTGTAACCAATCAGTTTGTAGTCATTATCAAGTGTTTCGAAATCATACTCAGAAACCATATACATATATAATTTGCTCTCATCTACTTATCCTTACATCCACTCCATACTCTTCTTGTAGTATTTTTTTGAAAGATCTTTCAAAATCTTTTCTAAATTATTTTCTTAAATATAACTTTTGTTTTATTGCATTTTCTAAAGCATCTCCTTCGAAAAATTTTCATATTCTGAAAGCAACTATCCCAGCTCGTGTATCTGCTAATCAGGAGTATTCAGATACCTCTGAGTCATGAATGAAAAATTTTAGTTAGTATTGACTTATCTTTCTTTTTTATAATTAAAGTTGGTAATAAAAAAAGCCTCAAAAAAAAGTGGCTTATAGCCATTTCGATATTAAAATTAATTGAATCTTCTTAGAGATTGATTTATGAATTAAATTGACAAAACTAATCAAAATTTTGATAGTGTAAAAAAATAGTTTATATATTTCGATATATTTAAAGCTCATTTTACATTTTGAATGAATTGAAAGAAAGAATGAATGAATACTATGCGCAACTAAATAGGATTTCAAATCAAAGTCAACAAATATATATTTTTATTACTCATTTCAACTTCTATGCATTTGATGTCCTTCAAATAAGTTACACTATTGCTTCTCTTAAAATACGCCCATGAATAAGTTTTATCCATATTAAATGGGTCTTATTTAAAATCGCCTTCTAAAATGATATCCCCGAACACGAAGTAGTCTCCAATAGGAGGAGGAATATTTAAATTAGGGATTACATGAATATATTTTTATCTATTTATTTCGTTGTCGCTGTTATTGTTATATTTCATTAATTTATTGCAAACTCTTCTCTTAAACAGCTGTTTTTATTTTATCTTTTTAATGCTATCTTTTTCATCCTCATCACTTTAATCGCCCTAATCTCCCTTCTTTATTGGTTCTAATTAAACAATTTCAAGCCTAGGCTGACAAGCAAAAATATTTTATTAACTACTTATTTCTTCTTTCTTGATAATCCCAAAAAAGCAACTGTTGCAGGATGGATCTTCAATTTCCATAAATACAAACAAAAATTATAAAAATAATAAATTAAAATCTTGAATAGTTATTGATTATCAAAAAATTTTGTTCCTTTTTGTCTTGTTAACTTACACAAATATATTACTTACAATTTAAAATAATTTAAATTAATTCTAATTTGATTCATTTCTATTCCTGATCGTTTATATAAAACCAACCAAACAAATCCCTAGAGCAAATTCTTTCTTGGGCATAATATTAAGTTATTATTTTTATGTTCAGCGAATTATCTAATCCTCCTCATTTTTATATGATATGTAAACTAATAAATTAATTTTTAATCATCATAATTTTTTTAGAAAAATCCACTTGATTTTCTACTATTTTGTTTTAGCATTACATGTCTTAGTATAAAATAATGTAAGGTATTGCTTAAATTAAATAAATATAATTTATAGTTTAATTTGCTTAACATATTTTTTTCCAATCTTAAAAAATAATAATTATATTTTTAATTATCTTATTAGATAAAAAAAATGCTTAATTGATAAGTTTAAAATTAAACTTTTTAAAGTAAATTTTAGAATTAATTAGCTAAATAAAATTCATAATAATTACTTAAAACTAACTATTTTTCTTTTTTTTTATATTTGAAATCCACAACTAAAAAATATCTAATTGAATTTCTTTAATAAACAATAAATTAAATTAATTTTAAATCATTATATAAACCACTAGGACAATTCATATATATTTGAGTGTATCTTTCTCAGCAAAGTAACTAGTCTTAAAGTTATTTTTGGAATTCTTAATCTTGTTCCAAAACTTTATTCTAATTGATTTATTATGAGATTTTATTTTATTACTAATTCAAAGAGTTTATTTTTTTGTCTACCTATTTGTTATCATTATATACTTCTTCTTATAAGATTCTTTCAAATTCAGCTTCAAATTCATCCATATCAGGCAAATATTCCTTTTAATTTTAATATTTTATTTTTAAATGAAAAAAAGTTAAGTTGATTTTTTATTCATTAAATAAATAATTACCTTCATTGCTAAGTTGGCTTATTCTTAATCTTATTCTAAGGCTTTTAAATCATCAATAATATCGACTATTTTATCAACATCATTTTCTTGCTTTTTCAAAATATTAGCTGCTTAAGATAAAATTCTTTTTTATTTCAAATAAAAGCATATCAAAATAATTTATTTTCCATATTGTAGTAATTAATTCTCTTTACGCTTAGGTATTAGAGGTATCTAATCCATTCTCTAGCTATAGACGTACCTTCAAAAAAACAGTTTTTTAATTTTCTGCTCTATCAATATAGGCTTCTAATTGTTTAATTTCCATCAGTTTAAAAGTAGCTTACCTTTTTTAACCCTTTTAAACTTATTCTTTAAGAGTTTCTTTCAGCATATCAATTTTTTGATTATACTTATATATCTTTTTATCAAAAACCTCTTCTTAATTTTTTATTTCATACAAAACTCTTTCGCACTCTATCTGATTATCTTATGGAGCTTTATTCTCAGCATAAGAAGACGAAGAAGAATTTTCTTAATTTTTAGAGGTATTGTTGCTTCCAAAAAGTTTTTTGAGCATTTTTTTACAATTTAAAAAATATTTATTTGTTCATAAATTCAAGCTATTGAATATTATTTTTATAATATAAAATGAGAATAAACTTTATTTTATAATAATTTGTAAAAAAAAAATCATCCCTTTACTTTAAAAATTTTTACAGTCTTTTGAATTCTAATCAGGAAAAAATTTTTAATGATCTGGTCAGGTTCAAAATAATTAATACTTTTAATTTATTTGCTGTTTAAAACTATTTGTAATGTTAAATTTCAAAATTTAAAAAACTTTTCTTATAAATTCCTATAAAAAATTGAAATTAAAATCAACTTAGCAAATATCTTGACGTCGATTTAAAGGAATTTAATCATTTACTGAAAAAGGGGAAAAAAAATAATCTATTCTCAAAAATAATTTTTAATAATAAACAAATAACTCCATTTAATATTTTTTACATGGATAAATAAATAAATTATTTAACAAATGTTCAAGATAAATCCTAATGAATTTTAGCTAACTATTAATTGATTCTATTAATAAATTTAAAAGAATTTATTAAAATAAAAATTATTATATGGATAAATATTTTTAAGATAACAAAACCAATAATTCAGACATTAATTCCTAAGGTATAGTCAAACTGAAGCCTGTCTTTATAGTATTGTGTGTACTTAAGCATACATAAATAATAATATAAAAATTAAATATCAAATTCAAAAATTTTATTCTTATCCTTTAATTAATTAAAAGTGTTTTATTTTTTATCAAATAATATAGAAAAATAATAAATAAATAAGATACCTTGTTAAACAGAATTATTAAAATTGATCAATATTTGTTTGATTAATTTGTTTCTAGTAAAAATTAAAAATTTATTTTGATTTTTATTTATATAATAATATTTTATTCTTCTTCAAAAAAAAACTGAAATTAATAAATAAAGATATATTTTTGTTTGAAAATTATTAATATTAATTAACAAATTTTTGTTTTATTAATTTGCTTTTAATAAAAAAAAAGAATAATTAATTAATTTGATTGATAATTTTTTTATTTTTAAAAAACTTAAATATTAAACTTTATTATTTAACTATGGGATTAAAAATTTAATAATTAAATTTAGAATAAATATTCTATTTAATTATTTAAAGTAGTTATAATTTTGATTACTAAATATAATTTTTTCTAATATATGATTACTATTTTTGATTTTTGAATTAATATTTAAATTTCAATATTTTTTTAAATAAAAAGTATTTTAATTAATTAATATATTTATAAGTGGAAAGACATTCAAAAAATAAGAAATAAATCTTCTTATGAGTTTTTGAGATTTTTGATTTTTTGATTTTTTTGTTTTTTCAACTTTTTTGCATAAATGTGAAATGGATTTTATCATTTTTATGTCTTATATTATTGATTTAATAAAGTGATATTTTTATAATTTAATTTAGATTAATTTTGTATATTTAGATATTTTAATTTATTATTACATAATAAAAATTATCAACAAAATATCTTTATTATAGAAAAATTCTTATCTATCTAAATAAAATAGATTTAAGATTTAGTATTAGAATGATATACATGTATATAGTTATTTATTTATTATTTTTTAATTATCAACTTTTCTTAACAGCTTTTTTGAAGTATAGGTTTTCCTCAAGGTTAGTTTCTGTAGTTGGTTTCTTAAATTCAGGGGATATGAAGTTGTCAGCAGAGGGAGGAGGTTGAAAATTGATATTATCTAATTATAGATTATTATTTTATGTGTTCTTTTTTTTATTTTCCTGAAGATTATTTTAGCTTTGAGGCTGTTATGAACCATTTATATTGCTGAGATCGCTTTAATCGTCATGTATATATTAAACTGAGTCATCATTCAACTTTTTTTGGAAAAAAATTTAAATATTGTTATTATCTTAATTTTTTTGTAGTTACTCTTTATTCAAAGTATCTGCTATTTATTCTAAATGCTGCTAGTTATTTATGTCTTATAGATCAATTGATTCTCCTCCGTTGTAATAAAATTCATTTTCACCTTTATTTGATATCATAATCTAGTTTAAATCGTTCACCTACTTCTTTTAATTTGTTTCACCTTCTGCTTATTTACTAAAATCATCTCCTTAAGTTTACTTTATAGGGTTTTGATTATTGTTTTATAAGTCACTTTAATTGTATTAATTTTTCATGTCTTCTTCAGAGATATTTTAGAGATTTTATGGCTTTTAGGCATTTTGAAGAAAAGGATTTTAAATAAATATATTATCAGATTATTAGTTATTTTATTTTTACTGGCTTTAGTACCAGTTATTCTTTTCAATTGATGAGAAGTTTTAATTCTAGTTTGATTTATATTTACCAATTTATTCATTATTTTGCTATTTATTATACACTTAATCAAAATATGTTTTTGCTTAGTCTTCTGCTTACTTCATTTTAAATTATCCATTTTGTTATCCTATTTTTTTCTATTTTGAACTGTGATTAGATAAAATATTTTTAGTAAATTAGCTATTATTTCCATACAAATCTGCTAAGCAGAATTATTAAACAAGTCCATTTTTGGTTTCCTTAAAAGGATTTGCTTAAACGAACGGATTTGATTAGAACTTTTATTATCCAACATAATTTTAATGATTTTACTTAAATTAACTCACAACCTAATCTTATAATTTAGTTTTTTCTACTGCATTTTAAAACTTTTTTCTTACTTCTGTACTATCTCTTTGGTTTTATAAATTTTGAATCATTTCTATTTCATGTTAACTCATCACTTGTGAATTATTCACCTAGTTTTTTTGAGGTGATATAAATTTTGATTAGTTACCGCTGACTGCATAGTAATTTTCCTAAATGCTTTTATCAATCAGCTTTAAATTCCTGTTAGTCGATAAAGGGTCTTTGTAGTTCTCATCAAATTTGTGAAGATAAGTTATCGTTCTTTTAGTTGTTTAATTTTTATAGAAAATGTGCTTAAGAAGTAGGAGTTATTTGATGATATTGATGAAAATGAATATACTAATAAAAGCTAAGCACGCATAATCAATTGACTGATACGAGGATTTACTTTTAGCCACAAAATTATCTTATTTATAGTATATCTGTGCTGCGAGAAGTGTAGTAAACAATCCAACTTAAGAGAGTTCCTCAATTATTTTCAACCACAAAACTATGATATTTTCATATGGCCTAAAATAAATGGTGTATAGGAAAGCACTTAAGTATATTATAAATGATATAATGCAAATAACTAAAGAATCTTCATTAAATAGAGAGCATACAAGGATGTTGAATAATATCTTTTTGGTGTTTCCTACTCCAAAAAGATAATATCTGCAAGGCCATAAATCATCTTCAATTTCTTTGATGTAGGTGATAAAAAAGTGATAACTCTTTATCTTTATTCTATATGCGCCTACAACATGATAGATTGCCAAATAGAATAATACAATAAGAGCTAAAATAAAGAAAAATTGTTATGCAGATGTGGAAAAATCCGTTTGCGATAATATAAAAATAGAATAGTAAGCTAAATAGAAAAGGAGATTCTAATGAATGTATTGCAAAATTGTGATAGTCCAAATATGAACCCTCAATATGGTTTCGAACTTGCATAAATGATCTACCTCAGTCTTTTTATATACTTCATAAACCCATTTAAAGATGCCGAAAATGAAGTATATCAATATTAGTTGTAAAATGTAGTAGAGATATGGTAGTTTGTAGTCACCATACTAAGCAGTAGAACTTTAACCTAATTACAACTGCCAATCTGGTAATTAGTTAATACCAAATCCACCAAACAACTTAATAAAATAATAATATAGTGGAGTGCTAAATATCTGCATATAGCAAAGAGCCATAATAAACTAAAGAGCAGGGAATATATGAATAAAAATGGCCAAGCAACGAAAAACGTAAAACACACTATAGCTGGTAGAATTTTAGTCATACAAGAATGAACTTGAATTCTTCAAATTATTTAAATTGCTTGTAGAAGCGGGTTACAAGTATGCTCCGAGAGTAATTTTAATTGGATTAGTAGGATCTAGCTGTTTAATTGGAACAGAAATATCACTGCTTAATAAATTACTAATATCATAGCTTACAATGACGAGAGTGCATTAGGTTATACTGACTTGAGGATAAATTAAATATCTTAATTCATTTGGAGCAGTACTATCTAATCCAACTATTTACACATACTGAAATGAAAGATCTTCTACTATTTTCATAATAATCAAGGTGGTAGGTAAGTTTGTTGTCTTGAGCTTATAATTAAATTGGAAACTTAAAATTATTCTATTCTTAGAATCTCTAGATTAAACTATTTGGTATTACAAGTAATCTTAACAAATAAAAGTTGAAGGAACTAAATAAGTGTTTGCTGGGCATTGTAAGTAGCATTAGTTATTATATTTGAAATAACCTGTATTGCACTAATCGCATATATTCAATTAGCTGCAGTTAAGACAGTTTTATGGGCAAGCTACGCAGATAGGCTGATTTATTTCCAAAAACCCTGTTATACAAGGGCAAGAGTTAGCTACGAATTGTCTGTTAGAAGAAGGATTGCATGAAAGACAAATTTTAGGAGTTGAGCTATCACAAGTCCCACATTCGTAATTGCACTCTATCCATAAAGAAAAATAAAAAATTAGTTCGATTCAAATAAAAATTTGATGTTATGCATTTGTAGTAAAATGAAATCCTTAAAATCCAAATAGATAAATGATACAATTGAAATAAATTACAATCAGTCTGTATAAGATTCCTAAAGCTATTAAAAGGGCTCTAATAGCTATATTCTGTCAAATCAGCCCTGCTAAATTATAATATAGATGCTATAAAAAGCGCTAAATAAAATAGTTTTTTCTAACAAGCAGCTTTTTATTTCATGCTTTATTTTGTATCTGCTTTGATAAGAAGTTGTTTGCTAGTTTGTATTATGTAATTGTTTGTGCAAATAATTGGTCTAAGTTATTGATTAATAAATAGTATAATTAATTTAGATATAATTTTTACTTGAATTAAAAATTATTTGTAATTATAATTGTTAGTAAATAACTAACTAATATTCTTTCTTTGCTAATTTTTCTAATAGTTTGTGCAAATATATAATGCATACATTCTTAAAAATTTGTATAAAATTTGCTGTTAAAATTTTATTAAAATAGTAGGCTCATTGATTAGCTCCTCTAAATATAGACTTTAAATTTACTCCTCTATTTATAAATTAGTAGATCATTTATTTGTTGTAAATATTTGCAATATGCAAACTAAAATAGTTCTTTTTTCTTTTAAAAATTACATTTTTATTTTAAAAAAGTAAGATCTGTAAGTGCTTTCTAGCTTGATAAAATTTGTAATTTATGTCCTCAAATTCTTATAATAAATATAAGGAATTAAATTCTTAAATTAATTCAACATAAAAAAATAGAAATTAATTAATAAATGCTCAAAAAAAACACTTGTCTATATCATAAAAATAGTTATTATTTATTTTTTTTAATATTAATTTAATTTTTTCAATACTTATCCATTTTATAAAATTATGTGAATTTTTCTTTCTAATTTTTAGATTTGTGAAAATAAATTAATTTTTGGAATTCTTGATATATTACTGATTTTTTTATTATCAGAAAAAAGTTTAATTTGTAATGGTGAATAAACTAAACAGATAAACAATTATTTAATTTTAATATATAATAATTTTAACAAAATATTTACAAAAATATAATTTTACAAGATTTTTTATGAAGACAATTTTGATTTATATAAGAAAATTCTATTTTTTAAACTTAATTTAATTTTTTGAATGTTCAAAAAAAAGATTTTTATGTTAATTATTAAGGTTCCTCTTCACAAAAATAATCTTAATTAATTTTAATTGATTATCCATATGAATTCTAAACTAATGAAGGCATGTTATAATCTAATTGATGCATTACTACTTATGTTGGGTTTGTATAAGAATTTACAAAGTAAACGTTATTATTGGAAGAATTTTATCTGTATAAGTAAGTGTCGTTATTTTATTAATTAGGTACTGCTCTATTCTAAAGTAATTGCTATATGAAGCTAGTCTCTTGATTATTATTAGCTGGGTTATTTACTTAAAATATTTGCTAGGGATTTTAATTGTCAGCTTTTATACCAAAATCTATAGTTTATGCCTTAGAAATCTCTTTTGTAAATAGATCTTATGTGTTTTGTAGTTACTATAATTGTAAACCAAATAAAATCTCATTATTTTATTACTTTTAAGAGTTTTAATCATTTTATAACTAATTTTATTGATTATTATTCATTTATTTTTGAAGTGTTTGAAAAAAAGGGTCAGATTATTGCTATTAAAACTGTGCATTTCCATAATTTATTTATAAAATGGTTCCTTGATTTTAATTTTGATTATTAATATCAAATAAATTTGGCTATTTTTATTAAATTTAGTTAAATTCAACTTTAGGAATAACATAGCTGACTTCTTCTTCTATATCAAAGTTATCTGGAATTGGTTGTAGCCTCTATTAAAAATTATTGCCATTTAAATTTATCTCCATCTCAATTTAATTATTTTATTATTATGTCGCTCTGTTAATAGGCTATCTTCTATTTATTTGAAAAGGCTAAATATTCTCCTTTTATTCTTCTTCTTCATCTTCAATTACAGAATGCAAATTTTAAGAAACATTTTCATTCTGGTTTCTCTTCTATTTTAGATTCTACAAAATTTAAGCCTTTTTTTGCTAATACGATAAACTCATTTCTGATACTTTAATTTAATTAATTGCAATTTATTGATTAATTATTTATTTATTAATTAATTAGAAATACAAACTATTGAATCTTGTAAAAAAAAAATAAATTTTATTTGTCTAGGTAAAATTGTAAATTATTTTTGATTGAATTAGAAATAATTTTATTTTATTTTTTTTAAATTGTTTAATTTATAAACTTAGTTTAATAAACATGTTAAAAAATACCCCTTTATCACGATCAGAAAGAAATAAAGCACAAAACATCACATTTTGATAATAGAAATTAGTTATTAATAAATATTTTTTTTTCAGTTAAAAAATAATTTTTTGACCTAAGAAATAAAGAATAAATAGACATATATTGATTGATTTCAGCATTCTTTTGTAAGTTTAATATTTACATACAAAATAAAGCTCAAAATTAATATAAATGTACAATAGTTTCAAAATATTAAAAAAAGATTCATATTATAATTAATGTTTTGTATTAATTAAGACTTTAAAGTAAAATTTATTTAGTTTTTGGCAAGTAAATATATTTGTTAGTTACAAGGATTTATGAATTTCAAGAAATAATTTGATAATATTAAATTAAATATATATTGGATAATACAATTAATTATATAGATAAATTCTTATAATACTCAATAAAAAAAAAAATAAGCATCCATAATGTTTTTTATTGCAAAAAAAATATAAATATTTTAATAATTTCAAGAAATTAAAACTTAATTAATTTAATTTACTTCCAAAATTGTATTTAATTTAATTAGATTTTAAATTATATATTAGATTATGTTATAAATACGGTTCATCACAATAATTGATTTATTAATTATAACAAACAACTTATGTAATTTGATATGTATGGCAGACATTTAATCAAAAAGAATAAATAAGTATATTTCATATTTTTATTGCAATATAATTTTATAGAACACTTCAGAATATTTTCTGATATGAAAAAATCAAATGAAATTGTAAAATATCAGCTTTTCTTTCTTACTTTTATTTTAAGAAAATACAATTAATTATTGTTACTTTCTCCTTAATACACACAAACCAAAATTTTAGGATTGTTTTTTGAGTCTAAGTCAGATAGTTAGTGTATATTTTTTTATTTGAATTGAATAGTATTTATACTAAATTTCTGAAAAAAAGTAAAAAAGTAATAAGAATTATAAGTTTACATCATTTTAATTGATTTTTAAGTAGGTTGGTTTCTAATTTTGATGAAGGTATCTATCTGATAAAAATAATACAAGTTATTTTAATATTTATATTTCAATATTTAATCAAATTATTTGAATAAAGGAAAATATAGCAAAATAAAAGGATGAATATGGAAGATAAAGAAAGAAAAGATTTTCACGAAGTTGAGCTTGAAGGAAATTACGCTTCTAACGAAAGCGCTGATGACCATATTAATGTTAGTAAATAAAATAAATCTACTCTATGCTCTTTTATCTTATTTTTGTATTAATTCAAAAGATGAGCATTAAAATCAAAATGATAGATAACCAATTATTCCAAGACAATCAGAGAGATTAATTGGTCAAAAAAGAGTAGCTGTTTTTGCTTTAGTTATGATTATCTTTTGTACTTTATTCGTAGCTGCAATTTATTACACTTTTTTCAAGATGGGAGATCCTAAAATTTTTATTTACAAAAATGATATCTTCCTTACAAAATGTCCAAAGTTTACTTTTTAAATTGGTAATATTTGCCATGATGAATGTCCAGAAAGAATGTATTAAAGAGGAGAGGAATGTGTTTCTCATTGTGGCTCATCTGATTTCGTATTTGATAATTTTTGCATTATTTCTAATTGCTTAATTGAGGAGGAGGAAGATAAATTAGTAAAAGGATATTTTGACTTTTCTTCCAAGTTATGCGTTAAAGAATGCTCCTCTTAAGCATTTAAATTTTTAGATAGATACTGCTTTGATTTTGAGTGCCCGAAAGAGGAGATATACTAAATAGTTAAGTAATACAATTTAAAGAGAGACGATTAAGAGTTTGAATAAGAGTATGATCTTCTTCTTAAGACATAAAAAGATTTCACTTTGTAAGATTTTGCTATTACATCAAATATTACAGGTGAAAAAACTTGTTTACTTGGATGCACAGATTAATTTAATAAATATATTAATTTCAACATGTATTCTTTTAGATATGAATGCTTAACGAAATGTCCATATGATAAATTTTTCATAAAAAAGCATGGTTAAAATATTTGCTTAGACTCTTGTCCAGAAAAAACTTTTATTAGTGCAACTTCTAATGAATGTGTGGAATCTTGTGGGTAATATGCTGTTGAAAATAATAATTGTATCCTGACTTGCTAAGATGGATTATTGAAATTAGGAAAAGAATGTGTCACTGAATGCTCATCTTACTTTCCCTACATCAACTCAAAAAAAGAATGTGTGAAAACTTGCTAAAACGAGCCACTTTTCTAATATGTTGATAAAGGAGTTTGCTCCAGCTCTTGTCCAAAATATATTCAAAAATAAAAGAATGAACTAGTTTGCATTGATAAATCTTGTGATTTACTTGGTTCAGACTAAAAAATGTGTGTAGACAAATGCAATGAAAATGATATGAAAATCGTTTTAAACAACGAACTTTAATGCTTTGAAATTAAATCATGTGAAAACAAAATGGAATTTTTCGTTCCTGGAATGGGTTGCTAATCGAGTTGCCCATATTAATATCCAATATAAATGAATGGAATGTGTCTCTAAAAATGCTTTGATAATTGGTCCCTCCACGAAAATAACTGTATTGAGTCTTGCCCTCAATTATATCCATACACTTAAGATGGTTAATGCGTCACTTAGTGTGATGATAACAATTTTACTTTTGGATATTTTTGCTTTCAAAAGTGCCCTAGTGATTATTTTCAAGATATAGCTACTAAAACATGTACTTAGACTTGTGAAGGCTTTTATATTGAATCTAGTAGAGATTGCTTTGCCTAATGTCCATAAGAAGCACCATATTCTTACTAAAAAAAATGTTTAAGTATGTGCCCTTTATAAACATTTGTATACGTTAATGAAAAGAATATTTATTAATGTGTAAATGTGTGTCCTCCTGAAACTTATTAGACACCAGATTCAAAATGTGTAAAATAATGTCCTTAAAATTTATACACATTGAAGGAAACGAAACAGTGTGTTTAAAAATGTCCAATTATCTCAGATGAAAACAGGGTTTGTAAAAATAACTGCACCTCTAAGCAACGCTATATATAAGGAGAAGATTAATGCTATGAAGAATGCCCATCAAGATATTACAAGATGGAAGCCACCAATGAATGTGTATTATCCTGTCTTTTCCTTACATACAAACCTGCTTAAGGAGAAAATTAATGCGTTTAATAATGCAGCAATATTTAGAAATTTTAACTTCATATGACATGTGTAGATAAGTGCCCGATGTTTTTCTTAAATAATCTTTGTTATGATTATTGCCCTCTTTCTAATCCTTATTATCAAGATAATGAATGTGTCAAACAGTGCTCTCTAGGAAGAATTCAACAAGACAATTAATGTCTAACATAATGTCCTGACGGTTTATTCTATGTTGAAGGTAATTTCAATCAATTATATTAATTATTTATTTTTATTAGCAAAAATATTTTAGAATTTTATGAAACTTAATTAAAATAAACCACTTTATGTAAAGAGTTTTTCAAATAAATAAAACATATTTTTTAACTTTTGGAATTAAATAAATTATATTTTTTGTGAAAATAAATAAATTAAACAAAATTATTTTTTAAGGTTTGAAGAAATGTCAGAAGTCGTGCCCACAGGACTTTTATATTGACGTAGAAAATAAATCTTGCAAATAAACATGTGAAGGGTTTACAATAGAAAATAAATGTGTTAAATAATGTCCTTTTTATTCTACTTAAATGGGAAAATAATGCTGGCTTAATAGTCCTCAATATCCAGGACCTTATCTATTAAAAGACGGAACAATTTTGCAAGAATGTAATTTTGAAAAAGGATACTATTCTAACCAAAGAATGTGCAATAAATGTAATGGAGGAGATCAATGTAAGAAATGTTCTTAATTTTACGGAATATGCTTGGAATGTGAATAATAATTCAGCTTGTATAATAATTCTTGTTATAAATCATGTCCAGATGGCTACATTTCCTAACAAGGAGTATGCATAAAAGATGATAAATTCTTAAAAAATAACTTATTCTTTAGGGAATATAACAATAGTAACTACTTCGGTGCAGGCTAAAAAATAAAATACTCCATCCTTTAAGATGTTTAATTCATCAACGATTATGATATTGATTTTAATAATTAGAATAATAATAATAATTATACTCATACAGTTATAGTTCATCTGCATGATCTCAATTCTACTTATTTAGACTTCTATTCATATCCGTTCTCATAAAATAACTCAGATTCATTTATAGAAAATTTGAAGCTATAAGTAATTGATTAAGGTATTTCAATAATTACAGTTTAGTCACCTGATATTTTATACTTTAGTAATTTCTTTGATTTCGTTTTGTCGGAGCTACTTCCATCACTAAGTTATTTCAAAGCTAATGTGGTCTTTTCAGGTAATATAAAAATATTTTAAATAAAAAATAATACTAATTTACTTATATATTTATTTATTTATTTATTTTATAGGCGTTGGACTAGCATCTAACTCAATAGTATAACATGTTAGCAATATTCTTAATAACTAACAGGGTGAAATGTATAGACGTATTTTAGGTAATTATATGATTGATATGCAAGAAGGATTCGAAGGAGATTCTTTCGTGAAAGATTTTACACAAAATCAATACTAAGAATTTTAACAGTTATTAGCTTCTGATGAAGATGTATACAAATAAGTTCCTTAGATTTGTAAGATATTTACACCTTACATAAGATTAAATGATATAGTAACAATTAAGAGAAACTAAAAATCTGCAGAGAATCTAACAAATGTCATTTCAATAATCGGAATTAGAAATAGCTGTTAAAATATAAATATCAAACCTTAAAACTCCCTTAAAGATTTTTAAAGAGAAAAAAATTAATAATAATATAACAGAGTTATTCTATCAGAACAGGAATATGGATCAGAATAAAGAAAAAGTGCTATCTACAAACATATATCAGAAAATTTACTATAAGAAGTTAGTTCATGGATTAATAGTGAATCAATGCAAACTTCAAATCTGAAGCTAAACTAATTACTTTGAAATAATTAATTTTTATATTGAGTTATTGATTTATTTTTTCTTCATTGAAATTCATTTTTAAGATATTTAATAAAATTTGTTGATTAAAAAATAGATTTTACATTTGCTCAATATTTTAATTTATTTTTAAATTTAATAAAAATCTAAAAGTAAGTATTAATTAAAATATATCTTATAAAAAGTCATTTTAATCTAATTTCATTTGTAAACTTTATTTTTCTATTTCTAGACTGTTTTTTTTAAGTATTTACTTGTTTTAATATAAAATTAAATATATTTTATCTACAACTATGTTAAAAAGTTTTAGCTAGACTTTTAAATGAAGTTTTAATCCTATGGCAATAGATATTTTTATTTTTAACATAAGCATTTTAATTACCTTTCTTTAACTTAATTTTTGATATACTATACATCCTAATACATTACGGATAGAGTACATATCCACACTAATTAATAAAAAAGAAAGAAAGTTATTACTAGAATTTTTTTAAACGTATGACAAATTAACTGCTTGCTCGTCTCTCTCTGGTTCTTATATATTTAACTTACAAGTTTTAAATATAATAATAAAATTTAATAATGAATGTTACACTAACTGTTTTATGATATATTATCTTCCTCTTAGCAAATTTTTTTAATAATATTTGATAATTATTTTTATTTAAAATAAAAGTAAATTAACTTACTAACTAACTTTTAATATATTATAATTTATAATTTTCCATAAATTACTTTTCAAAATTTTTGATAAAATAAATAAATAAATGCAATAAGAGAATTAATATTTCGACAATGTAGAAGAAGTAATTATATATTTTTATATGAATAATCTTTAAATTTCATTTTATTAATAAAAAAAGTTTCTAAATTCTTCACTTTAATTTCATTAGGTTCTCCATATTGATTTGAGGTATTTTTAATATATTAATATTATTTTTAATCTTTTTTAAATTTAATTTTCAAGTTATTTCCGATATTATTTTTCTAATAAAAATTACCATATATTCATTCATTCATACTAACATACTCATTCATTTATTTTTATTTACACTAAAACTTTTTATCATTTTAGCTTAGTTTTCTCTTTTCATTTTTATTTTGATTGTTTTATAATTTTGTATTTTTTTCTCCATTTATTCTTTTAAATGGTGATTTATTTATTATATTTTTTTTTGATATATATAGTAGCAACTAAATTGGTGACGAAGGTGCATCAGCCTTAGGTTCTGCTTTAGCAAACTGTACTAATCTTTCAAAGTTGGTACTTATTCTTAAGTAAAAACAGTTGATTTTATTTTGGATTTAAATATTTTTTTCAAAAAAAATCAATTTAAAACAATACAACTCTTTTAATTTATTTAATAGATTTTTATTTGATTTATTTTTCTTTTTCTTTTAATTTTACTTATTTTATCTTTATTTCTTTGTTAGTTAATTTAACTTATATTTTCATTTTTCATTTTTCTTTTAAAATTAATTCATTACTTATTATACTTCATTTTTTCTTTCTAACTAACTAACTAATTATGTTTTTTTTCTTCAATAATGAAAAGTAACAATATAATTGGTGGATAAGGTGCATCAGTTTTAGGTTCTGGTTTAGTAAATTGCACTAATCTCTCAAATTTGGGATTACATCTTTAGTAAAAAGAGTTTTTTGTTTTTGGATGGGATATGTTTGAATATTAAAATGAATTTAAAACAAAATAACTAACTTTTTAATTTATTTTTGAGCTTTTTATTGATTTATTTTTCTTTTTTTATATTTTGTTTATGTATTTTTTTCTTCTTTCATTGTTAATTTAACTCATTTTTTCATTTTCAATTTTTGCTATTATTATTAATTACTCATTTCATATTATTTCTTCATTTTTGCTTAGAACTAATTAATTATATATTTGTTCATCAAAATTTAAAAAGTAATAATAAAATTGGTGATAAAGGTGTATTAGGCTTATCTGAATTAGCAAAATGCACAAATCTCTCAAATTTGATTCTTGATCTTAGGTAAAATCAGTTTATTTGTTTTGGAATATATTATTTAATATAAAAATTAATTTAAAACAATATAACTAATTCTTTAGTTTAATTGTTAGCTTTTTATTTAATTTATTTTTATTTTTTTTATTCTGATTGTGTTTTTTTTCTCTATTCTTTCTTAATTTTATTCATTTTTTCATTTTCAACTTTTACTTTAATTACCAATTAATTCATTTCTTACTATTTAATATTTTTTCTTTGTTTTTTCTTTCAAATAAACTATGTTTTTTCTTGAATCTATCAAAATTAAAAAAGTAATAATTAAATTGGTGGTAAGGGTGTATCAGAATTAGGTTCTGCTTTATAAAATTGAACTAATCTCTCAAATTTGACAATTGATCTTAGGTAAAACAATTTATTTGTTTTGATTGTGATATTTTTTAAAACACAACCCTCCCTCACTTAGATAACTAAAATTTCCATTAAAATTTAGCTTCTCTTAACTTCAAAGTAGGTGGGATAAATCAAGTAAATACAATAATAATACAATTTAGAAATACCAGTTTTTATTTTGTTGGAGCAGTGAACATAGTAACTTTGCTGTTGATGATAACATTTTGAATTGCGAACATGTTCTCAATTAAAAAAAATTATTTTTAGTTATGAATAAAAATTTTGTTCTCTGTTTGCAACTCTGATAAATTACTAATTTTTTTTACTACAATTTATGCTTTTTTAATTAATTTTTTATCCATTTTTTTGTTCTAAATAATTAATTTTTTGTTTATTTTTCTTCAATATCAAAAAAGTGGCAATACAAGTGGCGATGAAGGTGCATCTGGCTTAGGCTCTGGTTTATCTAATTGCACTAATATCTCAAATTTATAACTTAGTCTTTTGTAAAAATCGTTTTTTTGTTTTAGATTGTGATATTTTAAAAAAAAATTAATTGAATAGAAAAAAACTATTTTAATTTATAAATTCTTTTTTTTTTGATTTATTTTTCTTTTTCTTATTATTTTGCTTATGCTTTTTTCTTTTTCTTTCTTTGATAATTTAACTCATTTTTTCATTTTCAATTTTTGCTTTGATTATTAATTAATTAATTAATTTATTTATTTCAAATTATTTCATATTTTTCCTTAATTTTTTCCTTCTAATTAATTTTTTAATTATATATTTTTTCTTCAATATTTAAAAGTAGCAATAAAATTGGTGCAATAGGTTTATCAGGCTTAAGCTCAGGTTTAGTAAATTGTACTAATCTCAAAAATTTGGTACTCGATCTAACGTAAAAATAGTTTATTTGTTTTGGATTGTGATATTTTTTAATATAAATAAATCGAAAACAAAATAATTCTTTTAATTTATTTATTTGCCTTTATTTAAAATATTTTTATTTTTTTATATACTACTTATGTTATTTTTTTCTTTCTTTTTATATTAAACCCAAATTCACTTATTATCATTATTAATTCCTTCAGACTAACTAATTAATAATATACTTTACTTCATTATTTAAAAAGTACAATTAAATTGGTGATGAAGGTACATCTAAATTGGGTTATGATTTGTCAAATTGTACTAATCTCTCAAATTTGTCACTTTATCTTTAGTAAAAATAGTTTATTATGTTTTTAGTAGAAATGTTTTAAAATATCATAGCTCTTTTAATTTATTAATTAATTTTTATTTAATTTATTTTTCATTTATTCTGCTTTTGTTTTATTTGTTCTTTCTTTGTTAATTTAACTCATTTTTTCATTTTTAACTATTGCTTTTATTATTATTATTATTAATTAATTCTTCAATGTTATTATTTCATATTTTTTCTTCAATTTTTAAAAAGTTCCATTTAAATTGGTACAATCGGTGCATCAGGCATAGGTTCAGGTTTATTAAATTGCACTAATCTAAAAAAATTGATACTGGATCTTAGGTAAAAGCAGTTTATTTGTATTTGATTGTGATATCTTTTAATATAAAAATTAATTTAAAATAAAATAACTCCATTAATTTATTTTTATGCTTTTTATTTGATTTTTTTTTATTCTGCTAATATTTTTTTTTTATTTATTTATTTACTGATTTAAAATTATAATTTTAATTAAAAAATTTTATTCTATTAATATTTATATTAATTTACACTAATTTATATCAAAAGTAATAACGAAATTAATAAATCATAATAATTGAAAGTATAAAGTAAGTGTCTTAAATCAAAAAGATTAATTCTCTTTAAAATATATTTCTGAAAATGATAACCAAAAGGTGAAAATGATGAATAAATATAAAATTGTTTGAAAATAAAATATACTATGTTTTGTTTAATATAATTTATTAATATCATAATTATACTTAAATTATAAATAAAAATTATAAATATTTTTATATTTACAAATACAATTTTTTGGTAAGTTAATAAATAACAAAAAAATAAAAAAATTTTAAAATCAAATTTACTTAAATAAAGTAATTCTTGTACAGCCTTCTGTTTTAATCCAAAACAATCAAAGCTTTTATAATGTCAATTGATCATATTTTTTTTTAGTTAAGAAACTACTTGCTAAAATTAAATAAAAAATAAATAAATTAATTAATTTTTTGTTTTTATGTTATTTTATTTAATGTGTTTATTTGTTTACTTTTTAATTGAAGTAAATATTTTTAATTTTAATTTTATTTTATTTGTTTGAATCCACATCTAAAAATTTTAAATCATAGTCATAATATAATGATACTGACTCACTCTATATGTAAATATATTTAAATTTGACCAATAAAATTATTTTATTAAAATTTAAATACTGTTTGTTATTACTTGAATTTTTTAAAATGGTCTCTAATTCTTGCCATATTTAATGTATACATTTTAAATATAATATTAAGATTTAATAATGAATGTTACACTAACTTTTTTGCGATATATCATCTTAAAAGCAAATTTATATATTAATATTTGATACTTATAAAAATATATTTATCTTTTTATTCAAATTATTTGAAATAAAAGTAAATTAATTTACTTCTTTTAATATATTTGTGATTTATTTACAAATTTCCATAAATAACTTTTCAATATTTTGAGAAAATAAATAAATGATATAAGAGAATTAATATTTCGACAATGTAGAAGAAGTAATTATATATTTTTAGATGAATGCTCTTTAAATTTTTCTTTATTAATAAAAAAGTTTTTAAACTCTTCACTTTAATCTCATTAGGCTCTCTTTCTTGATTTTAGGTAATTTAATATTTTGATATTATTATTAATACTTTTTTAAATTTAATTCTCAAGTTATTTCTGAAATTATTTTTCTAAAAGAAATTCTCATATATACATACATACATACTCATTCATTTATTTTTATTTACACCTAAATTTTATATTATTTTATCTTTTAATTAATTTTTATTTTGATTATTAATAATTTTTTTTTAATAATTTTGTATTTTTTCTTCATTTTTTTTAATTGGTGATTTATTTTTTTTTTCTACAATATTTAAAAGTTTCAACAAAATAGATGACGAAGGTGCATCAGCCTTAGGTTCTGCTTTAGCAAATTGTACTAATCTTTCAAATTTGGTAGTTTATCTTAGGTAAAAACTATTTATTTAGTTTTGGATATATATTTTTTTTTCTCAAATAAATATGAAATTAAAACAATACAACTCTTTTGATTTATTTATTTTTTAATTTTTTATTTGATTAATTTTTCTTTTAATTTTAAGTGTTTTTTCTTTATTTCTTTGTTAATTCAACCCATTTTTTAATTTTCAACTTTTTTTAAAAAATTAATTAATTCCTTATTATTCCATATTAACACTTCATTTTTCCTTCTAACTCATAAATTAATTATTCATTTTTTCTTCAATAATGAAAAGTTGCAATATAATTCGTGAAGAAGGTGCATCAAGTTTAGGTTCTTATTTAGCAAATTGCACTAATCTCTCAAATTTGATTCTTGATCTTAGGTAAAATTAGTTTATTGTTTGAATTATGATATTATTTAATATAAAAAATTATTTAAAATAACTTACTCTTTAGTTTATTTATTAGCTTTTTATTTGATTTATTTTTTTTATATATTGATTGTGTTTTTTTTAATTCATTTTTTAATTTTCAACTTTTACATTTACTTTGATAATTAATTAATTAATTAATTCATTTCTTACTATGTATATTTTGACTTTGTTTTTTCCTTCAAATAAACTATCTTTTTTCTTCAATATATATATATATATATGTTATAAAAGTAATAATTAAATTGATGGTAAAGGTGTATCAGGATTAGGTTTTGCTTTAAAAAATTGCAGTAATCTCTCACATTTGACACTTGATCTTAGGTAAAAACAATTTATTTGTTTTAGATTGTGATATTTTTAAAATAAAATTGAATTTAATTAAAAGCATTTTATTTGATTTATTTTTCTTCTTTGTTTTTTTAATTTAACTCATTTTTTCTAAGTCTCACACAAATAAATGAGTATTGCCAGCAATGAATTTGTTCAACTGGAATTTTTTGCAAAATTCGAACATGTTCTTAAACGAAATTAATGGTTAATGCGAATATTCGCACAAATATTTTTTGATAAAATTATAATTTTTCAAATTTAATTTAATGAGAAATTAAAAAGTGTAAAATTAGCTTTAAATCATAAAAATTAAATATTTTAATTACAGGATTAGCTATATACTATTTTTTTTTTTAATATAAATATTAAATTTTAGTTGAAATAACATTAAAGCAAGATTGAATAAAAAATATTAAAATGTAAATTTCCTTACAATTAACTTTTAACTCAGTTCAGCAGCCTTCAGGTTTTTACTGAAAACAATTAAAATTTAGACTCCCTTAGCTTCTAAGTATGTTGTTAAATCAAGTAAATACGAAAATAATACAATTCAAAAATACCAATTTTTTATTTTGTGGGAGCAGCGAGCAAAGTATCTTTGCTGAGGATATGGACATTTTGATTTGTGAGCATATTCGCACTTAAAAAAAACCATTTTTAGTTAGGAACAAAGATTTTGTTCTCTATTTATAACCCCGATGAATTGTCAATTTTTTATCTATAATTTATGCTTTTTTTAACTCATTAATTTCTTATTTTCATTTTTTTTCTTCATTTTTTCCTTTTAAATAATTAATTTTTAGTTTATTTTTCTTCAATATTAAAAAGTGACAACACAAGTGGTGACGAAGGTGCATCTGGCTTAGGCTCTGGTTTAGGAAATTGCACTAACCTCTAAAATTTGTCACTTAACCTTTAGTAAAAATAGTTTTTTTGTTTTGGATTATGATATTTAAAAAAAAATAAATTTAAAACAATTTAATTATTTAATTTATAAATTCTTTTTTTTTTTATTTATTTTTATTATTATCTCTTACTCTTTTTTCTTTGTTTCTTTGTTAATTTAACTCATTTTTTCATTTTCAATTTTTGCTTTGATTATTAATTAATTTATTTATTTATTTCGAACTATTTCATTTTTTCCTTCTAATTTATTTATTCTTCAATATTTTAAAGTAACACTAAAATTTGTTTAATTGGTGCATCAGGCTTAGGCTCAGGTTTAGTAAATTGCACTAATCTCAAAAATTTGACACTAGACCTTTCGTATAATCAATTTATTTGTTTTGGATTGTGATATTTTTTAATATAAATAAATTTAATACAATATAACTCTTTTAATTTATTTATCAGCATTTTTTTGAAATATTTTATTTTTTTATATTCTGCTCATATTTTTTTTCTTTATTTTTAAATTTAAATTTAACTCATTTTTATTTTTAAATTTTATGTTTAATTAATCTATTTACTTTTTATCATATAGTACTTTTTCTTTACTAATTCTATTTAACTATCTAACTAATTAATTTATATACTTTACTTCTCTATTTAAAAAGTAACAATTAAATTGGTGATGAAGGTACATCAAACTTAGGTTCTGATTTAGCAAACTTTACTAATCTCTAAAATTTGTAACTTTATCTTTCGTAAAAATAATTTATTTGTTTATAATGTTTTTAATATAAATGATTTAGAATATTAAAACTCTTTTAATTTATTTATTAGTTTTTTATTTAAAATATTTTTATTTTTTTATATTCTGCTTATTTTTTTTTCTTTCTTTTTAAATATAACTCATTTTTTTATTTTTAAATTTTTAGTTTAATTAATTTATTCATTTCTTTTCAATACAACTTTTTCTTTATTAATTAATTCATTTTAACTAACTGACTAATTAGTTATATACTATACTTCACTATTTAAAAAGTTACAATTAAATTGGTGATGAAGGTACACAAAAATTAGGTTCTGATTTAGCAAATTGTTCTAATCTCTCAAATTTGTCACTTTATCTTTAGTAAAAATGGTTTATTTATTTATTTGTTTATTATGTTTTTAATATAAATGATTTAGAATAATATAAATATTTTAATTAATTAATTACTTTTTATCTGATTTATTTTTCTTTTTATTCTGCCCGTGTTTTTTTTTTCTTTCTTTGTTAATTTAATTCATTTTTTCATTTTCAACTTTTGTTTTTACTACTAATTAATTTATTCTTCCTTTCTTATTATTTCATTCCTTTTAAATATTTAATTGTGTATTTTTTCTTCAATTTTTAAAAAGTTCCAATAAAATTGGTACAGTTGGTGCATCAGGCATAGGCTCAGGTTTAGTAAATTGCACTAATCTCCAAAAATTGATACTTGATCTTAGGTAAAAGCAGTTTATTTTTATTTGATTGTGATATTTTTTAATATAAAAATGAATTTAAAACAATATAACTCTATTAATTTATTTATTAGCTTTTTATTTGATTTTTTTTTATTCTGCTAATATTTTTTTTATTTATTTATTTCAATTTATAGTTTTTAATTTAAAAATTTTATTCTATTAATTTTTTAGTAATTTATACTAATTTATATCAAAAGTAATAACGAAATTAATAAATCATAATAATTGAAAGTATAAAGTAAGTGTCTTAAATCAAAAAGATTAATTCTCTTTAAAATATATTTCTGAAAATGATAACCAAAAGGTGAAAATGATGAATAAATATAAAATTGTTTGAATATAAAATATTCTATGTTTTGTTTAATATCTTTTATTAATATGATAATTAACTTAAAATATAAATAGATTTATTAATATTTTTATATTTACAAATACCCTTATTTGGTAAAAGGTTATCCCTTCATTCTAATACCTATGAAAATTATTTATTTAAAAATTTTTTTCAAAAAATACTTTTTTGGGTTTTAAAAAAATTTGATACTAATATTTGAGGATTTATGCTATATGTTATTTATTTATGATATTTTTAAAATATGTTAGTTATTATGTATAAGAGATAGAATATTTATATATTAGTCAAATATCTTTAATTAACAATTTTACAAAATATAACAATTATTTTTTTGTTATTGCTTAAAATTAAATAGTTTAAAATAAATAAGACAAAATATTTACTAAACTTTCGAATTATTAAAGTAAATTTTTATTAGAAAAATTAATTTTCATAAACTGTCTGTCTGTCTGTCTTTTAATTAATTTTTAGAGGTAAAAATAAGTAATATTTGAAAGACATGAATAATAAATATATATATTTTGATCTTTATAAAATATATTTAAGAAAAGGTTAAATAAAAAATATTGAGAATTATTAGCATTCAGTTAATAACTGAATCCATATATTCAAACCTAGTGTCATTTTTAGGAATTACTCCATTGCATTCTTTTTTATATTATTCTTTGATTTCTTCATACATTTTTTTAATTATTTGCTTCTCCTAAGCACTAAATTTTTTACCTCTCACACTTTCAGTCATAAAAATAAACTTATAAAGGAATTCCATTCTTATGTAACCATCATTTTTTGAGTATTTTTATAGAAGTATAGCTATAGTATCTGGTTTTGAGCATACATGATTTAAAATCTTTTCTTTGAAGGATTAATTGCTTGCATTTATAGCAAGAATATTGTAAATTGTGTTAATAATTTTAATAGGCTAATCGTAGCTATTATTTATCTCCTCAGGTTTTTATTTAAGCAGTTATTCATAGCAGTAGTCGAAGTGAGCAAAAATAAGTTTTTACAAAGTTGACATATTGCAAATTCTCTCCATCATTTTATCATTTAAACAAATGTTGTTAATAACTTCTAATGCTCCATGGACAATATAGTAATTTTTATCTTCCATCAATAAATTTTATAGTAAATTCAATGTCTCTGTATTAACTAATTTTGTGGTTGTTTGTTCTCCTAGAGAAGTCATTTGAACCAGGCTCAGAAGTATTTCAAACGTAAGCAATTCATGTTGACTCTCTTTTATGCCTTTGTTAATATTTAATTTTAATGTTTTAAATTCTATTATTATTATTATTTACCTTTAAAAAGTGCATCAAGTATTATATGAACCTCTGAGTATTAAAAAATATTAGGATTGCAATCTTTGACAAGCTTGCTGATATATGTTGTAAATTGTATTATAATTTAAGATGAATCATTGGTTTTCTATTGGCTAATTTGATGTACAGCTCTTGAAGAGTAAATAATCAGATTTTTATCAAATAAACTTTTATCTATTTAATTTGAATAACTTTAGTTTAAGACGATTAACTTGGACAAAAGCTAAGCCAAATAAGTGACAATCATATTAGATTAATTTTTACCAGATTTTGTGATATATTAAGAAAGATATTTGATAACCCCAACATCGTCAAGTAATATTTTAGATATTTGTTTTTTCTTAATGTATTCTTCATTGTACCTAAATATCTCTTTAGCTTATTTCACTTCATCAGGACGATATTTCTCTTCGAATTATTTTAATTCAACCAATTTATCTTCTGAAAGACCAAATCTATCTTTTTGTTTTGATTCGTAGTCTTTGAGTTGATCAAAGCAAAGGTTGCTAATAGTGATGAGCCAGTTTAATCCTTGTTCGTAGATATCAAAATTGACTTTTAAGCTAAGCTTTTTCAAAATTCCCTTGCTTGTCTCTATCAATTCGACTTTGAACTAATCAAAGCAACTCATGAATCCTATAAACTCCATAGCTTCTGAAAATTAATCTTTTAATAAAATTGCTTTTAATAAACATTAAAATTGAGTGCAAAAATGATTTACTTTCATCTGTTATGAATAAAATCTTATCAAATATTTCTGAAAAAGAAAATATTCTCAAGAATGAAACTAGCTCTGGGAGTTGTTTTTACTTGTTAGTTTTAAATAAAAGCAAACCATATTTGATTATGTAAGTAAGCTCCTGCTGATTTGAAGACAAAAATTTTTAGATTTAAATATTAAAATCTTAAAAGGCAATGTCTTGCATGACTTTATCAACAAACTTTTATTCTTTTAGTAAAATACTATAAATAGAAAGAATACAATCTATTATAACAATATCTGTTGGTTTCCTTAAATAAGTAGTAAATAAGCATCTTTATAAGTCGTTTTCTATTACTTTTTGTACAGCCATTTAATAAGATGAGATAAGCATTTCTTAAATTAGAATCATGTCTGTTTTTGCAAGCTTATCCTTTCTATAGAAATACTTTTTATCTAAATATAATGGATTGAGTTTGAATTGCAATTTGAATAAAAGCTATAAAAATTGTTTGTAAAGAATATCTCCTTTTTTAGCTGATTTTAACTTATATGCAGTCCAATCCATAATGCTTTACAATTTATCTGAAAGAGGTTGAATACTTTATTAAGAATTAAGTAACTAAAGATAATAGTTAACATTATTATAACACCAACTAGATAAAATAGATATTGATGAGCACAATATTTCTTCTTAACATTTAGAATTTTAAATAGCATCTAGGATATTTTCACCACTCACTAAAATATCTGAATACTGCAATATCCTTAAAGAATCTAAGACTATTTTTTAACTAGCTTCATTTTTAAAATCTTTGAGATTGTCCTTAAATATCTAAATAGCAAAAGGAATAGATTCATAAGACAATTAGAAGTGCTTATCTTCCTCAGTGATTTTGAAGATGTTATTTAAAATAAAATTTAAAGACAAGCTATTACTTTTGCAAGCTTTTGATGAATTTTTGAGAAGTTAATCAATAAAACCACCACTTACAAATATCTTCTTATGATCTCCTCTTTATTCTATTTTGGTTTAAATCTAAAAAAGTGTTTCTTTCAAAGAAGATTCAGTAATATTTTCATTCACTAATACTTCTGAAAACTAATCCCAAGAAACAGACTAGCTCTGCTCTTTTAATATCTTTTCCTAAATTTATTTCTAATAAATAATGTATTTAAGAATAATCTGAAAGTAAAAAAATAAAATTACAATTAAAGTTGAAAAATCTTAAATTTCTGGGTGCTATTTGATCATAAATCTGCACAAATTGAGAGACTCTTGGAGTTTCCCCATTTAAAATAAGCATTATATTTTGCGATAATGCGCTTTCTAATAATTAGGATTGTAGCTAATTGATTTTTCTATAAATTAGTAAGAATCCTCTAAATTTCCTTTGTTCATATAACAAATACCAATGTTGAGATTTAGTATTGATAATTCCTCATTGCTAATTTCCTCAAACGTCAAGCACTTTAAGTAAGATTAAATTGCTTTTTCATATTCCTTTTTTTGGAGATAACTTTTGCCTTCTTCTTTTGCAATAATAAAATTTTGATCAGTCATTTAATTAATAAATTTAAATATCTTTTAATATCAGATATTTTTACAAAATTAAATCTTGTTTTTAGTATATTAAAAACAGTCAATTTTTTCAAATTTTTCTAGATTTTTTAGGCTTTTAACAGATTTAAATCATTTAACCACCATAATAACATTAATATTATATTAAATTATATAAATATTAAAATAAAAATGATTTATTTTTCAAGAACATATTTTAAAAAAGAAATCTTTTTTTCAATGATTCAAACTCAGAATCAATAAAAAATGGTTAAAAACATTTATTTGATTTTCAAAAAAAAATTTGAATCTTTTTGGCTATTTTTGATTAATATTTAAATTTACAAAAAAATAATTTCAATATCTTAATATTTTGCTTGCTATTAATAAAAATAATTAAGGGAATTAACAAAATTAAAAAGTTTTTAAAAAGACAAAATTACTTTTTTATAGATTAAGATAAAACAAAAGATTAAATATATTTATTTATTTATAGGCACAATAATGACAATTTTTGAGAAACCATAGTTGATATAAATTTACACAATAAATTAGATGAATATTGAAATATGGTTATTTTACATTCTTTTGTATGAATAAATTAATTTAAGTGGTTATATTATTAATTTAATGATTAATTAATTAGTTTATAAGTTAATTATTAGTATTATAATTTATTTTAATTATTACTTTAGTTTATAGGATATATTAATATTATTGAATTTACTCTTTATTATCATTGATTGGTTGGTTTAGTACAAGGAAATATTTGTATGTTTGTTTGTTTATGTATGTATCTATGTATTAAGGAATGAATGTGTTTTTTATTTGGTTTCAATGCACACTAAGCTGCTTCTAAAGAAAAATAGATGAATTTGAATCATAGAGAATCAAAAATTAGAGGCAATCTCAATGAGCAATTGAATTTCAAACAGTTTGTTAAGTTTTTTAATATATGGTTTGATTTCTTTAAAAGAATTAGATAATATCTTCAGTGGTAGTTAATTATAATTATATTTACTCTACTTTATCATATAACTTTACATTAATTTAGTGGGTTTCTAGTTTCTCTTAGCCAATTATATACTGGATAGAGTCTAAAAATATCAAATAAAATATATCGTTGAGAAAGTCTAAGACATTTTTGTTGAGAATTTAGATACTTTTGTCAAATGTGTTTTGTTTAAATTTCTAAAGAATTATATTTGAAATTTTTATAAGCAAGTAAATAAGCTAAAATTTTTTGAGCACCTTTCGATTGGTTTAATCAAGAAAATCTTTGTAGTTATTTAAAAAGGCCAAAATGTGTATGAGAGAAAACAAAGTTATTTCAAAGCTAGAGTTGTGATTTTAGAATAGATCCATTAGAGATGAGGGTTTTCTGACTTCATCGATGTTTTTTTGCTGGCTCATATTGTACTAGGTGTTTGCTCTTATTATTTTTCTGGATTGATTTTCTTTGTCTTCCATTTAGTTATAGAAAGCACCATGAGTGAATCTATAGTAGTACTGGCTCAAAGCTTCAAAGATGTTTATGTGCTGAGAGTTTTCATTACTGAATTCAGTTTCATAGAGCTAAAGAACCAATTCTTTATCTCTCCTTTACTTTCTATCTAATGTTTGAGGCCATATCATTTGGCAAAATTGTTTGCAAGTAAAAGACCTTTGAGCATCAGCTTTTTTCTTAAAGATTAGCCAAAAACTTAAATAATCAGTGTGATTATTGTTTCTATTGTTAAAAAAATATCTTTTTAGTTGTTTATTACGTAATTTAGAAAAATTAATGATGCGTCAAAAAAACAATAAACTAATTCAAAAGTTCTTTGCGTTGGGATGTAAAAGTAAGAAATTTATTTGTGTTTATTAATCAATTTTTTTATGATTAAAGTGTTTATTATACAAATTTATTTATCTTGAATGGAAGAAGTCAAGTAGAGTTTTATTTGAATTTCTAATATTAAAATCTTATAATAAATTGGTTTAAATAAATTCACGCTTTAAATCGATCAAGAGCAGGTTTATTTTCTTTTTTTAAAATTTTCTTTTAAAGTTCTAAAATATTTATTGACTTATTTATTTTTGTCTTCTTTTTTTTTTGAGATATTTCAGAGCGTGTTTTTTTAAATTTAGAGTTTGGGTGTATTTTTTACTTATTTTTTAAATACCAAGTATTTTAATAAAGTAATTAGTTTTATCCATTCGATTAAACCATTCCCAAGCTGCTTTACTTTCAGATAAGCAAAATCCACAAAAATTATTATAAAATAAAAAAAAAATTACATTGATGGTGAGTTGTCTCCATTTTTTATAAGTCTATTTTTTAAACCTGTTTCTTGGATGTTGCTTCTATTTTCTATGTTGTTGTTATCGTTGTTGATTATATTTATTTTGATCTAATCAGATTAAAGCTAATTGGCTTGCTTTGCTTCATTTTTTGCATTAACTTTCTAATTGCTTTCAGCAAAATAAGTATTGTTAATAGGTGAGTTAGAAGTTGGGTGACTTTATTAAACATTTAAAGTTGGCTCCTTTGCAATATTCATTTTTAAGTGAGTGCTTTGTTTCTGAAAATTAGTATTTTAATTATTTTCGTATTATCTTACGTTTTCTTTTTCTGCATTGCTCACATTTGTAATGTAATTTGCATTTTCTTACCCGGAGTTATTTTTATTGAGCTAAATGGATTAGATCTATCCTTAATTTTTGTAAGCCTCTTAATAGTCATCGTAGTTGAAAAATTACCTGCTTGCTTTATGCTTGGTATTGAAAATATTCTAGGCTGTAGCTGATTTTAGTGTATCATCCCCAAAAAATGAGGACTATTCCAAAAAATTTGGAGAGTTAGTTAGATTATTATTGTTGTTGTTGTTATTGATATTATTGGTGGCAATAGTGCTACTAAAGCGAATATTTGAATTAGTTTTTTTGTGTTAAACAAACTTTCCTTGATTTAAGGAAGCTTTTCTCACTTTTTTTTCTTCTGTCTGCTAAAGAATCTTAGACTCTAGCTAAGCATCTCGATATGATTGAAATTTATCACATGAATCGCGCTGAGTTTAATCTTATTGCGATTTCATTTGCTTTATGTTTTCATATTGATTTAATTAATCACAAAGTTAGTATTAATCTGAGATAATTTGTAATTATTAACTCTTCTTTTAATTATTGTTAATTATTACCAAATCCTATGGATTTTAGTTGATGTTAGAAAGAGTTAGAGGGAAATTTAGAATAGGTTTTTGATATTCGATGAGCTCTGGCTCTTCATCATCTTCCTTATTGATTATTCTTTAATTGTAATTTGAAAAATCAACCAAAGTTTTTGAATTTGATTATAGCTTAACAGTTTCTTGCGAATTATTATTACTGTCGAGGCTATTTTGTTGGCCTTTCATATTGTCCTAACTGCTTTTAGAATATTTGGCAAAGTGCTTTTATGAGAGTTGCGAGGATGTGAGATGGCGCTTTTTGACTGAATTAGGATCATTTGTTGATTCTGAGCCATAAATATTGCTGTCGTTGTTTAGATTTTGAATTGAGATATTTGTTTTTTAATTAATTTGCAATTTATTTGAATTGGAGTTTTAAGCCTGATGGGATTATTTAGGAGAATTTTATCTGTCTGGTTCTGTAACAAGATCTTGTTGTTGTTCTATTTTTATTATTAACACAAAATAAAATTGGGGTGAATAAAAAAAAAAATAATAGTGCGTTGAATAAGTTTGCACAAATTATATTTATTTATTATTGAAATAAAACTTAAAAAGTTGGTTGGTGATTAAAAATAAATTTTTGCTTGATTGCTTGCTTGCTTGTATTTTTGTTATATTAAATGCAATTTTTGCTTGCTCTTCTCTATGTATCTCAACAAAAATCGATTATTAAAAAAAGTTGTAAATATCAAATGAATTAAAAAATTAATTAGCGAACTCATAAATAAATTACCAGCACACAGCTCATTCTGGTTAATTTCATGAACATTTATTTCATTATTTTCTTAATTTTAAGAAGCTTAGTTTTATTCAGTTTGATTTGTATTTGAACTTTCTTACTGCACAAGTAGAGTTTGAGTTTGTTATCTATTATTTAATTCCATCTTATTTTCATTATCTTATTCCATTTTTATATTTTAAAAACCAAAATCTTTAGCAACACTCATTTGATCAAAGCTGTTATAATCATCTCTTATTTTTTTTGGAGACTATTTAACTGAAGATAATTTCTCTTCCATATAATTGTTTTTAATTATGTTATTGTTATTGTTGTTACTCATGAGTTGCTCAATTGTACTAACTTGATTGTAGCCTTTTTTTTATTGTTGCAGTTTTAAGCAGTCCTATTCTATCTAATTTTACGTTGATAAATCGTCTTCGATGACTTCTTGAAGACCTTCTAAATATTCTTTTGAAATATTTGCTTTTTCCTTAGATAAGTAGATGACACCATTATAATTTGAATAGTTTTGGCTAAGACCAGAGCTAACCATCCCATTTGAGGAATCATATTTACAACTGTCAAGCGCAAAAATCTATGATTAGTTTTGGCAAGGAGTATCAATATCATCATTTTCTGTTTGAAGAGTTTTTTACTACTCAAAAGCGCTTAGACTGCCATTAAAATTTTGATTGTTTTGAGGTGATGTAGATTTTTAGTTATGAAGTGAAGGAGGACGATGTTGTTTTGAGGATAATTTTTAACTGTGTTCTACCGTTTGATGGTTGTTATCCATCACATCTGATTAATTATTTTCAATTTAAGCTGTAAGTAGCTAATGGATCTAGTTCTAAGTTAAGCATTGAATAATATCCTTGTTTGTTCCCTCATTAAAGTCGTCAATATCTTCATCGCTTTATTTATCTTCAATTGTTTACTTATTTTATTTGCTTTGCAATTTCTTTCCCACTACCTTTTGTGGGCGGAGCTTTTTGCTTTTCAAATTCAATGAAGATATTTAAGGCGTTGGTTATGGCACAATAGTATTACTAGTAGAAATATTAGTTGTATAAGAACGTACTTAAGTGCCTAAAGGCTTTTATTAAAAGAAACCAATAAATCCTCTAGGTGATTTTATTTAACTCGTTTATCCAACACTACTGTATCTAAGATTTTCTTAGACTTGACTACCATTTTATAATGTTTGTTTCTTATTATAAAAACTGCGATCTTATTCAAGGATTTAAGCATTTTATACAATGCTTTAAGGTCTAATATTATTATAAGAATCTATTACTGATGACCCAAAGCTGCTTTAAAATGCAGGCTTAGCTGCTAAAAATTGTAAATCTTGATCTACAATTTGCTGCTATCCAACAACACCTGCACAAGCATTATCTGCTTCTTCATTCAAAATTAATTCTTGTGAATCTTTTAATGTTTGCAAAGTTGATTTCATTTGATTATTAGGTTAACTATTACTTCTTAAATTTTGTAATACTCCATCAGCATTTATTTTGTTATCATCATTATTCTCCTTCTTATAAGGGAGACATACTCTCCCTCTGCGATTAAACGATTTATTTTCGCTTCTTTAAATCTTATTCAAGCTTGAATCACGCTATGAAATGACTTGACTCTGCTCGTCTTGAATAGATTTATTTAAACTCTTAAAAGATTTTTGCTTCATGCTACCTAATGAATTTGATCTAACACAGTGGAGTCTTTAATTTTTTCTAAATATATGAAACACAGTTCATAAATAAATTAATAAGCAAATAATTATTTTTTTAAATAATCAAAAAGCAATTCATGTAAAAAAAAAAATCACAATTAATTTAAAGGCAAAATAGAAGTAAAAAAATTGTAATTTTGCTAATATGTAATTCCAAATACAAAAATAAATATTTTGATACCTTTATTATGAGATTTTTTGCTAGCTAGCTTGCTTCCTAGATTTAATTGAGCTACTTTAAAAGCAATGTTAGCTTGCTAAACCGTTTATTTGTGGGTTTTTTGATAATAAAGTAAGCTTTTTTGAGGTGAAGAATTGCAAAGTTTTTACTTTGTCTTACTTTTTTTTATTCCCTCTTTCTTTTTATGAATATTATTAATTTTTCTATATATTCAATTTATATTTTTCAGTGAAATCTTATCAAGAATATACCAAAACAAATAAACAAACAAACAAGCTTAAATTAATAAAATCACGCAAATCATTTGTATTAATAATCAATCAAAAACCAAATCACAAAAAAGCAAGCACTTTTACAAATAAATAATAAAACAAACAAACAATCACATTTACATATTTACTTATCTATTTATTAATTAAATTCAATACAATCAAAATACTAGATAACATTTTTTGATGCGTACCTTCAAAACAAAACAAGTAAATAATAATAATAAACAAACATTCTATTAATCAATCAATAATTTATCATATTCCCCAAGAAAAAAAACAAATTTTTTTCAATTTACAACAATAATAAATTTAAAAAGAATAATGTATCAAATTTTGTTATATTCGCTTTCTTTTTTGCTTGATAGCTCCTTTTATTTTTTATTTAATATAAGTGAATGCTTTCTGATTAGGTTGAATATTGAAATATTAAAATGAAATAGATTTTTTACTAATTTATATATCTGACATATTTCTTAATTTTTAAAACAAACAATTCATAGTTCTATATTGCGATTCTCTCATAGTACTGTTTCTTTTTAAGCTAAATTATTTGAAGTTTAGCATAATATAAATTTTTTTATAAAATTGAAAAATATTAACAAAATAAACTTTTCCAAAAGTATTTTCTTTATAAAATAAACAAATTTCCTTTAATAGTTTTTATTAATCTTAAAAAATTTGTGCATATTTGTTTTTTATTGTGGGATTATTAGCTCAAAAATATATTATTTATTACTTATAAATTGAGAGTCTTAAATAAAATATATTTAAAATATATCCTTTTCAAAGCTTTTTATTGATTGTAATTCTTTTTTTAAAGATCTTTTTTTAGAGACTTTTGTAAACGGAAGATTTAAACAACACTAATATTAATCTAAAGATTTTGAGTAAAAATTAAATATTTTGGATTTTAAGTTTTGTTTCGGAAGATAAATTACTTCCCAGTGAGCTTTCAGTTCTATGAAATTCCTTATAATATTATAAGGTTTCATTCAAAAAATTATCTATTCTAGATAAAAGTAATTAAATAAATTAGAGGCTTATTTTTTTTTGAGCACTTTATATTTAAATAACTACATTGCTGGCTCTTAAAAATATTTTTTATTTATCTCCTTATTTTTTCAACTTTAAAAAAATAATTGTATTAAATAATATGCAATTTATATCAGATTTAAACAAGGTATTAAACTGATTTCTTTTTTTACCAACAAAATTATTAATATTTCTTCTAGAATATCAAACGCAATATTAACTTAATAAAGTCTGCATATTAAACAGGTTTAAAATCTATGGATTAGCAGCAAATTCATATTTTAAAAGCAACATAAGCCTAGCCAGATGGAGGCAATTAAAGCGCAGAAGATGCAAGCATAGCAGATCTGAAAAAATAATAAAGAAGAGAAAAATTACTACAAGTATTCTGTTCATTTTGTTTTTGGAATATTTATTTTAAGATTGTACATATTTAATAATTTAGAAGCTGAAATTGTCTAGTGAAGAAATTGTTTTCCACCCTCAATTCGTGTAAGTACCTATAAACACCAATTATATTTAAGAAAATTAAGATGATTAAAATGATGATTCAACTCAGGTTAAAAAGAGCAGGTAACTTTATGTAATATAAAGGAGTTTTAAATGTTTTAAAATAATAACAGAAGATCAAAGAAGAAAAATAAATAAAATGCAGAGCAGCAGGAAGATTTAGTGAATTAGATATTGCCTTAAAAAATAACTAACAATAACCAATAATAAATAGAAGTTAAATCATAGTAAACACATCAAGTAGCTAATGGTCATAATCCAGTGTAAAATTTATATAGGAAAATAGAGCGCTGATACATAAATTTTTTTAGAGTATAAGATTAATAATAGACTGACAGAAAAAATAGACGACAGGATAATTAATATTTCAAGGAAGATTCTTAAAGTAATTAACAAATTTAGTAAGTAACAAATAGAAGTAATAAAAATAAATTAAGTAATCAAAATCATAGCTCCTCCTATCAGCTCGTGTAAATTTTTAAATCACTATTATTATCACTAGATCATTTTACATTTTTATCTTAATAAAAATTAATAAACAGACAGTAAGAAAGCAACCATTTAAAGAATACTCAAACAAATAATTTAAATCACAACAATCAAAATGATATCATTAAAGAGTAAATACTTACTTTTATTAAAATGTTTCTTTTTGTTTCTTATAAATATTTTTAACACCTAAAATAAATAGTAAGCAATCAGAGACTAAAGACTAAGCAAATTAATTAAAAGATGCTAAAACAGGTAAAAAGAATATTGTAATCTTACAATCAGAAAAGCAAAAACAGAAAAAGTAAGGCTATTATTCGAAGATCAATTATAATTTGAGTGAAATTATCGAAAAGTAAATCATTCCTATAAAGCTTGAAGAAAAATAACATAAAGATCAAGTTTAGCAGTAGACTGATGAGAAGTTAATTGACAGTATTTAAGTGCATGTCCTTGGAAAAAATCCAAAAAAACAAAAAAATAAATCTTTGGTTAATTAGTAATAGAAACCAGATAAAAAAGAAAAATCACTGGAAAGTTTAAAAGTACAAAAATAAGAAAAATAGCCTTCTATTAGTAAAACTCAATAAAATTAAAAGTTAAAAGATAATTAAAGTATCATTAAAATAAATGACCTTGATGTTTAAATCTCTCAAATATAAGAGCAGATAATTTTGCTATAGGAATAATAAAAATCGAATTCTGGATGGAATACTGAGATTTTAAGCGAAAAAGAGCTCAAAGAAGTGAGTTAAAAGATGAAATCATTTTAATAAAAACTTGATGATTTAATTTTAAAAAAAGATCTGATTATTTTATAAGAAAAATAGCAGAAGGAATAACTAATTCAACAATAGCAAGAGAGAAAAAAACAGAGGTATCTAAGAAAATTAAAGAGACTAGGCTTCTTAAAAAACATTGCTAAAGAAGTAGCGCTTTTTAAAATTAAAAAAGGTATTCCCCATCCACGTTAAAATAGAGTGATTAAATACAAAGCTGTAATTACATAAAATTGTAAGAAATATTAATTTTAAGCAATTCAAATAAAATTAGGTTCCAGAAAATTAACTTGACTTTGAGCTGATAGAGAAAAAAAAGAAAAAGGTCTCAAAAATTAAAACTTCGTTGAAAATCTTTCAAGAACAAGAGAATTTTAAAAAAAGTAAAGCTGCTAAAGAGCATGAGAATAAAATAAAATAATAAGATACATAAAATGAAGATGATCATTTTGAAACAGTCGCTGAGGATGAATCAAATGATGAAGACAAAATTTAATCCAAAGAAGATAAAGAATTTTAGTAAGACTAAATTAAAAATAATACCTCCGATGAAGATGTATCTAAATTTTTTTTTTTAATTTTTGGTTTGATTTAGCTAATATTTTAATTAATTAGTTTAAAGAAGATACCTTATTTGAAAATCCTTAAGTTTAATCTGATAAAGAATCTCCTTAAATTTATAAACTCCCACCACACATAAATGAAGATCATAACTTAGAAAATTTTAAATACAATAACATGTATCTTAGAAAGTAATTTTGATTGATTAAAATACTTTGCAATAATATTGAATGAATCTAATAAAATATTAGTTGGGTTGATCACATGCCGAATTAGGACATTGATAATCTTGTTTTGACTCTAGTTAATGACCTTGCTTATAAATAAGCCATGAAAAAACTGAATGATCCAAAGAAATTCAAAAAAAGAATAGTAGCTGGATTTAAAGAGGTCTTAAGCACTTTAACCACTAATGTTAAAGAAAAAAAATCGAAATGTATCATAATTGCTTTGAATATACAAAAGAATCCTCTTGAAAATGGCTCTGATTAGCTTGTTTTATAAATAATTAATCATGCTACCTAAAAAAAAATACCAATTATACATTCTTGTAGCAGGGCAAGGCTAGGTAATTAATTAGTTTTATCTTTTATTTTTATTAAATTTATTTTTTTAGGCAAAGCATTTACAGGTAAATTTGGTCCAAGAATAAGTGTATTGAGTGTTTTAAATTACGAAGGGTTAGCTGATCAGGTTAACCAGCTTGAAGAATTAGTTAATAACTAAAGAATAAATTATTTCAGTACTTACAAAAAACCAAACTGATGAGTTTATTTTAGTTCTTAGAACAAATGATAGAAAATATATTCATGTATAAATAAAAAATAATTTAAAAAATATAAAAATTATTTATTAAAAAATAAAGTTAAAATATCATTTTAAAAAAATAATAAATAAATTTGTTTTTTTATTTATCTCTGAATGTCTGGTATTCTTTTGGCTTAAGAAATTCTTAGTTTTAATTCAAGTTGATACCAATCAATCAAGAATAAATTGATACTTATGATATTTATTTTTACCAAATTACTTCCTTTTTAAATCCATTCATTAATTTAATTAAATTTAAAAAAATTGTTGAAGTCTACAAATGAAAAACTCTACAAAATACAGTAGATACACATTAATAAGGATCTCTTTAAATTAAGATTGCTTTTCACAATTAAAATTTAAATTGCTCACTTAAAAAAATTAAATTTTCAGATTTCAAACAAAATAATTATTTTAATAACATTGTATCTATATATTATATTTCTTTACCTGCTTTACTTAAAAATATGATTTATTTACAAATTAATATTTTAGTTTAAAGGGATTCATCCTTACAAAATATCAATCAAAATTTTTATAACCACCTTGTAATTTCTTAATTTCACAAAAATTTCTTGTTAAAACAGCTTGCTAGGAGAATTTTTTACTGTCAATCCTCTTCGTAATAAGAAAATATATAAACATTAAAAGGTTTGATTATTAAAGATGAATAACCTCTAATGACATATTTTTATCCTGTATAAGATTTTAAAGTTTGAAAAAATTTAATTTTGAGTATTTATTTTTCTTTATTCAATTTATAATTTGTTGATTAGAATATATTTGTAAATACAAAAGCTGCTCCGTTATTATTAATTATAATTCAGATTGACAACTTATTTAATAACCATTTCAAAAATATTAGTTTAGGATTAAAAGCAAAGAAAGTCACAAACAAGCGCACTTAAAAATCATAGAAAAATATTTATTAAAATAGGAAAGTAGAATTGATTAAAAATATTAGTAATTTGTATAGAGATTTAAGTTGAGATATTTAGCAAAAAAATCGTATATAATGAATTTTAAAACTGAAGAGATATGGAGTGATTTAGTTATTGTAGGAGGAGGACCTAGTGCTGTGATATTTTTGATAAACATGCTTAAATAAGGACAGTAAATATAATTAATAATTAGCTCATTTTTTTTTTTTTCATAATCTAGTTTTAAAAAATTATAAAATAAAAAGATTGTTAACTCTTTTTAAAGGCAGCGGTATAACGATTTTGGAAAAAGGCAGATATTTTGGTTCTGGCAGATTAGAGCAATATTGTAAATGATTAATCTCATTAAAGAATTATAGCTAATTTTCATACTTAAGTTTGATTTTACATTATGATTAATTATTTATTTATTTAATTAATTAGTAATAAATGGATACACGAATTCTTTGGATCTCTTTAGAATAATTCTTAAAGAGCCCTATTGCTACAATAAAGTGATTCTTTTTTTCAATGCAAATAAGTTTATAAATCAAATTTCATCAGCTATTTATATAGAATATCTTATCCATTTAATTAATAGGATTTATTTAAGGATTACATTAAGAAAGATGCGAGAGGTACTCAATATATAGACACAAAAAGCATAGTAAGATGTAGATTATTTGTTATAATATAATTTAAATTTCTTCTTATGAAATCCTAATTTATTTAATTTTCATAAAAAAGGATATTGTAATGGAAAAACTCGTATTGATTGGATTTAAAGAAGTGCTTATGACAAATGTTTATAGGGAGTTATAGAAATATGGCTTAAATTATCCACCTTTGTCTGCTGTAGGATATTTTTTTAGGCTAGTAGGAAATACTTTGTTGAGATAGATCAAACATTTAAAAAACCAACTTGTATTTAGAGCTTACCACGAAGTAAATATAAATTTATTTCTATAATCGTAGGTTAATCCTCAATAAAACATTTCGAAGTATAAAGAAAGCAGAAAATATCATTAAATAAACAAGCAAAAAGAATAAAGAATAGATATTAATATAATAAATTAGATTTAAAATATATCATTAAATATATATTTTTACAGCATGATTTTAGAGTTTCGATTTTAGAGATTTTAATAATAAAATTATTTATTTATTTATTTATTTATTTATTTATTTATTTATTGATTAGGTATAAAATATAAACTTATAAAATGATGGATGCATCACTCTGAATGTCAAAATAAATGATCCAAATGGGCCTAACGAATAATATTACTACTTTCAGTAAAGCCCTGATTCAATTACACCTAGACAGAATAGAAGTATCAGACCTTAAGTGTTAGATCATTATAAGAAAGTTAGGTGTAAAATACTTCTTCTTTGCATAGGAGCTAAACCACAGTAAGTGACTTATCCAGCCTTATAACAGATTCCTAGAGGATTAGCAATGCATTGTGATTATTTTCTTACAGATAAAGGATTTACCACAACTATGTAGATAGCGAATAAATAGCGAAATAGAGGAAATAAAAAAATTGTTATATTAGGAGGAAATTAAAATGCATTCTCATCTGCCTATCTCTTATTAAAAGGACCCTTTATTTATAGCTAAGGTGAAGGTAGAAGATCTATCTTGCAGCTAAATGATTAAACAATCACTATAACTTAAAATTCAAACTACCATCAAGGTTCTCCATCTAAATACTCTCCCTAAAATAACATAAATTAAATTGATTCCTTGAGTCCTTTTCTCCACAAAAGAAAAATAGAATGTAAATCAATAAAAATTGTATTTTTTTTACCAAACATATTATAATAATCTTATCCCCTTTATTATCTAGATTGCTATCTAGATAGTTTAAGTCATTACTTATTAAGCCTACCTTCTGTTTGATATTTCATCACAAATAATAAGTTTTAGATAATAAATACTCATTTATTTTTGAGATTGATTAAATATTTATTACTTAATATTCTGTAAAATAAATTAAGCCATACAATAAATTGACTTAATTTATAAATTATTTCTATTAATTAACAGCAGTTAAATATATATTTTCATGATTTAACACAAAATAAAAAAATAATAAAAGAAATAGCAGAGTAGAATGCTCCATGTGAGAGATGTAGTGTCCTGTAAACAAAAAGGAAAAGCTCGATTCATTAAAATCAAGAAGATTAAAATATATTTACCATAAATAATAACAATAATAGTAATAAAAGCCAGCTAAATATCTAATAAAGTTCACAATTTTCATCAAGGTTTTCTACAAACACTAATGCTTATGTTTCATAAAATTTAGGTAATTCTTATTTAGCAAAAAGGACAGGTTTAAGCAAAGCAGGAATGAGTATCTTAAATCTCTAAAATATGAATAACAATTCTACATAAGGAATGAATGATTACAGGAATTAGGCAAGAAATTATAGCCAACAGCCTTAATAATTTAATAGAAGCAACAATAGCTTTGTATTCAATAACAATTTAAGTTCTCATAATACCAGTTAGCAGAGTAATGGATATGCAAGTGCATTTTAAAGTTAGTTTCTATTAAAGAATGCAGAAAACTAATAAGCAAATTAGGTTTAAGAATGCTTATGTTTGGGATCCTTAAGACCTCAAGTTTTTAGATGGAAAAAAGAAGATGTAAATATGATTGATCTCTCAAGCACAGAAATTATAATTCTCCACTAAGATGATATCAGAGTTTATTTTTAGAATGTATAGCTTTTTTATTACATTTGCTTATAAAGATACAAACTTTATAAAACAGGAAAATGAAGCTAAGTTAAATGGTTTATGGAATGAGAGTCTCTCTAAATTGAAAGAAAAGAACGGAGAAATTAATAGCTAAGTAGGTTTAAAGGGAGATGCTAAGGCTCTTTATTTAGATGTATTATTTTTGAATGAATTTTAATAAAAAAATAAATGCTTCAAAATTATTTAGATTTAAAAAGGGTATGAGTCAAGAGTTAAATTATTGCAGACAAAAGACGAAGAAAAGATAAATGAAATTATTAGTGAAAGTTTTATGTGCATAGATGCTTCGGATTATGTCAATATTTGTCCAACAATTAAGGGAGTTTAAGGAGAAACCTACCAAGCTAAAAAAGATTCAAAAAATAATTTGATTGTAATTAAAATTTTAATAAAAATAAAAAAAAACATATTTAAAAATTATCAAAATTTTAAAGATTGACACAAAACAAAGATTATTAACAGAAAAAGGCCCTCTTAAAAATATCTTTTGCATGGGATTCTTTTCAGGAGTAGAATTGAAAGATTTAAACTTAGGAGTTTTAGAAAATTCTGAAGAGAAGTAGAATATTTTTGACAATTAAAAAATGAATGATTAATTTAATATTTTTAAATAGAGTTTACAACTTAAATGTATATAATGAAGTAGAAAGTAAGAGACTTTGCACTTCTGTAATTGATGCATTACAAGCATAAGATTCTTCAGAAACATGGAAATGGATTGAGGAAGTCACTCTATCTTCTTCTCAAATATTTAATAATCAGGGAGAGCCAGACTATGAATCAGCCAAGTAAATTAAAAATTTATTATGGTACCTAACTTAGCTAATTTTTATACAGCATTATGAATTTTTTTATGAAAGACGACGAGTTGGGAATAGATAGAATTAATAAGCAGATTCGTAGAGCCAAGTAAATCATTGCTTTTAGCTAAATCAAAAAGTTAATATTTTTTATTTGCTAAAATAAATAAATAGGTTAGGTTTAAATTTTAAAGGAGTAGATTCCTATTTAAGTAAAAAATATAAAATTCCTCTTTGAGTTAAACATTAATTAATTAAAGAAAGAAAGAAAGAAAGTAAAAATCGAGTAAGAGTTAAAATTGCTAATAAAATATTATTTATATAATGGGATAAACTTTTATATTAAGATTATATAAGAATTGATTTAAGAGAGTAAAATAATGAAATTAAATTAGTTAATAAATAATATAGATAAATATAAATAAAATGTGTACATATATTTTTATATTAAGTTAAATTTCGTAAAATACTAATTGTTTGTTTGTTTGGTTGTTTGTTTGAGTTATTTTGTTTTAATGCTTCTTCATATCTTTATTTGATAATTATTTTTATGTTTGCTTATTAGGTGTTATTCAATCAATATTTTTCATATTTAATTAAAATCTGCTTGAAATAAAAAATTATTATTATAATCTTGTTTGGTTTACAATGTGTTTAATTACTTACTTATTGAGTAAGATAATTAGGTAGTTTGTTAGTTAATTATTATCTTTTTACAGTAGTTTGGCAATAATAATATTTTTAGGTTTTTATTTGAATGTTTTGTTGGATAATTACAATAATTTAAATTAGGTATTTGAAATTTATAAGTTAAAGATTGTTTTGATTTATTAAGAGTTTGTTAAGTTTAGGAGAGATTTTTACTTAGCTCAAGATATTTTTGATATGCACAAACAGTATCCTATGCTGATGAGCTTATCGTCAGGTTGCTTTTTGGATTACCTTTGCTTATCATTCATCCACGTTTAGTTTTAGGTCATCATTTCTGACATACCTGAAGGGTTTGAGGGATTAGCTTAAGATTTTGTTGAGGACGTCTTTTAAGAGTCAGCTTGATTTACTTAAATTTATTGGGCGTTTTATCTCCTATCTTAATTGCTTTAAGTGTTAGTCTTATTTTGTTCCTTCGACTCCCTGCTAGTGATGTTTAAGCTGATAGTTTATTCGATTCTGTATTCGATATCGTTTTAATTTATTTTTATTTGAGATTCTTTGTTTATATCGGAATTGCTTAGGATAGACTTAAATAAGTTATCTGAGCTTTCTCCTTGCTTTAAAATGAATTGAAAATTTGAGTTTAAGGAGAACTTTTCATTGTTATTGTAAGATTGTGATAAAGTATTATTTTAAATGTCATTTTCGTCCTTAGATTCTAGCTCGGATTGCTGACTTTGGTAGCAGTAAAAATTATTGTCATTTGTGATAGAAGTTTTACCTTGATCTTCTTCAGGTATTTCTTCTAAAGCGATCTGTTCTGATATTTTATATCTTGGAAGCTGATTTGACTTTGCTGTATAGTAGAGTTCTTAAGAACTGTGACTGCTGTATCCTTCACTCAGATTTTCTTATAAATTTGATTAATTCATAGAAGGATTTCTAGAAATCTCTGGTTATTATACATGAAATTTAATAAGATCTTAAGAATCTTTCTTTTAGTTTTCTGTAGCTGAGATAATTTAGCTTGTTTCATTTTTTTTTGCATTCTTTTTGAGTTTTTCAAGGAACATTTCCATTCCTTTTTGAAGCTATTTAATTTGTGTCTTCAAGAAATCAGAAACATTGTCCTTTTATTTTGTAAGTTTAGATAATTGTAAATTAAAAAATTTTTTTCAATAGAAAGTAATATTTGGAGAGTAAGAGAATAAATAAATATAAGTATTTCAGATTTACTAGGAACAAATAAGGTACAATACTTATTTGAAAAGTGTAAGTGATAAGGATAATTATCAGAAGAAAAAGCATTAGATGTTGGGGATATTTGTACGAGAAAATTAGTGAAGATTTTATGGATTTGCTTAACTAATATTCCAAATTTTTGCAAAGTTGAAATGCGATGGAAATTAATTAATTGGATTTACAGTTTTTTGTAAAAATCAATATTGCAAAATAATTTTGAGAGAAATTTCTTGAAATTAATTTAGATATGAACAACTAAAATAAACGATCAACTTTCATTTTATTTCAAAAAAAACATTTATTTCAAAAAGATTGATTTATTATTTTAGCAAATATTTCAGATAATTTTAATTAAAATGTTCAGAATGAATTAATTTGAGTAAAATTAATTGAAATCCTAAATTTCAAAAACAAATCAATTTATCTTCAAAAAAATTAAAATTTTTATTAATTTTTTATTTTGGCAATTTTAGAATTTTTCTCCTCCTCACATTAAATTAGAATTAAAAAATTAAAAAATTGCTTACAAATCTGAGCATCCAATATATTTCAATAGCACCGATGCAGTTGAAGAAAGCTACTTTGCTGTTTTTGAATTTAGCCTGATGTTCTTGGAATTCGCTGAGATTTTGAGTCTGGTTCTCTATCTCTCTGTTTATTAAATAAATTTATTAGATTTTAATTCCACCATGTTAATTTATATGAAATTATTATCATGCTTTATATCGTAAAAACAACCAACCCGATTTATTTCTTTTAAATGTTATTATGCTACAAATCTTAAATTGAATGATGAATTTAAAAACCCCCACCATCATCCTTTAATCATTTTTTGATGAAAGGAGAAACTTGTAATTTAGAAGCGTAAACGTTTTAACTATTTAGTTAAGGTTTATTTTAATCTTATAGATTGAGTATTTGATTTGAAAAAATTTTATTCTGTTCTGTTCTGAAAGGAGGGGGTCCTTCCTACCTTTCTTCCTTACTTGGTTCCTTGATTCTTTCTAATCTAAAAAATGATAAGCCAATTAAACAATTAATTTATTGCATTTAATATCCACAAGTTTTCAACATCTAGCAATCCATTCAAATTTTTGTATTTTTAAAGAGTCAGGCATGAAATTCGAAATTTGGTTGTAAGATTTGTATGTAAAAAAAGACTTAAAACAATTACCTGATTTGTAGCTTTATAGATTAAGCTAAAGAAAGTAAAGTTTTCATAATATTTTCGATCGATTCCTGAGATTTAGAAGACTGCAGAGAAAAGTTAGAAGAATTAAATGAAGGGTTCGATTATTGAGAAGCAAAGCTACTCTTTGGATTTTCATTTTAGTGAGAGGAATTTTGTTTAGAAAGACTCATCTTTTGCACCTAATTATGTAAGTTTTGAGTTAGAGGAGGTGTTAGCTTGACAATCTCTTCATAAATGGGTTTTATTTTTTTTATATTTTCTTTAAATTAGCTTGTTAGCAACCTATTTTAAATATTTAATATTGTTAGAAAAGGTCGTCTAAAAAGTTTGTTTAGTCTATTTTAATCTCTTTAATTTCTTGAAAATTCAATAATAGATAGATAGAAATAATAGCTTGAATTGTAACAAAAAGAGCTAGTTAAGTCATAAATCACTTAACTAAAATGTTTATGGATGGTATGGGGAGAGAAACTTTTTGAATAACGTCAGTTTATTTATACTATGTGATATACCGTTATTTTATTCATTCAAAATTGAATAGAAGTTTTTTAACAGAAGATATTTTATTTTGAATGCATTTATAAAAATTTAGAGGATTATTTTAATTGAAGTAAAAATACTCAAAATACTTTCTACACTCAAAAATACTTCCTGTAATTAATAAATTTATGCTTGCTTTACTCTCTCTTTAAAGTTAATAAAAAGATTTATGATTTTTGATGTGTAAGAATGTAAGCTATTTCACTCTTTTTAGAGAGATTTAGCTATAATAGAATTTTTCCATAACAGTTTTAAGAAGCCAATGTAAATCAATTTTTTATAGACAAAATTGAAAATTAGTTGTAAATAAATTGCTCTTAAATCAAAATTAAAATTATTGAGGTATATTGACTTGTTTGAGTATCTTTCTTTAATTAATCTGTGTTCAAAAAAATTTATTTGTTTGTTTTTTTATTTGCTTGTTAGTTAGTTAGTTTGTTTGTTTGTGCAAAATTAATTAAAGACAAAAAAATGAATCAGGCTAATTGAATAATTAACTGTAAAGCTATTTCTCTCTTTCATACTTAAAAATCAAAAAGTGATTACAGTAAAACAGTTTTAATGGACTTCTTTTAGATTGATTAAGCAGCGCTTTATTCCTTTTTAGAATTAGGACTTTCTTAAAGAGGTCTTAGACTACTCTCGCTTAAAGTATGAGTCTCACGAATAGTAGACAAGTTGATAGAAGAAAGCATTTTTTTCTTCTTTTTATACATGACGATTTAGTCTAGCATGGAGCTGAACTCGTTATATAAATCAAGAAACTGTTTTTATTGACGAAATAATGGTTAAATAAATTGAAAATAGGTAGAACAATTAATTTTGTAGTGTAAAATAAATGAATAAATTATAATATTGCATACATGCATTCTGTATCTTATTAATTTTCTCTTAAAAACTGCTAATAACTCTTCTTCAGGGATAAAGTTATTCAGAACTTTATTTTCATCAAAGTATTTATAAATATCCTAAATAATAATTTTAAAACAGGTTGTTAAACAAATATTTTTTATTATAAAAAGTAAAATAATATAAAATAATTCATTTTATTTGTCATTCAAAATGTCTTTTGATTATTAGCAATAATATTATTTGCAGAAAAGACTTGCTATTTGTTGGTTTATTATCAAAGTCCTTTTTAAGATACTTAGTTGTAGAATATTAATTAATTTTTCTATTAATTGCTCACTCATCTATTTAAGTATTTTTATATGATGCTTCGCTATTAAACAATTTTCCGGAATTATTTATTAACAAGTTGATAAAAAAGATATCTTTTTTCAGAGTTTTTAATAATGAATGTGTGTGTATATGTATGTGTATTCAAATCTTATTATATGAATTGTTAATTTTAACATATTCATTCAATCTTAATATTTAATTTTAATAAGTGCATACATTTATTCTTAATATTTGTCTTAAGTAATTAATCTTAAAAATTACATTCAAATCTAAATAAATAATCTTGCATTCAAATCTGAATAATTGCTTTGAAAGAAATAAAGAAAGAAAGAATTTTTTAATTAATTTACCATAAGCTTAAAGTAAAGCATTTAGAAAGTCATAAAATCGTCTTCATTATTGTATTCCTTGCGTTTTATATACTCGCTCAAGCAATTAGCATACTTGTAGAGTTGCGCAGGAAGATTAAACCACTCAATAGACTTTTTATTGACAGTAGACATTAGAAGAAAGAACAATTAATTATTTAATTTAAAGTATTTTAAGTAGAAATCAATCTGGAAAAAGAAAGATATGCTTGATTGATTGATTGATTAATTGATTGTTTTTCACTAAATTTTTTATTTGATTTTTTGTTCCAATTATTTATTTTTATAATAATTAAATATTTGTTTTTTTTCTTTTTAAATTCTTTGCTATTCTTTGCTTGATTTTGTTGTTGTACTTAACTAAACTCTATATAAATTACTATTAGTTGAATTAATATCTGACAATCTCTTCTTCGAATTGATCAGGTTTTTAATCTTTTTATTTCTTTCAATTTACAAGCAAAGTGGGAGTTTGTTTCTATCAAATTAATTGAGAAAAGAGAAAATAAATCAAGCAAAAAAACAAGCAAATACAATTTGATTAGTTGTTAAAGTTGAAACACATTCAATCAAATAATTGTACACAAAATTTCTTTCTTTTTTAAGACACACTATTTATACTACGGGAAATGTAACATTGGTATTGATTGAAAAATTAATTAGGTATTTATAAATTTTCCTTTGGTTTTAATTATTTTTCTCTCATAAACTGGCTGGTTATAATTTCTATGAAAAAATATTCACATATTAAATATTAATTTGATTCGTAAAAAGTTTAACCACAGTGGAAGAGTTGTTGTTTTAGAGTTTATAATTAACTAAAAAGCAACAAATAAAGTAATTACCATTTTCTAAATTATATTCGTCTCTCAAATAAATCCTTTTCTAAAGGCTATTAAAAACCTAATAAAGTTTATCTCAGTATGTTAAGTTAAAGATTTAAGGATTAACTTAATTTATACCTATGATAAAATTTAGGGTGTTTAAGAGGCTTAACTTTCGTCAATCTCGAACATGCAACTAATAATAGCAAGTATAGTTTTCTTCTATTTTACAAAGAAAAATAAAAATATCTCTTTATCAAATTAAAACTAAAAGAAATTCATAAAAATTATAAAAAATAAACAAATAAATAAATACTTGCAATTCTCTTCTTTCATGGCAAAAAAGAATAGATTAATAAATAAATGTAAAAATAAATTTGAATGAGGGACAAGAATTTGTATTTTGCATTTGTCTTTTAACAAAAAATATTCACCAGACAAAAATTTTATAAATTATTAAGCAATTTTATTATAATAATAAAAATTTATAATCAATATAAATAAATGATTATTTTTTCTCATTTTCAAAAATTATATGTAAATTCTAATTTAATTAATAATGTGATTTGTTGTTACACTCGACACAAAAAGAATTCATCAAATTTATAATTTTACTTTCAAAGAAAGATATTTATTTTGCTAAAAATTACTCAAATAGATATTTATAGCGAAGACACTCTAAAAGATCACTATTTTATAAAAAAAGCAAAAGCATAAATTGCTAGGCTTTGCTATTTTAAAATTCATTTACTATTTTATCATTTTGAGTTAAGACGCTTTTTAGAAAATATTAATCGAGCAATTAAAAATTTTTTTTTTATAATTATTATATGAATGTAATAGACTTATCCAATTTGTAAAATAAAAGTAACATTTCATTTTTTTAAGAAGATGCTTTTAACAATTTTTATGCTAAGAGAAAATCATCAAATCACTTCAAAAATAACGGAATAAATGCATGAATAATAATATAGAAAAATATTACACTTTTTTAATCAATTTTAAAATGAAATGCTTTAAGCGATTTAGTAAAATTCTTTCTAGTTGTCGAGTAAAGGAAATTTAAAGAGAAAATATCTTTGATATTAATAAAAATCCTCTTTAGAATTTTCTTATAGAGGCATCTATAAGACGAGATACGCCATTTTTAGATTAGATCAAAAGAAAAATAGTATCTTATTTTGAGCAATACTAATCAACCTAAATATCTATTTAAGCTAAAAAGTTACATTTTAACAATTTATTTAATATTTTTTGTTTTAAAAATCTACCATCATTAGTAAATTTGTTGAAAAAAACATGAAATTTGTTAAAATTAAATTTTTCCTGTCTTCTAAGGAGTAAATATCATTCACTCACTCACTCATTCATTCATTTATTTTCTTCAAATCCTAAAATAATAAAATTTAACACATTCATTGTCAAATATAATTTAACTTTATTATAATGTTAAAAAATAAATGCTTTATTTTATATTAAAGCAAATAAATAAATAAAATAGTTTTCCTCTAAGATAACAAATTACAAATTTGTAAGGCAAATTGTTAAGCAATTTAAATTGATGTGAGAAAAAGTTTGTTTTTTGTTAGATTAATTTTAAAATAAATTCAAAATATTTTTTTTATTTTTTTTAAAAAATTACTTCTTAAAAACTAATTTTAAAAAATTTAAAAGATAAAATAATTTAAAAAATAAAATAAATATTTAAAAAAAATAAAAATAGATTCATTTAAGATTCTATCAATCACTTCTATTACTTTTTTTAGTGTTTTAATCTTTTGATAAAAATATTAAATGCAAACAGTCTTTATTTTACTTACATATAAATTTGTAGCAAAATGGATAGTAGTTAATTTTCAGAGTCTGATTTTAAAAAATTCATGCTTTTTGTCAAGTCAGAGATGCAATAAATATGCTCTGGCGCTGATATTAAAAAAAATTCAGAGAAGATTATAGAGTGGTACAACTCAGCTCCTCACCGCATAACAAAATTGTTGTGCTATCCACTCTTAAAAAGTTTATAAAACGTAGATTTAAGCACAATTTTTTCAACAATCTCTTAGGATTTAGTTAGCAAAGATGTCGAAATTTAGCTAAATACAATGAAATTAATGTACTTAATGGGTCACGAGTAAGCCCTTGAAATTTTAAAAAATAACTAATTGCAATTCTTCGAAATACTTAAGAATAGCGAGTTTCATTATGAAAGATTGACTATTTTGCATGATTTCTTAATTAAAGCCTATTTAAAAAATTTCCAAAGTGAGGATGACTGCAGAGAATAAATCATTATTATTTATCTTTCAATAGCAGATTAAATCTTTTAAAATGTCAGAGATATCACAAGAAATTCAATTGAAGTAATTAATTAATGACTTTGGTTTTCATTTTTTTAAAAAATAATGATTATTTTTTATCAGAAAAACAATAAAACACAAATTGAAGAACAAGTTTAAATTTTTAAGTTCATGGAAAAAAAGATGAAGTTTTTGAAAGGTTTTATTGATAAAAAAGCTTCTATAAACTCGAAAATTTATTTAAACGTTTTATTTACAAAGACGAGCAAAAATAAATTCAATAAAAATAAAAAGATATTTATTTATAATTTAATTTATTTAAAAAGGTTTTTATTAGTTTATTTAACGAATATTTGAATAATGTCACTGATTTCAACGCAATAGACCACTATTTTGATGGAAATGGCTCAGTTTAAAACATCCTAAAACCGCTTATACTTAGAATTACAAATCATTTTGTTTCAAGAATAGAAAGTCTGCTCTAAAAGATTATTAGTTATGAAGTAAGACTGAGGAGCCATCTTATCAAACTAGTCGTTTATTTAATTGAAGTTATGCTAACTTTCACTGATAGCTTATACGGCTATTAAATTGACTCCATTTCAAGCTAATTTTTAAAGGAGGAATATAAATTTAAAAATAAATATAAAACAACCTTTAACTTAAACGAATTCTTCCCAAAACTAATCGAAAAGCATTTAATTCAAGATATTCTAATGGCAACTCATGAGCTAGATGTCCTAACAAATGCATATCTCTCAACATTTAGACTATTAAATATGTCAGAAAGCCATTTGTCACTGCTAGATTATCATAAAAGATGCCAAATAACTTGGGATATATTTTTACATTTTATTAAAATGGTCGATAAAAACACCTACAGAAAGGAGTACAATGTTATTTTAATTAACATAGCTGCTTTGGCAAGTAAATTAAACAACACTGCCAAAATCACAATTTCAATGAAAGTTCTAGAAATTGTTTGCTACAATATTACTCACCAATTTAACAGATTCTTTTTAATGCTCATTTGTTTTCTCAATATGATTCAAGCATCTATGGACCTGCTCGCTCTTGGGAAGAGAAGCTGTATTTTTTCTTTGTTTTCCTAGCCCTGGTTTTTGAATAAAATAAAAGCTAATCAAGAAGGTATATTTTAAATTTAAATTCTAAATTTTTTAAGTAACAAAATTAAATAGGTCTCAATAAAAATTAAGATGCAAATAGCAATAATAGTAATTTACAGATAAAAGAGGAATTGCTAATTGGATTAACAATATCAGCAATTCATGCAAGAGTCTACTTGCAAGACTCTCCAAATTATAGATTTTTAGATAAAATAATGCTTGAAGTTATTGATGTTAGCTATAGAATAATTGATTGGAAATATGTTAGCAAACAATCGACAAGCGATATTTATAATAAAACAATTTTTTTTGCAATCGATGTATTTTTAATTTTGCTTGAAGAATGCATTTCATTTTTAGATAGCAAATAAATATCTACTCATATTGAGGAATTAATCAAGAGAGTTAATCTTAATGAAATGAATTTCTTGCCTAAATTAAAATGCTTGTTTCTTCTCTGCAAAAACCAAGACAAAGAAGCTTGCACTCTCGCGGCATCTAAAATAGATACAAGTTTAGTCTTAAATGACTTTAGATAATTTTTAATATAAAAAAATGTTCCTTCATTTTTCTATGAAAAGTATTTTGACAATGCTATGAACTTGTCTGAAATTAATAAATATCTTAGTCACTTGGAATACATATTTACATGTCTATATTACTTTGCTACTTAGCAATAAAATGGTAAAAATTCTGCTAATATTACTGGTTCACCTGAAATAAAGGGATTAATACTAAATTTATTAGAAGATTTTAGGAACCATCTTAATGAACTATCTAAACAAAAAGGATCTTATTAGTAGCTTATAGCTGCTATATGTTAATTTTCAGAATCGCTTTAAGCAAAAATTTTAGATGATGATCAAAGAAACCCTCAAGAGAGCTTCACAATTTCTAAAGAATTCTTGGAAAATATTGATCTTGAGCCAATTAAAAAGACAAAATTGTCATAAGATCCTCGAGATCTTCTTTATCTGGCTTTTAATTCCTTTAACTAATAAATATGTAAAAATAGAAGCATGTTCATATCAGATTCTGTAGAATCAGAAAATCCAATGAAAACTATTTCTTCTATTTTTCTTAAAATTCAGACAGAGCATCAAATGAATGCCCATTATAAGATGAATAATTCTCCAAAGTTGATTTCAGGTTTGGCTGATTGTGTTCAAATATACGCATCTCACTCCACATTTGTATATAAATCTCTTCTCTCAATTAATCTTAAAGTCTTTAACTAAACTTAATTCAAAATAGGTAATTTTTTGTTATAAATTATATCAAATGTCAAATAAAATTTTATTCTAGATTAAATTAAAATCAGAGTACTTCATTCAAACGGTGTTGCAATCTTTCCTTAAGAATCAAATCCAAAGCAGCATATCTTAGAGGAGTTGAATCCCTTAAATGTAAGAAATATAAGCTTTAGCTTGAATGTAAACACTGTTGAATCTTAATTTATCTCATTCGAAGTATTTGTTGGTGAAGTTAGGTTAAAGACTTTGCCTTACAAAGTTAATATGAGCAACTTTATCATACCTAATTACATAAATGTCATTAGCAAGCATATTTTTCACAATGTTTGGAGTGATTTAGGAAACATTTACTAAATTTAAGGCGCTCTCAACATCTCTTTCAAAGAACTATGGCCAATTATAGTAAAGAGTAAATTTTCCTGTGTTATATTAGAAGGAATGGCCTTCAAAGGGGCATCTAAGTACGTTAACAGCCAGACAAATAGATTATCATCATCACCTTATTTTAGCAATTATAAAAATAAAGATGAAGAAGATTCAGTAGATGAAGATTCTTAAAGGTTTTTAACAGTTGGAATGCTTGGTTTAACTTGGGATGGTGTCTCGATTGCTATTTGTGTTTCAGGTATTAAGAACTAAAACCATCAAAGCAGTCAGTTTAATTCTATGGAAAATAATATTAAATCAGATATTCTTATAGAGTTTAGAGCTTCCAAGAACTGTATTATAGACATCATAAAATATGATATTACTGAAATAATTTAAGAAATATTTTAAAATCATATATAGATTTCAGAATATTGAATAAATTCATATTTTTTTTATAATTTCTTTTTTAAAATATTTAGTAAATACTGTGTTAATTAATATGTTACTTCCCTATTTTCTGTTGCTCTTCATTTTTATATATCAATTAAAAATGTAATGAAAATTACAAAAATTTGTAAATAATATTGGATTTATTTATTATAATTACATTATCTAAAATAAAATTATATTTTAGTTATTTATTTTAATATAATAAATGTAAAATCTTTTGAAATAATTTAAAAAACGATTTAAACAATAATAATTTTTAGATGAAGCTGTATTTAAAGTTAACATTAAAATTAATTACACTGTTTGTAATGAAATCTTTTAGGTTAAATAAAAATTTTAATTTCATTAATTTTGCTGTTGATATGAAACATAAAAAAAATTATAGTTAAAAAAACAACCATTGATGATGTATAGAATAGTTAAATTATGGTAATCAATCAAATGAATTGAACGTTTTACTTAAGATATAGATAGATCTACCTCATAAAAATATTTAATTTAAAAGAATGAGGAGTTAAATATTGATAGTAAAATTTATATAATTACTTATCTATAAGATTTTGTAGATAGAAATCACCTACCTACCTACATATATGTCAAATAATTAAATATTTTTTATATAATAATTTAAAAAGCTATTTAAACAATAATAATTTTTAGATGAAGCTGTATTTAAAGTTAACATTAAAATTAATTAATCTGTTTGTAATGAAATCTTTTAGGTTAAATAAAAATTTTAATTTCATTAATTTTGCTGTTGATATGAAACATAAAAAAAATTATAGTTAAAAAAACAACCATTGATGATGTATAGAATAGTTAAATTATGGTAATCAATCAAATGATATGAATGATATATTTAAGAGATAGATAGATCTACCTCATAAAAATATTTAATTTAAAAGAATGAGGAGTTAAATATTGATAGTAAAATTTATATAATTACTTATCTATAATATTTTGTAGATAGAAATCACCTACCTACATACATATAAAATAATTAAATATTTTTTATATATCTTTTTAAATTCTGTATAGTATAAAAAATAAATTTCAAAACATATAAAAGTTTAGTTTTTCAAAAAGATTAAAAGCATTTTTTTAGCTGGTTAATAGGATGAGTTAATAAGATCCAGAATAGTTATAGAAAGAAGATAATTCAGATGAGAGATTGTAAATTAGAATTTTTATTCTGAATATATCAATTTGATATTCATAATAGCATAGTGCTATAATATGAATAATAAATTGGATATTAATTAGTAAAACTGCGCAAAAATGAGTTGTATTGATTAGTATTTGTAAATTAAAATAGCTTTTTAGGAATAGAATTAATTTGTTTTATCGTGCTTATTCTATATAATTTGAAGAAGAAGATAGAATATGAATCTAAACACCATGCTTCAAGGACAACAGATATATTTAAAACCTAATTCTACATCTGGAGTTTAAAGAGCGGAATATGTATTACAAAATAGATAAATATAACTTTAAAATTTACATAGAATAATCAATTCAATTTAGAAATGATTTATTTAGAAAATTTTAATATTCCATTTGCAAATAATTTTATTTTAATTAATGTCTTTTATTTCATAAACTAAAAAAAGCTAGAAGTCTTTCTGTTTTTATACTTCTTTTCAATCCATTATTATTCTCCTAGGATTTTACTTTAGTTTTCAGGAGATTTGTTTATCTCTGTCCTTGTTTCGTGTGGAATCATGCATTTGTTTAAATACTTCAATTCTTTTGCAACCTTTATTTTCAAGGTTATGGTGGAGATTGGCAAAAATGCTTTAACATAACATATGATTTCTCATCGAAAATTATATACGGAATATTTGGAGTAGCAGTAATAGATGGATTATTTAGGCAAGATCATGTAAACTTCTTTTCAAACGGATTGATTATAGTTGCAACACATCTAGTTATAACAATATGTTCACTTATCTTTTTTGCATTTAATATTTGTAAAATGGTAAATTTGTTTATACCTTTACTTATTTTCTAGTTTCTAACTAAGCAAACATCTTTTAATGATAAATAAATAAATAACGTAGATTACTAACTTAAGCGATTATCAAAATATGTAAGAATTAGTAAAAGTTAAAAATAAGGTAAAACAAACAATATAAATAATGCAAGAAACAATAAGTTAATAATATTCTTAATTATAAACAATAGACCTAAGAGTTTGCAATTGTTCTTGGGCTTTGCTACGGTCTTAGAATATCCTATTATTACATTTATGCCTTTGAAATTAGAGCTGACGATTAATCAGATGATAGCTGGATTATAGTTATAGTAATTTTAATTTTCTCATTCAATAAACTTAAAAAAATGAATAACAAAAGGACTTACTTCTTTGCGAATTGATTTCATATGGGTATTCCCTTTATCACAGAATAGAAATTGGTTAAAGTTGATAATATTTATTATTTAATAACTTTGTAAAGATAAAATTAATATAAAATAGACACAAGAGAAACTCACTCTTTAGAAATGCAAAATTACATTCCCACTCCATTTTTAGATAGTTAAGATGCTGCAAATAACACATGAAGAAAACCAAATATAAACCTAAGTCGTTTCAAAAATACACTCATTATTTATTTAAAAAATTTAATTTTAAAATCTACTCATCTTCTTTCATTCATTCATTACTAAATAAATCTTTAAATTTATGAAACCTAATTAATAAATAACTCAAGAAGGTCAATCAATAAATTTAAAAGTTATTTATTAAATATAGCTAAGCATTTGTAAAATAAACAAGCTAAATTTTCTTATAAAGATTAAATGTAATAATCTCTGGTTTTATAATTCAATATTATAAAATATTTCTCAAGTAATAATAATTATAATAAAAATTAGTAAATTAAAATATAATTTAAATTCTCTTTATCTATCTTTTGTTGTTTTTATATATGCATACATATTTTTTATTGACCAAAATTGAAAAAAATTTTTTTTTTTGAGAAATATATAAATTTAAAGCCTTATTTATTTGCGGTAATTAATATAATAAGGAATTTATTTTTGTTATATAAACTATTCAATAATTTAAAATATAGTTTTCTTAAAAAATAAGCAAGAATGAATAATTGATTACTAGAATATACAAAAATATATTATTTATTCTTTATAAAACATTATTTTTAATTTTAAAATAATTAATTTAATTTAAGTTTGAAATAGAGTAATTAATTTCTAAATGCATGATAATTTTTATTTGTTTTTTTGTATGTTTGTTTGTGTATGTGTGAGTATTTTTGGTAGCTAATTAATTTATTGAAGTATTTTAAATTACATAAAAATCATTCATTCATTGATTTGCTTGATTATTAAAAATTGGAACTCTTCTTTGCGCACAGTAATAACTAAGCTTATGGTTTTGTTCGCATAATCCACATAATATGGTTTTATTAGGATCTATTTCTCTTGAGAAAAAGCACTAAGTTTTTTTATGTCCAATTTCTTAACATAAATGACATTAAATTAATTATTCTCTTTAATATTGCTGCTAATAAAACTCTAAATCTATTGGACTAAATGCTTTTGGATGGGCCTAATTTAATAGAAAATTATTTGAAAATCAGAAGAATATAAATAAAAAATTAATTCTTTATACCTTATCACACTTATTTCCCTTAGGACAATATCCATATACATAATCTTTGCATAATTTTAATGTAACATGTACAAATTGGCAATCAGGACCTTGAGGACAAAATCCTTAATCAAAGGAAACACATCTCAAGTAGACATGCTTATTTTAGCAACTATCTCCGAATCTGCACTAACCTTATAAGAAATGACCGCAAATTTGCTATTGCTATAAATTAAATTTTTTTATAATTATTAAATTCAATAAAATATTAAGTAATCTTCTTACTTAGCTTTTGTTAGGATCAGCTTTGTGAGAAAAATCACATTAATCTCCAAATTTGCAATGAGAATTTTATTAAAATTTTGTGCATCTTTTAATTTTGCTATCGTCATGAGAATAAGGACATTAAGCCCTTTAGCATTATCCGTGTATATATTACTTACAGAGACCATTTTTAGTAACTTCCTTATTTTAATTTTGCTAATCGTTTTTTCTTTGGTCAACGCTTTCTTCTAAAGTATTCATTTTTAACAGTAAATATTCGCTAAAATTTAAATAAATTTACTTTTTTTTATAAAAGTATTGATAGATACAATTTATATTAATTAAATTTTAATAATTACAATAAATCAACTAACTTTACCTCATTCAAAACGAAAAAATAAATAAATACCAAAAAAATTGACTTTAAAAAAATTTGTGCCAAAAAGTTTTAATTTATCTAAAATGGACAAATCATTGATTTAAATTGCATAATACCAAATACAGTTTAAATAATATTGTTGAATTTTGATTTTCAATTATATTGGATTTATTTATCATTTTTGAATAAATTTATTAAATACACTAAAAAATTTTAATATTAACTTATTTCTATCAAATTATTCTTGCTTAATTGTCTTAATTGTTTAAATAAATTTAATATTTATATTATACATGTTATCATAACATATTAAAATTATTTGTTAACTTTTTATAATATTTTTGAATATTTAAAAAAAAGAAATTAATGATGTAAAAATTTAGTCAATTGTATGTTATTAAATAAAAAATCTTATGATAGCTGTAATTTATAGTTCTTTAAATAAATAAATAAAAGAGAGTGAATTTGATTAGCAATAATTTTAATTTAATAGAATATAAGAGGAAAAGTGTGGTCTGGCGATTGATTTTTTAGACTAGCTTTTTAAAACAAATTTATAATAAAATGTTATAAATTTGTTTTAAAAAGCTAGTCTAAAAAATCAATCGCCAGACCACACTTTTCCTCTTATATAATAGAAGCTATATAAATATTATTAATAGACTAATTAGAACTAATCAAATCATATCTTTTTAATTAAAAGAACTAAAAATTATGCGAAATAGAATATTTATTACAAACATTCTTATTTGAGTACATAATATTGCTGGTTATATTAAATCGTAAAATATTAGGAAAGCTTGTAAGTATCTTTATTTTCGTATAAATTTCAGTTCACAAAGAGGAAAAAACTAAACGTATTTTTATTGGCTATTGTTTTACAATAATATTGCAAAAGTAACTAACTTTAGCGGTATTGAAATAAATACTTTTTTGTGAGTTGGTTTAATAAATTGAAAGCAAATTCCTTAATTAATAAGTAAGCTATAATCAAAATTTAATCTAATTACAAAATAGAAGTAGATATTAAACTTGTACAAAAATGGCAAATTCATCAATTAACAATAGCATGTTTGATTATTTCGAGTCTTATATGAGGAAGAAACATAAAAAAAGATACACTCCTGATCTAAGGGAATACAGCTCTAAAAAGACATTGATCGAAGACTCAATAGAAGAAGCTTAACAAGAGATAAATGATGAAAGTAAATATCTAATTAAGTATTTTTAAATATTAAATTATTCATATTTAGATAGAAAGGGGTAAATTTAGAAAAAAGGATTTTAGACTCCTCGAAACAATGAGCTCATTGATACAAACAACAGAATTTTATAATCTAAAATAATGCTAACTGGATAGAAAAAGGGTAAATTTGAATATTTATTACAATAAACCTCATTCATTCATTACTTTATTTTTTTAAAAGTCGCCAAACATATCTTAAACAGCAACACAGAATCTTCGCCTAAAAAAGAGTATTTAATTTTAGTTATTGCAATGGGATTTTAAGTTTATTATTTATTGATAAAGAGAAGGATAAAAAGAAATATTCTAAAATCTAAGAGAATGCTTTAGCTTTATTCCCTAGTAAAATTTGGTATAAGATAAAAAGCTGAATCACATAAATATAAAACGAAAAGATGAAGATGATAAAAAAGAAAAACATTTTAATTTACCACCAATCACACAACACTATATAGATACATAAAATCCAATATTTAATTACCAAAGTTTTCATTACAACTAACTTTCTTTACTGTCATCAAATTCTAATGATAAAAAAATATCTTTCAAGACTACAAGAAAAAATACAATGTTAAAGAGATTTGATGAAAAACCTGTTTGCAACATGAATTAAAAAAATAACATCCAAATAAAAATAGGAGAAGTTAATCTATAAGCTAAAAAGTGCTACACTGACTTCGATAGCATCAAGCTTGACAGCGTTAACATTATGAATAATAGCTCTTTCAAAAGCTATGATTTTCAAGAAGTTTAAAAACAGGCAATAATATAGTAAGCTGAAAAGTAGCAGCAAAAGGAAATTAGAAAAATCAATAACTTAAATAGAGGTTTAGATCGCCTTAACTTTTAAAAGGGAAGATAGAAAATACAACCTTCGCCATAAGAGCCTTTTATAGGTTTAGTCTTTTAAGATTATGAGAATTACACACCAATACATTCAAGCAACTACAGAAGAAGTCCGTTAATTCCAGATTAAGAATAAAATCAATCTTTTGAATTACCTTTATAATCTATTGCGGACTCTAGTCACCATACAATTACAAATAAAAAATTAAAATCAAATAAAATTAATCATTCTTTTTTTTGAGCCAAATGAATTAAAATAAAATCTAAAAATCAACCAACCCTAATTAAAAAGACAGATTCAATCTTTTATTAACAAATTTAAAAATTATTTACTTATATAAAATAAATTATTTATATTTTAAAATCATACAACATATACATCATAACAATTTAATATAAAATCTATTAATTAAAATAAACTCTAATAATCATTTTAAGTAATATAAAAATTGTATATTTTATTTGATATTTATTATCAAATTCTTAAGTAAGAAATATATTTAGTAGAATATTATTAAAATTTTATTTTAAAGTATTTTATTTTAGTAATTTATTTTCCTTTAAGTTTTTTTATTATTCAAAAATTAAAATTTTTTCGATAAACAATAAAAAATGAAAATTAAATCATTAAAAAAATGTGTTACTGAAATCTTTAATGAAATTTCCTAAAAATTTGAAAATTGTTTAAATATTTTTATGTATTTGGACAATTTACATACTATTAATTTATTAAATATATCAATTTATTTTGCTGTGAAGCACCTTTATTTATTTTTTCATAAATTTTATATTTTTCAATTTTAAAAAAAGTTAATCCAGGTATTAAATCATGATGCTATCCAATTCATCATATTTTAATGATTTATTTTGAAGATTAGTTGATATTTATCAAAAACTTCATGAAACCTAACTAATGAAATAAGACTAAATTTTTGATATGAGAGCATAGTTTTGAATAAGTGAGTACTAATTAACATAATATAAATAAGTATAAGAATTTTAATAATTTATTAATAAAATTTATTTTAAGGATGTATTATTTATTAATATATTTTTTGTTTAATGAGTTTTTTAGAAAATTTATTTTGTTTTTTCATTTGATATCTATAGTAATGTTTTTATTGAAAGTTTTTAATGTCATTATTTTTTCTTTGAAGCATTCAATATGTTTTTCTTCAATCTTTTTCCATCTAAATTTATATTTAAATAATTAAATAGATAAATATATAAGAGTAATTAAGTTTTTTTACCTATCGAGACTTAAAAATAACCTTAAGGTTGTAAGCTTGCTTAGCTTAGTAACTTTATTTGCTAGTTAAACTAAACTTTTGTCAGTTATTTTCTCATTACCTAATCCCCACCTATTTATTTTAAATGATGTTAATAAAAATACTTTAAACAATCAACCAACTTACCAATCAAAATTAAGAGAAAGACTATTCAAAGCATATAGGTTCTCAATGTTTTCTGCTAAATTGATTATGCTTTCATCTTTGATAAATTTATTTTTATAACCCCATCTTTATTAAAAATAAAAGTTTTTAAAAGTTTAAAAAATAAACAAAAACTTACCTGTCAAAGTTTAAGTCGAGTTCTGTCAGTGATTTTAATTTGCCTATTGCAATTGCTAAATCTTTTATACATTCATCACTAACATCTGTACTGAAACCGAAAAGATTCATTTCGACCATCCACCAACCTAGGTTAATTTTCAAAGAACTTAAACTATTGATATTCATCAAACTTTTTGCAAGATTCTAGACACTCACATCTCCAATTCCGCTATTTAAAGTCGCTGCACTTTGATCACATTAAAATAAGTAAATAATTTAAAATTTTAACAAACAATCTTACTAGGCTAAATTTATTTCTAATTAATTCAGAAATCTTGAGTTACCAATCGCAATCGCTAATGATTCTATTCCATCATCATTAATACTGGAATTATCTTTACCCCATCTAAATCAAATAATTTATTTGAAATTTCTTTTAAAATAAATAATTAAAATATACTCCTAAAGACCTAACTTTAAAAAACTCAAGAGATTGAGTTCTCTGACTAGATCATGCAAATTGATAAGTGAAGTGTTAGTCATCTATGAACCCCACGAATTCAAATTCAAAGATAGATAAGTTAAATAGTCCTTTGTGCAAAGAATACCTTTTTACAAATATACTATTGATTTATCAGTAATCTTGCAATTGCCATCTCCCCAACTTTTAAAAAATAAATAAATTTAAACAAAAACACACCCAAAATTAATTAATTAGATATATCTTTTTTAGAAATGAATTTACTTAGAGAGATCTAAACTTACTACGTTTATCTTTTAGATTTTCTAAAAAATTTCACCCAAAAACATGCACGATAAATCGGTGATTTATTCATTTTCTTTTGCCCATTCTGAAAGGTTTATATCTATAACTTTTAAGTTCTACAGTCCTACAATACTTTCACAAAATTCTTTAATTGATAAATCAGTCATATCACTCCACCTTTGTTAATTAATTTTTCAAATAATTTTAAAATTAAGAATTCATAAAAAAGCATTTTTAATTTACCCAGAGAAATCTAAACGAAGTTCTTAAAGATCTGGCAGTTTACTAAAAATATGGTTAATTCTTTAAAATTAGTTGATATTTTAGATTTAGGATTAAGATTGAATTTTTTGATTCTTTTTAGAGAAATCAATAATGACTTTCTTAACTCTATTCCTGCTTGTTATATGGGTCAAGAAATAGTCAATTATATTCTCATCGAATCCTAATATTTCTATTGAGTTTATATTTTACATATTATCTCTAAAAATCTTCGTCCAGTACTTAGCGAATTAAAAGACTTTATGGTGATTGTTATGATTTCTAAGTTGATTTAGCTCATATTTGAAAAGTATTTAATCAGCAATTATTTGGATTTTTTCTGAGTTTTACGAGTAAAGTAAATATATGTTGAGTAGCCTCTGTTTTACTTCAATAGTCTTCAAATTTTCTAAGCTGTTTTGGGTATTTAATAAGTAATTTATTCCTTTTTCTGTAATATCTTTACAGCAGTTTAACTTGATTACTTATAGCTAGGGAAGATACTTAGATTTGCTTAGCTTATCAAGATCCTCGTCTATTATTGTAGAATAGCTTAAATCAATATAAGTTAAAGATCTTGTATATCTTGAGCCAGCTAGAAGCTATCCTGCATAGCTATTAACTTTAAGTCTAGAAATATCTAATTATTTAATAAGCAAAAAGTTTCTTGAGTTAAACAATTTTCTTAAATCTTCAATAATATTTTCATCATTTAATTATTCAAAAGAAATATTTTTAGAAGGAATATCAAGCATTTAAGCTCTATTAATTTAGATTGTATCTTGTTCATAATCAGGTGTTGATTGATGGTCAAATCTACTTAAATCTACATAACTAGTGCCATTTATGAAGATTTAATTTAGCTACTCTTTCTTAATTTAGATACATTGAATCACTTAACTTTTCACTAATTCAAAAAGCGACTGAATATATAATTTACTAGAATAGAAATTTAATTTATATCCTTTCTTCTCAATCAATAAATGCAAAGTTAAAGGATTTTGTATAAAAAAATCAACTTTATTTGAAGAGACAAAAATATGGATATTTTAAAGCTTTTAGCACTCTAGCAGGCACTGCTTAATCTAATTTAATAACAAAAATTTGATGAACAAATAAATAAATAAAAAAATATGTTTTACTTATGCAACAAAGAAAATATCACTATCGATGTAGAGTTGCCTTATATTTTACTAGTTCTGAATGTTAGATAAATAGTTAAATACGCTTTGAGGAGATAAATTTGGGCATTCAACAAGATTTAAGGATTATAGAAATACTTGTTGTGGTTTTTTCGAGGTTATACTAATGATGTTAGTTTGGCTAATGTCAATTTTAATTAAATTTTTTAAATAGTTTGATTAAATTAAGCTTTCGAATCCTTCACTTAATATTTATTAGCATTGTGAAATATCTAAAAATTTTAAATAAATAAAACTACTGTTTTTTGCTAGATTTTTCAAAACAGTATCGTCTATGTTTGTTGCTCGAAAACTTAAAATTTGTATGCCGAAAAGTTTTGTTTATTTTGAAAATTTTTCGAAGGCTTATAAGTTTTTGTCTGTCAATTTATTGACCCAATTAAAAAAGGAAGATGATTATGACTATTTTGATTAAACTTTTTAATTAATGTTGATGTTTTTATTTGAGTGGGGCGATGAGCAGTTATTTAAATTTGTTAACGACAAATTTGAAATAGATGAATGAAAGGCTTAATGTTAAGTATTGAAAGAGATATTTTGGTTAGATTAAATGGTTGCTTTTATAAGCTATTGAGATTTAATATTTTAATCAGAAATTTATTATTTGATAGTTTCATGCTGTTGAGGTTGCTAATTATTTGTTTCATCACAGTTAGAAATTTAAATGGCTGAAGTGAGATTTCCGCATGAAGTTAATGAAGAATGAGCATCACTTTAGTTTAGCTCAACTAGATTTTTTCTAAGAATGTTATACTTTTATATATACTCGAGTTATTTAAGGATATTGTCAGTAGTGTAAGGAAAATAGTGGAAATATGCATTTTATTTAATTAAATTATTTTATTATTCTTTATTTAAACTCCTAACAGAGCTATTGATACAATCAATAGATACAGCACTACCAGCTGATTATTAGACTAGCTTTTAATCCAATATAGTCAAATTGGAGTTATTTGAATATAAATGATGCTTTCTATCAAAAGCAAGAAGCATCTCTTATTCTGTTTAATGAATATTTTCATAATTTATGTTTTGTATGTTTCCTTAAGAAGAAATTTTTGTTAATATTTTATCATTTTTCATGTTATGATAACCCTTTGACAAAATACCTTCAAAATCTAACTGAGTGAGTTGAGGAAAGTTTTCATGTGATGACTTTTATAAGAAAATTTCTAAGCCCTTGTGTGTTAAGTTCCTGCAAAAGCAAAATATCAGGATTTAAATATTATTTAAGTAAGGACATGATACTAGTTCAAGCATGCACTTATCATCAAACTCAGAGTAAGAAAAGTCTAAAATCACAATTTATTTTAGGAAAGGATATTTAAAAAGTGAGCAAAATGTTTGCTGAGATAGAGCTTCGTATTTTAAGTTGAGCATCTTCAAAGACTCTATGTTATGATCCAGAGCTACAAATATGGAAGAGGAAATATCCTTCGAGCTTGAAAGATCTAATTCTTTTAGATTTTGAACTTGCTTAGAGAGTAAAAATTTAATCAGACTTTCTTCTTCAATTTAAGCAGAAACACCAATATTTTTCATATACTCTAGTTTAAAAATGGAAAGCGAAGGATCATTTTTATTAGAAATTTTATCAAAAAAATAGACTGCGCTTTCCTTACTAAATAAATCAAAATTTAAATAAATTATGCTATCAGAATCATCAATAGAACAAACTTGGTTTGAGCTATTGTAATTTGACGATAATGATGATTAAAATGATGAGAGTCTATCAGATTCACTAAGATTGTTTTCTGATACCATCAAAGAAGTTTCTTAGATTTATTATTTTTGAATATTTAATTTGTTGCTACTTTCATTACAAAAATCTGAAGAATTTTTTCCTAATTAGCTAGGTTAATTGAGTAATTAAATAAGTTATTCTAAAATCACGGCATCTAGTATAAGCTCATGCTTAAAGTACTTGATGTAAACCTCAAATATTCTTTTTTTTCTCCTATTAACAGCCAGTAGCACCAGCTATTAGCGGGAGCTTTATTAAAAGTCATGCTTGCTCTTTTTAGATGTTAGAAGTATTTTTACTCTTTATTTATCCTTTAAATACTGCTTAAACTCAATAAAATTACTTGAGTAAAACCTAAAAGTATTAATTTCAAACTGCAGTTCCACCTCATTCAGCCCAGTGCTTTTCATGTATCCTTCTCTATCATGAGTATTTATCAAAACTTCTACGTTTTTCTAATCTTTTTGCAAGAATAAATCAGAATCAGTCGGAATTACAGGTATTAGAAAATCTTCAAGAAGAAAATTATACCATGTTCCTTTATAAACAACCCAGTCTATAAATTTTATGCTTCCTTCTCCAAAAAATTATCCATTTCTAAACTAACCTTCATACACCCAATCATTCTAAAAAAAATAAAATACACCATAACCATGAGGAAGATCATTATCCCATTATCCCTCATAAACTAAAGCTTTGATAACCTCTCTTTCTCCCTCAATTAGTTTATACAAAGACCCTTTTATTATCAAAATTATATTTAAATAAATCCTTTAATCGTTGAAAAACTCAAATATCAAAAAATCTACCTTCTCCGTGTCGTAGAATTCTCCCATCTTCCATCTTAATATATGACCCTTAGTTAAATAAGTATTAAATGATTTATTTGAGAAATAATTTTTTAGTTTACCTTCATAAATAAGTAGCTTTATAGTATAGTTAATAATGCAAGTATTATCTTACTTTAATTCAATAATAGGAGGAAAAATCTTATGATGAGGGACTATGATGTTGCTTAAGATAATTTTATCTAACTGACAAATAAGACAAAGCTTTATAGAAGAGATTCGATTAATTTCTTCAATTTAAAGAAGCTCTGCTAATATGTTTATTGGCTTATAGAGACGGTTTTTTAGGATGTAGTAATTATCTTTTATTAAATACTTGTTTATATTCATTTTGAGAGCATATTTATAAGCCTAATGCTTGTCTCTGAGAATCTGTTGTATCTAATGTCTTTAATACTTTTATCTTACTAGCTCAATTTCTAGTAAAATTAGACCTACTGTATATAGGTCTGATTTGAAGGGATCGTGCTCGATAATGTATTTTTTCGGCTAAGCTGAATGGGCATCCCTTATTATAGGAGAAAAGTAAAGCTATGTTCCTGCTATATTTTGCTTTATTGAAAAGCAATCAGTTCCAGGAATAAAATTTTAAGTTAACTAATGACTGCCTATTTCTTCAGATATACCAAAATCCGCTAAAAAGTAATTCCCGTTACTAACTAAAATATTATCTAGCTTCAAATCCCTATGCACTACGCACATATTATGCATTGAGAGCACATTTACAATAAGTTAAATACATATTTACCGATACTTTTCATCACTGATTTCTGATTCATCTGCATACACTTGATTCTTTAGAGAACCATCTGCAAGCTCCATTTCTATAACTTCTATCTATTTCTTGCTAACCGTGTCTCTAAATTTAAATGTATTATAAGCCATTATGCTATTTGCAGTTAAAGTATTAAGTCTATCTAGGAAACTTATTTTATTATATGAAAAAAACCATTAAATTTCTTTTTGTTATTTATAAATTTACGCAGATTCATCTTAAGTAATTCCATAATGTATTTTAAGAGCTCTGATATATCCTTCTGGTGTTGTAGCTCTCAAAACAAGTCCATACGACCCACTTCCTATTTCTAGAAGATCGCTATATTACTTACTCAATAGAATATTACATATTTTTTCTTTGTTTTCCTGTCTCTTCAAGTCTCCGCCATAAACCAATCCTATATTATAATCTTCTATATTTACTTTTTAATTTGGATTAAAACCATATCCATTGTGATTTTCTACAACTTTCACATTACTGTTGTGGTTTTTTGTATTAATCCTAGAATCTATTTATTTTGCAGCTGCTTAATTGCTATGATTTTTATTTGGTTCAGGCTTTTCTATTTTATTATTGCTTCTATACATATACTCAGTCTGATCCTAAATAAACTATTTCTTGTTTGTTTAATTTGATGAATATTCATCTTTTGAAATTCTTTTAGTTTCATTTGACTTCTTTTCTTTCTTATCACTTTTATCACTTGGATTTATTATTTACTTTTCAGTTTTAAGCAAAACTGTTTCGTTGAACTTAATTTCCTCTTCATTTTCTTCGTAGTCATCAATGCTCTTAATTTAAAAAGAAAATAAATAAGTTCAGTTAAATAAATTTTGACATTTAAAAAGCTAAATAAATAAATTTTATTGTCATTACAGGTATTGTTTTGCTCATGTATTTATTTTTAAAAGATGAACCATGTTAATTTGTTATTTATTTTTTCCTTTAAGCTTTATCCAAGCACTGTTCTGTGTAAAACTAATGTACCCTTTGCTTAGTAGTCTTTATTTCAATAGGAGAAGGTGTATTAATTTAAGAAGAAGAATTTGAAGAATCACTTTATTCTGTTATGTTATTTTCAGTGATTGTGTATTGTGTTTATTCTTAATCTGAGCTATTTATAACTCCTGATAGAACATCTTCATTTTCTTCAAAAACAGTGTTACCACAAATACTAGCTTCAGAGAGAGTGTTTTGATTTTTAGATTTAATTTAAGAAATTTAAGAAGGCTAATTTGGATTATTCATCATCATAAATTTATTGTATTCTTCAGCCATATCCTCATGAAGACATATCGAAATTCTTTTTGGATCATTTATATTTGAAAGTGGGAGAAATAGCAGCTATTGGCTTTTAAATGTTCCCTTTTATTGTTGATGATTTTGTATTAAGTGCAACTTTGTACTTCCCTTATTTATTCTTGTAATAGGAGAATCGTCAAATGAATTTGTGCTAGAAATACTGCCAAGAGTTTAAGCTTGTAAAAGTTACTGCTTAACTCTTGCTTCTATTTTATCTTTAGAAATTTTAATAACTTTTTTAGAGCGACTTAGAGAAACGCTGCTCTCTAAATTTTAAAAATTCTAAATGCTTGTGCTAATGCTAGAAATAGCTTGATTTTATTCTTCAAATTTATGATTTTTGACCCCATTAATTTATAGATTTGTTCTGCTTTAAGTTTGCATAGTTTTTTGGTTAGAAAATTGACTTGAAAATTACTCTTAGCTTGTGATTTGTAAAGGAAAAGAGTTTCCTAAAAGGCTGCTTCTTTTTGGGCAAAATTATGAATAATTAAGCATTGATTAATGTGGATTAAAGCTTTATCTTCTACTAAATTAGTGCTAATTATTTAATACTTGCTACTTTAGAGAGTCTCTTTTCATCATTTTTTTATTTGTGTAAATTTATTCTAATCCATCTTAAACTCTACTTCCATTCCAAATTTAAGAGGAGGAGGTATTTGATGAACCATCAATGATTGAATTAGAATCTATTGTTTCATCTTTCTTTGTTTCTAATTAATATGTATTTGAGAACTCATTATTATTTGTAATCGTTTTTTCTTCTTCTTCATATCTTTCATTAAAATTATCATTGCGATCGTATTATAAAAATTATGCTTCAAGGCCACTGATTTAATTATAAAGATTTTTTTAGTTGTTTTCTTCATCAATATCACTTTTCCCTTGTTCATCAAGCGATTTTTACTCACATCTGTCTGCTGGGATATTGTTCATTTTTATAATCTGAAAATTACTTAAAATAAATAATAGCAATTTAACACTTAAAATATAAAAATTTCTGATTAAAAATTAGAAATGAGTATTTTAAAAATAAATCAAGTAATATACATAAGCTTTTTTTTAATAAAATTATAATCTAGAAATAATTAAGTATATGTATGTTTATATGGTCTCTAAATTCCAAAAAATAATATGTAAAATAATTTGCAAAAATGGAAAATAATTTAATTTAAATTTTTTAAATCAGCGTTATTTGAATAGATTTCTACTACTACTTTAATTCTTTAAACAAAGTCGTTTTTTTGTTTGTGATTTTTACTCACTTTTATCTCTAATAAAAAGCAAAGAAAAATATTCTTAGATAAATTAATTATATATATCACATGTTTTACTTACTATTCTTTTATTTAAATTAAATTTTTTTTTGTGAGATTACTGCTTAATTGTTAGTATTATAAGCTTAAATTAATTTTTAGAATGTGAGATTTTAGCTATTTCTATAAGTCAAAATTAAGCATTACATCTAAATTATATATCTTTATGTTTCCTAACATTGTATTTTAAATATTTTTCAATAGAAACTGAATTCAAAAATAAAACTAGTTTTATTATTTACATAACCTAATTTCTAAACTCAAATAACTATAGAAAAATTAAAAGCTAGAATTATCAAAACTATACAATCATCATAAAAATATTTAATTTAGTTTACAAAAGTTGTTAAAACTGTGCAAAAAGCATAAAGATTCTATTTATATATAAGGATTATTCTTAGTTTTAAGAAAGTGTAAATATGTAAATAATGTTATTGATTAATATTATAGCATATTATGATATTTTTAGGTCAAATAAGCCATAAATAAATATATATAAACACACACACAATTAGTTAGGAAAATAATTAGTTAATAATTAAGATGAATAAGAAATTTAATTAACTTTCAAAAAAGTTTTCATTTATTTTAATAAGTTTTGATTAATCAATCAAACAAACAAACAAAGAAAATTAATTAAAATATAAAACCATTAGCTGACAAAAATTGAACAGATTTTTGAAAGTAAGTTCATTTTTGGCTCATTTTGAAAAAAAAAGTTGCGAAAGATTTTAGAAATAAGGAAGAAAGAAAGTATTACACTTAATAGGAGCAAATACTTAGAGTAAAAATACTTATCCATAAATTATAAAAGGAAGGGGATAATCTTCAAAGATTGTTTAAAATTAAAATTGCAATAATTACAAATAACTTAAAAATTTAGAGGAAAGTTAAGGAAAGAAAGCGAGTCATTTATTGATTATTAAATTAGTATTTCAAAATATAAATATCAAATATGAAAAGGAGGGCTCCTAGTATCTCGAATGTTGCAAATCTAAATTAGTATTCAAACTAAATTTTAAGCTTTATAGAGATGTTTTTCTACGTTTTCAGTACTGTAACTATAGTAATAACTATGGTTGATTTGCTTTAGCAAAATAATAAATATCTATATTATGGCGTGACTATATTCGTTCTTTATATGTTATAAGGATTCTATGGCTTTATCAATCAAGACCTAGACAAAATTCATAGTCCTAAATTCTCATTATTTCTGAAGTTATTTTTTTTAGAGCACTTTTCCTTAATTTACACACGTAGAAACTCATTAAATAATTAAATTTCTAACGAAATATACTCTTCCGCAACCAGTTCTTCATTTTTTCAAGTACATATTTTGAATATACTACTTTTTTTGCATTTTTATAGGCATTTTCTTATTAAAATTTAAACAAATTTCCAGTTAATATCGATAATTAAGCTAGGAGATTATTATGCTTTTAACTAGCTCTCATTAATTTTTATTACTTTCGTATTTTATGAATGATATTAAAATTTGAATGCCTTAATTTACACTCTTGCTTAAAAATAAATTGCTCAACAAATATTTTGATAGATTTATTTTTTAAAAAATCAATCTAAATTGTCTAATTATTAAAAATACTATATAATAGGGAAGAATACTTAGTGTTGTATGCATTTATTTATTATCATTTTATGGTCTTTAGAGCAATAATTTAGACATTATATACTAGCTATCAATAGCAGCCACTTCTCTGAATGTAGGATTATATAACCCACAGTTTTTCATGAGAGAAGACACATGTCCAGAGGATTTATTTCATTATACTATTGAAGTATATTCTAGATCGGCTTTTTATTCTGTTCTGTTCCTAGTTTAAAAAGATGATGGGGACTATCATTATTAAACTACTTAAACAATTATAGATTTCTTTATAACGGTAAAAAAAAAAAAAACATATTTTCTAACAAAAATTTTAATTTAAATTGATCGTTTTAATTTTAAAAAAATAAATTATCACAAGCTTTAGCCTAATTTCTATTTTTATATAAAAGTTCCTTATAATAGGATTTTCAATAACAGTATTGTAGCTTCTATATAATTTGATAATAAAAAGACTTCCTGTCTTAGATAGCTTTGTTGGATCAGGACATCTATTTATAAATTGCATTTATTTGAGGTATCCTTCAAACATAGCTGTGCAAAAACATAAATTGCTTTTTATGAAAAACTCTTCATACGTAATTAATCCTTAGATAGTTGTTCTAAGCGCTCTACATCGCCTAGCAGAATGCTTTGGATTTTTTTACATGTATTATAAATATTTAGATTTATCACCGAATCAATCAAGTGCTATTAATACTCAAATTCGTATTTCTTAGGTCTCATCTGCAATTTATACTTATATTCTTTCATTTTAAATTTTATATGTTATTGTCGCTGCATGTACGAATCTAAGGGACTCTGCTGATATTAACGAAACGACTATCATTAATGGAGCTGCAACCACATCAAAAAGCCCAGAACAAACAAAAAATAATGGACTAACTACTCGCTGCTAATAAATATCAATAAATAATAAAGATAATAGTAATGACAATACTTTAGTTCCTATCTATGAAAACGATAGAACAGATAAAGGGACTAAAGAAACATAAAGAGTAATAACATAATTTAATAATAATAGCAACAATGTTACAAATAATACTGAAAAAATACCAAAAATAAAAAATAATTAAAAAAAGCTTTCTATGTTTGGTTAAATTAGTGTTCAAGGCAATTCTCCAACTTCTACAGACAATGGCACTTTTATTTTTTAACAAGACTTTGAAGAAAATTAAGGATTTTAAGCCTTGAAAATCTTCAGTCCTATCATTACTAAAAAAGTAAACTTTTCCTTACAATAAATATCTTGATTAATTTTAAGATCTTTAACTTATTAATAACTAAGAATATTGGCAAACCTTTTTGAAGATTCAAAATTGACTTTGTATATTTTTTAATCTTATAAGCTAGTATTGAAAAGATAAATAAATAAATAAAAAATAAACAAATAAATAAATAAATTATTTTTATTTATCATTTCATTAATTCAGCAAGCAAGTTACCCACCCTTCTTACTATCTTTTAATTAAAATAATCAAAATTTACCTTAATAAATTATGTATATAATTAAGTATTTGTAATTAGCCTTCACTATTCAAAGTTTATTCATTATTATGTTTTCATCAAAAATGCTCACTGTTATTATATAAATCTTTTTATCTTATTTTGTTATTCATTCATTTCTCAAAATTTCTTAATTTGGATAATTATTTTATTAAACTTGACAAGAAAGGCTATTTTCATATTAGAAGCACTATTAGCACTATTAAAGTTGTTAAAAGTAAAAACAGAAAAAAGTATTTCTTAGAGCATTTAAAGACATGATTTTTTTAAATCAAAATTACTATTAAATTTATAAGGTAAGATTTGCAGATAAAAATAATTAGTCTCACAAAACCATATTTCTTTTAATTAGAATTTTCGAAATTTAACTAAATAAATTATGTGTTAGCCTTTACTATTCAAAGTTTATTCGTCATGTTTTCATCAAAAATGCTCACTATTATTGAATCGTTTTATCTTATTTTGATTATTAATTACTCAAAATTTCTTAATTTTAATAATTATTATTTTATTTTAGTTGTTAAAAGCAAAAACTGAATATTTCTTATAGAGCTTATTATATATTTATCATTTTTTATATAAAATACTTACTGTTATTCTTGAATACTTTTATCTTATTTTGATTATTTATTTCTCAAAAATTACTTAATTAAAATTTTTATTTTACTATTTATTTTCTTTACCTTAAAAAAAAAAAAAATAAACATAACTTTATTTATTATTATTAATTTTTCAACTAATAAAGTAACAATAACATTACTGATAAAGGTGTTTTAGAATTAGGGACTAATTTATTAAAATTAGTAAATATGACAAGGTTAAAGCTAGTTTTAAAGTAATTACTATTTTTTTCATAAACTTTAAATTGAAATAACCAAATAAAAATAAAGCAAAGCAAATTATTATATGAAAAAGTATTTATACTTCAAGTGAACATTTAGTTTTAAATTTAGCTTATTTATCAATTAAATCTGTTTTAAATTTGAATTTTTTGATTGAAAAATATTTAAAGGAAAAATAAAATTGGTGATTAGGGTAGTTCACTTTTATTTATGAATTTACTATAATGCCCTTAACTCTATCATTTGACACTTGCTTTAGAGTAACAAAATTTTCTGCTTTTTATCTTTATTTATCTTTTTTAATAAAAATTAAATTATTTTAAAAAAATAAATATTTTATTTAAATTTAATTCAAATATGTTTTAAAAAAGTGAAAATTAACTAAATAATAACTTTGCGGCTGGAATAAAATTTGATTAATCTAAATCTTCTAATCTTTCGAAACTATAATTGTTATTAAAGTAATTTAATCTTTTAAATATTTTCTTTATAAATTTATTAATTTTTCTTAAAAAAATAATATTAAAATGAATTAATAAAATATCATATTTTATTATTTTAATAATTTCATAAATTATTGCCTATCTAAAAGCTACAACAAATTAGGCGATTAAGGAATAACGAATTTAGGCTCTATTTTAGCAAAAACTAGTATTTCATCTTTAGTAATAGGATTAAGGTAATGATAATTCAAATTTTTAAGTTAATTTTTTATTTAATATTGTTGTTAATCTAATCTATGTTCTTAATTTATTTTAATAAAAGTGATAACAATATTAATTAATTTGGAGCGTTCAACTTCTCTATGCTATTAGCAAAATGCACTAACTTGTCAACTCTCAATTTAGGATTTTACAAAAACAACTTGCTTAAAAATCCCGCGGCTAAATTAGTATCAAACTTTTCTCCTTGTACTAATCTACAAGATTTAAAAATCATTTTGTGGTAATTAGTTAACTTTTTTACTTAAATTTAAAATTAATAAGTTAACAAATAAGTATAAAAAATAAAATAATACACAATTACAAATAAATAACTTATTTTTAAGCTTTTAGTAATAGATTTAACTGTTTATTTTTATACTTAAAATTATATAAAGTAATAACGCTGAAGGATAGAATGTATCATAATTAGGATTAAAAGGCGCTAATTTTAAAAATATCTAAAAATTGAATCTTGATTTAAGGTAAGTTAATATTTATTTTTTTCATTTTAATATAAACCAGAAAAATAATCAAAAGAGAGGACACAACTTATATTTAATTGGTAAAATAAAATCATTTTTATCAATTAATAAATAATTTTGTTTATTTTTTATCTTTTTTCTCAAGGGATTTTACTTTCTAATTTTATGAAAAGCCTTAATAAACTTGAAAACAAAGCTGTTTAAGAGTTGATGTAAACTTTAGAAAAATGTACTCATCTTTAGGATCTATCTTTACGTCTTATGTAATTTTTGAATTATCTAAAATTTAACAAAATCTTAATTTAAATTCTTTTAATTTTTTATTTTATTCATTAATTAAATGATACGAAACTGTTTTATATAAAAAGTAAACTAAATTTAAATGACAAATTCTCATCAGCGTTATTTTCTTCTTTTGAGCTTTATTCTAATCTCCATAATCTGGACATCTTTAAAGTAAGCATTAATTATTTTTTCAACAATTTAATTGAAGGCAGAAAACATTTTAATATATATAAGATGCTAAAATTAACTATTAATTTTTTAGAATAATAATTTTTTTTCTGAGCTGAATAGTACTATTTTAATGCTACTTTGGTTTCAAATTTTAAGTTTTATTTTATTCTCTTAATAAAAAACTATTATCTAATTATAGGGAAAATATTCTAAATTGCCCTTAACTTTCCAAAATGATATTGGCTTTAGCAAAACTTAATAACCTCTCCAGTTTAAAACTCAATCTAAGGTAAATTTTATAGATTAAGTAATTAAATTTCATAATTTTGAGAAACAAATATTAAAACTTTTATTGAAAGTGATAAAAATAGAAATCCTAAATTAATATATAAAAAAATCAATCATATAAATTTAATATAAAAGCATTAATAATATATTTATAGTAAATTTTTTATACTATAAATAAAACTATTTTTACAATTAAAGCTATTTAAGATAGATTCTAGCTTTATCAAAAGTATTTGTTTAATGAAATTTTATTTTTTTTTTGTAACAAATAAAAATTGATGATATTTTTTTAGGATATAATGAGAAAGAATTCTTATGAATTTTAGCGAAATAAATAAACACTTCAAATATAATAGATAAATATTTTATATTAAATATATTTTTAAGAAATTAAAACAATTATTTATAATAAAAAGTAATAATGATATTAAATGTTAACCAGTTATAGAACTAGCTGAGGTTGTGAGATAATGTTAGAATTTAAAACTTTTAGAACTCAATCTTCAGTAAATATTTTATTTAGTATTTATTTTATTAAAATGCTAAAAATTTTGGAGATAATAATTAAAATAAATGAATTTTAATTTGTTTTTTATTAGCAAACATAAAACATATTATCAATCATTCATTCTTAATGTTTTTTAATTTTGAATAAATTTAAATAGATAAAATCCGATAGGTATATTTGCAAATGCAAATTTATATTAATAAATCAGTAAAATTACTCAATTAGTAGAATTTAGTTTCCTTTTTGATTATTATGAATGTACTAATTGCTATGATAGTTACTCTAGCTATGAAGAAGAGGATGATTCAGTTTAAAATAAAAATAAATGACAGTAAAATCAACTAAAAAAAAAAAAAGTTGAGCCATAAAAATAGTTAACAATTATCTATTCATTTTTTTTAAACTCTACAATAAGAAATAAAACTAATTTTGAAGGTAATCAATAATTTACTTTAATTTTTAAATAAATAGTTTTAGACTCACTAAAAATTATTTATTTTATGATAAAATTATATTTTTGTTATTGTAATTATTTTTAAGTAAATGTTTGTAAGTTAATATTTATTATATATAAAGAATAAACAATCAAAAATTCTATTTTATTCAATGCTAATTAAAAATAAATTACTCATTAATTAAGACAACCCATAAAATATGTTTTACCATATTTACTGCGTTGATAATTTTTTTTGATATGAATAAGTATCTAAATAAAGTAAAAAAATGGAATTTTAACTTTAATATTTTTACAAAAATAAAAATATGCCTTCAAAAAAGATTGAAAAAACATAATAAAAAACTCTTCTAATAATCTTTGAATAAATAGAATAAATTTAGAAAAATTGTTTATATATTTTGATAATTAATAATTAATAAGTCATTAAAATAATATATCAATTTTATTAATGTGATAAAAACCTTTATACAATAAGAGTTCATTATTTTTAGTAAAATAGTTACCTGTTAATAATTTATTTAAATGTTGTAATTTGACAAAAAAATAAGCATTTATTGATCTATTAAAGTGATGCTCTTTATTTCAAACACATTTTTTAATATATTTTTTACTTTATTTTAAGAAAAAGAAACCAAACATTTATTTAATTGATTTTCAAAACATATTTTCTTAATTAATCTTTATGTAAATTAAAATTCTAAGAAAAATAATAAATAGTTTAAGTTATTGATTGATATATATTACTTTTCAATATAACTCTTAATTAAAAAAACAAAGCATAGTAAATAAAAGTTCATATTACCTATTATAAGTTTTATAGTTAAAAAGTTAAACAATACTATTATTTAATATGAGAGATAATAATATAACCAATGAAAATTAGGTTAATTTATCTGATTATAGCTCTTATGGTACTAATTATGAGAAGTCTATAATGTAGTATTAATTTAAAATACTTTAGATGTAATAGTAGAACTAAATTTTAGGAGACTAATCACAGTCGCTAATGCAGTTTCCCTCATAAATAATTAATAATCTGGAAATAATTTAGCATAATAGTATCTAAAATGATTATAAAAGTGATGTTTGTAATTTATAGAGTGACGAGTAAAAAAATGGTACTTAAAAAATTATTTTTACAACATTATTAAAGAGAATATTGAATATACTTCTAATTCATAAAATATCACAATTATGAAATGGATTCTTCATTAATTATTTCATAATTACTTTTAAAGTGAGTTAGATTTTTATTAAAATAATAGTTTATTCAATTTAAACCTCATATTTATAAATTTTACTTTGTAATAGTTGGAACAGATCACTCTTTTTCGAATAATTAGTAGGACTTATTATTTAAGTAAAGTGAGTAAAGCTAAAAGTGTCATGATACAAATTATGATATATTTAAAGATGTTTCTAAAACAAATGGATAGGATTCTTACTAAACAAAGCAAAATTTAATGCAACCAAATTTGAAAGAAATATAGTGCAGCTTACCTTCTCAAAATTTTAAAAACACTATTAAGAATAAAAATGCTTAAAATAGAACTTTTAATTCTGGAAGTTCTTTTGATATAAAGGAATAAAATAAGGCAAATTCAAAGTAAAGAAATCATAGAAAAAGAATTAATCTATTGGAAATAGATAATAATACCTAAAAAGATGTATGGAGAAAAAAGTGGCTTTAAATACTTGCATTGGTGTCAAATATGAAAAGGATAGCATTTCAAAGTTCTTTGTTTTTTAGACCTTAGAATTTGAGAGAAGTTTAAATTAGACTAATAAATGATTTATCAAGCAATTAAAATACTTAAATAGAATTTTTTTAAATAAATAAAAATCATTTAGGTCGCTTATTTACCTACAACAATTTTAAAGGAATTATGTCTTTTAAAACATATAGAAAATTTTTAAAATTCATCATAAAATACTTTGGATTTTTTATAAAATCCTACAACCAATTAACAATTTAATTAAAAAATTTTGGAATATATTTCTTTAGTTACTTTCCATTATTTCATAATTTATCCTCTCTATATATCCTGTGGGAAGCAGTCATTTTTTTTGCTTCGTTAACTCTATTTGTTTACATTCCCTTTGAATATGGCTTTCAGATAGCTAGAGGAGAATTCTTAAGATATTATATTTCTTATTTCTGTAATATTATCTTTAGCATTGATATTTTTGTAAAATTCAACACTCTATCAACTGAATAAGGTACTTTTATCGAGTAGCACATACAAATATTTTCTAATTATCTAAACTCATCATTTTTCACTGATATAGTTAGTATACTTAGCCTAAATTCATAGCTCTTTAACCTAGAAGGACTCTATTTCCTATTCTTTCTAAGGATTTTTTAACCATTTAGAATTATAGAAATATTCAGAGAATAATTTCTCTTAAAAACGAAAGTATTTGGTAAGTTAAAATAAAAGTATAATATATTTTGTTTATTTATTTATCAAATTAATATAAAGGAATAATTTCTTTGCTGTATTTATTAGCTTAAGTTATATACTTTGCTCATCTCTTTACTTGTCTTTGGAATTATGTAGGACTTCTATAGCTTTAGTAGAATAAAGGTTGGATTGTATTTTATAATTTTTAAGTAGAATCAGTATCTAGTAGATATATCTAAATTTTTTATTATGCTATTGTTACTATGACAACCATAGGGTATGGTGATTTCACTGCATAAAGTCACTTAGAAAAATTTCTGATGATTTTTATTGCTTTTTTTTCTTGTGGAATGTTTGGTTATGCAATTAATTCTATAGGTAAATTCTAATAAAAATATATTTCTTTTTAAAATAATTATCTTATATTTCTTTTGATTTGTATTTACTTAATTTTTTCTGATAAATATTTATTTTTTTTCTTTATATTAAATTCAATATACTTTATAACCTCTAAATTTTAAATGTTTTTTAATTTTTAATTGAAGAGCTGACTGAGGTTAAAATTTAAAAATTTAATTAAAAAAATAAAAATTTTTAAACTTGCTTACCACGATTTAATATGTTGTATTAATTAGATAAGAACTTAATTTTTATAGAAAGTAATATTTTTAATTATAGGAAATATTTTATATGACATTAAGTAAAAGAGAGATCTCTACCTATAAGAATTGGCTAAAATAAATAAATACTTTAGGTAAAATGATGTTTAATTAACACTTCAATGTAGGGCAAAAAAGTATTTGTAGCATTTATACAGCGATTAATATTGTGACTATTCCTGTTCTATAAAATCGCTCTCTTCGCTATCATTGTACTTATAAAAAGAAATACAGCAAGATGTATACATAAAAATGCTAAAAAAAGTACCAATTTTTAAAGAAATATTAAATGAATAAGTTTTCAGTGAATTAGCTCTATAAATGAAAGAATGGATTTTATGCCCTGATTAAATAATCATTAATTAATAAGAGGAAGAAAATGAAACTTTTATTTATTTTGTTAATGATGGATCTATTTTAGAGTATTGTTAATAAGATTCGAAAACTAAAATAAAGGAGATTTAAGTAAAATCTTTTTTTAAGTTAGGTCTTTTTCTATTTAAATTATATTTATTTTAAAAAAAGAAATTCAGATATGGACAACATTTTGGATTAGTTAAATTCATATTTGGAGATCAAAATAGTACAATTAAATATAAAAGTGTGGGTGTTTCTTCTATTTTATAACTAAGTTACTCTAATTTTATGGAAATATTAAAAAAATATGATATAGAGTATTAAAAATTTTGTTATGCTAGAGATGAAGTTAGATTTCAAAGCAAATTTTAAAAAGTTTATGCTTACTGCTACTCTTGTTTATAAAAAAATCATACTATTGAACAATGTCCTTATCTATTCTACGAAGGTAAGAAATCACAGATATTGAGGAAATATTTATAAGAATGCGATACAAAAATTAAAAATTATTAGCGAAATAAAAATGAAAAAACATTAAACGCAGTAATAAATTAGATAAAAGTATAAAAATCTGCTGATTAATTTTACTTATAAAATATTCAATGTTTTTCTTTTTGGGATTTAAGTGAAGAATCTGATTCTGAAGTTGACGAAGAAGATGAAGATCAAAGTGAAGAGGATGATGTGAGTTCAATGGAATTAAAGTAATAAAAAGATGGAACTTAATTGTTAATTGAGTAAAAAGTAGGTGAATTGAAAAAAAAAGGATCAATAATTGACGATTAATTGCATTAATTGTGTGAGAGAAAATGTAGTTTTTTAATTTAAAAAGAATTTCAAAATTAACTTGATTAAGGAGAAATAAATTCTTGTAATTCACTCAACAAACAAAATATAATTAGTGGTATTATACCAAGTAAATTATTTTATGATTAAGAAAGCATAATTTTAGAAGAAAACTAAAATAATCAAGCAAACAATAAAAAAAATAAAAGCTAAAAAAAATTAAAATCTAGTGAGTAAAACCTATCAAACGCTCAAGATTACGAATAACTAAATAATATCATAAGTAAATAATTTATTTACTTTCAGAAATTTTTAATTAAAGAATATTTTATGCTTAAAGGTTAAACAAAAATATAAACTTACTAAAAGTTAGAAAGATGTTAAACATAATCTTCATAGGCACATAGATATGCTAGTAAGATATAAAATATGTAGATCTTAAATAATATAGATTTTCTTCTACAGTAAACATTCTCATTTCTAATTATTTATTTTTAATTTATCAAAAAATTATTATTTTTTATTTTTATCAAGTAGCTATTTTTAAAAATTAAAAAAATAAATTAATTAAAAGGTTAGCCAATCATTAACCTCTAAATTGCCCCATTTAGAATTGTTAAAATTGCATCTAGATTGATAACGATATATAAAGTATAATTAAGGAAATATTAAACAATGAAAAAAATAAACCAAATTTAGCACACTCAGTTAATTAAGAATACCATAAAGTGAAGAGTATTTTGCAATCAACAAAATAAAGAACAGGTTTTATTTAAAACCCAATAAAATCAAAGACATTGAGCTTTATTAACAAAAACTCAAATAGTAATCAACAAATCAGTAAAGGTAGCTCTAAATAATTACTTGGATTAGCACAATAAAATTTTATGCATGAAATCGATAAGATGAGAAAATATTAATTTTATTTTCCTGAAGGAAATTATTAGACTGTCATAAATAAAAATTAAATTAAAATTAAACATAAAACATTGTTTAATGATAAAATTTTTTTTTCTCACAAATTATTTTGACTTATTTATTAAATCAGAATTAAATTAATTAAGATTGTTATATTTATTTTACATTTTTGATTTGTTATTTTTAATTATATGATTTAAATAAGAATATTTAGTTTAACACTTAACAAAAAAAGTTTTCTTAACTTTATAAACAAATTAAAATAAAATTTATTATTTTCTTTAACTCAGTTTCTCTTCTTTGATTAATTAATTAAAAAGGCTTAATTAAATAAAAATATTAATTTTATGAGTAGATAACTCCAAAGTAAATAATAGCAAATAAATCCAATAAATTGTTTATCATTAGCGAAATATTTATTTTAATAAAACTTATACTATTTTCAATTAAATAAGGATATAAATTAATTGATTTAAAAATGTTTTTTTCTTTTAAATAATAGATTTAGATAAAATTTATATCTTTTTTTATAAAAAGCGCTTTAGTATTGAAAGAAAGCCGGATAATTTAACCTAAAACATAGAAATTTTATTATTATTTTTTTATTTATGAACAAAATATCTTGGAGCTAATTAAATATCAAAAAATTTAAAAATTAAATTTACTAAAATAAATTAATTACTAGAAATACAACCTCATATATCCTCTAAATAAAGCTAGATCTTTTATCTTAAAGAAATTATTTTACCATTTTTCGAAATAAAACATTTTTAATCATATCCTTCAATCTATGTAAATTCCTCTTCACATTAATTTTAGATTGTTCATTGTAAATATTAAAAGGGAGACTAGCTTCGTTTATCTTTTCCAATCAATTAATTTTGTAAGGACTTGAATCAAAATGTTAATTAAATAAGTAAATAACTCTAAAGTAAATTAATATAAAAATAAATAATAGCAAATAAATCTAATAAATTGATTAAAATATGAGAATTATTTATTTTAATAAAATATTTTCTATTATAAATTAAATTAGGTTTTAAAATAATTTAATAATATCTTTTTTCTTTTAAATAATAGACTTAGATATAATTGAAACCTTTGTTTATAAAAGTGGCTTTAATATTGAAAGAATGCTATTTTACTCGTAATAGGTTCATTAATTTCATTAAAAATGTTAGCGTTCAATTATTATTACAATTATTAACAGTTTGATGCCTAAATGAGTAATTTTGTACTGAGTTTTTAAGGCATAATTTCATGAAATTAAGCTTATATTTTACTAAGCATAATATATATATTAAAATGGGAACAAAAGTAGAAGCAATATTTTATGTTTTCTTAGAAACTATGTTTTCTCATTTTAAGCTTAGTTTCTAAAAAAAATTTTATTAAGAATGAATGAGTAGAATGATTGATTTAATTAATTAAAAAAAGGTGCTTTTTCACTATCAATTGTTTATCAATAAATAACAACAAAACAAACAAACAAATAAATAAAATAAATATACTTTTTAAAATTTTTAAAGATAATTTGAACATACCAAAGTGCTGGTTTTTCTTTAATGAAGGATAAAATAAATCATTTAAATTAGTTTAATTTATTTGATAAACCCTCTTTATCTGCAGATTTAGACTAATAAACTTCATTTTATTAATTTAAGCTCCTTTAATTATAATAGTAGAACTAAAGTTTAGGAGACTAATCATAATCTCTAACACAGTTTCCATCTTAGCTTCAAGTAAATGTCTGCAAAAATTAGAAAGAAAACAAGCATAATGAAAGCAAAAGTGAGATTTGTTACTTTTAGAGTGAAAATTAAAAAAATGGTAAAGCTTTTTACTTTAAAACAAATTTATTTTTCAATCATTTTGTAAGCTAAAATAAATATTAATTAAGTTGTTAGATTTTATACTTAAAATGATATGAAATTAGAATCAAAATAAACAAATACGTTATATTAGCATTTTTTGTTTTGAATTAACTTGAGTAAATAAGCTATTATAATTTTTAAAACTTTTATTTATTTAAAAAAGGTAGCATGGATTAATCTTTTATGAATAACTAATATACTACTTAATATAAAACTTTTGAGTAAAATTTAAATATAACAAACTATGAGAATACTGAAATGTGTAATGAAATAAGCAAATTTAATGAGTCAGTCTATTCTTAAAATAAGCGAAATGTAGCAGCTGTTCAATCTATTTTTAATCAAAAACAGAATGTAGCAAGCGCCTTCCCTGTGAATAGAAAAAACTATCAACATAAGACTATTAATTATACAAGTGCATTTAATATGAAAGAGGAAAATAAAATAGGAGTGAAACAAAGGGGATTTAAAAAAAGAAATAATTTATTAGATATAGATAGACATGCTCAATAAGAGGTATGGAAAAAAAAGTGGCTTTAGATAATAAACTTAATTTCAAAAATGAAAAAAATAGCTTATCAAAGTGCTCTATTTTTTAGACCATAATTTCTTAGAGAAATACAAGTTCGACTTATAAATGATGTTTCTAGTAATCAAAATCATTAAACTGAAATATCTTAATTAAATAAATATAAAGTTGGCCGCTTCTTTACTTACAGCAATTTTAAGGGAATAATTTCATTTAAAAATTATAGAAAAATTTTAAAATTCACTATAAAATACTTTGGATTTATCTTAAAAACTTATGATTAACTCAAAATATATGTGAAAAACACAGGAATTTATTTATTTAAGTACTTTCCTTTATTTCACAACCTTTCTTCACTTTATATACTTTGGGAGGCTATTATTTTTGGTGCTTCTACAATCCTATTTGTGTATCTGCCATTCGAGTATTGTTTTGGTTTAGCTAGAGGATCATTCTTTAGCTATTACATGTCTTATTTCTGTACTTTGATTTTTAGTTTGGATATTTTTATCAAATTTAACACTATATCAACTGAATAAGGTACTTCTATTGAGTAGCATATACAAATTTTTACAAACTATTTAAGTTCATTTTTTTTAATTGATCTTTTGAGTATGATAAGTCTTAATTCTTAAGCTTTTGACTTAGACGGATTCTAATTCTTATTTTTTTTAAGAATATTTCAACCTTTTAGGATAATAGAAATATTTAGAGAATAATTTCTTTTAAAAACAAAAATGTTTGGTAAAATTATACAAAAAAATTAAATTTCTTGACTTTTTTTTTATAAAGGGATAATGTCTTTACTTTATTTGCTGGCCTAAGTTATGTACTTGGCTCATTTATTTACTTGTCTTTGGAATTATGTAGGACTTCTCTAGATGAAATAAAATGAAGGCTGGATTGTATATTATAACTTTTAAACAGAGTCAGTAACTACTAGATATATATAAATTTTTTATTATGCAATTGTAACTATGACAACAATAGGCTATGGTGATTTCACTGCGCAAACTCATTTAGAAAAATTTTTGATGATTTTTGTTGCTTTCTTTTCATGCGGCATTTTTGGTTACACTATTAATTCAATTGGTAAGTTTTAATGGATTTTTATAAAATTTCTTATCAAATTACTGTAATTCCTCATAAAAAAAGTAAGTAAGATGCCAAAATATTACACTTTTTTTTTATTATTTGAAAATTAATACACTCTGCTTGATTTTTAAGTAAAGGTAGAACTATCTGATGAATTATGATTTATAAAGATAAAAAATATGTAAATTGCCATCATGTCAATTATATATTAATATTTTTACAAATTCCTCTAATTACTTTATCCAATCAGCGGAATTTTAAAACCAAAACGGCAACTCTTCAAAATCTTTAAAGAAAATGTTGGGATTTAACATAAAAATTTATTATATCAATATTCATTTGTGAAAATACGGTGTTTATATAATAATTATTTTAGAAATGAAAGATAAACAGATTTTATATTAATAGGTAACATTTTATATGATATTAAACAAAAAAGAGACCTTTACCTTTAAGAGATAGCAAAGATAAATAAATATTTTAAATAAAATAATGTTGAGCTAGGACTCTAATGTAGAGCAAAAAAGTATATATAATATTTATACAGCGACTAATATTGTGATCATTCTTGTTCAATTAAATCATTATCTTCGCTTTCAGTGTACTTACAGAAAGAAATATAATAAGATGTTTACATCAAAATGCTGAAAAAAGTACATATATTTAAAGAAATTGTGAATGATCAAATTTTCAGTGAGTTGGCTCTCTAAATGAGGGAAAGAATTTTTTGCCATGATCAAATAATAACTAATTTGTCAGAAGAAGAAAATGAAATTTTTGTCTATTTTGTTAATGATGGCACTATTTTAGAGTACTCCCAATATGATTCTACTACTTAAATAAAAGAGATATAAGTATTGAAAACTAATTTATTTATTCGACTTTATAGTTATTTTTATTTATAAAAAATATAAGAAATTTAGATATGGACAAAATTTTGGGTTAGTAAAGTTTATGAGAGGAGATGCTAACGGAGAGCTTAAATATAAGAGCGTTGGAGTTTCTTCTGTATTGTAACTCAGCTTATCAAGTTTTATAGATATTTTGAGAAAATATGATTTAGAATATTAAAAATATTGTTTTCTTAAAGATGAGATGAAATACCAAAGTAAATTTTAAAAAATTAATACACAATGTTACTCATGCTAGTAGAAAAATCATACAATAGAGGAATGCCCTTATTTATTTTATGAAGGAAAGAAATCTATAATATTGAGAAGATATTTGTAGGAATGCAATTTTTAAATAAAAAATTTTAAGCGAAAAAAATAAGAAAAAAGTTTAAATGCGGTAATAAACGTACAGAAAGTTTAAAAAACTTCTGATTTATACTACTAACAAAACATATCATGCTTTTCCATTTGGGATTTTAGCTAAGATTCTGAGTCTATGTCTGAGACTGATAATGAAGAAGATGTTGAAGATTCAAGTGAGAGTGAGAGTGATAAACAAAGTTCACATGAACGTAAACAGCAAAAGGTAGAGACTTAGTTATTCAGTGATTTGAAAATTGGTGAGCTCAAAAAAAAAGGATCAATAATTGATGATTAGGCACATTAAATATGGGAAAGAAAATGTAGCTTTTAGATTTAAAGAGATATTCAAAGTTAACAAGAGGGAGATGTTATTTCTTCAAATTTATCAAATAAACATATCTTAGTTAGTGGTGTTATACCAAGCAAACTACTTTAAGAAGAAGGAAGTATAATCTTAGAAGAAAATTAGAACAATTAAACAGCAACCGCAACAAAAAAAAATATGAGCTAAAAAAAGTTGAAAACAAAAGATTAAAACTTAAATTTTAGTAACTCTCAAGATTACGAATAGCTAAATAATATCATAAGTAAGTATATTTATTTGATTATGTTTTTATTTTCTTTATACAAATTTATTAATAAATATTTCAAAACAGGTTAAACAAGAATTTAAACTTATTAAAAGTTAGAAAGATGCTAAACATAATCTTCATAATAATATAAATATGTAAATAAGCTTCAAAATATGTAAATCTTTAACAACATCGACTTACTATTGCAGTAAATATTTATTTATTTATTTATTTTTTTTGTAAAATTATGAAATTAATAAATTAATAAATTTTAATCCTAAAGCATGGCAAATCATTCACCTCTAAATTGTTAGACACAAAACTGTCAAACTTGTTTATAAATAGATCATGATGTATAAAGTATGGTCAAAGAAATAGTGAATATTGAAAGAAATAAGCTAAATTTAAGACCATCTATTAAACAAGAACTTAATAAAATGAAAAGTGTGTTGTAAACAACAAAGTAGAGGATAGGATTTATTTCAAATCCAGTGAATGTGAAAACACTTAGTTTTATAAATAAAAATACTAATAGCTATTTGTAAAATAGTAAAGGTAGCTAAAAATAATTACCAGATTTATCGATACAATTTTTTATTTACGAATTTGATAAAATGAGAAAATATTAATTTTATTTTCCTGAAGGCAATTACTAAACAGTATTAGATAAGTTTAGAATATAAAAAAAGCATAAAACATTTTATTAAGAAAGAAATTAACTTTTTTCATAGAATTTTCTTACATATTAATTAATATAAGAACATAATTGAAAATATTATTAAACTTTATCCAAATATATATATTTTTTGTGTGAAGATTATCTAATTGTTTAATAATTGATAATTCATTCATACATTCATTATATATTATTATTAACTTACAATATTTCTTTAGTATAAAGATTTTTTTAATTTTTTAAAAATAAAAGTGAAAGTATATTTATCAATAAAAAATGTAAAATTCATATTTAACATCATAAAATTATACTGTAATCCTCATAACAAATTAAGAAATTAAAAATAAGAAATAGTGAATTTTTAAGTTTTTTATCTCTATCTTAGTTTTTTTGCTAAAAAGTGGTGAAAAGTGAGAACTTGAAGAGTTATAGTATTATTCAATTGGTTAAATTGCATCTTTAATATTACTATAAAATGTTACATTTTTTAATCAATTAATTATTTTTTTATTTATTTTATAAATTTATTTTAATTTAAATTAAATGAATTATTTATCATATGATGATTAGATTGATTGAATAGCATAAATTAATATAAATAAAATCAATTCTTACTTCCTTATGAAGAGAACATTAATCTTTAGAAAGTTAAAAATAAAATTAATTTATAAAGTAAAGATAATAATAATATTATATTATATTTTCAACATGTTAATTCTATTAAAAAATCTTTTTTCAATAATATCATTTTTTTTATTTTATTTTATATGGCTATTAAACAAATTTTCATTATTTTTAACCAATTGTAAGAAATTAAATTTAAAATATTTCAATAATTTTTCATTTATTAAAATTATAGATAATTTTATTATTGTTTGAGTTTTGTATATGAAAAAAGTCTTTTTAATTTTTAAAATACTAAAGAATATTTTTTATTTATTACTCAATTAAAGAATTAAAGCATTTCTTAAAAGCCTATTTAAAAAAATGAAAATAATTAAAGTTGTATTAAATTTGAAATAAGCATTAGTAAAGGCAAATTTTGTCTAATTTTGTAGGCTAACTTAATATTATTCTAATTAAAGAAAAAAAATTTTTATTCTGTCTTTCTTCTATATTTTATTTCACAAGAGCTATTAATTAATTTATCAAAATTTAATTGAAATTACGCAAATGAAATAATATCAAAAGATGAGCTTCTTAGTCCAAACACAATTCTTTTAACTTTATTTATTTAATTTGTAAAAAAATTTTTTTAAAAAATCCTATTTGGAATAAATTAACTCATAAAAAAATCAAAAATAATAAATTGCAATTAGATAATAGTGAAGTCAGATTATTAAAAAGATTAATAAAATATTGCCTTCTCTAAATTATAATACTAGCTTTAAATAAGCAAAAGTTTAAGATAAATAGCTTTAACTATCCCAAAAAATTTAGTCTTATAAAAGCTCATAAATTAGAGGCGACCTCAAATGAAAGGGTAAATCTTAAAATAAAGTAATTGTAAATTAAACGAGCATAGTGAGATTACTACTTTATAAGATTATTCTAATCCATACTATTAGTTTAAAATTCTTTAGCTTCAATAGTAGAACTAAAATTTAGGAGAATAATCACAATCTTTAATCCATTTTCCATCTTAAACTCTTGTTAACTAAGACATTAGATTAGATGCTAATATTCGAAATGGAGTCAATAGTGAAATGTGTAACCTTTAAAATAAAAATTCCAAAAGTATTTTAAAAACCTTTATTCCATTTTTTAATTATTTAATATCTTATAAGTAAAAAAATGGCGGATAGCAAAAAAAAAACAAAACAGATCAATTAAATTCAAACCCCAAAAATAAATTATAAAATAATTTATGTTCTAACAAATAAAAAACATTTTTAGTTAGTTTTTGTTTTATTTTTTGCAAAAGGTTGTGCAAATAACTCTTTCAGCTATAAGCAGCAAGAATCTTAATGCTTCGAATAAAACTCAAAATTGACTAATGAGAACTAAGATACCTGCTGTTATTTATCCAAAACAGATTAATAAGTACACCAAGAAAATAAAATATAATTTCTCCAATCTAGCTTTTGTGAGAGATAGAGTTTATTTTCTGTAAATTAAGCAAGTTCCATGCTTGCAAAACAAGAAAAAAATAAGGTAGTGAATTTTCTAATCCCATTAGATTCAAAAGAGGTAAATAAATCAGAACAAAAGCAAAAAGGAGGATTTAAAAAAAGAAATAATCTATTGACAAGAGATAATAATGCATAAAAATAGGTATGGAGAAAAAAGTGGCTTTAGATTTTGGCATTAGTTTCAAAGATGAAGAAAGCAGCATATTAAAGCTCATTATTTTTTAGACCTTAATGCCTAAGAGAAATCCAGATCAGGCTTATCAATGATTTATCAAGTAATCAGGTCCATTAAAATGAGCTCACTTAGTTAGATAAATATAATTTAGGCCGCTTATTTACCTACTCTAATTTTTAGGGTATTATGTCCTTTAAAAATTATAGAAAAACCTTAAAGTTTATAATAAAATATTTTGGGTTTCTTATTACAGCATACGACTTTCTTATTAATTAGATTTAAATGATTGGCATATGTATATTTAAATTCTTTCCATTATTTCACAACTTATCTACCTCTTATATTCTTTGGGAAGCGCTTAATTCTACAGCTTCATTAATACTCTTTGTTTATCTACCATATGAATATTGCTTCAGCTTAACCAGAGGATAGTTCTTTTAATACTATATTAACTATTTCTGTACTATAATTTTTAGTATTGATATTTTTGTTAAATTTAATACTGTATCTACTGAGTAAGGTAATCCTGTTGAATAGCACATGTAAATATTCACAAGCTACATTAGATCAACTTTTTTCATCGATCTAATTAGTTTTCTCAGTTTAAATCATAATATCTTTGGTTTTGATGGTCTCTACTTTGTATTCTTTTTAAGAATTTTTTAGCCATTTAGAATCTTAGAATTATTTAGAGAATAATTTCTTTTAAAAACAAAAATATTTGGTAAAATAAAAAATTTTATTTTGAATTTATCTAATAATTTTTTATTTAAGGAGTGATCTCTTTGATATATTTATTAGCTTAAGTTATATATTTTGCTCATCTATTTACTTGTCTTTGGAATTATGTAGGCCTTTTGGAACTCAAAAGCAATACAGGATGGATAGTAGCTTATAATTATCAAACAGAATCAGTTGCCAGCAGATATATCTACACTTTCTATTATGCTGTAGTTACTATGACTACAATAGGGTATGGAGATTTCACTGCATAAACTCAGTTGGAAAAACTCCTCATGATTTTTATTGCTTTTTTTTCATGTGGTATTTTTGGCTATACAATTAACTCAATAGGTTATTATTTTTATTTTTCAAAAATTTATATATTACATAAATAATATCAAATGCTTATATAGGAAATATTCTGTATGATTTTAAGCAAAAGAGAGACCTCTACTTGTAAGAGCTAGCTAAAATAAATAAATACTTTAAACAAAATAATGTTGAATTAGGTCTTTAGTGTAGAGCAAAAAAATATATATAGTATATATACAGCGATTAATACAGTGATTAATCTTGTTCAATAAAGTCTCTCTCCTCTCTTTCTGTGTATTTACAGAAAGAAATACAGCAAGATGTCTACATCAAAATGCTAAAAAAAGTACCTATCTTTAGAGAGATTGCTTCAGAACAAATCTTCAACGAGCTAGCTCTGTTAATGAAAGAAAAGATAGTTTGTCATGACTAAATCATTACTAATCAGGAAGAAGATGAAGAGGAAGAAAATGAGTAATTTATTTATTTTGTAAATGATGGAACTATATTAGAGTATTGCTAACATGATTCTTAAACATAAATAAAAGATATTCAAGTAAATAATATTTTTCATTTATTGATATAAATTTGAGATTTACTTTTTATAAAGAAATTTAAATATGGTTAATATTTTGGGCTAGTTTAGTTTATGAGTGGAGATACTAATCGAAAGCTAAAATACAAAAGTATAGGGGTTTCTTCTATATTATAGCTAAGCTGCTCTAATTTAAGAGATGTCTTGAAGAAATATGATTTAGAATATTAAAAATTTTGCCATATTTTAGATTAGGTTAGATTTTAAAATAAATTTTAAAAAATTAACTCATATTGTTTCTCATGCTAGTAAAAAAATCATAGAATAGAGGAATGTCCTTATTTATTCTATGAAGGTAAAAAATCAATAATATTGAGGTAATACTTAAAAGAATGTGATTATAAAATTAAAAATTTTGAGCGTAAAAAATAAGAAAAAAGTTTAAACTCATTAATCAGCCAAGCTTATGTATCATAACTAGCTGATAAATATTTTTTGCAAAATATGCCATGTTTTTCGATGTGGTATCAAAGCTAAGAATCTGAGACTTCGCAGGAAAGTAGTTCTAATTCTGATCAAGAAACTGAAAATGAAAGTAAAGAGAGCAGTTTAATAGAAAAAAATTAGTTGGAGGCTGAAAGAAAAGTATATAGTGAGTAAAAGTTAGGAGAATGTAAAAAAATAGGATCTCTAATTGATGATTAGCAACTATAATTACGTGATAGGAAACTTAGTTTGTAAGTATAAAAAAATGTTAATAACTTGCATGATTATGGAGAAGTTAATTCATCTAATTTATCAAACATGAAAAAAGTTAACAGTGGCATCAATCCAAGCAAAATATTTTAAGAAGATGAAGGAAGTATTATATTAGAAGAGAACTTAAATATTCAAGGAAATAAAAATAAAAGAAATCGAAGCTAAAAAAATGTGAACACAAAAGATTCTAACTTGAATATTTTCAATTTGCAAGAATATGATTAATATGGAAATGCATTAAGTAAAACAAACTTCAAAAATTTAAAACTTCTTCTTAAATCTTTTTTAATTGATAAAATAGGCGAAACAAAGATTTAAACAAATCAAAAGATAGAAATTTAATAAGCTCAATCATTACAAATATAAAAGCAAACAAATAAATATTAGGAAATATTTAAAAATATTGAATTTATGTAATAAATTTTATTGAAAATTATTTTTTTTTAAAAAAATCTATCATAAAATATTTTAATGTAATAAATTGAAAGTAACAATTTTTTTAATTTAAAGGTTAGCAAATCATCCCCCGCTTTATTGTTTAAATTAGAATTGTCAAATTTGTTTTTAAACAGAAAATAATATATAAAATATTATCAAGGAATTATTTATCAGTGAGAAATATACACCAAATTAAAAAACTTATTAAAATTTTGAAAATCAGAAAATGAAAAGTATACTCTAATTAACGAAACAAAGAACTGCATTTATTTAAAGCCAGAATAACATGAAAACATAAAATTTTAGTTATAAGAATTTAAACAATCATTAATTTTTAGGCAAGAGAGGCTCAAAATATATATAAGGATTGTTTTAGTAACCATTTATTTATGATTTTGATAAGATGAGAAATTTCTAGTTTTACTTTGTTGATGGAAATTATTAAGCAGTTTTAGACAGATACTAAATTACATAAAAGCATAAAATATTTTATTAAGAATAAAAACTCTTTATCTCATAACACTCTACAAAATTTAATTAAAGAATAAATTGAAATAGTTAAAAATAAAAATAAATTTATTTACAAAGATAATTTATTTCTTAATAATTTAATATTATAATTTTATTGAATTTAAATCAAGTTTTATTTTATTTGTTTTCTTTAATTATATGTTCTTTTTATTTATAAATAGTATATTACATTACGTTTCTTAAATATTTAATTAAATTGAAAAACTAATAATTTATTTAATATTATCAGTACTCATTAATTAAGGGACAACATTTTTGATTAAAAAAACCTACAGATTTTTAACAAAAATTTACTTTTCGGGTGTTTTTTTATAAAAGATACTATGTTATTTTAATATTTTGTTTAAAATACAAAAAGAAATATTCTTTATTTTATATAAGGCTATTTATTTTCTTTTTTATTAATAATTTCACATGTATTACCTATTTTAAATAAATATATTCAAAAGTAATAAGGAATATTCTGAAAATAGAAATTTCATTATTTATAATTACAAAGAATACATAATTTTTAAGTAAATATGTTTAATAAAAAAATTAAATCATCTATTTTTGTTGTAAAGAAATTAAAAATTCTTCTTTTTATTGGTTCATTAAATTAAAATTAGAATAAGAAGCGAGAATAAATAGTTTAGTTTTTTTTCTTCTTAAAAATATTGCCTTTTGTTAATTATAAAATATTGTACTAAAAAGTGAAGTATAATAGATAGAAATTTAATAAGGTTAATATCGTGCTATAATATAAATACATATTATTATACAATTACAATTTATTAAAATGAAGAATTAAACAATAAAATTGAATTAGGTCAATTTTACTGAACACATTGATTGTGACTTGAACACTAGTTAGAATCATTCTAACTCATTACATTAGTTTAAACTTTTTTAGTTACAATAGTAGAACTAAAGTTTAGGAGACTATTCACAATCTCTAATGCAGTTTCCAACTTAAACATTGTTTAATAATGCTATAAAATAAGATAGTAAAATTCAAAATGATGTTTAAAATGAAATTTAAGATAAATAATGTAAACATTTTTGAAATTGAAGTATTTTTTTTTGACATTTACTATTATTGATTCAACTGTTTTTTATTCTACATTTTATTTTTTATGAAATAAAATTATTTCAAATTAAATACTCAATTATATTTTTAAATTAGTGTGATTTAATTCAAAATAAATTCATTTTTCATCTATCTTATTCATAATAGTTTTTATTTTCTACAAAAGGTTCTTCAAATAACTCATTTGAGAATAATTAGAAATATTAGTAGTGTTTCGAATATAACTCAAATTTTACAATTCATAATGGTGATATACAGTTTTAAATTCCTTAAGTAGATCAATAAATGCCTTAGTAAAATAAAAAACTCTAAGCCCAATCTATTTTTTATGAAAGACAGAGCCTAACTTCTGCAAACTAAACAAGTTCCTTGTTTACAAGATATGATAAAAGCAAGGCAATAAACTTTCAAAATGCATTTGATTCCAAAGAAGCAAACAAAACTGGGCTAAAGTAAAAAGGATATAAAAAAAGAAATAATTTATTAGCAAGAGATAATAATGCATAAAAAGAAGTTTGGAAAAAAAAATGGTTTCTAATTTTAGCTTTAGTTTCAAAAATGAAGAAAGCAGCCTAGTAAAGCTCACTATTTTTTAGACCTTAAAATCTAAGAGAAATACAGATCAGGCTTATCAATGATTTATCTAGTAATCAAAATCATTAGATGGGATTGTCTTAGTTAAATATTTATAATCTAGGTCGCTTGTTTACTTATACTAATTTCTCAGGAATTATGTCTTTTAAAAATTATAGAAAGACTTTAAAAATCATCATGAAGTATTTTGGATTTCTTATTAAGGCATATGAAAATATAATTAGTCAAACAAAAATCATAGGAATTTGTATATTTAAGTTATTTCCTTTGTTTCATAATTTATCTACCCTTTATATTATGTGGGAAGCAATTAATTTTGTAGCATCATTAATACTATTTGTTTACCTACCCTTTGAGTATTGCTTCGGTCTATCTAGAGGATAATTTTTTAGATATTTCATTTCTTATTTCTGCACTATTATTTTCAGTGCTGATATTTTTGTTAAATTTAATACAGTATCTTCTGAATAAGGCAATCCTATTGAGTAGCATATGCAGATCTTTACTAATTATATAAGTACCACTTTTTTGTTTGACTTAATTTGCTTGCTCAGTTTAAACTCTACAATTTTTTACTTAGATGGTATTTCATTCTTATTCTTTTTAAGAATTTTTTAGCCATTTAGAATCTTAGAATTGTTTAGAGAATAGTTTCTTTTAAAAACAAAAATATTTGGTAAACTAAAAATTTTAATTTAATTTAGTTAATAATTAATTTTTTAAATAAGGAGTGATCTCTTTGCTATATTTATTAGCTCAAGTGATTTATTTTGCTCACCTCTTTACTTGTCTTTGGAACTATGTAGGTCTTTTATAACTTGAATAAAATACAGGATGGATTGTAACTTATAATTATCAAACAGAATCAGTTTCTAGTAGATATATTTAAACTTTCTATTATGCAGTAGTTACGATGACTACAATAGGGTACGGAGATTTCACTGCATAAACTAAGTTAGAAAAACTCTTAATGATTTTTATTGCTTTTTTTTCATGCGGTATTTTTGGCTATACAATTAACTCCATAGGTAATTTATTATTAAATAAAAATATATTCTTTTATAAATTAAAATAAAATTTGTTTCTATTTATAAATGAATATAAAATTATATTCTTTAAATATAAATTAAAACTATAAATATAGGAAATATTTTGTATGATTTTAAGCAAAAGAGGGACCTTTATCTGTAAGAACTAGCGAAAATTAATAAGTATTTTAAACAGAATAACGTTGAATTAGGTCTATAGTGCAGAGCAAAAAAGTATATTTAATACATATACAGTGATTAATATTGTGATTAATCTTGTTCTATCAAATCTCTTTCATCACTTTCAGTTTACTTATAAAAAGAAATATAGTAAGATGTTTACATTAAAATGCTCAAAAAAGTACCAATTTTTAGAGAAATTATTACTGAATAAATTTTTAATGAGTTAGCTCTGTTAATGAAAGAAAAAATTGTTTGTCATGATTAATTAATTACTTGTTAAGAAGAAGACGACGAAGGTGAACATTTTATTTATTTTGTAAACGATGGTACAATTTTAGAGTTTTGCTAATATGATTCAAAAACATAAATAAAAGAAATTTAGGTAAATTAACATTTTTTATTAAAATAAAATTAAATTTTTTAAAAAATAAAGAAATTTAGATATGGTCAATACTTTGGGCTTGCTCAGTTTATGAGTGGAAATTCAAATCAAAATCTTAAATATAAAAGCATAGGCGTTTCTTCTGTACTATAGCTGAGTAATTCTAATTTTATAGAGGTTTTAAGAAAGTATGATTTAGAATACTAAAAATTTTGTTAAGCTAAAGATGAAGTTAAATTTGAGAGTAAATTTTAAAAAATTAATTCATATTGTTACTCATGTAAACAAAAAAACCACAGATTTGAGGAATGTCCTTATTTATTCTATGAAGGCAAGAAACCAATAATTTTGAGATAGTATATTAAAGAAAATAATTTTAAGATAAAACATTTTTAAAGAAAAAAATAAGATAAAAGTTTAAATGCATTAATCAGCTAGGAATATGTAGCACAATGTGCAGATAAACACTTCTTACAAAATATGCCATGTTTTTCAATGTGGTATGAAAGCTAAGAATCTGGATCTTAATCAGATAGTAAATCTAATGAAAAATCAACTAACAGCAGCTAAGAGCATATTTCATAAGAAATAATATAGTAGGAGATATTCAGAAACGCTAATAGTGAATAAAGATTAGGAGAGTCTAAAAAAATAGGATCTATAATTGAAGATTCATCATAGATGTAATTGAATGGTAGAAAATTTAGTCTTCAAATTCAAAAAGAAATTTAAAATTAATTTGAATTAGGAGAAACCAACTAGTTTAATATACAAAAAGTTAATAGCAGCTTCATACCAAGTAAGATAAATATACTTGATGATGAAGAAAGCATAAACTTAGAAGAAAATTTGAATAATCAAATTTATAAAAATAAAAAATCCAGAAGCTACAAAAATATTCATACAAAAGATTCTTTCTTAAATATTTAAAATTTACACGAATATGATTAATTCAACTCACAAAGTAAAATAAATGTTTTAATTTAATCAATTATTAAAGTTATATGAAATTATAAATTAGGCTAAACAAAAATTTAAACCAATCAAAAGATAGAATCCTCATAAATACAAAAACATCCCTATAAATTTTAGGATATTATAAAAAATATTGAGTTTATGTAATAACTTTTATTAGAAATTTATTTAATTAATTAAAAAAATATAATTTTTAAATGTAAAGATTGTCCAGTCATTAACCTCTTCTTTGTTTAAATTAAAATTGTCAAACTTGTATATAAACAGAAAATAGTTTATAAAATGCTTTAATGGGTATTACGAATAATGAAAAATATAAATCAAATCAAAGATCCTCTTTATATTTAGAACCACGCAAAGTGAAGAGTATACTTCAGTCTACGAAATAAAGGACGGCATTTATTTAGAGCTAAAACAACTTTAAAACATTAAATTTTAATAATAAAAATACAAGCTTTAACTAATACTTTAGTAAAAGCAGCTCAAAGTAATCACAAGGATAAGAAAAATTATTTTTTATTTATGATTTTGATAAAATGAGAAGCTACTAGTTTTATTTTCCAGATAGAAATTACTAAACAGTGTTAGAAAAACACTCTATTGTATAAAACCTCAAAACACCAGAATAAAAATTCTACTTTTCATAATATTCAACTAATATTAATTAAAGAATATTTGATTAAAATTGAAATAATAAAAATAAAATATTAAAAATACTTACTTACTTATATTGTATATTAATAATATATCTAAAAATTTCTTTATATTTAAGCCAAATATTTAAAAATAACCTTCTATTATTTGAAGGCTCATTAATCGCTTAATGTATGCAAGTACCTAATATGTTAGAGAAAGAATAATAAATTATAATTGAATAGAAGATTTAAATTCAATATACTAAAAGGAATTTAAATCCTTTTTTTTTTTTTATTTCATTTTTTATACATTGATTTTGTAGGCATACTATTATTAAGAAATTAATTTTTATACAAGGTATTTAAAGTTGTTTTCTATTATATTTACTTAAAGGATAAATAAGTACATTAATAAATGTTTAAAAGTTACTTTCGAAAGAGTTACTAATAATTTTAATTATATTGATTAAATTTCAATTAATTTTTTATTAAATATTGATATTTAATATTTCTTAAGAGTAGGGCTTTAGAATTAAATAAATAATTATTAAATTGATGATTAATCAAAAATGTATTAATTTTACTCTTTTTTAAACTAGCTAGAATTAAAATATATTTTATTTCTAATAAATATCTTATATTTATCACTCGAACTATAAAATTTTTTTTTAAGATCAATATGTCTTCCTAATTATTTTTTAAAAGAATTTTAAAGAAATAAAAATAGCAAATTTTTTTTATTAATAACTGGGGGTTGGGGTTGGGGTTGGGGTTGGGGTTGGGGTTGGGGTTGGGGTTGGGGTTGGGGTTGGGGTTGGGGTTGGGGTTGGGGTTGGGGTTGGGGTTGGGGTTGGGGTTGGGGTTGGGGTTGGGGTTGGGGTTGGGGTTGGGGTTGGGGTTGGGGTTGGGGTTGGGGTTGGGGTTGGGGTTGGGGTTGGGGTTGGGGTTGGGGTTGGGGTTGGGGTTGGGGTTGGGGTTGGGGTTGGGGTTGGGGTTGGGGTTGGGGTTGGGGTTGGGGTTGGGGTTGGGGTTGGGGTTGGGGTTGGGGTTGGGGTTGGGGTTGGGGTTGGGGTTGGGGTTGGGGTTGGGGT